TCCACCCACTCCCTACCTCTCTTCCTTTACCTACTCAACCACCAAACCTATTCTCCTACATCGTCACCTTCCACACCTTCCTCACTCACTGCTCCTCTCCACTGCCCCTCCACTGCTCCAAACTACACAAACTCCCTCCATCAATGTGCTCCCGCCTGTCTCTTCGATCCCCTCTCTCTCCACCTCGCTGAAAACACCTTACATAAGCACCTACCCCACCTTCTACTGCCCCTCCACCTTCTGCTGCCATTCTTCTATTCCCCTCATTATCTTCGACTCTCAATACCCAACTCCTCTCTCTTCCCTTTCCTCTACTCCACCTTCACCACTCTTTGTTCGTACATATTCACATATTCACATTTCCATCACCAAAACTGACATTCAACTTTGCCTTACCACTCTATATCACTTCTAACGTCACATCTGCCCTTACTCCTACAAACAATACCACCTATCTTTCAAAATTCAAGTACACCTTCCCTCCTCCACATTCCTCCTCCACACTCCTCCTCCACCTTCCATCCTCCACACTCCTCCTCCACACTCCTCCTCCACACTCCTCCTCCACACTCCTCCTCCATACTCTCTCTCCCCCACACTTACACTAGCACCACGTAGAAAACTACAAACCATATCCCAACACCCAGACACCTACGAAGTTAGGCAGTTACACCCTGGCCATTTCACACCAAACCCCCCTCTTTTCGTCCATTTCTTGACCAGTGTGCCTATCTAATGTCACACACACCGTAACATCTTGCCCAGAGCTCCCGAAACGTGGTCCTTCGCAGGTTAGAGTACACCCATATCTCGCCGTCGCACGTGACATTCTTCCTGCGCTGCCTGTACCCACCATGATCCCTGCCGCCTCCAGCACAACGGCACCCTCAGGCTGTCACACACCGAATACCCACGCTCATATTTGCATTCGGAACACAAGTAGGGTATCCTGGCCATCAAGAACTGTTAGAAGGAGATAGCGAGACAGGATATCATTCAATTGTATCATGGCGTGACCGATGTGACAGAACAAAATTAGAAGAATGAACGGACGGTTGTAATCAAGATGAACTCATAGGAACCAAATGATTCCAATGATGATTATCGTATCTTCACACCCCGTCATCACTTCAAGAATGATCTAACAGGTAACGTAAGAATGACTCATTCCGAAATTAAATGAGCAGTTCAGAAACCTATCAACCAGCGACAACGATAAACCTCAATAGCATTTAATATTAGAGGCTCCTTCCCTATAGAGCCTTCTCTGTGATCTTTTTGCTTAACTAACGGTCATTACCCCTTATAAGATCTCCCTCTACGCCTTAATATTCGTCTTTCATCTACAACCGAGTGAGGAGCTCTCAAGAATAAAGAGCGTATTCTTTTATACTTCGGTTGTTTGCAGGATGAGACATGCCTACACCTAAGAAAATGTGATATTTTTGGGCAAATGTCTCCACCGGCTCAAAGAAAGGGTCCATCAAACGGCTCCGAGTCGCTTTTGGAGTCAACATTCTATGTTCCGGGCATCTTATCAATGTCTGGCCAGAATAATTTCAACTTGTCTGACACTCAGGCAGCGTCTTTGCCCAGCCACTCTGCTCTTAGCTGTGCTACAGCACAACTTCCTTTGGCCTTTTGGCTGAGCTTAATTGCTACACTACCAAAATACTCCTTTGCAAATAGGCTACAGTAGCGCATTAGCTAAATTAGCCCAGTTCGAAGTAGTACGGTTGGGAGTTGATCAAACTGTTACAGCAACAACATAAAAAACTCGCTTTTTATGCGCTTGCGTGACCCTCCATGGTTCTTTTAAAACATCGATATCTATAAAAAAGATAGAGAACACACTAAAACTACCACGGTAGCTCAGAGCCATCGTAACTCAAGAACTTACCAGCGTTCTTGCTCTTCAAGTCTGTCAGAACATTTTCCTTGATAGCTTTTGCCGACTCCTCGGTGGTTAGCAATGGCAAGGCCTTTTTCAATTGGCCAGCGACCTCGTCACCCATTTGCACCAACGAGTCCGCACCCATGTCGCTCCCCACTAAACCTGGGTGAATTGCAACAATGCTGTAGCCCTCAGGAGCAAGTTCTTGGATCAATCCCTTGACAACATAGTTAGTTGCAGCTTTAGACACTCCATAACCCGAAAATCCCGCCGGCAGCTCGACATTTAGCGATCCAACTAGAGAAGAAACCACGGCAACCTCTTTCGTTTCCTTCTGGTCTAGCAAAGGCTTGAAGGCTTTCACTAATCTAATAGGACCGACAGTGTTGACGTCGAACTGCTCGATATAAAGGTCATCAGGATGGTCTAGAAACTTGCCGATGTCCTTTAGCACACCAGCATTTGACACCAACGCATCTAAACCATCAGGTAGAATCTTGGCAGTTTCTTTGGCGGCATTCTGGACGCTTTCGCCTGAAGAGACATCCAACTGCACAATCTTCACATTAGAATGCTCCGCAGCCCATTTCTTCAAGTCACTGGCCGCGCTTGGTTCTCTAGCAGTAGCCACCACGGTGTTTTTCAAGTCGGAACTCAATTCTTTGACTAGTGATAGACCAATTCCTCTGTTTCCGCCGGTGACAAGGTAAGATGTGGAAGACATATGAAGGTTGCGTAATGAGATGTGTTGTTTAAGTTCGGAGGTTTTGAAGACGTGAGAGATTCAAAACTTACCTGGTCTGAGAGAAACGTTGACTTGAACTATTCGATAGACACTGTGATTAGCCTCTTTATATAACTCGCTCGAGCTCAAGGTTCCAAGGTTTGTCATCGATTTCCTAGTTTTGAAGGCTAGTAGTGTATTGCCAAGTACTTCAGGTAAGATGTTTTAAGATGCAACACACTGTGTGTTGCAACACGCCTTCATTAATAATCGAAATTGTCAGCATTTCGAAATATTTCAGATACGCACTCAGCGCCAAGCAGTGTACTTCAGTAAACACAAGGCTGCGTTGGTGTCTCTTTCTGACTTTGTTGAACAACTTGTCGTGGTTATTTGTAATCATCAACGTCAAAAGCAGAGGAAAAAATGAAAGCGGTTGCGTTTTGAAAAAGTTGGTGCTCACAACCTTCGCAGTATCTCCAGCTGACGAGGTACTTCTCGCCACTGGATCTGATGTCTTGGTGTGTGTCAAGATTTTAGCAATATTAATGATTGGAATGTACATTATGGGTCCTAGAAGTCCATAAGGAGAAGACCATGCTACCCACTGAACCGTTGCTGGACGGAGATCCTACTTAAACCTTCAAGATTTTATCGATAGGTCAGTCAGTTGTCAAGAAAGACAACGTTGGTGAGTCAGAGTACTGTAAAGAGAGCTATATCTACTTTGGAAGTGGAATGATCGAAGAATCAGTGTAATGTGTTATGTATCTGGGCAAGAAAAACGAACTGGTCTTCTTGAAGTAACACAAAGCTTTGATGGACAATGCTGCGACGTAGCATGAAACATGATTTCAATTTTGCCTTGAAAATGTTAGATTTCGTTCGTGGCTTGAATGATAACGTGTTTGAGCTTCTCCTATGCGTTGGAAACTTTTTGGATATCGACCGCATAGGCAGTTGCTCACCATACAGGGCATCATTGGTTGATATTTAGGTCGCAAAACACTGTTTGGACTGCTAAATTTGAGAATATTTTCATTATATCTTGGCACAGCAGGGTTTGACGCTCTAGTAGTCAAATTGAATCCTCAATAATTGCGAATATCATCCAAGCGAAGAGTGATAATTGCTGAAAGTATAGACTTAGAGTGCACCGCGAGCTAAAAGAATACAGAAAACAGTCGGCCCACTTGTTTCCCTCTACCAGTAGATCAAAACAGCGCTGCCCGCTGAAAGCCGCGCTGCTCGCGAAAAGTGGCCGTTAGTTCTCCGATGGGGGGTGTCTTACCGCTCTTGGTAGATAGTTGCGAGGGAAGCTTGCCGATGACCCTGGGTGTTTCTCTCAGGCTGGTGCAGATGTTCGAAAGACGACTGGCTGCCCAAGACTTCCTAATACAGGACACACTCAACAGCGAGAAGCCTGATCTGTATCAAGGGTACGGCAACAGCAACCATCTTGATCTCTCACGTCTTTCCAAATTTACTTTATATATTCTTTGGGCCTCCTTTCGGCGGAGAGCGACCAGCCTCCGAGGTACACCTGAACTATCGAGTGGAGCAATGTGGCAAGCTGGGACGAGATATTCCTGGACAAGCTGCTATATCCTATCCAGCTGGTGCTTATGGATACCTAATTGATGAACTTTGGCCTCCTTTTCCCGAATGCACCGCGTTAGAACAATGCGCCGATACGCCAGAGTGGAGCGTTGGCTTTCAATATTAGATAATTATGGCACGAAGCTATTCGTCGTGACCAAAGGCACGCACTGTGGCTGATTTTTTCGTCCCGTTTTACATACACCAGTTTCACGTACACCAGTTTTCTCGGATTTTTACAAAAGCATTGTCACCAACCTAACAGACATGAACTCTTGATATAAATAATATATTACAAAGGTAGACCTTCATTGTAATAACAGGCTACATTTGTACCATTTTCAGATCTGAATTCATAACTTTTGGTTGTCTGGTTTCGATATACTGGTCTGATAGGTGAGGTAATGATAAGTTACCGTCAATTTTAGAGAAAGTAACGGATTCTAAAGTTGGAACAGTGTCACAAAAAATGTATAAAAGGAGAGGATATGACCAGAATCATAGTGGTCATTAACGCAAGATAATTACAGAGAGATATAAGTGATCGACACCTTATCTGCCTTATTATTTAGATCTACTATGAACGAATCAAACGAACAGTTCAAGAACTTACCGACTGCCGACGATTGTAAACCTCAATGATCCCTGAACTAATCACTTAACTCATCCATAGTTCTCTTGACGGTGAGATATATCATGTGTTAGGTACTTATATCTCTTCGTTAATGACTTCGGTATGTTTACCACAGTACAAGTAGTCTAATCATCCCCCCTTTATATACCATTCCGAATTGAGAATCCATTACTCTCAATAATATGAACGCTAAAGTCTCACCACTATCATACCACTGATAGTCTTATTTCGAGGGTGTAATGATCCTTAGACTATCGCTGGAATATCTTGAGTTTCTAGTACTTCTACAGAATGCTAAGCGTCCAAGCGTCCACTAGATCTATCATTTTAGTCACGTAGTAGTGCTACTTGAGGATATCACGTCCTCGCTGTCTCTTTCCAAATTTATTAGGGATCAACTGAAGATAGACCCTAAAGATATTGTCTATAACTCCGAGTTCATCGAAACAACTGCCTCAAACACATTACTTAAGACCTTGGCGTTTGCCTTTGCAATAATTATTAGCACCACTATCTTTAAGGTTTCTCCCCTCAACTCAAACGCAGGATCATCTAGTGTTCCCAAGTTCGGAAGTAAGAAGGAAGTCATCACTTCCAGAATTTTGTGATTGCAAAAACTCAGAACTTCGACAGTTCTTGGCTGAATCCATCGATGACATGTTCCTCTTCGGATCAGGTAGCAGCATGCTGTCTTTGACCTTTTCCCTGTTCACTTCTAGTGGACGCACCACGCCAACGGCCGACGAGACTAATTAATCAGCCGAACGTAAAGTTAAATGATTTCTTCGAAACTAAAAGTTTCGAAGAAATCATTTAAAACACCTGAGAACTTTGCGGAATACATAATAGATCCTACACAATTTACCTCGTTTTGACATGCATTTACAATGGTCATTCGACCAGCATTCTGTCGTACTTCGCCTTTTAAAGTGCCATTTTCCTCCTATCGGAATTTTGATCCTGCACGTTATTCTGAATTAAGTATAAACTGTCCCCTACCATGTCACACTTGAGTAAGGCCACATGCCAGAAGTGTTGGACAACTTGTCAGGTTTATCCTAAACTGTAGTTTGAAAGATCTATGACTCTTGTGCCAACCTTATCCGTGAAGTACCTGTCATGTGTAGTGGCAATAACGATGCCCGGAAACTGCAACAAGGCCTCTTCAATAACTTCTAAACTCGGGAAATCAATGTGGTTGGTAGGTTCATCTAAGATAAGGATAGAGCATTTTCTCATGATGATCTGACAAAGTTGTGCTTTACGACGACATCCCACACTCAAAGCTTTTAGAGGGCTCTTCAGATCGTGCCATTTATAGATTCCAAAATCACGTAAATTTCGAATTGCCGTCTGAGTCGATGCCTTAATATTTGGATCTTCTTCCAACAACTCTACGGGAGATTTGTCCAAAGGCAGGTTTTCTTGCTCCTGGTCCAAATAACCAACAACGGCATTCCCACTTATGGAAACGGACCCTTGGTCTGGTTCAGTAAGACCCATAAGAATTCTATTCAAAGTTGTTTTGCCAGAACCGTTGGGCCCCTTAACAATCAGTCTGTCACCTTTTGTCAACGTGAAGGAAATATTGGTAAATACCTGCTTTTCGTACGATTTCGATACCTCCGTTACAGTTATCCCCAAGAGAGAGCTTAACGCAGAAAGGCCATCAAAATCGAACGAAATTTGAGATCTTTCGGGAATTACTTCGACTAAATTATCATTCAGGTGGTCAACTTTGTCAGTGAGTTGATTAACTTGACCCATAATTCCCTTTTGAGCTCTTTGTTCCTTGTTATTGTAACTCAGTTTATCTCTATCTGATCCTGATCGAACTATTCGGGACTTAACTCTAGACTGTGCTTGCACGGCCTTGGACTTTAGTTTCTTAAGCTCCTTGTCTTGGAAACGCCTTTCCTCGACTGACCTTAGGCGCCTTTTATCCTCTTCTTCCAAATAGTGCTTATAACCACCTCTGAAATGTGAAAACCTCTTAGTGAAAGGGGATAACTCCGAAATGAAGTTTGAAACTCCATTGATTAGAGCACGGTCGTGGGAAACCATTACAACCGCACCCGCGAACCTTTTCAAGAAAGACTCTAACCACTCAATTCCTTTATTGTCTAGATGGTTTGTCGGTTCATCGAGCAAAATGAAGTCGGGATTCAAAACGCTTAACGCGCAGAGAAGCGTCTTTGTCTTCTCACCGCCACTTAGAGACTTGAAAGGGCGATTCAATGTTTCTTCCTCTAACCCGATGAGGGAAAATTGCTTGAATATTTCATGCCCGCCCAGAATGTTCAGCTCCTGGAGCCACTCTTGTGAGAAGGGCTCTATAGGCAATTCTAGAAAGTCGTTGATCTCATCATCGTACAACGACCTGAGCAACACTTCAATTGCCAGTAGGTCTCCATCGACTTCTTCAAAGTGTTGAGGTAAGAACCCGACTCTGCCTTCGATTTTTATTGACCCAGAATAAGGGTACTCATCGACTCCGGCTAAAAGATTGAGAAACGTAGTCTTTCCGCTCCCATTCTCTCCGACTATAGTCACTTTGTCTCCATACGAGGCTGTGAAGTCAAGGTCCATAAATAAGGTTTTCTTATCAAGTGTGAGATCCAGGCTTTGAACAAGAACCTCAGGAGACTTACCAGTAACTAGCTCGCGATAGTATATACCATTCTTGTAAGGTTGCTTTACCTGTTCGTTCATGTTAGTGGATTGATTTTGGTCGGTCAGCATATAGCACCTCGGCTATGTCTTGTAAAGTTGTTTAATGCTGTCCGAGGTCAGAGCCTCTATTCTTGCCCGCCATTTATAAGTCAGAAAATCGAGGCTGTCCTCGGCCGAGGATCACTGTGGGCAAGGAAGGGCATGGACAGCTTTCAGTTTTACGAACGTAGACAAATCTTTGGCTATTATGCCACATTTGAATACGAAGTAGCTGTGGTAGAGCAAAAAAGGTAAATCGCCTGTATTTAGATGTGACGTATGCTACTTTTAGCCATGGTATGAAACGCCTTTACTGCGTTAATCTTTCAAATGCGTTAGTACAATTATGGATCCCCGTCTATTGTGATTCCTTTTAACTCAGGCCAGCACTATGGACGAATCACGGATCTACCACGATTCTGGCAACGTACTTGGACGATCCATCGATCTTGTGTCATATCAAGAATATATCTAGTTACGCGTTTCTCTCGCGTTTTCCGTTGACCTTGTGCTGCCCGCCGTCGTCGTACACTTCTCCTTTGCCTTAATCATCATAGCGGACGGTATCCTGATAAGGAGAAGTCGCTATGTGACTATCAAGAAATCGAATAAGGTTACCAAATAAGTACCGGATTGCCTAATTAGGTCAAGTTTAAGCAGCAAATAGTCGAATGGTCGCGGCTACTTCTACATTACCGTTTTAAGTGATTGAACCCTTGAATATCACGGAAGAAACTCGATTCGCGAATCCCCGATTTGTGGCCCAAAATGCGGAACTCGCCGGAGTCGTCCTCAGTGCTGCACAACTTCCTTTGGATCACCCTGATGTGACCATTACGGTGAACACCAGCGCAAAGAATGATCAATCTTAGGCTTGAGTAGCGAAAAAATCTCTAGTCCTTTATGACACCCTATAATCACGGAAAGCTTCTTTTACCACTCTTCACGCTTTCGTATCCGATGTATATTCTTCAATGGCACTTTCAAGAATCGGTAAGATATCCAAAACCGTATCCATCTTGATTAAAGAAAAGACGTTGAACTTCTCGGTTGAATCAAACTTGATTAGCATCCGAATCATTTCTTAAAGCTATGTGAAAGTCCTGTTACTTACCATTTTTACTTTGTAAACGATGTTCTTTCCTATACAGGATCTACTTTTTATGGATGAACTATTTGAAGTTCCTTGGAAAAAAAGATGTGGAGATACGAAGTCATCCCATCATTCGTTTATAAAAGATCACCGGAAGTGCGTGCGATCCCTTGACTTCGAAACCTCCCCTGACGATCGTATGTCATTCATGGGCCAAGCCGATGCAATTATTCCGGGGAAGTTGTATGACCCCACCAACGAAGTTTACGTACAGGGCAGAAAGAGAGCTAAGTCGAAGATACATGAATTCAACAACCTTCATCCAGACCAGGAGGAATTGAGAGACAACCTTATCAGGGATCTTTTTGGTAGTTGCTCTGGGAACTTTTTGATCGAACAGCCATTCTACTGCGACTACGGGAGTAACATCCACATTGGGAACAACATGTATAGTAACCACAACCTTACAATTCTAGACGTTGTCGACGTACGCATTGGTGATAATGTCTTCTTTGGACCTAACGTTGGACTCTACACTGCTGGCCACCCTCTGGACCTGGAAAGACGTATTGGCGGTCTGGAATTTGGATTGCCTATAACCATAGAAGATAATGTGTGGATTGGAGGTAGCGTAACGGTCTTGCCTGGTATAACTATTGGGAAAAACTCTGTAATCGCTGCCGGAAGCGTTGTGGTGAAAGATATTCCAGCGGGAGTCGTCGCTGTGGGAAATCCCTGTAAGGTGTTAAGAGAGATAGACGAAAGAGACAAGAGAAGGACCAATTTTCGAAAGTAGAAAGCGTAGTTATCGAGCCAAAAAATAAATTGGGCGGTGTTGGTGATGACTAGATCAAATCAGCTCCATAGGCCCATGTACGCGCTTTTTACAGCGTTTAAACCTAACAGTAAAGATCATAGGGACCGGTGGTATAGCCACGGCCAAGGTGCCTTAGAGAACTTGCTGGATGGCGCTACCATGTTAAAGGGTAGAGAAGCTCTGTAAAAACGAGGTATTTCAGTCTTTGAGCATTTGGAAAAAGAATTTTAAGGAATGATATACCCTAAAGAGCTACATTACCCTCGACTATTTCCCCGGTCGGCTACGAAATTTGTGGTTTTACAATTGAAAATCGAACACTTCGAAAAGTAAGTGTTTGAACTGAGAGGGGCATCATTCGTGAAATAGAGTCATTCAAGTGACTGCCGACTGTTGTTCCAAAGCTGTTTGTAAAAACATTTCGCCTCGCGCAAATTTGAAAGACTAACGTGAGTGATTCCGCCGGTGCCGCAGTTTGCACATATCAATTTCATCTGCGAACTGCTTCTAAATTTCCTGGCCACAAACGCGACGTTTTCTATGGCTCAAGTGATGAGTGGTTGTACAGTCCGTAGCCTTTTTGGAACCCTTCTGTATTGTTTAGTGTCTTCAAACATTATCCAATGCTTGTTGGAGTTTTCCTGTTATCGCATCTCCATACATTCCACTATCGTGCGGGTAAACGTTCCTTGCATCGGTATGCTTCTAAGAGCTTTGTTAGAGTTCATTAGTCGGATAGTGGTAGACAAGTGACTCGCATAAGAGGAATTAGGCCACTAGTTTTCACCTTCGCTAGGTGCTGTGGAATTGAATAACGACATCACTTGACTGCTAAAAAACCAAGCCAGTACATAATCTGAACAATAACAAGTTACCACATCATCAAAATTATCGCCATTCATTTCCAGCTTCCTAAACGGACAAAGTTTGGTAGAATCAGCAAATATCTATGGTTTTACTTGGGTACAAAACTTAACTGGCAAATGTGTTTCCCAGATACTGTCATCAACGAACTAAGGAGAAAAGGGTCAACGAAGCTGAAAATATCGTTCAGACCATTTGTATAGGCGACTAAAACAACCCCAAAGGAGCATCGTAATTCCTCTGCTGGTAGTCCCAGTAGAAGGTCAATGAAGTTTGGTTGCTAGTAGTGGCAGTCTTACAAGAAGAAACGTAATCTGTACCGTTCAATCTGGACTCCGCGTAGGTGGCAAATTCGCTGAGTTCACAGGACAAACCTGGACCGGACGAGCACTTCTCAATTGGGATCACAGCGTCGTTCACCACGTATCTAACGAAGGTTTGGTTGGAACACTGGTACAGTTGAGTGTAGACTCTGGCACCCTGGGGCACCATCCAAGACTTGTGGTAAATGTGGTCTTTGACGGCAATGTACTCGGCAGGCATCGGATGGCCAGGATCGAAGATACCGATGGCACCTAGGATGTTGACAACGTTGGTGTCGTGAGTGAAACTTAACCACACCTTGTTGTCTAGTTCTTTGTGCTGCTTCAAGAGCTCGACAGAAGCGTTAAAGTTGACACCACCGACAGTGACACCCAGTGGGTTACCAGGACCGTGATAGTAGTAGCTGGTCATGTCGTCGTTGTAGGCGTAGTAGGTCAGTTCTTCGTCGGTAAACACATCGCACATGTTACTGTAGCCCTTGACGTTAATTTCGTATGCGCACCAGGAGAATAGGCTGTTGGCATCGGATTTAGACAAGTTTAGGCCCTTGTTCTCAGTGTTCAATCTATTAGCGATGTCGGATAGGTATCGAGTCGTGAATTTAGAGTACACATCTTTCTTAGCGGTCTTGTTGTAAGTGGCGCAGGAACTTAAAGTAGTCAATGAGTTGGCTCCCATCGAAGGATCTTCATCGATGATCTGATAGCTGATGTTGAATTTGTCTCCCAAAGCGTCACCGAAAACTTTGGCGGTGTCGTGGACTCTTTTAGAGTTGGATGTGAAGATGGGGAACGAGGTCGTGTTTTTTAGGAGCTCTCCGTATTGACGTAAGAACTCACGGCTGTGTTTCTGCGCATCCCATTCGCCGACATAGGGATTGATGGGGTCTAAAGTGTTGTCCCAAGTGGTTAATTCTTCAAAGTTGTGAGAGTCTGGCAAAAAAAACTCGTAGTCTTCGTCCAAGAATTTCAGAGATCCTGAGAATTTTGAAGAGTAGCTGTTTAATTTTCGGTAAAGGTTCGTCAAACTCGACCCTGTGTTGTTAGTTGGGTATCTTTCGCCATGTCTAGCCAGTAATTGAACCTGTTGGAGGACACATTGCTCGGGAACTTCTTTGGACACACCGTAGCTTAGCGGGTACGAAAAATGAGGGCCAGAACCTGCCAGATATGGGAAAATGTCTTCTTGGGTGCCAATTTTGGACACATCTGCATATGGTGATTGCTTTTCAGTAGTGGTTGGCGCAGTGTTTGCCAAGGCAGCTGTTAAGAGAATAAGTGACACAGTGTTCATGCCGAGAGATGGGTTTGGATGCGAGATATAGAATATCGATCCGAACTACAATAAACTATCCAGAAGAATGCCAAAACTAGGTGACACTCTTTTGCACCTTTGTAGCCTATACATATATACATTTGCACACATGTATGTCTAACTTTCTGCAGGGTCAATGTTATTAGTGTTTAATTTCAAATCTGGATTTGGTACGCAATTCCGCTAATAATACACTTCAATATCAAAACTCATGACCTAAGCACGCTTTCTCGTGGATATTTTACGTAGAATGTCCCGCGAGACGCCCGCAATAAGACCGACAATGACTAGTAGAGAGCGCTCACGGCTCGGCATGCTAAAATTAATTCACCACCACCTATACAAGGATTTTCACCTCAGTAACGTGGGTCCTGCTAAATAGCGAATACAAATTGATCGGCAATAAAACACGACTAAAACCATGAATTTTCGTAGACAGAGGAGTGGGTAATACTTCAAGGTTTTAAGGCCGAACGCACTTATGAATGCAAGAAAGCAGAAGGGTCTGTCCATGAAATCTAGCTTGCACCTGGTTTTGTGCATGAATGGTTTTTATTTTCCCGAATCTGTCCAGGTGTTCCGTCTCACTTAATTACAAACGTCTAGGGCGAACACGTGCGTTAGAAGGGTAGTTGCATTCAGTGCCTTTAATTGACTTAGGTTTGTCACCAGTAACCGCAGGGTTTTATTTGCTGCCGAAACCGTAGTTCAGCTTATTGAAATCACCTCCTGAGTGTGGGAAGCAGACTCGAGACACAGGGATTACTTTAAGAGGCTGATCGCATGCCAGAAAGTATAACAAGATACGTTTAATGAGTAACTCGAGTAACCTGTGGGCCGAGTTGGTGAGTATCCAGACTCTTTATTGACGCAGTAGCTCAATAGCTACTATTCCTAGCATTAAGTAGTAAGATGTAGATCTGCCTGAAGCAAAGCTTATCAGTCGCTAAAGGTGAGAACCTGAAAAACCTGTTCAGCAACAACACTTCTTCGTCACTGAAGTTGTTGAGAGTATCGCTATCCCAAATGCCTTTGACCACGTATTCGAGACGTACAACGATGAATTAAACATTTTTTACGCACGCCTTCGCCTTTTCATTGCAACGCCAAGTATTTTGAAGATAGAATGTTGATTCGAGCTCTCCATGTAGCAAAGAGGGTGCTAGAATCCATTAAAAAGTACAGTACACAGGCAAATAAATACTGAGTAATTTTCAATCCATATCAACAAATAGGAATTGTCTTATATTTAGGACTTTCTCAATATCTTACTTGAACTATGAATGTTTTCGCCAGGAAACCATTAACACCCCTTTGATGCTATTCGGTGGGAAACGTTTTTGATAAGCATTAATGCAAAGTTCTACCACTCAAAATCGAATCAGGTAGGCGACTAGTTCATGGCCCCTTTTTTCTTTTTTTTCGGTGAGCCTTATATATGTGAGCAATCTTGTTTTCAAGTTGGCCATTGAGAAGATACGTAGAAGAAAGCTCAGTCGGAAGCCATCCGTATTTTTTTCTGTCTTCTGAACCTTCGCTTGCGGCACGTCAGGAACAATCGTATCGTGCGTTTTGTTTTATGGCGCCAAAAACATCTTCAGACAAAGAAAATTTCTCAATGACTTATAAGTACTTCTTCCGCGCGAGCACCTGCATTTTACTCTCATTGTAATTCATCTATGGATGAATGTCACCCACCAAATATTCGCCAATTTATTTAAACTGCTTTCGAGTGGAATAGAAAATTAGTGCTAGAAGTTGATCGAAAGAACAAAATTCTCTCAATCCAATTGAAATGAGCATTTGTGCTTTACTTCGGGAAGACCGCTTTTGTAGTTAGCATTCAGCTCATCCGAACGTGACAGCCCGATCGATTTGTTATTTGTTTTCTGAAAGCTTGATTGAAGTAGCAATTTCTCTGTACCCTGTCCCCTCGCTGCTGGATTATAGTAGTCACAAAAGTGTTGAGTCGAGCCTTGTAAGGATGTTCGAGTAAGTTGCTTTTTTCACTTTTATGAGAGCTAAGATTGTAAGTTGTGGTCAAGGCTCCACCAGCCTTAATTTTTTTTCCCACATACTTTGTCCGGTGTCTTTGAGTAAAAATGGAGACAAACACAAACTCCGTCGCGACCTTAACATTGAAAAAATGATGAAAGCAGTATTCAACTTACTGGTTGGTATGGCGAGAATTTTATTGTTGCCATAGTTGACTAAGCCTGACCGACTTTACGCGGCGAGCTCAAGTTCGAAAGACATAACATGCCTTCCGAAACTGTGCTGAGATATCATTAGCCACAAAGACATACGAATGAAATCCAATATTCAAATCGATTTAGTGAAATTGTTTTAAATTGGGGAGTTTCTGTATCGATGAGCCGCTTGGATGATTTATGTCTGATTTTCAGAAGCAATTCTTAGCGGTGAACATGAATTTCCAATCAAAGCAGGATGATCAGAAGCGGCAAATAAGGGAAGCGACTGAGGAATTCTCCGATTCCTCTTCCGAAAAAACTTCTCTCAATAATCCCTTTTTAAACTCCGACGTTGCGAACCATTACAGGCAACTGTATGATAGCTGTGGCTATGAGGGACGGAGCGTTTTTGATCCGGAATTCGAATGGACACCAGACGAGGAAAAAACACTGGTGAGAAAGCTTAATTGGAGGGTGGCTATCCCAGCATGTTTTATGTTTGTTGCGTTACAGGTAGATAGAGGAAATTTGGCACAGGCTGTGGCTGACAACTTATTGAAAGATATGAAAATGACAACTAATGATTACAACGTTGGTAATCAAATCTTCTACGCGACATTTCTTGTTGCAGAAGTACCCTCACAGCTTATTTCGAAAAGGCTTGGTCCCGACGTTTTTATTCCGATTCAAATGTGTGCTTGGAGTATTGTTTCAATGTCTCAAGGCGCAATGAACAACAAGGCAGGTTTTTATATTACTCGCGCGCTCATTGGACTTTTGGAGGGCGGTTTTATTGGCGACCTTGTTCTTTGGCTGTGCTATTTTTTTACTGCGAAAGAACTCTCCGTGCGTCTTTCCTGGTTTTGGACGTCCTTATCAATTGTTCAGATTGTAACCGCTCTGCTCGCTTTCGCTATTTTGAGAATGAGAGGGGTTTGTGGCCTTTTTGGTTGGCAGTGGCTTTTCATAATCGAGGGAGCCTTCACTCTGTTGATCGGGTTGTCGGGATTTTATTTGATGGTGCCATCGGCGGTTCAAACAAAAAACAGATTGCATCCGAAGGGCTGGTTCACTGAAAGGGAAGAAAAGATTGTCGTTAACAGAGTGTTGCGAGATGATCCTTCAAAGGGCGACATGAGCAATCGGCAACCGTTAGGTTTAAGGCAGCTTTGGTCAGGTATAACGGATTTCCATCTGTGGCCCATTTATGCTGTCGGGTTGATTGCATATATTCCTGTTGGTACGTTCACTCCTTACCTCACATTAAACTTGAGGCAATTAGGCTTCTCTACTTTCAATGTTCAGTTACTTACAATCCCGTACAATTTTATTCACATCATACTTCTGCTTTCAATTACCTGGTTTTCGGAAAGGATAAACGAGAGAGCGCTGCTGTCAACCCTAGCTCCGATTTGGTCGACATTTTTTTTGGGTCTCATAAGATGGTGGCCTGGAGCAATGGTTAAACCCTGGCCAACCTACGCTTTGACAACACTATTTTTGGGTCAACCTTACATTCATGCTATTTGCGTGTCGTGGGTATCTCGCAATTCCAACTCAATTAGAAGTCGTGCGGTGTCAACCTCCCTTTACAACATGTTCGTTCAACTTGGCTCTATCATTGCCAATCAATTTTACCGAGCAGACGACAAACCTCTCTATCATAGAGGTAACATGCAACTCTTCTTCGTTTCTGCAGGCACCATTGGTTTACTTTTCGTTGTTAAATGGTATTATATGTTCCAAAATAATAAGCGAGAGAAAATCTGGGCAGAAATGACAGAGGAGGGGAGAACTGAGTATGTATTACAAACACAAGACAGCGGGAACAGAAGATTGGATTTTCGTTTCGCGCACTAAACAAATAAGCTACTTTTTGAACATATATATACGATATTCTTGGATGATAATATTGAGGTTTATCGTTGTCGGTGGTTGATGGATTTCTGAACTGCTCATTTAATTCGTTCATAGTTAATCTAAATAATAAAGCTGATAAGGTGTTGAGTACTTATATCTCTTCGTGACTATCTTACAACCATGACCACTGTACAGCTGGTCATATCAGCCCCTTTTATACAATTTCTGTAACACCGTTCCAATTTTGGAATCCGTTCCTGTCTCTAATATTCACGGTCACGGTGAGTCATCATTACGACACCTATTATGTCACTCTTACAGTGATGACGAAATGTGATGCCATCATGACCATCACGAGAATCACTTGGCTCCTATGACCTCATCTTGATCAAGAACCGTCCGTTCACTCTTCTAATTTTATTCTGTCATATCGATCACGTGATTATGCAATGGAACGATATCACCTTCTCGGCAGCTCCTTCCAACATCTTAACCGCGGGGCGAGCATTTTCTTTAGTTGTTAAAGTCACTCCCATGTTTCGTTCTTTCAGGGAGAACACGATTTTTTATTTCTTGATCGCTTGAGATCTGTTGCGATTGTGCCAATTTCTCTGACTCTAGCTTGTAACACCGAGGGTCCGCCTGAAGAAAATGGTGAAGGAAAAGCAAATGGCACGATATCTCAAACACTATCATCCTTTAAACATCATGCATTTAATGAAAAGTTGCTTATCATTAGGATGCCTCGGGAAGGGTGATTAAAACCACAAGTCGCAAACTACTAAAAAAAATCCGAGCCAAACGCAAAACAGTGAAATCCGGTGTGAGAGATTTGGCTAAAGAATGGTTAATCTATTAAGGAAAAAACCTCTGTTTCTAGAAACCTCCACGCCCAGCAACAACTCGGATTCGACGCGTTCAAAATAGCGATAGATTGGATCTGACAGACTTTCGACGGTCGCTCGGTTGCAACGATATCCCCGCCTCTGAAGGAATTTTGTTTCTGACTATTCCCAAAATCAAAGCAATAAAGCATAGAACGACGCATATGCCATAACTCAATTTAATACTGTAATCGTAGCTTCCTATGACAGTTTCCTGAAGCTTGAGAGGCAGTTTATCAACAAAGGAGGTATTCCGACTGAGTTTGGCCAACAATTTTTCAACTTCAGAGTGACTTATCTGACCCTCAAGACGCTTACGCACTTCACGATTCACTGAGGCCTGTATAAAATTTGAGGTACACGCCACTCCCCAAACGGAGCCAACACTTCTAAACAGGTAGAGTGTGGAAGTTGCTGTAGCCTGCTTCGGAATCGGAAATGCGAAAAGAAACGAGAAGAGAGTTGATGGGAAGGTTATTCCCTGGCCAATATTCGCTGGAAGGAGAAATATTGACAAAAGCCAACCGGGCATTTTTGGGTTTAGAAAGAGAAAACAAAAGTTTCCAAAAAGCATAAAGAAAATTCCTATTCCTAGCAGGAAAGGTAAGCGCTCAGGGTTTTTCATGACAACGCCCGCAATTACACCTCCTATTGGTGTGCAAAATGAGGGAATGGTCAGCCTGAGACCAGCTTTCGTAGGGGAGTCTCTAAAAACAATCTGAAAGAACAGAGGTAGGGTGAAGATGTAAGCGTATGCAACAAAACCAACAAAAATGCCTATAAGTAAAACACTTGAGCTGTAGAGATTTAGCAAAAGCTGGTGCGGAATGATGGGGTTAGCGTCTGTCGTCTTTTCGACGACAGCAAATGCACTCAAACTTAGCACGGTTACCAGCAGGAGAATTTGTGACCGGGTACTAAACCACGAATACCCTGCAGGTGTGACGGAGCTGTTCAATGTCAAATAAATTAATTGCGAGGTTAAACCTAAGATAAGCAGGATAGCACCTAAAAAATCGATTTTTCGCAGCTTATCAAAATCCGAGATATCGGTAAAAGCGTCTTCCTGCTCGGGAGCCGAATTTTCGACAAAAAATACTGCCAACAACGTCCCCGCGACAGATATTGGCATTTGAAACAGAAAGCACCATCTCCAACCTAGGAATGATGCAATCAATCCACCACAAGAGGCACCAATGACAGCCCCTGTCCCCAAAAGAATATTTTGAAAAGCTTGGTAAATACCCCGCTTTTCAACAGAAATAATGTCGGAATTGATGATAGTTGAGAGAGTTATGAGACCGCCCCCTCCAACTCCGGTGATAGCGCGCATGGTAATTAGAGTGAAGATGTTGCCCGATAGACCACACCCGAGACATCCAAGAGCGAAAATTGCATTTGCGAAAAACAGGCAGTTTCTTCTTCCCAGAGTATCTGAGAATGACCCATAAAGTGGCTGGAAAGAGGTGCTTGTAACTAGATAGGCTGCCGTAATCCAACTCGAAAATTTCACTTCATTAAACACATTACCGATGAGCTCATAGGTGGATGCAGTAATTGTTCCATCGAACCCCGCAAGAAAAACATTAGTAAAGAGCGCCGCTTCAATGAGAACAATCTTATGCCTTTTTATCCAGGAAGGATTTGAGCCAACACTGTTTATAAGGGTATCACGTGGATCAGCAATTGATGAATAAGACGTTTGAGGAGCAGCGGAAGGTCCAAACAAGGGTCGATGCTGTGATTCTGACATGAATCACAACCCTTTCGGCTAGGTTTTCACATTGAATTCCTCAAGATTTCCTAGGGCGCCTGTCTTATACCGCTGTCAAACATCCCAATTCTTTGAAAACATGCATCTCGAAGACCGATCGATGTCTCCAATAAGCCACGCTTGTGAGAATCACGTGCGATTTCGGCGTTGGGCGAAAAAAAATGCGCTCTAAGCATGAAGAAGTGCAACAGACAGTCTCCTCAAGAAACAGCGAATGGAAATAAAATGAATTGAAATGACCTTCGGTATTCATACCAAGGGCATGCTAAGTTAAAGATTTTACTATGGAAATCAATTGCAGAAAAACCAGCTCAACGTTGTGGGTTTCAAGGAACTTGTCTAAGTGAAGCGTGCGAGATCAAACTACTAAATTCGTAGGCGCCATGTTCAGAATAGACATGAGGTGCCTCACTTAATCATCTAGTTTTTGAATACCTGTTGTAAACTTCATGTGGTGAGCCTTTTTCGAAACAAAAATTAAAGACAAGTATCGCCAACAAAGGCAAGTGGTAGCTATAAAACAAATACTTTTGAAAAAGAAAGCCTATGTTGAAAAAAAGACCTCCTCACACAGTTTCTAGAGGCAGTGCTTGGATTCTGAGACCTTCAAGCACTAAAATCACAAGTCTGCTTTACAGCGGATAGATGAATTGCTTGTTTTCCAAATCAGTAAAGTCGAGAAGTGCTAAATTTGTCTCAGAAGAAGTGATGTCTTCTTCATCATCTCTTATAACTGCTAATAGGAGATACTTTTCCCTCGTCTCCGACCTTTCCTTGTTTCTCTTTGCTAGTATGACCCTTATAGCTAGAGTCGAAATTGGAGCTAGAATGAAAGCAAACAAAAGCTGAACAATCCACGCCGGATAATACCTTGGTCCGTCCTTTGCTTGCCATAACTGGGGTGCAATGATATTAGCAACACCATACCAAAACATCACCATTGCATTTCTGGTCATTTTTTTAGTGTAACCCGAAGCACTAGTCGAATTCCAACTAAACATCAAAATCCAGGCAACTCCCTTTGGCGCACAGAGACAGATCATCGCCAAAATGGCATATTTCTTTTCCCAGGGAAGGGCCAGTACAGCTATGCTACCAACAAACGGAAAGAGGGTCCACAATATGACGGAATAGGCAGTGAAGTTTTTTACCTTTCTAATTAGTATTGAAGATACGATACCGCATGAAACTGAAAATCCTCCATATGCGACGGACACCAAAGTTGAACCCAAAGTTGAAACACCAATCTGTTTGTATAAGAGCTTTTCTTGATAAACGAGATTGTTAGAAAGCTGATTGCAGAAGAAAAATGCGCAAAAAAGCCATGAAATTGGATCCTTTAGCGTTTCCTTGATTTGATGGAATTTAATGGTCTTTTGTTCTATCGAGGAACCTGTAGTCTTCTGTACCCTTCTAATCACCCAGACTCTTTCTTTTAAGCTTAGAAAACGCGCATCCGTTGGATTGTTTGGATATATGAGCGCCACTAAGATGGTGACAACAAGGCTTAACCCGCCAATAACAATCATAAAGAGCTTCCAAATCGCAATGCTAGGCCGTGCGTGTAATAAACCGAACGCGATGAAACCCACTATAATATCATTGCCTAAGCAAGTCGTATAAAAGAGAGGTGCCGTCCAACTTTTTTCTTTAGCTGTGAGAAACTGCCCCATTGTTGTATTGAGGGCTGGGACCGCGATTGCTTCAACAAAACCTAAAAAAAATCTTAGCGCGTAGACTCCCCGATAAGTGGTTGCGAAAGAATGGAGAAAAATCAATAAGGCCCACACGAAACTCAAGACCGTCATAACTCGGCCTACAGGGAACTTTTGCAGGAAAATGAGATTCACTTGACCAACAATGTATCCCACATAGAATAGTGTCGTCGAATTATTGTAAGAGTCTTGAGTCATGTGAGTATCTTTCCACATACCAAAAATTGATGTGTATGAAGCCGTCGCCTTGTCAGCATATAATACAAAGTCCACCAAAGAGCATAAGGGAACGATAATCCACAAGATCTTTCTCGATAGAGTTTTCTCCTCAACGGCGGAAATTTCGGGCACTCCATCACTATGACGGCGCAAAAATTTCAAAGAAATATCGGCGTCCCGAGAGGTTATAACTTTGGAGTCAGGATGTTGACTGCTCTGGGATCCCGAGAGCTCGCCATACGTTTCCACCACTATTTGTTTGAGGTCTGTTCCAGTACTTTCTGGACTCTCAGGGGAAATATGGTCCCCAAGATCATCTTTTTGGGCACGTAATTCAATCATGGCAAACTGGGTACTGACGGTTGGTTGCTGATTTAATGCTTGCACCAGAGAGGTTTTTATATGCTGTCCACCACCTAGGTCGTCATTGTTATTGGTACCTTCGAATGGCTTTCCGCCGCTGCAAAGGTACCTCTGTCTCTTAAACACCACAATGTCTTTGAAGAAGCTGTTGAAGAAATCTATATTCTGCCGATCTCAATGAACAATGCTCACTGTGTAGGCCCTCAGAACGAGAATTTGGCGCGAAGATGACGGAGATAAATGTAAAGAAATGCTGATAATTCTCTCTAGTACTTTACAACCTCTACAAAATCAGTGAAGTATTTACTGCCAACTTTTCTGTGATAGCCAAAAAGTGTGGTTTCGATGAAAAAAGTCACAGCTTTTTTGCCAAGGGTTTGCGTTAGGCTAATCTAAGATATCGGTGTTAAAATACAATGAGTTTCGACCAAACAAAGGTCTCGCGCTGACCGTCCGACTTATTTGATTATCGCACCTCACTGACTAGTGTCTCGGGCTTATTTCGCGATGATTTTAGACATGTATTAGTTTGACTTTATCTTGTACCTACGGATAAATGTTTTAAAAAATTTCCGCTTGCGATCATGTGATCTAATGAGGGGACACCCAGAAATGTCAAAAAAATGCGGGGAGAAGAGTGCTTGATTACTTCACATTTTCTTGATCAAGTATGGACTGCTACGAAAAACATTTTTTAAAAGAGATCGAGATAGTGATATCGTTCAATAGCAGTATCACGTGATCACGATGACAGAACAAGAGTAGAATAAAGAAAGACGTGTGATGAGAGTTCTACGTCTAGTATGGAAAAAGTCACTGATTCTTATGCTTGAACAGCGCCACAAAAATTGTATAAAGAGAGATGGTTTGACGAATTATACAGTAGTCATATATTTAAGTTAACCACAGAGAGATATAAGTACTCAACGCCTTATCTCGTTCATTATTTTGATCAACTATGAACGAATTAAATGAACAGTTCAGGAATCTATCAACCACCGACAATGAAAATGTTGGAAGGAGCTGGCGAGGAGATGATATCGTCCAATTGCATCATCACGTGATCGATATGACAGAATAAAATTAGAGGATTGGACAAAGGATTGGCATTCCGCGAAAGAGCTGGAAGCTAAAACAGGTCCATTGAAAGTTCTAGAATCATCAGAACATTGTAATCAGATCATATGTGGTATGATGAATGACGTATGATGAAAATTCACCGTCTAGATTGAAGAAAGTAACGGATTCCAAATTTGGATCAATGTTACAGAAATTGTATAAAAGGAGCTGATATGAACAGGATTGTAAGTGGTCGTGGTTGTAAGATAGCCACGGAGAGATATAAGTACTCAATTCCTAATCCGCTTTATTATTTAGATCAATTATGAACGAATTGAATGAACAATTTAGAAACCTATCAACCTCCGACAAGGAAAAACCTCGACAGAAAAACCTCAAAATGGTGGAGACGCTAACAGCGAAATTATCGAGAGTGGTAATTTTTGCGAAAAGATTCGTGACAATAAAGTTTAAGGGTTATCTTTTGTTGGAAGGAGCTGGCGAGAAGGTGATATCATTCAATTTCATCATCACGTGATCGATTTGACAGAATAAAATTAAAGGATTGGACAGACGGTTGGCATTCCGCGAAAGAGCTAGAAGCTAAAACAGGTCCATTGACAGTTCTAGAATAATTAGAACATTGTGATCAGATCATATGTGGTATGATGAATGACGTATGATGAGAATTCACCGTCTAATTTGAAGAAAGTAACGGATTCCAAATTTGGAACACTGTTACAGAAATTGTATAAAAGGAGCTGATATGACCAGGATCGTAGTGGTCATGGCCGTGAGATAGCCCCGGAGAGATATAAGTACTCAACATCTTATCAGCTTTATTATTTAGATCGACTGTGAACGAATTAAGTGAGCAGTTCAGAAACCTATCAACCACCGACAACGATAAACCTCAACAATAATCATCACTGAAATCATTTCATTCCTATGATCTCATCTCGATCAGGAACCATCGGTTCAGTTCCGTCTTATTTTAATCCGTCGTTGTGATCACGTGATACTGTAACTTGACCATATACTGTCTCGCTATGTCCTTCCCACAACTTTAAAGACAATCGCGAACAAAGTTACTCTACTGAGAAGCCAATTTGACTAAAAAACGAAATAAATACAAAACTCTCCTTGACCGGCACCAGTCAGCCTCGGCAAAGTCGTTGTCTTTTTTCTCCTCACTTCCTTCCCCCACGTTGTTTTTCGAGATGTATATCGCACTGCCTTAATAGTTATTTTTAATGAAAGACTTTAACGAATGTTGTAATTATAGAAGTAAACATGATAAACTGCCTTCAAACGAAGAGGTACCCACGTGACAGTCACGCGATGAACGCGCTACCGCCCGGCCCGTCTACATGCCTGGCAGGTCATATTAGTTATTGTTTGAGGCCATCAGTTGGATGTAGGCTGCAAATTTACAACTATTTAAACCCTTAGATTGCCGCCCGCCGTCGGGAAAATGTCAAAATTGAAAAATCACTTCGAGACTGGCTACGCTGTTAGGCCCTGGGCATTAAAGGATATGTTGGTTGCGGATGACTTGTCTTACCAGACATGTATTAAATTTTTGAAAATATGGCGGTAAAGCTAGTAAGGCAGCCTTAATTTGACGGGAGGTTTAACATGTATATACGATTTTCATCTATTTTACTAGAATTCCTCTGACAAAACCTGATCAAGTAAAGGGATTTCTAGCAGGGCCTTAGAAAGGGACTTATGGTAATCCACCGTAGCTAAAATATTCACCCCAAACTCCTTCATGACTTGCAAATTTCCCGGGTTGTGCTCTCCATTCATAATAACTCCAAGCACTTTTTCACCCAACCCACCTGAACGCAGATAATCCAAAGTCAAAAAAGTGTGATTTAGGGTTCCCAGATTGCTTCGTGCGACAACTATGATAAAAAAAGGCCGATCACACTTCGAAATCAATTCGTGAATGAGGTCAACTGTTGTCTCTCTGTTCTTTGTAATTGGGACTGCCACACCACCCGCACCTTCCACGACAAGAGGTCTAAGGCCACTCTTTTCTGGAATTTCAAAGTCTGAAAGCTTTATGTCAATGGCTGGCTCGTATTTCATTGCTTCGTATGGCGACAAAGGCTTCAGGAGCTCGTATCGAGGAGGCCAAATTTTAGGCTTCCATATTTCCTGCTTTAGTGTCTGGAATATGGTTTCACTATCTGCGGTGTCACACTCAACGCCCGTTTGAACTGGTTTCCAGTAGTTGGCCTTCCATTTCCCAACCAGCAGTGAGGAAATGAAAGTCTTTCCCACGTCAGTGTCGGTCCCGGTAACAAAAAAAATTGGCTGTTTCATGAAATCCAAATATGATGAAATGCTAAAGTCATTTGAAGGTCGTTGATATCTCGGAGAAATCTTGTTAACCCTTCCTTCTTATATTTTTTGTTGAGGGCTGTTCCTAAGGGTTGATTAAAAATTGCGCAGTTGGAAATCGAGTCATCCTGAGATGACTCCTAATACTTCCTTCTTAGGATGACCCGTTCCAGATTCAACTTAGAGTTCACATGTCAATAGGATAATGGAAACCTCTATAAATACGCCCTAATGCTTCCAATAAGTTTTCTCCATATGTTTTTAGCCAAGACTCTTCTAACCTCTAACAACTAATTCTCAAGCTTCCTCCGGAAGAGATCATCATGGAATTCTCGAAAAGCACTGCGTCCCTCTTACAATTTGACAAGAAGCATATCTGGCATCCTTATACATCTATGCTCAGTCCCATGAGTGTTTATCCAGTAAGAGCGGCTGAAGGGTGTTACCTGATTTTAGATACCGCAGATGAGAATGGTACAAAAGTCATCGACGGAATGTCATCTTGGTGGTGCGCAATTCATGGTTACAACCACAGGGAGCTGAATGAAGCATTGATGACTCAAACCAGAAAAGTCTCTCATGTAATGTTCGGAGGCCTGACTCACGAGCCTGCGATTACTCTGGTTCAAAAATTACTAGAATTCGTAGATCACGAAGAATTGCAACACTGCTTTCTAGCAGACAGTGGCTCTGTGGCGGTTGAGGTCGCAATGAAAATGGCCCTTCAATACAATTTCACCTTAGGAAATCAAAGCAAAAGGAAATTCTTGACCGTTCGGTATGGCTATCATGGCGATACCACTGGCCCAATGAGCGTGTGTGACCCGGTGGGATCAATGCATTCAATTTATACTGGATACTTGGCCGAAAATGTTTTCGCCGAAGGACCCCCCACGATTCCGACGCTTCCAACTTCTCAGGTTTTTCAAAGATATCCCCAGGCATTCCGCGGGAAAGTGTCCTCGAATAAAAGTGATATTAGCGACTTTCAAGCTAAAATAGAATCATTACATGAAGAGTTGTGCGCCGTCATTCTGGAACCGATCCTTCAGGGTGCGGGCGGAATGAGGCTTTATCATCCTCAGTTCCTTATTGACGTGAGGAAGTTGTGTAACAAGTATCATGTCCCACTAATTATGGATGAAATTGCCACTGGTTTCGGGCGCACCGGTGCACTGTTTGCCTATCAGCATTGCAAAACATACCAAGATCTTTGCAAAATCCCCGCCGCCCTGCAAGTTGACGTCTACCCTGACATTATGTGCATTGGGAAAGCCCTGACGGGGGGCTATTTGACCTTGAGTGCAGTAATCACCACTGAAACGATTGCATTTGGCATCTCTTCTCCCAACTCTGCTACGGGAGGATGCATGATGCATGGTCCAACTTTCATGGGGAATCCGCTAGCATGTGCCGTTGCGAACAGGTCCCTGGAGATATTAAAGCGCGATAACTGGAAAGCTAAGGTTGATTTCATTGAACAACAGCTGTTTGAGCAGCTCTTTGTAGTACTGGATGAGAGGAAAGACGAATTCTGGCTTGTTCAAGACGTTCGGATTGTAGGTGCGGTGGCCGTCATTGAGATGAAGGAGTCGCTTGATTTGAAATGGTTTCACAAGACTTTTATATCTGAAGGAGCTAACGTCAGACCCTTCCGAAATCTTTGCTACATCATGCCACCTTATATCATCTCGGAGCAAGAGCTGCGGCAACTGACTGGAACCATAATCTCGGTTTTGGAGAAGTGGCATGCTTTGGTTAAACAGAGGACAGGTCTTCGAGACCAAGTTAAATCGAAGCTCCAAGTCGCTTTGATTTCAGATGGTTAAGACGCCTGTAAAAGGCGCCGAAAGATTACGTATCTGCCGCTGAACGGTCAAAACCACGTGATCTGGTAATGTTATGCAGTTCCTTTTGCAGGCTAAATTGAAAAGAAAAAGACCGCTAAGCGCCTTGATGTCGCAGATGTGGACAGTAGCATAGGCCTCACGTTCTTGAAAACGTTCTTGTATCAGTTCGTAACCGTTGCGCTCGAACAAGACACAGCTAAGTCTAGCTGAAAATTGCCGGTCTAGTACCTAGCCGTAATATTGCTCAAGTAGAGTAGCGGCACGCGCTTCAGCGACGCTTCACGAGCAGCTTCCTGCTTCGTTGCTCTCTCACCCGAGGCGCACCGCAAATGGAGACCAAATCGTGCATGACAGCATCTTAGGTCCTTTTCCAGATTCCCGCGAGCCTTATAGGTAGACTGGAAAGCCGCTGGAGTGATAATTTAAAGACTTTCCATACTGGACGTATTCTGTACGAAGCTGCGGCTCGCAGCGCAGGACCTCGGGTCCGACCACGCCGACACGTAAAGACAGTGCGACGCGTAGAGTCGCGATGCGCAGAATTAGTCCGCTCTCAAAGGTACTTCCGAGCGGATGCGGATGTGTTTGTCGCGAAGAATGTTTTGATCCGAACGTTTCGGCAGTACCTTTCTCAACCTGCTTCCTCGGCGGTCGTCGACGGCCCGCAAGGCAATTGCACTCACTCACACGAACCCCAAACATTGTGGACGTGGATTTGAAAAATGGACCGTTGAGGTTTAGCGAACGAAACGAGCGGTGCAAAACGGGCGGACGATCGATTCGAGTCACATGTTAATTATGCGGAAAAAACCTTTTTTCTTAAGCTTCCATGCGTCACACAGGCACGCAACATAGGACAACATTCTCCCCTACTCCGCTCCCACCCCACACCGGGTAACTGCGGACTGCGTTGTGATGGGGAATTTTTTCCCGAAACCGACCTCGAAGTCCGCCTCGATGCCCGCCTCGATGCCAGTCTCGATGATCTACTCGGGCGCTTCGTCTAGGCCTTTCGCAGCTTTGTGTTTATAAAATCTCACCGCGCCTGTCTGTTTACATAAACAGTGACTTCATAATCACCGTCAACTGACAGAATAGGTAACCCCTAAAAAGGCAACTGACGCAAATAATCTTACATAAGCAAAAAGAAGCGTCGAAACAAAGGTCTTTTTTTTGCGTCGTGCTGTACATGGTGCCTAATAAATCTCGTTCGCGTACCTGAATGGAAAAACAGGGACGCGTATTGCCTGGCTACGGTTATTCCGCATTCGCATGACGCAAAGAAAAACCAACCATCGCTAGTGCCAACTGCACACTTGCGCTGCGTCTGAAACATCTCGAACGGCCACCATTCAGGCACTCCAGGCTGTGCCTGAGGAAAGTTCCTCCTGCAAGTGCACTAAGAGCTCGAGCCTCCCCGCTAGTTGAATTCCTGTACCGAAACCTTCATGCCGAAAACCGCCTCATAGTATCTGCGAGGTGTTCGCTTACGTAAAATGTAGCGCTAGCGACACTAGAGATGCCTGCATCGGTGTTCCTTTCCAGCCATAAAATGATAGGTGCAATCCTGAAACTTTGCGCCCCGAAGCCCCGACAACGAACGCTAGATACGCCACTTTTCGACGTACTTCGACGAAACTGTTCACCACAAAAGTGGAAAATCCCCGGTAGCCATGTGCGTCGCGGTGTCGACAAACAAATCCTCTCGCGAAAACATGGAGTTCTCGTGTTTACCAAAATAGCACGCCCGAAGCAGTAGCTTACACACTCAAGCGTGTACTGCGAGCCAAAAAAACCCTGAATAAGGCAGCGAGGGCGAAATGCCGACGATCCGCTCCGGGCCTTGCGGAAAACATATAAAAGCGCTTGTCTTTAACAATATACTTGCTTCTCGATCCTAATTCTTAATTAGCAAACCATTAGTCACTCGCTTTTGATCAGAAACCTCGTGAAGCCATGCTTTACCACTGGATTCTGTCAGCTTTTCTGGCTTTCTCGACGCTGTCAGAGGCGTCGCCTTTGCAGAAAAGATGCTCCAACCCGCATCAATTTCCAGGCAAGCCACAGGGTCAAAAACAATGCTCTGTGACTAATGGATGTCCAAACTTGGACTTTACCTGGAATGCTAAAAACCAGAACAGAATGGCCTACGCCATCTCTATGAAATCTGTCAGATGGGTCAAGGACAACATATATGAGATCACTATCCACGTACAAGGTAGCCAACAGATAAGCATCAACTGTATCAACGACTTGAAAATTATTGGAATCAACGGCCCAGAAGGCGGAACTTTCCAGCTTTACGACAGACAACACAATGTCGAGCTGGTTGACAGTCCAACCGATTACGACGCTACCTTCAGAGTCTACGGTCAAGATGACGCCAATAACTGCAGAACCTGGATGCCTAACTTCCAAATTCAATACGACTACAATGGACAGTGCGATGTGCACGGTCCCCAGTCATTCGACTTGATCACCGGTTGCAACAATTACGACAATCAAGGCCACTCGCAGACCGACGCTCCTGGTTATTACTGGAACTTGCAATGCGGTACTTGTCCACCTGTTTCTTCGAAGCCAGCTACGTCCTCTGCCATGAGCTCCACTCAAAAGGTCTCTTCTTCGGCCTCCAAGCCTCCTTGCTCTACCTCAAAGACTTCGTCGTCCTCATCTACTCAGCCAACGGTCTCTTCAAGCTCCGTGAGATCTATCTCGAGCACCCAAGGAAAGGCAAAGACTACCACGGTCAGCGAGTCTTGCACGACCTACCCAGGAACAACGGAAACCTTCCCTGGTTACACCAGCTGTTACCCTGGTCCATGCCCTTCCCCACCTAGCTCCGCTTCTTCTTCCAGCTCCGCTCCATCGAGCTCTGCTCCACACAGCTCTGCTCCATCGAGCTCCGCTCCATCTAGCTCTGCTCCACACAGCTCCGCTCCATCGAGCTCTGCTTCCCACAGCTCTGCTTCTTCTTCCAGCTACGTGCCATCGAGCTCTGCTCCATCTAGCTCTGCTCCACACAGCTCTGCTCCATCGAGCTCCGTTCCATCTAGCTCCGCTTCCCACAGCTCTGCTTCTTCTTCCAGCTACGTGCCATCGAGCTCTGCTCCATCTAGCTCTGCTCCACACAGCTCCGCTCCATCGAGCTCTGCTCCACACAGCTCCGCTCCATCGAGCTCTGCTCCACACAGCTCCGCTCCATCGAGCTCTGCTCCACACAGCTCCGCTCCATCGAGCTCTGCTCCACACAGCTCCGCTCCATCTAGCGCTGCTCCATCCAGCTCTGCTCCATCTAGCGCTGCTCCATCCAGCTCCGCTCCATACAGCTCCGCTCCATCGAGCTCTGCCCCATACAGCTCCGCTCCATCGAGCTCTGCTCCATCTAGCTCCGCTCCATCGAGCTCTGCTCCATCTAGCTCCGCTCCATCTAGCGCTGCTCCACACAGCTCTGCTCCATCTAGCGCTGCCCTATCTTCAAGCTCTGTTGGATACACCGAGAGTGTCGTTACGGTCACCAAATCTGGTGTCGAGACTGTTTACACAACTACTTGTCCTCTCAGTGAAGCCACTGGTAAAGTCACCACGGGTTCATACAGCGAGAAAGCTGCTACTGTTACGGAATCCGAATACACTACGTTGGCTCCAGTCAGCACTACCAGCGCAATTAAATCTCAACCAACTGCCTTCACGGAGTCCGTTGTTACTGTGACTGAGTCGGGCGTTGTCACTTCTTACACCACGACTTGCCCTGTTGAGGGTGTCACTCAAACCGCTCCAGCTGGCCCTGCTGCCTCTAGTTCATTTGCTCCTCGATCAACTGCCTTCACGGAGTCCGTTGTTACTGTGACTGAGTCGGGCGTTGTCACTTCTTACACCACGACTTGCCCTGTTGAGGGTGCCACTCAGACCACTGCTTCCGCTGCTCCAGCTGGCTCTTCCGCTGCTCCAGCTGGCTCTTCCGCTGCTCCAGCTGGCTCTTCCGCTGCTCCAGCTGGCTCTTCCGCTGCTCCAGCTGGCTCTTCCGCTGCTCCAGCTGGCTCTTCCGCTGCTCCAGCTGGCTCTTCCGCTGCTCCAGCTGGCTCTTCCGCTGCTCCAGCTGGTCAAACATCTTCAAGCTCCTACACAGGAACGGCAACTTTGTCTTCTTACGAAGGCTCAGCTAACTTTGTTAGAGCAGGTTTGCTTCTAGCACTACCTTTGGCTCTATTGTAATTGTGATACCCCACACTTTTTTAAGTTCTTAATTGAATAGACGTAATATTCAAATTGTTATAGTTAGATTTGAAATCAATATGCTTCATCGAAATTATATTTAAACAAGAGTTTGAGTGACTTCTCGGAAGAGTGCTATCCCTATCGAACTAATTTAAGTAAACATATTAAAAGAAAATTGTACACCGAAAACCTTGGAAATTTTGAAAGCGCATTAGGTGAGTGCAGAAGCATGCTGGGGCTTGCTCGCACTGTTTGTGCTTCTGGTTGGTAAGAAGAAGTTATTTTTGTGTACAATCTTCCCAAATCGATGTGAGGCGAGTCATCACAATTTTAGTTCTCAGAGAGGGCTTTATAATAATCCCATGAGGATTTTTTATTTGCTCGCATAAACAACTGAACACTTGCAGATTTATTTTCTGGTTTTAATATCTGAACCTAGCTTACTTCCGCTACATTTACGCTGAAATTAAAACGTAGCCAATAGTTTTATTCCTTGCCTTCTGCACATTCCTGGCAAAATATTGACGATCTTTTCCTCAGTGCATCCTAATTCCCACTTTGTCACTGGTATCATGTGATTGATACAGTGTCTCCAAGATCTGCTAAGAATAATTCATTTGCAATCTGAAGGTAGCCCCAAGGCAGAATCAACACGCGACGAACGCCACTTTAAAGTAAAAATTGTTCTGTTTATTTTGTTTCATAATGCAGTTAACAAGAAGTCGAGCTCTTTCACTTTTGCATTTCTAAGAGTAATAAGACCTCGTATTCAAAAAACTCATCCTCGCCTTAGCAATATATTTATTTCCAACCTTTAACTTAGTCGATATATTGAAACTGAAAAAAGTCATCCATTCACCCGCTTGCAGACAGTGAGAAAACCTGCGATGAACCTTACCACAGGAACGAGATTGTTTCTCTTTGGATTGTCGGCTCTCGTATCAGAGCTCACTTTTCAAGAAGCTTTCGTAATTTTTATATGTGCTTGAACAACCAAAACCTTTTTTGAAAGTATTAGCAGGTATTATTCGCTATCAAAAACGAACGCGATGCTTTGCACAATTTTTTGGTTACTAAACATGTAGTTTCTGTCTCTTGATTACCAATTACGTAAAAAAATGATGGGACTCTAAACATCTGTTCATTAAATTAGTAGTAGTAAGATGTGAGATTGTTCCTAATGGCTAGAGAATCAAAAAACCTTCCGTACTTAAAGATGCATGCCTGAACGTTCTAATCCAATAAGCTCAACTCAAAAACCTGCTTCCGCGCATTCATTATGAGGTAGTCATATTAATAGAAGCCGAACCACACGCACATATGCGCTAATTCTTTTTTAAGTTATACGCCTTTATGAAGTCAGTAAAATCATTAATAAAGTGGATAACTCCTCTCTACGTAAGAAAGCAGAGTTGTCCGACGCGCGTATAGGGCAGATACTTGAAGCCGGCGCTTCTTGTCGGCCCAATTATGAGCCTGAATCAGAACTATCAGGAAGAAGGCTTCGATGATCATAGTTGGCGTATTGCAAAGTAGTTGTCCTGTTTCGCTCCAGCGAAGAATCGATGCAATGACAATCAGAATGACAATCAGAAAAATCGCAGCCAGCACGCTCCATTCCGATGAACAGACAATATTAATCCAAGCAGAGATTTTATATTGCTTAGAATTCGATGGTGCGGTCGAGTCAATATCAGCAACACATTCCGCAGGTATTTCAATTGCCAAAGACTGAAAGAGTTCTAAATCTTCCTTTGCGACAGTTGCATAGTTCTCCTCTTCATGACAAACAACCCTGAAATACACGTGCCTCAACACAAACCCATCAAGAAAACCTACCAACCCCGTGTACGTCCCGATAATAAGCCACCAATTGTCATTCCAGGACATAGTTTTTCCGATAGCCAGCCAAGCAGCAATAACGGCGAAAGCGATGAAAAGTCCAATTCCGGTGCCGATCACATCAGAATACCAGTCAATCAGTTTAGCGCCTCTATTAGTTTTCGGGCTAGGGATGCAAACGTTTGAGTTTTCAGTTTCAAAGTCGCAGAAATAAGTCCGCAGATGTCGTTCGATTTTTTGATCCATGATCAAGATGTCCAGAATAAATTTTTCAATAAACCCGTCATGTCTTGCCCTTATATTTTGAAGGAATACGGTACAGATTAAAATCGCAACGGCGGTTCCCGTGTTGACGTAGAGCTGCCACTTGTCGCTAAATCTAACATACTCCGGGTTGCTTCCAGAGTATCTACCGGTAAATGGCGGATCCCGATCTGTCGAGATTGGAACGGCTCCGCAACCTACCCAAGCGAGAATACCGAGCCAAAAGAGTATCATGTTGGAAAGCGAGCCAATCACCTCACTGGCTCGGGAGCAAATGGTGTCATACCAACTTTCGGCAGGCAGTGCTCCTGAGATTTCACTGGAGGGCTCCCCATATACAGTAGTGACAGAGCCTTTATTATTTTCCATTGCCAAAAATTTTTTGAAGGTACTCAGACGAGATCTTAGGTTTGAGCAAATCCAAACATGTTTGTAACTACTATTGAGTTGCTGCCTCATTAATAGTGTGTCCCAAAAATAACTTTGAAGAGACTGTCCATCTTGCATTACCACTTGCCAGTTGTCGGGGGCCTTGTAAATAATGCCCACTACAGTCCAAGCGACGAGGGTAGCCCACATAAAGAAAAACACGAATCGTGATCCAGCAAAATTCACTATATGGTCCAACGTTTTGTCCGAAACTCCCTTGCGTAATCCTGTATAGTTGAAAGCTGTCCAAACTTCTCCATTTCGGCATCCCAGTTCACCATGATCGATGCTAGTTTGATCGCTGCGTGAAGACAGGGTCCTCGTTTCTTCTTGAGTCACGTTCTTTGCATTAAGGGTTTTCTCTGTCGATAGATTGCGATGAGCACATATCGGAGCTCGATGGTTAACATCAGGACGGCTACCTGGACTACCGAAGTATAGTTGTATCCGGCTTTTTAGGCGTTGATTCATTGTACTTTCTTCAAAGCCCCGTTGCCTGCATCAACCTTAGTAGGCACCAGAATTGAAATAGACTAAGAAAAAATTTTATAGCTGAATTCGCGTGAAATATAGTCAACATCAATTTTCACTCGATTGTCGAATCAGAGGAACCGCCTTGACTTTTCACTGTATCGAGCAAATTTCTTAAATTATACAAAATCGTCAGTGAATATGAACTCATCTAAAGTGCTCAACAATTTTCGCGAAATTGTTTCGTGTTGCTAAAGCGGTAAAACTAAAAGAATTCTTTGATATGATATTCGCTGTGCAGATCCTAAAAATTTCTGAAATAGTGTCGAATCGGAATTCAAGATTTTTACAAGTGTGCCGAAGCTTTCTGTCGGATTTAATATCAGGGGAAAATCTTTTATTCTTGAGTATCGACGGGAAAAAAATTATATGAGGTAAGAACCCTGTAGTTGTCTGTTTTCAAAGTAGAATTCTATACGGCAGGAAGTCCGCCTTCGGATACAAGCTAACAAGGGGTAATTAATTCCCAGAAGAACACGAGGGTTCAAGCCGAAAAGGTGAGGTCTGAGAGCTAAGGCCTTAAACTGTAAAGTCCGGTTACGCCTAATGAATGTATTGATGAAAAACCAGAATAAAAAAACCTACCACTGCTTATATAAATCTTTGCCCGCGCTACCGAGCTTTATAGCGAAAGGATACAGAGTGCGCTATCCTCAACCTTTCCTACCTTCAAGCCTGGTCCATGTTAGTATACTTTGAAGCCAGTTTCTCGAGGTGGTGTCTCGCTGCTTGCTCGATGAGATCTCCTCTGGGCTCGTAGTTCTTGTCAATCTTCATTTCCTTCGTGAAAGAGGTCAACAACGTATGCTGGAAGAACGTCATACACTCGTCGCCGTCGTAGAAAAAGTATGGGTTCTTGCGCGAGCCCTCTTCGTGCATGGCGTAGTTACTTTGCACTGCGACTTTCTCCCACTTTTCTCTGTCCAGCCTGGGATTTTCCTTGAGTACCTCTTCCATGAGAAGCATTTTGTCCCGAACACTCAAGCTTCTAAAGGGATTCAACAGAAAGCTCGCCCCGACGAACGTCACAAGTCCTACGCATGCGAGAAGCACGAAAGTGCAACTGTTCGTTGCGAAGCCGAAAGAAAGGAGACTGCAGCTCCCTAGATAATGCAGAAGGAGAAACGTTACCGGAAGCTTCCTGGAGGCCCAGAGATGGTGCACATGGTTTCTAAAGATCTGCCTAGGATGCTCAAGACGCTCTTCGGAAAGCGGAACCTTCTCCTCATTTACTGCATCCTTACTCCAAGACATGTTGTGAGCTGCTTCTCTTGTATATATGTGTTTTTGCCAAGGAACTAGGATTGTCATGAGATAAACTTTAAAGATCTAGCCTACAAGGATAGGTGCTTCATTGAAAACAGGGAGAAATTTCCTAATTCGTGAAAAGTGTCACCCTTCAGGATTATGTGCAAGGACATTTATAAATTTCAAGATAACTTTAAAATCATAGCTCTATAACAATTACATGAAGAAGTCATTTGCGTTATCCGCTGGACCACAACGTAAACGCTTGCGTGTAAGATCGGCATGCATTCCATGTAGACAGCGGAAAAGAAAATGTGATAACGGGAAGCCGTGTGGTATGTGCTCTACTTTCGAATATGCATGTCATTACGATGTTGATGAGGGTCCGTCGGCACCTTTTGTGAAGAAGATCTCCCATATTGGAGGCGATACGAGAACGAGGTCTTCCCTCGCGAAACCATCTACGGCCTCAGATAGCTCTGAAGTTGAGAATTTGGCAACTTCTACACAGCTCAAAACGGACACAGGTATTCTTGATCCGTCCAGATCAAGGTATATGAGTCTCAACTCGGCAGTCGCTTTTCCCCATAGTCTCGGACTCGAGCTTCAATCTACAAATCCGCCACATCTGCACTCGTTTGCTTGGAACTGCGGTATACGACTCGAGGAGAAGTCTGACTCTTACCCACATTTGACCGAGTTCATAACGAAGGAAGACGCCCAAAGGTACACAGATAAATTTTTCTCTGTTGTCCAGCCTCTGTTTGATATTTTGGACGTCAGAGATTTCCGACATAGTTCTGAGGAGTATTGGGGAGAGTCTGGAAGAGGATCCGAATTCGGAGCCGTTGTTGGTGGTGTAATAGCCTTGGGGTCATTTTTTTCAGACAACGAAGGTCATCCTCGGGAGCTTGATATTGTACAGTACTCAAAAAATGTATTAGAGGACCCCAAGTTTGCGCGTTCACCCACCGGGGAACAAGTGGCCGGCAGCTTACTGAGAACAATCTATCTAAGATGTACAACTCGACCGCACACGGCGTGGTTATCCAGTTGTGTTACGATGCACCTCGCGGAAGCCACCGGACTCCATCATGAGATTGACAAGGTCGAAATCGCAAGCGATAATTACAGTCAAACATTCTCAAGCGATCGAGCGAGAAGGCTATTCTGGTGTGCATGGTCGGTTAACACTATTATATCGTACGAATATGGGCGAACGAATGCCCCATTGCGCGAAATCACCTGTAAACCTCCTAAGGAATCAAATGAGAGCTACATAACACAAATCGTCCAATTGGCCCAACTTATTCCCCAGGAGATATCATATCAAAGCTCAGAAGCACAAATTGAAGTATTACTTAACGCTATAGCCAATGTACAGGAGCTACCAGATGTCCACCCGTTTCTTTCTCTGACCAAAGCGGACTTGTGCCATTGTTTTTACCGTCGACTTCGATTATTGCGTCACCAACTTGATAAAAGCGACGTAACGAAGATCATTAGCGTCGGCACCAAAGCTCTATCGTCGGGGCTGGAACTCGTGCAAAGAAATGAGAATTGGTGGAATGCTTTAGGCGCTGTGTTTCAATATAACTGCATCCTCCTGGCCATTGACTCTCCCGATAGCCTTTCCTGTGTCCCTGCTGCGAAAACTACTTTTGATCGCATAGTCGAGGCTTTGAGAACTCATGTTGCATTCGAGGCAAAGACAACCGCAGAAATACTACTTCGAGACTCGATCAAGAAAAAGAGGCAAGAAATCGAAGAGTTAGAAAGCGCCGATCAAGAAGAATCGGGATTGCAGTGGCCTTCATCTCCAACCATTAATTGGGACGCGCTACTGGATCCCTCTAACTCATTCTATAGTCCTTAGTGATGCCTTTGAAACGTACAACGTCTTTTTCAATTCATGCTCGACCAAGTAGCCAAAGTTAACACGTTGAGCAAACCTAGGAAGTCATCTCACTTTTCGGGTTATCGTTCCATTGATATGGCGGTTAAATGAGTGACGTGGGGTCAAACGAAAAATTCTTACGTGAGGCGAGAATAATACTTATTCGGGCACTATGAACAGCCTACTTGCATTAAATTAGTTAACATCGGCGCACTATATTCTGCTTAGTCGCGGTTCTTGCGTGTGTCGTCTTTCATTGCAGACGTAAGACACGCCACTATGCTGAAACTGCGTTAAGGGTGTTCGGTAGCCACTCTTGTGTCGACACTTGAATAGGTTTCTACTTTTTAATACTTATATCGTCGCTTTGCAAGGAGAGATCATTTCTTGAAAGCTCGAACGATTTCTACAGTCATGGTGTTACTGTTAGAGGAACTTCGGATGAACAAAATGGGTCATTTTCTACTGAATAGGAAAGCGTCTCGTTCGAATGGGCCTTCTACATAAAAAAGCCATCACATACACGTAGCAATACGTGCTAATTTTATTGAAACGGAGCTTTTTTAAATTCACTTTTGTAAGAGGGACTTCGCCTATGGCATAACTATTAAGTATTTGTGACTAGAATCCTCTAATGCCCTTTGATATGCTCCAACAGCCTGATTCAAGGGGATTTTTTCCCAGATTTCCTCCCTCGGAGCTATTAATTTTCCATTTTCGAACTCTAGCGTGAACTCGCCCATTAACCTGGCCAATTCTTGAGCGCTGTATGATAGTGAATTGCATCCAATTAAGCATTTCTCGTGACGATAAAAGTCTTTCATATCCACTGTAAGGTTCACGTCGCGAGGTGCGGTGATGAACGCCAATCTTCCTCCTTGGGCCAACTTACTTATGGCTGCGCCAACTAGAGCTGGTATCCCAATAGTGTCTATCACAACATCGACTCCCTGGCCGCCAGTAAGGTTATCGACCGCAGTAAGCTCCATGTCATCAGTAGAAACGTCAGCTGATTCTCCGCGTGCGGCTAGCAACACTTTACACCCTTTGGAACGTGCTAATTGAACAACTGCGGATCCTACGGAACCAAAACCTCCTATCACAAGTACTGTGTCTGATTGCTTAAGGAAGGCCTTGCGCAGGGTGAGCGCTGCGGTTGTGAAGGGCACGCCGACACAAGCTGCCTGAGCAAAAGAAAGGTTTTTAGGTTTGCGCGCTACCTCGTCTTCGCGTACAAGACAGTATTCCGCATGAAAGCCATCAATGGTAAAAGCATACGTGAAACCACTGGTTCCGTACACTTCCTCACCGGCTCGAGGTCCCTCTGCAATAGTGCCAGCGAAATCACGGCCTGGAATGCGGGGAAATCTGGTGTAAGGAAATCCTCCCCGCGAATTCAACACATCACTGGGCATTATGGCTGATGCGTGGACTTTGATCAAAAGATGACCTGGCATTGGTGTCGGAACATCTGTAGTTATGAGAGAGAGAATCACAGGTGCTCCCGCCGTAGCTCGTGTTAACTGTAACGCTTGCATCATTTGTTTTATTACAAACTCGACCCTGAGGGTAACTCAAAATTAGGCAATATGATTCCTATTTCGACTAGCGCCAATTAGAATATCATTATGAGGATTTCAACTTTCGCAGGTGATTGGTCTTGTCCATTTAAATGCCAGATCAAGATATTGAATTCGAAGATTTCCTGGAGATAGCTACAATAGAATACTTCTTTACAGCGGCAATTGCGGCAATAGGCCCGCTCTGGAACGTCCGTGCGGGTATTGCGGATTTATTTCTGCTTTTAACCCTTTAAACGAGAACCTAAGTAACGTACAGTGCGGATAATGCGGAAAAAATCAAATTACAAGGCCTTACAAATCTATTACGAAGGCTTGTAACGAGTACTAGGTACTCGAAGAGAGCTGACACAAGTCAGAACTCTTGGAAGCTATAAAGCGTCTTCAAATGCTAAGTTCCCACTTTGATTGTCAAGTTTGGCTCTTGGGCCTGTCTTTGAGACTTTACATTAACGTCACATAGGACGATACAGACGTTATGAGTATTGAATCTTCGAAAGAACACGATATGCTGGGTCCCACATTATCCGCAAGCGAAGCATCACTGCAACTTCATCAAAGCCATGTGCAGGAGCCCAAGTCCAAGTTTCATGAAATTGTCTTTATTGGCGTCGTTTGCTCCGCGCAACTGATGACACAAGCCGGTTTAGCTCAATCTATAGCTCCTCTTCACATTATCGGCCAAAGCTTTGGGGCTACAAATCCCGGACAGCTCAGTTGGTTTGCCGCAGGATACTCGCTCACAGTGGGAACATTCATCCTGATAGCAGGCCGACTTGGGGATATTTATGGACACAAAAGGTTCTTTGTTCTAGGATTTCTGTGGTACGCGACGTGGTCAGTTCTTGCCGGTTTCAGTGCATACTCGAACCAGATATTTTTCGATTGTTGCCGAGCATTTCAGGGCATAGGGCCTGCATTTATACTTCCCAATGCGATTGCAATACTTGGCCGCACTTATGAGCCAGGTAGAAAGAAAAATATGGTGTTTAGTCTCTTGGGCGCCACAGCGCCGGGAGGTTTCGTTCTTGGGGCCACTTTTTCGTCTTTGCTTGGTCAGCTATTGTGGTGGCCGTGGTCGTACTGGATAATGGGCATCGCATGTTTGTCTCTTGCAACTGCTGGAGTCATTGTCATTCCCCACACACCATCACCGCAAAGAACGCAAAGTAACACTTTTAAATCCGCGTGGGAACGTGTCGACGCTCCTGGGGCTATCACAGGAGTTATCGGACTTATTTTATTCAACTTTGCTTGGAATCAAGGCCCAGTCGTTGGCTGGCAAACACCTTACACGTATGCCCTTCTGATCGTTGGTTCCATCTTCTTATGCGCATTTTTTTACCTTGAATCTCGCGCGCCTTTCCCGTTACTTCCCGTCGCAGTGCTCACCAAGGATACATGCTTCATGTTAGGATGCGTAGCCGCAGGGTGGTCTAGCTTTGGGATTTGGATTTATTACGTTTGGCAGTTCATGACTGTATTAAGAGAACAAACGCCGCTACTTTCAAGCGCTCAATTTGTACCAGTGGCTTTAAGTGGTTTATGCGCGGCCATAACAACAGGCTTTCTCTTAAGCCACTTACCACCAAGTGCTGTGATGCTAGCGGCGATGACGGCTTTTACAGTCGGAGGAATATGTATTGCTACAGCCCCCGTCCAGCAAACATATTGGGCCCAAACTTTTGTCTCACTTATTGTCATGCCTTGGGGAATGGACATGTCATTTCCTGCCGCAACAATAATTTTGAGTAATACTATGCCTAAAGAGCATCAAGGTCTTGCTGCATCGTTGGTGAACACTGTAGTGAACTATTCTATTTCTATTGGCCTTGGATTTGCAGGAACAATTGAGTCTCAAATTAATGATGGAGGTGCCAATGTACTAAAGGGGTACCGTGGCTCGTGGTATATGGCAATTGGTTTAAGCGGCCTAGGTATTGCAGTTGCTGTAACGTATGCGGGATACACTTACACGCGAGGGAGGCAGAGTGCGGGGGAAAGTCTCACTAAGGCCTAATATGTAAGCTGTAGCTTGCTTCGTAAAGATCATTCAAAGACCAGACTGACTTTAATTAATTGTTTCGCTTAAAAGGCTTGACCGTCACTGGTAAATGAATCTCACAGGTTTGAGAGACCTTATCAAAAGCGGTTGATGCCACCCCAGTCTAATCAACAAACATGACTAATGCCATTTCTTATCCCTAATGTGCAAAAGACTTTAATGAAGGCCATTTGAATCAATATCATGGCCATTTTTCAAGGATATTAGTAATTTAACTTCCTGAATTTGAGGAAAGGGTTTCCACGAGGGAGACTCGCTCTCCCGTCGCCATGGTGAGAATTGGAAGCAAGATGTCGCTCCAACAAACCACTATCTAAAAACCGCCAGGTGCCTTCCACATCTTTGCTCAATCTGGGGCTCCAAGGAAGGAAAAAAATTATTGGTTTCTTTATATCCTTCAAACTTGAGCAAGCAATAGCGCACGTGCCGCGACAACGTCCGCCAAGTCGACGAAACTAACCAAGTCCCTGCCTTTGAGTCTCAGCTGACGTACAAACACTTGCTCAAGTGTTTTAAAGTTCTGTAGCGGCCGCAACATAGATAGAACCTTCGACGCTGAAGATTCTTCCAGACGTGAGATAGTGCGAGCGAGGGAAATTTTAACTTGTTCCGGATTTCGAAGAAAAAAAATCTTAGAAACGAAATGGCTTAAAGCCCTGCTATCATAGACACTAAGAATCTTGTAATGATGGTAGAGCTTATTATTTTAAGCTGTTTTAAAACCAAAACCCCAGGCAAAAAGTCCCATGAAACGATCCGGAGCCTCACAAATGTCCCCCACCGCTCTTCTAATTCATCTGCCCCACCATGTTTATTATGCATCTAATATTTACTTGCCCAATTTGTTCAAATTCCTGAGGCTTTTAAATTCACAATGGTAATTGAGTTATGGCCCTAGCGCATGAATAGCATGACATTAGGAGGTGTTGTTGGTTTTTTGAATGTAGAGCACGATCAGAACCCCCAGCCCGCTCTTCGCGAGTAGCTCACGCTTTTCAAAAGAATGCTTGCGTCGAAATGGAAAGAGTACCTGACATACTAGTTTTTATAGCTCTCCGCGAACTACTGGGCTTACCAGCAAAGGGTACACAGTTAAGGGTTAATGTTAACTTTGATGTCTTTCATTTTCAATGCGCCCATCCATCGCCCATTTCTAGAGGCTATATCTCGCTCCTTGCTCGATGAGATCTCCTCTAGGCTCGTAATTCTTGTCAATCTTCATTTCCCTCGTGATAGAGGCCAGCAACGTATATTGGAAGAACATCATACACGCGTCGCCGTCGTAGAAAAAGTATGGGTTCTTGCGCGAGCCCTCTTCGTGCATGGCGTAGTTACTTTGCACTGCGACCTTCTCCCACTTTTCTCTGTCCAGCCTGGGATTTTTCTTGAGTAACTCCTCCATGAGAACCATTTTTGTCCCGAACTTTTAAGCCACTGAAGAGACTCGAGAGACGACTCGCCACAATAAAAGTCATAAGTCCTGCCCATGCGACAAAAGGCAAGGCGCCGTTGTGCGTCACAAACCCAAAAAAAGCAAACTGTAGTTCCCCATGTAGTCCAGAGGGAGAAACGTTACCGGAAGTTTCTAGGTGGCCCAGAGGTGGTGCACGCGGTTCCTGAAAACCTGTCTGAAACATTCAAAGCGCTCTTCTCCTCATTTGCTGCGTCATTACCACTCGATAATTTGTAGGTTTATCGCGTAAGTCCATCTTTTGTAGGGAATTGTCGAGATGGATGTTAGAGGGATGCCTTTCAATCCTTGGTACTCAAATCTAACATCACTATTTACGTATGCATGCTAGCAGATCAACGCCTTTCTATACATCGCTTTGGGCGACTATAGATTCAGTCACTCTCCGGACCGCTCGATCGAAAGCTGGGCGAACCATCCGGATGCATGTAATTCTGTAGACCTCATCCAGACCAGGCATTAAGAGCCCGGTAAAAAGCCCCATGTGAAGCAAGCAAAGCTGTCAATCAACCCCTTCAGTGAAGAGGCAGTCTGGAAAGCGCTTTTGACATCTATACCCTCGAAAATCGCGCCTGCACGGCGGCTGCGCCGCTGATCTTCACGCGCATCTCTTATCTCAACCGCCCGCTGGTTCCGCTAGAGCTCCACCCGTACACCACTTACTTTAACTGGTTTTCTATCTAAGAAGAGAAAGGGTTTAAAACCCCCAGACACCACACGTCTTGGCAGTGCAGAAGATTCTCCAGGCACAATATGCCCGCCAGCGATCTGCCAAGGTGCGATCCATGTGGGAGTGAATGCCCTTAGGACATCTATCGGACGTCCTTCAAACGCCCCATGTGCATATCGAAAAAGCCTTATCAGTTTGTTCTCATATTATGTGTCAAAAAGCGGACGGCTGCCAAGCAGGTGGCTGCCAAGCCCTTGGACGTATTACGGCCGTTCCTTGCGATGCTATTCGCATTTGACACAACCGCTATCAATCGCATCTCCAGTTGCACACTAGGGAATGAAGCAGCCCGATAGTCATCCCGTGAGAGAAGCTTTGTTTGATAAGGCGCTGAAGATGCCTCCACAGTGCCGGTCACCTCAGAGCGCCACAAGCACCAAGACGTCACCCACCGCCAAACGTCTCGTGTCTCGAAAGAAGGATCTCATCGAATGCCGGAATGCGTGCTTTCCCGTTTTCGGCATGACAAAAACAAGATCTCTGTGGATGTACGGTTCCAAGATACGATTACAACCAGACATTTTTTCTTTAACAAAAAAAGTGCCGCACTAGACACAATTATGCGACCAACTTCTCCCGGCATATCTTGGCGAATCCAAGCGCGAGTTGACAGTGGGAATCAACGGGCTTATCGAGCTTTCTGTCAAATTCAAAAAGAAACAGCGCGGGCTATTCGGCAGATACGGTCGCTGTGTTCGACGTAGTATCTGAGGTCACTGTGGTGGAGACGATAAGTGTGTAGATTACACTGGAAGTGACTGCTAGCCACTTGTAAGGATGGCACCACCGGTGACGGATCACGACCGGCATGATTGTGTCGGTCGAATGTGCCAGCCCAGTATACGCAGGAGCGTCGATTGTGTCGTCTGTGAGATAAGCTACCCACATTGGGAAGTGGGAAATTTGGGACGACCGCACATATAAAAGACGGAGGCCAAAATGAGATTCAAACATATTCGGTTTAGATTCTAAAGAAGCAAGGAGCTTTACTCAATAGTAGGAAAGAGCTACTTATCGCCCGTAACACATTCGCCAGTGAGGACTCGAAGTTCGGTTAGGTCAAGTCTCGAGACTTCAGTGTATTCGTTCAAGAGAAGGAAAAAGAAATTTTTAGCAAAAGATGTCGAAGCTGGTGCCTATTGCCAGTCCCGGGCTCCAAATGAGCTTCGACGACGAAATGGTGCGTGAGAAAGAGCACGTACGGTCTATGGACGACGTCGACGTCAAAGATGGATACGTTACCGGTCACGAGGTGATCTCGAATGGCCACGTCGGTAACGAGAAGCCCCTGCCGCTGCAGGCTTACATTCACTACGCCGAGATCCAACGTGAATACGAACAGGCCAATGATTTGGATGCGTTGTACGCCGCTCAGAAAGAGCAGATGATCACAGACCCCAATAGTAACGTGTCGGATTCGAAGCTGGACACGCACCGCGCGCTTCGCATAGCGAAGGCCTACTCGGTTTTCTTCTTGATCACAACAGATATCTTGGGTCCAACCAACGCCCCTTACGCGGTCGCTCAGATGGGCTGGGCGCCTGGGGTGATCCTGTACGTTCTTTTCGGTGTTTTCGCTGCCTTTGGCGGTTGGCTGCTTAACCGTTGTTTCTGCAAAGTCGACTCGAACAACTATCCAATCCGCACATTCTCTGACCTGGCTGGCCGTATGGTGGCTCCTTGGTTCAAATACCCATTTGCGATTCTGCAATTTATCCAAATGATTCTAAACTGTGGTGTCCTTCTGCTTGGTACCGCTCAGGCCGTCTCGCAAATGCAGATCGTCACTAAGGGCAAGGATGGTCTCTGTTTTACGGTCGACATTCTAGTGTGGGCTCTAGCGTGCATGATTATCGGTCAGATTAAGTCTCTTGGAAAATTCGCACACATCGCTAACTCGGCTATTTGGATGAACATTGCTATCTGTATCATCACCATGGTAGGTGTCGCCGTGGGAGGTCCTTACTACGGCATTTTCGAGCAGTACGGACAGGGACCTCCATATTTCGAGCCAAACTCGTTCAATCCTCTGCCAATTGCGCACTACGCTGTCTCGCCTGGTACTATCAGCGACCGTATCAGCGGTATGAACAACATGGTCTTCGCTTGGGGTGGTGCTACTATCTTTTGCGAAGTGATGGCCGAGATGAGGAGGCCAATGGACTTCTGGAAGGGTATGATCTGCGCGCAGTTGCTCATCATGATTGTCTATCTTTTCTACGGACTTTTCGTGTACGGGTACAACGGCCAATTCAGCTACGTCACTGCCAACCAAGGTATTGGTTCCATTGGTTTGCAGAACGCTGGTAATGTGTTAAATATCATTACTCAAATCATTGCAGCGGTTCTTTACGGTAATGTTGGTATCAAGGTATTCTACCAAGGTTTCTTAGTACCTCATTTCAGATTCCCACAACTAACCTCCCGCAAAGGTACATTCGCTTGGGGCGGTTTCGTGGTTGTCTACTGGGCTGTCGCCTACATCATTGGTACTGCTATCCCATCTGTTAGTGCCTTGGTGTCGATCATCGGTGCTTTCTGCATTTTCAACTTTTCGTACACTTTCCCATTCCTCTTCACCTTCTGTCTCTTATGTCGTACAGATGCCGGATTGGGGGATCGCTTCGATCTTTCGACCTTAACGGTCGAGAAGGGTGACTCATACTGGCGTAACTGGTCTCGCTGGAAGCGTGCCTTTGGCCATGGCGGATACAAGCGTAGTTTGATGAAGCTTTCGCTGATGTTGTTTTGCCTTGCCTCGCTCGCAACGTGTGGTCTATGTTCATATTCCGCTATTGAGGGTGCCATTGCGGCGTACGCCACTAATTTCGCACAACCTTTCACTTGTGCCTCTCCTGTCGCCTAATCTGTTTGAAATCACAGGAAATGGCCTATCACATATTTAGATACACGGGTAGCTGTAGTTACTAGATTAAAATGTTTTTTTAATTGGATTTCTAGATCAAAAATCTTGGCCTTTCCGGCCGATTTGCTTCTCGTCATTTATTCTATGCATATGGCGTGGTGAATGAATTATCACCTGCTATTTAACCGATTAATCACTGAACTCTTTGAAAGTGTATTGTTTGCTGTCTACGTATGTGTTAAATGTACTTTTCTGGCACACGCATACCTTCCAGAAGTACGCTCAAATTGATCGACAGTGACTCGAACTTATGGCACCGGAATAAAACAACTCTTGTTAATTTTCTGAGACACTTGACTTTCAACAGCCGCCCCTTATGCTCTCAAAATCTCTGCTTCGTCAATCAACCCTCAGAGATCAAATTAAAGCCTTCTTCCAAGAATTTCACCTCTGACAATTGAATAATGATGCCCCTGATCATCCCTATTAATCATTACGATCGTCCTAGAAACCAACAAAATAGAACCAAACGTACATTGCTATCACTAGGAGATTTTCTGTTAAAGGGCGCAATTCATTCGATTACGCGCGACTCATCGTCGAATAATCAAGTCTTCGAGGTTTGAATCTTCACCGTTTCACAGCTGCAATCGCGTCTTCGAAGACTCTTGCCAACCACTTAATGTCTTCGAGTCCCACACTTACTCTCACAAAACCGGCGTCAGCCCCATATTTGGACACCGCATCGAGCTCGAAGTGATGGGCCAGGTGAACATACGGGCAAGCCAAAGTGAAGTTTGTTCCGTTTGATGGACCTTTGAAGACTTTCAAATTATCATAGAACGTTTTTGCATCTTTCTCATTGTAAAAGGACAGAGAAAATAAACTTCCGTAACCAGCTTCTGGATAGCGAATTGCGTCGTAATTTTGCAAAGTCTCTTTAGAGCTCACCGATGGATAATACACTTTTTTGAAAATTTCACCCTCAAGAGGTAAGAGTACCTCGTCCAAGAGTTTCTTTGTGTTTTGATTCGTTTTCGTTGTCCTCTCTTCATAATCTCTAGAGTTTTCCTCAAGCACAATAGCATCTTGAAGCCAGAGTAATTCTTCGAATTCGGTACTTTCAAAATAAGTGCGAGCAAATGGGTATATTTTAGATTGCGGGTTGAGTAAAATTGAACCACCCATGACATTGCTGGAGCCGCTAAAGAGTTTGGTCAGGGAGGTGCATACAATATCAGCGTAAGGTAGCACATTTATGTTCAAACCTCCAATGGTGTCGTCTATGATAATGAAGAATTCGTTGTCATCAGCCAATTTTCTCAAATTTTGCAAATCAGGTACATTCAGCATTGGATTAGAAGGCGTTTCCAAATAAATGGCCAAGATACGATTGTCTCCCTTTTCTAAGTAATTCTTCAACTGCTTCACATCTCTGGAATCACCAAATCCAAAGAACAGACATTCCCCAAACTTCTCCATTATAACTTTTGTATCTTTGAAAGGAAATCCGAACACTCCAGCTGTATAACATGACGTCTCGGAAGTTTTGTTCGATTCCCATGATGTGAGTAGTTTGCGGGTATTGAATATCGAGGACATGCCGCTTGAAACCAGGAAAACATCTTTCAATGGATCGATTGCAATCTTCTTGCCTGACAATTGTTTGGTGTGGTTATCTGCTATTCTTTTTTTCACTTGGAGTTTTGCATCTTCCCCTCTTTCTTTCAAGAGGGCTATTTCTGGCCTCTTCAAATGATATGGGCTTGATTCTGACCCAACATCTTCCAAACACTGATTAATAAAAGCTGCTAGCCGACTTGATACGCATTCGCCCGTCAGTTTCCAGTACTCTTTGACGACTTCGATCTCATCATCAGGAGCAAATACAACCGCTATAGTAAAAGTCAATTGTGAGGAATCATTCTGCGAAGAATCACGCAGGTGAAAAGTTTCCGACGCAAGGTAAGCTTTACTCTTGGAACCATTTTTCGCCTTCACATGATCTAAGCAATCTCTAGCACACTTTAAAGAAGGAAAAGGACGGCAATTCACCGAATTGCGGCCATATTTTTTGATGAAATGACCACAGAGCGTTTGTATCGCGGGCTGAGGAAAATATCTAGGGTACCCAGTCTTCATTTTACTAACAAAATAGGGATCTTTCTCAACGTATTTCACGGCGGATTCCCACGTGGGGATGCCGAAGGAAACGGCGTAATCCAAGTTGCTGGGTAGTGGTTGTCCAAACTCAACTTCCGTCATTTGTATTTTTCGCTATTGTCACTTTAATTGTTCTGTGGCACCCTGTCGTTGATACACGCAATAAATACGATTCATGGACCAGAATGATCTCCTTGAGATTATAAGTGTGGCGTAACGTACAGTGGCGGCATTCTGATAGAGAGATGGTGACTCAGCTGTTGCAGAACCAAGGGTCACTATCGCCTGATGCTTCGTTTACAAGCTCGTTTAGTAAAAAAGATTGGTGATCGCAGATTGTCAATCGATAGTGAGTCAAAACGGGTCCCTATCTCACAGTTTGTATACACCCACGACGAGGCCGCATAAGTATCCAGGTCCTACATAGTAGCTAGGTTTGGCTTCAAGATATATGTCCGAAACGCTCAATTCGCGGACTTTTCGCGCTGTCAAAAATGTGGGCACGTGATCTGGATATGTTCAAAAACAAATCATGCTAAGGTTCGGACTTTAGCGTGAAATCTCGAAGTGGGAGGGAGTAATCGCATCGCCGCGCTTATAGACCAAGGCGCCAAGTGGTTCTAAGTGTATCGTCACATAATCATTTCGACATTCATAGTGTATCAATATATACATGCATTAGTTAGCGTATTGAGATCTACCGCGGAGTTTTGGTCCCACTCTATACAAGACGAAGGGGATTGCCGCAAGTGCGATACAGAAAAACCCTACCAAGGAAGAACCCCAGCCGACTGGGTATTTTTCACTCCCCAGATTCTTGTACATGGCTTGACCGAAAAGTGGGAACGCACATGCAAACCCGGCACGCGCGAAACCATTACCTGCAAAAACGGAGGCCAAATAACGAGGATAACTATCTGCCAAATACGCGAACGAAGATTGGAAAAGATTGAAGACATTCAACACGAAAAAAACTTCGGCAATGATGGGCAAAATCCAGTGCACGCCAGCAGCCCACCCAAAAAGGAACAACGACAATGGCAACGCCCAGCACAAATACATCGCCAAGAGAAGGAATGCCTCTGGGGTGAAAGTGTTGTTCTTCTGCCTAGGTGTGGTGACCTTCGCCAGGAAAATCAACAGTGCGATGTACGAAAGTGCGCAGCCGACGCAGAACCCCATATAGGCAAGTCCCATTTCGACAAGTGTGAAATGGTAAATGCCGACGAACACGAGTGGGAAAGCTTCGAAGAACAAGTAGAAAGTACCGTAGCAAAGCGCAATGTAGATGTCGAACGCGAGAACGGCCGGTTCCGAAGCCATAATTTTGAAAGGACGATAGAGGGCGTCCAAGAGAAGGTCCTTGAAGGTGACAAGACTATCAGCGCGTTCTTGTTTGGTGTAGTAACGCGCGTCCCCAGTCGCTTTTCTCAGCCTGCAAGCGCGACGGTGTAAAATATTTTCTTGTTGGGTCTCAGGGAAGAAGAAGATCAAGATGATAGAGGTGACAGCGCAGAGCCACATCAGAAGCCAGAAGATGAATCTCCAGCCCTTGGCGACAACCATGGTTGCACCGAGTAAGGGTGCGAGCACTGGCGCCGCGACTGCGCCAACGGCCCATAACCCGACAAAAACGGGCACCTTCCGTTTGGGAATAAAGTCACCGAGGCTTGCCGCGCCGGTGGCAAGTGAGGGTGAGCATAGAATACCACTGATGAATCGGATCACGACGAGCCCGCCGATGTTGTTGACCGTGGCCGCACCGACTTGGAAGATCATGAATGCGAGCAGCGTAACGATGTAGATGCGCTGGCGGCCTATGGCCGCCACCTCGGACAAGGGCGAGAAGATCATGGGACCCAGCCCGTAACCTAGCACGTACATGGACAGGTTGAGGGTGCCAACGACGTGGCCCACGTGGAAATCGTGCTGGATCTGCTCTTGGCCCGGCGTGTAGATGGATGCGCCCATGTACGTCACGCACGTGAGCAGCATGATCTGGAGAACAACCAGGCCCTTCTTGCCCTTGCTCCAGTTCATTGGGTTTTCCGGATCGTCAGCGCCGTTCCACCCAACGAGAAACGGATCCACGTCGCGGTCCGACGTTTGGTTCGACGCCTTTTCGGCGTCATTTTTTTCGAGGTCTACCGACGCCGACGCGGACCCGGACCCCGTTGCAGAAGCAGTGTCTGCGTCTACGTCTTGTACGACATCGCCGGGCAGTTCAAGATTTGTCTCTCCATGCGGTTTGGCCTGCGCTACGAGCCCATCGACGTCATCGGTCTTAGCGCTTGCTTGCTGTTCTTGAAAATTGTGTGGTAGTTTGACGAGCGCTGCCAGCTCGAGCAAGTCGACCGCAAACGAGTTTCTGAATTTTTCCACGTACATTGCCGACTTGATTGATGTTGCAGATTGCAAGGGAGACCTCTGCCATCGCTCGGCAATGCGCTGTTCAAGTACTCTTCCCAGCTCCAGCGCGGCTGTACGACATTGTCATTTAGTAATAGGGTAACGTGCACTACCCCAGGGACTTCTGCTTGCCGCGGAACCCTTTGCCACGGCAGTCCCTGAACGCTCCGGTGACTCATCCTAGATGCGCTTTTACAAATCTCGATGCCCTCGAAGTCAGCGGGTCCCGCAGCACCCTCCGCGGAACGAAAAGTAGTTCTCCCCACGTGACCCGGGCGACTGTGCGCCTTTGTCTGGGACGCAGGGTTTGGCCATTTGTCATTTGAGACTTCCTTCGTAAGCCAGTGAACGGCCTGTCCCAGCGTTGAGGCTCACGCAAGGCGGAGAGCCCTGCTTCCGCGGAACCCTCGTCAAGTGTTGCCGGCGCGTTTGTCATCCGGGGAACCCACCGACACCGCGGCCAACGCGGGGTCCAACGGTCACGTGGTGTAGCGTGCTGTTCGCAGAGAAGCGCGCTTTCCACGTGCTCCTGGTGCGAGCGGCGCCGTGGTCGACATGCTAGTGCAATGACGTGCAACAAGCACGCACAGCGACGCCCATGAAACCCGAGAAGTCGGCTGTGACCTTTTCCTGAGCAATTGACCTTGGTGTGGGGAGAACATCGGTGTCACCTTTGAAAGGCCTTTTATAGCGCAGACTTTTCTCGGATAAAAGTTTCTCACTGTTTCAGGGCAAAAGTAAATTATCGTGGACTGACATTGCTCTTGTATGAAAACTTTCTAATCAACGATGAAGACGTGATGATAGTCTTATTCATTCTTGGGTTTGTTTTTCTCCCAATTTTCAAAAAAGTACATCTTGGAAAAACAGCCAAAAGAGAAGTGTTCTACATGACAAGAACGGGCGATATGCGATTTTACAAGGCAAGCCCACACGGCCCGACAGTAATGACATAAACATTATATCCTATTTCATATCGAGTGACCTTGCACAACTTGCCAATCGCATGTACGAGTGTTGGCGGAGACTCGAGATCGTATCTCTCGCAGTACCGAATGAAGTATCGAGCCCGGAAAGAACGTGAAGATGCTATACATTGCGTAAGGCCGGTTACCAATCTCTCACATGGGATAGGAGCAGAAGCAGTACATCATGGAAACAATGTACAGGCAGATCTAAGTGGATCTCATATCATCATCTACGAAAATGTGACACCGCCGTCTAACAAATGTGAGAGGGCAAGCGGCTAATGAAACAGGTCACATAAAAGAGGCGAACAAGCCCGGAACTATGGAGCTTGTAAATATAGATGAAACGCGTGGGTAACCTCAAAAAGCCGGAAGAACAAGTATAAGAAAGGGTGATTTGACCGTGTTGGGGTGTAAAAACTTGCACACTGGCAAGCAATTCCATGAGTTTGACCGCGATTGGAGGGTTCCCCAAGGGTACCAAGATTGTGCTGAGCAATGGGGAGTCGCGTGCAGTCGAAGACATCAAGGTCGGAGACGAAGTGATGAATGTGGACGGAGAAGGTAGCCAAGTCACGGAAATTCGCACTGGATTCGGTTCTTTGGTGAAGATTAAGCAGTTGACGAAGCACACGGCGCACTTGAGAGACCAAAGTCGCAGCGAGCCGTGGGGTACTTTTGAATTTGTTTGTTCATCCCACCAGCAAATTCTGGTTCAGACTTTGCAGCGGGTGAAGCATTGCTATAAGAAAAACAGAACTACCAGTGTTGTGGAACATCGGGTGCTAGACAAAATTCGTACTAATGATGGACGTACTGTGGTGCGGATCAAGACGGCGTCGAAAACTTTTCAACATGTGAAGTTCACTGCAGCTATGATTGAAAGTTACAAGCAAAAGATCAGTTTGGATCCGATCCAGTGGCAATGTCAGGTGGATGATCTCACGAATTTGACACCGGTGGTTCGAACTGCGACAAAAATGTTGCGGTTCGGATTTTCATTTGAGAAGCCCTATTTGCAAGTGCATTTGGAGCAGATTTTTGAAAGAAAAATTTCGTTGCGTGAAGTGGAGGCAATGGCATGGATGTTGGGATTTTGGATCGGCGATGGTCACAGACGTGGTGCTTTGTTTGCGCTTCATTCTGGTGATCACGATGTTAATCAGCGGCTAGAAGAGAATGCAGCTACTTGGGGGATGTCGCTTAGAATTGTGCCTCGTGACGGATTTAAAGCAAACGGTTACTTACACACCCACGACGAAAACGGCATTCGCCATTGGAATCGACACAATCCTTTTACTCTAACCTTAAAATCCTTAGACTTTCTGCTTAAGGGAAGAATCGATGCTCCAAAAAATGTCCCAATTTTTATGCGGACAGACACCTTTCTTGTGCGCGAGGCCTTTATGGCAGGCTTGATCGATTCTGACGGATGTACGTCGATAGCGGACAATATTGTCAGAGCAAAAATTTCCACTGTCTATGTCCCCATTAGAGATGGTATTTTGTTCATTGGACAGTCATTGGGATTGAATGTGACCACAACTTTTAGCCCCATGCAAGATAGTAGAAGAGGAATCCATGAAAACGATATTTGGACCTTCAATTTATTTCCCGGGCAAAATGGAGCTACTTTGATGTCAATTTTGAAGCGATGTGCCTGCGAAAGGAAGAGAAATCCACGGTCAATTAATCAATCGAGAAAAAGGGGACCAGACTCCGACGAACTTGAAATCGAGGATGACGAGGACGAAGAAGACCTTCGCAAGCGCGTGACTGCCGATGACACCGAAGTTGACGTCCTGTCACCTGAGGAGTCCGCTGACAGTGACGACGAACTTCTGGATGATCTGGAAGCGGAGCCGCAGCATGAGGTTATGGTTCCTATTAGGAGAAGCAACCGTTTGAATTTGTCCCTAATGCCATTTCAAGTCTCGGATCATGGTTCGGGAGAAATCATAGAACTAGTATTGGATTCTGAATCCAATGCAAGCTTGGTGACTGACTCGCATTTGATTTTTGGAGGAGAAACCAAACCTCAAGTGCTTACGATTCCGAACAACACGAGGAAATGCGCGTCCTGTAACTCGACTGAAACACTACAGTGGTATAAGATGTCCTGGAACACAAAGTCTCCTAAGCGTCTATGCCAGTGCTGTTACAAGGCGTACGAACATTCGAAGCACAGATGTTCTAACGACAGGTGCAATAGAGTTTTTAAACCTTCCGACATAAATACAAAGGACAGAAGGGAGCAGAAAAAACGACTTCCATTTGGGAAAGAGTTTGTAGTGGCTCATTCTTGTGAAGGATGCGGTTCTGCTATTGTTTCAGATGCGGGCGGAAAAATTTCGCCGCCGGCGCTTTCCGCGAATGACGCCCGAAGACGTGATACCTGTTACTGCTGCGGACCCACGGAAAGTACTTACTGGAGGAAGGCACCATGGGACAGAAGTAAGCCCTGGTGTTCGCGCTGTAGAGGTCGGTATGACAACTCGAAGACTTTTTGCACGGGTTGCCACAACATTCCGGACATGAAGGAAGTTCGCGAAATGGAGGCCAACCGAGAGTTTGGGGGTCCATTGAAATGCCTCAAGTGCGGATCAGTAGCGGAAAGAGAGGCCACCGGTGGCAGGCCTTCGAAGAAAAACTCCTGTATTGATGGCCTCTGCACATGCGGTGCCAGACAGTCTTTCAGATGGAATGCCCTTCCTTGGGACAAGACCTCAAACGCTTCTTTATGTGGGGCCTGTTACAAGAATTATAACGTGAATAACACAAGGTGTTTGTCTTGTCAAAGAGTGATTAAAAAAAGCAAATGGGACGAGGTCACCTCGAAACCCAAGAAGGAGTATACTTTGCAATCGGGCGCTAGAGTGGTTACATATTCATGCCCCTTCTGCCAGGGACCCACTGAGGGATTCTAGCGGATCTGCGCCTTCAAATGCTAGATAAATGGTTTTATAGCTTTCTTATGGTTTATGATCTTGACTTGAGCGGGACCAGGGCTGTTGACCTGGAACCGATCACGTGGTCTATGCGACGTTTTTGGCCAGTTCACTAAAAATAAAAATCTACTAGCCGAAAAATTACCCGCAAAATGCTATAGCTATAGTATATCCACATCCAACACCCATGCACCCATCAACATGCAGAAACCCGCTACTTTCCACAGTTGGAAATCTTCATTTAGGTTAAATTACGATTTTAAAACCATTCAAATTTCGCAAAACATGCATGTACGCTTCGCTATGTCTACGCACAGCTCGAGCACAATTTTTCTTCAACTTAATTTATTCAACAGCTGTATGGCTTCGCCATACAGCTGCTATTATTCAACGTATATAAACTATTGCGTGTCACATAACCATCATATCACTTACAATTGGTTCTTGGTGTGGAAAACCTCCAAAGCCTCGGTAATTCTCCTCGACATGGTCTTCTCACCTTCTCTAACCCAGACTCTTGGGTCAAAGTACTTCTTGTTTGGAGCGTCAGCGCCAGTTGGGTTACCAACCATGCTCATGATGTAGTCCTTCTTGTTCAACACGTAGTCTCTGATACCCTCTAGGTAAGCATATTGACAGTCAGTGTCCAAGTTGACCTTCACAACACCGTTGTTGATACCGGTGTTGAATTCCTCCTGCGAAGAACCAGAACCACCGTGGAAAACCAAGTACAATGGCTTGTCACCGAGCTTGCCACCCTCCTTCTTGGCGGCATACTTTTGGTGGTCACCCAAGATCCATGGGGACAAGGTAACATTGCCAGGCTTGTACACCCCATGCACATTCCCAAATGCTGCCGCGATTGAGAAGCAAGGGGAGATAGGGTGGAGGGCTTCGTGGACCTTGTAGACGGTTTCGGGCTTGGTTAGCAAGTCTTCGGCTCTGACGTGTTCGTTGTTGACACCGTCTTCTTCACCACCGGTGATACCGATTTCCATTTCTAGCCATTGGTCGATGGCGGCCATTCTCTTGAAGTACTTGACGCAGGTGGCGATGTTCTCGTCGTCAGATTCCTCGGAGAGGTCGAGCATGTGGGAGGAGAAAAGAGGTTCGCCGTGTTTCTTGTAGTAGGCTTCGTCGGCCTCTAGCATACCGTCGAACCAAGGTAGAAGCTTCTTGGCGCAGTGGTCGGAGTGCAGGACGACAGGGATGCCGTAGGCGGAAGCGATGGATCTGATGTAGTGGGCGGCGGCGATGGAGCCTCTGATGGAGGCGTTTTGGCCGTTGTTGGAGACACCCTTACCGGCGAAGTATGCGGCACCACCGTTGGAGGTTTGGAGGATGATAGGAGACTTGTTGTCTCTGGCGGCCTCCAAGGCGGCGACGACGGTGGAGGAGGAGGTGACATTGATGGCTGGGATAGCGAACTTGTGCTCCTTGGCGTAGTCGAACAAAGCCTTGACATCGGCGCCGACGATGACACCGGATTTTCTAGTTAGAACGTCTTGAACACCCATTGTTGATTGATATTGGTTGGTGGGGGACGGAAAAGAGGAAGAGGGCTGGAGAGCGGAAGCCTGGGGCGGTTTATATAGTTTGAGAGGTGGGTCCGGGACTGGGTGGTCGCGTGTGGCCACGCGTGGAGAGTTTTGCCGTGATGGTGGTATGGGTAGGGTGAGAGGTGGTCTGAGTAGGAGATGGATGCGGGAGCGGGCGCGGGATTGGGCAGCGGGCTTCCTGGGGCGGCGCCCTGTAGCTTCGGGCGCCATGGGGAAAGTGGCAGCTACGGGCAGCTGGTGGGGCATGGGTGTATGACGTAGGATCAGCGTCGTACTGTACGGAGGGGTTATGGGTATCATTGGGTACGTGTGAGTGCATCGTCCGGAACGAGTCGGGCGTGTGTGATATCATGTGCTACGTACATCTACGGGGGGCCGTCCCCAAAGGCCATCCATCGCTCGTCACATCGGGCATGGAGTTCTACGCTAGTTTGCCCGCGGGCTCGGGCGCGGAGCGCGAGTCTGCGACCCCGACGTTGTTTGAGATTCTATCTGCCGATGAGACAGACGAACTGTTGACGCCGTCGCTGCGGTACATCGTTGCGACTTTGGTCGCGAGGCATCCGAGCCGGTTCGGGATCCTTGCGAGTAACTGGTTTGACGAGTGGTTTGTGCTGGCGACGCGGCTGTGCATAGAGGGCTACCATCTGCGGCGCTGGAATGGTGGGTTTATAGAGCATTTCTACGGATTGAAGCGCGTGAACGGGTCAAATCGGCTGCTGTTGAAAGCTGCACCTTCAGACCGTAGCGTGCGGCTGACCGGCGGGCAGAGTGTCGCCGCTTTGGTGGAGAAAGTCGTGGCGCCGTACTGGGGAGTGAAGTTGGACCTGTGGCACGGTCAATTGCTGGCGAGATCTGCATTTGCAGACCGCGTTTCCGCTTGGCAACGGTGGTTCGTCAAATGGTACCCGCGCGTCAAGAAAGTGGTGTTTTTAGCCAACCTGGCGGTCAAACTCGCATTTTTGAGCGGTGCAGTCGGGTCCACAAGCCTGCTCCAGTACTTGTTCAAAATCGAATTCGCGCGCCTGTCCCAAAAGGACCTGGAAACCACCACAACGGTGAGGGCCGCTTCACGGGCGTCGCGACGTCCGCATTTGAATCGTCCCGCGCTCAAAACATGGTTGTCGGTCGCGGTGGCGCGGTTTGCAAACGTGTCGCAACAACTCGGGTCGCAAGCGTTCCCGGCGTTCATTTTCATGCTACGTGTATTCCAATGGTGGAACGCGCAAGACCTTTCGAATCGGATCCGCAAAAAAATGGACGAATTTGATAACCCAGTGCCGCCACCGCCGCGCGATTTGAGTATCAGAACTGGAACCATGTGCAGTATCTGTGAGAAACCGCTGCAAAACCCGGCCGTTATCGAGACGGGGCTCGTGTTCTGCTACCCGTGTTTGCTGCGGAGAATCCCGGAAACGGGTGGTCGATGCCCCACGACGGGCAAACGGCTTCTCAACTGCCGCTATAACGAGACCACGGGCGCCTGGGTGCTGTCTGGGGTCAGAAAACTGATATATTGAAACCGCCTCATGTTACGGTAACACTCTGTTCAAAATTTCAACCGATTCCCATTGTGAGCACAGTATGTCTAGCGTTTGTAAATCTGCCTCCTTTTCCGCCAATGCAAGCTCGATGTCTGGCGTGGGGCCCTTTTGAATCTCCGACACCAGCAACGACACTTGCTCCAGGACCGCGTCGGAGACGTGGTCCTTTTTCAAATACTCGCAGATCACGTCGATGCCGTGCAACAGCCGGTGCGTCACTTGTCTGTGCCGACTACGGTCGAAACCTCGGGAGCCAGATCTCAATTCTGGGAAACTTGCCTCTATGCATCGATTCGCTTCGTTGTCGGTCACGACCTTAGCCGGCCAACGTATTCCAGCCAGATCGTAGCATTCCAACTCAAACATGACGGGACTCACCTGATAACAGGCGTAAAACTGGAGTTCCGTCACCGTGGGCATTATATGCATAGCGATGCGCGCGCACTGGTCAACGCTGCCGTTCACCAGTACCAACCCCAAAACCACGACTTTTTCGACACTCAACAGACCACATCGTCTCTTCAACGACGCAAAATCACACATCATTCCCTTGGTCGTTTCCCGCACCTCAACCGGCATCGAACCGGTCACTTTGGCTTGCGCCTCCCGAATCGTTCCGTACATCAGGTGGCATTTTTCGTCGCTCTTGTCGCATCCTGTGCTCTCGTAGCTGTGGTTTATGGCTAGGAGCACTGTGCTCTGGATTAGAAGGCCTCGGTGCGCCATCGCTGAGCTTATGCTCGGATCTCGTGATAGCTCGGTTGTTTTTGATGACATGCCAATGCATATGTCGACTCCAGGTGTCGTGTATAACACTCGATACAGAACAAGAACGGGATACAAACACAAAATTCGATACAATATGCATCCGATTAGCTACAATTGCTACATACTGTGCTCATTTTTGCCAAGCTCATTCCTTATTCGGGTTTGCCTGTCCCTTGCCTCCTTAATTTCCTTTGCCAAAAAAAATTAACCCATCTAGGAATTGGGCCTAAAGCGTCATTCTGCAAGACAAGCGGCCGTCTGTGAATCTCCACTGGGTCACCACAATGCCCCACTGTCGGAGTGCGACACGCAAACATCGCACAGCCCCATGGTCCAAATCCTTACACCTGTTTAAGCTATGTGACAACGACATTTCCAGGCACTGCGCTATTTTTTACGCACTTCATCCTCTTGGCAGTCATTCCTTGTAGCGATCAAGGTATTGTAGCTTAACTGGATGTGAAAAAATTTCCTGAACGTACAAACTGTATCAATGAGGGTGACTCTGTGGTCCCATAGTGAGAACGAAGGTCGCTGCTTTGAATGACTATAAATGCCCATGACTTGGACTCCCATGGGTGTCTGTAACTCTTCTTGTAGGAGCGTAGTTCACTGTCTATGGATAGTCGCACTTTCACTTCTTCTGTGGGCCACCACGACTTGCCCGACGATACCGACGACAGTTCTGCCTCGGACGAAAAACCAGTCAAAAAAACCAGCTTGGCGAATTTGGCCGTGTTGAGTTTCGGGACCTTGGGCGCTGTATACGGAGATCTGGGTACGTCGCCATTGTACGTGCTGAATACCGTGTTCGCGGAAGTCGACGTGACCGACGAAAATCTGATCGGTGCTGTGTCGTGCATTTTTTGGCTCTTTACACTCGTGGTCATCGTAAAGTATTGTCTTCTCGTTTTAACATTGGGTCCTAACGGTGGAGAAGGTGGCCAAATCGCCATCTATTGTAAGCTTTCGCGGACTCTGAAAAATGGGCCTCTAGGCGTCGTGTTGCCGGGGGGCAAAGAACACGACGACCTCCAAATCTTGACCAGAAGCGAGACTCGTGATAGCGCCGTGTCGACTCCATCGTTTCTGCACAAAAATTCCGGCTTTTTACAACATCCGCTCTTCAAAAAAGTCTTTGGCGACGTGACTTTGGCCGCTTGTTTTCTCGGATGTGCGCTTGTCATGAGCGATGGACTGCTGACTCCAACCACTTCTGTCTTGAGCGCCATCGATGGTATAGCGGTTGCCGTGCCTTCATTTGAGAAAAACGTGATGCCCGTGTCCGTGTGTGTGTTAATTGGCTTGTTTCTGTTGCAATACATCGGTATCAAGCGGATTTCGTTCCTTTTCTCACCAATCATAACCATCTGGCTGATAACCATAGCTGTGGTTGGCATTATCAACATTTCTCGCCATCCAGAAGTCTTTAAAGCGCTCAGCCCAGCGGAGGCCATTTATTTCTTGCGTCGGCAAGGGGATGTCGACGTTCTCGGTTCTGTTATGCTTTCCATCACGGGTTGTGAAGCCATGTTTGCCGATGTGGGCCATTTCTCGCCTCTCTCTGTCCAGTTGACCCTTGGTTGTTTCGTGTACCCATGTTTAATGTTAAACTACCTTGGACAGGGAGCATATCTCGTTGATCACCCGCAAAAAATTGCCAACGTCTTTTTCAATTCAATGCCGGGGGGCTCCTCGGGAGGGTTCTATTGGTACGTCTTTGCCCTTTCAACGTTGGCTACCATCATCGCGTCCCAGGCATTGATCTTGGGTGTCTTTTCGATCCTTAAGCAAATGATGCAAATCGATTGTTTCCCGCATGTGAAGGTGTTACATACCTCTGCCAAACACGCCGGTCAAATTTTCATACCAACTGTGAATCTTATTCTCATGGCGGCAGTTTGCGCAACCTGTGCCGGTTTCAGAAGCTCGGGACGAGTGACTGCAGCGTACGGACTGGGAGTTTCTATGGATTTGTTGTTAACCACATCGTTGATAGCAGCTACCATTGTGGTCGTTTACAGAGTGCACTGGGCAGCAGCGCTCTATTTCTTACTGTGCTTCGGATCACTCGAGATGTGTTTGGTTATTGCCAATATGAAGAAAGTTCCGCACGGTGCCTGGTTCACTTTGATGGTCACATTCATCATGATAACCTTCTTTTCTATGTGGAGGTGGGCCGTGGTTTGTAAAGTCAAGAACGATATGAAGGAAAGAATTCGTTTTAGAGACCTCATCAACTCAGACTCTACGCCTCGAGAATTCGTCCTCGGTCAAAAGCGTGACGACTCGCCATCCGAACCTGCAGTGACCATTCGGATCGACGCGAACAGGATCCAAAAATTACCTAGGCATGATGACATTGCACTACTTTATAGTAATGTCGAGCCGCTATTGAGATCCACCAGCGCCATCCCGGGATCTTTCAAGGACTTAATTTGCAATTTCCCATCACTACCCGCTGTAATGGTCTTTTGCGGTGTCAAAGTGGCTTCGGTTCCTCACGTCGCAAGCTCCGAGCGCTTTCTTTTGCACCCTGTTATGGGAGCAGAGGGAGTTTACAAGTGTATTATAAGATTTGGCTTTATGGACAAGACACTCGTGACAACAGACCTATTAAATGAGATGTTGACGATTATCGAGTCTCACAATCCTACTTACTATCGATCAGTGGTCAGCAAACTTGTTGGATCGCCACCTTTACACATCTTTAACCGCCAACACATCCTGGGCGTCGACATTCGTGGAGATCACGAAAACAAGCGAAAGCTGAAGTTTATCAGATATCTTTTGATGTCCCTTGTCCAGTTCTTCCGGAGTGTGATCATCGAAAGGTTTTTCAGCCCTCTCTACAGCATCCAGAGTATACATTCCTCTTTTGTTTCGTCGCACGAGCGCATAATGTATGTAGGAAGCGACGTGAGGATTTGATACTCGAGCTTAACCGGTTCTCTCAATCATTTCAGAGGATATATTAGCTCTTTAAATTAGTTGGAAATTCGAGGAACCTAGGATGCGCCTAAACCGGAACATGGACAGCGACAACCTAGGCCTCACCGATATTTTCTAATTTTCCGAGTTTTGTAGCGCTCAAAGACCAAAGACGTCTGGCGGAAATTGCCACCATCTATTAGACTCTCGGAGGATGTTACCACGCCAAAACCAAAGTCTATCCTTTTGCTATACACCCGTAATCAGTCCCAATAGGCAGTCGGTAACGTCTATGTCAAGACCATCGAAGTTGATGTTGAGATGACCAAAAATTTGCATTATGCTCGCTTATCACAGAAGCGTGCATTCATTATACCAAATAAGCCATATGTAATATAGCAGTTGCATTTCGAGTTACCTTTTGACTATACCAGCGTTTTCCAACGGTGCTACGTTTAGGCTCGAGAAGCGAAGACAACGTGGATTGGCATCCACCCTTTATTTGCAGGATCGTATATACATGTGACTAGTTAGATAAAAACCGTCTATACTATAACAGCACCATGATCTACGACATTGGCTTGTCCTTCGACGGGCTGGTAACAGTACCATTTCATTAATGCATCGGTGGCTGCTCTTGCCTTTGCCTCCTTCAACGAGGACCCAAAACCTTCTCCGATTTTTTCATCGCCGGAAAACACACCCACGATAAAGACTGGCGCCTTCGATAGCCTACCTGATTCGGCTAACAGTTTGGAAACAGGTGGTATGAGACCTTCCCGACGACATAAAGCAGACAACTCTCTCGTAGGATGCTCGAATTGGAAAAGTTTCGAAACGTCGAGTTTTCTGGATAAGATGTGTTGGTCGATAAACTCAAATGCTAAGCGCTTATTACTCGTGTGTGAATGCGCCCATAGAGCGCCGATAATGCTTCTGGCCGCTAAAGCGTAGGCTGCGGTATCTGAAAAATTCTGGCTACGCACCACCTCAATGCCGTCTTCTTTTTTAAGAGTATTGTTGAAATAGCGCAATCTCCCCAGTGAAAGTTGCACAGGTTCACCCTTTAAGTAACGCTCGAGTACTGTGGTTTCTTCGATTTCGATACCCCAACTCTTGGCAACGTTAGCGAGTACTTGCTCTGAAATGTATGCGTCGACAGCGGCATTAAGCACAACAGTAGGCAGTCTAGGATACTTGAGCAGTACTTGGTGTGTCACATGGTAAGTGAGCAGATTTTTGCCGAAAATGTTCAACCCATGGTTGTCGCTGAGCGCACTTGTAGGTACGCTATTGGGGAACCCCGAGCCTCTTGGTTGGTCGTGCAGATGAAAGGGCAAATGCGAAGAACGGCAAGTAAGACACCTTGCCAGCGTTGAAAGTGAAAAAGTCTCTGGAAGTTGTAATCTCTTGTGTAACGTCACGAGCGAGGGCGATTTCGTCGCAACGTCTTCCGGGACGTGGTTGAAAACGGCTTGCATGTTTCTGTAATATTCTCGATACTTGTCGATTTCCGGAGTTGACAGCTGCGAAGCCTCATTTTGCCTGCTACTCGCGTGAAATTCCTTCACACAGGATGAACGTCCGGTAAGATATCTTATATTGCCGTTAACAGGTACCCTACAAAACTGGGACGAGCACCTTACGAAACCCGCATTAAATCGCACCATTTGATGCTGTGTATCTTTCAATGGTCCAATTCAGCAAATCGATACAAAGATGAAGTAAACGACCCGCTCGCGAGGTCCTTATAGCTCTAAATCAAATACCTCTCAGGCTCGATGATATAGAAAATTTTTTTCAATTTTTCGGAATCTCACTGGGGATAGCTATAGTGTCTGACGGTGAGGAAACAGGGGAACAGTATACTGTAAAGGTCGATTGAGGTTGATTAAATTCATGAGTGCAGTTATGTCTGGTTAGATTTATATGGTCATTTTGTTACGCTGAGAAAATCGCCAGCTTTCTTGGGAAAAAGGCGACCTTCGGTCGTTTTCAAAATGTAAATTGAGTTATCGCAGAGTCCGGTACTGTAGATAGTTGTTAGGACTGTTTCCACGAAAACAAGTCGCTTTATGATCAAATTCTTTTCGTTGATTTGTTATTATTGTGTCTTTTCAAATGCATTTAATGTTTTAGTGTGACGTACAACTTTGGTTGTTTCTTATCCACACTAAGAAAAGCCAATTGGCGAAAAGAGTAAGAAATAACGAACAGCTTTCCATTACCATCACAAATCAACATCCCCTCTTCTGTAAGTCAGTTGACTTCTTTATTATTGTAAACCCATGTATATATGATTATATCCGTGTGTTATCCGCAAATATGTATTTAGAACAGAAATGCAGTGCCAACGATCACTAGTGCGGCGGCCGTAACTTTCCAAATAGAAAGCTTGTACGAGGACGATGCCGAGGACATTCCTGCGACAATGAGTGCAGAATGATTAGCGGACATATTTGAGTCTGCAACACGAGCAATAAATTCTCTTTTGCCCACATCGTATTCCCTAACGACAGCATCTGGAATTTTTTGTAAACCTGGCGTTTGACCGCCCGTAACGCCCATGGCAGCGGCGGCAACGTCGACAGTAGGCGTGCACGCAGATTTGGCATTTTGCCATTGTTGAATTGTTTCAGCCACAAACTGTGAGGTTTCCGCAGAACTTATGAACTGCATCGCTTCGAAACGCAAACCTTGCATAGCCGCGTAACGTGTTTCTAGTAACAACCAGAGTCCCTTGGCACTTTGCAAGCTGTCCTTCAGGTCCTTATTTTGCAAAGAAAACGAAAATAGGGACAGCATGTATCGGTACAACTGGCGCGCGATTGGCATCGAATAGAACAAAGTCTTGACTTGTTCAAAACGCACTTTCATGATTTCGTTGGATCCCGCAATTTTTCTGAGAGACACAGTTTTCATTGAACGGCCTGCGACTTCCATCAAATCAAGTGCTGTAAATTCTTCCTTTTGTAACTCGGTTCTTAGAGCCGTCATACCCTTCAACACTAGATTCTCCATAGCCTTAAGATTTATCTTGTAAGAAAGAATAGCATCGAATATGGTCGGGGTCAAATCTAGACATGGCTGAGTAGCATTTAAAGCGTTAAAGTTATACTGAGAGTCGACAAACGTCTCGAAGGTAGTAGCCCCCTGGATTGGGGCTAGAAGCGTGAAGCAAAAGAGAAATATCTTAATTAGATTCATAGCCTTTAAATTTGATAGATTTTGAGAAGCTCAGATTCTGAATACAAAGACCAAGAAGAGAAGAGCATATTCTGTTTTGCGGGTCTTTATATGTGTCCGTCTCGACTCCAAATACTGGCGGCGTCACAAAAAGTGAAAAGCGACTTTCCGACGCTATGCCAGTAGATATATACCTAATACTCCAGGTTCTAATAGAACCTGGGCGTGTGGCGTAGTTGGTAGCGCGCTCCCTTAGCATGGGAGAGGTCATCGGTTCGACTCCGGTCTCGTCCATTTTTTAATTTTTTTTGGACATTAATTTCTCCTTGTTGAGATTATCAATGAAGCGGATACATCTCATCCATCTAATTGATGAGATATGATGATATAAGTGGGAAATTATAAATGCTGGGATTCTTTTCTACTGTAAAACGTGCGTATTCTGCGTTTCCAGCCACTGCTTTCCATCCAACCATATATGCGTTGTCCACACCGCAAGGTCAGCGGTCGGCTCTCGCCGTTATACGGATAACTGGATCGCACTCGCAATACGTTTATCATCGCATAACTCGATCTTTAAAACACCCAATTGCCCGACGAGCGTCACTCAGAGCACTTTATGATCCGCAGGAAAGTCGCGAAAGTCTTCTTGACAGCTCAGTAGTACTTTTTTTCCAATCTCCGCTTTCGTTCACCGGCGAAGACATGCTCGAGCTCCATGTGCATGGGGGAAAAGCCGTCGTAAGCAAAGTTCTCAAGGCCCTTGAAGCGCTCAATAACCCCGAGCATAATATAAATATTCGGTATGCTGAAGCAGGCGAATTTTCCAGACGTGCGTTTCAAAATGGGCGCATGGACCTCACGCAAATCGAGGGCGTTGGCAAGCTTATCGATGCAGAAACTGAAATGCAAAGAAAAAGCGCGCTTTCAGGGTCTACTGGTGAGAATAAACTTCTGTTCGAGAAGTGGAGAACGCGAATTTTATCTAATGTAGCCAAAATTACTGCAATAATCGATTTCGGCGAAGATTCAGAGATCGAAGACATCGAACGCGTTCTATCATCGGTTGAGGGCGATATATCAGAATTAGCACAGGAAATTTCAGCATTTCTCACAAGAATTGAGCGTTCCAGTCTCGTTGAGAACGGAATTCGATTAGCGTTGGTTGGAGAACCCAATGCGGGGAAGTCATCTCTGCTAAATTGTATTACAAACGACGAGACGGCCATAGTAAGCAGCATTCCAGGCACAACACGCGATGCAATAGACGTGGTGCTCGACATAGACGGTTACAAAGTAGTAATCTGCGACACAGCGGGCATAAGAGACGGAAGTAAGGACGTGATTGAAGTCGAAGGTATCAAAAGAGCCAAGTTGAAGGGTTCCCAAAGCGATATTGTTCTACTTGTTCTCGACGCTTCGAAAAAGCCACTTATTAAATCATCTCTGCTAGAATACATCAAAAATGAAATGAGGAGTAAAAAAGTCGTCATTGTGCTCAACAAAACCGACATCACTGATGCGGAAAGTCTGCAGACGATCAAGAATCGCATTTTAGATAAACTTTTCGTGGGCACCACCGTGATACCTGTGTCTTGTCTCACTCATAGTGGCGTGAGTGAGCTTATCGCTGAATTGACCCAGGAGTTCAAGAAGCTGACCATGTACGAAGACGGCAAAGTTCTTGTATCAGTTTCTTCCAGAGTGCGAGCCATCTTGAAAGAAGACGTTATACGCGGAATTCACGACTTCAAAACCTTTTACCATGTGGGTGACGAAGTGATGGCCTCGGAAAACTTGCGTATGGCAGCGGACGGAATTGGTAAAATCACGGGCGACGCCATAGGAATAGAAGAAATTCTGGGTGTAGTATTCTCGAGTTTTTGTATCGGTAAATAGTTCACACAATGCGTCCGCGCGAAAGCCGGTTCTCAGCCAATTCCTTTTTAACTTTAAATTCTCGAAGAACTTCATCAATTTCGTCCGCCAACTTTTCGTGGTATTCCACCACTGTCTCAAGCGCTGATAGCTTTTCGTCGAATTGATCTAAAACGTCCATGGCTCTATCTCTATCCTCATCTCCATTCTTAAGAATGAATTTTGTCTTAAGTTCTTCTAGCTTTTTATAGTTTCTTTCGATGGTTCCCTCAAATCCGGAAATTGCTTCTGCGGATTCAACGTTTGCGATCTCCTGCAATTGAACGATACATGCCTCAAGCTCCTTCTTGAGTGCTTTCTCATTCATGGTTTGTATTTGTTCTTACTACTAGTTTTGATGATTTTTCGAGAATCGCTGATTGATTAATAGACGGAACAAACCCTTTTCAACAGGTATATAAAGAAAGCCCTGGTAACACAGGTGACTCCGGATCAGATTATACATTAAGGCTGTAAGTGCTTGAAAAATTACCAAATAATGTCACAGCCTCCAAAGCCTTTAAAAGTGTCCTACGGAAATAAAGATGATAGGTTTCGGATGTCGGAACCTACGCATAAAGTTCCGATAACGGCGATGTTTTTATGCCAGTTTGATGTGAAAAAGGGTAATTGTCTTGTTTGGTCTCAAACGTGCGCTGGAGTGTCAGATGAAGTGTTGTTCAACATCGAATTCAAATGTCTTCCATCAGGTATTCATGAGCTAGATCAAGATGTAGTTCATTTCGTTGTCCCGAAAAAAGAAGGCGGGAAATCTGGGTTTTATTACGGAGTATCATCTTATCAACAAAATGGACTCTTTTTAGCAGGTGATAGCTCGCATGTGGATAGGTCTCAGGTTGAAATGTTTTCGCTAGGTGTTATTGTCGATCCGGCCTTCCGGAACGTCGGAGTGTCAAGAAGCAAATTTTACGACTGGAAACCTAATCAGCTCGTCAGTGCAAGCGAGTATATCGACGATCTACAAAGGCTTTTATCTCACTGGCGAAAGAGCAATAAGAACGGCGATTTCGAAGTTTTTGAAGAGTTTTTCGACTCGAACTGTTTGAAAGATGATCTGAAGGGGCTATCGTCGCCAGTATTGCAGCGTAAATGGCAGAATGCCGGAAAATTTATAAGTGACGATTCAGAACCAGAAAGGCACCCTCACATGCTCGAAAATCTGACTCGATGGGTCTCGTACTTAGGTCCGTTGATATATCCGTTATGGAAGGCCAGTTTAATGCGAGAAAGAATACTGATCGTGGGTGGTAGCGGGGTTTCATTTGATAAATGCGACGCACTAACGTACTGTTTGTCTATACTGTCACTAATTCCTCGGTCATTGGAGGACAAGCTTATAGTGGATCCGCTACAGCCTCTTTTCTCCATTGGAATAACAGATACCGATTTTCTGACTGAATTGGTATCGCAAGCTCTCAATAGTGACAATGAGGACTACCAGATCCCAGGATTCTTAGCTTGCACTACTGATGAAATTCTGGAGTTCAAACCTGAACTCTACGATATTCTTTTCAAAGTAAATGATCAACAAGGTATACCGGAAATCAGGAAAGCAGATAGTTCGCAAGTTAAAGCAACACCTCACGAGCTAGAGGCATATCAATATTTAATGCAGACGAAAATGGGGTACTCGCTTTCTGCAGAAGAACTTCAAAAAATAAATAAACTGGTTGAACCAACAAGCTGGTCTCAATACCTGATTGATGGGTTTTACTGGTGGGCCACTGCCGGTTACATGAAACCTTCATACCATGAAAATGAAGACAAACCTCTTGAGAGTGCTGATAGCGAAAACATAGAAGTGGTAGTGGCCCTGGTTGGATACTTTCATGAAAAGACTTGCCTCATCTTCCAGAAATTAAGACAAGTTATCGAAAACAGCGATGATCCAAGCCACGTAATTATTCCTGCTGCTTTCTTAGGCGAAGTAGGTCTTGATTGTTTCAGTGTCCAAGATTACGAATTCATAGAGAAATTGGCAAGGAAATGGTTCCAAGTTGAAGTGCAAGTTTCGCAAGTCGATATGAGACTTCTATGTTAATGCTTCATAAAGTTACGACGAGTATTTAGGAATTTATACAATCAACCATACGCTGCCAGCGATAATAGTTAAACCTATGACAGCAGTGATTATACCAGCTGCCGCTCTTGATCCTGCTGTAATATCCAAGGGGCTTAAGTTTGTTGGCGCTTGCTCCGTTCCGGCAGCTCCATTTCCAATGGATGAGCCCCCTGTTGTTGCTGTGTAAGGCGCCGGCCTTTGCAAACAGCGCAAATTCTGCATGACTTCCAGAGCGGCCATTTGTTCACCTAGACCGTACCAGCCATCCCATCCGTCATAAAACCAATTTAATCCACAGGTGTGGCCATCATAACCACCAGAACAGGATTGGGCAGCTCCTTTAGCGGAAGTTTCTAGCCATTCCATGATTTGGGGTCTTGTTTCGGGTACAAGCTGAGCAGTCAATCCCAAAAAGCGAGAAAAGTACGCTTTGAAGGACCGCTGGTCGTTGTTACAAGAAACACTAGTTTTTCCTTGACATGCAGACTCAAAGAGAACACTATTATTGAAAAAAATCACCGATGAATTCAAAAATTCTTGAGTTCTAGAGTGCCAGGTTTCATTTCCAGTCATATTGTAAAGATAAGCGGAGCCAGACATCAAAAGACCTTGATTGTAGGTCCAGATCAAAGGCGTGATAGCTGTACAGTTGTTTTCGACACTTGCACCGTCATAAACAAAACTGTACTGGCCCTCTGTAATCAGTTTGATACCTCTCATCCAGTCGAAAACTTTTTCGGCCCAGTCAGCATAGGTCTGGTTGCCCGTGTACCGCGCCAGACGCGCAGCCAAATGGAAAAGGGCACCGTTTGAAACCGTGTTTTTGTAATCGTAACCCGAGTTCCACTTGAAAATTTGCCATCTGAGACCCCCACCGCAGGTGTCCGTGTCCCAACGAAGAGCCATGGTGTTGAACACGGCCTGTGCTAAATACAGCCATTGGGGCTCTGTTGAGTTCGGATTAGTGAAGTTTCTTTCGGCCGCGGCCATGACAGCGAGCCCCCAAAACGCTTGATCGTCATTTCCCTCTGTGGTCGACTGATTAAGCGGAATGTAATCGTGATTATCACCCGTTTGGTACAGCAGGGCTTGCGATATAATGTCGTTGTACGTATCGTTCTCCATGTAGAACCAGTAGTCCAGCATCGAACCCCACGCTCCACCAGCTTCCCACCAGTAATATGGGTTCGCAAACATACCAATAGTCTCGCCCTTTTGGAGCCCGTTGTAATAATCCATGAGACCGTACGCAATCAGCGCTGTAGCGTTTTGTACCGATGCTAAACTATCCGGGTCAAGTTCCACACCCAAACAAGTCTTCGAAAGCCATAGTAGACCACTAATAATCGGCACCAGTACCCTCATAATGTCATAGATTGTTTTCCTATTTTGAGCCTTCTTGATGGGCCGTTGAAGATCAATAATTTGAATTTTGATGAGCCTTTCGTGCACGATGCTAGTCTTTAAATAGGTTCATGTCACAGTAGACGAACATCAACATTTTTACCCATTTAAACCCGGAATTGTCAACGCGAAGCAACGCGAAAACCGTTTTGATTCGAATTGCTCGATAGTATACATGTTAACTGCCAAAGGAAATCCTAGTGTACGCTGTAAAGGTGGAAACAGTAGACGCATTTGTCTGAGTTGTAGAACTTTTGGGTGATACGCCTTATCTCTGCAAGGTCGTTGCTCTTGATGAGATGGTCCGTAGGTCTCGCGTGGTGTCCCCAGTGCGTCTGTTATTGTATCTCTTGTATGTCGCACGGTGAACCCCTCCTTTCAATCATCCGTTCAGGGCACGTAATACAAATTACCGCGTATCGCATTCCCACCGCCTACCCGGGAAAGACCCCAGCACATCAAGACCATCATCAAAATTCTGATAATTCACTCCACATAGTACGCTCGCCCAAGTTAGAATCCCAGGGATTTACATACGGCTAGTTTCACGCGTCTAATGAATTCCGGTCTGTTGTCACGCCACAGAATACAAGCGTCAATGTTTGCCCCTGACTCGACATTGGGCTCGCTCAGCATACTCGTAACGCTCAGCAAAATCTTCTCAACGCTCTGCACAGGTGACCACCTCTCTTCTGCTAACTCGTACATGTTTGGGTCCTCACCTGGCGAGTGCAGAATCGATATACACACTTCACCGTTGGGATAAATGTTGGGATGCAGAATGCTGGGTGTAAACACTAATCTTGGTGGAGAAAGAGGGTAATCCCGTGGAAACTCGAGTGTAGCATTGAACACTCCACCTTCGTAAGGACTGTCAGGAGGCCCGCTTATCAAGCAATCCCATAAAAACAGATCGTTTTCGTTTTTCGGCCCTGCTACAATTCCTTCGGGACTGTCCTTCATAAGCTGCTGTAGTTCTTTCAATAGCCGTCTCTGTGCTGTTTTCGACATGTTAGCTTGATTATAGGATGTAATGGTTGACTGCGGGCTCTATATCAATAGCTTTGGATCAATGGCTTTAAATGGCTTCCAATAGTGGTGGTTCCTTTTAATTGTTGAGATCTAGAAGTTGAAAAAGTCGAAGTCATCACCCATCTAACTCTGTTATAAACACTGGAAAAGAACAACACTTAAAGGGTCGGGTCACCATTATCAGCATCTAACTGACGAGCTTGCTGGTCCCCTCTTGAGACCTTTCTATAAGTCTTCTTCAAACTCTGTTTAAAAGCATTCGGATCCTGAGAAACAATAGAAGATTATAGATTTTATTCACGTTGGCCGAGCGTCGAACAAATACAATGATAATATATGCTGGAGACAAATATGCATGTGTATCGTGCATCCGGGGTCACCGGTCGTCGACATGTAAACACAGCGATCGCATGCTGGTCAAGGTCAGAACCAGAGGTAGACCATCTGCGCAGACGGTGCGTAAAGTGATCTTGGTCGATGCAGATTCGCAAGTTAAGCCCAAAGAACACTCGCCAACACCAATGACAGGCTGCTGCCCGAATTCAGAAGTGTCGATGGATAACCAGCCGATTCTTTTCATGAGGGCTGCAAGCACCAAAAAGGCGTTATTGGTGGGTGGTGCCTTGCGAATAATGACTGAGGATGAATCGTTGCAAAACGACAAGAAATACTCCTATGTGAGCGAAAGTGAGTATCTACGCAAGTATGCGCCTCGAGCTAGTCCTACTACCGGTCTTCCGACGAATGGTGAGTCCTACAACTACTTAGAAAGAGGTAGCGATATCCATGCACAGGTACCTTCACAGTTGTCCTCGCAAGTCCCGGAGCCCCAATTTAGGACAAAATCCTGTTGTTCTCAAAAATTTAATCTCGTTGAGGCTCCGAGATCGCTTTCCAACGCAACTGCCGAACTCGCTTCAGAACATTTCAAAGAGCCTGTCAATGATGAAAATTCTACTGTTCAACTATTTACTCACAAGGGACTCTTTCTGAGCACCCAATGCGGTTGCAAAGACGATAGCTGTTTCTGTGACAATTGTCTTTTGCATCGGAAAGAAGAAGAAATCGAATCCTACATTTCTCAGAGCGGTGTACCGCTGTCGACTCTCGGCAACGGGAAGGTGACATACCCGGAGGAGAGCGTTTCGGACATTACTTTTGATTGCAAGGATAACTCAGAGAGCTGTTCAACCGATCTCTGCCTAATTCATCCTCAAGAAGTTGTGCCCATGAATCGGTTGCTTCTGTATGGCCTATTCAACACCATTTTAAAACCCAAAACTCTCATAAACTATCGCCAAAAACTCATACCCTCTAAATATTGGTGGAGTTTATTAAAGGAAGAAGTCCCAGCGATGTCCGCTGCCGAGCTTAGTGGGCTTGATATTCTGGGTTCTTTTGACGACATTCTACAGACTTATGGCAAATGGCTCCCGAGTGAGTATGATTTTAAAAACAGTTTTCTGAATGGTGTCGAATCAATGATAAATGGTCCTTTCACCAGAGATGGGATATGAATGCTTAAACTCTAATCAGACACGCCCGAATGCCTTGTTTATAATCGCTGCCTCACGTTTCCCGCTCTCCCATGCTCCGTAGACACAGCCTGCACCATCCATAATGGTATGTTCGCCAGCAAAGCGAACCCTGGCATGTTCATCAGATGTCAGCGCGATAACCAGATCAAGCGGGTCATCTCCAGGAAAACAAGCAGAGTAAGCACCACGGGAATACACTTCTCTTGTCCATCTTGTCCATATAATATTCTTTAACACGGGAGAATCATCTGCTTTTTCAGGCCTCACGCCCTCTAAATCCAATTCGATTGCTTTTGTGCAGCTCAGCTCTTCGAGCAATCTCTTGAGGATGGGCTCAAAAAATTCGAAAACTTTTACCGGATCATCCAGCGACTCAATGTAAGCCGTCAGCGGTTCCTGCATCAACATGACAAAGCTCGGCACTCCAGTGGTCTTGGCCAAGTTTACGAAGAACAATGGGAAATCCCAAGCCTGACCGTTTTTGTAATTGTACTTCGTGTCGTGGCCCAATGTATGTATGAGTGAATTCAAGTCTCGAGCTTGCCTCACACTATTAGCAAAGGAGGAATTTGATTGTCCCAGGGAAACAATCTTTGGGAATTTTTTCGACCAACAGCACGTTTCAAACTCGAAAATGACTTTCCCCAAAGATCCGTAGTGTGTTTTGTTCAGGGCCCGGACGATTTTGCTGTCCAGAGGCGGATCGAATTTTATCCTGGCTGCTTCGTCTTTATCGTGCAATGAAAGCTCCAAAATGCTCTGCGGAACCGTGACAATCACGTAATCACATTTGTATAGCAACCCGTCCGCGGTCTTGACTAGAACGTTACGTCCTTGCCGGCTAATTTGATTAACGGATGTATTGAGTCGAAAGTTGTCCTGCGGTATAGTTCTGGCAATGCGCTTGACGATTTTGTCGTAATGTAGAACTAGAGCATTTCTCCCCTGATGAACTATTTCGAGAAATTTGGAGCTCTGAGTTTTCCAATCGATACCATGCCACAGCTCTAAGAATCGGCTAGCCTGAGGTAAGTACTGAATTTGTTCGTCGCTTAGAAGATCCCGCCGCTCGAAAAGATATCGCACGACCATTTCGAAGTAAGAACAATCTTTCGCGTCAACGTCTTCAAGAAATTGAAGCTCTAAAAACCGCATTAACTCTTCATTGAGTATTTCTAGTGTTAATTCGGGGTCCGAATCAACACGTCCTCGAGTCTTGTCGAACATCAATGGCAGAAAATCGTCAAAAACGTATCCTGCCTGCTCCTCTTTCTCGAGGCTTAATTCCTCCAGGAAAAGACCATTCACAAGAGTATCATGGTGCCAACTTGCCCCCAGGTCGTATTTTCTACCTTGGTAACCTGTAACAGTGTGAAGTCTTCCGCCAAGTCTATCGCGAGCTTCAACCAGAAGACACGAGGTACAACCGTGCTTTATGAGATCCGAGATCGCTTTCAGTCCCGATATACCACCACCGACGACAAGGGTCTCAACCTCAATGAAGGAGTCCGCCATCTCGTTGTCGACAGATCCACTGTTGGACTAGCACTCGACTAGTAGCTGATGACGGGATGGAAGTGTCCGATTTATGGAGATTTTTCGTACAAGAGTACTGACACGTAAACGCGTAAACGCGTGAAATTGAATGTTCATCTCCATTCATAGGACTTAGCGCAAGTAGAACACACTAATCAGTGCGATCTAACGCCTCAAAACTAGCTTTAGATATGTTTAGGCAGGTCAAGAAACGTGTCTCTTCAAGAAGGAATTTCGACGATTCGCCCAATGGTATGATATTAGGAGGACAGGGTGCAGAAGAAGAGCAGAAGTTATACAGCAGCTTATATGAAACCAAATTGTCATTCTACGAATTCCCACCGCAAGGTGAAATCACGCTAGATCAATTCGAAACATGGGCCATTGACCGTCTCAAAGTTCTTTTGGAGATCGAGTCCTGCATACAGCGTAGCAAAACTGGTAAAGAGACGGAACTGATCATAAAGCCACTTTTCCAAAAGCTGCTGCCATTCAACACCGACAACCTTGAGGACAGGAAAAAAGATTACTACTCGCATTTCATCCTGAGACTATGTTTTTGCAGGACCAAGGAGTTGAGGGAAAAGTTTGTAAGGGTCGAAACGGCGCTCTTCAAAATACGTTTTAACATGATGACCTCTCATGAGCAGTTGCGGTTTGTGGAACATTTGAAGCTGCCGGATATGCAGTTTATCACCGAGGAAGAAAAACAGGAGCTAGCTACTCAACTATACCAGACGATGTCACCAGTTCTACAGTTTCAGCTGAATTTGACAGATGAAAACCAAAGGAGACAGTACTTCAAACAGGAGCGATTCATCAAGCTCCCTTTTGAGTCCGTAATGGAACTAGTAGGAAGTAGACAGGTTTTCGTGAAAAGAGGGTTTGCGTATCTGCCTCAGGTGCAGCAGATAAACCACATTGCCAACGAATTCGCCACTCGATTAGAAGCGGATCTTTTAGCAACTTTCCAGAACTTACCGAAGCTCAATGAAGACGACAGACTCCTACCAGTTTTACATCATTTGTCTTCAGGCTACACGGTTGCGGATTTTCAACACCAGGAGCAATTCGGACAGTCCTCGCAGGGCGAAGTGACCGCTGCTTCTGTTCACACTCACGAGGTGAAAGACAATTTCCCGCTTTGCGCCGAAAACCTCATGGAAGCGTTAGAGAAAAACCACCATTTGCGGTACCAGGGCCGTCAGCAACTGTCGTTTTTTTTGAAAGGCATCGGCATGGGCGTCGACGAGGCTCTGAAGTTTTGGTCGGATGCGTTTACGCGTGGCGGGTACATTACTATTGACAAATTTAACAAAGAGTACAGGTATAATTTCAGGCACAACTACGGTCTAGAAGGGAATCGGATCAACTACAAGCCTTGGGATTGCCGGACGATTTTGTCGAAACCCCGTCCTTCGCGCGGCGAACATCACGGTTGCCCCTACAGGGATTGGAACGTTGAAAGACTGACGGCAAAACTGTCGCAAGCCATGAACCTCACGCCGGCACAAGTAACGAGCGTTTTGGACAGTGTTCGCAGAACGGAATACACGGTAGCGTGCACAAAAGTGTTCGAGATGACGCACGGCGGTCAAGTCGGGGTCGAAATCAACGACCAGACGCACATCGCGCATCCTAATCTGTACTACGAACGGTCGAAACAATTGCAGAAGGGCGTGCACTAGCCGTCCAGGGCGTTGATGTCGTACCATTGGTCGAACCATTGCAGATGCGCAAGCAAATTGTTTTCGGCGTCGTAAAACGGATTGTGCACGTCCTGCCGGTCCTGGTCGAGCGTTGCGAGGCGAGAGTCCGGCGATTGGTCGTCGTCGACTTTCCCGAACTGTCGAAACTTGTTGCGGTTGAGCGAGTTGTCGTTGTGGTCGAACCCGACCTGCGACTTCAGCGCCTGCGAGCACGTCTTCATGCGCAGGTAGCTCATGTGCGCGAGCATTTTCAGGCACCACAGACACTCGCCGACCATGTTGGGCGGGTTTTGCGGATGCGACGCGGCGATGAAGTCCCACATGTCGCTACAGACGGCGATCAGTTCGCGCGACTCGGTGCTCCTGACTCCGGCTTGCGTAAGCGCGATTCCGGCCAGATTGGCCGAGAACAGCAACGAAAGGTTGAGCCACCAAGGCTGGAAAAACTGCGAATCTGCGCGCACGGCTTGCAGCAGACGGACGGCCCGGTTGCCAAAACGCAGCAACGCCGACGCGTTCAACGGCCACGCGGACGCCAGGCCCTCGAGGGTCGCGTAGCGCGCGTAGCGCGCGACGCTTGCGTCGCCGGGCGGCTCGATCAGCTGGAAAACGCCCCGTAGCTCGAGCGTCAGCCGCACGTCGACGTACGTGAGCGACACCTGTGCTCCGCACAGGTCGCCGAGAAGACCGCCTGCGTCGCTGCCACCGTCGCTGCCACCGTCGCGCGCACCGTCGCCGGCCGCGTCACCGCAGCCGTGCCGTGCCTCCCACTGGTCCAGCCGGAGCAAAACCGCGTGCGCCTCGTCGATAGTGAGCTCCTGCCCGTCCCGTTTTTGGCAATCCGCCACGATCAGCGACAGCTCCCACATGGCGACCGCCTGCGGCGTGAACCAGTCCTCCGCGCCGCTGCAGCGCGGGCCGTCCATCTGCGGCGACGGCGCCGGCAGCTGCGGGAATCGACCCATCTGGAAACTGAAGATCTTGTCCGCGACGAAGCACGCCCAGAAACAGTAGCGCGCGCGCTGCTCGTCGTACGCACTGTGGTTCTGTGGGAAGCGGTTCAGGTACAGCGCCATGCCGTTGCACATGTGGATGGCCCGGCCCAGCGCCTGCCAGCACGACGTTTGCCGGTGGCACGTGCGCAGGTAGCTGGCCACTAGCAGCCAGCCCTGGATCAGCTCGAAGGACTCCCATTCGAACGAGAGCTGCGAGATGACGCGGAACGCGAACGCGAACAGCCGCTCCTCCGTGCCTGCAGGCACGGCGGTGCGCTCCGCCTCGTCCCAAATGACCTGCTCGTTCTCGGCCCGGCCCTCGCAGAACCGGAGCGCGGTCGCCATCATGAGGTGCAACAGCGCGGCGAACAGATCGCTGCTGCCCTGGGGCTCGTCGAGGACGCCGCTGCGGAGCTGCTGCCGGAACACGCGCTCGTGCACGAGCGCGAGCACCGGGTTGACGCGGGCGAAGTACACGTCGACGAGCTTGAGCGCGACGGCGCGCTCGAGGGGCCGGGCGAAGTTCCATTGCCAGGGCGGGGAGTCGAGCCGCTGGGGGCCGAGGTAGTGGCGTCCGGACATGTTCCAGCCGTAGTTCTGGACCCTCGGCGGCTCGAGCGCGTGGTCGCGCGCGACATTCTGCGGGATTGCCTGCAGGAGTGCCTGGCCCAGGTAGAACGGTAGGAAGTTTTGCGGCCGGCGGTGGAAACGGTACTTGTCGGGCGAGAACGTCTGCCAGGGCGAAGGCACGGCGGCAGACGCGGGCGCGCCGGCGCCCGCGTACGGGGACGTCTGTGCAGATCCGTGCATCGGCTCCTCGCGTGCCTGTGCGCGTGCCTGCGCGGCCGCGTGCGCCGCGTACACGCAGACGACGTCGTGCCGCACGCAGTTGCTGCAGGGCTGGTCTCCGTCGCATTTGACTTTTCTGCGTTTGCACGTGACGCACGCCTTGCGCACGCGCGCGCGCTGGCGCTGCGCGTCGGGGTGTACGGATGCGGACATGTTGGCTGCTGCGCAGACGCTGCTGGGGCGGGCCGCGCGGCGCACGGCCGCGATATATACAATGCACGCGGGCGCGGCGGGCGGCGGGGCGGCGGCCAGAGAGGGACGCGGGCGCCCTGCGGGCGCCCTTCCCAACCGGGTAAAGACGCGCCCCGCGCCGGCTATCGCAATCGCGACGCGGCGCGACGCGGCGCGTCGCGGCGCCTTCGCCAGGCACGGCGGCCCGGCGGGCGCAGTCACGTGGCCGCCCCGCGCCGCTCTGCGTGAAATTTTTGTCGCTGCATATAAACACGCGCTTCGTGCGCCCTTCGCTGCGTGGGCCTAACGCACGTCCCGCATCCGGTGCGCTGCACATCCTACATACATACCATGCCTAACGAACATCTTCAGTACACAGCTCACGGCCAGCCGCAGCAGCAGTCACAGTCGCAGTCACAGTCACAGCAGCAGCAGCAGCACAACAAGTCGCCGGGGTTCATGCCCCAGCTACAGCAGGCACACGGCCAGCAGATGGCCGCGACTAACAGCCCCTACCCGTACGTCGCGCACGACCACTGGCAGTACGGGAACAGCCCGCAGGTGTACGCGTACTACAACGGCGGCGGCGGCGCGGGCGCCGCCGCGCAGGACGCGTCACGTGGCCACGGCGCGGGCGAGCCGGGTCACCCGGGCTCCGCGCAGCCGCCGCAGCAGCAGGCACAGCCCGCCGCGGCTGGGTACTACTGGCACTACCCGTCTGCCGCGGAGGTGCAGCCCTACGGGTACTCCCCCTACGGCTACTTTCCGTCGTACGCGGCGCCGGCCGGGCTAATGGCCGGCGAAGACCCAGACAGCAAGGCGCACGCGGCGTCGTACTTCCGGCATTACGGGTCGTCCGCGGGCTACCAGTACCCCGGGTTCCAGGCCAAGCAGCAGCCCTACGGCGGCCCGCACGAAGAGAACGCCGCAGCCGCGGCGGCGGCGGGCGCGGGCGCGGGCGCGTCGCCCGGCGCTAGGCGGAGATACCAGCAGCTGCATTCGACCGACGCGCTCGGCGCGCTGGGCGCGATAGCCGCCGACACCGCGTCGCAGGTGCAGCAGCACCCACAGACGCCCGCGCACCAGATGCCGCTGATGCACGGGCTGTACGGCGGGCCCGAGCCCGGCGCCGCGGCAAGCGCGTACGGATCGGCGGCCGGGTCTGTGTCGGTGTCCGGATCTGCGTCCAGCATGGGAGCCGCGGCTCCCGCGGCCGCCGCGCGGCCGCGCGTCACCACGACCATGTGGGCGGACGAAAACACGCTCTGCTACCAGGTGGAGGCGAACGGGGTCTCGGTCGTGCGGCGCGCGGACAACGACATGATCAACGGCACCAAGCTGCTGAACGTGGCGCGGATGACGCGGGGCCGCCGGGACGGGATCTTGAAGGCGGAAAAGATCCGGCACGTGGTCAAGATCGGGTCGATGCATCTCAAGGGCGTGTGGATTCCGTTCGACCGCGCGCTCGCCATGGCGCAGCGCGAGAAGATCGCGGACCTGCTGTTCCCGCTGTTTGTGCGCGACATCCAGAGCGTCATCCAGCAGGGCGCGTCCTCGACGACGCTGGTGCCGGGCCTTTCGTCCGGGGCCGCGCACCACGGCGGCGGCCTGCACCACCTGCACACCCAGCAACCCCAGCATTACCATTCGGCCGCCGCCGACCCCGTGCACGTGTACCAAGACCAGGGCGCGGCGCTGCCGCCCCCGGCCGCGTACGGGTACCACTCGGTCGACTCGCCGTACGGGCGGGGCTCGCTTGCTCCTGCCGTGCATACGCCGCTGGCTGACGCCAGCGGCGGCGTTCCGGGCGTTCCGGGCGTCACAGCCGCGGACAGCATCCCGGACCGCGATCCGAGCGCCGGGGTTGCGCCTGGGTCAGTTTCGCCGCCGGCGGCTGCGGCGGCAGCCGCCGCAGCCGCGGCCGCGGGTGCGTCCGTGGACCACGGCGTCACAAAGACAATGGGCGGTGACGGCCCCGTGCACGACGCAGAGCTGCCAGAAACCCACGGACACGCATAGACGCCGGGAGGAGGTACATACGTAAGCGTTACGTGACCCTGCGCTCTTGGGTCTCGAAACCTACACATAGGTCTTTTTCTGTATCGTGGGGCAGCATTCTGTGCGACGCGTGCCCGCTACGCGTCGCGGACACGCGTCGCAAAAAACAGTGCCATTCTTGTACTTCCTCGATGATCTCAGTCAGCCCGCCTGGGGTTCAGCTGAAATCACATCGACCAACAACCAAAAGCTTGTTGATATAGGTTACGTCCCGAGCCGCACACGATGCTCTAGACAATTCTCGACGTGTTACAACCCCTTGGCCGGCTCGAGGAAAAAAAACGCCTTCGCGACAACTCATTTGCGACTCACCTTTTTCGTTCTGAGTATGAGTCTTACCCGGCAACGTAAAGTAGGGCCCGGTCTCCGGAGTCACGCGCGACGACCACTTTTCGGGTTGTTCTCCGTGTTAGGACCGCGGAAGACAATTGCGGAAACCCGCTGACTTCGAGGGCATCGAGATTTGTAAACACGCATCTAAGACGGGATTACTTCCACTAGCTGCAGCGCTAAGGGACTCTCGCGGCAAAAGGGACCTCTGAAAGGACTCGTTGCTAGGGGTAGGCCATGTCCGCGTTTAGGCCGATGCACCATTACTAAGTGACGAAGTCACAGTACCGCGCTGAGGCGCAGGGAGCTGGAGATGGCGAAGAGTATTTGAACAGAGCAATTGCAAAGCTATAGCTGAGTGTCTACCTTGCAAGTTCAGAGACAAACTACAACATCAATCAAGTCGGCAATGTACGTGGAAAAATTCAGAAACTCGTTTGCCGTTGACTTGCTCGAGTTGACAGGGCTTGTCAAACTACCACACAATTTTCAAGAACAGCAGGCAGGGGCTAAGACCGATGACGTCGATGGGCTTGCCGCTGTAGAGCTGGCCGAAGAGGGCCGCGCCAAACCACATGAAGACTCAAACGGTGAACTGCCCGGCGATGTCGTACAAGACGTAGACACAGACACTGCTTCTGCAACGGGGTCCGGGTCTGCGTCGGCGTCGGTAGACCTCGAAAAAAATGACGCCGAAAAGGCGTCGAACCAAACGTCGGACCGCGACGTGGATCCGTTTCTCGTTGGGTGGAACGGCGCAGACGATCCGGAAAACCCAATGAACTGGAGCAAGGGCAAGAAGGGCCTGGTCGTTTTCCAGATCATGCTGCTCACGTGCGTGACGTACATGGGCGCGTCCATCTACACGCCGGGCCAAGAGCAGATCCAGCACGATTTCCACGTGGGCCACGTCGTTGGCACCCTCAACCTGTCCATGTACGTGCTAGGTTACGGGCTGGGTCCCATGATCTTCTCGCCTTTGTCTGAGGTGGCGATCATTGGCCGCCAGCAAATATACATCTTCACGCTGCTCGCGTTCATGATCTTCCAAGTCGGTGCCGCCACGGTCAACAACATCGGCGGGCTCGTCGTGATCCGATTCATCAGTGGTATATTGTGCTCGCCCTCGCTGGCGACGGGTGCCGCTAGTCTCGGTGACTTTGTTGACCCCCAGATCGTGCCCGTTTTTGTCGGTTTGTGGGCCATTGGCGCAGTCGCGGCGCCAGTGCTCGCGCCCTTACTCGGTGCCGCCATGGTCGTCGCCAAGGGCTGGCGATTCATCTTCTGGCTTCTAATGTGGCTCTGCGCTGCGACCTCGATCGTCTTGATCTTCTTCTTCCCCGAAACCCAACATGAAAACATTTTGTACCGTCGTGCTCGCAGGCTGAGAAAAGCGACTGGCGACGCGCGTTACTACACCAAACAAGAACGCGCTGACAGTCATATCGAATTCAAGGACATTCTATTGGACACTTTCTATCGTCCTTTAAAAATCATGGCTTTGGAGCCGGCCGTTCTCGCGTTCGACATCTACATTGCGCTTTGTTACGGTGCTTTTTACCTGTTCTTCGAAGCCTTTCCTCTCGTGTTCATCGGGATCTACCATTTCACATTAGTCGAAATGGGACTTGCCTACATGGGGTTTTGCGTCGGTTGCGTAATTGCGTACATCTCACTGCTGGTTTTCCTTGCTAAAGTCATCGCACCTAAATTCAAGAACAATACTTTCACCCCAGAGGCATTCCTTCTACTGGCGATGTACGTGTGCTGGGCATTGCCATTGTCGTTGTTCCTTTTTGGGTGGGCTGCTGGCGTGCACTGGATTTTGCCCATCATTGCCGAAGTTTTTTTCGTGTTGAACGTCTTCAATCTTTTCCAAGCTTCGTTCGCGTATTTGGCAATTAGTTATCCTCGTTATTTGGCTTCCGTTTTTGCAGGAAATGGTTTCGCGCGTGCCGGGTTTGCATGTGCGTTCCCACTTTTCGGTCAAGCCATGTACAAGAATCTGGGGAGTGAAAAATACCCAGTCGGATGGGGTTCTTCCTTGGTAGGGTTTTTCTGTATCGCACTTGCGGCAATCCCCTTCGTGTTGTATAGAATTGGACCAAAACTTCGCGGTAGGTCTCAATACGCTAACTAATGGATATACGTACTAATATACTTTAAATTTCGAAACGATTATGCTAAGGCTCAGGTGAGCCGCGAATGGTGAAATAATGACTGAGCGCGATGGGTACATAGGTAGCAGTTGATCAATTTGAAAAGATGTGCAAAATGTTCGCGGCTAAGTCCACATTGCCGATTGAACGTGATTAAATCGTCGAATATCACGAATCCTACTCGTGAGAAATGACCATTTCACGAACTCCCGGCTTCGTCCCTAAAGCTAGCATGAGTCTCAGACTTAAGCAGTGAGTAGTACCTCAATTAATGGTTTCCATATACCGGATCATCAGCGGTGAGTATCGAGCAACCTAAAGCACTCTCATATCGTAAAAATGCCAGTCAAGTGGACTACATAACTACATGCGGATGAGTAATTACGGGTATTTACGTTCATAGTGATAATAATTAGCCGCGAACCCGATCTCGAATAATGGTCACTCTAAACTAATTCGTTCGTAGTGCTCAACTCAAGACCACATAAACAATCCACGACGCGTCTTTGCACAACAAGCCGCCCAAACGCGTAAAGAAAAGGAGCACAGGGCGCATCGCACGCAATCACACACACAGCGGCAACAACTCAACCATGAATGCGTCTCCTACTCCTCGTCGGTACGTCTCACGTGGCCGTGATCCCTTGGACCCCGTGTCGGACCGGTTCCGTGCCGGCGATCGCGGCGACAGAATCGTGCCCGAAGAGTATCGCGTAAACTCTCAAATGATCAACACGCTAATCAAACAAAACCGCGAGCTGACCGCCCAGCTCGAGCGCAAACAGGAGGAGCTGGACCGAGTGAACGTACTCGTGGCGTCGTTACGAGGCAAACTCGTCAAGTACACGGAGCTGAATAAGCGGCTCACGCAAAGCGGCGCGGTGTCGCCGCCAGAAGTGATTCAGATCGGCAAGCCACCGGCGGCCAGCGAGCCCTCAGCCTCGGATAACCGTATTCGCGACATCTACGACAAATTGGATGCGCTGACGGCGCTCGTCAGGGGCTCCGCGTCTGCATCTACACCTCTTCATGCGCGAGCGCATTCGCCCGGGCATACACACGCTCCCGCACACGAAGAGGACATCCTCACGATGGAGAGCGCAGAACTCAAGGGACTGGAGGACCAGATAGACGTCTTGAAACGCAAACTGCTCATCAAGCGCGAAAACGAGCTCCGAAAACTTTCTCTGCGTAAAGAACTTTTGGATCTCATGGAAAAACTCGAGGTACCGCAACCCGCACCATATCCAGCAGCTGTGTCGCCCCCAGTGCCCACAGCGTCTGCACCACAAGCCCCCCAGCCCGCCGCCCCGGCCCACTGCGACCACTGCCAGAACGCATCTCGACGCCCAGCAGCTTACAAAGGCGATCACGTGACATCGCATCTTTCTTCACATCCACCACCGGCCGCAGCACAGTCCTACATGTCAATGGCACAAGCCCTAGAAACGCCGACCCCGGCCCGCAATACCTACAATCCCGTGTCAGATCCCCTGTGGTGACTTTCATCGCCGTCTGTTGATCAGCGCAAAAACAAGTCACGTGAACAATCTAAATTATCGCGCGAACGAACCCTTCTTTTTTCTTTCCCGTCTTTGTCATTACGGCCGTCGTCGTTTAGATTAAAGGGCATTTTTTTGCGAGCCTATTGGCGATACAGCTCTTCGAGGCTCGTACCCGCAGGTCGTTTAAGCAGGCTGGATTTTTTTCGCATCTATACAGCATATTTTTTCAATGCTCCGAAAGAGACCATATTTTATTCCCCGTTTGTTACCACCGGTAAAAGGATTGAGAGTCCTGCTGTGGGATATATAAGGATCGTCGAGGCATCCCACTTGGCCATTCTTCTTTGGCAGTTTTGTATCAATTTCACACAACCGACTATTTCACAAGATGAGCTCTGTAAGAGAATTCGCTGCGGAGGCAGCCATTGAGTCCTTGGCAAACAACACGAGCGCTTCGGCTATCAATGTTCAACAAGTGTTGACCTCGTTGCAGTCCATATCATATCTTAAGCTTTTCGTGACATTAGTATGTGTGGGGCTTGTCTGGGACCAGATTTCTTACCAGACCAAGAAGGGATCCATCCCGGGCCCCAGATGGAAAATGTGGCCTGTTCTAGGTCCCTTTTTAGAGTCTCTCGACCCAAAGTTTGAGGAGTACAAGGCCAAATGGGACGCTGGTCCTCTTTCATGTGTTTCCATATTCCACAAATTCGTCGTGATCGCCTCGACCAGAGACCTTGCCAGAAAGATTTTGCAAAGTCCAAAATACGTGAAACCTTGCGTTGTTGATGTCGCTATCAAGATTTTGAGGCCTTCCAACTGGGTGTTTTTGGACGGCAAGGAACATGTAGACTACAGAAAATCCCTGAACGGGTTGTTTACCAAGACCGCCTTGGCTCAATATCTGCCATCCCAAGAACAGGTCATGGACAAATACATCGAGAAATTCGTTTCCATCTCTAAGGACAACAAATACGAACCACAGGTGTTTTTCCACGAAATGAGAGAGATCATGTGCGCTCTGTCACTAAAGGCCTTCTGCGGAAGCTACATCACCGAAGACCAGATCAGAAAAGTTGCCGACGACTACTATCTCGTGACCGCCGCACTCGAGTTGGTCAACTTCCCAATCATCTTGCCCTTCACCAAGACCTGGTACGGTAAGAAAACCGCTGATATGACCATGAAGATTTTCGAGCAATGTGCCCAAATGGCAAAGGATCATGTCGCTGCCGGTGGAGAGCCAACCTGTGTCATGGACGCGTGGTGCAAGCTTATGCACGACGCGAAAACCCACAACGACGAGAACGCGAGACTATTTCACAGAGAATTCTCTAACAAGGAGATTTCTGAGGCCATCTTCACGTTTTTGTTCGCCTCTCAAGATGCTTCTTCTTCGCTAGCTTGCTGGCTTTTCCAAATCGTCGCTGATCGTCCGGACGTTATGCAGAAGATTAGAGAGGAGCAACTTCGGGTCCGTGACAACGATCCCTCGATGCCCTTGTCTTTGGATTTGATCGATAGCATGAAGTACACTTACATGGTTGTGAAAGAAGCCCTGCGTTACAGACCACCTGTCATAATGGTGCCATACGTTGTGAAACAGAAGTTTCCAGTGGCTCCTAACTACTCCGCGCCCAAGGGTGCCATGTTGATTCCAACCCTGTATCCTTCCTTACACGATCCAGAGGTTTTCGAGGATCCCGAGGAATTCATTCCTGAGAGATGGGTCGAGGGCTCGCCAGCCAACCAAGCCAAGAAGAACTGGTTGGTGTTCGGCTCCGGTCCTCACGTTTGTCTTGGTCAAACGTATGTCATGATGACGTTCACGGCGTTGATCGGCAAATTCGCCATGTATTCCGACTGGGAGCATAAAGTGACCCCACTCAGCGAAAAGATCAAGGTTTTTGCTACGATTTTTCCCAAGGATGACCTCCATCTAAGTTTCAAAAAAAGAGACCCAATTTCAGGAAAAGTTGAGGCGTGAACGTTGTTAATTCGTAGTTCCGCATAACCTGCTGATGTTTTAAGTTTTTACGGGTATCTTTGGAAATCCGTGGTCACTTGGTGTTTTTTAGATGGATCTTTTTTACTCTGCTCCCAACCTTTATGATAAATAACTCTTCACTTGTCTGTATTCTGAAATAAAATTATTTATGTTAAAATTCTTCTCGACAATTCTCAAAATGTGGAACTGGATTTCACTGAAGGAGTCTAGAAGAGTTCTGGTCATACTTCAGGGCTTTTACAAGTTAATCAACAATATTTTAGGGATTGGCAAAAAAATGCTTCCAACCAGATTTGAACTGATGATCTCCACATTACTAGTGTGGCGCCTTACCAACTTGGCCATAGAAGCTATCTGATGATAACCGCATTTACTTCAACTATCTATGGACTTACAGATGAAGCGAATCGATTTCATTTGGTTTCATCTAATTAGATTTTATCAACTGTTATAAGCCTGGTTCTTTAAACTGACCTGCAACTTTTTCGTTAATTTGGTATATTGGTTTTCTGTTTCCTGCTCAGGTCTTCCTGTTTAGAAATCATGATTGACGTTTAAATTTTTTAAGTGTCCCCGCTGCCGGTAACAAATGAAATAAGCAGAGATCCTCTCACAAGGCCACCTCTGTTGAATTGATCCGGGGAATCTCGGGGCTCGGTTTGCTTGCCGATTTAGAAATATGGGCGTGCTTGATGAGACCGAAGAAGCCAAGAACAAGCGATATCAGCAGCTTTTTAACACGATAGACGTCAAGAGACAAGGTAAGGTGAGCCTCGGAGACCTAAAACAAGCATTTGACAAAATCAATCATCCCCTCAAAGACTCTCCGGATGCAATAGAGAAGATTTTTAGCTCACTGGACTGCAACAAGGATTCCAGCGTGGATTTTGAAGATTTCAAGAACTACGTCACTGCTGCAGAAGCCCAAATTCGACAAGGTTTTCAGCGAATCGACAGCGATCAGGACGGAAGAGTAAAATTAGCAGAACTGTCACAGTATTTGAGACGGCTTTCTGGTGCTGATGCCCAGAATACCGAAAAACCTGCAATCACTTTCCAAAATTTTGTGAAATGGGCATTTCGCTCAAAAAAGACGACTCCGGAAAACAACACCTACATCACATATGATCAATGGCGCGATTTTCTATTATTTATACCCAGAACCAAAGGATCACGTTTTCATACTGCATACTCCTACTTTTACCTATTCAATGAGGACGTGGACCTTTCTTCTGAAGGCGATGTCACTTTAATTAACGACTTTATCCGTGGCTTTGGTTTTTTCCTAGCTGGTGGTATTTCCGGGGTTATCTCGAGAACATGTACCGCTCCTTTCGACAGAATCAAGGTTTTCTTGATAGCGAGAACTGATCTTTCGTCAACGTTATTAAACTCCAAAAGGAACTTACTCAAAAATTCCACTCAAACCGATTTGTCCAAAATAAAATCACCACTGGTGAAAGCTGCTACATCTTTATACCGTCAAGGAGGTTTGAGGGCATTTTATGTCGGCAATGGTCTAAATGTGATAAAGGTCTTTCCTGAATCTGCAATGAAATTTGGATCTTTCGAGCTGGCGAAAAAAATGATGGCTCGACTAGAAGGCATCAAAGACGTCTCCGAGCTGTCTAAAGTCTCCACCTACATTTCAGGTGGAATGGGAGGTGTAGTTGCTCAATTTTCAGTTTATCCCATTGACACTTTGAAATATAGGGTTCAGTGCGCACCTCTAAATACATCGCAAAAGGGTAACCAATTACTCTTTGCAACTGCTAGAGAAATGTATCATACTGGCGGACTCAAATTATTTTACCGCGGTGTCGGCGTCGGCGTGGCTGGTATATTCCCATATGCTGCTCTAGATTTGGGCACATTTTCTGCATTAAAACGGTGGTATATTGCTAGACAGGCTAAGATCGAGGGAATTCCAGCAGATCGAGTCACAATGAGCAATTTGTTTGTTCTCTTGATGGGTGCTGTAAGCGGTACGGTAGGTGCATCGGTCGTGTACCCAATCAACCTATTAAGGACAAGGCTACAGGCTCAAGGGACGTATGCCCACCCGTATACCTATACAGGTTTCAATGACGTACTTGCAAAAACGATTCAACGAGAAGGATATCAAGGTTTATTCAAAGGGCTTGTACCAAACTTGGCCAAAGTATGTCCCGCAGTTTCCATAAGTTACCTTTGCTACGAAAACCTCAAACAAGCGTTTGATTTAGAAAGGTGAGAGAGCATTTATCAAGGCGTACTAAGAATTCATCATAGCATTATGTAAAACATATAAATTCGCAATGAAAGATGGTATTAATATTCATGGAAGTGACAATTGAAATTCTTCTTGAGAGTAACTTTCATAAATATCCAATAGTTGAGAATCCTTTGGTGCAATGATCCGCTGTGTGTACACATAGAAAACTATGGGCCCCGAATCACAGCCCGCGATGGACGTCAATTTCACTTTGGGACCAAAACCTTGGATCTCGTTACCTAATTCACTATTAGTAATTTTGCCTTGAAATTGATTTTCTCCAGTCTTGGTCCAGTTGACGTTCTGCTCCAAGTGTCGTTTTTCCGTCTCGTTCAATACTCTTCCTGCTTCACGGCCCAGATTCAAGTCTGGTCCCTCTATAATGATCTCGAAAGTAACAGTTCCTGGCTTGATTTTGGGAAGTTTCTCCAGTTGCGAGAGAAGACCGTTTAAACTCGACCGAAGCTCGTCAAAGACCTCTGTCTCAGAAACTAGCTCCGTGTCCCAATGTCTTAATTCTGAAAAATCAATTGCGTAGTTCTCAATACAGGCCCTATCGTCACATCTAACTATATTCAAGTTAAATGTGCGAATGTTCCCTAATTTACTGAGAAGATCTTCTATCAACGTCTCAATGTACTGGGAAACCTGCGGATGTCGATTTATAGGTATATGTCGAGGCAAATTAAACGCCTGATAAGTCGTCCAATCAAATGATTCCTGGGGATAAACGTTACGGAAGTCAAGCACTGCGTTTATAAAGCATTTTAGGTAAACTTTGAGCCATTTACCTGTATTTTCATTCATACGGGGTTTCTCGTCATAAGAGAGTGTCATTTAAGAGATAGTAAACATTTTAGATCACTTCAAGTAAAAAGCACATTGGTGATATATGAAAGCTCACATGTCTAGCAAGATAGCCCCGCTTGATAAAGGCGATATCCATCGCATAACTTCTGGTCAGGTTATAACGGAGTTGACGTCGGTGGTGAAGGAGCTGCTCGATAACAGTATTGATTCTGGAGCGGATCATATCGAATTTACTTTCAGAAATTATGGATTGGAATCGCTCGAATGTGCTGATAATGGAAGTGGAATCGACGAGGTGAACTACAATACGCTTGCGCTCAAATATCACACTTCAAAGATATCAAGTTTTCAAGATATCAGCGAATTAAAAACCCTAGGTTTCAGAGGAGAAGCATTGTCTTCTATGTGCGCAATAGCCAATTTATCGGTTACGACAGCCACGAACCCTCCAAGAGGCGCAAAACTTGAATTTGGGTTCGACGGCTCGCTCACCAAAAAATCTATTATCTCGCGTAACAAGGGCACCACTATGTGTGTCTCGCACCTTTTTAACAACCTTCCAGTACGACGAAAAGAATTTACAAGAAATCATAAACGACAATTTAGCAAATGCATCTCTCTTTTGCAAGCTTACGCTCTTGACTTGGAAAACACGAAGCTCTCTGTTTGGCATATCACCAGCAGCGGAAGAAAGACGTTGGTTTTGTCCTCGGCCAAAACTCAAGATCTTCCCAAAAGAATTCTTAGCGTCCTTGGTTCCAGCAGCACGCAACACTTGGACCCAATTGAACTGTCTATCGATTTACTTGCCAGGGATCCCTTGGCTTCGAAAAGTGAAGTTGACGATCCTCCAGAACCTGTCATCAATGTGAAGGGCTTGATTTCGAAATGTTCCATTGGATGCGGTAGGACATCGAAAGATAGGCAATTCATCAGCATAAACAAAAGACCAGTAATCGCCCCTGCATTAGCCAAATGCTTCAATGAAATTTACAAATCATTCAATCATAACCAATACCCAGCGTTTTTTTTAGAGCTGTCCTCACCGACCCAAATGATTGATATTAATGTGACTCCTGACAAGAGAACCGTTTTATTACATAAGGAAGATCAAGTGATTGACCAGCTCAGGGACAGTTTGAATAACTACTTTTCAAGCCAAGATATTGTGTTTCCTATAAGCGCAACGGAATCAAAAGTGACCTCGACAGGTCACCAGGATCATTCTGTCAAAAGGCAAAAAATTGAAGAAATGGAACTCAGCCCTAGATCAGAGAAAGTGCGAAGTTTGAAAGGTTCGCCACTCACCGACACTTCAAATTCTGCAGATCGTGAGGGCGATGGTTCTCCTCGAACGACGACCCTCCAGCTACAACCATCCAGTTTCCTCCCGAAAACTCAGGAACCTTTTCGAGCTGAACATTCTCAGACAGATTTAGCGAGTTTTTCTTCAGAGCCGAAAGAACCGCCTGTCAAGAAGGACCTTCAGCTGTTCAGTAACCCCGCCGAGCCGGAGCATAGCTTGTTTGTTACGCAAGAAGAATACGATACGCCTGAACCAGTTATAATCGAAGTTGGGGATACCAAAGTCGAAGAAACAGCCAGATTAACAAGAGATAATCGCCTACTTTTCAAATCTAAGATCACTGAATCACATGAATCAATACACAATCATAGCGGCTGTAGCTGTTCTTCTGGTCAAGAATCGTCGGATGATGAAGCGAATCAGCTTCAAGATGCTGCTGATGAAGAAGGTCGGACGCAAGGGAAGATTTTCGAAGAAAGAGAAGAATTGAACGGAGAAACCCCAATTCCTGAAGTAAACGTTCGCGTGTCGATACCCAAAGAATTGCCAGCGACCCGCAATCTGTCCGCTGCCAAGGAACTGGCAAGTTCAGGGTTGGAGTCCCTGACAAAGGTGGTGAGTGTCTCAGCCGATGCTATTACAAGAGCGTGCAATGGGGTGCTTGCAAGAAGACTACAACAAGCACAAGATCGTCCGCAAACGGATTTAATCAAAAATGATAAATTGCAAGATCTTAAAGAAGGCGAAAACTATTTAACGCTGACAGTTTCCAAAAAAGACTTTAAGCAAATGGAAATTGTAGGGCAATTCAATTTGGGATTCATTATTGTGACGCGCAAACAAAACAGCAAATACGATCTTTTCATTGTCGATCAACATGCTAGCGATGAAAAGTACAATTTCGAAGTGCTGCAGAGGACGACAAATTTCAAGTCGCAGCGCCTGATTGCGCCACGCCCGATAGAAATGAGTATAATCGACGAATTAGTGGTTCTCGACAACCTCGAAGTCTTCGAGAAGAACGGGTTTAAGCTGAAAATAGCCGAAAATGAAGAGGTTACGAATAAACCGCGCGTGGAAGTCGTGAGTTTGCCTGTGTCAAGGAAAACAATGTTTGACCTCAACGATTTACAGGAACTGATTCATCTAGTCAAGGATTCTGATGGACTCGACAAATCTTCCATACGATGCTCAAAGATACGCGCTATGTTCGCTATGCGTGCCTGCCGAAGCAGTGTCATGGTAGGAAAACCCTTGACAAGAAAATCAATGACGCAGATAGTCAGAAACCTCAGCGAGTTAGACAAGCCGTGGAACTGTCCGCACGGCAGACCAACCATGCGACATCTGATGGAGTTGAGAGACTGGAAATCGTTCAACGAGGACTATGATTTGTAATATTCAATAACATTTATATTCTATTTACAAAGTGTATGAATTAATGGCAATGGCTTACCAGCGCATTAAACGCGGAACTGAGCAATGACTTGGGACCACAGTGAAATTTTAACTCGGTCCGAAGAGTCTGTATGGAACCCACGTCGGTCGATTCTGTTCATTTTCCTGGCGGTCTTAGCATTGTTCCTAGTACGTTGTCCCCGTACAGGAAGATGTAGAGCGTGTCTCATACCTTCATACGAACCGATTCTACGTTTCAATGCAATATTCTCCTTCACTATGGCTCTAGCGTCACCTTCTATAGCCATACTGGACAATTCGCTTGTGATATTCATTATTTGAGGCTCCGATAGCTGATGCATTCTCATCCATGGATAAAATCCTAATTTCGAACATAATTTCTCCGACGTCTTTAAACCGACTCCATAAAACTTAGATGCCAAAGCTATCCTAATGACCTCTTTCCCCTTGAAACCTTTACCCAAGATGTGTACCACCATAGTTCAACTGTATGTTTACACCGAGTAAGGGTTAACCTCTGTTAGCCTCTGTTGATGTACTTTTCTACAGCTTAGTGATTATCTTGATTATCTTAATTATCTTTTTGACTTACAAGGAATGGAAAATTTTCAAGGCACTCTCTTGATTTCGCTTGATTTCTTAAGGGCCGGGACAGAAGCTTCCCTCTATGTTCAGTGTGAGCTCTGGTGCTCATCCACTCATGGAAGCCACTGAAATGTTGGCTGAACAAAACGTTCCGGTGCCCCCCGTGGCCCGCAACTCGTCGTCGTCGCAAATACATATACACCACCATCATCACTATCACCGAAGGAATGCCAGCGATGGTGGACCATCGCAAGTGATGTTAAACGCGAGTTCCAAGTCCTTGCAAACGTACAGATCCATCAAATTGCTGACTTTGAACAATCTGGACTCCAAACAACATTTTTTCATAGCGATTTGTCGCGACGTTTCCTTGCTTCCCCCATTGCTATCTTTTGCACATTCACTAAAAAAGGCATGGTCCCTATCGTATAAGACCAGTGCTGCGCTATATCCTCTAGAGGATAGTTCGGTGTCGCTTTCCGCGACTTTCAAAATGATGTGGCAGGCCTACAAAGTGTCGAAAACGCAGGCGTTTTCGGCTGACACGAATTTACCCTTACAACTCAGCAAAGCCCGCTCTTCGGAGTATTTGCTTTGTTCCCTGTGGTGTTTGGTTGCGATGTATTTGACGTATTCAATTTTGGAAGCCCTAATGGTTCGGTGGATAGTGAAGTATTCGACAGCGGCGGCCATTCTCAGGATGTTTTCCATGTCTTTGCTCCTTATAACTTTGGAAATGCTTTTGTTGTCATCGCTTTCGCCGAAGGGAGATTACTATTTGCACACTTGGATCTTGATCAGCTGTATCTTGACAGGTGCTTACATTTCGCAAAGTTTCCTGACGTCGAATTTTGACTACTTGGAGGGGAAAGACAAAGACTTCACCGACGCTGCAACCCGAAACCCTACGACGAATTCTCAACCCACCGAATCCATGGACACTGCGTGTTCAAGTCCTTCATCCGAAGATTTACTGACAATGCCGTCGAGGAAAAGAAAAAAGAGCAGTAACGCCCTACTTTTCCATGGCAAGCGTCAGATGCATCTTTACAATATAACTGTATTCTGCGTGGTCCCGGTGGGAGTGGCAAGCTTCGTGACAATGATTGGGCTTCTGAGAAACCTGGTAATTCAAAGACTTGACGTCGAACAGCTTGAAGCTATAATTGAGGCGGCGTTATAGTTCAAAAAAATTGAGGTTTGGTTTGTTTTCGAGCCAAACGTGTTACTTCCCATTAATTAAACATTTTGCTTCAACAATACGAGTTGGGAAGGAAGTACTTTAAAAAATAGGTAAATTGTGTTTTAAGAAAAGTTACAGAAAGTGTACATTACCGTGGTATATTGTACATGTTCGATATTGGTTGAGATGCTTCATTTGTGCTAAATCCCAAACTCAAACATACTCGCAGTTGAGACTCTGAGAATAGGGTAGTCGTATTTGGAGTTTAGCTTGATGAATTTTGACACTATTGTGAGCCGTTTGCGCTCTAGTATGATTCTTAGAATTTGTTTAATATGATCAACACAGCGTGAGGACGGGTCCTGTAAACGCTACTCGATGACAAGGTTTCCGAGCGGTGTTCTTACGGATACAATACGTATTTAGAAAGCTATTTAACTTTGCAAGACCAGGGATCAACTCCTGAAATAATAATCACAACTGCTAAAACAGGAATTGCCGTTTTGATGCTCTATATATCCTGTCAAAAGATCGGGCTTTTCGCCGAATATATACGCGTAAACAGCTTTATGAGTAGCAAAAGCACAAGAGAAGCCACGAACAAGCGCTCATACGTATCTAGAGTTTGGAGCCAAGAAGTACCCGCTTGCCAAAAACGCAAGGCGAGATGCTGAGAATGCAGGATATAATCCGCATTCAGTGAAAGCTCAGCAATAAGAGGCTTGCGGCGCGTGTTCGACGGCGTAATCATAAATTTTCAAGGGAAGCAGCGATCTCATCAAGCTCGTGCTTAGCCTCGTTGTACTTGGCCGTCAATTCTTCGTGTTTCTTCTCCCAGTCGTCACGCTCCTGTTCAAGAGACACGACCTTACGTTCAAGCTGTTCGGCACGCAAGTCTGTCTCACGCAACTTTTCGGTGGTCTCCTTCAATTTCGCGTCGCTTTCCTCCAATTCCTCTTCCAGTTGTTGGTTCTTCTTGGTGAAGTTCTCGTTATGGGACCGCAAGTTGTGCGAGTCTTCCGACAGTTGCTTGTGCTCCGAGAGGCCTGCTTCCAGCTTTTCGACTTCTTCGTCCAAGCGCTGGTTTCTCGTCGTTAGAGACTTGATCTGGTTCTCCTTTTCCGTGTTCTCCTGCTCCAATTGCTTGAGTTGTTGCTTCACTTCTTCATACTTTTCTTGCCAGCTTTCAGCCTCTAGCTTAAGGTTGCTGAGCTTTTCTCTAATCTTGTCCATTGCGGTCGCAGGGGCTGTAATTCACGTTATACAAAACTTTGAATCGCTATTGTTCTGGAAAACCTCAAGAAGCCGTTGCTTTTCCAATCTGAGCGGTGATTGATACTTGAAACTGCTCTCAAATATCACAATACGACTAAAAGGCCTAATAAATTGGGAGCTCCACTTATAGAGATTCTTGCCACACTTTGGTTTACGTGTTTCGTAGTTCTCTGGTCAACGGTTGGCTTTTCATATTTTTTTCTTGATCTACGGTGGCCCCGTTTCGGGCGTCCCTTATACGGTAAGCAAACAACAGTTGGAATTCGGAATGGGCAGTTAGCACGTGAAAATCGTGTGACTATCTCCTTTAAAGGACTAAAACATTTAAAATAGCACAAAATTCAAGAGCATGCTTAGAACTTACTAGGAACCGTAGTCAACCTCACGGAATCCAACTAACATCGACGAGAAGACCAGTAATATGAAGGTCTTTGTGAGAACTCGTATCCAATGATGTGAGAAAACATGCACGTGAGTTTTTCAAGTTGTTTTCTTCAAGTTGATATACGCGTCATTTCTCGAGTCATTTTCTGAGTCATATTACTAGTCAATTTTCGAGTCGATTTACGAGTTGAATCGTATGACAAGACAAGAACATTGTAAACTAAAATGGCTGGCTTTATGAATTAATTGGCAATTAGACGTCGGTAACCCTTGGATTGGACGTAACATCTTAAGGAACCCAAGCACGCCTGGCATGAATTTACGGTAATATTTTAGGTCTGGATGGTTTAAAAAAAGCATCTACAGAATGTTCGTAACGATACGTAGGTTCTGACGCGGCTGAACGGTTCGCTCAATGGCACCTCACCCGGATCTGTTGTTCCCTGAACATGCGGTTCTCGACTTAAGCATGGGCAGAAATAGGCATTCGCTCGCATTACGAGAACCGTCTACTAGCATGACTGCGGGATCCTGGTCCAGCGTGCATGTAAGCTCAGGATCCGATTTCGACGCTTTTAGAAGGCTTTCTTCTCCAGAACACGCAGAAGCGCTCGGTCACAGGCGAGACGAAGAAATGACAGACGAGGAACAAGAACAGTCTTTACTTCAGCCGTTGATGAACGCCAGGCTTTATGGCTCCCGTGCCTCACCAGAGGAAGGGCAGACAACGCATGCGGACACACTATCGCTGCGGCAGGTACCAACATTACGCAACATACCGAAGACAAATGTAAGTATCCCTGAAGTGAAGGCGTCACAACTACACGAAGTGCCACCCATAAAAGGAACGACCCTCAGTGCGTCGTCATTTGACAGAGAGCAGGCGAGAAATTACCAGGCAAGGGCCCAGCGACGGCAGCGTGCGACGCAGGCGTCTTACGCTGACGATCTTTCGTCCAAAGCCGCCGCCATTCTTGACAAGGTTTCCAATTGGTCAAAATACACAAAACGTGATTACCAGCGCGTACCGGCCCATCGTAGCCCAAGACGCACGCCTGTGAGGTCTCGCTCGAAGCGCAAGGATTTCTCTACCAAGAAGGAGATTAACAAGTTCGGTGAATCTGGAAACTTTATCTTTCATCGCGGGTTTTCGCTACGGCAAGCGCCGTCCCGATTGGCGCCGCCGCGGTTTCGAAATCCGAAGGAGTTTTCCTCTTTTATGGAATACTTGCAGATGGACCGAATTCCCTATAGCGATATCACGAATTCAAATCGCATCTCTGTGCCCCAAATTGCGAAACCGGAGTGTGTCCAGTTGCTTCGCGTACAACCTAGACTTACACGTCATTTCTACCAGGTTAAAAGCACTTCAAAGCGAATACCTTTATCGTGCCAGTCTAATAATGTAAGGCATCGAAATAGCATCCGCCGTTCAGGGCCAGTGACGAGACGGACTCGCACGATAAGGCGAACCAAATCCCTGCCCACAACGAGGCTGGCATCCAGAATGAAAATGGAAAACAAAGATCTACGTGACGTATGGAGGCGTTATTTGATGGTTGTCGCGCTGCAAAGGATTCAGTTAAGATTAAGACTCTTGTCTTCCCCATCTTTTACCGACTCGGACGTTTCTTCATCCGGAAATTCGATTCAAAGTTCACATGTACCTGTCCTAGCGCCTTTATCACTTGAAAAACTAAGTTCGCTAGCAAGTTCCTTTTCGAAGTCGAAGAGAAACGTTTCTCTCAGCTCTCGGTCAACCTCAAAGAATGCAAGGACATCATTTGATGAATTGAATATGAGCAAAGAACGGGAACTGAAATTGACGTGATTTTAGATAAGTCAAGAATCCGCACTTTCATGAACTAAAGTTTGCATTCCATTAACCCGTCAAAAATTATCTTTTTGATCTCTTCATTAGCCTTTATGGAGCTCCATACTGGTATCAAATTAATAGCATTGGCATAAAGAGTCTCTTTTGACGCAATAAAGGAATCAATTTTTGCAGGTTCATCTACCCACATTCCAAATGCTATGACCGAGACATCGGATAGCGCCAATCTCATTTGGTTCGCAGACTCAAAACTAGAGTTCAAACTTTTCTTCGCCCAAAGATCAAAATTTTTGAGAAACCAATCCCACATCAAGTCTCTCACGTAAACATCCCCGCATTTCTCCCGCGCATTATAGCGCAGTCCGAAAAGGGCTTTCGTTACTCCTACTGACTTAAAATTCGTCGTCACAAAGTTCAGAACTTTTCGCAGTAGTTCCGGAGAGAGCGAGAATCCCAAATGTTCCAGAGCAGCCTTATGTATAAACTCAGGGTTAGCACCAGCTACGTGAGCAGCAAGAGCAGGAGAACATTTTGTCAATTCGAAATACTTTTTCCATTGCTTCAAGCTGGTAGCGTGGCGCATAACAGTAGTTAAAATGCCATCAAGAATCTCAATTGGAAGGGCATTTTTGGGACCTTCATAGATGCTTTTAAAATAATTCGAACAAGTTCGGTAGACTTCATCCGACTCAGCTCCCATAAACAGGATCCTTGACATAACTTCTAATCGCCCGTTACCAAACTTCACCAAATCCTTCGGATTTTTTGGAAATTTCAGATTGCGGAACATCGGGAGAATAAAGGAGTTTAGGAAGTCAAACTTATTCTCTAGATTCCCGAAGCTCTTGGCACCTAATTCAATTTTCTCCAAAATTTGGAGCGCCACAGCTACTGCGGGAAAGTATTGTTCATATTCTTCGGCATTCATATCACGGGAAATAAAGTCCATCAAGCTGAAAAAACCATCTATGTGCCAGCTTTTCTGAAATCGTGCATCGCCTATAAAGGCCTTCAAATCTTCAAAAATCTGAAGCAAACTCGCTCCACTTAGTTTACGTTCCGAGATGTGCTGGTAGATTAAGTCGTAACTCAAGCTAGAGTCATAAGAAACCCTATAATAGCCTTGGAATCCGGAATTGGCTGTAACAACTGTTTTGTCAATCTCCATTGACTGTGTCGTAAGCAGCTCTGAGCTTTTAGAGCAGTCATTTGTCATTAGGAAGAGGGGAATGAAAAATATAGATTTCTCATCCTCATGGCTTGTCGCAGCACAATAGGGCTGCTGTTCCAACTTTGTTCGCCCTTCCTGTACCGTGACATGCAGCAATGGGAAGCCGGGATTGTCAATCCATGATTTCATCACTTCAGAGACATTAGCAGCAGGAAGATTTTGATCAATGCAAACCCAAAGAGCTGAAGGAGTAATAGCTCGAGTGTGAAAATCTTTGTTGTTGAAAACCTTGGCCAAGACATTCTTGAACTCGTTATTTCCGACATATTGCGATAAGCTTCTAAGAAGTGCGATGCCCTTAGAATAATTATGAGGGTCGAGAGCGTCTGAGGTTTCCACGATGGACCCCTTCATAGATGACGAGGAGATACTGGGGGTGGTGCCATCGGCGTCTTTTTCAAAACAAGCAAAAAGTTGCGTCAAATATTCCTCAGAGCTCCAGTAATCAACACCTTCATGCTTGCTGATTATTTCGCAAGCACACCAGGTTGCAAACGACTCGTTGAACCACAAGTGTTCCCATGAATTGAACGAAATGAAATTGCCCATCCACTGATGAACAAGCTCATGAACAATTAATTGCTTAGCCTGCATGCGTATCGAAGGATTAGCGAGATGAGAGGGTTCTAAGAGCAGATGTTCTTGCTGGACAGTAATCATTCCAAAATTTTCCATTGCAAGGTCCTTCAAAAAGGGCAGTAACACCAGATCTAGCTTCTCAAGTGGATATTTGACCCCAAAGTAGTCCTCAAGTAGTGGGAGATACTGACGGATGACATCGAGAGCGTAGGCGGCGTATTTTACTTCCTGCGCAGCATAAACTGTCAACGGTATCTTTCCTCGAGACAAAGCAGCTTCAGAGGAGATAGTCTCAAAATCACCAAGGGCGAAAGCAAATAGTGACGCTGTCATGAGCGGCGTTCTAGCGAATTTGACGGTTTTCATTTTCTGTTCTTCAATGCGGTCAGTGGACACAATTTCTGTGTTCGATACGGTTGAGTAGGACCGCTGCGTGGTGATACACAACTCGAAATGTGCCTTGTGGTCAACTTCGTCTATGCATGGTATTATATGGTGCGCGTATTGCGGTTGACAATGAGTAGCCGCGATCAAGCCGTCACTAGCGCCAGAGACGTCTCTCATGAAATTCGTCTTGAAAAGACCCCGCGTAGCATCTTCATAGGTTCTAATAGTCTGTATTTTGCCAACATATACGAGGTGAAGCGGTAATTTTACTGCTTCTGCTACGTCTACAGGCCCTTCTGGAACGAGCTTCACCGCACCTACCTCTTTTTCGTAGCTTACTCTGAGAACATAATCTCCCAAAGTCGCACATGCAACAGCGGCATTTTCCAAATGCAAATAGATTGCACTAACTGAAGTGCCTTTTTCGTTTTTTCGAATTAAACTCATGGTGACTTCGCCGTGAAAGTTACTTTTGCGAGGATCGATCTTCAAATGGATTCGGTATTCCGACGGAATAACCACATTGTCTAAGGTTCTGCTTGTCATGTTGACGCAATTGACACTACAATATAGTGTAACCAGTGCCTAACAGTGTTTAATCGTTGTCAAATTAATCGCTGGCAGATGCTCATCTCGAACTTTAATTCTACTGCGAGAGTTAAAGAAAATGAATAAATCTTCGGACACTACTCATATTCTACTCATTTCGTCAATAGCGTCATATTCGAATATAGCAGAGCTGTATTTCGGGTTGACCCGGATTACAAAATAACTACCCGGATACCCGAGAGCGGGTAGTAAACGGGTAGTAGCCATGTACGGATCGAGTAATTCTTGGGTATATATTTTAATATTTTCAACTCATTTAAGGATATTTCGAATGCATCGTTCGGATGGAACGCGGATAAACAACTTGTTAGTTCAACAAAGCGTCCGTAAATCGAGAGAAAAGCATTGATCTTACCTAAGTAGTGTTGAATTAGATTGATATGCTAGCTTTAACTATTAAAACTCGAGATCGTCGTCATCTGATTGAGAGTAGCATTCTATATAGTCATCATCCTCATCAGAATCTTGGAAATTGAGTGTTAATTTCTGGTCGAGGAGGCCCCAGCCCTTGAAGCGATTTCTAAGAACTAGCAACCTGTTAAAATTTAGACTGCTCATACTTCTTCTTTCTTTACGAAGAACTTTCCCGCTGATAGAAAATGCTCTCTCCAGACCGCTTGTGCTAAATTTTGTGTATAGAAGGGCCACCGCAAGCCTGAATAAATTGGGATATGCGCCACGGCGTTCGTACCACCATTGTATCAGATCCTCTTTGAAGTCCAAGGTATGTTGCTCTTCTGCTTTATATTTGTCCCACTCACTGACTGCCTGATTGCACATAGAAGCCTCTGCATTACGTGAATGCTTTTCGCGCCGGTTAATTGTGGGTAATTTGCTGACTCGATGGCGCGTGCCTCTAACAGATCTTTTGGCAAGTTCAGTTGATGTAACGACCTTTCGCGGTTCGGACTTCTTGAGGTAAGACTTCAAATACCTTTCCACTTTGCTTAGTCGAAATTGAGCCTCGTCCTCCGTCATAAGGGTGTTGAAGCACTGATGTTTGGACGAAGGATCCAAGAATGCAGCGACAAAATACAGATCGTTTTCCGTGAAGTACTGGAAATAAGTTGTAAATTTGTTTCGAGTAGAAAGGACAGCATCAAGTACCGTTTTCTTCATATCTAACGGCGGGTTTTGAGTTCCATTGATAAAGGTGAAATCAAATGCTCCTTCTGTCGGTAGCTCTATAGTCTCCGTATGGGCATCACCGCATAAGTCATAATATTCCAGAAGTGTGTAATAGAAAGGTACCGCATTAGAGAGATGATTAAACGAAACTTCTTGCAGAGTGTCATTCAACACTTTGAAGATTGAGCAACAATCGACAAAGTACTGCAAAAGATGGACTTCCTCAGGGGTTTGCTCGAAACACTTTTCGATTTTTGAAGCAGCAGAAATGTTCTGTGGTGACTTTTTAAAGTTATTGAACCACGTCAGATACTGCTGGCGATATTTCAGAAAAGTGGTTACTTGCTTCCAGATATACAACCACCGTGTTTCCGATGCAGCAGGCACCAACGGGATTGAAGCTTTCATTAATGAAGACCTCAAAACAGAAGTGTGCTTCATCTTGTGAGCCAACCGTGTGATACGCGCCAGTGCCAAGCTAAACTTTGTGTTTGCTTTCAGGTTTTTCACTACATCTTGGAAAAGAATGTTCAAAATATGGTTTCCACACCGGAAAATATGGAAGTTTCCCAGACGATCGAACGTCTTGGATTTGCATTTCTTGAAATGGTCATGGACAAGGTGGGAATGCATGCATATGTTGTTTGTGGCATTATCACAAGTAATTGTTGCAACTCGATCATCTATTTCATACTCTTTCATCACATCCCGAACTTCCTTGAAAAGATTTTCCCCGGTGTGTGGTGTGTCGCTAACATCAATGAAACCTAGGATGTGGGTGTTGTACGGAGCGTAATGGTTATTAAGAAGAGCCTTGCTGCTGCCAACATCAGTCAGCATAGCATCATTTATAAGATTGGGAGCAAATGATGCGGCTACAGCAAGATATGATCTTCCATTCCCGCCGGACCAGATACCCAGTTCAATGTTAATGAAGTCAGTTTTACTCAATACTTTTTTAAGTGCAGTATTGAAGTGATTGGTATAGTTCGATAGCCTGTCAATGATCGCTGGACGAGATTTTATCAATTTAATACCAGAGCAGGCTTCGCTAATGACGTTCCAGCTTTTGCCTTCGAAGAAGGAGAACGGGACTAACTTTTCCGTCAAAAGCAACAGAATACCAAAATCGCCAGGGCTATGCTTCCATTCTGCGGTTATTGCAGCTGGCGGTGGCAAGGAACGACACTTGACTCCTAATTGGCTGAGACTCCTAGATTTTTCTTCTTCTTTTCGACCGTTTTGGTATGCTAGAGGATGAACGTTCTTTACGTGTTTTGAAAGGTTTCCTGTGGACCTCGCTTCCTTGAATTCGCGTTTGCAATGAACACAAGAGGCAATCTTTAGTCCATCCACCTCTGTAACATCGAAGTGGCGGCGAAGGGCTGATCGATCCATCCATCCAGTTACTTTAAGTTGTCTAGTAGGTGTAATAGGAATGGAGGAGCCATCTGCCGCATCTACTGGGTTTGAGACACGTGGCTCTGGGGTGAGAGTCTCACCTTCCAAATCTGAGGTTTCGTCGGAAAGCTCTTCAATCTGATAAGACTCTTGGACCGCTATCATTGTGTGTCAGCTGAGTAGTTCGAACCGGGGAGCGGTTGGTCTGGATCATGTATGTTAAATATTTGAATTTTTGACGCCAGAAATTTTCTTTACGCGTTTCGGTTCTTGAAAGGGTATCCAGTGTTAAAGGACGCGGGTTGCTGGCGGGTCGCCTATTTTTTTCACGCGAGTAATAGACGAATGAACGTGACGGCGCACGCGAATACTATGTGGGTTTCCTGGATAAGGGTTACCCAGCCTAGGATGGTACCCGAAATACAGCTCTGGAATATAGTGCCATACTAGAATAACTCTATACGGATTGAAAATGTTCGTACACATTGCTCTCCAAAAGAAACAACTTTAGCAAGTTCTGGAAACTTTAGATAACCAATGCTTCCTCACTGGATAAGTACAAGATGAGAAAATGAAGAGCTAACGTCGTGATTACGTTTGCTAAGGAGCCAACAGATGTCTTATTGTGACTGCCGGTTGATAGAGTGAGATATTGAAATTGAAAGAGATTGATTATCTGGCTTTTTTCTGGTGTAATTTTCTAATCCTATAATCCAAAATTACAGAATATCAGTCGCGTGAAATTCTAAATGGGATCAGTCAAAGACACCAGGCTTTATGATTTACTAGGCGTGGAACCTGGTGCATCAGCACAGGAGATCAAGCGTGCCTACAGAAGTGCAGCGCTCAAACACCACCCCGACAAGAACGGACATTCTGAGGAGTCGAAATTGCGGTTTCAACAAGTGTGCGAGGCATACGAAGTTCTGGGGGATGACAACAAAAGAGAGCTGTATAATCGATACGGTAGTGTCGATGCGAGCCAGTCGCTACAGGAAACAGCGGCGGGGCCGTCTTTCGGGCCACATTTCGGCGCACCGTTCGGTTCGTCTTTTGGGCTATCTGGAATGTCTGCAGGAGACATGTTTGCGCAGTTTTTTGGCGGAGGCAGTACGACCGGGGGGGTTTTCGACGACGATTTTGGGTTTTTCTCGAAGGCTTCTTCCTCGGCCAGGAAAAGAGATTTTGGCACTCGCCGCAATCGTGGGCCGACTTCACACGGTCCTGACATCAAACATAAGTTGAAATGCTCGTTGGACGAGCTCTACAAGGGAAAACACGCTAAACTAGCCTTGAACAGAACGCGTTTGTGTGCGACCTGTAAAGGATCTGGTGGTAAACGATCGGCGGCCTGTGAAACATGCAGCGGGACCGGTGTATGTACGCAGAGCAAGCGGCACGGGCCCATGGTACAGACTTGGTCTTCATCTTGCCCCACCTGCAGCGGGAGTGGTGTTTATATGCGGCAGAAAGACATATGTGCGGATTGCGAAGGCCAGGGTTGCACGCAAGAGCGTAAGATTTTTGATGTCGAAGTACAGGCGGGTATGGTTCATGGTCAGGAAATTGTGCTTCCTGGTGAGGCAGACGAAGTTGTCAAAACGGCATACGGGCAGGAACAAGTGATTCCGGGAGATGTCATAATAAAGATCCAGCAGTCAAGCGATGAGGTGTTCAAACGGTTTCGCGAATCTGAGCTCGTGATAGAGAACTTCAAAGTGGATTTGAAAACCAGTCTGTGTGGTGGCACCGTATGGATCGATGGACATCCCAAGGGCAGCGTCATATCGATAGAAATTCTTCCGGGTGAAATTATCAAGCCCGGTTCAGTTAAATGTGTCGAAACCATGGGGATGCCGAAAATTGGAGGCGGTTTTGGGAACCTTTACATCGAGTTTGAGGTAGTTTACCCAGATAACCTACAAAAGACAACCATCGATGGATTGGCAGATTTGCTGGATAAGGAACCGTCAATTAAGCCCATGAGCAGTAAAAAGGCCTTTGTAGGTGAAACTGTAGAAGGAAAAGTCATTGAGGAACACGTTTTGAGCAACCTTGTTCCTGATTTCGAGAACGACGCCAGAGGGTCATCAAAAACCAGCTCGCGAGCTAATCACAAACGTCGCAAATTTCCTGCCGACGAAGAAAGTGATAGCTCAAGCTGTACAGTGCATTAATTCAGCCGTCGCTCTGGCAATCACACACTCGGGGATGGTCTCCGGGGGTATAAGCATAATGGGAACCGTTTTTTGTCAGCAAAGTGAGTTCGATAAATAGATCTTTCCATTTTTAGGTTAAACAAGTCAAAGTTGTTTGACGTATGTACATTCATTTTGAAAAAAATTTGCTCTACTTTAGACTGGCCAAGAAAGCTCTTTATTTGATGTTCATTGGTATCTCTTCTAACTCCTTATATCAATCTGGCCTCTCTAGACACTTGAACTAGAAATCGTAAATATTGAAATATTATGATCGACGCGAATTTTTGTGAAGACTCAAGTAAAAAGACGTCAACAAACATCGTTTGAAGCTAAACTATCACATTAAGTCCCGGGCCCAAGTTAAAGCGCGTCATTAGAAGTTGGATTCAATGAGCAAACAAAGTTTTAACGATTTCTTCAACAAAGTTGATACAGACGACACTTTACAAAACATTAGAAAAGAATACTTGGCCTCGAAGAAAAATCTGCACGAACTCATAAGTGCGAGTCCCACTCGAATCACGGCAAAACCTGTTGTGAGAAGCACGCAACTGCCAACGCCACCTGGCAATATCAATGACTTAGAGAGAGATGAAAGACTGAGAAGACAACTGCACGACACAAATCAGCCAAGACAGCCAGATACAGGACATTCAGAGCAGTTCAGTCGACTGGAAAGCCTGATAGTAGAACAACAGCGACAGCTTGACCGGCTGAGATACCAGCTTGATCAATACGAAATTACGAATAGGGCACTTCGAGAACGAACGTACGCTGTGGAGCACGAACTTCGACAATTGAGGTATACCGGTAGCCTTTCAATTGATTCCTACCCTCGGCGAGAAACCAGGACCGCAGAATCTCGGGTTCGAGACAATGAGATTGGTGATCTAGATTTTGATAATACAAAGGCCTTACTGAGTTCTTCGCGGATCGAGAAATCTCAACGAAGACAATTCTCTAATCTCGACGACAGCACAACCAGAATTTTACAAATGACCAAAAATCCACAAGAGTTTTAATTGAATTTTGTATGAGCTTGTTTTGATATTTAAATGTTTGAATTCCTTTGTTTAGCGGTGTTTCGGGACAAACTTAAGTTTGAGGTCGATATCAGCGGGACTCGAAGATTTTCCTAGATAAACTAAGGTCTGTTGGCGACCATGAGGCATTTCTGATGCATGCCAGTCGGACTGGCCAGAATATCCAAGAACACCCTTCTTTGCGTCATATTCAAATTGAGGCGCTGTGGATGCACCTTTATTGCAAACCAATTTCCCAGATTGTTCCTCTGGCCCACAGAAACCGCTTCGGGACCTTAGATAATAGTTTCCAAAAGGCGCTGGAATGAGTCGAAATGTTGCTGGTGTACCCACGGTCATCCAACGGCCATTCCTTATTATGAACCCTGGTCTACCACCAATGTGAACGGTACCTATGATGCTATTTTTATCCTTGTCGGGAGGAGCGCCCTTGTGGGGATTGAAACCCTTTGGATAGAAATGGACACCCGTTTCTGGGCAGTTGCTGAACGCCCTAACGGCATCGATAGCTTCAAATTCCTCACCCAAAAGGCTCCCCCGTAGCAAATTGTAATACCAGACTTCATTGAGTGCGCGATTCCGATCACATTTGAAGAGAACGTGCTTCCCATGAAATTCAGAGAGCGCTTTGGAGATCTCATCTCGGCTGTAGGTACGGTCGACAGAAGGTTCAATACCATAATCTTTCAGAGCTTGAAAAGTGTCCTTTTTCTCAAAAAGACTCATTGCAATACGAAAGTAGTCGTAAACCCCTCGCTTTGAATAAGAAACATCGCTCTTCGTTGGTTTATCGTTCCAACGTTCGTAGCACTTCGGTTTAATTGTCTTGATGCACGTGCCGTGCTTGTTGAACTCGTGAATCCACAACGCCTCATCATCTCCAGTATTACTTTTCCAATATTTCTCCATTTTTCTCAGAAGATCTTTACCAGAAACCTGCAAACTTCCGGAATTGAAATCTTCTGAGTTCAACAGGTTGTGTACGTCGTCAATCATTGAACTGCGGTCACAAAACTGCTCATATGTTGCATCACAATTGTCAGGCCAGAGACCATGGTTCGTAAATGATTCGTTAGGGCCCAAATGCTTCTCCAAATCATCGTTCCATTGGGGATATTGGCCACCTCTCGGTGGTACATAGTCCCAAAACTGAGTCTGTAGCAAAATTCCTCCCGGATGTTCAAAGCAACAAGTATCTTCAATAGCAGTGTGGTTAGAACACGTCAGTGGCATATCTGCTGGGCACGTTGGTGAATACGAATTGTCGTTCTGTGTCGAATCTTGAAGCCTAAAAAGCGCAGAATAACCACTGGAGGTCAGAATTTCCCAGGGTAAGTGCATGTCCGGAGATTGACTAGATATTGGTAAATTTTGAGGTGAAATCACACGTCAGAAGAAGCTTACTCGGTGTCTTGAATATTTGTAAAAAGGGGTCCCACGAAGCTTCTTATCGTTAATACGAATATCATCGATATGACCAACACGTGACTTAGATAGGCGTCCGAGTGGAAAATCCAGTCTCTTATCGCTTGAACAATAAAGTTCTTCTTGTCTTGCCAGAGACCAACCTTTTCGTTTCATGATTTTGAAGAGACTGGACGTGTTCGCTGTTAGAAGCAGCTTTAGCGTAGCGGTCTTACCGGTCTTACAAGGCTTTCGCTTGCAAACTAAACGAGAATTTGGCAATTTTGAAATTTGATAGCGTTGTCTTGAAGTAGTTGGTTGGTCTTTAAACTCTGAGTGAACCATTTGAAGTGCGGATTCAGCGCCTGGCACTCATAAGACTTGAAGAAAAAGCTAAAAGCCATTTGGAGTTTGTGAGCAAGAATTTGCAAGCTGTTGTCCATTCCATTGTTGGATTATTGCCAAATAGCTTGATGCTCATTCCGTTTATCTTGTCGGCCGTTATAGAATAAGGCAATTCCAACTCGTCTGGCTCTCTGAAAGATGTGGCAGAGAGACAGGACGCTATTTGAGAAACTATCACGAGTAGGCTTTGCATGGCTTTGTCAAAACTGGTTTCTTTGTGAAACAGACGTCCTATTTTGAAGCTGTTATTGTTGAAAGCATCGTGCGTAGTCCAGCTCTGCGAGCTTGCCTCAAACTGTTCGATTTTGGACAAAGACCCCATTGGCCGCAGAACAAATCCATCCAACTTGAACTGCAGACGCGTGCAAATCGTCGCTAGCAGCAAAATGAGCTGACCTAATGCTGCATTGATTTCTTGCCACGTCACGCGGGTGTCCTCAAGACTCCCCAAGCGGAGTTCGTTGATGGTTCCAAAGGGACCGTCGTGTGATATTCGAAAGGTTTCGTTGAATATATTGGTTTTGCGAAGCGTGTCAAGGTTCGTCAACGTTCTTTCGTATTTACTCTTCAAAGATTCGATTTCTTTTGAGAACTCTAAATTGTTCAATTCCTTGATATTGCGTTCCTTCATAAGCTGTAATTGTGCTTTTTTTTTAGCGGCGAGCTTGGCTTCAAGATCCTCAATCTTTAAGTCCAGTTGAGACTCCTGATCTTCCAATTGAATGAGCTCCTTCAAAAGCTCTGTGTGTTCTTTTTCAACCATTTCGCGAGAATCACAATTGGAATCCTTTGTCACAGCCTGCGAACGTTCCACATCCTCTTGCTTTTGCAACCGCGACAAGAATTCCGCGTATTTATCTCGTTCAAACATGGCTTCTTCGTAATCAGCTTTGAGTTTCTGGATCATCATGTCACAGCATTCTTGGCATACGGGATGATCTATGTTACTCTTGAATGATAAAATATTGAAAATATTTGTTATTGTGTTGATTCGTGATGACAATGTTTTCGTGGACCAATCATTTTTGGAGTCCTCTTCATTACTGGTGATCTCAGGCCCGGCCTGGTGAAGCAAACTTGAATCCCCATTCAAAAAAACGTAAGAGTTCGAGTTATTTGTCGTTGACCTACGCAAATTGAGTTCATTCGGATTCTGAATAAGACTGAGTCTCTCTAATCTTTCAGTGGGGATTTTGAACCCTGAATTTGGCACTTCTGTTTTCGCATTCAGAAGTAAATTACGTTGTGCTAAGCTCAAGTCCAATAAAGAGCTGTCTACCTCTAATGGGACGAAACAACTTTGGCATTTGATAACGCCATCCTCCTCACTCATGATCCTCTGTGAGAGGTTGTTTTGATCAATACTCCTTCTACGTTTTACGTTTGTTGGTGATAGTCTCTAATCTAATGACTTTTTCAAATATCAACTATTCCTTCTACATAACTCATCACCATCTATAAAACCAAAACAAATTAGGCGGTTCGTCGTGAAGCCGTCCAAGTAGTGTCATTGGATCTCCCTTGAGCATATTTCTTGCCATAATGTCATTTTTAGTGCGTTCCAGGAACATTTCTTCCATTTTAAGCAGCGTATTGGGTTCATTTTCAGACATGGGGTATGTGGACGAGATAATTTCTCTTTTGACCGGACAAGCCATCTTGCGCCCATTCGTTTCAATGAATCTTTCGTAGCTCTCATTTATGAGTCTCTCTAGAGGTTCTCGCACACAGATTTCGATATCTTTAGGCACCCAAATCTCATGAAGACCATGGAATTCGTATTTTCCAGTTGTTTTTAGCTGGATATATCCGATGTCCTTAAACGCAAGCTCTATCGTTCCTTGAAAAGGTGGGATAATGTGGCGGACGAAGTTTTCTTTTAGAGTTAGCGGTTTTTGAACGCCAACATATTTTTTAAGAGGAGCCTCGGTGGAATTCTTTAAGCAGCTTTCAGCTATCTCCAAGGCTCTTTCAAAGCATTTGTATTGACGTTCCACGCCAGGTATAAAATTTACAACCTGGTTGATTGAACCCGGCGGCGGAATTAGATAAAAAATCCCACTGACGGTATAACAGTTTTTGCTTTGGGTTCCTTTGACTGAGCAGTAGCTTTTTTTGACTAATTTTGACTTTTTGAAGAGTTGCGTCTTTCGGATACGTTCTAGAAGAGACCTTTCAACAAGCCTATCCAAACGCGCGTTGGCCTCGGCTCTCTCCGAATATCCAGGAAGATCGTAGACCGTTTTGCCGCCAATTTCGAACGCCTGTATGGACCTCGTCAGGTTAGGAATATGCGAAACTCCTGTCTGTTGTGCTGCTAGCGACCTCGATGATTCAACAGCCGTTGGCTGGAGTGTCTCGGTGCGTTTTTTCAAACCCCCGTAAACCTTGATTAGCGTATTCACAAGGGTCGATTTTCCTGCGTTTGCGCTTCCCACCAAATACGAGTTGTTGCTGAGCACAGAAAACAGTGATTGCAGATTCCAGCCGTTTTTGGCTGCCACTGCAACTATTTTGTTGCTATCATAGCCGATCCGAGACTTGAGAAAGTCCTTGAAAAATCTCGGTGCTTTTCGCTGCAGCAGGGACTTGCTTGCTGTAATTTGATCACCTTTCGTGAGCACGAGGGACGTTCTGTATGCCGATGCCCGCAATACTGCAAGATTCATGTGTAGAGGAAAATCGGTCAACGGAACTGCATGGAATACGTTTGAGTCACGCGGAATTTTTGATTGCACTTCTTCCAGTGTCTTGTCGGCAAACTCTTCCATACGATACCTATTGTGGTGCAAGGCGTCGCAGCATCTCTTGCAAATGACGCTGGATTTTCGGGTTTCCGATTTCAACATATCCATGCCAGAACCTTCATCTTTCAAACGATGGATATCATGACCAAACAATATGTATTTCACATCCTGAAGCGTTTTAGGTCGAACTTGTCGGGTATTTGCCCATTCGTACTCGGGCTTTCTGTAAAATCCAGCTCTTTCACCATTCTGATTTTGCAGTTCAATACCACAACTATCGCAGCTTATCCATCTAACCCAAATTTGAGCTTTTCTTCGCCAGATCCTTCTTGCAACAAGCGAACTCAGCATCTACAATGGCCGATTCTTCGATTGTGGAAGTTCACTTGGATAGGTGTGCTCATCGCTGCTATAACCAAGGTCGAAGATGTTGCCATGTACGGCGGACTTGGTCGGCTCTGGAAAATTTTTCAATTAGCGATGAGATGAGATGCCCTCCACCAGAAAAACCTACATATTACAACTGCAAGGAGTTCAAGTGCTGAAAGTCTCTCGTCTAATCCGTCAAGATGGCCAAAGTCTCAAAAGCGACGAAGAAATTCCAGTCGAAGCACTTGAAGCACACGCTGGATCACAGACGGAAGCTCAAAGATCACAGTAAAAAGATCAAAGGTCGCAGAGGAAACAAGTCAGAGGAACAAAAAAGAGACGAAGCACTAACAAAAGATGAGCAAAAGATGGCCAAGTCCGCAAAGGAGAATGTTTTCAAGGACATGAGCGTTGAAGATTTTTTTGCGGGTGGTTTCGAGGTACCTAAGGCTGAAAAGAAGCAGAAGAAGCCAAAGAAAAGCGAGGCAAGTGACTCCGAAGAGTCGTCGTCCGATGAAGAAGTCGGAGATGTGGAAAACGATATAAAGCAACTAGAGCAGAATGATCCTGAGTTTTACAAGTATTTGCAAAACAACGACAAGGAGTTGCTCGATTTTAAGGCCAGCAACCCGCTGGACGCGATGAGCGACGACGACAACGAGGAAGAGGGTAGTGAGGACGAGAATGATGACGCGAACGAGAGCAAGAGAGGTCCCAAGAGCACTGCAAATGACGAGAAGGTGGAAGTGGACCTGAAACTTGTCAAAAACTGGAAAAAAGAACTTGACTCCAAATTCAGCATTGGGCTCGTTAGAAACATTATATCTTCTTTCAAGGCAGCTGTCAACGTCAACAAAGAAGACCTTGTTGACACTTACAAGTTTGCTGTTATTGACGAAAAAGCATTCCACGAGCTTATGTTTCTCGCGCTTCGCAGCTTACCGGAAGCCATTCAGAAGAAATATCCTTACAAAACTGTTAAAGGTGTCAGAACGATACCTTCTAACTCTTCTGTTAACAAGCTTTCCAGTGATATGAAATCGCATGCAGGATCTCTTATCACGCTCCTTTCGGATATTACAAACACAGAGACAGCAGCTTTAGTTTTGCATTCTATTGACCAAATCTTACCTTATTTCCTTTCGCATCGTAGGATTTTGAAAGAATTGATCAAAAGCGTGACCGAAGTGTGGGCCAGCGCCACCGTGGTAGAGACGCAAATCGCTGCGTTCGCGTTTTTGAACAATGCATCTAGAGAATTCAAGAAATCGTTGCTTGACATTGTTCTGAAAGCCACCTATTCAACATTTGTCAAGAATTGCCGTAAAACCAACATCAGAACAATGCCTTTGCTCAATTTCCAGAAAAACTCGGCTGCTGAGCTTTTCGGAATTGACTCAACCCTCGGATATCAGACCGGTTTCGAATACATTAGGCAACTCGCAATACACCTCAGAAACACCATCAGTGCCACGACCAAAAAGACTGCTAAGACCGATCCTGCAACTGCCTACAAGATTGTTTACAATTGGCAATTCTGTCACTCCCTAGACTTCTGGTCTCGGGTACTGTCGACGCATTGCAACCTGGCGGACAATAAGGCAGCAGGATCGCAACTCAAACAGCTCATTTACCCGCTGGTGCAAGTCACGCTTGGTGTGATTAGACTCATCCCCACGGCGCAGTTTTTCCCGCTCAGATTCTATTTGATCCGATCTTTGCTCAGACTGTCGCAGAACACCGGCGTTTTCATCCCAATTTATCCACTTCTCGCTGAGATCCTAACATCTACTGCATTAAACAAAAACCCAAAGAAGAAATCTACCCTTCCAGCGTTCGATTTCGATCACAACATAAAGTGCAACGAAGGTTATTTGAGCACCAAAGTTTACCAAGACGGCATTGGAGAACAATTCATCGAGTTGCTTTCAGAGTTCTATGTGCTTTACTGCAAGAGTGTCTCTTTCCCCGAACTTACAACCCCAGCAGTTATCTCACTGCGTCGTTATGTCAAGAGCTCTAAAAATGGCAAGTTTAACAAACAGATACTCGACTTGGTAGCCAAACTGAATCAGAACTCAGAATTTGTCGCTTCTCATAGGGCTAAGGTGGACTTTGGACCTACGAACAGGGCCGAAGTCGCCCGTTTTTTGAACGATGTCTCTTGGAATAAGACTCCTCTCGGTTCGTATGTTGCCATTCAGCGTGAAGTCAAAGAAGAACGTGCCAGAATCCTAAAGGAGAGTTTACAAGAGGAGGAAGCCGCTCAGAGCGGCAATAAAAAAAAGACCATGGGGTGTGATGAAGTTTCTGAGCATAGTGAAGCGGACGAGGACATTGAAATGTCGGATTCTGCGGACGAATAAACTCATTTTTTTCTTGCACTTCAGAGTCAGTCACCGCCCACCGCTGTATATTAAGCGATATCTAAGAAAACCGCATAAGATATAATTACAAATTTTCTGTGAACGCTGGAAAACTGCCGGTGCTTAAAATATTTATGCCAGTGTCTCTTCATGACGTTATTTCATGCTTAGAAAATTGGTAACCTTTTTGCACGAAATCTTCTATCTGCTTATCTACCCATCACCCATCACCCACTGCCCACTCTCACCATCCAGAGCGATTTTGCAAGTGCAAATGGTAGCACAGTGTCCGGGTTGTTTCAAAACAGTCGTTCAACGACTTTGCTTGTTATTTTCTCCTGCTTTACACTAAATTTAATCACTAGGCATTCAAATGCGTAGTGCGGCGACTCATTGGCGACTCAAAATGTTACTCATTAACAAATCGAACTGATCCACTATCCAAGGAAGCGCTCCTTAGTGTTGAGCATGTCCGACGATTATCACCACTTATGTAATCGCGTTGTGGCCAAAATGAGAATTAAGATCAGCGGCTAAAGTTTATCAACGAAGAGCTAACCACGGAGTTTCTCAGAAAAATAAATAAGATAGCTAAGATGGTTACGAAGCTAGCAGTCTCTAAGAATGAATATAGGTCTAAGGATGGGTTCAAGGATGGTTATCAGGTTGCTAACCGTAAGGATTTGAAGAGGAGAAACGAAAAGAGAGAAGTCACATTGATTACGGATATCAACCAGCTTAAAAGAAAGATTCTTCATCTTAAAAGTGGTATCAAAATTTTGAACTCTTACGAAAAAGAGACAGAGGTTGAAAACCTCGCCTTCAAATGGCGAAGAATTTGCCAGGCTGGCATGGCATACATGTTGAATTCTACGCTGATAAAAATCGACAAGATGGGAGGTTACGAGGAGCTTGTAAGACGTGAAATTGAGGCTGAAAAACGTAAGATCGAGTACCAGTTCTCTGACAACTTGGAACAAGACATCGAAAACCTTTTAGAGTCTGAAGAGTTCAAAATGCTGTCAACAGATGAACAACAAGAATACAGAGATAAAATGGACGCGAAAAGGCAAGAAGTCGAAGATTTGCAACAGAAAGAGCTCCAGAAACTAGAAGAAAAGCTTGGCAAGACCCGTGAAACTCAAATGACCATGCAAGAACTAGCACGTCGTCTTAACGTTGATTATAAAATGGTCTTCGAAGAGTAATGGAATTGGCAAGTTGACGTTGAAGTTTTACGTTCAATGCTAGTTTTGCTATTTAAATGCTATTTTACATGATTTGGAAACCCCAGCCGTTTACTGTTCGAACACGTCGTCTAGTCTAAGTCTTGGGGCGATGTTCATGGATAAAAGTTCTTGGAAAAGCAGTTTTGCCGCGTAAGGGATTGTCATTTTAATGATGTTTTCTGCGCTTTTGCAAGATGTGCACCATCCGCTGTAACCCATCAGACCACACTTGTTGCAGACGTCAACTTCAAAAGCGTCTGAACTGATCATGAGTCTTTCAAGCAGAAGCTGGGAGGCACCATACGCTATAACACAGTCTCTTTCCATCTCACCAAGTCTTAAACCACCGTCTCTGGATCTACCTTCGGTTGGTTGACGAGTTAGCACGGCCCTGGGCCCTCTAGCTCTGGCATGCATTTTGTCTAAAACCATGTGTTTTAGTTTCTGGTAGTAAATTGGACCAAAGAAAATATAGGCTTCTAAGCATTCACCCGTGATACCTGAATAAAGCATATCCTTCCCTGAGTAATTAAATCCTTTATCGACCAGAATTTGAGACATTTCTTCCAGTTTGGATCCACCAAAACAAGTACCGTATTCCAAAGTGCCATTCAAAACTCCAGCCTTCCCCGATATCAACTCTATCATTTTGCCGACCGTCATACGAGAAGGGAAACCATGAGGGTTCATGATGATGTCAGGAACCACACCGTCGTCATTGAAAGGCATGTCTTCCTGTTTGACAATAATACCACAAACGCCTTTTTGACCGTGTCTAGAAGAGAACTTATCCCCCAATTCAGGTCGTCTATTTTGTCTCAAAAGGACTTTTATCAATGCTTGGTCGTTCTCAGACACTGACATCATGACTTGGTCTATATGCGATGGCTCCGGTGCCCTGTAAACAACTGGCGTCTCTCTGTATTGTGCATTGGTTTGGGTCAACACGCTGTCAGATGCATTGGTCGGAACAGACTTGTTAATGTAGATTTGTCCACTCTCGACTTTCATACCAACTTCACCTAGACCATCAGGACCGAGAGACTTGTGCTGCCAAATTGGCTCCCCATTTTCATCGACACGCATACCACCAATGATATCTTGAGTGTGGTTAGGGTATCTTTTGAGGATTGTTGTTGTTTTTTTCCGCGTTTCACATCTACCGAAGCCTCTGTCAATAGAAGACTTATTCAGGACCAGCGCATCTTCAATATCGTATCCAGAATAAGACATGACGGCAACCGTAGCATTTTGGCCAGCTGGGAGTTTGTCGTAGTCGATCAGCTCAATAGTTTTTGTTTTCACCATTGGTTGTTGAGGATAGATCATCAAGTACAATAAAGTGTCAATCCTCTTGAACTGATTGTATGCTATAGCACCTATCGCTTGCTTACCCATAGCGCATTGGTAAGTATTACGTGGTGATTGGTTGTGGTGAGGGTATGGAATTAAACCAGCGACGGCTCCTAGCACAGTGAAAGGCTCGATTTCCAAATGTGTAATGTTCACGTCGATATCCTTTTCATACAATGCAATAAAAGAGTCATTTTCTTCGTTGACATCCAGATATTCCACCAATCCTAATTTTAAGAAGTCATCAAACTGAAGTTCGCCCTCTAAAAGTTTTTTCAAATGGTGAGCTTCAACTAGGGATTTTCCTCCCGTCACTACGATTAAAGGACGACAAATTCTACCCCCATCAGTGGCAATATGGACTGCCTTTTGGTGACTGTTTGTGTAAATTGAAATGAATTCAGAGACTTTGCCAGTTCTCCTCAAGTGTCTGAATAGTGTCACAAATTTCGTGGGGAATCTAATGGTGCCAATAATGGTACCATTTAAGTAGACAGCATAGTTCAAATGCAGTGAGTAGCTGTCAATAACAGTAATGTCTTCGACACCCAGGAGATAACATAGCTTCTTTATTGGCTCTTCTTCGTCATCCGTCGTAATATGGGTCATTAAAGCCAGGTTTTTAACCAGACCACATGCTTCACCCTCAGGCGTATCTGAGGTACATAGCATTCCGAACTGTGAGGGTTGCAACGCTCTTGGACCGGAAACTTTTCTAGATTTTTCGAACTGCGAAGAAATTCTTGTCATCATCCCGAGAGCTGATATGTAAGAAAGACGACTCAGAACATGAGTAACACCTGCCCTTTCCATCTTAAATCTCTTTAACGACCAGTTACCCGTTGAAATTGCTCTATTAAGTCCACTACTAATATTATTAGAATGGACATTAATGGATAAAAGCGCATCGTACTCCATGGCTCTGTTTGGTTTCTTCAAGACTTTATCAATGTTGGCCTTGAAATCGTTGTTGAATTTTTTGAACAAATCTTCGAAAAGAAGCGACATCAGCTGGCCAGCGAGTTCAAGTCTCTTATTACCGACATAGTCTCTATCGTCGACCATCTTAGGATCGAACATGGCCATAACCACTCTCCTTGTCATCAGAGCGACATACATTGCTTTTTCTCTAAAGTCCAGAGCTTCTACAGTCAGATGGGCAATGACAGTAGTTGCAATGGCCTCAATGCCTTCTTGCAAAATCGATAACTTTTGTCTTCTCACTGTCTTAACTTTTGATCCGATATATTCTAACGCCTGTTGCTGGGTGTAAATTTTGGATCTGGCAGCCTCTTCAAAATTGACAGCAAATATGTCCTGGTAACTGCTATCGTTACCGCACACCAGCTGCATGATTTCAAGATCAGAAACAACACCACAGGCCTTCAAGGCTATGACAATGGGCACTTCCTCGGCAATGGAGTTGTGCTTCAAATAAATTCTGTCATTTTTGGTAATAACGTAAGTTTTGGATTTCCTTTCGTGTGTAGAAGATGTTACAGATGCTTGTACGATTGCTTTTTTCTCATCGGCCTCGACAATGATACGGTTTTTGGACAGTTGCTCTTGCACTAAAATGACTTTTTCAGTTCCATTGACAATAAAGTACCCACCTGGATCTAAAGGACATTCGTTCAATTTAGCCATGACTTTCTCATCCGCGTTGTTTAAAATGCATTTGTTGGACCTGAGCATGATGGGCATTCTTCCAATTTCCACGTCTCTGTGCATAATGATATTGCGACCCCGCGTGTATTCAATGTCAACGTATATAGGTGCAGAGTATGTCATATCCCGCAATCGACATTCATGGGGTGGAACAATGTAATCTTTTGTAGAGGAAGTCGACCGATGTCCGACTCTAATGTCAACATATTTTAAATAAAACTCTGGATCGACATCGCTAAGCACCAATTGATTCGCTTTAATGATTTTTTTCAAATCTGTGTCAACAAAATAATTGAAAGAATCCAAGTGTTGCTTGACAAGGCCCTTAACCTTAAGAAAGGCGGGCAATAAGTTCCATTTATCCTCGGCGGTGTTGATCTCATCTGTCAGCTTTTTCCCTCGGTATACGGGCTTTAAAAGCTCTCCAAACGTCGCATCTTCTTCGTGATGCTTAAATTCAAAGTCTGTAGCAACTTTTGCCATACCAGCAATGTTGAATTAACCTATAGGCAGGTTGTTGGAGTGGATTCTTTTCGCAAGCTTGATTACTGATCATCTAGCTCATCTCGTTAATATAAAATTTTCTTGAAGGAATTGATGCTCACCGTAGATCATGATATTAAAAAGAAGAGGGCCATCAGTTAGTTAAGTTCATGGAACCGGTTCGTTACCCAACTGTTCTCTCTCTTTAGTTTGACTTAGGAACTTGAGAAAGTTCAATCAAGTGGTAAGTGAGACGAAGTGGAAGGTTTTTACTCATTAGCTACTATTTCCACCCGTTGTTTCTTTCTGGCAACACTCCCGCTTCTACACAGCATTTACATTCATCAGTTTACTAGGTATCGAAATAAAGCCGTCTCTCGGGGTATTGGCTTGATAGAGGAAGCATCATACCTTTGGATCGTTCAAAATGTCTTCGACTCTGTTTAAGGCAACTGTAAATGAATATTTGAAGAACCTACCTGCGCCAGTGCAATCAAGACTTTATGGCTCACCTGCAACTTGCTTGGCGATTTACAGACTTCTTCCTAAGCTCGCCAAGTTTTTCATAATTTCAATGGTTTTCAATGAGAGTGACGTTTCGTTGCGCGATATAGACAGGTGGGTCAAGACTTCAGGCAAATTTCAATTAAGCGAGGCAATCAAATCCATGAAATCCTTGCATATCTTGACAGATGGAATCAGTGGTCAACATCTCATGGTCAATCTCAACCCAATTTTCCGCAAGAGTTTTAGAAATGCTCTGACAGGTGGAGAAGTTAATAATTCATTTGGAAATGTGGTTGAAGATGATCATAATGCGGTTACAATGGGGATGCTGGATCAGTACGCTGCTGACAAGTGGGAAACAATTTTGCATTTCATGGTGGGAACACCTGTAACAAAGACGCCTTCACGAAATGTTTTAACGCTTCTTGTTCACAGTAAACTGATGGAGGAGAGTAAGACGGGAGAACTTCAAATCACCAACGAAGGCTTCCAATTTCTTTTGCAAGATGTAAATGCTCAAATGTGGACGCTTTTACTTCAATACTTAAAAATGGCCGAATCCCTGCAAATGGATCCTGTCGATGTTTTGAATTTCATTTTCATGCTTGGTGCTTTAGAGCTTGGTAAAGCCTATAGTGACGTGGACCTGAGTGATACCCAGAAAAGCATGTTGCAGGACATGCGAGATTATGGCCTTGTTTTCCAAAAAGCTTCTAATAGCTTCAAGTTCTACCCTACGCGGCTTGCAACCATGCTTACTTCAGATTCCACCACAATTCGCACCGCGTCTGGTGCTATGAACAGTGTACTCAAGCAAGGGTCAAGTATCAAAGATGAAGGTGCTCCGGGAGCTGCAATTGAAGAAGATGAGGCCCATATTAGTGATCTTACACAAGGTATGCCCGACGGGGCGCTTATTTTAGAGACCAATTTCAAACTTTATTCTTATTCCAATTCACCTCTGCAGATTGCAATTCTCAGTCTTTTTGTGCATTTGAGATCTCGGTTTTCCAATATGGTCACAGGTCAAATTACTAGAGATTCAATTCGACGTGCCCTTCATAACGGTATCACGGCCGATCAAATCATTGCATACTTAGAAACACATGCGCATCCTCAAATGAGACGTTTAGCAGAAGCCCAACTTGACAAGAAAACGGAGTTAGATCCTTCCACCAAGGAAACCTTGCAAATTTTGCCTCCCACAGTTGTCGATCAAATCAAACTTTGGCAATTAGAAATGGACAGAATCATAAGTTATGAAGGTTATCTTTTCACTGATTTCGAAAATCTGCAAGAATTTCAGTTGCTTAGTACTTATGCTACAGATATTGGAGTTTTGTTGTGGAAGGATGAGAAAAAGAGAAGGTTTTTTGTCTCTCAGGAAGGTAATGCGCAAGTTATTGACTACGCTAAACGGACGTTAAAGAAGAAATAGAATGAGTAATTATAGGAGATTTAATGATCGGATTCGGTTGATTTTGAGTATCATGGCCTTATCGGAGAACTTGAAAGCTTAGTCCACACAAAAAAAGCTTGCACCCAGGTTCGAACTGGGGACCAACAGATTTGCAATCTGCTGCGCTACCACTGCGCCATACAAGCAACGAACGTGTATATGGCTTTGCGAGCACTCTACGAGTTTCTCACAAGAAAATAAGCTGATCAGCACACGCCCTTAACACTAAGGTCATACCAAATAGTAAAGACAAGCTTTCCAGATTTTATTATATGACTTTGATCTATTTAATGTTTGATCTATCAAAATCAACTATCATACAACTGTACCATCTAGCAATCCCTTCCTCTTAAGTCAAGAGATTTCTCTCGACATAGGACTTCTAGGCCCCCCTGCACGAGGTGACCACTGCTGACATATCAAACTTGAATTTCGATGCAAATAAAAGACTCATGTAGCGAAATTGCAGATAGTTATCAGTAAAATTGAGAAACATCGAAATGCAAGTTTGATGACTGTTGGAATAAAAAAATAAGAAACAAAAAAATAGAATTTTCATGCAATGTGATCTTGAAGATCTTCGCCTCATGCTCAGCATGAGCGCAACCATCTATGGAAGGTTTTTAATCTTGGCAAAACGGAAAATGCACCGGATCAACCACCCCCATGAACCAGAAAATTTGAAAACGACGTCAGCGCATGTGAAATAAAAAGAGGAAAAATACCATATTTGTTCCGAATGGGAATATCAAACCAATGACTCCCTGGGATATGGAAGTAGTTCATTTTGAGACTAGTGTACGCGACTCACTCTTCCATATTATTGTACAATTGTATAATACCTCGTCAAGTAGGTAATGCAAAAAAACCACAATTCTCTCACACCTTGATTCGATGTCATATCGAATCAATCACAGAAAACACCAAATAGTCAGGAGAATAGACATAAAACAATCGAGAAGTGACAACTCATTTCAGACAAAGTATAAGGAAGAAAATAAAAAACCATCACGAAAGGGAGCTTAACGCCCCCATATTGATCAAGGCTTACCACCAGGAGTTGCTGGCAGCAGAGCTACCGGAGTTTCCGGTGTTACCCCAGGAGCTTCCCGAGTTGCCCCAGGAGTTACCCCAACCGGAGCCACCACCTCTGCCGTAAGAAGATCCACCTCTACCGCTGGCACCGTAAGAGCTACCACTAGAGCCATTTCCGTGGCGACGATAGTCTCTGGTGCTGTTGCCACGACTGCTGTGACCACCTCTAGCACCACCACCAGAGGTTTCTCTGGCGATTTGAGTCAAAAAGGCTGGGACTTCCTGCTTGGCTTCGGTCAAAATTTCAACCAACTCTTTGCAAACGTTCTTGTTGCCTCTGTTGAAGAAGGCAGTAGCGGTACCGGTGTTACCAGCACGACCAGTTCTACCGATTCTGTGAACGTAATCGTCGATGTCACTTGGAAGATCATAGTTGATGACGTGAATAACGTTAGGAATATCCAAACCTCTTGCAGCAACCGCAGTGGCGACCAACAAATTGGCCTTTCCGCTTCTGAAAGCGCCTAGAGCACGCTCACGCTCGCCCTGGGAGCGGTCCCCATGAATGGCGGTAGCCTTCAAGTCCTGCATGATCAAGAAATCGGTTAAAGCGTCAGCCATTCTCTTGGTTTCAACAAAAATCAAAGTCAAACCGTCATCAGAGGCGGCCAAAAGATCAAGCAATGCAGATCTTTTGTCATAGTCTTCGACGTAAAGCACGTTTTGGGTAATGTTTTCGGAAGTGGAACCGACTCTACCAACGGACAAAAACACGTAGTCCTTCAAAAAGTCACGGGCCAAGTGTTGAATGTCAACGGGGAAAGTGGCGGAAAACATGAGCGTTTGTCTGTTGTCGACGTTAGGCATGTCACACCCATCGACAATGTGTCTGATTTGAGGCTCGAAACCCATATCCAACATTCTGTCGGCTTCATCTAGCACCAAATACTTGATGTTGCAGAGCGAGATACGGCCACGTTCTAGAAGATCGGAAAGACGACCTGGGGTAGCGACCAACAAGTCGCAACCACGGTTAAGTTCCTTAATTTGACTACCGATGTCGGCACCACCGTAAACGACGCATGGGCGCACCCAGGATCTGTAAGTGAATTTCTTGGCTTCGTCGAAAATTTGAGTGGCCAATTCTCTGGTTGGGGCCAAGACGACCGCAGTGGGGAAGGCTTTCTTAATGTAGTAGTTGGAAGCTTGTTCTGGCACGGGAGCTGGTCCGTTGGCAAACGACTCGGACAAAACTGGGAACAAAAACCCACCTGTCTTACCGGAACCGGTCTGCGCACAGGCCATCAGGTCTCTGCCGGCGGCGATGATAGGAACGGAGTATTTCTGGACAGGCGTAGGCTTTGTGAAACGCGCTCTCGTGATGTTTTCGAGTAACAACTCGTCTAGTGGAGGAGAAGTGAAATCCGAAATAGGCTCTGGAACGTCGTTACCGGAGGCCTCGACAGGAATGTCGTCGTAGTTGTCGAAGTTGATACCGGACGACTGGAAGCTGGGGTCCTCCGCAGTACCGAACAGTTGCAGTTCGATTTGCTCGTTCTTAGGGGCAGGTTCGTGTTTGCCGTTGACCCATCTGCCAACGCCACGAGGTGTGCGGCCATCACCACCCTCTCTTCTGCCTCCAAAACCTTCTCTTCTACCACCACCGAAGAACGAAGAAGAGCCACGGCCACCACGGCCGCCGCCACGGCCACCGAAATCTCCGCCGTTACCGTCAAAAGATCCGGAAGGTGGTCCGCTTCTCTTGCCTCTCATGTGAGGAGGGACGTACGAGCTTCTTGGGTTCGAACCCCTGCCGTTACCGTTGTTCCCACCTAAGTTCAAGTTATCCATTTGATTAGCTAGTTCAGACATATTGTATAACTGATTTCTAGTGAACTTGTTTTATTTTTCAGTTCTAGATCTGTTCAAGTTAAAATTCTCAAGGAGTTGAGATGCCCGTTTCTTAAATAGCACTGCTAAACTTTTTTTTTCTTCTGCTAGAAAGAAATAAAAAAAAAAAAAAAAAAAAATTTTACCTCTTTTCGTGAACGTATTCGTTGGATGTGATTTGATGAAGGTGTGTGGGTTCTGTGAATTTCTTTTGGTCTTTATTGGTCATTTTGTACGTGCTGGTTAATGGCGATTTATGACTAAGTAACTAGTTTTGTACGAATACTTTTGAGTATATCTCTTTGTACGTTGGGAGTTGCTCTCTTGACGTCAGTTACTCACAGGTAGTTTTCAGCGACTCGTCACTATTAACGTACATAACCACATGCCGCTCGTGGGTCTTCCAGCACTCTTTGCGAGACACCTGACAAGCGACGTCCTGAAGTAGAAAACGTCTCGGAGATTAAACCTTTTGAGCACTGACAAAGTTCGCGCAACAACCATACGGATCACTCGCGTGGTGGCCCAACACGCGATTATCAGACAACTCGCAGTTTTGATTTATGATTTTGGAAAGTCACGCAGCCAGACGCGCTCCAATTCACAAATCGTGAGAGGTTAAAGTTTCTAACCCTCTAGGAGCAGCCATTCTTGACGAATAACTTCCTGATAGATGATAGATCTGACATTTTTGTTAGAAGGAGAGAGTAAAGAAGTGATATCGTCAGATGGTATTATCACGTGATCACCGTGTCAGAAAAAAATGAGAGGAAATCGAACGGACGGTCATTAAACTTAACGGGAAGGAATAGAAGTTCAAAGCTCCCAGTCATGACAAGGGTACCGTCACGTCCCTACTATCACATTATGAGTACTCTGATTGATTGGGTTAGGGGGAAAGTTTTCACCACATCTCATTTCAAGTTTTGTAGTTTGCGATGAGTGTGAGTTTGTAGGAAGTGCATTTGAGGAAATGATACAGCAAGCTTTATAGTAGTTGCGATATCGAAATAACAACGGAGAGATATAAGTACTCAAAACTCAATATATTTCACGATCCAGATAATTACGAACGAACTGAGTAAACAATTTAAGAATCAGCCGACCAACAACGCCGTTGAAGCTCAATTGCCTCTGTTGGAAACAATTCGGTAGCGTAGGCAAAAGTGCTTAAGGTAAGCCTACACCAACATTTCAGTTCCCTTGATGTGGATAAATGAAGTTCTCATATCAAGGTCGCTTACAATACGACTTACCGAATTGTCTCCCTCTTTCAATTAATGCACGTGATTCCATTTCCATATGTATGACTTTTTGGTGGGACGCCTGGCGCAGTTTGTTTCTAACACCACCCACAACCTTGATCCGGTGCCGTAGCGGGCCCTGTCATTGCATTCCACCCCTCGCAGGCCTAGTCCAATTCTCGCGCCATTTCTGTCACAGTGGTCACGTGTTAGATATCGTTGACACTATTGTACACCTTCCAGCGGTAACGTAGGCCTCGAAGAACCAAGGCCCTTCCTGGTAAGCGGTAATTTTACCCTTTCCTTAGAAATTTCAATAGATGCTATACTAAAATAATTTACCGTCAATCTGCTCTACTTGGAGAGCCACTTCATCTCCGCATTCGCGCAGGGTGTAATTTGACAAGTTCACTTATCGTAAACCTTATACCGGCGTTCTCAATTGTTTCAGAAGGCCCTGTCGCAAGTAACGTGACTTCTGTTTTGGAGTGCTCATGGCAAATAAGGTAACGGAGACCGGAGTTTGCTGAGAATCTTTAAGCAGATAAGTGACGGCATGTCGACATTTTTGATTTTGGGATAACGAAATTTTACCACCTAAGTTAAATCGAAAAAGACACCGTCACAACTCCACAGCCACGAGACGCTTGGCGTCACAATGTCAATCTAACGATCGTTTTTGCAGTTATTGATCCAGTGTCACATGGGTGACACACTAGTCAAATCTGGCATAAGCTATATGATAGCCCTCATCTAGCGATTCTCCTCGCATGTCATGTAGCAATTTTCATAGCGTTAGTCTCTTAATATGTCTCGTGATCCTCAGCGAGCATTTTTCAATGCATCTGATGCACGGGCAATCATGTCACAAGCCTATGTACAATGTCACATAGGAATAACGTTACAGACTGTACTCCTCACATTTAACATTTCCTGTGCGACTCACGCAACTAAATATTGTTACTGCAGGCTACTAGCTGAGCATTTAGGTGCCATAGGGGGGGGGGGGGGGTGGAAGTACCACGCTTTCAGACAGCGCGAAAAGCCCCCGTCAATGTGTTGCGATGGCATTTTGTAAATCCATCGGACTCAAAGGACGCAGTGTCGAAAACAATTCTGGAGTGAGCTCTGATCAATATGTCCATGGATTAGGCTCGTCAAAATACCTCGCACTTGCTTCATGCGCATCTTCTCACACTTATTTCAAGATCATCTTTCTAGATTCTAAAATTGAAAATTTTTAAAATAAGCTGTTCACCGGAATACAAGTTTTAGCCAGTATAACGCAGCATTAGTCACGATTGGGCATGTCTTCGAACCTTGCATCGCTGCTGCGAAACTCAAAAATTGCACAGGTACCAAAATCGAGGCACCAACTTGCTTCCGGAGGTGTTAAGATTGCGCCTACACATCAGATTATCGAAAATAAACCTTCGACTTTGCATCGTCAAGAATGGGGTCTCAAAGCGGCTCTACCAAGCAAAGTGACTTCCAGGTACATAGTGTACGACGACTTGGACACTTTGGAGCGACTCACAACCTTCGAGGCCACCGGCGGGTCCCAGTGGAACAGATTGAGATTCCAAGAACTCGGTGTCGCTCCAAAATATAATCCTGGCAAGGCAAACCCGCTCTTCGAGGGTCAGTCGTCATCCAAAAGTCAATTTGTTCCGCTCAGCTCGCTGTTGGACATCGACAGTTCGTCGTCAAAGGCGGAAATCAGGGCTAAATTGTCACAGATCAAGGATCTGCGTGGACCTTTCAGGAAATGGCTCCTCGAAAGGGACCCAGAAGCGCTTAAAAACAAGAATTTCAATGCTAGAGACATGGGCGAAAACGCTGTGGTGTTTTTGACCGAGACCGTCAGCCATGCGGCCGAACCAGACTCCAGGTCGCTTAGAAAAATTGTCGGCGCAGGAGGCTTGACTTACAGCTTGAATGGCAGGTTAAGACAGTCGCCAAACGGGGTCATCTCCAAGACGATTATTCCAGGTAGGTTTTTGAATGTCGAAGGTAACGACAGACTTGCCGCTATCGGTGGGTTCGTCGCCAACGCGGGTTCATCTTCCGTAAACACGTCCCAAGCAGACTACAATATGGGCGATTTCGTGCGAGAACTCAAAATTCCCTTCTCGATAAGTCACGCCTCTGTACTCGAGAGTGGGAAAGTTGTTTTGCGCGCCAACGTTGTGAGCGGAATTAGTTCGAGAGCCAGAATGCAAATGAACAACAGAAGTCATCACCAAAGACAACCACGCCGGCCCGCGCCTCGCTCCATGTCGGCAGAGGACTCCAGCAAGCATGCCGAAGAGTTGCTGAACATACTGACGAACTTTGATTCCGGAAAGAAGAAGAATTGACTTGTATATATATATAGGACATGGCCTGCAACTCATGTAAATAGAAGCAAGATCATATCTGGATATTACACTTTGCCTTGCCTCCCTTCTTTTTACATTAAAACACCTTTCGTGGAGGGAACGTCATTAGTGCCGTTACTGGACGTTGCGTCACGGATGGCAACCGCGAGCGCTTTAAAGGCACTTTCGCTTCTGTGGTGGTCGTTGAAACCTCTGAGACAGTCGACATGAAGCGTTATTCTTGCTGCTTCGGCAAAACTCTCCAAAAAATGAGGGATCATCTCAGTGGAAAGATCACCGATCTTCTCTCTCTTTAAACCCAAATCTATCACAGCGTAGGGTCTATTAGACAAGTCCACGACGGCACGCGACAGGGCTTCGTCCAAAGGCGCAAATCCACAACCAAAACGTTTAACACCACGCACAGTACCCAAGGCCTCTTTGAAAGCCTGTCCCAATGCGATTCCGCAGTCTTCCGTGGTATGATGGTCATCGATGTGAAGATCACCGATACACTCAACAATCAGCGACCAACCAGAATGTTTGGCTAATGCATGAATCATATGATCTAAAAACCCAACGCCGGTCTGAATATTGATTACCTGAGAAGCAGTAGCCTGAAAAGCAACGTCTTCGTCTTTGCCAGTCTTATCTAAAATGGAGTTTTCGATTTGGATGAAACCGCCTTTTAAGGCTATGGCAATTTGAATTTTGGTTTCATTAGTGTTCCTCGATACAAATGAAGTATTAGCAGGTGACTTTGGCCAATTGTTACCGTTATCTTGAACCATTTTCTTTGCTCGAGTTTAGTCAATCATTTGAAGTTTACGATTTTGAAAAATTAAATCATAGAAATCTTAAACATAGCTCATCGCGTCAAGATAACAATATATTATGATACATAATAGAGTCGTTGAGATTACCACAAGACGCTGGTTGGCAAGAGCAGCGGTCAAATCAGCTGTTAAGGTGCCTAATCAAGCCTTTCGAGCCGATAAAGGCGGTATTAAATTCGAAAAGAACTTTCCATCAGAGCGCAAAGCAAAAGCGTGGGAAAGAGCTGGACAAGATAAAGATACCTGGTTCAAACGAAAATATGCCCATATTCATGCAAAATCCAACGAAGGGGTGCCGAATGATAGGTACGGTAAACGTGACGCGCATAAGGTGAGAGTTGAAGCTGGGAAATTGGAGTTGAAAAGACAGCATCGTGAGCACAGAAACAAATTTGAAAACCGAGATTCGCTGATCAATTTCAAGCCTAACCCACTATCGGAGTATGTTTATGGTGTGAACAGTGTTCAGTCGGCTTTGATGGCGGGCAAGAGAGAATTTCACTCGCGACTACTGTATCATGGTGCGATTCCTGAACAAATAGCGAAACTTGCAAAATTCCTGAATGTTACCATGGAAGTGGTGGATAAACATCGTTTGAATCTGCTGACTAACTACGGCGTTCACAACAACGTTGTCTTGGAAACAAAACCTTTGCAAATAGAGGAAATCTCGTATGTGGGCCAATGCGACGAGGCGTCGCATTCGTTTCAGTACGGAGAATATTCCTTTGACGGTTTTGTAGATAGAGACTTGAGCTTTTCACAGTCTGCGACCAAGAAATATCCGCTTGGAATTTATTTGGACCAAATCCACGATCCGCATAACATAGGCGCCATCATAAGGACGGCCTTTTTTTTGGGGGCAGATTTTTTAATTATGTCCAGGCGCAACTGTGCTCCATTGTCACCAGTTGTCGCAAAGACAAGCAGTGGTGCTCTGGAATATTTCCCGATCTTCACAGTTGATAAACCACTTGATTTTTTCAACCGATCTCAAGAGGCTGGAGGATGGTCGTTTGTTTCGACGGGAATTGCTACCGCTAACAAGCACAACAAACATAAGTTTTTGCAAGCGGAAGACCTGCGTGGCATGCTCCAAGAGCTTCCTGTGATTTTGGTGGTAGGAAATGAAGGTGAGGGAGTGCGAACCAATTTGGAAATGAGAAGCGATTTCTTGGTGAGTATACCGTTCGGCGGAGGTCAAACCGACATCGCTCCTGTTCAGAATACGGGCGTCGACTCGTTGAATGTCAGTGTGGCCACGGGTATCCTGCTCAATTTATTGCTCAGTTGAAAATCAATTATACAGAGAGTACATGTAATTAGTTGCTTTTAGGTTTATCTTATTTTATGAAGAGTTCTTTTCAACTCTTCAAAGTAGTCTGTGGATCGTCTGGTCGTTTTCAACTGCAGACAAATCTTGGAGTTGTTCCCACCATCCGAACAAGGAACTCTCGCAGATGAGTTTGAACCAAGGAGTGAATTTGAGGTGCGGATTGTGTAGCATTTCTCTTAGTTTGTCCGCCGTGACCCAAGTGTAGTCGCGGACTTCATTGACGTTGGGATTCACGGTTAGTTGTTCACCGGCAGCCAGCTTGAAGAACAGAATATAGTCGATTTCGTGTTCGCCCCATGGTCCGTTGCTGGGCGCCATGTAGTGGATACGATTCAGAAAATGGTATTCGCCCTTTGTCTGGGTCTCCGAGACGGGTATCCCAAGTTCCTGTTCCAGTTTACGGGACGCAGCCGTCTTGACACCAGCGACTTTACCAGCAAGCGAGCCGTCGACCCCGAGTTCGTCGTCGACGCACAGCGGGTGGGAACAGCAAGTGTTAGTCCAAAGGTCCGGGAACGTGATTTTTTCGCTGGCACGCTGTTGCAAGAGCAGCTCGTTCTTGTCGTTGAAAAGGAAAACCGAGAATGCCCGGTGTAGTAGTCCCTTTTCTATGTTGGTCATCAAATGACACAATTTCTTGGTACCAGCTCCAATGGCGCTGTCGTCCCAGTCCAAAACAATGCAGTTTTCGCACATGAGCTTGATTTGCTCTTCATCGTGACCTTCAAAAACGACATCGCCCTGTGTGCTGGAAGAAGATTCGCTGGAATGCGTGTTGGGCCGCTTACTGAGCGGAATGATATCGGGAAAAAGATCGAGCACTTGTTTTGCACTTTGGCTCTCTACTAATTGCGCGTACGAAGACATCTTGGTCTGATGGGTGGGGGTATACACGCTTGCCTGTTGGTAAGCTAAATTGATGAAGCTCGCTCTTTAGCGAAACCGTTAAATTTTGAAAATCCGTGTAGAGTGATTCTCGTTCCTACCAGCTCGAGTCTGAATATTTGAAGCACTCGCGGCGTAAAAAGCCCAAACTGTTTTGTGTTTCAGCCTCTTATGATAATTCTTGTGTTCGCTAGCTAAGCTCGTAATTCGTAGAGCTCGTAATTTGTAGAGCTCTCTGTAACGGTGTGCTTTGGTTTCCTTCTCTGTAGCCTTAGATTACGTGGACGGTGAAAAACATCGCAGCTGGCAGGATAAAGAAAAACTAAAGCATATCAAGGCAAAGAGGTTCATAGGAAAATTGGATGGGTCCGCGATTTTTTTGCTGATTTACGAATAATATTAAGATTTTTGACTTTAACGTCGTAGCTGTTGTCTCCATACTGCACAAAACGCCCCTGCTGCAACACTATGACGTGAACTTTCATCACTATTCTTTTCCAAAATCCCTTTCACTGTCTTTCCAGGCTCTTGAGTTCCTTTTGTCTCAGAACGGGCTCTTACCATCTGGCCGTTAAGTAAACGTTTTACTCACGTGACCTCGATGACAGAATCCGATGGCATCACAGATGGGGATAGTCGTGGTGCTAAGCAACATTAAGGAACGTGGTCTGTACGCGAGGAGGACCGGTCTGAAATTATAAGAGTTCATATAACGGATTTTAGTCGGTGTCAAGTAGTCGTAGAACAGAATCAACTTAAAGCCGAAAGTCGTGTTCAATGGACATGTTGTTACTGAAACATGAACGAAATGATGTGTTGGCTAGATAGTTGCGGACAGATATAGAAACCGTTGGAAGGAGAAGGTGATATGTGACACTGTCTAATATTACGTTAGTATCACGTGATCGTGAAGGTGGAATAGTCTGCCAAAGCATCGAATAAACCAGGGAAATCATGGAAGCGATTTGACCGCGGTGGTGGATATGTAAGTACGAGATCATTTAAATTTGGTCACTGAGGGTATGATGGAAAGCGTGAGGTAAAAAATTTATATAATGTTTCAATTAAGAATGATTAGTGATCGATGAAAATCGTATCACAAGAAATGCATAGAGGAGACAATATGGCCGGTCGGTGAGACATCTTACCAGATGGAATTAGAGAAACTAATATCCAATACCAGATATATCTAACTACTAAGCATGGAGATTTATCGTTGTCGGTAGTTGATAGATTTCTAAACTGCTCATTTAATTCGTTCAAAGTTGATCTATATTATAAAGTTGATAAGGTGTTGAGTACTTATATCTTCCCATGGCTATCTTGTGACCATGACCACTACGATCCTAGTCATATCAGCTCCTTTTATACAATTTCTGTAACATTGTTCCAATTCCGGAATCCGTTACTTTCTCTGATATTGACGGTGAGTCAGAATTACGACGTATATTAGATCACTCTTACAGTGATGAAGAGGTGTGACGACATCATGACAACCACTAGAATCATTCGGTTCCTATGACTTCATCTTGAACATAAACCGTCCGTTCATTCTTCTAATTTTATTCTGTCATATATATCACGTGATGATGCAATTTAACGATATCACCTTCTCGCCAGCTCCTCCCTTCCAACACTAAGATCTCTGAATGAATCAGTGACAAATTTTGAAGACTATCGACCGGCGACGTTGCCAATCCTGAATAATATGATGGCAGTGACAGACACAATTTGTAATCCATGAATGCTTGACAATATGCCAGAAATGTGTAAGTGGGCGACAAAATATATTTTTAAGTGGACCATCTAATTAACATAGAGACATATAAGTACTCGCCATACGCATGAATAACTCACCGTGCTTATTTCTGTATGCTACGATCTCCCTGCTGTGACAGTTTCTGGTAGTCTTGACGTGTACTCACATTACCCGGTTTATGAACAACCCGCGAAAAAATTTGTATGGTTCCACGTCAGCCTCTCAAGAAATGACAAAAGTGAAGGAAGGCTCGAACCAGATCAAGAATAGTGCAACCCCATAACTCATTTTAAAACCCGCGTGATGTCGTCAAACTTGGATGCTAAGAAGCGCAGCAACTTGAAACGTCCTGATGTTGGTGTCAGAGACAAAAAACTCGAAGTTTTGAACGCGCAATTGAAGAAAGTCGACACCGAGGTGCAGGCAATTAGAAAGCAGATCGATCAACACCAATTGGGATCCGGTGCACAGGACGAGCGTTCCAAGTTGCACCAGGACCTCCGCGATATCATTAAGGTGCAGAGCGACCTCAAGTCCCGCAGACAAACCGTTCACGATAAGATTAGGTCCTTGGATAGCGATATCAAACGCAAGGACGGGCAAATCTCTGCGAAAATTGGGACCAAGTCCCGGTACCAATCCGTCGATGAGATCAAATCCCGTATCGCGGAAATTGACGCCGATGTGTCCTCCGGCCAGCTATCGTTAGTGCAAGAAAAACTGCACGTCAAGGAAATGCAATCTCTCAACAAGCTCATCAAGGACTTCCAAGCCGTTGACCCAATCAAGAAATCGATTGACCAAGACCGTGCCTCGATTGCGTCTTTGAAGCAAGAATTGAACGAAATGAACCCAAGAGAGGTTTCTGCCAAGTTCGAAGCGACTCAAAAGAAGTTGAACGACGTGCAATCCAAGAACCAAGTCGTCTACGACAAGCGTCAGACTTTGTTTGCCAAGCGTTCCGCTTTGTACAAAAAGCGTGACGAGATCTACTCTCAAATCAACCAGATTAGATCCGACTTTGACAACGAATTCCAAGCTTTCAAGGGGAAATTGGAAAAAGAACGCTTGAAGCGTGAAGAAGACCAGAAATTGTCTAAACTCTTGGAAGAGAAAGACACCGCTTTGGGCAAATTGCAAGAGAAATTGTTGCATGCCCGTCAACCAGCGTTCACTTACGAGATCGGCGCCATCGAAAACGTCTTGGTGGTTCTAGATCCAACCTACGTCAAGCCTAAGAAACAAACGTTGGAAGCGCTTGCTTCAACTTCGGAGCCAAAGGCCGAAATCAAGAAAGTTGAGGCCGACGATTTGGTGCCTATCGTGAAGGAAAAAGAAGAATTCTTCGCGGGCGGTTCGAAATCTAAGAAGAACAAGAAGAAGCAATCTTCCAACTCCACTAAATTTTCCTTGGAGCCAACTATGATCGCCTTGCTAGCTGAGCTGGACGTGGCGGTTCCTTTGAGCAAAGAAGAAGTTCCAAAAACGGTGGAGCAATTGAAAGCTAAGCATGAAGAACTCTCCTCCAAGCAAGACGAGCAAACCGAAAAGAACATTTCCGCTGCTGAAAAACAAATAAAAGACTTGGAGTTGAGCTTTGAGAAAAAGGAGGAACAAGTGAAGAAGGAACTCGAAGAAAAAAGAGCCGCTGAGAAGAAAGAAGATGACTAAACATTGTATATATGCGTCCTTGCCTCTTATGTTTATACTCTAAAACAGCATAGTTAAAGAACTTTCGACTCTAAAGAAGGAATTGCAAATTGACGTTGATAGGATGGGAACTCGAAAGTTGAGGTTTCTGGGTATATTTACCACTCATCTCGTATCTCATGTTTTGTAGCATACTCAAAAAGCTCTGTTGTGGTTGTGTTGATAAAACTTTAACGAAAGCATACGACATGGCACCAGTGGCTTGTCCATTTTCAAACGCGTCAGCAGAAGTTTGACTATCTTTGGAACCGCTAAACATGATAATGTCAGCCGGAGAAAACTTGATCTGTCTAATTCTCTCGCGATCGATTTCACCAGCTCCAACGCGGTTGGAAACCGTAGACACAAGTGAACCCAAAGATTTGAATAAAGCACCACCGTTACCAGTTGCATATGCCATTGCGGCTTGCAAACCGTCTTGACCGACATTTTTCCAAATATTTGGTTCTTTAACAACACCCTTGGTAGAGTAAGTGTATGGTAAATCAAGAACGGTTCCAGAATGACAAGAATCGAAGAGCGCCGTCAAACGAACTCCTGGTGGTAAAGGTTTGACCATGATGTCGTGCATTTCATCGTCGACAATATGGCCCTGGGCTTCGAAATCAACTGGATAAATGACATCGTCCATTCCGTCTTCTTCATCGCCATCCAAATCCTTAGTTTGCCCACCATGACCCGAATAGTGTAAAAACAGGGCATCGTTTGGTTGTGCGTCTCTTACTAGCCATTGCATGGCTCTAATGATGTTAGCACGAAGAGGAACAGACATCATTTGTTGTTGATCATCTGTCAAAATGACGATATCTTCCGCGCGGTACCCGTATCTAGTTGTCAAGAAATTGAACATGTTCCTGGCATCATTGATGCAGCCTCTTAATGCGTTTTGAGACCCTATGTAGTTAATTCCAATTAGCAGAGCTTTCCGTCTACCGGTACATTGGGAGTACTGGTAAGGCAGTTGCTGATTGTTCCCATCAATGAATTGATTGTTCTGAGGAGGTGGAGCCATTTGATTTGGCTGCTGGTAAGAATTAGGGCCATTGATGTCCTGGGCAAAGGCATGGTTCTGTCCTATGTCGTTACGATCGCGTCCATCCTGTCCGTCCTGACCTGGGGGTGGTATTGCAGGTCTGGAATAGTCATTGAAACCTTGGAAGTTGGGTGGAGCCTGAGGTGGACGACTGTAATTCTGGGGAGGACCCTGTTGAGAGCCCGGGGGAGGACCCTGGGGACGGTTGTAGTTCCCCGGAGGACCCTGAGGACGGTCATAGTTCTGATTGGGAGGAGGGCCAGATGGCCTTGAATTTTGCTGCTCCTGGTGCGAATAAGAATGATGACCCGCTCCAGGAAACATAGTGTCAGGCTTGGAAGCAAAAAGAGGTTTACGGTCAATCGTGGTTCGCCTGTTGACCTGCTAAAAGGCACCACGGAAATTTCAGGAAGAGTCCCTTCATGTATAGAAAAAAAGAGCTCGTCTTTATCACCATAGGCTATGAAAGAAAGATAACTTTGAAGCACGAAGATAAATATCGAAGTTCCTACTGACAGTCAAAAGGGAAGCAATCAGGCGCTTTGAGCTATTCATATTCATTTCCACCGCCAACACAGCATAAATGTAGCAAAACTTGTAAACCGATGCACTTGAAGCCGCAATGGACCCAGAAAACATCTAATATGGATCCATTTCAAGCGAGACATCGATTGTACGTGTAAATGACAGAATTGATCTGACAATGAATTTTGACGAGTATCGCAACTCTGCGTTCTGTTATTTCAGGTTGCGCGACAGGGCCCAGGAGCCAACCTGAATATTTTGAAAATCGTAGCTTGCTGGCAGCAATGAGCACCATTTATCTGCACCTGGGAGCCTTGTTTCAATCGATTTTGTCCATTTTAAGTCTTTGGCAGGTTCCAAACCATTCACTGTAACCTGTAAGCAACTGGGAGACTAAAGACGACCCAAAACTCATCAAAGGGATCTTTAGTACGATATGTTACTGTGCCTAGTCTAAAGAACACCAGCGGCAACAAATAAAACACAATGTGATCCGAAGTTATCGTGCCTTCTTGTATACTTATATTGTACAATCTGTATTGTATTTGTTTAGTATTCCAGCATCGGTAGTCGATAACTTGTCAAGATGGCCACTTAATGCGTTCATAGCCGTTCATGGTATTCAAATGAATGAGGCATTGAGTGTTTATATCTCTGTACATGGTTAACTTGACAACATCGCTCTTCCAATACTGATCATATCGTATCTTACATAGTTTTGACAACGTCACTTTCATCGATCAATGATGCTGGAATGGAAAACCGCGAGAATAGTTCACCTAGCGCCATTCACCATATTACCCATCGTCCAGTTGAGGTGCTATGGCGATATCATGGTCTACACTGCAATCATTGAGCCTCTAAGCTACCTGGTTTGTTAAAACCTGCTTCGCGGTATTTCTGTCATCAAGGTCCCGTGATAGTCCCCACGGTCGAACTTGACACTCATCACTAACGCTAAGCTCCTTCCAAACACCTCCCATAGCGTCAATTTGTTATCAGTCTAACTTGTATTCTTTTATACTTGTTTCCTTGTATAGTGTATATATGTCTTGCATTATCTGTATTGTATACTTGAACACTTGCAGAAGTTCTTAAATGTGGTACGTATCTTGTTTCGTGCGAGTTACTCGAGCTACTCACGAATGGCTATGGGGAATCTTGTTTAATACCTGTTGGGCAGTGGCTAGTCTCTTATGTATATGGATATATCTGGATATCTTCTCTATTTGAAAGTCCTTTCTATGGATGGCTCTTATATATGACTGGAAAATCGGACTTCTCACTTCTACAACTCTCGAAAACAGAATAACCTCTAGCTGAAAAAACGATAATGACAGACGGCAGTTCAAAATGGAGGGGGTGGACTTTTCTTAGAGGATTGCTTGGTTGTTCGAAACGAACAAGACCTGATTTGTTACAAGAGCTCGGCGGTTATCCCGATGGGTGGCGTAAGATTTGAAATGTACAGATTGATTACCGGAGTGGCTGGATTGCACTTGTAAGGCATGGAGCAGACGCGAGCATATGAAATCTGAGACGACCGCGTCTGTGACAGGCGTTGTAAAGTGTGTGCTGTCCGAGACGCATATCCACGAAAGACGCGTATCGCCTTTTCACCACGCTCAGTTGTCACCCACACCAAAGCAAGAGAGGTCTTCGAACCGTAAAACTGTCGCTGACAGCATGACCGATGGTGTAAAGAGATTTGAACGACAGCATTTGACATCCAGGCCCTATCCGAGGTCGGTGTCAAAATTGCAAGATATGACACTCAAACACATGGTAAAAAATTCTAACAACTACAACATGAACTCTTTAAACACAACATTTAGTCGCGGAAGTGTCATCCCCTACTACATCATTTAAAGCGATTTTATATCTTCCCCTTCACCTCTAGATATCATAACTAATCCAAATGTCAACAAACGCGAGCAAAACTTCAAAAATCAAAACATCACGTGACGTTTTTTCCCTGATCTAAGATTTCTCTCTAGAGAAAACGTGAAAAATGGCCCTTTTGGCAAGGACTTAGAGGATTTTCCAAATCTTTGCCGAGACCTTGCTTGCCGGATAATTTGAGCTGAAGACAATTGTGTTGTAACCATCGGATTTCTAGACAACTGTTTTACAAGTTACACAAGTTACAATGCATGACGTGGATCCGCTTCACAAATTTGAGAAGCAATTCCAAAGCTTTGTGGAAAACAACCCTAATGTGATTTCGGCTACCCAGTCGTCTTCACACATTCCAGAGTCCGCCAAAGCAGTTGTAGTACTGTCACCATTGTCGTTACGACATCAATTCCCTCGGTTTTGGGTCTCAAAGGCATATAAGAAGACTATCGTCGAAAGACCCGAAAGACTATTGGCGTGTTCCATGGGAATAGCGGCCGCGATAACGATGTACCCTGCGCTTTTCAGTCTCAAGACGTCACATTCCAAGAAAACTTCACTTCGGGCCAGTCATGTGCTAAAAGTGCATGGTCGCGACTGGCCTCGGGAACTTTTGCAATTGTGCAAGGATTCGGACGAAGTGCTAGCCGCTAAAAAACTCGAAGTGCCAGAATCCTGGAATGCAGGGGACATCTATTTATCGCGCGAAACCATTGAGGCGTTAGAGGGGTCTATCAGCGCGCTTGAGCTTGGCCTGGACTCAATTTTTCGCGGACCTTCCCCCGAGCAAACGAGTAATAGAGCCTTTGTTGCATTGAGACCGCCAGGTCATCACTCCCATACTGCGACGCCGTCTGGATTCTGCCTTTTAAACAATGCACATATTGCTATTGAGTATGCAAGCGAAACTTACGATGTCACACATGCGGTTGTTCTAGATTTTGATCTGCATCACGGAGATGGTACCCAGGATATCTGCTGGAAAAGAGCCGGTTTCAAGCCTGACGAAGATCAGACAGAAGACTCAGAATATGATGAATTTGGAAAAAAATTCGCCGAATACCCGAAAGTTGGATATTTTTCAATGCACGATATCAATTCGTTCCCTACAGAGTTGGGTTACGCAACAAAAGATAATATTCGAAATGCCTCGACATGCGTCATGGATGCTCACGATGTAAATATCTGGAATGTTCATTTACAGAAATACGAAACCGAGGAAGAGTTTGTCAAACTTTACCAAACCAAGTATAGGACCATTTTCGCCAAGGCTGATGAGTTCTTCCGTACAGCTAAGCTTGCCATGAAGGCTGAGGGTAAAAAATTCAAGGGTTTAACAGTCATAAGTGCAGGGTTCGACGCTTCAGAATACGAGCAAGCGTCGATGCAGAGACACGGCGTCAATGTACCGACCTTTTTTTATAACATGTTCACAAAGGATGCTTTGAAGCTGGCTCAAATGCATTCTCATGGGAAAGTTTTGTCGATCATGGAGGGTGGCTACTCGGATGGTGCTATAGCGTCCGGGGTATTCTCACACCTCATCGGGCTTCAAAATCAAAATTGGATAAAGGAGTGGGGGTCTGCCCAAGTGGTCAAAGAGATCGTCAGAGGTTGCAAAGCAAACTGGAAACCTTACAAGACCAAACGTGCCCGGGACGTTATACGAATTTGGGCCGAAGAAGTGATCAAACTTGGACGTGCTATGATCCCAGATTTTGAAGAGCTCCTCTTCGAGCACGAAGTTGCAGAGACTGCTGCCGAACAAACCGCTGCTAGAAGAGTAACGCGGTCCAAGAAGACGACGGTCAATCCTGTTGTCCCCGTGCGCGACTCGTCGGCTATACCTCGAACCACGACACCAACTCCTGTCAACTCTAGACGCTTTGACCAAAAAGCGGCCGTTTCCGGCGAACAAGGGCCCGCATCGACAGTTCCTTTCGTCGAACAGGAATTGCACAGTGAGGAAGATGAGGAAGACGATGAAGATTACGTGTATGACGAAGAACTCAACCAGACATTTAACCGCACCGTCGAAGACATTACAATCGACGACATTTCGCGCCATTTAGAGACACTAGATTTAACGCATGCGAACGAAGAAGAACAAAAACGCGCTGATGAACAGCAAAGACCACGAATCAGGCCCGATTCCAATGCACAGGGCAGAACCGCACCTCCGTCAAGCTCTTCTGGATCCAACAATTACCATTACAAGATACCGTCTGGTTCAACTACTCGTCATCTACGGAACTCTCGCAACTCCCGCTTGTTGAATTTTGACGACAGCGACATCTCCATGATTTCGCATATTTCTACTGCTAGGGGCCATACAACGCGCAGTGGTCAAACGAAGTGGTAGTCGTCAAGCATGCTGTGGTTCTAATCAGGCTGTCTTTGAAGTGTGTCTTTTTTCACCCAGACCTCCCGAAGACCAGCAAGGTTCAATGAAGGAACAGCTATAAAAACCAATCGGCGATGGGAAGGCCGCAATTAATCAACATGAGTCCGTCGTTACTTGACGAGAAATATAAGGCGTTAACGACGTCTACATGGACTTTATAATGGATAAATTACGTTGATCAGCCACGCAGATGGCTTTCATTGGTCACTTAGCACAAGGCTTTTGTTTCGTTGAACGAACCATCGATCATGTCGTTGCTACTGACTTCAGCAGGCATCACATAGCCGTGGCTTATCCAGGGGCATGCGGTGCTAGGAGCTCGCGGAACTTTTTTTCTGGTTCCAAAGTTCTTTTTTTTCGCCTATTCGTCGCGTGAATTTTGCTGGTAGGCCAGGTTGTCACGGGCACAGGCAGACGCCCCTAGTTCCTGCGCTGTGGGAAAGGTATAAAAGGAGACTCAGGAACCTTATTACGCTGGTCTACTTGTCTTTCAAGGCCTACAGAGGAAAACTTAATCCCGAAAACTCAACTAAAACCCCAAGAAATGATCAGTCAACTAGTGAACTACGGAAACGAGGGCAAGTGCGCTTCTTGTGCCACCAAGTGTGTGTGCGAAGAAGGTGCTTCTTGCGCAAGCGGGTGCAAGGAAGGTTGCACGTGTTGCAAGGCCAAGGGCTGTGGCTGTGATGCCAAGGAATGTTCCGACGGATGCTCTGCTAAGTGTTCCAAGTGCAACAAATGAGTTTTCGCGGATTTTGAAAGCTTCTGAAAAGCCTATGTACGTTGTTTAATGAAGGTTTTTAACAGAAAAGTTCGTTTGCCTATGTAGCTCGTTAAGGTGTCAATTCAAATATAGCTTACCTATGCCAATCCTATAATCGAATGCAATGTGGCCCGCTCTTCACATCTCTGGTACTGCTTCGTCATTGTTTAGCTTACCAGGACCACGTGACGTGACCTAAGTTACAGGTAGCCAGCCTTAGTTGACGCATTGAAGTTTCTCACTGTGTCACGCTTTCTTTGGCGTTCCACCAATTTCCACCGTGTTCCACGTAATCCATTTCTTCGTCTTCCATAGACCTTTCAATTACGTTTTCCTTTGCAAGACCCTGCGGTGCATGGGCCTCTCTATCTTACGTTAGCGCCTGCAAAAAATTTTGATGAGGGTTGCGACTGATACAGTTACGTTTGCAGCGGCGCAAACCTAGCGAGCTGCTCCGCCGGGACCAGTGTCGACTACGAAAGTCTTCCAAATATTGTATATAAGACCTTTGAATATCGTCGTGTCTCTCATTTCGTATCCTCCTTCGCAAATCAATCAAGCACATCTTTCAATAGCAGAAAGAAGTACCTGAAAAGCCAAGAAAAAAAAATCAAACAAATTTCTACACAATGGGTAAGGCCGCCAGTAACACATCTCACGCTGTCCAAGCCGGTGACAAGGCCATTATCGTCTCTACATGGCAACACAAAGTTATTGACATTTTGCCATTGAACAAATTTGGCGGTGTGTGCAGCTTTAACGGTGTCAAAGACGGTGAAGTACCTTTGAATGACCGCTACTTGAACAAGGTCGCCGTGGTTGAAAACGGCAACTTCAAGGAACTTAGAGACGTTGTGGTCACTAGACAGGAGTAATGGCTCAGTGTAATGAATCGTATATGAAGCATGATATAGTTTAAAAGATTGTTGGAGTCTATCTGAAAAGTGGAAATAGCGTAGCAGACGGCTGTTGACGTCAAAAGCGACAGTCCATTATGTAATCACAAATTAGCACTTCGAACGAATTACATGATTAAATAAGCAAAGTCAAAAATAACTTTTCACGAATATTGACTCCGATGTCGGAGGCGATCACAGTAGACGGCAGATGTGACAACCCGAGTCTTCACCCCGGAGTCAATCTGATCATCGCTGTGGATGTGGTTATAGCTTAAGAAACTGCAGAAACTCAACTACCTAACACACTCAACTCAGGCTTTTTGGCATTTATTTGATAGACATAAGCACGTGAATTGCCCCTTTGATTGCTGAAATCAAATTCAGAATGCTAAGATCCCAGAATCGCTTTTTCCGGTACCAGAAACGGCTCATTTCGAGCACTCGCGCACAACCGGTTACACCGTCGAAATCCCGACAAAGACGAGCCACAACGTTTACGGATGCGATAAACCGTGGACCCTCGTTTGAGGATTTCATTAACGGTAAAGCGGCTGGATTTAATATCGACCCTCTGGAAGCGGCTCGACAAAACGCGCAAGAAGCGAAGAGACTACCCAAATGGTTGAAAGTGCCCATACCCAAGGGAACCAATTACCACAAGTTAAAATCCGATGTCAAGGAACTGAAATTGAGTACTGTGTGTGAAGAGGCCAAATGCCCGAATATCGGTGAATGTTGGGGCGGAGGGGACAAATCGAAAGCTACCGCGACGATCATGTTGCTGGGCGATACGTGTACGCGAGGATGTCGGTTTTGTTCAGTCAAGACCAACAGGACCCCTGCGAAACCTGATCCGCATGAACCGGAAAATACAGCAGAGGCGATTTCGAGATGGGGGCTTGGATACGTCGTGCTAACCACGGTCGACAGGGACGATCTTGCAGACGGTGGAGTCGGACATTTGGCCGAAACGGTGCGTAGGATTAAGCAGAAAACACCCAAGACTCTGGTAGAAACTCTGTCGGGCGATTTTAGAGGCGATCTGGCCATGGTGCGTACTATGGCCCAAAGTGGTCTGGACGTTTATGCTCACAACTTGGAAACCGTCGAGGCCTTGACTCCTCATGTCAGAGATCGCAGAGCGACATACCAACAATCTTTGGGTGTTTTAAAACATGCAAAGGAGACTGTACCAACGTTAGTGACGAAGACCTCGCTAATGCTGGGATTGGGAGAGACCGACGAACAAGTTCTGGCGACGTTGAAAGATTTACGTGAGGTACAATGCGACGTTGTTACGTTTGGCCAATACATGCGGCCTACTAAACGACACATGAAGGTCGTTGACTACATACAACCTGAGAAATTCGAATTTTGGAAACAAAAAGCATTGGAAATGGGGTTTCTCTACTGTGCCTCTGGGCCTCTAGTAAGATCATCTTACAAAGCCGGTGAAGCTTTCATAGAAAATGTTCTGAGAAAGCGTTCTAGTCTTAGCATGAACAAGGGTTGACTAATGCAATTCCAAATGAAATTATAATTAATATATCGTGCACTTATTTATCCGTTTTAAAACAATTGAAAACGAGAACAGATGTCATTTCTCATTAGATAGTGTTACAGTTGGGGTATATGTAAATCCAACTTTTCCCTTTGGCTTTCATCAGCCGGTTCGCTCCCTTTAAAGATACAGTCGAAATCCACAATGAAAGGTTGAAGAACATTTACCGGAATCCCTAGTGTTGGTGAGAATACAATGCATAAATTTCTGAGGTTCATCTTGTTGATATGGCTGCTTTTGTTGATCTTGACCAATAACTCGAAGATGACAAACAAAACTGACCTGTTTTCAACGGGCATGTGTTCCGAGTTAACCAATTGGCGAAAACAGATTGCAGTGTAAGCCTCATCATTAGAATTCTCTACCGCTCTTCTGAACTCACCAAATAATCGGTCTCCCAGAAGAGAACTAGGCAGTTTACGCAAAAATAATTTGAGTAAACCTGTGGCAGTGTTGACATCCACGTATCCCTGCATTGTAGAGTCGCCGTCGTTTCCGCGATTGTTGTAGTCGCATAAATTTACGTCATAAACACGATCGAACTCCTCCTGCAAAGATTTGATTAAGGCACTCGATCCACTAATTCTGAAAATGCCCTCCTCCTCTATGCCATGATTGCAATACAAGTACTCCAAGCACCGATAGATAACACTTGGAATCTCGTAGCGACCTTGGTATGTGTGTGAACTCAACGAGAGACAGGATTTCAGATCGGAACCAAACACAGGTTTGACTTCTCTATCGAGGTTCATTAACTGCAGAGAACTTGAAATGGAAATCTCACCCTCTTGCAGTTCTTCCCCGAATTGCTGCCCTTCATATTCGAATGTAGGCGTTTGTGCCATGTTGAGTTTTTTGAATGGGAAAAAACTCCTAATTCGACTTCTCTTATTTTCCTTCTCGTCCTCTCCGTTACCAAGATCGGACTTTTGAGTGGGCGACGATAACATGGACGGTTGTAATGTCGCAGGGGGACCAATATAGCTGGCGTTGCTATTAAAAGAGACATCGTTGCTCATTGAATGTTCCGTAACGCTCGACGCTTCCGATTTACTATTGATGGATGCGTTCGATGTGGAGACAACATCCATAAGCTCGGTTAATGATGCGATCCATGCTTCTCTATCCTTGGCACTCTCACAGCAGAGATAATACTTTGTAAAACTGGAGAGGCCCGATTTCTTGTGTTCACTTACGATAAATCCGTTTTTCGTACCATATCTATCATCAGGATAATTTGCTTGAAGCTCTATTGAAGATTGCGGTAATCTGATAGTATCCGTTACTTGATTTTTTTCATACAGGTGCAGCGCGAGAGATTCAAGCACGGCATAACGGAGCCGCCAATTACCACTACTCCCAATGGCTTTACTTTTTCGCATCATTAAAAATCCTTCTTTCAAAGAGTCGCTTAAGAAGAAGTTCATAACCATGTCCGTACTGATGAACTTAGCCAATCTGAGACTTATATGCGGAGGCATCTCAGCAACGTGAAACAGAGTTGCAAAATAGTCGTTTAACTGAGTTCGTCTATGATCAACTTTGGAAGGTAAGATTGTGCCAAAATATTGCTTCTCTGGTAGAGGCGGAAGTATCACGCCATCGAAATGGCACTTGATATAAACATCCAGCTCATATATCTTTTCGATGGGTTTGGAGAATTTGAACATCTCCTTTTTGGAGCTTCTATCTATCACACTCAATAAAATACACCGCTCTTCGGCACCAAATTTATCATTATCGTTGAATAAGGTGCTGATAACTTCAACGTATACTGTATTAAGTTCTGCAGGTTGAACTAACAGCGGAACATCTGATTTTACACTTTGAGTGTCTGCGATATTTCTCGATGACGGGGACTGCGTGGTAGACATGCTATGAGATTTGTCCAGCTTCGGCCTTATGTCAATTCTCGGGGATTTGGGCGAGAAGGGTTCTTGCAATAGCGGCAATGCAAGGGGCGTGGTTGATAGCTTCGACGGAGAAGGGGCGGGTGATTGTACACCCACTTCTGTTGATATAACATCTAATACATCTTTTTTAGGATGAAAAGGTCTTTGACCAGCGATTGCTTGCTTTTTTAAGGCTAATGGGGATCCTAAAATTTTTGAACTCGCCTGCTGTTCTTCAAGTTCAAATTCGGGTGATTCTTTTCTGCTCTCCAAGGATGGCGAGAGGTTTTGTCCGAATTTATCATCCATCAATTCAGCAAAGCTATGGATGTTTTGCTTTGAAGCTGGTGAGATCTTAACAGTCTCAAAAGTCGAAGGAATATATGGTAGAGGACTCTTTGGATATACTTTGGCTGCTTCATCTTCCGTATTCAACTCTTCATCCGTCGAGGGCTGACGTAAGGGCGAGTGTAGCTGATCGTTTATCAAAGCCGTTATTCTATTCGCTTTTCTCGGCGATGAAAGTTTCGAGCCACTGGCAAGGGCTGTTTCACGATTGGAGGTCTTGTTACTGCTTGAGGGAGATATACGGGAATTCATATAGGCAACTGAAGTGGCAGGCGTCGCTGCAACGACGTTGGAGTAAGATGAGCTGGATCTTCTCAAGTTGCTCAATTCATCTGGATTGCTTACTTGTCGTTCAATTGTGCTAGAATTCTCCAGTCTTGCGGGAAGACTCATTGCACTGACGTCGCGATGGGCACCCATTGTTGTCGCTTCGATAGGCGTTCTGTGCACGGGCCCGGGGGCATGGCCCGACGTTACTGGAAGTGTTAAATTTTTAGCGTTTCGCTTTCTTTCCGCCGATCTTGGAGGTAATACTGGCTGTTGCTGTTGCTGTTGTTGCTGTAGTGCAAACCCGTCATTTACATGCAATTCTTGTACGGAATCGGATCTACCGTTTTCTTTCGCTCTTAAAGCTTCAATCGTTTGTTTAAGACTCGCAAGTTCAGTCTCATATTCCTGAAGTTGAAGTCGAAGTTTCACGTTGTCTCTGTATAGCTCATCGTAAGTTGCTCTTTTGGTTTCGTCGTCTTGTTTTCTCTCGAAGCTTTCTAATGCTTTGTCTCGTTCCATCGTATGATTATCATACTGAGATAAAAGCTCCATCGTCGACGAAAGATTGCTCGGGTTCTCGAAATCCATCTCAGACTACCTTGTGTGGTTCTGGCTCTCGCTCTTTAAGATCCCCTGATCGGTCGTCACCTTTTTACACTAAAATTCGCAATAAAGAACTCAATTCGAACCGCGGAAAAAACACTTGACCAATGCGTTATTTCAGATGTGACCACAGGCAGTGTCTATGTGCCTGAAAAAGGCTCCAAAGCTTAAAATTGTGCCGTTGGTTTCATCCAAGTTTTGATATAGAAGGAATATCCAGGTTTCGTGATTTTCAAAAACGCGTCTTCCACCGGAGATCACGTGAAACGTATTAACCACTACTAACACTAATGACTATCATGAAGAGCCTTGATAAGCTCTTGCTTCTCGTTTCGTTCTGCTTTTAAGGTGGCAAGTTGCTGCGACAGTTCGTCCTTAAGCCCGACATTTTCTCTTTCTAGTTGTGTCAATTTTTCCTTGTATTTAGTTTCGTAGCCCTTCTTGAGCATCTTGACTTTCTGCTCGTGCTTGGAAGAATATTGAATATAGAGATCCTCTGCGAGGAGCTGAAGACGTTTGTTGGTGTCTGCGTCCTTTACGTTGAGCTGTTGGCGAAGATTTTGCAGTTCTTCTTGTAAAACCGGGTCCTCGCTAGCGCTTTTTGACGAGTGTGTAAGTTTCTCTTGAAGTTCAGAATTTGTTACTTTTAAGGTATCCACCTCGGTGGCCAGAGAGGTGTTCTTCTCCAGTAGTTCCGAAATTTGTCTTGAGTTGGATTCGAGAGTTTTCTGCAGCGAAGACATTTGAAGATGTAAATCTTCGAGGTCGGCTAGATGCTCAGCTGCGGAGTTTTTGTCTCTAAACTGGAGACTTTCTAGCTCGAGTGACAGCCGTTTGGTCTCAGAACTTTGTTGCTCGTATTTTTGTCTCCACTCAGAAACGCTGGCACCACCTTGTTCGATGGTTTGTTCGAGATCCGCGTTGGCACCTCGCAAATCTTGGACGGTCCCATTCAATTCGACTAGCTCTGCTTCCCTGATAGCGAGCTGGTCATCAACGTTTTCACGAGTTTGTCGCATGTGCGAAATTTGCTCAGAAAGAGCGTCGCGTTCGTGTGTCATCGCGATAATAGCTTGTTTTGACGTCGCCAACTCTTGCTCCAAGTCTTGAAATTTAATCTGCATTTCAGAAAGTTCAGCGGCAATGCCATCTTTTGCTTGCAGCTCCTTCGACAATTGTGCGTTTTCTGCAACTATTTGGGACAGTTGTTCTTGTGTTTCGCGCGTGGATTGTTGCTTATTTTCCAGAGACTTTTCAAGCTCGCGCTCTAGCTCTCGTACGCGAGTTGCTTTTGTATCTACACGTTCAATTAGCTGGGCTATTTGAGAGTCTTTCTCCTGTATCGTTGTTTTCTGCACAATGATTTCATCGCGCAAATCCGAATTCTCAGCTTTCAGCTCTTGCAAATCATCTTCCAATTGGTTCTTGGTATTTTCCATGCTATGCACCAATTTGCCCAACTTTTGATTTCGCCTTTGAATGTCGTCTAACTCGCTTTGTAAGCTCTCATTTCTTGTCACCTGTGACTGAAACTTGTCTTGTAAAATCTGCGAGTTTTGATTTAGCATTTTCACCTCGTTTCGGACCTCTGACAGTCTAGTTTTGAGCTTGGCTACTCTTTCTTGAAATGAAGCTTTATCTTTATCTAGACGCGCAATCTCATGCTTTTGGTGTCGAAACTGAAGTTCTTGGGCCGAGTGGACGGCTCGTAGGGCCTCCATCTCTCCTGTGAGTTTCGAATACAGAAATAATTGGTCTCGAAGTTGCGACTGAAGCCGTGTCAATTCAGCACTGATTTCAGTGACCCGGTTTCGACTTTTTTGCAACTCAGTGTTGAAATTGTTCTCCAAGCACCGTATCACGTCCTGGATCGAACCTGACACGGACTGCGCGGCCCCAACTGGCGTCAAATTCTCCAAGTGTGAAATATCCGCAGCATCTGGCGTTTTGGGATCCTTCGTAAGTTTCGTAAAGCTCAACGGTACGTTATCGTCTTCGTCATTGACAGCGTTACTCAGAGCCTCGGACAAATCTTTCTCGAAATCCAAATCAGCGTCGGGTCTACTGACATTGTTTTCATGAGTCTCATTCTGGTCTAGCATTTCAATTACGGCTGGTGAAGAGTAAAAGCGGTTTGGACTCTCAGGTTTTTCGAGCTTAGGCTTTTTCGGCCTTTTGAGTTCGCTTTCTGTGCCTAAGGGTGACAATTTCTCGGGAGAGCTCCAATTCCGTTTAACCATTCCATTCAACCATGCGGGTTCCGATCCGAATTCTCGGCTTTCTTTTTGTGTTTCGGCGGGTTTTATTTGTGTTGTCGATAAACTGGTGTAATCATTAACGTGAGGAACTTGGGCTCTAGGTGTCCAGTTTTCTTGCTCTAAAATGCTATTGCGTTTTCCACCCACATCTTCTTGCACAGGGCTATCGTCTAGGTATCCCATCCGTCCTCAAATCACTGATGTCACCGTGTTAACCGCTTTTGTTGTTTTGTCGCTGTTCTTGTTTTTAGATATTAAAGGTAGATCATTACCATGGTGAATACCAAAGGAAAGGAAAACAAGACAAGATAACTAAAGAGGACGAGGTGTGAATTAGACAGCTCTCGTTTACAAGTGACTCAAATGGCCGCTACTCAGGCTCTAATATGTGCCCATTTTGATCAGCATTTTCACGGTTTAATTAGTATAAATGGTCCTTCATAGCATTATCAGTATAGGACACCGTAGTGCTCGAAGGATCTGAAGAATCACATCGTCTATATACCTTAAGTTCCTGGACTGTAGAGAGCTCCTGGGCTCATAGTAATGTACAATGCTCGTTCTAAAGTAGGATCCCGAAGTGCTTGAAAGATCTAAAGAAACAAGTAAGCATGCCATCCGGCTCTTATCAGTTGCTAGTTGATGCGCTTGCCAAACAAAGCGAAGCGATGAGCCATAGGAATATTTAGATAGGATCGATACATAGTTAATGATCTTCATTGACAACCTATTAGAAAAAGGCTCAACAAAGTGTACTCTGGGCTTAAGTTTAATGATTACCAGACATTTTTATGCTGAATCCCAGCTCCCAGGCGACATCGAGCAGTTCTCGAGATACGGGCCTACATAATCGTATTCATCTCCCTTTTCAACTAGTCGGCACCTACTGACTGCTACAAAACAGCTAAAAAGACAGGGAAAATTAGAGAAAAAACACCTTTACCAAAAGAAAACAATGAAGAACGTTACTACGTCGTGAGAGCACATAGTTTTCCCTGAAAAAACCATGATTCCCCGTATATTTGGTCTATTTCACCTGGTTTCCACCTAGTTTTTCACCAATTCTCATCTTTTCAAGTGAGATGTAGGAGTGAAAAATTAAAATCCTAAGGAGTATTTATACCTTCGAGGGACGATCAGTAAGAAACTAGCATATAAGTAGACCTCGAATGTCCAATCTAGAAGCCGCTGGTGTCTACGAAAGAGTAGTAGAAAACGTTATCAATGAAGTGAGAGAAGACTTTGAAAGTGCTGGTATTGATGAACAAACGCTACAAGATTTGAAAGCAGTATGGCAAGCTAAATTGTCCGACAGTCGAGCAGCTAGATTCATGTGGGACCCCGAGGAAGCCGGTGGATTGAATGGACAGTTACAGCACTCTGCTAGTATATCGCAATCGGTAATGGATCCTCATGGGCTTTCACTACCGACACTTTCGCCAGAAGACGTCAAAACGGATCTTTCACAGCAGCACACGGGCCCTATGACGCAGACGAAACACGAAGAGGGCGACGAGAAACAAGAAATAGAATTGACCACGGAAGATCCTGACGGTCAAATTGCAGAACAATTGAAATTACAAGCGAAACAAGCGAAAAAAAGTGCACTGTTGGAGACAGACGAGATTAATTCTGATTTAGATGACTCGGAGGATGATTATTTGAATTCGTCAGGCGAAGAAGAAGGTCAAGATGAGAATATAGTGTTGTGCTTGTATGAGAAAGTATTGCGTGTTAAAAACAAATGGAAATGTAATTTGAAAGATGGGCTTGCCACCATCAATCATAAAGATTATGCATTTCAAAAAGCACAAGGTGAGACTGAATGGTGACCGGAGCGGGGGGTTGCATATAGTGGCAAAGACGAATGAATTACACCAAAAGATAGCAATGTAAAAGTAAATAGTTAAAGCAGTGACATGTCAGCAACGTCAGTTTACAGGATACACACCTCCTTCGTTCTTCAAGAAAATACTTTCCAGATTTTGTAATGTGACTCTGGTTTGTTTCTCGATAATGTCCGTTACTGCACTGCCTATATGTGGAAGCAAGGTCACATCCCACCGATTTAAAAATCTGCCGTCAATCTGCGTTTCTTCGTTTCTGTAGACATCCAATCCTGCGCTTGTCACTCTACCGGTATCCAGTGCCTTGAGAAGTGCATCTTCATCAACGCATGAGCCGCGACCCACGTTGACTATTCGAACTCCGTCTTTGCAAAGTGCCAGGGTTTCCTCATTTATAAGATCATTTGTAGATTCAGAAGACGGTAAAGCAAGTACTATAACGTCAGCATCATGCCAAGTCTCTGGATCATCCAGACTATCGTGGAAAATAGCACTGTAGCCCAGATTTTCCGCAGACATTGGCCCCGAACGTTTATAATAATGCACAGTCATGTCTAGAGCATTATACAATTTTTTACCAATTGCTTGGCCAATGGATCCAAATCCAAGTACTAAAGCATGTTTCTGACCAGATGATTCCACTTTCTTACCACCTACAACGAAGTCTTGAGCCATATTCAAACTCTTGGCATGTTCGCTGTCAAGTTTCGACGGAAACTTGTCGGCACCCTCGAGTTTCCCTCCAATATAATCTCTGCATCTACTAACACTTCCCTGCTCGACAGATCTAAAAGTATGTTCCCAGAAAGACGTCAACCGAAAACAACTGATCGTCAAGTGAAGTGCAATTTCAGAAACGTACTCAGACGCATTGGGACCAATGTTGCACAAGACAATGTTTTTCTCTTGTTTCAGCTTGGATTTGTCAATAAAATCGATTCCAACCCATGGAACAACGATTGCCCGTAGCGTCTTGGGAAAATGATCGTAATAACGTTCTAGTCCTCCTAGAAACACAAATATGTCTTCTGTAACCCACAGGGCCTCGAATTGAGAGGTTCTCATATATTTTTCCAAATCCAACGGGTCATTGAATCTCACTTTGAGTAAATCCATCGAAGTTTCCAATTCTCGCCATTCCGCAATTGTGTCTGCAGCATCGTGGCGATTGCAGTACGGAATCAAACATTTAGGTTTCGTGGTCATAACGGCTTGTGGGAGTGATATTTTTGCCAAAGTTGATGATGTTTGTTGATCTCGTTGTGATAAAATTTCGGGTGCAATTCAGGTAACCCTTTTCCAAAAGGTTGCCCGGTGTTTCCAGAACTAATTCAATTAAAGAGGTTAGAGTTTAGTCGGCTCAATTCGATCAGCTCAGTACCGTCTTCTGGTTAGTGTTTCGCTCTTGTAACTTGCTTACAGTTCAGGTATTAATTATACAAGCATGGCCACATCAAGAAAATCTAAATCCCCGAAAGGTCCCGTTTGCAGTTTATCCATATTTTATTGAATCCGGTAATACCCGATGCCAAGGACAAGACGGCGTAAGTTCCAGGTGGGGTCTTGAGATGGAAAACGTCAGTAGTGTTAGCAAGGAAATCGAACGATAGACGGATGAGATCCAAGTACAAAATGCCTTTTTGACGCTGGATGGAGTCCAGCTCTTGTTGAATGCTCGTATCTGTAGCGTGATCAGCCTGCAGGTCCTGTAGCAGTTGTTGTTTGATGGGGGAGTTGGTAGAGCCGCGAAGTTTGCTGGAAAGTTGCAGCGCACGCGCTTTCACTTGTAGTTGTATTTGAAGCTCGAGTTGGGACTGGTTTAGCAGTTGCAACGCACACCAGTTTTTCTTGAGCCCTAGCATGATATCGTAGTACCAGGAGAGGGCTTCGTGCTTGGCCACCCAGGAGTAAAAACCGGCGTGGGACCAAAGCTTGAACTTATGTAAGAGCATGAGTTCGTCCATTATGCCGTAGTACAGGTCGATGAAATCGCCCAGGGACTGTTCAGAGCCCCAAATCTTGGCAATTGCCGTGACAGCGGTGTTCCCGGACTGAGCCTTGTGCGCAAGGGCCTCAGTGGTTCGTGCGATCTTGGACCACAGTTTGGCGAGGCGGAAGGGGGTCCCGCCGAATCTCAAAATCTGGCGAAACATGCTTAGGCTGGTGCTCACAAGCAAAGCGCGAGACTCAAAGTTACGGAACGCCGCGACCACGACGATTTTCAGGATCGTGACCGGATGCCGCACCAAGAGTCGCAAGTTCAGTTTCGCAAGCACTTTCGAATAGTACTGTAGCACCTGTGGGTCCCACTGCGTGATGCCCTTGCGACTACGCGCGACAAACAGCCGCAGCAGGTCCAACACATACTTGATGATCTTGGCGATACGATCTTTCCCACTGAGGGAGTTGAACGCTGCCTCCAAGACGTCGAGGTTTCTGACGGGCATGGCCGCAGCAGGACGCTGCGAAGCAGCGTCCTGCGTGGCCGGCTGCTGCACGGGCACTTCCTCTGCCTCGCACGGTGACTGCGGCGTCTCGGCGTCGCTGTCACGCCCGTTTTCGTCGCCGGACTCTTTGACTTCCAAGTTGATGGGCAGCTTTTCTTGAAGCATGTGGAATTCCTGAAGAAGGTTGTGGGAGGAGTAAAAATCGCTGTAGGGTTGCGGATCCATGAATCAGCGCGGGCTTCGTATGGGATCAGACGAACAGACACGAAGGGCTTGTCCGAGTTCTTATCAGTTACTACTATCACCTTGGGCACATTACCTACTTTTTCATGCCTGGGCTCATCGAGGCCGGTTGGTGATGGGGCGGGAAAAAAAAGACAACTAGCGCCGCTAGGTTTCGATCCTAGGACATCAGGGTTATGAGCCCTGCGCGCTTCCACTGCGCCACGGCGCTGCCTTATTGAAAATTCAAGAGGAAAAACTTAACATAGCGGTCGTAACACGCAGCGTGATCAATTAGGAGCCCTCAGCCGCGGAAAACAGGTGAGAGTGCGTGACGCTTTAAAGTATTCTACTGCTGCTAGGTTGTATCAAGCATGATAAGCAATTCGCCATTGAGGGGATCCGCCCCTTGTCACAGAGTCTGTCAGAGACTCGCCCTAGGGTACTGTATAACAATTTCATATGAAATGCACTGAATTAAAAACGTTTGAAGTGATTTCCCGACAGCCACTATATCACAAGTTACGGGAGTGTCTCCATTCTCATCTTTAATCCTCTAGGTGAAAATTAACTAGCTGAAGAACTGAGGGTGTCATGTTTGACGGAGAAAAGCTCTCAGTCTTCACAACTCTTACCAGAGACTCGCTTGCCAAGTTTGCCCATCTGCTCCCCTATACGAGCACGAGAAGACGTGCTCGTCATTTGTTAGACTGCGCAGATACTGCGGGTGGTGCGTAAACGTCACGTGACCCGTCCAGGTCTTCGAAGTCTGTTATGGACGCCAGCGCGAATCTCACAAGGCATAAGAAGGCCGAGATCTCAGCAACGTTGTCCATTGTGTCTGCGATTTGTCTCGAATCGGCGAGACAATAACAGCTGGTATGCTACACACTCTTGTACATCACTCTGTACGTACACGTTATCAAGCTTATCGTCCTCTCTCTATCTCTTTCACTACACGGTGTTGAAGTTGTAGAATGAGCCTCCAGTGATGGACAGAGGCCAGTGAGTGCCGTTGTAGTTTGTTTAGTGCGTAGTAGCGACCAATGTTTTAGTAAGTACGATAAGTGCGATAAGCGTGGGGCTCACACGTTGTTTGCGCTCAATGACGGTGTTTGTCGGTGATTTCGCTTCTTTTATCACTTAGGATCAAAGCGACAATAACTGAAAAACAGGAACTCGAGGATACGGCATTTACGTTTGATGAACGCTAAGTGCAAGTAACGGAGACCAGAAACGGTATATAAGGCGGGTGTGGGACACGGGAGTACCAGTAGTTAAAAGTATATAGTAGTAGACAGAAACAGGTAGACAGTCGCAGAAGCTACCCACAGTCACAGAAACCAGACCAATGCTCACAGAACCAAGTTACGAGTTTTTCAAGTCCAAAAAGACTACGCTAGTGCTCGCGCCGTTTTCCGGCGGGCAGGGCCATTCGGGTGTCGAAGACGGTCCCAAGTACCTGATGCGTCACGGTATCAAGGAACAGCTCGAGCAGATCGGATGGGACGTCAAGGTCGAAGAACCATTGCACGGCAAAGAATACGAAGCGAACAAGAAGGCTGCGGCCGCTTACGATTTCCAAGGCAAAGTCAAACTGCCCAACATGGTAGGCGAGGCGACACAACTCGTGTACGAGTCCGTGAAGCGCGCCGCACACAACAACGAACTGCCCGTGACGCTTGGAGGCGATCACTCCATCGCCATTGGCTCCGTCGCAGGCACTTTCGACCGGTATCCGGACGCGTGTTTGCTGTGGATCGACGCGCACGCTGACATCAACACTCCTACGACAACCGGGTCGGGCAATTTGCACGGATGCCCCGTGTCGTTTTTGCTGGGACTCGACAGCGAAAACACTCCTGACGCCTTGCGTTGGGTGCCCAAGTGTTTGAAACCCAGCAGGATCGCGTACGTCGGACTGCGCGACGTGGACGAAGGTGAGAAGAAGCTTTTGCGTGACAATGGCATCGCCGCGTTCTCCATGTACCATGTCGACCGTTTTGGCATCAACAAAGTCATCGAGATGGCTCTAGAGGCGATCAACCCTTCAGGCACCGCGCCCGTCATGCTCTCCTACGACGTGGACGCAATTGACCCACTTTTCGTGCCCGCGACGGGTACTCCAGTCCGTGGAGGTCTTACACTCAGAGAAGGCCTGTTCATTGCGGAACGGGTCGCTGAAACTGGCAAACTGGTGGCCCTCGACGTTGTCGAGTGCAACCCGGACCTTGCCAGCAAAGAGCTCCACGTTGTCGACACGATTTCGACCGGCTGTGCCATTGTCAGATGCGCATTGGGCGAGACGTTGACATAAGCTTTTTGCTCGGCCTCTGGCCAGCCAGAGCCCCAACTAGAGCCCCAACTAGAGCCCCAACCAGAGCGCCACACAGCTACAGATTACATTCCCGCTAATAGGCTGCGATCAGCTGCTATCAGCTTCTCGTCACCTGACTTCCCAGCTCATCACTTGGTACTAATTTCATATATCGGTACTGTAGTATATACGAAATGCATTTAACATCACCACGACTAGTCAAGACAAGCCCACCAAAGCTATCCAAAGCCCTTAGCAATGGGCTGGTTTTCCTCCTCACCAAAGCCCATGGACGATCCTAGCAAACCCCCGATGCGTTCGTCGCGCAAACAGTGCTGGGAGAGCCGAGACGCATTTTTCACATGTCTGGACCGAATCGAAGTCGTGAACGCGTTGGATCCGAGTCAAACGGGTGCCATCAAAAGCCAGTGCAGCAAAGAAGAGTCTCGGTTCGAACAGGATTGTGCAACGAGCTGGATCAAGTATTTCAAGGAGAAGCGGGTCGTGGATTACAAGCGTGAGAAATTCATGAAAGAGATGGAAGAAAAAAATGCTCAGAAGATTGAGCTCCCAGGGCTGGTGCGCCGCTAGACGGTGCACTAGCACCCGGCGTGCTCCCTCCCTCCACTAGCTGCGCGATACGTAGCCTTTATATGATATTCAGTTAACAAACCATGCGTGAACATACCAAACCCTAATTACCACCTGAACCATACAATGGAACCGCGAGTGAAAACGTAACAAAACCCGATTACTACCTGAACCATACAAAGAAACTACTTACACGATGAAGAGGAATACTTCCACGTTTATGCCGCCGTGACCGTCTTGTAGACGGTCTCGACTGCTACGGCTGCGTGGCCGTGGTGCGCGACATCACGCTTGGATTTGGAATTCCCGTCGCTGTCAAAGACCTCGATACTGGCTTTAGCACCGTTTTTCACCGTGACAACGCAGAACTGAGCACCACCATCGCCCGCGGACCCGTCACCAGAAACCTCGTTCACGCTCTGGGATGATGGGTCAATACCGCAGGGCAACCCGGTACAACTGGACTCGTCGTCGCAAGTGACCTTGATTCCAAAGTCTGGCATTTGGTTACGGAAGGGACTGGAGCTTTCCAAGTAAACTGGGTTCCAACCGATCTTGACAAAGGTGTTTTGAGAGCTGTCAGTGTTCATACCTGCGACGTAAGGTGCCCAGTTTCCCTGTGCATTTGCACTGGACCCCCACTGGCACGCGTCCGACGTCGAAACACCCGGTGCGTTCACGTAGTAATGTGCTGCAGTGCCAGCCCAATAATCCGGACCGGGCACAGCGAGGGACTGGGAGGAGCCCGAGTCGACCGAGGTGGGGATCAGCATTTCCTCGTTACCCGGTAACACGGTCTGGCAGAAGGAGACACCCGAATTGGCGTTGTTGGTCGCGCGGACGGTTCCCGTGCCGTCGGTGCAATAGTCTTGGTCCGAACGCGATTTTTGCAAGTTACCGTTCTCGTCGCAGTACAGGCCGCCGTACTGGGATTGCGGGTACGAATACGACGTGGAACTCGAGTCCCACTGCGCCATGAGTTGGCCCGGCTGGCACGCATAGGGGCACCACGACCCGTACGAGCATTGTTGGTCGGAACTGAGCGCCCAGCCCCCGTTCTGGCCGCCAGACTGCACTGCGACCATGCCCTCGTAGTCTGGGAACTGGCAAGTGCCGGAGCGCCGGAACAGATGTGCGACTCGGGTGCCATGCACCTGTTTGCCCTGTTGTTCGGCAAAGTCACGTGCGTGCAGGTGATCATAGGAATCGAAGGCAGCGCCGTAGGCGCTGCCTGCAAGCGAAAGCGCAACCACTGGAGCGAGCGTTTGAGTGAGCATTGGTACGAATGTGCGATCTGCGATCTATGGAGATCTTGACAGATTGCATCGCGAGCATGGCTCGCTTTTATACGTCCTACCACGCGCTTACGCTCGCTGACGCTCGCTTACCCACGCCTATGCACGCTTACTTACATCTTGTTACGCTTTCTTACACCTTCTACTCGGCCCGTTCCATCCCAACGTCTTGTTCACCAGCACTACACCACTGCATAGCCTCAACCACCACCTCTACCTCCACCTTTACCTCCACCTTTACCTACACCGCTACCTACACCTCTACTCGCACAGACGCCGCATCGGCCTCACCTCGCCACTTTCCTCCGCGTTTTACCAATGTGTCATCTAGACCTAAGCCAGAGGTCTAGACTGCGCTTAGAGCCAGGTGAGGTTCGGTTCCAATGTGCTTCTAGTGTGCTTCTAGAACAATGCCGTTTGGGCTCGAGCCTGGCTTACGTACACCAGTGAAAAGAAATGGGCTTTGCGAAACAGAGATCTCATTGCCCGTTCGGGAAGCATCTCGCGGAGGACGCATTACAAATCTCTTTGAGCGAATTACCCAATCGGGATATAGCATGCGCCGGAAGATGCGTGACTTTTAAAGCACACTGTACGAATACCCGTTTGAAAACCCACTCGTAATATACGATAAAAGAGCACGTGAACAAGATCACAAACGACGAGTACCCATTTGCGACTCAGACGTGTTTAGCGATAAGATTACATAACACCATCACATATAACGAATACTCGTTTTTACTCATAACCCTTATATATCACTACATACGAAGAAACCCACACGGTTAACGAGTCCGTTTCGATTATCTTTGGGAAAAGAAAAGAAAGTATTTTTTCGTCGCCCTTTTACAAAAGCACCCTCTAATTGTCTTGGCCTCATCTCTTTACCAACCAGGCTCATCCTCAACTGATCCTTGGCTAACTCTTTGCTACCTAAAAACCTGGTACCAAAACTGATTAAAGCGTCTCAAGTAACGGATTTTAAACATCACTACGAGAATTTTTGCCCCGGTTTACCACGTCTAGCCCTTTTCTAGCTCTCAAAACGACTCTTGGTAGCCTTAAACAGGTGTGATTTAGTTGCCGTGTCCATAACCAAACAAAGTCAAGCACCCACTGAACCATGAATCTAACCGGTAGGGAAATCCGGATCATTTCGCTGATCGCGCTCGACACCGCTTTTTTCTTGCTGGAGATCATCGTTGGATACACGGCGCACTCGCTAGCGCTCGTCGCCGATTCTTTCCACATGTTGAACGACATTTTCTCGCTCGTGGTAGCGCTGTGGGCCGTTCGTGTTGCCAAGAACAAGGGCGCTGACGCTAAGTACACTTATGGGTGGAAACGGGCCGAAATCTTGGGTGCACTGATAAACGCGGTTTTCCTTATCGCACTGTGCATGTCGATTTTGATTGAGGCTATCCAACGGTTTTTCGAGCCCCAGGAAGTCAAGAGTCCAAAGTTGGTGCTTGGTGTCGGTTCCGCTGGGCTTGTTTCCAATATCGTGGGCCTTTTCTTGTTCCATGAACACGGTCACTCGCATGGCCATTCCCACGACCATTCCCACGACGATGGCGCTCACGACCATGACCACGACCATGCAGCCGACGAAGAACAAGGTCACATGACTTCGCCCTCGCAATCACCATCCATGGACCAACTCAGTGACTCTCGTCCGATCAACGATATGCTTCCATCCTCTGTTGTCGAATCATTCAGCCCCGAGAGAACGCCTTTGCTTGCGTCGAAAGATGCCACTGCGAATGCTCATGACCACGATCACGACCACGACCACAAGAAGGGTTCTGGCAAGTCTTTGAATATGCATGGCGTTTTCTTGCATGTTTTGGGTGACGCCCTCGGTAACGTCGGTGTCATGGCCACCGCGCTGTTTATCTGGAAAACTGACTATTCTTGGAGGTTTTACTCCGATCCACTTGTCTCTCTTGTCATTACCGTCATCATTTTCTGCTCTGCTTTGCCACTTTCAAGAAAGGCGTCGCGCATCTTGCTGCAAGCCACTCCAACGAGCATATCCGCAGACAGAGTCCGTCAAGATATCATGAATATAAATGGTGTCGTTTCCGTGCACGATTTCCACATCTGGAACTTGACCGAGAACTTTTCAATTGCTTCCATTCATGTTCAAATTGATGCTACACCAGACCAATTCATGGAAGTGGCCAAACTCATCAGAAACATTTTCCATCGTTACGGAATTCATTCTGCCACTGTTCAACCTGAATTTATCCATGGAAATCTGGGTCCCGACACTTACCGTCGATTTTCCAGAATCGCAGGCGGTGGTACTTATGGCTCTTCTATGTCCTTAGATAACCCTACTGCTGACACCTCCGCATACGGTGCTACAACTAGTGAAACAAGGTGTATCGTGGACGAGGCTGCACAGTGTAACGCCGACGAATGCTTGCCTCCTGCTAATTAATTTTTGAACGTCCGGACTTCAAAGTCTTATGGTCATATTCATTCATATAGAAGCCGTCAGGTATCGCGATCTTTTAGCAACTCTTGTAATTGAAAGCTAGTGGGAAATGCTAATATAAATTCAACCCTTCCAAGTTGCGGAAGCTATAACAATTGACATCTTCTCGGACATGATTATTCAAATTAAAAGTTGTCTCAAAATACAGTTGTTAGAACTTCAAAATAAATCAAAAATCCGTCGCAGTTCCTGAGTATATAATCATTCTATTAGTGCAATATATTATACACTCAATTGATTAAAATTTCCAATAGTTTTACAGATTTTGTTGGTTATAATACAAATTCAACTTTTCCTTATTCTTTTAAATAGTTACAATGAAGCGTCAGAAGCCCACCTCAAATGCTTGTTCTTTTTGATCGCCGACATGGAATGCGTAGACACCATCCCCAAATCACCTTGTTCCCTTCTGAACTCGTAAGCACGAATGACAGCGGCATCTTCGCTTAGAACCAAATCGTTAAGATCATCGCTGTCATCGTAGTAAACACAGTGTCTGGCGCGTTTCAGTTTGGATTCTTCCCTGACTTTCAAATCGACTGGGATCGTAACTTTCTCCCATACAAACGATGGTAGTGGTACTTGGCTTCCTGCAGCGTTCATTTCGGTGGCATACAGGGTCGCATCCACGATAGACCCGCTCGCCGACGAGACAATCAAATTGAGCGCAGCATCACTGGTGGGTTTCTTGAGTATGGAACGCAATTGAAAATGCTGCTTGCGAGCCCTGATACACTGTCGTTTGTTTCTCAAGATGGAGCTTTTGCGCAGAATTGTAGGTGAGCCCAATGCAGGCACATTTTGAAGAGGCCTTAGAGCCAGATCCCCAATCAATGGCGGTGGAAGGGCCACGAATGGTAGTTTATTTCCACCTTTGCTGCATACTTTGTTATCCGAATCAGCGCCGCAATCGCTCAAGGGACTCGTCAAGCTGCCATCGCCAGACGCATCTCCCATGCTTAGGTCGCTGCAAGTGTCTTCGTCAGAAGTCCATTCGGGACTGGGTAGGATGTTGCGATGCCATTGCACGTTGGAGGGCTTGCAGGGCGATTCCTGCGTATCGGCACCTTCGTATGGAGGTCTAGTTCTCATTTTCGATCGGTATCTTAGCGGAGGTGTACATCTGTCCGTGTTTATTATCAATTGGGTGCGAGGCGTTGTACAAAATTTCCAACTGCCGTTTTCTTCACCACTACAGCCGTTGATTCGCTCTGGAGATGCTAGAATTGGTACCATCGCGATGCCTGCTTTATGAATATCTAGTTGCTGATTAACAAAGAAAAAAAAATTCTTTGAGACCCAGTGACGTCTCTTGCCTGCGTGGTTCGTGCGCAACTCCGTCCCTGTACCCACCCTCTACTCGCCTTGCTTGACCTTTAAATATAATGCTCCGCACTACGATATCCGTTACCACCAGTTCCATCTCCGAAGCCCGAGTTTTTCCACCTGTTCGAAGCCGGTCCTCCGGTAACCTTCCGGAATGTTTCATTACATGTCGTTCAACCCTAGAACAAATCACCTAGAACTTCAGCTGGAATGCTTTTACGAGCCATAACCCACTTTTCTCGACCGTTGGGTAGCTCGAGCACTGCGAGATTCCCTACCGTGCCTTGAACTTGCCTGTGTGCCTGTTTCTGTGTGTTTACCATTTCCCAATCAGGGTCGGCACTTTCCGCATTAAGAACAACATGGACAATGGTTTATGGAAAATGAACCTACAATGGAGAATTTGAACAAAATTTTTCAAACAGACGGCCAAGGAAGAACCGTTGAAAGCTGGAACCGGAGCTCAAAAAGCGCCACAGGCTGAAGGGGTTGCAACTCGGCTGATTAATGACCCCAGCTTTTTGCACCATATTGTTTCGCTTATGTGGTCTCGCTTACGTTCATTTTTTGTTTTTTAAAGCCTTCTGTTTACGTTTTCTCCAGGAGGGTGAGAAATGTGACATAGGACAGGCTGTTATCAGTGGCACAAAAGACCCTCGGACGCCATAATTTGGTACTTTTGTGATGCAGTTGCACTCAATTGAGTAATCCAAACATCTTTTTCGGAAACCATTTTGATACGTTACCGTTAAGCCTCGAACGAAATCAAAACACCGGAGCCTAAGAGAGCCGTTTGAAAGGAAAAAGAATTCCTGTACTCTTAACTCCGGCTTGTCTTCTTCCTCGGCCTACAGCAACTTGCGTCACTCGCCACTTGTCGTTCCTCGTACTGGATATTTTATCTTTGAGACTTAACAGCGACAGATCTGTATAAAGTGATACGCGACAGACGTCGCGACTGGCATTGCGACGCGGACGCTGTCAGTGTCAGCCAAGGATCCGTATTGATTAGGCCACAAAGTCAAAATCTGATGAGTATAAATTAGGGTGCTACTGTGGTCTTTTTGTTTCAGACTTCTGGTTACCAGTTTATTCCGTTACTTTACCAGCTCAAGACCTAGAAGTAAAAATGCCACAAGCAATAGAAGAAGCGCTAGAGGAAGCCCACGTCCAAATCGTTGGAACGAAACATTCGGTAACGGCGCATCACATCCATTCGTATCCTTTGGTCAAACAGACGGGCGAATTTTTGGGTCGTGTTCCCGTCGCCAGAATTTTTGTGGCAAACACAAAGCCTATTTATGAGGCAGTTGCCAACTCCAGACCTGCGAAATGGGTCGCACCTGTCACTGACAGAGTTGATCTACTCGCAGACCGCGGTTTACAGCTCACCGACAAATGGGTTCCTGCTTTAAAGACAACCACGTATGAGGGAATCGGAAAAGACGTGATGACTCCTTACAACGCCACACGGAACGCAGCGGAAAAAGCACGTTTGGCTACGTTAGACGCTGCTGACAAGTATTTGTACGATCCGGTCCACTCTCGTGTTTTGCAAACCAGACGTTACTACAACGAAAAAATTTACGACACCAAGGGTAAACCACTTGTGAGAGGCTCATTTGACCCTGTTGTGGCACCTGTCAACCAACGGGTCGAAGGATTCATCTCCAAACGTTTTCCCGAGGGTAAACATGTGCCCACGGACGGTTTCAGCAACGAATTGTCTCGTTCGGCTGCCCTTGCGGTTAATTTTGTGCAAAGAGCCATCCCGGCCGTTGAAAATAGAGTTTACGACATTGCGATGGGACCCTGCCACTACGTGAAGCACGTCAACGACGTTTTCAATCACAACTTGGATAAACAGGACGATCTTTCCTTGACGAATTCTTGGACTGCCTCTAGAAATGCAGTCCAAGAATTGAACAAAGAAACCGTTGAGTATTTAAAAGGAAGAATGCCTTCTGCTCTCCGGGTCGAACGCATGGACACCCAGGTGGCCGCTTGAGCGTATAAAATTGCCCAGAGGTTTACAAAACTACAACAACACAATTTCTTCGCCACGTGCCTTTCCGTGCGGTCAAGTGGGCTAAAGGTTATTGTTGAACCGCTGGGTACGCCACCGCACATAAGAAAAATGAAATCTAACCAAAATGGGAAACCAGGAGTACTCATCGAGATAAAGCACTTGGTTGATACAAAGTAAATCGGAAATTCCAACCGAATGATTGGCTTTTTGCGTATATATAGTTTTAGCTATAATCAATACAATGGATTTGCAATAGATACCGGATTGTAACGGTGAAAGTGACGTTGACGTTTAATATGATATATCAACAAAATTCTATGACTGCATTAAAACCCAGACATCGAGATATAGTATTTTTCGTCTTAGAACCCACACATCCAAACATGATGGGTCTTTATTGCGTTATTGCGTGGGCAGTTGTAAACTAGTAGTAGCGGACGTGGTCGCTGCAAGCTGTTCTGGCAAGAAATGGCAGCTCGATCCGACACCAACGCCGCGGTCCCTCGTCGCCCTTGGCAGGTCCGCTGTAGCTAGGCAGGATCTCTCGGCGGGCCTCGCTTGTCCTCGCCCCTGTGCGCTCTCCGCCCCCCGCCTAGCGGCAGGGGGGAACCAGGACGCACGCAGGCCGACACTGGGCCTGGCTACGATGTGGAAGAATCAACACCGGACCCGGATCCCGCTGCGATTTCTAAGATGCTAGCTGAATACACAGACTAATCCGTAGCGATATACCCACCGGAAGCTTTAGTCAATTTTTTTTCCAAGCTAACGAAAAGATTACAGAGCAGTTTGGCCAGTTTCTTCAGTTTAGTTGTACTACAAGGAAGCATAGTGAAGAAAAGTGAGTAAATGAACGATACAGAGGGCGAAATGGAGAAGTGGCGGACGAACGAAGGACAGCTAAGGGCAATGGGCTGTTTGGAACGGGAGTAGACGAGTTTTCCGTGATTAATTTGAGTCGATTTGGACGTGATGGACGTCAGATACTAGATGTGGTCGGGACTGGTCAATGTTTTGTCGGTTGTAATACGCAGATATACAGCCCCAATGGGCAATTACCTCAAGTTCCTTCATCTTTGGAATCAGCCAACAGATTTCTTTCGCAATATTACAAGACAATTTACTAACAATAACTTACCAGTGGCTCGTTTGAATGAATACCAGGTTATCGGCCGTCGTTTGCCCACTGAGTCCGTTCCTGAACCAAAGTTGTTCAGAATGAGAATCTTTGCTCAAAACGAAGTCGTTGCCAAGTCTCGTTACTGGTACTTCTTGCAGAGATTGCACAAGGTCAAGAAGGCTTCCGGTGAAATCGTCTCTGTCAACGTTATCAGCGAGCCTCACCCAACCACTGTCAAGAACTTTGCTGTCTGGGTCAGATACGACTCCAGATCTGGTACCCACAACATGTACAAGGAAATCAGAGACGTCACCAGAGTCGGTGCCATCGAGTCTTTGTACCAAGACATGGCTGCCAGACACAGAGCCAGATTTAGATCTATCCACATCTTGAAGGTTACTGAAATCGAAAAGACTGCCGATGTCAAGAGACCTTACGTTAAGCAATTCTTGACCAAGGACTTGAAGTTCCCATTGCCACACAGAGTCGAAAAGTCTACCAAGGTCTTTGCCTACAAGAGACCATCCACTTACTACTAAACAAACTTTTGGGTGGTTCAGAGTGCCGGATTGTAGATTTTTATCTCAAATGTCTATAACATAAAATTTAATTTTTGAAATGTTTGCACTGCTATAATTGTCAGTTATTTAGCTATCGCGATAGTATCACAATGTCGTGCCGGTGCTGGTCTTACCGGGTTAACCTCGACTCGACCCTGAGTGGTCTTCAACTCGGGTTTGACTTTCATGAGTTGATCATCGACCTGAATTCAGTCGTTCGTTTTCACATGATATAATCAAATCCGAAAAAAATAATGGGCTTCTGATTGACAGACACCTCGAAATCGAGAACTTTGACCATCCAAAGCTTCGTCAATCTCGCGGTTTGTTGATCTTCTGTTTCCGTATTGTGATATTCTGCCTACAGGAATTTGGGGGTTCTGTTATGGTCGATACAGAAGTTCCCGTTGGAAACGGATCTGTATCCAGTGCAAGGGCCAACAAACGGCGTTCACAGCTACGGAACCGTTCCGAGCACAAAAGTGACGTTTACGCCAAGAAATCTGAACTGTCCAATAGTGACGTACATTTACCTCTGACCGAGATCAGGCTACGTAGCCACGAGTGGTTTGGAGAGTTTATTACGAAACACGAAGTTCCACGTAAAGCGTTCCACTCGTCTATCGGCTTTATCACGATGTACTTATACACAAAGGGGCTCGATTACAAGAAGGTGAGAGACCCGCTCATTTACGCGTTTTGCTCGATTTTCGTTTTGGATCTGATACGGCTTCGATGGAGTGCGTTCAACAAGCTGTACTGTCGTGTGGTCGGAGCCTTGATGCGTAAACGTGAAATTCACTCCTATAACGGGGTGCTGTGGTACCTTTTGGGCCTGATATTTGCATTCAGTTTTTTCTCGAAAGACGTGGCTCTGATCTCTCTGTTTTTGTTGAGTTGGTCCGACACGGCCGCGTCCACCTTTGGTCGTAAATTTGGTCATTTGACCCCCAAAATTACTGGCAACAAATCCCTTGCAGGTTCCTTGGCCGCTTTCGTCGTTGGGTTTCTCACATGTTTGTTGTTCTACGGCCATTTTGTCCCACACTATTCCTATGTGAACAAACCGGGCGAAATCGAGTGGTCCCCCGACTCGAGCGCGCTGAACCTACTGCAACTCTCGCTGTTGGGCGGAATTGTAGCCTCCCTCAGCGAGGGAATCGACTTGTTCAATTGGGACGACAATTTTACGATCCCTGTGCTGTCGGCCATTTTCATGCACTCCGTGATCCGAATTTTTCGCATTTAAACCATGAACCGGGTCATCTTTTCGACGTTAAAAGCATAAGTTATAGAAGGGTTCGAGTCGGGGAATCAGACTTCGAATATTGCGACACGACGACAAAGACGATAGATTTGCTTATTAGCGTCCCTTATTTTTTTGGTAAAGGTTCAAAAAGGGTCTGAGACTCGAGCTTCAGCCTAGCTCCAGAGCCCCACGTCAGCACATGTCGAAGCCTCAAGCCGCAGGCCAATAAAATATACCTTCGTCCTATATGTAGAGTAACAGTACAAGAAACAAAGCAAAAATTACGCTGAAACATCCCCAAAAATTCGTTGAAAGCACCTAACCCACGCCAAACTCCAACACACATAATTCAATGTCCAACTGCCCCTAATTGAAGCTTCGCTTGACTTTCTCACTGTGCTGCAGAACGCTTATGGGTTATATTACTGCTAGCTAGTTTAATTCAAGGGCCACATGATATTCACGTGATCTTTTAAGGCGGCTTTCTTTTTGAAGTGAAAAAAAATTTTAGTGCGAGCATCAAGCTCATCGAAAATTTTCACTTCAAGATCAACGACTACTCTTGACTTTTCTGATCGACAACGTCGGTAGGTTCCAGGTATCTTGGCGAGAATGGCTTACGTTTTAACCGAAACTTCAGCGGGTTATGCGCTATTAAAGTCTTCTGACAAAAAGATCTACAAGTCTTCATCGTTGCTTAAAGACTTGAGCTCATCTGACAAAGTGCTAAAAGAGTTCAAGATCGCTGCTTTCTCAAAGTTTTCGTCTGCTGCTAACGCTCTTGAAGAGGCCAATGCCATTGTTGAGGGTAAAGTGTCATCGCAGTTGCAAAAATTGCTTGACGAAGCTAAGGCGGACAAAAAGGCCACATTGGTTGTGAGTGAAACGAAACTTGCCAATGCTATCAATAAATTGGGTCTCAATTTCAACGTTGTCTCTGACGCCGTCACGCTAGATATTTTCAGAGCCGTTAAGGAATATTTGCCAGAACTGTTGCCTGGCCTCTCCGACAATGACCTGTCCAAGATGTCTTTGGGTTTGGCGCACTCCATTGGCCGTCACAAGCTCAAGTTCTCTGCCGATAAAGTCGACGTCATGATCATCCAAGCGATCGCTTTGCTCGATGACTTGGACAAAGAGCTCAACACTTACGCGATGCGTTGCAAAGAATGGTACGGATGGCATTTCCCCGAGCTGGCCAAGATCGTCACAGACTCCGTGGCGTATGCACGCTTGATTTTGACCATGGGTATCAGATCCAACGCTTCTGAGACTGATATGAGCGAGATTCTGCCCGAAGAGATCGAAGAACGTGTCAAGTCCGCGGCAGAAATATCTATGGGTACCGAAATCACCACCGTGGACCTTGACAACATCAAATGTCTTGCTGAGCAAATTGTCGATTTTGCTGCTTACAGAGAACAACTTTCTAATTATCTTTCAGCCAGAATGAAGGCCATTGCTCCAAATTTGACCCAATTGGTCGGTGAGCTAGTTGGTGCTCGTTTGATTGCGCATGCAGGTTCCTTGGTGTCGTTGGCCAAGTCTCCTGCCTCAACTATCCAAATTTTGGGTGCCGAAAAGGCTCTTTTCAGAGCTTTGAAGACTAAGCACGACACTCCAAAATACGGGCTGTTGTACCACGCCTCTTTGGTCGGCCAAGCCACCGGTAAGAACAAAGGTAAGATAGCGAGGGTTTTGGCTGCCAAGGCCGCCGTTTCTCTGCGTTACGATGCGCTTGCCGAGGACAGAGACGATTCTGGCGATATCGGTCTGGAGTCTAGAGCCAAAGTCGAGAGTAGACTATCTCAGCTCGAAGGTAGAGACTTAAGAACCACTCCAAAGGTCGTACGTGAGGCCAAAAAGGTTGAAATTACGGAATCCAGAGCTTACAACGCCGATGCTGACACTGCAACAGTCGTTGACACAACGGTAGAGTCCGCTGACTCCGATGACGAGGCCGACGAGTCCTCCAAAAAGGAAAAGAAGGACAAGAAGAAAGATAAGAAGGACAAGAAGGACAAGAAGAGAAAGAGAGACGAGGACTCTGAAGAGGCTTCCTCGAAGAAGTCCAAAAAGGACAAAAAGGAGAAGAAGGATAAAAAGAAGAAGGACAAGAAAGACAAGAAAGACAAGAAATGAACACAAAACTCAATATATCGTCATTTGCCTAGAGTATCTCTGCCATCCGTGTAAATTAGTATATTTTAAAACAGCACCTAAGTTTTGTCAAACTCACTGCAGTAAGTAATAATAATGTGACCTTCTTGAAGTGATTCGAACTCGTTTCGATCTTTACCGGTATTGTGCCTGCTTCTTTAATTCAGTTTCTTCTAGTTTGTCTTATTATCATCATGAAATTTAAAGAGATGAGCTTCCTGATGCAGAGAACTTGGCTAAATGGACCATTGAAATGGCTAGCGAAATCTCGTTGGAGGAGACGAACAAGTTCAGAATCTCGTTGGGCTTGAAGCCAATACCTGTTGTAGAGCCTTCCGCCAGGCAGGCTTCAGTTGTAATTGGTGCAAACGACGAGAAGACAGATGAGCACCATGAGGCATTAAATAGTAGTGAAAGAGACGAAATAACGACCGATGGGCATGCAAGTAAGCATTTAAAGCTTGCATGGCATATTGAGCGAGCTAAAGCCAAATTACGTGCGGGAAATTTGACAGATGAGCCTGATGAGAGTGAAGATTGGCTTTCGACAATAAAGAAAACACCAGAGGGTGCACCTGAGGGTAAACCCCCAGGTGCTACGATCCGCCAGAAGACCAAGAAATTACTTAGTGGTAGAGATAATGCGTTTGAGGAGTTTACTGGTGAAAGTAAAATTCTTACGCTGAAAGAGAAAGACGTACACGAAAGAAGTGACGAGGAAGATATTCTTGTCGACCACACTGATACCGAGATGCTTGAACAGTCTGAGGCCATTCGACTGAAAAGGCTTAATGCGCAAAGAAGACGGTTTGGATTAAACCCTGGTGAATTTGAGCAAAACGCTAAAGGTTTGGCTGAGCAAAGTTTTGAGCTCACGGTCAAAGACGGTGTAATAAATAGAAAGCCGACAGCATCTCGAACTCAACAAAATTTTGAAGTGCCGGTAGGAAAACGACGGTTGTCGCTGCCTGAATCTTCTAGTGAGGATGAAAGTGCCAAGGCAGATTATGCCCCTGTCAAGTTCAAAAAACGCATGAAAAAGGGCAAGAATATTAATTATAAGCGTGTAAAGGTTCCTAGTGAGCTACCTAAAGTGGAGTTGATAGACGAGGATCTTGGTCTAGAGCCTGAAATAGAATCATCATCCGTCCTTGTCATACGACCGCAGAAAGCGTTGAGCCCAAATACAAGACGCTCAGCGGAAGAAATTGCCGCAGAAATAGCCAAAGAGGAACGGGAAAGAAAACAACGAGCTCGAGACGTGGCTAAAAGCGGGCAACAGAACTCAGTATCAATCGATGAAAATCAGACGTTTCTGGAAAGTCTTCGTGGCGACATATTGGCCAAGCCCGAGCAAGATTTCCAGTTCAAGGCTGTAGACATTTCTGCACCTGCCATTAGCAATGCTATGAGAAAAGTAGAGCAACGAGATGCGGATAAGGGCATGTTTTTGAGTGAAAACGAAGACAACAAAGACAATGACGACGACTCTAAGCCAAACTTTTACGACGGAATGGCTGCTACGGTAAATTTCTTGAAGGATAGCAAGATTCTCCCGACAACGACGACGACCGAAAATCTTACTCAAAATGGTTCCTCGACCGATGCATTGCTGAAGTTGAAGCAACAAATTGAGGTACGCCGTGTCCAAGAGCGGGTTCGCAAAGACGTCGAGGTTGCTGGTGCTTCCTACACGAAGGAAGAGCTTCGACAGATAAAAGACTACGAGGACCGTGAAATCGCTGCGAAAGCAGCCGCTATACAGCACGAGCGACTTGAGAACTACAACCCAGAAGTGAAGCTAAAATACACAGACGATCGCGGTAATGAATTGACGACCAAGGAAGCCTACAAGAAACTATCGCAGGCGTTTCATGGCACAAAATCCAATCGCAAGAAAAGAGAAAAAGCTTCCAAGAAAATTGACGACAGACGTAAACAGCAAGAAAGTAATTATCTAGGTATTTAAAAGTGGTTAAAGCTTTCATTAGACGAATCAATACCCTTCAAAATGTCACAACTGGTAAAAATCGCCCGGTTTCTAGCGTTTTCGATATTAAAAATATGGACGAGACCGGAGTCGAACCGATGACCTCTCCCATGCTAAGGGAGCGCGCTACCAACTACGCCACACGCCCATAAGTTGAATTATTTCCTAGTTCAGTGGCTAACTCTATCACTTGTAAAACCCTTTGGCACCAGCCTTTTCAAGATGTACCTTTCTTCTTGCAAAAGAAAAACATGCAAGCATTCCCATCGCTTGGAACTTTATTTTAAGCAAATAAATTAGTTATATCACCAAGAACACCGAGGTTTCCTGCTTCTCCAGCGGCTTTCAAGGCTACAGAACGCTCAGAACTTCAAGATTTCCCAAACGTCAGAGAATCTTAATTCTAACTGACACTTCATTCGCTATTAATTTTGACGGTTTCTGCAGTTTCTTCGCGTTCTCATTTGGCATCTCAAAGGACGATGATAACTACTCAAAGTGCTACGCAAAGCACGACAACGAAGCGTCGTGGGTCCGTGCACACGAACCTGTATGATTCTCAACAGTTTCCTATGCTGAAGCTTAGTCGCAGCTTCGTAGGCTCAGGTTTATCAGATGATGGGTTTGCAGAAAACCTGTTGGAAAAAACCGATGAACGCCAATCGCCACCTGAAAAAGGGCTAGAGTTGCGTGAAAAGCTTGTAGCACTCTTCCCACCTCATGTTAAAGAGTATTTACCCGAGATTAACGTTCGTGTGACCGGGTTATGTTGTCTTTGGTATGTGACTTCATCTGTGTCCAGTAATCTCTCTAAGGCAATTTTAAGCGGCTTCCCTCATCCTGTAGCGCTTACGGAGCTGCAGTTTTCGATAAGCGCGGCATTGTGTTTTTTGTTCGTTACAATGGCGAATATGTTGAGCTCTGAACGGGCCAAGAAAACAAACCTTTCTAGAGCAGTGTTGAGGTTCCCAGAGGGAATTTTGCCTACTTACTTGAATGGAAGCTTCACAGACTGCATTTTGCACCGGTTTCTTTTCCCTTGTAAGATGGGACTTACTGCTACTTTCCCAATGGGCATTTTCCAACTTGTTGGTCACATCACGTCTCACAAGGCGACGTTTTTGATACCCGTGTCATTAGTACACTCTGTGAAAGCACTTTCGCCCATTATGACGGTGGCGTACTTCAGAATTGCCAAGGGGAGACAATACTCTCCGATGACTTATTATACTCTAATTCCTTTGGTTTTTGGAGTGATCATAACGTGCTGGTCCACACATGGTCATAAAAGTCCGTCTTCCGCTCTTAGCAAAGATTCTAGTTTCATGTTTGGGCTCTTTTTCGCACTCATTTCTATGGCCATTTTCGTCTCACAAAACATCTTCGCCAAAGGTATCTTAACTGTCAAAAAATCGACAGGCATATTACCATCCAAAGCGGGCCAAAAGAAATCCAGCCTTGACGAAAGAGAACTTTCGCCGTTGCAAATTGACAAGATAACAATTCTATTCTATTGTTCCTGTATCGGGTTTTTGTTGACATTCCCACTTTTCATCTCTAATGAACTTCTCAATTTACGCGGCGACAAAAGTGTGTTCCACGATCTCAACTCACATGTCATTTTGCTTGCAACGATACATGGAATTGCTCATTTCTTCCAAGCAATGCTCGCGTTCCAATTAATTGGCATGCTGTCACCTGTGACATACTCAATTGCAAACATCATGAAACGTATTGTCATAATAGGTGTTGCGTTAGTTTGGGAATCATCGCTTTCATATGGACAAATCTTTGGATTGGCCATGACGGTAACTGGGTTGTACGGTTACGACAAATGGGGCATGCTCACGAAATGAAAAGGAGACAAAACTATCCTAAAGTAAAAACAACCTACACATTATCCATTCCTGTTTGGCCTTTACGAGCGCTTGTAAGATAAAGAAGTACCCTATTTTTTTTGTTAGCTCTATCAAATTATAGTTTATTATGATTTAGTGTTGATCAGTGAGCCGCAGTTGGTGATTGCGAAGTGAGTCTGGCGACGAGGTCACGCGCCATGTCACCAAATCCGACCATAAACACGGTTTGCCAAACGCCAAGCCCAATTCTTGGAGTTACACCACGGTACAAACCCTTCAATCCGCTGGATTTGTAAATGTATTTGAACGCAGATCCGACTGTCAAGTTCTTGGGTCTGTTTGGATCTTCTTTCTTAGATTGCATTTCGACCCTAATAACTTCGATTGGTTGATTCCAGGCACTCAAACCACCACCAACCGCAGATGCAAAAATTTTCTCAACTGCGCTCAGTTTCTCGTCAGAGTTGGTCTTACCCGTGAATTTCCTGATACCTTCTTCAACCAATCTGGAAAATCCAAAACGAGACCCCCAGTTAGTCATTTGTCTGATAGCCACGGCGTTGACACCTTTGTTGATACCACGAATACCTTCTCTAGCGTAAATTTCCTTAAATGCAGACCACGAAGACTGTGGCTTCGCGGTGCCGGCAGACTTGTGCTTGGTGATTTCGACCGTTTTCATACATGTGCAGAAGCCCATCGTCAAATATGCCTGTGCCACACCACCGGAAACACCACCCATGATGCCAGCGCCGAAATTCCCGAGCCCCATCCTTTTGAACTGATATTCACCTTCCGCAGAAACGAACAGTAAAACGGCACCTTTGGTCGAGGCCTCAATCCAGGCCCACGGAATCAAACCTTGGTAAAATCCAAAAACACCACCACGCGACCAAACGTGTTTAATTGCTTGCAGGAAGTTCAAATCGCGATGCGCTGCCATAGTAGTTTTGGTAACTTCCAAAGGTTGACCTAGGGTGGTCACCTCGCACATGTTTAAACCTGCACCAAGCAAAATATTGGAAAAAGATACAGGCTTTTTCTTGAGCTCTGCAGGTTGTGTTGGAACGGCTGACATTTTTGATGATCAATTGAAGACGTTCAGGTGGTTCAAATGGTTCGAACCGCTTAATGTTCCTGGTATTGAAATATATCCAATTTTATCAAATCGTTATCTAAATCCACCGCTTTTTATTTTTTTCACGTTACCGGGCTTGATCATCTAAATTTCTCTACGGCATTAACAGTAATCGTGACCTTGACGGGTCATTCGCGTCGTGAGTGGTGATGTGACGATCTTTAGAGACTGAGAGATTATAACTTAGAGAGAAGTACTACCGTGCTAGGAGCATGTGTCTGCGGGCTTTATGTCGTCTTAAGTGAATAATATGCAAAGAATGGATGCATACAATCCGAAGAGTCACGTGATTATATGTCAAAGTCACGTGGTCGAGACGACAGTTTAGCGTGGGCTTTCTGGAGTCGATGTAAAAGATGATTCAGAGTTTACGGACGCCATAGCTCTTCTTTACTTTTCATATTGGGCTTATCAGCGTGGGTAGATGACTTTTGAGGTGGATCAATTCGTTCATAGCTCTAAATTAGTACATTGAGGACAACTGGCGCATACGCGATAGTCGTCAAATTGGACTTGCATTAGTTCATATGCTAATAATGTCGAGGTTTTCCTTGTCGGAGGTTGATAGGTTTCTAAATTGTTCATTTAATTCGTTCATAATTGATCTAAATAATAAAGCGGATTAGGAATTGAGTACTTATATCTCTCCGTGGCTATCTTACAACCACGACCACTTACAATCCTGGCCATATCAGCTCCTTTCATACAATTTCTGTAACATTGTTCCAATTTCGGAATCCGTTACTTCCTCTAAGGTTGACGGTGAGCCAGCATTACGTCGCCTATTAGATCGCTCTTACAGCGATGACGGGGTGTGACGACATCATGACCACCACCGGAATCACTCGGTTTCGATGACTTCGTCTCGGTCATGAACCGTCCGTTCATTCTTCTAATTTTATTCTGTCACTTTGATCACGTGATGATGCAATTGACGGTATCACCTTCTCGCCAGCTCCTTTCAACAAAAGGAGGCGGTATAACCAGCTCCAGGGAGATTATATTACCAAGTTCATTACAGAGGGGTACACGTACTTAAAATTCATCTCATTTCACAACTAGTAACAACTATAAATGGACAAAGTGACCTATTTGGAAAACTTGGAATTACCAACGCTACAAGTCCTCAATATATCTACGATGGACGCTGGTAATCCTTATTAAAGGAATGTATATAAAGTGATGGTGCTTCGAGACGTAGTTAGTTTGCTAGCAAATTGCCAGCAAACTACCACATTCGTCGGTGATTTACCGGTGGGATCCCGTGATCGCCTATAGTAGTCTGCCATAATCATGCTTGGTAACGCATCACGACATGACTAACTGGCATCGCAGGCACCATAATAGGAGATGAGTTACCGAAGAACGCCGAAGGGCGACTCAACGGCAGCGATGGTAGCAGCCACAGCAGCAGCAGCAACAGCTCCATTAATGACTCAGAAACGCTCTTCCGTACATACATAAAACATATATACGTATCTACATACTAGCACGGACATAGAAGTTTACACGGCGAGAACGTTGGTGGACAAGTGGATGGAAGTCACAGAGGGCAAGAGTCATATGGAGCAGACCAAACAGTTCGAAAACGATGCTTCTGGAACCTCATCTGGTCGCGAGCTCGAATACGAGCTCATGGAGAAACCGAAAAAGAACGGTGGTCTCGAGCCCGAGCATGAAAACTTGAACGTCAATGTGGTGCAGCGGAACACTGACGGGCAAGATGATGACGATGACGACGATTACAACGATGACGATGACACAGACGACTTTCCAGAAGGAGGGTTTCGGGCCTGGATTGTGGTCCTTGGGTGTTTTTTTGGACTTACCACGACTTTTGGCATGGTCAATACCATGAGTGTCATGGAAACGTATATTCAATCCCACCAACTCGCGAAAGTACCTTCCGCGACTATCGGATGGATCTTTTCGCTGATGCTGTTTTTGAATTTTGGTACATGCATTTTTAGCGGAAGTTATTTCGACCGTAATGGTGCTCGAAGTCCACTCATAGTGGGTTCATGCGTTCAATTTGCGGGCACTGTCGCAACAGCCAATGCTACTAAGACATGGCATTTCATACTTGCATTTTCGATAGTCTTTGGCCTCGGGAACGGGATTCTCGTTAGTCCGCTCGTGAGCGCTCCGGCACATTATTTTCGACGCAGACGTGGCCTAGCGACGGCATTGGCCTCTTCTGGCGGCTCTATAGGGGGTATCGTGTACCCAATCTTACAACGCAAATGTTTTGCAATGGAATCAGACAGTTCCGAGTATTATGGGTTCGTTTGGGGGATGCGATACACCTCGTTCTTAAACTTGGGACTCAATATCTTGGCAATTCTCTTGGTCCGCGAAAGACTGCCGAACGTCGAGACTGACCCCGAGGAAACCCGTTTCGGCAAGTTTAGAAGGGTTTTCGACACTTACGTACTCAAGAGCTTTGACGTCTCGTCTTTCAAAGATCTACGCTACGTTTTCTGCGTACTGGGAACCATGTTTGGCGAAATCAGCATTACAGGAGGCTTGACCTATTACGGAGCCTACGTGATTATGCGTGGCTATACTAATTCCGACGCTTATCTGTTGATTATGGTCATTAATGCGTTGGGCATCCCAGGAAGGTGGCTACCTGGCTATTTCAGTGATCGCTACGGCAGGTTCAATGTTGCTATTGTGACATTAATACTCTTGACCATAATGATATTAGTGCTATGGCTGCCATTCGGTAAAAGTCTGCCATGCCTCTACGCAATCAGCGCCATGTATGGATTCACTTCTGGAAGCATATTTTCTTTATTACCGGTATGCTGCGGCCAGATATCCAAAACATCGGAATTTGGTCGTCGCTGGTCCACTATGTATGGAATGGTGTCCGTGGGTATTCTTGCTGGTGTTCCTATAACAGGTGCCATTATTGGACCTGATAAAACGCCATCTGGGTATGATCATTATGTTATCTGGGTAGGAATGCTGACGTTGGTAAGTGCCATATGCTTTATCATTTCCAGATATTTCGCAGTGGGATTAAAGCTGGTAAGATTCTAGTATCGCTTCCACTCTCCGCGTGCGCTACAGTATTTAGGCAAGTTAAAGGCAATGACATTATGAACAAACCAATTATTCCCAGTATAGCACCCTAATGCTGCGCCCTCTTGTAGGATTGCGTCTTGAGCCAAACGTCGATACCAAAACCTTCCAGGAGCTTAACTGCAAACTCATTTTCGTAGTAATTTGAGAGTTTCCCCGTGTTCTCGAGATCGTACCCGCCTTGATGACTTTTCAGCATTCCTACCCGAATATAGATCATCGGAATGGCAAGACTGTTCATCGCCATGAGACCATCACGCGTCAACAGGTTAGGTGACGCCACGAAGAATATCGTTGCATTACGTTTAACGTCTCTGACATTCAACAAAAACGCTCCGACAGACTCTCGAATTTCTTTGCTTGTAATCTTGGAATGTTTGAAACCTTTGCATTGTACTAGAATGTTCAATGGCTTAAACGTCGAATTATCAATTTTATAACGTAATGGTTTAAAATTTGTTCCATTAACCGTCACTCTTTTACTTCCATGGTCATCGGTTTCGTCCAAACATTGATTAAATGCTTCGAAAATCCGCTCAATCGGCCATTTACCTCGAATGTCAACCCCTTTATCAAACGCTCCACCACATACTTTCAGTTTCTCCATCAAAAGTTTCTCTTCTAGTTCTCGAACCACCGTGTGCTCATAAAGCGTGCCTTGGAACAGTGTGGACCCAGCAATTCGACTGTTTGCAGCTATATAGGCCCGCAAACTGCTGTTATGGTTCAATCGCTTGAACACACACCTGCTAATCAGCTTCATCATGCAATTGACCCACTATTTGTATATCTTACCAACGTGGAACAGAATATCATCAATTTCCAAAGTTCGTCAACTAATTAACCATAGTAAGCACTACAAGACAAAGTACTCAGCAAAGTGAAAAAGACTTGCCAAACAGACGATTTATAAGCGTGAAATGTCTTCTTTGAACGTCGAAGTTAAGTCTGATAGTCTTTCGGACGGTTCAAAACCGGATAACGGTGACCAAGTTGTCACAGTTTTTGATTTGGCATCTGAAATTGAACAATCTATAAATTCTATTGTGAAACAGGTGGAAAAGAATGATAAAGAGTTTGAAGCGCGTTACGATACTATTTTGAAGACAATTGAGAGTCTCGAGGAGCAGTGACTCTCGGAGGACGCGGCGTCCAAGGCTAAACGAAGAGTTTGAAATGAGGAAAGAGATAAGCGAAACAGACTCGGGGACGACTAGATATGATTGGGGCATCAGAAATCGAATTTGGAGACTTGGAAAGCTTGATCTGCATTGCGCCAGGATGTGAAGTGGTCAACGTAAAGCGATTCACGTGACTTTCTCATGACATCCACGTGACATTTGAGATACTCATCGTACTAGAGAAAGTGCTTTTGTTAAACCAGTTTTACTTATAGTGCCAACGAACAACCCTGTCCAAAGAGTCACTAGGCAGGTGTGTTCGCGATACAATGGCCAGGAAGTCTAAATCGCATAAGCGACAAAGAAGCAAGGTCGCGAGGCGGAAGCCTGAGACCGCAGAGAGCCGTCAAAAAGCCTTGGCAAGTCTGATAGATGAGGTCAAAGGCAGTCGAGTTGTGGGCGAAAACGGCGTAAATTCGGATAACAAAGTCCATGATCCGGAGATAAATCTTGCCAATGAGTATGCCGAAGTGTTTTCCAAATTTCAGGCACCACCTTCTCCTTCAAGCGAAGAAAGAACCACTGTAGTGCGATCAACAACCATATTGGAAGAAAATGGAGATCCTGACGCATCTGATGCTATTCCGCCACCAGAGGGCATCTTATCAAGCAGGAAATTGCGCAAACTGAAGAAGCCGGCGCTGTCGGCGCTTAAGGCCTCTGTACCGCACCCAGAAGTCATCGAATGGTACGATCGCGACGCACCAGATCCTTTCTTGCTAGCAACTATCAAATCTCAAAAAAACATTGTTTCTGTACCGAGCCATTGGCAATTGAAGCGAGAGTATTTGTCGGGCCGGTCCCTGATGACAAAGAGACCCTTTGAGTTGCCGGATATTATCAAAGACACCAAAATTGAGGAAATGAGGCAGACTTTACCAGCCAAAGAGGGGCAGTTGGATGCTTCACTCAAAGAAGTTTCACGCGCTAGAATACAACCCAAAATGGGTACACTCGATCTAGACTACAAGAGGCTTTACAACACTTTTTTTAAACTAGGGTCCAAGTGGAAACCTGACTTACTTCTGGGCTATGGCGACTTGTATTACGAGAACAGAAACCTTTGTGAAGAGGCAGCTTGGAAGAAACGTGAACGGAAGGTTGTACCGGGCAAAATCAGCAAAAAACTCAGAGCGGCCATGCGTCTTCCAGAGGGCAAGCTTCCACCTTGGTGCGTGAAATTTAAAGAACTCGGAATGCCCCCTGCTTACCCAACTTACCTGGTAGCAGGTATAAATTGGGAAATAGAAAATCTCACGAATGACATATATGGGACCCTTTCCGTAAATCGGGGCTCTAAAAACGAGGAGACCTTGTTCGGCCAGATATTTGATTTCGAAACCGAAGATGATGTAGAAGAGGACCTTCGCGAAAGACAAGAGAATAATGAAGAGCAGCCAAAACTCGAGGAACATGTCAATAGTTATCCCATCAGAAGCGTGGAGGTTAAGAGCGAATCAACGACAGCGCCCGTGGCAGCATTTTTGGAAAATATTCCCGAAGAAAAACCCAGTGATCAAAACAAGCCACTCTACACTGTTATAAAGGAAAAAACTGATGGGACTAGTAGTCAACTTACCGGGAGTGGTCGTACTTATGAAATAGCGCAGCGTGGATCCAAGCAAAAGGATAAGGACTCTGTTGATGACTATGAAACAGGAAACCCCGATACTAGTGACCGAGAAGATACAGATTTTAAGTATTGAATCACCTTTTCGCGGAGTTTCAAGAAGGTACATAACCAGGGCGTAGCTCGGGATATGGCCATCTGTCCCTAGGTGCACACATTTCACTGGGCATTCTCTTCAAATACGTCCCCGTAGCATTATCGAGAAACTTTCCTTCTTGATAAACGATTTTCCCCTTCACAACTGTGTAACGTGGCCAATTTGATATCTCAAACCCTTCGAAAGGTGTGTAGTCGCACTTGTGATTCAAAAGTTTATTAGAAATTACCTTGGGTTTAGAGGCAAACGATTTTTTAGCATTATCTGGGTACCAAATAACCAAGTCCGCATCGCTCACTCCTGGGAGAAGAGAGCCCTTTTGAGGGTAAAGCCCATATAACTTTGCCGGATTGGTACAGTTTACTTCCACGAATTTTGTCACGTTTGACAAGCGCCTTTGCAGTAAACCATAAGAATAGAGAAGTGGGAGTCTTGTCCCAACACCTGGCATACCGTTGGGGATGTAACGAAACTCACCGTTTTTAGTGTCAGAAAAAGCTCTATGTTTGGAAGCATTCGACAGTTTGTCGTAATAAAGATATGGACAGTGATCTGAACCAACGATCGTGAAAGTGCCATTGTCCATTGCGTTCCAGATTGTGTCCTGACAAGCGGCTTTACGAAGAGGAGGTGAACAGATGTCTTTTGCGCCTATGAATTGATCCGGATCTTCTTCGTTGCCTTGAGACACTCCATGATGGCATCGAGTATCTTCCTCTGACAAAAGTGCGTATTGCGGGCAAGTTTCGGCAAAAATCTTCATTCCTCTGGTTTGTCCTCGCCGGATCACGTCTACTGCCTCGGGAGCAGAGACATGTACAAACAAGATAGGCGTATCCATAGTCTGCGCCAATGTAATGGCTCTATTTGTAGCCTCGCCTTCCAGGATCGTGGGTCTGGAAACGCCATGGTGATAAGGTTGCACCAGACCTTTATTTTCAAGATCTTCTATGAGCCACTTGATTACGTCGCCGTTTTCTGCATGAATCATGGTGGTGAAGCCATTTTTCCGAGTCGCGTACATTACCGTCAAAATGTCATAGTCGGATAACTGCAATCCGGGATAAGTCATGAATACTTTCACACTGGTCACACCATAGTCCTGATAAACGTTTTGCAATTGGACGTCGAGTATATTTTTGCCAGTAACAGATGATTTTTCCACACTGAATAAAATCAAATGCAAGGCATAATCGCAGTACAGTTTTTGAGATACGTAGTCTTCGATCGTTAATTTTACCGAATCAGAAAGAGCCTTTGGTCCTGTTAATGAGGTGTCCTGAGTAGCAAAAGCAACAAGAGTCGTTGTACCTCCAGCCACTGCGGATCTTGTCGCATCACCCATCGTGTCGGCAACTTCGCCGAGCAATTTCAACCTTTCGTCAACATGCACATGAGCATCAATGCCTCCCGGTGTTATCAAGGCACCCTCGGCATCAATGATCTCCAAAGCCAAATGGTCTTCCAGATTCCCCGCAATTGAACTGATTTTACCATCTTTTATGCCAATACAAGCTGGAAATACGTCGCTCGCCGTGCAGACAATACCATTCTAAACAAGTTAGTTTGTGAACTGGATAAGGAACGCACAATGAAGACATCAGGATAGCATACTTTGATGATCAAATCGTAAAGAGACATAACGAATTGAAACTTGAATGGAACATCGCTTGAGACAGCGCTGTTCGGAGTTCTAAATCAGACCCTTCAAATATGTCTTGATCTTGAGTTTGCAGCCTTTTTCTAATGGAGACCACCGATAACTTAGATAGCGTTTCGCCGTTGAGCGACAAAGTAACGGAAAACCGACTTTTTAACACTCATGCGACACACCCATTGGGCCGCCGGACTAAACACACGGGTTTGTTATTTGACACAAGGCGATTGATCGTAAACGGCTGAGATCGTAACCGGCTGATGCGCAGTATCAAGACTAAATACCAGAAAGGAACTATAAAAAGCACAGAGTTCGTTTAGATATCGCAATGCATCAAAAGGCAACAAGTTCTCGAGAAACCCATCAAAACCTCTAGCGAAATGTTTGGACTTAACGGCTCGAGGAATAATCCACTGTTGGTTAATTTATATCCTGCTAGATCACTGTACTGATGGTCCGTTCCGATAGCACTGGAGACGAATCACGAATTCAATAAGCACATCCGGTCGTCAAAAAGCCTCGCGTACAAAGCGACGACCAATTATAAATTATATAATCACCTGATATTAACCAAGAGTCTTGGTTACCAAGACTCTCCACCCTCATCTGGGTTTCGAATGAGTTTTGAGTCGTGAAGTATTGGCCTGTCGTTCTCCTATAATCAAGCTACCCAGGTTGGTTTCTCGCTATACCTTTCGAACCGGTGACAAGGTCCTGTTGAATAAGATCCGATGAAAGTACCATTGCTCAATGTTCGAAGACATTAAAAAATCCTATAAATCTATCGAACGAAGCAATGGGACTGCAACAAGTTCCTAAAATCAGTGTAATTAAACCGAAATACTAGCAGCTCGATATTGTTCATGCAAGATTATTCTAATCAAAAATTGTAGCAAACTTGAGAATCTGGTAGATGGATGACCAGAATGAAGAAAAGATCTGTAATAATTAGACGTACACATACGTTTGTTTAGCCTTGCATAACTTGAAAGTCTGTAGTTTCTCAGTATCTGCTTCTGCATGTCATTTTCCTTCTATAAGATATAAGCGATGAGATGGCCTTGAAAAATTTCCAGTAATTAACTCCGGCTCTTAACAAGCTCATCGCTAAAAATACTAGTCCACAAAAGGAATCCTAGAGTTCAAAAGTGCTCAAATGGTATCTTCAGGTGGTTCAGATGGAGGCCAGCGAAAAACCTTGCAGGAAAAAGTGCAAAGTAATGCCTATAGTGTGAATGAAATCAAACAACTTTCCAACTCATCCGAGTATCAATATTCGCAGGTTTTGCAACTGGAACATGCCGTTACTAATCTCATGGTGTACCTGAACAAGATATTCAAGCTCTCGCCCAATTTTAAGGGTTATATGGAAAATATCGAAAACACCGAAAGGGTGTCTGTGGAAATTCTGCCTGCTTTGATGCGACATAAACTAAAATGCGCTGCAGAACTAACATCCCTACACGAGCTGGGTAAGCTCCCTGTATTTGAGGAGTTGCTAGAGTATGAAAAGGCTTTTGAAGAGCATAAGCCAGAGCCGATCCTCAAAGGTTTGACGCTCGCAGATTGCGAGCGTCTGTCAGATAACAAGAGTGACATCGACGTCGCAGCTGCAGAACAATTCGAAGAGGACGACCCAGAAGAAGAAGAAGATGGTTACGATCCCTCGGAGCAAAAAAAAAGTTGGCCTCCGAAACTTCCCGAAATCAAGAGCTCTGCCATTCGAGCTCGCGTCTTCATTCACAAATCCATGATTCATGACAAATTGTATCTGTCCGAAGCGGACATGATTAAAGCCCACAACGAAAGACTCGAATTTCTTGGCGACTCGATCTTGAACACCACGATCACAATGATCTTGTACAACAAATTTCCGCTTTTCAATGAGGGTCAGCTTTCGCAATTGAGAATGAAACTGATTAGTAACGAGCGGTTAAAGAAGTGGTCTTTTCTATACAACTTCCATGAAAAGCTCAAGACCAACTTAGATAAAACTTGTGAAAACAGTGATTTTCAACATGGCAAGCAGAAATTATATGCGGATGTATTTGAAGCTTACATTGGTGGTCTGATAGAGGATGATCCCAAGCATAATCTACCCCGCGTAAGAAAATGGTTAACTAAATTGGCTACACCAGTTATAGAAGAGGTCACGAAAGGCGATGAGGTACTGGATACAGAACATATTGATATGAATGCCAAAAAGAACTTGTATTCTCTCATAGGCTATGCTGCACTCAATCTTCATTATAAACCGGTTAAAAAACCTACTCATGACGATCCTCATGCTGTCGTCGAGTGTCGAATCAAGGACGGTACACTTTTGGGCACAGGTAGAGGACGCAATGTCAAGATTGCAGGTATGCGAGCCGCTCAGGAAGTTCTTCGCAATCATGCACTGGTAGAAAAATACGCCAATTTACGTGCCGCTATCCCCAGAAATGAGTCCATTGTGAAGGAGAATCAAAGTAAGAAAAGAGACACTCCAGATTGCGAAATTGATGAGGATACCAAGAATGACTCTATCAAAAAGATCAAGACTAGCACCGAACGAGAGCAAAGCTTTAATACATCGAAAATTGTACCGAACAGTGATGGCACCCTATCTCTCCAATGATTCCCATTCGTCAGGAAGCATCGTCACACACACGCCATAAATGTCCGCCATTTTTTAAACCTCTTGACTTGGGTTAAATTTGGCACGCTTGGCATTAAGTTCCTCTGTTAGCGTTTCGGGACTCACATTTGGCGCCTCCTCGACAGATTTAGCCTTTTTTTTCTACTATTTTCACCCGTTTCATACTCCTTCATCAACATCACCAACAATGAATTGAGTCTTTTCATAATCTCGCTCGGGCTTCTAGTTTTCATGAACCAATTAAATTGGAAGATATCTGTAGTCATTATGTCTTGTTTGATCTTGTCGCCCAGTTCCTCCGATAGAAGCCCGTGCTTATGCGCGGCTACTAGCAAAAACTTGTCTTCGACAATATCATATACTCTTTTAGCATTGTTTGGCACGTAATGAAATGGCATTTCGTAAAGGGGTGCCTTGAGACCTTTTATCTTCTCATCCAGTAACTTTTGTTGCAGTTTGATTCTGTCAACCTTCTTCTCTCCCGATTCTATTGAATTCAGGTATTTTTCGTAACCATTAATTTCTTCATAGCGCTTCCAAAAAACGTCAGAGTATGCTTGAACTTCTTCCGACCTTTTACTGTCAATAACATTTGCAATATCCTTGATATTGTGTCGACCGAACTTACCGCATGCGCTTACGAAGTTCAGAAACTCACGTTTCGTCCAGTTTGTGAAGGCCTTGCTAAGAAGTTCCTGTTTTAAAATTTCGTCTTGTTCGGAAAATTCCGGAGCATTGTCTATCTTTGATTGTTCCTCCTCCAATCGAGTCTCGATGTCATTCGTTTGAGCTTCTTCTTCTTCGATTCCTAAATCGTAAGGCGTCACCCGATAATTGACCCTCCGCTTGTAATACAGTTGTTCTTTATTTTGTAATTCCTGAAAGCCGAGGGGGAAGAACTGAAAATCCTGAGCATTGATAACTTTTGGAGGCTTGAAATACCTCGGTGAGGGACTGCTCTTCGAAGATCCTTTAACAGAGTTCCTGGAGCCACCAATTACCTCCTTATAGTAGTTATCTACCGAATAAGTTTGGTCCCTTCTTCGCTCTCGGCGCGAAGGATTTATCCAGCCCAACTTTTGGTCCTGAATCTTTTTTTGAAAGTTTTCTCCATTCCACTCGTAGGCAGATTGATCATTCAGCCCATTAAACTTTTGTAAATCGTCCAGGCCAAGTGTCTCAAACTTGGCGTTGAGCTCCCTTGTCTTCTGCTCTCCTTTTTTGAGAATATCATCAATATCGTCGTCCATCGCCAATTTCTTGCTTTTTCTTTCAAAAACGTCTTTCGCCCCAAACTGAATCATATTGAGAAGCTCGCCTTTCGAGTTTCCAAGGTTGGCGGTTCTATCTCCACCTCCTTGTTGTATGACTAGCTGATCTAACCTCAATTTTTGAGCCGCACGTTCTATGACCTTCTCCTCAATCGCTGACTCAGTGACAAATCGGTAAACATAGACCTGCTTCTTTTGACCTATTCTATGCGCTCGATCCATGGCTTGAAGATCAGCTTGCGGATTCCAGTCTGAATCGTATAGAACAACGGTATCAGCTGTAACAAGATTGATACCGAGGCCTCCAGCCCTCGTGGTGAGAAGGAAAATAAATTTCTCGGAGTGGGGGTCATTGAAATCGTCGATTGCTTCAACTCGATCTTCGTGAGACGTAGAACCATCGATTCTGCAATATTCATAATCCCTCAAGTAACAGTAGTCTTCCAGAATATCGAGTAGTCGCGACATCTGACTGAAGATCAACACTCTGGAGCCTTGCTCCTTTTTCTTCTTCAGAAGCTTATCGAGCACGACCATCTTGCCTGCGTTGTACACGAGATGTTCGTCTGTCGTATAAGGCGGGCCCGGCTCTGCCCCTTCGAAAAGATAAGGATGATTACAGCATTTTCGGAGTTGCATTACGATATTAAGTAGCCTTGTCTTACCTTCTCTTTTTCCGACAGCACCGTTGACAGCATCTATATCCTTTTCCAAAAGACTCTTATACCACTGGATTTGCATATCGCTCATGTCAACGTAAAGATTGGTTTCGATCTTGGGCAATAGCGACGTCTCAACTTCAGATTTCACCCGTCTTAAAAGAAATGGGCTGAGAACGGTATGTAGTTGCGAAATTACGACGTCTTGGTCTTCATCGCTGTTGTTTTGTTGAAACCACTCGTCGAAAACCTCAGAATCTCCGAAGATATCTGGTAGTAGAAAATTCAATAGTGCCCATAGTTCATGCAAATTGTTTTGTAATGGCGTTCCTGTAATAAGAAGTCTATTCTTCGAATAGAATAATCTAATGATCTGCGATAATGCGCTTTGTTCATTCTTGATACGATGTGCTTCGTCAATCACAATGTATCTCCACATTAGCCTCTTCAAAGCCGCTTTTTCCTTAATCACCATCTCATATGACGTTATCAGCACATCGAATTTGGCCTCGAGAATTACTTCCTTAATAATTGTTTGTCGTTCCTCTTTATCTCCCCGCAATATTACAGTATTTACTTCCGGGGTCCATTTGGCAAACTCTCTTTGCCAATTATCCAGCGTTGATTTCGGTACTATAACAATGAAAGGGCCGTCGACGTTTTTCACGTAACGTAGATACCCCAGAAACGAAATTGTCTGTAGTGTCTTCCCCAACCCCATCTCATCAGCCAAAATTCCTGACAACCTATTTTCATGCAGCGCTATAAGCCAGTTAAGACCATCTATTTGATAGTCACGCAGCTGACCGGATTTGATGTAGCTGGGGGATTCGGTGATAATTGTAGTCGAGTCTGTTTCTTCCTCCAAAAGTTCAGCATCTTCTTCCTTTTCGGTTTTTCTTCGGTGCCTTGGAGACTCCAGTTTCTTCTTGTTACCTCGACCATTCGTTTTAAGATCCTGATCCACACTTTTCAGCAGTTTTTGTATGTTTTTATCCTGTTTTGCCCTTATACCAATAAAATGACGAAAAAGGTCCGTTAAGCTCAACAGATGTTTAAATCGCAAATAAGTGTCATTTTTATCTTTCTGCATTTCCGTTTGAGCATCACTTCTCAAAATATATCTCTTTTTGCGCTCCAAAGCGGAGTCCTGATCAACAGGTTTCGTTCTTTCATCATCCTTGTTATAGTCCTTTATTGTTAGTATGGTTCGAAGATGGGCAATGGTGATCTCGCATTCAGATTCACTAGATTCTTCATACGGAAAAAGTTCTCATATCATAGGTTTCTCCAGTAGTAATTGACGCTCCAGAGCGACGCAATTGGTGAGGAAGGGTCCCTTAAAACCTTGCGTTTATATGTATGTGTTTTCATATAAATCATTATCCTATACCTATTTTTTGATATCTTCTGCCAACAGAAACTAGTGGGCATCCATTTTGTACGAAATATCGAATTTACTCACTATTAACAATTCACCAACGACTGAACTAACAACTACTCAGTGAGACTCAGGAAGAATAAATATCCTCATTCAAAACTCTCATAAAAAGCCTTGCCTGAGTATTTTAGCTCAAGTATTGTATAGAGATTGCAATGTTTGCTGATGCCTTTAAATTGTGTAGGATGTTATTGGCACTTGACGATTGGCGGTTACTTATAGAACAGTTTATGAATTTTAGCTACGCAGTGTTTGAAGTTTGATTTCTCAATTGTAATAAGAAACAACCGGAATCATTCATTTGTTACAACTACACCTCGCCCAGTAGTCTGCCGCCACCGTTTGAAACTGACGTTGCTCACTGAATACTCATACGCGTAATAAGCAACGACCCACCATCGGTCTTTCGAGTGCAGTAGTCCTGCCAAGTTACTCAGTTAGGCTACCCACTATTCAATCAACCGTCACCATAGCTTTCAAGGGCATTCTATGGATAACAATCGATAACAACTATTTACAGTAGAATCTTACACACTTGATTTAATATGCACTTTCGTGCGCCTGGGTTTGTTGCGTGAACCTTTTGGATAATTCTCATTACCGTGTAATTCACCAGCGCTTTTATCTTGACTTTGGAAAGAGCTCATCATACTATTCTCAAAGGCCTGCTGTCTTTTCAGTTCTTGTTGAACTTTGGCAGATTCTTCATTCCACCATTTGGTAAAAATTTCCTCTTCCCGGGCCTCTTTTAAAGAGCGAGTATGCCCTTCAGATCGACCGGTGTTGTTAAGGTACAAGGGTATAGCTGTCGTTTCGCCTGTGCTTCTAAGCCCATCAGTAGATGCTTTTCTCTTTCCTGCAGAATTCAGACGAGATTCTGAAATGGAAGGGAACCTATTTGTCTTTACAGGTGGTGGTGCCGCCACCGCTGCTGGTAAGGAAAGTTTTCGACCAGACTGTCGTCCCCACGCAGTTTTTTTCTCTTCTGATTTCTTCTCGGCGCTATCATTCTCCTTCGAAATGATTCGCATACGCTCTTTCTGGGAGATTTTCTTTGAACTCGAGCCTGGGAGAGCCTTTAGAGTCTGGCGGGCAGAGTCTGGAATTTTTCTCAAGTCTTTTGTCAGATCCTCTAAGTTGTTGCCCGTCTTCATGGCATTTGAAAGTGTCGGGAACAATTCTCTGTGTCCGCCACTTGAACCCTTGCTGAAACTCTTAGATTTTTCAATCTTGACAGAATTGGTAGACGAAGTGGCCTCAGCTGATTCCACCATACCGGCTCGAACATCCTCCAGTTTAGTTTGCGCGACTAAGCCGACTACTTTGCTTTTCCTTACAACAGTGAAGCCCTGATTTTCGAAAGACTCGTCTTCAATGGCACTTTCGTTTTCCTCAGTCTTCGTAATATTTTTGTAACTGAACACATTGGGCCCCCTCGATTCTTTGCTGGAAGATGGTCGACGAATATTCGTCAAATCTTCTTGTAACAAAGAAGCCTTTTTAGGCAGAGACGAAGACGATTTGCGCCTATCGGATGGCCTCTTGGACGTTGCAGGTTTGTTTGACTGGTCGCAGATGTCAAAAATAGCCTTGAACGTTGTATTTTCCATAACTATGTTGTTGAACTTCTCCGTGTTTTTGATAAAGAGGTCTGTAAAACTTCTAGAAGAGACATTCTGATCCCCATACCAAGTGTCAAACTTTCGTACCAGGTTCCGGGATACTTTCTCCCGGTACAAACCTTCTAAAATGCCCCAGATGTCTTTCTTCACAAATTTATTCACCAGTTCAAAGTTTTTCTCTGAAAAGAGAATATTGATGTTGTGAAGAAGGTACCAGGCGCATACCAGAACCAGTGCCTTGCACTTCAAATTTTGCGCGTTTACCATGATTGCAATCACATTCTCAGCGTCAATGAAGTCTGCGATGACACTTTCGGCATAGTATTTGAGCCCTGGTATAAGAAGCTGATCAGATATTTCACAGACACCCAGTAGATACTGAACAAAATCCAGATGGTCCTCGAAAGAAGAATGCGAAAATAGCTCATGGAACGTATATCCATGCATATATTTGAGTATGCAAAGAAACTCATTCATACTCACATGCTTCAAATTAACATCTCGCTTGAGCTTGTTTTCTCCCGACCACGTTTTCGAGAGTAGGGCTCCAAAATAATCAGAGCTGCCCCCTAAAACTGTTGGAAAGCATTGGAAATTGTCATTATTATCAAGTTTGACAGATACTTTATCAGTGTGCCCGTCATTTTCCGAAGCCATACTTCTGTCAAGCAGGGATTTGAAGGCGTATGGGAGACTAGATTTTTCAGAAGATGTCAGATAGAGGCCCAAAAATTTGATGAAGGCCATGGTAGATCTCTCCAGCCGTCGCCTCTCAGATTGGTCACTTATCTTATCGAAATTCGGTATCTGATCGGTGTATAGGTAATCGATAGCAAACGCAAGGCCCTGAAGGGCAAACTTCTCCGAAGTTACAGCCAGCTTCATGAAGAACCCCCCATCTAGGCCGCATTTTCCAATGAGAGTGACGCAGATACCACTTTGACTCTTCTCGTCCACGATCCCATCTTTCATAATTAGCTGAGAGAAACTAGGACAACGTGCTTCAAGGACGTTCAAATGACAACCAATTAATGTCTCTCCTGTTTTCTGACTCACAAAAGTCACCTCGAATTTATCTGTACCTCCAAATAGCGCCCCAGTTGAATTGACTAACAACGGATTTGCAGTGCGATACATCTGCGAAAACTCTAAAGAACTTGATTTTGACCATCGCAATTCTACTTTGGTCCAGAGTAGGTCGTGTGGACGAATTGGTTTCGTAACATGCAAATCGGAGTCAATCGTCATTTCGTGTGACAATTCGTGTTGGTCACGAAACATTGAAAAGCTCTCAAACAAATAGCTCCTTTCTTCCAGATCAGACGACTGTTCACCTTCAATTCGTCGTAGCGGAGTGAATTGCAAAGGCGATATGGCCTCCATTTTTTGGAGTATGTTATTAGGCGGAAATCCTATGGGGATAGAATCTAGATCGTCCTTTAGAATTGCAAATGAGGAAAAGAGGGAGTCGCACGAAACACTCACACATCTGCCCGGGGCTAGTCTGCTGAATTTTTGCTGACGGAAAACAGTGCCGGGTTCGTTAGTGGATGTGAACACAGATCCGCCAGTTGTGCATAGAATGAGTTGGCCCTTAGAACCAACATCAAAATCCAAACACTTATTCCACCCGAAGTGAGGCAGCCAGTACAACGAAACCGGTAGAATATTTGAAAGTCTTGACCAGCCATGCGATGAGTCTTCCAATGAAGATACCTGAATAATTCCTACCACACCATTTTCATAGAGCACACATAAATTATTGCCAGAAATATGAGATGATTTTAATTTGATGACGCTGTTTTTTCGACTCATAGATACAGGCGTAAAAACGTCAAACTGATTGATACTTGTCTGTTGTTGTTGTTTGCTCTCCGCCTTTGGAATAGTGAATCGTAGAACCTTATAGCTGTTTAGGACGCACAATTGGTTTTCACCAAAAAGAATGAATGTTGTAAAGTCTGTGCAGGCTAATTGTCTAATGTTCTTGACATAAGAAGGAAGCTTCACTCCCACTGGCGAACTCAGCGGCTCCCCAGTTTTGCCAGCATGGCTTAACTCAGTCCGAGGACTGACGTTAGCAGCCACCCCCATTTGTCCCAAATTGAGCCCCCAAACGAAAAGCGTGTCACGATCGTCAATGAGACAAGAATGCACCTTTGAGCATGCTAGGTGCTTTATGCTTCCACCCCATGTTTTCTTCCAGGGACAATTTCCAATCTTGCGCGGATTAAAAGAGCAAGTATTGTCAACGGAGTTGTCAGGATTCAGACTTGCAGCTCCCGATGTGGAATAGCCCAGTTGACCAAACTTATTCCAACCCCACCCTAGCACGTCATTCGATCGCGTTAATGCGAGCGTGTGATGATCACTGCTAGCAACAAGTTTCACGTAGTCCAACTCAAGGGGAACAACTTGGTGCTGAAAATTGGAAACGTCGGATTTCCCATTTCCGAGGCGCCCTCTCGTGTTGGAACCTGCAGTAAACACTTGACCGTCCATGTTCATAAAGACGGAGTGATAACGCGTCATAATAGCGTTCTTGAACCTTGCACGTGTCAAATTCGCTTTCCCACAAAGCCTGTACTCGTCCACTTTGAACAGGTTCTGTCTATCGTCCACGTCACCGGTTCCAAGCTGCATATTCACGTTCGAGCCGTACGTAAACATTTCGCGCGCACCCCTGTGCAAATGGTACATGTTAGAAAGCTCTGAGACGGCTGGTAGCCCAGGTTCTGCTTTTTCACAATTACCACCATCACTATGACTGTCAAAGCGTTTCTGCCATTTCAACATCGATAGTGCCTCCTGATCAGAGCCGCGGAGCCCCGGATATATAGCGACCGGTATCGCTGTCGAAGTCCATATATCATTGCAACACCTGTAAAGCTCCAGCGGCGTGAGTCCCTCGCGATCTTTTTGGTCCCAAACGTTTGGTTTTCCCTGCTTGTGCGTATAGTCTTTGAGTTTCCAGGTTTTGTGCAAAAGAAAGGCCTTTTCGAAGTGGCCTAGCTTCAAACACACGTGCAGCGGCGTGTAACCACTCTCCATATCGAACGAAAACAAATCGATGTCATCGAGTTGTTCCAGATCGGGCACACACGACAACAGATACGAGAGATTTCGTCCAAAGACGTCTCTTTTCTTGTCGCTTTTCCTCGTCATTTTCCAACCAAATCAAAATTTTTAAATTCTGAAACCTTACTTTGAACCTTCTCGAAGTGGCAAACGTTTTAAAACACCATCGATCCTACTCAATACTTCCTTAGGGGCATGTGCTCGAAGTGTAATTAAAGATTTAAAGATGGCATCTTTAAAGATAATTAATTCTTAGATCGTGAAAACGAGTTGTGTTCATAAACCACGTGACCTTTGATACGCTCATATTGACTAATATTTTCGTATCCAGGCACAAACATCACATGTGATTTTATCACTTCGGACGTAGAAATTGGACCATATTATCAGTAAAACGACAACGTAATCATCCAAAAGTGTACCGCGAGTTTATCCTGTCCTTACTGTTTTACCTGTTTACGCCTAGAGACGATTCTCTTTATTTAATTATTTATGTACGGGGCCTTAAATCAGCACTTACAAAACAACGTTTATAGCACCCGTTCCGTTGCCAACGTCTTAACGGGAATAGTGAAGGGAACGTTAGTTTTGGCGTTCATAGACTTGTTTTGCTTGTAGTGAGCAATGTCCTTAAAATACTTGTCGAACAAAATGGCAGTGTCCATGGGACCCCCCTTGGCCTCTGGATGGAATTGAGTCGAGAAGATGGGTCTGGTCACGTGGATCATTCCTTCGTTGGAACCATCGTTCAAGTTAATGAAGTAAGGTTTGAACAGGTCTGCGGGAAGCGATTCGGCGTCGACTGCATATCCATGGTTCTGAGAAGTGATGTGGCATTGGCCCGTGGTCAAGTCCAACGCTGGGATGTTGTGGGCTCTGTTACCGTACTTGAGCTTAGTAGTCCTGCCGCCTGCTGCAATCGCTAGCAACTGGTGGCCCAAACAAATACCGAAAATGGGCAAGTTCACGAGTGCTGGATCGTTCATGAGTTGTCTGAGGTTTTCAGAAGTCACGGCACAAGTGCTTGGGTTACCGGGTCCATTGGAGATGAAAATACCGTCGAACTGAGCCGCAACGTCTTGGATCTTGTAATCGTGCGGGAAAACCGTGACGTTGGCACCTCTGGCAACGAGACACCGGACAATGTTCTCTTTGACACCGCAGTCGATCAAAGCAACGTTGACATCCGAGTTCTTGAGCGCTGGCACGTGGTAGGGCGCGTTGGTCGAGACTTGGGCGACGAGATGCTGTTGCATGGTGTCAACGTACTCTGGCGGGGTCTTGTCGTCCGCGACGACAATACGGCCAAGCGAGGAGCCCTGCTCTCTCAAGTACTGAACAACGCTACGGGTATCGACACCCGTGATGGCCGCAACACCTTCTTTCTTGCACCAGTCGGCGAGCGATTGGACCGCGGTCCAGTGCGAGTATTGCCACGCGTACTCGGCGACCACGATTCCGACGACGTGGGGACGTGCGCTCTCGAAGTAACGCAAGAGATTGAACTGGTCACGAACGTCGCCGGAGGGGACACCGTAGTTCCCGATAAGAGGCTGTGTGAACACGAGGATCTGGCCCTTGTAAGAGGGATCCGTCATAGACTCGGGGTACCCGACAAGCGAGGTGGTGAAGACAGCTTCTCCTGCGACCGAATTCTGGGCACCAAAAGAGTACCCTTCGTACACTGGGCCGTTTTTAATCTGGAAAGAAGCCTTAGTCAAAGTTGGTCTGGCCATTGTGAGTTGCAAACTGGAAATTGATATCTGGGAATATATTGCTGTTTGAGTTTCTGGTATCCTTCTTTTCGTACTGTTGCTGAAAAGTGGCAAATGTTCAGTGGCTGCTGGTTTTCCAAATGTGGTCCGATATGTAGTCCTGGCGCGTGAATTGGTCGAAAAACTGTCCTAGCATACAACGATGAGCAGAACGGTGATTCGTGGCGAAGCTTGCTTCTTGGTTTTATATGCCGATGCCAGATGCTTTTGCAGCTGTGAAAAATTTCGATGAGCTTTTAATTCTTTTTCCTGAGTCAGGAAAAAGAAAATCTCAGATGCAGACGACGTGCAAAGAGACGTATGAAGAAACTGGCATGCATCATCGAGGCATTAACGAGATGTCAAACCAAGCTCGACAGTTAAGGACGAGTGTGAGCGCGAGAGCCATCGGTGGGACATCAGTCATTTATAGGGACTTTCATTTTCCTGCCGATTGGTTTCCTCTCTCTGTTTTCTTGGATTCGTCGAATCCTCGGATATATGAATCCTTGAGATGTCGCTGTTACAATCTGGCGGTGGTGTGCTTTCAGTAGCGCCGTGTATCACAACCTGCCATGTCCTGCGATGTCGCGCTGGCAATGGCGACGCGATGAGCGAGTCATCGTGATGTCACGTAGCGGCGGTGACAAAACAAAAAAGCAGCATGACGGCACAGGGCATGCCGATGGGTAAGATGTGACTGGTGGGTTCTGTCAGGTGTTTAAAAAACCAAAGGGGTATCCATCAGCGGCTCGCGTGGCGTAATGGCAACGCGTCTGACTTCTAATCAGAAGATTGTGGGTTCGACCCCCACCGTGAGTGCTTTATATTTTTTTCGCAAAAGTGATCCCAAGAGCTTACGTAAGGCACATCTCTCAATACCACGGGCTCCATTGGCAAGATTTGAACTAAAAGGTTGAAATGCTTTTATATGTGGGTTGGGTGTCGCGCTATAGCCTGTATCCCGGCACGCACGCGAAGATTACCGTGAAAACTGCCGTGCCCAAGAGAACCAAAAACAGACACCACCATGCACGTTTTTTCAAAAGCGAGTCGATGAACGGGTGTCGCACCGGGATGAGTCTGCCAGTTCCACCGAGTAAGAACAGCAACGGCAGTAGCGCTTGCGACGTTACGGCGTGGTCTGCGCGGGTTCTGTCGAGTCCGTTTTCCGAGTCGCGAAGCAGTGCGTCTTCTGCCGTCACGAGCGTGTGTGTGACGCTACAGAACGCGTACAGGATATCGAGCCGGTAGATACCCGTGACGACGCAGTAGCAGCCCATGAAAAAGGGTACAATGGTAGTGACGCGGATCCCACGCGAATAATCGAGGAAAATGAGCACGTATCCGATCCAAAACGCGGCCGCGAGCCACAGCAACCCGATCGCGACGCGTGTAAGCGATGTATAGCGTTTGAACGGAGATCGATGTCGAGAACGGGCGGGCAAGGCGGTCTGTTTGGCGCCGTGACGCATGGTTTGGTCGCGGTCGAGGTCTACGGCGGCGTCGTGCAGGTTGTGCAGCGCTACCGCGGCGAGAAACTTGGGGAAACAGTCGAGCTCGAGGAAATCGAACGCGAGGGTCTTGATCGGGTCGAAGACGGCCGGATCGTGTCGCAATTGCACCTGTACCTTGCGCTGTGCGTCGGCGCGCATCTCGTCGGGCACGTTGATGAGGTACCGCACGCTTTGGTTCGCGGGCAACAAGTAGGTGGCGACGATCCGCTGGGCGTTGGAGAGCAGCTGCTTGGAAGTGATGCGGGGACGGCCACTCGCTATAGCGTGATCGCGTAGAAACTGGTCGACGATCTCGTTCAAAGGCTGCGCAGCGCCGCGGCCGCTCTGACGACGCCAGTTGTCGAGCAGCCCGCTGACGCGAGCAGACCCGGTGTCGCCCTGCAGCAGTCGCGACACACACTGGCTGTCCTCAAAGTCCAAGAACCCGTCGTCGAGCAACGCCTCGAGCAACAGCGAGCTGGACATGGACCCGTAACTGTCGCGCCCCTGGGGGTCGAGCTGCGAGCTTTCGCGCACGCTGTCGCGCACCCCGTGCACGTAGTCGCGGCACAGCTGCTGGTGCGCGAGCACGTCGATGTGGAAGTCCAGGAAACTGATCGCGTACGGGTACTGTGCAAGAAAGACGTAGAATGACCACAGGTCGGCCGGAGCAGCGCTTTGTCGGCGCAGAACCTCGTTCAACGTGGGCAGCCGCGTGTTCGCGGCGCCAGCGGCGCCAGCGGCGCCACCTGCGGTGCCACCTGCGGTGCCGACCTTGTCCACCATACCCATTGCTGGCTCTTCAGGTCTGCGCGGGCTGGATGAGATACGAATGTGATGTTTCACCACGGGGGCGTAATATCAGGGCGAGGAGTCACCCGCGACGGCCGCGCCCCACGTGACCGCGTAACCCACGTGACCCCGCGCCTCTTGGCGCCTCCTCGTCTTTTCCCATATCTTCGATACAAACCTACATACTGCAATTTTCCCACACCGCTTCCGTTAGCGCCGGGCACGCGCGTGGCTCGACGTGTGTCGCGAGCCACGCGACACTGCTGTCGAACTCCTGGAAACACGCCGCGCACCGGCCCGGTGACCGGTTGTACTGCGCCCGACTCGTTCCGACCGGGTATACAAAATGAATACTCTTGAGATGCATCTTGAGCGAGTCCCGCCGTGAAAACTCTCCCGTAGCATGGCACTTGCACGCCCGGCTCCGAAACGGACATCGGAACTCTTTGTTCAGGGCGTGTTTCTTGGCGTGCCGCGTAAGATAGCTTTTCACGCGGAAACTCGACGGACAAAAGGCGCATTGAAACTCATGCGGGCCGCTTCCGCGGCCCGCCACGGCAACGGTTCCGCGGGGTTCGCAGGACTCCGCGGAACAGCGCGCGCCTTCCTCGACCACAGCCGCCGAGGGGCTTTCGCCCGGAGTCACCGCCGGAGTCACCGCCGGAGTCACCGTCAAAGACGCTTCGTCCGAGACCCCCGCCGACACCGCGGTGGTGTCTAGGCGCATGCCGCAGGTCTCCTCGTCCAGCGAGATCTGCTGGCGCGTACAGAGATCGTCGCCAAACTCCGGCCCGCACACGGGCATGCCCCAAAGCAACGCCCACACCTCCGCGCCAACCGCGGAGGTGAGTGACGCACGCGTCAGCAGCTCCTGTGGCTGCTGTGGCTGCCACGCGCAGCGTTCTTGTTCCCGCCGTTGTTTCGCTAGCTGGGCACTCAACAGATCCAGCGGGACCAGATTGTCGGCCGGAACGGCCTCTTTGTCGAACTGAATGTAGCCCATGCGACCGCTGGCAAATGCTATGCTCTGCTAATGCACGGATGCACTAATCGACGCCGCTGGGTCGTGTACGCTGTGTACACTGGGTACGTTGTATACGTTTAGTCAAAATACCAAAAGGTGACGGAACTCACTTGGGTAGTTCCTGATAGTACAAGGATCAGAAACGAAGACCGACGCCGTGCTGGAAAACGGGCGGCCAGGCGTAAACGTGCTTTCCATATATAACGGAATGTGTCAGGCCACCGAGGTGACGGACGAGGTGACGGATGAATGATAAGCTCGGGAGTTTGAGGGGCTCGGGGCTGGTATGGCAGCTTCTGAGAACGGAGCGTGCCGAGGCGGCGCGAGCGGGTTCTGGCTTATCACGCGGGTGTGTGGGTGGCGGGGTGCACGGGCGGAGTGACGTGATGGGGTGTGTGGGTGTGGGTTATGTAATGGTCACAGTGTACGGACGTGTTTGCTTACGTAATGCTCGTTGTGTACGGCGTCTCCCGTCTCCCGTTCCCAGCCTTGAAACTCCGTCCACATCTCCACATCTGCGAACCTGGGATGGCCACTTATGTCTGACGACCTGCGCAAAGGACTGCTCTCGAGCCGGTTCAGAAGCGCAGAGCCCCTCTTAGGTATCAGCGAAGACGGCGCGGCTCCGGCGGAAGCGGCTCCAGCCCAAGCGGCCCCGACGCCGCCTTGCTACTGGAACCAGTTTTTCCACTCCAACCAGCAAATCCCTGCGCGTGCCCGGGGTCTCCGGTTCAACGTCTACCAGTCTTTGCCCCGAGCTGCAGATTCCAGTGAGTCCGTGCCCGTTTTCGTGTTCCATCACGGCGCAGGCTCGTCTGCGCTCACGTTCGCGCCTCTTGCTCGCGAACTGACCTCCCGTACCAACTGCGGCACTTTTGCGTTCGACGCGCGTGGCCATGGACTCACTACGCCTCTGCGCGATCAGGACTCCGTCTCGTTTTACAATGCGGATTTCGCGCAAGATTTCCAGTTCCTCATCGAACAGCTCCGTCTCAATTGCCAGGATTCTCTCCCCGGCGTGAATCTGCGCTTCGTTTTGGTAGGACACAGTCTCGGTGGCAGCATATGCGCTTCCGTTTTCTCAGAGCTCACTCCGGAAACACGGGCGCTCGTCACGGGCGTTGCAGCTCTCGACGTTGTAGAGGAAGCCGCTGTCGCAGCATTGGCGTCTGTCGACACGTTTCTGGCCAAAACCCCGTCCGTATTCCCCAACATGACAGACGCTATCGACTGGCACATTAAAAAGGGTTATTCCAATTGCCGCGCCAGTGCCGAGATTGCCATTCCGGCTCTCTTCCGTCCATTGCCTTCTGGGAAAGTGGTGCGCATTACAAACTTGCAAGTTTTCCGACCCTATTGGCATACCTGGTTCACAGGGTTTTCCAGCAGGTTTGTCGACCTTCCAACGGCAAAGCTCCTGATGTTGGCAGGAAGCGATCATCTCGACAAACAACTCATCGTCGGCCAAATGCGCGGCAAATTTCAACTCGTCGTATTTCAAGAGTCGGGCCATTTTATTCAGGAAGATACATCGATCAAGACTGCTATAACGCTGTTGGATTTCTATAAGAGAAACGGATCCAAAACCGTCGTTATAAAGACCAACTGGAAATCTAGAAATGTCAAAACACACAATAGCTCTTGATTACCTTTACAAATCGCATATATTACACACATCAGTCAACTGTCATCACGTCCAAGTCGCACTTGCCCTCACTCTCGCACTGTTTAACGACTTGGTCGATCTTATGCGCAGCCCACGGGAATCTGGGGTTTATCAAGAAGGGTCTCAAATCAAATCTGTTGTCATCGGGCGAGTATTGTTCTGCATGATAGCTGGGAGTAATGACCGTTTGCTTGTGCCTATTGATCGCGTAGAAAAAGAAGAACCTTTTCACCTTTTCGGCAATCTGTGCAGGCGTCAGCTTAGGAGACCATTGATGTAACAATTTCAAAAACATCGAATACGGACCACATTTCTCCACTTTTCTCAAGTAGCCAAAGATACTCAACTCTTCGTATGTCATACCCATGTCTATTTCATCCGATTGAACGTAGTCGTTAGTGATGGGCTCGAGCTCAGCGGTAGGAGTGGCAGTCAAAAATTCCTTCAAGATTGGGAGATCAAACTCTCTGGATGCATAATCGATAAATCTCTTTAAATCTGTTTTGGAAATTCCTCCAATGGGATTAATATCCGCAGATGAGCAATCGTATTTGGTCAAATAGCCTCTCAAGCATTCGTCCACGTTGGCACTTCCCAACACAAGCAACCCGCCAGAGTTCTTGATACCACGAACCCATGGCAAGAGCTGCGCAAACAAATAGGCAAGCACCATTCTCAAGCGTGCTTGAATGTTCTGCAAGGCCAAATTCTCAATTTGCGAACCGCCAAAAATCTTGTAAATGGGTTTTTTGCCCGTTGCAACTTCGAATAGACTCGTTACGCTTGACACAACAGAATCCATATTGAGATCGACATGATAAGACCCAATCACTTTGGAAAGTTCACGACTTCTCTGTCTAGTGTCCTTGGAAGAGTTTTCCGTACCCATGAAACAAGTGTGGAATATCTTGCCGGCAATCTCTTGGGCATCCTTGGGCTCCCAGTTTTCATCCATACGACAAATTTTCCGAACGTCATTCAAGACCTGGACATTTCCCTCCTTGGACTCTTTCACGACCATCCGACACATTGAATGAACAATGACGGCTGTTGCACACGAATCAATACCACCTGACAGGGGCAAAAAATATCCAGTACCATTGCAGCGTCTAATATAATCCCAGAGCCAACAGGCGGGACCCAACGCTATTTCTTCTTCTGGCTTGTGATAGAATGCGTCACGATCAGATGAGGGGGCAACGTAGGGATCGAACCGATCGCTCTGAGAAGCCAGTTCGCGCGCCACTTTTACACGCTTGTACTTGACAGGTGAAAGAGAAGCTTGAGAACCTCTTGACATGACAGAGGCCCTGTAACTTCTCACTTCTTCAAGGTCGACTGTCGCAGTAACAACTTCCACATCTTTCAAAGAGAACTGTGATCCTTGTGCGACGACTCTTCCGTTAATGGAAATGAGCGCGCATCCGTCGTAATACAACCGATCTCCATCGCAGCCGCGTTGATTAGCGTACAGATATACGCCACCGCATCTACGAGTCGCGCTCAAAATCAAATCTAGGCGTTTGTTCAATTTTCGCAATTCATGGTGAGACCCAGACGAATTAGTGAATATTTCGACACCATCTAATGACATTGCAATATGGGGAGATTGAGGCGTAAAGAGCTCTTCACATGTCTCTGCACCGATACAAGTGTCCAAAGTGCTGATTACGGCGTCTCCAAAGGGAACAATTGTTTGTCCCGTCACTTTCTGAATAATTGGAGGAAGCGTGAAATCTTCCACCACTGCAGGTTTCATCCAGGGAGTGAAAAACCGCATCTCACGATAATTACCATCGTTGGCAAGCCAAATTTTGGGACGTACGAACAGAATCTCGCCATCAAGCGAGAGTAACCGACAATTGTATCTGACATTTCTATGCAAAACTGGCATTCCGATGTCTAGCAAAATTCCATGCGTCTCTGGGTTTTTAATAATTTGTCCGTACATTTCCCATGAGTGCAGATAAAGATCGTTTTCTAAAAAATGATCTAAACATCCGTAACCTGTAATTTCAAGCTCAGGGCCCACACGAAGCTTAGCTCCCTTCTCTTTGGAAATTCTGATAGATTCCAGAATTCGGTCGCGATTTCCCTCAAAGTCCAAAGCCCATTGATTTAAATTGCAGGTAGCAAGCGTGATAAGGTGAGACATCGTCTTCAAAAGGAGAACAGGTCTCTTTTGGGTCGTAATCGAAGTTCACTAAACGGTTGTCAAGGATGAAGTCGCTGAACTTGATCATCTTGATAGATAGTCGTCTTAAACGATCTTTAAAAGGCTACAACACTATAACGCTCTCAATTCATAAACATTATTTAACCTCGGATTGGTAGGTAGCTCTTAATCTCTCTTGGAGATGCTCCAGAGCGGTTATAGCAGGTGGATCTCCACCTAGACTTGCCTTTTTCACGATTTCGCTGGGTACCGGTGTCAGCAGAGTGTCATCTTCTGGCTGGACGAAAAAGACAATTGAGTACCGATCAGAGTTTCTTGTCTCGCCTGGGGCAAATCTGACACGGTGTACCGTGCTCTTGAGGACGCCATTGGTCCAGTAGGATAGTAAATCTCCGAAGTTCACGATAAGTGGAGGAGCTTTTTGGGGGTTTGTAGAATCGACAAATGGGACCGTAACCCAGCCGTCGTTTTGAGATTTGTCTCCGATTTGAAGCTCCAAACCTTGTTGACCCTTTTGCTGGAATAGAAGCGTTATGGAACCGTAGTCTGTATGTGCGCCGGCTCTTATAGTTGGGTCGATGGACGACATGCTGGCAATATTCAAGGTATCCTCTCTCATCAAAGGGTATCTGAGCATTCTGAACACGCTTCCACTTGGCTTGTTACCGCGGTGTCTGCTGCTGAAAAAGTTTGGGTCTTCGACCAAAAGTGCTTCGGCAATGAGTGCCAAGATCCGGATCGCAGTAGCATGCAATTTCTGACTAATTTTGGAAATAAAAGCTTCGTCGTCTTTGAATACCGGGGGAATTGGATGTTCGTTGGCGTCCGATTTTTCGCTTTGGCCATAAAACTTGGCTTTGCTTTGGTTTAATTCACCAGTCTCAAAATTTATAAATCCAAAATTATAGGCCTCTTTGAAATCCAAAGCTTTTCTTGGATCCAATTGTTCGTCTTCGAATCCCGTATAACCGACATTGTTTTTAATTGGGTACTTCATTTTCTCTTCGATAGACGTTTCCGTGAAGAATCGCTTGGACAGCTCGAACGCTGCTTGCACTTCTTCATTCGAAAAATCATGGCCCTCAACGAATAAAAATCCTTGGGAATTCGCGGCTTCTAACAATGTCTTGACAGTATCGTCACTGGAAGAAGATATATCAACGACCTTGAGTGGATTGGACATTTGCTGGCGACTCGTTTTCGGATCAGAGTGAAGATGTCTAAATGATGTGGCTTCAAGTTAAATGTGGGTGAGATTTATATTTGCACAGATAACGAACTCTTTTCCTACGAATCGGTTGTATGTGCATCACAATGGGGAGTAGACGCCGATAAGGACCTTGGAAATCGCCGAGAAAATGCTAACCGGAATATGGCTTTATTTCATTGGACGATAAGGTCGATCTTAGCTGTGTCAGCTTTGGTAAGATGTGTGATATCAATCGCGTTGACAGAATACAACGGAAAACACCGAGCCGGGATTCCATGTAAACCTGGGCGATCCCAACGATAACCATGGTATCGCAACATTACTCTTATCAGGCCCTCAAGGGTATGGTGGGCACCTGGGGTGAAAATTTTTCATCGTAGACCCTTACCAGAATTAACAGATGATAAGTAAAAAACTATTAGATGTTTTTTCAAGGGAAACGGTGAAAAGAGGAAAAATAAGATCTGTGCTAGAAGTGTCAGATTCGTACCCATGTTCAAAATATGAATGAAATGGGTAACCAATTCGGAAGATCATCTACCAAACCTTAAAAAGCTCGATCTATGAAAGTCAAAATACCAGATTTTCTAAGAATTATAAGTCAAAAATATGGGGAGCTTTGACCCACGAATTCTGTATGAGCCTCGTTGAGATCAAGCTCTTCAGAATGTTGATTATGCCCTTGTGCTGTTTGGCTCCAGATGGCCCTGAGTTCAGCAGGGTCAGTGAATGATGACAGTTTGAGGTGAAGTGATCTGTGCGTTTAAAAGAAATATGAAATATTTTAGGCAGAACGTCATAATTTGAGAAGCAAAGACTGCTACTTCTAGGTTTTCCCTAATTTGGCTTGACTCCTAACCTTTACAGAATCCGATTTGACGGTATTAGGAAGGTATTTATTTTGGGCGATACTGTCAGTTTTGTTCTTCGTAGTCGATGTCACGCGATTAAGTTGACAGAATGATACGTAAACGCTGGGATCAACCAAGGAAGTCATGGGCGTATACACGGACCCAGCAATGGCCATGGAATAATGACTCTACTGTATTGAGGTCACTGGTCTTATGATGAATAGCCTCGTGAAATTGGTCACCATGTTATATCTTGTAGTGATCAATGAAAATTATATTAATTGAAGAGACAATATGACCAATCTCAGAATGATCAGACTGTGTGATGGGGTATACGTGCTCATTATTCGATGTATTTCAAAGTTAAAAATCCACTATTCGCTAAACGAACTTTTAAGGAGGTTGCCCACCGCCGCTACTCGTCAACCTTAACGCATTTCTTCATTCGCCTTGGGCACTAGTTTGTAAGAATTAGCGAGAGATGTGTATAAAAGTAGCTCAAAATTCAGTGTGATTAATTATTTTGTAGAGTAGCTTGACGCTGGGAACTTGTATCTGATAAGTTTTTTGGTTGTTTAAGACATCACATTGCTTCACTCGTCCTACCAGAACTCTTCGGTTCATTTAACATCGCTCTAGCAACGCGGATCCCACATTTCGTGCACAAGTCACTGAGAATGTGAAACGGACTATTCCATTGCTCATCCACCGTACACACCACTGAAAACTTCTTTAATTTCAGAAATAGAATGCTTTTCTGCTAAACATAACCTTAACAAAATTCTGCTTTTCTCAGGATTTAGGTAGCCAGATGCAATGACATTATACTCTTTCTCAGGGAGTGGTTTTGGAAGATTGGCTCTAGGAACCATACCGTCCATGGAGCGTTTCGAGTATACAACGGGAATACCAACGTGCAAACATTTGTCGTTTACAATGTCTGGCAGGGACCCGGCACCCATTGTAGCGATCACTATCCCATCACATTGTTTGGCGACCAAGTCAATTAAACTAGGGGAAAATGATTGATGCGCGTACAAGATGTGGACTGTGGGGAAAGTGAACGACGTGACATCAGGCGACATTTTCAATTTAAACTTGTGACACACTACAGGCTTAACCGGGGGATAATAATAGTGGATCTCATTGTTAACAAAATTACCCAAATAGCCCTGTCTGACGTTGAAAGAATCCAAAGTGTTAGCATTTGTCTTGGTGGAGTAGTAACCTGCTGAGATTTGGTCATTCAAAGAAACTAAAACGCCTCTCCCGCGAGATTGCTTATCCGCCGCGATGCAGATGGCCTGGTACAGATTCATGGGTCCATCTGCAGATATACTAGTCGAAGGACGCATCGAACCAACGAAAACTATGGGAACATCGCCAGAATCTATACAACTGTCGACGAAGAATGTCGTTTCCGCCAGAGTGTCTGTTCCATGTGTGATCACAATACCATCAAAAGTTTGCAACGCATCGGCGATGCCCTTATAAATACTGTAAAGTGCACTTTCGTCAATTTCTTTGGAATCCACATTGCATAATTGTTCGTATTCGATCTCGCAAATCCTAGAGATGTCGGGAATTGCGTCTAGCAACTCCTGAATGGTAAGATCTACATGATAGCCTGCAGTATGAGAAGAACAAGCTCCTTTTGAAGCAATAGTTCCGCCAGTTCCAAGAATTTTAATTTTGGGTAACTTTCCTCTCGATTTTTTCGAATTCTCTCCAGCGCATTTTAAGTCGTCATTATGCGCTTCCAGGATAAATTGATGAGTGTTAACATCAGAACTGATTGTCTTGATTTCAAAATCATCGTTCGGCATTTCTAACTGGTCCGTGGTCGGGGTTTCCTGTCTTTTATATAAACCTAAAATGACGATGAGATGCTCATCACCAAAAATCTTGAAATTTTCATGTATCCAAAATTTTCGAAAATCAAAATTGATCAATCATTTTCTAGAGTTCATTCATTTCAGTCGTCATTCTGTCTATCTCTTGTATTTAATTCTTAAGATTTCTTTACCAAAGAGGTCTTACTTGACTCCAATCTTCTTTCTTCCGCTTAGCCCAGTAATTGTTATCGCCTTCTATTATCTTCCAACCGTCACCAGATTGCCGGAAATATAAGGGCTCGACATCTTGGCTATTTAGACGTCTGGTACGTTGCGCTTGCTCTAGTTCGAGTTTTAGTTGCTCAGCTTTATCTACCTCACCGTTTTCGTAAAGACGCAAGTCGGGACGTAATCTTGAATCCGTTGGAGGCAGTCGGTCTTTTTCGATGCCCGTAATGTCATTCAGATTGGCGGTGAAAACAGTAAATCCGTATTTTTTTGCCGGGTCAGGGACCAATTCGCCTACTTCCCATATTTTTTGGCCCGTCGCAGTGTCATTGAGACTTTTTGTCCAATGTCCTTTGAGAGTGTTTAAAACTTTTGATCCATTTAACAAAGTGATGCAAACTTCTTCGGAGCGTCCACCGAACATACCACCAGCGATAAATGCAACCTTCGCCTTAAGGCCCAAAGAAGAGACAACCTCAATATGATTTGTGGGCTCAATATATCTTTCGCCGGCAAGAATGTTTTTCAGGATGGTAGTCGGTTGCGACCACACGAAACCTTCCCCACTTGACTTGACTGAATATTTCAATTTACCTTCATTGATAAATTCGATTGATTTACCCCAGAATTTCTGTACGGGAGAAACCGTATAGCTGAGTTGCCACAGGGCGTGTTCGACGTGAAACGCAAATATCTGAGGTTTATGAGAAACCTTTTCGGCAACCAGACGAATGCCTTTATCCTCACGCACAAGTTCGAACGTTTCTCCCAGTAGTGGATTAAAAGGTTTACGCATTGCACGAACTTTGTGCCGATGTACCGACAAGTAAGAACAGGAGAAAGCGGCGACTAAGGCGAGACGCTCGGAATCAGTCGAAGCAGACGCAGCAGCGGTCAATAATTCAGAGTACTCGAAAGTCTCTGTCAGCATTTGCAGAATTGAAACAGGCTCATTTGACGTGATCGGCATTGATATTGACGACAAATCTTTGCCAACATTTTTCCTCAAGAAAGAAAACAAACTTGGCGGTGGAACCGAGGCAGGGGGAATGTCATTCCGACGCTTTTCTTTATGATTCCAAGGCAAAGGATACAGGTCGCCTCCTGTTTCCAAACCAGGAGTAGTTTGAACGGCTTCGATTTCAAATTTCGATGATTCGTCGTCGAAAGCTTCCTCGTTTTTATTCGGATGCGAGCTTTCGGATAATAGGAGGGCATGAACACCTTCTTCGTCGTTCAACATAATGACGCCCTCCTGAGCATCCTTTTCAATGTTATCATCCTCGGCATCGTAGTATTCATTCTCACTCAAAATGGATGGTGCTTTGGAACCACGATCTTTAACAACAGTTTTGCCTTTCGAAATCCAAATATGGAACAAATCTTCGAGTTCCTTCAAATTTTTGTACAATTCATGCTCTTGTGGTGGAGAAGATAGTTCCAAATTGGCTAATTGGGGGGAATCGGGTGCCGTCTTGGTTAAAATCTCTTGGGACCCGTTCTTGTTTTTCGCGAAAATGTTAGATAGAGACGAGAACGACGAAGTCCGTGACAATGGGCTGTGAGAGCCTGAGTTATTCAGAGCAGAACGACTTCGAAGCTCGGTAGTGGGAGGGAAATATGCGAGAGACATCGTTTTGCAATCTTCGAGTTTCTTGCAGATGGCATCCAATCCTTTCGAAACAGGAAGGGTTTCCGGTACAACTTTGGAATCTTTCGGCTGCCTGGTATAATAATTGTGCTCTTTAGAATAGCATTCTTCTAAAGCAGCAATCCATTCTTGCCATGCCGCTTCATCCTTGGCCTTCAAGACCCAAATTTCCACACCCGAATCAATTATAATCAATCGGGTCATACGATTGGCACTCACCGTCGCAAGCGGTATCACGACTTCACCCCTGCAAACGTTGTTATGCTCATTCAAATAGTAAGACAGCGTCTTATACTTGAAATCCAGCTTGAAAAACCGCTTGGTGAAGCCCTGTAGACGTTTGCGTCGTTTTTTAAGCACATACCCTTGCAAAATTCGACCTTGTTTCACACGTGTAAGCTGTGAACTCGAACGGTGCAATTGATGGGGCACTTCCTGCCCTTTAACAGCGACACTCAACAAGATCTTTTTTTTAACAGTTTTGGACGCCGTGTTGTCGATGATAAACGCATAGTAACCGTCTTCCCTGGCCTGTAACGACCCCTCTACGAGCTCGTTCCCTGGAACAACACCCAATCGTTTCACTAGAGTAAAACCTTGATCGGCCAGTTTCGTGTCCAATGGGATATCCTGAGAAATGTGCTGTACCGCAGCAATTGACTTGGAACGACGTCTATTGTTCTGATCTGTGTCCACCGACGATGAACTCCGATTTAAGGCATAATCGATCAAAGTCCGTGTATCAGGCGCAATGTGAATACTCCCACCAGTCTTACTTGTACCTTCCATTGCTCCATTCTCATTGGTTTGTCGCTCTGATCCCCGAGTGCTCTTGTTTATAGTGTCGTCGTTGATCGTGGTTTGACGTTTGTAGATACCAATACCCACTGACCGCTTGAGAGGCTTCAATTGGTAGAACACCGTATCGTTCTGTTTCACACGTAGCCAACGCACAACAAACGACTTGCTGTGAACGTCAAGGGCCTCCATATCGTGATTTGCTTTCGGCCGTTCTGTTAATAGCTAAAGTGTTATTACTGACCATAAAGGAAACTTCAATTTTAAATACTAACAAACACATCACGTGTATAAGTAAACATCACTAAGGTTCGCATAAGAGTCGCTACCGGGTCACTGTTGAGATCCGATTGTGTATTAGGTACAACGGGTGCACTTCAGGCTAAGAGTCAGTTTTTAAGGTAAGGGCCTTTGTTTTGTTTTCACCTTTGTTTTCCATCGTCTGAGTGCGTCGTGTGTCCATGGAAAATCCGTACGAACAGGTGCATCAGAATATTCTGGGCCGGATAGTCAACAATGTGGAACGTTTGAACGAGAGTATTGTGACGTTGAACCAGGAATTACAATATATTAATGCTCGAAACACGAATTTACAACTGATGGGCCAAATGTGCGAAAACTACCACAAGAGCGTACAGTTCAATCTGGACGCTACAAATCACAAGCGAGAACCCCTGTGAATTGTTTTCACTTCGATTCTAGTCCTGCCTGTCTTATCTAGTATCCATCATTCCACTTTGTGCTGATCTCATTTAATATCTATTATTCCGCTACTTATCTGTATACGACCTTATACGTTCCTTCTAATGTACATGCAGAGTCGATCATTTCTGGCCAGGCAAAAGCCCAAATCTTTTCTTGAGCGTAACTCTTTGTCTGGAGTATTTGTCGTCGGGAGAAAATCTGGCAGGATGCGCAGATTTCGTAATTTCGCCGTCTTCAGCGGTCTTCTTCAACGTGTAAATACGTTTCCCATCTGGGCCTAAAGTGTACATCAAATGCATGCTTGGTGATACGGTTGGCTGAACTGTCGAGTTGGTGCTGAGTGCGTTCCAATAAGCCGAAGCGATGACCCACTTTTCGTCAAAATTTTTGAGTCTGAAAAAAGACTTCGTATATAGGTACTTATGTGACAAAATGAGTACATATTGAGTATCACGTGATTTTGAGATTTTAAATAATTAGAACGGCTTACCGATTTAACTTGAAAACCCCTGCCTTTAGTGGTTGGTTTAGATCGCATTTGAGGATGTCTGACCCCTTTGCGAACCTCATCAATACCTTTAAAGGCGGGGCAACCAATGCCCCCCAAAAACAGGGCTCTCCAGCTGTCGAAAATGGTGAATCTGGTCAAAAACAATCTCCGAAGCCGGGCAAACTATTACATGATGATTTTGATGAGTTATTCGGGCTGAGAACGAATACAAAGGATTCCAATGGCAGCGCACCGGTAACCAGTGATCCCTTTGATGTCGCATTTGATGCTTTTGACGAAAGCCTTGCTGCTGGGGGGGTCGAAACGCGCCAAGAAGCGATAGAAACGGAACCAGTCGTTGACGAAGTTCGCGACATGGAGATTGCTCGTCTTATGTCACTTGGACTCTCCTTCGAGGAAGCTTCAAAGCTCAATGAGGAAGGCGTTTCGTATGAGGAAATGGTGAGGCGACAGAAAGCCTCGACACAACGCCATGTTGAAAGCCCCCAGCGACGAATTGAAAAGGCCCAGCCGGATTTCTTCAATACGGCTACCGCTTGGATGAACAAAGGTCGTGCTTTTTTGGATGCGAAATTCAAACAGATGCAGAGCGATAACTCTAGTGAGACTTTTGGCGATTATTTAAAATCCCGAAGTCCCGACCCGGAACTGCGCGATTCGCCTTTTTCGGACTATGGGGATAGGGATTTAACGGCAAGAAATTTTGTTGAAGATGATCACAGATCCTCAGTCCAGTGTGTCTCTTTGTCGAGTCATTCGACCCCAGTCCCAAGCCCCGAACCAGCCGCCACCGACGTATTTGCTACAACAAAAAGTCAAAAGAAGGAATCCGAAGAACAGACCCAGCCGGAATCGCTTCTTGTTGATTTTGAAACTGCCTCCCCATCCGAGATTCAAAACAAATCTGCTTCCACGGGCTTAAGCCAAATTGAAGCGCATAGCTTTGAAGAGTTTAGAACGAAGGGAACACAAGCCTTCACGGACGGTGACTACGCGAATGCTCTTTCATTCTACACGAAGTCTTTGAACACACTTCCGCCGCGGCATGCGTTGAGGGTCATCTCATTGTCGAACATTATGGCGACGCAGCTAAAAATAGGAGAGTACAGAAAGGTTATAGAGAACTCTGAAGATGCATTGGACGTCATAGGCGAAAGAAGTCTCGATGAACAAGTGTCTGTTCTCGTGCCGAATAAAGATTTCAAGAGTTTTTGGGCTAAAATCATGTTAAGGCGGGCTGAAGCGCTCGAACACATTGAAGATTACGGAAAGGCTCTTGAAGCGTATCAGCTTCTAATTTCAAAAGGTTTATGTACCCCTAAGATCATGGATGGCAGAAGACGCTGCCAGAAAATCCTCAATCCCGAAAAATTCAAAGCTTCGGCCTCACCCGCGCCTGAGAGGCAAACTTCAAAGCGAACTGGAAAACGAGTATCTCCATCTTCTGTGTCATATGATTCAAAATTGGCCACTGTCAAAGCTCTTCAACAAAAAGAACGTGATATTGCAGATCAAAGAGCCGATTTACAGGCCAAGATAGAGTCACGTATTTCACAATGGACGAAGGGAAACGTCGAAGACTTAAGAATCTTATTGACGAATCTCTCAGAAGTACTTGACTGGTGCGACTGGAAGCCTGTAGATCCAGCGAGTATTGTCATGCCAAAGAAGGTCAAAATTGTTTATCTAAAGGCAGCCGCCAAAACTCATCCAGATAAAATTCAAGACTCTTGGCCTCTTGAGAGGAAAATGATGGCCGAAAACATATTCGTGGTTCTAAACAAAGCGTGGGAGCAATTCAAAGAAGAGAACGGCATTAATTGAATATCGTGCATCCAGTGAGACTCTGGCTACCTGAAGGGGATAAAGCGCAAATTGCATAGTATTATTTCACGAAATAGAGTCTATTTCTGAGGAATCTTTATCATATTTTCGAGCGTAAAGTCCTAACGCTTTTATAGGGAACAGGAATCGATAACTTGGGTATTCAATGGCACAAGAATGATTGAATACGCCCTCTACCTCTTCAAACCGCCATTCGCCGGATGAGAGCTGTCTTTCTTTTAAGAGGTTGATACCCCGTTCGATCACGGTTTTATTGGGGTAGTCGGCCAACAGGAGGCCAATTAATGCCCATGCGGTTTGAACAACTAAAGATTTCTCTGCTTCGACATACACATGCAGTTCGCTTGACTTCATGGACTCGCTCCACCCTCCATCATCTCGCTGCTTCGACACCAAAAAGTCGCAGCCCTTTTTGACGGTGTCAGAGTTTTCGTATGTCTCCCCCACTGTACGAAGAGCCTCCAAAGCAAACATCCCTGCATAAGTGAAGCATATCCCCCACGAACCATACCAACTACCATCGTTCCTTTGAGCGTTTTTGATATAGTTTATTGCGAGATCAATCGCTCGCTCGATGTCATCTTTACGATATTCGTAATGGGCATGAAAGTACGTTAATCCCAGAACAGAAGAATCCGTACATTCAACATATGGGAACTCTACCATGATATTACCAAAGACCTCGGCAGGATTGAGCTTTTCAAGTAATGGTGTAGCTTTAATCTTTTCGTAAGCGGCAAAGGACCCATATTCAAAGGAGCCCACGTTTTGAAGACCTAACAAAACGTCGATAGCTTTGTACAGGCGATCATCGGATATTTGGTCTTTGACATCTGCAAAAACGGGAGACGTCCTGACCATGATAATGGATTTCACAGCTTCTGCCGTACAGTCGGAAACGGTATAACCTTGCGTTTTCGTTGAGAATGGCCAGCCGCCAATTCTCCTATCTCTAAAGCTACCAGGTTCACATTCGGTGTCAAATTGAGACCGGCAAAGAAATTTGTAGGCGCGTATTATAGTATCACGGAACTCTGGTAACTCCGCCAATCCTGCAATAAAATAGTATTGCACAGCAAAAGCACAATCCCAAACCTGTACCCCGTTTGTTCCCATAACGGTGATACCTTGGGGTCCCATGAAGAGTACCTCACTGAAATTACCCAGCATTTGTTTGAAGAGAGAGGAGTCTTTGCCCTCTTCGATCATAACAACTAGGGAGCAAAACGCGAAATTGACAGGTGCAATGCAGAGAGTCCCAGTGTTTTGAATCTCCTTCTGAATAATTTCATACACTTTCTTGTTGCTGTATTTCAGAAGCCAATTGGGTCTAACGAAACGCTCGTAAAAGACCATCATGCTGTTTACGGTGTTCAATAGACGGGTGTGAGGATAGTAAAGATCGACGCCACAAATGGTATTCCTGTGCTTCTTGAAATCAATGGATTCAAAACTTCTGACATAAATTTCGTTACGGATCTCAGCCAACAATGGTGTAAGCTCGCAGCTATATTTTGCTGCAGAAAGGTAACCCACTGCAGCGTAAATAGCTCTCGTATGAACCCACCATCTTCCAGGATGAAGCGGTAGTGCATATGGCAAGAGCCACAGCTCAGGAGGTGCTGGATTAACACCTTCCCATTCGTAAAGATTTAGTATTGCAAGCCAAATTTTGCCCCAGTGAGGAGCACCAATGGCACCTCCTAACCTATGAAGCGTTTTTCTCGCCCGTTCACATACGACATGGTCTTTTGGGAGGCCCAGTAGCCTCAAAATCACATAGTTTATCACAGTTCCAAACGCCGTTGATTTGTCCACTTCGTGAAGTCCCCATCCACCGTCGACAGGATGTGACGTATTAACAAGATACCGAATCATTTCTAATCTCACAGGTTCTGGCACTGGAACACCGGCACAGTAAAAGGTTGCTACGTATCCAATGTTCATGAACATTGGGCCCTTATACTGGCATGGGAACACACCGCAGTCTTCCTGAAGTAAACTGAAAAATGCAGCACCGTTGTGAGCAGCGTCAAACGCACTGAACTCGGGATCGTTTCGACATTTCTTGGGATTTGGGGCGGGGAAATCTGGTAACTCCAACAAATATTTGACATAGCTTGATTGACCGTTTTCAGAAGCTGTTTCTTCTAAGCTGGAGTAGGACCATCTCTCTGCACCGAGTTCGTCAATGTGCAACCTCCAACGCCTTCTATCGGTTTGCGGGATACCCACTTCGTCGGCGTACATGTCGTATACTTCAGCCGGGCGATTTCGTGAGTTTACAAGCACTTATCAAATGATTAAACGTCGTTTCTTAAACGAAGATTTTATATAGGTAAATGAAAAAAGGACTTGCCAATCTTGAGATCAGTATATATTGATTCACAATTAATTGAGGTCATTTTTAGTAAAACGAAGACGAATTGACTTGATTCTTCGAGCTTTGTTCTACTATATAACGTTCTTCGTGTGTGTTGTAGCCTGGTAGCTAGATCCATACGACATTCCTTAAGAAAACTAGAGAATCTAAAACAAGAAGCTGCGAAATAGAGGGTCAGTGAATTATTCCGAACTCTTGAGAGCTGGCGTAGTTTCCCTTTTTTTACTCCACATAAGCATCTCTCTTTTCCGGTTGAACATTCTGACATTCTAGAAGTCTGGCAGCCAAAATATAACGAAAGATCGTCTCGTCTTCGGAAAATAGGCTATGAATTTTCCTAAAATTATATGAAATTATATAGAAACCTAAAATTTTGCCATTGACCTGGCAGTGACGATACAGGCTCCTATGTTGATTATTACTTCAATGCAGTTTTTAGTCTTCTCTAGTGATTTATGATCTGATGAAAATTGGCCTTATAGCATAGCGACATTACCAGACTTAATTACCGAGAAATATTCCGATTATCACCAAATTGAGGCTCTGTCCTGTGGTTTACAGTGTTTACAGTACAATTTCTCGATGACGAAGTTTGTTGAGCGTGGTAACTTTGTCTTCATTTATCCATTTGTGTTCGTTGCTGGTGTATTAGTACGTCTTTTGGTTAGAGCAGCTACTCTGGAAAATGAAAGAAAAACCCATTATTTGTTAACTTCTAACAATTTCATCAACCAAATATTTGCATATCATGGCAACGAGATTTGGACAGTGCTTTTCCTTTTAATGACTATATTACAAATCCGGTTTCGGGCGTTTGAGGTAACGTCGCTCCCAAGAAACGCAAGAGACGATAAGATTGTGGATTTTAAGAGCTTGTTGAAACAATACTTTAGCAAATTTTTACTGAAATTTGGAACCTTGTTTCTCGTGTTTTGTCTGATAGATGCTATTTTCATATTTACTGGTGGGTCCTGCTCGACCAGTAACACTTTTTCAGCAGAAAAATGCAGACGGCAGGGTGGAGACTGGACCGGTGGGTTCGATATCAGTGGCCATTTTTGTTTTCTCACAAATATCAGTCTTATACTGTGGATGGAAATTTCGAGTTTCCAAAAATATGTTAACGACTTGGGCTTACATGTACCATTCGTCTGGAAATCTATTCCATACTTGGTTACCTCGGTTTTGGTGCTTTGGACAGGGATGCTCTGTGTGACCTCGGTGTTCTACCATACGCTTGGGGAAAAACTTCTCGGGCTCATCTTGGGCTATACGTGCCCAGTGGTCATGTATCGGGTGGTTCCGAGTAACGCAACTTTGCGCAAATGGTTGTATTAGGATTGCTTGGTTGAGTTGTATCCAGTTCAGTGAAAGGTGGCCAACTTGTGACGCAGTTCTGCAAGCGGACCTGTGATTAAAGATTCTTGTTGTCTAGTACCATTCAGGGAGCACGCATATACTTCCAAATTTCGCAATTGCAACTTCAAATGGAGTCCACAGGCAATTGAGAAAGTTACAATGGTACATGCGGCGTCCATAGTGAGCGACGAGATAACCGATGCTTCTACCAAATCTTCTAAGAGACATCTTCTTCGACATGTTTCTGTCAGAGACGTGTAAACGTCCCGTGTGAAAATGTAGATGTCCTCCTGCTCTGTAATTGGTCCACCATTTCCCATTTTCGTAAACATGCCATGGATATTGATGAATACAGGGACGGTGTGCTTAAAAATTGACCACGCCTGGTTCTTTGGGTTCCGTCTCAAGATAATATAATGTGGTTTTTCGAAAACTCGTTGCCGTTCGTTGAAGACTTCTAGTCTCAATCCAATGACATTTTCTGCCGCCTTGACGGGTGTCTCGTTGTCAATTAAATCGCTGGGATCAACAAGCGGGAAAGCACTGATTCCAAACATACGTAGGACATTTTCAGAAGCTACATTTCCTGAGAGCTTGCTCTTGGATGTTTTATTCAAAAGGTGGAGTCGTTTTGATGGTGATCTCAAGATATCAGTACTCATAATATCAGCGATCTCGTCGTCGAACATACGAAGTTCAACGGCCTTTTGAGTCATTAATACGTAAACATCTTCTGGAACGTCTGGAGGAATCTCGGGCAATTCCAATTGACGGGGTTTCAAGGGTGTCCTGCTGATGCTGGTTTCCTCAGCGAGAGCATATGAAACGTCATTTTGAGCACTGGAATCGAAGTCGCCCCTCGGCCCCAAACCAATTGATCCATTTCTGAAATTCTCCAGTTCCTGGATCAATCTTTTTTCTTTCGTTTCTAATTCTTCAACTACAGGATTGTTAGGATAAAGTTGGCTTGTGTTACCGAAATCAACAAATCCATACTCTCTTTCTCAAGATTATCTAAGTCTGACATGCGAAATTTTGACAAATTTGACGGTTTTATGAACCACTATTTAATTAGCTTGGTTTGAATTATGAGTTTAACTTTAATTTTCAAAACTGGACGATTTCACGACTTTCGATCATCTCAAAAGTTTGATTTGTTGACATTGAAAGAGCCTTTAGAACAATAAAATCAGCCAATTTGGACACTTCAATTGGTTCACCGAAAACTAAAGAACTTGCTCTTGTTTTGAAATGTTTGACCAAACGGAGCTTTACCATGATACAAGCTTTAGTTATGGTTAAAGCTTCTGAAAACGTCGTTGGAAATTTGATAGAATTCCAAAAGGAGGAATCAGGTTGGTCAGTTGATTGATCATCGATGATTTTGGTTGGTCTGATGACAATCATGTGAGTTCCGTGGCTTTCAATGGCTTTTAAATCTTCTTCTAGCTTCAACTTCATATGGAAATACCCAAAAGTTGAACTTAACAATAAATGATTGAAACTGGATACGAAAATAACGGTTTTCCGGTCAGCAGTTTGAGTTCCGCCAATGAAACTTTGCGCCATTAGGATATTGGTCTTGTATTCCAAAAAGTCTCGTGGCGATACACTTGCCTTGCGATCGAATTTATGAGATGCAAGTGTAGAGATGAGGGTGTCTAATTCGCTTGAGGCTGGAATGTGACATGGGGTCTTGAGTCCGGTGTCTTCACGCTCCATGCAACTGATGGTGGTACCACCGCGGAACAAATCTCTCGATATGTGCGGCCATTCGCTGAGATCTCTCTCGATGAGAACGTATAGATTGATTTTGAAATGTATCACCAACGTGGTGCGCGAAGTTTCCCTAAGGGTTGTGTCGGTAGCAGTTTGACGGTAACAAAATTTGTAACAATGTTCGTGCAAACTGGAGGACAGCCTCAGTGCCGAGTGTTCTTTTTCCGCGGGCAATAACAAATGGCCTTCATGACGAGAAGGCATTCCAAATGATAATTCATCCTTTGTGCATGCATATCGTTTGCCTTGGTACCACAGCACGTGTTCCCAGTCGTCGTTGATGTTGTCTAATGTCAAACCGATACCTGAATTTAATTCTGTCTCTGCAAAACAAAACAGGTTTTGAACAAACGTCAATTCTTCGTCTTTGGCTAAAACCCGATCCAGGAACTTGCGTTTGTCACTTGGGTGTTTTTGAGCCAATTGAGTATCAAGTTGTCCTTGTACAAATCCAGAGGCTCCAAGGTAGACCCATGGTTGCATCAATAGAGACAAAACTGGTAACCCCACAGTGCTTGTAGCACCGAGTAAAAGACTATTTCGGCAAAATATTTTTTTGGGTAGTAACGTTCGATTCGCCCTTCCATGGTGCTTCGCCTTGGTGTCATCGTTTAGACGCATCTGTGGCATGATAAGAATCGAATCACTGCTCATTAAATGTGGGCTTGTAGTCCGAGCTTGTTCTTTCATGCGATCTCCACACTTTTTCTTGGATATTTTCCGAGATGCGAATTTCAGTCTTGCCGGTTCGCCAGTCATGGTTGTTTGAATTGGCATAATGTATGCTATTGCAAGCTGGAACAAATCTCTAGCATTATAAAGGTGAGTTTTTTTTGTTGACACCGTCAAATCTCTCTCGGCAGACAAGGTTCTCGGGCACTGACACATAGACATCATTAAAGGTAAACAAACCGGACAAAATCAAAATCTTCGTTACTTTGAAGAAGCTCAATAAGGACGTCAGTTCTAAACGATGAGCTATCTTTTAACGCATCGTGCTTAAGACGTATGCTAGCTTGATTTACTACTTGTCGTTAATCAAAAAATGCGAATTCTGTGGATCGAACACAGGACCTCCAGATTACAGCGACCGAAGTTGACTTCAGTCTGGCGCTCTCCCAACTGAGCTAAATCCGCAACTACGAAAGAAGATCAAATAACGAGAGCTTACAATGTGACAGTGTAGTCAATTACCTCTATCAAAGTGATACTTTGGAGACGAAGGTGTCAACGACGGAATGATATTGTAAAGACTTTTCGCCTATTGTCATCTATTCAACGTTTAGCTGCACTGTGTTGGCCCTTGGCGCTGCGAGACACCGGATGGATCACATTTTAGCGAATAAACTCAATTCTGATCATCAGTATCGCAAAATTGGCATGGTTTAATATCTTGTAATTCATTTAAGACCAGCATCCTATATATGCGACATTCTTCAATATTGCTGGAGTTATGTGCTATTGAATGTCTTGTTTCCTTCATATCAGAGGTTGACATGGGGTATTTAGCGAAATCAAGTGAAATTTGAGTGGTCGTAGCCAAAATTACATATAAACAGTCCTTATTAGAGAAAATAAATAGTCCATTCATTGATACTAGCCATAGTTATCGAAGTCGTGGACCTTTGTTAGTCTTGCTTCTCTTGATGTATATCAAGGTATTAAGTATTATTGAAGTTGCCTGAAAAATTTAAGAATAATCTATCAACGATTCGTTACTCGAAGGTTCGATGTTTAATCGTCTTGCAAGGTCCCAATGGGGTCTGATACATGGACGGATTAATTCTGGGAGTGTGAGGGCCCACCCTTTATTTTATAGAGCTGCCTCAACCTATATTCGCAAGTCCAATTCCAAGTCAAAGTCAACTGTTCATCGGCAAAAGACTGAAGCCGAAGAAAAACTGGAAAAACAACTCAACTCCTCTAATCGCTTTGTAAGATGGGGGGCGATTGCCAGAAGTGAAGATTTCAGGAAAGGTATGACCAAGTATCTCATAGGAGCGTACGTTTTGTTTCTGTTATATGGTCTTCAGTACATGAAGAAATTGTATGCCAAAGAAAGAGAACTAGAAGATCTGGAGGAGAGACAAGAGAATGGAATTGTCAATGAATATGAGGAACTTAGAATAAAGGAATTACGGGGCAAGCTGAGAAGAAGAGATGAATCGAAATTGCAAAAATATCAGCAACTTATGGCTTCTGGAGAAACTAATTTCGATGGCTTGGTGTTTCCTGAGGCTGACACGAATAAGACAAATGCTAAAATTTTACCCGCTCGCGATACGACCAGCTTTTATGAGCAGAAGGCGTCTGAATATGACGCCGGTGTAAATTTTGAAGAAAAAGCCATCTTTATGGGTAGACGACGCAAATGGTTGATGCAACATTGTAAAGGTGACGTTTTGGAAGTTGCCTCAGGTACTGGAAGGAATGTCAAATATTTGGATCCCGCACGAATCAACTCGATTACGTTCTTGGACTCTTCTCAAAAGATGATGGAATTAACACATGAAAAGTTTAAAAAACAACTTCCCAATTTCAAGAAAGCCGCATTTGTCGTAGGGAAGGCTGAAGATTTGGTCCAGATAGCGGGTGGTGACGCGGGGGCAAGTTCAGCTACTCTTGACGGAATGGGCGACGTGAAAGTCAAATACGATACCATCATCGAAGCCTTTGGTCTTTGCTCACATGAAGATCCTGTCAAGGCCTTACAGAATTTTGAAAAATTGTTGAAACCAGGTGGCAGAATCGTTCTTCTTGAACATGGTAGGGGAAATTACGACATCATCAATAAGATCTTAGATGACAGAGCAGAAAAACGTTTGGAAACGTGGGGTTGCCGGTGGAACCTCGATCTTGGAGAGATTTTGGATGATTCTGGTTTAGAAGTGACAGAAGAAAAAAGGACCCATCTTGGTACCACTTGGTGTATAGTGGCAAAGAAGAAGGGGGATCAAAGGACAACCGACGAAATCGGGTTTTACGAAAAATACCTGGGATCAAGCATCAAGAATAAAATAGAGGCTCAAAAGGAGCGTAATCAGCAAGGAACTGACAATTCACGTTAAGAATTTTACCTGTAAATAAACCTCTCTTAAATTACGCCCGCGTTTCGAATGCAGCAGGCTGGTTATTGCCTCTCATTTTCTCACTATTCAAAACGTCTTGGCCGAGTGCCTCCATATTATCCTTTTCGATCAAAGAGCTAATATTTTCATAGGCCATACTGGCCTCGTAACCAGCCACTACCCTTGTCTCTGTGATACCAATTTCGCAATGAGCCAGTGCTTTTATCACATTTGAATACCTGGTTATTGTTTTTCTGGATGAACTTGATATATGGTCATTTTTATCAGAATATATTTCCCACGAGGACTCTTCTTCCAAACGTGTGATGGAAACACTAGTATTTCCCGGTTTGTAATCGCGGCCTGCTCCTGACAATGTCGCGGCGTTTTTACCTGTTACAGTATTTTGGCCACTACTGAGATCTACGTCGGATGTTTTCCGTAACCATACGAATCCATTAACACCTAATATGATCGTGACATTCCCAGGGAGATTGTGGGTATGGTTTTTCGATCTTACGATCAATGCGCTTGGTACTTGCAAAAAAACACCGTTTCTGAGTTTCCCGTATTTCAAAGATCTGGTATGCAGCGAGGCGCTACCATCTTGATACAGAGATTGAACCTCTGCGTTAAGAAGATCCCCTTCCTTCAAAAAATTCCGCATTTGCAATTCGTCGCTCTCGGACTTACGTCTCAGGACACCACCAGGCAGATTTACCGAACCCAACATCAACACGGCATGTTGTTTAGCGCCGATATCGACTCTCCATCTGCGGTTACCGATTTCCGCAATTCTCCCAATTACATGGTCACCGGTTTCAGGCGAGTACCGGCCTCTCAGTGGTACTACTGACAATAGTCTATTAACTCTGGAAACGGTACCCGCGACGGAAGCAAAAGTTTGATTTTCCAGAAAATACGTTCCGTGACCTCTCATCCATATCGGATCGTCAGTAACCAATTCCCCTGGTGTCACAATGGACCCTTCACCAGCTTCTCTCTTCTCATTTGATTCCTCACTTTCTGACATCTCAACATCGCTATCGCTCTCAAATTGAAGGTCATTAGCAAAATGCAATCCGGCTTCTCGCTTGACAACTGTTATTATATCTGCTGACATCGTAATTCCTGATTTGATGGTATCCAAAGTACCCAAATTTAACTCTTTACCGGGTCATCGCATGTCAGTCAAGGTCCTATTCCATAATGTCAATTATCGAAATTTTTCAGTCATATTATACGGAATGGAGACCGGCCAAGGAAATTGGCCATTAATAGGACTTGTCGTGAATCTGCACAGAGCCCCAACATGTCCACTCTAATCGCAGTATTCCCGTCTTACTCCTAGAGTCTTTTCATGGAGCTTGCCGTTTTCCTTAGGTTAATAGTGTATAATACGTCTGGAAATTCGATTTGGGTACCGTTTTCGAGCCTGTGTCTTGGCCATTGAACACCGATTTGCAGGCTTGACGCTCAAGTGTAAGTATGCCGACTCAATACTGGAAATCTCTTGCTTTTTGGCTCAATGTTATCCCTCTTGAACTTCAATCAGGCTGAAAAGTGTTGATAGCATTTGGAACGAAGGGTCAAAATTTTCTAAACAGAGAAAACTTGGGCGCCGATGAGCTTGCCAGGACCAGGTTGACAGATGCTAAGTGTGACTTTTCGTCGACAACCAATTACCTTTTTGTCAAGAATGACTTCCACTTTTTCCGCGGATCAGAAAAAGATTTTCAAGTATCAACCACCGGTTGATAGATCGATGACCAAACTAGATCGGTCGTTTTTTGTTACGAAAATTCCGCTTGTCGTGGTGCAGTTCCCTGATCCTCAAGATATAAGTGTGTTTTGCAACAAATTCAACGACGAGATTCTGAAAATACCTCGCATTTCGCGGGTAGTCAAATTCGAGTCAGATCCGAATGCACAGGGTCCACCACTGAAAAAGGCTAACACTGCCAATAACGATAATCATATCAAGAAGGGAGTACTGTTGAAGGAGTCAATTACCGCTGTAGGACAAGTGAAACAACAAGTTTCGTCGGACGCGTTTGCGTTTTTGGAAGAACATCAAGCTGCTTGCGCGCCTTACCAGTACGTTCTGGACTACAATTTCTGGAAAGCAGAAGAGATTTTCCGTGCAATTTTGCCCGAACAGTTTCTTGATGAAATCCCCTCTGGTTTTACTGCGACTGGCCACGTAGCTCACATTAACTTGAGGTCTGAGTTCAAACCGTTCGGAGAATTGATCGGACAAGTACTGCTGGACAAAAATAGCAAGATAGAGACTGTGGTGGACAAAACGGATACGATTTCAAGTAAGTTTCGTACTTTCCAGATGCAGGTTCTGGCGGGGAAACCCAATTTGGTCGTAGAACAGCGTGAATCAGGGTGTAGCTTCAAATTCGATTTCAGTAAAGTTTACTGGAACTCGAGATTGCACACGGAACACGACCGCTTGATTCAAAAATTCAAGCCCGGAGAATGTGTCGGAGACGTTTTCGCAGGCGTGGGTCCCTTTGCGGTTCCTGCCGGAAAGAAAGGTGTCATTGTGCTAGCCAACGACCTGAATCCGGAAAGTTACAGGTTCTTGAACGTGAACATTTCCGACAACAAAGTGGCCAACTTCGTTTCATCTTACAATCAAGACGGACGCGAATTCATACGGAACAGCCCTGGGCTGTTGAATACGCTGCGTGCAGCACACCCGGAGGCTAAAATCACGATACCGGGTGGGAAAAAATACAAAGATCGCGCGACAGGCGAAACATTGCGCACGCCGTCGCGCTCGGTCACGATTCCACTTTTCCTCCACCATTATGTGATGAACCTTCCTGACAGTGCGTTGACGTTTTTGAACGAATTTTGCGGACTTTACTCGCGCGATCCACAAGTGGCCGCCAAATTGCAAGCCATACCGGACCTACAACTTCCCTGGATCCACTGCCATTGTTTCGAAAAATTCGAGCACGACGAGACGCCAGAACCCTCGATGCAGGAACTCCACAGACGTGTACACGCAAGAATTTTGGAAATTATGCAAACTGATAAAAATGTTTTACCCTTTGAAGCGCTGCAATTCCATCTCGTGAGAAAAGTCGCACCTACAAAACCCATGTTCTGCGTCAGCTTTCAACTGCCTCGCACTCTGGCTTTTGCTTAGACCCTGATGACTTTCCTGCTCGCATAAACGCTTCCGTCGCAGTGCGACTACGAACCAACGCCTACAAAATCACGAACAAGAAACCTGAAGACGTGTGATCAACCCAGCCCGGCCACCACCACTGCACCATCACGCTCCACTACACCGCTTACTCACTCACGGCCTAATCACAACTCATACACGACTCATTCACGACTCACTCGCTGACAAGAAAAGAAACAACACAGAGCTCATCACGAGACCCAGCTTACAACTTATCACGTGATTCTACACATCTAGGCCAATCCCAGAGATTGCTCAGAAGCGTGACTACTGAAGCCCCTTTGCAGCCTTTTGAGTCAGACTTATCTCGACTCATTTCAACTGTTACCTAGCTTGTATGCCCTCGGTTTTCAAATTAAGCGGCGCGGTCTTTTATTTTTTTTCGCAGATGAATTCCGAGGGCGGCGACTCATTCGACTTATTGACTCATCTTTAAGTTTTTCACCAAGACCCATCCATGCGTGTGGCATGAAAAGTCAGAGATATAATAATGCCATGGTTGCGGCATAGAAAGGTTAGTAATTCGGGGGTTTAAATTTTGCCACTGGTTAGGGACCTAGAGGTGTTCCGTTAAATCCAGACGAATTTTTTTTGGTTCTAAAATTGAAAAGCCTGGGAAGTTCGGGAAGTTTTGGGAACATTTAAACTTCTGAGAAGTTTTTGGAAATTCTTCGGAACTTTTGGGACTCTGGAAAGTTTAAGAAATTGGGAGGGTTTACTTGGTTAGACTTCGGATTTGACGTTAGAAGCTTGGGTTGCGTGTTTGGTGATTTTTGAGTGGTTTACCGAACTTTTGACTGAAGTGACTCACAATTGGTTATTTGAGGATTCCAGATCACTGGAACTCAGACACTCATTCAAGCCACCTGCGGGTTCTGCGCATTTTTTGTTTGGTTAATTTGACTTTTTGGAGTCAAAAATTGTAAGGTTTTCTATTCAGTGGGTCTTTGGCATTGGAAAAATGTCTGTCCGCTTCTAATCGCCTCCCGTGGTGTGAAAGAAGAGTGTCACAGACGCTTTGTAAAGTTGAGGTGTCAAGTTCCTGAATATTTGGGTATTGCATCGTTCGACTGTGTTCCTGTAAACGACGCTACTGCATCTAAGTGTCATGTCCCAGGTCACGCCCGTTGAAAAAATTCGTGTGACGGAGTTGGTCAACAACAATTTCCATTTGCATACTCCATCGACGCCTCAGTCAGATGCACTTGGAGTTTCAAGACCAAAAAGGTCACCAGTATATTCACCTTCTGTCGAACAACAAAAGCTTGTGAGCGTCATTGCCACACTACTTTCAGCTTTAACCTCGAATTTCTCGAATCACAAGATTAATAACTCCAAACAGCATGTGGCTGCCTTTCTAACGACAGTTTTGAAACGATCTAGGTGCTCCAAAGCGGTGACTATCTTGGCAACATTCTACTTCCACAAGCTTTACAGCTCAAAGTTGCACAGTGTCGTTGACCTACCGGAATTTTCACGTTGTTCCAGGCGCATTTTTCTATCGTGCCTTATTTTGGCCCATAAGTATCTAAATGATCGAAGTTTCTCCATGGAAACATGGCATTGCGTCAGTGGATTGCCATCTCGTGATATTTCCTCTATGGAGAGATGGTGTTTGAACAAGCTCGAATATGAACTTTTCGTGACAGGTGAAGCACTACTAGAGTGGCAAAATACCGTGCTACATTTCGGCAAAGTGACCCCGGCCTCTAACAAGAGATTAAGAGACGAAGTTGATGAATGTGAGGATGCATGGATGCCCGCCAAGAGGCTTGCCTCCGCTGTTGTGCATTGAATGGTTATTTTATCTATGTAGTTTACTTCCCGGAGACTTGTGGATTGCAGGATATCCACGGTCTAATGATAAAGTATTCAGAGTTTTGGTGTTGTATGCTGGTATTGCTATCTATAAAAATGTATTTAAACCTAAATCTTTGTTGCAACTTTTCCGCTCGCAAACGTAGCAGCTACCATCAGTGGGAAAACCACAGTAGCATCGACGTAAATCTTGACAGATTCTGCTTCGGCTTTAATTTTTCCCCATGAAACGGCTTCGTCGGGTCTAGCACCCGCATCTGACCCGTCAAATTCTTGACCTGTGTTGATGTAAACCGCATAATCGGCTCCATTTCTCATCAAACAGGCGTTAGCAATATGGTGCTTGATAAGACCTCCACCCAGCAATATCATACCTGCCCGAGATGCTTCCATGGAAAGACTGTTTATTTTGCGGATATCCGATACGATATCCAATCTGAGTTGCTTGGGAGACGATTTAAAAGTGTGGAAAAACAACATGTCACCAATGGATCCGTCTGTAATGGCAGGACAGAAAATTGGAATTTGGTTTTTGTGAGCCCAATAAAGCACTGAAGACTCATCGTTGATCTCTTTACCCAGGCGATCAATGAGCTTGGATGGAGTCCACATGGGAGAATCCACTTCCGAATTAGCATCAAAACAGCTGCTACCTTGTTCAGAAACGTATTTTTCCTGTTCTTCCAACATTTTGTCCAAAATTGGTACGATCCACTCTTCGAACTTACAATAGTTGTCATTGGGTACTAGCAAGTTCCCAATACGGTTTAAGCCTTTCTCACGTAGCGGGCCACCTTTCAATGCAAAATCACCCAAGTACGTTGGAGCTAAACATTTGATAAGATCTTCTTCAATACCACCTGCAGTGGCCACAATGGCACTAACCATTTTATGCTGAACTAAGTATCTCAAAGTTTCACGAAGCCCCGAACTTATCAAATTAGAAGTGTAACCCATAAAAATCGTGGTTTTCTGGTATCCATCATCGTCAAATGAGCCCTTGCGCTGGTGTTCTTCCAATTCGTCAATATGTTTCCCACGCCATGATCTCATTTTATCAATAATTTCACAACCACGACCTACATTACTAGCCTGAAATCCCATATTCTTCATAGCTCCAATCAAATCGGAAGCCCTCATATCAGTCGCTTCTGGTTTCGTATAATCAATTCCTTCAATTTTGGTGTAATCTTCAGGCACCGCTTCCGAGGCTTTTAGCACAGCATCATTTAATGAACTGGGCAGATTTTGATTTGATTTCGACATTTCTTAAGAGATCTTTTGACTAATCTTCGGAGTTTGTCGAGGTTGATGAACTGGCGATGTCATTTTTCAATTTCAAGAATCTAAAATTTTTTCAATTTCTCAGGCTATCACCTTTAAGAGTCATCGATCAGCTATGTCTTCACTAGAGAAACAGACCAATTGTAGCATCATTCATCGAGGAAATGCCAACGTTCTTGTCAGTTTGGATAGTTCGATCCAGCTTTACAGGATTTGTAGAAGATACCGAAGTTTGCGTGAAAATAACGAGTATTCTGCCAAAAACCTTGAATACATAAGAGAGACGCTTTGGCCTATTCTTCAGGAGCATTTGATTCCCGCTAAACTTTGTCTAATTGAAAGCTTTAGAGTACGAAGAATTTTGGAGTTTTTGGACATAAAATCGGACGAAGAACGAGTATTGGCTTTTGAACTTCCCAATTTGATTCCATCTTCTTGTAAGACCACTGAGCTCGATCATTTCAGTAAAGTTCATGTCAATGGCGATGTGCAAGTAATTTGGGAATTTAAGCCCAAATGGCTTTACCAAAGCACGGCATATTGCCGAAATTGTACGCACAACAGACTTAGAAATAGACGCATTTCTTACTGTTTTGGTATGCTCTTAAAAGACTCTGGGACACTCAAAAGAATATTTCAAGGGGCTGAGACGATACTGCCGCAACAATTTTTGTCTGACATCAAGGACGTTTTGGAGAAACCGGATAATGTGTTGCAACAGTTGTATTGCGCCCAACGGGCAATGGCCCTGCAAGCACCTTTGTTAAGCTCTGTCACAAGTCAGGACGCTGTTACGTCAAGTTTGCAGACGCTAATGACTTTGAGAGACGTTTCATGCTTTGTTTTTTGGACAAGGCCAGTCTCTGGAGGTGGGAGTCAAATTGAAGCGAAATTAATCGATGTGGATTTGAAACCTAGCGAGAAATGGAGCCATTGGGTTGGTGAGTTTGATAAAGTCAACAATTATCACGACAAAGTATACCATTAGCGTAGGAGTATAGTGGCATTTAGGAAATGAACCGATGGATTCTGGGCATCACATAGGATCGCACCGCACTGTCCTTGTGCGTCTGGTTCTCCAACCATTACGGCGACTTCCTGGTCCACGTAGACATAATTTGAATTTTTGTATTTGACGCTGCAGATCTCAAAACGCATTTGCAATTGCAGCACTCGCAAAAGAGTCTGAAGCAGTAACGGACCCTGAACAATTAGGTTTTTGTAGCCCTCTTGGTTAAGACAGTAGTCTCTATCCCAGTGAATTCGATGTGGATTGAACGTCAAAGCGCTGTATCTCACGACGTCCAAGTCTCGGAAAGTAAAGGTACAGCGCTGGTGGTTCAAATTGGGAGGCTGCGTCCCATTGAGTTTGGGCAATTGTGGTTTGCTGTTTGTATAAATTAAAGCCCGTTCTTCAGTCAAGACCAGGTTCTGTGTATCGACATTGCTGATCGTTCTCAGCATTTTAACGAAATAATCGCCTCTGATCTTCTTAACGTACTGGATCGTCTCGAAACATTCGTATTGACGATTCCAAGCCAACGGCTCATAGGACTTCAACGACCCAAATGCCCACAGTCTTCGTCTGAAGGATATATCGTCGTTAAGCAAGTTCTGAGGCGTGATCTGTGAGAAGTACCCGTCGGGACTCAGCGAAACAGATGCTGGATTGAAGTAAAGAAAATGATCGCCAAGTAAGATTTTGCCAGCAGCGCGATTGTTGATCTGAGGGATCTTTGATTGCAGAAGTTTATCCAATTTCAAAAGTGGTGCGGCGGTGACGACGTCTCGAAAGGACCAGCATTTCGATGATAGGTTGTGCGTCATCTCATGAGCGATTCCCTAGTTGAAAAGACAAACTACGAATCGAGTCCTATAGGTCAATCTTGATAAAAACTCTTAATCAAGCGCACCAGAATGTGCAGAGTCGAACACCGGCCAGATGGGTTTGTAGAATTGTTCTTTTTTTGTGAACTTGTCAACGTAATGCGTCAAGGTACAACCTTGTATAGCTGAAGGACAAACTCTAAAAGAAGTCCTTTGATTCTAAAATATGTCGATTATTGGCCTATCTTTCCAAGGATTAAAAGAGTTCAGTTGGCGAGATTCACCGCAACGGCTTTCTTAGTGGACTTTATATAGTTTTACCATATTTGCATTGATCTGAAGGACTTCACCTCTACCTTTAATGACCCAGGATCACGTATTTCGATCTGATATCTTATTTATCTTGGAGTTTAGCTACCATGAGGTGAACGTTTATGATTTTCTAACATTGTTTAACATTCAGCATCCTTGACCGGAACTAAAGGTTACATTCTTCTTTGTGCCAAAAGAATTTTCATCGACAGTCTTACATTCCAATCTGCGCCGATTGTATATGTGCTTCCCAGTTTGTCTAACTTCCTCTGAGATATCTCAGTGAACCCCATCAGTTGCGATGCCCTCTATAAAGGTTTATAAATGAAATTATGGGCAGAAGATTTACGGTCGTAAAGGTCTCGGCTTTCAATTGTGCGCAACTCCATTTGTTTCATCTCTTTGGGCTGACCCATTACTGCCTTGACATTTTTAGGTGAGTGCTTTAATGTCAGTTCTAGTACGTTATGCAAAACGTTCAAAACATGATTGACCTCTTCCGCAAACGTTCGACGACCAGCCTCGAACATGCGGTAAAGTCTATCGAGCAAAAGTGCAGAGAACATATCACCCACACCTGTAAAATATGAATCTATCACCGGTATCCTAAAAACGACAGGGCGAGTGCCTCGCAGAGACGCGACACAGTATATATGTGAACCATCTTCGAAAAGGTCGCGCGAACACGAGGTCACGACTATTGCGGGTACCGTTTTGTGGAAATGCGCCAAAGCACTTTTCAACTCATTTTTGTTGCTGATATTGGACCCGTATAGTAACTCAAGCTCAAAATGGTTCGGTGTCATCACATCCACGAGCGAAGAAGAAACAAGAGCTCTGTAAATGGGCACCACGTTCTCGTTGACGTAGAGTTGGCCGTCGTCGCCCATTACAGGGTCTAGCAGCCAGATCACACTTGCATTTTTCTGCTTCATTTGCGTATAAAACCTGCCCATGGTTGAAACAGCTGCGTCCGTTGGTAAATACCCAGAAAGCAAAGCATCGTAGTCGTCAAAATCAGACACACCTGTCAACAACAACTCTAGATCCTTTTCTGATGCGATAGACCCGAAAATAAGGTCCGCACCATATCCGGTATGGTTTGAAAATTGCACGCTGTTCACGCAATCAACGTCCCAACCCAAACACTGCAAGGGGAACGTGGCCGCTTTGTTCCCCACATAACCATGCACAACATGCGATTGAGTGGCCAAGAGACGTGGCATAATGATCGTTAGCGTGCACCAGGGCCCCGATACATATCACTTCAAAGCGTGCTCTTGATATCTGGCGGTTTTTTTTTCTTTCTCTTTTGGCTTCCCGCTATGAATCATCCAGCACTGAAAACGAATCGCACCTTTAACAGAATACTGATAAGCAGGCTGCTGTAGAGATAAAACCTAAAACAGAACTCTTCGCAGAAACACACCACCGAAACCAAATCTTCTCAATCTTTGGACTTTCAATCAAGCGCTATGTCAAGCAATTATGTACTAATACGTAACTAGTTTTCGAAACCTATTGAAATCTATCTAAAAATCGCAGACTCGAACGCTGCGGAAGATGTAATGGTGGGAACTTAATCCCTGACTATCTCGCAGCCCCTTTTATACCTTTTCCAATAGGCGCGATCCTCGCTCGAAGCAATAACGGCTTCCCCTTTATTTTAGGGAAATTGTTGGGGAAGTTGGGGGAACTGCGTGACATTCTTTGGCTTGATTTTTTCTCTGATCCGCGGCTACGTCTCCATCTCCGTCTTTGTCCGAACCAAAGACACCCATACACATAGCGTTTTAGCCGCCAGCGATTTTCGGTCTATCGGCTTTTCTTCGAGCGCTTAGCCCCCTAAAAAGGGGTAGATCAATGACCCCTGAGAATTAATTGCAACAAAAATGGAACTATATAAGGCCAAAGAGAGAGGGTTGCTTGAGAATCTGGTAGCTCTCCTTAGCTCTTCTTGACGGGTCCTCTGAACCCGTTGGATAATCGTTACAAACGTACACTGTGATAAAGTCTACCCGCGGTTGCTAGGGTAGATGTGTACGTTTAGAAGGTTCGAAAGATCAGAATGTCGCTTCGGTTCTCGAGGTTGTCGATAGAACTGAAAGTGAGGGATCTTGATCAAAACGAATTTTACCAGCGGCAACCTACCGTTTGTTTACTTTCTTTGAAGGCTGCCCAAGAATCTACTCGTCATTATTTACGTGATATCCGTGTGGCTACGCGTACTCGTCCCCAGACCTGCCGTTGTACGATAAAACTAGAGATCGTCGTGTCGCGGCGCAGTGTGGCGTCGAACCATATTGTATGAACACGTGATCGCACTGTTTATTTCGAAAATAAAACGGCGTTAAGAACACACTTTGTACGTAAAGACACGTGACCAATTTCGATGTACAAAATGCAAACAGCACGTGACTGGATGCCTGCCCATTGGTCGGGTATTTTAAGAAGGGGATGTTGACACGAGATTACAAGCGCTCAGGTGAGACAGCTGCAAGTGCGGAATTACATTCGATCCTGTATGATTGTTCGAGTGACTCGATTTCTCGAGGCCGATCTTTGAGAAGGCACCGGTTCCGGTTGTCTTGATTGAATAGAGGTGCGGATAACCACTGGAGGGCGGAAAAGTGAGACGAGACACAGTAACGTGGTCAGTGATATGTCCCGTTTTCCCCCACACCGTCGCCCCGCGAGACGAGTACAAGGCCAAAATCCCCAGCTGAAATACGGGAAGAAGGGGTTGGCAGCCAAGGTGGGATGTCTTTGCTTTTTCCTGGATTCCAGGGCGACTCGCATCGTGCCGAGATGGAAAGGTGCTCGGGCGGACAGCGCGAGCGCAAATGAGGTATAAAAACACATGTAAAGTACTTGGCAGTAGGACACTAGACAACACTTACCATCACGTTGAATCAACAATTGGTGTAGGAATTGCATCCATTGGCCTAATCGAGATTCACCTGAACGTGCAGTTTTAGAGAAATGAGCTTTCAAAGCTATCTAAGAGGTCCTACCGAGGACAAGGAAGTACCACAGGCTCCACCTGTAGACGTTTACGCCTCTGTCAATAGTTATTTGGATCTTTTTTCGCAGAAAAATAAGCTGGTGATCGTTACTGGTGCCGCGGGAGCTATTGGAGGCGCTATTTGCGAAGGCTTTGCGTCAGTGGGTGCGGATCTATGTGTTGTGGACTACAAATATGATGCCGAGTTTGCCGAGTATTTGTCAAAAAAATACGGTGTGAAGGCCAAAGCCTATCAGCTCGATATCACCAACCACGCAGATGTCAAGACGTGCCTCGAAGTAATTAAAAGTGACTTCGAAGGCCGTGACATAGACACTTTTATTGCGAACGCAGGGGTCGCATGGACCAATGGATCAATTTTGAGCGAAAACGCGACTCCAGAAGCATGGCAAAGGGTCATGGATGTCAACGTCCAAGGCACGTTCCATTGTAGCAAATACGTTGCCGAAATTTTCAAGCTCCAGGGACACGGTAGCTTGATTTTGACCGCTTCAATGTCTAGTTACATCTCCAATGTACCCAATTACCAGACCTGCTACAATGCTTCAAAAGCTGCTGTCAGACACATGGCCAAAGGTTTTGCCGTCGAATTTGCGCATTTGACAACCCCAGCGGGTAGAATCCGGTGTAACTCTGTGTCTCCGGGCTATACTGATACAATTTTGAGCTCTTTTGTTCCTACCGAGCAGCGCGCACAATGGTGGGGGTTAACCCCAGTGGGACGTGAGGCCCTACCCCAAGAACTTGTCGGGGCCTATCTATACTTGGCTTCTGATGCGGCAACGTTCACCAACGGAACCGACATTGTCGTTGACGGAGGCTACACGGCCGTGTGAGTTCATGAGATTAGGATAGCAGAGCGGATGCTAGCAGGTGAGTAATGTTTTTCAAGAATTGCAGAAGCTAGAAGCCATAAAAGAGCACTGCATTGAAGTTAGCAGATTATACAACTATAGATGCTCGATAAACGTGCATGGAAAATATGATTTTTATAATTCAAAAGCTTGGCATCTTGAGGCGCGTACGTGATTATTTCTTAAGTTCGGCGGAAACGACGTAATTGTCGATTGGAGCTTCGTCTTTGATCAATTCCCATAGACTTCGGACTTTCTTGGCTGCCTCAGCACTTAATGGACCTTCGGCAAGTGCTTCTAAAGTTTGTTCGAGTTGTTGAGGAGTTCTTGCACCCAAGATGAAAGCGTCACCGTATTTGCCTGAAAGCTCGGAGTGGTATGCGACCCATCTGTAAGCCAAGGAAACTTTAGAGATACCTTCAGATTCGGCAATTTGTTCCCATTCTTCTAGCGCTTTCAACAAAGAAGGTTTCGCGTACAGTTGACGGTACATTTGGCCAATAAAACTCGAAGGGTCAAAACGTCCACCTTCCGCTGCTTCTTCAATCTGCTGACGTGAGCGCGCAAGGAAACCACCCGCGATTGGCGAATAAGCGTAAAACGTAATATTGAGTTCTCTCAACACGGGGAACAAGTCGTCCTCGATTTTTCTCGCAAACGCATTGTAGTTACCTTGGTACACAGATGGGAGTGGGTACCCATTTTTCTTGGCGATTTCGTAAATCTTACGCACGTCGCTGGCGGTGTAGTTGGAGATACCGAATTTTTCGAACTTCCCAGCTTTGTAAAGCTCATTGATAGTGGCCAACGTCTCCTCTAGAGGAGTCGATGGGTCTGGGCTGTGCAAATAGTAAATATACACTTTGTCGAGTTTCAATAATTCCAAAGATTCCTTGATGGATTTTCTAATGCCTGCATCATTGTTCGAGTTCTCGGAAAAACCAGCCGCTTTCGTGTCAATCTTGTATTTTTTACCAGCATCTTGCTTACCAAGCGCTTCCTCACTACCTGGGTAGATTCTTGCAGTGTCGAGTTCTGCAATATTGTGCTTGTCCAAAATCTTGTAGACAGCGTCTCTGTCCTCCTGCGACAGAGTCGCAAGTGGATAAGCTCCGTATACTACTTTAGGGGTTTGGGAAGTCATAGTTGATAATTTAATATGATAATTGGTTTATCACTACATAGATTCTTAAGATACTACTGCACGCTACGAAAGAGCCTTTAAATACTTTGTGAACATGATCGTCCATTAGTAATACAGTTGACCAATTGAGATATCAAAGGGACAGTTGCATTACGGGCGTTCGAATAATGTAATGCGGCGGTTCTGGTCGGCTGTAGGACGGACAGCAGTAAGGCCCTTACCAACAATCCTGGAGGTTTATGATTTTCGTTGAGAGTAGTAAGAATCCACGGCGCGTGGAAATCCGAAAGAGGTATGACGTGAAAAGTTTTGTGATTTCCCAACGGTTAAGCGCCGTGGCGCAGTGGAAGCGCGCAGGGCTCATAACCCTGATGTCCTAGGATCGAAACCTAGCGGCGCTACTTTTTTTAGTCGGATGTCTCCCAACCAGGTAGGTCTACTAAGATCATTGAGAAGTTCTAGTGAATATGGATTATTTTGTGTGCAAACGGGAAGGTATTTTCTTAACATTGGGAATTAGTGTGCCTCCGTCTATGGCATGTGTGTCTGATATGCCATTTTAATATTGAGCAGCTAGTGAGCTCATCACCATAGAAGAAAGCGAAGTGCAGGCATATGGCAAGAAAATGGCAAGAGAAATCGTGAGTCAATGGTAAGCGCACGGCAACAGAATCAAACCCACTGTACGCAAGTGATAAAAAATCTGATTTTATGTAGCACCTTGATGTCCAGCTGACAATTTAGATCTAGGAATTGATGCCTGGCAATTGGACCATGAGACTCGGAAAGGGCTTGGAAAGGTCTTAGTTTGGACTCGTCTTGGACTCGCTTTGGACCCAACAAGGTCCAAAAAGATGCTGAAAGGATCTAGGATGGAAACCAGCCTACTTTCGTACCTGTCAACTGTGCATCACCTCAGACCTATATCACCATGAACTTGAAAATTAAGTATCTTGGTCCACTATAGAGACCAATTGGCAAATAACACGCCACCACCATGGGCGATGAAGTAAGCAAGTATATCCACAGCAAGCTGTTTGCCGATAGCCAAGAAGTGCTTTTCACAGATGTGATGAACGAGTTCCAAGTGTCGAGTTCTCGAGCCAAGAAGGAAATGTACGAATTCTACAAAATCACTAAATCAAAAGTCGGGTGCATCATTGTTTGCTGCTTTAAAAGCGGTGTCGTTGAAGTCGTGCGTGATGTCTTGAATTTCGAAAGCAACCACGATGTGCTAGACCTGTTCATCTACGCGTTTAGTCCAATGGCCAATTTTTCTCCAGTGAATAAGCCTAGTACGCGTCCTCTGGGTATCGAAAACTGTTACAAGTTAGAATTCAAAGTACCGCCACCGAAAGAGGTTGAAGAACCCCAGAGAACTGTGCGGAGAGCCAAAACACACGAGATAAGTACACCAAAAACCCTTGGTGTGCAGAGGGCAAAGACGCACCCTGAACCGAGCAAAAAACCAGAAAAGTCAATGGGCCTCCAATCTACGAAGCTGCGGGAAAGAATGCGCGACCAACGTGGTGCCAAGGAAAAAGAGAGGTTAGAAGCCTTGAGAAAACGTAAACAAGCCCAGGAGGAGAGTTTGAAAAAAGATCCCAAGCGTGAAAAACAGTTACGGGAACTTTCCAAAATGTTTGAAGACGACGGTGATTCTGATGGGGAAACTGCGCGGCCTGAAACCCGGTCCGAAACGGTCAAATCAGACTCCTCGTCAGACTTCACAGTGGAAGCGTCTGTCCAACTAGAACGCATACCAGAGCGTACACCGGGACCTGCTGATCAAGAGGAACTGGGCAAACTACTAGAAACCACGGCCGAAGAATCGCTAGTCGAAGTGCCGTGGCCAGACAAGTCAGCGCCGAAGTCACCAGAGAAAGCGTCTGAAGAGCCGACCTCGTTTGTCGATGAGGACGGGTACATTGTAACAAATCGGCAGACCCAGAGAGCCACGTCAACCCCCGCGAAGAGAAGGCACCATGTTGAAATGTCTGCGCCGCGGGAACAACAACCACAACAACCACCTAAGAAAAAAGTACAACAATCGGTCATGAGCTTTTTCGGCAAGAAGAAGTAAATGCGCATGACACGAGCCTTCTCAAGCATACACAAGACGATCTGAAAACCAAGTAAGTCAAGAAAATAGCGTAAAGAGCTATCCGAAGTTGATTGACATCTTCAGTTTCTCTCTCGAGGACGTTGATAGACTAGGGCCCATTACGTACAACACGACCACCATTTAGGCGGCTATATAAGGACCCCAAAGGATTTTTTCCCTACTTTTCCCCTTTCATGAACCGAGAAAGGACATTCCAGAGAGGTACAACAAGATTTGGACGTCGCTAAGGGATTATAAAGCTCATTTCAATATGCCAACAAGATATGAAAGTCCAAGTTTGGTCTCAAAATGATTGAACAGCAATGTTTTCTCAATACTGTTTTGGTTTGCCGCCGAGCTCTTTGCAGTCGAAGAAACTCCCCCAAAAAACCAAAGAAACCCTTTGTGAAACATTCGCAGCCTGCAAATCCCATATCTCACTGCTTATGGAAGAGGTCTGGCACATCGTCACAACTACAGGGACCCCATCCGTCTTTCCTAAAAATGCTTTGCGGAACGTACTGCGGGAGCAGATATGTACATCGTGGAAAGTGATAAGCACTCAAATCACACTCAACGAAATTTTCGATACCCATTTAATACTCATGTTTCATACGAAAATACGGGGAAGTCCCAAAAGTCCCGAAAACGACGTACAACCCAACACCCCGAAAGCAAATCACGTATGGGTACCTATTTTCCCCTTTTGCAATATGGGTCTGCGAGTCTGCTGCGCGGTGTCTGCGACTCGCAGCAAATACGCCGTCACTATTGGCCCGGCATGGCGCAATGACCAGATTTACTCGTTGGGGACAGCGGGGATGCTCTTGTATTTTCGTCCAAAATATAGAGTACTCCCCAAAGTCGTGAGTATGCGGGACACAGCAAATGCTATATAAGGGGTGGACTGATGGCGCTGGAACGAAGAGAGTCAAATGTTTTGATATAAAACCGTTGAAGGATTTCGAACTGGACAACAAACAAGTTTGAACGCCAAATTCTCAGATTAGATGTCGAGAAAGTTGATTATAGGTGGTGCTACTATAGTGGCAGGTTATGCGCTTTACGAGTATACTCTCAGAAAGCAGCAGCAGCGTACAGGTCTAGCGTATCCCCAAAGTTACGACACTCGTACTTTTGAGCGTAAGGGAGAAGAAGCTGGCGCTAAGATTGATGATTTTAGAAACAAGACTCAAAATCAGCTTTCGCAGTGGAAAAGCGAGGCCGACCAGAAACTTACGAATGCACTTTCGGAGGCAGAGCGGACCAAAGCTGAAAAGACACAGTGGCTTGGAGACCAAGTTCAAGGTGTCGAGGATTCCATACGCAGCAAGCGCGACCGTTATTTAGAGCGTTCTGGCGAGTTAAACGCCATTGTTGAGGAACAAAAACAAGAAAACCAACCCAACAAATTAGTGCGGATTGTCAGGAATGCCAAGGATAGCATTTCTTCTGATATCCATAACATTAAGCAGGGTGTCTCTGAAGACGCTTCAAGTATCAAGGACGCCCTAGTTGGTACCAAGCGTAAGTCAGAAGACGCCGTATCCGACACCACTGACCGTGCGAAGGAGACTGTAGAACAAGTTAAGCGCAAGGGTGGCGATGCCGTTTCTGCGGCCTCCGAAACTACTGAGTCGATTTTCAATTGGGGGTTCAACAAGGCCGAAAAGGCAAGAGCAATGGCCATTGAACAGTATGACAAGGCTAACAAGCATTATAACGAGCTACAAGAGCAATACAAGTCTCAAAAAGGGTTGTTGTCCAGTGGCGACCAAAAACTGAGGGAACAGGTCGAAGCTGCCAAGGACGAAGTTGCCAAATACAAGCAACAACTTCAAGAAGCTTCTGAACGTTACTCCAAATATGCATCCGACGATATTAATGAACTGTCCAACAGGCTTGAAGCACAGGACCGTGAGATCAGGGAAAAGGGATTTTTCAACTGGCTTGCCGGTAGGGACAAAGATGGCGTTGATCAACACAACGTTGACAAAATTGCGTCCAAAAGTGTTTCCGGATGGGGTGAGACCGCTGAGGCCTTGGCCAAAGAGGAATTGGACGAAATGGTTAGAAACAGACAAATTGGACCCAGTGAGGCGCAAAAGCGTCTCGATGATTTGAAGAATATCAGAAAAGAGGGTTGGTTTACGTATCAGGGCAAGAACGATGAACAACTCGCCAAAAGAGCTGCCAAAGCTTTGGAAGGTTGGGGTGAGACTGCCTCTGAAATGGCACGTGAGGAATACGAGGAAATTGTCCAAGGACGTGCACGTCCCGACGTTATTTCCGACAAAGTCGACAAGGCCAGACAAAGATTGGACGAAGCTAAGAAACAATTAGATGACAGTGCTGGTAGTTGGTGGTCATTTGGCAAGGAGAAAAAGAACGAGTTACATGAAAAGGCCCAAGAACAGTACAAGCAAGCAGAACAGGATTATCAATCTACGTTGAATTCCGTATCTGAGTGGTCCGACAAGGCAAAGGGTAAATTCTGGTCCAATGCCAATTCTGCTATTGATTCTACAAAACAAGGTGCAGACACTTTGCATGCCAAGACTAAAGAGGGTCTAAACGCGGCAAAGGATTACGTTCAGGACAAGAAGTAACAGAACTAAAATTTTATGTCATTAACGATTTATGTATATGCTTTTAACAAATATTCTTGCCTGATTTTAATTTGAAGCAGGTGACTGGTGGATGTCGAGGCGGGAACGGGCAAGCGGTCGTTATCTTGTTAAAGTTTACCTCATTTGGTGTAGTCGGTGAATTTCCCTTACTTGATTGAGTTGGTGATGGTTATGGTGATGGTTAATTTCTTCAAAATTATCAACATCTCATGTTCAAGATATTTTGAAGAAATTAGCAGTTTCTTTAAGCAAAACGATATCAGTTTATAGAGTCGTCAACACCACCGTGGCGATCAGACAAGGTAACTCTTTCCTGGGCTCTCTGAATACTACAAAACCTTCACTTTTTCTGTTCCTTTCGAAGGGTTTTGGTTGAGTTAAGATCAGCCTTCGAGACATCGGGGAAAGATGAATAAAGAAAGAAGGGACCAGTTAAGCGCGAGAAATAAAGGCTCTTCAAGTGGTAAACAAGATGAGAAGAGTGATAGTGGGAAATTTTTGAAAGTTTCACCGAACTTGTTTACTGCAGAACGATTACCGTTATTCGACAGTTTGGATCTCTACACGACTTTGATCAAAAGCAGTAAAGCGCTTGAGAAAGGAGAACGACTTCACAATTTGAGTTGGCGGATTGTTAACAAGGCGTTGTTGAAGCATAAGGATGTAAATAGGTCGAAAAAAAGAGACGGTGTTAGGAATTTGTACCAGGTGATAGATCCTGCGCAGAACCTTACGCCACGAATTCGACCTGCTAGTCAGCCTAACAGAAGTCCAAGTGGAGTGACAAACGGGAAATTTTATCCCATGCAAGTGATGTCAGCGATGCAAAGCAATCCTACGCTCAAAGACGAGAGAAATATAGACCATCAAACGGAGCTACAAAAAGTTAAATCGCCTAGAGTTCCTGCCATGTCGGCAGCGAATATCGACAGGAGTCGTTCTGTTATCAACACAGTGAAGAGAAACGACACGAAAGGCGTAGGTATGCCACCAAAACATCGACCGCCCAATCTCACTGTCAGAAGTACTAAAAGTACCGATCAAGTTACTCCACAGAACGTAACGACAGGTTTTCGTCCAAATGAAGCTGTTATTAAGAAACCAGATGAAACTATGTTCATAGTTGGTGGAACTCCATCACCAGAACTGCGTTCTCAAACTGATAAGAAAAAGGCCAAAAAACCTATTTCGAAGCTTGTCGATGACAAGAGCGAACCTAAAACTGGGACACACCCGACCACCACGGGTCAATCGAGCGCAGGGGTCCGAACACAATCTCTATTCACGCCTAAAAATCCACATGAGGGCAAAAACGGACGAACTTCCGAACACATTTTCTTCAGTAGCGACGAGGAAGAGTCGGAGCTCGACTCTTTGTCGGACGACTCAGATTTCTATGACGATGATGAAGAAGAAAAATACTACCAAACGCAATTGGACAAATTACTGTTCGACAAAAATGAGCGTCCTAATGGTAGCGGCGCAAGTTCGCCCCTAGCTGAAAAACATCATGATTCTAAAAGAAGTCTCCTTAGCGGTCTGTTTTTGAATGAGATGCAAAAAAGAGCGACCCCTTCTACCGTGGTCAGTCCGATAACTACTCAGCGACCGACATTACGTGAGAGCAGTATCACAGCTGTAGGCGATGTGACGCCTTCGGAGTCACACAAAAATCCATCCATATTCGGGCAAGATCTTCAACAGGACCACCCAAACAAACCTACAAAAAGTAGCTCAGCGTCTTTGTTCTCGGCTCGCAGGTCTCTCCGTGGAAGTTTCAGTAGTTTGTTGTCTGATGGTACCCGAGAGAGGTACACACATGAATCTAATGCCCCTCTGACGGCTCAGACCATTTTACCCACTGCACTCTCAACGCACATGTTCGTACCGAACAACGTACACCAGCAGCGATTGGCTAGGTCCGGAAGCGAGAAATTAAAGGGCAATCTACGACGAGAGTCGATGGACATTCCATCGAAAAACAGAAATAACTCCTTCCTGAAAACTCGTATGGAAATTTCAGAGGAAGAGAGTTTTACAAGAAATTTACCAAGAAGGAACTTGCATTGAGACCCAGTGGCCGACATTGATGAGAATGAAGTTGAGATGAGCGTGGTTGAGATAAGATGAGCTGCGATGAGATGACCTTTTTCGATGAGTTGACCGTTCCTGGTGAGTCTGATCGGAAATTCGATGTTTCGTCAACGATGACTGAAAAATTTCCAGTTTTATCCAGGTGATGTGGAAGACCATTTGAGATGAGATGAGCTGTTTAACAAGATTTGGAGAACGCCCAGATCTCGGTTAAATAACGTTCTAACTATGCTAAGAAAACAAGCACGCGAGCGCAGGGAATACCTGTATCGTAAAGCGCAGGAGTTGCAAGAATCTCAGTTACAGCAGAAACGGCAAGTTATCAAGCAAGCCTTGGCTCAGGGTAAACCGCTGCCCAAAGACATTGCAGAAGACGAACAGTTGCAAAAAGATTACCAGTACGATCAAACCATCCAAGAAACGATAGACGATGAATACAGTGCTACCAGTGGGATAGCAGATCCCAAAGTGATTGTGACCACGTCGCGAGACCCAAGTTCAAGACTTTCACAGTTTGCCAAAGAAATACGGCTCCTGTTCCCTACCTCTGTACGTCTGAACAGAGGTAACTATATCATGCCCAATCTGGTCGATGCCTGTAAAAAATCGGGCACTTCAGATTTGGTAGTACTTCACGAGCACAGAGGTGTACCTACAACTTTAACAGTCTCACATTTACCACACGGGCCCACTGCATTTTTCACGCTGCACAATGTGGTGCTAAAACACGACATTTTTAATGCGGGAAACCAAAGCGAAGTGAATCCACATTTGATCTTCGATAATTTCACAACACCTTTGGGCCAAAGAGTCGAAACGATTCTCAAGCATTTATTTCCTCCAGGACCCAAGAAGGACTCTCCGCGTGTCATTACGTTTGCCAATCGCGGAGATTTCATTAGTGTGAGACAACACGTTTATGTAAGGACTCGTGAAGGTGTCGAAATGGCAGAAGTGGGGCCTCGGTTCGAAATGCGGTTGTTTGAACTCAGACTCGGCACTTTGGAAAACAAAGACGCAGACGTCGAATGGCAACTCAGAAGATTTGTTAGAACTGCCAGTCGAAAGGATTATCTTTAAAAACAGAGTAACCAATGCATAGTCGAGTATATCCAATGTAACAACAGCATTATAAGAGGGCACCTACTTAGGGAAATTGTGGCCCAGTTTTTTTTACATTTTTCGGGCTTAATGCATGTATAGCAGTGTAAACTATGTGATTACTTCTTGTAGATGTACAACATTGACTTAATGGAGTTTCAATTATTAACAAATAAACGTATTTTGTATTGTGTGAGTGTAACTTATGAAGAGATCAAACTTAACTGTTTAAAGATGAGACAACGGTCGGTAGTGTACAGAGGGATAACTGAAGCTTTAGGATTGATTTCAAATAGTTGCATATCCAAAACGAAAATAAAGAAGAGGAAAAGATACAATAATAAATTGATATCTGTTCATTCAGGGCCATAAAAATCACATACCGGTTAATGTGAAGAATCAGAATCATAACCAAATAAAAAAATAATAATAATAAAATCAAATCAAATCAAATCAAATCAAAAGGTTTCATGTTTCTATCACCACTGTCATCCTTAAATTCAGGCGTCCGTCGCACTACTCATTTTTCTCCGGAGTACTTCACCAACCGAGTTGGATTGTAACGAAGAGGCCTCGTTGTAGAGAACGTCATTCATGTTTTGAGTATTACCGCTAGGCGCACTGTTAGCAGTACTTCTGGATTGACTCAGAAATGGAGATATGTTACTGGCGAAAGAGTAAGTCCTATTGGAATACGGTGGATGGGCTTTTTTGAAACTGTTTTGGGTAGATGTCCGAGAAAGACGTGGCCCCGTGACGGTGTTGTATAAATTTTGGGAATTAGTGGCATTATTCATGAGTGTAGGAGAATTGGGTGAAGTTGCCATATCTTGATCGGACTCGTCCTCGCTTGTCGAACAATCGCTGCCACTACTTTCAAGATGAAATTTACCCTTTTGCTTCGAATCAGCAGTAGGGCGAGCGCTAGATGCCGGTGCCGAGGTTGGGATCGAGGGTGAAGTGACAAATGAACGACAGCTGACACCTGTAGGCGATCTAGACAAGGTTTTGGAATGCTGGGGAAATTGTCTGCAGGAGGATCCAGTCGTGGATATGTTGGAAGGAAGGGATTCACGTCTAGTACCCTTGAAGGAATTGGTGAAAATCGGTTGTGGAGAAGCCCGGGCCCAAGAATTGGACAGAGATTGTGATAAAGAGGGTCTGCGTGAGTGCGCGTTTTCATCTGACAACATGTCCGCGTAGGAGTAAAATCTAAGAACGCGAGGTCTCTCAACACCCCGATCTACGGCGGTTGCGGTACTTTGAGTGCTTTGACCGCTTGCACCGCTTGCGTTACTAGCCGCACTGGCAAAACTGGATGTGCTTATGGCGGAGGTAAAACTGGCGTTGCTGGCCGCCCGGGATAGCATGGGCAAGTTGGTGTGGGATCCAGAAGTGCGAGTACGACCCAACGCCATATCGAGCCCCAACGTGGAGGGTCGACGTGAATATATCATCTCGACGTTGTCCAAATCCGTGTCAGGCTCTGCGACGAGCGAGGCACCCGCGTCAAGGGCAGGTGCAATCATGTCTTCAAGCGCACGACGACTGGGCTGTCTGCACAAACTCTCATTGGGTGGTGGGGCAGAGACTCCGGCGCCTGCGGCGCCGGAGGCGGCACCAGTACTCCCTCCACCTGGTCCCTCCCGAGGGGCCGAACGCGAGCCGGGAGACGTTCCCTCGCCAACCATGGCGGCCTGTTCAGCGGCGCTGGGACTGCCGTACATTTGCGTATGCGGTTCTTCGACGTTACGCTCGAAAATCATCGAGCTCACGCTGCCACTGAACTCCGGGTGTTGGGTCGAGAATGGTTCCGAAGGAGCGTCCTGAAACACGTCCTCGCCATTACCGTAGTCCTCGTCCATCTGTGGTGCTGTGTCTGTTGCTGCTGCTGCCTTGAGTACCTTCTAGAGCTTGTCAGAAGGGTTTAGTTTCAAGACCGGTGCGTTTTGAGTGAGGGAATCCGGCTTCGAGCGTGTGCACTACCGTGAGTGTGTGTATTCGGAACACTGATATCGCTGGCGTGCAAACAAGATTTGAATAGCTGGTAGCTTTCCAAGTATGCAACTGTGCTACTTCAAATGGGGTTTCCAAATGTGCTTCAGATATATTAGGAAAGAGCGAGGGAGAAAGAGAGACAGAGAGAAAGCACTAAGATTAACGAACCCCCCTCTTCCTCCTAGCCGAGCCTAAAACGTATGCAGGCATACTGAAGGAGATAAAGTGACTTCCGCTCGTCCTAGACGACGTCCTTGACTAAAGTCCTTGCCGCTTTTCCGGGTAGCAGTCTTAGGGGAGATGTGGCTTATGGGTGCACGGCTGTTGTGGCGGTGGGTGCATGGGTGTATAGATCTAATATAGAACAGGCACCGCCAACGTGCGTGCGTGCATGCCAGAGTGCATGCGTATACCGTTACCCGGCCATCAAGGGCACATACCGAAAATGCACGGCACCGCGCCGGAGGCAGAGGCAGGAGACAAAAAAAATTTTTTTCAACATCTATACTGTCTCTTGACCTATTGCCCGGTTTAAGACGCCCGAGGGGCCCGCACCGGTGGACACACATTGGATCTGGAACTTCTTGAGCGGATGTGTGCTGCTGCTTAATTGCATTAGCGGGGTGTTGCTGTTCTGTTCCAAATCTCCGTGTGTCACGTGCCAGGTGTTGGGTGTTGGGTGTTTTTCTTGGCGCTTAAAGTACCCGAAAGAAAAAAGGGGGGGAAGAAGATCGCTGCTCGAGAGAAGATCTCAGGGGTCTCGAGCCCCCCTTTTATACTTTTTCAGGGGGCCCCGGGGCGATCCCGGAGCGTCACAACGAAGCTGACACAAAAACGAAAAAGCTGCGTGACCGCGTAGCAATACCCCAATTGTACTTGTTCGACTTCCTCTGTGTGATCCAATCAAACCCGGAGCTTTGAGAGCAAAGCCCACTGGATCACATTGAAGGGACGACTCGAGTCTAGGCCTTTGGCTTTCCATCGGAGCCGCCAATCCCCTTCATTAGCATGATGAATATTAAAATACTGCGTTATCGTCTTGAGCCTGTTTAACTACAGCTGCAGGAAAAGAGCAAACAACACCACTGAAAGCTATGAAGGTGTGTAGGTAACTTGAAGTCTTTAGTCTTGTAGATGGAGTAGGGAGAAAAAGAGCTGAGCGGCTAAAATGGGATGATATTCGTAGATAGTGATCTATAGAGTGCTATCTATCGCGGTTTTTATGAGTCAGGGCGCTTTAGAGAGTTAGTGGTGGTTCAATGGGACTGGATACTACCACGTAGAAGCCAAGCACAAGTTCTACGGATCTTTTTATCTCTGTCCTGAGTTTGTCACGCTTGTTCGCTTTGTTTTTGCCGATTTGGTGATTTTTGAGCCGCCGAAAAAGAGGAAGGGAGTCTAAACTTTGGAGACTTGGTGCCATCTAGAGGAGGTTTGGCACAATATCAAAAAACAAGCGGCCTCTCCAAATGAATAGACTGGGCAGGTGTCTCCGGTGACGGGCGGGATGTCTGCAATTGAACAACGAAAAATATGTACTTCTAGTAGAGCATCGCCGTCTAGCAGGTCGGGTTGTTGTTGTGGGCCCTTTGGGCCCACAACACATCCCGTTTTTTGTTACATCTTGCGCTGTAAGGCGGCTTTCCGAAAGACTTGTTTACCTATCGCTGTGTGTTTTTCACCGCGATTGTGAAAAAGATATCCAGCCCAGTACGACCGCGATAGAGTGCCGATACCAGGACACAATGTTTCGCGTAGATCGAGCAAGATTTGTGGGTTTTCGGTTATACAGTGGGACGGCTTGTTTACGCCAGCAGGCGGAGGTTACACTGGATTTTGGTAAGAGAAACGAAATCATCTTGAGATCTCTGAACCGGTTCTACCCCTCTGTATCGACCTTAGCCCGGCCTACTGCGACGATACACGAGTTTGGCGCGAAATACAAGGACATATACGAGGACCAGCCGCATGTGATCGAGGTATTACGAGGCAAAATTAAGTCCGTGCGGGTTGCGGGCAAGAACATGTGTTTCGTGAACGTGACAGCGCTGCACGCAGAACTCCAGCTTATCCTGAACTTCAAAGTGATGCACAAGGCGCAGCATCATGTGGATACAGAACTGACGTCTGAAGCATTTCAAGCAAGTATCCAGAACCTCAGACCCGGTGACCATATCCAAGCCGTCGGGTTCCCTGGTCTTTCACAGCGACAGCGTACGCTGTCGCTGAAATGTATATCACCAGCGCAGACTTTGGCACCGGCACAGCTGCCGGTACCTCCGAGACTTGTTGATCCGGTCAAGCGCAAGCAGAATCGGGTTCTGGACTACTTGGTCAACGGTCACCAAGCATTGGTGGTCCGGCACAGGACCGTCAAGGCGATTCGTCGGTTTCTGGACGCTCGCGAATTTCTGGAAGTAGAAACGCCTATGATGTCTGCACAGTCCAACGGTGCTGCAGCCGAACCCTTCGAGACCAGATCCAAAGCGTTGCATCAGAAACTACAGCTCCGGATCGCTCCAGAGCTGTGGCTCAAACGGCTGGTCGTCGCAGGCTGTGAAAGAGTTTACGAGATCGGCAAAGTGTTTCGCAACGAGGGCATCGACGCGACCCACAACGCAGAGTTTACTACGCTCGAGTTTTATCAGGCGTACGCGTCGATGGAGGATCTCATCACAATGTCAGAACAGCTTTACAGGTACGTGCTTGAAGACGCACAGACACTAGCAGCGGCTCGTCTGTTACAAGAATTCAGCGAGAACAGGTTCTGTTTCAGACGGGTCGAGTTTCTTGCGACTCTGAGCCGCGAGACCGGTGTCGAATTCGAGAAACTCGATTTGCAAGACGCTGGCGCCATGAGGCAGGCATTGCAGCAACGCGGTTTGGACGCACCGTCTGAGTGTGCTTCGCCGCAGCAGATGCTGAATTACTTGTGTGGAAAGTATATTGAGGACAAATACTGTCAGGGCTCGCTTCCGACTTTGATATTTCACCATCCCACGGTGATGTCTCCGCTGGCAAAGGGAAACACGGCGGACAACATGAAAACCTCGAAACGCTTCGAGGTTTTCATTCGTGGCAAAGAGTACATCAATGCGTATGAAGAGGAGAACTGTCCGCAACAACAATTGGCCAAATTTAAAGCTCAACAAGCTGCCAGAGCCACTTATGGGGACCAAGAGTCGCTACAAATCGACGAGAACTACGTCGACGCCATGAAATGGGGCATGCCGCCTATCGGTGGATTTGGACTCGGCATTGATCGTCTTTGCATGCTTCTCACAGACTCCAAAAGAATAGAAGAAGTGCTTAGTTTCGGGAGCCTCGACGATGTCAACCGACAATAATCACAGTACCAACAAGTTCCTGTATAAAACTAGTCATACAAATTTACATAGCAGAGCTCTTATATACCATCCCATCTCTTGGTTGGGTTTTCTTCGGTTATCCGCATAAATAGCGTCAATTAGAAAATCGCGTCGTGCAAGCTCATCGTATGAACAGAAAACGCGACAAATAAGCACACAAAATCACGATAGAGGGCCGTTTCCTGAGCCAATTATCTCGCGGCGGATAGTAAAGAATGAGTTCTATTGTATCCAATTCTAACGATCCTCCTACGGTAACTTTCAGTGCCAGTTCTTTGCACACGAAGACGTTTTATTCTGACGTGCCCGAAACGATCGTGAATACCAACAGTCCCGTCATTTTAGGCGTTGATGAAGCAGGTCGTGGGCCCGTGTTGGGTCCTATGGTCTATGGGATCAGTTACTGCACTCGGAGTTATCAAGAAGACGTATTGAAGCGCGATTACGAGTTCGATGACTCCAAGAAGCTTACAGACACGGTCCGTCGTAAGCTTTTCCGGTACATTTACGAGAACCGAATCGACCAAGTCGGCTACGCGACGACGACGATTACCGCGAGCGACATTTCGAGCGGTATGCTGCGCTTCCCGCCTGAGAAAAACTACAACCTCAACGAGCAAGCGCACGACGTGACGATCAATTTGATTCGAGGCGTCCTGGATCGAGGTGTGCGCATTGAGCACGTATATGTCGACACTGTGGGACCTCCAGCGAGCTACCAACGCAAGCTGGAAGGGGTTTTCCCGAATGTCAAGTTCACAGTCGCCAAAAAGGCCGATTCGTTGTTTTGTTGCGTAAGTGTGGCAAGTGTTGTGGCCAAAGTGACGCGTGATATCCTTGTTGAGCAATTGCGTACGCTTCCAGGCGAGATCCTGGGGTCTGGATATCCTGCCGACGCCAGAACCACTGACTGGCTCAAGGCGAACAAATCAAGTCTTTTCGGCTGGCCCGAAGCGGCAGTGCGATTTTCCTGGCAGACGGCCCAGACGATGCTGGATAAAGATTCTGAAGATGTACCCATCGAGTGGGAAGAGTCGTTCATAACCAAGAAATTCAATCCGGCTTTATTCGAACCCCAGGACAAGATCGTTACACTGGATAATTGGTATGCCTGAATGTGAACATTATGACGAAATCGTGGCGAAAACGAGAGATCTCGAGCCCGGTAATTCGAGGGGGGATAATCTCTGGTGTCTGAAAATTTTCTTGCGCTTCTGACTTCGTTCCTACTCAACTCATACAGATGACCTCGGTCTTCTAGGTGCTACGAATAAAAAGGCTCTGCTGGAAGATGCTATAGACCAGCTACGGATTGGGTTCAAATTTTTGTATCACCTCCACGAGAGGCTCTAAAATCTAATCCTTAAATGGGCCCTGTTGGTATATTAGTACTCTGTCAAATCGAGTTCTTCCCTCGTGTCGTTACCGTTCACCGCTTTTCCGTCCAATACGATTGATCATCTTCGTTATCCATATAAGGTCAAAATTTTCAGATGATCAGCAGCATAAAAGGGGACCAAGAGATAACCCATATCTCATATAAAGAGGCCAGATTCAGGGACCAATTTCGATTCCACGAACCACTTCATCATACTCGTTTGATTGAAGAACTTTTTCCCAATTTCCTCGTTGTTTGAATCCCTTTTTTAGCGCCAAAATCCGTTTAATGTCAGCCCTTACTCGTGCTCTGCCAAGACTTAGAACTGCTACAGCTGTAGTGCAGCAGGCTGCTAGACAACAGCTTAGATGCTATGCGTCTTATCCACCACACACTGTGATTGGCATGCCGGCTTTGTCGCCCACGATGACGAAGGGAAATCTGGCAGTTTGGTCCAAAAAAGTTGGTGATAAGCTTGAACCTGGTCAAGTAATTGCGGAAATTGAGACCGATAAAGCCCAGATGGAATTTGAATTCCAAGAAGACGGTTATTTGGCAAAGATTTTGGTCGAAGAAGGTACAAAGGATATTCCAGTCGGTAAGCCTATCGCCGTGTACGTCGAAGACGAGGGCGACGTTGCGGCGTTCAAGGACTTTACTGCTGAGGAGTCTGCTCCAGCCAAGAAAGAGACTGAGAATACCGGCGAGAAGGAGGGTGAGAAGGATTCCGCTTCTTCTTCTTCGGACAAGGCTTCGAAACCCGCCAAAAAAACGGAATCTTCTTCTCCTGCGACTAAAGCTCCAACTGGCAGAATCTTTGCGTCTCCACTTGCCAAGACCATTGCTTTGGACAAGGGAATTTCCTTGAAACAAGTCACAGGCACTGGTCCTAACGGCAGAATCACCAAATCGGATGTCGAAGAGTTCCTGTCTAAGGCACCCAAAGCCGCAAGCGGCGCCAGCGCTAACGCTGGCACCCCTGCTACTGTGAGCAGCTCGTACGAGGACGTACCAATCAGCAACATGAGAAGAATCATTGGAGAGCGCTTGCTGGAGTCCACCCAAGGCACTCCTTCCTACATTGTCTCGTCGCAGATCTCGGTGTCGAAGTTGTTGAAATTAAGGCAATCTTTGAACGCTACGGGTAAAGACGAATACAAGCTCTCGGTCAATGACATGCTGATCAAGGCCATAACTGTGGCAGCAAGAAGAGTGCCCGACGCGAATGCGTACTGGCTACAGAACGAAGGCGTTGTTCGGAAGTTCAAGAATGTCGACGTTTCGGTCGCCGTCGCAACTCCAGCGGGTTTGCTGACTCCTATTGTGAAGAATGCTGAGTCCAAGGGCCTTGTTTCGATCTCCAAAGAAGTGAAAGATCTAGGTAAACGTGCAAAGGCTAACAAATTGATGCCAGAGGAATTCCAAGGTGGTACCATCTGCATATCCAACATGGGTATGAACGACGCGGTTTCCATGTTCACCTCGATCATCAACCCACCTCAATCCACTATCTTGGCTATCGGTACTGTTCAACGTGTCCCTGTTGAAGATGCGGGCGCCGAGTACGGTTTCTCGTTCGACGATAAGATGAACATCACGGGTACGTTTGACCACAGAACAATCGACGGTGCAAAGGCTGGCGAATTCATGAGAGAACTGAAAAAGGTCGTGGAAAATCCCCTACAGATGCTCTTGTAAATGCAGCTACACATGTAAAAATATTCCTGCAGTTTTCAGAATCCTCACAGTTTCGTCGCGGTTTGTGGTGAAACCGGCTTTTCCGCAATTTTTCGCTGAACTCTAAGCATGTACCTGGCTTGTTGTTTGGAAAACATCAAGTGCACATATATATCAAATCATATGCCGCTCTTGCTAATCAGCGGTTACGTCAGTCGTTGGTCTTTAAGAGTTCTTGCAAATTGACGGTCGTTTGATCATGATCATCATGTACGGATCTCAAATTTTTCAAAATTAGACCTACTTAAGATCAACGACTTTCCAACTACAATGTGAAGAACTCAAATAAGATCTCCTGACTGAGGCCCATTTGATCTGTACTTAGTGTCCTACAAGAAACTGCACATATTTTTCCACGTTAAACAATGTCTTACCTTCCTTCCTTCATTTTAAGCGATGAGTCTAAAGAACGTATAACTAAAATTCTGAATTTATCCCAAACTGTGGCCCATTACGGATGGCTGCCGTTCGTTCTTTACTTGGGATGGGCACACAGTTCTAATAGACCCAATTTGTTCAGTCTGTTGAGTCCCTTGCCTAGCGTTTGAATCGCATCGCATCGCTGTGTAATTGGTTAGGTTACCTGTATATATCGAAAACTGAATGAAAAGTCTAATGTGAAGGTGTGAAAAATTATAATTTCACTCATTTGTTACTTAAGGCTAGGTTGGACCCTAGTCGCTATCATTGAGTTTGGATCACTTCTTTTGGTTTGATGACCCTACAAGAACATCGTTGAACCTTGGAATTTCAAATCTTGCGAGAATCCAGACAAATCATGGAAAGCAAACGACTGAGAAACGAAGTGACTGCGGGACTCACCTCTGGGTTACTCACCACGGTGGTAACACATCCTTTGGATTTGGTGAAACTCCGGCTCCAGTTATTGGCTACGTCGAATCCGTCGCAAGGCTACGACTACATTATTCGTGGAATTTTAAAAGATTCTACTGGCATAAAGAGCCTAATACCGGAGCTTTATAGGGGTTTGGGCGTGAATATACTGGGAAATGCAACTGCGTGGGGGTTGTACTTTGGTTTGTATCGTTACTCAAAGGACGCTGTGTTCAGTATTTGGACAGGCCACCGACGAAATGAAATTTCGAGCAATTTCGAAGTGGATCGTCAAATGGGTCCATTTCTATACCTTTTCTCGGCGACTTTGAGCGGCTTGACCACTGCAGTCCTTACAAATCCAATCTGGGTTGTTAAGACAAGAATAATGTCTACAAACGCACGCGCTGAACAAAGTTATCGCTCGACGTGGGATGGAATACGTCAGTTATACACTTCTGAAGGACTAAGTGGATTTTGGAGAGGTTTAGGACCAAGTCTTTTAGGAGTAGCACAAGGTGCTCTTTATTTTACGCTCTATGACAGCTTGAAGAAGCATTATTTTGCAGCGACAGGTGTAAAGCGAGATACACAACTTTCCAATTTCGAGAATATATTCATGACTTCTATCAGTAAAATGATATCTGTTTCGGCAGTATATCCGTTTCAACTTTTAAAATCCAATTTACAAAGCTTCGAGGCTCAATTGCATCAAAATTCTTTCCAAGCGACTACGCTTGTGAAATCTATATATGCGGCAAAGGGGCTTAAAGGACTATACAAGGGTCTGAGTGCTAATCTGATTCGAGCAGTACCGTCTACATGCATCACCTTCTGCGTTTACGAAAATATGCGACACTGGCTATAAAAGACGCTGATGGGTTAAAAAACAATTTGGAACGCGAATAAAACTTTACAATTTTATTAGTTTAAGTTATACAAAAAGACTTTGAGTTTGGTAGCTTTGTTGTACAATTCATGATATTTAGTAGCCGAGAGAAGCCAATTTTTGAGCGGCTTCGGACTCAGCGGAAGAGGCCTTAGCGGCAACAACCTTTTGGTTGAAAGCCTTCTTCTTGGCGTAATATTCAGCAGATCTGACCTTTCTCTTCTCTTCCAACTTGGCAACAACGTCTTCGTATTTCCAGCCAACAGAAGACGACAATTTGCCCAAAGTGGTGTACTTTCTACCTGGCTTCAATCTCAAGACTCTCAAAGCCTGTGGAACAACGACTCTCTTCTTCTTGTCGTATGGTGGTGGAACACCTTCGAAGACCTTCAAACGTTCCATGGCAGCCTTACCACGGGCGGTCTTGTGAGAAACCATACCACGAACAGCCTTGTAGAAGATTCTGGATGGAGCTCTGAAGTGGAATGGACCACGAGTCTTGTTGAAGGCAGTAGCCTTTCTCAAGAAGTCATGGTACTTCAGCTTGTTTCTGAAAAACTCACCAGAGATGTTCAAAGCCTCGGCTCTGACAACGACGATCTTTTGACCGTTCAACAATTGCTTAGCAACAGTTGAAGCCAAACGACCCAACAAGTGGCCCTTACCTGTAGAATTTCGTTAGTATTGAATTGATGAGTTTTTTTTGGCAGTGGGGGACTGACTCTGCGGCTGACTCGAGCAAACTGTGCACTCATCGCTAATGTGAATGTTCCTCACACTTTGCTTACACTTCCCAGAGTGCCTGTGCATGTAATTTTACCCATTTCGCTATCGTCATGAGTCAACGATTCTACACGCAAAACGCTTCAAAATCGTCCGCTATTTCGTCTCCCACTTCCAATTCATAGCTTGAATAGAACGTACCGTCAATAACAACAACTGGTTCGAATGAAGACATCTCTTTGGTTGTGGTTTGCTACTTCTGTAGAAACCAAGTGTTAGGTTCACCACTTGTCAGTTGCCAATTTTTTTTGGCAAACACGATCCCACATCCAGTCACCACTGGGAGAATCGACGAGAAGCCGGGTCTGGGAGGTACCACGAGGCTGGCGGTACCGTTGCGGTAGGACTCCAGGCGGAGGTGCCGGGACTCTGGACAGAGCTCCTCCAGCAGTGCAGACGGGACCAGCCCCAGCCTAGCGCTCTCGAGCGTCGCCCTCCCAGGCTGGCTACCTCCGCCGTAGACAGGCAGTCTGGCCGTCTCACGCAGGATAGTGCCACTTGCGCGTCTTCCGCGTTTCTGGCTCTCACGCACGCAGTGCACATACTCTGAGATATTTTTCACAAGTTGTTGGCATCTGGTGTATGGATGTGTAACTGACCATTTGGGATTTCTGGTGTACGGATGACAGTCGTGTATTGTCAGCCCCGGTGGGTTACCGTCTAAAATGATATAAAGCCCTGATTCAGAACGTCACAATATGCAGTCCGCGTAGTATTTGCAAAGGTAGGTGGAAAACGGGTTTCCCTCTGCCGAATTGCGTTTGGGTCGTTTGCGTGGCAGTGCGGACTTGGCCTGGTTTTGGTCGGTAGCTGAAATCTGCGAGTTTTGATCTGCGGGAAACACGACCAAAGTTCTGAACTCGGAACTGGCATTCCCTGCCGTGCGAAGCCTGAGCATACAGTCCTTGAGCACAGCGTGCGCCTGCACAGCACTGCGTAAAGACGAGTTCCGGAACATAATCTCGAGGCCGTTCAAGATGATTATCACGCGGCCTTGGTGAGCACCAGAACCAACCTGGCTTGCGATGCGATCCCGTTGGGCCGTTTGGACAAGTTTTTGGACCAATGTGGCCAATTCTTGCATATCGAGACAGACTATAACGCGTATTCTATCGTAAATCTCGGGTTCCGTCCTGGGCGGCAGCTTTTCTCGGAATTTGTTTAAGGGAAAACGATCCATCGCGTCTATAAAATAAACGGTACGCGCCGCTAATTGGTCCTGTGGGGCCATAAGCGACACAATTATTTCTCCTAAAGTATCTGCAGAGTCATTGAAATATACTGACAAAATATCGAGATCACCAAGCGCCGATGACGTTGTCGTGGTCATAGCTTTTCAGCGTTACCATATTCGCTTTTATTTGATATGTCAAGCTTGAAAATAAATTTACATGATAACAATGAGTAACAAATGAGTAACAATGAGTAAACTGATATATGAGAATCTCGAATAAGCCCATCGCGACTACGTTAAGCGATCGTGAAAACGTTAGAATCTATAGAGACATGCAGAATGGAAACTGTCTATGAAATAATTAACCCAAAACAAAAAATAGTTCAATTTTCTTCGTCAACAACACTCACTTTGGCGTTTTCTCTGTCCAGCATCAGTTGCTTGACTCCCGGTGCATGGGATTCTTGTCCGGTCTTTAAGGGCGACGAAATGTAATCGTCCTGGTCCTTTTCCATGTTGTCGTCTGGTTTTGTCTTGATGTGTAGCGTGGGTGAGTTTTCGTCGTCTCTGACAGCAGAGCCCTGAGAAATGGTCGGACCTATGGGTCGCAAATGTCGATTGCTACTCATTGGGTTGTGCGGTTGGTCGTCTTGGCCGCGAAACGCGGCTGGAGTGTTGTTCACTGAACTAAATTGCAGTAAATTCCAAACTCCAGGCGAACTTTGCGCCGTTTGCCCGCCCTGGCGTGCCGACAACCTAACATCTTGTGCTTGGTGATTCAAGCTGTTCTCAGTGGGTGATCTATTGGACTGTGAGCTACCTCGCTCCGGCGTGTACGCTTCTGTTGGTGTAATGTGGAACGGCTTGGTTGGAGACCGTAGGAGAGGGTCTTTACCTGGGGACAATCGAGCCCCACTGGAACTAGGAGGTGCAGGGCCGTGGGAAATTGAAGGACGTGTGCTGGGCCGCGGTAGTGGGAGTTGGTGTTGTGGGTGTACAGCGGATTGCTGGCGTAGCGGAATGTTCAACGGCGGCTGCATGACAGGCGATATGGGACGTTGTTGAGCGAGCGGCGTAAAAGAGGAAGCCGGAGGCAGAATAGGTTGTGGCGGTGGTAATGAATTGGAGAATTGCACGACACGTTCCTGGCGAGGACGTTGAGGTTGTGGCGATGGTTGTGGCGGTGGTTGTTGTTGTTGTTGTTGTTGTTGTCGTTGCTGTTGCTGTTGCTGCTGTTGTTGCTGTTGCTGTTGCTGCTGTTGTTGTTGTGCTTGTTGTGCTTGTTGTACTTGTTGTGCTTGTTGTGCTTGTTGTGCTTGTTGTTGCTGCGAAGTTGGGAGGACCTGCTGCGACGAGGACTCGAAGTGGGGCGGATAAGAAGACATCTCGTGTTGCGGTGATGGCAGTTTCTGCCACGAGTCCAAATTCGAGTCTTGCATCGGTAACGCGTTAAACTTGGTCATGTGCAACTGCAGCTGGCGCGCCACAGACGAGCCTCGTCTAACTTTGGAAATTCTCCCGGAGTGCCATTTGTCCAGAAATTCCTTTTGATAGTCTTCGCTAATACGCCATTTCATACCTTTACCAGGCTCATTTGGTTTTCGTGGGACCTTTTCAAAGGCTTTGTTCAAAGAAAGATTGTGTCTGATTGAGTTTTGCCAGCCGGTCTTAGCATGGCGGTAGTACGCGAAATTGGAAGAGATGTATTTGTAGATGTCGGCTAGTAACAGAACACCCTCAGGATTGGATAAAATGGCCTGAGTGATCATGGTCGCGTAGGAGTAAGGCGGTTTGACATTTTTGTTTTCGTCTCGAGAAAGATCAGAGGCGATGTCGTGTGAGGACGGGAAAGACGGATCCATAATGGTCCCGTAGCCTGAAGCAAACGCCGGTGTCGAGTAAGAGGCCATCGCCGCAGCGCCGCCGGAACTGTCGTAAGAATTGTACATGCGGAACGCCTTTACGGCGTTTTTCGGTTGCGAAAAGCCTCTCAACAGGTCCTGGATGAGCGGATTAGTGCTCGTGGCGCCGTACATGGAATTCAATTTTGGCGCTAGGTGATCAAGAGCCGCTTGCTCCAAAAACGGCACTTGATCGGGCAGTATAAATATCATTTGAGTGCCGCCTATGTCGAGCACGGACCCAGACTGCAATTGGACGGACTCGGACTGGGGACCGGCCGGGACACGATGGAAATTGACTTTGGCACCATTGCGGCCTTGCACTTGCAACTCCCAACAGCTCTCGTTGAGATTGTACTTGATGGACGCGTGTTTCCGCGAAACGACTTTGGCGGGCCCTAAATCGATATCGACGGATTGATCGTGCGGGTCTGTGTTGCGGCCAATCGTGACCACAAGGTGCTTGACGTAGAAGGTCCAGCCCCGGCCTGCGATCTTTGCGTACGCCTGCACCTCGGTGGCCATGTTGCGCTCATTGGAGTACACGTTCGCGACGGAGGTCGGCTGCTCTGGAGTGGCAAGCACCGATATTATGGCATTGACCAGGTCCTGTGAGGAGGGTGAGAGTTAGTAGCTGTCGTTTGGGGCGTGGATTTGTGCATTTAGCCGCCCAGCTCGCTGTTACGTAATCCTCGAACTCCGAGTCTATTTTTAGAACAAATTCCACCCTTGCCTCCCGGTAGGCGGTTGTTTCGTGACGAGTGATTACAGTTATGCACGTGACTTGCCGCCGCGCAGCGCACTGTGTACGGTCCGCGTCCGCGCACTTATTTTTTCTCCTTCCCTTTAAACCAGTTTTCCTTCTAGGCCTCTATCCCCTCCTTATTTCCGCGCGGACAGCCCGGTCATCCCTCACGGCCAGAAAAACCACGCTCCAGCTCACTAATCAGAAAGCAAAGCAAAATCCATATACCACCGTAAACAAAACCATAACAAGGCGTTTCTCACACATACCTGCTGCTGTTGTGCAGTGCCCAGCAACTGGCCCTTGGAGGTGTTCATGTGCTTGGCGTAAGCAAGGAACCAGCTGCTTTTCTGTCTTGTATAATTTGCGTTGTCGACGCCTTTGGCGGGCTTGTTTGTTGACAAAACAAAACCAAAATCACTGGGCTTTGTAAGTTGGACGGAAGAAAAACATTGATGAGAAGAGAGGAGGGGTGAGGCCGTTCACAGTGATCGAGAGCTCCGACCGGGCGAAAGGAGAAAAAGAAAAGAGGGCGGGCTTCCGTGGAGAGCGATATCTCCGTGTACGGTTTTTCGGTAGCGTCACGTGAAGTGTTGATGTCACTGTCCACGACTCCGAGATCTCACCATGCAACTCTCAGTACCGATTTACCTACATCCAATAACGACGCTGGCAAAATTGCCTCAACCATTCTTTAGTCCAATACCAAGCTCTTAGATGTCTATGGAATCCAAGTCCGGTCTCTAGATTGGTGATCTTTCAGCTGTTTTTTCCCGCACCGTTCCCAGGTCAAGTTCGAACTCCCCATCTCATGTCAGAAGCACAGAGTAAACGCAGACGAGTCACCCGCGCGTGTGACGAATGTCGCAAGAAGAAGGTCAAATGTGATGGGCAACAGCCCTGTATCCATTGCACCGTGTACTCGTATGAGTGTACCTACAATCAGCCCTCTAAGCGGAGTGCTACGACGACGGCGACGACGGCGACGACATCGACAACTACATCGACAATGGCCCCCGCTGCGGGCTCCGCTGCGAACCTAGCGTCCGCGGGGTCCACCACGTCACGTGCGCGTCCTCCTCAGAAAGCGGTAAGAACTCTTCAAATGCAGCTTGCCAAGTACAAGATGCTTTTCAGTCAGCTGTTCCCGCAATTGCCCAATGTCGAGAATCTTGACGTTCCGACGTTCGTGAAGGTTTTCCAGAATTTCAACAAAGACAACCAAAGTATACGCGACACGATCAAAGAGTATCAAATGATTGCGTCGTCAACGGGGAATTCTCCCACTGTGTCTGTGACGCCAGATTCTTCTGAAAATCTCGAAGGCATCGAAGGTGTCGATGGTTCGATCCAATCCCATGAAGGTCGTGAAATCACCATTCTGCTTCCTCCGAAGCCCGTTGCGCTTCAGTTTATTCAGGTCACTTGGGAACATTGTTGCGTATTGTTCAGGTTCTACCATCGTCCCAGTTTCATTCAAAAACTCGACGATCTTTACGAAACGGACCCTCACGAATACACGCATGAACATATGCAATTTTTACCACTTTGCTATGCGGTTATGGCTGTAGGCGCCCTTTTTTCTAAATCCATTCAGAGTGTCGACCAAGAACAAGCTTCTTCAAGTTCAAACCAGTTTTTACAAGACGAAGGCTACAAGTATTTCATTGCCGCAAGAAAACTTATCGATATCACAAACGCGCGTGACCTCAATTCTATACAGGCCATGGTTATGCTGTTTATTTTCCTGCAGTGCTCAGCGCGTCTTTCGACTTGTTATACTTACATTGGTGTCGCCATGCGTAATGCACTCCGCGAAGGTATGCACAGAAATTTATCCGCGGAAGGTCACGGTTTTACCCTCATAGAAATTGAAATGCGCAAGCGGTTATTCTACACGATTTACAAAATGGACGTTTATGTCAATACCATGTTGGGTTTACCACGCAGTATATCTCAGAGAGATTTCGATCAAGCGCTACCGTTGGAAATTGCAGACGAATATATCACTGAGACTGCCGTTTATCCAGAACGACAAGGAGATGAGCTTTCATCTGCTGGTATCGCAAACCATCATACAAAATTAATCATGATTCTAGACAATATCGTGGCCGAGTTGTATCCGGTGAAAAAGACTAATAATTTAATCTCGCACGAAGTTGTTACAAAGCTTGAACTCAAGCTGAGACAATGGCTCAATAAACTCCCACCAGAATTGATTCCTGGAATAAAAGATGTGCCACCGAAGTATGAACGCGCCAATGGACTTTTACATTTGTCGTTCCTTCAAGTTCAGGTCATTCTTTATAGACCTTTCATTCACTATCTTTGTGCGCCTTCGGTGCAAAACACAGATTCGCTCTCCATACTCAGAGCTCGAAACTGTATATCGGTGGCTCGTACCGTGGTAAAACTTGCCCATGAAATGATTGAAAAGAAGACCTTGGCGGGTTCTTATTGGTTTAGCATTTACACGATTTTCTTCTCCGTTGCAGGCCTTATCTACTATGTGCATGAGGTGACTCCAACAGATGCAGCATCGACAAGAGAATACGAAGAAGTTTTACAGGATGCAGAACTGGGGAAAAGAGTCTTGTTGCAGCTGAAGGACACCAGTATGGCCGCCAATAGAACTTACAACCTTCTCAACACTTTGTTTGAAAAATTTAACTCGAAAACCATTAGATGGAGTCACGACAAGCATGGCCAGAGTTCGAACGAAGATTCAAAACTTTCGAATAATGATACCACAGAAAATCATATTAAAGTTGGGAATACACCAAGTGCCTATACTTTAGACTCGGTGAATCCCAACGTGATGGCGTTTGACACAACACAAGACTTCATCTCACAACCTACAGCAACAATTTCTGGAGTTAACACTATTAATACAATTAATACTTCTAATTCTTTGTCAACAAAAGAATTTAGAAGTATAAGCGAATCTCCCTTGGACGTGGATAAGTTTTTTGATCTCGGTGATAACATGACTTCAACTATGCCACAAGCCACCCCTCAAATGGGTTCCGATACACCTCAGGTCAAGCTGGAATTCGATACGCCAGGAGAATCGAAAATGGATCAAAATAACTCAGAGTCTTATATTCCAGGTACCTTCGACCAGTTAGACGTACAGCTTTTCGGCAGGTATTTACCTCCTTATATGTCGCAGCAGAAGGAGTCACCTGGTAACTAATCAAGTTCACTGCTTTTGAAATAAGAAGAGCCAGTGCTTGTGTCTCTTTTGATACTTTCTTTAGGCAAACTAGGCCAAGCGATTCTAATTAGAACCTCTAACCATCATTCTTCACTAGAGTTCTTAATGTTCCACTACATTTATATATGCATTGATAATTATTTAAGCTAGTACTGCTCATCGACTGTAAGACTCTCCATCAAAATCTGGGCTTTCTACCTTCTAAGCCAAGTTCAACTCGGACAATTAACCTCCCGCTACCGAATCATTACTGACAGACCTATTTTGTAATTCATCTTGTAGAGAAAGAAGTTGTTTCTCGATAAGCAGATCGTCTTCGATATTTCTATCCTGCATCAATTGGTGAACAGGCGTACTCTTTGAGTTCTTATCGTTTTCGAATGGAGAGTTTCTCTTAGACCTTGAGAATTTCGCGATCTTTCCGAATTGTCCTTGCGACGAGCTTTGTATTGTTCCCGATGAAAATCTGCTAGAACGTGGTGAAGGTGTCCTGCGATGTGGGAAAGTTCCCGAAGAGCTTGACAAGGGCGGCGTTGACTTGCCTTCAGAAGATCGATTTGAAAAATGCGGTAGATGGTAATGGTGCTTCTGGTGCTTGCCTTTACTTGCTCCGTTTTTATTAGGGTTCTTGCCTTTGACGTTTTCTTTACTACCACCAAAGGGTAGTTGAGAGCTTTCGCCAGATAGTCCTGGAGATAACGGAGGGCTGGACTGGCTTGTGAGATTTGGGGTCGCTGCCATCAAAATATTTGGGTCATTGTTATAGGAGTTGCGCGGTTCGTTTAAGCTTTGTACTAGCAATTGCTGTTGATGATGATGCTGCTGCTGCCATCTCTTCTTCTGGCGGTGAGGATTCCTCAGCAGGCCCTCAAACCGGAAGAGAAGTTCTGGCGGATTTTCGTAAGCCCTTGCCCGATGAGGGGAAACCGTGTTCAAGACATTATGAGAAGGGGACTTCGAAGGTTGTGGTGATTTCAAGAGAGCAGGATTTTCCAGATTGGTTGAAGACATTTTCCCACTGTAACTCGACGGTCTAGTGGGTTCGCCCTTCGAGTTTTCCGTCAATATCATTGGACCACCATGCATGCTTGTGCCGAAGGAATCGGCAAGATTTCTTTTGAAAGATACATTGGAGGGTGTCCTGGTCAAACTCTTGTTTAACATCACAGAAACTTTTTTGTCATACAATTGAGGAGCAGAGTCTAATGCACCCATCTGCTCTGCATATGTAGTGTCAGCAGAACCCGAATGTACATGTTGTGAGTATCTGTGCTCCATCGATCTGTCAGCTCCTTTCGCTTCCGTTGTGAAAAAGGTGTCGAGGTTATCTAACTCGGCCCACATATGGCTCAACGAGCCATCCTTCTCTTCAGATAAAGAGATACTGTCATTGGCATCCTGTGGGATGTAGACATTGTCCGCGTGAAATTCGACAGGCTCATTAGTTTCCTCTTCTTCCTGTTGTACTACGCCTTCATCAATGCAAGATGAAAATACTGCATGTACGTTATGCCGCGTTGTAGCTGCAGTCATGGCAGGCATGGGTATGGACCAACCGCTTTCCTCAGGAACACCAAACAGAGTTGCAGTTCTTGAGTATGCCTTTTTGGCATCCTTGTTTCCCATGCTGATTCTCAAAACGTCCTTGTCCATTTTACTGCCAGAGACGTTCCGAACTGAATCAAGGACTTCTAAAGCTTTCGCTTCAAAGTCTGTCAAGAGTAGCCTTAATAGAGGAGAGATGAGATCGGCACCAACGCCAACAAATTCTGGACGGCTCAAGTCTATCAAGGGAAACAAATGCTTCAACACTTGCAAAGTTTGATCTTTCACCCAATCCATCTTATTCAGTAGTAATCCTAAGAGGAAGACCAATGTTTGAGCAGAATATTCTGGGAAATAAGTTCCAGAAATGAAATTGACAATTTGGCTGAGAAAATCATTCTTTGATCTGAATTTGTTTCTAACGACAGAGTAAATCATTCGTGCCAAGGAGGGCTGAGCGTTTTTCTCCGCGAGTGTTACAAGTGCATCTGCCGCATTCATTATCGTGGCGTCGAACACTTTCAAATCCATTGCATAAAGGAACCGAGGCAAGTTTGCAAGCAGGGCGAATAAGACACGCGACTTCGTGTTTGCAATGATTCTGCTGTCATCAAACCGATTGAGTCGGTCCAAGAAATTCAAGCAGATCTCCCATGAGTTAGCAGATCGTAAACCTGACATTATGATTTGTTGCAATCCATCAAATTTCCCTTCCCAGTTTGACGGGAAAGTTGCTACAAGACATTGAACTGTATCCGATGAGTCGAGGTCAATTTTGGACACAAACTTAGAAAGGGTCGAAAGGACCTCGATGTATTCCTGTTCGTGAGCACTGTTCAGACAGGCAACGACAGCCCAAAATAATTGTGGGAAATCGATGAGCTTAGCTGGACTTAATTCAGCTGTCACAGCGTTCAAAGTCATCAAAATTTGCATTGCAAACGCTTGTATGTCTTGATTCTCATCCGAGATTGTATTCGATAACCTATGGAGCATATCTCGCAACATTTGACGATCCAAGAAGGTAAGTAAAGACCTGAAAACTTGGAAGGATCTACAGGCAGTATGACGTACGGGACATACCGTAGCCCACCGGAGGGCAATGCTTTGCCATTGCTCCCGAAGCGAATCAAATCCTGAAAAGATTGCAACGACGTTTCTTACCAATTGATCCATGGCCTTCGGAGACCTAGCACCATTTTTATCTTTGTGAATGTTATCATATGACCAGAGATGTCCTTTCGCTTTCACTAACGCCACAGTTTCCTCTGATTTTTCATGGGTGGGCATGAGACCAAATATCAAGTCAGAAATAATCTTTGCCGCGCTTTCCTTGATGAGAAGTGCATTGTGGTCCAATAAACAGATGCTGACGTGCAATAAAAGCGGCAATTTATTTCGCATTGATTCGTCCGGAATGGTTAACAAATTAACCAGAAAAACGATGGATAGTTGCGCTTTTGAAAATACAATCTCTTTATCATGGTAATTAAGTAATTTCCAGATGTCAGCTTCATATTCGTAGCGGGTTCCGTTAACAGGAATAGCCAAAGGTTGGCCAACCTCCGGTACCATATGCTTGGGTTCCAGATTTATCATGAAAGAGTCAATAACACCCATTCCGCCTGGAACGTTGGCTAAATAAAGCACGACGTCTTTTGCTCTCAGAACAAACTCAGGGTTTCGATGACTGATCGACGTTCTGAGTATGTAATCCAAGGCTATGTGAATATTCTGGAAACCATTACCTTTTCCCAACGATATCCAAATATGCTCAATTTCCATAGGGTATCTATCATTCAATTCAACTGTTATAGCGAACATGTTATTGAGAACCATCAAAGTACCGCTGTCTTCCATGGCTTTGAGAGTAAACTTATTGACCCAGGGAACTAAGAGATTCAAAATATCTTGCTTCAATTCAGACTTAAGATAATTCAAACTTTGACACATCTTCGAAAATACTTTCATGCGAACCTCAGCAGAGGGAAGCTCAGCGAAAATGGTGGAAATTTCTTTGGCGGTAGATTTGTAAACTGTTTTCGAATCATTCGCTAATCTCTCCTTGAAGACTTTGGTATACGACGATTTGTGAATCTGTGTTTCGATTCGAGAAAGGAGATCAATCGAACAAGCTCTGACCTCTGCCCTTTCGTTATAAAGACCACTCAAACCCAACGAAACTAGCTCGTCTTCTGATAATGTGAAAGATTTCATCTTGATGAGTGATTCGCAGACGGTGGTGTAATAGGCACTTGCAACTTTTGTATCAAGATTGTGAAGGGAATATTGCATTAACACATCTCGATAAAGATGAGCATTTTCTTGATTGTTTTCAAGTAGGTTTTTTAGAGCTTGGATACCGAAATTTTGTACCCTCTCATTCTGACTTTTGAAGAGGGAATCTGTCCAGTGCATAAGTCCAGGTATATCGAACGATATCACTAGTGGAATCTCTGAATCATCACTCACCTTTTTCGTAATAGCGTCCGAGCATAAGTTAACCATGGCCTCCAGAGCGACAATCTCTAAACGGCCTCTCCCGAATTCCAGCGCGGTTATGAAAGTTGTTTGCTCGCGTGAGCTTACGCTTTCTCTCATGCTTGCGTATCGTTCCCTGGCAATATTGGAAAATTGTCCATGGCCGCACCACTCTTTTAAGAAATTGAAACAGGAAGCCCTGGCTTCAAATGGGAAAAGATCATGTACCAAGGGATGATTTTTGATAGCACTGTAGAAGGGGGACAAAAGAGAAGCAAAATAAATTCGCAACGACTGATTTTGAAATGAGGTTTGAACATTTGGCAACTCCAAGAATTTTTTGGCCTCTCTAAGGAAATGTGAGATTTTTCTCAAAACCCATTCGTCATTCAAAATTCTCTCATCCGCCAGAAAGGGTGCCAGTATAGCAAGTATGTGAAAAATTTCGATCCGCATAATGTTGGAGGAGCTTCCAGTCCGCCAGGATGTTAAAAAGGCGTCAACATTTTGAATGTATGCTTTGAATATATTGATGTTCATTGAGCTGAGACCACTGATTATGGCCAATTTAATCATTGGTTTTGAGCAGTTTAACAAGGGCAACACCATTTTAAATATTGATGTGACCGACTTTATTTTTTGGTGTTGAACGGTAAATATTTGTTGTGACTTATTCCTACCATGTTGATTTCCTGAGGAAGGAATGTGCAGTTTTTGATCATTGGTTGAAGTTAAGGATGAGCATGCAACGATCAAATATAGTTTCCATTGGTTGACAGCAGTTTCTGGCAGGAAGTCTTTGGTCTTCATTGGATTGTCATTGACAATAGCCAGTATAATTTGATGAAGTTGAACCAAACGAATGCACACTAAAGAGCGACATAACGCCATCGTGATCGGTGAATGATCGAAAATAATTGTGAGTAACTTAGGAAAAACTCTTAGCCATAATGCAGCATCAACACCATACTCTGACTCCGCCAATTTCAAGACGACTTCATTCTTATACTTCATTGACATTTTGGAGAGCCGAGATTTCTCCACGACACTCATTTCGAGTTTCTGAACCTCGTGAATTGAAGAGAGATCAAGGCTTTTTAGTAAATCGATGAGCCGTGTTCCGCTTTCAGCTGCGAACCTCGATGAAGACCTCGAGTGCGATTTCTCTAATTTGATAGTTTTTTCCAACATTGCTTCGTCAAATTCTGAGACGATATGCAGAATTCGTATTCCCAGCTTCCGAATATTATGATCATGAGAGCATAAAAAAAATAATCCATTTCCCTCCACATCTTCGATGACAGTGATAGTGTTTTTCCACTGCAGTTTTTCGTTCTCATTGGACTCTTTCGCTTCTTCTTCATTCCTAAATGAAAGCTGGATGCCATCTAAGCCCGATTTTTTATTGAGGTCTGCCTTCTTAGAATCCTTGAAAGATTCCAACCAACATTCGAGTAATTCCACATATAATATCAATAATCGACGGTATTCCATAGAAGAGAGATACGTCTGTTTATAACTGGACTGGTTTTTCTCATCAAAGTCGAAAGAATAGTTTGCAAACCACGTAATGAGCGTGTATGGATTGCGCTTGCAAGCCAAAGCTCTTAAAGCATTTCGCGAGCTAGCAGAGACTATCAATTCACTGTGAACTGCATTTCTTGCCAAAACTTCAATAGCTGACTTGAAAGGCACATTTCGGGAAACTGAAAGACAACACGGAATAGCATCTATCAATGTTGAGAATAGAACAAAATTTAAGTTTCTGATATTGGTATTGGCATTTTCAGTGTTGAAGCTGAAAGCGAAGCTTGATATACTCGAGAATGGTGTAGATGGTTGCCTTTGGTGCTCATTTTCGGGAGACCAGACCTCTGATCCGATACTCGAGTCGAGCAAGAAAAAGAGCTTGTTGAGTGACATGCATACTTCCTCATGGTCGCTCGTAGAGGAAGTACCGAATTTTTCTGCAATGTTGTTAAGGTTTACATCATAGAACCTGCTTTCATTTTCTGGGAATTCGGGACGAGCATCGCACAAAAGGAGGCCTTTGTAAGATTCAATGGCTAGCAAAAGCCTTTCGTAACCTATATTCTCCAAAGTGTTTCCATTGAATGCTATTTTGATCAATGGCAGAATGACATGCTCTAAAACGAAACCTGGGTGTACTGAGCCAGCAGTGACGCAAACATCTGCCAATGGGCCTATTAGGTCCATATCTGCCGTTAGCCAATTTTCTTTCTTTCTTGGAGCCAAGATTGGGGAAAACAATTTCCGTAGAGTTCTTTCGGTGTTATTCAGAGTTTCGGTACACCTAAACAAATAAACCCAAATCAATCGAGATAGACCAGTTGCAAACGCAGCGCGCCTATCAAGCCGTTTGATTTTGGTCATACTTTTTTCGACAAGAGGAACCCAGTTCTCAGAAAACAGCGGTTGCGGCGAAACGCACAGAACAGACACTGTGAGCTTGAAAATGCTTTCCCAGTACTTGTCATCATCTTGAAGTTTTTTGCAAGTATTGAGGATCATATTCATGGCTTCCACCCAAGTAGGGTGATTAACTTCAGCTGTTATTGATCCTGCGACTGGAAGTAAAAGTTGACTTATGACTTCTGCATAAGCAAGTCGCACCGAGAAATTTTGGGATGTAGAAAAGAACTTCGCTACCGATTTTATGAAATCGGCACTCTCTTCGAATTGCTCCAGTGGGTAGTTCTTCAGTCGCAAATAGCGCATACCCAAGATCAGCAAATGAGCCGATGGCTCGAGTTCAGTGGAAATATAATGAGGAAGCTTTTCCAAATCGGCTATGAATCTGTCACTGACTGCAACGAATTTACTTTCAGACATCCATCCAAGTAGCTCGGCGAAAGAATTCCAATTAGAAGATTTTATTATGCTGGAAGATATCGAAAGTGGATCTGTGGTCTTTAGCTGAGTAAAGACTATCTCTTCTAACTTTTCATTCAGGTCCTCGTCTGTATCAGAAGGTGCTTGTTTCACGATTTCTATGAGAACACGGCACAAAATGAAGATACTGATCAAAGATTTCCTATCTGCTTGGAAAGCATTTGCTCTCGCGTGTTCAATTCGTTCTTCCATTAAACGTTGCCTATGCCCCAAGAAACTGCCTTGGCTTTTGTTCGACTTGGAAGAATTTTTTCTGTGATGCCCTTGCTTGCTTTCAGAGCTGTTTGACTTGGTATGTGTATTCCAGGTTTGAGTCGCGTTGCCGGTTGCTTTGATACTATCTTCACGTTCCACAGTAGACGGTAAATGATTGAGTTCACCGATCAACTTTTCGACGTTAGCAGCAGCGACAACCGCAACCTCGGACTTAGTTTTCCTCCAAAACATCATTGCATCGATCACAGGTTTAGGCTTTTTTCTTGAAATGAACCCTAATGACTCTACAATCTTATCGAATGACACATCAACGCCTTCACCCAAGATGTCCACAATGGGGGGTTCCGAATCCAGCGGATACTGCAGACACACGTTTAATTTCGATTCGGCATGCCGAACAAATTTGGTAAATAAAATGTGTAATGCGTACTCTGAAGGTGACTTCCAATCTGCTGCGAGGTGTTGTCGTATGGTTCTGGCGAATTCTTTGTCATAGGGTTTGGTGTGCGAGTCTGGATTCGGCACTTGTGCAGCTGGCGACTCGTTATGTCCCTTTTCGATCGGCGTCGAGGACCTTCCTATAGGTGGAGACATTGGAGGTGACATTGGAGGTGACATTGCCTGGCTTTCGTAAACCTCAGGGTCTGGTATTTCGACGGTGTTTGGCTTGCTTTCAGCTGAAACTGGTTCAAAGGCAAGTTCTAATTTGTGTGTACCGTGATCCGATTCTTTTGATTCAATTTCTGCGCCACTAGTGGGGAATTTGAACGATTTGTCCTCCTTTTCATCGCCGTTACTTGTGTAAGGAAAGGTGAAGCCTTGATTCATCGTAAACGCCGTGAGATTGATCACAAAGGGCGCAGACGTAATCTATTTAACGGACTGAAAGACTCGAGACACTATATCAAGCTCTCAAACGGGACTTTTACCTGACTTTCTTGTCCTGTTTTGCTTCAGATCAAAAGTTTTAAAACTTTAACAGGGTTTGATTTCATCTCATCGCAGATGCTTATTAGTAGAAAGAGATCAACAACAACAGGGAAAAACCACAACCATATATAAGGCAAACCTCTATATGCTTGCTCTTTACCAGAACCGCTATTAATCGATAACTTGGTAGTGGCTCAAGGAACGACGACAAATGACTTAGTGCTTCTTAAAGTTGTAGCACGTTGCAGCTGCTGGAGCTTGTGGGATATGTCACCTTTTTGTAGAACAGTGATCCACGCAACTGAAACTTCAATATGCTTTGCAAGAGATGCGGCCCCTCAGAGATGTGAATATACAGTTTGACTGTTCATCCACGATTGAAGTGTACTAACTGAATGCATATTTCGATCAGCAGATTGAGATTATATATTAGCTACCAGAGGCGGGAATTGAGTTCATTTCGTGCCACGGAGACGAAAATGTAGAGAAGCGGGTTCTCACTTTGAGTAAGCTATAATTTCAGGCTCCGTAGACTAAGTAAGATCTCGGCTATTCTTCCGCCCCTTGGAGCCGTCGAAGCTTTTATCCACTAAAGAAAGCAAGCTAATGTCATTTTCATGCTATTAATCATGAAAACATAAGCAAAGTAAACAAAACTGAGAAAAAAAGCTAAGAAAAGACAGCTTCACAGCCCAACAACTTCGCCAATACACACTTAATTTATGCTTATTAGCTGCATAAAGACAGTTATACGAATCAAGTAATTGCATACATAGTGGAATATAAAGTAATTTACTCAATATCGCGGTATTGAATATCAAATAAACCATGCCGCTTTTCCTAACAACAAAACGATCGCCAAAAATTTCCAGTCACTACAAGAATCATATCCTTGGCGCCTACTCAGATGAAACTTGTGCGCTTCAGTGGCTTATGTTGCATACTTAAACTGAGGACGATTCCGGTAATCTAATCTCTTCTCATGAAGAACTCGTTCGAGATACTATCACTTTTAACGAGGAAACAAATAGCTACCTAATCTTAACACAGTGGAGTAACAGCTCAGTTGTTTCATCTCTTAGCGGCTCATCGCACCTTTGGTGCATCTTGAAAATATAACTGGAATTAACGTGCACTCTTTGCCGTCCGCATTCCTCCTCTGGACTCCATATTCGTCTCCAGCGCACTGCAAGGCACCGCAAGGCATCGCAAGGCATCGCAAGGCAAGAGAAATCGACAGATGTTGAAAGACCAATCACATGCCAATGCTAGCTGGTAATTAAATGTCAGCTTAGGCTTGATGGTAAAGCTGAAATCCAAGATACCACGTACAAAATGATATTAATTTCAAGATAGTCTTCTACATCTATGAGATCACTTCTCATTATTAGAATTATCAGACAGAAACACCTACGATGAGCTCTTCAAAGACCCTTGGGCTGGGTTCTGCAGTGTCTACGTATCTTGCAAATAGCCATGTCAATGATGGCAAAGCGAATGAAGTTGCTGAGAAGATTTCATCGCAAATTAATGACAAACAGGCAAAATTGGTCGATATTGTGCTTCTTTTGAGACCTCAAATCACTTCCACCGAGACCGATGAGAGACAGAAGGCTGTTGAATGTATTTCTGCCATTTTGGGCCATTTGGACCCAGCTACGTTGCTGAAAAATGACGTAAGCGTAATAATAGACTTTTATGCCAACACTTTCGAGGATTCTGCCTGCATGAAGGAGATCTTACAAGGGCTCGCTAACGTGATTGATATGCAACATTTTTATTTGTCACAGGCAACTATCGTTTTGAACCGACTTAAAGAATTTTATCAGCCAGCAAACTATCCCGCGCCCGTCAGATACATTACGTTCACTATCTTAGAGCGCGTCCTGCTGAAATTCCACGCCAATTTCCAAAAGACTCCAGCTCTGAGTGATCTTTTCATCGAAACTTTCATTGGAATTGCCACAGGCGAAAAAGATCCACGCAATTTGTTACTTTCGTTCCGCATAAACACTATCGTGTGTTCCAGTCTGTCCGATATTTCCAAATACAAAGAAGATCTGTTCGACGTTTTATTCTGCTATTTCCCTATTACCTTCAAGCCCCCAAAGAGCGATCCTTACAAGATCTCGAACCTTGATTTGAAACTGGCTTTGCGTAGAGCCATTTCCTCATCACCACAGTTCGAAGAGGATGCCTTTGGCAATTTGATAGATAAATTGGCCGCATCGTCGCTTACAGTGAAAAATGACACCATATTGACTTTGAATGCTTGTGTAGAGAACTACGGGGGGGAGGCTGTGGTGAGAAATTGGCTCCCACTATGGAATGCCCTGAAATTCGACATCTTGCAGGGGTCCGCTGCTACCGAATCCGAAGGTTCATTGGCGAATGAAGTTAATAATTATGAAACTTCACTCCAGGTAGTGGCAGCAATTTCTAATCAGTTAATTCAGTTCAACGAAGCTACTTTTGACAAATTTCACGCACATGTTTTCGATGAATTGCAAGTTAATTTCGAACAACAAACCAACCTGAAACAAAGCTGTGCGATCTTAGCAACTCTTGCTGGCGTAAACGCAGATACATTCAATAAAGTCATGTCAAAAATACCGAAGCTGCTTTTCGAAAATATGTCAAACATGGATTTAACGAAAGAAAAGCTTTTGATTTTGAATCTATCGTTCTTCTTTGATGCCTATATTAAAGTTTTTGGAGAAACTAAGGCTGCTGAAAATGTCATTTTCAGCAATAACGAGCTGAATAAACATAAAGATGAGATCCTCATGCTATTAAGCAAATCATTAAAAACTTCTTCAAATGCCGAAATCACCATCAAAGTCTTAGCCCTGGTACAGTTTACCAAGCTCATCAAGATGGCCGGATATTTGGACCACAATGAGGTGTTGCTCATCATACAATACTTCACTGAGACGGCTATATCGAGTGACAACAAAAACATTCACTATGCATGCTTGGAAGGTCTCAAGGCTACCCGTGATGTTTACGAAACAGACGTCATAAATCTGTGCATAGGGACACTGTTCAACCATTTATTCGACAAAGCACTCGATTCCGGGCTAATCGAAGGTCAAGAGTCCGTTCCAGTGGATAGGGTATTGAGATTGTTACTCGAGATTTCCACATCGAAACCAAACTTGGTTATCAGAACGATTTGTGGTCTTTCTGCAAAGCTATCTGAAATTTCGAAATATGAAAATCTTACAGAACTCAGTTTCATGATTGTTTCGACTCTCCATTCCTTAATAAGTGCGAATTACGAAGTTTTGGGGGAAAATGATATCATTGAACTGAAAAAGGCTGTACAGTTCGAACTTTTCACTTCACTCATGAACGACAAACCTCTTTTTGGTGACAATGAGTCACTGGAGCTGTTGTCATCATTTTTTTATTTCCTTACTTTGAAAACGCCTCTTTCTTTACATCCCGAAGAGCTGCGAAGGACCACGGATTTTTTCTTGAAGAATGCCAAGATACTAGATACGCCAAGGAGATCAGCTCTTTGCTTCGTGAAAATTTTAGCCGCCATTGACAAAAATTGCAAATGGGAGAGCGATGACTGCTTCATTCGCACGGTGAAACTAGTACAGCACAAGGCCCTGGACATGTCAGATTTTGAAAAAGTTGCGTACTTCCAGTTGATAACGCTTCTGGCCAATAAGTGGTGTAGCCCCGGAATGGTTGAAGAAAGTATGGAATTTCAGAGTACGTCATATGTCGATGTTGAAATTCAGTTTTGGGCCGCCAAGGGCCTCGTTATGAGAAATGCACAGGAAACCAAAAACTTCATAGATCATTTCTTAGATCTGCTACACAGCCAGACCGAGGGCGCTTGGACGGCGAGACTTTTTGAGATTTTAACCATTGATCTACCTCACATGGAAAACTTGAAGAATCATTCATGGAATAATAACGTCCGACTCTTGCACAAACAAAAATTCTTCAACGATGTGGCCCCGAGGATCATATCCTTGTTTCAATCTTCGGACAATTATGAAATCAAAGCAAACTATCTCATGGCCCTGTCCCTGATTTTGCGCCATACACCCGACAAAGTCACAGAGAGTTACATGCCAGAATTGCTTCCGCTATTACTCCAAGCCATGGAGCTGAAAAACACCGCAGTAAGGGTATCTGCTTTGCGCACTGTCCTGAGCTCCATGGATCGCTCCTCTTCACTTATCAGCGAGCATGTACACAGCTTAATACCCATCCTGCTACGATTTATTGTTCCTTCGATCTGCAACACGTTCGTTGTTAGATCACTAGCACTTCAAGTGCTTCAGGCGCTGACCGTCCATACGCCTCTGAACTACCTTTTACCCATGAAAGACGACGTAATCAGAAGCTTATCGAGAGCCCTCGACGACAAAAAACGCAACATCCGTAAGTTGGCAATAGATGCCAGTCAGGCATTTTACGAACTAGGGCAGGTTCCGTTTGAATAAAATTGCAAGAAACTTCTCCTTCCAAGTCCTAAGATCTATTGAAATTCTCTACTAATGTACATAGCTCTCGCAACTAATACCAGGGCAAACCTAGGGCAAACCTGGTGAATCAATTCGTCCCAATAGCCCATTTTTATTCGTTTTCGTTGTCGGTTTTCGTTGTCGTTTACTCTTCGTCACTGCTTTCTTCGTCACTTAGACCCACAGGTGCAAGACCGGGTGTTAAACCCGCAAAATGATGGTCGCCATGACCTTGCTTTTGCTCGACAAAGCCGACACGTCTTTTCCTGCCTTGTTTCGACAACTGGTTCCTGTCGCCCAAAATCGCGTCTTGCAAATCCTGCAAATCTGGGTTTGAAACGTCCCAAGTTTGCAACTGCGCTGTGTTTCGCGCAATTATGCTGTTCAGATACTTGCGCTCCTTTTTAGTCAGCGTATCGTCCTTCTGATGCTGTCTCAACACTTCCAGTTTCGCCAACTGGGTCCTTTCATCTTCTCGGGCTTTCTGAGCCATAACCGCACGTTTTTTCGCACGGGCTTCGCCTCTTTTTATCCTCTCGACATCGCGCTCTTGCAATTCGACCCTCTTCTTCAAATTCTGATTGATCAACCGCGCTCCAGGCGCTCCAGCTCTGTTCGGTCTTTTCTTTCGATTATGATCGATTTTAGCACTTCCAGGTAACATTTTTGAAAGCAGAGAATTCACAGCATTTGTAGCCTGTTGTCTTGAAAGTTCAGTATTCATTCTCACTCGCCAAACTCCTAGCAAAGGTCTGATTTAACCCACAAGAACTCGTCGTTTTATCCATTTTTCCAGCTCATCGCCTTGACTTTCTTTCAAATTTTGTCATTTCTTATTCCAGTTACCCGGATTTGGTGATCTTCCAATAAACCAATTTTCAAAGGTAAGTCGCGAAACTAACAATGAATTGTAGGAATCTTTCAAGATTTTGCCCAGCGGCAGACAACACCGAGCGTGGAGGACAGAAACAACAACAGAGTTTCGCTTGTTGTTCGAAATACTGCTTCTAGGGACAAGTCTAAAAAATCAGTTGAGAAGGATTGTTAGAGTTGAACGAGTGGTTGTTTTTTTGCCACATTCAGAACTTTTTTTGGTTAAGTTTTGATATTAATATCGGTGCCAACTGGTGAACTTGAACCCAAAAGGATGAGTATGACTGAAGAGCCGCTTACAGCACCTCCGTCGAAACAGGAGGAGTCTCAGAGTTTGGCGGTGGACATCCCTGACCCGGAAACGATATGGCAATTGGACCAGTTGTTGTATCGTTATCGGGCGATTTCGCAGAACGCAGAGGAGAACAAGGCGGAAATAAGAGCTTTAGAGCGGACTTTTGCGCGTCTGTCACAGCAACAGGACGTGTACGCAGAACGTATCCAAGAGATTCGGGCGGCAGCCTCGCAGGGGGCGGAATACAGTCAGGATGCGTTCGAAAAGCAGCTTATGGCGTTGCAATTGTTGAGTCGTGATTTGTGTCTTCCAGACGAGTTAGTGAGCCAATTAACAGGTGAAGATCTCGTAGAAACCGAACCCAATGGTCCACAACAATTGACGTTGGATCCGGTGAAACTGTCGTTGTCGTTCGATAAAAACGCCCAGCAGTTTGGGCTCCAGGACAAATTCTCGAATCTGGGGTTCCCGAAAAACAAACGCAGACTGGGCAATTACGCGAGTGAGACTTTCATCTCTGCGAGAATTGCAGAGCGTATCCAGCAACTGGAAACTTTGCCCGCCAATCTGGGCACGTATGCGCTATTCGACAGTTTAGAGTTCGTTGCTAAAGACGACGTGCCTTCCAGCGTCGACGATTTGAAAATCAAAGCACTCTTGGAGTTGAAAGCGCTTAAGCTTTTGACGAAACAAAAATCCCTGAGACAGAAACTGATCACTAATGTGACCAGCCAAGCACACCACATCATCCCATGTCTACGCGATTCGCCGTTCACCATGGCGGCGCAAAGGTCTGTACAAGTGCGCAGCAAAGTGATCGTGCCTCAAACGGCGCGAGTCGCCGAGGAACTGGAGCGGCAACAGTTACTAGAAAAACGGAAAAAAGAGCGGAATTTGCGGCTGCATAAAGTCAATGCTATTGTAGATCACGTTCAAGAGACCCAGGCAACGAAATCAACGGCTCGCGAGAGAGCTGTGCAGTTCGGCAGAATCTGTTTGTCACTTCACACTCAAATCGAGAAAGAAGAATCCAGACGGATGGAAAGGACCGCCAAGCAACGTTTGGCGGCTCTTAAGTCGAACGATGAAGAAGCATATCTGAAATTGCTAGATCAAACGAAGGACACGAGAATTACGCATTTGCTGAAACAAACCAACTCCTTCTTGGACTCTCTTGCAGAGGCCGTGAGGGTTCAACAAAACGAAGCTAAGATAAAAAATGGAGAAGAACTCCCACCTGTCACTGATGAAGAGAGAGAAAAAATTGACTACTATGAAGTTGCGCATCGTGTGAAGGAAAGCATCACGAAGCAGCCATCAATCTTGGTGGGTGGTACTTTGAAGGAGTATCAACTGAAAGGACTTGAATGGATGGTATCACTTTACAATAATCATTTGAACGGCATTCTGGCGGATGAAATGGGTCTGGGTAAAACGATTCAATCCATATCTCTGATAACTTATCTGCATGAAGTTAAAAAAGAACCCGGTCCATTTTTAGTCATCGTGCCGCTCTCCACAATCACGAACTGGACTTTGGAATTTGAGAAATGGGCTCCATCGTTGACAACCATCGTTTACAAAGGTAATCCAAACCAGAGAAAGTCTTTGCAGTATCAAGTCCGATCCGGGAATTTCCAAGTCCTGTTGACGACTTATGAGTACATCATCAAAGATCGCTCTTCACTGGCAAAGCATGATTGGTCTCACATGATAATCGATGAAGGGCATAGAATGAAAAACGCACAATCAAAGCTATCGTTTACATTGACTAAATTTTACAGAACCAGGAATCGTCTTATTTTGACAGGTACCCCCCTTCAGAACAATCTACCTGAGTTGTGGGCATTACTAAACTTCGTCTTGCCAAAGATTTTCAACTCAGCGAAGACATTCGATGAGTGGTTCAACACGCCATTCGCGAACACAGGTGGCCAGGAGAAGTTGGAGCTTACTGAGGAAGAGATGCTTTTGGTCATTAGAAGATTGCATAAAGTCTTGCGGCCGTTCTTGCTGCGTCGTTTGAAGAAGGAAGTGGAAAAGGATTTGCCGGATAAAGTGGAGAAAGTGGTTAAATGTAAACTCTCAGGTCTTCAACAGCAATTGTATGAACAAATGCTTAAGCATAATGCGCTTTTCGTCGGTGCAGGCACAGAGGGTGCAACCAAGGGTGGAATCAAGGGTCTGAATAACAAGATCATGCAACTAAGAAAGATTTGCAATCATCCGTTTGTTTTCGATGAGGTGGAAGGAATCATAAATCCTAATAGAGAGAATGGACCTTTACTCTACCGTGTAGCAGGAAAGTTTGAACTGTTGGATAGAGTCCTCCCCAAATTCGCGGCTTCTGGTCACAGAGTTCTGATGTTTTTCCAAATGACCCAAGTTATGGATATAATGGAAGACTTCTTACGAATGCGATCTTTGAAGTATATGAGACTTGATGGTGCTACTAAGGCAGAAGACAGAACCGGTATGCTCAAACTGTTTAACGCGCCAAACTCCGATTATTTTTGCTTCCTATTATCGACTCGTGCTGGTGGTTTAGGTTTGAATTTGCAAAGTGCTGATACGGTGATCATTTTTGATACAGATTGGAACCCTCACCAAGATTTACAAGCGCAAGATCGGGCACATAGAATAGGTCAGAAAAACGAAGTCAGAATCTTACGGCTCATTACCACTGACTCCGTTGAGGAGGTCATTCTTGAGAGAGCCATGCAAAAGCTTGATATCGATGGTAAAGTGATCCAAGCTGGTAAGTTTGACAACAAGTCCACGGCGGAAGAGCAAGAAGCATTTTTGCGTAGATTACTAGAAAATGAAACTCCCAAAGACGATACCGAGCAAGCGGAATTGGACGACGAGGATTTGAACGACATCCTTGCTAGAAACGATGATGAATTGCAGATGTTCAACGAAATGGACAGGCAAAGGGCAGCTGCCGAGGTCCAAGATGCAAAGGCGCGTGGCCTTTCGCGCCCGTTGCCACGACTAATCCAGACTAACGAATTGCCTGAGGTCCTGACCGAAGACATTACTGACCATCTCCAGACCGAGCCTATCGCCGCAGGTAGAATCCGGGAAAGACGCAAAGTCTACTACGACGACGGATTAACCGAAGAGCAATGGCTACAGGCTGTGGATGATGACAATGACACACTTGAGGAAGCCATCATACGGAAGCGTGAATCGCGTGAGAAACGGCAGCGGAACAAGCAAGGAAGTGATTCGAAAGAGGACGAGATCGACAGCCTGGAGCCGACGCCTGAAGAGGATATCGTAGTACCGAATGGCAAACGCAATCGTTCGAAAAAAGCAGTAGTACAGGTAGATCAGGAAAACGTGCCGCAACTGGACGAAGTCGAAGAACCGAAGCAGAAGAAGCCAAAGCTGAAGGTCAAGCTTTCGCTGAAGAAGGGAGACTCTGTGGCGCCGGTAGAAAAGAACAATACAACTAAACCACGACCCAAAAAATCGTTTGCGACGCAAGCCCTAACGGCGAACGTTCTTCGACTCGTGGAAGCGATGCGTGCTCAGCTCGACGACGCCGACGAGCATCCACGTACTTCTATCTTCGAGACTCTGCCTTCTAAAAAACTGTACCCAGACTACTATTCTCTGGTGCAAAAGCCTGTGGCGCTGGATTCCATCGTCAAGAAAGCGAAGAAGGGCGCCTACGAGGGATTCAATGACGTCAAGCAGGATCTGCAACTAATGTACGATAACGCTCGTTTTTACAACGAGGAAGGTTCTTGGGTTTACACTGATGCTGATGAACTGAATAAATTCACGGATGCGTGGTTCAGCGAAAACAACCCATGAATCTCAAGCCAAGAGATTTACTACAACTCAATACGATCCACAACAACGTCTATGTATTATATAACTGTTTATCAGAATTCCTGAAGCAGTTCAGCCCTATCATGTCCATGTCTTAATCCCATGAGCTAAGCACCAGGAGATATTCCGAGTCTTCCGAGCTACTCAAAAGTTACTCAATCCTTACAGTTACCCTCATTTCTCAAGCACCCACACACCGACTCTTTTTTTTTCTCAAGTTGAAAAATTTTCCATCCGAGTATATAACGAACAAGCTTAGGCCAGTTTTGAACCATTCTTTTCACTTTGTTTCAAACCATCAAACCTCGTAATCACCAACAGAAATGAAATTTGTGCAAACTGATCAGACCCTAGACATCCCCGAAAACGTTGTTGTGAACATCAAGTCTCGAATCGTCAAAGTTACCGGTCCAAGAGGTGAATTGACGAAGAACTTGAAGCACATCGATGTCACGTTTACGAAGGTGAGCAACAGACTGCTCAAGATTACCGTGCATAACGGCGACAGAAAACACGTTGCTGCATTGAGAACGGTCAAATCACTTGTCAACAACATGATTGTTGGTGTCACAAGAGGTTTCAAGTACAAGATGAGATACGTGTACGCACATTTTCCCATCAATGTTAACGTGATTGAGAAGAACGGTGCCAAGTTCGTCGAGATCAGAAACTACTTGGGTGACAAAAAGGTCAGAGAGGTGCCTGTGAGAGAAGGTGTCAGCATCGAGTTTTCCACCGTCCAGAAGGATGAAATGTTGTTGATTGGTAACTCTGTCGAAAACGTTTCCCAAAACGCTGCCGACATCCAACAAGTGTGTCGTGCCAGAAACAAGGATATCCGTAAGTTCTTGGACGGTATCTATGTCTCCGAAAAAGGTTTTGTTGAAGACCAAAACTGAGTCATTTCCGAGTGGCCCTTCGCATATTGTATATTACTGGTTTGTAGGTTTTCCTTTCTTTCCCCGGGACCATATGGTGCCAAAGACGATGCGGGGGACGTTACTAGTGCTCAAGACAATAAAGAGCCATTCTACGTCCTCCATTATTTCCTATACCATTGCGCATTTTCGGTTTTTCGTAGATCTTGTTACATCCTGGTCACTGTGATCAGCTTTGTCACTCTAGTGTCAGCATTGGATAACGTGACGTGGTCCAGTAGGACCTGTCATAGTATCAGCAGTGTCAACAGCGATACCTAGTCTGTGATGATTTGGCAGTGTTACGATAGAAATTTGATTATTGATTACTATTGATTATTATTGTTGATTATTTTTAAAAAGTTGAAAAGTTGAAAAGTCAAAATCCTGTAAACTGTCCCGTTACTGGTCCCACTCGCCACAATTCAAACGCCACATTTTCCAATTTCATGAAATATGTGGAAATTGATCTCTTTGTTCAAAGCGTCTTCCAAGTATTTGAATTCCATCACGGACAATGACGAGTCCGAACCATAAGGCTTCCTATAGTTATAATTCATGATCTGAGAAAAAGTTCCTACAATGAACTGACGTCTACACTCTGAAGTTTCGTCACCAGAGAGTTCATTGGCGCTTTTCACAGCTTTACCCTCAAAATACATTTTGGCATGAGACCGAGTGCGCATATCGTGCCGTTTTTCTGCTGAGATAAGTTTCCCGTCGCTTCCTCTGGTTTCACCAGACTGATTGTCATTGACGTTGAAATCATAATTGTCACCAAGCATAAATGTCACCATTTTGAAATATTCATAACTGGTAATGAAATGACGCCAACAAAAATCATGTTCGGTCTTGTCGAGTTCTTCGGCACGTAGAGATTCTTGGACGGCACTCTGTTTCTTTTTGGGCGACGTAGCGGTCTTACCAAAACATCCATAGGGCAAGTACCGTGAAATGACGCTAAAGACGAAAATTTGGTCCAAATCGGCAGTTTCTTTCTCGAAGGGTTTGAATTCTAGTTGTACCACGGTACCACTTTGTTGCCGTGCCAACATCCACAAGGTGCGAAATTGCCGTTCGGGCAACATATTGCTAGCTTTGCGATCTAACAAGGCTTGCACTTGCGCAAGTTTGAACCCACTGAACTCAAGTCGTGCAGTCTTATCCCTAACATCAATGTCGAGTTCGCGGGCTACATTCTTCCGCAACAACATCCCACAGGGCTCGTCACCGGTTTCAGTTTGTAAATTCTCGATCAATTTGTTCAAAACGGCTTTTTTATTAGTCTTGTTAATTTTCCAAGACCGCTTCTTGGTGCATTTATGGGTCGCGGAGGTTCGTCTGGCTGTTGGTTTGAGGTCTGGCTTTGACTGAATCACTGTGACAGGATCGCTGACTTGCACTTGAACACAGGGCATAGGTGTAGATACTACACATTCTGACCCAACAGTGGTCTCCGAAACGTTACAAGTCGGTTCCCTGAGTAATGCCTCGTCGTCGTCACTACTGTGCGATGCCAAAGTCGCTTGGCAGTTATCCAGGACATCGTCAATGGACCACATGTTTGAGCCCGTACTGCTTAGCTCGCCGCCGGCGCCGCTAAAGAATTTCAACAGTGCATCTCCAGCTTCCAGAGGTGCTTCCAATAACAGGTTTGGGTCCACAGTCGGCGTAGACCGACAGGAACCCAACAAAGGTTCGAGCGTGAAAAACTGACATGGACTTGCCAACTGTAATGGACTCAAATAGGCAAAATCTGTATCTCTTTCACTAAGAGAAAACTCGCTCTCTGAAGTAAACCAACATAATTCCGGAGATATCTCGAGCATCGATTCGCGAATGACCGAGAAACCTGTGGATGCGGTTTTGGTTTTGTCAAAAAGGACTAAAGAGGCAAATCTAAAAAGAACGTGGGGTTGGGTGGGCTGATCCCAAAGGGGGGTTGTATCGTTATTGAAACGCTTGTGTTCGCACGGCGGAATGTCGCAATGACTTCAAGTGTAAAATCTGGGCCCACACAATGAGGATTGTTACAAATAAATACTTGTGTGTGACGCTGACGCGAGTGTCTTTTAATAGGAATTTGCACACGGAGCCGCGCGGGGCGTCAGACGCCCCGCGTCGAGTGCCTGGGTTTCACGATTAGCGGCTGGCGAAATGCGCACTTGGTCAGTTTTTTGCCAAATTCGCCGTGACTATTATTACGTTGTGCCAGAATGGGTCAAAGTGATAAAATGTGCAAACCGAGGAATACCATGGCAACTCCGAGGCGGCACCGAGACGGCATCCCTGTAGCGCCAGGGTGCACCAGGGGACGCTAGGACGTCTTCACGGCATCCCTAGACATTTCTGAGGCTTGTGATAGACTATACTGACATTTTATTATTAGTACCATGAAAAGAGGTCCGTTGGGATGAGACCCGGTCCCGGGCCCGGTCCTCGATACGTCTGCCAATATAATCAATTTTGCGACAGATGGCTTGATGCTTTAAAGACGGCTCTAGTGTAAACGTCAATCTTGGAATAGCGACGTCGGGGTCTGTATTGTCTCTGACGGGATTCGAACCAGGAACTGTTACAATAATTCGTGAACAGTGATACCAGTGTATCACGATATCATTAAAAGATACCTTCTGAGGGGTTCGAACTTAGAACATGTGGAGCAACCCGTAAGCAACGATACTCGTGAATAGCGACTTTTTGTAATTGAAACAACGTCTACTGCATGATTCGAACCAAGAACTTCAAGTACGTAAATAGTGATTTTGCATTGGACAAGTTGTCGTACAAAGGCATTCCCGGTCTCGTTGCCGAAATTTTTGAAAGGGTTCCCGGATTGGCCCGATGATTTGACCCAAGATGTGAGTATATAAAGGGAAAATGACCCGGGGCCCCTCAAAGGCAATACGTCAAATCAAACCGAGATTCGAACATTGTATGAAATCAGATACATCGGGATAAACCAACTGATTTAACAATGCTAAGGAATGTTAGCGGCCGCGTAGGCAATTTCGGCGTACGCGCTGTGGTTAAAAGATCCCAAATCGGGTTCAAAACGACTAACTGGGTGAAATATGGAACAAATCGAGGTTTGGCGACCAATAGCCCAGACAGTTTCTTGTCTACCACAAACGCACCCTACATCGATGAGATGTATCAGGCTTGGAAGGAGGATCCCAGTTCCGTACATGCGTCCTGGAACGCGTATTTCAAAAATATGGGTAATATGAACGTACCGGCATCGTCAGCATTTACCGCTCCTCCAACGCTACTAGCGCATGCTTCGGGTCCGCTCGCGCAAGACATGCCACTTGCTGGCGCTGGTGCACCTATGGACGAAGGTATCATGACCCATTTGAAGGTACAACTGCTGTGCAGAGCGTACCAAGTGCGTGGCCATCAAAAAGCGCATACAGACCCGTTACAGATCTCGTTTGGGGATGACAAGAGTAAACCGATGCCACGTGAGCTTACGCTTGAGCACTACGGATTTTCAGAACAGGATTTGGACCGCGAAATCACGCTAGGACCAGGTATCTTACCCCGGTTTGCACGGGACGGCAAAAAGCAAATGACGCTACGCGAGATTATTGCTACTCTCGAGAAGTTGTACTGCTCTTCGTATGGTATCGAATACATCCATATCCCATCCCGGGCGCAATGTGACTGGCTTAGAGAAAGAATCGAGATCCCACAACCTTACAACTACAGCATCGACCAGAAACGCCAGATCTTGGATAGACTCACGTGGGCGACTTCTTTCGAAGCTTTTCTATCGACCAAGTTCCCCAATGACAAGCGCTTTGGACTTGAGGGTCTCGAAGGTGTCGTTCCCGGTATCAAGACTTTGATCGACAAGTCTGTCGAACTGGGTGTCGAGGATGTGGTTTTAGGTATGGCGCATCGTGGCAGACTCAACGTGCTGTCCAATGTGGTTAGAAAGCCAAACGAATCTATTTTCTCCGAATTTCAGGGCTCTGCCGCACCTTCTGAATATGAGGGATCGGGTGATGTCAAATACCATTTAGGTATGAACTACCAAAGACCAACCACCTCTGGTAAGTACGTGAACTTGTCCCTAGTGGCAAATCCATCCCATTTGGAATCGCAAGACCCAGTTGTGCTCGGAAGAGCCAGATCCATCATGTTCTCCAAGAACGATCTGGGCAAGTACGACAAAGCTATGGGTGTTCTGCTTCACGGTGATGCCGCATTCGCAGCTCAAGGTGTAGTGTATGAGACTATGGGATTCAGTCATTTGCCCGATTACTCGACAGGTGGTACCATCCATGTGATTACCAACAATCAAATAGGTTTCACAACGGACCCAAGATTTGCGCGTTCGACCCCATATCCATCCGATATTGCCAAAGCTATCGACGCTCCAATTTTCCACGTAAACGCGAACGACGTCGAAGCTTTGACGTTTATTTTCAATTTGGCTGCCGAGTGGAGAGCCACTTTCCACACCGATGCCATTATCGACGTTGTAGGATGGAGAAAGCACGGTCACAATGAGACCGATCAACCTTCATTCACGCAACCTTTGATGTACCAGAAGATTGCCAAGCAGAAATCTGTGATCGACGTTTACACTGAGAAATTGATTTCGGAAGGCTCTTTCACAAAGCAAGACATCGATGAACACAAGAAATGGGTCTGGGGTCTTTTTGAGGAGGCCTTCGACAAGGCCAAGAACTACAAACCAACTTCGAGAGAATGGTTGACAGCAGCTTGGGAAGGTTTCAAGTCTCCCAGAGAGCTTGCCACCGAAGTGCTCCCACATGAACCTACTAACGTGAAGGAAGAGACGCTAAAAGATTTGGGTAAAGTTTTGTCATCTTGGCCCGAGAATTTCGAAGTTCACAAGAACTTGAAGAGAATTTTGACCAATAGAGGCAAGAGCATTGAAAAGGGCGAAGGTATCGACTGGTCCACCGGCGAGGCGCTAGCGTTTGGTACATTGGCACTTGAAGGCTACCCAGTCAGGGTCTCTGGGGAAGATGTAGAGAGAGGTACTTTCTCCCAAAGACACGCAGTTTTGCACGACCAAAAATCCGAAAAGACGTACACGCCGCTACAACATATTGGCGGAGACCAGGCCAATTTCACTATTTGCAATTCGTCTCTATCTGAGTACGGATGTATGGGATTCGAATACGGTTACTCCTTGACGTCTCCAGACTATTTTGTCATGTGGGAAGCGCAATTTGGTGATTTTGCCAACACCGCGCAAGTCATCATCGATCAATTCATTGCAGGTGGTGAGGCCAAATGGAAGCAACGTACAGGTCTGGTGCTTTCGTTGCCACACGGGTACGACGGACAGGGTCCTGAGCACTCTTCCGGTAGACTCGAGAGATTCCTACAATTGGCAAACGAGGACCCCAGATATTTCCCATCTGAAGAGAAATTGCAAAGACAACACCAGGACTGTAATTTCCAGGTCGTGTATCCAACGACTCCTGCGAACTTGTTCCATTTCATAAGAAGGCAGCAACACCGTCAGTTCCGCAAGCCTTTGATTTTGTTCTTCTCGAAGCAATTGCTGCGTCATCCGTTGGCGAGATCCGATCTCTCTGAGTTCACAGAGGGCGGTTTCCGCTGGATCATCGAAGATGTCGAGCACGGCAAGGCCATTGGCACCAAAGAGGAGACCAAACGTCTCGTGATACTGTCAGGTCAAGTGTACACCGCACTACACAAGAAGCGTGAGTCACTAGGCGATAAGACCACTGCATTCCTGAAGATCGAGCAACTGCATCCTTTCCCATTTGCACAACTGCGTGACGCAATAAACTCGTATCCAAATTTGGAAGACATTGTTTTCTGTCAAGAAGAACCTTTGAACATGGGTTCCTACGGGTACTCAGCGCCTAGAATCGACACCGTCTTGAAGGAAACCGACAAGTACAAGGACGCGACCGTGAGATATGCGGGCAGAAATCCAAACGGTGCGGTTGCTGCTGGGTCCAAGGCTTTGCACAACGCCGAAGAAGAAAGTTTCTTGAAAGATGTGTTTGGTCAGTGAGACCACTTGTGCTAATAACTCAGAGTATATTCTTTACTAAAATTATTTATGATTTGAATGTCAAGCTATTATTATTAGGGTTTCCAGAGGGTTAGCCGGGGCATCTACAGGTGAAGAAGTCTGGTCAGCAGAGCTGTATTTCGGGTACCATCCTAGGCTGGGTAACCCTTATCCAGGAAACCCACATAGTATTCGCGTGCGCCGTCACGTTCATTCGTCTATTACTCGCGTGAAAAAAATAGGCGACCCGCCAGCAACCCGCGTCCTTTAACACTGGATACCCTTTCAAGAACCGAAACGCGTAAAGAAAATTTCTGGCGTCAAAAATTCAAATATTTAACATACATGATCCAGACCAACCGCTCCCCGGTTCGAACTACTCAGCTGACACACAATGATAGCGGTCCAAGAGTCTTATCAGATTGAAGAGCTTTCCGACGAAACCTCAGATTTGGAAGGTGAGACTCTCACCCCAGAGCCACGTGTCTCAAACCCAGTAGATGCGGCAGATGGCTCCTCCATTCCTATTACACCTACTAGACAACTTAAAGTAACTGGATGGATGGATCGATCAGCCCTTCGCCGCCACTTCGATGTTACAGAGGTGGATGGACTAAAGATTGCCTCTTGTGTTCATTGCAAACGCGAATTCAAGGAAGCGAGGTCCACAGGAAACCTTTCAAAACACGTAAAGAACGTTCATCCTCTAGCATACCAAAACGGTCGAAAAGAAGAAGAAAAATCTAGGAGTCTCAGCCAATTAGGAGTCAAGTGTCGTTCCTTGCCACCGCCAGCTGCAATAACCGCAGAATGGAAGCATAGCCCTGGCGATTTTGGTATTCTGTTGCTTTTGACGGAAAAGTTAGTCCCGTTCTCCTTCTTCGAAGGCAAAAGCTGGAACGTCATTAGCGAAGCCTGCTCTGGTATTAAATTGATAAAATCTCGTCCAGCGATCATTGACAGGCTATCGAACTATACCAATCACTTCAATACTGCACTTAAAAAGTATTGAGTAAAACTGACTTCATTAACATTGAACTGGATATCTGGTCCGGCGGGAATGGAAGATCATATCTTGCTGTAGCCGCATCATTTGCTCCCAATCTTATAAATGATGCTATGCTGACTGATGTTGGCAGCAGCAAGGCTCTTCTTAATAACCATTACGCTCCGTACAACACCCACATCCTAGGCTTCATTGATGTTAGCGACACACCACACACCGGGGAAAATCTTTTCAAGGAAGTTCGGGATGTGATGAAAGAGTATGAAATAGATGATCGAGTTGCAACAATTACTTGTGATAATGCCACAAACAACATATGCATGCATTCCCACCTTGTCCATGACCATTTCAAGAAATGCAAATCCAAGACGTTCGATCGTCTGGGAAACTTCCATATTTTCCGGTGTGGAAACCATATTTTGAACATTCTTTTCCAAGATGTAGTGAAAAACCTGAAAGCAAACACAAAGTTTAGCTTGGCACTGGCGCGTATCACACGGTTGGCTCACAAGATGAAGCACACTTCTGTTTTGAGGTCTTCATTAATGAAAGCTTCAATCCCGTTGGTGCCTGCTGCATCGGAAACACGGTGGTTGTATATCTGGAAGCAAGTAACCACTTTTCTGAAATATCGCCAGCAGTATCTGACGTGGTTCAATAACTTTAAAAAGTCACCACAGAACATTTCTGCTGCTTCAAAAATCGAAAAGTGTTTCGAGCAAACCCCTGAGGAAGTCCATCTTTTGCAGTACTTTGTCGATTGTTGCTCAATCTTCAAAGTGTTGAATGACACTCTGCAAGAAGTTTCGTTTAATCATCTCTCTAATGCGGTACCTTTCTATTACACACTTCTGGAATATTATGACTTATGCGGTGATGCCCATACGGAGGCTATAGAGCTACCGACAGAAGGAGCATTTGATTTCACCTTTATCAATGGAACTCAAAACCCGCCGTTAGATATGAAGAAAACGGTACTTGATGCTGTCCTTTCTACTCGAAACAAATTTACAACTTATTTCCAGTACTTCACGGAAAACGATCTGTATTTTGTCGCTGCATTCTTGGATCCTTCGTCCAAACATCAGTGCTTCAACACCCTTATGACGGAGGACGAGGCTCAATTTCGACTAAGCAAAGTGGAAAGGTATTTGAAGTCTTACCTCAAGAAGTCCGAACCGCGAAAGGTCGTTACATCAACTGAACTTGCCAAAAGATCTGTTAGAGGCACGCGCCATCGAGTCAGCAAATTACCCACAATTAACCGGCGCGAAAAGCATTCACGTAATGCAGAGGCTTCTATGTGCAATCAGGCAGTCAGTGAGTGGGACAAATATAAAGCAGAAGAGCAACATACCTTGGACTTCAAAGAGGACTGATACAATGGTGGTACGAACGCCGTGGCGCATATCCCAATTTATTCAGGCTTGCGGTGGCCCTTCTATACACAAAATTTAGCACAAGCGGTCTGGAGAGGGCATTTTCTATCAGCGGGAAAGTTCTTCGTAAAGAAAGAAGAAGTATGAGCAGTCTAAATTTTAACAGGTTGCTAGTTCTTAGAAATCGCTTCAAGGGCTGGGGCCTCCTCGACCAGAAATTAACACTCAATTTCCAAGATTCTGATGAGGATGATGACTATATAGAATGCTACTCTCAATCAGATGACGACGATCTCGAGTTTCAATAGTTAAAGCTAGCATATCAATCTAATTCAACACTACTTAGGTAAGATCAATGCTTTTCTCTCGATTTACGGACGCTTTGTTGAACTAACAAGTTGTTTATCCGCGTTCCATCCGAACGATGCATTCGAAATATCCTTAAATGAGTTGAAAATATTAAAATATATACCCAAGAATTACTCGATCCGTACATGGCTACTACCCGTTTACTACCCGCTCTCGGGTATCCGGGTAGTTATTTTGTAATCCGGGTCAACCCGAAATACAGCTCTGCTGGTCAGTGAGTAACCATTTTGTACGAATACTCATGTGATCAAAGTCTTTATACGAATAAGATCACCATTAACGTAAACCCATAAACTACTCATTCGCAAAAAGCTATAAAGATCATCACTATACACGGTTAAATGGGTCTCGATGTGCTCTTATACGAAATAAGGTAAAAGAACTGGGGAAGCAATAAAGGGAAAGACATCTCAGAAACTTACAAGTTGCTATCTTCCAAATACAAGTGAACTCCTTAGACTGGTTCAAAAAGCAAACTCATACGCCAGACGATGTCATACCAGAAGACTGCATTGATTACGGGCGCTTCGTCCGGTATTGGGTTCGAAGCTACTAAACAGCTTGCGGACAAAGGTTACAAGATTTACGCTGCGGCCAGACGGTTGACGTTGCTGGAGTCGTTAGAGGCCAAATACCCGGGCCAAGTAATCGCGGTAGAGTTGGATGTGAGTGACCCGGAACAGATTGTGGCGTTACGCGAACGGTTTGCCGCCGAATTACCAGATCAAAAATTGGACTTGTTGTACAACAATGCTGGCCAGAGTTGCACGTTTGCCGCAACAGACGCGACCCACGAAATCGTGGAACGCGCTTTCAAAGTCAACGTGTTCGGACCCATGAACCTATGTCGCGAACTGTCGCAATTTCTGATCAATAGCGGCGGAACGATCGTTTTCACGGGTTCCGTGGCGGGGCTAGTGCCGTTCCCTTTCGGGTCAGTTTACGGCGCAACGAAAGCGGCTATCCATCAGTACGCGCGCGTGCTACACCAAGAAATGAAATGTTTCAACGTCCGCGTGATTAACGTGGTCACGGGCGGCGTGCACACGGATATCGCAGACAAACGTGGGGTACCAGAAAACTCGTTGTTTAACGTACCCGAAGCCCGCGCGGCGCTTGAAGCGCGCCGTGAAATGGCCAAGAACAACCACCCGATGTCCGTTGAAAAATACGTGGCGCGTGTTGTGCACGACATCGAAAGCCGTCGCGATCCAGTAGACGTTTACCGTGGCCGTGTCGCTTCCTTGGCTTATTGGATCAGTTGGCTCGTGCCGTATGCAGTGCTCGAACGCATTGTCTTCTATCGCTTCAAGTTATTCCCTTTCTACAACGCAATGCGGCGCAAGCATCCCAAGTCCGACTAAGCAGGGAACTACATTCTTCGTCTGTGACACCCACGTCTACATTCGTCGCAACTCTGCTTCCACCGATTCTGTTTACTCCACCCATTCTTCAGCCATTCTCCAGCCTTGGTCGTGTTTACGCTGACGCTACTGACGCTACTGACGCTACTGACGCTACTGACGCTACTGCCTCTGCTGGCTCTGCTGGGTTGGCCTCTGTCTTTTTTTCGCTGGTTTCCCGCATTCGTCTTTTTCTACATCAAGAAAAAATTCATATATAGGGAAAGACCCACGAATCGCGATTTTCACTGGTAAACAACCCACTTTTGAGCAAAACTACGATCGAGTTTTCTGACAAAAACCAGAACCATCATACGGTTTCCTTCCTTCTAGCTCTTACTTGAGCCCATAACAAAATTTATCCAACTTTCTACACTCCTTTTTTTGACAGGCTATTGAGCTCTTGGTCAGTTTTTCATACGTCAAGTGCAATTTCCAACTCATTTCCATTCCTTTCAACCAGCTGTTTTCAAGAGCAGTTTCCATTCAAGTTTTCCAATAAGGTATGTCTACGCTGGCTATACGAGGGTTACTGAGTCGTTGAGACGAATTGCTTTGTTTCCACCATGTTTCTACTGTGTTTACGATTCGAGAATGAACGAAACCAGCAAAAAATTGAAAAATGCTGGCGGAAACGCGAAAAAAACAAGAATGTCACGTGGAAGATGGAATTTCGTGGAAAACGATCTACGCAACCCGAACTTTCCGTATTTCATGACAAACGCGAAAATACGGACAATGAGGGCCTAATCGGGGAATTCCCCGATTAGGTAGTGCGGTCCGCGGTTTTCGCAGCTCCAAGCTTCTTCGCGCTGGGACCTTCTTACCAGGCTTCGGTCAAAAAGCGTTCAATCGCTGCGATCCCAGCAGGGGCATTGCTCCGTCTCTTCGACTCTTTTCTGCATTCTTATTACCTCCTTCCTGTTTACTAACGCGTGTGTTCAGACTCACCATCACTCTTTCTGCTTAATTTCGGTATGAGAGTCTCCGCTGCTGTTGCGCTTTCACTTGCAAGTGCATCCGTGTCCAGCGCGCTCCCACATGTGCACAGACGTGCGGCCGACAACAATGATTGTACCACCGCACACACGCACCATCAGAACAAACGTGCCATCGCGATCGAGTACGTCTACCAGACCGTAACGGTCAACGACGAAGGTGTCGCTTTGCAGGCGCCTTCTTCTTCTGTGGTCGCTACTGAGATTCCATCTTCAGAACTTACGTGGTCCGCCACCTCGACTTCTGCTGCGTCTGCTGCGTCTGCTGCGTCTGCTGCGTTGTCCGTCTCTTCGTCTGCCGCACCTTCTTCTGCGACTACCACTTTGAGCAGCTCTTCGGTCCAGCAGGCCGCTTCGTCTGCCGCCGCTTCGTCTGCTGCGGCTTGGTCGTCTGCGGCTTCTTCTTCTCAGGCCTCTTGGTCGTCGTCGTCGTCTGCTCCGGCTTGGTCGGCTGCGTCTTCGTCTGCGGCTTCGTCTTCGCCTTCGCCTTCCTCCTCCACATCCAGCTCCGGTGGCACTGACGGCGACTTGGCCGGTTTCTCCAACCCATCCCAACAGTTCCAGGACGGCACCATCAAGTGTAGCGACTTCCCTTCGGGACAAGGTGTTCTTTCCCTCGACTGGCTAGGATTCGGCGGCTGGTCCGGTATCGAGAACTCGGACGGGTCTACGGGCGGCACTTGTGAAGAGGGCTCTTACTGTTCTTACGCTTGCCAACCCGGTATGTCCAAGACTCAATGGCCTTCGAGTCAACCTGCCAACGGAGTCTCTATCGGCGGTCTCTACTGTAAGAACGGTTACTTGTACCGTTCCAACACCAACTCCGACTACTTGTGTGAATGGGGCATGGACATGGCCGTCGTCACTTCTGAGCTAAGTGAATCCGTTGCCATTTGTAGAACCGATTATCCTGGTACCGAAAACATGGTCATTCCAACTTACGTCGAGGCCGGTGGTCAATTGCCCTTGACCGTCGTCGACGAGGACAACTACTACCAGTGGAAAGGTATGAAGACTTCTGCTCAGTACTACGTCAACAACGCGGGTGTTTCCCTCGAGGATGGTTGCGTGTGGGGTACTCCGGGCTCTGGCGTCGGTAACTGGGCCCCACTCAACTTTGGTGCAGGCTACACCAACGGTGTCGCTTATTTAGCCTTGATTCCAAACCCAAACAACCACGATTCTCTCAACTTCAACGTCAAGATCGTTGCTGCGGACAGTTCCAGTATCGTGAACGGACAGTGTTACTACGAGAACGGCCAATACAACGGCGGTGGTTCTGACGGCTGTACCGTGGCTGTCACTGCTGGTAGGGCCAAATTCGTGTTGTACAACTAAGCGGACTAATTGGATTCGTCTCTCCCTATTTTTCTACTTATAACATTCATCCAGAGATCAATGGACTTTTCATAAACTCGGCATTTATCTATGTAAGCATATCTAGTCTCCGTGCTAGTATCCGGACTTCGGCTATACCCATCTTGTTGAAGCTCAAACTCGATCACGTGACTTTACTGATTTCCGATTTACTCGCGCTCATGTATCCGATCATTCTACTTAGCGGGATCTCACGGTTCTCATGTGCCCTGTACATCATTCATGGCCTTTCTACTCTCCTGATTCCCCTTTTTCTTCAAGCAGACCCGCTCTTCGCTCGTTAGTGCTAGCTCATCGCTTGCCAAAACGCCAAGAAAACTTGAAAATGACGTTTAAATTCACAACTAAAAACCTCAATTTCCAAGAAATTATAGCACAAAATAGACTCAATCTCGTATATATGACACATCTGCTACGTTTGCCGATCAAGTATAGTCTTAAGACACCCTTATTTCCCCGCATTCTTCCCGTACCTCGAGGAATACTACGCTTTTTTTGAATACCCCATGAGATATCAAAATATGGAAATATCGAAATGCCACATTCATTTCAAACCGTTCAGTTTGGTAATCAACTACTGGACTTCAGCATTCTCTTCTTCCTAGACCTCCTTTCCCGAAAACCTCGCCAGAATCGTCTTCACATATTTCGTCATTACTCGTCATTTGGCCTCATTCATGACCGTTTCCGATAGCGGCAAAGCCAGGACAATCGGAGATGAAAAACAACCGTCTCTTGCAACCACTGCAGTTCTACCCGCTTTTATGCTATCATCGCCGCATAGATCCTTTCGGCATTATTTGAGAGCTCCTGCCTTTTCCTGGCAGTATGAGGGCATCGCTTACGGCCGCCTGCGGCCGTCAATCATCAAGATAGATACAGATAGCGACATCATGGTGAATGAGTTTAACAAAGTCGCTTCTAGCAAGACTTTGAACAAAATTACATGCTGAGTTAGAAGTTTGGTAGTTTGCAAAGAATCAGGAGATCTGGTGATACCATTCATAAATTCTTTGGGTTTGAAAAGTGGTCTTACGGTTCTATTTGATTGTTTGAATCGATCGATAAGCTGTAATTCTATGATGCTATGCAATTCGCCAGAACAAACACCGGACAGGCCCGGTTCGCTACAGAGCAATTTTTCAGACACTGCCGAGACAGACGAGCGGCCTAGAATGCTGACGGATGCACATAGGAGCGAAACTCGACTGAGAAGCCAAGAGCGCAGTTTAAACCGGGACGACCGAGAAGGGGAAGAAGATGTCACCGAAGCTCAGACGGAAAAACAAGACTTCGATTCGGAAAGTGTCCGAGAAGTTCCGTATTCGCGATTTGGACGTCGTGAGAAATTCATGCTTGTCATAATTTGTGCGTCAAGCGGGCTTTTCTCTACGATAGCGGCTCCGATATACTATCCGGCCTTGCAAACAATAGAAGTGGAGTTCCACATTTCGACAGAGCTCGTGAACATCTCTGTGGTGGTCTACTTTCTGTTACAGGGCCTTGCGCCGACGCTGATGGGCGGACTTGCGGATACTTTTGGAAGACGACCGGTTGTCTTGTGGTCCGTGGCGCTTTACGTGGCCGCATGCATAGGTCTGGCGCGTGCCAAGACATATGGCGAGATTTTGTTTCTAAGGTGTCTTCAAAGTGCGGGCATATCGCCCGTGATAGCGGTGAACAGTGGGATCATGGGCGACGTGACTACCAAAGTTGAAAGAGGCGGTTACGTGGGGCTCACATCCGGATTCCAAATCTTGGGCAATGCGTTTGGGGCCCTCATAGGCGCTGGAATCCTCGCGACCTGGAATTGGCGCGCAATCTTTTGGTTTTTGGCTATTGGTGCAGGCGTAAATCTTATTTTCGCAGGCGTAATGTTACCTGAAACCAAGAGAACCATCGTGGGCAACGGGTCGATCAGGCCGCCGCAAATATTTAGCAAATCCCCGTTCATTATGTTCCCTTCGATGCGACGCAAACTGCACTTGGATTATCCCGATCTTGAAACTCGGGCTCCACCTCAGAAGTTGGACCTTTTAGCGCCTTTGGTCGTTTTCCGCAGACCAGAAGTCGCGTTGCTGTTACTCGTAACAGGGCTACAGTTCTCGCTATGGACCTGTCAGCTCACTGCACTTTCTTCTTTGCTCGAGAGAGATTATCATCTTTCGATCGCCAAAGTCGGTCTTTCGTATTTGCCTAGCGGAATATGCACTTTGATCAGTGTCGTGAGCGCAGGACGCATTTTGAACTGGAATTATCGGCGCAGAATGCGGATCCACGAACAATGGATAAACACAGTGCGGGAACAATTGCTGAAGGAAAACGACGATTCCTCTGCCGCGGTGGAACACATCTTGGCTACCAATCCAAAATATCTTTTCAACATTTTCCGTGCACGTCTTGAAATTATTTTCGCGCCGTTGATTTTGAGCGGCGCCGGGTTCATTTCGTTCGGATGGTGTCTTGACGTTCACGCTCCATTGCCCGCGGTACTTGTCATGAGCGGGTTTGCGTCCTTGTTTTCCAACTGCATCATCTCGTGTGCTACAACCCTTGTCATTGACTTGTTCCCACAGAGATCTTCAACCGCGACTGCCTGTGTCAATTTCTCCAGATGCATACTGGCGGCCATTTTCGTCGCTTGCCTTGACAAAATGTTCAAATCCATGTCCGTTGGTGGTACTTTCACCTTTTTAGCATCTCTATGTCTGGCTTCAACGTTCATACTCTGGATCCCCATCAAGTACGGCATGCAATGGGAGTACCGAAGAAGTCAGCGCAAAAAGCAGGACGAGACCAACACCACCCAGGACTCTGACCTGGATTCCGACCTCGAATGCCAACAATCTCACAATACGCGAACCCTGCCCTCACCCAGCACTTCCAATCAAGATAGAGATACGTTACGACGGATCTCTACGGTGTCGGCGTCAATGATTACTTAACCGGTGGTAGACGCAGGGTCGCAATTACGTAAAATGGCGGCTGAGCGGCTTCCTCGGCTTCCACGCGGTTCCCACATTCCGGAAAAACTTCACCAGAATCTCGGAAAAACTCGGAAAAACTCGGAATCTACGGCTCACGGAGTTTTTTTCTTGTGTCCGACAGAGGAAAAAAGAAACGAACGGGGAAAAAAAAGATCTCCGACCTCTATTTCGGATTGTTCCGGCGAATTTTTCCGAAGATTAATGACTCCAGCTTATCGCTTGATGCGCAGACTAACCGGAAAGGTGGATGTTAGTTGCGTTTTAACGATACGATTCGAAGAGTCATGAGGTCATGAATTAAGCAAGTCGCAGGTGAGTTGCGAGCGCGTATAAGTATACGCTGGTGACTTTTAGACGAGACAGTGTCTGGAACAGGCTGTTTAATATTTTTTGGAAGTCGTTGGCCGTTTAATGATCACGAGACATGCAAAGCAGCGACATTCAGACGGAATTCTCGACGTCGTTGAGCAGTACCAGTAAAAGCGTGACAGACGTTCAAGGGCTTGCAGAGGACAAGAAAAATGAGAAAATCGACAAATCTTCAATTGCGGAAAATTTGACGCAGTCAAGAGTTGTTACGCGGGAGTCGACGATAAGAGCGGGCCAGGACAAGGACTCGAGAGAGCCAGATGAAGATGACAGCAATGCGTCTGTGTGTCAGGACGATATCGCTGCGTCTCCACACACGTTATTGACGTTTTGGCAAAAATGTACCATGGTGGCACTTTTGACGTCATGCGGGTTTTGGTCCTCATTGGGATCTCCCATTTACTATCCAGCGCTTAAACAGCTTGAAAAAGTGTTCGACGTGGATGAAGAGCTTGTCAATGTTACGGTTGTGGTGTATTTGGCGTTCCAAGGTATCGCACCAATTATTAGTGGAGGTCTGGCTGACACTTACGGCCGCAGGCCGTTTATAATAGGTGGAATGCTTGTTTACGTCGTTGCGTCGATTGGGATTGCGTGTTGTCATTCATATGGAGCCATTGTCGCTCTCAGGTGTTTGCAAAGTATTGGAATTTCGCCCATTATTGCAATTAATTCCGGTGTCGCGGGCGATTTCACAGTGAAGTCTGAGCGCGGCACGTTTGTAGGCGCCGTTTCTGGTTTCACGTTACTGGGACAGGCGTTTGGATCTTTGATAGGTGCTGCTTTAACTGCTGCATATGACTGGAGGGCCATTTTTTGGTTTTTGACCATTGGTTGCGGTAGTTGTATGGCCGTTAATATTGTCCTCCTGCCAGAAACGAAACGAACACTTGTCGGAAATTTATCAATCAAGCCCAAGAGAATGATAAACAGAGCCGTCATCACTTATTTACCAAGCGTGCAGAAAAGACTCAAATATGATAACCCTGATTATGATACTTTGGATGCGACAAAAATGAGATCGAACCCACTCTCAGCATTGAAAATTCTTGCACATCCAGAAATTACCCTTTCGTTACTACCTGCAGGTCTTCAATTCGCTCTTTGGACTTTAATGTTGACCTCACTCTCCTCTAAACTTTCTGAAGCTCCTTACAATTACAGTCTGACCATAGTCGGTATTTGTTATCTTCCTGCAGGTATTTCAGGTTTCATAGGTTCTTTCATCACAGGCAGAGTTATCGACATATACTACAAACGTGCGATCAGGAGATTTAAAGAAAAGAAGGAACAAGGATTAATTTCACCAGATGCCAAATTTAATACTTTGAGATCAAGATTATACACATCGATTCCACAAAACTTCTTGGCCGTGGTCGCATTCACGTTATTTGGTTGGAGCGTGGATAGAGGTTGGAACATTAGTGCGCCACTGATCACCTCTGCTTTTGGGTCCTTCTGCGCCATGAGCACACTGTCATCGTCCAGTACGCTTTTGGTTGACTTGTACCCAAGTCAGTCATCAACGGCAACAAGCTGTTACAATTTCATTCGGTGCTCTTTAAGTGCCATTCTCATGGCATGTCTCGCCAAGATGAATAAATCTTTGACCATTGGCGGCACTTTCACTCTTATCAGTGGATTTGTTTTCATTGGCAACTTCGTTACACTCATCCCAATGATGTATGGCATGACCTGGAGAGAGAAGAGAGCTTTGAAAGCCGAACGAGAGGCCATGTTCAACTAGTTTGCATATGCATTGAATATATTTAGAAATAGACGAAAGAGCATTTATTTTAATATAATAATATGATAGAGTTAACATGAGGTCTATTAAATTACAAGCTTAGAAGCAGCACCCGGCCAGTTGCAGAATTGCGCTTCTAACCAAAACGGAGAGACAGACAAGCAGGTCTCATTGCCCTGATTAGCCTTGAATTTGTAGCTACGGAGCAAAACGATGCCAAAAGCTTCGAAAAGGTATGGAATGAATGCACAACAAAGAATTTCTCTAAACCACCAAAAAGAGGTGCTTATTGAGATGCACACTGGACACCTTCAGCACCACCCGCTTGCTCCTCTTCATCAGAATCGTAACTCTGGCCTCTACCGTAAGAGCTCTTACCGCTGTGCTTGTGAGGGTCATAGTCGCTTAGAACACACTCTTCAACTTCCGCATTCGATGGAATGACCGGCTTGGTTCTTGGGGGCAAAATTTGCTCCAGTTTCTTGAGCGATTCCTCATCAGCGAAATGGTTTTCTGGGAAGTTAATCTTGAACTTGACAATCAAGTTTCCGTAACCGCCGTATTTTTGAACTGGCATACCCTTACCGTCGATCACCTTGGTGAGGCCTGGGGAGATAACTTCTCCTGGCACAATGCTAACCTTTAACCACTCACCGGATAAATGTTCAATGGCAAACTCACCACCCGCGATGGCAGACAACAAATCGACCTCAATATCGCAGTACAAATTGTCACCCTTTCTTTCAAAGATCTTATGTGGCTTCTGAGTAACGACGAAAACAACGTCACCAGGAATAACGTTAGGCGCCTGGTCAGCTTCGCCTTCGAAAACGATTTTTTGACCATCCTTCATACCAGGTTCGATATGCACTTCTAAAATCTTTCTCTCATTCGCGATCTTCTTACCGTTACAAGCCTTGCAACGGTCCTTGGGGTCGATTATGTCACCGGTACCGTTACACACGTCACACTCAGTTTGGAATCTCTGGATCATAGGTCCCATTTGTCTCGTGACAAACTTGACACCAACACCGTTACAACTGCTACATTTCTTCACAGCACCTTCTTTACCACCACGACCCTCGCACGATTTACACAGAATTTGCTTGTTGAGCGCGAGCTTCGCAGTTCTGCCCTTGTAGAGTTCTTCTAACGTAGCAGACATCTCATGCTTGATGTCGCGCCCACGTTGAGGCCCACGAGGTCTAGAAGACCCGCCCCCAAAGAACTGCGAAAAAATATCCTCCCCAAACCCACCAAATCCGCCACCGAATCCACCTGCTCCAGCTCCGCCACCCGCCAAACCTTCTTCACCGTATTGATCGTAAATTTCTCTCTTCTGCGAATCGCTCAGCACTTCATATGCAACTGTCAATTCCTTGAACTTCTCTGAAGCTTCTTTACTTGGATTCTTATCGGGATGGTACTTCAGCGCTGCCTTTCTGTACGCTTTCTTGATCTGTGTGTCATCAGCACTGGGTGACACACCCAACAGATCGTACAACTTCGTCTCCCTAACCATTTCGTAACCTCGATTAATGCTCGGTTAATGTCTGACTACGACAAATATGCTACCGCTTTTCTATTCGAAACGATTTACAGATTGTTGTGTTCTGACAATGGCTACTGCTTCTTATATTACCAACCCAAAACGAGAGCTCATCTTGAAAACGATAGAAACTTCTCGAAAAATTTTCCTAGTGGCAAATTTGTAAAAACAAATTTTTCAAAAAAAAGAGAAAATTGGAAAAAATGTCATTTTCTGACAAAGTGATGTCCTTTTTAAGAAAAAAAAAATTTAAGATTCGAAAAAGTGTGCAGAAAATGACGACTTTTTTCGAAATATGTGATAAAGAAGCGCACGATGAGGGATGTCCAAAAAGGTAGTATGTTGATATTTTGATTTGGAGTTTTTGCGAATGCGAAACGTATGAGACTGTGTTCTAGAAACGTTTGAGGGAACTACCAGGAAACTGTTAGATTGAATTTTGGATTTTTTATCGATTATCAAAAAGCTCAAGTAGAGTAAGCCTTAAAGTCATAATATGCTACTCTTTGACAACACCCTTCTTTGTTCGAACGCGTTTTGTCATACACATGGTACATATGCTTTGTCGCTTCTTTCGAAACTGTCGCTTGTTGGGACCCCCTCGATATTTTCGTCAAAAAACGTCGAAAAAAAAGGTACTTGTAAACGGTTCAAGAAACAGATCAAGCATTGCTTAGAGAAAAATTTCTCTCAAAGCACTAGATACGGAAAGATCAGAGAAATCGTCTGAAATGCTTCAAGGCCATCATCCTCGTTGTTTAGTGAGCGAGTGGCCTCATTTCACCTACTATGGGCAAGCGGTGAAGGCCCAACGTGGCACCGCTATATGGTTCGTTTCGCTTAGAGTCTTCGTTCCGCATTCGTAATCTCCTCCAATTATGAGCTTCAGCGGAAATCATATTGATTTTCGATAAATCCAAGTTTCCTGATCTCTGTGTGATAGTTTATCAACAATCTGGAGCCGCGCAAGATTCTGTAGGTAATTCTCGACGCGCTACAGGGCTGGATAGAGGAAAAAGTAGTGCCACGAATTTCCTATTTCTGAATCTGAAACCTTTTACAACCATTATAATGAGAATAAGACAAGATGAGGTCGGACAGATGAAAAGTACAGAAATCAAAAGACATTTGAGATCGTTTGTATCATGGCCTTCATTTAAATCTGTTGTGAAGACTTGTAGCCTTTTATAAGCCACTTTCTATTGACCATAAAACCACGAGTCATTCTAGACTACTAGACATTTCATGAAAATCTTGGTAAGAACACCTGTGCGATCAGCAACAAAACGTGGCTAGCAAGCGGATTTCCATGTTAAGACCCTGTTTAAGGTCCACAGATCACACCTCTTCAACAAGTGTCGATATTCTCCGCTAGTTTCAGCTATGCGTGTGAAAAAAAAAGCGCCTAGGATGAACTACCTTGGATAGCACCAACCACTTCGCATAGCAACATGCGCCCTTGCAATTAGAGTCAGCTGTCATGCCAAGGATCGAACCCAAGCTCATGGCAAAAGCGTATTCACTAAACAAACTGCTACCTTTATTGTTGCCCGAATGTCGAACGATCGTCGACGCCAAACGGGAACTTGGATGGATTAAAAAGGAATTGACAACACCCTTTCAAGTATTGAGGGCTTGTCAGATGAGATTCATGCATTATCCTCTGCAATATATTCTGAAATCTCAACCATTTGGCATAATTGATGTCCCATGCAGACGGGGAGTCTTGATTCCTCGATGGGAAACAGAAGAATGGACAGTCGATGTCCTTAATCGAATTCCAGACAACTTGCCTATCTCTTTAATTGATCTTTGCACTGGAACAGGATGTATTCCAGTGCTTATCAAGAAGCAGAGAAGCCTTGCCCATTGCATTGGTGTCGATGTCAGCGAGAAAGCGCTTGCGCTTGCCAAACGTAATTCCAAACAGAACGGTGTCGACGTTACTCTGCTGAAAAGGGATATAATCAAGGACTCGAGCAATATTATTTCCAAACATATTGATCTTTTGACCTGCAATCCACCCTATATTTCAAAGGAGACATTCACTAAAGATTCAAGGGCATCGGTACGTGTTTTTGAACCGAGACTGGCTTTGATAGGCAACCTTGAGTTTTATCAAAATTTGATTCAACATTGGCTGCCAAGGGTGGATGCTTTCGTTTACGAAATCGGAGACATATCACAGGCCAAATATATCATTGCCCAAATTTCCAAATCTCCACTGCATGCACGCCTTTGGAGTGTGGGAATTCGTTCTGATTTGAATGACCTACCAAGGGTCGTTTACGGATTTAGAAAAGAGTCCAAAAATTTCGATAAAGCAAACATGTTTTGTGGGTTTGGTCGTTTGTACCACTGATGTTTCTACCGACTATTATATCGTACATATCTCTGTTCAATCTGTAAATACACCGTTAATTGCTCACTCCACTTTCTGCTTCTTGACTTCGTTGTCTTCTAGAGATTCGGTGGTCTTTGGACGCTCTAACGCGGCCATATCATTTTCCTGGACCGGTATTACGCGCTGACACCACATGATGTATCCACCACCCCCGCGCATGGTCATGAGGGGGTGAAGTTTCCCACGGATCGTTTGATAAGGTCTGCATCGAGTTTCCAAGATCGTAGGAGCCAAAAACCGAAGGTCACCATATAGAACATGTGAAAGTTCTAACAGTGTCTCCTTAAATTGGCTGTAGCACACGATTGGCCTTGAACCATGAACCTTCGTGCTCAACTGTAATACTAAATCTGGAAGGTAGAGTGTGGAGCCGACAACCAAACCATCGTAGGACAGCTTAGTAGCCAAATCGATGATTTCTAATTGATTTTCATACCACCGCAACCTACGATAATAGGCGCCCTTCCGGTTACTTTTCATTTCTTTCAAAGCATCGTGCGAGAGAGGTGTGAACGCAGATTGAACCTCTTCCACACCGGGAGGCTCAAAAAAGTCCAGTAATGATATCGTCTTAACATGATCCTTAATGAATTCTTCCGAGTAATTCGAAAACTTTAACAGATCAATATTAGGATGCTCATTTTCATGTACTAGGATAATCTTACCGTCTTGATCTGGCAAGGCATTACCTCCAAACATACGCTCTAACATAGCGTAAACTAACAATCCACCGGTCTCGTCAACACAGAGATAAGTGCCGTTTCGCCTCACATTGGCCAAACTCAAAATTATCCCGAGACTTTCCTGCGAAAGATCAAGCGCTCGTGCCACGTCGTTTTTGTCGATTAAATATTGCAAAAGAGCAGAACTGGTGGGGCTCTCGACGGTAAAAAATTTGGCGAATTTCTGCTTTTTGCGTTTCAAGTATTTTTCCTGAGAGTGTACGGTCTTATGATGGAAGCTACCGTGAGCTTCAATCATTTTAGCGATAATCTCTTCTCCAGAAACACTTTGTTTTTTTAATTCTTCAATTTCCTCCATGGTTAACTTTTGAATTTTATTACCAACATTAATCAAATTTTTATTCGTCTCACTGCTTAAATACGTAGCCACTTCAGGGGCCTTCGACAAATCGGTTTCAGAATCCCCATTCGCATCAGAATCGCTTACAGAAAGTCTATCAGACAGAATTCGAACATTTCCTGCTGGTGTTTTCGCCTTGTTTTTGGTCTCTTTCTGCTCAACTTCTTCAAACGACTTGTCATAGCAAATCTGAAAGGTAGTACCCAGCGGGTATCCAATGATATCATTAACTCTAAAAGCACCAAATTTGCCTAATGATATCTCTGTGTCGGCCCTAAGTTCACATACTTTGAAATTGTTAGATGGTAGTCTCAGTACCACATGTTCACCTATATTGATCCGTTTGTGAGTTGCCATTGCAAGGAATGGTTCTAAAAAGCTCAAACAGGCCCTTTTTATGGCACAACCTTAAAGTGATGAGCTCGTTTTCAGGTTTATCAAATTTTAGTTTTTCAGTTTCCGATCATCTTGAATATTTTTGACGAATTTCAAATTTCAAGATTCTTGAAAAATTTTATACAAGCTCATCTCATCGCATCGAGCTCACTTCGACAATTGAAATAGAGGCTTTCAAATAGAACATTGACTCTTTGAGATCATACTGTAACGATGGGAAGTAGAAGAGTCAAGAACAAGCAAGGAGCACCACCGAGTTTGGATGAATTTAGAGCGAAGAAGACTAAAAAAACCGGTAACGGCAAGCGTGAGAAGAGAAGATCGGAAGACAGAGTTGACGAGAGAAGTGCTAAGAAATCGAGTTCCAAAAAGCCGAGGAGATCTCCTCCAGATGTTGTAGAGGATTTAGAGGAAGTCGAGGAAGAAGTCGAGAAGGAGGTCGAGGAGGAAGTTGGTGGTGATGAGGAAGAATCTGACCTTGCGCAGGCCAAAAAGACTCTTTTTGACGATGACGAAGAGGCTGAGGAAGAATTGGACGAGTTTGATTTGGAACAAGAGTATGACAATGAAGATGAGGAAGTCGATAGGGAACAGCCTATGTTTTCCGATGAGGACGACGAAGCTGACATGGAAGAATTGAATGCTGCGAATATGGAAGCATTGTCCATGAAATTGGATGAGGAACAAGCATTTGAGGACGAAGAGGCCGAAAGGGAGCTGATAGAAATTGCCGAGACTCAGCCGCGTGCAGAGATTCTACCTACCGAGGAAGAACAAGAAATTACTAGTCAACAGGCTCCCGATCTTACTGCCACGAGAACCAGAATGATTGAGATTGTGAAAGTGTTGGAAAATTTCAAAGCTTTAGGTGCAGAGGGTAGATCCAGAAGCGAATATATCGATCGTCTTTTGAAAGATATTTGTCAATACTTTGGCTATACTCCCTTCCTGGCCGAGAAATTGTTCAATCTGTTCTCTCCCACTGAAGCGCTTGAGTTTTTCGAAGCCAACGAAACACCTAGACCAATTACCATCAGAACAAACAGCCTTAAGACCAGAAGAAGAGATCTGGCTCAACATCTGGTTAATCGTGGTGTCAATTTGCAACCAATTGGTTCTTGGACAAAAGTCGGCTTGCAAATTTTCGATTCTCAGGTGCCAATCGGTGCTACGCCGGAATATTTGGCAGGTCATTATATCTTGCAAGCTGCATCGTCCTTTTTACCCGTTATTGCACTAGATCCGCAAGAAAATGAGAGAATCTTGGATATGGCGGCTGCCCCAGGTGGAAAAACAACATACATATCCGCAATGATGAAAAACACTGGCTGCGTTTTTGCCAATGATGCCAATAAAGCCAGAACTAAATCCTTAATTGCCAACATACATCGTCTTGGATGCACCAATACCATTGTTTGCAACTACGACGCGCGTGATTTCCCCAAAGTTATTGGTGGTTTCGATAGAATTTTGTTAGATGCTCCATGCTCTGGCACTGGTGTCATTGCCAAAGATCAATCCGTCAAAGTTTCGCGTACTGAAAAGGATTTCATGCAGATTCCACATCTACAAAAGCAGTTGATTCTATCTGCAATCGATTCAGTGGACTCTAACTCTAAAAGGGGAGGTATTATAGTCTACTCTACTTGTTCCGTTGCGGTTGAGGAAAATGAAGCTGTGGTGGATTATGCTTTAAGAAAAAGGCCGAACGTAAAGCTTGTCGATAGTGGCCTTGCCATCGGCAAAGAAGGGTTCGTAAGCTTTAGAGGTAAGAAATTCCATCCAAGCGTCAAGCTCACAAGAAGATTCTACCCACATGTTTACAACGTTGACGGTTTCTTCGTGGCCAAGTTTCAGAAACTTGGACCATCTAAACATGATGATAACCAGGCCAGTGCCAAGGAGAAAGAAGCCGCCGCTAGACAGGAGGCTGTGGAAGAAGGTATTATACACGATGATTTTGCCACCTTTGACGACGAGCAAGATGCTAAATACATTGAAAAGTCTAAAAAGACCAATCTTTTGAAAAGGGGCATCGATCCTAAAGGTAGCAACAAACTTGCTGGGAAATAAAAGCAAATTTTGCATCACACTCATCATTTTTACTGGCATTGTTAAACGAATGCCATTTTGTACACTTAGTAAGATAATACAAATGCAGCTTTACTGGATTCTATAAACAAACACGGTTGGTGTTTCTCACATTACTGAAAATGAGTGACATTGCCCAGTCCGTGCTCTTTAATATAATGCGGTCCATATTCTTCATATTCGCTCTTAGTCACGAATGATGTCTTGTACTGCTCTTCATTCTGTGACAATTTTGCCATACCTTTCCAGGTGTCCAGGAGTGGATCTGAGGCTAATTTCACATTTAGCTTAGTATGCATCGGCAAAAACTGGGTAAACTCTCTCACTATCCTGTTTTTTAAACCAGGAAGTTTGGTATTACCGCCAGTTAGTAAAATATTGCTGGCAAAATTTTGACATAGTTGAGATAGCTCACGAGAAGTTGAGCCAAACTTATTCATAAGAATTGCTTCACAGATTGAAGAGATGCCTGCTTGGTCAAAACCTCCTAGCGATGGTTGGAAAATGACTTCTGGAACCCTTATGCGCTCGACATTCAAGTGCATCTGATGTTGCTCGTGAATATCCTCATTGTCATGGGCACGAGGTCCTCTCAAAAATAAATGAAGAGTCGAGTTTCTCCAGTCATATTGGGCATCAAGAGTATCTTCTTCTGTGAAATTTGGGTCGTATTCCAGGAGCATTTGTTCAAGTTCAACAATTGTCTTGTATTCCTCCTCAATTCTTTGATCAAGCACTTCAGGATTCTGGCTTATATCGCTGTAGACTAACCAATCCTCATCGTTAGCACCGAATGTATCATTGGGATCATTGTCCACTGTGACTTGTTGGCGAGACCTTTTAGAATTGGGTCGAGATCTCTCTTCGGCTAGAGATGCAAGATTTTTCATCCTTTTCTGGGCGGCTTGCGACTTACGATCTTTCATATCTGACTTCACCTTCAGTTTTTCTCTTCGAGATTGCAGAAGAGCAGTCAAACGATCCCTCTTGTTTCGAATCCATCCCGACAAATCTTCTTTACGCCATTGTACATCTTTCTCTCTCGCTTCTTGCTCAATCTTCTCTCTTTCGAGCTTTTCCTCTTTGGCACGTTGACGGGCTTCTAAATTAGCCTTCAAAAGTCTCTGTTTCCTCTTTTCCCTGATTTGCGCTTCATCAAGTTGGTCATCCGGAATATCAACCAGATCGAACTTTGTATTTGCATCCTCCTCTTGCTCTTCTTCTACATCAAGCACTCTTGCTCTTTTGAGCGTCTTTTCAAGCCCAGTGATGTATCTTTTAAAGTCTTGCTCGTCTTCGAAGCCTGCAGTTTGTAAAGTGGACAAGATGGCTTTTTTAGGTTGATCCTTAAACTGTTCTTTCAACTGAGAATAATATTCATACTCCTCCTCCTTTTGAACCAGTTTTTCCAATCTTCTCTGCTTTGCTTGCTCCTGTAATCTTTTACCGGTTTCCTTCCGTTTCTCTGCCTGTAAGCGCAGCTCTTCTTCAGATTTCTCGGGCGGCAGAATCTCAGTAAAGGGAGCCTCAACAACGACATCTTTCGTTTCCAATTCTTCCAAGGTCAAGATGTTTTTAATTTCGGCTTCGTAGTCTTGAGAAACGTAGCAGAAATCTTGATATAGAGACTCGAATTGATGATAAGTGGGTTTTGTTGGGAAATAGGGATATTTCAAAGCCAATAGATTTGACAAGTAGTCAACTGATTGATGTCCACCCCAATTAATTCTTTTGGCCTCACTGAGGCATCCTTTTCCGTCAACTACAGGTATTACATGGGAATCTTCATGTCCGCTGCTAATAACAAGACCGGACGAAGTCGGCTCATTATTAGCATAAAAGGCGAAAAGGCTGTCAATTCCAAAGGTAACCTGCGGACATCCAAAACCTTCAAACAAGATTTGATACCAGTTGTTACGCTGCGATTGTAACGTCGCAAGCTTTTCCGTCAACAAAATCGGATTTGAAATCCCATTGTCGCCTTGAACCCCCAAATGATGGAAAGTATATTCCATAATCTCTTCCGTATAATCCCAGTTTGAAATAAACGCTCCATCATACGGGTTTTTAGCCTGGGCTCTTATACTCAAATCCAAATTTGTATCATTCCCTACAAAAGTTAAGTTCCGATTCAGTTTCCTGTCCCTATACCGTGCCAATCTGTTCGGAAACACATGAGATGGCACATTACGATTCCCATATCCTGCTCTCACGGAATTGGATCCAAAATCGATGGCAATTGGTAAATTTGCATCGTAATTGCTAGAATCATCAAACGGTTCAGCTTTCGTCTCTAACTCACCGTCATTCAAGTAATGAACCTGTAAAGGTGGCAAAGAAGTGTCTTTTAAAGTGCTCATCAAGGACAACTTACCACAGCATAAAATCCCTCTCAAAACCAATTGGTTGGGGAGTTTGTCAAAAGTCGTCGATCCTGTCAAAACTTAATCTTTTCAATATTCATGAAAACTGACAAACTCTTATAACATCTGCGAGAATAATGGAAATTTGACAAACTGAACTCTCAAATGAAACGTATTTAAATTCATCTACACTCTGCTATGACTATGGCACCGGAATCGTTATAGAAGGGAGTGACTCTCAGTTCTTTTTTTGAGTTTGGCAAGATCAATTGGAAACCGGCAGTTAAATTAGACGAGTCAATGATCGCTTTAATGTCTTTATCGACATAACTCGATTCGAAATGTTGAATGGCTTTCAAACAGGCTTTTACAATTGCCTGGACAATTGTATCGTTTGATTGGCTTTCGTATGCAACTGAAATATTGTCAAAACGACTTATAGAAACTCTCTGATGGGAAGTTTCGGACATCGACAGCTTCAAATTTTGGTCTGCACGGACTAAAGGATCTAGAAAAACGGATTCTTCTTCTTCTGGCTTGAAAGGTGCTCTGGATTTTGGTTTACAAATTTTGTTGTGATACATTCCGTTGACAAGATGATTTTGGGCCCGAGATTGCCTACTGTGAAGCTTTTCGATGTATTCGTGATACTGTGCCTCAGATAACGCTGCCAGAGCGTAGTTTGGGTTTACCACAATGGCCATTGCGCCCTTCTGACCAAAACCAAAAGATGAAACCGATACAGCTTTAACACATTCCATTTCGAGATTCTCTGAAAGATACGCAATATGCTGATATTTCTCGAGCACCTTATCGATGTTGTCTGCATTTTTGTTTCCTGGAACAATGCCCGTTTGCAACATTTGCAAAGCTCCATTAAGCATCCAAGCCGCTGCAGCGCCCTTCGGATGGCCCGTGAGATGCTTTTGAAATACTCCCAATAAGGGGTTTCCCTCAGATCTGCCTAAATGATCCATCATCGAGTTGAAAATCTCGGACTCGTTCTTCTCGTTCGCTTTAGTCGACGTCCCATGAAACGACGCAGCGCCTAAATCATCTATCGTTAAACCGAAAATAGCCAAACTTCCTCTTATTGGTGATATACTTTCGTCATTGTGCCAAAAATCGCATCCCCAGTACCTTCTGGCTTCCTTGATCTGTTTTTCTGCCATTTCATGTACAAACTGAATTTCAGATCCTGCTGCTAACTCCAATTCCACCCAGTTCATTACTTCTTTGTATCTTCTTTCCAATTGCTTTCTTCTGAAGTTGGCGTTGAGCTTTGGGCATGGGAATTTGAATTTCTTTGGAACTTCCCTGGCGCATGTCATAATACCCTTCCCAGGAGCAGGCAATGACTTGCTGATTTTATCGGATGCCGTTGACGCCATCGCAACAATTCCATAAATCGGAGCCCCCATGGTAATTGCCAGGTCGGCGGCCATGAGCACTTGGATTCCGGATCCGTGGGATTCCATAAATCCGTTCCTGGTTGATGTGGCAGGCCTGCACATTTCTTTCGGCTCACGACCGCTTTCGATTTCCGTTTGGGCACTTGAAGTGGCTCCCATCTGGCCAAACTCATATGAGACTTCTTCTGTGAAATCGTCGTACCCACCTGCTAAACAAATTTTAGCCTTGCCAGATAAAATTGTCTCAACAGCAGAATCTAGAGATTCGAGTGCTGTAGCGCACGCTCCTACTGGGGTCTTGATTGGCCCACATGAGGACAGCAAAAGCATATTGATCCACGCAGCACTTGTATTAATGAATGTTTCTTGCAAAATATCATTTTGGACTGGAGAATCGCGCATTCTCATCTTTTGCATGGCATGATGTGATCTCAAACCGCCAATACCAGAGCCAGAGCAATTGCCAACCTCTGAGACGTGGACGTACTTGTAGAGCTCGTATGGGTCAGTAATCCCAGATGATATTAAAGCTTCTGCGGTAGCAACGAGTGCGAAAAGTGTCACAGTATCAACGCTATCAATGATGTCCTGGGGAATTCCATATCGAGTGGCGTCCCAACCACTAGGAATTTGTCCTGCAACAAATCGGTCAAATCTAAGGGCTTTGGGAACGAAGAATGGACATCCTTTCAAGAATCGAACCATACATTGCGAATACGATCCGCTTTCCTGTGAGATAATTTCGACAAGGTCGCCGTGCTCGGCCTTATACTGTTCAGCAAGTTCTAAGCTCATTTCTATGGGACCTAGGTCCCTGGTCATCACAATCTCCTGTAGCATCTGTTTCTTGGAAGGATCGTATCCTTCAAACAACGATGGATCAATTATTCTTATTCCTGTATGTTCCAAGATTCGCGTTTCGTACGTTTGTTTGATTAAGTGGTCAGAGATGAACTCGCCCGTTGAAACATCTGCCCAACCGCTTTGTTTCGAAGTTCTTTTATATTCGATAAATCCCATGATCCAGGCAAGTTCAATACAAGCTTCGAGTGAGAATTCTCCTGTGCTTTCCATTTCCCACCGTGTTCTTGAGTTTCCCCAGGGTCCTACCTCCGAGAATCCTGTTACAACCACTGTATGGGATAAGTCAAGTAAGCCGGACAAGTGGTCACCATTGAATTGTTTCTGAAGACGTTCATATTCTGGCACATTGGGGAAGCTTGGTGAAATATTGCCTCTGGGTTTGACATAATTTGGACCATCGGAGGACGTTTCAGTGATGGAGTAGGCATCAGTAATTTTCTCTTCATGAATGGCCTCTTTGCACTGCTGTTGGCGACCAAGCTCATTTCTAATTTGTGAGACGACCCTTCCGAAGTTGGGCAGTGTATGAAGTCCACCGTTGAGATCAGCCATAAGTGCCCCCTTTTGACAAGAATGAATGACCTGATAGGAGAGTAAACCCAGGATATTGAATGCCATTTCGTTGCTCGCAAAAGTTCGTATTCCTAATTTTTCTAAACCGTGCGCTACCATGTCATCGCCTATGTCATCGTTCGTCCATCCATAAACGCATCCACAAACGCTCAGCTCTGTTGACCAATCTTCATCATACCATTTGTCCAGTATTGGAGACAAAAATGTGTCACTGAAAGTCGGATCAGATTCTGAAATGTTCCTGTGAGTTGGCGAAAGTGGTAATAGAACGTGAGTGATTCTCGTGTCAATTCCGCGTATTCTTTTCTCTTCGACAATTCCAGCCATGAATCTAAGAAGGTTCAGACTAGCAGACCTATGGGTCAATTCAGCCTTGGAATTGAAATCAATGAGTGAACCATAAGCTCTCTTGACGTGGAAAGGCAAGAAAAGGTCAACATCGTCATACCGAGAAAAGTAGTAGCGGACAAACTTTGAGATGTCAATTTTGGAGGCCAAGTTCAGTGGTGACAGTACAAGCTTAGAGCCAGACGCACCATGCCTTTGATAACATTCCTTGAATTTACTTGTCGTTTGGTGATCATATCGTTGTGAAGCTACAAAGACACGAGCACCAGCTTGTAGCAGCCCCTTCAGCACTTCTAGCACCAAAAGATCGTCTGCACCTTGCGTCGTCATCAAAACAGTTTTGTCCCCTAGTTGTATGCCGGATTTGCTCATTCGGAGTAGACTTGAGAGGTACATTTGGGTCAATTCCTTATTATAGGACCACTCTCCCGTTACGTTCGACCGCTTCTTCAAATGCAGAAAGGGAATGGTACCTTTAGGGATCGTTGCTTCGTGAGTTGTCAAATTGTCGTCATTATTATGGTCTTCAAATTCGTCTTCAGATGAATCGACTTCACAATCATCAATATAAACGTCTTCAGATTTGTCTTCAGAACAGATGAGTGTTCTATTAACGGAAAATAGGGCTTGGTCAATCACTCCGCGGAAGAAGGACGTTACTTGATCCGAATTGCGAAGGAAAATGAGCAACTGTTCGTACATGGACTCGAATTGTGCCTGGATGTTTTGCTGAGAATCACCCGTGGCAAGAGAGTACTGCATAACTTTAGAATAGACTTCGAAAAGTTGTTTCTCGATTTTGTAGTAACTGCTCATGTCGTGATCTAATTTTGTTGAAACCACGGAGACCTCATTAGGCACACGAGCAGTAGTGTTTCCCGCCGACATTTCTTCGACGTAGTTGGCTAGACTGTTTATCTTCGTTCTCGACTGTTTCTCACAAATAATCTGGCCATGCTGGGTTATTCTAGCAATGGGTTTTAAAGATGTGAATTGAGAATTGCGGTAGAAGGGCTCTTGTGCCGCACTTCTCAAGCACGCCTGGGATAATGCATTGAGTTTTTTCACGACGTTGTTGTCCATGTGCAGGCAATTTATGGCATAATGTATAATTCTCATGATGTCAGTGTCCGCGCGATTGAGTAGGACATGCACGTTTTCCTCTGAGAATACTTGCTGAATATCCCGAGGATTTTTGATGGCAGCATAAACCATTTGCAGAACGTGCTGTCTCCCCCAATTCCAAGCAGAATCATAAATGCGGATCTTTTTTGGTGAGAAAAGTTGGCGAACAGATTCGGTCAAGAAAACGTTATCAAATTCACTTTCAATAGCCGAAAGCCTGTTTTTCGTCTCTGCAAGCTCAGCTTTCAGTAATTCGACTTCGGTTTGAGAATCTGACGTCCCCAATTGGCTACCCAGAATTCCATGCTGGCTCTTTTGCAGTTGCGTTAATTCGTTTCGGAATGTGTTGAATTCTTCAATGTCAATGACTTTAGGCCTTTCATCGTCTTCTTCAATTGACAGTGAATGATTGCTACAGGCACGTACAGCGATATTCTTCCAAGAGGCATATTCTAAACAGCATTGGTCGATAAATTTCTCAGTATCGCCGTCGCTTTGAAACCTCTGGTTGACCACTTGCGTCGACATGTACAATATGAGAGCATTTGCATCAGAAACCTGCCAATGGCTTTGCAAATACGCTCTTACCGCACTTAAATTGCTCAAGGAACTTGAAAAATTGCGGACTACAAACCGACTTGCCAGTCCAGATGTGACAGGCCCTAATGAGTTCGTTTCGTCGACCGTTTCACACAATTCACTTACAGGGATATCTTCGATCTGAGAATCACTCATACTTGGTATTTCTCTGATGAAATCACCTTTAAGCTCATTTTGAAGTGTTGATTTTCCCCCGCATAGCTCTTTTAGGCTCTTTTCCACAGGTAAAGTGCGGACGCCGTATTTTGGCAATTTATGACAAATGATGCTTCGCAACTTGAGTGACATATCCAGACGAGGAAGGACACTAAAACTGTTTTTACCTACACTGGCTATACCAGGGACCACTTGTGAAGTCTTGGAAGTAAGTCCTACGTGGTTTTCTGGGGCGTCTGTTCTCTGGGGAGTCGCTTCTCTATGGTCTTCCCATTGATAATACAATTTGTCGAGGTCTCTGCAACTCGCCAGAACTTCTTGCCTCCCACTCAAGCACAGTGCGTTCTCGCGGACGTTGTCTTGTTGGAGTGTTCTGGTTGCCATATTGGCTAAAATCGGCTGTGGTCCCACTTCAATAAAACGCTCGGTTTTGAAGTCATTGAAAATAACGTCCTGCGTTTCTATCCAACGAACGGGCCATGCAAACTGATAAGCAAGCAACTCTGTGAGCAGAATGTGGCAAAGTTGGTCACGATTTTCTTGTTTCATGGCGGTTTTCTTTGACAGTGAATACTAGAACCGAAGACCGAAATTCAAGCCGCGTTTTTTGGGAGGGGTGATTATATATGTGCATGAGGGTTATGATTGTATCAGACTGTGCCTAGTTCCAACAATTGGATCAGTACGGTTCCTCGTTGTTTGCTTGTCAGCCAGACCCAACATTTTTCGTTCAAGCCCAAAACCAATCTATACGAGGATCTACAGTAATGGCGGCCAAATCACATGATCGTCGCACCATGGTCAGTGACTGGCACTATGCCAACGGTTTTTGCATTTGGTCGCGCCGTCCACGCCATCGCGTTTCATGTGGTTCTTGTCACCAATCGGTGAATTTTAGCTAAGTACATACAGAGATACGAGACATCGAGCTAAGACAACGACTTAAGCGCCACAAAGCATTTTTTAGGGCGTTCACCACACCCAGAATAAAATATCTCACCCGAGAGGAACGGAAAAATTCTACCTGATATCATTTTGAATGTGTCTATGTTGCTGAGTTTTTCGAATTCATTGACGAAATCAAGAGTCTTGCAAAGATTACGACTTCTACAAAAAAACAGAAAAAGGTGAAAACAGGCGAAAGACTCTTGGACATAGTGTCTTTAAGTTAGACATGAACAAGTCGCTAGCTCAAGGCACGAAAATATCACCTTAGCCAGTTTTAGCCAGTTTTAGCCAGTTCTTTTTAATTGTTTACAGTCTCCTACTGAAAAGTTGACGAAAGTTGACGATACTTCGGATCCTTCGTGAATAACGATTTCAGGTTTCTCCGGAAAATTTTTAGAAAGTAAACAATGGAGTTTCACGAAATTTGTCAAGAAAGCCAACTGCTGTATTTTGGTTTGAGCTTCAAGAGCGCGTCTGATTTGGTATCCACTGGTTTGGTAATGCCATTGTGCGGATCTTCATCGAGCTCTAAGCAGCCTTTGGAGCGTAAAATAGTGATTTTAGGTGATGGTGCATGTGGTAAAACTTCGTTGTTGAACGTGTTCACGAGAGGTTACTTCCCGAAAGTGTATGAACCCACCGTTTTCGAGAACTATATCCATGATATTTTTGTGGATGGACAACATATAACGCTTTCCCTGTGGGACACGGCCGGTCAAGAGGAATTTGATCGACTTCGATCGCTGTCGTATTCCGACACTCACACGATTATGCTATGTTTCTCAGTCGACAGTCGGGATTCGCTTGAAAACGTGCAAAATAAATGGGTTGGGGAGATAGCAGATCATTGTGAAGGTGTTAAATTGGTACTTGTCGCCTTAAAGTGTGATCTTCGTAACAGTAATGAAGAACACGGTTTGGACAGTGCAATTACACCGGGCAACATTCAACAGCAACAACAACAACGGCAACAAGGCGGTGAAGTCACAACAGGTCTAATCACGTACGAAGAAGGTTTAACGATGGCCAAAAAAATTGGGGCTTTGCGATACCTGGAGTGTAGCGCAAAACTGAATAGAGGCGTAAACGAAGCGTTTACGGAGGCGGCACGCTGCGCGTTGACGGCTCGGCCCAAAGGTGCCCGTGAAAACGCGACGACGGAGGAAACCAAGAAAAGCAAATGTGTTATTATGTAGTGTTTGTGAGATGAGTATTTACTAATAATAAAAAAGAGAGATGCAATTTGTCTATGATTCGTCGTCGTCGAACATTTTGTTCAAAACCATGGAAGGCGTTTCCTTCCTGTCGGGGAGAGGACGGCGAGTAGGCGACGATTGTGCCGTGGCAATTAAGTTTCCAAGGCTCGATTTGCTGCGACTGTGACCTCTTTTCTGGCGTTCTGGCGACACGGTTCTTTCGGGTCGAGTTAAAGGCACATCTGGTTCCAAATTAGACACGAGCGACGTTGAAGAATTGTTGGTGTCCGCGAAAAGTTGACTTTTGCGTTTTTGATTAACGATCTCGACCGTTGGTGATATGAATAACGATCTTCGGTTCTGTAAAGCGGCCGAATCGTTTTGAATTGTGGAAAACAAGTCCTGACCAGCCGGGGACGCGAAGTTCTCAACACTGAAGTTGTTAGATGCGTTTTTGTCGTCTACAAGTGCAACCAGGCTATGAGACGTGGACTTCTTGTGGAATGGAATGTTGAAACCCGAGAAATCGGTTTTTTCCCAGTCTGAATTGGATATTTCCTTGTAAGGTTCATAGGTGTCGCTTGCATGGGATTGAAATTGACGTTCGACGGCCTCGTAGCGCTGTTTCTGCGCTTTACGACGTGAAATGTAGCCGCTGATGAAGTAACATAGTAAAAGTGCACCGAAAAAAGCTCCCACGATCGACCCCACAGCGATGAAAACCGTGCCAGCAGGTTTATTGGTCGTCCTGATATTTGGGTTTCCCTCTGATGAGGGCGGGGTTATCGTGGGGGCAGACACGGTGGAACTACTAGAACTGGATGAACTGAGTACATTGGAGCTCAATTTCGGCAAACTTGTGGTACGGGATGCCGTTGATGTCTGCGATGTTGTCTCACTACCCGATGTTATTTGTGATGCTGCTTGCGATGTCGTCTTACCAGACCCCAAACTGGGTAAACCACGCTCGAGGATTCGCGTCCCATGCTCTAAATCACTTGAATCATGGCCCATTTTCGTCAAAATCACCGTCTCTTCTTTCTCGAATCTCAAGTTTCAAATTTCACCAAGTTCCAATAGGCAAAACCTAATATATATATATCAAAACAACGAAAATTTCACCGTTACCAAAACAAAACAAGACAAAACTGTCACGGGACTTCCGATACTCTTCCCAAAACGATGCCATATATCCCGCCATTGAGTTTCGCGCCTGTGGTTAGTACAGATGTCTCGTTGTACCGTTCGGGTTACCCGATGCCACTTAATTACGCGTTTATACGGGATCAATTACACTTGAAGACGGTGATTTACGTTGGTGACAAAGACGTTAGTGAAGAGTATCAAACATTTTTAAACGAGCAAAATATCGCGTATCATCATCTGCACGTGGATTCGTGTCGTGATTCGGATTTCTCGCGCCATGTTGACGCTGTTTTACGGTTGGTTTTGGATAAACGGAATTACCCAATACTTATACATTCTAATAAGGGTAAACATCGGGTTGGTGTTGTGGTGGGGATCATTCGTAAACTGTTACAAGGATGGTCTACTACTGGGATTTATCAAGAATATGGGAATTTCAGTGGTGGGTCAAAGGGAGAGGTGGACTTGGAGTTTATCACAATGTTTGAAACGGAGTTGATTGTGAAGAGGGATCTGATACCGGATTACGTCAAGACGAGGAAGAAGAGCTGACGTGAGAGGCGATACGGTGATCTAATCACGTGATGTCTCTTTACACGACATTTTCACGTTTCCGGGCCTTCTTGGAGGTGTTTGGGTTCAAAGCAGGTATTACTCACACTATCTACTACCACCACCACCGCTACTATCGTGGTATAAGTCGATACTAGGATTCCGTCAGTTCAGGTGTGGCAAGTTTCATCGAGTCATTGAGTACTGCTCGATAATCGAAATGACTTTTGACTTATCCAATATCGTGCGTCCCAAAATCCTAGGTTTAGAACCTTACAGATGCGCAAGGGACGATTTCACAGAAGGAGTTCTTTTGGACGCTAATGAAAATGCGTTTGGTCCTACTTTGGAGAAAAAAGATGTTGATACGCAATTGCACCGGTACCCCGATCCGCATCAAATAGAATTTAAAACGCGGATGGCAAAATTCAGGAATGCCGAATCTGCTTTCAAAGGCCAAGACATTACACCTTTGACTGCTGATAACCTGTGTTTGGGCGTGGGCTCAGATGAAAGTATCGATGCCGTGATGCGTGCGTGTTGTGTACCAGGCAGAGACAAGATTTTGATCCTGCCACCTACATACGGCATGTACTCGATTTGTGCCGAGATCAACGACGTTGAAGTGGTCAAATGTCCCCTCGTGGTCAAGGACAATTCCTTTGACGTTGACACGAACCAAATTTTACACCTTTTGACGGACGACCCACTGATCAAACTTGTTTTCATCACTTCTCCAGGCAACCCAACGGGCGCCTACATTGAACCTACCAGGCTCGAAAAAATCGCGTCTCAATGGCAAAATGGGTTTGTGGTCGTCGATGAAGCGTATATCGATTTCTGCTCCAGAGGCGGGTCTGCAGCCCCACTTGTGAACAAATTCCCAAATATTGTCGTTTTACAAACGCTTTCCAAATCGTTTGGGCTCGCGGGTGTGCGTTTGGGTGTCACGTTTGCAAGCAAAGAAATGTCGCGCGTGCTTAACGCTATGAAAGCACCATACAACATCTCCCATTTGGCTTCGGAAGTAGCACTCGAGGCAATGCAACCAGAGAATCTGGCCTCGATGAAAAAAAATGCTGAAGTGATCAGCTCGGAAAGGAGACGCGTCTTGGCCGAACTAACTGCTTTGGATGGCGTTCAAGACCATCAAGTCGGTGGCTTGGATGCTAATTTCATAATGGTTCGCGTCAATAGTGGCGACAACAAAATTGCTAAAGAATTATACTACAAGCTAGCCACGGAATCCGGTGTGGTTACGCGGTTCAGAGGATCTGAGTACGGTTGTGATGGCTGTCTTAGAATCACGATCGGAACACCACAAGAAAATGACTTGTTGATCAAGGAATTCAAGAACATTTTACAGATTTTACTGCAATAAGCTTGCCGCTCACCAATATAGAATTTGAACATGATTCTCTATTTCTTATGCATTTCTCTCCAGTAAAACTCTCCCTATTTGTCTTCTAGTGTCTTGCCTTAGCTTCATTTCCGCTATAGGAGCTGTAAAAGCCCGAGTGGGGTCCCCTGTCAAGGAGCTTTGACTCAGATTCATTTCCGAAACTCGTTTGCTCAAATCTTGAACCACTTCTAGCAGATTACGTCTTTCTAAACTCTCTTTGGCCGTTTTGCTGAGGAAAGAGAGACTCTTCAATTGTTCCTCCTCGTTGCAAAGTTTGAGGAATTGTAAAGTTTCGCTGGCCTGGTTGATGGTCTCTTGCGCCTTGGCCAATTTAACTTTCAAAGACCGCTGAATTCTGTATTGAGGTAATGAGAGACTTGCCAAGTCAGATACTCGGTCATCCTTCATTGATTGAAGTTGGTCAAGAGAAGCAACAATTTGATGCCTTTCATTCGCGTGGTGACCTAGTTCTGTATCATTATAACGTTTAACTTTCTGCTCGGTATCGTTAAGATTGCTAGAAAGAGTTTCAATGGAGGCCTTGTACTTGCCGGATATGTCGATGAGCGCTTGAATTTCAGAGAGACGCCATGTTAAGTTCTGGTAAAGCGTTTTTTCAGTCCTCTCAAAAGCAGGTTCCGTCGCCAAATCGGTGATATACTTGCCTACGCTTTCGACATTTTCAGACAGAGCTACCAATTCTGCTGAAACCATAGCGCTCGTCATTTCAATTCGCCGCATAGTCGAGTTACTTGAGCTTGTATTGTAATTTGTCAAGCTTGCATCTGAGTATAGAGGTGGAGCTTGCACAGAGTTCCAAGACGCGGCCACCTGCTCTTCAGTTTGCAACTTTGTTTTTGCTTCCGGTTCATTCTCTTGTAAAGAGCCAACTGATTCTGCTACATTGTGTTTAGCGTCTTCGTTTTCGCTCTCGGGGGTTGTTTCGATAGCCGTTGTCTGCGTAGTATGGTCTTCGAATTGGCCCGCAGACTTGTCTATTTTTTTGACTTCTTCCAGCTCGGCACGCAGGTCTTCTAGTTCGTCGAAAGACTCAGTTTCACTGCTCGCTTCTGCTTTCTCGGGAACATCGTTTTGCTCAGGAGAGAGCTTGCTGTTTGTCAATTCTGAAGCGATATCTTGAGCAGATGAACTTGTTGTCTTTTTATCTTCAATTTCTGAAAGAGAACTTTCCGGAGCATTTGAAGAGCTTTTGTCTAAAATTTCCTTGGACGAGTCCGGACTATCACTGACGGTATTCTCAAGTGACGAACTTTCCGGCAAAAGAGGGCTTAGTTCATTTCCTGTTGAGTGTTCTTCGGTACTTTTGACAGGTGCATCATCTGGAGTGACTGGGCGCTTCGTAAAAACTTCAGTAGGCTTCTTTGGCTCTACTCCCTCCGACCTTAGGTCAGTAATTTCAGGAGCAGCGCTGTCCTGGTTGATTTTCTCCTGTTCCTTGAGGTCCTCAGACTCAGCCGACTTCGTCGCCTGTTCACCAGCGCCGCTTGACTTGGAGGTTGTGATCGATGGTCTATTGATTTTGGCGAAAGAGAATCCGGGTGTAGCTGCTGAATCGAGATTTTTGGAGTATCCTGCAAATGCAGAGGTTCCCGTGTTGAATTGGCGATCCTCTTTGCTGCTAGGACCTAAAAATGGATCAGAAATATCTTGAGGAGTGATATTGGCTATCTTCTTGATGCGCTCAGTTAATGAATCCATGTTTTGTAGGTTGGTTTCTGCAGCAGGTGCGTTCGTTGTTGTGTCCGCCGATGTGTCCTCATCGGCAGGTTCGATACTTTGATCAGCAGACTCCAGATCATCTGAACTCGAACTTTCGAGGTCACTGGAAGACTTGCTTTCATCACTGTCGGTAGCTTTCTCGTTATCAGTAGTACTTGCGGTGGACTTCTTGAAAGGACTGTCAAGAGATGTTTGTTCGAAAGGTGCAAATGCTGCTGGCAGGCCTTGAGATGCCGGTTTTGGCGTTACAAAAGGAGAAGACATTTTGCCCACTTGAGAGAAAGGATTGCCCTTGACGGCAAATGCTGAAAATCCATCAGATTTGCTTAGCGAGGATTTGGGTTTGTTGTGCTCCTTTTTCTGATTTTCTTCGGAAGAACCCTCCGCTGAGACGGGGTGAATTTGATCTAATGGTGTTTTTGGAGCACCGAAGGGCATTTTACTCAAAGCAGCGGAATCGAACGTACCAAAAGCGGGGGTTTCTGGTTTCGACTGACCAAACGTTGGTTTACCAAACGCAGGTTGACCGAAAGCCGACGTCTCGGTGTTCTTTTGACCAAAGGCGAGCTGGCCAAATGCGGGCTGATGGCTCGCCTTTTGGCCAAAGGTGGAAGCACCGAACGCAGCCTGACTGTTGTCTTGGGAACCGAATGTAGAAGCACCAAATGCGGGCTGCGCGCCAGTTTGCTGGCCAAACGGCGATGAGCCGAACACGGGTTTGCCAAAGGGACTTTGATTGAAGGACGGCTGACCAAAGGGAGAGGATGTGATCTTATTTGGAGACGTTTGAGTCGAGAGCATCTGACTTGGTTCCCTTGAAGATGGCTGATGCTCGAGTTTTGGCGGGTTGGAAGTTTGCTTGCCAAAACCTGCCTGGCCAAACGTGGACTGTCCAAACGCAGGATGTCCGAAGGTGGACTGGCCAAAAGCGGGTTTCCCGAAAGCCGGTTGTTGGTCGGAGTTTGAAATTCCGAAAGCCGGTTTCTGGTCGGAGGTGGATTTGGTAAACGACATCTGTCCGAATGAAGGCTGGCTCGAAGACGTTGCGTTGAAGGGTGAGCTCGAAATTGGCACCCCAAACGCAGTCTTGGCTTCAGTGTTCTTGAATGGTTGCTCTTCAGGGGCCGCCGCTTGAGACGTTGAGAGATCTGGTTTCGGTTCATCGTTGGAGGGAGATGCCACTGAGATCAGGGCCAGCTCATTTTTTTGCAAGAGTTCCAAAGTGGGGGCCGTAGTATAAGTGTTGTTCTTTATGGCCTGTGAGTGGAACAAGGCATACGCCAGAACGGTACCCTCGTCATTCAAAACCAGAAGAATTGGGAGGTTACTTGCGACGTCGACCCCCGAGCACGGATTCAAAACGTCGCCGTCGCAGACCAGATCCAGCGCGAACCCGACAGGGTTCGTATCATTGTCCGTTTCTTGGCTTATAGGTAGGACAGCACGGTCTGCGTCTTGGTTTGGTTGGATGACTTCGGAGTCGTCGAACAAGGTCAATTCAGATGCACAAGCCGACGTTACGACGTAAATCCAAGGGCTATCCTGGAGTAAATTGTGGAAACTCGCGCCGTAGTAGCACGGGTTTCGACGCACCGTTCCGAAAGCCGGCGCGATGTCGTAGCTTTCCTTGTAGACGGGCGTGTTGTCGTTAGCGTGGTGCACTACAAACATCTTGTGATCGTAACTGGCGTCGTCCTGGAGGTCATCCTGGCCGAACACGACGAAAAAGTCGTGCTTTGAAAGCCATTTGATCGCTACCGGCGTATGATCGGCCAAATCTGGTTTGAGAGGCTCGGGTGTCTCGAATTGCGCGATTGTTTCGGGTGTCTCGAATTGTCGCACTTGCACGGACCCGTCCAGACGCAAAACCGCGTACTGACCCCGAGCAACGTCGAAACTCGCCACGCCGGAACAAACCCGATGCGCAGACCCGGAAGTTTGCACCGCGTACAGCTGGTCGTGGGTTAGAACCATGAAAAGATCCGCCACTCCGGGCACCACGCTCGCCTGCAGCACGTCACCGGGCAAGTCCAACGTTTGGGTCTCGCGCCAGGCGGCGGTGCCGAAATCGTAGACGCCAAATCCGCGAGTCAGAGTGACGAAAATGGCCTGTTGCGAGCCCGCGGTGAACCCGACGTACACCACGTCGTTCAGGTCCGTTTTGGACGCCGTGAAATCGATCTCCGGCGCGGTGTCACCGCCTGCAAGACCATCCCGCAGCTGTTGCAGCGACCCGACAACGACACGCGAACAGGTCGCCGCGACAAACAGTTTCCGTTTAGTGCAGACCGCGAAGTTCTGTACCCTGCCGAAGGGCACTTTCCCCTCGTAGGACTCGAGCAAGGGGAACTTGCCCACGGGCTTGAACCCGAAATCCTCGGATATGTTGGTGGCTAGCTCGCCGTCAGCCTCGCTCATGGCTGTGGAGGGACTGGATGGTGATCACTTAGGATGCGTTCGAAGATGAGATCGAAAATGAGAGGGAGCGGTGGGGATGGGCATCACTTTGTACGTACGCGTTCTAAACACGTGTTCTCGAATAGTATGGGCAGGTTATCTACAGGGCCGGTACATAGCAAGCAACGCGTTCAAGCAGAAAACGCCAACGACCAGCCGAGCTTGTGCACGGGCTCGGCGAGCTTGAGAGCGTCGAACGACGCGCCCAGACCCAGGTCGACGCCGGGTCTCAGCGCCTGTTTGTACGCGAGCGCGACGATGCCCGAGTCGGCGACCTTGGCCTTGACCTGCGAGGTCGCGTCCAACGCGTACTTGGTGGCAAACTCGATGTTGACGTTGGAGCCGGCCTGCGGGTTCAGCGCGGCCTTGGCGCCGACCTCGAGCGCGGGCGACACGCGCTGGAAAAACGAGGCCGTCGTCAGCTGCGCGTTGTTGATCGAGAGCGCCACGGAGTACGCGCCCTGCGCGTATCCGAGCGCGACCGCGTACCGCGACACGGCCGCGGCCGCGATGTCGTAGCCGACCTCGGCGCCGCCCACGAATCCTTCGTGGGCGAGCGTCAGGTCGCCCACGAACGAGGGGCCCTTCAGCAGGTCGAACGCGCCGCGGGCCGTGAACACGGGCTGCACGAAGCTCAGGTTGAGGCGCGCGGCCTTGGACGACCCGGGCACATACGACGTGACCAGCTCGCTCTTGAGCCCCGGCGTCAGGTCCGCGAGCTCGACCTTGGTGTCCAGCGCGTTGGCCGACGACCAGCCCTGCGTGAGCGTGACACCGGTCGGCTTGTCCGTGAACTTGGCCTCGACGTTCGCGGCCAGCGTGTTGTCCTTGGGCGAGTTTTTACCCTTGACGGCGAACGCCACGCCGTTGGGCGCGGTGGTTTTGACTTCTACTGCGGCAGGCGTGCCGTGGTAGAAGTCTCTGTTGAGAAGACCGTTGATGTCTTTGGAGATGTCTGAGAAGAAAGGTGGGGCCATGGTGGGGGTGTGGGGTGTGGGGTGTGGAGGGGTGCTGGCCAGTAGCGGACGGGCGCTGCCCCCGTCGGCCTTCTGTATTTATATATCTTGCTTCTAGAGGAACGTCCGGTTGCACGTGGGTTGCACCTGGCACGTTGCAGACAAGTTTGTTGGGCAAAGAGCGCAAGGCCGAGATTCGGAAGGGAGAGTGCGTGACGGGAGGTGTGGGTGTAAAGGGGGAGGGTGTCGGGGTGTTGGGGCGGTGCCTTTACACGAATACTCGCGGGCGACTCGTTTGGGGTCTGGGTGTGGGTCGCGAGTGGGTCGTCGCTGTGTACGGGTGATGAGTCCCGTGGTTGTAAACGCCTCCGGAATTGGAAAGAGGAAATGACGAAATCGCTTGTTCCGTTCTTCTCCTCCGGTTGAGGAACGGTCGCACGTACAGTGTTCTCGCAGGACTTTGTCACAGAGAGAACTGAACAATATCCAAGGTAATTTCGTTTCTGACCTGTTACTTGTATCATATTATAGGGCCAATGCTCTCTGCCGATAGAGCACGAATCAAACGCTCGTTTCGTCATAAAAAACCAATGTCTTGAGACATCAGCCAGTAACCACCGTGGATGGTAGTCGACGTGATTCGTTCATTACGTGCACAGTGATTTGTATGCGAGCTGACAACCGACGATGTAGGGTATACGGAGATCCCGCCTATAGAAGCTCCGATCTTTTAGCTGTAGGGTCTCAAGGACAGCTTTTGACACCGGAAAATTCCCAAAACACTTCGATGAGATTCTGATTGATCCAGAGGGCTCCAAAACTTCAATTCAAAGCGATACGAGCGACTCAATTACGAGAACCTAAATGAGCTTACCGTTTAGGTTTAAGCAAGTTGGTTTCAATTAAATTCTTCGATGGTGCCTTTTCGACAGCGAAGACAGTTTGTCTGCCATTAAGATTTCTAACCGGGGCTTATCGGGGCCTTAAAATTTTCTCAAAATTGTGAGATTGGCAGGAGCTTTATAGAGTTCCCTCTGCTCTGCTCAATTTTGAGCTTCTCTTTCTCGAGGCTTGGTCTGTCCTTCTCAACCGGCACTTTATCCTTCTCAATTTGTACGAAGTTTTCTTGACAAGTTACTTCTCTTTCTCGTAAGCTAACTGGTACTGCCGCTAGTTCACGTAGATTTTGCATCGATTGCTGCAAAATGCCTCAAAGTTTTCGACCGTAGCCACACCATCGACTCTCAACGGTGTCAAAGCCGCCTCGGCCATCGGTACCGTTATATGACTGCTTGACTTGTGCTTTTTGGTAATTGTGCTAACATTGATAACACTGACGTCATCTATTGCAGAAGAACTCTTAGACTCTGAACTGTCGAGGTTCTGCACAACTTGAGGGAGGCTATTGTTGCTCATCGTTTGACCGATATTTCTTTTGCATCTCTGGCGCTCTATTTCTTGTTTTTGAGTCACTGCTCTCTGCTTATCAGCTGCATTTTTCAGCCTTGCGAGATCCCCCAAAATACCATCTATCTTGTCAACACCTGTTACGGAGAATGGATTTCTTTCATCACCGGTCGTGATGGCATAAGTTTTGGCATATGCGCCATCTACCAAAAATTTGAAACGAGTTTTCATCTGTGCCTCGGTGGGAATTATTTTATCTCCAATGGGCTTGACATCAAAAGATTGTATAAGATACAGCACCATTTCAGGGACATCAAACTGCTTTGTTCAAGTTTATGAGAAGTTCCCGTGCGTAAACTTTCAAATCCTAAAAACGGACCAATCTCACAACAATTTTTCAGCACATAATAAGTAGAGAAGTTATTCCATTTAAACTTATATTCCCTGCCGTCCTCTAAAGATTTGAAATTGTTTTTCTTGATCAATCCCGGAATGACCTTTCCTATTTTTGAACTGGCAGCCTTGGGGTTTTTATAGTTGTAAGCTCCTCGGTAATAATAGCAGAATGGAACTGATCCAAAAACAATTGTCTTCGCTCCATTATGTTGCTGGTTGGGTCCATATGCGGTAGGTCCGTGGCAGGGGTTTGCTCCGTCTCTGCGCGGCGAGGGCTGCTCGAAACTGACATTGAAGACTCTAAGTGAGTTGAATCTCCTAGTGGAGCTATTCCGGGGTTTTACCGCATGGGCTAGCTTCCACGTCGCCCAGGGTAGGTTGTTGTTTTGATTACTCCCGGCGATGTGTCTCGGAATCGTGTAAAATCAAATTACGCTTTACTCATTTCCCAGAACACTCAACGGAATAGTAATCTCAAGGCACTTTATACGGTTTGTGTGACTATACTAGAGGTTTTTGTCGAGGCGAAGGCTAATTTTCCCGTACACTGTGCTTTGAGGTGAAAATTCTGCCTAAAACGTGACCTCGAACCTATACTTGATCCGTTTCCTAAGGCGTTTACAACCACCCTACCCATCGGAATCCTCACGTACATACACATTACCCAGTGTAATTGTTCGTCTTCAACAATGAGCAAGTAGGTCACTCACTAATCAGACTTGACCCACGTTCGCTCTTCGCGGGTCACCTGAGTGTGAAAACTACGTGGACCGGCGTTGATTTTATTGAGAGGACATAGCGGGAAAGTGAGACCGTTCAGTCGCATTATCACGTGATCTCAATGACAGAATAAAACTAGAAGGATGAACGGACGGTTTGTGATGAGCTTAACATGAGGTCTTCGAAAATCAAATGACTCCAGTGATGATCATGGTGTCGTCACACCCCGCTATCACCGAAAGAGTTATCTAATAGGTGACGTATTGATGACTCGCCGTCAATCTTAGAGAAAGCAACGGATTCCGAGGTTGGAACAACGTTACAAAAACTGTTAAAAGTAGCTCATATGGCTAGGATCGTAGCAATTATTGTCGCAAGATAATTACGAAGAGATATAAGCACTCAAGCCCTTATCAGCTTTATTAATTAGATGAACTATGAACGAATTAAATGAGCAGTTCAGAAATCTGTCAACTACCGACAACGATAAACAACAATATTATGTTATTGATGAGGTTTTTCCTTGTCGGAGGTTGATAGGTTTCTAAATTGTTCATTTAATTCGTTCATAATTGATCTAAATAATAAAGCGGATTAGGAATTGAGTACTTATATCTCTCCGTGGCTATCTTACAACCATGGCCACTCACAATCCTGTTCATATCAGCTCCTTTTATACAATTTCTGTAACATTGATCCAAATTTGGAATCCGTTACTTTCTTCAATCTAGACGGTGAATTTTCATCATACGTCATTTATCATACCACATATGATCTGATTACAATGTTCTGATGATTCTAGAACTTTCAATGGACCTGTTTTAGCTTCCAGCTCTTTCGCGGAATGCCAATCCTTTGTCCAATCCTCTAATTTTATTCTGTCATATCGATCACGTGATGATGCAATTGGACGATATCATCTCCTCGCCAGCTCCTTCCAACAACTTGAATGTTTTCCGTCATGATTGTATGGTTGTGTTTTGATACCAATAAGTAATTGTGCCACTTGTTTGTAAACGCTGGAGATAACTTGTCCAGCTCCGACGCTTTTGAAAGAACAAAATCTGGATTTTGTGTGCAGAGAAAACGGCAACTAGGCCTCGATTTTACGATTAGCGAACCTCAGAGGAAATGGCGTCAATACGTCGCATAGCTTTTTTTATTTTTGTGTTATGAAGCATGATTTTGGTTTTCTTCGTCCTTACAACGAAGTTCAAATCCTACTAACATGGACTTTCTTTTGGCAATTCGGCACATGAAAGAGAGGTGTTGGCTCGCTGAGTACTAGAAAATACTACTTCGATCAAATTTTTGTTGTTGATGGAGAGCTTGTTAGGCATCATTACTTCGATCATTTCTCAACTCTTTTTTTTAACTAAATCACTTGAAGCTTTAGGACTTAGTATGGGACATATATAGATTAATGAACTTGATCGACTTTCATGAGAGTCTGACAAGTAAAACGTTTCTTGCAAAAAGAAACATTATTGTTTGGAGAAACATGGAGTTCCTCTAGTTAAGAAAAACATTTTCTCGGTAACCAAACTGTCCCTTAATTAGTGGTAGCTACAGCCTATTCTATCCTAAATGTTTCACCTTGGCATTTAGCATATTTAAATGCGAAAATTAAGATTCCCGTCATCTTAGGTCTTTATGACGAGGGATGTTAAACAAGGAAATCAAAATGAATCCATTTTGGGAAGAAATAGCCTTAATCCGTGAAATAGGCTCGCTTTTTGTGTCCGCCGCAGTGATTTATCTCACCACAACGTTTGAAGCTGACTACAGCTTGAAAGGTTATCAACTGCATGAAGATATTTTTAGGAGGAAAATATGCTCTCACATTGAGGACCACGCAATGAAGGTAGAATATGAGCGTTTCCTACGTGTAAAATATGGTCTGTGTGCTACGTTCATGATCTTTTATTTGATGCTATACTTCTCCAGCTGGCCTCTCGAGCCTCTTGAGCGTTATCAACTGATCTGTGCCATAACTGTTGCGCTCCCTTATGCATACACACTACCGGTAACCGTATGGTACTTTTGGAATTGCAAAAAGCGGATTTCTGAGCTTGAAGTTGGTGACGCCGACCCAGAAAAAGCCTGAGATTGGAATGATAATGGGATAAAAATTTGTTCGTGTTTGCAAACATATTTACTCATCGTTCATGGTTCTTCGTACTCGTTTTTTTTCATATAGTTATGCGGCTTATAAGATATGGCCCTCTTAAAGATGGTTATCAAACTCAACGTTACGCAAGGCAAATTATTCAAGTTACCGGCTGTGTTAGTTCAAAGCCCCTTAATCGTTTGTTTAGTTAATTTCAGATGTTGTTAGCAAAGCTTCCGCCTCGTGATATGGCCCAGTGAAACTATATGTAGTCATGATATCACGTGACCGTGATGGTATAATATCAGAATCAAATTGATTGTTTGAATCCTATACATCTGGACGCTATGGGATTCGAACCATCTGGTCGATCAGTTCCTATTATATTTTACCATGTGGTTTGGTAGTCGCGACAAATCTCCTGAAGATACAAGAGACCTTTTCTGACTACTTTGAATTGCGATTCCCCTTAGGATATAACATAGCCAAATGAGATGAAAAAATGAACCATTATGTCAATGTTACATCTCTATGGCATTGACCCCAGTAGGCAAGCAGGTATGTGGATCACTAAAGAAAACCACTTTTTGAAACCGTGACGCTCAATTTCTTTGTGTGGATACTTGCAAGAAGTATCTTTTTCATCTAAAAGGAGTCTAAAGATTCTTGACGACGCGTCGTAGTATATTCATGCTGAGGTTTATCATTATCGGTGGTTGATAGATTTCTAAATTGTTCATTTAATTCGTTCATAATTGATCTAAATAATAAAGCGGATTAGGAATTGAGTACTTATATCTCTCCGTGGCTATCTTACAACCATGGCCACTCACAATCCTGTTCATATCAGCTCCTTTTATACAATTTCTGTAACATCGTTCCAATTTTGGAATCCGTTCCTGTCTCTAATATTCACGGTCACGGTGAGTCATCATTACGACACCTATTATGTCACTCTTACAGTGGTGACGAAATGTGATGCCATCATGACCATCACGAGAATCACTTGGCTCCTATGACCTCATCTTGATCAAGAACCTTCCGTTAATTCTTCCAATTTATTCTGTCATATCGATCACGTGATGATGCAATTGGACGATATCACCTTCTCGCCCGCTCCTTCCAACAAAGACGAGAGGGTTGCAAAGGGAATTCGATTGACTTGAACTCTTGGAAGCATTTTCCGCGAGACGCCCGAACGCTAGACTTGGATCGGCATCGCGAAACGAAGCAGTTTGTGCTTCTAAATCAGAGACAAAACCGCTCTCTATCTGGTGGAAGCATTGTTAGCTTACTGGGCAGATCACGGCCCGGGTTCTAAAGAACTACATCGAAAGCGAGGTACGCAATTTACCACGTCTACGGTGGTGTCACCAGTCAATGTAAGAAACCCATGAACGACTCACTTTGATCAAGAGTGGCGCTTGTCGTTCCGTCGAGGACACAAAAAGGAATTTAGCCGCCGACTTCCAAATGGAAGCCGTGGCTGATGGGCGGCTATATTCGTGTGAAGAGATATCACGTTTTCAGCAAGTCACTTGTGACGAATCTCCATCTCTTTTTTCCCGCGCCCGCCTGCTGCTGCGTGCAACGCAGCAACAGCTTTAAGCTCTTCTCTACTTGCTAACGCTTCGATTGCCCAACAAGCACCCAAACCTAAGGTGTACACCCTGCTATTACCAGCATGAGCGCCGACGACGACCGACGCATGATTGTCGAGACTGAGACCGTGCAGACGCCTGCGCCTAACTTGTTGCCGGTCCAGCAGGAGGAAAATTCCAAAAAAGACGAGGACGCGCACAGCGTTTCCGATGAGGCCACTGCGAACCTCATCGACCACAACCCGCTTTCGATTCACACCCCAAACGCAGCGGTGCGTAGCAAGAAATCCAGCTTGCTCATAGACTCGTTTCTGGGTAAAGAACCCGCGTCGCGACCGGCCAAGCCCTTGGGCGCTCAGGGCGCCAAGAACAAAAATGCGACCATGAGCAGCGACCCAGGCGGCAGCGGCGTTGCCACCGCTGGTGTTGACGAGTCCATAGCGTCTTCAGCTGCCCACGCGTCTGCACAAGCCGCTGACGAGCCCTCGCGGGGAGGCGACTCGCAACTCGGTCAAGAACCCCAAGTCGCTTTGTCCACGGTAACGACCAACAACGACGACCTTGTGCCCGACTCAGACCACACACATCGCCGATCGCGCGACCCACCCGCGAAGAAAGCCGATTTTTTCGCCGCAAGGCTCGCATCTGCGGTCGGTGAAAACGAAATTAGCGATTCAGAAGAGACTTTTGTCTACGAATCGACCGCTAACTCTACCAATAACGGTGTTGCCGCTTCCAGTAGTGCAGATCCGCGACCCTATGGCATCCCGCCCAAGATGAGCGCGCCTTTGCTCAACAACGGCGTCGTCGCGTCCAAAAAATTGCTCAACCGCGCCAAGGGGACCCGTCACACCAGTATCGCCGCGATCCCACATACAGACCACCACGCTCCACCACAAGACGATACTTTCAGCGTCACGTCGGCCTCCAAGCCTCAAACTGCTGCTGCGGGCCTTCCAGGAGCACCAACTCTAGGAGCGGGTACTGCAGTCGGCAACCCGATTAGTCCTGCAGTGGCTGGCGCGGTTGCACCGACCACCCCCTCAGAGCTCAAATCCGAACGGTCGCGCACTACGTTGCACGCGTCACCTGGTAAACGACTTTCGCTGCTGTCACTTGCACAAAACGGCGCTTCACTGCCCAACCGCGCCGCTGCCAGAAAAATCTCAACACACTCAGCCGCTGCCGCAGCTGCTGCCGCCGCACGCCGTAAGAAACCGCTCAAGCGTCAGCTCCGTACCACTGCGTCCAAGATTTTCGATGCGCATGGCGCGTCACTTCGACGCTATTCTGGCGTGCCTGACGATATCAACCTGGAAGACTACATTGAACAAACTGGTGGGGAACTCACGCCAAACCGATTCGCATATCGTTCGGACTCGGATTACGACGACGATGCGCTCAGTTACATTCACAATGCGGACAACGATGAAGAAGACGCACATTCCATGTTTTACTATCAGCATCCAAAGCCAGACCTAGAGGCAAGACACGCACCTCCCGGGTACCCAGAAGAGACCGTAAGCGATCGGGGTGTCGACGACTACACTCAAATGGCTTTGTTGCCGGAGGGTTATTTCTATCATTCCGCCACAGAAAACACACCTTTGCGACATAAGAATTCTCTTTACAGTACGGGATACTCCCCACACAATTTCTACACCAAGAAGTCGACCTGGGTACGACTTAAAAACTTTTTTATTTTGCATTCGTGGTGTCGTTTTTACTCACCATGGGGTTCATTTCGGGTTTTCTGCTCGCTACTAACAAAGAACTGCACGATCTCGAACTCACACGACTCACGTCAGTGCTCACTAGCGCAGACGAACTTGTGTTTGATGTCATTGCTACTGCTTATAATCCGGGGTTTTTCGCAGTGGAAATACAAGACGTGGCGCTGGACATTTTTGCTAAAAGTTCGCATATCAATTCTCTGGGAGATACACCAGCAGCAAGCGGTAGTGCCCAGTATGAAACAATTCTCCTTGGTAATGTCCAGACTTTGGAGACACCTTTACAATTCCGGGGCGGATTCTTTCGACACAACTACGATATGTCGCGCTCCAGCGTTAAGCTTGTGTCACCAGGGTCAGATGAGGATAGCACACCGGGCAAAAATGAACTATATCTCGCCCCCGCCGCAGTTGAAGACGGTGCCAAGCTTTGGCGAAAATTGATCAAATACGAGTTTGAATTGATTGTGCGGGGGAACATGAATTACAAAGTACCGTTTTTCACGCGACAACGATCGGTCGGTGTTCAAAATAGCATCATAGTCGAACCTGACGGTGATGAAAAGCCGTCATTTGCATTGTAAGCTTCGCGAGCATCGCAAGTGGTGCTTTAACGCCAGGTAAGACTCCAGTCACGTGGTGTTTGTATCCCATGTCGAACGCTCGAGATTCGGCAAAACAGCCGTCTCTCTTGTCTCGTTCTCTATGCAGATATGCTCTCGACCGTCTCGCATGTCTGGCATGTCCCATTGCGTTCCACTACGTCCCTGACGTTACATTCTGCGCCTGCAGAAAGGAAAAAAAACCAATACACAGAGAGATGCAAAGAAACCAATAGCAGCGGTTCTATGCATGGATCCGGCTCAAATCGCGCCTACATGGGCATCCCCGTTACGACATGCACATTAAGAGTTTTCAACGAAAGGACTGAGGGCCAATTTCAAACCAGGCTTAGAATAGTATAGTCTACCATTCTGGCATTACACACATCACCTGAGCAAAGTCAATATATCAGTTGATGTGCTACTCAGGCTGCAGTCTATTCGATTCGCATAAGGCTGAACTCAGTGGTTCAACATGTTACCGCTTTTTTTTCTCGGTCGGGGTTTTTCTTTTTACGGATTTTACTCATTTACGACTCGTTTCGAAAAATGTGAATGTTTCAAAAGATTTGGCAAAACGACAAAAGCTTAAAATACTCAAAAGTCGATAAAGTGGAAGCGAGCAAGCCGGGCTTCGTTCAAAGGCTGAGAGAGTGTTGGTAGAGACTAAAGAGGGAACAGGGTTTAGTTGGCAAGGGTCAATATGACTGATGGTGGCAATCCCGTTGGAGATGAATCGATAGGAAGTGGGAAAATGGAATTGAATGGACGGTCTCCCAGGTCACTCCAAGGTAGAAATACCAAGAATTTATCCTTGCAAATAACGGAGACCGGTGCACAACCTGTTGTACTTGCGGATGCAGTAAAGATGGGGTCAAAGCGGATGGATGGAAGTGATCTTGTCGGAGATAAGGTTAGAGTACGGAATGAGGCACAAATTTACACATTAGCCGGGGTACTTAAGTCTCCGACTTTGTCTCCGTCAACTGGAGAATTTGATAACAACGGTCGTGCAGGGTTATTGAAAACGGGACTCTTGCTGTCTGTGGAAGTTAACGATGGTACAGGGCAGGCGGCGCAGGCGGCGTGGCCTCAGTCGTCGTCTAGTGCGTCTGACGACGACATTAACGACAACGACGATCGATACACGTACACAGAAGCTTACAAGGAAAACGTATACCGGGCAGGCCCGTTGCATGTTTTCGGAAACAGCATCTATTTGTATTCGGAACCCGAGATTAAGGATTTGGAACCGTTTGACGTGGTCATAAACGTCGCAAAAGAGATCCCAGATCTTAGCAGTCATTTGAAGCCCGCTAAGAGGCGAAATTACCATCACGTCAAATGGACTCACGTCACCAAAATATCCAAAGATTTGGCACGACTTACAGAGATAATGCGTATTGCAGAATTGGCCCGACGTAAAGTCTTGATACATTGCCAATGCGGTGTGTCTAGGTCTGCGTCCCTTGTGGTCGCCTATATTATGCGTTACGACAAATTGCCTTTAAATGAGGCCTACGATACTTTAAAAGCGTGTGCCAAGGATATTAGTCCGAACATGAACTTGATATTTCAGCTAATGGAATGGAACGAAATGCTACGTTCTCCCACTGCGAATGACACCCCACCGAAATATCAGAACACATGTACTCTGGAGCCCATTGAAATATCCAGGATTGTGTCTGAACAAAACGCTGCAACGGATTTAGCAAAACTTTCCATTTCGAGTCCCAATTGTTCTAGCATATCTACCGATAACAATACACCAAGCACACCACATGAGTTTCTGCCTGTGGCGAGTGCCTTGACCGGTACATTGACTAGTGACAAAAATTGTAACAACTCGGGAAGACATATGTTACAATCGCAGTATTCACCGATATTAGAAACTTTTTCTCAAAGCCCAGTTGAGGTGGCTGAGAAGGTTGGGTCTCAATGGTCGTAGCGATGCGAAGCGATGCGAAGCGATGCGAAGCGATGCGAAGCGATGCGAAGCGATGCGAAGCGATGCGAAGCGATGCGAAGCGATGCGAAGCGATGCGAAGCGATGCGAAGCGATGCGAAGCGATGCGAAGCGATGCGAAGCGATGCGAAGCGATGCGAAGCGATGCGAAGCGATGCGAAGCGATGCGAAGCGATGCGAAGCGATGCGAAGCGATGCGAAGCGATGCGAAGCGATGCGAAGCGATGCGAAGCGATGCGAAGCGATGCGAAGCGATGCGAAGCGATGCGAAGCGATGCGAAGCGATGCGAAGCGATGCGAAGCGATGCGAAGCGCCGTGGCACCCAGTTTGTGGCATGAGTAGCGTATTGCGACGTCAGTATCTCTAAAAAGCTACCAAGTACAGCAGACACATCTCCGAAATCCAAAATATCGCTGCGGTGACGTTTCGAATGGAAAAAGTGGCAAGTCCTCCTCTACTTCAGCATTACCATCAGAAAACGTATTCAGGGTCTTTCAGGGCAATTCGGGCCCGCTCGGGCCCGTTCAATGTTCTTCAAAGCCCGTGTAAAGCTCTTCTGGGCCCTCTATGGCCCTGTCATGTTTTGCCATTGTGAAAGCATTTGTATACAGTAAATATCTTGACATCAACTGTCTTTTACACTGAAAGCTATCTTCTTGATGCAGGTGTCCGTTTGAAAAATTAAGTTTCTAAAGAACAACTTTGAAAGAACATCAACAAATCAATTAACCAGGGCATACCTATTTAAGCGACTAGAGTAGATGTCAGAGCATGTTGAGAAGGCTACGTCACTAAAACAGACTGATTTAAGCGATGGTCAAGCGAATGTGGTGAAAAAAAGGTCTTTGAGCAGTTACCTTTCGAATATGAACAGTAGAAAAGAAGAACTAGAAAGACTAGCCAAAAGAGAAGTTAAATTGGCGAATACGCAACGATCGCAAAGTGAGGAACGTCAGTCTGAAGAAGCCGCTTCGTCAGAGAGGGATGCTGCCGTGTGTAAACAAGATCAAGAACCAAAGTCGGCAAGGGCATCAGCAAAGTCATCAGAAACTGGTCAATCACCAGCAACAGATACGCTATCAGCAACACATCAGCCATTAGATACTAGTCGGTCACCATCTACTGGTCAGTTACCAATAGGTGGTCACAAACTGGTAAAAGAAAAGTTTGCAGCATTGGATGAGTTTTCAGTAACGGATAAGCTCCCAGCAAAGGGCGAGCTACCAGCAACTGATCAATCTGTTCATGGTCAAGCCGTTGAAAAAGAATACGAGGCGTTGTCCCAACGTCTTACGATGGATGACGGCTTACCCAAGGACAACGGTAGGACATCTTTGAGTAGAAGTAGTCTGAAGGGCATGCTGGAAAATTTGACAGAACAAGAAAAACGCGAAGGTGACGATGAAGACAGCGAGTTGAGTGAAGTAGACAGCAACGTTTCGACGGAACCAGCGTCACCACTAAGACCTCGCAGAGGTCGTCTCATAAGAGGCGATCAACTGGTAGCTGGACTACCTCGTGGGTTTTCGCCCGTTGTGCAAGATGGTGATTCAGACTCAGAACTATCGGACGTTGATGACTTGAGGCAAAACATATCGAGCAGTATCCTACATGTGGACTCTTCGCCAGAGAGGCTTCAGCGGACAGCACAGGCATCTTCTCCCCGTGAATTGGTGCGCCAAAGACAAGATGCCAGAAATCCGTCAAGAAAGCATATTTCCATGCGAAGGCGTAATAAGCCAAAAAAAACTGTTCAAAGAGATGCTGGTGGAAGAACCAAGCTTCAGATTGCCTGTGATAAAGGTAATTACGAAATGGCACAAGAACTTATCGCCGCAGGCTATGATGTAAATGATCAAGACAACGCTGGGAACTCTTCATTGCACGAAGCTGCGCTTAACGGACATTTGAAAGTGGTCCAACTTTTAATAGAGCATGGTGCAGATATCAATATTCAATCTTTCAGTAGTGTGCGGGACACACCTCTGATCGATGCATCTGCTAATGGCCATCTAGATGTCGTGAAATTGCTTTTAGAGCATGGAGCCAATCCCACAATTACGAATGCAAAGGGTCTTACTGCTATCGAGTCCATTGACGAAGACTCGGATCTTGATCAGAATGAGCGCCAAGTAGTAAATCGCATAAAGCAAGAATTAAGGTCCGCTGCAAGGGAATTTGGACAGGATTTCGATAAAAACTTTCGCTCCTCACCTGACCTAGGAGCCAGTAAGGCCAGTTCACCGAACGTTAGTGCAGAGGATGCATTTGTTTGGACCGATATAACGTCGAAAGGCGGTAGAGACAAATTACTGAGAGCTTCAAAAGAGGGTAGATTGACCTATGTTGGATCTTTCTTGGAAAATGGAGGCAAAATCGATGTGAAATCCTTTTTCGAGGCTGTTCGTTATGGCCACGAAGACATTGTAAGTTTGTTTCTAGCCTTTGGTGCACGAGCTAACTCTTCAGACAAAACGGGTCAAACCCCTTTGATGGTTTCAGTGGGTCGCGGCCATCGAGGCACTGTCGCTTTACTTCTGGAAGCCGGTGCTGATCCAGCTAAAGTCGATAAACGTGGACGCACAGCACTAGACTATGCTCAAGAGAGTGAATTGGGGATTGTCAGCAGTGAGGAAATACAGATGATCAAAACGGCCTTGAACTCTACGATATTGCCTAAGTCAATCTCAGATCACCACGAGGAGGCGTTTCCGAGAGATAGCCCGCGTAAACAAACGCCACAAGAAATTAACAGGAAAAAGAGAGTTCATTCTCCTCCAGTTTCCCCAAACAAGCGCATACATGGGCTAGCAGAAAGCGTGTCGATCTCTGACGTTAAGAAATCCAATTCTGTGATTTCGCCAAATTATTCTCTTACGGAAATGAATCAACCCGCCTTAGCTCATAACGTTGAGGTAAAAACTGAAAAGTCACAAAGTCCTCTTTCACAGCTCCAAACGGAAGGCCTTACGAACACTACTGATGAACGGTTTTCCATCACCCCCAAAGTCGTAGAAACGCCTAAAGAGCGAGAATTACGACAGAAAGCCGAGGAGCAATATCGACAGAGGCGATTGGCGAGTAAATTGAAGAAAGAGCAAGAGCTTTTACAAAAATTAGCAATGGATGAGCAAGAACGATCCAGGGAGTTGGCAAAGTTGAAAAAAGAGGAACGGGAAAAGGCTGAGAAAGAGAAACTGGTCGAAAGAGAAAGACAGGAAAAGCTCAAAAATCAAGCGGAGATCGAGCGAAGAAGGGCGCTGAGAGCGCAGTACCCTCTAGGACTGCGCTTAATAGATTTTAACGACGACTCTGGTAATATCGAACGCTACCTACCGCTTTTCTGCGTTGAAACTGAAGGTAAACGTTGCGTTCTGGATTTGCATCTTTGTATTTTGGTCAAAGATCCGTTCCTGATCAACACTTTGAAATTTGAAAGACAAGTTTCAGAGTCTGAAAAGCGGCAACTATGGAACATTTACAAATTTATCTTTCTGAGCGGTGGACGCGACGATTCCGCCAAGTTAAGAGTTGATTTGAGCAGAGTGCCCTTGAAAGAAAAGCTCGATATCGAAGAGAAAGAGGCGGATAAGTTTTGTTCTTTAAAATTGCATTGGGTTCCATGGGACGCATCTCTCATTCATGATGTTATTGTTAGACAGCGTGTTAAGGCGTCATTGATTGGACTATTTTTGGCTTCAGATGCCTCCTTCAAAACGTCTCTGGAATATCATCAAACCCATCCAAACGAAAGTCAACATCTACAACGTCTGTCATTGCAGCTTCCTCTGCATTTACGTCTGCGACCCAAAGTGTCGCAATTTATGCAGAGTCCCCAGGTGTTCTGGTAATGCGCCCGAAATCTGGCTGCTGTGAGTTGGCTTTTTCTGGACTACACATGGCTCAACTGAGTATAAGAGCGCCCCGTTGTGCAATGCGTGAAATTTATTTAATAGCATAAAATAGGGCAATTTGAATCGTTTTCGGTGCATTTGAAGTGCAATCGAAAAGAAATTGGAAATTGGCGCTCTTGGCACGATTGTAGCAGGCCATGGAGATGTTGACTTAATTCTTGGATCAGGTTCAAGATCAGAAGCTTGATGACAAGGTTCACTTCTTACGTAGATATTGTTCGATAAAACTTATTTCATCGATATCAAGAAATCGATAAACGGAGACGACATAGCTAGGACCAATGTGGTCTTCAGGAGCCCCTTGCCATTTGCATCGATACTTGACGAGTGTCCGATCGTTTTCGCAGTGTCGAACAGTACTGTCTGCCAAGATAAATAATGAAAAGGACCGAGCCAGTGATACCGATGACGAAACTACATCCAACAAGCAAAAGCAGGATGAAAAGGATTCTGATTCCAATAAGATAGATATAAATGCGATGAATCAACCTACAGTGAGGTGTGAAACAGCCCAAACTTCGACAAAAGATAAATTTAAGCATAGTTTGGTGAAAACGGAATTACCTATTCTTCTACCACGGGTGAGAAATACCGATGATATTGGCGATAGGGAACTTCAAACAGAGGGTCTTTTTGCAGGATATAAGCCACTTTTCCTAGGGAATTCCATGAACAATTTAGAGGTGGTTAAACCTTTTAATGATTTGATAACTACGCTACGCAAAATAAGTGTAGTTGGTAAAGACTCCAAGAATGGTTCGGACACTACTGATGCAGTGAGTGAGAATAAAGAATCTACATCAGTTTATTTGAAACAGAGTTCGGCCGATGGCTCAATTATACCTTGGGATGCTTCCATCAGTGGGATGGTTTATAACGACGAACCTTTTAAAGATGTTCCTCGGACCATCGTGTCTAAATTAAAGCCCTTCAAGCTCATGAAAATAACGCCCAAATCTAGTCGTGTAAAGAAAAAGGACGATGCTATAAAGGCCAGATTCCATAACTCAAAGATCGATGACAAAGCGGAATTGGTTGACCTGAGACGGCGAGTTCCTCTTAAACATCAAAAGGCATTTTCCTCACTTACACATTCCGATTCCGCGAGACAAAAATACCAGCAAGCTAACACCGATGCTTCAAAATTTAGGTTCATAAAAGCAGACAGACATGTCTTCAAGTCAGACGTCGAAAGATTGGGTAGATTCCTTGCCAAAGAATTTCAAAAACTAACGGATCTTTCCATCAGATACGACTTACACGATTATCACATTCCGCTTTACATTTATGTCAACAAATCAATTACTTCCAGAATAACGTTCAAGAGAGCCTTAAGGAAACGCGTAGTTGATCACATTGACCCAATGCTAGCGACAATCCTTTCAAACTACGAGAATAGCGAACATGCAGAAAATTTCGCTAACCGCGTCAAAATCAAGACTGATTCTATCGTTAATGAAATTTCTGACTATCTTCCCTCCGTATATTTCACAGGGGAATCCATCGATTGCATTATTCATCCCAGCCCCATCAAGAATTTTGGGAGACTGCATTGGCTAAAGCCAACCAAGAGACACAACATTTTCCGCGGAAGAAATATTGACAATGATTTTGTTTTCAGCATAAACAATGACTACAAACTCACAAGAAGCAGAATGCGCTATGTACCTTTTCCTGTCAACTTGCACTGGAAAACCTTCAGTGGTGCTTTTGAAGAATGGGAACATATTGCATAGTTCAAAAAAAAAAAATTGTTCATTTGTGCGAGCAAATACAACCTACCTCACTAGTCAATCAGTATCCTCTCTTTCTTCAGCTTCACTCTCAAAACTAACATCTTTAGTCGCATAAACATAGACATCATTAAATCCATCCAATCCAATTCGTCTTTTAACAGTCGCCTTCCTCACCTCAGAGTCTTCGGTACTTTTAGAATACAAACTCAGAGCTTTAACAAACAAACTCCTAGAAATCAATTGATCAGTATAGTAGATAACTCCGTCCACGAGACCTTGGCACTTTTCTGCCATTACGGTTCTCATGGAGTGTGGTTCATTGAACTGTATTTTGTTCCCGAGCCGCTCGTCTTCTGATATTCGAGATGTTGTTTCTCCTTGCTCTTCCGAAGTAATGTATGATCTTTCTTTAGCACCAGAGCTGCTCCCCACATTATTCTTCCAAGATTTCAAAGCGTAGTTCGCGAAAAAAGTTCCCTGTGACTCGTCTTCATAAATTGGTCTTCCCAAAACGCTTTGAGAGTGTGATTTCCGCTCTAGTATTAATAGATGATCTACCCACTCCCAAACTATAACCGTGGACCCAACGTAGCAGGTTGTGTTGAAGATTTCGCTCAAATCGTCAATCCAAATGTTGGCAACGTCTGCGACGAAGAAACCTGTTTGAAGCAGAACGATTAGACAGGTAATCAATGTGAGCAAAACCATTCGATGCTCTCGGGTCCAAATGTTTCTTTTCATCAACATATTGAAACAGATAATGCATGCGTATGTTGACGAAAGTGCAATCCTAAACAGATACACGAATGGCGACAGAAGAGTCAATCCACCTGATCCCAGAGCGTTCTGTTCCTGCTGCAATCCAAAAGATTGAGGGAAAGTGGCAATCCCCCACAAAATCTGAGATAGAATGGATAGTGGCACACCAATAAGAAATATCAACCTGGCCTCTTGAGCACGCGAAAAAATTCGCATAACGATTTGCACTTGACACAATTCACATAGAAGTACCACAATAAAATCGATCGACGCAAATGTGGGATCTGACCAAAGCAAATTGAGAACGTCTCTGGCAGATGCAATCCCATAAAGTACATGAGTAGAACTTAGAGTCTTTAACGCTCGTGTGACAGATATTGTCAAGTTCACTGCAGCCAAAGTACTGGCAAGTTTCAACAAATGAGAAGCATTCCTGTGCGGCTTTCGCTTAATTGTCACGAACACTATAACGGCCAGACACAGTGTAATGACGAAGTTGGCCGTGAAAGATAGAAGAATGGCGAATACACTGTATTTGAAATGACCCCTTTCATCGCTCCCATTGACAAATTCGTTCCAATCTTGACCAAGTGCCTCAAGGTACGGGAAATTTTCGTCCGCTTTTTGAAAAGCAGAAAATACAGGACTCCCGACATCGCAGTTACTTCGAAAATAGATCGAATCGTAAAACGTCGCAGGCCTACCGGAACCAAAAATCACACCGGGACCAAGCTCGAGGCCCTGACAGCTTTCGTAATCACTGGGACCTTGTTTGTACCTCCATGAGGTTCTTTCACCCATGATAAACGGGTGATGGGTATGGCTGATTAAACATTTAAGGGAACGTCCGAATGCCACGCAATTCGAAGCTCAAACCGAACAACACAGTGGACAACCCGGTAAAAAACCTAAGACTATTTTCACTTGATCGTCCGCTGCCGCGACTTTCCTTGATTCTTCGCCTCTTTTCGTCGTCGTTCTTGGTGTAACTTTAAGAACTTGATGTGATGACTTTGAATATTTTTCATGAAACAATTCACCATAGAAATTGCGAAATCAGACATTAACGCCACTTTCAAGGAGCCGAATGACGATATGGATGGTCCCGTTAAGCCGAGAAGAACTTTGCCGTCAAAATCCCCATCAGTACCAAATTTGAGCCAAGTTTTTCGGGCTACTGGTCCCAGTAATAATCTGTTCAAACTGAAAGGTCAAAATTTGAGCCAAGGACATGAACAAAGTGGACAAAATGGGTTGGGACTGTCATATTCGTCGACAAATCTAAGTTTAATCGAATTGTACAACGACGAGAATGGTGAAGAAGAAGGAAATGAGTCGTTAAGTGCGTCGTTACCAGAAGAAGTTGGGATCAATGCTAAGGACGTTGTACCACAACAAGAAGTCATACCACGACAAGACGCCGGTTTAGATGATTTAAGTCATTATGACAGATATGGATTCAAGAAACAATCGAATTATATCAATGAAAATGAATATGACGGCTGGTGGAAAGATTATTCCCAATATTGCATAAGACGAAAACGGAAATGGCAATCGCTACTGGAGAAGAGTGGGTTTCCGATGACTACTGAGGCTCCCGACAGGTTTCCTCCAAAAAGCGAGAAATTGAAACGATATGTAAGAAAAGGTATACCAGCGGAGTGGAGAGGTAACGCATGGTGGCATTTTGCTAGAGGACAAGAAAAACTGAACAAGAATAAGGGAGTCTACGATAAATTGCTTGCTAGCTTGGAAACCAAGGAGTATGAGCGCAGGGAAAATTCACGGGATAGCGATATTATAGAAAGAGATTTGAATCGAACTTTTCCGGACAATATACATTTCCGAAGAAGACCTAATGAAAGCGCAGAGCCTTTAATGATCCAGTCTTTAAGACGGGTCTTGAACACTTTTTCCATTTACAATCCTAAAATAGGATATTGTCAGTCGTTAAATTTTCTCGCGGGATTGCTGTTGCTCTTTATGGATGAGGAGCGCGCTTTTTGGATGCTGGTCATCATCACTTCTCGTTATTTACCTGGCGTACACAACGTCATGCTGGAAGGTGTTAACATCGATCAAGGCGTTCTCATGCTTTGTATCAGAGAATACCTCCCTCACTTCTGGCATCGAATCGTCAATAAGCAATATTCTCACAACAATCAGTTTTTGTATAAACTTCCCCCCTTGACTTTGTGCACCGCGAGTTGGTTTATGAGCTGTTTTGTCGGAATTGTTCCAATAGAGACTACTTTGCGCATCTGGGATTGCTTGTTTTACGAAGAATCGCATGTTCTTTTCAAAATTTCGCTTTCGATAATGAAGTTGAGCGAGGAAGAACTAATTCATGAGCATGGCCCGGCAAGCAAGAATATGAGTCAAGACGACGCCGATATTGAAGTGTTTCAAGTAATTCAAACTTTCCCTAAGAAACTTTTAGACCCAAACAGCATTTTCGATCGGGTCATCTTGAAAAGAAGAATCTCATTGAACAACTTAAATCAAGAAGAAATTGACCGTTGTCGAAAGTATGTGAGAGCGCAGAGATTGAAATATAAAAATTACGCGGACGTGCTGGGTTCAAATCCGAAGAGTAATGGCGAAAGGAATGCCTTGGTAGAACTCGACGTCGTGAACGATGCGCTCTCTTCTGAAGTTTATGGGTTCCGCAGAAGTCTCACTGGGCTTCACTGGAACAACAGCATCAAGGAAAAAGTGCGGCAGATAAGGAAGAAGTAGTTTTATATCAGGCTAATTCAACTTTTTGAAAAACTAAATGTTAGTGATTTATGGTAATTCAGTCACTTCCCAGCCTCTTTGGAGTCGATTAAAAATCTCCTGAGCTGTTGTCTCGTCTTCGAGTTTTTGCAGCAATATTGATCGTATATCCTTCCAGGGAACCATCAATTTGGCTTTACTGGTTTCCATGGTAGAAGACGTCTCATTTTTATTATTTGGAGCATTCGGTTCCGGTTTGGCAACTAAAACGGTCAGTTGCGCTTCCGAAACTTTCAGGTCCGACAACAGTAAATTGTCGTGTAAAACTTTGCCCTTGAGTAGTACTTTTAGTTGAGTGGCATCGTGAACGGCTTCTTCCTGCATTACAATGAATGCCTTGACTTGGTAAATAGTATTATTTCCCAAAAAAGACCGCGACAATGCAAACTTAGGAGGTCTGATGGATTTCATTGACAAATGAATCTCCCCGTCGGACCAATTTCCAGAATTCTTGTTCTTGTTGGCATCATACTTGTATCTTAACGGTGGAAGCGCAACACCCAGTGTTTCTACCGCTTGAAGCGGTTTTTTGTAATTCGAAGCCAGAAGAGGTGGATTAATTGTCGCAAGTGACAAGAATCTAGTTATAAACTCCTTTTCCGGTGTGGACATTACTGATTATCTTGAGTTCCTTGCTTGGTTAGGAAGGTTAATTAATTTTCAAGAACCAATTTCTGTATCTTTGCCCGTCAATGTTGAGTTAAGACGATACGAGAAATCAAACGACAAAGCACTGTAGAACATTTCATTTCTGTATCTAGCTTCAATGCTAAGCACACTTGATAGCGGTGTCTCGAAAAACCAAACTTTAGCCAACCCTAATAATCGAACCGCGCTTTTCTTTAATTACCATGAATTTAACGTCACACATTACACGGACCTGGATGGTGAAGTGAAAGAGCATACAGACGAAAGTGCGCTTTGCGTGACACATTTTCCGAATGTTTACGTTCCCGTTGACTCTGCTGCATTTTTAGAGACAAGAGTGGTGCGAATACCTCGACGATTCGAAACGACGCTTGACTACCCGACTTTCAGCTCACAACTTCCAGGACTAGAGCCAGCAGCCATATACGACGACTATTCCGATCAGGAGTTCATACCGCACGGTCGATATGAGACCCAACTGTTTGGGACCTCGTCTACGAGCCCCCTGAGTAATTATTTGACGCAAGATCAGTTTCGAGATATTGTTGAAACTGTGAACGAATTTACGCGGAAGGCCTACGAACCTCTTTCGTGGCAAAATATTTTGAACAATACTTTGGACTATTTGACTTTCAATCTTTGGAATAACGTGATTTCCAAGCTGTTCGTCAGTCCTTTACAAGAGCTAGAAACCTACGTGGAACGTCTAAACAATTCAGATTTGCTTAGACAGCACAGCGTGAAACTGATATCACCCAGGAGATCCGCATACCTCTCCGTAAGTCGAATCATGTCGAATGAGATGATAATAGCCTTCTATGATATACTAACATGAGCCAACACAGCTTGACTTTCAAATACCGAAGCCCGTGGATGATCATCGTTCTGGATGAGTCGAAAATTTTGAAGAACTACAACCTCATCGCATGAAAGTGACCTCTGGACGAAACTAACTTGCCCGAGATGAACGGCATCTTTGCGATTGAAAAGCCCAGTGGCATATCTTCAAGTCAATTTCTCCTGAAAGTTCAACAGATTTTTAACAATAGCCATGTTTTCTCGAGAGAAATTCAAAGGGCAACTGCCGAACGAATGCGACAATTTCAGGAACAAACTGGCAAGAAAGCCAGCAAACGGAAGTTACGCAAGGTGTCTAAAGTGAAAATGGGGCACGGGGGTACCCTTGATCCCTTGGCTTCTGGCGTATTGGTAGTCGGAGTCGGTTCGGGTACTAAAAAATTAAGTCAATACTTATCGGGTACTGTCAAAGTATATGAAGCAGAAGCCCTTTTTGGTCTTTCGACAACATCGGGGGATGTAGAGGGTGATATTTTAACTATGAATTCTGTGGATCATCTCAATATGAAAGATTTGAAGTCAGTCGAACAAAAATTTGTGGGCAGCTTAAAGCAGACCCCGCCAATATATGCCGCATTGAAAATGGATGGTAAACCCTTACATGAATACGCACGTAAGGGGATACCTTTACCGCGTGCAATTGAAGCTCGGGAGGTAAACATTTACGATTTAACCATATTGCCCGACTCTTTGAGCACGACGCACAACTACGAATTGAAAAGACCTTCGACCGAAGAGGCCCAGGACACTGTGACAGAACTGACCAAGAAATCCAATTTGATGTTAGATAAGCTTTATTTCTCAAAAGAATATTGCAAATCGATAGGGCTTGAGAATGAAGAGGCCAACGTTGAAGAACCCATTCCTCTTGGTGAGGAAGCTATACAGCAATTAACTTCTGGCGCAAGAAAATTTGATGCCCCTCTTCTTCACTTCAAAGCACGAGTTTCATCCGGTACCTATATTCGCTCACTTGTGAGCGACATTGGGAAGGCAATGAGATCTTCAAGCTATATGGTGAAGCTTATTCGTTGTCAGCAAGAAAATTGGGCTTTGGAGAAGAACAACGTTTTCTCCATTCAAGATTTTTCTGATTACGAAGAAGAAGTCTGGTCATCTGTTCTCGAAAAGGTAATGGAAGAAGGTTCCTCTATTGATGTCAAAATGGAACTAGAGAATGCCTCTAAAGAGCTTGAACTCAAGAAAAAGGGAGCTGAGGCAGCGCTAGAAAAGGACTCAAAAGACGCAGAGGAGTCGAGCGAGCTGAATGTGAAAGTTTTGCCTGAAGAGCATAATCAAAACCTGAAGAGGCCGCTGGAAGAATAAATGTTCTTTCTTCTCTACAAAATTCGCAGATTTTCCGAATTACCCACAAAGTTACAGCTATCAAAAGATTCTTCCTTCTCATAGAAATTGTAGCTCTGATAGAATAGTTGCGGATGATGGTCAGAACTCGGACACGCAAATCCGAAAGCGGCAGGACAGTCTGCTACCAAAGTATAGCACATATCAATGCATGGAAGAACTTCGTAATAACTGCTGATTGGCCTAATGTTTTCATTGATGTAGTCGTTTCTATTATCTTCCTTCGTCCGAGGAATGTAGTAACTTGTGTTTTCTGTTGTACACCTCGGAATGCTCACGGCACAAAGCCAATTTCTATAAGCATTATCGCAATCTTGGCACGTTTTTAAAGGTGAGTACCGTGCATCTTCCTCTGAGTCGCACGGTATAATTTGAAGTGCTTTGCTGAAATTACCGTAGAGAGAACTTGCGATGCCGTCGTAACTTTGAGCAATTGCGGATTTATTGTTGGGTGAATAACTTGAGGTTGGAACCGAATAAGCTACACCATCGCAGAAATCCAAATTGAAGATGAGAGAGCACGAGTTGTTGCTCATGGTTGTAAAAGTGCTCTTGGAGAATAGAATGCCACCGTAGTCGCTGAGTTTGCCACCAGAGCTTGATAACTTTTTGGTGAGATAAGCGACGTAGGTGGTAGAGCTGTTTAGACCTGTAATATAAAACTGTTCCTTGACAGACCCACCTCTAATAGTAATGTTTTTCACGATGGTAAGATCAGTAATGCTTAAATCCTCGGTGTTTTGCGAAGAGGTAGTTCCATTGACAGACGATGCCTGCCAAGGCCCATTTTGAATTGCGCAAATGGAGTTCTTGACACCGTCATCGAAATAATCCATATAGTCATAGGAATAGACATATAAGTCGTAAAGACTCGTGTCAAAAATCGAATAATTAGATGATCCTGGTGAGCTCCCAGTTACATTACCAGTGACCAAAAGCGCAGAGTTGTAGTCAGTATCCACAACATCCAGCCATGTACGTGCATCCCATTGATATACCAAATCGTTTTGCGAGACACTGATGGTATAGTTCCAGAAAGTGTTAGGCTCCAATTCGGCGCCCAATATTTCACCTGTCGTGGTGTTCACCATTTCAACCACCAAGTAAAGAGTAGAGTATTCGGTGGATGCGTTCCCATCCTTTAGCGGCCTTATTGCTAGGCCCTCCATATACCCATCTGAAAAGTTGGCAGTGTGGCCAGTCCCTGGATGATTTACAACTGAGTCATTGAAGCCGTGCGAGACTCTGAGTCCAGCTTGTGAGTTGTTAAGCCCCGTTTGCGAGCAGATGTTTCCACTAAGGAAGATTAGCATTTCATACCCAGAGGTGAAGGCGGAGGAACTCGAGTTCACTTCGAAATTGAAATAGTCCCTTTTTCCTGGGTATATGACAGATTTGACCGGAGTCCATTCCGTCAACAGATCCGAATTTAGTATGCTATTCGAGGACATTTTTATCTTTGATTGCCATGCCGCAAAAGGATTATTTACAATATCCTCTGATAGTTCATTAGAGCCGTCTCTGAGCTCTAATGCACGGACACACGCGACTCGAAAAAGAATAATGAGACACGGCCATAAAATTACTGTCATGGTTCTCAACGCCCTGCAATCAAAGTTTCAGACCTCCTAAATTTGGCATGCGCGCACTTTCAAAGAGACTGTTGGATTGTTACTCTGCGTTGATGTTTAAAGATGGAAGTTAAGTGTGAAAAAATAAGCGTCACAGACAGGATTCGAACCTGCGCAGGTAAAACCCAATGCCTATCTCGCTTTCGAAATGTCGAATAGCAGGGCATCGCCTTAACCACTCGGCCACTGTAACCTCTCGTGTAATGTACACTTTTTAAGACCTACTTACGGGTAGATTGCAGTGAATTTAAGCTTTAATTAGAATAAAGAGATTTTAACAGGCCCATTTAGTTCAAAAGAAAAACTAAGATCTATACACGAGGAACGGGGCTGTTTGTTACCTATGTTTTAACAGTCAGGCTATAATTTGTATTTTAACGATGCGTTTCTAGATTATTCTTAGAACCTTAATCTTAAAACCGAAAATTTCACGACTCTCGCCCTTAGGTGTGTGAGCCGCATTTCGGTCCATTGGGCCTCAATCGAGTGAAAGTTGATAATTAGAGAATGTAGGTACATATCTGGTTTGTGTCGATTTTGTTTTCAGTTTCCATCGTTTCCAAGGCCCCTGATTTACCTTGCAAAACGGGTCAAATAGGCCGGGAAATGCGACAAAAAGGAAAAAGCAGCATAGCGGACTGATTGATGAGTATGCATTAAAGCTGGAGCACGTGCGCTTTCGTGTCTGCACCGGACACAGTCCTCTGGATAACTGACTGACTGTGAACGTGCCACGAGGGATGCGAAGCTATCTTTCGTGTTTAGAAAGTCTAAGGGTTTGCGGGAAGTGGAATCGGCTCTATCATGAGGCTGCTTGAACAGTATCTAATTGTTGGAAGGAGCTGGGGAGAAGGTGATATCGTCCAATTGCATCATCACGTGATCGATATGACAGAATAAATTGGAAGAATTAACGGAAGGTTCTTGATCAAGATGAGGTCATAGGAGCCAAGTGATTCTCGTGATGGTCATGATGGCATCACATTTCGTCACCATTGTAAGAGTGACATAATAGGGTCGTAATGATGACTCACCGTGACCGTGAATATTAGAGACAGGAACGGATTCCAAAATTGGAACACTGTTACAGAGATTGTATAAAAGGAGCTGATATGAACAGGATTGTAAGTGGTCATGGTTGTAAGATAGCCACGGAGAGATATAAGTACTCAATTCCTAATCCGCTTTATTATTTAGATCAATTATGAACGAATTAAATGAACAATTTAGAAACCTATCAACCTCCGACAAGGAAAAACCTCAGCACTATCAACTACCGACAACGGTAAGCCTCAGCAAAAATAACCTTCAAAATTCATTATTTCACTCGTTTATCGTTTCGAGTAGTAAACTTAACGAAGGTTACCAGCGTCGGAAGTTGACAGCTTTCCAATTAATCATTGAATTCATTCATAATTGCTTTAGTAGTGAAAAAATCAAGTATTCGCTATCTTTTCGCGATTAGCTTAGCAATATGATCTCCCTAAGGCTGCCCTTGTCGTCTCTTATGCAATTCTCATACCTCCTTTTCCTCAGTCGCCTCGCAAAAAGAATGTATATAGTCTACCGGACCATACCACTCAGAGTGTAGTGATGGTAGTATGACAATGCCATGGCTATCAGGTGGAATATTGCACTTTTATGTATGGCCCTGTGAATTCGAATTTTTATTCTGTCATCGTGGTCACATGATGTTATCTCCAATATTGGATATTGGTGGTAACACCTGTCATGAGCTCCTTCAAACATAACATAAAGTATTCATATCTCTTTGAAAATTTGACAGTCTGGCCTATCTGAAACCGAATATTCCCTCGATACTAACCAACCGTTCCATCTTCTCTTCTTTCATTCAATTACTGCAGATCACGTGCCAGTCCCGCCCAAATAGCCTTAGCACAAGACAATCCGCGCTATGATTTAATCGAGTTAGTGCTATCAACTTCAAATTTGAGTCTGTTGTTGTGTGAAATTTACCATTGTTTCCAGATTTATCAGTACAATTCTCCTTCTATTAATGATTCGAAAAGTGAGATGATTTTGGGAATAAAAATCAAGGGTAGTTAATCTTTCCAAAGAAGACGACATTTCTAAACAAAACACAGAAATGGAACCTCTAAGTATTCAAAGTTGCTAAACTTAGAACATACGATAATGTTCACACGTTAAGTGGGCCTCAAGGATTCACGTATACTTAAAGTTATCGCTCTGAAATCATTCCAAGCCTCGAAATTTTAACTGACCTTATATCGAGCGAGAGAAAATTTTAAAAGAAAAAATACCACAAGAAAACTCCAACTGGAACAGTGAAATGAGTTGTATCAATAACTTAATGTTGGCGCTACTCTATTCTTGAATTAGGTTCAACGAATGATGGACGACAAATTCAGCCAATCACCAACCCGTAAAACTAAATGATGTCCGGGTAATATTGGCATAGAGACCGCCGGTAAAAAAAATTTTAATAGTAGTGTAAAGACAGATTCAGGTAAGGAGAAAGAAGCCCTTGGAATATAAGTTTATTGCAGTGGTATTGACTCCCATTCTTACAATGTTTCGTCCAGTTGCCGTGAGGACACTTTTCAGAACTTCTCAAATTGTGAGCAAACGTGGTTACGCTGAAGCCGCAGAGGGCTTTTTGAAACTGCAATTTGCCCTGCCACATCAAACCCTGTATGGAGGTTCTCAGGTCACCCAAGTGAACTTGCCAGCTCAATCTGGTCAGATTGGTGTTTTGGCTAACCACGTTCCCACCGTAGAACAATTGGCTCCAGGCGTTGTCGAAGTTTTCGAGGGAAACTCGTCTAAGAAGTATTTCGTGTCCGGTGGATTTGCAACTGTTCAACCTGACTCCACGCTCTCTATAACCTCCGCTGAGGCGTTCCCCTTGGATTCTTTTTCTACAGAAAGCGTCAGGTCCTTACTCTCCGAAGCAGGTAAGGATTTGTCGTCTTCCGACGAAAAAATCGCAGCCGAGGCCGCTATCAAGATCGAAGTGCTAGAGGCTTTGCAAGCAGCTTTGAAATAGAAAGCAAGCTTTAACGTGACACGCCGGCGAAAGAACAAAGAAGCTGATTCATCTTTATATTCTAGTTCCAGGATTTTTTCAAGTGTAATACATGACTACCATTTATATGTGAACGCGCCGCAGCGCGTTCCTAACACAAATGCTCATTACTGTGAGTCGGCCGCTTTACGTAGTTTCTTGTAAAAGAGTCTTGCTGCTGGGAAGGCTATGATGAGGAGTTACCCAGATAACATAATCTGAAAAACGAATATTAATAAGGAGCTTATTGGCGAAAAACTGTCGGGCTCAAGTTCGATGCCACAGCCCCATCGCTTCGCTCTCCCGTGACAATGTCGAGCTGGTTTCGCTAATCTGTTAAGCACCATCTGGGTAAGCCTTTTTTCAACGCGCTTTGAACTGTCCAGAGAATTACGCGAAAAAACGCGAAAAATGAAAATAAGCAGCCATTGAGTATGGATGGAGGCCCAAATATAATGAGAATCAACATCATCAACTATCTCAAGAAAATGACTGTGAAAGCCAATTGGGTTAGCAGGTCGATTGTCTTGCATCGGTAATAAATTTCATTCAAAGATCCTAAATCACAATGACCACGACAAATGCCGACAATCTTGTGAAGGGGCCTTCTTTTCTACAACTAATGAACGGGAACGGACCATTGACGCAAATATGGCTTGCGTCCAACATGGCGCATACGTTACCAAAATCAGTTTCACAAAATACAGACATCGTGGCTTCGGTGAGAGAGATTGCCAAAGTTGCCGGGTGCACATCAGACAATGCTAATATAGAGCCCGTCACGTTGCGAGCTTCCGGAGAGTTGCTACATGGAGTGGTTCGTGTGTACTCCAAGCAGACCTCATTGCTACTGAACGATATCAAAGATACGCTCGCAAGAATATCGTCTTTGTTTCGCAGCAATCAGGTACCCATAACTTTACAAGCCGAGAGAACAGCGGTAGCTCATCTGAGTCAGATTCTTTTACAAGATGCCGTGACTGAACAGGACGTTTTACTGGTGCCGGAATTGGACTTCCTTAACAGTCAAGTCCTTCCAGAGGGATTAACAACGATAAGAGGGAACCCCACGGAAAGACATGTCCGTGGCGCGGCTTTCCACGATTCTTCTATTGAAGTTGGAAGAAATTTGGCAGTACCAAAAGATTTAGCATACGAAGACCAATCTGGCTCCCTGGATTTGGATTTTGATATCAATTTGCAAGACTCAAAGAGCTGGGGTGAGGGTACCAATACTTCATCCACCAAGCCTCTCGCTCACAATACCACATCTATTGCCGAAGAGGACTTGGCATTACCTCCAGGTAACGACGTGGATTGGGATTTGAACATAGATGAGAGCGACTCGGATAAAGAGTCCGGGAGATCGGTTGAATTAGGACGGCGTGCCGTTGAAGAGGCCACTTACGAAGATCATCCGGATTTGAATTTCGATTTGGGGCTCGAAAAAGAGGATCTTACCCAGGAAGTCTCTGAGCTTGAAGATGATTCTCCTGTCAGCGAAACCCCAGAATCTCAGCAACAGTTGTCCAAAATTTCAGGAGGCGAAAGGGCTTCGATTCTCTCGAAAACCAAGAAACTTCTGACCGATGACGCAACAGAAATTAGAGATGAAATAGTAAAGGCAACGGCTTCGCCTCAGCACGGACAGATCCCAGAATCTCGTGGATCTCAAAGACCACAGCAAGACAAAAAAAGAATCTGGACCCAAGTGTCGGAAATGATGGAGTTTTTGCCTGGTGTAATTGTGAACAACTTCCTACCGTACCAGGATTTTAAGAGACAGAAATTAGGTCTAGAAACTTCCTCTTCTCTCCAAGAAAATGAAAATGAGGGGAGCCCATCTTTAGAGCTTTCTCTGGGACCTGGTCAAGATTTGGTATCAAGTTTTATAGACGAAGACTTGGATGACAATGATCAAAACATATCTCTTAACTTCGAAGATACAGCTGGCAACCTCGCGAACGGAACAAGCGCTTTAACGGATCTTCATGAACATTCACTTGTCGAAAGTATACATTCAATGGACTCTCAATCTGCTATGCACGGAATTCGCCTCGTCGCAGGCGGCTTTGCATCAGAGGAGGCGGTAATGATGGCCCAATTTTGCCGCGACCAGTTTGATAAAAATTCAAACACTACAATAGATCTCGAGACTCTGACGAAAAACAAAATATACAAGGAAACTACATCGAAATCGATAACAAAAGCACAGGCAAGCAACGCTTTTTTCGAAATGCTTTTTCTCGCAAGTGAGGGTTGCTTGAACTTAGCGCAAGAAGAACCATTTTCCCAAATCGAAATAAAATCCAAACCAGCTCTCTACGAGAAATTCATCGCAGCGTGATTTGGGGTAGGTTTTTGACTATCCTCGTGACCACCATGGACGCCGATATTAAATAATTTTAAATACAGCAGACTTTTGATGGAAATTTTTTGACAGAGCGTGAAAATGAAAAAGAAAAATCCAAAATTTTTTTGCCGATGATGTTAGCTCATCGCAGGTCATCGAAAGGGCCCATAAACTCTCTCACTTAGTTCAGATACAGTCTCGCGCTCCAAAATAACAACAGGAACTCCTTTTTCAATTCTTCACATACTAAAGATGAAAAAAAACAATAAGTCAAGCCAAAGTTCCAAGAGATACAGGTACTCATCGTTTCGAGACAAGATTGAGAATCTTCGGATTGAACCTGCTAGGGACTTGAGCAAAAAGGCACATCAGCATGTGGATACATCTCATCTGCTCTCTTCCTTTGAGCACTGGGAAGATATCAACATGAGTGCGAATTTTACAGCGGTGGCAGACGATATGAGAAGTTTGATACAGACTTTACCACAGATTTTGCACCACAAGGTCAAAATTTTTGATTTGCTTCAGAAAAATATCTCTAAACATGATCATAACTCATTGCAGCCTCTTTTAGATCTTCTTGCGCAGTTCTGCCATGATTTAGGGCCTGATTTCATCGAGTATTACGACAGAACCATAATACTTCTGATAGAGCTAGTAGATGATGCTACGGATACTGAGGCATCGGATATTTTTGAATGGGGCTTTGACTGCTTAGCCTACATTTTCAAATACCTGTCTAGAGTTCTGGCCAAAGACCCACTGCCGACTTTCACACAGCTTTTCCCACTTCTTTCGCATCCCAAGGACTACTTGCAGCGTTTTTCTGCTGAGGCACTTTCTTATTTACTCAGAAAGTGTCAGTTGAATGTGTTACTTGCATTGGTGAAGTCCTTGTTTGAAAGAGCAGAGGGCCCGAACGGCGAAGCAATTTACGACGGTATCGTAACGCTTTTTACGGAATCTATTCTCAATACAAAGGGCACGCTACACTCAAGAGGTGGCATAATTCTGAAAGCACTTTTCCAAGAAGCGATGGAATGCAGTGCTGACTTGCGCTCCATTTCTCTATTTTCGGACATTTTAATGAATGTTTTGAGACACGCGTCAATTGAAGACGCTAAACCCGTTTATGAATTGCTTTTGGCTGAAATAGAAGAAGGGCTCGATCGCAATGAGCTGTCGAGCTGTCCTAAGGTGGTCAAGATTTTAGTTACTCTATCTTTCGCGGAAAGTGGTAAAAAAGTCCCGGATTGGTCAAGAATCGTCAACAATGTAGAGAAGCTTATGGCACCCGCTTTTCGAGAATCACTGAGCCATCAATCAACTTCCTTACTTTTTGCTACTCTTTTCCGGAACTTACCAATACCGAAGTTGACTCAATTCTATCGAAAGGCCTTTCAATTCTTTTTAGCATACAAGCCAGTTTTTTTTTTGACCTTCTATCAGCTAACAAGCAAACTAGATCAGTCGAGGTTGATTTCATTTAGTGGAGAGAAATATCTTCAAGGCTTCATCGATGAACATTGGAGGAAATTCTCGGAACCCATAGCGCTTTATGTGTCCGAAACTTCTTCGAATGAATGCCCGAAAAATCTCAAAATTCCTAATGAATTTTCGAGCTCTCTACTAAATGATATCGATAGTTTTGGAGGGGACCTTAGTGCTGATAAACTGCCCGGTATTTTCTGGAGGCTTAAAATACTAAAGTTGTCCACAACAACCACGGATGCGGTGCTAAAGCCTCTTTTTGAAAAGCTCATTGCAAAGCCGCACGTGTCCGATTTTGAGAAAGATGTGTTAGGAACCTTAGCACAAACGATCAAATGTGCAGATGTCACCATTGGCACTGAACTGGCCTTACGCATGATCAAGAATTTTGGAAAGTTTCCAACAAATCTTGAATGCATTATCGGACTTAGAAGATTAGTCAATTTATTCAAAACAGAAAGCCTCTCTACGGAACTCACTCACAATCATGCATTTTTGCTTCAGATAACGGATAACCTCGTTTTCGCTGACCAAAAACTCAGATATGAGTCTTTGAAATTGCTTCTGGCAGCGATGGAACTGGCAGGACTGGAAGTCAGGAGAGAGGTCTATGAATTGAAGCTGGTAGAGGAGAGTCCGCACACTCTTGAAACCGCTCGTGACCTAAGTATGAGAATCCGTAAAGTTGGGACCGCTTTTTCGACAGCCAACACAGATGAGTTGACCTGCCATATCATCTTTAAGCTATTGTTCGGGCTTTTGACGGTTCGATTTTCGCCATTATGGGAAGGAATATATGCAAGCTTCCCAGAACTTTATGGTAAAAATTCGAAGTTGATGTGGTCTTTGTTTCTGAGGTTTTTGAACTTTTCCGATTACACTATAAAGTATGACTACTCGATCGCTACAGAAGCAGATGATTGCTTTCCTCAAGAGTGGTCAGTAGGAGTCAAGAGGCTGAACGACGTGCTTGTTTCAAGCAAAGAAATAGACTCTCAATTTCAGCAACCTGTGCTCACCATTCTCAGAAATTCCAGAGAAAAAACATGCATGTGCCCATTTCCAGAGCTCATTCGAAACCAAGCGTTAAAGGGCCTTTTACTTATTCCTTCTTTGGCTGAACAGCACTCGAGGGATATAATTCCTTATCTCTTCAATAGGATTGAATTAGAAGAAGTTTTTCTAGACGACAGTTCCTCCGGAGTTGCTGGTGATGCACGTCAGTGGTCTGATCAAGACAGAAGCATGCTACTTAAGCTGGTAGCGAAGTTCAAAAATATCAGGTCAATTTTTAAGTCAAGTGAGGTTCATGGACGAATGCTTGATCTACTCAAGAGCAGAAATGAAAACGTTCAAAGACTCGCCTTTAACGTTTTAATGGCATACAAAGAACCTATTGCGATGATCTATAAGGATAATTTGAAGAATTTGTTAGATCCAGCACTGTTCAAAGACGAAATAATCAAACTTATTTCCAACGCTGAAACTAGTGTTCTGAAGCCCTCGGATGAAGATTTCATCATGCCATATATTTTGCGTATTCTTTATGGGCGTGCGCAGGTGAAAGTAACAAGTGGAATGAAGAAAAGTTCTAAGTCTGCGGTAATGACTATATTGCCTAGCCTAAGAGAAAAACATGTTGTTGATTTTGTTCGATTGGGAAGCAGCAAAATTGAGTACAACAAGTTCTTTGAAGAAGATGCTGAGAATCCTATGAGCATCCAGGGCCCTATTGTAGACGATGTGTCGCTCAGAAAGATGACGGGATTCATAAAATTGTGCGAAGCAATTATAGCCCACATTAGGTCCAGGTTTTTGGGTGCATGTGAGGAAATGATCAAGCCAATTGTGTTTGCCATCCTAAGTTCCAATTCTATTTCAAACGGGAACGATGTAGAGGCCCATCAATTAAAAGCCGCTTCGAATTTGAGACAGGCTGCCACTAAGTGCCTTGCCTTACTTTTTGAAGTGGTCGGAGACTCTTTAGACTGGAGCAAGCATATTTCAATAATTTACCGCTGGGTCGTCGAGCCCCGGCTCAAAAAATTTGATGATGAGAACCTTCAGCAACCGTCTTCGATCATGCGAGTTATGGTGAGCTGGTCAGATAGCACAAAGCTTCACGACTTCTTATACCACGACAACTTTGTTCCTATCAAAGCCCTTTTGAAAGTGCTGCGCAATAAGAACGCTAAGAGCTCTACGGTGGAGATGGTCCTAAGTTTTTGCAATCGATTGCTTCAAAGTGAAGATGTTAGTGAAAGGTATGAAGAATCTATATCGCACATTGCTGAGACGTGTCTGCTAGTACTACCTAAGTTATTAGAAGGTAACCTGACTGGTAAGGCTCTGAACACTTCGATTGAGATCCTGCTTAAGTTGACTGAAGCTAATTTGGTTAACGATGATGTAGCCAAGAAGGGCTTGATAGATTCCATAACCCTAGCACTGAGCAAATCTAATGTGCACGAGGAATCTCAGGAGAAAGTTAAACTTCTAAAAATTCTGTCTTTCATCATTCCAAATTACGAGTGCGAATGGTCTGAAGTCGAACAGTGCTACAAGGCCTGCGCGACCCAATACTCAGTTGCAAAGGAAAGAAATACGAGGCTCGCTTTAAATGATGTTTTCGTCTCGATAAGCAAACGCTTCTCATCCGTCAGCACTGTCTCAAGGTTACTCTGCGATATCAATTCTTACTCTTTACGTCAAATGGAGACGTACAATTTTGAGAGGATTCTTCCTGCTTTCAAAATAATTGGCGAGGAATACTACACGAAATTTTCGGATGTCCAATGGCTGCCAATATTGCATTGTTCACTTTTTTTCCTTCAGGACTTAGATGAGTTGGCTTTGAGAACCAACGCTTCGTTTCTTCTCAAGCGCTTTATCGACTATATCAATGTTCAAACTGCCAAGAGGGAGACCGAGGACTCAATTCAATTGCTTAAAGCACATATTTTACCCAATCTCAAGCAAGGGTTAAGAAGAAAAAACGATGATGTAAAATCTGAGTACGTCGGACTCCTTGGATACATTGTCAAAAACTCGCAGCGTTTCACTGAATTCGAGGATATGAAGGTCCTTTTGTTCAACAACGACGAAGAAGCTAATGTGTTCGAAAATGTTGTTCACATTCAATTACACAGACGTCAAAGAGCGATCCGCAGGTTGGCCGAGCAAGCACCTAATCTCAAATCAACTAGTATTGCCCACTATCTTATTCCCATGATCGAAGCTTATATGCTTGATGATACGGAAAAATTCAGGAATATCAAAAATGAGGCGATACATGCAATGCATTCGCTGGCCGGTAATGTAACTTGGCACCAGTATAAGGCTTTGTTTAGGCGGTATCTCTCCTTAGTAAGGGTGAATGCTCCATTTCTGGCGGAACTCGTTTCGGTGATAATTGAGCTCTCTCGGCCCTTGGAATCATGTAGGAACAGCACTGGAGGCGAGGATTCTAGTTCGGGGGTGGCCATTAGAGAAATGCCTCGATCGTCAGACAGCGTTGAAAAATTCATTCAAGATGAAATTATGCCTAAGGTATCAGGCGTGATGAAACTGAGAGATGACGAGACGGCTGTTCTTAGAATACCACTTGCAGAGGCTCTAGTTCACTCTATTTTGGCTCTTGATCATCAAAGCAGAATTTTGCTTTTGCCTGCGATCCTGACCGGTGTCTGTCAGGTCTTACGCAGCCGCTCAGAGGAACTGCGCGAAGCGGCCAGGCGCGTCTTGACGAAAATAACACAATTGCTGGGGCCTGATTATTTCGTATTCATTGTGAAAGAGCTGAAAAGTGCTTTACAGAGGGGGTCTCAAATTCATGTACTAAGTTACACAGTCCATCACCTCCTGGTGGAGCTCAATGAGCGTTTAGAATCTGGAGATTTGGATGTTGCCACGGACCTACTAGTTAGTGTCATCATGGAGGACCTTTTTGGTAGTGCGAGCGAGGAGAAAGAAGCAGAGGGCTATGCATCGAAGGCCAAGATGAAAGAAGTGAAATTTAACAAGAGTTACGACACTGGAGAACTTTTGGCGTCCAAAATATCTTTACAGGCGTTTGGATCTGTTATTCACCCCATTAAAGTTTTACTATCAGAACAGCTATCTCTGAAAACTCAAAGAAAACTTGACGAGCTTTTGCGTAGATATGCTCTCGGTCTGAATCACAATACGCGCACTTCCTCGATAGATGCCTTGACAATGTGCTACGAAATTTACATGCAATCAACCCGGAATCAACGTGAAGGGGTCGCACAAAGAAATGAGGATATGGTAAAAGGTACTCTGTCGGATTCATCAAAATTCTTCTTGGTTGACTTGAAGGCGAGGAAAGACAAAGTTTTGAATGACCCTCAACACTTGCTGTCCACTCTCCAAAAATTTGCTTTTGACCTACTCAGAACAACTTTAGTGAGAAATAAGGACATGCTGATTGACACTTATCTCGAGGGCTTTATTCCTCTGTTGCAAGAGGCCCTTTCATCGGATGATGAAGGATTACTTCTCAGTACCCTCAGACTCTTGATAGTGTTAGCCAAAGGCAGCCTTTCGGAAGCCTTCGATGGACTGTTTAAGAACAGCGCCAGAAAGACTTTGACTTTAATCAAAGAATCGCCGTCAACCTCCACTGAAATTTGTCAAATGAGCTTAAAGTATCTCTCGATTGCCATACGTCATCGTGAAATCGGTCTCAAAGAGACGGCGCTCGGTTACATTTTGAATAAAATCAAACCTGACCTTAATGAACCAAATAAGCAAGGTTTAGCATTCGGCTTTCTACGATCTTTGATATCGAAGCACGTAATGATCGCTGAAATTTATGATGTCGCAGGTGTTGTCTCTGAAGTCATGGTAACCAATCACTCTCGTGAAATCAGGGATATCTCTAGGAGTGTGTTTTACCAGTTTTTGATGGAGTATGATCAAAGCAGAGGTCGCTTAGAAAAGCAATTCAAGTTCATGCTTTCGAACCTGGAGTATCCTTCGCAAGAGGGCCGCCAATCTGTCATGGAGCTTTTGAACTTGATAGTAAACAAAAGTTCAGATGATCTCTTGAAAAGACTTTCATCTTCATTTTTCCTTTCGCTGGCCAGCGTTTCACTTAATGACTCCTCCCCGCGCTGCCGAGAGATGGCAAGCTCTCTCATTTCGAACATTGTTGAAAAGTTGGGTTTTCAGAACGTCATAACTATTGAAAAATATGTTATTGCGTGGCTCAAGCAAAATTCTCCCTCTTTCTCCAATCTAGGACTTCGCATCGCCAAAATTTTGTATGCCACCTTGGGTTTTGGTCAAAATGATCAGATGGACCTCCTTGTCATTGAGCGGATCAATGGCATTTTCGCTGAGACAGACGTTGGCTCTGGAGCAGAGTGGGATATTGTTTATACGGCTCACAACATCCTTGAAGTTCTGGCGACCAGGTCCACCATCGTCTACGAAGCGCGATTTGAAATTATGTGGCGTAAAGTGATAATGTGTTTGCTATTCCCCCATCCGTGGGTTCGCTCTGCAGCTGCCCGATTAATCAATTTAGCTCTGAGAACTCAGAAGGAGTTTAGCCGTCCGTTCAATGTCGAGGAAATTCAACTAATAGCGACAAGGACATTACGTCAAATTGGGGCACCCTCTTTGTCAGAGACATTAGCGGAATTAGCATTGAAAAACTTGACGATCATTCTTTCTGAATGGCGGGAAAACACTCCAAATTTATTCGACGCTGCAGAAACTGAAGGCGCAGCGCATGTTGATGCCATTGATTTTGTCATATCTAGAACCGCTTCGATGTTAAGAAAGGAGCCGTGCTCAGATGAGACTTTTGTTTCAAAAAAGACATGTATTCAGTTTTTTGCCTTGGCAGCTCAGCTACTTTCCGCAGCAAAGCTTGCAGGGCTTGCTTATAAAATCATGATGGGCCTCTATATGTTCTTGGAGTTCGATGACCTGGGTGGAGATGAGAAAGTCCAATCCCTGCGCGATCTGTCCCAAGAATGCCTTCAAATTCTGGAGTCCAAAATGAATATTTCAGACTATACCACTGCTTTCACGAAGGTGAAGCAAGAAGTCATTAAAAGAAGACAGGAGAGAAAAGCGAGAAGAGCAACGCTAGCTGTCGCCAATCCGGAAATTGCAGCGAGAAGAAAATTGAAAAAGCACGCGAGGTCGAGAGAAAAACGGAAGCATGAAAAAGATGCAAGTGGGTTTTACCGCCCGAAGAGAAGCAAAAATCAATAGAGGGAGACAGTAGTTTAACGTTATAGGAGTTAAAAATTTAAACAGTCATCATTAAAGTTTTTTTGTATTAGGCATCGCTTGTTGCTATATCTGCAGTGGCATCAACATCGGGCTGCGTTTCGTCGGTGTCTTCATCGTCATCCAAATCCTCCTCCTCGTCTTCTTCATCTTCTTTTTTCAAAGTTTTGTTGTCATCAGTTTTACTTTGAGCATATGCATGCATCTCTTTTTGGTACCTTTCTCGATCCTCATTATACAATTCATAGTAAGGTTTCCTAGCGCTCTCGTCAAGATTTTTCCAAGCGTCAGTCAATGCTTTGGACACATCATTTGCGACTGATTTTTGTTTCATTTCTTCTTTGTTCATTTCGCAGAACAACAAGTACGCATTGGTAGGTCTTTTAGGTAAATTTGGATCCCTTTCCTTGCCCTTCTTTTTCTTCGTCCTTGTCTTCGGGGCATCTTCGAGAATCTGGTTTTTAAATTCATCTAATGACGGTAGCGGGTCCTCAAAACTGAGTTCGGGATCCTTGTCTATTCTGCTTTCCAATCTTTCTAGAAGTGTGCCGTATTCAAGTCTCAGCCTTTTGACTGACAGACGGGTTCGTTGAACAGCCAAGCCCAGGACCTGATTACTCTCATGCAACTCATCGAGTTTCCTCTTTAGCTCGTTTTCAGACATCGACCGAACTTCACCTTGTGGTTAACACTTTTAATTTTTGGATTAGAGTGAGAATCATAAGTAAAGTACAATATGTGGTTTAAAGAGAAGGTCGAGAAAAAGAATCCGCCAAAGGATGCAGGCAAATGAAGAGCAGCCGCTGTTAACGACTGCGCAAAAGCCGAACTCTGCACCAAGTCCAATCAGAGATGGACCAAATAGTCAGAAGTTGCCGAGATTCGGAGCTCAGAGAACATCACGAACAGCTCAGAAGCTAAAACTTCTCCCAGAAGAATCCTTTGAAGGGAATGAACTACTGGGATCAACAGACAGGGAAGTTTATTCTCAAGTTAATCGAATCACAGACAAGCCAGCGAGAAGAGATGCCGAAAAGCTGGGAAAAAGTCAGCGACATCTTTTACCGAGGGTTACGGCTTATTGTACAGCTAGTTCTTATAATATGAAGGAACTTATAAGATGGCTCAAAGCTTGCAAGAAGATACATCACACCCACCCTAAACTCTTCGACGAGTGTTTATTTACACCGTTCATATACACCGATTGGAGAGGAGATAAAAGATTTGAGCATGAAGACGTGATACGTCTTGATGATGAAGGTGGAGATATCAACGTAAGCGATAAACAGCCAGATTTGTTCATGTTCGAGTATGGCGTAGTAGTAATGTGGGGTTTTACTGAGCGAGAAGAAAAGGCATTCTTGAATGACGTTGAAAAGTTTGAGAAGGAAAAACTCGCGGATGAAGACGTTCAAGTGGAACAATTTAATTATTATATTACGCAAAGTTACCAACCTCGAATTTACAACGACTTCATCACGTTGCGCGACGGTTCTAATTACATGATCAAGCTTTCGATATCGCATGCCATAGCTCAAAGTGTCAAAATTTCGCTTTTCGAAGAGCTGGTAGATAACACTATCGATGATACTCAAGACATACCTCAGCAAATAGCCTCTGCCGGCAAAGTTTTGATGAGTAAAGAGGACATCATGAAAAGCATTGGAGAGCTTTTCATTCTCAGGATAAATATAAATTTACATGGGTCAGTTCTCGATTCCCCTGAAATCATGTGGTCCGAGCCACAATTGGAACCTATATATCAAGCCGCTCGCGGTTATCTGGAAATAAACCAACGAGTTGCCCTATTAAATCAGCGCTTGGAGGTCATTTCTGATCTCCTGCAAATGCTTAAAGAGCAGCTTGGACATTCGCACGAGGAATATTTGGAGTTCATCATCATAGTTTTAGTGGGGGTTGAGGTTGTCGTTTCTCTGATTAACATCATAGTGGACCTATTTTCGCAAGCCAAATAATTTAGAAAAACCTTCAATTCCAATTGTTTTATTACATAATATACAACGACTGATGGGTTTGGGACACTCCCGGCACCTTTACCTCATCAAACATGCTAAGCATACCCAAAGTTGCTTTCTTAAAGCTCCTGAGAAGCCTGAGTTGGTTTGGAAGACTTCTTTGGCAACAAGTTTTGATGAATGTTTGGCAAAACACCACCTTGAGCGATAGTCACGTTACCCAAAAGCTTGTTCAACTCGTCATCGTTTCTGATAGCTAATTGCAAGTGACGAGGAATAATTCTAGTCTTCTTATTGTCTCTGGCAGCGTTACCGGCTAATTCCAAAATTTCAGCAGCTAGATATTCCAAGACAGCAGTCAAGTAGACTGGAGCACCAGAACCAACTCTTTGCGCGTAGTTCCCTTTTCTTAAAAGTCTGTGAACTCTACCGACGGGGAAAGTCAAGCCAGCCTTAGCAGATCTGGATTGAGAAGCTTTAGCAGCAGAACCAGCTTTACCACCTTTACCACCGGACATTCTTATTTGATTATTGTTTTAGCGATGTTTATTGAAAATTGATACCAATAGCTAGGCTACGGCAACCGGGCATCTTATATAGTGCTTGACTAAACTGACAGTGAACGCGGTATTTTACGTGATTACCTTATTACAGGCACTGAGCTTTCGCGTTCCCCTGCAGCTAAACTCCAATACCACGTTCTTCAGGCAATGATGAACATTCTGGTCCGTAAAAATTAGTATGAATATTTCAGACCATACTTTGGACTCCAATTTACCACTACGTACGTGACGATGTATACTTTCAATTAACCTCCCGTCATTTTTGACTGAAGATCACGGTCCAATATCCAGACCAATTTATTCAGGCGCGACTGTTATTGAGTGCAACGTGTAAAGGTACGAAACGCGAAAGGTTCGCGTTTCTGCAGCGACGAGGATGAGTTGTAGTTCAACTATATATTGGGATAGGCTTGGTGAAGCAGGAACGTTGTTTATCGAGATCAAACAAAACCAACACCGAGCACACCATGTCTGCCAAGGCCGAAAAGAAACCCGCTTCCAAAGCTCCAGCTGAGAAAAAGCCAGCTGCCAAGAAGACCGCTTCCACGATGGACGCTTCTAAGAAGAAGACCAAGGTGAGAAAGGAAACTTACTCCTCTTACATCTACAAGGTTTTGAAACAAACACATCCAGACACTGGTATTTCCCAGAAGTCCATGTCTATCTTGAACTCTTTCGTGAACGATATCTTTGAAAGAATCGCTACCGAAGCCTCTAAGTTGGCCGCTTACAATAAAAAATCCACCATTTCCGCCCGAGAAATTCAAACTGCCGTTAGATTGATTCTTCCAGGTGAATTGGCTAAGCACGCAGTTTCTGAAGGTACCAGAGCGGTGACGAAATACTCATCTTCTACCCAGGCTTAGAGGAAATACTATGGTATTTCGTTTCGTACTCGCGTTTTCCACATCCTTCTGTGAAGGATGTTAGGGCATTTTGATTGTGTATTTTTAAATCGGGCTTTTGTATATTAGACAATGAAAACTGGTCAAACTAAATTCTAAGCTACTCATAAACGGAGAAAGAGTCCAATGAGATCCTAACATTGTTCCGCCAACTTTTTGTTAACAACATCCATCTTGTCCTGCGCAGTCTGTACCTTGTCAGTTCTTGAACCGACTCTTATGTCGGTGTGCACACGAACATAACCAGAAGCGTGCGCGAACTCGTGAAGATCCCCTATCAGATTCATAACTTCGTCCCATGGTCCCTCAATCGTAGTTCCTGCACTGTGTAGCGTGCTTTTCAAATGGCTAGCTCTAATTCTCTTCTCAACAAGAGCAACGAAGTCGGAAACGCTTGGCGATCCAGTTCCAAGCTTAAGTTTTATGTTAGTTATCAACTAAACGGACCCAAACAAACTTTCGTTAACATACCGGAACCATGCAGACGTCGGCAAGGCAAGCAATCTTAGGCATCTCGTTTGAATTAATGTTTTTATTCAGCAGGGGATTGAAACTTGTAGAAGTCGTAGTGAAGTAATTTACAGCTTCTTCATCACTTCCCCGATATAGTTCTGTACGTTTCTTGGGGATCAGGCCCATCGGCAAGTGACAGCCGACGACGAATAGTATCTAATTTGACCCATTGACTCCTATTTGCGCGCTAGCATGACAGGGGAGCTTTGAATTTTTCGAAACAGCTTCGCGAGGCGTGGATTTCTATAGCATTAAATAAGAGAATCCACAGCTCGAAAAGAAACGGCTTATTTTAGGGACGATTCAATCTTTTCGACGTAATCCAACTTTCATATCAGGGATCTTATATTTATTCGACGCCTACCTTCGTGACATTGATCAGGGCTCGCGAGGCCACCTTTTGAAGAACAACTCATTGTTTGTTTCTTAAGTGAGTTCAGCTTTCAAAATAATAAAACCTCGGATTCCAAAACTAAATGTTGTACTGATTTTAATAACTTTAAAGTAAAATCTTGTTCTAAAGATTGCAAGGATTTCTGCAATTGACAACAAAACTCAAAGGCCAAAAATAATGATTCAATGTGGTTAGTTATGAAGCTAAACGAGGGCTGACATAAAGTTAACGTAGACATGAAGAAATTTTTAGCTTGATGATCCTAGCTTCGCATTTGTAGTTATAATCAAGGTATTAACCCTGTCAAAGCTTAGCATCGCTCTCTTGCAGAAGGTACTTCCGTCAAATCATTTCACCACTTTCCTTGGAGAATTTACGTTTCAGAAGCCTTTAACCAGGACTTGACTCCTTCAATAGTGGAAAATTGCTGCCAAAATATGTATAGTTAAAACAAAAATATATCTGATCCTAACTCAAAAATAATTTTCGGACTTCACAAACATTACTTTCATGATTAATTTAAGAAAAAAACCAATTTCTGTTATTTAAAGAGCTTTTATTTAACAAAAAACAATTAATGTGAACCACGTGATATTTATTTTACTATTAATTTTTTTACATATTATCTTAAAAATAAAGAAAATAGGATGTTTCACTAGTCGGATAAGCCATAGCGGACCCTCTCGTCTTTACGTAAATTCTTAAAAAAAGCATTCGGTGGAATGCATGATGCAAGAGCTCTCCTCGCGTGCTTGTCCATGTATTTCAACCCCAAAACGTAACTGGCATTAACCCATCCAAAACCTTCGGTCGCGACACCCTTGAAGTCTGAACCCTGGTTTCCATACTCCGCTTCGACCCTGTGCGGATCTGTTGCTCGAGTCACATCGTATTTCTCAACAACAATGCCATTATAGTCAACAAAGGCCTTCGTCATCAAAAATAGCCATTCGTACGCTAAGCGTCTGGCCTCGGAAACAAAGCCATACCTTTGAAGCCCCTCCCAGGCCATAATCTGGTGTGGTGCCCATCCGTATGGATAGTCCCATTGTCTACTCGGTCTGTCGATCGAGATTTCGCCCCGCGAGTTTTCGGTACAGGATGCCAGTCCCCCCAGCATCTCCAACTTTGGCAAAGCCTTCTTTACCATAGCCTCGGCTTGCTCAGGAGTTGCCAAGCCTGCCCATAGGGCCCAAAATGTCGTAGCTGATTCATAAGAGGTTCTTTCCTTAAATTTGATATGGTAGTCATAAAAGAAACCGGTTTCTTCATCCCACAGGTAATGAGAAATGTGTTCTTTCCTCCTTGATGCGGCTTCTCTCCAGCCAGTAGCTGAAGTCAACGAATTTTCGAAGTCACGGTATTCGCCCTCGTAGAACTCCTCGATAAAATTTGCAATGTCAACTTCGTATTTGTATAGCAGCGAATTCAAGTCAATTGTCGTGAGATAAGCACAAACACCATCGAGCCTATAGGTGGTATCATGTCCAGACTCTCTCACTGCTCTATCGTGCAGGAAATATACATCAAGTTCGGGCTCCTTGATTTTCCCATCATTATATAGACTTGTGAATTCTGGAACTGACAGATTGTGTTTAATAGCGTAGGATTTCAAAACACTATCGAAATGGCCGAGCTCCGTCTCAGGTGGAACACCGACACCTTCAGGATGGTAACAGGATAATCCAGTTCCAGGATCGAACCTTGGCTCACTCATCCAAACTGTTTTGTACTCCTTCACAGCAGCTTGAAAACTTCTTTTTAAAAAATCGATAGCATCTGGATTATGCTTACCGCCCATTCTTTCATAAACTTTGAGGGCCATATCGGTAAGAAAAGGAGGCTGCGATCTGGAAAGATAGTAGCTCCGATTAGCGTTCAGGATTTTACCATAGTGATTGATCTCGAAAATAAAATGTTCCGTCATTCCACGAGCTAGGTCCATCTTGCCTGCATCGAGAAGACCAAGGGCCATCATGTATGAATCCCAGCCGTAAAGTTCGTTGAATCTGCCACCAGGAACCACGTAAGGGTAGCTTACCATTATTTGTTCACCGGTAGCTGGATCCATGTGCTTCTCCATTGCTAATGCAAGCAAGCCGGGCCTATCGTTGATAGACTTCACGTATTCTGGAGTTATGTTTTCTGGTAAGTATTCAACATCAAGATTGGCAGAGGGATTTATTTGTGAAGCTTGAACATAAAACTCGTACTGGTCAGGACAGTCATGTGGAACATAGACCCGAGGAACCTTTGCTGCAGGGGTGTCAATCTTCGAGTCAGCTGCTATTTGCCCAATGTTATACATATCAATTCTTCTCGTCAAATTCTTCCAAAATTGCGTGCTTATCAATCTAGATAGCCTGTTGACCGGGTTTTCATTAAGGCGTGCTTCATCCAAAATTACCTGTTTTCTTCCATAGCTTTTCGCCAAAGTTAGCTCTTGAAGCAGATTTGATAACATATAGGTTCCACGAATGCTGACTTGCCTATAACCATTTGAACTCGCAGTTCCAACACGTAGAACTTTAGGCCCCTGATCTTCAATGGTAATTTGATAGTTTTGATCTGTATCCTCGCTGTGCAAAAGTTGTTCCAATGTCGCATCCACGTCTTCAATGAAAAACGCTCGGTTCCTGCTGTTTAGATAACTGTTATCCTCCGATCCTCTTCTTCTGATGGGAACAATATTATTAGCGTCCAGCTTGTAATTGGATGTACTTCCAATTACACTCAAAGTCCTAGTTCTGTTAAAACCCGTGCGCTTTTTCTGCTTCAAGGGATCGGTAGCAGGGCCATAGTATATCTCAGGGGTCGAAAAAGGATCTGTGAATTGATCCATGGAGTTCGTTCTTCGATGACGCTGCTCCGTCGTCGTCTTGGAACTGTCGGTCATGCCTGTGCTAGTCATTGCCGACTTCTCCTGATGATATGGTCTATCCCTGAGATGTAAATATCCTTAATTTCTTCATGGAAAGCTTTCCCAGCGTGTAGGATGATGATTCTCATTGTGTAAAAAAAATATTGAAATCAACTAAAAAATTTTCTAAGTAACAACATTGTTAAGTCACAGGTACTCGACTCTCAAAGGCTATTGGCGATTATCAAGATGGCAGAAGAGATTAAGAACACGTCTACTGAACAGGCGGCCCCAAAACCCCCAACTTCCGCTGTTTTTTCTATGTTTGGTGGCAAGAAAGCCGAGAAAAATGAAGTCGAGAAAACTGAAGACAAGGAGAAAGAAGAGACGACTAACACCGAGGAAAAGAAGGCAGATGAGGAAGCTCCGGAATCACCAGATGTGCACTTTGAGCCTGTCGTGACTCTCGAAAAAGTTGATGTGAAGACGATGGAGGAAGACGAAGATGTTCTTTTTAAAGTGAGGGCGAAGCTCTTTAGATTTGATGGTGAAGCCAAAGAATGGAAAGAGAGGGGAACCGGAGACGTCAAATTTTTGCAAAACAAGGAGACCAAGAAAGTGAGGATTTTGATGAGAAGGGACAAAACTTTAAAGGTTTGTGCCAACCATTTCATTTCCCCCGATTACGTTCTGAAGCCAAACGTCGGTTCTGACAGATCTTGGGTTTATTCTTGTACTGCCGACGTGGCCGAAGGCCCAGCTGAAGCTTTCACATTTGCTATTAGATTTGGTAACAAGGAGAATGCCGACAAGTTCAAGGCTGAATTTGAAAAAGCTCAAGCCTTGAACAAGTGAATATAGAAAAAGGTGATCGCTGTATTTACATATAGGTAGAAAATAAATTCGCATGTGATGAAGATACACGACAATTGCCTTTATTATGCACACGGCTGCGATTAAAGGAGAGTAAGTTAGAGGATTTAGGTCACTTTCTTCTTAACTGCAGCCTGTTCTATGTCTTGTCCGTCTTCTGCATTCAAATCACGGTAAGAGAAGCTCTTGCTGTAGGCAAATTTTAACAAAATCCACGCCATTTTTCGTATGCCAAAATCAGGCCACAGACAATCTAAAAATTCGATGATGACACCTTTTCGGCTTACCTGCCACATGAGAAAATCGCTTAGTCGATAGACACCACTTGTGCGAATTAGTAAATCAACCGGTGGAAGAGTGCCTGTGTATAAATGATTACTGATTGCTTCCTCGTCTACTTGATCGAGATCCATTTCCCCCTCATCAACGCGTTCTATCACTTCTTTAATTGATTTCAAAAGTTCATGTCTCCCAGTATACGGGAAACAGATATTCAAAACAGCCCGGTGATTGTCCTTGGTCAACAACTCGGCTTTTTGAATATCTTTTTGTACATCCAAAGGCAGAAGCGCCTTATCACCTATCACATTAATTTTGATTCCATATTTTTCAGCCATTTCTCCATTTTGAATAACTTGTCTTATCCCATTTCTCGTTAAATTCATTAGCCACTCAATCTCAGTCGGTGTTCTTTTAAAGTTCTCAATTGAAAACGCAAAAACCGTTGCTGTCTTGACGCCTGATTCGTAACACAGCTCTAGCACTCTGCTCATGCTTTGAAAACCCGCGTTATGACCTTCTCTGATCTCTATATGCTGCTTCTTAGCCCATCTTCTATTCCCATCCATTATGAAAGCTACATGTTGCGGAACGCAATCTGAAGCTCGAATGATATGGGCAAAAGCATTCTTAGCAATCTCCAATACACCCAACACGCCCGGGAAACCTGAGCTGTCGATCATCGCCCAGCGCTTGAACTTGTAGCTCGTAAAGGGGCCGTTACTCAAAATTACTTCGAAAAAATTTAGACCCAACAAGTCCATACGTTGCTTCAAACCCTTTGGTGAAGAGAGAGGGAAGATGCTAAGTATAACTAAAGCTAGACAACTTGGATTCACTTCCAAATCGAGGAGATCTAAATCGTCGTTTGCAACAGCCCTCAATGCTGCGGCTCGTCTGGTCACCCCGAAGGCCCTTTTAAACAATCCAGTTTCGTTAGTTTCTAACGAGATGAATACACTAGCCAAGAACATACTTTCATTAGTTGGATCAGGTCATCCAGTTTTAAACAGAGTGACCGGCTATTATTTCGAGGCTGAGGGGAAAAAGGTTCGTCCTTTGCTAGTTCTTCTCCTGTCTCGAGCGTTATCAAAAATTCCAATTGAGGAGCGAAACAGAATTAAAATTGATTTTTCCGACGTTCCAGAAGATCCAGTGTATTCAAAGCTCCCTCACTCATTGTTATTCGAGCATCCAGCTAAGAATTTTTCACCACTTCACATTTTACATGGCATCAAACCGCTCAATCCCTTGACCAAAGGACCGGAACCCCTCACTGAAGGATTTGATAAAGATTCTGGCATATTACCCAAGCAAAGAAGACTAGCTGAAATTGTCGAGATGATTCATACTGCATCTCTACTTCACGATGATGTTATTGATCACTCCGATACAAGAAGAGGCCGTCTCAGTGGGAACATTGCATTTACCAACAAAATGGCAGTATTGGCCGGCGATTTTTTGCTGGGAAGAGCCACTGTATCAATTTCAAGGCTGCGTAACCCGGAAGTTGTGGAATTGATTTCAAACAGCATTGCTAATCTGGTAGAGGGTGAGTTCATGCAATTGAAAAATACTGCCATCGATAATGATCTGTCCCAGGTTCTCGACGGCAGTAATTATAAAAATTTACCTTCCAGTAGTATGGAAGTCCCCGGACATGATTTCAAGGTACCCAATTCAAGTGAAAGACATGCAGGATCACATTCTCAAATGATTGAAACGTCATTCGAGTATTACCTTCACAAAACATACCTTAAGACAGCTTCTTTAATCTCAAAATCATGTCGGTCGGCAGCAATTCTCGCGGGAGCCCAAGACCCAGTAGTGGAAATGTGCTACAATTTTGGTAAAAACCTGGGCATCTGTTTTCAATTGGTCGATGACATGCTTGATTTCACCGTGTCCGCAAAAGACCTCGGTAAGCCGGCAGGTGCAGATTTGCAACTTGGACTAGCTACTGCCCCTGTATTATATTCTTGGAAAGCTGATCCCTCTCTGGGTCCTCTCATTCAACGAGGGTTTTCGCAGCCTGGCGATATAGAGCGCACTCTCGAGGCTGTTGCCAAATATGAAGGTGTGGAGAAAACTCGCGAGCTAGCTCACGACTACAGAGACAGAGCTCTCAAAAATTTACGTGAAGCTTTACCAGACTCTGATGCTAGGTCTGCTCTGGAACTTCTTACCAACAGCATTTTAACGAGAAGGAAATGAGAAAATTTTACAGTAACTTGTCTATAGAACCCGCACATTAAAGAGAGTATTAATTACTTGGTATGTGATAGCGCCTTTTCGCGCACCTACGAAGCATAAAATTATCCGCACAAAACCTGCGTAAAGAGGATGGACATCAATGATGGATTCATAAAATCTCATCTGCATAAAATAGTCGAGTTAAACGTTTGTTGTAAACCTTTATGTACAAATTCGTGTGAGTTGCAATCGTGGCGCATGCCGCCTAATCTCAGTTAGGGGAAACGGTCACGATTTCTTTTAGGCACAAACCAATTGTGTCTCATCTCATTTGATGTTAAAAACATCGGGTCAATAGCTGACGAAATTATATCAAAAAACTTGCTCGGTCTATGGCTGAATTTTTTGAGTAACGAATACGTTCAGCAAATGACAGTATCTGCCTCGCTGGCGTCGAAGAAGTTTTGACGTGATATAGCCCTAGACTCAAATGAACAGAGATTTTGTAAGAAGGTTACTATGAGTCTTAGTGTAACTGGTTGATTGCCTTGAGTTCGGATTTGAGTGTACAATTATATGCCACCGTCGACCTACAAGTTCAAGTTCGGAGAGGTAACAAAACTGGCTTTTATGCTGGCGAATGTAGGCCTATGCCCCATTAAATATTATTTCTTCTGACAAACATCTTGATGGCCGTTACTTTGACGTTATTCTCAAGCAGGTGGAAGAAACGTTGCGAACAAGATGGTTTGTAATGGCACCCAAAATATGAGCCATAGAAAATAAAACTTGACGAGCATATCATCCCCATTGACTTTGACACTCTCCTTTTTCGACTTGTTCATTCTATCTGCCAAATACCACACATGAAGGGGTAAAAAGTTTCCAATCCGATTAACTATCTGGACGTGAGCGAAAAAGATCACTCCGGCCAGAAATGCCCAAGTTATCATGATGAGAGGTTTCAGATTTCGGCACGGATATTGATGTGAGAAGTAAATTGTCGAGTACCAAAGAACCACCACGTTTGGAAGTGCAATCAAAAAATTGGGGATGTTGGCCAGCGTCCAATACTTCAAAAAGCCATTGTTCCAGTAGCGGCTTTGGATAAATGAGTAAAAATTAATCATTGGAATGGGCAATTTGGCCCCTAGAGAGAAACAGTATTCACCTCGCTGGGGACAGAAATCTTGAAAAGGAACATAGCTACGGTGATAGAGATAAGCCCCTAGCATAGAAAACCCGCTGACGAGTGGAAACATCAGTGTCTTAGCGTATTTACCAGATTTTGCCAACCAAAGAAGGTCCCAGATGTAATAAAGTCCCAATAGTACGCAATTTGACCGATTGATAGAGGCAAGCGAAAAGGCGACGCATGACACAATCGAGTACAGCGGTAATCTGGTCCACATGCATTCGAATCTGCCCAAAGCGTCTGTCTTGATACTGAGTTCACGTGCCAGTATACCTAGAAATGTCAGTACAGTTGACAAGGGCTCTGAATATGGACCTGTCGAGAACCCTGTGGCCGATGACAAGACAAAGATCAAAGCACTCTTTTCCGCCAGGGCTCGAAGCTGATGGGTCCTCAGTGTGTTCTTTTTAAAAGTTTGTAAAGTTAAACCATAAAGTAATAAAGTCGAAATGTAATTTAGAGCCAACTCTGACGCAACTGCGATCTTTAAGACGTTGTAAAGTTCGAAATTCCCACGACATAGCCAACGCACAAACCTTGGCCATTCCATGGAAAACGCATATTCATGCTCAAACTCTTGTTTACCCGTAACCATTGCTTTCAAATAGAAAACGCCATCCCATGCCATTAACTTGTTCCAGAACTGTTTATTGATCAAGGAGTCATTCTTCGCACCCAATTGCTCAATGAAAAGGCTTGTCGATGTGTCAAAAGCCCTCAATGGACTGAAGAATATCAGGCCATACTGAATCACCTTTACTATGAAGAAGACGGTTGTTATTCTGCGGAAAGCCATGCCGTTGCGAACTTTCTTTCCGTACAGGCATATTTTTATATTAAAAGAATATGTCAGCCTACAATATTCTCTACAACGATGAGCAACCACCAGGGGTTTTAGAAGCAGAAAGCTAAAAGAACAATAAAGCCTTAGTGAATTTCAAGAACCTCGCTTTGAGATGCTTATTTACCGTGAAGCCAGTTTGAAGTACGTGGAGCCGACACGGACTCGTCTCATCCCAAGAGCTTCGTCGTCGTCGTCCGACACCGATGAGCCCTTTTGTTTGGGTTACGATTGTAGTGGAAGCGAATGGATATGGGCGCGATGGGTTCTATTTGTGCTGTTCATTCTTGCTATCGCCGGTTTGGCCTTCTCAGCCATCAGGATCAATTCACGACGCAGCAGAGCCGGACAAAGGCTTATACCGGGCACTGCGTGGTTTACGCCACCAAGTTATCGTCAGTCTGAAAGACAGTACAATAGAGGAACGAGGCAGGAGTACGTGCCACCCTATAGTGAGACCGCCAATGAAAACGATTTGGGGTATTACGATAATGAGGGAGTTTTCCACGTAAACTCCAAGGCCGAGATGCTTCCGCCACCCCCCTTAACTACTGCAGTTTCCGACACGTCTTCGGGCGAAGTACGACAGCCGCAGCCCGCTGTAGTGCGGGACGATGCAAGTGCAGGTGCAGAGTCGTTCAACTTCACCAGAGACTTCAGGCGGTACTACGACGGATTCACCGCTACAATGCCCTCACCGTTGTTTGGCAGAGGTCATACCCATACGGAGGAGGAAAGGGCTGCGGGCGAGCATACGAACGCTGGGGATCACGATCGCGCAACGGCTCCAGATCCAAATGATGCCCACGGTTCTCTGAGGACCGAAAGTATCGAGTTACAAGGATATCCTAGCTTCCCGCAAAGGTCACAACGTGCCAACCACAGATGATTGCCAGTGGAAACAGTTAAGGGAGCGGAATCATCAACCGCTGGGTGGGGGTCAGCTGTTGTGAGGCAGCTTGTGTCCAAAACGATGATGGTCATCGATATCTTCCCAAGCAACACCACACACTCAAACATTGACACATAGCCTTTTAAGTCACCATTATAAACTCAAGACATCTAATAGAGTCCAAATTTGGACTTGGAAATGGGTTTACGTAGTTCTGGGCTATGTCCATCTTCAAATATTATGCAATATCACGTGTTTTAGTTCATTCAGTGAGGGAGCCATCTGATATAAAAATTTTAAAATGAAGAAACCTCGACCCCTGTTCCTTGGATTCTTGTCTTAGCTGTTACTCAGATCAATTGACCTTTCATCAACTTCACAATGACCTATACGACTAGACAAATTGGTGCCAAGAACTCTTTGGACTACAAGGTTTTCATCGAAAAGGACGGGAAGCCAATTTCTGCGTTCCACGATATTCCCCTTTACGCAGATGAAGAAAACCAAATCTTGAACATGGTTGTTGAGATTCCTCGTTGGACCAATGCCAAGCTAGAGATCACCAAGGAAGAGCCTTTGAACCCAATTATCCAGGACACCAAGAAGGGTAAGCTTAGATTTGTGAGAAACTGTTTCCCACACCACGGGTATATCCACAACTACGGTGCTTTTCCACAGACATGGGAAGATCCCAACTCGATCCACCCAGAAACTAAGGCTGCTGGTGACAACGATCCTTTGGACGTTTTGGAGATTGGTGAGACTATTGGTTACACCGGTCAAGTTAAGCAAGTGAAGGCCTTGGGTGTCATGGCACTTCTCGACGAAGGTGAAACCGACTGGAAGATTATTGCCATCGACGTCAACGATCCCTTGGCTCCCAAGCTGAACGACATCGAAGATGTTGAGAAATACTTTCCAGGCTTGTTAAGGGCTACCAACGAATGGTTCAGAATTTACAAAATTCCGGACGGGAAGCCTGAAAACCAATTTGCTTTCTCTGGTGAAGCCAAAAATAGAAAATACGCATTGGACGTGATCAGAGAATGCAGGGAAGCTTGGGAAAAATTGATCAAGGGCGAAGCTGCTGACTCCAAGAAGATTGATTTGACTAACACGACTTTGAGCGGAACTCCATCTTACTCCGCGTCCGCTGCCGCCCAAGTTCCACAAGCCGACAAGAAGCCAGACGAGCCAATTGACAAGTCCATTGACAAGTGGTTCTTCATCTCTGGTTCCGCCTGAGGTTATTTTTCCAGCTCAGCTTTCTAATTGTTCATAAGCTATCTAACTAAATCCGCTTTAGCGTTGCGAATAAATTTTGTTATCTTTAAGTTGTCTTTGCGACCGTCAGTCTCAACACCGCCGCTGACATCTATACCAATGACGCCTGGCAATTCCACCGCTTTATGGACGTTTTCAGGGTTCAGCCCGCCCGCCAGAAGAAACTTTGCACGGGATTTTCGGCTCCAACTGGCAATTTCTTCCCAATCCAAAATTTCACCGGTACCTCCTGCTTCTGAATCAAACAATGGAATACAAGTTTCTGACATAGTAGCCACATTAGAGAGCTCTTCCACCTCAGTACAATCTTTTGGGAAAATAAATCTTTTAATAATAAGGCAATCCCGCACTTTTTCTCTATACTCTTTCCAATTTTCACTGCCATGCAATTGTACTATATCGAGCTTATACTCGTCCTTCATAGCTAAAACCTCTTCTACCTGTTGATTGCGGAAAACCCCAACTAGGAAAGGTCCCTCAACATCTTTTTGGGGGCTCTCCTTTTGGCGCTGCTCGCGACGTCTCTCGACTAAATCAGATATCTTTTTGGCAGTGTTTGGTTCAATCGTGCGTTTCCGGTTAGGTACACATATCACTCCCAGGAAAGTGGCACCCTCATTGATAGCCACTTCAGCAGCTTCTACTGTTTGTATACCACAAATCTTGATAATAAAATCCTGGCTAAGTTGAAGCATGTTCACTTACCTGCTGTACTTAAAGGCGGAAAGCTGATTCATTAAAGATGTCAAAATCGAAAAACTTGTTCTATAGTTTAGAAAGACTTTCAACAGGAAAGAACACAACGTATGCGTTGTCGCATGTGTTGTCAGCACTAGAGGATGATTGCGTTGAAGTCGACTATCATGTTAAGATAAGCTTACTTTTCCGTTTTCGAGACATCTCTGGCGCTAATCTGTCGCAGTGTCCGACGATTAAGGCCAGAGGAGAAGCACAAACAGATTTATCAAACCTGAGTTCGAGAAAGTGAGCTCGTGAAACTGAATACTGTTTTGCTCGCTGAGTATGACAGGTAATATTTGCGATATTGGTGACTGCGTCACATTTGAGATTGCAAGTCAACGCTCTACAACGAGCGATACGCAAAAAAACGCCAGAAACGGTGAATTTACAAGACTATGCGACCATTTTTTGAAAACGGAAAACAGCGAGTCGGGTCCAAAAATCTATTTCGAATTCTTGAAGAAACGATTCGATTTAGGGTTACGGCGTGGCGGAGTATTTGACAGCTCAAACTATTGCATCGATGACGACTACGAAGTTGAAGCCAGTGGGAGTCAAGACTCTGACAGCGAGTCCGAAGAAACGTGCTCCGGAGACATTGCATACCGATCCCCAACATGTGAGAAGCCTCATAGTGCTTCTGAGGTGCGAGACAGGTTGGAAAGTTTGACGAATGGAAGCGACGGATCATCGTCCGCTGAGACTTTTCGTTCGGATTATCGCAGAAATGGGAGTAGCTCAGAGGTAACGGGGCAAATTGGAAAAATCTTTAAGCTCTGTGGATTGCCCCGTGAAGTTGCGAGCCAAATGGATCTCAAATTTGATCTTGCCGTTTCTGTATGTGCTTTAAAGGAATTGACAAGAGTTCGAAACGCACAAGCGCTTAGCACGCAGCGCGAGATTGCGTTTCTGAGAAATTTAGTTCGGGATATCAAGAGGGATTGGAGTGACAATAGTCAAGAACTGGAACGAACGCATGCAGCTTTGAAATCGGCACACGAAGTATCTTTGCAACTGCGGAAACGAGTCGATGTTCTTGAAGAGGAGCTCTTGACCCGTGAAGCCGACGCAAAACTCATAGAGGCTCGTGAACAGCGGTTAAGAGATATTGTTGAGACCAGTTTAAAGCTAAGATGGGAAGTTAACACAATGCGACAAAAAATGGCAGAGGCCAGTGAGCAAGGAAATTCAGCCCTTTTACATAACTACAACGTGGTGAGACTACAGGAAGAGAACGAGGAACTCTTAGCCAAATTGGATTCGACGCAAAGCCAGGTTTCGGAGATGAAATGTACACTTCGAGCGCTTCGAAGTCATGAGAAAGCTGCCAAGTCGCTGGCAGACTTGTGTCATGAAAAAGATGCTCAAATCGACATCTTGGAAGAGAGTCTCGAGGGGAACAGATCCATCGTGCAAAGCGTTAGCGTTTTAAAGGCGGAGCTATCGACTTTCCGCGAACGTCTCCAGGGACTCTTAGACACGAATGCAACGCTTATGCGTGAGAACGAACAACTGTCAAAAGAACGCAGCAGCAGCGATTTTTTGTTGCATCGTTTGTCGACGCTGGAGCAACGATGCGTCGCAGCCCAAAAGAATTCAAGACATTACTACGATCGCTGCCAACTGTTAGAAGGACTTGAGCAAGCGCACGAGCGACACGTGGTAGAATTGCAAACGGAACATGACGCCCAGCAGTCGCAACAACGGGCCGTCAATGAGCAACTACGGTTGGAGTGTAAAACACTTCGAGACACTGTCAAATTCTACAAATGGAGACTAAACAGCGTCCAAGAGGACCCCACTTCAGGCCGCAAGAGCCGGCACGAGCGACTCAAGGAAGCGTTTACGAACTCCACGTTGTTCCAACGCAGCAAAAGCGCGAGTCGCGGCAGTCTGAGTGCTGGATCGTCGCCATTGCTGTTGCTGGCCACCTCGCACAGTGATCAAAATCTCTCGCATAAAACCTAATGTACACGTTAAAACTAACTACACACCATAAAAACGATGAGTTTACTAAAACTTTCCCTATTTATCTTGATAATTTTGGCCAGAAAACGTACCAGAATCAAGCCCGCTCGCCTCTCAGTCTTCTCGCCAGCTTAATATCCTTCTTTTGGATAGTGACACGCTTGGCATGGATCGCAGCCAAGTTGGTGTCTTCGAACAACGAAACTAGGTAAGCTTCGACGGATTCTTGGAGAGCACCGATAGCGGAGGATTGGAATCTCAAATCGGTCTTGAAGTCCTGAGCGATTTCACGGACAAGTCTCTGGAAAGGAAGCTTTCTGATCAGCAACTCTGTGGATTTTTGAAATCTTCTAATTTCTCTCAAGGCAACGGTACCCGGCTTGTATCTGTGAGGTTTCTTGACACCACCGGTGGATGGCGCGGACTTTCTGGCCGCCTTGGACGCCAGTTGCTTTCTTGGGGCTTTACCACCCGTGGACTTTCTTGCAGTTTGCTTTGTTCTAGCCATGTTTGCTCTAGGAGGGTATTAACTAGTTTACGGGGTAGGAAAGTATTAAGCACAAGACTAAGAAGCTCTCATCAAATGCCTGCCTTTTTATACCTCGCAAGAAAAACTTTTGCGGTCAACGCCACCCACCATAATAAATCCCCCTGTTCTGGTTCTTTCAACTTCGTGCACCGCTGCGCAACATAGTTGCGCTGCGAAAAACTGGGCACATGGACCCGAACATGTGAGTCTGGCCCATATGCTTCGCGCACATCCACTTAAACCTGCGAACAATCTGGTCCTGCCGTTCAGATTGATCGGCTACTGAAAATTTCCCGTTTCGGGTCTTCATCGTCGTTCTCAAATGTTCGCGCACAAGGCGCGAACTCTTCGGTCCGACAAAACAAATACCGTTTGCAGCGCAAGTTTGTGGTGCAAACGGGGGCCGTCTTAGTATGGAGTTTTTCTGATCGGAAGACGAGCCAGGGCGTGAAAGTGGTCGGTGGCAAAACTTGCATATAAGAAGAGAACAATTGGGGGGATGCACAGTAAATAAGAGTTATATTTTCTCTAACTACAAACAACACAACAGCATACAAAATGTCCGGCAGAGGAAAAGGTGGTAAAGGTTTAGGTAAAGGTGGTGCCAAGCGTCACAGAAAGATCTTGAGAGACAACATCCAAGGTATTACAAAACCTGCTATCAGAAGACTGGCCAGAAGAGGCGGTGTCAAGCGTATTTCCGGACTTATCTACGAGGAAGTGAGAGCAGTGCTCAAATCTTTTCTAGAATCCGTCATTAGAGACGCAGTCACTTACACAGAACACGCTAAGAGAAAGACGGTGACGTCGCTCGACGTTGTTTACGCGTTGAAGAGACAAGGCAGAACTTTGTACGGTTTCGGTGGCTAATTTTCTGCGGTTTATACGATACGATATAGTTTGTACATTAATAGTAACAATTGGTTCTGGGCTGTAAAAATGATGGGTAGAGCACGTGATAAAATGCTCTGATGTTATGAGCTGTTTCTCTTGTTTTGGTCGTCACGGAATGTTGTGTTAGTTGGTGTAGATATGAAATTGTGCATGGTATATGGGTGACCACGAAAGACATAAATACAACTCGTAAGTAGAGACTATACGTGCTGAGTGGTGATATTCTGTGCGACTATTGTTAGTGTGCACTTGGAGAGTTTTGTGTGGTAGTTTGCGTCTTAGCCAGTGATACTGGCGCTTGCGCCAGTGCTGCTGACGTAAGCACAATGGCCGATGCAGGCACGCGGACAAACAAGAAGAAGAAACGAGATACGGAAGAGAAAGCATTGCTTTTTCGATCGTTGGGGGCAGGTGCCAACGGTGAGTAGCGGAGTAAGTCGTCGTACGAAGAGTGCGTAGTTCCTAAGTAGTTCACTACTGGCGTGCGTAGAAAGCCCCCTCCTTCACAAGACCAGGTCTGGGCAGAACTACATAGTGAGATTAGGGTCTGTCACAGAGGAGGCAAATCTGTAGCGCGCTACTTACGTACGAAACGATAAGTCGTCGTATCAAACTATGTGCAACTTGGTCACGCACGACGGTTGAAAAAGAAAAAGGACAAGTCACGTGACTGTGCCATTTCCGCCCTTCTCCTTCCAGCCCCTCCTGCCGTACACAATGCGCAAAAAGAAACCCGCAGACGTCGATTTCTCTTCCTCACGTTTCCCACTATCTCTGAAGAACCGGAAGGGAAACAGGATCGTTTCTCCGGTTGCCACTTCTCGTTCACAACCGTCAATCTACAAAGGCCTCAGCACACACGACTGACAAGGTCAACTCGGACAACTATAGCAAGGCGCAGATTCCATCACCACCAGCAAGCGCTAGACCAGGTGTGGCAGGAATTCCCGGAGCCACCCGTTTCTCGAGAAGAGTTAATTTCATTTTGCAAATGGACCAGACAAGAACGCAAACGAACACGCCGCCTGCAGAGGCCGTTGGTTTGCACCAGGAGACCCGCAAAGCATCATTGGCCAGCGGCGAACCGGCTCGGATGCCCAGTGCGCAGGAATCGGGGGTATGCACCGCTGGCGCGCCTGCGCCCGCGAATGTGAGCATGCACGGCGTCGCAGCGGCGACTGTTCTGGGCGAGACACGCAGCAGTGTTCACCAGACGCAGCCCACATTGCCTGCACTGCCCGCTGGCGCGACCAGTGCGAGCTGCGGCACGGTAGCGACTTCACCCGAGTCCTGCGGCGAGCCCATGTTCTGCACAGCGCTTGAGCGCGGCTCTGGCGAACTCTTCAAACAGTTTGACGCCAAGACAGGCCAGTTTCTCGCAAGGCCCGCTGCTGACAACAGTGGTAGTGGTAGCGGTAGCAGCAGCTCAGGATCGGAGGGATTTGTCGAATCGGCTGAAGCGCCCGTGATGCGGGCCGCAATACGGGCCGCTCCACTGCCGTCACCAGATCCGATGGCTAAGGGCGTTTACCAAACTCTAGCGTCGCTAAAAGCGGCGGCCGTTAAAAACAACAAGACTCGATCTCACTCGGTCCCCTCAATACTGCACTCGTCTCTGCGCAAAATCGGCATCTCTACTTCGTGCGGGCTCATGTCGCCACAGCGTGAGGAGGACTTGCCTGATCACGAGCAACAGCAGCAAGAGCAGACGCAGGAACCAGGAAACCAGAGCGCACAACAGGACGAGCAACAGCACGTTAAGCAAGACACAGTGCACGAACCATCAGATCTACAGGTCCAGCCGCAGGCGCAACTGCCAATACACCAACAACATTTGCAACACATGACCCACCACTTCAACCATGGCGTTAAGAAAAAACAAAGGCACAGGAACGCTTCTGCGCTTCGCCATGCGCTTTTAACGAATCAGCGGCTGCCCATCCGCGACCACACCCACTTAGCACTTGAGGACAGAATAAAATACATCAAGCTTCATCCGGGGCCCATGCCATTACCCCCTATAAATTTGCAATGCTTAAAAGAAATCGATTTGCAGGAAATCGTTAAGAATCCACAGCTACGGCACGATATCATTTTCGATCCTTTGCTGCAATTTAGACCCAACTTGGACGGTGAAAGGGGGCTCAAGAAAAGACAAGTGGCAGACAAATACTGGGCCGACGTTGAAAACGAAATTCACGTCTACACTACGCGGCCCGATGTTTTCGATTACAACCATACCAGACTTGTGCCTCTTTTCAACAGTTTGAAGGAAGTTTTGACCACGATTGTACCCCAGAAGGAGGTGCACGCAGTGCAAAGTGTCCTGGACACAGAACTTCTTGTGCAAGAGCTTTTAAGGGGCTCGCTCAAACTTTCAAATTTTTCAGAATGGCTTGCTCAGCTTTTCAAACATCATTGCGCTCCGATGAGAGACCCTTGGGTCGACAAAATGAATTTAAAATTCAAAGAATCAGAAGAGGAAAAATCCGTTTGCAAATTGGTCGATGGGTTGAGACTCGTGTTCCAGATTTTAGAAGCTATGAAGCTGGATATTGCCAATCATCAGATAAGAATTTTGAGACCCGCGCTCTTGAGTAACGCTGTCGAATTTGAAAAGCAGTATTTCCAATCTTTGATGTCTTCAAACCGCGTGAACTTGAAATCTTCGTTCAAATGGTTCAATGATAAATTTGCAGAACAAAGTTCCAGTGACAAAAAGACTCTTTTGAGAGCTCCGGAGCTTTATCGATTGTGCATTAGGAGCATCATCAGCTTACTGTCGTGCCGGAGAATGGTCAGAGAGTACCCAACGTCGCTGTCGTTTGACCATGCGCGTCTCATCCTACTGCGTGCAGATATACGACAGATCGTGTGCTTGTTAGTTTGCAAGCTGTTGTTTAAACAGTTGATCGCCAACGATGTTTCCATGGACAAACGTACCAAGGATTACGTGTTAAACTCGTATCCGGGCAAGAAACTCAAGCAAGAAATTGTAAGCATTATCACTGACGAACACGGTAACTGTCGGTGGACGAAAAACACCATGTCAATTGCCATACATCTATGCAAAACCATCAGGGATCTCAAAACCCAGTGCATTTTAGAAAACACGCCAAACACTGGCACATCTGCACAGTTAACAGACACTTCACCGCTAAACACGGCACAAATCGATTTTGCCAAATCATGGCTATCCAAACAAACCCAACCCTTAAGTGAAGTTTATGGAGTTTTGGAAAACCGCGTTTTCAAATCTTTAGAAAACTCCATATTTTCAAGGTCAGGCTGCACCCAAGACGGAACCATCAAGCAAGACTTCATACACTTATGCAGCACCACTCCATCCGGTGCATCTGTCACCTCCAGCACACCCAGCACGCTCGCTGGGAACGTCAACACCACTTCAAAGCTAGCATCCTCTAACGCCTCGTTCAAGGACTCTCCCGAACAAAAGCTGCCTTCAGCTCCACAAACCATTGGCCAAACGTCGCCGTTCATGGACGTGGAAGAATTTGAAAGCTTGTTCTGTCATCTCTATACCCTGGTTAATTTTCATTGGTCGGTTTTCGGTTGTCTTTATATGGACTCTCTGCACGACGCAGTTTCCGGAGTAAACTAAACTCCATCTCGTCAATTCATTTTTAATAGCCATATTCAAAAATAATTTAAAGGTATTACTAATATCACTAGGATTTTATTGTCAGTTCACATTATGGTTGGATCTCTTTTGGATATAGAGGCCTATCGAAGCTCTTGATGCCGATGGACCCTGTCGCATTGGCCGGGTAACTGATGCGTTTCGATTTTGGCTCGAGAAACCAACACGAATTAAAATATCAACTAAATCTATCAAGGCAAGACAAAGACAATTGAAGGAAGATTAGGGACTCTTGGGATTAAGAAGCCTGGTTTTTATACAGCAAAACGTTCCCTTACCTTGAAATTGGATTTTAGGGGCTTTTCCGGCGGTTTTTTGCAATCTTTTGAAGGATAATAGCTTTTCTAAACATTGAACTGTTTCGAAAGGGCGCCTTGGCAGAAGACAGAGCACAGAAAGCTAAAAACATGCATCCACATGGCTATAAGGTATCTCCACTGGATGGTATCGAGCTGCGAGGACAACGGGGTCAAAATGGCGACGGTAATGGTGCTATAGAGAACAATGAAGACGAATTGTTGACGCGTCAGAGGAACGTGAGCGTGTCGTCGTTGGATTCGATTAAAACGGCCGAACGGCTGTTGGACAGGCTAGATCTGTCTGCCGAGGATGAAAAACTGTTGCAACAGGCGCTAGAAGAGGAAAGATTGCGGGGAGGGATCAGAAAACACAGTATTAAGCGTGTCGTGTGCTTGCCCGCATCCGGTTTCCCATCGCTTCGAGCCGACCCACACTCGGGATCCAGTTTCCCGAATTACAAGAGTGCATCTGCCATAAATGTGGTAACGCAATTGGCCGACGGTCAAGTTGTTGGAAGCTCGAAAGTTGGAGATGCGGAATTGCATTACCCTCTTTCGAGATACTCGTACTTAGTCGAGGAGGAAAGTGAGGAAGAGGATGAAGAGACTTTTGATCATCTGGTTGACATCGAGCAATTTCGCAGAATAGATCCAAATTTTAATCATGCCACCGTGGCTTCTCATCCAATGGTGAACAATCTCTGTTATACTCCTATCAACAAAAAATCCGGTTCGCAGATTTCATTTCACACTCCCAAGGGCAGTGTCTCATCCATTGAGACCAGGTATCTGATCAAACCGGGTACCCAATCTTCGGAGGAAAGTGTGATATCTAGGGTTCAGGATCGTGCGGTTCACTCAGAAGTGCCCAGTCCTGTGGACCAATTTCAAACTCCGAAAAAATCTGCCTCGAGTTCATCACTGGGAGAGGGTCCACCCACGACCCCGTCGGGGCACTCCGCGTCCCACAAATCACATTGGAAACAGAGCTCATTCTCTTTAAAGAAACTGTTCAAGTCACCGAAAAAGGACTCAAAGACCAGTCTCACGAAAACGGCGACCACGACACCGGTGACTGTCCCATCAACACCGACTTTTTCGTTCCCTGCGCGTCACCGAAACTCGGATTCGAAGTCTTCGCCTCAACGTAGGCCTTTCTTATGGCGTGAAACCAAGCATAAACAATTCATAGCCAGCAAAGATGGTCCACCAAAGTTGTCGCATGTGAGAGCACTTTCAGACAGCAACGTCGGCACCCATTCAGCGCCACACACCTCTAAAAATGTGTCTGCACTTCCAGTATATTCTTCTGGAGAACGACATGTGGTCAGAGGTTCACCGTTGGCACTGAAAACTTTCAATAAAAACGATTTGAAGACTAACACACCTTTTATACAAGACGCTGCAATAAACAGTGCCATTGAACTCATGAAACGTGGCAATCTGAAAGAATCGGCCGGTCAGCTCAAGACCCTGTGCGATGCAGGAAATCCAACGGGTTACTTGTTATACGGCCTGGCGCTACGACAAGGATCGGGCGTGACACGAAACCTCCAGTCGTCGTTCCTTTGTCTTCAAAGGGCAGCTGGCGTGGGAAACGAAGACATCGACGTCTTCGGTTCCGATTTCAGTCCTCTTCAATTAACGAACACACCTCGCATTCCGCCTGAACCACTTGCGCCTGCTCTTTACGAATGCGGCATAAGCTATCTGAAAGGCCTGGGTGTCTCCCGCGATGAAGTCAAGGGACTGAAGTACTTGGAAAAAGCTGCGTCTTTGGGACACGTCGATTCCATGTGTCTGAGTGGGACTATTTGGTCAAAAAAATCTGCCAGCAGGAAACGAGACATCGCCAGGGCCGCTGCATGGTTTCGTCTCGCAGATAGCCGAGGCGCTACGTTAATCGGAGCGGAATGGATTTACAAGGACAAATACACCAAATATAATTCGACCAAATAATGAATATCAATGTTAATGCTTATACAGTTGATGTTGGTGGTCTCATTACATTTACCCGGCGTTGATGATAATTGATATTAGGGTCTTTTCACACGGAACAACAAGGTAATAGTAGTACGTTCCCGTTGGTAAAATTACGCGAAACGCGATTGAACAAGCAAACAAGAACAGTGGATAAGCCAATTGAAGGCTTGTTTGGTATTAATAGCTGGGGTCAGTTTGAAACCTGGCTTGAATTTGGTCATGAAAGTATGGTTAATTTTGTCGAGTTGAAGGCCTTTTCAGAAGATAAATGAGGCTTTTCGAAAAAAGGTGCTTCCGTAAGTTTAACTGACTAACGCATATATCAGTTCATCGATGAACTGGATTTGGAGCTGGTGAATCAGACACTCAATTTTGAAACGAGTGATTGCTCGGTGGCGGGTGGATGCGATGTTTTCACGACGAAAGCAGTCGCTTCAGATAAGAAACTTTACAAGACGATTGACCGGCATTTGGACTCACTTTTGCAAGAGAATGAAAGTTTCAACAACGCTGTACAGCAGCAAATGGCTCTTGAAAAGAATAGCAACGGGTTTAACTCTCCACAAGAGGCCAAATCCGACATACATTCGCTTTACAGCACACGGGGAGAATCAGGTTCTCCTACATCGTTTTGGGAGCAGAAAAGACGTATGTCGATCAGTGAAAACGTCAATGGCAATAGTACACCAGGAGGAGGTTTCAAATCGCACAAATTGAATGATCAGAATATCAAGGAACTGGTCAGCTCAGAGTCCGGTTATCTCAGCTCATCATCTTCGGACTCGAATTCTAGGAATAATCACGGGAAAGTGAGGAGAACGAGTAGCACGAGCAGTGTTAATATGATGTCTGGGGCCCTCAGAAGGGGTTCTGCGACTTTCAAAGAACAGGTAACGATAGGACCCTTTGGACCTATCAATGAAACCGCAAGTAGGAGAACTTTTGCGTATCTAATAGCCATTCTTAATGCGTCTCATCCGGATCATGATTTTTCATCCTTAGAACCTACGGACTTCGTAAGGTGTTCCATGAAAGCTTTAATATCAAAGCTTGAAAACACTCTAATATCTTTTGGGAAGCAGCCTCAAGAATGGATATGGGAAATCATCAACTCTCACATGGATGTTGGGGATTGCATGATTTACCAGTACAAACCTTTCAAATCGTTTTTAGACGATGAACCAGGACATCTTTGGAGCCTTATGTGGTTTCTTTTCAATAAGAAGCGAAAAAGAGTCGCCTATTTGTACTTGAATGTATCCCGGCTCAAACACTCTTCTTCGACCGGCACATCAGAGAATGCGATAATCGAAGAGGATGAAGAGAAAGGTGAACCTATTCAAAGGCCTAGGCGAAAACTAACAATAGATCATGAAAGCAATGTCTTCGAAGGAGAATACGATTTTACCTGTAATTCCGCAGATGAAAATGCCATTGAAGACGACGATATTCCCATGACCCCAAGTAATTAAACCTTTGTCGTTCTTCCAAACGCTTTCCATTTTCCTACTGCTCGAAATATGCCGTAAGGATTTAGCCAACTATTTAGACCTAGGAAGAAATGCTATCGTTAAATACCAACCACGACGAGAAGCGTGAGTGTAATATTAATAATTAATCGATGTGGTCTTGGACTGGTTCAATGCCTTTATCGCAGATGTAGAATTCCAACTGCGTTTGTTTGCTCGCAGGAGCGAATACCAGTTTCATAGTTCTCCGCGCTTGCCAAAAGGAATCACTATCTGTGAGTTTGTTAAGGTCCAATTCACCTTTACGCAATAATGCAGATGGTTTGTAAGTCTTGGTTAATAAGATTCTGGTCGATACATGATTGGCCCAGGTAAGACCTAAATTTGGCACTTGAGTATCCAGTTTTCGTTTTTTCCCAGTCTTCAGGGTACCGAATTGTCTGGTGCAACCGCCATCAAGGCTTTGAGTTCTAAGTTCATCCTTGCCAGGATCCATAGCATGATCTCTGGGACGATTTTCTAGTTGGGAACTCATTATGCGTCTGGCAACAAAATTGTAATCTTCATCATCAGAAAGTATACTTTCGGTTGTAGGGTGACCCGTATTGCTACCTTTAACTTCCAAACCTGCCAACCTATGCCTGTAGAAAATACTGGAATCCTTCCAACCAACGATCCAGCCGATTTGATGATCATAATCCATGATAGACTGTTTAACACCGCTTTGTAGCACAGTTTTATCTAATGCCAATTTATCTGCTACTTGATTTGCGACTACCACTGCAATTCCATGACTTGTAGCCAATTGAAGCAAATTTTGAGCCGTTTTGTCGACATAGGATCTGTTTCCCTGTGAATCTTTAAAAGTCTTGCTCTCCAATTCGGCTCTTACATGGTGAGATATCGAATCTATCACGACAAGTTTAATAGTTCTGTCTCTTTCGAGCAAGATCGGCAATTGAACAGTAAGAATATGTTCTTGATTGGAAAGGTCATGACACGCCACTGTAAAGATGTTGTTCTGGGATACATGGGCCCCCTTTTCCGCATATTTCTGCTTAATCATTTCATCGATTCTCTTAGTAGGCAAATCTCCTTCTGTAGTAATGAAAACACATTTCCCGTCAAGACCACCTTCTGACACGGGGCATTGAACACTCAATGACAATTGCATCAACAATTGAGATTTGCCCGTCGAGCTTTTTCCAAATATCTCGGTAATCTCATGCGTTTTAATACCACCACCAAGCATCTCATCCATAACATCAACGCCAGTTGTGAAAACGGACGGCGGAATCACTTGGGATACTTCGACAATCGGATGCACTTCAAATACTTGGTTCTGAAGTTTCTTTCGTAATGCGTCTTGGAAACAAGCTATTTCATTGATAGATCGTGGTATAAGTAGTGCCAATTCCGATGCATTCAACGTTAGGAAGTCGACTACACTGACACTGGATTTCCTGGCCGCTTCTAATAATGAACCAAACAGTTCTGAAAACGTTAGGGAACTGGTTTTCAGCTCATCATAGAGATCCATAAATGTTCGGGAAGTCCAGTTGTTTGTCGATGTTAGAAGATCAAAAGTTGAAATGAAATTTTATCAACTTCTGTAAGCGATGAGCCTTGTCATAAGGAATAAGAACAATTGAGATTAGATATTTAGAAATTTGGATATATAACTGCTTACAGCCTTTCAGGTAGTCCACCAATTGTGATGGTCTTAAGTACGGTATAGTCTTCGATACCATGCAATGAACCCTCTCTTCCAAACCCGGATTCTTTGACACCACCAAATGGGATACTAGCCTCACTGAATAGCCCCGTGTTACAAGAGACCATGCCTGCCTCAAGCGCTTCTGCCACGGTGTAAACGGTATCAATATTCTTAGAAAAGACGTAAGACGCAAGTCCGAGTTCGGTATCGTTGGCATATTTCACGACTTCTTCTGCCGTGTCAAACGCAGTAATCGCACAGAGAGGTCCGAATGTTTCCTCTGAATTGACCCTTGCGTTGCTGGGCACGTTAGACAGGATTGTGGGCGCGTAAAAATTGTCACCTAGTTCGGGCAAGCGACCACCGGCAAGAACCACTTTGGCACCCTTTTCTGTAGCATCTTGGACGTGTTCTTCGACTTTTTGGATAGCTTTGGCGTTGATGAGCGGACCATGTGTAACATTGTCCTGAAGTCCAGGGCCAATGACGAATTTGCTAACTTCATTTGCGAGTTTTGCTGAGAATTTGTCCATCACAGTTCTTTGAACGTAAAGACGGTTTGCACATACGCAAGTTTGACCCATACCTCTGAATTTGCATGCGAGTGCTTGCGCGACTGCGGCGTCCAAATCTGCGTCTTCAAAAACGATGAAAGGCGCATTGCCTCCGAGTTCCATAGACAGTTTTTTCAAAGTCGATGCCGATTGTTGCATGAGGATTTTACCTACAGCGGTTGAACCCGTGAACGAAACTTTGCGAATTTTGGGAGACTTGCACAGTTTTAATCCGAATTCAGGTGTCTTGGTATGTGAAAGCACCACGTTGAAGACGCCGGGAGGGAAACCTGCTTTTTGCGCAAGGTATGCGAGTGCGAGCGCAGAAAGCGGTGTTTGTGAATCTGGTTTTAGCACGACGGTGCAACCTGCAGCGAACGCAGGTGCAGCTTTGCGTGTGATCATTGCGCTGGGGAAGTTCCAAGGACATACAATACCGCATACGCCTACGGGGACACGTTCTGTGAAGACACGGTTGCTTGGGTTAGCTGGTTGGATCACAGTTCCGTAGACACGAGGAGCTTCTTCTGCGAACCATTCAAAATAAGACGCCGCATATTTAACTTCACCAACGGCTTCTGCCAGCGGTTTTCCGTTTTCCCAGCTCACAATTTTACCCAAATCTTGTGCGTTTTCGGTCATGAGATTGAACAAGTTTCTAAGCCATGCGGAACGCTGACGAGTTGTAGTCTTGCGGTAACTTTTGAACGCATTGGAAGCGGCTTCAATGGCTTCGTCTACCACCGCAACGGGTTGGTCCGGTAGCTTAGCAATGACTTGGCCTGTAGCTGGATCTGTAACCTCGAAAGTGGAACCGGAAGAGCGCACCCATTCGCCGTTAACGAAGGCGGCGTCTCTAATAAGCTCGGGGTTGTCGAAATGAGGTCTAATGGAGGTCATTCTGGGGTTTGGAAATGTAATGGGATGGAAACCTACGAAAACAGGGATACTCAACATCAGACCTCTCTGCCTTTATACCATCTCGCTTCTGATTCCCGCGCGGGACTCGTTATCGCATATCACCACCAAGCCCTAACAAAGCCCTACCGATGCCATAATCACAGCCCTTAATACAGCCCTAAAAGCAAGCCCTAAGCGCACCTCGAAACCTATGCACGGTTCACACCGCGATGGGCTGGGGGTGGCGCCGCTGGCCGGGTATACTGATGGGACTGAGACGACGATGACGACGACGGAGAGGAAGGCGACGTCGTTGTAACGGCTGGCCCTGAATAGTTGTCTCTGTAGTGGTTTGGAGGAACTGCTGCGCCCGGTTGCGCTGGACCGGGTGGCCCCGTGGCTTCGGCAGTCGCGTGGAACTTGCCCTCGTTGTCGAAATAACCGGCATCGTTCGCGTTTGCCACAGCAGAATACTCAGGAACCGGGTTTTGGTTGGCAGGCTGATTATACTGCTGTTGGGACGCGCCGTAGGCGGGCGGAGGCGCAAGCCACGAAGTATACGGAATCGGATTGCGACCGAGACGACGTCTACGCATGTTAGCAGTAAACAACAAAACCGCAAACAAAACGATACAAATGATGAATAAAAGCCAACGGGCCCATACCCATGTCGAACTGTTGTTGTAACCGTAGCCGTAGTAGTAATCTGGACAAGCAGAAAGTTAGTAAACTTGCAGTTTTTGAGTAGCTGTGCAAGCTGAGCATACCTCTTTTGATGAGTGGAAGGACTGCCATCCTGGTTGTGGGTTGTGGTTGGTTGTGGGAGGGTGTGGATGGGAGGTGATGTGGTTGATATTCTGGGTTAACTAATTATTAGGCATCATCGACAGGGTCCACTGTAGAAAGGAAACCCGTACACCACATACTGTAAGGGGCGATGCCCTGGTGAGCTAAACAAGTTGGATAGCGGGACGCGGCAAAAGGCCTATCGAGTCCAACCCTGAGACCTTCAGAAGCTTGTCCAAATGCTTCATGGGAGCTTTGCGAGTGTTTAGGCTTCTTCCGGGCTTGAAAACGACCAAGGAAGCAAAATTGGTGAAACATTGCGTAGCAAGATGAGGGAAGTAATGTGTAGCAAGATGAGGAAGGTAATGTACAGCGAAATGAACTGGTAAGGTCGCCTTTGTTCCTTAGTAGCATAGTAGGGATTACATGAGGTTTGCAATGAGGAGTGGACTCGAATGTGACTGACTTTGCCCAGCAAATTATGTCGAAGCGATGCAATGGAAGGGTTGGAGAGGTCGGAAGCGGTGCGTCGCAAATATAGAATGACGCTCGCGTTGCTCGCATCACTCATATGGTCATCACTCCTCCATGTAATCATCATCACGTTCCTGTGCCAATTGTTCAAATCTTGTCGCATGCGGCGCGTTAATCCTGACCCCTCGTTTCAACGCAAATCTCTGTCGACACATTGGACACAAGCCACGCGCTGTCGCCGTCGTAAGCCACTGTTGAATACAATGGACGTGAAAATTATGATTACATTCACCTACGACAAGTGGACATTCATCACCTGGGAACTTACAAGCAGGACATGTTCCATTATAACTCGCACGGCAAATCCCACAAACGTCGTCATCCGCCTCACTAGGCCGGCCATTGCCGCCTAAGGCGCCAATGGCTCCAACTTCATCAGCTTCACCGCCACCACCAACTACACCATTTGAACTCGTTACACCATGATCCTCCACATTCCCAATATCCCACGCCCACGAAAACACGCAATGGACCTGCTCATACTCCAGCTTCATCTTCTTCACTTCACTCCTGTGTCTTTCATTTCATCAACTTCTTCACTTAACTATATGCGATGAACTACAAACATCCGTCAAACGGTACGAAACCTCTCGGGAACCACCAGGAAATACCCAGATCCTCATATGAACACAGGTTCCTAATTGTTAGAAGGCTTTTCCTTCTTAGTGATAGTCATAGTTTTGTCGCTCCAGGCGCGCAGAGATTCGAGTAACGCGTCACGCGCGTGTAAAGCATCCAAATCATCGAACCCACCGCGCGATTGACCGTTGATGATCACGTTGGGCACCGTAGCACGACCCGTCTTGCTGGCAATGTAGTCTTGTAATTCACGGCCATGCGTGTGCTTGTCCAGCTCGACGACTCGGTATTCGGGCGTGAACTCGAATTCTTGTGCAAGTAGGTCTTTGAGCCGTTTGCTGAAGGGACACATGCTCTTCGAAAAAATGATCATGGGAGAGTTCTTCAGGATCAGCGCGTACTCAACGGATACGTCGAAGGGTTTAGTGGCCATGGCACCCCCGGAAGTTCCAGAGGAGGGCGACGAGCCTTTGGCGCCTCCAGAAGTCCCCAGCGCTCCAGTCTCCTGCCGAATAGCTTCTATCTCCGAATCAACCTGTGGGTCTTGTCCGTTCGGTACACTCGCGAGGGATCCTGCCAGAGAGCCCGCTGGCTTGCCATCGTGCTTCCCAGGTTCCACTTGCTCGGATATCGTTGTCACGGTCGCTACATTCTGTAAAACGAGGTATACGAGAAACAACAAAATCGCCGTAAATGTCGCAACTCTCAAGTTCCGTTTTGTTGCCATTTTGAAGTGTCTCTCGCCGTTCGTCGTCGTTCGCCGTGGCTCCGTCTCCTGTAACGCGTTCTGTATTGTCATCTTGGCGAGTGATCCTGTTAAGTCCTAGACGGATTGAGAAGATACTGGATCACATAGTACGGATATCATCGGCGCCGTGAGCGGGTAACGTTACCGGGATTATCCGAGCATAACTTCGTTTCTTGAGTGCTTATAAAGGTGTAGTAGTTGTGCATTGCGGGCATCACCGACTTATGCCCCAATGGCCTCCTCGTGCGTTTGTTCGAGGAACGCGAGTCGGTCCTCCACGTACTGGCACATGCTCTTCCAGTTTTTGTCGTCGCCACGTAGACGGTCGTCCAGGTACTTGAAATGTGCACGATGTATGCCGCACAGATGTTCTTTGAATGCTTTGAAATTCTCAAGCTCCAAGTCGTAGCCGTTCAAGCGCTTGAGATTGGTATAGGACCGAATGTGACGGCCGTTGACAATGAGGTCTTGGTCGTTCCATAGGGTGAGCGGGTCGAATTTAGGCAAATTCGAGTGCACGAACATGATATCCACTTCTTTGATGTCATCGGGTTCGAAGTAGTGTTTGTAAACGCGCTCGGGCGAGTACGTGGGGTCCGGTTTGATGTATTTGCGGGCTTTGCCCAAATACTTGTGGTTTATGTCGGCGGAGGCCCATTGGTACCGCATGTAATCCTGTGTGAAATCGTGTTGCAACATGGCGACTCCCCGGAACCCTTTGCCGCCTTCTTGATGGTACCCGTCCACGGCGGTCATGGAACGTACTTGATAAAAGGGTAAATCGTAGAAATTTGCACCTGCAATGAATGTTTCCTTGTCGCCTTCACCGGACGCCTTCTGAGAGAATATCGGATAATACCAAGAGGGCCCATTCACGTTGTAGTACAGCGACAACAAGATCGTGGGCAGATGACGCGATTTGCTGATCATGAGTTGTCCGGATTCGGTCGATACGTCTGGCGTGGTGCCTTCCAGGTCGTGCAAGGGCACGTCCGACAAATCGTTCAAGTTTTCCGTATAGGCCTCGGGCGGCGTAATATCGTCCATGCAGTTACGCACGCGCTTCTTATAATTCACGGGCACGTCGGCGATCTCATAGTAGACTGGGTTCGTTGTACGACGCCAAAAATCGGGCCATAACACCATCCCAGTAGACTTGTAAGGTTCCGCGTCGAAGATATTGTCTAGCGGCTTGATCGGGAAATTGTCCGCGTCTAGCAACAACAGGTTTTCGAAACTGGACGCGATGATCGCGATCGACTTGAATTGATACCCGGTAAATTCAAAGCTGTCGATCACGTCCTGCGGCAAAACGTCCGAGAGGAAGATGCACTTGGCATTGTACTGGGGAAGCAATTCCTGACAAAAATAGGTCTCGCCCTCATCCTTAGGAGGGATGAACACTTCGACGGGCAAAGTCGTGCCCAAGTTACGCAGAGTCTTGATTATCAGAAACGAAAGCATGGAAAACTTGCCTCCGCCCACGGTGACGATCCCGTTCCCACTGTAACTGCCCCGAGGCAACACGAGGGCGCCCAAACTGTCGACAAACTCATAATGCGATTCCTTTAACGCGGCCTTCTCCGCCTCCGACAAGATCAGACAATGACTCAGTTCCCGGCTCGTAAGCTTGTCCCAATTAGCGTAGTCGTCGGGCCGCGCGCCAATGTCCCCTGTAAGCTTGCAACGCCGATCGTATTCACGCGCACTCTTACCGCGCGGCGAATGCCGCTTCAGGCTCTCAAACACTTGGCGGTAGAACGTGTGCAGGTTCTTAGAACGCGCACGGGCGCGTGACGCGGCGGAAGCCGCGTCTGCGCCCTTCCCAAACCCAGACCCGGAACCCGCGCCAAATGCACCATTAGACCCGACGTCGTACCCGTCCCCACCAGCTCCGCCCCGCGTGTTCTTGTACGTCTCAATGTAATTGCGCAGTGATTCCCGGTATTCCTCGACGGAGAGGTCCTGTTGAATGTACTGGCTTGTGAGGAAAAACGCGAGACAGCACGCGCTTGCCACGAAAGCAAGCCGCAGTTTTTTCGTAAACCGCTTTGTGAGTTTGATCATCGCCAACTACCAAACACAAGCTGTCTCTATCGGTGCACGTCGTCGCTCAGAATCGTGCTAACGTGACGTGGGCGTTTGTTCCTTGTCGGGGTTTTTTTTGGAAATGCCTGTGGGTGAGCTTAGTTTTTTTAAGGCTTTTTCGTTTTTTTCTGGGTTCGCGATCGCGACAAATTCGTGCTGTCTCTTGTTCCCGTTGAGAGTGATTGAAGTTTTTCAGAGAAGCATCACTCCAGACGGAAATATCGTCGTCTACGAATATCACAATAGACGAACATATCACATATCACGGATACGATCACGTAAGCAACCCCTGGGGGGGTCACCCTTCGCTGCCTATGGCTTCAACAGGGAAACTGCCACTCCGGTATACTGATAAGAAGAAGGACAGTCACCGAGGCAGTTATAAAAGCTGCCAGGATAAGTCAACCCGACTTCACGCACGTAAGCACAGTGCTTTAGCTTGAATCATAGGAAGTCCAACAACATCGAACACAATGGAGATGTCCAGAAACTACTGTCTGTACCCACTTTACCTGTTGTACAACTCCAAGGAGCGGTACCACCGGGTCGATCCGCAAGACCTGTCGAAAGATTTTTTGCGGCAGCTGGTCGAGCAGAGTTTTGGCGTCAGGAACGCGTTTGAAATGTGCCAGCTCCAAAACATGAATTTTGGGCCCAGGGGGGTGTCGCGTCTAGAGACGGACGAGGACGTGGCGCAATTTGCAGAGCAGTTTAAGTCGTTACATTTTGCCAAAATCACACTTGTCGACAGGAGCAAGCGAGCTCGTGGCGACGCTGGGTCCGCAAAAGGTGCATCTGCCAGAGTGGCTGCAGGAGCGCCCGCGGGTGCCGATGCGTCACAAGTCTCGATCCCGGTGACGATCCCGGCAGAGCACTTCAACAGCTTGCTAGACGCGATTCAGAAACTGGAAATATCGCTCAAAAAGACCAACGATCAACTCGGTCAGAAACCTGCCGTGCGGCCCGGGCCCGCAGGATCTACTGGGCCCTCGCCCGTTCACCTGCCTGTTTCGAGCGTAGATGACCATTGCAAAACAATACACTGCGATGTCGTGTGCGATGGGTGCCACCCGGTCACCACCTTTACAGCGTCTCCCGATACCGCTTTCATCCGCGGGCCACGCTTCAAGTGTCTTTACTGCCACAACTACGACCTATGCAGCCCTTGCGTGGCCAAGGGAGTCGAAACCGCTACCCACAAAAAGTACCACAACATGCTCAAACTTAACGTCCCGGACGCAAACATCATCAACCAGTTGTCGGGCACCCACAGCTGTGCACAGAAATGTCAGACGCGTGCACGTGCCCCAGCCCCTCCGGCGGCTCCCTTGGCTGCCGGATCTGCACCTGGTTTTGCCGTCCAGACAACTCGCCAGGAAGTGCTCATCGACATCCCCGAAAGCCAGGATCAAGTGTTCTCATTTTTCGCCAATATCAAATCCGTCACCGAGTTGTCGGCTATGATCGAAAAATGTGCCAAGTTCGACGCTTTAGAGCAGCAAGTGGGCGGCGACTGGACAAGTCTTGAAAACGCGGTTAAGTTGATGGCTTCGTCCACGACTTCCTTTGAGACTCTGGCTGAAGATTCCGGTTCCCAGTTGGCAAGCGTGGACGCCAACAGGGACGAAGTAAGTGACGAAGATGACCTCATCTTAGTGGAGTTGATCAAAAAGGACCATCTGATCTCGTTCAAACTCCACAACAGAGGAATTCACCCGGTGTCAAGTGGCCTCAAGTTGGTATTTCAGTATTTTGAAACCGCAGATGCCAATCCGGTCAAGTGTACTTTGCACATGGGTCCACACGAATTCCAGGCGGACAGTCACAAGATTTTGAACTTCAATTATCGCGGTCTCATCGACAATTTCTCGACTTCCCACTCTTGTAAAATCGACCTCGTCGACCAAGACGACACCGTTGTGTTTACAGGCTCGTCTGCCGGCAGCAGCACGCTAGTGTTGAGACCAGCAGCAATGCCCGACGTCCAAACGTCGGTGTATCTTGAGGCCCAAAGTTCCACCAGCGGACTGGATTCGCTGAACGCCCACGACGTGATCAGCACCACCGCGACCAACGAGGAATCTACAAAATTTTCTAGCTATGACTCGGAAGTGGAGGACTATGACTACCTCAGCGGCAGTGATCTCGAAAAGTAATTTCGAGAAGTGAACGCAAACCCCTTTCCTTGGATTCGTTGAATTCTTTTTGTACATTTTCTAGTTTAATTGACGGGTTGCTAAGCAAGGCTCCCACATGCCCTCCACCAATCCAGGTGCTCTACAGGTGCTATCTCTCTCGCGAAAAAGGCAATGCCTCCCTTCTGGTCTGAGCAACACATGAACGAGCCTCTCATCCATCGGTTCTTACTTCAGTGAAGGTGGCCCCTGTAAAAGAGGTGAATTAAAAACCAAAACCAAATAGCCGCCGTCGGCCTTTTATACCCGTAATCAGGAGCGACCGACCGTCAATAGTGATAGAGCATCACCAGTTCTCGGAGATTCAAACATTCATTTCGCAGAAAACGATAGTTTAACGGCAATACGACGAATCGCCAGCATCTGTGAAGGGACAGCTGCTCACTAAAAGACTAATCTAGGCTCTCATATATACCAGCTGTCCATCTGCCAGATTAACATTAATTTCAACTGAGGATTCGTCAACAGAAACTGAATTCACGAAACAAAGCGTCGGGCTTGTGGACTAGGGCTGGCTGAAGATAATTTATAGAAGCTCATGGCAGCTACTTTAAATCGAAAGCGCGTAGTTTCCAATCCATGAACGTATCTCATCGATACTACATTGAATAATAGATGATCATACTATACGATTGGTAAACTCAGTCTTACTTCTCAGTCTCTGCTCACTGCGAAGACGGAAATGTTAATCCTCACATAACCATCGCATCAAAAACCTAGATTTTTAAAAGCTCACCCTATGGTTTGAAGCTGTACATTACATGTATTTGTAGTGTAACTGGCAAGTAATGTGGCTCGAATATGTATTGTTAACTGTAGTGATTCCTATATTTATAGACTAGATACTCATAGACTTATAGCGACAAAAACTCACAAATGGGGCATTCACCGAAGTATCGAAATATGGCTCTCAGCCTGTTTGAGTTAACAAAAGTCGTTGCGACCACGTGATGCGGACAGAAGAAACTGATAATCACTTACAACGAGTAGGTACACACCGTATATGGTGATATCGAACCTCCGGCTCATCACCAGCCACGGGTATTATTTGAAAAATTTTAAGTCGTGAAAAGCTTCATAGGTTAAAACTGGAAAACCTGTTACTGCTGAGAACAAAGTACTTCGCGTTAAAGAAAGGCCCGGGGGTTCATTATTTCTCTTCAACATGGAAACTGACGCTGAGAAAAATATTCAAATTTGGAAGGTCAAAAAATTGATCAGGTCGCTCGAGAAAGCCAGAGGTAACGGTACTTCGATGATCTCGTTGGTGATACCACCCAAGGGCCAAATCTCACTTATTCAAAAGATGTTGACCGATGAATACGGTACCGCGTCTAACATCAAATCGAGAGTCAACCGTTTGTCCGTGTTGGGTGCGATCACATCTACACAGCAGAAATTGAAACTCTACACGAAGGTCCCTCCAAACGGGCTGGTGCTGTACTGTGGTGATATTATAACGGAAGAAGGTAAAGAGAAGAAAGTGACCATCGATATCGAGCCTTACAAACCGATCAATACCTCGCTGTATCTGTGCGACAACAAATTCCACACAGAAGTACTGTCTGAGTTGTTGGAAGCGGATGACAAGTTCGGCTTTATCGTGATGGACGGTCAGGGCTCGCTTTTCGGGCTTTTGAGCGGTAACACCAGAACCGTGCTTCACAAGTTTACCGTGGATCTGCCTAAGAAGCACGGAAGAGGTGGTCAGTCTGCGGTGCGTTTCGCCCGTCTTAGAGAGGAAAAAAGACACAATTATGTGCGGAAAGTCGCCGAAGTTGCGGTGCAAAATTTCATTACAAACGACAAGATTAACGTCAAAGGTTTGATTTTGGCCGGTTCCGCGGATTTCAAGAGTGATTTGGCCAAGTCCGAGCTTTTTGACCCCAGACTCGCTACAAAAGTGGTCAAAATCGTCGATATTTCGTATGGTGGAGAAAATGGGTTTAACCAGGCAATTGAACTTTCTGCTGAGGCCCTAGCAAACGTCAAGTTCATTCAAGAAAAGAAGCTGATCACGCAATATTTCGACGAAATATCGCAAGATACCGGTAAATTCTGTTATAGTATTGACGATACGCTGAAAGCGCTCGATTTAGGGGCTGTGGAGATCCTGATCGTTTTCGAAAACTTAGAAACCGTCAGATACGTTTTTAAGGACTCTGAGGATAAAGAGGTGTTGAGGTTTGCACAGCCTGAACAAACAGATAAAGCATACGCCATGGACAAAGCGACGGGTCAGGAAATGGAACTTGTCGAGGAACAACCTTTGGTGGAGTGGCTTGCAGAAAACTATAAGAATTACGGTGCTAGATTGGAATTTGTTACGGATAAATCGTCCGAAGGTGCTCAATTTGTCACCGGTTTCGGTGGTATTGGTGCTTTGCTCCGTTATAAAGTCAATTTTGAACAACTAGTAGACGAGTCGGAAGATGAATATTATGACGAAGATGAAATCTCCGACTACGATTTCATTTGAGTTGCATTGAATTCGCCCACTCAGTCTATTGATTTGTTTCGGGACAGCCTTTGTAGATTACTTTCATCGAGCATGTGTATACTTACTTCTCCATATAATATCACGTACTGAAACTACTTCCCCATTTCTCTAAGGTGAAGTAGAATGCTTCTGTTTCTTGTTTTTTTTCTTCAACAAGTTCAGCGCATCCACCTTTTCATGACCGATGATAGATGCATGTCCTCTCTTTTTCACTAGATGATCTGCTAAATTCACGAGACCACCGGTCAGATAACTCTTTCGTAGATCCTTCCTAATTGGTTTGTCTAACAGCAGCTTCAATTCGTATCGTAAAGCATGGGCTCTTGATTTGTCCAATTTTTTACCAAGCTTCTTGGCTTTGTTCTTGGCCAAAAATACGTCCTTGGAATCATCATCCGAGTCAAGTTCCACGCCCAAATCCTCGGCAGCTTTTTTCATCCAGTTGTCGTCTTTACTCAAAGATCTTGTCGCGATTTCATCTTCTGCAAGTTCATTGGCAATTCTACTGCGCTCTCGTAGCTGAGATACGATATCCGGCTCCACGGGGAAGAGGGGCACATCTTTTTGCCATTTTTTGCCCTTCTCAAAGCCTCCTTGGGATGCCAGTGCTTTCCTTAATTTCCTTAAAGGCCCAATAGCTTCGTCCGGAGAACAAATGGTGACCGAAACACCCTCATTTTCCGCACGAGCAGTCCTACCAGATCTATGGATGTAAACGTCTGCAGTCCTCGGCAAATGATAATGTAAGACGTGCTGCACACCAGGTATATCCAGGCCCCTCGCGGCAACGTCACTCGCGATGAGAATTGTGGACTTATCCAATGCCTGATTCTTTCGCGCTTGTTTCTGAAATTTCTCCAAGCTCGCCAATCTATTCTTCTGCGTCATTGAAGAATGAATTTGATAGGAATTGATTCCTAAAAGATTGAGGTAGGCATTCAGTTTCTTGACACTGTCGATGGCATTGCAAAAAACCAACGTTGTTCCAGGATAAACGGTGTTGAAATAGTAAGTGTAAAGGTCTCTTTCTGTGGGAAGACATTCGATTAGCGATTCTTTGATTTTGGATGTTATTTTAAATTTCGGGTTTGCATCTATTATTTCAGGTTTAGATTTGAAATGGATCTTGGTCATCAAATGCTTGAGAGCCAATTCCATTTCATTGTCACCTTCTCCCGGTTTCGTCTTTTTCCAAGATCCTGCCGATAGCTTATTAAATAAGTCAAGCGAGAAAGTGGCCGAAAATATCATTGTTTGCCATCCCGAATTTGCATATTCGCTTTTGAACTTTTTTTTAATTTTCCGCTCGTTTCTCAGGTGCCTCAAGATCTTTTCGAACTCGTCAAAATGGCCATCTTGTAGAAGTCTATCGGCTTCATCCAGTACCAGAAAACTGATTTGAGCAAACCGTTTGATCAAATTTGCGTCTCGCTCAATGAGTTCCAGAAATCTTCCTGGAGTGGCGACAACAATCTTAGATCCACCTTTGTACTTCAAAATACGCTCTTGTTTTTGTATAGCGAGACCGCCTGTTAACGAGGTAATGAGATGGGGACTCTTTTCGGTCGCGATGTAGGCAAGTTTCTCTAAATGCTGTGTAACTTGATGCGCCAATTCTCTCGTTGGAGTGAAAATCAATGCAATGGGGTCATCACCGGACTTCTGATTCAAAAGTGCTTCGAAAATTGGGATTCCGTAGGCAAGCGTTTTACCTGACCCTGTGGACGCTTTCCCCATAATATCTTTACCGTCTAAAGCGCGTGGGATGGCCATACTCTGAATTTCCGTCGGTTTGGTGAAACCTTGCTTAGCGAGCCCAAGTAAAGTTATGGTTGAAAGATTCATCTTCTCTGTCCATTCTGGTAACGTAGGATGCTCTATATTTGGAATATCATGCGCCAACGCAAACACGTTTTCTTTCAATTCGTCACCGCTGTCTTTGTTGTCGTCGTCGACGTTGATGTCCGATGGGTCTGTCTCATCTAAGTTATCTTTTGAACCGGCGTCCGCCTCTAATTCACCATCTTCCATGTCATCCATATTTTTAAAACCTTTAAAATCGACCATCGATTCAGCTTCGACGGATCGATTCGCATCCAAATCAATTTTACTGCCATCTTTAGCGAAAAACTGCGCTTTGCCATCAATTATCTTCACACTAACACCATCAATCTCTTCCACACCGTACAAACCTTCAAAATCATCTAAGGTGTCTGGAATTTCGACCGGCTTCCACTTCAAAGTTTCAGGATTTACCGGAATGGCATGCTTGCTACCACCAGGAGCTTTAGAAGTCAAATTTTGGCCCTTCCGTTTAACAGAACCCGTTTTCATCCGTTTTTTCGCTCGCCTCTTGTCGTTCAATCCCAACCGTTCTTTAATAGCGTTTTTACCCATTTTTTTACTCACAAATCTGCCACTTAAACAAGATAACTGTTTACAAACCAAACGCCTGCAGTACTCTTGATAATCTCTTTATATATCCACTTTGACAGTGCAATTCGCTTCCTTCAAAGCTCATCTCACCTCATCTCATCTCATCTCATCGCCGAAAATTTTCAATTTTCAAGCATCATGGAAGTTGCCGCTGGTCAAAATCGAGAGAAGGACAAGATAAACTCAGTGGAAGAACATCACTAGAGGGAGCCTACAGTACTTTATCAGGCTCCAATGCTTTCCTCACGAAACAGAAAGACGATAAGCGGGCGATTTATTGTGAAAAAAGAGCCCAAAATAAAACCTACTGTAGCTCGACGCGTGATACGAAGATTTCATTTCCTTATTGGCAAGCGACAGATAATTTGTAGTCGATTAGGCGTTGTGCTAGTAAGCAGCGACGAAGAGGCGAATAAGGGTTGCATAGAAACATGGGTACGAAATTCGAAACTGCAGGAGAAGTATGACCGCGGTATGAAGACGCAATCACAGCAGTTAGAGAAACATTTACTGAAATTACGCGACATTTCAAATACAGGAGTCCTTGTTGAGTTACTGGGGTACCTTATGAATGAGATATACACAAAGGGTGGACTGAAAAATTATCAGATGGCCAGCACTGTGGGTCAAGATCGAAATCGAGGTGGTGATTCTTCGAAGGTCTTGATCCCGTGGTTACGCGAATTGGGTCTGAAAAGTCAGCGCGATCACGGTTGCGACCGTGGCAACCCGCGACGGGCACTGGAAATTGGGTCGTTAAGCAGTAAGAACGCGATCTCGACGTGCGGGATCTTTGATCCCGTGGTACGGATTGATTTGAACTCTACTGGTGAAGGTATCTCAAAGCAAGATTTCATGGACAGACCACTGCCCAAGCACGAATCCGAGCGGTTCGATCTCATATCTTGTTCTCTGGTGCTAAATTTCGTTCCAACACCGCAATTGCGCGGTGAAATGTTGAAACGATTTAGCCACTTTTTGAAACGAGGCACAGATCAGGCTTTTCTTTTCGTTGTGCTCCCAAGACCATGCATTGACAATTCAAGACACATGAGTGACCAGTGGTTCTCGGAAATGATGGAATCGTTAAACTACAAAAAGCTGCGACGCCATGTAACGCACAAGATTATCTATTATCTGTTTGCCGTTGCTACGAGATTACCACCAAAACATATAGGAGGGAAATTCAAGCTTAAACCTGTGGTTAAAGACGCGGCGGGAATGAACAATTTTGCCATTTTACTGTGACGAAACACCGTTGTCAGTAGTGTTTATAAGAATCCACCAAATTAACGAGTTCGCGATTACCCCGATGCTGAATCCGCTGACTCCAATGACTTAAGATCCTCTAAAACATCTAACTACTCCTGCAAGCAGAGCCTTCTGCCACTCAATTAAGCCCAATTCACGTTACCCATAATCATTAGACCTCGTCCTTAATGATTTACATAATGTACACGTGACATGATGTCCGTCCTCGTCCGTAACGCTCTCACCTTTGACGCTAATCACCATAGACGAAATACTTTTTCAATTCCTAGGGGGGCACAACTGAAATCGAGAGAGCTTAGCTACTTGAAGAAACCAACTTCAAGAAAGTGTGTGTTTCGAGTAAATAATTGATCTGGGAGTGTGACTAAGCTCGTTTTTTGCATGCTTGATTCGTGGACAAGGCAATGAGTTTAAGCCTTTCGCGTTTCACTTACGAGCTCATATACAATGCGCTTCCGTTCCAATCAAACAGGTCTACTTATGCAGATGTCGAAAGTGATGTGCTGTTCGAAAACTGTCGCACTATTCTTTTCAATGTGGCCTCGGTACACGACATAGATCCAATTGTGCAAGAAACGTTACGGCTTGTTGATATTATTACCAAAAAAGAAGATTCAGCGTCGCTGTCAACAAGCGTTTTGCACTCTTTAGTTGTTCTTCTTCGATTATTGAGTGATGTGGCAGAGGCGGCATGGAGAGAACAGGAACGTCGCATATGTGGCGAAAGCAAAAAGGATGATACCACAGAAGATGATGATTTTAATATGAGCACAAAGCATCGCGTTGGTTTCGCCACGCAACAACTCTGTTTCCACACGGTGCGACCTCGTGCTATTGAATCACAAACGGCAGTTCAGGTTTTAAAAACTGCCATGAAACTGAAATTTGATAGCAATATTACCAAGGCTTTGGGGAACATTTCGAGTGCGCAGGTTTCGAGTCCCTCACAGGGCGTGGATCTCCCGAGTACTGGCAGAGAGTATAAATCGTCCGATAGCGAAAGATTAGTTGGCATAATTGATGCGAATTTCGATTATATCTTACGTTTTATTTCTGCATCGAATCCTCAGGATTACCAGGATTTCTTGGATTCGGCGGTTATCAAGCCGCTAGGTTCTGGACATACGGCAAATGAAGCCGAAATTTTGCATCATTTGGATCTCTTCTCTTACTATTTTATCACATCACAAAATCTGGCGAGTTTCCTTCAAATGATATCTGCAGGAATGAGCGGTTGGAAAAAAAGCATATATCAAGAACTCACTATCATGTTTTCTTCGCAGGCATTAACCAGCTGGATTCTATCACGACCAATGGACTACCAATCGCTGGTCGACAACACTCTTGCCTCGAAAAATGGCACCGAAAACGTTACAAAATTGGCATCTTCGTTGTTTGACGAAATATACTCTTCCTTCAACGTGTCTTCCTTGCTTACAATGACCGCCAACTCAAATGCGGCAATAACGGAATATAAAAATTCGCCGTCTGCTTCTGAAGAGGGCACTCCTGTGTCGTCATCCGGAAAACCTGGCTATTTCTCACTGGAGCATTTTGAGCCTCATAAAGCACTTCCGCTTTCCAAGCAGGGAAGCCAAAATACGATAACTAGTTATGCTCTTGGGTGGGATTTTATGAACTCTGCGGCTGTTACTGGCGTCCTATATGATACGGAAGACCTTGCAACTGTTTCGATTTTGCGATTTCTCGCTGTAATGCTGCTTTTCCAACTTCATGTTTTTGAGGAAGTAAATGAAATAAGTTTCAAGCATATTCCTGACGAACCTTCCAGCCCATCTCTCTCAGAAGATGATCTGGAAAGCGATGAAAATAAGAAACAGCAATCAACAATCCCAACCAAGATGAGGAGTTATTCCAACCATAAGAAATTGTCGACGTTCAAAAGACTCTCAACCTTTACTTCTTCGAATAAAAAGATTAAGTTTCTCACCACACTAATCAAAAATATCAACGCGTCTCAAATTGTATCCGACACGTCATTATTGGACACTCTTAAAGTCATTTTGATACTCTTGCGACTTTCGTCGTCAATTTATCTGTGTGATCCTTATTCTCCGATAGTTTTCTTTTCGAGGCGTCTCCTTTTTGTTCTAGGGGACTCGTTACAGCTCTGCGAAGAATCCCAGGGTAAAAGAAATCCTGTCCTTGCTCGCTGTCTTGCAAGAAATCGTTCAACTCATACTAAATTGCAGGTTGCATTTTTCCCTCCCGGGTTCATTATGGACACTGATCAGTTTATGGCCAAGATTACTCAATTTACGCGTGGCAAACAGTCTGACTTGAAACATCTGAGGACGGTAACGGAAGGTTTTAAGCTCTTCTTCAGCATACCTAATGTTCCCTCAACTTGCCTCGAAGTTGTTTTAAAAACGACTGATTTTTTGAAAGAAACTTTGAGAGAAATGTCAGACATCATTTTGAATTCTTCACCAGACTTTGGTGCTACTAATGTCGAATTTGTCAATCAAGTGCTCGTCGGCGAAGCATTAGGGGATACAGATACCTTCAAGATATCCAAATCAACAAACCCTATTTCGCTATCCAAGACGAGCAGCACTTTACAGCAATCAGCGTCAACCAAAAGTGGCTTGAAGTATTCGCCTTCTTCTTCCTCCATTTCTTCTAATTCCAGCTCACACGGCGAAAGAATGCCGTCTAGTGCTGTAAGACCAGAACTCATAGCTCCGCGTGGGCGAAGATCCTCTGGATCATTCGGCACAATGTTTACAAAAGCAAAACCCATTCCTTCGCCCGACGATGAAAAGCAATCAGCAATGACGAAATCTCACATTGAGGGCTTACACAAGTCAATGAAGTCTCCTCTCAAATTTTCTCGTTCGCGTCAGTCTTCAAACGAATCTCTCCCCCCATTTTCAGCACAATCACTCCCGGTGAGTAATCGGTTTGAAGCGAAGACAACCTTAGTTTTGACCAAGAAATCAGCTTACGTTGAAGATGCACGTGTCGCTTTGGTAAACATAATGTCTGTTTACAAGAGGGTGATAAAATATTATTTTGTTTCATATGACGGCTATAATCGAGTTTCGGTCGGCGAGAACTTTGACCAAATTATAAGACCAATATTTGTTGGTCTGATCGATAGCCATCCTGTTGTTCAAGAGGTGACGAAATCTTTCACCGCAGTAATTGCTTCCTACATCGTGAAGGCCGAGCATAAAGATCATTCAAACTGTATCCACTATGTGATGTACCGGGGATCAGCCTATCTTGTGACCCTCCTGTCCTCAACGCTCTTCAACTTGAGCCTGGAGGATAAGAAACGAGAAGAATTGCTCGAGGTTATGGCAATTTTCCTAGATATTCGCAAGGAACTGTTTTCAAGTTTCGAAAAAGCAGATTCGCTGGAAAAACTGCGACCAATTGAAACGGAGACGTTCAATACATTTCAAGGTACAATTGGAAGGGCTCTGTTTGCCTCGTTGTGCTCTCATGATACCAAAATTCACAGGCTTCTTCGCACTTGCTTTAAGGCTCTCACTCAAGAACTGGACGCCCATGATTGCGTGATGGGCTACTGCGACAAGGTCAACAGGTTTAACCGGCTGTTTTTCAATGCAATGTGTCGTGACAGTTACGTCTCAACGGGCGCCGTGGCTTTCCAACGTCGGCTGCGATCAGACATCTTAAAATATGTCAAGTTGCCGGATAAGATACTTTTCGATACTCTCGACCTTGTGTATAAGCGGTGGTATGAACTAAGTGAGCGAGGTAACTTGAATAATAGTGAGGCTTCGAGCTTCAGAAATTATGCGGGGCTCATTGCAGCCAGTTGTGGGGTATTTTTGATCTTGGACTCCCATGTCGTCAATGAATACTCATATCTTCTGGAGTCCCGGTCCACAGTCATTGAATACATCAACTATTTCATTGGGAAGCAGTGTTCGTGGCTTAACGATGCTAATCTTCTCACTCGAGAAAACTCGAAGGATATTTTAAGTGTGGAGCTGCATCCTCTGGCATTCAAATTGCTATTCGAGGCTCTTAAAACTAGAATCGATGCCTTAGAGCAGTTGGATCTATCTGCATCAGAAAACGATGCTGCATTCCTTTTATTGGAGCAAGTCATATTAATATTGAGAACTTTGCTGGAACGAGATGATGCAAGAGAGGAGTTAATTCTCGTTTCTCTCGAACTTTTGTCTATACTTGAACAACTCTTCAAGCTGGTCGAGTCGATGTCGCATAACTCCATTCGGTTTTACAAAGCTATAATACACATGTCAAAGATGATTAGATCTTTTGAGCATGCCGAAAAAAGCCTATGCATTTCGGGCCATTTGCTAGTCAAGAACAAATGGTTGAGAATAGTGATCTCTTGGTTTAAATCCACGATATTCAAAGATTATGATGTTGAAAATCTTGGAAGGCCCCACCGTGAAATGGATCTGCAAAGGCGTGATATTGATTATCTCCATGTTGATACATCGATCGAATCGTCCAAAGCACTTGCTTATATCACCCGAGATCTCATGCTAGAAGGTCCACTTTCTATATCTGAAAGTGAGTTGAAGCGATCGAAAGCAGTAATTTTTGGTAATTATTTTGGTACCCTCCTGAAAGGTTTAGAAAAGACGGCTTCGGTGGAAAATTTTCCCACAACTTTGAGGCACAAGATCAGTGTTCTCAATGAAAATATTATAACGACTCTCACAAACCTTCTGGATGCTAATGTCGATGTTGGTTTCCAATATGCCCTCCCTATAGGCTATTCGAAAAACCAGAATATAAAACTGGCTTTCATGAGGGTCTTTATTAACATCATATCCAATTTCGATATTCACAAAACTAAAGCAATGGAGAAAAAGAATGAGTTGATTGAGGTTTATGTCTCTAAAGTCATGAAATACCCTTTTATTTTGGCGATTATTGCAAGAGCGTGTCCTGCAAATGATATCGATGCTCTAGCAAGCAGTATGCTATCAGTCTTTCAAATAAAAAACTGCTCTCACATTGTCGTCGCTGAACTTGTGAAGGACGAAATTCAAAGAGCGTCTCGCTACGCTGAGATTTTGCGAAGAAATAGTTGTGCAACGCGCGCGCTTTCGATGTTTTCGCGCCTCAAGGGTACGGGATATCTGGTGAAAACTTTGAAGCCTATATTTACCGAAATCATTGACAAAAATGAATATTTCGAGATTGAAAAGCTAAATTCCGACCATCCCGATGCCGAAAAAAATGTGCAGCTTTTTGTCAAATACCAAGCCAAGCTTATTGGTGCAATCACTAATATTACCGATGACTTCCCCCCCGAGTTTTTTTTCATTTGCCGAATAATTTACAGCTGTGTCGAGAAGAAATTTGAGGGACATGGAAAGCTTGCAGTTGGGTCGTTCATATTTTTGAGATATTTTTGTCCTGCCATAGTCAGCCCTGACGCTGAAAATATTGTGGACATAGTTGATGCCAAGCAGAAAAGGACCTTCGTATTACTCGCAAAAATCACACAAAATATTGCAAACGGTTCCATAAATACGATAAAGTGGCCTTTACTACAATCGCAAGCAGAATTTCTCAAGGAATGTAGCTCAAAAGTCTCCAACTATCTTTTGAGCCTTGCATGTCCCGATCGTTCAATTAAAATCAAAATGCAACCTGCTAGAGGTGTGACTTTTGAAGATTTTACATTTCTTCACAAATTCATCTATCAATATGGCCTTGTCGTTCGCCAACAGCTGATAAATCACATTAAAACCGAGGAGGATTTCGTGATTTTCAAAGAACTAGCAAAGGAGACTGATACCCTACTTTCAGCTCTAGGACAGCCTAGGATGGAATTCAGAAATGAAATTCCGGCTTACATCAGAGACAACATGGACGAGTATCCCGGACTCTACGATTTTATGAGCAGACATTCAATGCGCACTTTTGATTTCAAAGATACGTATACCTTTATTCACGAAGCAATCTCGGCAGAGGGTTTTCCAGTCATCGTCTTTTCTCTCAAGCTATTGCAGAAACACGGTGGAGATCCGGAAGCGTTAACTTATAGAGTGTTTCAGGTCTACTCTAAAATCTGGGCTAGTAAACACTATTTTGTCATGGATTGCACAGGTTCCACAGATCAAAAAGCGGACGATAAGAAAATATTCACTTTCTTCTTTAACCTGATACCTGATGAAGCTGCCAGAAATTGTGTGGGATTTTACTATTACAACATGACAGAAGCTTTTTTGAACTGGTGGCTTCCGATATTTCGGGCACATAACCCATACTTGGTTCCCTACAAGACACCTCATCATTTCATAAACAGTGACGCTAGTCCTGAAACCGTGAAAAATTTGCGCTTGACAGAATATTCTAATGAGGTATACGCAGACGTTAGAGTGACTTTGCATGATGTTTCATTATATGATTCGAAAAAAGGTCGGTTTACCCCAGTGACTCTTAAAATCGGCAACAAATATGCGCAGATGATAAGCGACACTCCAAGGCGGCTAAAAATAAATGGAATTGACGACGTGGTTTCGGTCAAATTCAACAACGTCTACGAAATTGCGGACCTCGAATCGACTGTCGTTTCGTTCGAAACAGGAGTATCTTCTGAATTCACCATCAACTTTTTTAATAGTCCAAAGATGATCTTTTGCAGCTCAAAGTATTTGGAAATCATCAAGATTTTCTACTATGCACAGGCTCGTATTGAAGAAGAGTATGAAGATGGTTTCGGCATGATGGCGCCGAATAATGATACGCAAAACGATGAGAGCGAAACAAGAGAGATACTTGGTCATTTGCTCTTAGTTGTGTACGCAGGATTTTGCAGCGGCGATGAAGATGTCAAAGCGGTTTCCTATAATCTCCTGGCAGTAACTCAAGAAGCGTTTGAACTGGACTTTGGATGTAAGCTTAGAGTATCACCCGAAGTGCATGTACCACATGACATTTCTGCTTTTTGTTACTCCGTTTTCAAGGTATTGGCCAAAACGGCTCCTCAGCTATCGTTCGTGGTATGGAAATCAGTTTTGGAAGGTTTGTCGGGAATAATAGAGGATCCTTATGTTCCCCACGTCATAACTACCTTGGAGCCCTGGGTTGGCAACCTTTACAAACATGTTTATCTCGCGAATGATGAGCAGGGTCCCGAGAATGTTTCCTCTATTATTCGAACGCTCATAAAACTGAGCGTTGCCGACCCGCGATTAACAATGATATACAATCAATGCATCTGGTCGAGTCTAATTTTGGAAACGGATTTGGTTGGAGTTCTCGTGGACGAAATAATTAATCACTCCTTGGATAGAGAGTCGGAGGGCGCCGATTGGAAAAATGGGATATCTCTCATAACAAGGGTGTCAACAGTCGAGGTCTGCAGTGAGATCATTCACAGGATTTTGAAATTAACAAGGTCCTTTTTGCCCTCTCTGAAGCTCGAGGCCTCGACAAATAGCTGGTCGGAATTGATTATTCTTGTCAATGTTTGCGTTGCGCTATTCTTCGATTCTCTCCTACTTGCCGAGATGTTTTTACCTGAGGTCTTGTACATTGTTTCTTTGTTGATCGACGTGGGCCCCTCAGAGCTGCGGTCAAGTCTTCACAAACTCCTCATGAACGTTTCACAGTCGCTCTCTACCAATGAGACCCTTACAGACGAACAAAGAGCTCGGATTGATGACATTAATTCTGTATTTGCTCGACACAAAATGAAGTTCATGTTCGGGTTCAGTCAGGACAAAGGGCGTCTGCTACAAAACTTCAGTGCATCGTCATTTTTGACCAAGTTTACGACCTTGGAATGCCTGATTCAAAATATCATAACGCTTATTGAAAATGCATCCATAACGGACTCAAGTCAATGGAAAGCAAAATTCAGTAAGTACGTGATGGATTCAGTGTTCAATGTCGATTCCTTTTTATCGGCTCGCGCGGTGATGATTATTGGTATAATGGGACAGGTAGGCATCTCTGAGTCTCTTTGCAAAAGTTTGCTACGACAAACGATCAAAGTGATAGCGGAACCATACGTCAGCGATGAGCTGCTATTCTTCACTATATCGCATGCATTCACTTACAGTAAGATTGTTCAAGGTCTCAAGGAAGATTCGACATTATTACGCCAGTTATTTTGGCTTGCAACGACATTCACACAGTCTTCTAACACAATTTTTTACCACGGGGGTATGCTTTTCATGGCCAATGCCGTTAAGCGGATTTTTTCTTTAAAGGAGAAAGACGGAAGCTCACTGCAAGCGATATTGTTTGAGGGCCGAAGTTTTGCCGAAAAAGACTTAATCGAACTCGAATCCATGTCCAATCTAAGATGGACAGAGGAAAATTTTCCCCATATCATTCTCAACATGATCAGCAAGGGACTTTTGATTCCTTATATCAAAGTAAATGCAGTCGAATGTCTTTCGCTTTTCTTCTCTTTGAGCAAACAAAAACTTAACGAGAATAAGAGAAAGGACTATATGTGCTACTTGTTGTTCCTTTACTTGGTTTTAAGGCCGTCGAAACTAAAAGCTTTGCTGGACGAGGAAGGTTTAATGGAAAACGTGGTGCATTTGGACGATCAAAACTGTGCTCCATCAGAGCTATTGGATTGGTTGGAATCCGATTCGAAAAATTCGCTTGTAGCACTATATCAGGCTTCAGTGTATTTTGCATCTGGGGTCTCGGACGAGTTAAGCAAGATCCGATACCTATTGCTTGTGAACAATATGGCGAAGAAAAAGCCTTTAAAACTTTTCAAGATATATTCTCTGATCAGAAATGAATTGAGGCGAATCTCGGCACTTGATGTTCAGTCAGAATTTCCAAACCTGGTTTTCTCAATTGCTCAGACGATGGTAAAACATGAAGAATATTTCGAACACGACGATAGCCTCGATGAGACTATTGCCTATCTGGAGAAGAGGGGTTTAGGTGGGCTTGCAATGGTGGAGTTTGAGAGCTCATCGATGGAAATAATGTCCAATATTCGCACCAATCCTTATGCTGTTTACGAGGCTAAAAAATTAACTTTGACTATCCTGTCCAAAATGGCAGGTGGCTGTTAAGCGATGCATTGGTAATTTAACGAGGCCATATATTGTACAAATGTGTATAGAACCAAGCTATTCCATCTGATGGTCGTGCTTCTTTAGCACCCACATCTTAGTTCATGCGGCAGCCTGCTTGTTGCTCGAGAATTTGACTTTGATTAATCTTTCAAATTCCTTTCGATCTGACTTGTAAATTAGCATTGTCGCTCTTGCGTCTTCAACCGATGAATGCTGCGCTCCCTGTATATCAACACCTAAGATTTCCTTGGCGAGTTTCTTCAAACTCGGAGTTTTCCCCTTGGCATAATCACGCCTAAAGGGTAAATGTCGAGAAGTGTCACGAATCATTGATCTTGGATGAGACAGAAAGAGAGCGTCCAAGTCGTGAGCAATTGCATGACCAACCAGGATTCTCTTATCCAAAATCTTTGAAACTTTCTGTTGAGCATCATTAAGAGAAACCGCGTCTTTCATATGAGCTGGAGTGACGCCGCTGATCCAAGTCCTCCAATCGGTGACTTTTTCTACTGGTTTAACAAAAATGTCCAGAACAACATGTCCAAAAAAATTTACGATAGAGACCCTAGCGAGTGCACTTTCAATACCTTCAGGTCCAACTCCAACAAATTCACAATCCATGGCGATAAATTTACCAATTTCATCGGCTTTACTGGTATTTCTCGCACTACCATTAATTTCAGCTATTTTCTCAACGTCAAGTGACACAACTTCCGGTTCAGAACCATTTACAGAGTTATTCTTTTCTGTCTTGAGTTTTTGAATCTCTTGGTTCATTGTATGCACCATATTCATAATCTTGCTCGATTTGGTTTCAATTTTCTTGTTTCGATCATGGCTCATCGCATCTCGAGACTTAACGGTGGGCTTCTTTGAGACTTTGTTTTTCTTGGTTTTACCACCATTTTGAGTCTTCTGAAGTTGCAACCAATTTGAAGAAAGTACCATTTTTGCTCCAAGGCCTTGAAGTGGTCTCGTGAGGTAGGTTTCTTTATTAACTTGATTGGCTCGTCGAAGAATTGATTTTTCACCTCATCGCATATTCAGACTCAATTAAAAGGTTACCAAAGGGAACCCGTACACCACGGAGGAATACTCAGAAATAAGCCAAAATTACCTCTTGATCGTCAAAGGGGCTCATATTTACCAGGAAACGGTTTCAGGATTCACGAAACACATGATATACTTCTCCTTTCAAGCTGGGCTTTAAGAACGATTTTCAAATTTTAGCAATTCTTAACAGTTTTCAACCATTTGAGCACCATGAAGCCTACCACGTTGAAACCTTTCTTTACTTGCCCTCCACCTTCAATCAGCACTCAGCAGACATATTTTTGTGGCGATAAGACTAGAACTTTATTTTTACAACTTTTCTCGCTATTTTGGTGAATATTATAACCAACTAAAAAAGCGAAGCTGGTAAAGAAAAAACCTTAACTAAAACGCTTTCCAGCGTCGATGGACCATACTATACCGATCAATAGGATTCGTGCGGCTTTTTTGAAAGATAGTAATGATAAAGAACAAATGAAGCGGGTCTTAAGACCTTATTTGAGTTCGATACATTGGTCAAACAAGGAATTTGAAGTAACCTATGAAAATGAAGATTATAAGACGATCATGAACGAACAACAGTCACCACCTATCACCAGGGATTACTTGAAGGATTTGAAACATATTTCGAAGCCGTTGTACGGCAGGACTGAGTCTAAGGGTAAATTTGATGTGGTGGGCACCAGAGATGTGGACAAAAGAGAGGCGAATAGCAGAGAGGTGGATACTAGAGAGATGATTAGCGAAGCTGAGCCAAGCAAAAAAGATCAATTGAAAGACCCCGAGACCCTTAAAGTTGATTCTGTCGCTCCAAAATCTTTGGATACTATGGATCCAACAAAATCGGCGTCGACTACCGAGACCAATGGTCGCAAGCATTCCCTCGGCAAAGGGAAACGTAAAACTAGTGCGTTTTCAAGGATATTCAAAACGCAATCAAGTGACCGTAAGGCGGGTGATAGACATGATACTTCTGTTCAAGATCGAATTACCAGGCAAGCACCTATGAGTTTTTACGATTCTGCGTTTAATTACGACGAAACTATGGAGGACGATGACGATGACGATGACGATGATGAAGATGACGGAATAAAAGATGGTGGCAGTTTTTTTCGAGACGACGCCCAACAGGCCGACGACCATTATAAGCAGCAACAGACAAGACTGATCAAAAGAGGCGCATTTGCATTCAATCCGCAAAATATTCTGTCGAATCAAGACAATAAGAGTAGTATCACGGAGAACAATAGCGTCTCAGAGAATCACTCTGGTCAGGCATCTGAAGATGAGCTTAAGCAGGATGATCTGTCAGATATGGAATCTTATATGAACGAAGACGACTTGAAAGATTTGGACCTAGACGGCAATGCGACCCAATTCTCAAGCTCTAACCATCAGGGTGGCGTTGTCATGGATGATAATGAAGGTCACAGGTTTCCCAACTCCGATGGTGATGATATGTCATCCTACGGCAAGTCTCTATTGGATTCAGACTACAGCGAGGAACACTTCAACGAAGAAATGGATAAGATCAACAGCTCATCGGTAGTTGATGATTCTCTCGCAACAGAACAATTACTTCAAAGTGAATCAATGCCAGGACATTCAATACCCAAAACTCAAATGCTGAACGCATTGGGAAAAGATGGACACACGCTTAGCAACGTTTTTAAAAAGGATAGTTTCGGGCTAACATCTGCAGATGCTAGGGGACCACAATGGGACAGAAATGTTATAACTGGTAGTCTCGGCTGTAGGGGAGATACCTCGTCACTCTCCAATGTTTCTGACATTGTTCATAAAAGGAACAGGAGTTCACTTTCTGGGGTCAACATCGGAAGTTCCGAGCGACTCTCCCCTCAGTCGAATCAAAGGCATCAGCGTACCATAAGTGATAGTAAAGATTTAGCGGTCGTGAAGAAACCCGGGCCAGAGACCTTGGAAGTTACTAAACGGGAAGTGAATCAACAAAAGGCGACCCTCATCTCAAACCTATCAACACTTTTCAGCACAAAGAAGGACAACTCGCAAAACTTCCTGGAATGCTTTGCACATGTTTCTGGTGCCAATGCTGCTCCACAAGATTGCATTCACCTCAGTATATACATCGAATGCTCTAAAACTTACAAAAGGAGTCCATTTGAACTAAACGTCCGCAAAGAAGTGAGCGTTTTTGATGTTATTGGATTTATCCTATACGTTTATTCGACGTCTCATAAACCTGATACTGACTTTAAAGATGACGGGATTAATGAAGACGAGCGCTCAAATCCAAATAAGTTTAATCTGAAAATTGTTGATGAAGACGGAGAGCCCTTTGAAGATAATTTTGGAACGTTGGATAGGAAGAAGCTGATTGGAACGGTTTCTGATGATGAACTTGTGCTCTGTCGGGTGGAGGATGATGATCAGTACAAGGCAAATGAGCTTGTCACGCCTTTACCCTATGAGGCCAATCGTATGGGGGAACACCACGGTAAGAGCCGGCGAAATTCACTAAAAGACTCAACGCTGAACCAGCTAAGCTATTATAAACCTATAATTGGAGCAACTACGGACGTGTCTAGCTCAAAGCATCAAAAATTGGTTCAAATTAAAGTGTTTCTATATCCAGCGGTGAATCCATCAGTCAATTTCACGAACATTCAAGTTCCGGTAACTTGCAAGATCAATGACGTGTTAGTTCAATACTGTAAAATGAAGTCAATGGATCCAAATGAGTACATTTTGAAACTTCACGACCAAAAGGTCTCGTGTGATCTAAACTGTACAGTGGAAGAACTAGATGGTCAGAATTCGCTGGAATTAGTTACAAAGAGTCAAGCCAGGAAGATGAACTTGAAGAAGTTCAAGAGGACTTTGACCAGCCCGGGTTTGCCAACAATTCAGAGTGGAGAATTAACGCCGTTGACTCCAGACACAAGAGACAATTTCATGGAGAACACTAACCCAATAAACTTAGAAGAGCGAAAGGGCAATTATGTGGATCAAAATGTAAACTCCAGAAAACCTTCTTCAAGGCTCAAGCTTGGCTTAGCAAAGCAAATGTCTTCTGGGTCTACAGGAATGGGTGGAGGACTTTTAAAACTCAAAAACTCTTCGAAAACTTCTTTATCAAATAGCACCGTCCCCAATGGCCATTCCCAATCAGACCATTCTGGAATTGATCTTATGACTGACTACCGCGATTTGTTGGCAGGTGCTTACTATAAATATAAAGTCTGGAGAAGGCAACAAATGTCATTTATTACCAAACATGAAAGGACATTAGCCATTGACGGTGATTATGTTTACATTATACCGCCAGAACACACTTATCATTGGCATCACGACAGTGTTAAGACTAAGTGTTTCCATATCAGCCAACTGGTTTTGGCGAAGCGCTCGAAGAGAGTCGCTGAATACTTTAAACTTTTCGTTAGTCGGCCTGGCGGGTTGAAACGGTATTATTTTGAAGCTGTGAATGAGCAGGAGTGTGCTGAAATAGTGTCAAGACTACAAAAACTTTCAAGTGCATATCGCATGAATCATCAAGCCACTACGGTGCCGTCAGTCTCATAGCTTTAGAACAGCAAAAGAAACAGTCGTTAGTCACTTCTTCGAAATTTAGCATGTGTAACTTATCAATGCATTCCGGTTTATTTGGTCATAACGATAGTTATTTATAATTTTATTTAATGATTTGAAGCTTTATTCTAACACTTATCCAAATATCGAGAAAATAGTCAGTAACCGTAGGAGCGGTCTCCAAATAGCCAAGTGTTGACCATTTCAAGACTATGCTCCGGTTGGTTATATGGTACCATATGACCTGCATCGTACACTCTCAAAAAAGTTAAAGGTCCGAAATTTTTCACTTGACCTGCCACTTCAGTTGTTTCTTTGGTTTTCCACGGTTTTAATGGAAGGTATTCATATTGGTCCCGAAATTCCCAATCGAGCTCATTTGTCCAAGCAAGATTGCCCAACCAGTTGCATATATAGTCCTTGTCACCGGCATAAATCAATACCGGGATGTCTTCATCGAGTAGCTCAGCGACGTATTGATGGAACGGACGACTCCCATCTCCTGTAAAAACAAACCCAATTCCAACGTCATTACTACATCCTTCATATTTGGACACTTCCGAGCCAAGTGCTTCTTGAACAAAAGGCTGGTTCATGAATTTTTCAATATAATCGATTTCGCGGTAACAGAGACCACCATCGGTCTCACAAGGTCCACGAATGTCGTAAAAATTGAGTTCTGTCTTTTGGTATGGTTCGAGCGTGACTCTGTCGCAGTAAGTTTGAGCCGCGATACAAGCAAATGCCGACGCTTGCGAGTAGCAGTTTCTTGTAAGTGCATTACACAATCCAATATCACGATCCATACGTTCACATTCGTGTTCCGTAAGAACGGGTTCATAGCCTCCCTCACCACAAGCCATAGGTTTATAATAGTTGTTTTGTACTAGCGAATCAGTAATACCATTGCCAATGAGAATCGATGTCAAATTGAAAGTTCTGTCGCCACCATGCGAAACAACGATCTCATGTGCAATCTGGGGAATGTAATGCCCTGCATAGGATTCTCCTGCGATATGAAGCGCATTTCTTCTTAATAGAGGAAATTTCTGGTAAAATAATTCCAAGAAGATGTAGACATCTTTTCCCGCGGCACGAGTACTGGTGACTTTCTCGTTCCCGTACGAAAATCCAACACCCAAAGGCTGTTCCAGAAAGATAACCGTGGCGTTGTTATTCCACGAATACGGATTGAAAACGGGGCTCAAGTTTTCATCGATCGAAGATGACCCTAATTCGAAAAACAGTCCAGTGAAAGAAGAACAGCCGGGGCCTCCATTGAGCCAAAGGATAACAGGATCATTTTCGGGATCGTTTCTAGATTCAAACATCCAATAAAAGAAATGCTTCGAATCTTGGAAATCCAGGTATCCGGAATATTGTTTGACAGTATCGATGCCAAGTTTTTCGGGGTCAATCGTTTTAATTCTTAACCTGTAATCGTCATCTTTGTCAGTTTTGAACACGGAAAATCCAGCATTTGGGTTGGGTTTTCTAATCGATTGCAAAGCGTTTTTAACAGGGTTGACAACGCTAAAATCATTCTGAGCCCTTTCGAACTCAGAAAACACGGAAAAGGCACTGGCAGAGCCCAGAGCCGTGACGCCAGCCACTAACTGACGAACAGAAACCATTTATATCCCAAAATCAGTGAGCTTGGGTGTCTTGTTTCCCCGGTGGAAAGTGGTCCCTTGATAACAGTGGAAGAGACTCGTATATCCGAGAACCATTTCAGTGAAACTGAGCACGTACACAACGATTTGAAGATAAGAACACTTACATATCACTGATAACGAAGTAAGCTTGAAGTGATAAACCTGGGCGGCTAAAAACATGATATCGAAGGACGCGAATCCCCATTGGGCATACGTAATTCGAAATTCAGACATGCGCGAAGTTTCAAAGCCTGATTCAATGTTGCTGGAATGAGGAGAGCGTTCTGTTTCAAGTAGGCGTTCATTTGGCGTATGAACGCGTGGTTTTGCGTGTGAAGTCATGCTCTCAATGACTTCCCTTGCGCTTATTCGTCACTCTATACCTCAGATGAAAGAACCAAGTAGAGTTACTCTCGGTTGGTCAGTATTAGATTTGTAAAATTTCGCTTGATGTTGAGATCGACTTTTTACATACTGGCTCTTCCACCACGATAGGAGGTCGCAGTTAAACTATGGGAATGCAAAGAGTAGATCAAAGCCATCGAAAAATTATGGTAATAACAAACTACATTTGCGATCAAATATATAGTTAAAAGCTGAAACTAACTCTAAAAGGTTTTTTCCTCTACCTTAGTAGCAAAGCCTTATACCAAGAGATACTACAACACAACACGTGCTAACTAGACATCGACACCTGAAAAGAAAATAAGCGGTCTGACAAACGCAAATATTTTGGGTAACTCAAAGCCTTCTTCAAGTGTGCGAACGCTCGAGTTTACAAAGTCTTTCGCGAAGCAAACCATATGTTTGTCAAAGAAAGGGAAAATGTCAGCGAGGGCGACAAATCGACAACTGTTGCAATCCTGCAAAATAACTAAGAAATCGTCCATTAAAATGTCACCTACATAAAAAAGTCACATATACGACGATAAAATTACATATCTAATAGACATATTCGCGTTTTACCGCTGCCAGTTTTCATATCAGATTTCTATTCTGACATACGTTAAAGCCTTTGGGATCACGTGCGTTGCCTTCTAGATTTGCCTTGTCTAAAAAGAGAGCTTTCAACGTCCATTTATCAACTGTTTTGCGGCTATCTCTTCGACCAGGAAAGACCATCGTATTGATACCTGCCAAAAGCACCTAGGACCAATGCAGAACGTCTCTTGTCAGTGTCTCTTACGCCTTATTACTGTAGCCTTCCCATATGGACGTATACGGTGACGACACCAACCTCTTCTAAATCGCACCTTGCGGATAGATTTCCCGTTACAAGTTTATGCATTTTTATTTCCAATAACTTCCGTACCTATTAGCTATGAACCTATTGTGCACGGTTTACTGTAACCTTTGCCCGTTCTAGGCATATGCCGTTTCCTTCGCGAATAAAGTGGTAGTAATCGATAATCTATTTTATTAGCTAGACTGGAAGTGCTCAAGATCGGCAAGATGAACACTGGGGTACCTTAAAAACACTTCCTGGGTGATTTCCGAACGTCTCTTGTTTACATCCTGCCCATAATTACTAAACTTCACTGGAGCAAGGTCTCTGATTGGACGAGAAACTCAAATTACACATAACTCTACACGACAATCATCTACTCAAATTGCGAAAATTTATCTCGAAAGACTTCCCATACTTTCATCAAACTGGATTCAATCTCAACTCTCAGACCTCTTCGAAAATGGGTGCTGCTTATCATATTTTGGGTAGAACGGTTCAACCGCATCAACTCTCTATTGCCACTATTTCCGCTGTCGTTTTGCTCGCATTGCCAAACCCATTTGCAACCAAAGTGCCTAAAAAACCAGAGGTGAAGGCCGCTTCTGCCGAAGAGGAGAAGTTCATTGCCAACTATATCAAAGAGCACACCGCTAAAGCTGAAAAGCATTGAGCCAGACACGACCGTCTGGGAGCATCTTATGACACCTTATATATTCGGAGAATTGTGTATCTTGAAACTATTCAAAATTCAATGAAATGACGTGAACTTGATTTCCGATTCTTTTAATGTACAGTTCTATGTAGTTTCAATCCCTGAAAACGGCTTCGTTCGACAGAGGATCGACGGCAAGCACGTTTTCACGGCGCTTGATCTTACGTTGCACGGCTGCATCGGCTCTTTCGCGTGCCTCTGCAGCCGCTTGTTGTTTGAGTTGAGCCCTCACCACGTTGGGTGAAACGTACTGTCTGTTTTCGAAAATCTTGGGTCCACCAAAGGAACCTTCCAACACCAAAATTGGAGTCATGACAAAACGGGGCCCAATTTCCACGAGCGATGTATCCTCCTGAGTATCTTCTTTATCCGCATATTCGTCATTGTTACGCGCACTATGCGAGATCTCGTAGTTTCTGACCCAAATCTTGTTGTCGACTATGCTGAAGGACATAACGTGGTCAATGAAAGGTTTACTTTTCCTAGCTTGTGGAGGAACCCCAAATGCATGCAAGAACATCTCCTTGATAAGCTGATATTGAGGTTCTGAATCAAACCTGGAATCGAACGACAAAATCGGTCTGGAACCTTTCAAACAGTTACCCGTAAAATTCAACTCGTCCATGGTATGCAGGTTTTGCAAATAAAATTTCACCGTGGGTCCATTAGGTGGTTTCGACATCCATAGATACAAATCCTGATGTTTACGAGCTTCGAAAAACAATATATTATTGCAGTTGTAAAGTTCCGCAATCTCGTTCAATTGTCCCAAATCCTTCTTAGTGTCCAATTTGGGCTCTTTTCTCGAATGTGGTAAAAGACTGTTCAAATCTTGAATCAAATGCCTATGTCTGTAAGTCACTCCTCTCGACGAGATTACCAGCGCCCGTTGCTTGTTCATATACGTTTTCTCGCCATTTTTCGTTTTGGAATCGTCCTTCCCTTTCAAAGCTTTGAATATCGACGACATTTGGTCGTATTTAAGCTCTCGTGTTTTACCTTTGTCACTACTAAAGTCATCGGTCAAGAAGCTCATCGCTTAAAATTTTTCACCGCTGGCCGCCGCTGTTGATTTTCCCCCGAATATGTCATGTATGACGAAATCTTTAAATTTGTTGATGGCCATGAACGTTTAATTAAAGAACCTCACCGAATCATCCAAAACCAATTTTACCCAATGAGCGTTAATCAAGATGAGGTTTTGGATGCGATAGAACGATCTAATTTTAAGACTGCGAATCAATTGGTAGCGAAACTCGTTAAAACGGCGCCCTTTGCGACTTTCCCCAAGATTTTAGAGCAATATGTCAAGTTCAGACAAAATCGTAAAAAATTCAGCTTCGAAAGGGGGTTGGCACCCATCTTGAGCGGTGTGTCTCCTCCAAATGATGCGAATTCTTTGCATTTACTCCACAGGTTCTTGATAGAATTGGGCATGTACGGAAAAGCGCTGGATGTGTACGCTAGGGCTATGCAGAAATATCCGAATTTTGAAATTGGGTATCAATGGTTCACCAAATCGTTAGAAGATTTGAACTTCATGCATTTACAACAATCGAGTTTCCAACTGCCGCGTCTTTCCACAAATCCACGGCAAGTTTACTTTTGGAACGCGCTCGCCACGGTGGGGCTGGTCAAACTTCGAGAAAATCTTTTGACCGAACAGAAAAGAAATTTGCTTTTGCAATTGAGCTACAAGTCTTTGAGCTCTGTCAAACCTTTCAAAAACAATCAGGAACTAATCGTTTTCTGCCACCTATGCGAACTTTGCGGTGACAAATCTCAAGAAATCGTTGAAATCGTTCTACCCACGCTTTGTGGGGACAATGAGCGAACAAGTGTTGATTTGCACTTGAAAAATTTTATTATAAAGCATTTGAAAGTTCTTAATGATGATGATCGTATGGTTTACGTGTGTCAGAGGCTTTTAGCATGCCTGGACGACTACGATCTTTTGTGTGAATTCATCAAAAGCACCAAGGCACTTGATCTGTCTCGTGAAATTGCTGAGCAAGAACTCAAAAGAAGAGATTCGAGAAACTACCGATTGGCAACGTTCGAGCTGGATTTGAGCTTTGATGGGAAAATAAGCGAGCGCTCTTTGGAAACGTATCTGTCGAAATTTCACAACAAACCCTGCTGTCACGTTGACATACAACGTTATAGAGAGTTCATCGACGATAGCAGCCTTTTCAGTGTATTAGAGTTGCTACCGCCCGGGTTGCTTCATGATTGCAATGTCCTCAAATTCTCTGGTGAGAAAATTGTCGAATCGTCTATCGAACTTTTGATAAAACACGAATCCGAAATCAAGAACAAACTTGACACCGATTACTCCGCTTGTTCCTACCTTCTCTTGAATATCATTCAAGACTTAGTTAGGGATGAGAACTTGACTCTTCAAAATGCTGCGACGGCCATAGCCCTTCTCGAAAACTACCAGAAGAAGGATTGCTTCAATTACGAAACAAGAGTTTGGCTGATTATACTTTACAATTATGTCGGAGTACCAAGCTTGGCCTTAGAGCAGTATGAACAATTGAAAGTGAAGAATGTACAAACCGACACGATTAGTTATCTTGTGTCGTCGCGGTTCTCCTCACGATTTCCAGATAAAAATTCATCCGTCCTCTCCGATTTCATTGTTGGAGCTAAAGTTTACGAATCTGCCGCCAGCCTTCCCCAATTCATACGCATCGCATTCGAAAGAAGTTGCTTTGCCAAAGTGGTCGGCATGATAGATTTGTATGACAAGCTTCAGAGATCCATTTCGCGGTGGAACGACATGGCGGAGTCACTCCAACTTTCACGTTTATTGAACGACAAACGTGGCGAGCTTTTAAAAAATATGCATTCCACATGGAGAGCTTTGGAACTATCAAATTTTAATGCATATGGTGCAACCGATAGACTAGAGCTTGTTGATAACAGAGATTATGTGATCCTAGAGCCAATCGCTTCCAGTTGCTCAAAGATACTTGAATATGCAAGAACAGACCAATCGTGGACTCTGGCATCCGGTCTCAGAGAAATGCTAGTTGAATCAATTAGCACCGGCGAAGAGAATATCGACATTTGCCGGTTTCTCGATGCTTACAGCACAGATAAGATGACCCAAAGCGAGCGATGGTCCTTCTCCCTTCTCAAGAAGCTATATCGGGATGGATGTGAACAAAGCGCCGAGTGGCTTCTCGACTCGTTGAACGACAAGCCTCATTTGCACACAGAGACGTGGCTACTGACACATGATTACTGCGTACAATTAACAACACTTAAGACCTTAGATGGTATTAAAAGAATTAAAGATGCTACCTGTAAGAAGAAGATCAAATTGGAACTGCAATTGCTGAGAGATGCATGCTCTGAATTGCATATGAGCTATGCGAAACAATGGGAAGGATTAGACTTGGATAATTCGTTGATAGAGCGTCTTGGATTTTCTCATCGCGTAGAAAACATTCGACAAGGATTTATGACAAGCTTAAAGCTGGTACGGAATCTTTAACCTGTTAGTGAAAAGGCTTCATCCATAACCGAGAAAATAAAAGCACGGTAGCCGCTTAGTCATCAGAAAGACAATAGAGCAATTAGAGGCTTGATCGTGGTCAGAATCAAAGACTCTAATTTTAGGCATAAAACATTCCCGTTCTTGAGTTTAAAATGTTAACATCGATTGACAGCTACAGATGATATAACACAGTTAAATCTTGAAGACCAGAAACGAAACTGGTACGGCCGTTGGATTCGATTATATATTAAATGATTATTGTCTTGTGAATGAACGAGAATTTAATCCAACCAAACTTTGGAGTCAGATATTTGTTGGTCTGTTAGGCATTGTGGCCATCTCCTCAAACCCGTAGCGATCTAATATGAGAACATCGTTCACCTCTTTGCCTTCGGTTCGTAATCTGGTGGGGCAAATGTGAAATAGGATCGACTCTTTTCGTCATAACCGGCGAAATCATCGCGTACATCGACATGATGAACCTTAGCAGCCAAGATTTGTTGCGTTGATAGGCCCATAGGGTCTTTGGCAATCCAGATAATAGGCTCCGGGTCCGAAACACAAGGATCTGCGTATGCTGTAGGAACAAAATCCTTGTCATATTTTACAGTTGTGTTGTAAAGATGTGGAAGATGAGACCTGATGGAGTTGAAATCGTGATACTTTTCCGGATGGAAAAATCCAATAAGACGGTCCTTGTAAGTACGAGCATCTGGGAGATTCGATGGGAACGCGGCAGGACTCTTCGTCACGGCGTTAGCATCGGCGAAAACGTTGCCTGCATCCGCGTTGACCACAACAGCACCATTAGCTTCCATATCCTCAGTGGGGGGCTCGCGTTTCAAATCTTTGACATCGTCGTAGCTGTATTTGTGGAACTCCTCGTCCTCTGGAACGAAATTGGTATCATTTGTGGTTGTCAAGTCAGCTTTATTTATGCTAGAGGATTTGCGCTTGGTACCAGCATCGGTAGTGTCCTCTTCCGTTTCGTTCACGTTTGCCACATGACGTTCGTTGTGTGCATCGTTTTCCTCATCGGAAGCATCAGATAAGATACCGGCACGTTTGAGATCAGCAGAAGTGGCAGGTTGTATGACACCTCCGGTCACATTTTGATCAAGTTCCTCCTTGAACTGTTCACCAACTTCGCGAATTTCACGCAAGCCTTGATCCTTTGTTGGGTAAACGTAACCGGGCTCACCTCTAGCAGTCTTGATCGCACTCAATGGTACTGCATCAAATAGTGGAATGAATCTTCTCTGAAAATACAAATGACACAACACGGTAAAGGCCAAAAACACTGCTTCTAACACGACTGGGCCCCAAGTCTTAGCCATGACAAACAATCCAATTAAACAAATTTCAGCAAGGTAGAGACCAACAAAAGTTTGGTACAACGCCTTGGGGTAGTTTCTTCCACGCAAGTCAAACGAAAACCCAAAAACGTAGTTGAGGTTGTACATGTAGGACAGGACGAAAAACGCAAATGTCATTGTAGAAAAGACCAAGATGATGGAGGCAATTATGGAATAACATAGGTAAATGACAACCAATAGACCCATCACTGGGTAAGCAATACCCCATGAAGGTTTCGAAAGCGTGTTGTAACGATTCCATTTCTGACGAGGTGTAGCATCCAGGATTCTCCCCAAAAATTTACTCATGATTAAGTTGACTGCTTGCAATAAACCTTTACTTGGGATGGTCAAACCTTGTAATAGAAAAAACGCGATGTAGAAATTCGAGGCCTTGGGTAAATTTTGCGCCAGTAAAGTCATTGCACTGGAAGGTTTTTCAATAATATCTGTAACGGTGGCAGAGGCTGCAGAAGTACCCGTCACAACCAAAAAAACTTGAATCACCAAAAACCCGTAGTACCAGCCTTGACAGTACAGCTCAACTTCTTGTTCGGTCATAGATCCACTTTTCCTACCTGCCAATTTGATGAAGGGAGGAACTAGCGATATCAAGATCGCCAGGGCGACTGTGGGCAAAATACCGGTGATCAGACCTAATAGAAAAGAGGGCAAGTTGTTGATAAATCTCAAAAAGGGGACTTTGTTGGTGAGGAAATTGACGTTGGAAATACAGCCCACCACAGCGACAGGGATGGCCCAAAATATAATCATGAGACACATGAGGGTGTTCGCGACGACGCGCTTGGACAGACGGGTTTTCCGGGACAGCCCCATATTGCTCCACACCACTTCTTCCGGAGCACAACCTATCAAACACTTGTCGTAACTCTTTTTTTCGAGAACAAAAGACACGGACTGGTATGCGCGCTGCGCGTCGAGCTGAGTCTTGAACTCAAGGAAGCAAGCGCCCACCTTATCTTGCAATTCCCAGTCCTGCTGCTTGGCGTTGATCTCGTCATTGAGCTCGGCAATACGCTTGCAAGAATATTCCATAGTGTCGACTTTTTCACCTCCCACAAATGGAAGTGGGATTTTACCCAATCTGTGGCGAGGCCGCTTGTTTTGCGGGATGTACGTCTCCAGATCGTTTTCCGGCTTATTTTTCACGAGTTCTTCGAGCTTGCCCTTTTTCTCCGCCTTCCTGCGGACCTTGAGAGACTTGCGGATCACCTTGTTCAGAGTGTTTTCGTACTTTTTGGCGTATTTGGCACGTTCTTTACAAAGCTTCTCGAGTTCCGAGTGGTCGCGCGCGAACACCACGCTACGACAGTTTTGGAACCGACGTTGCATTTCGGACTCGTTGCTCAAGTCGGGAGAAAGCTCAGTGATGAGCATGGTGCGCGACGAGAGCAGCCCGTCCATGAGTGGGCTGGTCTGAACGGCGTGACGCAACGACACATAGTAGTAAAGTTCGCGGAATAGAACGTAGATGACGAGTCCAAAGTAGAGCCAGGACAAGAACACGTGCGCGTAGAACCGGTTTTTGTTTTTCACGTTTGAGAATCCCAGCAGTTCGAAACCTTTCAGATTGTAACCGTTGGTTGCGTTGACCGGTAACAAGATCGGGAACAAAAGCGCGATGCCCAGGAGGGACAAGCCGCCGAAGATGGACAAATACCGCAAAAACAAGTACCCGTCCAGACCCGCGTGTTGGATGAGGAACGAGTGGGGCTTGGACAGCAGAAACGGAGCCCATTGGTAGCTGCCAGCGGGAACTTCTTCGGTGCGTTCTTCTTCTGGCACCGTGATCACGTCCTTCAGGGCACGTGGCTGGTACACCCGTGGATTCTTGGGGCGTAGCCGCGTGAACAGCAGCACGAACACGATGCAGATGATCCCGTACAGGATCAGGGTTGTCACAAACGCCGATGTCGACGAGCTGACTGGCTGCTTGTCGCTTGCCATGTTTGCGCTGGTGGTGTGTGGTGGTTTGAAGTGGTCGTTCTAGAATCCTCTAGAACTCCGAACGGGGGGCTCTTCTTATACTGTTGGACAAATTTAGCCGCCGGGCCCCTTGAAAGCAACAAGTGCTCGTTTTTGTGTCACCTGACGTCACACCTTCTTTTTTTGGGGACCAAAAAAAGAAACAGAGGAGGGGCGACAGAGGAGCAGAACGCCGAGTCGTGTGGGGTTTATCTTTTTGTTTGTTCCGTAAGTTCCAGAACCTTCTTTTTCTGCAAAGAACGCTTTTGGCTTCTCTTGTACCCACTAGGAATCACCCCGTCTTCAACCGCGAACCCACCACAAACATATATGCGAGCCCGCGAGCGAAACCCCGTAGACATAGGCATCAGCGTCAACTTGGCCAGGGATTGCTCTGGGATGCACCGAACAGCAGTGACCTAATCCTCTATGATGTAAACCAGTGCAAACGCGCATGCAATTAGGTTTCCAGGGCTGTGCGGCGGGGGCAGGGGGCCAGACCCCGGTACGTGATGTTGACGTAAGAACACAAGAGCGCACGCCGGACGACGGTTATAAACCCCGAGGGAAGCAAGATACGCGGTCACGCGACCACGGCGGTGTTTGGGTGCCAGGAGCGCCGGGTGTACGGATGCAGGGCATGCACGCGGGCAGGCACCGCCTGTGCGGGTGAACGGCGACGAATGCAGAGGGGCGGAAGAGTTATGCAGAATAGATACGAGTTTAGTTCGGGCGCAGACGGGGGCGCATCGCCTCACATGAGCGTGCAGTCGCTCTGGTTTGCGCGCACTGTGGGCTGTCTGAGCCGGTCCATATAGACGGCCGCGGGCGACGGAGGCACAGACGAGGTCGAAGGCGTTGGCGGCGTCGAGATCGACCACGCGCCACGTGACGTCGACACGCTACCGCGTGGCGACCGCGGCGCGGTCTGCGCGGAATGTCCGGCTATGCCCGGGCCGGCTCCGGAACCGGCTCCGGAACCGGCTCCGGAGCCGTGGCCAGAACCGTGGCCAGAACCGAGGCCAGCACCGGCTCCTGCACCGGTTCCAGAACCGGTGCTCCGCAGAGCAGGCACTTCGAACACCACCGCCCTGCGCGTTTGTTGCTCGCGCACGGCCGGGTCTATCACGGGATCAACTCCGTAGCTCAGGAGCGAGTTCGCGAGGTACTCGTAGAGTCGGGACCAGGTCTCTTCTAATTCCGGTGTGCAGAAACGGCCGAAGCGGTCGCGCAGAGTCTTGAGGAACGCAGCGCCGGCCAGCTCGAAATGGCCCTTCTGGACGCCGATGATACGAGCATGCCGCTTGGCCAGATTCTCCAGGTACCCGTCCAGGATGGACAGGTCCTCCAGGTTGCTAATGGCAACGGTCAGCACGCCTGCAACCCCGATGGGCGCGTGCCTGATGGACGGGAACAATTCCTGGACCGCGGGTTCGAGCAGGAAGCAGTTCTCGATGAACTGCTCTGCGAACAGCGAACTGGAGGTCGAGTTGTACGCCTTGCGGGTCGCGGTCTCGGGAGCGGCCGTCGCGGCCGCTCCCTGCGCGGCTGCGCCCGCGGTGCTGCTGCGGCCGTGCCTGAGCCGGGCATCGAAGGCACATAGCTTTTCGTACGAAATGTCGTCGCTCAGCAACAACTGCCAGGACTCGCGAATTAGCATTATCTGGCGGGCAGACAGGACTGTGCCGGGCGCCGCCGGGGCCTCGTGTGTCGACGCAGAGCCGCTGCTGCTGTTTCTGCGGAGTTCCGCCGCGGAACCCGTACCAGATCCACTGCCGATTCTACGCTCTGGAATAGCCATGGTCGCGAGTTTCGTCGCCGGGTCCCGCCGCACGCCTGGGCGAAAACGAATCTGCTTATATATGTCCGTCCCTGAACGGGCTTGCCCCGCCCGCTGACGAAACACGTAAGCTGCGGTGCATCTGCACAGAACCGTCTAGTCCGACCTTTATTGCAGAAACGCCCCGTTGTGGCAGGCTACCGGTGCTTTCAGTGCGGAGCGCGCTGAAAATGGTGTCGTCACCGCCTCGGTGCGCAAGCGCTGCCTGAGAGAAGCCTTGACAAGCTACCGTTCATTCCTGCGCTTTAGCCACGAACGCCCGTTGGAGAGTCGACAACGCAGGCACGATGCATGCCGCATGCAGATGCAGCGTGCCTGCAGAGTCAGGCAAGCCGAAGGCACGCAGTCGCTGAGTACGGAAAATGCGTACCTCGTGTAATACGGTGCTGCGGTCAGCTGACCCGCTCCCTCCCGAGGAGCCCCTGCTGCCCAAAGAGGTTACCCTGCCCTTCAACACCCGTGCCCCGCGCGTATGTGGTGCGATTTTCGAGAAATGCAGGCAGGGGCTTCCTGTAGGAAGCCCCACTCCCCCCACGCCTGCCTGGTTTGTACACCCCGCCGTAATGCCCGTCTTCTGGCACCACCCCTCGGAAGCTGCCCCTCGGAAGCTGCCCCTCTCGGAACGCCCCAGCACAACCCAGGCTGGTTCGGAGCTTCCCGCTCGCCGTTGCGTGAGTCCGCAGTCTGCGCCCTCATCTAAGAAGATCGCCTATAGGCCCGCGCCCAGCAGCCCTCGCCTGCAGCGATTCAACTTCGGAGCTACAAACCGAATACCACATGGCGCGCACCTAAAGTCGTCCCTATGAGACCACTCCAGGTTCGAGAAGCATCGCGCGATGCCACGGCTTAATTTCTCACACGACTTTGCCGTAAATTCAGAGTGATAAGCGACCGGCACTGCCAACGAAATCGTGTATAAAAGGTGTACATAGTTTGATGTAAGAACCGTTGTAGTAGACTTTTTATCTTTTACCTCTGTATACAAGGTTTATCAGTAATCAAACCATACACCACTACAAAAATCAAATGTCTGCCCCACAAATCCCAACTACCCAGAAAGGTGTTATTTTCTACGAGAGCGGCGGTGAGCTTCAATACAAGGACATCCCAGTCCCAAAGCCAAAGTCCAACGAGCTTTTGATCAACGTCAAGTACTCCGGTGTGTGCCACACCGACTTGCACGCCTGGAAGGGTGACTGGCCTTTGCCTGCCAAGTTGCCTTTGGTCGGTGGTCACGAGGGTGCCGGTGTCGTTGTCGCCATGGGTGAGAACGTGAAAAACTGGAAAATCGGTGACTACGCCGGTATCAAATGGTTGAACGGATCCTGCATGAACTGTGAGTTCTGTGAATTGTCCAACGAATCCAACTGTGCCCAGGCCGATCTTTCCGGTTACACCCACGACGGTTCTTTCCAACAGTACGCTACCGCTGACGCCGTCCAAGCTGCCAAGATCCCAGCCGGTACCGACCTTTCCCAAGTTGCTCCAATTCTATGTGCCGGTGTCACTGTGTACAAGGCTTTGAAGTCCGCCAACTTGAAGGCCGGCCAATGGGTCTGTATCTCCGGTGCCTGTGGTGGTCTGGGTTCTCTGTGCATCCAATACGCCACTGCCATGGGTTACCGTGTCGTTGGTATCGACGGTGGTGCCGAAAAGGCCAAGATGTTCAAGGAGTTGGGTGGTGAAGTCTTCATCGATTTCACCAAAACCAAGGACATCGTTGCTGAGGTCCTCAAGGTTACCAACGGTGGTGCTCACGGTACCATCAACGTTTCCGTCTCCGAGGCCGCCATTTCCGCCTCTACCGAATACTGCAGACCTAACGGTACCGTTGTCTTGGTCGGTATGCCAAGTGGTGCCCAATGTAAGTCTGACGTTTTCAACCACGTTGTCAAGTCTATCAGCATCGTTGGTTCTTACGTCGGTAACAGAGCTGACACCAGAGAAGCGCTAGACTTCTTCTCCAGAGGTCTTGTCAAGTCCCCAATCAAGATTGCGCCTTTGTCCGACTTGCCAGAAATCTTCGACATGATGCTAAAGGGTCAAATCGTCGGCAGATACGTTGTTGACACTTCCAAATAAGCGGTCACATTACCACCCCCACTCCACGCTATTAAAGTCACAGTTTTATAGTTACGAATTTATGATAAATAGTGCGCCCCTTACTGTAAGCGAGCAAATCTGAAATCTGATAGAATATGCGTCAATTGGATAATTAATTATCTATTTATTCTTTATCTAGACGGAGGGCCAGTTAATTGCGGGTCAGACTCATGTGGAGTTGGATAATGTAATGTCACTTTGTACGTCACTTAGTACCCAGTAACGTGGATGCCCTACAAGACGATATTCATATGGTATAGCGGCGCTGCCATTTATGCCCAAATCCCAAGCTATTGTTCCGAAATCTTTTATCATAATTAAGTGCTCTCAGCAACATTTCGTAACACCCACCCACCATAGGATAGTACCATACACCCTTCCAAGGTATTGGTGGCGGATTAATACAAGCCAAAATCCATGACTTGAGTTAGAGAATCTTACCGAGAAAAATGAGCACTACTGAGCGAGCTTTGGTAGATGGCTAGTCAGGCCCGCTTTGGCGGCGACCACCCAGAACTCAGGCCGTCAATAGTGCTTATGAGTTTGAACTAAAAATGCCAACGGTGCACAAGGTAATAACGGCAGTACACTTAGATATCAATTGCACAATTAGACAGCTCACCTGTCGGTCAGCTACGTGAGGTTCAAGTGGCAAACCGCCGAATGGCTCAAGGGACTAATTCCGCAATCCATGCCGTTGAAAGTGATGTTTTCATTGCATCAAGTCTCAAAAGAAAAGCTGAGTTCTCCAAGCACGAGCTTTCTGACTCAAAATTCTAAATTCGACTCATTGCTGTCCCCTCATACTTGATGACGGCATCGACATTTTGGTCTTCGAGTGTTGTAGAAAGACAAAACAATTGAGGGATCTTCCCTTCAGTTGATCACGTGACCCTTTCGGAAGAAGACCTCTGATAACTTGTCCTTGTTGTACCGGGAAAATTTTCCACATCACGGTTTCGTCAGCTTAAGAAAGTGGTTTATCACTGCAGAACAAGCGCCCGAGAGCCCTCAAAATACAGTGTTACTGTCCTCTAATGCTCTCTTCAGCATTCCATCTGCTGAAGCCGCGTTCTCCGGCTTTAACCGTTTTCCGGTGCTGTCAGGTTCAAAAATTCAGTTCTAATGCTGTGCGTCTTGATGCTGTCGATTATATTGCACAACAAACTCGAATTGTTCCAAAACTCGCTACGTTCTATTCTGCCAATCCGCAGCACGAGGACCGTATAGATAGACTGGAATCGCTCTTACGCAAATATATCAAGCTACCCACGGTCAAGGTTGGCGCCGGCGACAGGCCTGCGTGGGTCCCGTTTGCGGACTATGCGCTAGTTGGAGGTGGCACACGGCTGAAACCCGTACAATACGAACAGCTGGTGTCGTTGTTGAACAGATTGCATTCAATTGATCCAGAATTGACCAACGACGAAATTACGACTGAAATTGCACAATATTACCGTAAATCTAAGCTACAGGCCACACATACGAAACAACAAACGTTGGACGAATTCGGTAGAAGCCTTGCCATTGGGCGCAGGAAAAGCTCGGTGGCCAAAGTTTACCTTGTACGCGGCACCGGTGAGGTTCTCGTGAACAGTAGACCACTAAACGATTATTTTGTGAAATTGAAAGACCGTGAATCCGTGATGTACCCGTTACAAGTTGTCCAGGGTGTCGGGAAATACAACATTTTCGCAACGACCTCTGGTGGCGGCGTTACAGGCCAAGCGGACGCCATAATGCATTCTGTGGCCAAAGCACTTGTCACTTTCAATCCATTACTGAAATCCAGACTACATAACGCTGGTGTATTGACCAGAGACTACAGACATGTCGAAAGGAAAAAACCGGGCAAAAGAAAGGCCAGAAAAATGCCTACCTGGGTCAAAAGATAATTCTATTACATTCATGTACATACCATATCATCAAACTCATCTCTCAATTTCCTGCTCTAGCGCAGCCTTCAAATCTGGAGACTTACGTACTACTAACATCATATCGTCGACATTAATCGTTGCGCGACCCGCGTGTCTTGCGAACGCCTCGAGATCGCACCCCACCTCCACCAATTGCGTAAATGTCAACTCTACCAATGCATTCACGAATTTCGGCGAATACGCCGTTCCAGACGGCAATTCTTTCTTTATTTGCTGTTCAATACAAAACCAAAGCTTCCCTTTAAGCTGCGATATTAATCGCTGCTTATAATCCTTGTCTTCGTCGCTCATCTGGGTTGTTCCATGTCTTGTTCTTTAGTGGTGACCATGATGATCTTGATTTTTCGGTTATCGATATTTCACTCTATTCTTAATTAACCCGTTACTTAGGTTTAATGCCAAATAGCACGATCAAGACCACTACAATCCAGCAGGAATTGACTATATAAGGGATTCGTAACTCGTTTATAACCCGTTGGTCAGTCTACTGTCTTTTTACTCGAGCTTCTTTCACCAAAATCGGTTCTGATCTGCTATCATTATAAGGCTATAAACCTTTAGCGAGAAGCGAAAGAAAGATGAACAAATATAGTGTCACGTATGGATTGGTTCCACCGCAAAGCGATGATACTCCTGAGAGTCATATTTTACCTGTCACTAAATTTCTTAAACCTCGAGATGATGGCCGAACTTTCTTAACATGTGGTCGAGACGGGACTGTGATTAAACATAGTGAAAAGGCAAAGTTCGAGGGGCAACGAATGCAGGTGAATAGCGACTGGGTGACAGATATGATTCAAGTCGGAAATAATCGATACGTGGTTGTGAGTCAGGATCTCTCCGTGACACTTTTGACTTTACATGATAATGACGGAACGCCATCATGGGATACTAAAATTATCGGGTATCATCGGGACTACGTGAAATGTGCTGGTTTGTTGGAACTCTCGAGTGACGGTTTCGCAAAATTTGCCACTTGTGGCCTCGATATGAAAATCAACGTTTGGTCCTTGGATGCCAGTGGGGAGGCTGCCAAAATCCAGGTCTTTGATAATCGGGGCCCCAATGAGACTGGGTCTTTGTATGCAATGGCTACGATCATAGACTCCAAATTCGATTTCGATATTATTGGTGGAGACAACAACGGCAATTTGATATTCATTGCAAGCGCAACAGGTGCCAAAATAGCAGAAGTGAAACGTGCCCATGACTCCAATATCAAGCTCGTCAAGTTGTTCGATTCGGAGACAAAAGTTTTAACCACCAGCTCTGATGGAATTGTTAAACTTTGGGATCTCAATTCACAAAGGGGGCCCGCCACTCACATTTATACTTGGAAGTGGCCGACGTCGGTGTGGTGCATAGAGGGACACTCGTCGCGCGACTTTTTCCTGGGAGATTCTCGAGGGAATATTACCAATCTTAAATTCCAGAGCGATAAATGGGATCAACCCAGTTTGACAACCGTTTATCATTCAGAAGACAACAGTTACGCTGGGATACTAGCTATGCTGGTAAATGACGATGGAGATTTGTGGTTTTCTCGAATGTGCAATTCAGATTTAGTTCACATGAATTTGACCGCTCGCACAACCGAAACCATCTCTGGGGGATCAGCTCTTTTGAAGTGCTGCTTGCTCACAAATAGAAGAAACGTCATTACTCAAAATACAAAAGGTCAAATTCAGAGATGGGACATTGTATCGTGTACTTTAGTCAATACGTTTGACTCCTCAAGCGGCGATTTCGATGAACTCGTCCACCAATATAACACCAAAGAGATCTTACCGCATTGGTGTTCAGTCTCTATCAAGACTGGAAAACTGTTTGTCAAATTGTCAGAAAAGTTTCTGAGTACTGAGGTATATGGCAGCGCTCTCGAATTGTACGAATTTGCTAATAAAGTTGAGCTTGGCTCGGAAGAGAGATATAATTTGGGCCGTATTGTAGTAAATTCGATTTTAAAGGATTTTATTGCATATGAGCTCACTAAGGATAAAATTTACCGGAAAGAACTAGTCTCCAAGAAACAGTCTGCTCCAAGCACCCCGCTGCAAGTACCATCAGACCCGGATAACCGTCCCCAATTGAAAGAAAAACGACGTCTTTCTTTGTTCACTAAATTCACGTCCAACTCCCAAAATGCAAGCTCACAACAGATGACCCCCAGCTCTTTACCTAGTACACCTTTACTTGCGGAACAAGCCATGGCTAACACAGAGGAATATCTTATGCTACCGCCGCCTGCGTCTGCTCCCACAGTCGCGGATTCGCAGCCGCGTGACCGGAAGGACACTGCAGTTCAACCGCTTGGGATAGAGGGCCGATCTGCTAGTTCTGGTTCGCTCTTGAATCGGAAACTCAAAATGCTTGCATCGACGCCACATCCCACACATGAGCTTTCTAGCACACGTGAGACCCCAGGAGCCGGACTCGAGCTGAATGGGTCTTCCGAACCAAGCTCATCAGACACTCCGGAGGAAAACGTGGAATCGGCGGCATTGAAAACTTCCAAAAATGGTGTAGCAGGAAGTACAACGACAGAAACCAGCGAGTCACAAGCAAAAGCAGGTCTTGGAGAAACGACGTCCGATTTCATGTTTAAATTGAGAGAAGAATATGCCAAAGTTAATCAACCGTCTTCGTCATCGTTCAAGCTTTTGGGAAAAAGACCCCCTGAATCCAAAATCGTTAGAAACAGCGATTTGCCCATTATCGAAATCAGCTCAGGAGTTCTTTTGTCAGTGAACTGTTGGAAAGAGGGTTCGAGTGCGGAGACGGTATGTTTCTCGACTTATCTAGCTGCTCCACACCCTGGTAAAGACGTGGACTCGCCGGACGAGCACCAAACCCAAGTGTTTGAAAGTCTCGAACAAAATCTACCCTTTTGGATGGCCGAAGCCCTGTTCAATGAAGATCAAAGAGCGAAGGAATATCCTAAATTGAGCTTCATTATAAGACCCTGGAACGACCCCGCGAAAAACCATCACGAAAAATCAGAGCATTCAACTACCTTACTTCACAACCCCTTGTCGCTACATCGTTCCAAGGCAACAGAACCACCTCCATTACCGCATATCCCCGATGCAAACACAACTCTGAGTGCTCCAAGTGTCGTCAAGATCAAGAAAGTCTTGCAGTACATCATCGATCGGTTCGAATCGAAAACGCCAGAAATGAAGACAAAAATGAAAGCGGCAGACTGGTTAGAAATCTTATGCAAGGGCCAAGTCGTCGACCCAGAAGCTACACTGAACACTGTAAGAACTCTTAACTGGAAATCTCAAGCTGACATTATTTTGGAATACAGGCGGAAGAATATTAAGGAACATTAAGCAGAAACACCAAAAAATGCACTTCGCTCTCCGCGACTAATCGACGGCATCTATATGGATGGTTTTCAACTGACATACCCGCCTACGCCAACAGCTCTAATTTGATAACGACGACGGATTTAGTTTTGATAACGATGAACGAAAATATATGTAAAGACCAAGTTATGAAAAATTTTTTAGATGGGATATCTCAATGGTGAAAAAGCGTATCAAGTCAACACTCATCGGGTGAATAAAGCGAGTGATTGATAGGGTTCCCTCTTGCTAGCTATGGATCAGGAGAATGAAAGAAATGTATCCAGACTTTGGAGGTCGTTCAGAACCATCAAAGAAATGGTGAAAGACCGTGGATATTTCATTACACAGGAGGAAATCGAATTGTCGTTGGAAGATTTCAAAGTTAAATATTGTGACTCTATGGGCCATCCACAACGTAAAATGATGTCATTTCAGTCAAACCCGACAGAAGAGTGTCTAGAAAAATTTCCGAATATGGGTTCTTTGTGGGTCGAATTCTGCGATGAACCCTCTGTTGGTATCAAGACTATGAAGAATTTTGTCATTCACATTAGTGAAAAGAATTTCCAAACGGGTATTTTCGTTTACCAAAATGGTGTTACGCCCAGTGCCATGAAGTTATTACCCAGCGTCGCGCCAGCGACCATTGAAACTTTCCACGAAGCGGCTCTTGTTGTTAACATCACACATCATGAACTTGTTCCTAAGCATATAAAACTGAGCGATGACGAAAAAAAAGAGTTGCTGAAAAGATACAGACTCAAAGAGTCTCAATTACCTCGGATTCAAAGAATGGATCCAGTTGCATTATACCTTGGCCTGAAACGAGGCGACGTCGTTAAAATCATCCGTAAAAGTGAAACGTCGGGTCGGTACGCAAGTTATAGAATTTGTTTGTAATATAGAATGGAGCGATGTGTTCAATCGGCGGTTGAAGGTGGTCGGGCACATAGGACGACATCACAAGTGCCCTTCCACCATGAAATATCTTGCAGGGCTAATTCTCCACACCAGGGACTCGCTTCGACACCTTGGGATCCGAGGTACTTGGCTCCAATGGTAATGATGAGTGAGTCCACTAGTGTGTTTGTAGCCAAAAGGTCGTTAATGACAACGGCACCACCTTCAACCATAATTGATTTTAAATTGAACTGCATGTATAGCTTCTCGAAGATCATTTTCCAACCGTATTTGCCAGACGTAGGAGAAACATCCATTGGTAAATACGTGACATGCTTTTCTTGATCTTTGGGCTCTGGCAAACGGTTAACAATGACAATGGGAGGTTTCCCGCCTGAAGACATAAAAATCTGTTCCATTTTGGAACCTTTAAACTTCCATTTCACATGGGGATCAAGGATAACAGGTCTTGGTGAATTGGCAGCGGATAATACTTGTCCATCTGGAGCATATTTACAATTGAGACCTGGATCGTCTGCCAAGGCTGTACCGCAGCCGATGAGAATCGCATCGTGATGATATCGAAGGTAATGGGTCATAGTCTTGGTCTCTGGGTGTGAAATTGTGGTTCTCAAACCTTTTCCCTTTGAAATACGAGAGTCTAGCGATTGTGCATATGTCAATGTGATAAAGGGTTGTTTCCGGGTTGAGTCCGTTTCCAGCCGGGGTAAGTAAGGGTTTAAGAATGGAATCAAGTCATTTCTTAGTGGTTCTAACGTCATTGATGTGTTGACGGCAATATCATGAACACAATGAACAGTAAACTCTGGAAAACTTCATTTCGCGACCAATGACGAGTCATCTCGGACGTTGATGATGTAAGGCGACACGCTATTCAAATGACAGAATACTCAGATTCTTCGTAATTTCCCGGCAAAGCGTTTTGCTTTAATACGGCATTGGATTTCTTCACCACAGAAGGTTTGTAACGTTTATATTGCGCCTTGTGACCCATACTGTTTGATTTTGGAACTTCCGTACTAGACCCTTCGTTGACTCGTTTCCCATGGGCCTTTTGCTGGATCTTAAGTTTGTCTTTTGTTGGAAGTTCCAAATTAGGCGCGTTCTGGCGCAATAGTCTTGATGCTTCCATGTCTTCAACTTGCTGTTGGCGCAATTGCAATTTTTGACGTTGCCGTAGTGATCTACCTTCTTGTCGCTGAACCCATCTGGCTTTCTCGCCTGCAGGATCTATGGTATCATCATCGTTAAGCATTAGGATTCGTTCTTGGAGGGAATTACCAGTTACCGACTCAGCGGCTCCGAGAGTCGTGGCCGTGGAGCTCTTAGAGTTGAAAGTAACATCTTGTGCTTCGGTAGCGGTGGCATTGTGGCGTGATTCTGAATTTGCACTACTGCTGTGACTAACGTCGATAGGGTTTCGTTTCCTCTTAATGAAAACCGGTTTCTGTAATGGCAGTTCATCACTGGAGGTTGAGGATTCAGAATCAGAGTCGGAACCGGAGGCAGAGTCCGAGGCCGATGCGGAGTCCGGAGATGAGGATTCAGACCGCGATTCTATTGTGATTCGGTCCGATTTCAGTGCTTCAAGGTTAGGATGTGTCGGCAGTGTGTTGGAGGTAGGCAGTTTCGAGTTGACGGACAAGTTCTCAGCCGAAAACTCTCTGGTTAAACTGTGAGTTGTTATTGGAGCATCCACATGACTTGAGCCCAATTGGCCACGACCTTCCACAGCTTCGGTGGTGTCGCTGGCCGTTTTACTAACTTCACCTTCACTGCTAGAATCATCGCTGGAATCGGATTCAACGTCACGACGAGGAAAATGACGGAAACTCATAAATGAGAAGGAATGAGATGAAAGTGCGATGCAGGAAGGTTTCGAAAACCACAGTAAACTGGATAAACGGGCGTAAATGGGAGTCTAATGGTGACTTACGATGTTGATGATTGCATGCTTCGTAGCGGGCGATGAGATGAGTTTTAATTACTATCGCATTAACGTATGTAAGACTACGATAAGACAGGGCATAAGGTCATAAGATGGTTAACGAAAAGGGAGGTAAGGAGGCAGCTGTGACGTGGCTAGTAGTTTTGGAATAGATTCCACAAGAGTTTGATGGGTGAGAACCCTGGGCTGCGGTCACGTGACTGGCCAGCAGGACCATCACCGCAGCCATGGTGCGGGTTGTGCCGACGGTTCTCGGCCTTGTGAGAGTCAGGTTCTTGCATGCCCGACTCTGCGTGGTGATACTCATCGCCGGGGACGGTGCCAAAAAACGGTTCTTGTTGCAATGGACTGATCAAATATACCTCACTCACATCAAACTCCAGCCAACGTGTATCGTTGAGCTTGGAATGCTTACCACCCGGCAACCACCACGCGGCGTCTGGATGTTTTCTCAGAAAACATTCCTTGAGGGCGTCGGAGCCTTCAAATGGCTTGAGGTCTCCAAAATACGTGGCTCGCGGCCGCAACAGGGCACCTCTTGGACCTGGCGGGCCCGGAGGTCCTGGTGGATGGCCCGGCCGGTGATGTGGATCGTGCCATGGCCCCCGATGGGCCTCAAGTGTCACGCTTGCGTTTGAACTCGTGTTCCAGTTCTTGAACGTCGAGCTCATCTCCGACAACAAGAAAATCAAGTTCCCATTCTGCGAGGTTTCGACACCGGGACACGCGTCCGAACCCACAAAATACTCGACAAACGATACGGGAACGCCTCGTTCCCGATCCACCGTGTTCACGTGCGCATCACGTTCATGAGCGGCCAAGTGGCGCGCCAAAATGGCTGGTTTCTTCTCGTGATGAGCCTCTTCGAATCGCTGCTCTTGCACTGAGTCAACATGCGCTGTAGCAACCACCAAAGTTGCAATTGATACCCAAATTGATGCAAGCTTCATACTTATTCCTACACTTGGTCCTGGGTGTTAGCTTGGTGTCTGATGTCCTCTTCCCCCACATTGCGAAAGCCTTATATACACCTTCGTTTGGGACTCTTGCACAGCCGTACGCAGAAAATTGCAGACTCCGAAACGGTCACGTGGATTCCTCCACCCTCTTTTCGCACCGAGCGCAATAAAAATATGTCCCTGTTGAAGTTATTCTGCGGTGTTAGGGTGTAAGTACCAAATCTGTCACGTGATCATTTATGCATACACCCACACATCTTATTTAGGGGAGAACGTTGATAACGACGTGAGAAGAGGTTTTGTGGTTATTAATTGGCATCCGGGTAACGCGGAGTTTATCGATTGGTTTTTCTCTTTCTTTTTGAGTTAGCCGCTGAGCCTCCACCCTTGTTGGCTTCAAAGGGACTACGCGTACAAGGTAGCACCATTCACAGATTCATCTTATCGTTGGCCAAAGTGGAAGTAATTTGGGAGCAACCGGCGCCGGTCGATTTATTTAATTCTACAACAGTAAAATTCGAGTATTCTTGTATCTTGATGCATGGGTCTTTTTAGCAATGGAGTCACTTTCGGAAGTTTGTAGATTCAACGCACTGTATCATGGAAAAACATCAGGTAATCATAAGCTTCATGCAATATGCTAGACTTTATAAACGCAGCTTTTGCGAGCAAACATCGCCGCACGCTGACTGTTGGTATTATTGAGGTTTATCGTTGTCGGTAGTTGATAGATTTCTGAACTGCTCATTTAATTCGTTCATAGTTAATCTAAATAATAAAGCTGATAAGGAGTTGAGTGCTTATATCTCTCCGTGACTATCTTATGGCCGTGACCACTACGATGCTAGCCATGCCAGCCCCTTTTATACAATTTCTAAGACGTTGTTCCAATTTCGGAATCCGTTACTTTGTCTAATGTTGACGGTGAGTCATCATTACGTCACCTATTAGGCCACTCTTGCAGTGATGACGGAGTGTGATGATCATCACTCGAACCGTTCGGTTCCTATGACTTCATCTTGATTATAACCGTCCGTTCATTCTTCTAATTTTATTCTGTCACATCAGTCACGTGATGATGCAATTGAACGATGTCGCCTTCTCGCTATCTCCTTCAAACAGGTTTGAACATCAGAATGGGCAAAACACAATTTGCTTCGACTAAGGCTCACCAGACGCGGTAGTCGACAGTTTTCTAGATTGTTCTTTTCGCTCATTTGCAGTTGATTTTAATATTAAAGTAAATCTGGTAATGAGTGCTTATATCCAAGCTTATCTTGTCATCTGGGTCTCCAAAGCAGGTCATTTTGTCCTTTATACAATTTTTGTAACACATTATCAGGTTCTAAAGCTCCTCTTATAAAATCAACAAATACATGGGGAGCCATGGATGATCAAAATGTGTTGACTGGCCTCATTCATGAGTACTTTTCCTCCTTAAACTTTTTCTGAATCTGTGTCACCAACGTCGAGCTCAAGAACCCTTCTTTTGCAATTCAATAAATGCCAGGCGCATATCGGTATTGCATATGCTAGAGAGAAGCTGATAATCACGGTGCAAACCGGATTATAATGTTGATCAGGAATAAATGGGAAGAAGTATCCATACGCAAAGGAGATAAGGCCGAGGGTGAACCCAAAATTTCTTATACGTAAGAAACGGATATATTTAGCCTTCATTTCAGGGCATGTGATGTCAGAGCATTTGGTATCCCCTTGACAATAAACGAAGGCCTGATAAAATCTCAAACTGTAGTCAAATTCGCAACCCAATACAACGAAAGGAAGCAAAGCTGACAAAATAAGCCCTATTATTTCATCAAATAAAAGTCCCATTTTGATTTTCCTTACAATCTTTTTGATTATGAAATTCTGGATGTTAATGAGAATGGAACTGCTAATTCTCGTATTTAAATATACAAAATGATAAAGTGAAATTTTTGGCGCTGAATGGGCTTTTTTAACATTCGGATATGAATTAGGGGCTAGGATTTTCGCAGCAGAGAAACTTGAATAGCACGGGGTGTGGCAGGGTATTCTCCAATCTGTTTTTTGGAAGAGAATGTTGTGCCAGGCAAACTTGCAAAAAAAATTGATTAAGTTCCATCAAATGATGTCTGCATATACTTCGCCCTGGAGCTTGATGTCATCGAGTTCATACGCTACTGTTGAGGTATGATCAAGGAGTTGTCGGCTAACAGGCGATCTCTCCCCACTTGATATTAAAAACTCTCGTCAAAGATACTTCTTTGGTACCCAGCGAGCCAAGAGTTCTCATTCAAGTGTAGAATTGCCGAAAAAATCCATATTTCCTAAATCTAAACTTCATTTCAAACACAAAAACCGCAGGGGTGGTTCGTGATAACACAAAAAAATTAAACCATTTGACGCCTTGACGCACTTGTTTTGAGTTTCGCACATCACAATACGGTGGTCTAGTCTCGACCTCATCGAGGTGTTTATGCACAGAAGCGAATTCTCTTCCTTTGGGAAGCCTTAAAAATGCGACAAGCTTTAGTGTTCACAAACGAGTGATACGGTTCAGTATTTGCATTAGAACAAAAACCCGCAAGCATGACGGAGGATACTCAAGCTGATGAGCAATTATTAATTGCTCAACTATTTCCCGGCCAAATCACCGCTTCAATGGAGCTTGTAGGAAGACGTCTTCAAGGTTGTTTCCCCTGGCCAGTTTGGAGATTGATTATCTTAACGACTGCAACGTCCTTCACAATTTGGGTGATTCTTCAAGCAATTCGCGAATGTGGAACAGAAGAACCTTTTATTATGTGCCCAAAACTTGTATCGTTGAGTATTATTTTTTTTGCAATTACAGTTTTCTGTTTTTTTAACCTAGCTAAGCGGCTTTTCGAAATGTTACCATTTGGGAGATTGTTCAATCGTACTACTGCTGAACCATCAAATTCAGTCGAAATGATTGAAATGGTTGACCAGAATGCTTCGGCTTCCGAGCCCACTGCGGAACCATCCAACTCAGACGGAAGGGTTGAAATGGTTGACCAAAATGCACCGGCTTCCCAGTCTACAGCGGAACTATCTAACTCAGAAGAAAGGGTTGACTAAACTGAACTGACTGCCCTGTCTACTGTCCACTGCTAGATAATTTATATTTAAGATTGCCAGCGTCGATCGGTCAACGATGATTGACTAATTCAGTCACGTGGCTCATTAATAGCCATATTGATAATAAAGTAGATCAGATATCGAGCGCTCATATCTTTCCGTGAGAAAGTTGATAATATGGCATTAAACGGCTAGTCGTTTGATTCCTTTTCCCCAATGCTTGTAATATCGTTTCGACCTATAAGTCGTGACTTTCGATATGAACGGTAGTTCTCACGACATGCAGTCCATCATACGACTGACGTCAGATTTGATGGGTCGACGGTCCTATAACCATCAATAACGTCTTATGGACCTCCAAGGTTCCTTAGAGAATGCAAACCATCGATTAGACCTCCTTACTCTAATCTGTCATCGATGTCACATGATGCTAACTGTGCATCCTCACGAAAAATTGAGGTCAAACGATCTGGACCTGGCGTCCTTTCTGAAGTTTCGGTTATTCAAGCTGCAAAATACCACTACCGACTCCAGATTTTTACGGTGCTCCTGTGGGCCGTTGATCGCCCCGTGTTAGCCTCACAGATTCTGATGCTCTGATCACGTGACTTCAGCACCCCCTGTCGCGAATGCAAGGGAGATGAGCGTAGTGCCCAAGATGCAGCTCTAATCGTCAACCAATTGCAAAAGTCTTGATCCACGCTGTGTCCACACGACCGACGTTCCAAAAGACGTGATGACGTGATTGCGACAATAGTGTCACGTGACTGACCAACAGTATTGCCACCTACCAAGCTCCTCCAGCCTGATGAGTCGCGGCTGCAGCCTGTGCTGCGGTCAGTAATACCATTGTGGCTGCTCCCATCGATTGTTATACCTCCATGTCGCACTGACATAGCAAACGGCTTCACTATTCGTACACAACGACCCACTACTCATTTCTCGTTCAAAGCTTCGATATCTTAACGCCAACTCGCAATAACAAAACCATCATAAATCGCTCCAACTAGCACACCACAACAAGCTTGTTCGCGACCATGATCAAGTCTACGCTCATCCTCAGAGATGACGGTATGTTTTTGCATAGCTTTGTCCGCCTGTAACAAATACTAACCTCCTTTCTCAGGCCTCCCATTGTGCTCTTCGGTCGACGACGATACGGACCCTGCGCTCGCGGAACAAAAGAAAAAAATCAAAGTTCTCATGTCGCGATTCACACCCAGCTCGGCCCCGGAAGCCACGCTCGAGAGCGGCGCGTTCGAGATCCACTACGTGCGCGTCGGCGCTGTCGTCTATTTCGTCATCGCAGAAAAGGGATACCCGCGCAACCTGGCGTTCTCGTACCTTAAAGAAGTCGCACAGGAGTTCGAACACTCCTACGGACACGAATATACGCGCCCAACCGTGCGTCCTTACGCGTTTGTCACCTTCGACAATTTCCTGCAGAAAACGAAAAAACTTTATAGCGACAAACGCGTCCAGGACAACCTGGACCAACTGAATCAAGAACTCATGGGTGTCAAACAGATCATGACGAAGAACATAGAAGACCTGCTATACCGTGGTGACTCTCTGGACAAAATGAGCGATCTAAGTGCTTCTCTACGACAAGATTCCAAAAAATACCGTAAATCGGCCCAAAAAATCAATTTGGATCTCCTGATCAGCCAGTACGCTCCTATTGCCATCGTCGCTTTTTTCCTAGTGTTTCTGATCTGGTGGGTTTTCCTCAAATGATCTGCAAAGCCTAAACGGAGCTCACTGCTTTGTATATAAGAACCGCATTCTACCCATTTACTACTCATCGCAGTGATCTCGTTTCCTACGCTTTGATCGTTTTTCACGGATTGAAAAATTAATCACGCCCAGTAAAGGGTTCCCATCTCATCGATTTTACCAGTGCTCATAGACCCCTTGACCAACAAGATACTTAAGCCCACGCGTGATTGTCAGTTCTAATAGTACTGAGAACAGTTTAAGTGTGCAATCCAAAGTTCGATTTTAAAAAACCAAAATGTCCAGAGTCGCTGCGTTATCGCAACAGCAAGAACCCCCACATTTAGGGTCTCTAATCAAGAAATTCATGTTCCATAGGATCCTTGACTCAAACCCGCAAACCAAAGTGATTTCGCTGTTGGGTAAGATTGACTCACAGGATGCAATTGTGACGTTAGAAAAAACGCATTTCACATACGATACAAACGTTTTTCGGGCTGAGAACGGGCGCAATACGCCCGTTCTTCACAATTGCGAAGCCGAGTTTAGTTGTCTCAAATCGATTGAAGAATTGAAAGAAGTGGCATCCAATGATATCTACTACTGGGGCATGTCGTTACTGCGCCAGGATATGGGTCAGAACCCAACGGCCAAGATCAACCTGATCTGGCCTGCGACTGCGGTCCATATCCGCAAGTACGACTCGCAGCGGCTACACGTGATCAGAGAGACTCCAGACATCTACAGCAGCATTGTTGAACCCTATATCGTGGAAATGTGCTCGCAGCAACGGTTGCAATGGGTACGGAACATTCTGCATCACGGTGCAGAGTCTGATCGCGTTGTGTATCGGGATTTCGTGGAAAGCAACGCGAAGGACGGGTTTCTGATCTTGCCTGACATGAAATGGGACGGTGTGAACCTGGACGCACTGTACTTGGTTGCGATTGTGTTCCGTGAAGATATTCGGTCCTTACGTGACTTACGGCCAGAACACAAGCCTTGGTTGGTCTCAATGCTTAACAAGATCCGGTCTGTGGTGCCTGGGTGTTACAATTTCACCATTCAGCCAGATGAACTGCGAATCTTTATTCATTATCAACCCTCGTATTACCATTTCCACATCCATATCGTCAATGTCAAGCATCCTGGCATCGGTGCCGGCGCCTCGGCCGGAAAGGCCGTTCTGTTGGAAGATGTAATAGAACAATTGAATTTTTTGGGCCAAGCTGGGTTTAGGAACAAGACCATCACGTACATTTTGGGCGAGAATCACGATTTGTGGGGCCGTGGTCTTAAAGACGTTGTTGAACGAGAATTGGATTCGTCTGGAATTCCAAAATCTCCCACAGTGGTCAACGATTTTCACGGAGCATTGAAACGGGGGTGAGCCTCGTTTTGGGCGCAAAACGACAGTAATGAAACGACGAAACCAAAATAGCAGTAGTCCAATTGGACGACCAGCTGTAAAACCTGCTGGTGCCGATATGTTCTTGTTTTTTATGTTTTGTAGGTTGCTGCTAACGTATATGTTAATTTTAACGAAATGTAACCTGGTTATAAGCCTTATTGCACACACGCACCAATGAGATTGAAGAGAGGTATTGACGCTCTTCGAGATGATGACAATACCGAGGAGCGGCGTCGATCTGGGTCTCCTGCAAGAGAGCTTAGCGATTCCGATGATTACATGACGATGAGATTCTCCCATGATGACGAGCATGATGAGACGACGACAAGAAGCAGTGATGACAACGACGCAAACAAACCAGTGAGTGAGATCATGCCGCGTGGTCTAGCCATGATGCGCAAAATGGGCTATACGCCGGATCAGGATTCAGGTTCAGAACCAGCTCAAAAAAGAAGTCGCCTAATTCCAATAATGATGAAATCAAATCGAGAAGGAATCCGTGAGAGTAGGAACTTGAAGAAGGATCCTGAAATGGAGATCAACACAAAGACTTTCAAAGCTACAATCTCAAAAGAAACTGATTTCAAACGAAAAGAAGCCATTTTCCATAGAATGCAAAAAATAGCCTTTGAATTGAGCCACGACGACGACTTATTCACATCTGAAGCCGATCCTAGAGACTTCAACGTGCTTTGGCGTCGTTTTGTAATAGAATTGAAACAAAAAACTGGTAGAACACGGACCCAGCCTCGCTTGTTGTCAAGATTGATTGAGAATGACGATAAGAGAGAGCCAGATATCCATGACGGTCTTGGATCAGAAACAGAAGACGAAGAACTCAAGACTTTTGAAGAACTCACTATAGACCAGCGTATCCTTGGTTTGCATACCTTTTCAAGGGTGGAATTTTACTACTGTTTCTATTGCGGAGTTAAATACGCAAGCGAAGAGGACATGTTTGAAAACTGTCCTGGTCCGTCAGAGTCTGATCATGTTTAAGTGGGTGTGATGCTCGCCTCTGGCTGGAAGTGCCCGTCTCTTTGACGTTCAGTAAGCCCTGGGCCGGCCCTACCAATGACAGCAGAGATTTCAAGAAGGACAGCGCATTGATTAAGGAACCTGGCAAATTATTGGAAAACGGCACGATCGAGGCATCCATTGTTTTGTCAGGCTTACCTATTTCTTCTGAACCGTTTTCGATTTTCAAAATCAAAGAATTCTAAAACTTCCCGCCAAAGAGAGCCCCAGGAAATCAAAGCGGGACACCAAATTTTCAAAGAACCGAGAACCATCCTTGAGGCCAAAGGACACCTACCAAAGGTTTCCTATTAGCATGAACCCCCGTTATCTTTGGTATGTTAATGTGATAATGTCATTCTAAACGAATTATGTCAACTCGTTAATGGAAAGGTAGGTAATCCTTACCAGGTTTTAAGACCACTATACCAGCCCGTTGAAACAAGAACGGGATGAGCGCTCTAGGGTCTCATTTGAGTAGCGGGCCGAAGGAATCAACGCAAGAAGATAACTCACTTTTTAAAGTTGAAATATACGGATGCGTTTCCGAGTTTGAGGAGATTTTATCCGAGTTGGCTACATCGGTAGATAGGTTTAAACCTGATCTTTCCAAAGCGCAAGAATTAGTGGAAGCTGATCAAAAACTATCACAAGCTGTGAGTAAATTTTCGACGTACGACGAAATTGCTTCGAAGCTGAAAGACTTGGACAAACAAAGAGCCGAGACGGAACAACAGACGACTCAAATCTTAGAAGTCCTAATTGCATGCCACGATGAGCTCAATTCGATTCCCATGATAGAGCAAGTGGAATTTGAACGAAATACTATGCTCAATGAAAGACAAAAAGTGCATTCCAATGTTTTGTTGGACTACGCTATGAAATTAGCGAAATTTACTCATGTTCCTCCGACTTTTGACAAGACTGCTGTGGGTCCAAACAATTTTATTTGGCCCGCGGAAGATGCAATGCGAAGAGGTATGCTCGCTATGGCATCCATAATGGCATCTGCGGAGCCTAGAGTAATGGGTAGTGGTGCAGAGGAAACCGTTGACGACGACACGGACCTCAAAGGCCCAGAACCAGTACATCCTAGAGGGACCTCGTTTGAATTCAATGGACAACACAATGGTGGGGAAAATAGTAAGAATGCAGAAGAAAGCGGAATGGACTTAGATTTAGACCTATTTAATCCCGATGAGTTTTAAAGCAATGGTGGACATGGCACAAGCATCACAAGATCAGATTTTTCTTTTTCTAACCGGCTTGGGCGAATAAGAGCTGAAACTTGCTCTTCTAGGAGAGTCCGATCTTAATTCCTCGCGGAAATTTTGAAATGCTCTTTGGAGATTTTCTTCCTCAATTTCCAAACCCTTTTCAGCTCTCCATTGATCGTATGACATCAAAAATAAGTTCACTTCGTTTCTTACCTCTTCTAAAGAGAAATCTGCCTCGGGAATACCAAGTTGCATGCCTCTCATAATTTCCTCTTCTTCAAATTGTTCCTTTTCTTTCAATATATCGGCCAATGGACCAGCAGCTTCGACAGAGACCTTTTCACGCTTAGCTGTCGGGTTTTCGGGGTGCCGAGACTTCAAGAACTTGAGAACTTTTCCAGAAAATGGACCTCTGAACACGAAGAAAGTCAATGCGATGCCCACATGGATGTAAAAATACACCGTGCGCCAACAATAAAGAGATTTACCAAAATCCAAAATCACAAATGGTTGAACCAGATAACCAAACGCTACTTTCATTGTGTAGAAACAGATGATATCATACAGTATTTTGGCTGGACGCGCAGAACCATCCGCATTCAAGAACATGGGCCTCAAATTCCTTCTGAAAAACTTGCCGCATGTCTGGTAAAGAGCACCTGTGGCGAAAGACAGATAGTATCCTGGTCTTGTACCATGCCAAAAAGCGGATGTCAGAAATGTGAACAAAGTGCTCCGGAACCCGGGTTTTGAGCCAGGTTTTGCCACTCTCAAATAGACGTAGTATTTCAACCATTTGTTAGTATTCATGTTCCATGCCTCTAGACCCTCGAATGTATTAGAAGCCATCTCAAATCTCCAAATATCGATGTTCCTCACTCTATCCCATTTTATTTGGTGTGTCTTAGAGTCATAGCCATTGTAACCTAGACCGCATAAGATACAAGAAGCTTCGGAAATGGTCCACGCAGCATAATATTTGAGACGGAATGTAAATCCCAAAGCATAAAGGTAATGGATTCTGTAAAAAAAGCCCTTCTCCAAAAATTCCGGCGTAAAGACGTAGTCCAATGAAAAGTAATTTGGCGCAACAAACGATAAGGATATCCAGAAAAGACCTTGGATAACTCTCCAAAACACAAACGTCCCACATTTTGGAATTTGCCTGCGAAGATTTTTTTGCTTCGTGGTCCAACGACGTTTGGGCTTTTCAGCATCAGGTAGATCGCGGAACACTTCGCAATTAAGCCATGACTGGAAATCCGCGTAATCAAAACTGGGACCTGTCAAGAGAGACGGATAAAAGAATGCATAAGCCATAAAATGTAAAAAAGAAGGATGACTCCTGATTGCATGTGCTTTTTGGTAATCTGAAAGGGCAGCCTGGTCCCGGGAAGTGCCATCGTGATACGACCATGCAAACGATGTGAGTTTCATCACAAGCACCATTTGGGCACCTGTAATATCTATTTTGGCCGGATCGAACTCGGTGAAAAACTGAGCCCGCATGTGGTTCAGAGCCAATAAAAACATCACAATGGCAAAATTCACATAGGGCATGAATCGTGACTTATAGAACCTAGTAATGCCATAGGTTAGACAAGTGCTTAGAAACAACGTGAAGAACCCATCAAATATATTGAGAACTCCGAAAAGGTATAGCGCAGAGATTCCAATAATATACCAACATTTTAACGTAATGTTGTTGTCGGGTAATCTTTTCAATAGAGCGTTTAAGGGGAACGATGCAAATAGACAAATGGCCAATTTCAATGTCAACTCGTCGATGCCGCTATGGTCAGAAAGAGCAGCTATTTGCGAAGCGATAGGGTTTATCATGTCCCAGCCAAGCAGGTGTGTCGAATAGCCACCAAAGCAGCCTTGTGGGTTGCTCAAGAAGCCAAATCAAATTAACCCTCGAGATCATGAACTCGGTATATTCTTCGTACAGGTGATGCTCATTTTGTACTACAAAATGAATGAAAAAAATGGAGTCAATTTACCGTCTAATATGATGTCAAATAGGGTAGCATGCACAGGGTACGTTATCAGTGATTTATAAGCATTACGTAATTTCTTGTTTATCTTATGCCCGATGATATGTAAGGCACATTGGTGCATGGTGCCTAAAAAGCTGTAACGCGCGGTTAAATCAAGTGATATTTTTCGTATAAAAAAAGGTTTTTCGCAAGAATTGGTTCCAAAGGCTAATTTATCTATAGAATCTTAGCTTCATGTACTTGCCACATTTCAAAGTTAAACGAGATATCTGAAAAGAGTCTACGATGGCGCTTGAGCTGTTATCACGTGACCACGTTGTCAGAATGCAATGAGAGGCTCGAGGGGATAATAACTATTTGACCCAACAAGAAGCCTTAACGGACGTCACAATGATGATAGGTTAAGATGGGGTTTCCAATAAATAGTTTATTAGTAATTTAGGAACAGGAAATGATTTTGCATAAATATACAAAAGGAGACGATATGACGAGATCCACAAAGTCACATCCCGAGACATTTCGCGAGGCGATGTTTATATTCAATACTTAATTTATTTAACAATTACGCAATCATGAAGTTGAGAGGAGAATTCAGGAAACTCTTGTCCAATATGACGCTGATCACTCTCATCGAGAATTTTAGTTTTAAATTGAAAGACCTGACTCAATGGCGATTCTAAATGAAAGACAAACGCATAGTAATGAAAGCAAGCTAAAAATGAAATCAATTGAAAATTGACAAGTACCGGTGGCGAAAAACATTATACTTCTTTTGGATTTGTTCGGATTGTCTTGAATTTTTTATGGACATGATACCGCAGTAAAACAATGAAAACTCGTTAAGCGCTAGTACACACATAAGCGGGTAAGAGGTACATTTGTCAAGAACGTAGTTGCACTAGAATCATGGCATGAGGCCTCTAAGCGAGGAGAACCAAATTGACACTTGCTTGGCAATCGATCCTAGTATCAAAAATGCCTTTCCACGACCCTGAAATTGAGAGAAAAAAAGAGAACTTTATTTCTGCAAACGAACAATTCTAAAGCAAAGAACATTTGAACCCATTCTATCCTAATAAAAGTAGGAAATATCGTTATGATAAGAGCCCATCAATCATTAAAAGTTGCCACCAAACGTTTGTTTACATCTTCGTCCCTTCTGTGCGACAAAAAATCGCCCACGGGCGTTGTATTTATGAATATGGGAGGTCCGTCGACTGTGAACGAGACTAGAGATTTCCTTTACCAGTTATTTGCTGACAACGATTTGATTCCAATTAGCCGGAAGTATCAGCCTACAATTGCCAAATACATTTCTAAATTCCGGTCGCCTAAAATCGAGCAACAGTACCGTGAAATTGGTGGAGGGTCCCCTATCAAAAAATGGTCAGAGTTGCAAGCGAAACGTGTATGTGAGATTTTGGACGAAAAATGCCCTGAATCTGCTCCTCATAAGCCGTACGTAGCATTCCGGTACGCGAGACCCTTGACAGGTGAGACTTACAAGCGGATGTTGAACGATGGAGTTCGTAGGGCCATTGCCTTCTCACAATACCCACAATTCTCTTATTCTACCACTGGATCATCCATCAACGAACTTTGGCGTCAAATAAAGAAATTGGATCCGGAACGTACCATTAATTGGTCCGTAATCGATCGTTGGCCAACCAATGAGGGTTTAGTCAAAGCATTTGCGGAAAACATCACTTCTAAGCTCCAAGAATTTCCCGAAGATATCAGAAAAAAAGTCGTTCTACTCTTTTCAGCTCATTCTTTGCCCATGGATGTAGTAAATACAGGAGATGCATATCCAGCGGAGGTTGGAGCGACAGTATGGCGTGTGATGGAAAAACTTGATTTTTGTAACCCTTACAGACTTGTTTGGCAATCCCAAGTTGGTCCTAAACCTTGGTTAGGAGCCCAGACTGCTGATGCAGCCGAATGGTTAGCTCCTTCTGAACCGGGGCTCATTTTCATCCCAATTGCATTTACATCGGATCATATCGAAACTCTTCATGAAATTGACTTAGGCGTAATCGGCGAATCACCTTACAAAGACAAGCTAAAACGTTGTGAATCTTTGAATGGGAATGAAAATTTCATTGAAGGCATGGCGGCTCTTGTTGAAGATCATCTAAAAAGTGGACAACTTTACTCAAAACAACTTCCCCTAGACTTTACACTGGGAAAATCCAACGACACTTTTGAAAAACTATCGGATGTGTTTGGTGACCACTCTGCCAAGTAATCGCGCTGTCGAATTGAAAAATGCAAATATGACTTTCAGTTAATTGAATCTTGGTTTCCCGATTTTCTACATACTATAGATTAAAAGTTTCAAAAATATACCCGCTCATCATTTTCTGGCTAGAACCATCTTGAAGCCCTTGTTCAAAATTTCTGTAGCTTGATCGCTTTTGTTTGGTAACGTGTTTAACACTAGGGCAATATCATCCCATTGTTTTTGAGTCTCTGCCTTTTGAATTCGGGTCAAGAGTTTTTCACTCAGTTGCTTTTGATGCCGCTCTTTCTCGATAAATGACAGCAAGTATTTCATTATTCTTTTGAATTTGCCCTTTTCCAATTCTTTATCATTAGACAAACTGCTGAATATATCAATGAACCCGTTATAAATTGCATTGTCTTTGGTAGCCAATTCTGTGAAAAACAGCTTGCACATATCACTGATACCTTGATCCGCGTTTTCCAGGCATTTCGCCATTTGACCTAATTGGCCCTTTACTTTTACTTGGCCGGCAAGTATTAAAAAGGTAACCGTCATTAAGCAAGTTTTCTGAACGGTGAGGCTTGCATCATGTAGACGTTTATAGAGGTACTCTGTGTTTTCGTCTACCAAATTGTTGAAACATACCGCCATATCTCCAAGTCCCAAAACGGCATTTGATCGTATTATTGGGTCCTCGGATTTTTCCATTACCGTTATTAGTAAAGGTAAATTCTTTTCACAAAATTTTGACGAAACGCACATGAATTCCGCTAGACACAGCCCTGCCATCCTTTGAAGAGTGGGATCCGTGAATTTGGTGTTATTTGAAACAATTTCTTCCACCAGGGGCCCAAATCTTGCCAGTAACGAATGCTCGCCAAACAACAATTCGTTTTCTTTTATAAAACTGATTGCATCCGAAAAGTCATCTTCATTCGTTCCACCAATCATCTCAAGCTCAACATTGTTTTCCTCGGCATCCTTGGCTTGCTCGCTGCGCAGGGCACTACTTTTCTTGCTTTCACCCAGGACTTTGTTCTTCTTGAACTGTGCTTCACTCGACTCCAAGTATACGAGCGTTTTGATGGCCACCTTGCCAACAACGAACAAAAGTTGTGCCAATGATACCACTCGTGAATGAACTACAGATGACTCTTGATCTTCTTCTTTGCGGCCGAATGTCATCATGGTCTTTTCACGAATAAGTTCAGTGGCCACAATATCTGCCTCGGCTGAGAGCTCAAATATAGCATTGATGGCCTCTTCGCAAGTAGGATAATAATAAGGATCTTTGGTGTAATCAACAATTTTGGCAAAAAGCTGCTCGATTGTTTTGTTAAGTTTCTCAGATGTCATCACTTGACGGCCGCCGGATTTTATACGCTGCAACGCAACGCAAGTGTACTTGGACAAGACGAGATCTTGCTTGCCGGGCACCCCAAGTCCAATTTTTAAAAGCGAGTCAAGGCCCCTGATGGCAATTTCACTGTTAGCCATAGACAACATACCCAGGATGATAATGGATCCATGAATTTGGTCTGTTGTAAACGATGGAGATTCTTCAGCTGCGCTATTATAAATGCTCCACAGAAAAGTTATGGAATCATTTTTTATGTGACCTGCCGCATAAATTAGTCCCAAAAGTTTTTCTAAAGACGCCAGATCCGCTATTGAAGCGCCCTGAGTTAATTGAAGCAAGTTCTTCGCCACGTATGCAGCATGTTGAGCAGAATTCATCTCCTGAGCAGGTTTCAAAAACAATTCATAATAGCAGGAAACTAAGTGCGTTGCAATGCTTGTTCCTTCCTCGTTCGATCCTTTCATCCATACTAAATGGAGCATTTTCCTGATACCACTAAAACTCGACTCGATTCCATAAGCATCGGTCAGCACAAGAAAATCCATTACTTCCATCACTTCAGTTTTATTTCTCGAAAGAAGCAGCTGAGCGCACTGATCTGTTGCTTGATATACTATTTTAATGAATTCAATGGCATCCTCGTAGTACTTCACGGTTAATTTGGCTCTGTTCATAGCACTGGAATCTTCCAAGTTGGCATATTCATCTTGATTGTCCACATTTTTATGCAAAACTTCATCTGTCTGCTTCTCGTTTGGTGATGATGTTTCAGAGTTTTCCGTCATGGTGTTGGTCAGGTTTGACAGAAGTTGGGAGGCCTCTGCTAGCCGTTCTTTCCATTGTGATAAAGTCAGCTGGCTTCCATGTAAAGCAGTGAATCGATGGGTCAATAACAGCTTTGATAAAAGTTTGACGGCATTTTTTCGCACTAAAGAGGATCGATCTTGCAAAGATCTTGTGGCTAACTTTACCAGTATAATTCTGTGCCTATTGAACCCAGCTTTGAGGTCACAAATTTTAACGCAACTTTGGATAGCTTTGGTTCTAACGTAAGGATTTGAGTCAGCGAAACGCTCCTCCAAGAGTTCTAACAATACCTCGATCTGCTGCCGGTGATGGTCCAAGTCTTCTGTCTTGGAAGATATGCCAATAACAATGTTCCCACAAACCTCAACCACCGCACATCGTAATGTGAAAGAGCTATTGTTAAGAAGTCTAACAATTAAAGTCATCTGTCGCAATACAGTACGAGGAATGACTTCCGACAACTTGATCAAAAAGTTTGAAACCACTTTTGGACCCGTAGAATCCTTAGAATTAAATTCCTTGTTGGATAAATCTCGCAAGACTTCTTCTGTAAGTTGTGGGAAATCCAGATCGTCGTTAACCACTTTCAACAACTCTGCGATGAAATTGGTGAGATGCATGTAATACGTCAACGAAGACATTATCGCATTTTGAGTACTAGAGATTTGGCCATGTCGCTTAACAACGGTCCCAATGATTCTTATAATGAAAAACTTGATAGACTGAACTTTCAAGACTTGTTCTGTCTCGATAAGAATGTAAAGTGGCCTCGTGAAAAGATTAATAAACGACGTCTTTTCCGGAGTAGTTAAAAAAAGCCGCGAAAGGTTGATATCGACGATCTTAACAATGTTGTCTAACAGAGTTTCAATTTGATTACAGCTGCGCTTGAAGAGCTCAAGGGTCGCTTCCGAAACCTGGCGCCGACCACCGGACAAAGCGCTACCAGAGGAAGTTGAAGATTGATTGGCAGCTCTGGCAACATCTTGCTGCAGATAATACAAAAGAACGTGGATCAAGTAGCCATATATCTCGAGGACTTGTTTCCAGTGGGACTGCAGCGTCAAAATCTCATCGTTTGCCGCGCTGCCGGACAAATTCGTATTGATGTCTTGTGCTATATTACCCGCAGATGTTCCTACCAGGTAACTCAACTGCGTTTGAACGTTAGCGGGGAGTTGTGGGAAAGTGTGTACCAGATCAATCAGTCCTTCTAAAGTTTCTTCATCGGCATCAATCTCTTCAGGATTTGTTGCTAACCAATCTATAAAAGTGTACAATTCCTGAACGGGATCTTCAACAGCGGGAAACAAACTTTTCTCAGTAGTTTGGAATCGAGCCAGCTGCTGGGGTAGATCAAAAGGTTGCATTTGGATTCGTACTCGAGAAAACTGATTTGAGTCCGAAAAAAAAGCGATCTTTCAAAATTGAATAAACAAAGCACTTTTTGCGATGACCAAATATGGAAGTAATCACTGATGATCCTGCCCTTTTATGGACGTGCTTGATCACACCGATGAGTTCTCGCTTAATGTTATGATTTCGCGCTGTACGTTTGGGAGGCGGGAAAGGAAGAAAAATTAAAGCATAGAAAGGAAAAAATTAAAAAACAAGTTGATTTCGCCCAGGATCGAACTGGGGACGTTCTGCGTGTTAAGCAGATGCCATAACCAACTAGACCACGAAACCATTTGATGGAAGGGTGGGGTTTTTTATACGCAATAAGGAACTGTTCATTTGAATTCGCTTCTTCATTTCAGAACTACCGGTGATGAGAGCGTATCATCATGTCGTGGCTTGGATTTGCTCTTCTTCTTCCTATGAAATTTGGGGTTTAGTTGGGAACTTAGAGAGAGTCTAGTTTGTCGTAATGCTTTTTTCGCAATTTCAAGGTCATTGTTGAGTTTTTTGATCGTTTCTTCCTTGTCACAATACTTAAAAACCGCACGCCTTAACTCGAATCGCAACGCTTCTTCCAACGCTTTCAGATCTCTGTTTAAGCCCGCCATTTCTTTATATTTGGCCTTCATGTGGTCCAAATTTTCGCGGTATGCTTTCTCCTTTCGAAGTACGTCATCGTTCATCATCTCAATGTGCTCGTTGTAATTTTGATAATGGGATTTCAAATTATTATTTTCTAATTGAAGAAGTTCCATAGTCTGTTGCGATTGTTCCAAATGAAACTTCAGCATATTATTTTCAGCACTGTAGTTGAGAACTTCTTGTTGTGACACTTTGTTAAAGCTTTCCAGTTTAGCCATTTGCCTTTCTGTGTGTTTTGCCTTTTGCTCAAACTTGGTTTTGATTGTCTTATTCTCCTTCTCGGCCTTCATGTAAAAGTTTTGTAAAGTCTCATTTTCGTGTTCGAGCGAATTGACATGGATTTTATAAATGTCGTTACTCTTTTTGAGCTCTTGACAATCGTCCATGAGAAGCTTATTCTGAATTTTGTTTTTTTCAAGATTCTCCCTTGCACTCAATTCTATATCGACCAGAACATTAATCCTTTCATTCATGGCTACATTTTGTTCAGTGATCTCGGAATAGTCGGATCTCAGTTTTTCGAAATCTTTTCCTTCTTTCTGCAACCTTTCAATCTCTTCTTCCATGTAAGCAACGCGAAGCTTGTTTTCTGCGTTTTCTGCTTCTAGCGTCGTTACTCTTTCTTCTAACTCGTCGTTCTCTTCATCCAGAACTAGAAGATGCATTTCCAATTCATTAATCCTGGAAGTCATCTTTCCGTACTCAACTTTTTCAAGCTCCTTGTAGCAGATTTCTTTTGCCTTTAGAGCGGTTCCGATGCCAAAACTCAATTTTTGGACTGTGAGAAGAAGATCCGAGTCATCAAAATCCTTGAAAGACATACCACAAAAATTGAAACATCTAATCAAGGCCTCAATGAGAACTGGGTTTGTTATGGGGATATCTTCTTCCCAGGAAGTACTTTTGACCGGTGGATAAATGACATTCCCCGACTTTTCCGTGATTCTATCGCTTAAAATGGATTTCAAATTCTTGACAGGTACCTGTGGTCCGCAAGAAGGAGAAGAAGAATGATTATTGACACAGCCGTCGGGAGGGTTTCGGTCAAGAACCGCTTCTCCATCAAAAAGTTTAGTGTGATTCTCACCAAAACTGATCTTCTTGTTCTTCAAGTCAACCAGGCCAAATCTCTCATGAGATTCGATGATTTTCTCCAGCTCTGAGTTCACATTCTGAGCTTCAAATACAGGTGCCACAATAATGCTCATTTGGTCAATGGAGATATCGTTCTCGGAAGCTGGCGATTTGGGACTGTTGTTGTTGTAGTCATCGAAAATCAAAGAATCGTTGAGGGACTCACAGTTAGAAACTTCAGAATTGTCGGATGTAGCCATTTTTTGAATGTTTTGAAGCGATGAAAATTGATAAATGTAGCTATTGACAGTCACTTAATTACAAAATGTAGAGCTGCGTTTATATACTTTTCGTGACGTTTTTGTGACCGAAGCTTTTTGTGTCGTCCATCAAGTTGAAATCTCTTTTCTCTAAACTGACACGCGGGAGAAAATACTCTTGCACGAATAGGTGGGAACTTGAATATGCGAACCGAGGAGCAGTTATCTAGTTGAACTTGAAGCTCTTAAAAACACATACATAATAATATTATACTGATCTATCCGAGTAGAAAGCAATTAGCGATTGTAGCGGTGGTGGATTGTTTGCAATTGCCGTTTTTCAAAATGGTAAAATACAAGTTTATAGTTAACAAAAATCATGTTTCTTTATTGGCCCTGAAGTAGCACCGGAGGTGAAGCTGAGGAATATCGGCTTGTCCAGGGAGATCCCTGTCCGGTTTCAAAGGTTGCGAAATTCTGGTTTGAGTCCGAATCTTGATGGTGATCTATTCCGCCCTTTGGTGGTGAGTAAAAACAGTAAGATTGAAGCAAAGTGTCGTAGTCCATGGACTTTTTGGGCAAGCCCCGTTTGGAAAGGTGCTTGTTGGAGTTGTTGTAGGTCAAGTGATGTGCGTTTGTGGTTGACGCCGCCGCAGAATTCATGATGCGGGGCATCTCCTGTGAACTCACCGTGAGCCCCGTGCTCGGCGACGAAACGTCGAGCAAAGGCGAGGCCGAGTCCAAATCCGACGTCGACGCACTTTTCAAAAGCGGAGGCGGCGTAGGAGACCGATGCGTGTAGTTTGCGTCGGGTGAGTTGAGCAGGAAGTGCATGGGCGATGTAGCGGTAGACATCTGGGACAAGTCTGGAGCAGAACGCGGGCTGGACAAAGGCACGACCGTCGATGGGGTCTCTGTGGCCAAACGTTCATCCGCCGTGGGCTCCAAAGTGACGTCGTTGATGCGGAAGGCCCGCGACAGGGTGGTGTCGCTGTGGAACAAGTGCTTGAGCGGCGAAGTGTTATAGTAGTCGGTGTTTTTCGAAAACCGACGACCTGCTGCACGCGAGCCGTTGTGGGGCTCGTGCGTCAAGGTGGTTGTGACCAAAAAATCCGGCGTGAACGGTTTGGCCGTCGCGGGGCTGCCGCGCAGCGGCAGCGCCGCCTCGAGACGGTGGTCAAACGCTTGGAAATGATCTGGCCCCAGCCCGTTGGCAGGCCTTGACATGGCGGGTCTTGTCGTCGCGGTCAGCGCGACTTGGTAGTTCTGGTAGTTGTTGTTGTCGTAGAAAGTGTCGCCGTTTACGTCGTAACGACAACACAGTTCCAATTGCAAGTGGCACACGGTCTCGGAATGCTTGTCGCTGCAGTACAGGAGTCCCCTGCGCTGCATGAAGAAATCGAGCCCCGCGAGGTCGATCTGGAACCGGAACTCGTCGATCGCGTCCGTGACGGTGCGATGGTAATGCGCGGTCACGTAGTGCACGTCCCGCCAGCTGTTAAACGTGCACTTGACCTCTATAAATTTTTCGAAGTTCAGGTTGGCAACGTAGATGAGCCCTTGCAGCTTGTTGCTGTCGAGACACGTCGATATGCTGCTGAGCTTGATGTTATTGCCTTGGAGATACGCAAGGATATGCGATTGCAGATCCAATGCGCGCCGCGCCACGAGCGGCGCGATATTAGTCGATTCGAGTGCCCAGGACGCGACTGTGAACGCGGGCTGTGCAGAGCCCGGGACTTGCGCGGCTTCCGCGGAAGCCGCGGAAGCCGCGGAAGCCCCAGGGGCCCCGGAGGACCCGGGAACCCCTGTAGCCGCCGAGCCCCCCACAGGCGCCCATGCCACGGTCGACAGCGGCAGTTTGCTCCGCGATAGCGCCGTTCCGAACCAGAATTCGTCATCCCCGTCTGCGTCATCGCAGCTGTCGCTGCTGTCGACGCAGTCGCTCAGATACGCGTCCAGCGCGACGAGCGGGGAAATGCGGGGCGCGGTGCGGGGCGCCATGCGGGGCGAGTTTTCGGTCGAAATGGAGATGGGTTCTAGGCCCACATCGAACCGTTTGACCGTTGTGAGCTGCGGGGCGAACCGCACGCTTTTGCCTGTGGTGCTCGGCAATGACGCCGAGGACCCGCTCGACGACAGTTTGAGCGACGATTTGAGGCGCCGTGTGGCTAGAGCCTCGGCTCCAGCCCCTACTGGCGCCGCCGCAGCCGCGGCTTTAGCCGCGGCTAATTCTTCATGTTCGGTTTCAGATCCTGCATCCGCATCGCGGATCAGATCGTATATATCGAGCCGCAGCGTTTCGGCGGAGTCGGACTCCGAGTCCGGAACCACCGCGGCTGCGGCTGCGGCCTCGACTGAGGCCGGTTCCATGCCGGCGGCTGCGACTCTGGCAGCGCCGGCGGCAGTTTGCGACGGCGGCGGCGGTAACAACGACGACGTTGCGCGCACGCAGATCACAAAAAGAAACGGTAAGGGACAAGAATAGAAGACAGCCGCAAGAACACAGCCGTCAACAAGGGGACCCAGGGCGCTGAAGGCACGCCACAGATCTGCCGCCTTTTGTTTGTGTGGAAACGGAGCTAGGTTTCTGCAGGAGATCCCGCGTGGACCCGTTCCGTGGGTAGGTTTAGTGTAGTTTCTAACACCACGAGCCCCCTGATGTAGTGGCAGGGAGTGGGCAAACGCTTGCGAAACGTGAAATGGATCTCGTCCGAGTCTAGTGTCTATCTATCGCTTCGGCCACCGGGTGGGTGTCGTGTACTAGCTGGCCCGTAGAGCTGTGCCCGAGTTGTATGTATACCAAGGCGCGTTTTTCCCAGTTTCCGTAGGAGCGTCCACCACGCTGGCATCGCTATCTATATATTCGATCGACTGTAAAACAAAGAAGGGTATCCACTTTTGGGTCCGCCAATGTCTTGGGACTTCAGACTTTGGCTAAAAACCCGCAGAAACCCCCGTGGCCCGTGGTGGTTCCCGCGGTTACCACCGGGTTACTACCGGGTTCACCACCAGAATCGTGCGTCCGTGGCGTGGGGCATGGGTGGATTTGGAGCGCCTTATCAGGAAACGCGGCGGTTTCTAGCTGCGACGTGGGTCTAGGGGCTGCATGGGTGACGTATGTAATGATTGTTTGCGATAAAGACCGCCGCGCAATCGGAGTATTGGAGTGGGGTGACCTGGGGGCGGGGGTGGGGGTGGGGTGGTTAGTCCGCCTGCTGGGGCGTCGAGCCGAAGGGTGCCTGGGAAATAGCGGACATGTATGTGCGCGGTCCCGTGACGTAGGTCTGTGCGGGTTTGCCGCGCAAAAGTGTTGGGTTTTTGCCAGTTTGGTGGGGGTTGGTTGGCACCGAGACCCGGTTCTAGAATGTTCCCCACCCAAACGGAGAGCTGTCTTTGTTGGACCCTGGGCATCCTTGGGGCGCAAGAGAGCTGTGGTACTTATGGTCGGGGCAGGCCCCCGGGGTTACGGATCAACGGAACGGCGGCCTCCACGGGAGGCCGCCTTGGCGGTGTGCTGTCCCGGCGGGTATGCCGCCGGTGCGGGGTAAGATTGCGATCGGCCACGCAGGCCAAGGCGCGGACCTCGGAGCCGAGTCAGGGCAGCTCGGGTAAAAGGGGGACCACCCTCCGGGCACGGGAGATTAGCCGCGCACCTCTTCGAGGCACGCGGCGGTTGTTTTCTGTACATCTGGGGGATGCTGGCCGGCTATTCGCGGGTCCTGGTTTGGAGGGGCCAGAGGGAGAGTTGAAGGAAGCCCCATGTGATCCTAAGCAAAAGCCTTTGGTGGCTACCATCTACAGGCGTTCGTTCCTTGGCTCTGTTACTCTATTGGCGACACTTTCGCCCCGGGGTCACCTCTTTGTCTGTCACACGGTTCTCGATCGCTTCCGCAGATAGTCGTCATTGTTAGTGTTTTCTTCGTCTCCACCTGTGGTGTTCTCCTCATTTCAGCCACGATTTGAGCTAATCCAGAGAAAAAGCTCATGTGACGAAATGAATAGTGGAAGTCGCTACGCAAAACGTAGCTCAACTACGCAGGTTTTTTAATCATCATTCGCTTCCGTAGCTCTACAATATGGAGAAAGTTGTGCTCTCGAGTGCCTCCGGACCTCGAGATTCTGACACCGACATCCCTCTCGGTAGCGTGGAGGCGCGGCTGAATCCAAGCAGTCAACTATAAACCGGTGACGCCCTCTAATCTCTGACGAAAGTTCGGTTTGAACATAGAAAGAAGACCGAGACCCGAATGCATAAAGGCTGCGAACAAAACGGTCCAGGTATTGTTTGCCGCAAGCCTTCCGTGCATAGGCGCCTACCGATAGGCGACTCCCGATAAGCGGCCATCATGTCCCAAAACAGCAAATCCCGACGACTATTTCCCGAAACAGCAAAATTCGGTATCGCGATGGGAGCCGCCACAGTTCTGCAGCCACATCATCGAGACTTGATGGTTCTTTTCTTTTGCCAAGATTTGTCTCTTATCAGCCGTATCGGAGCTTGGTTCTTGCAGGATGGTTCTCATCGGCGCCGGATGAGTGCCATCGATTCCCGCTAGCGAAAACAGCATAGTCCAGATGAAATTCCTGTCACACGCTGAGCTGCAGATCAGGTCGTCGCGCGTACCTAGTCGGGGTAGGAACCGCAGTTGCAAGAAATTGTTCAGGTTCTAAAAAGACACCATCGAGATTACATGAATTATTTCAAGATCAACTCGCCGGTCACGAAAACAGCCTCTAAATCTTTTTTTTGACGTTGGATCGTATTTCTCACTCAATAGGTAGACTGCCGGTAGACTGACCCAGTCAATGCCGAATACACTGCTTATTCGAACGTGATTTTCTGTCTTCTAACAGCTGTGGGTTTATTCAGTGGTATCACTATCCGTAACTTGGGCCTCAAATGGTGCTTGGCGCTTGCTGGCGTGGGAGATCCGATCTAACTCTCGTCGCTTCACCATTCGACCACTATGCGACTCTGGAATGTTTTATTATGCCGGTGTGACGCTGAGGATCGGCACAGCCATCCTTTGGCTTTTATTTTATGGGTTCAAGCATGTTACCCAGGTGAAAATGAAAGTGATGTCCATGTCGGTAAATAGTCGATGTCCGCGCTACGCTGCGTTCAGGGCTATCCCCGCGTTGCCGACCTTCACTGCAGTTTTTTCTACCCGAGATCCTTCGGTCTTGATTAGCCACGACGGATCCAAGATTCCCGACTAGAGTTCTAAACCGTTAAAATGTCCGAGGAATGGGAGCCATGACGATCATGGACCCCGTGTTTGCAACTCATGTCATATTGATCCGCCAACCTTCTATCAATATGCAATTTTTCAAATTCAGTACCCGAGCGTTGAATAATGTTACTTCCTGAGTGATTCGATTGCCCACAGCGCTTCCTCGACAAGAAGGCCTTCGCGAGAAAAACGAAAAGAGCCATTATCTTGATGATTTTGGCTGTCTTGTGTCACGATACATGGTTCAGCGAGAGCTGCTGGCTGGGGAAACAGGACGAGTCCAGAATTAGATTAATCTTCGTCCAGGTTACGGCGCTTTTATTGTGATTTATTTGATCCGAGGTATGTTGTGCACATTGCACTAGATTTTAATTTAAAGGTTCCTGGTCTTCTCGCCTAATTTACTACATGTTGTATCTTCTTCCGCCGGTGTCGCCAATTTCTGTCTCGCAATTTGTACTACGATTTCGTTTGGTCTTGTCTTTGAACTACAAATTTGCAGTTCGACGATGAGAATTCTCGGAACATTGCACTACAAGGTCATAGCGTCTTTATCATGGTAGACTCATGCTATTTCCAGATCAAAGGCACCAATTATGGGGTCGAAGGAGACACCTCCGTTCCAAGGGAACTGTTGTCTGCCTTCGAAGGAAGGGGGACGAAGCCACCAGTTACCTTATTGCCGTTGTCAAGTCGAAGGTTGCTACTAGACAATTTAGCTAGTCTATGATCTTAGCTTAATAAGCAATTTTCTAAGTCAGCGTCGATCTATCAGTATTTCAGCCAAGGTTTTTTAATCCAGCTATGGTGCGAAATCCTTATCAGTGAAAAACTATTACCACACGAAAATAAGCAACATCTGCGAAAAACCAAGACTAAAGAGCTCAGAAATTCTCCAGTTCCTGTGCCTCCCAAATCCATTTCGCAATGGCAAAAGACCGTGGTTGCCTTCCGCTCGAATCCGTCGATATCGTCTAATGACATCGCTTCGGGTTTTGATCTTGCAGATAAGCATTGATTTCCTATCAGATAAGACGATGGATATTTAAAGTGCATCAGATGAAGAGAAAGGCCCATATTTTGTGGGACGCACTTTGCAAGCTCTAAGTGAGTTATCATCAAAACCCCCTTTCAATGCCCATTGAACCTATTAGATACGTAACCAAAGTCGATTTGACGAAGCCTGGTGACGCTCAGCCCCAAGTGCATAACAGATGGCATCCCGATGTGCCCTTTACCGAGACCATTACACCTGGTGAAACCGTAAAAATCGAGTGTTTGGATTGGACTGGTAACCAAATCGGTAACAATGACACTGCAGACGATTTGAGAAACGTGGATTTAACTAGAATCCATTATTTGTCTGGTCCCTTCAATATCGAGACTGCTGAGCCTGGTGACGTTTTGATCGTTGAGATTAAAGACGTTCAACCGCTCGAGCGTCAACCTTGGGGTTATTCGGGTATTTTCCACAAGAAAAATGGTGGAGGATTTTTGGATAAATTCTATCCAGAATGTGCTAAGGCCATTTTCGATTTTGAAGGTATCCATACTACGTCGCGTCACATTCCGCATGTTAAATTTACTGGGTTGATTCATCCGGGTATTATGGGCACTGCACCATCCCAGGAGATTCTGAATGAATGGAACAAGAGGGAGAAATTCATCAAAGACGAATGTCAACATTTGCATGAGACATCAGTGGCCAATTTGCCCGACGAATTGAACGCGCATGGTGGTAGTGCAGAGGGTGATCTTTTGGCCAAGATTGCTAAAGAGGGCTCTAGAACTATCCCTGGTAGACCAGAAAACGGTGGCAACTGTGATATCAAGAATTTGTCTCGTGGATCCAAATGTTATTTCCCAGTTTACGTTCCCGGTGCCAAGTTTTCCATCGGAGACTTGCACTTCTCGCAAGGTGACGGTGAAATTTCATTCTGTGGTGCCATTGAAATGGCTGGTGTTATAACGATTCAAACCAAAGTCGTTAAAGGTGGTATGAAGATGTTGAACTTGAAATCACCGCTTTTTATTCCTGGTGACGTTCAAAACCATTACGGGCCTTCTAGATACTTGACCTTTGAAGGATTCTCTGTCGACGAAACGGGTGAGCAAAAATTCTTGGACGCAACGGTCGCGTACAGACAATCCTGTATCAGAGTGATTGAGTATTTGAGAAGATTTGGTTACAACGATTATCAGATTTATTTGTTGTTGTCCACCGCGCCCATCGAGGGTCACATGGCCGGGATTGTCGATGTTCCCAACGCCTGTACCACTATTGGAGTCCCAATGGATATTTTCGATTTTGACATCTCCCCAGATAAGTCGATGGAGATCTTGGCGGCGGGTGGAGACATCACGCAGGACATGGGCAATTGTGCTCTTGTAAGTAATTATGATCATCCGGTGGTTTATGAGTACAATGAAGGGTTGATGAACGGTTTGAATTTGAAGTAGCCAACAAGGATGGAGGCGTAAAGGCGTGATATGGAGAAGTTCCCGCTTGAGCAGGTATTAAATAGGCCTAGCCGGTAAAGCAACCATGGAGAATTGATTTATAAGTTGCAATTACCATTAGGACGCCGGCTATCGATCTGCTCCGAGTCGCAATGTCAGGAGAAGGTAAGGTGTGTCTCAACTGACAACGGACACAACAAGTCCGGGAGGCGTGCTCTCGGAGGTGACGTTCAAGTTCTGAACATATATATGAATACTAGGCTACTAAGGGGCGGCTCATAGATCGCGATCAAATCTAGTCGCCAGAGATATAAATACTTGAGCGGTTCAGCGAGACACTTATTGAGGACTGTTCCCTCCTTTTGTGGCACACAGGGCCCTTCCAGCGGTAAACTTCTCGAAAGAAATCACCATCACCATCAAATCCAACTCCGTCGGGTTTACCGCGGACATATTCAGCGCTAGTCGGAATGGTTTTATCGGCGATTGCGTACGGATTTGTTGCTCGGCGGCAAACTTTGAATGGCCACAAAAGCGCGATTTCTCATTCTCATGTGTGTGGGTGTAACATGCGATCAAATCACGTGATCGCATGATTATATACCGCCCAGACACGCATCTCACAGCCCGATCACAAAAGGCGATCTAGATAAGTTACCCGGACAGTTGTAAGTTACTTTCACAAAAATGCTTCTCCGCGCGTGGGGTGTGGGTGCACAACGGTCAGATCAACGTATACGGATTTTTACCCAGAGCTTACTCATTGTTACGTAAAGGGAAGATCCCTTGTAACCGCCGTGTATAGTGCTTGCGCTTTTAAGTTTACAAAAATGTAGTAGTTTCTAATATTTAATAAGATCACAAGAAATTTAATAAGCATCGATTAATCGCGTACGCTTTCAAGCCCAACATGTACCTGCTCTCATGCTAATGTCTTTGTGAGCATGCGAATAGGGTTCTCCCTGGACGCGTCCTATACACGAATAAAGAGAAGGAAGTTAAGCGAATACAACAAAAGCTGACAAGAAATTACCAACTTCAAGTACCTCTACTTAAGATGCCGCGACAACATGTTGTACTTGCTGGAGGGCCTGTCTATGCACTATCTGGGGCGTCAAAGTTCACTGGGGGAAAACTTTGGCTTGCTGCGCGGCTATTCGTAACCCGTGATATTGGAAGATAAAGTCACATGGGATGGTACATTCTGCTTACATAATAGCGAATCCATGTATTTCCCTCTTTGGTTAAAGATAGCCGTGCATGGTGATAGTATCGAAACAAAATCTCAATCAGATCTTCGGTAGGTCTTCGCGACCTAGTGACTTGGCAGGAAGACCACAACACATCTCGATAGCTTGGAATGTCCTTTGATAGAACCGAAGTCTATGCGGCGCCGGTTCTTGCCGGTGAAGAAGTGGGTGAGAACGAAAATTCGGAAATCGTCAAGTCGTTCCACAATTTCATATTGGAATTCCGACTCGACGCACATTTCGTTTACAGAGAACAATTGCGCAGTAATCTGCTGGTCAGAAATTACTCCGTCACAGTCGACTCCGCGCATTTGATTGCGTACAACGAAGAATTATTCAAAAAACTGTGTGACGAACCCACAGACGTCCTGCCCTTATTCGAACAGGCGGTGACACAAGTGGCACGACGCATTGCGCTTCTGGCGTACGATTCACGTGCGACAGGTCAACAGAACGCGACGTCTGCCACTGGAGGTTCTGATACCAACGCCGAGGCCGAAAATTGGTTCGGTGAACTGAACAAATCCTTAAGTGCAGGGCCCGGCACCGATGTGCCCGTTTGTCAAGTAATTTTGACCTCTACGGCGTCTGAGACGCCACTTCGAAGCTTGGGATCTGAAAACGTGTCCAAAATAGTAAGAGTGAGCGGTATTATCGTGTCGGCGTCTGTGCTTTCCTCGAGAGCCACGTACTTGACTCTAATGTGCCGAAACTGTCGCCACATTACGACCATGCGTCTTAACAATTTTGGCACTTTGAGTGGTTCAAACGTTTCGCTACCAAGAACGTGTTTGGCTGACCATTCCCAAGAGGCCTCTGCCGCTGCGTGTGGTCAGGATCCCTATATGATCGTGCACGAGTCTTCGCGGTTTGTCGACCAACAGTTTTTGAAATTGCAAGAGATTCCAGAACTGGTCCCCGTGGGAGAAATGCCGCGTCATATTCTTATGTCCTGTGATCGTTATCTTACCAACAGAGCCGTGCCTGGGACCAGAGCTACAATCGTCGGAATTTATTCCATTTACCAGGCAAAAAGTCGGAGCTCGGGCACGGCCGCTAGTGGCGGTCGTGCTGTTGCCATCAGAAATCCATACCTTAAAATTATCGGGATTCAAACCGCTGTAGACACAGCAAATTCTACCGGCAATGCAATGATCTTTTCGGAGGAAGAGGAGGAGAAATTTCTGAACTTGAGTAGACGACCAGACCTCTACGAAGTTTTCTCAAAATCTATTGCACCCAGTATCTACGGTAACGAGGATATCAAAAAAGCCATTGTATGTCTGCTGATGGGTGGATCTAAAAAATTGTTGCCGGATGGTATGCGTTTAAGAGGTGACATCAATGTGTTATTGTTGGGTGATCCAGGTACTGCCAAATCTCAACTTTTGAAGTTTGTCGAAAAGGTCAGTCCCATCGCTGTGTACACCTCAGGTAAAGGGTCGTCTGCAGCCGGTTTGACCGCGTCGGTGCAACGTGATCCAGCCACTAGAGAATTTTACCTTGAAGGCGGTGCCATGGTGCTGGCGGACGGTGGTGTGGTGTGTATTGATGAATTTGACAAAATGCGCGATGAGGATAGAGTTGCCATTCATGAAGCCATGGAACAGCAAACGATTTCGATAGCAAAAGCAGGCATCACAACCGTGTTAAATTCGCGTACCAGTGTCTTAGCCGCTGCAAACCCGATATACGGTCGCTACGACGATCTTAAATCTCCTGGCGAGAATATCGATTTCCAATCCACCATTTTGTCGCGTTTCGATATGATTTTCATTGTAAAAGACCATCACAACGAAGAACGAGACATCTCCATTGCGCATCATGTGATGAACATCCATACGGGCCAAGCTACGCTTGCAGATGAAGACCAAGAAGGTGCTGGCGCTGAAATCCCCATTGAATTAATGAAACGGTACATTACTTACTGTCGCACAAAATGCGCGCCTCGACTTTCTCCACAAGCTGCAGAAAAACTGTCGTCCCATTTCGTGTCAATAAGGAAAAAACTTTTAATCAACGAGCTTCAAAGCGAGCAAAGGTCCTCGATTCCGATCACAGTGCGTCAATTGGAAGCCATCATCAGAATATCGGAGTCTCTGGCGAAATTGGAACTAAGTCCCGTTGCACATGAGCGACATGTAGATGAAGCAATTCGTCTTTTCCAAGCTTCGACTATGGACGCTGCATCTCAGGACCCCATTGGTGGTATGGGACAAAACCCTGATCTGGTACAGGATGTGAGGCGGATAGAGCAGGAATTGAAAAGACGGTTACCAGTAGGATGGTCCACCAGTTATCAAACCCTTAAACGCGAATTTTGCGATCAGAAAAATTATCCGATGGCCGCATTAGATCGAGCGTTATACATCCTGGAACGCCATAGCGTTATCCAACTCAGACACCAAGGTCAAAACATCTACAGAAGCGGGCTTTAGGCTTCGATAAGCCTGTTTCTTTGATCACGTGATTAGATAGTCACGTGCGTGCTTATTCGATCACCTAATACGAAAGTCAATCAGTTATCACGAGTATAATCATTGTCAAACCTGTATAATAAATTCATCACCAACAGCAAGGCAGCTCACGAAGTCAACCCGTCGCTTATGTCGTATGTTGTTTGGCTCCAGTTTCCCAGCTATTTTTAGGTCTATTCATGTACTAACAGTGCCAAATGTCATTAGCGATTTACTTGATCGTCCACGTTCGGAACTTACGCAGGAAGAGATAGAACAATTGGAAGAGTTCGAGTTTAAAAATGGACCCATGTCTTTGATAAATGATGCCATGGTAGCCAATACCCCTGTGATCATATCGTTGAGGAATAATCACAAAATAATAGCCCGTGTGAAAGCTTTTGATAGACACTGTAATATGGTACTTGAAAATGTTAAAGAACTATGGACAGAAAAACAGGGCAAAAAGGCGTTAAACCGAGAAAGGTTTGTCAGTAAGTTGTTCCTTAGAGGTGACTCTGTCATCATCGTTTTGAAGGCTCCAATATAGCCCTATCAAACTCGAATGCTGTATATTGAACTTGTATATTAAGGAGATCTATTTGAAATTTTTGAGAGGGTCTGATTTAGCACCTCTTTTAGTATTCTTTTTGCGTACCCTGTTGTTACCTTTGCTCATCTTCTTTGGATTATGGAATGGAACGAAACCAATCTTCTTTTGCTTTTCTCTTGCAGCCTCTGGCAACAAGTAGTCAGGTACTCTTTTCAAATGCTGTTGTATCCTGGCAGAATGCAATTCTTTATCGTGTCTTAGACTCTGTAAATCTTGAGGATTTTCCTCAAAATGTCTTTTCAATTTCCCACTAGTCAACAGCTCATTTTTCAGCTCTTTGATACGTGCCTCTCGTACTGCGACTTGCGTCACGGCACGAAATCCATCCTCCATTCTATATCTGAACCCTTCCACTTGTTTTAAGTCAAAAGAGTAGGGCTTGACTTCGAGCCCCAATTTGCTTTGCTGTTTGATGATTCGGCTCAAAATCTTTTCATCCTTCTTAGCCGTTTTACACATCGATGGCTTATGCTTCCCAAATTCTTTCAAAGGAACGACAAACGAAATTGCTGTGCCTGACTTACCAGCACGCGCCGTTCTTCCAATACGATGGACGTAGGATCTTGCTGTCGTGGGTAGATCGAAATTCAAGACACAAGCCACGTTTTTGAAATCGATACCTCGCGAAACGCCGTATTCTTTGTCCTTTTTGGAGTTCTTCTTAGTTTTCTTGCCATTAGATGCCTCACCATTCGCAGTCTCAACGCCCGAATTGCTATCGCCCTCGTCTGTCTCGGTTTTCTCTGGGTCGACCGAATCCTCATCGTAACCGGCTTCATCCGTTGCAATCAAAAGATGGTAGACATTTTTATTGAACTCCTCCACAATATGCTGGCGCGAGTTCGTTGGTAACTCGCTGTTTAAAATGCATGATCTTATTCCGAATTGTTCCAAGACAAGTTTTAGACGGAACCCACGATCGATATCGTTAACGAATACCAAGGTTTTGCCCTTAATCAAACCCAATTTGAAAATGACATAACAAAGTAAAAACTTGTCGAATTCGCTTACTCTAACGTAATATTGTGCCAATTTGGTTTGATCTTTACTGACCTCGTCCTCATTGATTTTTAAAATCGCAGGAGAGCGGCAAAATTTCTCCTTCAGGTCCTGAATATCATCATTCAAAGTAGCACTCATTAGAAAGGTTTGTAGATTTTTCTTCAAAGGCAAGTACCTGGAGATTTCTGTTAAATCGCTGTGGTATCCAAACGTCAGGACAAGATCCACTTCGTCAATTACCAAAAATTTCAGGGACCCAATCGAGAACGCATTTTTCTTTGTATCCAAAGCCTGTACAAGCTTTGCTGGCGTTGAAATCAACACTTCTGGCTTATCAAGGAGAAAAGACGTCAGAACTTGATCAGACAATCCCGATGACAGATTCAAAGTATGGACGTCTTTCGAACAGTACAAAATCAATTTCTCCAATGCCTGCGTGACCTGTTGCGCCAATTCGCGTGTGGGAACCAAAATTATTGCCAAGGTTTTAGAATTTTCAGTATCCTCATCGCTACTGCTGCTATTTTCGATTTTTTTCTGCTCTAAAATCGTTTGTACAACCGGTATCAAATAAGCTAAAGTCTTACCAGAGCCCGTAGCAGCTTTCGCAATGATATCACGTTTTTGTTGCAGAGCTAATGTAATCGAACTTGACTGAATAAGTGTCGGATGCACCAAGCCGCTGTGTTTCAAAGATTGCAGTAACCTAGAATCCAAACCCAACGATTCGAAAGATACAGACTCGTCAAGATACGCGCTATCCACAGATGCTTCTGTTGACATTGCCGCGATCCTGGGTAACTCTTTAAACCTGGTAAAAACGCTTTTAAAGTGTGCTTGAAAGGCTTGCGATGAGATGAAGTATGTCAAATTTTCACTAGCTATTGATTTCTTTTGATGCATGTCGTTCTAAACGATCTATACATACTCGACGAAATGAGATGAGATGAGTTGAGATGAGATGAGATGAGCTCTATAACCATCTAGCACAACGGTGCCACGAGATCACTAGCTATGCTCAATATACTTTCGATTCTGCCCTTTAGAGGATTTGAATTGCAAGAAACGATACCCAGTTCTGTGAGGTTGATTTCTGCCGTGTTTTTGCCAATTGTAACAGTCGCTGTTGCGTAGTTTGGCTTTCCGTTTGCCTTGGTAGTTTTGGTGTCAGTTTCTACCATCTGCAATGAGAGACTGTCGCCAAATTGTTCCTTCAGTAGCCTTACAATGTGTCTTATTTTCCATTGAATCTCGCTATCCTGAAGTTCATGTTCATCGTGGTATTCGTGTGAGCAACTGTGACTGCTCAGTTTGACACTCGCTGGAGACGAGTCGACACTCAGCAGGATCGCCATGACACTATCGGCGACGGTGTCGTTGATTAGCCCCTGGGACCATTCGAGGGTCGCGACATCGTTTATAATATTCAATTTGATGTCACCCATGATTTTAAGTTCGAGCTCATCACTTTCCTTCGCTTTTGCAGCGTCATGATGTTTGTCGTGAGCATCCCCATGCAACACCGTGACACCTGCGTCGTCGATAAGCACTTCGATATCACCAAACATTTGTTTGAGGTGCCAAAACACCAATTCCTTTCGGCAGTCCAAGCGGATCGACTGCCTTTCTTTCAATACGGTTGTCGACAGGTCCATGTGGTGATCTCTTAAATCCGATAACGATACAAGGTTTAAATCAAAATTCTTTTCGTCTGATACCAAAATTCCGGATACGATCGTACCCTCGTCTATCTCCTTGATATTTTCGTCCTGGTCTTCGTCTACCCCTTTTTTTCCTCCGCTCAGTTTCAGCGCTTCGTTTACCTCATCAACAATGTTCCCTACAGCTTTGGCTATTTTGATGCCTTTAAATTCCATGTCCACAGGTACACAGTTCCGAGGATTGTATACATGTACTTCGTCGTCGGTTCCTTTCAGCGAAGAGAAATTCGATAGTAATGCAGATTTCAAACGCCCCATTGGATTGGATTCACCATGAACAAGAATGATATTGGCAGCGCCAATTTTCTCAATAAATTCCAAGTTTTCTCTAAAATCGACATGCGCTGCGAACGAAATCTCTTCGACTTGGCATCTCCTAGGAATAGTGACTTCTGGATTGGAAATGGAAGGAATGACATCGGGTTCAAGCATCAGATATTTTGCCATAGTACCTTCAACGGAATAACCGGTTATAAGTACCAAGTTTTTTTCGCCCGGGCACCATTTTTCCAATAAATCTCTCGAAAGACCATTCTGTAGCATCCCCGGTGAAGCCAATATCACACTGGGCCCAAAATCTTGGAATTCATCAAGATTTTTCAAATACGATATGTTTTTGAATATGAAGGGATTCGATTGGGAGTCTCGAAATTTCCTTCTAATGTCGTCATTCATCATATTCACATAAGTTTGAAACACGCTCATACATTTCCGGGCCAAATTTGATGCATAGAAAACAGGCACTTGACCTCCACCAAGTTCTTCAGCGTTTTGAGACCAATATTCATCAAGAATCAACATCAATTCTTGAGCTCTTCCAAGCGCAAAAGCGGGTAAAAGTACACGCCCACCCTTTGAAACGGTAGAATGAATGAGTTGTGTAAGTTTCTTTTCTCGATTAAGCCTTGGTTCATGAGTAGCCGTACCAAAAGTGGATTCCACGATCAAAACGTCTGAAGGTTGTGGTGGAATTTCTGCCGAGTTCAAATGTCTGTCAACTTCTCGAGAATAGTCACCCGTGAAAAGAATATGAAGTCCAGCGATCTCTACTTGAAACATGGCAGCACCGAGTACATGACCCGCGTGGAACGCAGTGAATTTTATACCGTTGACATCCATTGTAGAATGATAGTCAATTGTCTCAATTTTATCAAAGGATTCTGCCAAATCTTCATCCGTGTACAGGTTTTCATCTTTATCGTTGAGGGAAGAATTGGCACCGATATTAGTGACTTTGACGAAATCGCTAAGTAGCCACCGGTAAATAGCCTTTGTAGGATGGGTCATGAAAACTCGTCCTTGGAAATCAGTTCTTTGCATGACATAGGGAAGCGAAGCGGCGTGATCCAAATGGAAATGTGAAATGAGAAGAACGTCGACAGTGGAAAGATCAAAATCATCGTAAAAGGGCAAAGATGCTAAGCCTTGGTGAGCTGGATGCACACCGGCATCCAACATCACCGTTTTGCCCTTGTATTGTAAAATATGACACGACCTACCCACTTCATTGCTTCCTCCAAGTCCAAAAAATCTTAAAGACGTCTTACTAGCTGTTGAGGTCATTTTGATGATAATAAAGCCAAGTATGCGACAAAAGGGTGCTCGCTACGATGAAAACTTCTCAAAAACTAGTAGATGTGGACAAAAGCACCCTGTTTGCTCAACACCCAACTCTTGACGAACCTTGGATAAATCTCTGGAGACAGGAATTCCGGCGTGACAAGCTCCAAGTTAGTAAAAGACAACTTGATATGATTGCTTCGAGCTTTGCCGCAGTCAGGAGCTGTGCAATAATTGAACTTACAGAGCTCTGAGGTTGGTCGTTTTCAGATTTCAATTGATATCAACTTACCCAGTTTTCGTCACTCATTTTTTAAGAAACTTGTTTTTCGTGATGTTAATCCAATTTTATATAGTGATGAACTAAGAGGAGATCAAGAAGACCTAGGATCCTGAGTCGCCTGGCGAGTCTCCTGGCCACTTATATAGCGATTGTTCGTTAAAATGTTCAGTAACTCGTAATTAGTTTTACGATTAAATCTTTCTTCGAAGAACCGAAATTCGGAAATGTCACGAATTTTGATAAGTGTGCGTAGGGTTAATGCGGGTAGATTTTTGGGTCTGGTGCTATTGTGGTACGGCTGGTATAGTTTAAGGGAAATCTGAGTCCATCTGAGCGCGTTTGGTAGAACTTCTAGATTTTTTTAAAGTGGGTCGCCAACGAAACGACATGATTTGACCTGAAACTCAGCTGGCAACACCTCCCTGCAGTGCTTATTTAACCGATGATTTTTTGAGCGGTGTCTGTCAATTGGAGTCGTCCGCCCTTATGCCAAAAACCCATAATCATCATTTACCGTCCAAAACTCCTCTACAGGAGATCCAAGCACATGATCCACCTGAATTCCATCAACGTGACCCCAAGCATGATTCGGTACCGCGGGATTCACTTTGTTTGTTTCCACGCCTCCCGACGGTACCGACGCGATGGTATTTGAGTCCATTTTGCTACTTCGATCCTGTGGCGTGGGCCAATTCCCAAACGTCACATTATACCCCGTCGAATTGCTCGGAACGAAGTCTTTAGACAGTTGGTTTTGTCCCATGTGTTCATTCAGAAGATTCTCAACGGAATCACTCGTCCAGGAAGATATATTATTGATCATCGTATGCGCCCCGTTATGGAACATGATACCATCGGAGCTGAAATTTTGCGGGAACGCACTCAAAGGAGCCAATCCGGTTGAAGTTAGTGTGGTTTTAGAATTTGCGTTTACGTTGGAAAGAGGCCTTGGGTAGCAAGACGCAGCTGAGGCGTTGATTCCTGCCGGTTTCGAATTCTCGGTCTCAATTCCTTGGCCCACCGCTTTAGCGTCGACGCTTTTCGTAATGTTACTGGCAGCAGCCTGACTGTCAAATTTTCCATTATTTGTGTTGATATCCTTTGCAGGTCGGTAATTGGTCTGTGGGGAAACTTTTCCGTTAAGAGATGCCAAATACGCTTGCAAAGTTTGCTGCGCATGGTGTTGCTGCATAAGTGCTTGTTGTTGAAACGTTTCCCAATTCGATTCTGCTGCATTTAGGGGCTTCTGTACAATATACCTCTCCTTAACGCTACGTGCAGCGTCCTTATCCCCCGTGACAGCTTTACTGTCCACAACACCCGATTGATTTGCTTTGTCGGTAGCCGCCGAGTTACCCGCAAGCAAGCTTGTAAGACTTTTAGGTACGGCTTCTTCGACGTCATCTCTCTTTTTCTTAAGCTGTTTCTGTTCTTCCGGATCCATTTGCGAATTCTCAACAAAACCAGCATGTTCATTCGCTTGTAGTGTACCATAAGTTCTTTCCATAGCCGGTGGCATTCCGCCTCCATGCTTTTCCTTGCTTGAGAAAGTCCCTTCTTCCATTGATACTGCTTCCGAATTAATGGCAAAACCAGCAGCATCAACGTCACTGTCTCCATCTCCTTGTACATATATCAATTCCGAAGAGTCGGGACCACAACGCTCTATCAAGTTTCCAACAGTTGCATTCATCAAGTGATCAAAGGTATCTCGGAAAGTAATAGCGAATTTCGATCTTTCGGCCATAACGTAAAGGCACACCGAACAAGCTCTTAAATCGTCCAGAGTTGAAAACAAAGATCCACTAACCAGGGGTCGGGTATGTCTTGAAGAGTCTCCTAATTTCCTTCTGCGTTCATCGTCTAAGTTTCTGGCCAACCACATACAGTATATTAAAGTCGTTCCAGCGACAAAAATAGTATGAACGGCCGGCGTCGAGTGACCAAAGGCAGTCTTTTGATGGAATATTTTGTACAATTGGCAAATTTGCCCCGCGGCAGCCTGGCATTCGCGAAAAAGACGATTTTTCGGTTCCAAAAACTCCAAATATGGCTGAATCAATAACCTGACAGACCGGTAATAGTATAGCTTAAGCGTTTCATTCTCGAAATTGCGAACATGTGATACTGAACAATTGGATCTCCATATTTCGAGTTGCCGAAAAAAATCCTTCACTTGTGGAAGCTGCGCCGCGAGTTCATCTGGTTTCCTCATTGAGGTTTTCTTTTTCGCAGGAGTTTGAGGAATAATTTGGAGTGTTTCGACAAATTGAGATTCTATTCTTCTCAATTGCAATGATTGATTTATGAAATGCACTCCACGCTTGTGCCTGGTTTGGTCATGGATAGAGTTTGTATTGAAACTACCCTCATCAAACAAAGGAAGATTAATTTCAGATTCTGCGATCGTGTATGGCTTGCCAACGGCCACGCAAATCATTCTCTCAAGTAAATACACGCACCAAAAGAGTCTTAACTTTTTGCTGGCAAAAATGTCTTGTTCTTTCCACTGATTCAAGAACAGTTTATCTTTGCATATCGTCATAACGTCTTTTATAATGTTGTAGGGCCCAATGGAATCGCAGTCAGTTCTGATGATATAAAGAACCAAAAGCGTCAACACTTCGACTTGTTGAATGTACGTGAGCGAGCTACCGCATCTGGTGATATGTCGAATGGCAGTAGAGAAATATCTGCCTGGTGGGAGACCACGGTATTTACCCGTCGACTTGTGCAAGCAGGCTCCAATACTGAAAATCAGCCACATACGACCACATGCAAAATGAAATTCTCGATTTGAATAAGAATGAACGTTGTTGGAGATAAAATCGCTGTGAAAGGAGTAAATCTCTTGTTCGTCCAGCAGCGGGTACTTAAATTGAAGTCGTGAGAAGAAAATGTCGAGTAACGTGCGCGACAGTTTTTCGTCAAACTCGAACGCAGGATTGTAAGATGAGAATTCCATGACATTGTACTTGGCAAAAATGCAACTGGAAAAATCGATGGACTCGAGTGAGTCCGATGCAAGTGCCGATAAATGAGCCCGATTATGCGCTGCTGGAGACGAAGGTCTCTCTGATGAGCCAAAAGGTTCATTTTGGAGCGGGAAAAATTTCACTCTTGTCGGTGGTGGTAAAATCGGTGACGAGGCAGCAGATTCAGGTTTACCAACGGGAGGGAACTGAAAAGGACTCGATTCGGCCTCAGAACCCGCGTTGCTGCTGCTAGTATTGTTGTTTCCCATCAGATGCGATATGTGTTTATAGTTGTTCCATCTCTCCCTGTACGGCGCAGAATCGGGCGGTAGGTTGATTAACCGTTCCAAATACCGAAGTTTGCGTTCCAAGAACCGGGTATACTCGTCTTTCTGACCTCCTTTACCACCGTTACCAACACTGTCTTTTTCGTCGTTAACATCGGGCATTTCACTGTCTTCTCGATGGCCTGGCGATGGACTATCTGGCGCTGACCTACTGGAATAGTTGACGGGTTGTATACACTTCACACCGGCTTTCAAGCACATTGTACAGCTCGGAAGTTTCTGATCACATCGCCTTTTTCGCCTGCGGCAGAGCAAACACGCGCGCGATCGACCTCTTTTATCTTTCAACAACAGATCAACATCTTGACCGGCCAACTCTAGCTCCATTTGGAAGTTCTCAAAGATTTTCTGGCTAACCTCCTTGCGAGGACGGCCCATGACTGTTGATAATGACCCTTTGAAGTGCTAGTTTGTATTCTTTCTGTCAATGTTCTCTTAACGCGATAGTTTAATTTTTCGGACATCATATGGGGTGATATCTTAATTGCAATATCGACACTTTGTAGAGGAACAGGTAAACGAGCCAGGACTGGTGATAGAGGAAGGGAGAAATTTACAACTCTAGCATATTAAACCTGTAGAGATAGATGAGGGCCCCACGATGAATTTTTGTTGATAATTTTTGGCCAACTGGTAATTTAGAAAAAATTGAAAGCTTTGAAAGATCTTTTTGTCTGTCTTTGACAGGTTTGGCAGGATCTTTGAATCATCAGGGAGGTGATAAAAACGTGTTTTTTGTCCCTTGGTATTGTGCTGATACCATTAGTACTTTGTTCTTTGGATTGTGTGCCTTGCATGGTCCAAAGATGAATTGCAGTGACCGTTGTATTGGATCCAACCGGGCAATGCACTTATGCATTTGAATGAAGGATTACTCTCCGTTTCTAATCAACTCCAAGAGTCGTTGTTCTTCTTGAATTCTCTCTAATTCTTGCTCATCGCGCAACGCCCTGTGTTTCACGTGTTTTTCGCGACTCTTCTTTTCTTTACTTCGCTTACTCTGTTTCCCCCATTGATGCATTGCTTCATTTCTAGCAGCTGCAATACCGTCGTTTTGCCATTGACTGATCTTCAGCGCCAGTTTTTCGCGTGCAATCTTACGATTCTGGTCTCTGGACCTTGTCTCTTGGCATTCGACCACGATTCCACTAGGGAGATGACGCAATTGCACTTTGCTGTTGCATTTGTTAATCTTCTGACCGCCGGGACCGCGCCCTCCGTGCAAAAACTTCTCTTCAAGTTCCGTCTCCCAATCTGGTGAAAATTTGGGACGCGGAGGCAACTGCCGTTTCTTTATATTGGCTACCATGTGGGAATGCAAATTTCGCTTCCAGTACAACTGCATTTCATTCAAAAGAACTCGCTGTTTCATCATTGTAAGGTATAATTTCGTCAATTTATTGAGATTAGGCTGTTCTGGCTCCAAAATTGTCTCCACTGTCCCAAGCTAACTTGCAAAAAAAAGATATTTGGCTCGTTTAATCACTTCCAGACTAATCTCAGTAACTCAGTAGTCCTCGAGCTCTGCTTCTATGCTCTTTCTTTGGTTTCTTTAACTAGTAATTTCCATCATATCTGAAATTTCTCACGATGACGTGCCAAGATTGAACAACTCAACCTTTAAACCAACCGACTTCAAGCGAAAAAGCCGTAAGATAGTGTCTTTTCCAGCATCAATACGAGCATGCGGGCCTTTGGTCTTGCCAGAAACATGAAAAGGGCCTTTTCCCGCAGTTTCCAGCTTTCCAGACACCTTCATATGGGTTTAACAAGGCTTAATGAGAAGAGTTCAAGTATCGCGAGCTTAAGTGCAAATCTCACTAAACCTGGTGAAAAAGGGGCCATAGCTGATTTGAAAGACGATTTACCGGGCAATTTCATTGATAAGTTGCCCGAACAATTGATCTCAGAGGGGAACGGATTAAAATCCACACGAGCAGAACACCAAGTCGACACATTGAAATATTACGATGAACTTCTCAAATCCGGATTTACTCCCCAGCAAAGCAAGGCCATAATCCAACTTTTGCTTGAATCTCTTAACGAGGAGTTTTTCGAGCAATATAATGTCAAATTCTTGAGAAATATGGAACTCGAGAATCAATCGCATTTGTTCAATGCAGCAGAAACGGAAGTCAAGTTCGCTATCCAAAATTCGAGAGAAACGGCATTGAACGAACAAAATTTGAAACTCTTGAAACTGAATCGAGATTTGCAATCTATGCATGACGACCTTAACGAACTCATCATCAATTTGTTGAAAAAAGACTCCCGAGTTGATTTCAACGATCATAAAACTGAAAACACGCTCCAGCAACGTAGTATCAGTTTGGATTTAAAAGACTGTAATAATAAAATTGGTACTAAGATTATTGGGAACGTAAAATCGGAAATTGAGAACCTGAGATGGCAAACTACCAGAAGCGGGCTCTTCGCAGTGATCATCTTGGTATTTTTCATAATGAGCGGTGTCAGTATATCTAAACGAATATCTGTTGAAAGCGAAAAACCCGTTGAAGTCATTTTGCATACAATAGAGCCAGAAGAAAGCGAGGCCACGGGCTGGCCGGAGGATCCGGAACCCAATTCTACATAATGTACATACAATCAGTTCACATCTTATGAATACGTTGCTTGGATTTAATTTCACGAAATCTTTGTTGCGGTAAACCTCGTACCCAGTACGAAAGTGCGTCGTTGACTTCGTCGACATTGGCGCGTTTCATTTGGTCTAGAACACTTCTTTGAAGCAATCTTTTCATGCCGGGAATACTTTCCTTGTGCAAATCGCCCGTGGCGCGCTTCAAATCTTGTAAAACCTGGGAATTGAATTCTTGAGTGTCTTTTAGGTTGTAATTCCGGGTCACGACTTTGCCGTTAAGTTGATCAAATGTCACAGGTCGTGCCAATGTCAGAATCTCGCTTGCGACGTTGTAGCCGAGTTTCATAGGTAATGTCACAGAAAGTGCACCTTCGGTCACTAGCGCAAGATTCGCAAAGGGGAAAAGCAAGTATACGGAATTATTCATCGCATAAACAACGTCGCATAACATGACTATCGCCGCTGAGAGACCCACGGCGGGACCATTCAAGCAACATACTATGGGTTTGGTATGTTTCGCAAAAACGTGCGTTACAAACAAATTCCGGCTCACAAATTCCGACAGCCATTTGCCCAGCTCTCCATTTTCGTCCTGAGCACTCTGCATGGCTCCGATGTTCCCGACGTTAGCACCTGACGAGAAAAACCTACCACTACTCTGTAAAACCGTCAGATACACCGCGCTGTCGCGATCTGCGATTTCCATCAAATGTCCCAAATATAAGTAATCATGACCCGTCATTGAATTCAACGACTTTGCATCGTCCAATTGAATCACAAATATCCCATCCTGGACGTTGTGCTTGATCTTTTCGCTCGCAGCGATAATCGTCATCTCGTCCCAAAATTGTCTCAAACCTAGTTCTTATCCCAGTTATCACCCTTATTCCCTTCTATCCACCATATTTCAGCTTAGACAACCAACTAGAATCGTGTCAAAACCTTCTTCTTTTATATGTTTTTAGGGTTCTCCAATCTCTTGTTTGTTGATGACTCGTTGACTTCGAGATCCCTTACGTCAGAAAATGGAATAATTGGAAAACTGAAAAATTTAAGAAAGTAAAAAAAAATTTCGAGATGCGATGAGCTAGCTCATCGAGGATTATACAGCGTAGATATAGGGATTTCGTCCAGTTGGCAGTGTTAAACAAACTTCTAGGTGAGTTCAGCGAGGTCGAAAGTGTCATAAATGTCAGATCAGGACTCGATAGATGGCGGAATGCAGGATCTGTTCCAGGAACCCGAAGAGTATTATAAGCCCGCTCCAGAGCCGCATTTTGCATGTTATGAACGGACGGCCATCAGTGACATTTCAGTCTCGCGCAAGGCGAATATTAGACTGCGACTTGTCGGGTCTTCACCTTTGTGGGGTCATTTGCTGTGGAACGCCGGCATATACTGTGCGAAACACCTTGACAAAAATCCGGAACTAGTTCGTGATAAACACGTTTTGGAGCTTGGGGCAGCAGGTGCACTTCCTTCGCTTGTCGCTGGGCTTATTGGCGCGAAAAAATGCGTTGTGACAGACTATCCAGACGCAGATTTGCTCGGTAACATCCAGTACAACATGGATCACGAATTGTACGACCAAACGCGAGCCAAGAACGTCGTGGTCGAAGGTTACATCTGGGGTAATGACTATGCACCACTGTTGTCTCATTTGGGCGACGACCGCTCTAAGAAATTCGATCTCGTAATTCTAAGCGATTTGGTGTTCAACCATACAGAACACGAAAAATTGTTGCAGACAACCAAGGATCTTTTATCCGCTAACGGTAAGGCACTCGTAGTGTTTTCGCCACATCGACCATGGCTTTTGAGTGCGGATTTGCAGTTTTTCGAAACGGCTCGTGAATTTGGGCTTGAGCCGCACCAGATAGAAATGGTCAACTGGAAACCTATGTTTGAAGAAGACGCGGAAACTGCAGAGATCAGATCAAGAGTTTATGCATACTATCTTATGCATTCTTTGTGAATTCACCGTCATTGTGAACTTCTATCTATTAGCACATTATTAGGATACAAGTCATTAATATTATTGTCGTTCATCTTTTGAGGCCATTTGGGCTCTACTGAAAAGAGCTTTTCAAATAGGAGAAGTTGCAACTCGTGAAAACCACATTGTCGGAATCGTAAGCGTAACAAGTGGTCCCTGCGGCACATTCCATATACACCCATTCATTGTGATCACAAATGGCAATTTGTCCGTCAGCGGAACATGAAATTTCGCCCTCGAAACATTCAGAACTGCCATTCATCTGCCCTTCGGAGTATTGTTTATTTAGCGCAATGGCTCTGTCGTGGGCCCAAGAGCTGGAGGCGGTCTCCTGAGTGGACGCTGTCGTAGCCGTGGAGGTTGGTAGTGCGGAAGTTGGTGGTGCGGAAGTTGGTGGTGCGGAAGTTGGTGGTGCGGAAGTTGGTGGTGCGGAAGTTGGTGCGGCGGAGGTTGGTGCGGCGGAGGTTGGTGTTAGAGTTGTAGTAAACCTCTGTTGAGAGTTTGAAGTTGAAGCTGAAGCGGAAGATGTGGTCTCTGGCGTCACTGAGCTGGAGGGGGTATTGGTGACAGGTGTCGAACTCCAGGCGGGCGCAGATGAAAATGTGCCGACTTGGGTCACTAAGGTCGAAGGCGTAAAGGTATTTGTGCTTGAAAAAGGCAAAGGTGCATTGGCAGTGGCAACATTTGATGTTTGGGATGAGTAGACTGGAACAGGGGTAGTGCTGGGTGTAGAAGTGGAGCCAGTTGTAGTCGCTGGGATGGTGCTCGTGATGGATGAAGAAGTGGTTGTAGAAACCGAAGTAGTAGGTGGAATAGATGCAGAGCTCAAGGATACAGAAGTAAAACTGTCGGAAGTGGAGCTACTTGAAGGTGATGAGCTGGAGCCTGAAGCAGATGTGGAGCTGCTTAGAGTAGATGCGGAAGTGATCCCAGAAGTGACCGCAGAAGGGGCTGCTGAGGAGACTGCAGGAGCGGCCGAGCTGGAGGACAGCACATTTTGTTCCAAAGCATCCTTCATCAAAGACACATAGGTTTTGCCATTGATCGTGTTTTTGAAGCTTTGAGAAGCATCCCACAGCATGATACCGCCAAAATTGCTAGAACTTGAGATACTTTTCACAGTACTCGATACTTCATCAGTGTCAGAGATGTATCCGGATCCAGCCGCAGTGGGAGAACCTGGCAAACCTAGGAATAGTTTAATATCGGAGTTTGGAGAGACGGTCTCAGCAAAATTTTGCCAGGTATCCCAATTGAACTGTTTGTCGACATTACAGTAATTGTTGTAAAATTGAATGAAGGCAAAATCAACTTCCGCATTGCTTAGTAAATTTCCCACACTGGCATCTGGATAGTAGCATTGGGGAGCGGCGGAAATGTAAAAATCTTTGGAAGCAGAATTGTAATATTGTCTTAATTTTTTGGCCAATGCGACATAACCGTTCTGATTGTTGTTTTCAATGTCAAAATCAAAACCATCAACGACAGCATCGTCGAAGGGCCGCTCAGAGCCAGATCCTTCACCAAAAGTGTTCCATAGAGTGTCGGCAAACGATTCGGCTTCGGAGTCGTCAGAAAACCCATAAGCACCGCTTTCACCGCCAAGCGAAAGGAACACTTTTTTGCCTAGACCTTGACATGTTTTGATATCGGATGCGATTTGAGAACAGTGGAGAAGACCGTCCGAAAACGTCGAAGAGCATGCGGAACTGAAATCGAGTTTCAATGGGTTGGGAAAAGCGTAAAGGAATGACAATAGGACGATGTCAACATCGCCAGATTCACAGTAAGTCGCCAGCGACTCCTGAGATCCGGCAGACGCCTGCCCCCAATAAACGGCGACGTTGGTCTTGGATTGGGCGTCAAACCCATAAACCGACAATGCCTGCAGAAGCGCGAAAATGGTTAAAATGTAAAAGTTCATCTCTGGAATTATCGTTTTGTAGTTGTGTCAGGAAGTATCAATTATCCAACCATGACATCCTAATGTGACAGGGACCATTGAGGCTCTTATACACCAAATTTCTTGAGGCAGATCGTCGTGTCTTTGGCAAGCAAGCCGTTTCAGCTTCTAACCAAAATAAACAACAAGTCTAATTTTCTCGTGAATTATGAAAGTACGACTGTTTTTACGCACTGCGTTTTTTTACACAGTGTAGTTGCTGTGTTTGAGATACCAGACTCATGTTAATGCAAGTTGCACATAATGTAAATAAACAAACAAGTCTTTCCCAGCGGCGCGATACTATTGACACGCAACAATGTAGTCTTGGGCAACCAGGGTAAATGTCAACAAAGAAGACACAGCTCTATGAAGAAAAGCTGTCTCGTTTGGTTTGAAACAAGATGCATTTGTTTTCTTGGAGCCAGCCATTTGGTTATACGTCTGTGGCCGTAAATCGTGATTGATATATCATTATGTGGTGTACGGGCTTATACATGGTTAATACACCTGCGAATCGTCGGATCACACTCAAATAGCACCAAAAACCATCGTTTCTGGGCTCCTAACTAGCGAGCAGTAATTTCGGTTGGTTGTAGTTACTTTGAGTTTTTCCAGAGATTCTTTCTGTCCTGTCGACGTTTCCATAGACTTGGATATGAAATTTGACGACGACAAGAAAATGTGATATTTAGTTTGGTTAAGCTTGACGGTTGGGGATCCATCTGATGCTTTTTAAATCAAATGGTTATGTTTTCACTATAATTAATGCTTTTTTGCCATTCCTTTCCATGTGGGAGCTCCGGCGTTCTTGTTTTTTTGAAATCCGACGCGACATGACGGGCAGGGTCCCTTTTTCTCCACTCGACACTGCCATTAAGACTTCTATTCGCTTTTAAATACCACCTTTCTATAACCTGATTTTCATTTCTTGTAGTAATGACTGGGGACGAGTGGCAAACGTGCGACCTCGACTGGGAACACCTTGTTTCTGACGCTTACAAGTAGCTTGGTACCCGCTTTGCGGGCCACTTTGAGCACTGAAGCTTGTCCGATATTGACACCGCCAAGTGATGGAGATGCACTTCCTGACGTCACGTGGCCGACCGCGGTCGAGCCATCTTCCGAGAGGAGGGGCGTGCCCGTACGTGCTGCCGGACCCTTCCCCGTATATTTGAATCCGACACGTACGACTGAGTTGGATTTGTCCTGGATTTGCTTCATTATAGGCTCGAACCCGTTGAATTTACCCAAACTACCGTCTCTGCGCGTCTTGGAGACCAACCACCCAAGTGAAGTGTCTATGGGCGTCGTTCCATCGTTCAATTCGTTCCCGTACAGGCACATACCGGCCTCGAGTCGCAAACTGTCACGTGCGGCCAAGCCTATAGGTCTTGCCAAGCTGTTGTCTAGCAACAATTTGCCCAGCAACTCTGCGCTTGAGTCCACAACCGAAATCTCGAACCCGTCCTCACCGGTGTACCCAGATCTCGCAGCCTGTACCTGGACGCCGTCCGTGAGCTCAAAGGGCCTCCGTTCCCCGAAATACAGGTCCTTGAGCGCTTCTGGGCCGCCTTTGATCAAAGACCCGAACACTTTACAGGCGTCAGGGCCTTGCAGTGCAAGTAAAGATCGGTTCTCGATTGGTTGCCACTGGCAGTCAAAACCCGAAATCTGATCCTGCAGAAATTGCGTGTCTTTCGCTGCACATGCAGCGTTAGTCACGATATAAAACTCGCTAGCGCCGGTCTTGGTAACCATAGTATCGTCCACAATCCCACCGCGTTCGTTAAGAAGCACGGACAATGAACTGGTACCAACGGGCAAATTCTGGAAATCTGTAGGAGTAATTTTATGTAAAAACGAAACTGCATCCGCTCCCCTAAGCGTGCTTTGAAGCATGTGCGACACATCGAAAAGTCCAGCGTGTTGTCTTGTCCATTTGTGGGACTCAATGTGAGTCATGCCTGCGTATTTAACTGGCATCGAATACCCGGCAAAGGGCACCATCGTTCCTCCCATGGACACATGTAAGTTGTAAAGGGCGGTTTTCTTCAACGCCGCAGTCGAATTGAATCGTTTCGCGATCATCCTGTATTCACGAAATGGGTCAAGCAGATGATAGTAATCGTCCCAGTTCCCCTAACGACACTGTTTCTCGGCTCTGTTCGTGTCCTCTCTGTCCGACCTTATATAGATCTGATCATCGAGTATCGAGCCCGAGTCAAGCTCTAGCACCCGAGTCAACAGAAAAATGTCACGAGTCAAAATAGTCACGTGGCTTTAAAACCAAGTCAATTTCTTTCTTGTTGGACTTAGCTCCGTCGGCGTTAACAGCGGAGTCCGGGAGAAAACGCCAAGACCTGGGAAAGCCCTGATGAAGCCCTGAGGAAACTTTGGGGAAACCGAGGGAAGGAAGGTATCGAACAAGTGGAAGAGCTAGGCTTGGTGGTAAAAGTTCTTATGGTATAGTGTCTCTTGTAGTTGAATTGTCTGGAATATGTGTTCATCGTGTATCTGTCGTAATCTGAAAAATTTGTCTCATGGATGTATCTTGATGGATAGCGTTGAAGCGCGTAATGCTTGCGACGGTCTTGCAGAGATCTAGTTCTTTTTCTTAGGCACGTCGTAAATTTTCGTGACGAGAACGTCGCAACTGGTGATCATTCTGATAAAGTGTGTAACATTTGCGAGAGTAGCGTCCAATGTGTTCCAGGGCTCGATAAAGCCCGATTGAGCGGCGTCTTCGTTGACCTTGCCTATAGAGTCGAGCCGGAGCGAGCAGAACTCGGGATCTTGTGCCGTCTCAGAGGCCAGCCGAGCACTGTCGAACTTATTGTGGCCGTAAACGTCCGAGATAGCATGTTGTAGCGGCTCCAAGAGTGCGTCAGCAAGTGCCACGTGTGCCAGCTGTCTTGGACCGGCTTCGGGTGCATCAGGGAGTCCGTGTAGATACGCAGCACCCTTGGCAAGCGCGATCCCGCTTGAAGGTACCCAGCCCTGCGCCAAGCCGTTGCAAAGAACCTCGTTGATGAGATAGTCGAGCTCCTTTCGACGGTGGTCTATTTCAAGCTCGCTTTGCGCGCCCACGTAGATGGTTACGGTCTTGCGGTATGCAGTGTGACTCACGGCGTGGGTCTCTGAAGCATCTGTCGCATCGTGTAATGTATTGTACAGAAACGCTTCTCCCGTGGTAGCCTTGAAGGACTCCATGCTGCCGAAATACAGACCTGCAGATGCAGAACTGGGTACCAGTTCGCTGAACTCCGGCGAATATACGCTAGCTAGGCCGCGTGGCAGTTTCAAAAACTTCATAAACTCCACGTCTTCTTGCAACTTCAAACCGCTTGCACCGTAGCGAGGGGCATACCTGAGCACTACGGTAGGTGATGGGATCTGCTGGCGTCGATTCTTGTTGTTGTGGATCGTGATCGCGGTGAGTGCGTCGCCCGTCACTTTTCCAGAGCAGATGACCACAAGAGGGCGTTTTTGCTTGCTGGCGTAATGCATAGCCGGCAATATGTGACGGGAATCCCGGAGCACTCCGTCGAAGACAAGAGCGAGACATGGCGTGTTAAGCGACACCAGCTTCTTACTGGGCAATTCTAATGATCTCAGATACGGCTCATTCGTATCCATCACGCCGCAAGGGTGTCTCCATCCATCGGCAGCTTGTACCAGGTCTGACGTACGTTTACCTCTTACGACGCGCACAGCGTCGTTCGACAACAGTTTATAATCTAGCTCTCCCAACGCTTGCGTGACGGTAACTTCATTTTCCGCAGAACTCGTCAATTTCGAGACTAACTGTCGAATCTGGTCAGGTCCTTCGATAGAGATTTTTTTTATATCTAAGAACTCGCGCACTTTCCGCATTGCGTCCTCGAGGCCTACGACAAACTCTTCGTTGGGACACCGCTTATACGCTTGTAAAAGCGCTAAGGTAAGACTCGTGCTTAAAGGACCAACAGTGTCCCTGTTAATCTCCGTGAAAAGTTGCAAACCTAGTTTCCCCAGCTTTGTGGCGCCTTGAAGTTGAGCTCCGTAATCAAAAGGTTCTGACGTTTGGAGTCGTGTTATCAAATCCTTGACCAATTGCTGCATTTCGACCGCATTTCGGCTGGAAACAAGCTGTGGAAGTCGATCGTACTTCTTACCGTACAAGACATACCCATTGTGGGCTCCAGACCGCATAATCTTGTCCAGTGTCGAGATATGTGTAAGAATATCGTCCTGATGTTTTGCTCTTTTACCATCGTATATTCGAGAGTGAAGAGTCTTTACAGACCGAACAGATATTTTCTGGAACGCTCGCTTCATTTCCTGAGCCGTGCGACCCTTGTAAACGGGTCTTTTGTACCACAATTGATGTCGTTTTCTTGTCAAGTTTTAGGTCTCATCGGAAGTTGATTTTTCAGTTTTCAACATAAAACTCATCACTAAAGAACCACTTAAAGACGTACATATGTAGATAGAAATCACCAGATATAAGCACTGGGACGTTCAAATCTTTGACGCTTTTGGCATGCTTTCATAAGTGCTTGAAATTTGATCTCAGGTACGCTTTTTTGGCAATTTAATTGATGTCCTAGGCGTTAAATTGGGCGTTGGGACACTGCAATGCTTCAAAACGGACCCAACGGCCTCGTAAGGATCTTGAGAGGCTTTATCTGGGTAGTGAAGTATGCAGACATTACTCGAATAGCGATATCTCGCATCTAGTCGCCAATATCAGCTCAAATCGTAAAATTTCTCCTTTTCAAAATCCAAGCGTTCTGCTTGGAAATCGAGTCTTGGGAACAAACGGGCTCCACGTTGTGAAATGCCGCCTTTGTTTTCCTCAACTATCTTCACAATACTGTCCACGATAATTGCAGCGCCCACGCTTTCGTTGCTGTTCGGAATGATGAGATCTGCGTGTGCTCGCGTAGGTTCAATGTATTTCTGCATTTCGGGTCTCAGATGTTCCATGTACTGCTTAATGCACATGCTCAGCTTGTCCGGTGTCTTTGAATTCGTCTTTTGAATCAAATCTATGAGCCTCCTGTCGCCGTCGCTATCGAGGAAAACCTTGAGTTGGGACATCTCGTTGATATGTGCGTCGAACAGCGCGTATGCGCCGAACACAACTACTGCTTCCCATTTGGAGCTGCTACCACACGATTTGAGCTTGTTGAGTATTCCAGCAAAATCGTAATCCTTATCGGAGTAGGTTCTCTCTCCTCCAGTGGTCATTTCGTCACAATCTAACGTCGTTACTTCTGTGTCTACAAACGCGTCCATAAGGGCATTTTTGATCTGAAAAACGGTGTTATGCAAATTGGTTGAATGACCACCAGTGATTGAAACCACGATCTGAGGCATTCCTAGCTTTATATAGGTTTTTGTCCTGATTTGAAAGGGTCCCTTGGGCGCGAAGAGCAGTGACAAATTTTTCAATCATCGATAAGAGAGCGATGAGCTAGAAGTGAGAGTTTTGGGAACAGCTGCAAAGGACATAGACGGACTGAGAGGTCACATTGGTAGCAGATGTCGTTCGATAGAGATGTGGACTCCAAGTTGAGGTTTAGAACCTCGAAAAAACTGAAAGTTTACGGCTCTTTTGAAGCTATGAAACTCAAAGACTCACTGCTGAAGGGCATATATTCGTACGGGTTTGAAGCTCCGTCGGCGATTCAGTCACGAGCCATTGCACAGATCATTTCTGGACGTGATGTGATTGCGCAGGCACAATCAGGAACCGGTAAAACGGCTACTTTCACGATTGGAATGTTGCAGGCGATAGACGATAAATCCCGAGACTTGCAGAGCATGATTCTGTCACCAACGCGAGAATTGGCAAAACAAAGCTCGCAGGTCGTGTCAAACTTGGGTGACTACATGAACGTTACCGCCCATGCGTGTACGGGCGGCAAAACGGTGCAGAATGACACCAAGGTATTAGGTAAGGGCTGTCAAGTCGTGAGTGGGACACCCGGAAGAGTCTTGGACATGATCAAAAGACGGATCTTAAACACTCGTAACGTCAAGATGCTGGTGTTGGATGAAGCAGATGAATTGCTCAGCGAGAGTCTTGGATTCAAGCAACAGATTTATGACGTTTTCGCGTCATTACCAAGAGCTGTACAAGTCGTAGTGGTGAGTGCAACGATGAACAAAGATATCATTGAGATTACCAAGAAATTCTTGAGCGACCCGATCAAAATCCTGGTAAAACGTGACGAGATCTCGCTGGAGGGCATTAAACAGTACTACGTTGACGTTGACAAAGAAGATTGGAAGTTCGATACGCTATGTGACCTGTACGATTCTTTGACTATCACGCAATGCGTTATCTTTTGCAATACCAAGAAGAAAGTCGATTGGCTTGCGAAAAAACTGTTACAGGCGAATTTCGCTGTGGCATCGATGCATGGCGACATGCAACAGGAAGAGCGTGATAAAGTCATGAACGATTTCAGGTCTGGAAGTTCTCGAGTTTTGATTTCTACTGACGTTTGGGCGCGTGGTATTGACGTGCAACAAGTGTCGCTTGTGGTGAATTACGACGTACCCGAAGCGCTTGAGAACTACATACATCGGATAGGGAGAAGCGGAAGATTCGGACGTAAAGGTTTGGCATTGAATTTTTTGACACGAGACGACATGGACAAATTACATGAAATTGAACGGTTTTACAGTATCAAAATTCGACCATTACCGGCAAACATTCGCGATATTGCTTAGGCTGCGCTCGGCCTCACAACGCGTTAAATATACTATTTAGTTGTTCATTTTGCGTTTTGTAAATCTGCATTAATTCGTCTAAGTCTTGACTCTCGGTCTCAAGCGTACAAAATCGTGACAAGACATCCAGTTCAAGTTCGTTATCGGCCTGCGACTCGAACGATAAAAGTTGGTACTCGTCGCTAATCAATTCGACTTGTGTGACTTTCAAATTTGGATCTACCTCGACAATTAGGATGTTCTCTATATCAGCGTCTTCCTCTGCAACGAAATCTTCGTCATCTTCGAAAACGTAGCGTATATTGGTTGGGAAAGAGATCGCTTTAGAAGCATGATCTGGGTGCTGGGCCCCAGTATTCGTTGTGGCAAGAGTATGGCTCACGTTTCGATCATGTACGGTCAACGTGAAGGGTATCATGCGGGAGACTAGGACTAATTAAAAGAGTTCGCCAAAGACCATATGATTCTTCCAAGTGCGTACTCAGCAAATCATTCAGGAGGTAGAGTACAGTGGATGCAAGTTTCCTTTCTGATGTTTGATTTCTAAAAATCTGGCACTTAAGTTTTTCACCCTAAAGCTGATTTCCACTACAGAAACATAAACAAATAGGAACAATTGAAAATCATCAAGAAAGCTTTTGAAGTCTATGCTAATTGACTTCCTTAAATCTGTATTCAGAAAAAACTCGCGATTTCGTCTTAATCCACAGATTTTTTTTAACGTGACGAAGGATATTATTCAATACATATTAACTCATCATTGCATTTCATGATTGTATTTCGTGATCGTATTTCACCAGTAAGGCCATCCATACAAAACAACAATTTGTGAAAGCCGTGACATGAGTTTCAAATCCCACGTAATTTACACAAGGCGTTGAGATGGTTTGCCTTTGATTTTCGTTTTCGTTGTCTGTCGTTGTCTGTCGTTGTCGTAAATTCCGTCATTACAATAAAAAAGCTTGTCTCCGGGCCATCTACGAAAATGGCCCATATTCTCTAAAAGCACATCTCTATGGGCCCAAAACTTATCTTCCTGGTATATAAAGCTATGAACGCTTCCTTCAAAAATGTTTAGCGCGGTAGATCAGAAAGCATGTCATTGTGATATGACCACTATGATTTCTGCTGGATCTCATACCTGATGGGAACTTGATATTCGGAGAAAGAAAGATCCAAAGAAGAGACAACCACCGAAGCAGGTTTCCGTATCGTTCTAACCGGGGACGACTACAGTCCTCAAAGTGCTCGTAGATTCAAGAATCTTTCGCAAGAAATCACTAAAAAGTGCGACGACGTAAATACGACGAACTCGATAACCTCGAATAGACGACAGGCTGCTGAGCTATCTAATCTTCGATCCATATAATTTGCTCATTGGTCAACAGGAATGCACTTTGGCAACCGCTAGCTAAATCTGACGGACTGAGACCGTGGAAAGAGGCTAAATATTTAAATTGCCAGACTCTTTATTTTCTAGGCATTTTGGACCATATTTCCCCTAGAGATTTTTCTCGAGGCAACTCCATATCAATGTATCCAGTGTTTTGAGGATTTGATCCTTTTTAGAGTTACCCGAAATAATCAGCAATGAAAATTGCAAAAAATGTTTCGACCGAGGTTCGAACTCGGGATCTTCGCCGTGTAAAGGCGACGTCGTAAACCACTAGACCACCGAAACCAACTATGAACATTATCATTTCAGCAATAGTAGATAGGTGACCTGAAAATAGAGCGGATCTAGAACCAACAACCTCGCTTGTCCTTTTACGGGTTTGATTGTTCTCAATGTTGTGGCTATCCTGCTTGTATCATTGAGCGACCTCTGATTAACCAACTCATCAAAGGCGAGCCGTTCCTTTGATCTTGTTGGGTACAAACTAATAAGGCTGTTAGGTAAGGTTAGGTTAGGTTATAGCTATCTTCCACAACCTGAAGCACCCTACTCATGAAAACGTTTCATTTCTGGCAATTGTCAAATCACAACCAGTACGTTGTACCCCACCAGTAGAAATTTCTCAACATGTCCACTCAAAGTTCCAAATATCGCCGTTTCGATACCGAATTCAAAACGGGCAAGGTCGTCGACTACAATAATCAGTGGTACCATAAGTGACAAAAATGAAGCATCAGAAATGATGGCGATTCGACCTCTATCGCGCAAGGCGAAATCCTATTAGTCGAAAGTGAGACGGGAGTTTTTACCAGGCGCCATTAAATCTCCTTCAGTAAGAGGGCTTGTGACTTCGTAAACTCTATCGGCTTTCAGGAGTAAGGTAAGCGTCATCTGTCATCTCTAGAATAAAATCTTTTAGCCTTGTGTAGTTAGTATTCCTATGCCAGTCTGACTATGGTAACGAGTTTTTTAAACAAATTTTTGTTAGGGCGCGACCATCTTACGGAATGTTTCAAGCCCACTTCTACGTCCCTGAAAATGCTCGGCTATCTGCTGAAGCTGTGCACGCAAGCTATAGAGCTCCAACAGTGACTTGCTCTAATCCAAGCGCATAGTAACTTTTTCAAACCTCTCCTTAGTCCACTGGCATTCAATGCGAAAGACTGAACATAGGCAAACGAACATGGTTGCGAACAACATGAAAAAAGTCTTCAAAATATCATAAATTTGCACGTCTGAAATGCTGAGCTTTTCATGTCTAAGGAAGTCGAGAGGACACGATCCAATGCTTAGATCGAGAGTATTCGAGTTTCAATCGGGCCAGAAGTTTACCTTCCTGCATTCATTTGCGGCCGTAGTCTAGGAAGACATGATTAGGACATTATATTCTGAAGTTATCTGCCTTTGAATTGAATTCTTTAGTTTTTGGCGCTTCTACAGGATTTTTTTGGGTGTAAATTGTTAGAGCCGCGGATATTATGAGAGATGACAGCCAAGAAATGTCGACAAACTCCAAGAGGAGACAGCAGGGTTGCTGATGTGCGCATCCTAAAACAGCAGTGCTTTGGTTATTTTAAAATGTTTCTCGTGATCCGATTATGATTACGACGGAGCGGAAGCGGGTGCCTTAACATATTAGCATCAAAAAAATCATCGTAGTATTTATTGATGGCATCGCTCCCCAGGTAGATCTAGTCGAAAAGACATGAGATTTGCCTTTGCAGAACTAAGCCTTAGAAACTATGACCCGCCGGAAAGCTGAAGTGTCAGAGTTCCTCGGTGAAGATGTTGACATCCTCACTAACAAGAGTTTGAAACCGACCAGAAGACTTTTAACACCATTCCTTTTCTCGAGAGTTCCACCAGTTCCTGATAGCGAGTCAAGGCAGTCGTTGCCTATGTACACGAAGAACATACTCTCAGGGATTTTTTTTACGTGGCTAATACCTCTCTTTAATGTGGGATACCAAAGGACGTTGGAATTTGATGACCTGTGGACCCTCGATGAGAGGCTATCAGTAAAAAATACATTCCCGAGATTCCAACGCCATCTTCAATTGCTTTCAATCAGAAACAATGAGAAGGCTACAGGTAGGATTTCAAAGCGTACACTTTTGGAAGCTTTGTTTCATACGTTCAAGTCGGAGTGTTTGTTAGCATTTGTCGCGGCAACCTTTAATTACGGCAGTTTGGTTGTCATTCCAGTTTTGATAAAGAAGCTGATTGATGTGGTGGAACTACGAGTATTGATTACAGAAACGCCAATCAATGCTGGCGTTGGTTACGCGCTGGGCATAGTTATTTTGCTAACTCTTAGGTCTCTTGCGCAGAACCATGCCCTTCAATTCTCTAAGGTAATCGGTGCTCAAATGAAAACAATTCTGACCAGAATGCTAATGGAAAAAGCCTTTGTTGCTAGCTCTGAAAGCAAACTCGAATTTTCGAATGGCAAGATTTTCTCCCTAATGAGCACGGACCTGAGCAAGATAGATGAAGCAATTAGCTATTTTCCATTTGTTGTGTCTTGTCCATTCCCGCTTATTGCCGCAATTGCTTTGTTGATTGTTAACATTGGATATGCGGCTTTGAGCGGTCTCGGTCTATTTTTCGCGGCAATAATGGTGGCCGCCCTCCCGACCAAAGCGTTGTTGGAATATAAAAAGAAGGGATCAGCTTACACTGACAAAAGAGTGGAGTTAATGAGGGAAATTTTGAACGCCATGAAGATGATCAAATTACATACCTGGGAAGATGCGTACGAAGAAAAAGTTATCGAAGCAAGAACTAAAGAATCTCGATATATTCTTAAATCGGACTGGCTTACCAGTATAATGTTTGGAATCGTCTTCAACCTCTCCCTTTTGTCATCTATGATGTCATTCTTGGTTTTGTACGCTATCCATTCAACAAAAGGATCACCTGGTAACATTTTCGCCTCGTTATCCCTTTTCGACATTTTGACGAATTTGTTTTCCGAATTTCCATTGTATATTTCTTATTGCACTACAGGTTGGGTCGCACTAACTAGAGTTCTTGAATTTCTACAATCTCCTGATGAATTGAAGGAAGATCTAGGGAGCGCTAAAATTGGAGAAACTCAGAAGAACGTTGTTGTTAAAGCCTGTGGCGCGGATTTTGAATGGGGCGCCGCAAGAGACGATGAGTCAAAATTCTGTTTCAAAAATGTTAACCTTGAAATTTCTCAAGGGGAGTTTATTGTCGTTGCAGGGCGGACTGGGTCGGGAAAGTCTGCGCTACTCAGCGCTATTGCAGGTGGAATGAAAACTACAAGTGGAAGCGTTTATATCAGTGGTTCTTATCTGTCATGCGGACAACCTTGGATACAAAGCGCCACCGTCCGCGACAATATCACATTTGGAATGGAATTTGATCCCAAATTCTATATCGAGACCATTAAGGCCTGCGCGCTAGATAAAGATTTGGAATCGCTTTCCGCGGGTGACAAAACCGAAGTTGGTGAAAGAGGTGTTACGCTTTCAGGAGGCCAGAAAGCGAGAATAAATCTGGCCAGAGCCGTTTATGCTCGCAAAGATGTTTACCTCTTGGATGATATTCTAAGTGCTCTGGACTCTCAGGTCGGAGAAATGGTTGTCGAGAATTGCTTGACGGAACTGATGGCTGATAAAACTATCATAATGACTACACATCAGCCCTCTGTAATACAAAGAGCTGATCGCATTGTTTTCATAGATGACAATAGAGAGCCGCATATTGGAACACTTGAGGAAATGGTCGTAAAACATCCAGCACTTGCATCTCTAATGGCCAACAGGGAACGCAGGTCTCCAAAAGCTGACGTGGTACGGAAAATTCATGACAAAGTTGGCCAAAATTGGGATTTCGAAAATTACGAAGGTGAAGTCGATCAGCTGTATCATGCTGAAGAAAAAGCTGTCAACTCCATCCCTTTCTGGATCTATAAACAATACTTGCAAGCTGGTTCCAGCGGTCATCCCTTTTTGTGGCTTTTGGCTGTTATTATTGCCACCATTGTGACAGTTTTTTCTATGATGTTTGCTAATGTTTGGCTTTCTTTCTGGATTGACCGCCATTTCGCACACAAATCTGACGCTTTTTACATTGGGATCTATGTCATGTTTGTAATCCTGAGCCTGGTACTTGTTTCTGTTGAGTTGGCAATCATGGCTTATCTTACTATTAATGCGGCGAAACACTTGAATCTCAACGCTCTCAGGAGAGTCTTACACGCTCCAATGACTTTTACTGAAACTACTCCGAGTGGAAGAATCTTGAATAGATTCACCAAGGACACCAATTCGCTGGATAACGAGATTGGCAACCAACTGAAAATTTTAATACATCAAGTCGCTATGGTGTTTGGTATTCTAATACTCTGTGTTGTTTACTTGCCATGGTTCGCGATTGCACTTCCCCTACTTGTTATCATATTCACCGTGATAACAAATTACTATCAAGCCTCTTCAAGAGAGGTCAAAAGACTAGAATCTGTTAGCAGATCGTTTGTTTACGATAACTTTAATGAAGTGTTGAATGGAGTTGAAACTATAAAGGCATACAATTCTGAAGAGCGTTTTCTTCAGAAAAACGACCACCTTGTTGACCGGCAGAACGAGGCTTACCTTGTCACAGTTGCGAACCAAAGGTGGATTGGAATAAGCTTAGACCTCACGGGATGCGGGCTGGCATTTGTTGTCACAATGCTAGCATTGACACACCAATTTAACATTAGTGCAGCTTCGACAGGTCTAATTGCAACATATGCTCTCGAATTGTCTTCCCTTTTTTCTTCATGCCTAACGTCCTTCTCTGAAGTTGAAAACGAGATGAACTCCGTTGAAAGGTTGTGCCGTTATGCAAATGATTTAGAGCAAGAAGCTGTGTACAAGATGCCCGTCGAAGTGCTGCCAGATCGCTGGTCCAAAGATTGCTCTATAAGCTTCCGAGACGTAAGCCTGAGGTATCGCAGCGGACTACCTCTGGCTCTTAAGCACGTAAATTTTCTTGTGAATGCTCAAGAAAAAATAGGAATATGTGGACGGACAGGGTCAGGAAAGAGCTCTTTGATTGCCGCAATCTTTAGACTAAAAGAGCTCGCCGAAGGGGCAATTGAAGTTGGCGGCGTTGACGTCAAAAGCTTAGGACTCCACGACTTGAGATCCAACCTCTCTATAATTCCTCAAGACCCTGTATTGTTACAGGGAACAATCCGGAAGAATTTAGACCCATTTGGACAATATCAGGATGTGCAGCTATGGGACGCGATCAAAAGAAGCGGCCTCCTGGATTTTAACAACTCAAAGAACCAGAAATCAGCTGATAACTTTCAAAAGTTTCATCTGGATTCCATTGTGGAAGAAGACGGCTCTAACTTTTCACTCGGAGAACGTCAGCTCATTGCGTTGACCAGGGCGCTAGTAACTGATTCCAAAATTTTAATAATGGATGAAGCTACTTCAAATATTGATCAAAAGACGGACGAATTAGTTCAAAAGACAATTATGAGTGAGTTTAAAGACCGCACGGTCTTATGTATTGCGCACAGATTGAAAACCATACTTGCCTATGACAAGGTTTTGGTGATGAAAGACGGGGAATTGCACCAGTACGACGAGCCAATTGCCTTATTCAATACACCAGGTCTGTTCAGGGACATGTGCGACAGCTCAGACATTAGAGCTGAGGATTTCCCAAACTAGGCTTCAAAATAGCTCTCTCGTTCCTACACGGTAACTTGGAAGCTTTCTGCTGGTTGTTCTCATCCCTTCTTGTTGAGGCAAATATTATCAATCGGTTTCTACTTCAAAAATCCGAAACTGACGTCCTCTCGTTTGTTCTGGAGGCTATATGTTTTAACAAGTTATTGTCTTCGCGTCAAAAATCCAACTTTCGAGCCATGACAAGCCTAAGATTGGTTGCTAACTTAGTAGGTAACAAAAATCGGCAGACAATGTAACTGTGCTTATTTCGATATTAGCATAACGCTAAGAGCCAAGGGTATACCTTCATCAATGAAACGCTGAACGTACTATCCGACGTCTGTGATAATATATCCTTCACCTTGTATAATCAGCAAGATCACATGATTACGATGACAGAATAAAACAAAAAGTGAACAAACAGAAGATCTGGTTTCATTTCAGCAGAAAGAAAACTGCGGAGTGACAAGTCAGCGACTTGATTAGCATTGAACCATCATATCGTCATGAATCACCAGTGATGTGATCGACGGCTCGGGCTGAAAAATGTTTAATAATAATGATGTGAAGGGAGGACTAGAAACGGCAGTATTAACAGCAGCGTTTGAAAAGACTAGATATGGTCGCTTCCAGAGTGGTTAAATCGTACGAAGAATCGATGAGAGCTATATCAAGTTTTCATACGAAACAGATTGACTATCACTGATTACCGCGCATGTAGTAAGCGATTAATCAAAAAACAGCTTTCAACGAATCAGGTTGGCCTGCTCGTTAGTAACTCTTATTTTAGAGGTCTGTTATTCAGTTGATTCTCTCAAGTTTTACTTTGTTATGGGGCATTTCTTGTATTGGCAGTCATCAATTAGGTCATAGTCGAAGTTCGTAAAGTATAAAGCCATTGGAGCAAGCGAATTTCACGTTGGTTGCCCTCCAAGGTTGTCGGTTAAGCTCCTAACCGGTTTAATACGGCTTGGCGGGGCGAAAGGAAGCCGCAAAATAGAAATGGCCTCAAACGGAGAACGTTCCGTGAAACGGCTTGTTTGTGGTAAGCGGGAGGGACGGACAGCTAGTGCGAGGAAGAAAAGACAGAAAATTCAGAGACTAATGGTGTGGAGAACAGCAGAATCAACTGTAGAGGAAGAGTGCGGAGATAGAAACGCAGGGAGGCCGTTACCAAGCTAATAGGAGCCTGGGTGAACGGTGTGATGACAGGCCAAGAAGTAAGTAGTAAGCTTCGCGACATATTTCGGTGCAAAAGTGAGTAACCTCAGCGCGCATTGCGCTGTTTGGAACGCAGGGATATGCCTCAAACGACAATTTGCAGGAAGTTTAGATTATCCATGTGTTTTTCTCATATTGCTTTTCACATTGGAGGACCAATAAGGTAACGACGAGGGACTCCATGTGGTGTTCTTTTCTTCAATTAGAATGGGGGAGGGGCAAAGACTAATCGTAAGATAGAAAAGCCGACCGGCAGGCCAGACACTTCATGGGCTATTCAAATTACATTAAAATGTCGGTAATAGGCCCTACTAAAATCGAAAATTCAAAAGGTATTTGGCCTTATTTGATGGCGGAAGGACTTAAGAGGGAGAGAAGCTCATATCTGATTGATCTTCCAACAGCGCGTCTAGATTATGACATCGAAAAGCCATCAGAGAAGAATGACCACATACGCAAGCGTCCAAACCTTGCAGGACGGAGATTCCATCTCCCGAAGCGTATCTAAAGCCCTCCTATTCGCCATTTTCGTCTCGTTTTAAGCGTTTCGGTGAGACCGTAAAACCGAGCAAACTTGACCATTTTGGAGCGCTGGAGAGCTCAATTTAATTTTTATCCATATCTGACCACGCAATCATCTTGCGACTTTGCCGATGAACTAAGAATGCGTCTGAAGTTTCATTGGGGGCCTTATTTACTTCGCTTCCTGGTGATTTTCTTCGAGCGGCAGCTTATCATCCACTCTCATATATAACGTGAAAAATTTTAGAAGTCATTTCTGATAAACCTCAAGTCTCGAAACTGACGTTATAGTTGAGCATCAGATTCGCGGTTCAGAATGCTGGACATCACTCAATTCATTGAAGAAAAGGGTGGTAACCCTGAACTCATTAGACAGTCCCAAAAGGCCCGTTATGCCAGCGTTGAAATCGTTGATGAAATCATTGCCGAATACAAGGAATGGGTCAAGACGAGATTTGATTTGGATGAGTTGAACAAGAAGCAAAACAAGGTTCAAAAAGAGATAGGGCTCAAGTTTAAGAACAAGGAAGACCCAAAGGAACTTTTGGCAGAAAAGGATCGTCTTGTTGCCGAGAAAAAATTGTTAAGCGACAGAGAACAGCAACAGGATGCTGATTTGAAAAAAAAGGTGTGTCAAGTCGGTAACATCGTGCACCCTTCTGTGGTGATCTCCAACGATGAGGAGAACAACGAATTGGTTCGTTCTTGGAAACCTGAAGGGTTGGATAAAATCGACACCACGGCGACCGGATCACGCGAGCCAGCCACTTTGTCTCACCACGAGGTGCTTTTGAGACTTGACGGTTATGACCCTGAACGTGGTGTCAAAATCTCAGGCCACAGAGGTTACTTTTTCAGAAGTTATGGTGTTTTCCTTAACCAAGCCTTGATCAACTACGGTTTGTCGTTCTTGGCTTCCAAGGGTTACACGCCCTTGCAATCTCCCGTCATGATGAACAAAGACTTTATGGCCAGAACTGCTCAATTGTCTGAATTTGATGAAGAACTTTATAAAGTCTTGGATGGCGATGATGAAAAATACTTGATTGCCACTTCCGAACAACCTATCTCTGCATACCACTCTAACGAGTGGTTCGAAAAGCCTCAAGAGCAACTCCCAGTTCGTTACGCTGGCTACTCCTCTTGTTTCCGTAGAGAGGCTGGTGCGCACGGTAAGGATGCCTGGGGTGTCTTTAGAGTCCATGCTTTTGAAAAAATTGAACAATTCGTGTTGACTGAACCTGAAAAGTCTTGGGAAGAATTTGACCGCATGATCAGTATGTCCGAGGAATTCTACAAATCTCTTGGAATTCCTTACCGTGTCGTTGGTATTGTTTCTGCAGAATTGAATAACGCGGCTGCCAAGAAATACGATTTAGAGGCTTGGTTCCCATACCAACAGGAATACAAAGAACTTGTCTCTTGCTCCAACTGTACCGATTATCAATCCAGAAACTTGGAAATAAGATGTGGTATCAAGAAAATGGGTGACAGAGAAAAGAAGTACGTTCACTGCTTAAACTCCACTCTTTGTGCCACTCAAAGAGCGTTGTGTTGCGTTCTAGAGAATTACCAAACCGCGGACGGTTTGAAGGTTCCAGAAGTGCTACGTAAATACATTCCTGGTGAACCTGAATTCATCCCATACTCAAAGGAACTTCCTAAAAACTCGACTACTAACAAGAAGAACAAGAAATGAGGGAGAACGCTAGTTCACCTACGATATTCTTCTTTCAAACATTGTTTTCTGTATAATGTCCCTACGTATCGGAGATAAGACGCATGGTTCTGAAGAAGTCAGACGGTCTTTCAATGACAAATTTGAATTTTGGCAAACCGCTTATCATCTGATTTGCGCTTCACAAAAGGCGGAGATGCCTTTTTCTTCAAATCTCTTGGTAAAGAACGTCCAATATTTAGTTCTGTAGCCAATTTGCTCTTGTAAAGTTCCAAATCTATTTTGGCAGAGCGCGCATTCAAGTTAGTCGAATAATAATGTAACAATTGAAGGTCTCGAATTTTGCCAACTTGAACTTCGTCTTCGCGCCTCTCCATTTCATGATTTCTAAAAAACCTGAGAAAAGAAAACACATCGATTTCGTCGCAAGTCTTGGCTCGAAAGCTCTCTTCTACTGCCTTTGTATTGACCCTATTTTTGAGTATAGGCTTTCCCGGTTTGGACGACAAAGTCGTACACGAACGTGGCTGACTTCTGGACTCATTCTCCGGTGATACAATCTTGACATTTTTCTCGCATCCCGTTCCAGCGTCATAAACTAAAAGGTGTGAAAACTTATCAAACTTGATACCACTGTTGAGAATTGTCTGATCGTTTCGAACTTTGTCGAGATTAACGGCAGTGTCGAAAAACTCTTTGTCCCTAAAATCCAAATTGACAGCACCAGCATTGGCAACTTCTAATAGATCTTGATTGCTTATAGTGCCATTATTGACATTTTCCACTATTTTAGTGACACCCCATTCTGCACTTTGACGGAAAGTCGGGATTAGTAAAGAATTGAGATTATTATCAAAACAGTCGCTGTCGATATAGGGATTTCCATATAGGTCATCATCATAATCATGCTCAGGGACGCAAGGCTCGCTGTTCACATTTTTAAAATCCAGCATATTCGAACGCGGGCCAGCCACATTGTAATCATATTCAGAAACTCGCAAGGAACCCCGACATATTGTGCGATCGAATGATTTCTCGCTCGAATAAACCGAAGAACTCGTAAAATTGGGCTCTTCAATAACTTCATCTACTTCTTCATTATGGACATCCGTTTCACACGGGCTGGATTTGGCCATCAGTGGTGAATTGTGATCCACCGATTCGAAATGAAGCTTTTTGTTACTCTCAAACACGGGATCAAAAGTTTCTTGTGGTCTTTTCAAACAATAACTCGCATATCCATTAACAGCGGAATCATCTACCAGATCTGTACCGTCTTCCGCAAGTCCTTCTACACTAGTTTCATTAAAAATCTTTCTGTTATCCTCTTCACTTGACGACGCAGTCTGCTCTGCATCTTTGCGACGCTGTGATTTAAGCACAAAGTTTGCGTCCTTGGCAAACCCGTCATCTCCCATATGTCTTCGTTTCATACAATGCCTAAGTAATTCTCTGAGCTTCTTGGAAGACCGCCGCTGTGGAGTGTTACTTTTCCAGCCTTCGGCCTCATCCGCGGAAAAGACAGGAATAAAAGAAAGGCCATTCTGGGAATTCAAATACTCGTCTCCCACGTCAATTAAAATACTCTCGTCTCCTCTACTTGGCGGAGAAGCTTCGCCTCTATGATGATGAAGCCATTCTCTAAATCTTTTTCTTCGAGATTTTTGTGTCAACGTATAATTCTGCGGATCCTTTGCAGAAGGCCCCTTCGGGCTCGACCCTGACTCATTTGGGTTACCACCGGGGCTCGTTGATCTCATGGTGAGGCAAACCTTAAGTCTTTAAGCTTCTTTAGATTTCAACAAAATCCGTATCTATTCTAATTCTCTGGCAAAACAGTAGTAGGCTTTAGTTGGTTAAAAGCGTAGTCAGAAACTATTGCTAATTACATTGGCGCCTTTTTTGTGTCTCTTTACCCATATTCGCGACACAATGGGAAGAGACGGACTCTGACGCGACCTAAATTTGTTCGTACAAGCGCCACAGCTCCGAAAATCGAATTAATCATGGAATTTCCAAGAGCAACTTACCCACCGTCTTTCTGGCTTCCATCAACTCTGCAGCATCTTTGTAGTTTTCCAGTGGGTACACGCCGAAAATCTTGGCCGTTAGCAAATCCGAATCGACTAGCCTTACGAATTCCTTTGAATAGCGTTCCCAATCATCGGCCCCGGTAACGTAGGCGAAAAGCTGTGGTCTGAGAAGTTTGATATTCTTAGGGCTCAGTCTACCGATATTGAGCGGAGGAACAGGTCCTGAGGCATTCCCAAAAGAGACAAAAGTACCCTTTCTCTTTAAAGCACTTAAAGTGATCTCGAAAGTATCTTTCCCGACAGAATCAAACGCTGCGTCGACACCTTCTCCATTGGTGTATTCCATGACTTTGGCAAGGATATCATCTTTTTGAGAGTTGATAAAATACTCGGCACCGTAATCGCGAGCAAGTTGCAATTTGTCGTCTGTAGACGCGACGGCAATCGTGTGAGCGCCTTTTTGCTTTAACAATTGGTTGAATGCCAATCCCGCGCCTCCTGCAGCAGCGTACAGCAAAACAAAATCGCCCTTCTGCACCGAGTAGGCGTCATTGACGAATGTTAGAGCGGTTAAACCTTGAACCATGAGCGCAGCATATTGCTTCATATGATCATCAGTAGTGGTTTCTGGTAGCTTCAATATCTGCTTGTCTTGGGCAATCTTGGTGTATTGTGCAAAGGTGTTCCCTGACAGGTATGCGACTTTGTCACCTACTTGGAATTTGTCCACATTGTCACCACGAGCCACTACAACACCAGAGGCTTCCCTACCAAGCAAATAAGGCTTTTCAGCTGGATAAATGCCCTTTCGGAAGTATGACTCAATATAGTTGATACCGGCGTACTTGTTTTTGATAAGAATCTCATCGGAACTGATCTCAGGCACAGGAAAGTTGTCTTCAAACCGTAACACTTCCAGGCCCCCTGTTTCCCTTATCAAAACGACTTTTTGGACGGATGGTAGTGAGGACATTAATCTTGTAGAGTTCAAGGCTTTTGTTGCAGAACGAAGCATATCTCAAGTCAATAACGATCGTCTAGTTTTGAAATGGTAGATGCCCACCATTTATACTCCTATGTTGTAATTTTGTCTTCGTAAATGCATTATTAGTAAGAACCGTTAGTTTCCGGCCGGCTGCTTAATCGAAAAAGCAGACTCCTGTCTTTCAGTGACACCATTGTCTTTCAAAGAAGAGAAACTAAAAGTGACTCCAGGACTTATCAGCTGCCCACTATACTCTTTCGTTTCCAGTAAAGTCAACAATGGGTGACCATATGATAATTTTTTGAGCTCATTTCGAGATCTTGTTGAACTGGGAACAAAACTCTCATCTATCAATTGAGGCGGCATATCGCAAAGGACCGTGACGCATACCACGCGAAGCTGCTTGACGTCTGTAAATTCGAGGGATTAGCAGTAGAAAACAGACGCTGTTGATAATTGTATCTCAACGTTATCAGTGACAAATAAATCAAAGAAAAGAAATGGGATAAGTAACCCATCGGAGTTTAACCAGATGATAACACAAGAGAATCCATGCCTGTCAAACTCATGTCTCTTGCGGGAGGAACGACTCTTAGGCTTAACTATCCGGCTGCGTCGCATAGAAGTATGGCAGAGATAGCGACTATTTGGGATGATTCTTATCTAATAGTTCCTTACGATAGCTAACAAGACTGCATCGGGAGAGGGGTGCGATTAGCGAGAAGCATGATCTAGTGTCGATCTGAAATCGCTCACTCCGTTGTAAGTCGAATCTGCAATCTTGTGAGTTGACACACAACATGTATGGTTTCCGAATGATCCGTGGACTTTCGAGCACGGCACGTCTGACCTCAAAATCCGTTTCCGGGCGCATCATCGTTCCACCAGCGACTCATTTCACGCAGCAAACAGATTCGACTCCGATCAGCAGTCTGAAAGGCGAATACAAACAGCTCCCGGAGGACTCAAATTATATCGAAAAATTCTACAACGAGCTCGAACGTTTTTCCACAGATGTGCTACACGGACAGCTGAAAAAGACATATACAGATTTCGATGACAACCCTGATGATCTTGTCTTTGAGCTTGAAAAATACATAGAATTGCAAGTGATCCCGCAACATAGCAGTTACGTTGAAAAAACGGCCGACTTTAGTGCTTCTCGTCCGCTGTCCACGATCCACTGCAAAAGCGTCGGAGACAAATTGGCCATTGACAGGTTTTTGGACTTTTGCAGCGGCGTAAAATTAACTTTGCGGTTGAATGGCGGTCACAGCTTCATTTTTGATGTACTATTACAGGCCAAATCTAGCTTCGATGAGTTTGAGAAGAAGAAGGGTTAGGGCACATTTCAGGGCTTATTAATTGTTATGTATGACTGCTTGTATCTGACACCCGTACATTTTTAAAAGTTTTATGAAAAAATCATGCGTGCGATTTTTTCTTGAAATGCAACATTAAAGTTGCGTAGGTGGCCTTCTTGGAGTGCTGGCCTTAGGTTCTTGGGCTGCAGTACCGCAGGGAACGGTGCCACACCGGAGACCAACCGACACCCTAGGCAGGAGCTCTCAGTCTGGTATCCTCGCACCGGCGGGCACGTACGTCCCATCCCCCTGCCGGGACGCTTCGTCTCTCCGCCTAGCGTCCCCCCAGCCTCTCCCAGTGGCCACCTGCTCGAACCCCGGCTGCCCTCGATGGCGCACCTGGGACAATCTTTTTGGAAAAGATGATACGAAGACAAACTGGAATATACTGTTTTTAAGATAGTGTAGAAGAAGGCCTCAAAGATCAAACAAGATGTCCACTGAATTGACTGTGCAAGCCGAAAGAGCTTTCCAAAAGGTATGAAGAACACGGTATATTGAGATCAGCGGCGTGTGAATTATGGAATTTGATGTTTCCCTGGGTAAAGTTGTTTCAATGAGTTGACAGAAATTGTGGGCAACCGGTTAGGTTTAAGATTTGCGGGAACATACTGGGAAACTGATCATCTGTTTCATTTGGAGACATCAACTCATTGTTCCGCTGCTGGAGTGGCCAGCATATATTGCTCCGTTTTAGAGATTGGCGTACTAACTATCTGCAGCAACCACACATCTTCACCAACCCAAAGGCTAAGGCGAACAGACGTACCAAGAGATGGTACAAGAACGCTGGCTTGGGTTTCAAGACCCCAAAGACCGCCATTGAGGGGTCTTACATCGACAAGAAGTGCCCATTCGTAGGTTCCGTTTCCATCCGTGGTAAGATCTTGACTGGTACCGTTGTCTCTACCAAGATGCACCGTACCATCATCATCAGAAGAGACTACTTGCACTACGTTCCAAAGTACAACAGATACGAGAAGAGACACAAGAACGTCCCAGTCCACGTTTCTCCTGCTTTCCGTGTCCAAGTCGGCGACATCGTCACTGTCGGTCAATGCAGACCTATCTCCAAGACCATCAGATTCAACGTCGTCAAGGTCTCCTCTCCTGCTGGTTCCGCCAACAAGCAATTCAGCAAATTTTAAGCTGACATGGCTCCTAAAACCTCTACTATAATTTGTAGGATGTTTATTTTACATACAATTGCAAAATTAGTCTCTTAACGGATAGTTGGGAATATTTTGATTATATGTAACCTTTCTAATTTTTACCCTCGAGTTGAGGTGAACCATTTTCCTTCGTGACTGAACCCTCATGTGACAATTCGGCGTCGCCAATGTTACCACCAATTCTATCACTCTTGTTGGCATTGCCATAACCTAGAAGCTCTTTGCAAATTTGATTTATGGTACGATCTTTGTAAAAGCGAACACACGTCCTAAGCTTTTCGTAACATAATTTGAGCTCTGTACCCGAATAAGGTCTTCCGGGCATAAGCGTGGCCAGTTCATCCCAATCTACCTGCGAATCATCCGTAAAACCCATGTCCCTCAGTTTCCCAAGGATCCACGTCTCATCTTCTTCGCTAATGTTTCTAATCTTGGACATGGCTTGCTTTTTGAGTAATTTGTTCCATTTGTAGCGACACTGAATTCTTGATCGCGTCCCACCCATGCGTTCACTTACTATGGTCCAATTGATGGATTCTTTGCTGGGAGAAACATTGTTGTCATCTCCGTCGGAAGGCATGGTGACTGCGTCTGTGTTGGCAACCTCTAAAAGTTCTGTTATGACTTTCTTTAACCTCTCTTCTTCTTCCAGAGACCATTTATTGGACGCGCGATTGGTACCACATTTCACATAGTTTCTCCAACGATCCCTACAGTCCTCAGGCATCCTTCCAAGAGCTTTTCCAATCTCTGACCATTGTCCCTCTTTCAAAGCACAAAGTTGTGCAAGTTCCCGCTCCTCTTCTGGGGTCCATTTACCGCGTTGTTCGAAAACGTGGTATTTCCGACGCACATGCTTATAGATAGAAGAGCGGGTTCTGTAAGGGAGAACCTTGCAAATATTGGTCCAAAAATCATCTTTCCGTCTCTCATTCGACCAAATACGCTCGCATATCTGACGTCTGCTCAAATTTTTGATGGCTTGATAATCACTCACAAACTGCTCTAAAGCTTGTTCTTCAGAGGCGTCGAAGGATTTGCCGGTCGCTTGGCTTTGAGGGCTTATAAAGTTTGAGGCTTTCGCGGCGGCATCCTGAATTAGGCTTGAAACGTCATTGTCCCGACCTCCTGAAGGCGCCAGCACCTTAGGCAATACTTCAAGTTTCTTGCGACGGTCCGAACCCAAGGAGGCGGCCAGAGACGAGGGTAGCTCCTGTTGCGCCAATTCCTGCTGCGTGAGTGCTGACTCGTCGTCTGCGGTCAGGTAGTGTTGGAAATCGGGGTGATGCGCGATGGAGTCGGCATCGAGAATAGCCTTCTGAACGAGCTGTTCATGCTCCGTGACCTCGTGGTCGTCGAGAGACGCTAATTCAGGATCCACCGCCGCAAGTTGCAAACGTGATCGTTTGCTCGACGAAGTTTTGCCGTTGTCGCGCCGCCGCTTACCGGAAGTGTGCACCGGCCGGTCATCTCTCACAACTCGTTCTTTCAGCTGCGCAGGCTGAAAAGCGTCGGGACGATGCGACAATGGATCTCCATTCGGGCCGCCCGTTTCCACGCTACGTCCCGTCTTGGAACTCGCGGCCAGCGCAGCTGCCACGGCAGCTGCTGCGACAGATTGTGGAGCACCAGGCCCCGATGAATTCCCATGCTGACGATGACCATTGGATTCAAGTGATTCGTGAGCACGTGGCGACGCAGTCACGTGCTCCTCGTCATCCCCATGATCTGTGCCCACTTCTTCTAGCCCGTGGCGCAAGAACCAATTCACGTCGTTTCTGGCATTCTTTTGGTCCAAATTACGGTCTCGTTGGCTTTCGTCGCCATCCGTACCGGATCGCTCACCGTGTTTGTTTTCATCAAGGTCCACGCCCACGTATTTGAATACCGCTTCTTCTACAGACTCGTGGTGTCCGCCGTGAACCTGCGAAACTCCATCCCCGCTGTACGACATTTGCTGTGGCATAGATGAGCAGACGCGATGATGAACCTGCTTTCTCCGCTGTCAGGGTAAGCTCGTCAGGGTAAACTTGTTGCGCGGGCAATACAGGTTCTCGTGTTGACACGAGTTTCTCACATTCAATTCTTGCCCTTTCCAGGTCCAATTTCGCCTCTCAGCGCCGGGTAACGAAAGAACACAAAACGATCACGTGTGAATATATTGAAATACGTCACAAATGATAATTTATTGTACGTGAATAACGATGTCTGATATTGTGGTCGCGTGACTTGTTTTGGCGGGTTTGCCATTTGAATGCTTTTAAGACCCTAAGGCACTTATTTCTGTGTGCGTTTTGTAAATCTAGAGCTTGGAATCGTGTTAGGTCGTGTCAGGTTCTTCTAAGTCCTGTTCTACCGTAAAGATCCGGAAAGCGTCACATTTGTACCAAAGCAGAAAAAGCCAATGTCGAGGAGAAGAAGAAGGAAACTGGACTTCGTGTTTGGGCGCTGTTGTATTTTGCTTTTTTCTGCTCGGAAAAGTGGTGGGAAAGAATGTAGATATGAAAAGGAAGTGGAAGGGTTTTTATAGGCATCGGGTAATAGCCGCTCGTGAAAAGTGCTCACGGCACTGTTACGAAGGACAACTTATGGTATGCAAGGAATGTAGGTTAGAAGTTTCAACATCCGCTAGGTATAAAATGGTCTACGAATATACTGCTGTATGGGGGAAAACCTCGGGTAATCATAGGTGACTTCACGCATCTGAGCAATCTCAAGGTCAAAGTCACGTGACCGCTGCGTCAGTTCAATTCAACGCTATCGAGAGCTTTGGTAGTGTTCGCGAGAGGCACTAAGGAAACCAAAAGGCCACTAAACGGTAATACCAGGGATATCTTATGGGATGGCTTTGACTAGATTCTTCTTTTCTTGTCTTTGGCTGACGATGTCCTGAAAGTTGCGATTCATTTCCTCAACACCAAATGTCAAGTTTAAGGATTGAAGGTTAAATTCGGCCACTATGTACAAAATTGGTAGTGTCTAGGTAATGCCAATAGAGATCTAATGCATGTGAACCGCGTGTATTCAGCTTAAGAAGCTGAATTTTGAAGCACAACGAGTTCTCCTGCGATGTGCCTGCGTTTGGACCACAGTGTTGAGGAAATGCTCATCTAGAAAAGTGTCCGATTCTCTCGCCTTAGATGGGGGGTGGCGGCGCGTGTGCTTGATAGAGCTTATCTGAGGAAGACTGGAACAGCTGGTAAAGCTCTGAGTACTGTGAGGGTTTCAGAGGTTGGAAATCTTTAGAATTATCACCAAGGCGCGTATAGAATCCCTGCACATATGTAGTCAGCTCCGCCAGGCAGTCCAATGACTCGCCCATTATGCTCAAATTTTTCCCAGCTTTCGAGATGTGACCTGGATCCTGGTCGAGTGACACGGTAGACATTGCACTCGTGTTAAAGTACCTCAAAAGATCGTAACACATTCTCTCAAACGTGGCCAGAAATGCAGAGGGCAGATTTATTGAGAGCACAAGTATTGATTTAACTTGTCGAAGTGCGGCCAGAAGCGATTCACTAGCCACGAACGTCTTATCACTAACAACAACAGATTTTTTATGCCCTTTTTGATTGTTTGAGTTTTCATTGGTGTCTGTTGTTTCCGTTACTTTACTTGACAAACTTGTCCATGGCGCTGGATCAAACTCTGCAGAGGACACAATATCGTTGACGTCTCGTTGAAGTTCGGCAGGAACTATGAACGGAGTCCAATGCTCTTTCTCAATCGAGCTCTTGATAGAACCTATGCACGTTGAGTTTAAAACGACGGAATAGTTTTTTATCTGCATTGTTAAGACATCTGTCAGATATTTGGTCAAAAATTCACCTGTTATCGATTCGCACTCGTGAACAAAATGGCCACACACATTGTAGAGATCTAAAAAGTGGTCATACCGCAGCCTAGCATTCACATCCCTTCGTACCGAAATAATCTTCCCCATTCTCAATTGAATCACACGAATCCCTTCGTGTATGCCCTTCGTGATATCTAATTGCATAATCATGTCATGCTGTTCACTGGAGTCCTGACCGTCACTCGCAGACATCTGGCTCAAAGAGACACCCAAAGACAAATCCAAAAGCACTTTTTGCTGTTTGGAAAGTCTTTTGAGCGCCTCAACTTCGCGAGCGAAAACGTTCACGAGCATTTCTTGGAACTCTTTTGGAGTTTGATTTTTAATCAGCCGAGAAAGCTTCGACCCAGTGGCAGCGCTTCTCGAATCAATAGATTTGTCAGGATCTTCACATTCGCCTTCTTGAGGTAGATGCTGTTTTACTATGCCTTTGAGTTCAGCCATGAACTTTTCTCTAAACAACTGAAGCGCACTTGCCAACTCGTCACAACGAGCCAATTGTGTTATATGTCTCTTGAGCTCCTCTGTGAGATTTGTGTCCAGTTCCTGTTTTGGAGACGGCCCGTTTTTATTTGGCCGTTGAAGAAATTGATCAACGTCACATGAATTTGAACACCTTCGAACATCATTCAAGAGTAAATCACACAAGTTGAGAGCAAACATACCGCCCAGTTCTATGGTAAGATTCGTGAGATATTCGCGAACATGAGAGATCGCAGGGACGGATTTCAAATCTAGTAATTTGTAAGGCCATTCTTTGCTTATCGCTTCAACGACGGGATCGGTATCATCACCGACTATCAGCCGCTCGATATGGTCCACATCATCCAAACAATCATCAAGTTTTTGATCCTCGTATTTCCTCTTACAATCTTCTGTTAATTCCGTGATTTTCTTGATCTGTAAAAGGCCCTGTTCGAGTTTTTCGATATTTTTCCTTTTGATCATTTGTCTAAGCAAATTGATTCGTCGCCGTACTTTTTTCTCATCATGGTTTTGGAGCTTCGATGACAATTCATCCAACTTCTTCAGTGATTCCGAAGCCATGTCCTCGATTTTATCAACATCTTCAAGGGCGTAGAAAAATTTATGAGAAGAGCTCGAAATTTCAGACACCAGTAAATTTTCGATGTCGTCCAGATATGAATTCAGCTTGTCCTGCAAATCCTCATGCGCATTGTCTCTTTCCTCACTCGAAAAGGAGCGGAAAAAGTCCACTTGTAAATCGGCGTCGTCCAAAACTTTACTGAAAGTTCTCGTATCATCTAATCGAAAGCCATCTTGGAAATAAAAGTCCGGAACCTGATGCATCTGTTGCTTTACATCCTTTGTGTATATCTGAAGACCACGAGCTGCATCTTCTTCGGCCACGGGCACTTGATCTTCATCCGATTGATATATTCGTCCAAGTGAAAGTTGCCCAAATCCTTTGACAGCTTGCAAATTGTTGAATTTCTGGAAAACGTCATACTCTTGCGAAAGCACGCCGATATGGGAATCAATTTTGGATTTCCAATCATTTTGAAGTCCGTTCTTACTGAGCGTCACTGGTGGAATATCTTCTACACTTGGACGACCTAGCCAATTCTTCCTCCTGGTATTCATGACAATCTCATAAATCGAATTGTTACCCAGTGGCGAAAAATCCAGGCTTCCACTGTGGTCGTCAATGCTAATAAGCCCGCGCCCTGATCTGCCCCACGCAGACGAAGATTCGAAACTCCGCCGATATGACGAACTATCGACACTTAGACCTCCTGAGTGCGAAATGAGACCATCTCCTTTGTAAAACCCACTGTTAACACTCATTAAGTCGTCATTGAGAGACGAACTTTCCTCAGCCGGAGGACTTGGTGTAATTGGTGGTTTCTTTGTGAATTGAAACTGTTTCGTCAGCACAGGTGATCTATCAGGGAGTGTTTGTCTTCCAGATCTTGCAGGTAAAGGATTGGAAGCGATAGCATCTTGTCGCCTAGACATTATAGGTTCTGTACAAACTGCTACGCTTCTATAGGTTCGATTTGTTCCCCTTCCATGATCGATACCTCTGCTTTATTATGGTGATATCATTGAGTACGTAAATCAACTAGAGAAACTCCACTCAACCCCGAAAGCCCTTCTTGATAATCGTTCTCGAAGATTCTTCAGATCTTCAGGATCACTGCGTTACGCTGTCTTACAGGTCGTTAAAATATTTTTCATTGAGTACCGTGTCTTTTCCTAAACAATGATCGATAAGCAGTGGGTGTTGCAGCGGCACACCTACTACTTCCACGAATGTAAATATTTACTTGCGAGTTCCCGAGCCGAGGACATCATCTTATGCAAACTTTCATCACTATCTTTTGCATCGCCGTCGTCTTTGTGATGTCCAATATGCCAATTCTCTAAGTTTTTGTTCATATGTTCCACATCCGGCGAAGGAGTACCGTCAACCATTTTTTCCTTGGCCACCACCGATTGCATTGATTCGCTCCTTGGGGAGATATAACCCGCTATAGCAACGTCTGAAAGGGATGCGTGGGAGTTCCCGGAGCTCATGACGCGATTAACAGGAGATTCGGCCGCTAGCCTTGGAGACTTCGACATTGATGTGATTGAGGTGCCTTGAGTTGGTATCATGCACTGATTATCGTACGTGGCGGAGGTTGCCGTGTGTCCATTTTGATTGGTGGCCATGTCTGCTGGTTCAAAAACAACGTCCGACGCGTTTTCGTCCTCAGCAGAATCAGAATCTGACTCAGAGTTCAGGATAAAACTTTTGGTTTTTTTTCTCGAATTTCCTGCAGCAAGCGGTTCCTGCTTTTGTGATTGCTGCAGGTGCTGCTGCGGGGACTGATGTTGCTGAACTGGCTGCTCAAGCGGTTTGCCTGTGACAAAACTATGTGTACTGGAAACAGGAGCTGTCGAAGATGGCAGGCCATGTAGTGAAGAGTTGCTGCCTTTTCCTATCGACGAAGTACGCCTCAATGCCAAATCGGTCTCATCATCGCTTGCCCCTGTTTGAGAGTTCTCAATGAATTGCGAATCATCGTTTGAATTATAGGAATCACTATCATCATCGAAAGAAAAACCTCCCCTAGCAACCCGCTGCGTTGTTTGAGGTAGCCCCGCATCATCATGATGGTGATCTTCATCAACTGGTGTTTGCAAGCCCTCCGGAACATCAACCATATCGCAGTTGTTAACAGCCATAAAATTGGAAGTATCCCCAGTGTACACCGAGTTGTAGTCGTAAAGGTAATCATAGCCCCTAAACGTATTAACGTTGTGGGAAACAGCATTTCTACCATAGTAGCTGTCTTCGTCATCTTCGTAATCTTCGTCATCAGACCCATAGTTTAAGGTGGTAGACGGTAGTAGCTTTATAATAGGAGGAATTTCATTATGTTTGGAAGTTGTAGATCCAATCGATGAATGCTCGGATGGAGAGTGAACACCCTCATTTTTCCTTGCAAACCGTGCACTAATGAAAAGTCCTGCCTCCTCATCTTCAGAAGAAGAACTTTCAGGCTCATCGTCCGAGTGAACATGGTACAAATTTTGGTCTCTACCAGTTGAAAGTTTTCTGTGATTATCTCCAAAATACTCGTTTCCTGGATCACTGTCATAGTCTCTCTCGTGTTCGTCAACATCGGCATCGCGGTGTTGAGCGTTTAATGCCATACACTGTTCCACTCGGTCGCTAAAATGAATATGTCTATCCCTGTGTTCAGAACTTTTGCTGTTTTTGCCTGCTGCTGTTGAAAGAATTGAGGCTGGAAGAGTCTCGGTAGGCATGTCTTCAAAATGCGAGGTCGAGTATGTTTCTGGTGAAGGCGAAATGTCATCCTGTGTGTGCAAAGTGGTGTGAAATCCACGATTGGCGTCCGGCGCCGAGCGGTAGTATTGTGCGTTGACCTTATCAGCAAGGGCATCATAATCATCGGGCGCATAATTCCCGCCATAACCATCCATCACGGGTGAAGTATTGCCCAGTTGCTTCCTATGTTGCCTCGCTACATTAAGCCTCCATAAAGAGTTCTCCTTTATTATCTCGGAGACGCTTCTTTTCTTTAAAATGGGCTTGGGACCTTTCTGCTTCTTTGGCTTGCTCTTCGTCATCCGCTTCGAAGTTTCGTCGTCCGAGCCGTACCCGCACTCGCCATCGGACATGATAGAAGAACCTTCCTTCGGCCGCAGAATGGGACCGTAAAGCCACGTAACATCCGAATCCTTGGACCAGTTAACTGCCTCAGGAGTCACAGTCTTCAAATTATTGCGGGCTTTTGCCCAAGTACGCCACGAAGCGTTCTCAAGTCGGGCCGCATTGACCAAATCTTCGTCTTTCTTCTTTTTCTTCAATATGATGTATTTCCACGATTGCGATATCTCGTTTTCTTCCCATTTGTGCGAAAGATAGTCTACGTGCCGTTGTGGTTCGATGACTAAATCGTTGTCGTCGTGAGGAACCAAATAGTTGTCCGTATCTGGAACGGGTGGAGAGGTCGACTCCGAAGGTCGTCCCGTTTCCAACCCTGAGCTTTCAGCATCTACTCCCACATCTACCTCATCCTCATTCTCGCCCCTGTCCATCAGTTTCTTGGTCGGGTCAATATACTCATCCAAAAGTCCCATCGACCGCGTTCGCTTCAGATTAAAAGTTGACTTGTGAAATTGCTCATCGTCATCCGCTTGCACCGCCATCGACACAGATGGCCCCATATCATCCTCCTCTTCATGATCGCGCTCGGTTTCAACGCTCGGCTGCTGCTGCTCCGAGCCTTTGCTGAAATACTCCGCCAATTTCTTTGACATCTTGCGCCAGCCGTAAAGAGAGCTAAAAAAAGAGTGTCTTTACAGATTCAAGTCTGTTTAAATGGGTCACCTTTATTCACCTGGCCTTTAAAATCTCAAATGGTATCTTAATTCACTCCTTCAACGAGCTATTTACTCGATGGAGTACTTGTGCTCTAATGGCAGTTCAAAGGGGTAGTGAACATTTCATTTAAATTTTTCTAAAGATCTTACGGAGCCCGAGTAAGGAACACCAGGTGAAATTAAGACACGAGGTATCGAAAAACGACGGACACCATAAAACCGAGTAAGACAGATAAACGATCGTTAGCGCGTGGAAAACGTCCACCGGCGTTGACCAAGACACCAGAGGAAACGTAAGCGAATTCGGCCCTCAGGTGAGAACAACTAAGAGGAATTTCGTTCAGAACAACATAGGTTTTTGATAAACGTTGAGTATGATCTCTATAATCGATTTGGAGCCTTTTGGAGCCTTTCAGAGGCGTTCAAATCTTTTGGCTAAACTTTGAATTCCAAAATCTTGCCATGATGATGATCAGTGCCTGCAAAAAGTCTCATTCCCAGACCATTACTTAAGTTTGACTGTAGTGCCATGCTTTGGAACCGCGGGCTCACGACCTTTTGCGTACCGCCTAGCGGATAGTCGAATGAACCTCTTAATTTTCCGTCGTCACTCTGTAGAACTAAGATCTCCCCATAATCACTGTTCCAAAATACGTAACGGTCGTGCCACATCAAGTATTGTGATGTGCGCCGCCGAAACCGATTTCTGTGTGGATCTGTGGTGCCCAACTGACGCTCGAGTCTGCTTCGGCCTGACAAGATAGACCAAAGTTTGCATTTACCGTCGTTTCCGGTCGTTATAAGTTGAGAATTGCCCTCTGGATTCCAACAAATGTCGTTGCAACATTGCGCATGCGGTTTAACCATTGAATCCTGCTCGATCACATCGCAAACCACTTGATTACTTTTCCGTAAGTCCCACACGCGGACCTGACCACTATCGTCGCCGGTTGCAACCAGCAGCTGTGAACCGCGAGAGAATTTAGCGGTGTTGATACCAGATCGCATTCCCTTCGTTCTCACACCAAGCGTAATGGCTGCACTCATGGATTTCAAGTCAACGAGCCTTGGGTGCGAGTTCTCGCTGGCTACTGCAATGAGGTCATCGCGCGTATCGATCTGCGAGATGCGGTATTCGACATCGAACGAATGCACGACTTCAAATGAGTTAGTATCCCAGATCTTAAGGCTGTGATCAGAGCTTCCGGTGAAGAAAAGTCCATTGTCGGCCGCATACCATTGAACAGAGGAGATTGAATGCTTATGAAATCTCTGTCTGTCATGCGCGGACGCGGCATGCATTTGAGAATTGGTTCTGGCCGAAACAACAGAGGATCGAAATTTGGGAGATCGGCCATTTGCCGACGTTTCCGACGCTCGAGGCACAATGTGGAACCGTGACAAGTCTTCCTCCTTTTCACCAATATCGCCTCTAATGAAATTTAGCCGCTTGTTGCAGAGATCACCTTGGCTACTGGCCTCGTCAAGACCCCACAGCGCAACGCTGCCATCTTCGCCCGTAGACAAAAGCGTTTGACCCTGACTATCCAAAGCAAGGCACGTAACACCAATTGGAAGCGTTGCCCTACGGTGAGAATAGGCCACGGGAGATGCTTCTTGTAATTTTTGAAGTTCACTGTCCACCACTACTTGACGGAACCTCACGTCATCAAGTTGCCCTAATCGCCATTTGAGATACAAACTATTCATAAATAGCCTTCAACTTGGAAAATGAGGAACGGATTATGCCTGAGAAAAATTATCTCCCAATATAGCGCTTACGTCTGCTGGTCTTTCAGGAAAGTCGATGCCTATATCAGTCAGATCATGGACAGGGCTCATGTCAAAATAAGATGTTACGTAAGTCACTGTAAGATTTGAGAAAAATGAGTCACGTGAGAAAGCCCATCAAGAGCCTGACCGTTCAGCAAATGTACTGAGATCTCTTATTGTGATATGTTTTCGCACCACATGTATCAATTCGCCCTCAGCTGTGGGCTATAAACTGCAAATCAATTTAGGAGCTCGTTATGATTACAGTATTTCAGCTGACGCATTGCTAGTGCTTGTTCCTGCGCCTAATTCAAAAAGGAAAAGACCACGATGAGATCATCACACCGGCTGGATTTGCCAGGAATCTTTTTGTAGGATAAGCAGTTTCCATTTTTATTCGCCCAAAAAGAATTCGTAGTCCGCTGTCAATTTGCCAAAATTATAGATACTATGCGGAATACTATTAGCTGGCTTCAACCGAATAGAGCCCACTTCGATTGCGAATTCTACAAATAGCTAAAAGGTCTAAAAAGGACGAAAAGCTATGGGACTCGGCGGCTGCGCCCTTAATATAGGCCCAAGATGTATCACATAGTACGAATATTGAAAAACTTACAAAAGGCCATTGGGAGAGAAAAGGGAAATGCTTTAACCCAGATGCATTACCATCACCATCATCGTCATATTAACCTCCCCGGATCTGAGATGTCGAACTTTTTGGATCAATTTATTCTGGAGGACGTCGCCAAAAACTGCCCGAAGCAATTTGTGGCGTATCATAAATGTATTTCAGAGAATCACGAAGACCCAAGTCAATGTGTATTTAGACAGAAAGATCTAGCGGTTTGTATAAAGGAGAAGGTACCCAGTGTGCAGAAAGTGATGCAAAACTGTGGTACCCAGATGGCACGTTACGAGCAATGCGTTCGAGACCACATGGCGACGCGTACCATCAATGAAAATTGTCTGGGGCTACTCGAAGAGATGCGGCAGTGCGCAGAGAAACAAGTGAGCGGAGTCAGACCAATCAACGAGTTGTAATTGAAGGTTGAAGAAGTATATATATTCGAAGTAAACGAACTGATGTCAGCAGGCGACCGATTTGAAGTTGTATTAAGTTGAACAGTCCTAGCGCTTTATCACGAACGAAATAAAGAAATCAAACTTAGAACTTCTGGACCGTCTCGTAAAAAGTCTTGCCTTGAATTTCGTTGATTTCCAACTCGAGCGCAGATGGCTTTCTGGAGCCATCTGCGCCGGCGATGGTGCCAGCACCCCATGGAGATCCACCATGAACCTCTTCGAGGTTCGTGAGTTGCCCAAAAACATTCTTGTAACCTAAAGGAACGAAAATGATACCGTGGTGAGCCAAAACGGACAAAGAGTTCACAGCGGTGACTTCGTTACCACCGCCGGTACCCGTGGAAATGAAAACACCTGCAACTTTGCCATGCAAAGAACCTTTGACCCATAGACCACCTGTGGCATCCCAGAAAGCCTTCCACTGCGCTGGGAAGTTACCAAAACGAGTTGGAATACCGAACAAAAAGGCATCGTACTCAACCAAAGTCTCTCTAGTAGCAATTGGATAATCTGGCTTTGGTTGTCCGCCCAAGGCCTTGACAACGTCTGCACTCAGCGTCTCAGGAACTTGAAAGATATCGGCTTCACCACCGGCTGCTTCAACACCCTTTTTTTGGGCTTCAGCTAGCGCAGCAACGTGTCCGTACAAGGTGTAGATGACAATAGCGACTTTTGGCATTGTACGTTGATGTGGTGTGAGTAAAGAGTAACTCAATTGAACTGTCTATACAACCAATTATGGTGTCTTCAACAAGGTTTCGAGGCTCTCTGACTTGCTTGTTTTTCGTGCTCTGTTTAAATATTAATAGTCAATTACTGCTTTAACTAATTTACTAACCCTTGACTAAACAGTGGTGTCTGGGTGCTTTATGCTGCCTGTGACTTTACACAGTCTGAATGTCATAATTTACTAATGGTGCGGTTTCTCTTCTTGTTTCACGAGGGGTGAGAGTGGGGCCCCAATTAGTTCGTACTCGCAAGAACCAAACAGGCCACCCGAGCGTTGAATCTAGAGTTCCCACGGTATCGCGAAAACCAAGACGAAAATGACATATCCTGTGAATAAAGTGCTATATACGATTGACAAGTAATAGGCAACAAGAACAAGAGCGACGTTTGCTTGTTTCCAACAACTGTGTTCCCCGCAGCCTGACGGCCTTTGCTCTATTGGTCCCTGCCTGGAAGTTGCTATTTTTTCGTTTTCGATTACATAAAGACGCGCAAGAAGCTACGCGTCATGCATGGAATTCACTATAGAACAAAGTAGGCAGGAGATTCGACGAATTCGGAACTTTGATTTCCTAATTGGGACTTTGGCTAACACTTCTGGCTTTTCAATTGGAAATACCGCTGATGCTCTGGTTTACTAATTGGGATTGCCACATTACAACTCTGGAGCTCTCTTGGAAGACTGAACACCAGTCTCAGAAAACCCTAGAATTTTGGCTGGGATACGGAAAAGGCCTCCCCCGGGACCCAGATCTTTGCCCTCCTGAACATCCGCGGACGCCGTAGTCACGAAAAGATCACCGTTGGGGCCAAAAACGCAGCAAGTGATTGCCGGTGTGTGTGTCAACGAAAGTTCACGTAACAACTGCGCAGAGGAGCTATAGACTTGAATTTTATGCGTCGAGAACACGGCTGTGACGAAATTGCCATTTCTGACGTCAACGACGCTTCCGTCAGGTTCAGGAGACTCAAACTCAGCCTTCAGATCTTCGAAATCGACAAAAACCCGCTTATGATCCGGTTGGGCTGTGCCGTTCACATACGGCATCTGCCAAACTTTGAAATTGAGGGAGTCAGTGAGGTACAATGTGTCGTGACTCGGGTTCCAATTGATACTGTTGGGAATGTAGATGTGATCCCAAACCAGGTCTACGGTCCCACGTTTGAGATTTATGCATAAGACACAACCCTCGGCCTCGTTGGATTTATTCAGATCGACATGGAAATCTGTCATGAGTCCGACGTAAATGTCACCGTTGGGTGCGACGTTCCCGTCGTTAGATCTCAATCTGACTGGATCCTTATACTCCATTGCCTTGCACAATGAAAACGGAAGCACGTATTGCCACTGATTGGTCGAAAATCGGCCACGTCCAATTCCATACTTGGCAGCAAAGTATACTTCATCAACTTCGGCAGCACTGTCTGCACCGTCCACTGGGAAAACGACACCTACACGTTCTGGATACTCCTTAGAGAAAGTATACTCACCGTCGTAGTTTCTCGCGCTGATTGAAAGTTTCTTGTGAGACTCGCGAGGGTTGTCGATATCCGTGACGCGGTGAATCTCGCCCTTAAAAATATCGACCCATAGCAGCGTTTTAGAGGCTGCTAAGTAAGTAATTCCCTCTGAGAGTCGAGGGTCCACGTCTTTGAAATAAACATCAAGCGCTAAGTCCTGCTTTGGAGCCATTTTGCGTTCTCTTTTCAATGTTCTTGCTTTCTGACAGGTACAAGGGACCTCGAACTTGGATTTTCACATAATGTCCAGCCATTTATATCTCGCCTTGCGATACAAGGTAAGAACAAACTCATGAGAAATGAGTTGGTATCCCGTTTAGAGCGGTCGCAGTAAGTAGGAATCAGTCCAGAAGCCATAATTAGGTTTTGGGTGAGCCTTTCCCGTAAATAAACGGACTTAAATAAGATGAATTGACTGTAAGATGTCTTGATATCTTGAATTGCGATATGAGTGGATACGAGGTGTCCATTGATCAATTCCAAGAGCGCGCCGCGTTGTATGCCTCCAGATTTCGCAAAGCGACGATGCTCGATTCCTCTAGCGACTTTTGACAAAATTACAACCATTGCTGGGCTTTGAAAGCTACGACCCGTCAGACCAGCTTGCTAGTATCCAAAAAATGATTTAGGAGCATAATGAGATGGGAACGGTTTGGACGCGCACATTGTGAACCCTCGACGTATATGCGACTGTTGACAACCGCGGCTTGAAGAAAAATGAACTCTTCTAGTGTGCAGCCGACCCACCGGTAAATACGACAACCGTCAAATGGAAACGCTACATTGACCATGGGTATCAATTCAAGCTGACAAAGTCGAACTGCACCGTCTGACAACTTCAAACGGGCGCTTGCGTCACCCTAGTGAGCTGAAGAAAGAGACGCCAGGGACAGCTGGACACCCCGTCCCCCTTTACAAGATGTCCCCTCAAGGATTTGACCCTCTTTAGCCACGACCGGGTCACCACTACATGCCAGTTGTTTATGTTTTGCCGTCCCGCCGCGCCGTCGCGCAGCAGCGGTCCCTCTACGACTCATGCACGGCACACCGCCTTGCATGTAAGCACAGCAGTTGGGCCCTAAACGTCAAATACAAACAAACACATCGCCGACGACACTCGCAAGGCAAATGTCAGCACTCTTCAATGGAACAAGTGATAGATACCAAGACCGGTGTCCTACAGCCTCCATCCTACCACAATTCCCAAACTCCCTTCCACACTCTACTTCCTCTACAGCTCGCATATACCCCCAGTCCAGCTTCCACCATGTCATCCCCAACAAGACCCTCCCGGCTTCTGCAACTCACAACTCCCCGAACAAACTCCCGCGGTACGCCGAGGTCACCCACGTTTCGCGCTATACCCGTCACAGCGCCGCACCAATTTTTTCCGACCTAAAACGTCATTGCCCTACAACGAGCACTTTTGAAGCCGTTGCGAGACATCTACATGTCGGATCTCTTCCGTAAGCTTTCCTACCACATCTACCATCTTACTAAGAGATCTGAGATACTTTAGCCCATCTCGGCAATTTCTAAAAGCAATTACTTGGTCTTATTGAGACAAATAGTTGCTTAGCAATAGCAGCACCCGCGCTGCTGCGCAGGTGCTGCTGCTATGGTTTCTCGGCTAACGTTGGCTTGCTCATCGCATCGCCGCTGTTGGTCCAAAAATGCCTCGCGATGCAGTGCTTAGTGAGATGGAGCCTAATGTCCGAGCTTACATAAGCGGCTTCTCGTTTTCTTCGAAGCTCGTTTCGGCAACCTGTGGTATCACGGAATATCCGACTGTCAGCGACAGGACCAGAGTGGGCATGGGAGGGAGATAATGGGAATGAGGGCATAGCAAATTCACTCGGGAACTATTTGTTGTCTACAAGAGGTAATTTGTAAACGGGGCCTTTAAAATCGTATAAAAAGGCTGGGTGGGAGATTTAATGGGGCTAAAGAGTTACTGGGTTTTTTTTTCTAAACTGCAATAATAACAACTCACCGAGCTTGATAGATACCAGCTTTTCCTTGAGATTCTGGATTAATCCTAATAATTGTACTGAAATCTCTAAGTGAATATCTGCAAACTCTAATAATTTAACCTTAATCACCCATGACGTACATCGACTTAGCGAAAAGAGGCGGAAACGAAGCCATTACCATTAATGCCCCCAAAGGCACGGATTTCCACTTGACTTCTAGAGGTTCCGACTGGCTGTTTTCTGCGTTTTGTTTCTTCCTGGTGCTAGCGGGCCTTATGATCGGACTTTCGTTCACCAAGCCGTCACGTGAAAGAGTGTTCTACTTTACCGCAGTGGCCCCAACTCTGTTCATGGCGCTCACGTATTTCACGGTGGCCTCGGACCTTGGATGGGTCGGCATCAGGGCCAAGTACAACCACATCAAAGTCAGCACCCAGACCGAATTCCCAGGTGTCAGACAGATTTTCTACGCCAGGTACGTTGGCTGGTTTTTGGCTCTCCCATGGCCCATCATTCAAGTGGGACTTTTGTCTACCACCCCTTGGATTCAAACCATCTTCCACGTCGCTTTGACTGAAGTCTACGTCGTTTTCATGCTGATCGCTTCTCTCGTCGACTCGACTTACAAATGGGGGTTCTTCTCGCTAGGAATCGCCGCTTCCGTGTGTTGCTGCACTAGTTTGATGATCACTTCTCGTAACATGGCCTTCAAGCTTGGTCAGGACGTTTTTACCTATTTCAATGGAATTATGGGTATCATTATGGGTATCTGGTGGATCTACCCAATCTGTTTCGGTCTTTCCGAAGGTGGTAACGTCATTCAACCAAACTCCGAGGCTGTGTGGTACGGTATCCTTGACTGTATTTTGCTAGGTTTCCTACCTTGCTTGGTTAATTTCCTAGCTAGCAGCGTGGGCCTTGAAAGATTGCAATTGCTTTCACAAGCCAACAACTTTAACGTCATGCCTCATGAAAAGTCCATGAACTCAATTGCCACTGCAAGACACTCTGGTGAAACCGCTGTGTCTCCAAAGAGTAACAATTCTCCAGCTTAAATGCAAAAAACCGTCAAAACAATTTGATATTCTGCCACTGCAACTTTGAGGCAAAATCGTTGCACTGAATTACACTCATTTATGACCTGCAAAGGGAAGGAAGGGTTTCTTCATACCCATTTTTAATGAAAAGCATTCAAATTTTCGTCGATCGTTCCAGTTCGTTCATTTCCCCACTATAGAATATTATCAACTTTACTCACTCGTATCCATTCCTTGTGTATACCTTTTGTGTCTAATTGCTAATTTCACGACAGCCTGCACAACTGCAAGTTGCTTTAATTTTCATTTTGCTCCGTATCCGTCTGCACTGTATCTGACGCCAGTAATTGTTGGTCTTTAATCACAGTTCAAGTATTTACCGATGCACAACGCTATGTATCAAACTTCTTGATGTAGCAGATGAGAACTGTGGATGATGCCAGCCCAGTTGGACTTTTGTATGCAGTATAGCTCGCCTAACGCCAGAATTAAAATACCGACGCCAAGTCCAATCCAGAAACCTTGCAGACCTAGCTTGTAATGGAAGCCCATAATTAGTGCCAATGGTAACCCTATTGCATAATACGCCACGATGTTTAGATATCCACCAACTCTTTGACGTCCTTGTGCCCTGAGACATCCGGCAGCCAAGACGTTGAACGCATCATAAAGTTGATTGATACCAATTATTGGTAATATCTGGGCAGCAGCTTGCTGGACGGCAGTATCTCTGGTGAAAAACGAACAAATTCTATTCCGTCCCAATACCAAAATCAGAAAATTCACCACACCAATCAGCGACCCAAATTGAAGTAATGTCGTCCGCGTAGCGACTTTACAATTATGCGAATTACCAGTGCCTATATGGTATGCAATCCTATTGGACGCCGCGACACTGACAGAAAAGGGAACCTGGAAAGTCAAAGATTGAATGGACGCAGCTACCGATTGGGCCGCTAGAAGCTCAGTACCAAATTTAGCAGACAGCACAGTAAGAGTTTCAAACGCCAAGAATTCTGCTTCAATCATGATAATTCCCGGGACGGCCAAATAAATCATAGAATCCCAACTCTTGAATATTTCTCGCCAATCTTTAAGTGAAGACCAGCAATGAATTTCGCGTTTCGTCCAATTTAAACGTAGCACGGCAAATATGATCGAAACGCCCATTAGCGTGTATGTTGTCGTCGTCGCAATTGGTGCGCCTACAATCCCCCAACCAAATTTGAAAACAAACAGGTAGTTGAATAGCACATTCAAAGGCGCACAAGCGAACAAAATGTTTTGCGCTGTGGTGAAATCGTTTTGGGCCTGTAGATATTTTTTACCGCACTCGAACGTAATGTACCCGGGGATGCACGCAACCATGATTCGTAGATACCTGGCAGCGATTTCCACGAGTCGCATATCGTCTACTATTTTGCATAAAATGCTCTTTGAAAACCACCAAAGAAGGGCAATTGGGATCGAGAAAACAGCGTTAATGGCAAGTCCTCGTTGGAAATACAGCCCAACCAGCTTATACTGCCCTGCACCGTAAGCTTGTGGACACAAAGTATCCAAGCATGTTGCCATTCCCACAAAAACGGCCGAAGTCGCTGTGAAAGTGACATTTGCCAACGAAACACCGCCCAGTTCTACTGCTCCAAGTCTTCCGACAAACAAAATAGTGACAGATGAAAGCGAAAACTGTAACAAAAAAGTGGCTATTAAAGGCATGGCATTACGACCTATTTGTTGAAATTCCTTCTCGTAGCTTGTTTTCACCGCTAATGCATCTTCTCGCCCGCCAATTGCGCCGTACGCGTATCTTTCGCATTGATCTTTCAACGCATTTCGTTCGTTCATTTTTTCCGCTCGTAAGCCCACTAATCCAGAAGTTCTCCTTCAAGAACAACGCGCTTCTTAATAGCAAACACTCTTCTTCATCGGCCGAAACCAATTTTCTAACGGTTTTTCTTTCCAACTTTTTCAGTCTTTCCGCTCTTCTTGATTTCTCGATATATGTAGTTCCTTATCGGCCGCTTCTACTGATAGCGAATTTATACCTAATAAGGAATTCCGAGGAAATGGATGCGAAGAAGCTCAAAATTCCGAGCGGATCACGTGATTTTGTTAACTTTTCCAGGAAGAGCCCTTTAGATGACATCTTTCAAAAGTATTATATAAATGAGCCATGAGAAGATGACGGAGACTCAAGGAGGTGTCAACTAGCGGCAATTAGGTGCAGTTTGTGAACTGATTATGCGTTTGTTCATTTATGCCAACTTTTTGGGCGTTGCTTGGGCCGGAATTCTGAACAATCAAAGACAAGTTCTTTTTGAAGATGAGCAAGACAGTATATTGAACCAGTTATTTGGCGAAGTGCTAACTCCACATGTGGAAGGTGAAATCCAAGATTTGAGCGTTGGAAAGAAAAAATATGTTCTTGACGATTCGGAAACTGAAGAATTCCGGGCACAGTGCGGATTTTACGAGAATCACCGAATATCTTATCCCGACGACAGTTTCCTTTCGGATATACAATTATTTTCGGGCATTGTTACGTTTGCTCATGTGCCAATGGAACAATGTTTTAAGTCCAAAGACGCGGAAAATGCTCCAAATTACGATATTGCTATTTTGGGCGCACCTTTTGACACTTCGGTGTCTTACCGGCCAGGAGCACGTTTTGGGCCCAACAGTATCAGACAAGGATCAAGGCGACTTGGTCAAGGCGTCTTACCCGTTCGTGGTTTTCCTGGGTCCAAACTTCGCACTTTAGATCCATACAATGCGGGCTATAAAATTGTGGATTGTGGTGATGTGCCCATGACGCCTTTTGACAACCGGTTGGCTTTGAACGCGCTCTACCGGGGTGAAAGAGCCGTGTATAAGCAGAGCACGAATAGAACAGATCTCAAGGTGCCAAAAGTTATCACGCTTGGCGGCGATCACACTATTACGCTTATGGCTCTCAGAGCAGCCTATGAGCACCATGGACAAATGGCTGTCATCCATTTTGACTCTCATATCGACACTTGGGATCCTAAGGTTCTAGGTGGCGGTATAACTAAGACGCAAAGCATCAATCATGGTACTTTCCTGCATTTTGCACACGAATGGGGTTACATTAGAGACGATAAATCCCTACATGTGGGTCTCAGAGCTCCATATTTCGATCTTTATGACGAAAAACACGATCGTGAGTGCGGTTTCGACAAAATTGTGGCTCGCGATTTCGATTTACTCAACTTCAAAGAAATTGTTAAAACTATCAAAGATAGAGTTGGTGATCTGCCCATTTACCTGACTATTGACATCGATGTGTTGGACCTTGCCTTTGCTCCTGGAACGGGGACCCCTGAACCTGGTGGATTGACTTCTAGAGAGCTGCTCACCGTGCTTGACGGATTGGAAGGTCTAAATATTGTCGGTGCCGATGTCGTGGAAGTCGCACCCGCTTTCGATTCTAATGGCGAAATCACATCGATTGTTGCTGCTCAGGTTATCGATTCTATTCTTGGCTTAATGGTGGTAAGCTAAATGAAGTATTGATACTTAAGCTGACTAGTTACATATTGCAAAGCCGCCTGTTGTATATTTACAAATCAGTTTCGGGGATCCATTAAGGCACCTTACCAAGTCAACACGTCCTGGTCTTCCAATTTGTACTCTTGTTTATTACCGTACCAAACCTTCTCAAGCCTATTTAGATTGTGCTCAGTCAGGCGCTGGAATCTACTTCCATTGAGTTTATAGTATTTTTTTATCACGTCCCGCGTGCCCTCATCGATAGCGTTCAAACCGGCAATCAAAATTGCAAAATTCGAATAACAGGTTCTCAAATTTTGAGGAGGGTCGTCGCTATCCAGAAACCCAAAAAAACTGGTTATTTTCTTAACTATCTGCTGTATCGCGATAGATTCTTTCGGTATACCCAGAAGCTTGAGCAAAACGATTAATAAGAAGGATAAAACTTGAGTTTGATGTGAGATGTCATACCAGCTTATCGCAATTTCATCACCGTTCTTCATTTTGACAACATCGATAGCGTTGTCAATAATTTTACTGTTTTTTGGATGAGATTGGCTTGTAATGGGAATGGTTCCACTATTGTCTATGAAGGAGTATTCCAACTGTTTGTCTAATTCCACCAAAATTTTCTGTATTTTGAAATAGGATAGAGATTCCTTAAATGTGTCAGTGTTGGGATTAGACCATAACAGATAGTCCAAACTTTTGTCGAATATACCCTCTTCCGAGAAGTAGTTCCTTTCAGAGTGACGAATAATATTCAATGCCTTAAAAACTTCCTTTATTACCAGATCAAAATCTTCTTTGTGCCCTCGCAGTAAATTGAACTCATTAAGAGGAGTCATGATGTTTAGAAATTTCAATGACTCGACGTATGGGTAATCAAAGGGATTAAAAATAGCGTCAAGGTCGACTTCACTGGTTAAAGCACCTCCTAATACTGAACTGATACTTGCAAAAGTCTCAATGACTTTAAACCAGCATTTTGCTACATTAAGCACTTTGGAAGAGTCGCCAGCTTTTATCTTTTTAAACAGCTCAGTGACACCCTTAAGGTGAGATCTCCATTGACTGTTCATTGTGTAGATACAATCCCAAGTTAACATCAAGACCGTTAAACTAATTGGCTCTATCTTATTGACAACATTCATCTCATTTTTAAACTGTTCACTGAGAAGCCCCAGACAATGAGACAAGTATGCGCAATAAGTTTTCTCGTCCTCAACATCATTCGTTTTACGATGTCTAATAGATGCTCCCACGGCTAATATGGCTGATAGGAGATATGATTCTCCTTTGGCAAACGACAATAAAATGTCGCGCAGCGGGTTTCCTTGGTTTTGGAAAAATGGCGCAATGGAATCCAAACAGTCATAATAGAAAACCTCCAGGTATTTATCGTGAATGTGTCCTAGTTTAAAAGATTTCAAACTGAGATTGAAATTCATCACGTTATCCACAAGGAATGAAATGGGAACGCTGGCATAATTCTCCCTAGTAGAAAGAGCGTTCAAGTCTGGAAAGCCAAAATCAGGGAAGTCGAGGTCTTTGAAATCTTCGTTGATCATCGATTCACTCAATTTCATATTGACAATGTCGTTCAAATTTTGTATCAATAAATTGGCGTCATACGCATTGATGTTTTTGGTCGGAATCAAATTCGGCAACTCTGTGATCATTGTCGGGGTTTGTGTGAGTGTCATACCATTGGTAGCGTCTTCCATCAAGTTGGGCGTTTTCGTATCATCAGCAGTTGAATCAGCTACTGCTAGAAAGTCCTGATGAACCAGATCCGCCTGTTGACCCTTGGCCTTGATTTTAGCATTAGAGTTATTAGTCTTACCAACCCGCGGTTGTTTTTTCTTGTTCTTGGTATTCGGCACGTAAACGCACTCTCTGCCTAGTCGCGAACACTGCCAACAGGATGGCTTGCCCTCATCACACTTCATTCTTTTCTTTTTGCATCCTAAGCACCCATTGCGAGAATACTTTCTCTTTGGAACAGCAGCGTCTCTCGAGGTTGAAATGTTGTTCTGAACAGTGTCACTAAATTTCACCCCATTTTTAGAAGTGACATCGGAGTACGCACCACCTTCATTCCTTGCGTCACAAGAAGCGTCGAATGCCGTTTCAGAGACACTTTTGTTATCTTTAGAGACTGGATCACTACGCTCCGGAGTCGACATTGGAGTCGTACTTCTGCGACCAAAAAACTCAAGATCAGACAGATTAGCGGCGCCTAAACAATGAGGCGCCGTCAAAATTCTATCCGCTCCACTTTGCTGAAATAAACTGCCTCTGCTCGAGTCTTCTTTTCCGCCTGAACTTTCAGTCGATTCGGGCGAAAAGTATGTCGTAGAAGTTTGCAAAGCACCAACAATTGGGCCAAGACCTTCGCGGTCGACCTGAAGTCCGATGGGCGACTTTAAGTGCTTCATAATACCCGGTTTTGGGCAGCGATGACTTGCCTCGAAAGCTAACTTTCCATCGGAATTGTCAAGCGAAAAATTGAGCCGGGATTTTCCAGTCTAGAAGATGGAAAGCGGGGCTTCGTGAGTAATGAGCAAATACTCATCGTCACTAGTCACGTGACCTTCCGCCATTATGTGATATCCATGTTTCGAGCATTTCGGAAGGCTTCAGGAATTGAAATCTAACGTCTTTAGCAACCCTTATCCATTCTGAGCCATACCTGGGCTCGCATTGATTGATCTTCTTGATAAGCGAACTTGTGTCCTTTTGCAATCTTTTGTAGCACTTGTAAAGGTATAGCCAAGAATCGCCGAATAATAAGTTTGACTGTGTTACGCGGTCGAACCATTTGACCGCTTTTTCGTATTGGGCATCTTTGTAAAAGTTTAGCCCAATTTCATGAAGAACTCGGTAGTCGTTGCTTGTCTTCTTTAGAGCTTCTTGGAACATTGTTCTTCGCAGACTTTTCTTGGTCACAAGCTTTAGGTTTTCGACCCATAGTGCCGCATTCGTCGGGAACCGCTTTAAAGCTTCGATAACGATTAACGCTGCCTGGGACTGGTTATAAAGCCTGCTTTCCATTCGCGCTTTGGCGACATGGAGTTCTGGCGAATTTGGAATTTTCAACATTGCAAGGTCCAATTTTGATCGAGCGATGGTTGGCTGATTGAGACGCATTTCCTCGATTTCGGCGACCGCAATGCATAGGTGAATACTCGACGGAATCCTCTGATATCCCCTGGAATAGCTTTCGCTTGCTCGTTGGTAATCTTTCCTTTCGCAGTATATTTGTCCCAATTGGAGATACAGTTTCTCACAAGTGGGCCGTTTTGGGATGTATCGTTGTTCCAGTAACCGAAAACATTTGTCTTGTTCTTTCATAAACCTGAGAAAACTGACATGACGATAATACAATCTTTCGATGCCCTGTGAGGCGTGGGTTTCTGTTTGTTCGATGGCAAATTCAAAAGTCGTCTCTGCTTCTTGGTATCTTTTCTCGCACGCCAGCAATTTCGTTTTAGCTAACCAGAAGTCTACGTTTTGAGAGACTTCTAGACCACGATTTAAAACTTGAAGTGCAGTTTCTGCGTTCCCGCCGTTTTTCCATAGCTCTTTAGAGTACATTAAAACGAGGACAGCGTTGTTATAGATATTGCTTTGATCCGATCCGAAAAGTACTTCGTCAAAGATTCTGTAAACATCGTCCATTTTGTCAACGTCTCGCGAGAAATCTATGAATTTCCTCCAGAGCTTTAGCTTCCCGGGATTTTCTGTCAAAATACTGTGATAAAGAGATCCTTTTGTTATCCACAGCTCATCACTTAGGCGTTCAACGAGTCGGACAACGGAGTCGTATGCGACCTGTTTGTCAAATGTTAAAGTAGCAGCGCGTACAATTGCCCGCACAGTCTGCAAATAAATTTGGCCAAATTCCGTCTCGGTAGCTTCCGCGAGTGCTATCCAATCTTGAAATGACATAGTTTGACCCTGCGAGGCAACTTCTTTAATACCTTTTATGAGAAGCTTAGTTAGTTTATCGAACGAAGAAAACTGAGACCTCTCTTCCAGTTGTGCTGCCAGAACCCATATTTTGGCCTCTGTGGGCAATCGTTTCCTGGCCTCGTTGAGGGTTTTCCTCGCAGCAGAATGCTCTTGTAAATTTACCAGAGCAAAAAGAAGATCAATACTGTTGGGTATCACTTCTACGGCTTTCATCAAAATTTGAATTGCTTGATCCTTCTGATCCTCGTACTCAACTGCCATTTTCCATAGTTGTTCGCATTCTGGTAAATTGCGAATCGCTTTTCGAAGCACTCTTACTTTATTAATCGTCTCCTTCTCTAACTCAATGGCTTTCAGCCAAAGACGTAGACTTTTTTGGTTGAAACTGATGCCATCCGCGACCAAATTTTTACAGTATTCATTGTCGACTGCATTCAAGCGAAGACATTCGAGCCAAATATCTTCGTCCCTGGGACAATGCTGAAGTCCTTCCTCGATTAGGGATTTTGCGATGCGGAATCTGCGGGCTTTTTCCTCTAGTCGAGCACATGCAATCCAGCCCTGGGGCTTTTTAGGATCGGATTTGCGATAAGAATTGAGAATGAGTCTCATTTTCTTAACATCTTCGACTTGATCATTGTAGTTTGCGAAAACAGCCGGATCCTCAGTTCCGGCAAGTAAAGCTTTCAATTCATCCTGATCTTCTATAGTTGCATCGCCCGTGTTTTGTGGTAAATTTTCGTCTATTTGAAGACCCAGGAGTTTCTCACGCTCTTCGGTTAGTTTCGTCAGGTTCACGTTGCCAGCTACAAGCGCATCTGGCGCTGCATACGTTTTTCTTCCACTTTGCATTTCAAGTCTCTGGCGCTTGTTTCGACGCGTGATGTCGCCAGCTTCCGGTATATTTTCCCATTGGGCATCGCTCACAGTGGCCAAAGATCGTTTTAAATCCTGAAACTGCCCGGAAATGTCATTTATCCTGGTATTCGTAGTATCATCGATTTTGGCCTTTGCTTTATTTCTTGAGGATATGCTCTCGTCAATACTTTTGAAGATCCGATCCGCCTCGTCGTCCTCATCATCGACTTTTCCTGACGCTAAAGACATACCAAACGAGTCTAAAAAAGCATTGCCGCGATTCCTGAGTGGTTCATCGTCCACTTCGTCACCATCTCCTGCACTGCGATTCTGGTCTTTATCTTGCAACCTGCTGGGAATTTTGCCAGATCCAATGTCAGAGCGAGTAGTAAAACCAGTAGCCCCGCGTCCTACACCAGCCACATAATTGGGTGGTGCTTTTTGGCTCAGAAAAGCTGGCCTTTCCATACCTTTGTAGGTTTGGATTTTTGGTGGTGATGAGCATCAATTTCAATTTTGTCTAACACTAGGAAACTGACATATGTCACTCGGCTGAAGAAATGGTAGCCCAGCGCGCACGAAGCTCTAGTAACTCTCGTAGCAAACATAACACACTCTAAGACCTTTTGCAAGTATTTACAGTGCAAAAAACGGAGTTCCTCGCATCGTTGTTACGTAATGGCAGATTAAACATAAGGACCTGGAACAGCGTTTAACGTCTCGAAAACAAGCTCTACACTGAAACAAGGGCCCTTTAAACTCCGAAAGCAATTTCCCCACAGAAGCTAGAACCCCGGTACATCTCGAGAGGAGGTCTTAATCTCACGTCATACCTTTTTCGAAAAGACTTACTAAATTTACCATCGGAGTCTCGAAAGTCGGTGACATCAGACAACGGACACCGACGTTCTCGCTTACTACACTCCCTAAGCTACACTGCCAATACTACAGTGCTCCCTACGCTTATTCTTTCTGTTTGACTTCCCTTTGTTTGCCCTCCTTGTCACTACATCTTTGTTTACTCTGGATAACATCATCACCAATGCATCAACAGCTCCCCTCACCCCACCTAGTCCCTGAAAAATAAGAACTTTGGAGAATGCTCGTAACAACGATGACGGAATTGCTCTCCCTGGAAAAAAATCTAGCCCGTCTTCACCTACGTGACAACGTCGACAAGGGAAAACCGTTTTGAAAAGCAACCGTATCATACCACATCACATTGCTGTAACCCTTACGTCTCGTGACGACCAAAGAACTCCTAAACCCGGTCTACTTCGGTCTACTTAAGAGTGGTTCTAGTAGCGAACGACACTTCAGGAAGAACTTTTTATTTAGAAGAAGCCTTTAGTGTAAATCACAATATCAAAATGTTCGACAAACTACGCGAGAAAGTCCAAGAACTTAAGCTTTCTGACGTGAAGACTTCCGTGTCAGTGCCCAACGCTGATGCTATCACGCAACGAGACGTGTACCGTAACCGATTCAACTACGGAGTGAACTTTGGTTCACTCTTTGTCCTGGAGAAATACATTTACGACTCGTTGTTTTCTGCAGGGGGTGAAACGGAACAAGAAGCGATTGAGAACTTGGTGAAAACCAGTTCGGTCGACGAAGCGGCTAAGAAACTGTCGGAACACTATGCTAGCTACGTGGGTCCTGATGATTGGAAATGGCTTAAACAAGTTGCCAACGTAACAGCCATCCGGCTTCCTGTGGGTTACTGGCATGTTGGCAACGGTAAGTTCATCACCAAAGACATGCAATTTCACGGGCTCCAAGACGTTTACCAAAAGGCCAAGCCTTGGGACCATGTAAGGCGTATTGTTATGGACGCTGCAAGACACAACATTGGTGTTTTGATAGATTTGCATGCGCTGCCCGGCGGAGCCAACAAAGACGCACACAGCGGGGAATCGAATCAGGGTACCAATAGATCGTTTTTCGACAAGCAGAGTCTGGTCAAGTGTGTAGCAGACGAATTACTTCCTTTCATCGTGAATGACCTGGCCAAGGATTACGACAACGTCATAGGAGTGCAAGTCGTGAACGAGGCTGCGTTCGACGAAAAGGCCACCAACGAAAAGAACTTCTACGCGAGGGCCATCCAGAATATGAGTAAAATCGATCCCGCACTTCCAATAGTGATTTCTGATGGGTGGTGGCCCGAGCAATGGGCGGACTGGCTGAACGACATCAAACATGCAGACGACGTTGTCATCGACTCACACGTTTACAGATGCTTTTCGGATCAGGATAAATGCAAGACTGCCAATGAACTAACTGATGAGCTGGACAAGACCGTAGACTTGCCTGCGGACAAGGCTGACTACATGGTAGGCGAGTTTTCATGTGTTCTGGATGGTTCTACATGGAGCAAGACCAAGTCCAGCAAAGACGAGTGTGTCAAGCACTACGGCAACAAGCAGGCTCAAGTTTTCCGGTCCAAAGCTCGCTGGGGTTGGTTCTTCTGGACTTACAAGTTCGAGCATGGTGACGGTGGAGAATGGGGGTTCGTACCCATGATCAACAAAGGGTGTCTACCCAAACGTGCCAACACGGACCCAGCCATTGACGAGGGTAAACTCGCCAAGATAATCAAAGAACACACAGATTACTGGAATTCTAAAGGCGGTGACAACAGCGAACATTGGAGATTTGAAGACGGATTGAGGACCGGAGCAGCAGATATCTTGGCATTTAATGGATTCGACCATTCCAGAATTGGACGGGTTCACTATTTCAAGAATTCCAGAAGAGCTCAATACATACAATTGAAAGGTGACAGCAAAAGTATGTGGGAATGGGACCAAGGCTACGACCGCGCCATCACCGAATTCAACTGGTGAATTACGAAATCACGAGATATGTAACTGTTCATTTAAGGCTTGTAGTAGTCTCTGTTCAATTGCCAAGGACGATTAGCCAAAGAAAAGGGTCTCGAAGGCTGATCTTATTCTTAACGTAAGATGCTGAAATTCTGCCAACATTTCAAAATTCGGTTCTATAGTGTAGTGGTTATCACTTTCGGTTTTGATCCGAACAACCCCGGTTCGAATCCGGGTAGGACCTTTTCGAATTTTTTTATCATTTTGATTTGGGCCATCTGGGAAGAGTAAGGCCAGTCCATCAGCAAATCAAGCGAATTTGCTGTTGCTTTTGTCCGTATAATAGAACTCTACTCTGATAGTGATTACGCGGTAAGATTTTAATGTCTAGCTAGGATAACACATGAGCTGACAACGGAAAAGGTTCCAGAGAAAGATCCAAGCATTTCTCCATCGTTTTCGGCTCTATTCAGCATAATTCTGGCAGGGCATGATACCCGTGTGAAAATACTGAAAAACTCTTTCATGAAGAGTCACCATGAGTTTGAAAAATTTGAGATGAGTATAGTAACAGATCTCCAAGATCGAATCTGGCGCGACCCTGGAGAAGGCTCTTGAAGTATTCTAGTTTTGCGAAATGTTCATCAAAAACGATCACGTTGGCGACAGAAGCCGTCTGGAAGACTGGAGAATTAAAGGTTATGATCCGTTAACACCTCCAGATCTTTTACAGCATGAATTGCCCGTGTCAGAAAAAGGTCATAAGAACATTGTACAAGCCAGAGAAGACATCTGCAAGATTCTTAATGGCGAAGACGACCGTCTTGTGATTGTGATTGGTCCTTGTTCGCTTCACGACCCAAAGGCCGCTTACGAATACTGTGAAAAACTCGCTGCTTTGTCTCAAAAACTTTCTAAAGATCTGTTGGTGGTCATGAGAGCTTACCTGGAGAAGCCCAGAACCACTGTCGGTTGGAAAGGTTTGATCAATGATCCTGATATCGACAACTCCTTCCAGATCAACAAAGGTCTCAGAATAGCAAGAGAAATGTTCACGAATCTCGTCGAGAAAATGCCAATTGCTGGTGAAATGTTGGACACTATTTCTCCTCAATTTTTGAGCGATTGTTTCTCTCTAGGTGCAATCGGTGCAAGAACTACTGAGTCGCAGTTGCACAGAGAACTTGCTTCTGGTCTGTCTTTCCCAATTGGTTTCAAAAATGGTACCGATGGTGGTCTGCAAGTTGCCGTTGACGCCATGAGAGCTGCTGCTCACTCCCATTACTTCTTGTCCGTGACGAAACCGGGCATCACGGCCATTGTCGGCACCGAAGGAAACTCTGACACTTTTGTCATCTTGAGAGGGGGTAAACAGGGCACCAACTATGACGCCGAGAACGTCGAAAAAACGAGACAGGATTTGATGAAGGCCAAGGTCCTTGACTCCGAAGGTAAGCAAAGAAGAATCATGATTGACTGTTCTCATGGAAACAGCAGCAAAGACTTCAGAAACCAACCTAAAGTCGCTCAATCCATCTATGAACAACTAAGCAATGGTCAAAATGCCATTTGCGGTGTGATGATTGAGTCTAACTTGGTAGAGGGGAGACAAGATGTGCCAAAAGAGGGTGGTCGTGAAGGTCTTAAATATGGCTGTTCCATCACCGACGCTTGTATCGGTTGGGAAACTACCGAGGAAGTTTTGGAACTTTTGGCCCAGGCCGTTCAAAAGAGAAGAGAGGCCTTGAAGAAATGAGGATTCGATGGGGGCAAAGCTAGTTGTGTCGCTGTTGTATAACAAAAAATAGGGAAGGACTCATGTTTCCAAATAGCCAAAATATTATGGATACGTAGCTAAGGTCTTGACTTGGATGTAGGAATCCAGAGTTTATTTGGAGGAATTATCCTCCAATTGTTGCACTTTGGTTTTCAATTCCTGATTTTCTCGTTTCAGAAGTTCAATTTCTATATGAGCTTCTTTGGCCCTTCCGTAACTGATCATTTTGGCCATTTCTTGATTCTCTTTGGTTAACATTTCAAGCCTTATAACGATTTTATGAGCAATGGCCTCTTCATCGTATCGCCCAATGCGTGTAACTGAGTTTGAAGGATTTAATGCTATCGCAGTAACCAAGCTTTCCAAACGTTGCTTAGTATCTTCAAGCTCGACATCTTTTTGAGCTAACGACGAGGCCAATTGCGTGAACATTAATTCCAGCGACGCTGGAATTTCGACTGTGCCATCAGACAATATTTGGCGCGGATCTTGTCGTGACATCACACTCTTGTTGAAACTACCTTTGAGCTTTTGAATTTCAGACTCCAGAGACTCGATTTGAGCCTCTTTCATTTGCAATTCCAAATGCAACGCATCTGCTTGACCCGAACTCCCTGATGAATTGAATGTCGTGTGATAATCTGAATATTTCGAGCTGTTAACAGTGTCCATGATACTGTTAGCCGCCATTGTACCTGCCATAGTTCCCGCCGTCGCTTGTTGTCTATTTTCTGGTTCTGGGGCGTCACCGCCCCAGAAATAGTTGATTCCAGCTGCATCCGAAGAAAATCGCGATGATGAACTCGGTGCATTATTCATAATCCCCCCACCCACATACGGAGAAATGTTCGAATTTCGTGCACCAGGGAATTGCATGTTATTGTTGTTGACCCCATTCCGAGTATTTGCTCCAATCATCTGTTTATCAGGATTCGCTGAACCGTAAAAGCCACCATGACCAAACCCTAAATTGCTGAACTGGACTTCCAGCCCCTGACTGCTGTCCAAAATATTGCCATTCATATTCCAGAAAATCTCAAAAGAACGCGGTCAAAAACCCAGGGTCTCACTATGTACTTATATACTTATATTTCTAAGCTAAGAAACCAACTAGTTAACCAATGGATTGATATACCACAGCTCTATTTGTGCATAAACAGGCTTGTGTTAAATGTTTCAAACTGTTCTGCTTCGAAACGTTTATGTATGTTTCATGGAAAACTGTCATGTCGTTTGAAAAACAAGATGCATCGATGAACCGTATAAAAAACAGATCTTTTCATCGACCTCAGAATGTCGTCAACAGATGTAGCTGTTTAGTACCATACAAAACCAGGTTACCATGTATAGGACCAAGTTTATTCAATGTCTTGTATAAAGGCGTTCTATGTTTGACGTCTCGATTTACTGAAGATACTAGGAATTTGATTGACGAGGAGAAAATCTTGCATAGCTGTCGCCGTAGATAGGGTATGAAAGCGACCTCCACTTAGCTCTCAATGGACTGTATTCCGTTTTTGTCAAAAAACAGGGCAAGGTTGAGTTCAATAATGTGAAGCTTGCGGAGACGACACATTACGAGTTCGCGTATGGCACCTTACACTGCTTTGGAGAAAAAATAAATGTAACCATTCTTTCGCATTTCTTCATAGTTTTTGGTATCTGACGCTGCAACTATCTTCTCGTCGTTGTAGAGTACCCAAGACTCGGTACCATCGATAGGTTTCTTTATGAAAGCGACGTAATGGCCCGATTGTACAGAGTTCCCTTTATGACAAACGATAGCTTTCAATTGATATTTGGCGGACGATGCATCGGGTGAACCGTAGCTTTTCACATCAACACATGCTTCCCTGGGATTTTCTAACACGCCATCGTCATCCGGATGACTGAAAACCCATTCGACACTTGCGTTGATATCTCCCTTGTTAAGAATCAAAGCCTTACGTGACACATTTCGATCCAGCCCCATTGACAACAAAGATTCAAGAGCATTGGGGTCAACTTCGGGAGCATTGGCCGGGACGATAAAAGGTTCGTTCACATCGGAATCCTCTATGTGCTGAAAAAGCCAATTCATTGCGGCTTCAGTGCTGTCGTTACCCGTCGAAAAAAGAGCTCTAGTGGCAGCGTTCTTAGTAAATCCCATCTCGAGAAGCTGGTTTACGTAGTCCTCCTTTGGGCGGAACCCAGTATCTTTGTCCTCCGGTAACAGGAATTCTCTGTCTCTACCTTTTTTTGATGCTTTGTAATTACTCATTTCCAAGTAATTCCCATCTTCCAATTCAAGCCCCGGTATGATTAATTCTTGATTGGTTTTAATTGGAATCCAGTTTTCAAGTTTGATTCTAGACGGATTGATAATCAAAGTATCGGGGAAGGTTTCAAACCGAGAGCATTTTTCAACAGTAGTCAATTCAGAACACTTAGGACATCTAAATTCGACAATCTCTGATTCAAAATGCTTTTCAATCAGTTGTTCAAATTGAAGAGGCTCCTCGGTTTCAAACATGGGCAATTGAAGGAATTCAGACACTTGTGCAGTGTACTTGACGCCGCCACAGCGTGTACATTGAATGCGATCCTCAAGTGAAAATCGGATTCGATCGTTGGGATTGGTTTTCATGCTTTTAAAAATCTTGTTGTCTAATTGATCAACGAAAAAGGTCAAGAATTCCATGGCATCTTGCTGTCTTTGCGAAGAAAATTCTTCATGCGATCCTCCTACGGTACTCTTGAGCGACGTTGGTTTGATGCCATTCGGGTAGCGTTCAGGTTCGTATTTCATTGCATTTCGAAGTTTGATCAATTGACATTGCAAGTTGCTCGATGGATACACGACAGTATGGGGAAAATCAGCCAGGACATCCAAGGACCAACCTGTGAGTCCCCCATTAAACACTGCTTGTAGCACAGAATTCATGTAGCAGGAGTTTCCCAAATTTAAAAGACCACATCCGTAAATCTTTGAACTTGGTAAATGGCGCAATTCGTGGCCTTGCGAGTCAACCATTTGGAAATCCCAGTTCATGTTTTGCTCAACCTGCATTTCGATCAAAGTTTTCTCTTGTGCCGTTTTGTTTGAGAGATCAATGCCCCAATGACTCAGAATCGTGGCCCATTGTTCGAAATTGTCGAACTTGACCTCGTCATCGCAACTGTAACAATATATATCCGCCGATGAATTGCTCAAAGAGCCCAATTTGACCGCCAAAGGATGGCTTCCATGTTCCTGGAAATGCGCTAATGCATGAGAGTTACCATCGATGCCGACTTGCTGTCTCCCACAACCCAACTTACCACAATGCAGACAGAGCCAGAGATTGCTGGCTAGATCGCACTCTTCACATGCCTGCTCTGATTTTGGTGGTGCTTCCTTGGTAGGCAGTTGAAAATCGCGTACATGTGCACAGGGCTTGACTTCGAGTTGCCAGCTCTGAGACGCTTGTGCAAATGAGCTGGAGCGTGCATCTAGAATTTGTTTGGCCTTCTTCGCTACATCTGATGTTGTTTGGCACGAATTCCAGTTGGTCAACTCATCAGAGCCTTTCAGCAGCCACCAGCGTGATTCGTACAACTCCTCATCAGATTTTTCTATCACTTCAAGCTTCAATTTCTTTTCGCTGCGCCCTTCAACTTCTGGTCTTTTGATCTTCTGGACACGCAGCCATCGGTCGTGATGTGCATTGAGCTCTTGGAGTGCGGTCTTGGCATGCAAACTCTTGTGGCGCCCACAGAAACTCTGAAAACAGTTCAAACAGATATCTAGATGGTGCCCTTGAGATTCGTTCTCGTTATACATGGTCTCGAAACAGTATCCACAGTCATCCTTAAAAATTACCGAGGGAACCTCGAGCGCTACAAATTCGTCCAGGCTTGACATTGTTGTAATGACGAAGTTTCAAGTATTTAACGGGGCACTCAAAAAGCTACTCGAAGTGGGATGTTGGCCCGTGTTAGACGGTAATACTAGGTCTCATCTCAAGGCATCTCTTAAATTGAAAATAAAGGTCACTATATACGTGAGTATGGCAACTAACTTGGCCTATCACCCGTTCATCTGACAACAAAAGACTCCCCATAAGGCATTGTTCGCTCATGTTAACCAGTGCAAATCGTCGCTGTGAGACTCGAAACAACTCGAGAAGGACTTACTAAATCTTTGGATCGGTTTTGCTGTACCTTTCGTATTTCAAAAAAAGATGGTTGCTAAGAGATTCGAACTCTTGCATCTTACGATACCTGAGTGTTCCACTGTTAAACAGCGTTAAGAAGCGAACTTCTTGAATCAGGCGCCTTAGACCGCTCGGCCAAACAACCAATTTTCGATAATATGAACATTTTAGTATTAGCTATGGTAAGCGGTGTATCATTAGAGGTGTAATTAATGTAGGCGGGACATACTCGCATTTATTGGAAAGACAAAGTACAGAGGCGTGAAGCGATTTGGTCATGATCATTACAAAGCAAACGAGTATATGGGCACCAACGAGTGGGACTTGGGTGTTGTTTAGCAATGCTTAATTGTTTTGCAAACGTGTTCTGTCACACTGTCCACGTGACCTGACCTGGGCCGATGACGGGATTCATATATATATACAAGATAATTGTTGAACATAATCAATCCGTCCAGTGAAGTTCTCCAGCTTTACCCACAGTGCATTTTCTGTCGCAAACGAGGTTGCACAGGTACTCGATGCCTGTTTTTCCCTTGGAAGATGCGTTGAATTGCGAGAAATATTTGACCACTTCTGGGCGTGAAACCGCAAGTGATCTGCCAGAACCATCACTGCCTGTGATATAGTCGCGGAACTGCTGCTCTGTGGGCAGCATGAATTTGGAATGATGAGGGTATCTCTTCCACGTTACGGCCCCGGGAAACCTTAGCAGCGAGAGCGGATTTGCAGGACGCGGGGACACGATCCGCGAGAGCTCTTCAACCGAAAGCGAGGTTTGAGTCCAGGGGAACTGAGTTTTTTGCTTGTCGATCAATTTGTGCTTTGTGGCTGCGGCAAACTCGACCTTGGGGTCCGCGCACATGTTGGTAGCGGTGACTAGGTCCTGTTTGAGTGCGGATTCGACGTCCGAGTGACGGTTTCTGAGGAATTGCTCAACGGCAACTTGCAAAGAGACAGGACTTTTGGTACCGAGCTTACGTAAAGTCTCTACTGCAAACTCCTTGGTCTCTGGCGTAGCGGACGCAGATTCGGCTGTCTGTGCCAGTTTCTTCAAAATCGCGTCTAGTCCAAGATTGATGTCGAAACATTTCTCAATAACGTCGAGCTTGGCGGGCGAATACGCAAACTGATAACCCTCTGGTAAACCGGTAGAAAACTCTTCGAGCGCGGACGCCGTAATCTCATACATGCGTTCGCTATCCTCGACGGGCAACTCTGCGAGTCTGGCCTGCAGATCAGTGAGATTGGAGCTCGAAACGTAATTGGACGCCAAACCCGCGACGTAAACGTCAGCGCCGGTCAAAAGATCACCTGTAAGGCACAGATACAACGCCAATTGACCCTCGGTACCACCCAAAGTCGTTATTTGAGGTAGAGAGAAAGTTGTGCCCACATCGGGGAAAAACCCAATATCCATCTCGGGCATACTCCACTTAGTATTTTCCGTTGCGACTCGGAAAGGAACATGCGTCGCTAATCCGACACCACCACCCATAGTGATCCCGTCCATCAACGCAACAATGGGCCTGTCATACGTCGCCAGAAGAAAGTTCAACGAGTATTCCTGTACGAAAAACTCCTGGGGTCTATTGACCTTCTCGCCGGTGTGTCCATGTGCTTGGGTTTGCATAGCTACCTTTGCCACGTCACCACCGGCACAAAAAGCCCTGGGTGAACTCGAAGATTTCAACACGATCACGTTGTTCAACTGGCTTTTGGAGTATTCTTGCAATGTCGGTAAGATCGCTGCACACATGTCCGTAGACAGTGCGTTCAACTTTTCGGGCCTCGTAAGTGTCACGACGCGTGACACGCCGTTAGTGGCGAATTGTACTTTTCTAGTAGACATTTCTGAAACTAGTCTGCGCTGTGTTAACAGTGCGAATTGACGTCGAAGCATGTTATGTAGACGAAATCAAACCTTTGGCTTCCTTCTTATCCAACCCCAACTCTCAACTTGCAGGAATCAATTGCATGAAAATTTGAAATCGAGGAAAATGTGTGGTCACGTGCTTCTAATGAAGCGTCATAAGTGATAATGATTTCAGATCACGTGCTGGTACGTGTAACACGATAAAGTATCAAGTGATAACGAAATCACGTGTATCACACGTCAATAATGATTCAAGCGTAGATAACGATACATATCACGTGATTCTTGTGTTATCGTGCATAATTATCTATCCACGTGATGTTCACGCGATTTCGAAGCTATTCAAAAGAAAAGCGTTGATTTGGTAGGCCCGATCCAGATCTCATCGTTTAACAAACTCAATACCAAATCTTTAGATGAACTAGCCCTCGATTCCAGGCCGATACCACCGTCTTGTTATCATCAGATATGTCGATAACGCATAGGGACGTTTCCGTGACTCTAGAGGCCGTGACACCACCGTCTGCGTCGAGCGACGTTGGGAAACTGAAGAACTTTTACTGGTCTTCCCAGAAAGAACCGCATGCTATCCGTCGTCACGCGATCCTTAGGGACCATCCAGAGGTGAAAAAGCTCATGGGCCATGAGCCTCTCACTAAATACATCGTTTTGGGCGTGGTCTTGTTGCAATGCACGGTCGCATATTTGCTAAGAAACACGCATCCTTTGAGTGTCAAATTTTGGGTGTGTGCGTACGTGATTGGCGCAACGGCCAATCAGAACATTTTCCTAGCGATTCACGAACTGTCGCATAACCTTGCGTTCCGCAACCCATGGCACAACAAGTTGTTTTCCGTGTTTACTAACACACCTATTGGAATTCCTTATGCGGCGTCGTTCGCGCCTTATCACCAATTGCACCATAAGTTCTTGGGCGACGAAGTCCTGGATACGGACATCCCAACGCGTTTCGAAGCAGTTTTCCTCTCGAGTGTCTTGGGTAAAGCGTTTTTCGCTACTTTCCAAATCTTCTTCTATGCCCTCCGCCCCATGTTCGTAACTTCGATCCCAATGTCACCTTTGCATTTGATCAACGTCGTTTACCAGTTTTTGTTTGATTTCGTGTGGATTCGCAGTTTTGGGATAAACTCGTTCATGTATTTTCTCATTTCGTCTTTCCTGGCCGGTTCTTTACACCCATGTTCGGGTCATTTCATTGCAGAACACTATTTGCTAAACTTGGAAGAGGCGATAGCCGGTGGAAAGCTCGCACTCCACCGTACACCTGGAGAAACCGAGAAAATAACCTGCACCGACGAGACTGAAGTGAAAAGGCCCGACGTCTCGTTCAAACGCGATTATGCGCTCGAGACCTTCTCTTACTACGGAATTCTCAATTTGTTCACGTGGAACGTCGGTCTCCACAACGAACACCACGATTTCCCCTTTGTTGCATGGTCTAAACTTTGGGAGTTGAACAGACTTTGTCCTGAATACTATCAACATTTGCCTAAACACGAGTCCTGGTGCAAAGTATTGTGGGATTTCGTGTTTACAGAAGACGTGACCTTATACAACAGAGTCAAAAGGGTCAACAAGAACATGCTCGAGTGACCGGCACGCATGAAGCATCTTACAAAAACACTTTCATACATTAAAAAATTTACCTTTATATCCTGTTTTCTTTATGGCATACATAAACATCATCACCAAACATTTCATTCCTTAAAGAAATATGTACTTGATGAAACCAAAGAGACTGAGCGTGAAAATCGCCAGAAAGAATGTGTGCAGGCAGAACGCATCGAAAGACGTCATCAAATAGAATGGTAAATGGATATAGTACATCCAATATATGCTTTCCGCGAAGTCACTTATTCTTTCTGCGAAACTTCCAGTACTAAGTTGATCATCCGTAGGCTGATAGGTCATTGTTCCCATACCTACTTTGCGCTGTTTGACATCTCGGACGGAGTTCATAACGGCTTTGTTTCTCTTGATGTTTTCCTTGATAGATCAGGGTTGTTAACATGTTGAAACTGAATTTTTCAAAATAGTCGAGGCAGACAACTAGTCAAGAAACCAAACATCGACGAAAGAGTAGGGCATTTGACCAACCTCGCCGAAGTTCGACGCTCTTGGATTTGCTTTGAACGTGCTAAATAGTCTGATTTTAAATTAGATCGTTATTTGATAGTTGGCGGGTTTCACGATTTGATGTTTTGTCGCAGCATGATGGGTACCATTGGTGAGCCTCATGTTGATGTTATGCTTGTTGTGAATGGAAATTTGATTAACCCTTAAACTTGCCAAAAAATGACTTTCTCTTGCTCGAAACATCGTTAGAACTGGCATTTTCTTTCCGCAAAGTGTCAAGATCAAGAGATTTTCTCGCTCTACCAAAGGATTTGCGCGTATCTGAAGACACATGGGGTTTTCGCTGATGTTGCTGCTGCGTGGTTTTGTAGCGTTGCAATGAGACGTCTGGCGAGGGAGATGACGAAAAATCCACTTCTTGGTATTTCAAGTCCAGTGATCTCCTTTTCGGTGCCATAGATTCGACCCCAGATGAGCTCGTCTTTTGCACTACGTTGTCTTTGGCCAGATTAGCACGGTTCGTCCCGGTGACTCTTGCGCTCCCGCTTTGCCGGTTTTTACTTTGGTCTCGTAGGTCCATGGATATACTTTCGCTGGACGCAACGCTGGACGTGACGCTTTGCTGAGATATACTGGTCTCATCGTCTTTGGCTGGATCCTTAGGAGGCGGTGACAAGTTCAATTGGTCAAACGTGAGATCAAGTTTTTGTCGCTGCTCATGTTTTTTAGCAGGCGAAATGTCTATTAAAACTTCATCTTTTTCGCTCTGGGCAGCAACTGGCGCAGCCTGGGTTTCTATATTAGGCGTTTGGTATGCATACTGAGAGGCTGGTGTTTGGTAAAATTGGTTGTTGTACGTTTCATTTGCACGGGTCGCGGACTGTGCCGCTTGCCTTGGCTGCATCGGTTGCCCGGGCTGAGCAGATTGAGCTTGTTGCACAGGTTGTAACTGTGGTGCTGGAGCAGTACTGGCAGTTTGGTAGTATTGATAGTAATTGGGGTTAATATCTTGACTGGCTGGCATAGGGGCTTTCGACTTGGTATTACTAGAAGCAAGCGCCTCCTGGGGATGATGATGCACTGAAACGTTTGCCATGTTATTCGATTCGACCGCTGGCTGGTTCCACGTCTCTGGATCGAATTGTCTTTGTTCGGGTACGGGATGCGAAATGGTTTGCATATCATTTGCTCGAGTAAAGAATTCGGGGTCCTGCTGAATGAACGGGAAGGGATTTGTGGACTTGTGATGCTTGATGGAGTTGACAGATCTTGCAGTGGCTTCTCTTGTCATGTTTACCGAGACAGTCGATTGTTGAGTGCTTTGGCCCTGCTGATGTACGTTGGTGTCCTCGGGTGCTTTAGTTGCTGAAGCTGAAGCTGGAGCTACTTCAGTTGGAAGATCAATGCGGCTCGAAGAATGCGAACTGAGGTCACCGCTACTACCATTGGCGTAATAGCCATGCGAGGAACTTTTCCTTTGAGTGTCATTCGGTCTCAAGTAGGATTCTAAATCTTCAACAGACGGGAATTGTTGTTGAACAACGGTTATGTCTTCCTCACCTCCGCTTTCAACAGAACCACCACCAACTTCATCCTTTCTTTGCGAAGGCATGCTGGAAGTAGTATCTGTAACGCTAGAGCTAGATTGGCCCATGAATGCGGGTTGTTTAGGAGCAACTTCGAAGCAATTAATAAAAAAATCATCGGATATCGAGGCAGCTTGGTTGGCGTCGTTGGACGCAAACATCTGATATTGGATGCGCTGTAATTTTTCTTGATATTTTGAGTATCTTTCAAAGTCGTAAGGTCCCATATTGTACTTGTCCTCGAGCGGGATATCCACTTTCAATATTGAGCAAAGGTGATACAAAGTTTGGTAGATGTTGGGTCTCAAATTGGGGTTTTCCGACAGCATTATGATAATAAGGTTTATAATTTTGGAAGAGTAATTGTTGGATGGAAATTCGTACTTGGAATGCAATATGGCGAATTGTCCCGTGAGCTCAAACGGCGTGGTATAAAAAAGAAGCTTGTACAGAAAAATGCCCAATGCCCAAATGTCAGATTTTTCGTTGATCGGTAAACACCGATACAAGTCTATCATCTCTGGTGATCTATACTGAGGAGTTGTGTGCACGTAGATGTTGTTGGTCAACATCGCGATTTCTCGGTGAGTTGTTGCCACCGGGAAACATTGTGAAGTGGACCCAAAATCGCATAATTTGAAATTATGTTGGGAATCTACCAAAACGTTTTCAATCTTAATATCACGATGAATCAAAGGTGTAGACAGATAGTGCATTTCCGCCACTGCGCGTGTGATATCGAACATAATCTTGAGAATTTCCGATTCGCTCAGTTTTGTCGCAAGCCGTTGATTCATATAATCCAGAAGCGAGTTGTTCGGGCATAGTTCCATGAGAAGAAGTACCTCGAAGCCCTGAGGACCCTCACGTGCCCTAGACGCATGTGAATCATAATAATGGACGATATTCTGCGCATTGGCCAATTTCTTCATCACATTGACCTCGTTACGCATCTCATTTAATCCATTCTCATCCACAACGAAAACTCTTTTCAAACAGGCCAGATCGCCCGGCTTCAGTGACGTGGCCGACGTGTACTCGAGTTCATTGACAACTTCTAAGAACTTTACAATGTAAATGTGTGCGAATCCGCCCTCCGCCAGGTATTGGATGACTTCAACTTTATGATTCCCCACTGTAACTTGTGCTCCGGTTTTCAATTTTTCGAGACCCGGAGCTGAACTACTACGACTCGTAGCTCGTGCAGATGCATTCTCTCTATCAGTTGAGCCGGACTTGGACATATTCCGCCCCTTTTATAGATGTTATTCACTGTCTTTTTCCTGAAGTTCTAGTTTCAAAAGGGGGGAACCCTCTGCTGGAAAGTGACGAACAATTAGAAGTCGAGATCGCTTGAAACGGCATACGCTGTAACAGTGAGTAAGTTATGAGTATTAGATCATAGAATTGAGCCTCTAAAAGGCTTTCATAAGTCCAAAACGTCCCTTAGTAGTGCTTCCATCTCTGCAAATGTGTAGGGAACATATATGCTTTCAACGCCTGACCGGTCTTTTGAAATCACTGTCATTTTGTGCTCAATGAATTCGCGTAACATTGTTCGTAAAGAGATCTCATTCGACGCGATGAATTCCGCTGCGCACATGTGGTAAAATTGCTTGAACTCTATGCCGTGCGGATTGGAGCCACGCGTCGTTGCTTGGGTTTTTTTGTGGGATTTCATAGAGGCCAGTTGATTTTCGATCAATAGTTTGAACATGCGTTTAGAGTTTACCGTGAGCGATTCAAGCACGTAGCGAGCACCCTCGGCACCAGTACCTTGATCGCTGCGACCAATTTTCATGGCATCCCCGAAAGAGGTTTCAATTGCGTAGTTCTCGTAATTTGTCACGTCGTGGAAAACAAAATTGTAGTTTTGGGTGCGGACGTGGTCCCACAGCAGCGGCGCGTGGATGTGGTCCGCCGATGCTACGAGCGCGATTTGGCGGACGCGAGACACAAAGCTCAGGATGTTTTGGAACACATCTTTGCGCAACGCAGGGCCGTCGATATTGTGGACTAATAATATAAGTCTCACATCCAGTGGCATGTCCTGGTACACTTCAATCATTTTATTCATTTGCAATTCGACGTGATTGCTCCAGTATTTGGTCTCCGTTTTGCTCAATTCTTGCGGCAGCATGATCTGGGAAATGGAGTGGAAAACGTCTCTGTAATTACAAGTAGGGTTGTAGCCGTTAACTATCACGCAGGGCACGCCTTCGAAGGTCGAATTCGCTGAAGATTCTTGTACTTCGGGGAGCTGAAGAGCCAGTTTTCGAGACAAGAATTTCAATGCAAAATCTTCGAGCAATTGTTTCTTGGACCCAACGCCGTAAAACAGTAACGAGAAACCTTGCGTAAGCTCGAACCAAAACTGCGGGAACATAGTTTCTTGAATTTCGCGTAATTTGGCCTTTCGAGATCGGTGCAAGACCGAGTTCAACACTGAAGTGATGAGAGAATACTGCTGTCGCGTGACCATAGGCGCCATGGCCATGGAATGAGTCGATTTTTTGCTCTTTCTGATAGGTTTTTTCTGATCGATGTATCCTTCGAATCCATCGAAAAAATACGTTAAGTGCCGCTCTGGTGGTGCTTGATAATCGTTTTCCGTAGGGAGACGTGTCGGTACGAAATTTTTGTTCAATGTGATTTTGAAAGGTGACTGTGTTAGAATGGGCTTAGAGGGGGATTTGGAAGGAGATGCGAAAACCCGAGGTGTCTTGACAGGCGATTCATCAAGCTTAAAATCGGTGTCTTCAATTTTGGGGACAGCACTATGTTCTTCGTCGTCTTCTAACTCATCCTCCAACTCCAGTTTCACCTTCTTGGGTCTTCCCCGTCGTTTCGGTGTCTCTGGACTGCGACGTTTCGTTGGAGTTTTCTCCAATTCATCCCGCACCGTTTCCATCCTTTCGACACCGCTCGAACGCTGTCGTTTATGCGGAGAACGAGATCCAGCTCGCCCGGTGCCCTTGTAATTAGCCGGTTTGTCATTATTCACACGGAAACTGTTTCCAGCCCGTCTTGATCCATTTTGGGTTGTTTGAAGCCCCCTCTTTAAGTCCACATGCGAAACAATATCCTGCGAATACTCTAAATTTCCATCTGGGGCCTCTGACATCACTTTTTAGGTGGATTTGCGCACGCAATGGCTCGAGAGTTCAAGTGGGATTGGCGGTGTCTTGTTATGTTTAACTGTCAAAATCGAGAAATGAAAAATTTAGCCAGAGAGAACCTGCGATGAGGTAGATCAGATAGATCGGAGAACGCCGCCGTACACGCAAAATGCTCTCGTTTTGTCCCAATTGTCACAACATGTTACTCGTATCCCAAATGGACAATGGGGTTTACTCATTGCAATGTCCCTCGTGTCCCTACGTGTTCGCTATCGATGGAATAGAGGTGTACGATCGGAAACAACTGCCAAGGAAAGAAGTGGACGATGTCCTGGGAGGTGGTTGGGATAACGTGGACCAAACCGCAGTGCAATGTCCGAATTACGATGAATGTGCTGGTGAGAGAGCGTATTTCTTTCAGTTGCAAATCCGGTCTGCTGACGAGCCCATGACGACTTTCTACAAATGTTGTAACTGCGGTAACAGATGGAGGGAGAACTAATCTGGGACTGGCAGAGCTGGCACGATCCGAAAATGACTCTGAGACGAAAGACATGTACATTAGGGCCCTGATATACGTAACTACATACTGTAAGTGGATGGATCTAGGCCCACGTGACGGCACACATACACATGTGTCAAGGCTGCTCTTGGGCTAAACCCACTCGACTGGGTTTTCGAGCACCTTGACCAAGGCCTCCTCTCTGGAGCCCGGCTCCGGATGGTGATCATACAGCCAGCACGCGGTAACGGGCAAACTCATTAGAATGGATTCAGTACGAGACCCCGGAGTACGGAGCCCGAATTGAGTGCCTCGGTCCAAGACCAAGTTGAACTCAACGTAACGACCACGACGGATTAACTGCCACTGTTTTTCTTCCTCTGTGAAGGGCATATCCTTGCGACGGGCCACGATGGGCAAATACGAAGGCAAAAAGGCGTCAAAACAGTCTTCGACAAGCGCAAGGATCTCTTGAGGGTCGCGATCGTCCATATCGTCGAAGAAGATGCCTCCGACACCACGGGTTTCGTTACGATGCTTGATGAAGAAATACTCATCGCACCATTTTTTATATTTTGGATACAACGTCGCATCGTGTTTGTCGAGCGCTTGCTTATGTTGTTCGTGGAACAGACGCGCGTCTTCTTCGTACAAATATGACGGCGTGAGATCGGCACCACCGCCAAACCACCAAGCCTGTGGTGACCCATCTGGGTTCCAGGTCTCGAAGTAGCGATAGTTGAGATGGGTCGTGGGAGCATGTGGGTTGTGCGGATGGATCACCATACTGAGCCCACAGGCAAAGAACTTGACACCCGCGGCGTCAGGGAGCCCCGTTGCTGGGTCCACTGGCAAGTGCAAGTTCTTGTGTTCGTGACGCATGGCAGTTATCGCCTGCGGCGATAACTGGCCGTACACTACAGAAACGTTGACACCACCCTTTTCGAAAGTGGTACCGTTCTGGATCACCATCGAAGTACCGCCACCGCCGTCGTTACCACGCGTCCAGGAGTCTGCGCGGAACTTGACCGTGTCGAGGCTTTCGAGGCCCTGTGTGATTTCTTGTTGTTTGCGACGGATCAAGTTTTCCATCTGTTGCCGGATGGGCAAGCGTGCTGGATCTTGGGGAGCTGGCATGTTGGGTGTGGTGGGTGCCGCGCAAGAGCTCGATTTGGAGCTGGAAGGTGGCACCATGGCGCTTTTATATGTTTAGAGTAACGCGAGGTCTGGTACGCTACAGCTCGTATGTTGTTCCACGGTAACGGTCTTGTACGACACGGATGCAGGAGCCTAACCTAATGTGGGCGTGTGATAATGTGGGAGCGTTGCAGCGTTACCAGTGGGTTGTCAGTGCGTTGTTCTTGCTAAACGAGGCGAACCGTATGATTTTTTCTTGGAGTCATTGTCGATTTTTTCCTGACACATACTTACCAGAGGGTGATACGAGGCGAAAGTAATACGAGAGGTGGCGCGAGGGCAGAGAATGGCGGTGGTGGGGTCCAAGTTTGCGGTTTCAGAAAGGGGTGAAGTTTTCGTAGCCGCGGAGTGGCGGCGGTCACGTGACGTGCGCCGCCCGCGGTCTATGCTCAATTCTCGTACGTACAGTTCTATGTGTGGGGTCCCTGTGTCTAAATGCTGAGGGCGGCAGCGCCTGCTGCTGGTGCTACCGCCGTAAGTGCGTCTTGAAGTGCTGAACGCAGTTATCGTGCCGACTGAACCGCTGCCCGCAGCCTTCATATGGGCACACGTGATTCTTTTCGCCCGTGTGGATCCGGTTGTGGCGCGCGAGATGGCCGCTGGTGGTGAAGCCCTTGCTGCAGGTCTTGCACAGATACCTGCGCCGTTGTTCTATGGGCACAGAGACGGCCGCGCCTCCGGCGCTGCCGGGACTGCCTGCGGCCGACACTGAGTGCGCGCGGGCCTTGCGCGCTGCGCGCGCGACTGAGTGCCGCTGCAGCGCCCCGAAGGCGCCTGTGCCGTTGTGATCGCCTGCGGTCTGCTCTGGGGCCGACGCGGGCGGCGAGGGCGGCGGCAGCAGCCGCGCCGGGTGCGCCGCGTAAGAGCCGGCGTCGGCCGGCACGTCGGCCGTAGCACCGGCCGTAGCACCGGCCGGAGCGGCGGCTCTAGCCGCGGCCGCGGCGCCCGCGGCGCTGCCGAACGCGCACCGGTCCAGCTCCCGCTTGAGCACTGCTTCCGCGGAAAGCTGCGGCTGCAGTGCGTACGTAAGCTGTGGCGCCGGCAGAAGCACGTGGTTGCCGCGCGCGCCGTGCAGCGCGATGCAGCGGTGGCCCGCGGTCGCCGGCGCGGGGCCCGCGAGGGCGCTGCTGCCGTGGCGCGAGTCCGGGAAAGTCAGCGTGGCGAGCATGTGGTGTTGGTGGGGGTGTATGGGCGTGAGAGCAGATTCTCAAGATTCGATGGTCGCCCAGGCCATTGTCTGGCCAATATATACTGCCACGGGCCCACGCCAAGACCGGTCCGAGACCCTCCGAGGCCCGCGGCCTCTTGGCAGGCTGGGTGCAGCACAGACGGGCCGAGCGGGCGTAGCGGCCGAAGCGGCCGCTGCGAGCGCTGCGAGCACAGCGCGCTGTAGCGGGAGTGCAACGGAGGGGGCAAGGAGATACGCGGTCGGGTTTGGTTGCTGCGGGTCCGCCTGCGCGCACCACGTGGCGTTTCTTTTAGCAGACCCGGTTGAGGCATTTTTACGCACGCCAAGAGAACCCTGAAGACCCTTAGGTAATGGAAGCGGCCAGGGTTCAAACCCGGGCAGCCAAGCAGCACGGGCCGGGAGGCTTGGCGCGTTGCGAGATTAGTAATGGGATGGCAAGCGTGGAGGCAGGGCGGTGCGGAGACGTGGCTACCGGGCCGAGGCTGTGTGCTGGGTGCCAGTAAAGCCGCTCGGGCCCGGGCTACGTGGTCCGGGATCCGGAAAATCACGCGCGCCGTTGGACGCATATGCGCTCCGGGACCTCTGGGAGGTTTTTTATTTTTGTGGCTGTTGCCACAAAAATAGACCCAGCTCCGCTCCGCCTTCTTTGACCCCGGTTGAAACGGGATCGTACCAGGGATCGTATCTGGGACCCTTCGCAGAGCGGCCAGGAGAAAAATGAAAGCCGGGACACCCGTCGCACGTGACACCCAGACTCCGCGAAGACTCGGTGCTGTAATGATGATATTGACTAGGTTGGATTCTGAGCGGGTAGCGCAGTCAACTGGCTAACAGTAGCTGTTCCGATTCTTCGAAGAGTGCGACCGGACGTTTCTTGAGATGCCGTTGGTTTCACCGCAGCAGAGAGACTTGTTCTTTCGTGATCGTCTGATTCCAAAGTATCGTTCACAAGTAAATCGCGATAGCAAGAAACACGTGGTGGAAGGAAAGACGCGAAAGAGACGCGTAAATACTCTTATTCTCGACAAAATACCTTGTCAAAGAATCGCCCATGTAAGCTGTACTTCTAAAAGCTTTTTACGGTCGGATTCGTCCCTAGTGACAGACGGGACTTCTCTTCAGGCCCGTTTTTGTAGAGCTGGCTTCCCTCATACTACTGCTGCAATGAATCAAAGCATAATTACCATACTTATACCAACACCGGGGCTGCTTCTTTCATCTCCTCTCAGTTTCCAAAGTCCGAACGAGTCCGATGGAATTGAGAGAGGACATAAACGTATATAGAATACGTAGAAGCTAAAAACCAACAAAATGCCCGAACTACTTGATCCGTTGATAGTTATTTCTTTGGCCGGACCTGGGAGCGGGTAATTATCTACGGAAAAGGGGTAGTGTCGCTTATATAATCATATCTCGCTCGATACGAAAGTGCCCCCTTTGTCATCGCTATGCACGAACATCGCTTCCATTCTTCAAGCTTCCCTCTGTTTTGGTCTCTCTTGAAGTCTCCAGATTAAACGCTCCGCTACTCGCTCGCCCATGGACACCGGCGCCAATGCCCAGGCTAGAATCCGTTTCAAACGGCTGAACCAGGTCTGGAACCGTGCCCTCCAGCAGTCCGTCCACAAGATCCAAAACTGGGACAAAATCGTGTCTTGTTTCCCCGCGTACGCGTCCACAGAGGTCGGTAGCAGTAACCTTGCCAACTGTCAAAAACAAGCCGTGGAGTTCTGGATGCAGTTGTGTCGCTACGAGTTCGAGGAAATCTGCCGCGAACGCGACGTCGAAACCAAGCTCAACGACCTCGACGACCTCGTCGATCGAGCCAAGACCACGCTTCAGTCCACCGATAAAGACACTCCCCGGATCTGCATCGACCAACTGGACCCACACGAGCTTGTCGACGGTAATTTGAATTGGATCCGTCGCAGGAGTCTCGATGAGCTCTCTGATCGTATCCTCAAGCTGGAAGCCGTCAACGAAACACTTACGCAGGAACTGCAAGAGACTCAAACCGCCATCTCGCAACAGTTGAGTCAACTCGATCGCATTTTCGACACCCATCTCGGCTCTGAGAACCAGGGTGTAGACGATACTTTGCGCCAGGGCCTCTTGGATCTGTTACTAGAGCGGAAAGAAGGACAAGATCCGCAATTGTGATCTAATTTACATGTTTGCCATTCCAATCTACATAATTCTTAACTATCCAGCAATACATTTGTAGCCTCTTCCAGGTCCCAGTTGCACTGCTTGAGAGCCTTCGTCGCCTCTTCTTCCGTAAACCCCATACCACTCAATTCTTCTATGGCCAGAGATTTTGGAGTTGTGGCAATGGCACGTTTAACGGGCGGTTGTGTTAGTTTCGATTCTGGCTTGCTGGCTACCGGCTGTTGTAATTCCATCGCTGACTCGCCATGGTCCGTCGCACTTGGTACGGAACCTGCAGGGGGTCCATTTCCAAAACCCGCAAATATTTCGTCCCATTCATCGTTGCTGATCCTTGCGTTTTCATTCTGAGGCGAAAATGCTCCAGGGTTCGTCGCGTGTGGACCGGCTTCCATGGCCACCTCACTCCCAGTGAAACCCGTTTGTTGTAATTCGTCGTCCAAATCTTTATGCTCAATCTTTTCAAAACCCTCTGCAGAATCTGGGTTTTCCAATTTATCCGCCAAATCTTCTTCTTCCTCAGGAGCAGCTGTCTCCAAGCCCGCAAATTCATCGTCGAAAGCTGAGCTTGGTTTCGCCGCTGTTGCCATTTGACCCTCATCTGGTATGACTTGAACAGCTTCCAGAGTAGTATGGCTGACAGAATGGCCCTGTGCCTCAGGACGGGGGCCCCAGGCAGCCACACCAGCCTCTTTCGGTGCTTTCGCAGCATGGGATTGACCCAGCTCATCTTTCGAGTCCTGGAACTCATCATCTGACTCTGTAGAATCACTCTCGTTCAAATCTAATTCTTGAATGGGAGGAAATTCTTGATCAATATTCCTCGAAGTTACTTCGGTTTCGACAGGATTTTCGACCGCTTCAGGTGTTTCCTTTTCTGTTACAGTCTCTTCGTGATTACCAATGTCGCTACTTGTAGCTGCAGAAGTAGGAGCGACCGCCTCAGTTTGAGTATTGGACCACCCGCCTGGAATACGTTTCTCTGTTTTTTCGTTGGCAAGCGCCTGTTGGGGTACGGCTTCACTATCGTCACGGACCGACTGCGGTGGGTTGTTGAATACCGACGAAGTCACCGAGTCCGTGCGAGGAATCCCGTATTCGTTTAGGTCTCCATCAAATCTGTCAGCAAGCGCTTCAGCTGCACTCTCTTCATCATGACGCGTCTCATTCTCATCAATTTCAGTCTGAGAGCCATACGTTGGGAAATCCTTGTCGAAAACGTCAGAGCCCTGCTTGTCTTCCTCATCCTGAGAGCCCAACTTTGAGTTAGTCACGGCCTCGTCAACGTATTTCGTAATGTGATCGTCGACTTTCGAGGAATGCTGGCTTGCTTGAGGAATTTCGCCCATTGCTAATTTCATTTGATTCTCAGAGAGCTCCTGAACCTTCTTGGCATACTCCATGTGTTGTTGTTGCAACTGTTCTTCAGCTTGTGATAGCGAGTCTCTCTGTTTGTTAAGATCATCAAACATCTGTTGTAGCCTAGCTACCTGCTGATGGTAAATGGTTTCCTGTTCTCCAATCTGTTTCGTGCGTTGTTGGAGTTCTTCTTCCCGTCTAGTAACTTCCTGGTGTTTCCCCTCAACCTCTTGGTGCCGAGCGTTAAGAGAACCATGCTGTTCCTCCAAGTTGCGCTTATAATCATCTAGTTCCTTGTGCTTGGTCATAAATACAGCTAGTTGCTCTCCCAGGCCCTGTATCTCAGATTGCATGTTTGCAACTGTCAGCTGGCTAACGTCCAACTGCTTGCTATTGACATCCACCATCGATCTCTCTTGTTTGACCTTTTGCTGTTTCTCACCTAACTCCGTTTGCAAGCTAGCCGCTAGAGCATTCACGCTTCCTATTTTCTCTTTCAGTTGCGCGTTGGCTGTTTCCGACTCTTCGAGTTCTTGCTGAAGAGTCGTCAAGTTGCGGCTCACGGTATTGTAATTGGCTTCCACCAAAGCAAGTTGGCTTTTAAGCTGTTCAACTTCATTGCGAGATCTATTCAGCGTGTTCTCCACTTCATCCGTCTGCTGAACTTCCTTTTCATATGAAGCCCGAAGTGCGACCATCTTTGACTGAATCGACGACTTCAAATCATTGACCCGTTGCAACTCTTGCTGCGCTCTTGACTTTTTTTCGTTGACCATAGTGGCTTGGTTGGTTAATGACCCAACCTGATTAGAGAGATTAGCAAGGTCGGTAGTTGCCTGTGAAAGTTGAAGAGAAGCGTCTCCCTCAGAGTACAAATCTCTTTTAACGTTGGGTTGCGGTAAGGAAACAGATGCAAAGTTAGGGACGTTAGGTAGGGTAGAATGGGAGCTGAAGTGAGATGGGGTTGTTTCCGGCTTCGCAGGAGTGGGAGCAGGTGAGTGGATACCGGAATTAGAAAAATGAGGCACGCTACGCGACGCATGCTCTTGGGGGAAAGGAACCTGTTGTTGCTGTGGTGGCGCCTGACCACTTGTTTGAAATTGTTGAGGCTCTTCTTCTTTGATAACACTTTGGCCAAAAGCAGAAGATGGTTTAAAGTGTCGTAGTCCAGTAGTTGACGATGACAACTGCGGTTGTTGGTGTTGATCGCCAGCTTGAATACCTAGCGAAGATGGATTCAAACCTTGAGAAGTAGGTTGAGGCGAAGAGAAAGACGCGTTCAAAGCCATGAGATCCCCTAGTGTGCTCTGGCTTTGTAACGGTTTTTGATCAACATGCGTATCAGAAAATGAAGGTTTCGTGTCCCTTGATGGTATCGAAGGTTGAGCATGAGGAACTGGTGCTTGAATGCTTTGGCCAGTGGGCTGGTTGCTTTCGTAAAGCCCAAGCGCTGGAGAATGGAGGAGCTGGTCGGGAACCACATCTGGTAGCTCTATACCGCTGTTTTTCTTCTGGATCAGAAACATGGCGATTGCAAATTCGAGTTTCGAGAATTCGGCGCTGTTGTGGATATCGGCCAAGTCCCAAACGGCAGCTAAAGTATCCTGATTAAGACGGGAAGACAGAAAAAAGGGCACCAAGACTTGCGAGCCCAATGTCCCTCTACTCTGCTTGTCAAGAGAGTCGAAAATGGCGTCAAATTGTTTTCTCTTGTCATAAGTGAGGGTCCAATCGGAGGCCGCGTTAGAGAAAGTACCCGAGGAAACACGCGCTATAGAAGGATTTCTAGTCACTGAGGACCCGGCAGAAATTCCAGTGGAATTAACGCTCAAAGTTTGTGCTGTTGGTGCAGCGTTGGCCAAATCCACCGAATTCCACATGTAAGCAGGCAATGAGTTTGGAATCGCAAGGTTGCCACCCGCTCCGATAGCGGTTTGAATGAGATGCATTGCCATCACAAACTCGGTCTTATCTAACGACCCGCTATTGTTTCTGTCGCACAGGGCCCAGATGGAACCCAGAGTAGGCGTGGACAATTTGGCCTTGAGAAATACTTCTTTCGCTTTGTCACCAGCCAAAACGGGCGCACCATTCGCAAATCTGTCAAACAATTGAGAAAACTTAGAAACGTCGTGCGCTGATACAGGTGGGATCGAAGAACTTCCCGTGGTTGCATTGGCCGAATTACTCGAAAAATTCGAACTCAGTGCGGGACGAGCACTTGGCGGTGATGAAAATTGTGGTTGCGCACCAAAACTAGGTAATCTACCGGCTGGTGCTTGGTAGAGGTCTTCCGAAACGGGTTGCGAGGGATTGATTTGCAAATGACCGATTGATCGCATAGCAGCGCTGAACTGCATCAAATTGAGAAACCCTTGGTTTGAAGTGTCACAGATCGACCAGATCTGCGACAGTGCTTGTGGGCTGAGTCCTGATTGCCCAAACAAACTTTTAACCGATTCGCCGGTCACTATGCCTAGATCTTCCGGGTCATATTTCTTGAACTCCTGTTCGTAAAACTGCTGCTCTTCCGGCGTGAGAGGTATCCGCAGTTCTATCGACGGCATTGTAGATTGGAATAACGCGCTTAATAGTCGGTCAACTGGTGGGTCCTCTGCTGTTGTTGGCAGGTGTTCGGGGGTGGTGGTAGTCCTTGGGATGAGTTGTTAATCTTAAAAGACAATAGGGGCGAATATAGATTGAATGCTGTCGTTCAAAGCGACCGCTTGCTCCGAACACTCACATGATTTGAGTACGACATCTTTGCCGTCAGACGACCGACTTAAGCGTTCTCGAGGCGGCTTCGATGGTCTACACAGCTACTCAAATGTATCTGTCCCGTCCTCAAAAAGACCCCATACCAGCCGTAAGTGATTCTGTCATTTGGATCACGTGATCGAAAAGAGTCTCCGCGTAACTCCTGTGATTATCAAGCTTTTAATATCCTCTTTGGGGTCTCATGTGTACTGAAAGCTGTTTCGATTGATTTTCACGTTGTTTAAGTCAAGCCTTTTCATGCTCATTGGGAAATCAACTTTTTTCACATCTGAATGTTGAGAGATGTTTCAACATATAAAAACGAAAATCCCACAAGGCGGCAATTCTTAGCTCGTGACCAGGTCGATTGTCGTTAGTTTACGTATCCTATATGCGCTTTTGATGAAGCCGTGCTCGTTCTACCATTTTATTCCGACGTTTTCAGGACTATCACAACGAGTTGATTTTTGACCCATTCCTCGATCCCCTTCTCACACTTTCTGAGTCACTCCCCGACTCATTCCCGGATGCGCTCCCAGACCCAATCCCTGAGTCACACTTCTAGCCACACTTCGAGTCATTCTACTACTCTCCTCGTATATTTCCAGAACCTTCCAAGGACCGCAACCCCGGGTAAACGCAAACGCAAGGGTTATATATAAGAGTCGAAGGGACAACCTGGGGATTTCATCTTGATTGGGAGCCAAATTCAAGAGTAATTCTGGAGTGTTTCTGTTACCAATTAAACACACAAGAGTCTTCGTCTCGAAAGTCTCTGCGTTTCTGGTTACAAGTTTTTACTGCACATAAATAGCATATTCAGCATGTCCGACTGGGAATCTACCACAATCATTGGTCAAAAAGCCAGAGCTGGAGGATCCGGACCAAGACAGCAGGTGGCACGCACGCAGGGTCAAATTAACGCTGCTAGGAGGTCTGGGCTCGTTCTTTCTGTCGACAAGAAATACTCTACTTCTAATGCCAAGGCCAACAACGAAGGTCAACGTCTCACAATGGTTGACCGTGAAACAGATATTGTGGTGCCCAAGAAACTAGATTCCAACGTCGGCAAGGCCATTTCTCGCGCCCGTGGCGAGAAAAAGCTGACACAGAAGGATCTGGCCACCAAGATCAACGAAAAGCCTACCGTTGTCAATGACTACGAGGCTGGGCGTGCTATCCCCAATCAACAAGTCCTTGGAAAGCTGGAACGTGCTCTAGGTGTCAAGCTGAGGGGTAAAAACATTGGGGAGCCCTTGGGCCCAAAGAAAAAGGCCTAATCTCTGAGGCTTTTTCGTCATAGTCATGAGGTATGTTCTCACGTTACTTCTGCGAGAACAAGACCAGCCAATAATATCACGTCTGTTTTTAAGTTTTAGTTAACGATTTTACTATCAGCTGCTGCTCGCGACAGCATCAATTAAGTATCCGTAAATGACCCTGTATGTAACGTTTGAACGCCGTTTTATCTCGTTGTTATCATTATTCATCATGGTAATATTTTCAACTTTCTTTTAGAACTCATCGGAAATTAAAAAAACACTGTATATCAACACTTGGGAATTAAAAGACATCAAAATTTGAGTTCAGATTTTCCGTCATGGCCACGCTCCACTTTACACCAGTTCATGAAACCAGCGAAGTTTTCTCCATCTCGAACCAAGCTCTGAAGCTTACTACAACGGAAGATATTGAACCGCATCTCAAAGAATTGGAAAAGTTTTCGAAGGTAACTAAGCTTGACGTTTCTGGTAACACTATTGGCATTGAGGCGTCGCGTTCGTTGGCAGAGTTTATTCAAAGCCATCCTTCCGTGAAGAACAACCTGATCGAGATCAATTTCGCAGATCTGTACACTTCTCGCCTTGTCGATGAAGTGGTCGAATCTTTGAACATTTTCGTTCCGGTGCTTTTGGAGTGTCAAAACTTGTCTATAGTTAATCTGTCGGACAATGCTTTTGGACTCAGAACGATTGACAGCTTGGAACATTACATCGCGAACGCTGTTCAATTGCAACATTTGATCTTGTCCAACAACGGCATGGGACCGTTTGCTGGTGAACGCATCGGTAAGGCTCTTTTTAGGCTAGCACAGCAGAAGAAGAAACAGAAGAAACCCTTTTTGGAAACTTTTATCTGTGGCAGAAACAGACTTGAGAACGGATCTGCTCCGCTCTTGGCCGTTGGGTTGAAGGCACATGCCGATGGACTTAAGGTGGTCAAACTCTATCAAAATGGAATTAGACCTAGCGGTGTGGCGATCTTGATTCGCTATGGTTTCAGTTTCAATCCTAACCTTGAAATTTTGGACTTGCAAGACAACACTTTTACAACTGGCGCTTCTACGGTTCTTGCAGATGCTTTACCAGTATGGAAAGAAACGCTTTTGGAATTGAATCTGAACGATTGTTTGCTGAAGGGCTCTGGATCTGATGCGGTCTGTAAAGTTTTCAATGAAACTGCGTTCAAAGAACTTCGGGTTTTGAGACTACAATACAATGAACTCACGCAAGATACTCTATTATCCGAGATTATGCCTGCCTTAGAAAATGGCAATTTACCTTCTTTGAGATTGCTCGAACTTAACGGTAATAGACTCGAAGAAGGTTCCGACGCCTTGACGGACTTAGAGCAGCTTTTTGAGGGCGAGCTAGATGAGCTTGATGATTTGGAGGAAGTTGACAGCGATGAAAGTGAAGAAGAAGAAGAAGAAGCGCAAGAAACTGAGAAACTTGTTGAAATTGATATCGCGGCCCTTGAAAAGACTCTATCGGAGTTGCGGGTCGACGAAATTACCGAGGAATTAGAAAAAACTCATATATAACACGCTCATCATCTTGAATTGGTAACGCCAACGGCTGCCATTTCATGACAATCTAAACGCTCTTTGCAACTCGGCAATCTCCAAATCCTTTTTACACCACAGGTTTTCCAACCAATTTTCGAGCTTCCGGTCCCGCATGCTTGTTAACCTGGACAACGGATATTTCGAGATATTTGCTCGAATGATGATAGGGGATACGGAACTGCCAAAGCTGAGCATTTGTAAAATGGAAGGTGTGATTTGCTGTAATTGGTAATGAAATGGTTCTTTCTGAGATACAGGACGCTCATGTATGTGTAAGCGTGAATGCTGGGAGGGTTCCGGTATCTGTGCACGATAATAAACTATAGTAACGTCCCAAATAAATTGGTCAAAATGGATAGTATGGCCAGGTGGAGGCTTGGTGAGTTCATTATCGATATGGGCGGCGTCGGCAGCGTTCGAGCCTAAATACAAATTATAATCTGGACTTTGGCCCGCATGTTCCCACTTATCGTTGAACTTCCGCGCTTTTGACAATGCCATATCCACACCTGTAGCGACTTTGGAGAGGTAGTACTTCCTTCTGGATCTCGAAACGTTTTGCAATTGAGCAAAGCTTTTAACCACGGAAACAAAATTGCGAAATCGCGGGTACAATACGTTATCGAGTCTGGGTAAAAACTGGTTATGTGCCAATTTTCTTTGCACGATCCGGACTTCTGGTGTTAAAATGTTCACCTCGGGGAAAACCGCGAAGACGTGATTCCCACGGCTTTGAAGAAAACTAGTAATTGTGGCGCTCGGTAAGCTAACATTCTCATCGTTCAGAAATAAGCTTTTGAAGAACGAAAGTGTCGGTAAAGCAATAATTTTTCCCCAGGTGAGAAATCTGACATGCGGCGTTGGTGGACGCAGTTTCGGGTTTCTGATTCTGTCTAGCAAAAGTTTTCTCGCGCCAACAAGACTCCCGCTCCCTGAAAGCACGAGAAACTGGATCAAAAGATAGTCGACGACGGATCGATGGTTGGAGATTATTAAACTTGTTTTGGATTCGCCCTTTTCTGTGGCCAAGTCCATTTTGTCGCCAGTCACAACCAATTCTACGTTATCGTTCATTAACGCGATTTCAATCAGGGACAGATTGAATACTAACCCCAAGAATTCCTCAATTTCCAGCATCGCGGGTTTTAATTTCTCATTCATGAAACTGGCTTTCCGGTTCAAATTGCATGCCAAGAAAGATCCAATTATTGGGACCCTTACAGAAATTTTGAGCCCCAGGTTGAAAATGGATTTGACGACCCCGTTGGCTAAACCCCCACAAACGATGCTCGTCTGGATACTCCATGCTTCGTAAATCAATAAAAATCTCAAAACCGACAAAACTTGAATTACGAGCTTGATTAGATGCCCACAATTGCAATAATCAAACTCCTTCAAATTGCCCCAAAAATGCAACCGAAACGTAGTCCACAGCGATCTAATCATTATTGTGACTTGTCAGAAATAAAGCTTTGATCTTGTTACAAAGAGTGGCTCATATGAGGTAAGTATTAATTTAACAGCGTCGCGACACGCACTGCCTAAGCTGTAAACAAGTTGATAATTAAGAATTCAGCGAAACAAGGCTCCTGTTGTATGAGAATAAGACCGTCATTGAGCGATGATTCTAACTTGGAAAGGCTCGAGCCTTCGGTTGAAGTCTATCTTGGATTGGTCTTTAGTTGGTCAACTGTCCCAGCTCGAAAATCATGAAAAATTTCAGATGAGATGAGACAGATATGGAAATAACACCGACAAATGAGCATTGTGGGAAGACAAGTTGCGGGGTTGACGTCAATATCGATGCTTGGAATCCGTAGTATTAACTCCGGGTTCCGTTTGGGCCGTCCATGTATTCATACCTTGAGTTATGGGAGTGTAAGTATTATTAGACCAGTAAGTGTGAAAAGCTTGCAAGGTACCAGACAAATATCATCTAAGCCATCAAGATTGAGCCAGATTTCGAACAAATGGAAGCTCAAAACACCTCCACCTGGGGGTGTAACGGGGGATGTAAATACGGCTTTGAAACCTCCGGAACCGGATTATTTCCATGGGTCTTACCATTGGGATTATGAACGTATTAGTGCCATTTCGCTAATTCCGTTGGCCGTAGTGCCTGTTTGGAGTGCATTTGCAGGTGGAGTCCCACATCCTATTTTGGACGCGACTTTGAGCAGTATGTTGATCATACACGTTCAACAAGGTTTGACAAGCTGTATAATAGATTACATCCCAATGCGGAAATTTGGACCTTGGCATAAGCTCGCCATGTTGGGACTTTATACTGGATCTGCTCTTGGGATTTATGGTATTTACGTTTTGGAAACGGAAAATAATGGCCTGATAGATCTGATTGGAAGGCTTTGGAAACCAGATGAGTCCAACTTGTATATATTTGGTACGCCGTGAGGCTGTAATTATGAAAACAAAATCTTCAATACCTAGAGGCTCCCATCTTGGCAAGGGCATCTGCTCTTTCATTACCCTCGTCGCCAGCATGACCACGAACCCAATCGACTTTGAATTTGTTACTGCCGTCTTGTTCGCGACCGTTAACATCGTAAAATTTCTTGACTTTGGAAAACTTCTTGACAAGCGGTACAATCAAGTCACTGTTCGGAAGAGAAGCCAGTTTCTGCTCATCGTAGCCTGCGTAACGGTCATTCAACAGTTTGGCAACGTACTCAGAGTCTGTTTTGATTTGATATTTGACACATTGGTCCTTTTCAGACAAGTTCTGCCATATTTGGTCAAGTGCATGCGAAACCGCCTGAATTTCTGCTCTATTATTTGTAGGAGCCCCACTTCTCAAGGGCTCAGATATGTTTTCGTGCTCACTGCCTTCGAAATAGACACCATATCCAGCTTTAGAGGAATTGGTTCCATTGCCAAATGCAGATCCATCGCAGTAAACGTTGCGGTTCTCAAGTTCGTTTCGATGCCAATCCTTGGTCCCATAAGTTTCCCTGAAATCTTGGTCCGACATACCGACAAATCTTCCATCGTCCTTGACCAATCCGTCGACAAAGGCCTCGGCGTCGGCTTTAGTGTCGAACTTTTGATAAGAAAGACCACTTCTGCCGCGAACGAAGTTTTTACAATCCTCCCAGGAATCAAATATTTCGCTTCTAACGCTCGGATTGGAGCTCCTCACACCGTAATATCTTCGTCCAGATCCGGTTCTGTCTCGCCTCTCGTCCCAGCCGTAATTCGTCCTTTTATAGCTGTTGTCTCTATCTCCAAATGACGATGAGCTCCTATAACTAGAATCGCAACTGTCCCTCTCGTATTGTACTGGTCTGCGGAATGAACTACCATGAATACGATGCGGTGGACCACCTGAACCTCCTGCAAACCCCCGAGCCTCATCATAAGTATTGAATTTCTTGTATCTTGCGCCTGGATAACCATTAACTTCGGCTTTACATTCATCCCAGGAATTGAAAACTCCTGTTGAGCGACCCCGCTGTACAGCATAGTAATAACGGGCCATAGTGACTACCTTGGTTCGCCCGAGTCCCTTCAACACTCAAATTGGACCAGAAACGGCTTTAACTCTAAACCAAAATATCCAGAAACTGGGTACCGATAAGTTTCAAAAATTTCGTTATTTCGAACAAGTCAACAACACTTGGTTACTTATACGAACGGCACCAATGATCATCGAATCGATGGATCGGTTCTCGATAATAATATTACAATTGCGCTTAACTTTACAATTAGATAGCTAGAATTGCATCAAATCACCTGCAATTTATTACGTTGAAATTGAGCTCTTTAGCGCTTCAAAATCGTCCATCCTGTCCAGACTGGCTTTCGGACACAATGCGTTTCTATGTCACCAGTTTTGTTGAGACTGGTATTGTGAGATTGCTCCAAAGGCCAGCACGTCTCAGCAACTTTGTCAAAGCTGTGCGTTGCATCTGTATGTTTTTTCAGTGGGCTCAGTGACGCCCGGAAGAAAACGTTTGAACGAATTTCTCGGCCAGCAGACGTTTCTGGCTAGCTTCACGAGCTTTTAGTGTGTCGGTAACGAATTCGTAATTGCCCTTGGCAAGACAAATTCGCAATAAAATATCTTGGGTGGCAGCCATTATTTCGAGAGGATCATTGTCAGCTTTAGTAATTTCATCGTCCAATTGTTTCCGCTTTTGTTTGGACCAATTCGCATGAAATGTTTTTCTTCTGGCAACTGTGTTTGCTCTAGTGCTTTTCACCCGAATCGACCGTTTATCAGGTTCAATATCACTTGCCAGTCTTAGGTATTTTTCGTATTCAGGGTCCAGCCTTTTGACCTCTTCGATTAATTCTTGGTCCAGTTTATCGTAAAATATGGGTATTATTAGCAAACGCTGGTAGTGATGGCTTTTCAGCTTGCTTAGGGATGGTCCCTCTCCATTGTTGTGAAAAAACTCAACGCACAAAATTCTGAGCCATTCGAATACCGTGTCGATTTCAATTTGAGTCAATGCTCTTCCAAAACCGGTAGACGTTTTATAACTTGTCTTTGCAGCATCTAAAGCGTTGAACCATATCGATTTTTCTTGACGTTTGATCTCCCAAAGTGCCTGGGTATCCAAAAGACTCGGTAAAAGGAGATCGTCCGCTGCTTTCAAGACAAGTTGCCAGGCTTCTAGCATGATTTTGAATAACAAATCACGCGACAAATTCACTGCGAGTATGGCAAGGTTCGAATTCAAATAGTCGAAAAGCGGTACAATCGCATCATACACAATCGCTTTATCAGGTTTAACATTTCCTGCGTTTCCACAAATGGTTTTCAGGGTGGAATGCGAAAAGGCAAAGTCAATGAAAGTAGTGAATTGGTTCACAACCAGATGCACAGAGTGTTCGCTAGCTCTTTCCAAAGTTCTATAAGCACGGCCCATGCAGAACAAAGCATCCAGCTGCTCCGTTTCCATTGAAATGGCTAGCTTTAGATCGCCGTGAGTATCGAATGTCAAACAAAGTTCTTCGGGCAGACCGTCGCCCTTGGAATTATTCGAATCCAATGAGAGAAAGCATCTGCCTAAAGTCTTGGAAGATGACAAGTCCTCATTTGACCTATAACCCCAAAGAGTGACACTTATTAATTTGGACTCACCATGGGGTAACGCCAATTCAAATTCCTCATTCCAAGTGGGATGCGTGCTGCTTGTAACAATTCTCGTTTTGGCTATTTCCTTCTTCTTATTCATGTCCACAAAGCTTACAGCACAATTCAGCGGTTTCCCAGAGGACGATGGCCGTAAACCTTTGGCTCCAACAACATTCACGGTATACAAATGACACAGGCCACGAGATAGGCCTGCCAAAATTCTCTTGCTTTTGGAGCCGGCTTGCTCCGTCTCATTGACAATCTTCGAGATTTTCTGTAAATCAATTTTATCCTCTAGCTTACTAACAAGCTTCGTCATTTCATCAGCGTCACTAAGACATGTGCAAACTTTCCTGCTATAAACAAATGGCAGCGGTAATACCATTTCTGAAGATTTCAGGGCACTTTTCATTTCATTAAAAATCCAAGTAGTTTTCATTTTGTTGGCCGCTGACGCAGAGAAAAACGCGATACTAGATTGCTGCTTTTGATCGTCGACGTTTTCTTTGTCTGAAAGTGCCTGCAGTTCATTGACCTCCTGCCTCAAGTTTTGCAAGACCCTTGAAGAATACAGTGCTAGCGCATCGGCAATTGATTTGAAAAGGAATGTAAAAATCTTTGCTATCTGGTAGGAATTATTCCACTTAAAACCTTCAAAAACGTCAATAGACTCAGATATCATCTTGAAAACGTCAATGACAGAAGCACTGTAGTTTCGCTCTGCGCTAATAGGTCTCCACTCTTCGTTTTCAATTGAGTTTTGAACAACAGCCATAATTCTATCACAAGTGTCATCACAGATCGCAGACAGATATTTCACGAAAAACCTTTCTAGTTTAAAGGGGAATTTCTTTGATGGCTGAACTTGCTTGTAGACGTCGCGAAGTTCTGCAAGTTGTTTGTACGTTTCTAAGGCGTCGAGTGCTTTGAAAGCCTTCATCTCACCAGCATTAGAGTAATGGTCGGCGCATGTTAACATAGTGGAGCAATCAGCGCCAAAAGCCGCAATCAGGAATATAGCGACTTCATGTGCAAGATTGATTTCATCCAAAAGAGGGCGGCTGTACCGCTTTTGAATTTCTTTGACTTCTTGCAAAATTCGATACGCAACATCACTGACGTGGGATATGTCAATATTCTTATTCCTGGGGACGCTATCCAGAAGCGATACATAAAAGGATTCAGTTGCTTTGAACAGGGCTTTTCTCAGAAGTTTCATAGCCAAATTTAAATCACCAACTTGTGAGAACATGGGATCAGCTAGTAGCGAGCCATGGAAAACTTGCAGAACAGGGGAGAATTTTGGGCGTGGAATCTCGTGCAATCTGGAAATTAATTCCAAGAGAGAGTTGATGCATTGATGAAAAGTAATTTCAAGATTCGAGGCCCACGTTCTCTGGTCCAGCTCAGTCCATAATAGCGTATTACAGTCCTGATCAGTTTTCAAGACTCGAGTAATTACGGTTCTGTAGAACACGCCGTAAAGAGTTGGGTCGAGAGTCTCACCCTGTAATACCTCCAAGTTAGCAGCACAGTAAACCAGAGATGCCTTTGAAGATTGCAAGTTCACTCTCCAATACAAAGCGCATTTTGTCAAAAAAAAGAGACCGTCGTTACTCACAGTGAAATCGACAAGAGCTTCTTTCGACTCTCTTATTTCTTGCTTGAAGATCAAATGTGCCAAATAGACAAATAAACTGCGACTTTTCGCTGGTATGATGGGGTATTTGGTTGTTTGGTGGTGTGATTCAAAAGTTTGGCCCTTTGAGCTCTTAAGTTTCGCTATGAGCTGATCCAAGTCCTCTAATTCAGAAGCTTGCCAGGATGAAAAGGAAGATTGCGAGGTAAATAATCGAGCAAAATGTGGATCGCTAGAGATCAATCGTTGTTTGTAAAGGGTTATTTCTGCCAAAAGAGCTTCATTTGACACGGATGCGGCCAAATCATCGATAGTTCGTTGAAACTTGTCTTCCGCGATGCCAAGCAATTTCTGGAGGTACGTGGCATGTGTGATTTTGCTGATATTGAAGTCCGGCTTTATTAAATTAGGTCGCTGACTACCGGGACTCGAAGTCCTATATGGCACAGCCGATGAGCTCTTAAACGCGACTTTATATTCGCGCAGTCTAGCATCTAATTTAGAAGAGGAAGCTTTACTTTCTGCGGCTAGTTTGGACAATAAATCAATAAAATACGAGACCTGCTTGAAAACTTCTTCTTGACCATCTGAAATACCTAGTTTCGAAAGCTCACCACTCACAACTCTGGAAAATCGCAAGATCAGTTCTTCTATGCTCTGAATATCCGAATTCGAACTTCTCCCACTGCTGTCCAAATACAAATCATTGTACAGTTTCAGCAAAGATCTTCGTAAATTAGAGCTTGCAGGCCTGACTTCATGCATTACAACTTTCCGTAGATATGTTCCAAGCGCTGGTGACAGTCGTTTCATCAATCTCGATTCCGCACCGGCCGACATAGTCTCATCGCCTCCAAACCATGAAGTTCTTTTATTGATCTTACGTCCAGATTTTGAAAGTGCTTCTGAGACTCCGGGAGATCGCTGTCGTTCAAGTCTTGGCTCCGGTGCTGTGTTTCTAAATCTTGGTTCATTAATGTATTCCAACAATAATATCTGTATGCAGTGGATCAAAACAGTACTATGGTCACCCATCAAGGAGCGTGCTTCGTTGAGGTGCTCATGGTCAAATCTCTTAACAGAACTGGGATATCGAGTTGGCTGATTATCCACTGAGTCGTTGTTCATTCGATCTGTTTTCTTGAAGATCATTAATAAAGTTTCTGGTTTCAAATGGTCAACCCATTCTTCTTAAAATATATGTACATAATAATGATACAGGAGCGAGACAAACCCACTTTTGAAGCTCCAATTCTTGTCTCGTAGATTCAAACGAACCATGGATGAACTTACGATTCGTTTCCTGGTGAACTTGCCAAATCCGACGGTTTTTCGTTCGGCGGAGTATCGTCAACTTTGATTAAATGCTTAGAAAGCACTTTATTCATTGCGAACATGGACACTTTCGGTCCAAAAATCTGGCTCATTGCATCGTCACATATTATCTCACGACGGTCTTCAGGGTTTTGCAAATCATGTTCCTTTATGTGGTCCCAAACTTTCTTGACGACCTGGGTTCTGGCAAGTTGCTTCTCGCCTAAGAATTGTTGCAATTCGGGACTTAATTGTAGTTTTCTCTGAGCTAAAGAGTTGTTATTGCTAGAATCGGACTGTCTCGTTCGTTTCTTCACCTTCTTCGGCTTACCAGATTCGCTTCGGGCCCTTTTGGATCCTTCTTTCAACCTATTCTGTAAATCACGGGCTTGGGCAGCATCTCGTTTCAGAAGCTCTGCTTGCGAAATCTGAAGACGATCGTCCTGCATTTTATTAAACCTTTCGATTATCAGCATATTGACCTTCTTTCTCTGGGTTTCAAGGTTTGTTGCAAACAATTCCTGTAACGCTTTGCGTATTCGTTTCGCCGACACTTCGTCAGGATTGGAAACGCTCAAGATGGCCTTCTTGAAAGTTAGAATAGGTACCAAAACGCGGTGAATCAATCCTACAAAGTTAACTTACGTCAATCATGGGTACATATTCGGACATATCTGCCATTTTTGAACCGTCCCTCATATTACTTGTAGCAGGTTTTCTATATTGTCAAATTACAAGAACCCTTCTGCATAGAACACTAAGGCATTAGAGTAGCGAAACCGAAGGAACACCAAAACGCTTGGAAAAATGCTGGTCAAATTAATAAATTCTTTACTAATATACACTATAAGATGCAACAGGGTCGCTTTTATTTGTTCTCTTTCAGATTTCTCTTATGCTGCAATTCGTTTTTCTTGATGAGCATTTTCCTTTCCGTTCTGCTCAACGTACGTGGATCAATCAGTTCATCACCCTCCTTCTTGTTTTTGCTCTCATCAACTTCTACCAGCCACTGGTCGTCCAGTTTCTTGTTAGCACCTTTAAAGCCCCATTTGGGTACCCATTTGCCGGTAGCTTCGTCAAACACCATTTTGCCAGACTTTTCCTTAGACTTAATACCCTTCTTGGCAGCAAACAGCTCCCATTTCGTAGGTGGTTTGGGTTTTGGAAGCGGCTTTTCCCTGGGAAGTTCACTCGTGGGCTCAGGAAGCTGTACAAGTGTCATGGAAGAGCCTTGTCCACTTGAACCATTTGAATCCGTAGTTGTCCTCAATGGTAGCGAAAGAATTTGATTTATCATCAGTTGCACATTGTCACGGACGATACTTTGGATGTTTTGCTCTCTCTGGGCGTTAGATGAGTCCAATTCGTTTGCATCTAGTGTGTTCGAATCAAAAACAGCCAAATTGCCTAAATCGAAAGTGACTGGGATGGGTTTTTCAACAACTACTGGTAAATACTTGGCTTTCTCTGCGGCACTGGACATGACGACTAAAAGCTGCTTTCTTGTAGGAGGACTAAATGAATCTATCTCTCCAATGGGCATCGCATCGCAGGCTTTCATATTTCAATTTTTGAAAATTTTTAGACCGTTCTACGAAGACTTCGTCTGAAAAGTGAATGTCTTTTCGAACGGCTCATCGACTTTTCCGTCCGTACCCCGATCTATAACCAATGGACGGAATTCCTTAGGTAGTTTTATGCTCTTTCCCACTGAAGTTTTGCTTCGCCTCTATCAACAGCCTGATTCAACGGTGCCTGTTCCGAAATTAACCTTACAAGTCGAACAGCTTCCGCACTATTCGACTACCTTTAGGATTCTCATCGTATCTCCAATGTTCTCGAACAACTTGCTTAGTGTAGTACCTTGACGACGAGTAGAGCTGTAAAATATCGAAATGATCACCGAATTCCCGCTCACCGCTCTTCATAAACTCTAATTCTCGTTTGAGAAGTCGTTCGCCTCCACACAGGATCTTCAGATAATTCATCAGGATAGAGGTGTATATGGCGACCAGCTTCACCGTGAAACTGTTCATCATGCTGATGAAAACTGGAAGCTCGCTAAAAATTTCGAGTTGCAACTTCTTGAAATGGTCACTCAAGATTTTGGTCTTGATGTCCCTGTCCTGGTGGCTTCTCAAATGGGCGAGGTATTCCCTCTTCAGCGTCTTGAGATTTTGTAATCTGGTTCGCACCACGGAGCACAGTTTGGCTACTCTGTCCAAAGGCGTTAAAATTCGTATTTTGAGATCCTGGAGTTTTAGAAGCCCTAATTCTTGGCGCTGTTGACAAAGCTTCTCGATATATGTCGCACTCACAGACATCACGCTAGGATCCAACGGTAGCAATGCGCTCTGGGGTTCGAAATCCATTACTTGACTCCAGACTCTGGCTTGCGCGAGATTAGCATTGGTCAAGCTGACGAAATCAAAATCTGAAAACCGATCGATAAGGAGTGTGACATGCTTATCGATAAGCTTGAACCGATCGACCAACTCATTCAGTGTTACTTCATTAAGGAAATCACATTCTTCTCTATCACGAGGCAATGGCCAACTTGACTCTCTATCGCGCCCACTAATTGTTGTTGTATCCGAATATCGACTTGAGGATTTTGAAACCGAGCTAAAGGCGGACACGGAAGACGCCGAATTGCTAGGCGGTCTCAAAGTACAGGACGTAGAAGGTAGAACCAAGGTCTCTTTGCTGTCATTGATCAGCGCTTCGTCAATTTCGCGAGCAAAAGCCTGATATCGACCTCGTACAACACTGAGTCGTGCCGTCCTCTCCGGCGGTATTAGACCCTCTCCACATTCTATAATATTGGTGATCAGGACAAGCAGTTGATGTGGCCTTTCAAGTGGCATTTGGAATATTGTTTCTAGCTCCGCAAAGTCAGCCTTTTCCAGACATTCAGAGTACCATTTATAATATATCAAGGATTTCGAAAGCTTTAAATTACTGAGCAGGTCCATTTGCTTGTAGAAGCTTATGACGTAGCTCAAATAAGAAGATTTCATTTTGTTCAAGTACGTTTCCAAGAACGAAGAAGCGTCGAGTTGTTTTACAGTGCTCAAATCGGTAGCCTGAGAAGCCAGGTCTGTTTGAAAACTGAGTCCCCCTAAATCATGCGCTCGGCGTTCAAAGGATTTGACAAAATTTTGCCCGATCTCTGAGATGGTTCCTATGTTTCCAAAGAGCAAAAGTTCATCGCACGTGCCCTTCCGTAAGAGTTTGTTGGTGAACTTTTTATTGTGATGCATTTCACGCCGATATACCATATCTGTCTTGCTGAGACAATCTGAGAAATTACGCTCAGAATCGACCACCGCACGCAAGGATTCAAAATAGGCGACCACTTTCAAATCTTCAATTGCTAGAGTTCCCGTAAGCTGCTCTTGTCCTTGGCTGTAATTTGAACATCGATTTCCAACAGGTTGGCCGGTCGTGCTTAGATTTACTGTATCGTCCTCGTTTGTGCTCGCTGAAGGTTTCTCGAGATTTGGCGCATCTCTAGTCTCCTGATTTTTTGTTTGCAGCGTTCTAATGCCATTTTTGTATTCTATTTCCGATCCCCATAAAGACGCAGCATATGGGTTTATATTACCTAAATGTTGCTGCTCTGCAGTAGATCCCGCCTCCCCTCCGGTTATTCCCGTATTAGGGAAGTATCCTCGAGACGACTCTCGTATTGGCGTCATGTCGCTTGCTGTGGGATAATTTAATTGATATCTGTCGTAGGGAATTTTGAACATCGACATTTCACTGTATTTCAAACAAGCTCTGGAACATTCTCGAGATTCATTTCCTGTTTTACAGATCTTAAATCCATGTATCAGGCTAGGGCTTTTATACTCCAAATTTTTTATCCAGCGTCAGATTTGTCTCAAACTGATAAAACATCTACTAGAGATAATTATCGAAGATCATCATCAAAGATCATACCCGACGGCTCCAAAGTTCCCTTACCTATAAATTCTGCAACAACTCTGAAACGATCCCTGGAGTTTTGCTTACTGGCAAGCCCAATCTCTAGCAGTTGAGTGTTTCTCTTCACTTCCTCTCTATTGGCTATCAATCCCTCTGTTGTTTTTAAGTTAACGACGCAAATTGGACATCTGTATAGTTTGTCACCCTCTTCTAAGGAAGTCTCTTCGTTCAGGCAATTCTGATGAAAAATGTGCCCGCATTTGAAGTAAACTAGAGGCAGATTTATTACAGTTTGGCACAAATTGCATATTTTGTCTTTCATTTGTATTTTGGACTGACCTTCGTCTGCTTCGCTGAGTTGGGCCAGAATACCTCGTTTTTCTGCCAGATCAGCTTTATAGGATTCTATAAGCTTCTCATTGTTTTTGATTTCTTGGTTTTCTTGCTGAATATGGGTTATAAGTAGATCCTTAACCAGGCTCATGGTGGCAACGGAAGTAGATGCCAAAATTTGAAGAATTTCCAGGATCGGAATCAAATTTAGCTCAAGGACTTTGTCCAAGATTTTCTGCCTGTAGACAGTTTCTCCTCCAATTCCCTGGAAGACAGACTTGGACGAAATGAAGTGGTAAAGCGCCATAACATATAGCGACGGTTCTTTATCCCCATATTTTTCCAAAAAAAACATGCAGTATTGTGGGCTACGACTAAGTAGATTTGATCTGAAAGTATCGGCAAAATTCATTGTCTCATCGAACTCTAGTTCAAACTCACCTTCGTCATCTGATGTGGAATTTTGTCGGAGCGATAACTGATTAACATGCGATATAAGCTTCATGAGCGAGTTATCAACGCCCGACGTAGCCCTTAATTTGTCACCGCCTTGTAAAATCTTGGAATCCGAAACCAACTTTTGACTTTCTTTGAAGACCTTTGATGCTTTTTCTTTCCATTCTTTTTGTCTCTCTTCTTTGTCTTCTAAAGTCAGTGACAAGTACGTATCATAAAGCGTCGTTAAAACAACTTGCTTGTCATTTGGCAGGGCATCAAATTTGTTGTAACTTTCGAGACAGGCTTCTAAAAAGACAACGAACTCAAACGAATGTCCTATGAAAGATGGGAAGATAAGAGCGGGTTTTGGGGGCTGATAAGTCGATGGATGATCTACCTCTGGGCCATTAACATCTCCAGAGGATGAAAGCATGCCTCTAACGAAGGTGCTGTAACTGTAAAAAACGTCTTTGACTAAATCATCACTCGAACATTCCTTGTGATTGCTGTCATTATAAGCGTTCGGCTTGTATCGGCCCGTGAAAAGCTCAATGAGTAGTGCATTGGTATCGTTCGGCAAAACCTGTAGAAGATGTTTCGAGTATTTGATCAAAACCCTTAGAGCGTCATCGACCGCCAAACTTTTGACGTAGAGAAGAGCCCGATGTGCATCACGGAGATTACCCAGAACAGTTTCCACGACCACGATAGGATCTTTTGAAAATTTCCTAGCTAGCTTGTAAGACTCGTTAAGTAAGTTTGATTCAGTCAACATTCTCAAGACAAGGTCCAGATCAAATAAAATTTTATCCGAGAAAAAATAGGCATCGTCATTTGTATTCCAGCTGCTTTCGGGTTCGGCTTCATCCATTAATTTACCATTTCGACTAAAATGTGAAATGAAGTCTTCAATAGAATCTTCATCCTTCAGTTTAATCAAGCATATCAGGTACAGCGTGACATGATCAGGATTGCCAAGATTGCGCCTAATGACAGCTTTTAGATAGCGCGAGAGATTTCGCACATCGCTAATACTTGTCGTGTTCTCTGTTCCAAATTTGGCGATCACTTCACTAATTTCTGTTATTGGAATACATTGAATATACTGATCAACAGAAGCAGACCTCGATCCGTTTTCGTAGAGATGACCAGCGTATTCCTTTCTGATGCTTTGCATTTTCGTTTCATCTATGTCCTGCTGTTTTGCTAGCTCCAACGCTATCTCGTAAAGCTGTTTTTGTTCTAAGATGTGTAGTTTCTCATCGACAGACTTTTCTTGCAGCTTGTAAAGTTCTCCATTTGAGCTGAGTATATAGAGCGACGTTATTCCACCTACTTCACCGGTGAAGACATCTAGAACATTCCCCGAGATCAAAGTTGTCATAGTGACAAACTTATTTCGGACATCAAGCACCAAGGCGCGGTTATTGGAAGACACTAAGCCATCAATATTCAAAGCGGCACTGTTTGGTGCCTCTGTCCCACTGATAACTAGCAATCGGCTTTGATCAATCACTTGAATTCTTCTCCGCAGAGGAATATCGACAACCAGTGAGCGTCTTTCCCCGTTTGGTTTATAAAATTCGAGGGACTCGGACGTAGCGCACACAAGCTCTGTATCATCGAAATTCAAAGAGCTGCAATTTAGGTCTACTCCAGATTTCGAGTTTAAAACCGTCTCAGGCAAGCCGTTGTTGCGACCATTCGTTGCGAGTACAAAAATCGACGAAGTTGTGGACGCAAAGCAGATATTTGACGTGGAATCGAGATAAAGTGACGTTATGGGCTCTTTATTGGAATCTTCGTAAATGACTCGTTGCTTTGAACCTCGATCACGCAATAAATCCCCTCTAACCAGAATAATTCGACCATTTGCGAACCCGATGACAAGACACGTCGCATCCTGAGATATCGAAACGGCAGAAATGGGGAACGTATTTTTCTCGTTCTTAATTTCAATGGCAGCATGGAAATCAAACGCATCCCTGGGACACTTGTCCAGCTTCCAGAGCTTTATGACAGAGGGTGATCCCAGATTTTCTCCGACACTGACCAGAAAGTTTTCAGATATCGCGTACAGGTACGAAATTTGAAACTCGTCAGCGTAAGCAGTGAATTGGTATTTCAGTTTCAATTCTCCGAGACCAATGATCTTTATCACTTTCGACTGAACAGCTATAACGAGCTTATTAGGACCCAAAGACGCTGCTGCTGAAATTGTAGGGTCGGAGTAAAGAAGCGAGCTTGTACCCGTCTGAGGATCCTTAATTGGGGTAACATCGTAAAATTGAAATTGTCTCCATGAACTAAACGACATAAATCGATTTGAATACCTTCTATATGGCTAACGTTATAGTTCTTGAACCATCTAAAGAGAAGTTACATCAATCTATGAAGCGTGACGTGCGTTCAAAGTGATAGTTGATATACTTTACAAGACTCTGCTAAGCTCTGCTTGACTACCGATGAAGATCCGTTGGAGTTTCTGGCCGGTTAACGGTCAAAATCTCGAGCTATTTCTTATTATTTATATAACGCCGCTGCTTGTCCAAGAATGTCTTAACAACTCAATGCTACTAGGTCTTTTCTGGTAATTTAGCTCAAAGGTCTTGAGCAGAAAATCTCTTGCATCTTCTGTTGCCCAAGTTGGCAGTTCTGGTATTGTGTTGGTGCCGATCTTGAAAATCGCTTGCATTTGCGAAAAGTCCGGGAATGGATGTTTCCCGGTGAACATTTCGACAATGACACAACCGACGGACCAGATGTCGGCCTTTTCTGTAGTGACCACTTGTTTGACGACTTCTGGTGCCATCCAATAGACAGAACCTTGCAATGAAGCTCTCTTATTTTGTTGTTGATTCAATGGTGAAAGCTTCTTTGAGATTCCGAAATCGGTGATTTTCACTTTGCCCTTGATATCAATCAGAATATTTGCACCTTTGATGTCTCTGTGAATAATGTTTTTACGGTGTAAGTAACCCAATCCTATTAGTATTTGTCTTGAAAAGTTTTTGATCAAGGGCTCTTCGAAAGGACCATAGCTGTTCAGCATCGATGACACTGACCCTCCTGGAACATATTCCAGAAAAATGTTCAAATTACCGCCCTCCTGAGAAGACCCAAAATATGTTACAATGTTTTCGTGATGAAGTTCCTTCAACAGGCCCATCTCATGCTGTAGAGCGTCGACCATTTTTCTATGCACTTGAGAATTTTTAGCCGCAGCAACGTTATTACCACCGCTGCCGGATCTTTTGCCCTCATCCGGAACCGATACGCCCGCTGTGATCGCAGTGGGCTGCAGTTCTACCTGCTTTACTGCCATAAGTTCTCCTGTTTGGGCATTCATTCCTAAATAAACACTTCCGAAACTACCTGCGCCAATTCTGGCTCCCTTCAGCCAGGACTTTGGTGTGGCAATCTTGGTAGGTAAAGATATCATATCGCCGTCTCCGTCGTCAGATTCTTCGCTAGATTCCACACTGTAGAGCTCTATGCGATCGACAGAGGGTATATTCTCGACGCGAGGCGCCGCTTGCTGCGCTTGCTGCCCTGGCTCCGATGGTGAAGACATGTTGAGCGTATCTTCCGCGGTAGTCATCCGTGTCGCATTCGTGTCAGTTCCGCGATTGGTGTCCAGGCTTTCCAACAAGGCCGCGTCAACCGCATTGGCATTATTCACCAAAATTTCTCCTACGTTATTACCCGTAGTAACACGAACATGGCCCTTGATAGTGCTCAAACGCATGGAATGGCGTACCGAGTTTCTGAGGGTCTTCTGAAGTCTTGACATGTCAGCCCGAGGAAAATATTCAGCGAGATTTGTCGAAATAAGCTCACTGGGTGGTCTTTGGCTGAAAATTTGGCGAAGTCCGCCCTTGTTGTTCTCGATGCGTAGGTTTTCGGCTGCTGCGACAGAGCCCGTTTCGCCGGCGTTTACGACATTCCCGACACGGAAATGAGCTCTGGAATTTGGCGTGCTGTTGCTAATCGCGGCAGAAGAGCCCAATTGACTGATAACGCTCAACGTTTTCATATGCAGTTTTTTGGAAGTGAGCACCGCTTTGTCGCTGGGAGTTTGATCCTTGGATACAAATATGAGGCGATTCTTCTCAACCCGGTCGATAGAATGACAGATAGTGACCAGTTCGACGTCGTAGAGCAAATGCAGTACGTTCTTGATGTAGTCTACTACGAAAACGTCGTAATCTGATGAAGTACGCGTTTCTTCACCCTGGGGCGTAATCGCGATGAATTCTCTCGGCAGTTTCTTGATAAGTTTCTTCTTAATCGAATCCGCATTGAAGCACCCGTTTACGTTCACTTTTTTGGCCGATCCGTCATTCAATATGAATATAGCTGAATGTTTGTCGGTCACCAATTCTTCACTCGTGCTCAATTGGCCCACGCTTAACGCTGAAAAATGATTCAATACTTCTTTCATCATGTCCGCATGTTTGGGACCCTTGGCTCGCATTGAATCGGTCTTTTGTAGAATTTTTATTCTGTCGCCGATGCTTGTTATCCCGACTTCTTTCAAGATTTCTTGATCCAAAAACATCACTTCCTCTTGCGACGTTAAACCAAACTCTAGAAACTTGTCTAGATGGTTGCGACACCCCAAATCATCGAGAAAACCCTCAGCATAACTACTTGTAGTGGCCATCTTTCTCCACCTTGTCTTTGTTCTTTATATGTATTTTCGGTCTATCTCAAGAGATTCTTCGTCTCTTAATTTCCTATATCTTCTTGTTGAACTATAGAATATACACAATATGAGTGAAGACAACGAGAAGTTTCACTGGAGAAGAGCTGGTAAGGATGCTGAAGTAGATTTAGAGCGAATCAGGAAACCGCATGCGCCAAAACCGGGTTCAAGCTTGCAAAATGGAGCACCCCTTGCCGTAGGAGGCCATAGGCCCCAAATATCCGAGGAAGAGTTGGCCAGAAGGGCTGAGAGGCAGCGTGATCGAGAGTAAATAGTACAGTTGAGATAGCCAAGAATGCTACGATAACGACATCAAAATTTGAGTTGTTTTGCCTCGATTTAGGCCTTTTTGTTCGAATTCAGGTCATGACGAGATGGGTTATCAAAATACCAAAGGCTCTTGCACCTTCCAGATTATATATGATTATCTTTTAAAGATGGAGTGTTTACGGAATTATTTTATGGGTGACGTTTGTACAGGCGAAGTTTGTATACTCTTTAAAGACTTTAAGAATTGGAAGTGGACGCTGAAGTGGATCAACAACCTTGGCATTTTCATAAATTTTCCGGGTTGACAAACAAGCATTGATATGATTCGGCTTCCTAGACGATATCTTCGCTACGGAGCATTCCTTATTTTTGTAATGCTCTTGATTTCGCTCTACAGGATATCTATAGACATGCGATCAGGTTTGGGAATCAAGCATTTGTTCATAGTTTGGAAAGACGAGAGCCCCGTGAACCTGGAAAAATTACACGCGACACTTGAGACTTTGGATCGACAGCGACAAATAATCACCGGAATTGGACTAGTTTCTTGTTTCCGTCTCGGTCATTTTATCGAATGGTGTCCCATTGAAAGAGCTCTACATCACCATAGTACCAATATGCCGTGTTCTAGAAAGCTGGTGAAAAAGGATATCTCAGGATCTACGACGTTTCTGCGGGGTTTGTCGCCAGTGTCGCAATATTTATACTACGACACGCTTACCGTCGAAGAACTAGATACCTACATCCTGTCTAGGCAGAATACAGGAACTGAGATTCACGTTAGGGCTATGAGGGAGCCCCGAAGCATCCAACTTCGTACCAAAATTCCACAAGACGGACTTCTGATAGAGTTCGATAATCCTTTTGGAGGATGGGATGATGGCCGAGATTACGTTTCCGATATGGACTTACTTTTTGGAGACGATTGCACAGATCCCCGTGAAGGATGGATTCTTCACAAGGGCAGCCCCGTTACTCAAAAAAACGGCGTATTCGTGAGTTCCAAGCAATTCAAAAGTTTGCTCCAAATCGACACGCCGCAATTGACATTCGGATCAAGCAATAAGTTCAAAATCGTTCAACTTGCTGATTTGCACTTGGGTGTCGGTTCGGGTGTTTGTAGAGACGAGTTCCCTGTTCATGAAACCTGCTACGCGGATCCCAAGACCGTTGAATTTATTGGTAAAGTGCTAGACTTCGAAGAGCCTCAATTAGTGGTTTTCACCGGTGACCAAATAATGGGAGAGTTGAGCCGAGAAGATTCAGCCAGCGCTCTTCTTAAGGCTGTTGCACCTGCTATAGAAAGACGTATACCTTATGCTATGGTTTGGGGCAATCATGATGACGAAGGAAGTATGAGTCGACGGGAATTGTCCGAATACGTTAGCCGTCTCCCATACTCTTTATTCCAGATGGGACCTCTTGATAAGAATGACAAAAGTTTTGGGATGGGCAATTACAAACTTAGTATCAAGAATCAAGATGGAGAAGATGCAGCTGCGCTATATTTTTTGGATTCTCACAAATATTCATCCAATGCCAAGATTTATCCCGGTTACGACTGGATCAAAGAAAGCCAATGGATATACATGAGAGACCTAGCGGCCAAGAACTCAGATAATTCTAAGAAACTTAGTATGGCGTTTTTTCACATCCCTATACCTGAATATTTAGACATGTATTCTACCCGCGATGAGGCAGAGAATCCGCTGGTTGGAAATTTCAAAGAGGGAATAACTGCTCCAAAATACAATTCGGGCGGACTGTCGTTCCTCCATGAGATGGGTGTAAGTGCTGTTTCAGTGGGCCATGATCACTGCAATGACTATTGTCTTCTTGATGATTCTATATCATCAAAGCTTGAGGATAAGATTTGGCTATGCTATGGGGGTGGCGCTGGCGAAGGTGGATATGCTGGTTATGGCGGAACCGAGCGCCGTATTAGGATTTTTGAGATAGATAATACCAAGAAAGAGATTTTGACTTGGAAAAGACTCCAAGGATCGCCGGAAGATTTTTTTGATCGCCAGGTCCTTGTCAGCAACAGCGTTCCAAATGCTGCTTGATTTGTAAGATATTTAGATTGAAACAATGAATTGCATTTTCAAAACCCGTCATATGATGCGGGCGTGGAGTTTTTGTCAAGTAAAGCGGCAGAGACTCGCTTACCAACGAGGTGCTCCCGTAGAACAAAAGTCTATGCGGGAGTGAAACATGAAAAACTTTAAGCGCTAGCAGTTTGACAACCAGTAAATAGTATCCCAAGAAAGCGTTAAGTCGCTCTCTATTTTCGATAGAAACCATCTGAGCAGCATTCAGAACCTTCAAGTCAAACGTGCTCTTCCCGGTATTGCTATCAATATACAAAATCGCCAAACCAAAGTCACGGTCGTTAAGAACATCTAATCCAGCAAATATCCCACTTAATTGATCAATTTTACGGGCCTGAACCGCTTGTAAGAAATGCTTTCGATTCAGGAAATCCGAATAAAGCGTTCCATACTCATCGTCATTTTCGCCCGAAAGGCCACCCACTTCGTCGTCGCCGAATGTAACTCTCTCGATCTTGGCCTTCAGGACATTTACGTTTGATGCTTTAATTTGAGACTCTGTAGACACTTGTTCAATGGCCTTTTCATACTCTTGGCGATGCGAAAATACTCTGTTTTTCAGTTTAATTTCGATTTGAGCAGAATAGTCATCCAGTTCGCGCTGCACTTGGCCCATAAATTCAAGTATCTTGTTCAATTTCAAAAGACTATTAAAATTGGAACTTTTTCGCAGGACTAATGTCGATACCGGTTTATTTTCCATGTCAATCTTGAAATGGTCATCGCTTTTGAGCCCATCGCAAGCTACAAAATATCCGTCGGTGAATTCCAAGAGAGGCATATTGATGTGATCCCCAAGGAAGTCTATTTGGTCGACATCAACTGGTTGCAGTTGATTCAGATCAATTGACACAGAGTTCAGCACAACCCACGTCTCATTTTTGTTGGCACTGTTTTTCAGTATATTACGAGGCAGTTCGCCCACTACCTTGATACTGATTCTCGTTAATGCTGAAAAGCTTGGAGGCAGTTCGTTGAACTGGCAAACAAACCCTGGACTCACTTGGATTTCACTGATATAGTGCGCGTGTCCTTTGAGATCCTCAACAATGTAATAACACGGAATGGAATTGAAATCAACTCCTGCTGTTGCTGCTTTTTCCACAAGCGTTACATTTACAATTGAAATCGCTTTCAAATGTCGGAGTCTTCTCTGAACGATAGTTAGTCAAACTGATACTGGGAATCGTACTGAAAGGTGTGTTAAGTACTGCATCATACTGTTAAAAGAAGCATTGTCGTGTCTGAGCAGATGCCATTGGCAAGCTTCTAATGCCTAGTTGACATGTGTTGTATTGGGATTTTTTTTGACAAAATTAAGCTACTTGAGATGGCCTTCAGCCATAAGGCTTTGGATGTATAACAGGCTGCGTAAAGAACATTTCAAGCCAATGTTTTTACCATCACCTGTAAGTGCGTCGTTTGTTTTAGTGGGGGTTTTGTTTCTAGCCGGTGTTTCGGCTCACGGGAGTCACAGCCATCATGAACAAAGCTCTCTGGAAAATATACTTGTGAAATACGCTTTCCCAGGATCTGCGCGCACGAATGCGCTTTTGGCTACTTTATACGTTTCTGTTGCACCAGTAGTTGCTGTACTCGCGATTCCTGGCTTTAGAACTTCCAAACGGAACTCGTTTTTGCCCTTAATGGTGGCCTTGGCTTTCGGAACTCTAATGGGAGACATTCTGCTACACATGCTCCCCGAGATATTTGAAGCTTCGAGCTCAACCAAATTCACTCTTCAGGATCTTACTGACATTATAACTGGTCTGGAATCAAACGACGCTGAGATTTCGGAAATGGAAGCACTTTTCAATGGTCCGCTTCTGAATTTGCAGCATCACGACAAGCAACTTGTATCTAATACTACTCAGCTAGGTGCTCTGATTTTTGCTGGATTTGTACTTTTCATGCTTGTCGATAAGGCAATTAGAATTTTGCACCTGGATCATGACCACGATCATCACCATGAGCGTCACCCTGCGTCGGAAAGAGAAGTGGTAGGTGTTTCTTCCTCTCGGGAAGAGAAAGAGGAGTCAAGCGACGCGATACAGCTGTCCAGAAGGCGCGGGAACGCCAACATCCCAGATGGGCCGACTTTGACCGAAAACAATTGTCACAGCCACGACCGTGACCACGGCCACCACCGGGATTCGCTCAAAACGTCTGCATATTTGAGCTTAGTATCTGGATTTGTACACAATGTCACGGACGGATTCGCATTGGCATCATCTTTTTACAAATCCGATCGTTTCGGAGTAACTACGACAATTGCCATCCTGATGCACGAGCTACCGCATGAACTGGGCGAATCTGCCATTCTTTTGGCGTCCGGTCTCAGTTTCAAAGAGACTCTGAAGTCACAAATCGTCACAACAATAGGAGCTCTTTTAGGAACTGGTCTAGGATGTTTTTTCAACGAAATGGCACTGGCGGACAACCTAGCATACAAGACTATTCCAGAAATCGGTCTACCAATAAAGACAGCAACGCAGAGTTCCTGGATAGCTTCGAGTAACGAAAAAATGCTACCAATTACTGTAGGTGGGTTCATCTACATAGCGGCAGTGGGCATCGCACCAGATCTTTTGCAAACAACTAATGGTTCTAAAGCGAAAGAATTGCAGAAGTTCGTGGCACAGCTTTTTGCCGCTTTGGCGGGGTTCGGAGTCATGGCTTGGATGAGCCAGGAGTGAATAAGGTAGACGATGAGACTCCAATTGACATTTCGTTCGGACAGAGTCATGTGATTGGGGCCCTGATATTTATAACTTACTTTCCCACTCTAGTCATTGTCAGTCATCATATGAAAAGACCACCAAAACCTCAGGAAGAGAGACAGGTAATGGCTAATGTTGCTATCCAACATGATGTCTGCGATATAGCCAGTGGCTCAAAACTTCGGGCTGCGAGATTTGACTTCGACGAAGGCGGTCCTGATGCTGCAATTGAACTATCTGCTCCACGGAGTTGCCAGACAGATTTGGACTATATGGAGGAAGACGACGGACACACGTATCCTGAGGGAGGTCTTGATGCATGGTTAGTCACGTTCGGGTCGTTTTTGGGCATATTTCCGACTTGGGGCCTATATTTCAGTGCAGGCGTCATTCAGACCTATATTGCCAGTAATCAGCTGGCTCAGGTTTCGACGTCTACGATCTCATGGATCTTTTCTTTGTACAATTTTTTCATGCTTGGATCTAGTGTCTTGAGTGGACTTTATTTTGATGTCCACGGCGTCAGAAAACCGGTTTTGCTCGGAAGTGCACTGTTTCTCGCAGGAAGCTTTGTTCTGGGTAATTGCTCAAAAGTCTGGCATTTTCTTCTATGTTTCAGTTGCTTGAACGGGATCGGGACGGGAGTCCTCACTGCTCCGCTTCTCGGCGTGGTGTGCCACTATTTTTCGCGTAAACGGGCCACGGCCACCGCACTCGCGATCAATGGTGGCAGTATTGGCGGGGTAGTGTACCCGCTTTTACTGCGCTCGCTTTACAACAAAATCGGGTACTCCTGGACCATGCGAATAATGGCTTTCATCGCATTGGCTTTGCTCGTGGCCTCTGCTTGTTTAGTGAAAGAAGACGTCTCCAAGTTGGCTCCACCAAGCAATACAACGGCATCGGCCAAACCGCGCGAGAAAACGACCCCACTGTCCTTACTGCGAGACCTGGCGCGCTACATTTTGCAATCGTTCGACCACAAGGCGCTCTCAGATCCACGGTTCTTGTTCTGTACGCTGGGCACATGTTTTGCGGAACTTTCGACGGGTGCGACTTTGACGTATCTGGCATCGTATTGCACTGACGTCGGATACTCCGAGAATGATAGTTTTCTCGTTGTTACAGTTCTGAACGCTCTTTCCATCGCGGGCGGGTATTTCTACGGCTATCTTGCGGATTGTTTTGCGGGCCGTTTCAACGTCATGGTCGTGATCAACGTGTGTTTGGGAATTCTGCCGCTCGCGCTTTGGCTTCCATTCGGCCAGAAAAAAAGTGCCGTGATGCTTGCGTTCGCCGCTCTGTATGGGTTCTTCTACGGGTCCCTGCTGAACCTTGCGCCTGTTTGCTGCGGCCAAATCTGCCGCACCGATCAGTTTGGAACGCGCTACTCTACCATGTATTTTCTCGTGGGTCTCACGTTTCTCGCCGGCATCCCCATTACGGGCGCCATAATCGGCGACGGCACGCTCACCCATTACCGGCGTGCAATAATATTCATTTCCACAATGGCTATTGTCTCGGGCGTTTTTTTCTTCATCAGCAAGGTCTTCTCTGTGAGGTGCTATGCACTCAAAAGCGAGCAACGGCAAACCCATGAGTCGCTTCTGAAATCAAGCTACAAACTCACTATAAAGCGGTTCTGACATTAGAAATCTTACCTACTGTCGCGAGGCTAACGTCCTGAGTCTCGTCCAAACATCATTTACTCAGTTTATACTCGTTCTATACTCATTCAGTACTCATTCAGTACTCATCTTAGTAATCTACTCATTTCCTACCCTTCCGTACAAACGTACATGTCCGTTTGATCTCCAGGCGGTTATCTGGTAGGGGTTTCATATCACAAGAGTACTGGGATTTCGGATAACAACAACAGTGACAACTGATTCAAGGCCATCGAGCAATTTGCAAGGGCCGATTATTCAACTCTGATAACAATTCCTACAATGTCTACCCAGCAATTACGCATTCCAGGGCAGGCCGTTGCGCCCTATTCCCCCAGCGACAAGATCATGATTACCGGCAATTTCGACAACTGGGAACACAGGAGATTTGTTTTGACTTACGACGACGAAGACGACAGTTTCAGCGTAACCCTCCCGCTCGGCAAAGAGACAATAATTTTTAAGGTATGTGGGCTTAAAACTTGACGACAGATCAGATCAATCACTAACGTAAAGATGTCAGTTTGTCATCAATGATACAGAATGGATCACGCTTCCATACTTCGAAACGAAAACAGATGACCATGGGTTTCTGAACAACGTTTGGAACCCGGAATTAGATGCGATAGACGTGATTTCGCCCGGCGACAACGAAAACCTTGACGAAATCACCATTGGTAGCAGGGGCGGCAACCCAGGTGCTACAGAGGCGAAAGCGAGCGCAGGGCTTGCTATTTGCGAACGTGTTGACTCACAGCATGCGGAGCACGACTATATCCAAGTCTCGTCCCAGGACGAGTTAAGCAGTACGGAGGATGTGGGGCTTGATCACGCGACTTCGCCCTACGATTTGTCCTCACGGGAAGGAGGAAACGAAATCTTTGACTCACGCGACGGTATGAGTCCAAGGCTTGCAGTTCGACCCAGCATGTTACCGTCGCGATCATCGTCGTCGCTACGCCTGCAATCACTAGTTTCGGTCGTCAAGAAGGTCAAGACCTATTGGAGTGGATGATCCACGGAGGAGGCTAGAAACCCTGCGGGGCGTTGTTTTTGTTTTTTCTTTGCTCGCTTACGTACTTTGGGCGCTGTACTCTTATGTTCTAGCTTTCGAGGCGCCTTTTAGCTTTTAAGATTGTTTTATTAACGCGAACAGGCGAAGACAGTGGAGTGAACTCTAGAGACGTATTTTAGAGTTTTGACCGTTTCCGGCGAAAATTGAAAGCACGAGTCATTGTTTCGACTTGAAGATTGATAGCCCTCTCCCTTCATGGACACATGAACTGCTAGGCCATCGCGTCAGTCTCTCATTAGTGGAAGATCGTACCTAATTTCGTTCTTCGTGACCAAACGCGAAAATTAATATCGAGATGGAATCAGAAAATCTGAAGTTACGCGTAACCATCGTCTGGTAACGAAACGTTGAGAAATCTGGCGACATCGAGAGGTCTAGAGATCCAACTAGCGTTACAGCAGGTTCTCAGCTAGCTCGTTACCTCAAAGAAAATAATGTCGATACGTCGGTCAACGAGGATTCAAGAAAAATCGTATCACGATGATGAAGAATGTGAAGAGGGTGCTTCCCCTACCGCGGTTGTAGCCGATGAAGCAACCTACTTATCAGAAGACGAAGAAGGCGAAGAAGACGAGTCAATAGAATTGGGTGAAGATGATGAAGATTACGAAGAGAGTCTTGTGGGTAGCGGGAAACGAAAGCGTGCCAATAAGCCAACATCAAGCAAAAAGTTGCGCGTTAAGGAAAGCAGGCTGCCAACGGGAGCTCATCGGGCGTCTAAGCAGGCCAGAGAAAAGTATATTGGGCTTTTACAGGATTTCAAACCCTGTTTTTTATTTGACGTTATCGCAAACTCCGGCGACGTCTCCATAGAAGAGGTTGCCAACAACTGGCTTGACAAATATGCTGAAAACCGGGATGCAGCTGTGCAGGAATTTGTGAACTTGCTTTTAGGTTGTTGCGGAGCTCTCTTAAAAGTAGAAGAGCACGATGTGGCAAACAATGAGTCCTGCAGTGATACAATGGATGAGGTGCGGTTGCAATTTCAAAAACAAGAGATTCACGAATTTTATCTGCTAGAAAGCAAAAATCATCCCAAAAAAGCTCGCTACGAGTTTCTTTGTGAAAACTTCATGTCACTTACTTCGAATCTTATGACAATCGCTAACGAGCGCGGGATGCTCTACGATGAATCCACCGAGGGTGAAAATGCTCAAAAAAGTGTCTTGATCATGGATATTCTAACATGGCTTTCAGCAATGTCTGTCTCTAAAATCAGGTGCTTGAGATACGTGGCTATACTTGCCTTGTACTCGGCTCAGGACGCCCTTACCGCCCTCATCGTGGACTTGGAAAATAACTATTTGGTGAACCTTCGCAGGCAGCTGGGTATGGAGGAAAAGAAGAAAAGAAGTAATCAGAAAACCATGGAAAGACTTAAAAGAAGCATAACAGAACTTCAAGACTCCAAGACAGTGATGGAAGCTTTAGTTGACGACTTGATTAAGCTTTCATTCATGCATAGATTTAAAGACGTTGACGAGCTCATTAGGGCGGAGTCAATGATTCATCTTGCTAAATGGTTAGAAAATTATCCCGAGTTTTTCTTCAAGGTGAGCTATCTCAAGTATTTTGGCTGGCTATTGTCTGATTCTTCATCTAACGTAAGATCAAATGTTCTCAAAATGTTGTTACAAATTGTCAAATTTAGCAATAAGCGGAGTCGAAATACAGTCGGAAATACAGCCCTGCGTCAATTTTTCGAAAGGTTTAAAGAGCGTCTTTTGGATATAGCGGAGAGAGACGTGGAGTATCAAGTTCGTCTATTAGCAGTTCAACTACTTTCTCACTTCAACGCTTTTGGATATCTTGAGGACGAAGAAGTTCTGCAAATTTCCAGTCTACTGTTTGAGGAAGAGAAGAGAAACGTCTCCTCTTCAGCCAAAAACGTCAAATTTCTCAACGGCGTCGCGAAGTTTTTCTCCAATGTTGAAGAAGAGAGATGTGAAAGATTCAAAGAACAAAGCTCGCTGGTGCCTAATAGCCAGCTTGATATCGAAAAGGTGGTAGAAGTGGGTATTTTTATTCAGTTTTTGATAACGTCATTAACCATACACCTTACTTCGCTTAAGGAAGAGGCTAGCCCCGATCAACAGACAGAGTACCTTTTCCAGGCAAGTGAATTTTTGCAACCTCATTTCGGCCACTTAATGGAGCCCCTGTGTGACCTTCTCACATTCGATGATACCTTTCAGTCTCTGCATTTGGAACAAGAGAAACAAAGCATGCTGCTTTTGCCAGATTCGGAAGACAACATTGCAAAATATGTCGTGGTCCTCAATGGCCTATGTCACGGTGGTGTGAATGCCAGCAAGTCGGCCAATAAGGCCCAAGCTGTATCTTCAATTTTACCAAAATTGCAAGGGCTGTTTGCGAAACTTCCCCTGTATTCGGAAGTTATACTTTCGCAACTATTGCGCCTGTTTGAACTCTTTGACTTCGAAGACTGGGCCGAGGTAAATCAGGAAAAGTCATTTTCCAAGATCGCCGCAACCGTCGTCAGGTGTTTTTCTAAAGCCGAGATATCTAACGCACCAGAGGATACCACCTGGCAAATATACTCGAAAGTTTTAGACTTTTGCAACAAAGTGAATGTACCGTCTGTCAACGAGCTTTGGAAATCAGAAGCCGCTAACGTGAAAGTGCTACTACAGACTTACCTCGAAAAGAATCTGGACGATTTAGACGTCAACAGTGCAAATGAAAAGATTGTCGTTCTTTACAGTCTTTACATCAACAAATTGGTTTTGATGAGTAAAGTGTACCCGCTAGAGTGTGGTCATGGATTTTTAGAACTTTTTTTTAACAAGTTCATCAATCGATTGCCCGAAATGTTAGCAAATTTGACCACTACAACAACCGAAATCGTTGATTTTAGGCTTATGACACTAATTGTCGTATGGGCACTACAAGCCTGGTTCGAAGTGTTTGATCGCGAAAATGGTCCCGTTACGGTGTCGCGAACAACTTTGGACATGGTCAAATTTATCGCAGAGCAGATATCTGCTGTCCTGATTGCACTGCGTGCTAATGATGGCGAAAGCTCGCTGCAGCGGTATCAACTTGAGAATCACATGTGCGAGACTCTAGCAGACATCTTGACTGCCTTCAAGATGTTCGAAATCAAAGTATCAGATAAACAACCTGAATGGGGGCTGACCATAAAATCCTTTTATCAGCTTTTGATTGACTCAGACGTGGAAAACGCTTTTAACGATGTCTTTCTCTATTTAGAGAGTCTTGCCGCGCAGCAACAGGAAGTATCTCTTGATCATTTTGAAAGAGAAGATGTTGAACTGAACGATATTAGAGACACAAGCATACCCGATCCCTTCCGCCAACTCTGCATTTTCGTCGTAAAACTAAAGAGTCTTGCAAAATTGGGGTACATGAACGAAACCGGCCACGTTATGAAAAGACTACATCTTAACAAGCAGCTGTTCGGTGACGTTTACCTTGAGCTTGTCGACGACACTGGCTTCGAAACCAGAGAACAACGACCACTACCGCCTAAAGGAAATGGTACGCCGCGACATGAAACAAGTGGAGAACTTGAACCCATCGAAGAATACTCCGGAGAAGACGAAGATATCGCACTCGAATTGCCCCCTTTTGAGCCAACAAACCGGGCCGCTAATGAAAGCTTTAGTTCCGAGATTTAAAGGCGGCGTCTCTACATATTCCTAGCTAACTAGCATACTGTCACTAGCTGTTCAAGCGTGATGTACTGTTACACGAGTGACGGATTGCTGATATTTTCAATGCCTCTCAGAACTTGAAATGAGAAGAACCTTGAAATATCAACATATTTTGATAAATAGAACCTGCCCTCTAGACCAATGTCGATCCTTTCTAAATTCCTGCTAGTTGTTGCTATATGCCAACTGGTGCATTCGGGTTTTAGCAGTCACGAATTTCACGTACTGAAAAAGCAGTTAGCATTGAGAAATAGCGATGTCGATCAGCTCACTTTGCCAAGAGATATACAACTAGAAGTTTTATCCGGGCTCGTAATATTCACACTATCGGTTTTCCTTTCGAACGACAAGCTTTCGTTCCTCTTGCTGCCTGGGAAGGGAAAACTGATCAAACAGAACGCATACTTGCAAGAGATCAGCATGAACCGAGCGACAATAAGCAATAATTTGGCAGGTAGCGATCCGTATGGCGACGTTACGTACATGCCCAACTTTGTCGACGTGCATGCGAGACGTGAGCAAGTGAGATCGTGGGTCATTGAACATGATGAGAAGCATTTGCAATCTGAGCCAAAAGCCGATCCAGAGACCAAGCAGGATGCGAGGACAAAATCCATGCCAATGCACACGCAGAAATCGAAAAAATGAAAGTTTTTATCGTGGTTTCTAAACACAGTAGCGTCACCGTTCATCCTTTTACGTACAAGCTGGCTCAAGTCCGGCACACAAAATATAGAATATCTACACCACCCTCATTATTATTCTGCTAGAAATGGATTACGATGCGTGTTCAATGTGTCTCTGTCCCCCATGGCGCCGTTAGGACTCTGATATTGCGGTCCCGGTTGTGTTGCACTTTCACCTTTAATTGATATGTGACTTGTATTTTTGTCCTCATCATCAAATTCACCGAAATTCTGGTCTCGATCTGTCTGCGAAGCATTTTGGGCTTCCTGCTCAGACATCTGCCATCTTTTCTGTTGCTCTTTGATCTCTCGTTGAAGCCTTTGCTCTTCCAATTCCTCTTTCAACTCCAGGATATCTTTGTGCCCCAGCGTGATCGCCGTCGGGTGTCGCCTGATCATCAAAACCGTCTCTATATATACAACCTGCACACAGTACCTGAACTAAATACGGGCTTCTTGATCCCCCTTGTATTGCCAATAGCGCAAAAGGTTGGGTGGGATTCAACTCTGAGTGGTAACTCGGTTAACAAGTACCTAGTGCGTAAACCCAGTTAAAAGTCAGCAATATAGCGTGATACAATTTTACCCATATATTGTCATTAGCTATGTTATTTTTCATTAGGAGCCTTGTTGGCGCAATCGGTAGCGCGTATGACTCTTAATCATAAGGTTAGGGGTTCGAGCCCCCTACAGGGCTTTTTTCTAACTTTTTTGAATTTCGATTAGAAACCAGGAAATGATCCCGATTTCAACTAAAAATTTGTATGACGAGAAGGCCACAATAATCTAAATAGTGAAGGTTTTAACTAGAAAAGCTCGTTCTCTTCTCAGGCCATTCTTAGCATAATGAGCTCTGATTTCGTTCGAAAGGAATCTGAGGAGGAAGATTTGAGGAATTTCGGCGCGACTTGCCGGATTTGTAGAGGTGAAAGCACGTTAGAGAGCCCTCTTTTCCATCCTTGTAAATGCAGAGGATCGATTAAATACATTCATGAGTCCTGTTTGGTGGACTGGGTGGGATCCAAAAACGTGGATATAAACAGACCTGGCGTTGAGATAAAATGTGACATATGTCATTATCCGATCCAATTTCAAACGGTATACGATGCAAACATGCCAGAAAGAATTCCAGCGTGGATACTTATCAAAAAATTGTTTGACGGAGCTTTGAAAAAGATTCGGTTTTCTGTGACAATAGCGCTGGCGGTTTTGTTGCTTGCAATAGGAGTGCCATTGACGTGGAATATGGTGGGGAAACTCTACACAGTTTTGCTGTATGGTGGCCGATTGCCCGTGGAAAATAGTTTTTGGTTGAGCATGCTGTTTGGATTCAAATCCAATATACCTCTGAAGCCAACCAGAGCGCAAATTGTCTTTCAACTCGCCAAGAATTACGGGTTTTCACTTTCCCAGATCGTATCTGTCGCAGCAATTCATATAGCGCTTTATTTCCAATACGATATGGTGGTTCGGGAAGCAGTTTTCAGCAAAATGGTATACCACAAGATTGGCCCTAGGTACAGCAGAGAAGAACTTATGATGGAGAAATTGAGACAGCAATTTCCTGGCATGGATGAGACTACGATCCAGCATATAGTCAACCTAATGAAGGTTCGAAATGAACAAAGAGGAGATTTGCAAATGGACCATGAACAAGTACCTGAACAAGAGCCTGAACCGGACTTGCAGGCTCCTCAACTCAATTTGCGAGAAGCAGAGGAACGGGTACGTAATCGTGAGAATTTTATTCTCAACAATATGAGAAACGACGACGACAGTGACAGTGATGACGAAAACGACAGTGATTTCAACACCGATAATGTTTCCACTGGTGAGAGCACTAGTGAAGAAGAAAATGTCGTGAATGCAGGGGACGAAGAACCTGGTGAGCTGGATGATGCTGGCCCCTTTGAGCAAATACTAAATCGTCGCGCTGCGCATCGTTTTGACGAGCTTGTGGATGAGGGAATGCAAGGCAACGGTGCCGCGCCTCACCAAGAACCACGCGTTTTTGCTCCTGCCCCGGTTCAACGAGAAGAACTTCCGCAAGAAGACGTCGATGCTCAAGAGGGACTTCCAAACGCAAACCAAGAACAGGCCATTTTCAGCATTGAAATTCGGGCTGAAAACCTGCCCGTGTATTACATTGTGAGTGCAGTGTTTGTTACAATATACCTTTTCTTAGCATACGTGATCCCAACCTTCGTCGGCTATGGGCTATTGCGATCGATTATTTTCGTATCACAGAGTTCTCTTCGCAGTATCAGAAGACTCTTACAGGCTTGTGGTGTGCCTAGACTTCATGGCCTTCTTTTCAAAGTTCCCTACTTGGCACATTTCAGTATGGCATTAAAGCCTATTGAATTTCTGGGTTGGTTTGAATACCTTCAAGAACCTTGGACACCAGGAAATGATATATCGATTATTGCTCAGGGCGTTCCAGCTCTAACGACTTTTTTGGCGACAATTTTTGTCATTTCAGCAAGCACCGAATATTTAGCCAAAGGTCATGGTCCTAAAAATGGCATGAAAAACCCAAATCTGCGCTTCATCTTCCAACTTTTCTTTGCCATACGATCTTCTTTGAAAGTTTTCACCCTTTTCGCCATTGAACTGATCGGCTTTCCAATTCTGTCCGGGATAATGGTAGACTACTCCTTGTTGTCACCACTATTAAAATCTCAAGAGCGTAGTCTTCTCTATGGACAGCAATTTTCGTGGGGTTTTTTTACCTGTTGCCTCTACTGGGGGGCAGGAACTTCCTACATGTATTGGTTTGCCAAGTTTGTTGGAATGGTAAGAAACTACATCATTAGGCCTGGCGTTCTATTTTTCATAAGGTCCCCAGATGACCCTAACATTCGCATTTTGCATGATAGCCTTATCCACCCAATGAGGGTTCAAATTTCACGTTTGGCCCTCTCGATGCTCATTTATGCCATATTCATTGTCGTCGGCTTTGGTTTCTACACTCGCTACCTCTTTCCAGTACTCCTACGTTCTGATGTGTTGCCTTTGACTACTAATGACGCCGCTTCGTCGATAGAAGCCGGATGCCTTGGCGCCATCACCCTTCTGGCAAATTGGTTTTCGGATTCCCTCAAAAGTCCGCGCATTTGGCTAAGAACTTTTTGGATTAAGGTCTTTGACCTAAGTTGTCAAAAGCTCCGACTCTCATCATTCATACTTGACAAGGATATCCCGATGGAGAGAGGTAGAATTCTGTATCGAAACAATCTTTACAGATTCTTGGCACCTACCAGCGCAAAATGGTCTAACCCTGAGCTTTACTCCCACCCAAAGACGTTCTCACAAGCGTGCGAATTACTTGAGGAGAACAAAAGTGTACATGCCTATTTTATACCGGATGGAACTCAAATGCGGGTCCCAGCCAACGACATCATCTCGCGTAACTACGCCCAAACGCTATTTGTACCAGTGACTAAGAGTGATAAACTTTTGAAGCCGCTCGATCTTGAATTCATCCGGGAAAAAAATGACCAAGCTGCTGGTGAATTTGGGTTTTTAGACGAGCAGAGCTCGGAGTTTGATGAATACTCTGTTGTTTACGTTCCCCCACGGTTTCGCTGGAGATATTCCGCTTTAATTACTCTCATTTGGTTGTTTGCTTCAATACTAATCATTTCGTTGGTATTTTTGTTCAACTTCCTCGGGAGCTGCTTGTTCTTAGCAGTGCAGATACCGATGACCGTCCTCAAAGGAACAAGTCTCCACCCAATAACGATGACCTCTAGCTTTGCTGTGAGAATTCCAGCAATTTTAGTAGGTTGCTTTGTTTTCACCGTAGGCCTAGAATTTCATCAAAACAGGCTTGAAGCGCGAGCGATCCTTAATGAGAACATTGTTAACGTTCATCCCGAAGACGGAGAGGTCGGTGATAATGATTTTGAAGAAGGGCGTATGAATATTCAGGATGCGCAAAACATTGGAGAGCCATTCCAAAATCTCTTTCAGGGACCTGCCTTTAATTTTTTCAAGGTGCAGCTATGCACTCTGTTCATCAACTTTGTTAAACCTCAATTTGTTGCTTACAATTATCATTTTGCCTACACTCTCTTTTTCAAGCTTTTCGTTTTAAAACAAGACGCATCGCAAGTTTCTTTCGGTAATCCCTTACCTCCAGCTTTGGAATTTTGGACCACCTCCATCAAAGATTTCAATTTTAACTCTGAAGAATTGACTGAATATTTACCTCTCTCGGTATGGTTACTTTTCGATCTTTTGCGTCACGTTTACCGTACCACCAAATGGTTCCGGGGACGCGATGGCCGCGACCTACGGCGAAACGCATGGAGCTACGTCGAACCTGATGTTGTGGAGTGCTTAATGACGAGCGGGCTTTCCATTGTTCTACAATTCTTTTTGTGTTTCCTAGAGTACCATCAACAAAACTCACCATATACCTCACTGGTTTCGGTGTACCAATTTTTGGCGCAACGGAGATTTTTAACAAACGAAGATCCTAATATACCGTGGACTTTAAACCAAAAAGCGTTTTATTTCGTCTCACCTATCGTTTGTTCTGGGTTTTATTTCTGGAAACACTACAAATCCATAGATGCAACCATAGAGAAAACGCTGGCAAACATAAAGGAAGAAGTTTACGGCCGTGGTAAGACTTTGACCAATTTGGCGGAGGACAATTGATCTGAAGGTATTTTAGAGCTGCTGATGAGCGAGGGGTAAGCTACTTTAATGCATTTTTTATTTCGACCTAACGGCAAATTGAAATAATTTATAAACATCATTTCACGGCATTGTGGGCCAGTATTATGATCAGTGAATTTTAGAGTTTCTAGAATACAAGTCAAGACCACACCTTTGTGTCTCCAGTAGTGCAATTGATTTCTGTTTACAATTGTGTCTTTCCGTATGCTCTCCCAATTTCGCCAAAATGCTATCAAGCGCAAAATCCGGGCGCTATTCACTTTGATGGAGTCAACTATGTATCGCCTTGATCACTAAAGAAACTGCTTAATGCAGCATTTACTTGGCTATTTTAGGGCCCACATCCAAAGCTGTTGACTGCAGGGAATACAATGAAAGTGAAATAGGACGTCAGATAGAGCCCAACTTTCAGAGCAACAGTTAACTATAATATTTTTTTGGCAGACTTGGCTATGACAGTCTGCTATGACCGCCTTCTCGTGAAGACGTCCCGAGATTGCCACTGCGTTGAATATTTTTCCTAGCACCTATTCATTCTCAAATATGAGCCTTAAGGTATGAAGCGAAAGCCAAGTTTACGATGAATAGGATTTTTTGTTATATGCAAATGACGTAAATGCTAAATGTGAGATGTATTATATCGATGTCGCAGTCAATTCATAGGTATCGATACTGTCGCGAAACGATCTTCAAATCTTGGATCGAAAGTGACATACATCCGCCACGATATGTGACTATGAACAATGCTGAGTTGAAAATCTCAATGTTTTGCAGGTCTACTCTTTTGAGATATATTGCACCAACAAATTTTGTAACTCTTAATAGGATGAAGAAGTGCAACTTAGTTGAGGCCCGAGAATTCGTTGTTGCTTAGAGGAGAGCTTTCTAAGCGATTTCTGGCAGACGCAGCTAATTTTGAAGGGCGAAGATTGGGCTCTTTGCTCAAACCATCCTCATCATTTTGTAAAGGCTCAGAACTGATTTCGTAGGAAAGTCCAATTTGTGTGGATTTAGATGCTTCAAGCTTCCCAATTTGGCCAGGTTCCTCATTGGGTAATATTCCTTTCGTGTCGACATAGAGACTTGGTTGCGAATGATCAGCTTGATTATCCTCTCCTGATACATTGCTCATTTTTTGCTGCGGACCTATGAACTCCAGATTTTCTATTATCTCAACGTCACTGTGCTGTTCATCATTCGTTTCTTTGAAATACGGACTCTGTGCGCCATGACTTTTGATCTGTATATGCTGTAGTTGCAAGAGAATTTCCCGCAGTTCTTTTCTAGCGGTTACTCTACCCCGTCTATCGAAATACTCGTTAATTTGACGCGAATTGGCCTTGGATTTAGACATTTTCCATAATTCCAGAGTAGCAAACGGATCTTCAAAGAACTTTTTTGTATTCAAAATGACATGGACCCCACAATCGCTCATATTAGGTTGTTGTGGTACGAGACATGTTTTCATTTTGATTAAGTTCTTGGGTATTTCAAGGTTGTACCTGTCCGCTGCGTAAGCTATCAAAAATTCCTTGATCGGTTCAACTGCCCTTGATTGATTTTGCCTCAGCGAATCAAAAACTAATAATGTAACTGAAGGAGGTGTGATTGATATTTCGTCACTATTTTCAAATTTTGTTCCTTTTTCGTTGTCAAGGCTACCTGACAATTTTTGTTCTTCTCTCAGAAACTTGAAAACTGCTGGTAAATTAGTGATTATGCTTCCAAACCAGTGGAAATTTGCATTTATCGGTAAAACCAAGTAGCTTTTTGCAAAAAGGTCCGTTCCGCTAACCCATTTACAAATATTGTTGTAGTAGTTTTTAGGATCACTGACCAATTTCGTGTAGAAAAAAGATGAGAAGACATATACATCATCTTTGTTGATAACGCCTTTGTTAATGGAATCCTCGACCCAAAACTTAGTGAAAAAATCAAGAATTGAATCATTAATCCAATCATGATTAAACAATGTGCCAAAATCTTGGTTAGTAATTGACATGAAAAATCCATCTTGAAATTTGTAGAACAGAGGAGGTTCGAAATTTTCTGGCGTCTCATATGGATCGCTGCTGCAAGGTTCTTCTTCCGCACTCGAGATATCGCGAACAGGAGAACTGCGCGAACTTCTAGTAAGTGTTTCAAGTCGGGATAATTTATGATCCTGCAAAGAATTAACGCTAGATCTCGTCATGTGACGCTGCGATCTGCCGTAAAATTTAGCGGGAGAAGTAACATTGCTGCTCGGATTTTCTTGTCGAATTTCTTCCTTATCATTAATTTGATCTACTCCCTGTGGAACTTGAATTTTATTCCCCGTTCTAGAGATGGACTTGTGTAATTTTCGTAATGAATTGAACCTTCGGTCCTTCAGATCCCTATGAGCCTTTGATTCCGTGTGGTTTCTTTTGGTTATACTCATAGCGGTGTGCTCATTAATTTCTCCGGTTATGTGGTAAACGTCAAGGAAACTGTTTTGCAAAAGCTCAGCATATTCCTTAAATTTTTCTCGGTAGCTATCCCTCCCACTATTGTGCTTGAACGCAATTCCTATGACTCCACTTATTTGTTCCTCGGCGCTAAATCTCACGATTCTAGCGTGTTTCAAATCTACAAACATACCCTTGTAATTAAGATCGAACGCAAAACTTTTTCCCTCGGTTAAAAAATGTATTGCGGTGCCCTCAATTTCTTGACTATTCCGTTTAACACTTGTTCGGAGGTCCCCGTCAACTCTGGCTACTTGTAGCACTGCGTGTCGTTTCATCAATCTGTCATGGTTTTCGAAGAAGATGTACAGATCGCCCTGAAAAAGATCCCTTTCACTAGTTCCTTCAAGCTTGATAACCTCTTTGATAGACTCTTCGCGTGTGTTCGGATCGACCCCAACAATTTCTATATCATCTCGAGAGCTCCGGTTACGCGTCATAGGACTTTCTGAATGATGCCATTTATTATTCGACGAAAGCGACGCCATTGTCTCACCAAGTTTCCTTACTTTCGAAGCTGCTTGCGGGTCGAATCTCTCCTTCGTATACCCGGTAGAAGAGGAAGACCTCGAGCCCGAAGACTTTAAAGCTGACCCGCTTGAAAGTGTGTTCATAGGCTTAAATTGGCCCGGGACAGATTTGTTAAGCCTGCTCATAGTCTCATATGGGCCTTTATCGTTATATAAAATCCAAGAGAGACTCTGAAACCCAAATATCTCGTATTAAAAAGCGGTCTGTTTGATTATAGGTAGAAACTCATCATATCCTCAATGCTTTCGTTCATTAAAATTGACAAAACAGTCACGTGCATTCACAGTGCTCTCATCGAAAACGTCACTATTTATATAAGGTCAAGGCCGTGTAAGCGTTACTATCCGCTATAGACTTTCTCGAATTTTTCCGGTTTGTTTCCGTGTCTTTTCAATATTTCGGGCCTATTAGTAGCGAATTTGTGGAATAGTGATGTTAATGACCAATTTGATGACCAAATATCTTAAGAAATGGGCTTTCGGTGGAGAATTATTTCTTAATAACTCTGAATACCAAATTTATTTGCAAAATCATCGTTAAACTTCCTTTAGGTCTGCTTTGAGTTGCCTTTTCATATATTTCGAGTGTTTGTATATTAGAACCCGTCTAACTGAACTCCAAAAACCTCAAGATATAATCACAGCATGGAATCAGATTGATGGTGCTGATTTGTCCCCTTATATATAGTTCGCTCGCACACATGCCATTGCTGGAGGGCCATGCTTACTTTTTTGGTCAAAAGTGCCAGGAAAACTAACAAAAATGAAGGCGCATGCCGGTCTATTTCCTTCAAAGGGTTCTGTGATCAACTCATTCAAGATTGTAGCAGTTTAACTACTTTGCCCTGAATTTTCCTTTGTATCGCTCACATAAATGGACTTCCTGGCATTGACTAAATTAGTATATATCGCAGATTTGCCGGCTATAACTGGAAGCAAAATTTAGCACTAAGCTCAGATAATCCAGTAAAGCAACACGTGTATATCATTTTCAAAGCTTAGTTACGTCTTTCAGGTTTCGTGTCTTTATATAATCGCTTGAACCCATTCACTGGCATGTCAAAATTTTGGCAAAGTTTTAAATACTACGAAAACCAACTATAATAAAGATTCCAGGACGGTAAGAAACCGATACAAGTGATGCTGGGAAAGGGTGGTTTGCGCTGCAACGTTGCTTCGCGGCGTCTACTTTCACAAAGTAACAGGCATTGCCAAGGTAATCCGAGATCGCCGTTGCAAATTTTCCGGGAAACGTTCAAACAGGAATGGGAGAAGTCAAAAGAGTTGCAAGACAATATCAAGACCCTTCAAGACGCTTCGGGCAAAATAGGTGAATCTGACGCTTATAGAAGAGCGCGGGAGGCGTATTTAGGTGCTCAAAAGGGCTCCACTATTGTGGGGAAGACGTTGAAGCGGACTGGTGAGTCAATGGAAAACATCGCATTGAAGGCATGGGAATCTGATCTGAGCAAATCGACGCGAACCGCGGTGAATAAGACGGCGCAGCGATTGGATGAGTCTTTTGAACCCGTGAGACATACACGGGTTTATAGAGATGTGTCAGAAGTGATGGAGTCTGAAAACAGTTCTCGGTACGGTGGATTTATTTCGAAAGAGGCGAGAAGACTCAAAAGAGAGCAAGACATTGCGTCCGGTAAAAGACCCAAGGCGGTGAAAGTTGACGATGAAGCCGGAACCGCTCTTGTGGCTACGGACGTCGAAGCAAAGGAATCTTTTAGCAGAAAAGTCGAAGATTTCAAAGAAAAAACCGTCTTCGGTCGGAAACTACAAGAGGTCAAAACGAAATTGTGGGATGACAGTGAAAATCCTTTGATTGTCTTGCTAAGAACCATTAGTGGCAAAATTGGGGGTCTTTTCGCCGAAACTGAGTCAGCCCGTGTCATGGCTCAATTTAAATTGATGGATGCGACTTTCAATACAGAGTCCTTCACCAAGCATATGCGCGAGTACATCGTTCCAGAAGTGCTTGAAGCCTACGTAAAGGGCGACGAGGCCGTTTTAAAACAATGGTTCAGCGAGGCGCCTTACAACGTTTACGCTGCCCAGCAGAAAATTTTCCGCGAACAAGGTCTTTTCTCAGACGGCCGTATTCTAGACATTAGAGGCGTCGATATCGTGAGTGCAAAGCTTTTACCACCACAAGATTTGCCCGTCATTGTCGTAGGATGTAGGGCCCAAGAGATTCACCTCTACCGGAAGGCCAAGACAGGCGAAATAGCTGCTGGCACCGAATCCAATATTGTGATGAGCTCTTATGCGATGGTATTGACAAGAGACCCCGAAAAGGTAGACGACAAAGAGACAGAAGGATGGAAAATTCTTGAATTTGTGCGCGGTGGATCTCGCCAGTTCACTTGAGGAACGCTCCTCCCCATTGCTCAGTAGTAGTCTGTCATGCACTTGTACATAAGTATTAAAGTATATCAAACTGGCCATACCTAACCCGTGAATATCGTAACCTAGGCTCGTTTCGGCACAAGATCTTTGCCCAAAATTGTTCTGTATATGTAACGACCCAGCCTTTGGCCGCTTCTCGTAGCGTTCGAGAGCCAAGGTCGCATGGCTATCAAAACGCTGGTCCATAGGATTCCCTGTACAAAAGGCATGAGAAACACGTCTCGTAAAATAACTTTACATACAACACCAGCAGTAATCTTGACCTTTCCGTCAGAACTGTCCTGAGTCTTAGCTGTTATTCCATGGCGTGCAATGGCTTCTTTCCGAACCGCATTCATAAATGTTTGCTCGAATCGCAAGTCTGGGATCGCTGTTCTTGCCCGTACACTAGGTACTTTGAGAGAAGGCATATTGAGGTGAAATCAATGGGTCTTTGAGAGGCTAATGTGTCTATCAGGACGTTTGTCAAGTGATAACCAATGTGTCGAAAATTGAAACGTCGTTGATGATTCTTGAGTAGAGATGAACCAGTTGAAGTAGCGGTTACTTTGGGTTACCAGTTGATAAATTATGCTGTTATTGCCTGTTGAACCTCGGTGATATCGTCAGGATATTCACTTTTCCACGAATGATTTTGATCGAACTGCTGTTGCTTAGCCTTTCGAAAAGGACGTGATAGAATGAGAACAATGCCTAACACATGTACACGGTATAATAGTGGATCTTGAAAATATAATTAATATCTAGTTGCTCAAGTTAGTAACTCGACCGATGTTCGATGTTTGCAAAATGTTTAGTGTTTCATTCTTATTTGTTCAATGACATGCTATGTTTGTTAATATAAAGGTTTATGGTGTTGACAGTGCTTGCGAGAAAACGAAAATTCACCACTCCGCTAAGGCAGCCTTCCACGATATGCTTGCATTGATTGAAAAGCTTACATTTGACCCGTGCGTTGCAAAGTTGAGTGTAGACTTTCACTAAGTTCCTTGGCAACGCGGTCTTTAAATATGTAGTCAAGAATTTGTAAACTGTCAACTGCTTATTTAAAGCTTAAACCATAAGTCTCGGGTTTAACGTTTCAAAGTTGATTGTTTCATCGTATTAGACTTGACTTCTGATACCTCTACCTTACCAACTGCTTGCATTCTTCACCTATGTCAAGTGTCAGTGTCAACTAGCGACAGAATAACGAAAGACCTGATCAAATTAGCTTCCTTCTTACAGCTAGGAGCAGTGAAAGTGTCATTGTATTTCTAATGCAATTGTTCAAAAAATTGTTCATTAGATCTACCAGACATAGTCATTAGCTTCCAATGAGTTTGCAATCTCTGCCTGCGTTGACGGCGAGAAGACCATTGACGTTTGAAATAAACACTACAATAAAAAATGAAATTCAGGAGTTTTGCATGCTAGCTTACGCGCTTTAAAGATGCCATCAACTTCTACCACGAAAACGACATACAAAAATACAAAAATCCAAGAAAGACTACTTGTAATTGATTAGCAACTTCTAGGTGTCGCACGCGGCTACTTTTCTCACGAATCTTTTCTTTACATTTTGGCCACTAGTTACACAGATATCTCTGCCAATCCCAATGCTTTTGGCTCCTCACAACCTGGGGCATTCGGCCAGTAGCCATGCCTCAACCCCCTTCATTTTGATCAAAAGCGGTCAAAAGTTTCCATGTTGATAGTTGGTTTGGCCCTTCGTTCAATATGACTTTGAAAAATTTGACTGTTTTTAGGCGATGGGAATACAGGACGAGGTAGAACTGAACTCCAGCTTTAAAACGTGAACCAGTGGGTGCCAAGAATGTCAGAGGAAGGTCCACAGGTGAAGATAAGAGAGGCGACAAAGGACAATGTCGATTTCATTTTGTCGAACGTTGACATGGCGTTGGCCAATTCATTTCGAAGAGTTATGATATCTGAAATCCCCACTTTAGCGATTGACTCGGTAGAAGTGGAAGTGAACACTTCTGTTTTGGCCGATGAATTTATAGCGCATCGTTTGGGTTTGATACCGTTGCAGAGTACCGATATAAACGACGTCGTGTACTGTAGGGATTGTTATTGCGAGGACCACTGCGATCGGTGCTCTGTTGTCTTAACATTGCAAGCTGTTGGTGAAAGTGAATCGACTACGAACGTATACGCCAAAGATCTGGTGATAGTGAGTAATCTGATGGGACGTAATATTGGGCATCCTATCATACAGGACAAAGAGGGCAACGGGGTGTTGATCTGCAAACTGCGGAAGGGACAAGAGCTCAAACTCAAATGCATTGCCAAGAAGGGTATATCCAAGGAACACGCCAAGTGGTCACCAGCCGCCGCAATAGAATTTGAATACGACCCTTGGAACAAATTGAAGCACACCGACTACTGGTACGAACAAGATGAAGTGGCAGAATGGCCTCAATCGAAGAATTGCGAGTACGAAGACCCCCCCAACGACGACGACGTGTTTGACTACCAAGCGAAACCTACGACCTTTTTCATGAATGTCGAGACTGTTGGATCCATTTCCTCAGATCAAGTCGTGCTTCGCGGTATCAAAACACTGCAGGACAAAGTCGCGGATATCTTGTTTTCGCTGAAGAAAATGGATCAAGAAAAGGTCAATTATGGAGGTGCAGCTGGTCTCACAGAACAAAGTGGTGGTGTAAACATGGAGGCGGAAGCAGGGTTGGGGTACGCGGGCGGTGCGCCCCAATTCGACGGCAGCGCGAATCCCGGGTTCGATGACGCATGGTAATGCCAAATACGCAAACCTTTTGTAATTTATCCTGTAAAAATTTGCCTCATGGACGATCGCGAGGGGTGTACGTACAGATTTAGATTTATTAATGAGTTTCGTTCCATTTGCAGCAGTCTTCGAATTTGACTAATTCACCGCCAAACAAGTCCAAAGAGCTGCCAAAAGTGAGATCCACTTTGCCATGGCTCAATCCACTGACCAATTCCAGGTCTTCGATACTTTTCGCGCCGCCTGCGTACACTATTTTCACGTTGGGCAGATCTTTAGTCCATTCGTAGAGTCGCTCGACAAGGTCTTCTTCTATGCCCCTGCAGAGACCTTCTACATCCGCCGCGTGTATGAGAAACTCGTGAGAGAACATACTCAACGACTGGAATGTCTGTGCGCTCAATTCCAAAGACGTAAGTTTCTGCCATTTATTCATCGCGACAACCCATTTGACGGTTCCCGTTGCCACGACTTTTCTACAACTCAAGTCAACCACAAGTCTCTCTGGACCGCACTGTTTCGAAATCTGCTTCAATCTATTCATTTGAAAATCGCCCTCCGTAGTAAACAGCCAACTTGTCACAATAATTTTACTAGCGTAAGCCAGCCATTCTTCGCAGTTGTCCAAATTTATGCCTCCACCAACCTGGAGAAAACCTGGAGCCGCTTTCAGCGCATCAATTGCTGCTTCGTCGTTGTTAGGTCCCAATTTTATTACATGACACCCGTCAATGTGCTTCTCATGGTAAAGACGAGCATAAAACGATGAAGGCCTCTTCGACACGAAATTTGTCTTTAAATTACTCGTTTCTTCGTCTCTTAAGGTCCCTCCGACAATTTGTTTAACCTCCCCATTGTGTAAATCAATACATCCAACAAATTTGGTCATAACTGAGGGGGTTTGGCAGCTAATTGAGTGCCTTTAGGTTTTTGACTTCTTGGTGACAAAACGGTTTCTTCAAGATCTTGACATATCCACTTTGAAAAGAAGAAATCATAAAAATTAGTGAAAAATTGACATGCGATGAGCTAGAATCAAAGCAACAAAACAGGCTAAAAGACAGGAATTTAGACCAATATGGCAACCGATAAAGAGCTATCAAAACAGTTGGAAGCGCAAAGAAAAGCATTTGAAGCTCAGTTCGGCAGTTTAGAGTCTATGGGGTTCGAAGACAGAACCAAAATTGATAACTTAGGGAGCGAGAAAAGTGAAGACAGTGAAGATGGCGATAACGGCGAAGGTGAGTCGGAAAACGAGTCTGACAGCAATTGGGACAGTTTTGAAGGGTTTTCTGACGACGAAATACAACAAAGCGACGAGAAATTTCAAGAACGGAAACCTAAAGTGATAAAATTTCAAGATCCAACTGATTCGTATGCTCCCCCGACGAAGCAGGAGCAGAGATTGGTAAGAAGTGGACGGGCGCCAAAATCGGCACTGGCGGAGTCTCGCGCTGCGCAAATGGCCGAATCTAAGAGGGTAGACAGTGAAGACATGGATACAGAAGCGGAAAATCTCAAGAATGATTTGGAACTCCAGAGGTTTTTGAAAGAATCGCACTTGCTAAGCGCGTTCCGCAGTGGCAGTAGCGGTGCAGATCTTACTATGAAAACGATAGACAGTGCAGAGTATCACGACGACGCACTGCAGGGCAAAGCACGCGCACGCACTTTAGAGATGCGACTGAACAATCTGTCCGCGACAAACGGACAAAACCGTAAGCTAGAGAAAGTGCCCATGCACGTACGCAAGGGCATGGTGAACAAACATGTCAAGAAGATTGCCAAGTTCGAAGAAGATGCGCGCGAGGGTGGTATCGTGCTGTCGAGGGTGAAGAAAGGTGAGTTCCGCAAAATCGGTGCTACATACCACAAGGACATCGAAAGGCGTATAGGCCAGAGCATTGCAATGAAGGAATCCCAGCGGTCTGCTAAACGTCACCGCGGACCAAAAATCCATTCCATAGGCAGATCCACCCGGAATGGATTGGTCATTTCGCAAGAGGAAATTCGCAGAATAAATGGGACTTCATCTTCTGGCAAGAGCAGAGGCAAGGTAAATGGCAAACCTCGTCGGAAATAATCTCCAACGGCCTTCTATTATATTTTTTCTCACCGAAGTGTGATTCCAAATGGATTTAAAAAGCATTGTTTCCACGGACCATTTTTAACAAAAACTGCAAAATAGCGGGGCACTCACCAGTTGATCTAGCGACGCAGGGTAGTCTCATTGGGCTTCACGTCGCTGCCGAGAAGAGCTAGAATCTGTTCACGTGATCGTTGTGTCATTTTCGTATAATATGACGAATAAATTTTGCAAAGCGACTTGCCCGATGACGTGCAACAGGGGCCCACTAGCCCCTTAGGAAAGTATAGCCTTTTAGACACTGCATACTCTACTGTTACGCACCTTATGCACACCCAGCGCTGGAGATTCCCTTCACAAAATAAATAATCACTCTTGTCATAATTTTTTACTAGCATTACATAATTTTCAATGACACTGGAAACATATTTCTTGGGAAACTAATTGTTTAAATCACTTCAAAACCACTCAAGATCCCATATGAAGCCTCCTCGGAGATGTTTCTACCATGTAAGATCAAGACCTACTGGTCCATATCCCCTGGTACGAACCAATCAGATCTTGTCGTTTACTTAAAATCCGATATAACTACTAGGAAAAAATTAAAGAATAAACCCAACTACAACTGATAGACCAAGACCTTCTCACGGTATTCGACCCAACAAAGCTCGTGTTTGGAAACTCATTCTCAAGACGTTACAGACCATAGTGGGAGAATCTGCGAATCCATAAAACGTCAATACCCACAGACCACACTACACATGATAAGAACCGCTTCCAAATCGCAGATCCTGAGGAGATCCATTGCCACGCAGGCGGCCCCAAAACCCCAAATCACGAAACTGTCCAATGGTACCGTGGTAGCCACCGAAAGTAATCCAGCTTCTGCCACCTCGAGTGTCGGTGTTGTTTTCGGCAGTGGTTCTGCTGCTGAAAACCCTTACAATAACGGTGTATCCAATTTGCTAGGTCACGTGTTCCGTACTGAAAACGGTGCTCAAACGGCACAGCAGGGTTTCCTGTTGTCCTCGCAAGTGGGACGTGATTTCCAGTCTTATGTGGCTACCTCGCGTGGTTCTTCACCTTCTAGCGTGTTGGAATTGTTGCAAAAAAAATTGTCTACTGGGATTTCCGATGCTTCTTTCGCTGCTTCCAAGGACCAAGTTTTGAAAGAAGTGGACGCCTTTGAGACTCAAGACCATGCCGGCAAAGTCCTAGAGCATTTGCACTCGACCGCTTTCCAAAACACTCCGCTAAGTTTGCCCGTCAGAGGTACTCGCGAAGCGATTGAGACTTTGGAGAAGGCTGACTTGGAATCCTTTGCCAAGAACCACTTTCTGGCCTCTAACGCCGTAATTGTGGGGTCCGGTAACGTTTCTCACGATGAGCTTGTCAAGGCTGTCGAATCTCAGGTTTCCTTGGCCTCTGGTGAAAAGCCAATTTTAAAGAAGCAATCCTCCTTTTTGGGATCTGAGGTTAGACTGAGAGACGACACTCTGCCCGCCGCTTGGATCTCCATCGCTGCTGAAGGTGAGCCCGTCTCTTCTCCAAACTACTATGTTGCTCAAGTGGCCGCTGAAATTTTCGGCTCATTTGTCGCCAGCGAACCAGCTTCTCGTTTGCAAGGTATCAAACTCTTGGACACCATTCAAGAATATCACGATTGTGACTCTTACGATCATTTCTCTTTGTCTTACAAGGACTCTGGTCTGTGGGGTTTCTCCACGGTCATTTCCAACTTCCACGCAATCGACGACATGGTTCATTTCACTTTGAAACAGTGGAACAGATTGACCGTCTCCATCACTCCTCGCGAAGTGGCTCGTGGTAAGGCACTACTAAAATTGAAATTGGCCTCCGCTGCTAAGGACAACGCTAGCATCGCCACCAACTTAGGTGCTCAAACCTTGGCTCTTGGTTCCAAGCCAGCTCTTGCTGACGTTTTCGCTAAAATTGATGCTATTGAGGTGAGCGATGTCAAGAAATGGGCCTCTGACAGATTGTGGGATCAAGACATTGCCATCGCTGCTACCGGACAAATCGAGGGTTTGTTGGACTACATGAGAATCAGAGCCGATATGAGCATGATGAGATGGTGATTTGTTTACCGTTTTATTGGTTTTTGAGCACTGAAAGACATGTTTTTTAATTCCAATAGATTTGCCCAGTCATTCCCATTATGAAGTCCATGAAAGATACAAACCGAGTAACAAACCTATCAGAACAACGCACGAGATTGACTTTACATGTAACTAACTTTTACTGCCGACAAACAAAAAAATCAGCCGAATACCTCGTGTATTGTTTCCATCCATTTCTTTATCTATTTTCATATTCACCGGTACTTTTACTAGAATAGTATTCCAACCTATTTATTTGTCACCAGGATATTCCATACATTGTTCTTTCCTCCATTTTAGTTAACTCATTCATCGGTTGTAGCGTGAACTGTATTTCGATCCTCGTCGTTATCCGTATTCTTAATTTTTTGGCCCTTCGGTGATATTAATACAGATATCTGTTGCTCTAAACTCACACTCGCTAATTCGGATCTGTTTCTGTTACCTGGAGATCCTGCTATTGTACCTTGAATCTCTAACTCCGCTCCAATTCTCAGTTTCTTGGGAGTAGCGTCACCTGTGGTCTCTGCACTATTTTCATAGTCGTAATCATCGAGTTCCTGAGGCTTCCGCTTCCGGAGTCCATCTTGCGTATCGCTTTCTTCTTCGTCTTCGCTTGTAGTGCTTTCGTCGTCCATCTCCACTCCATCGGCTTCATCTTCAGGGTCACCGTCGTCATCTACGTAGTCCTGGTCATCATCGTCATCGTCGTCGTCTTGTTCACCGTAGTCGTAGAATTCCTGTCGGTCATTCCCACGGGACCCATCTTCGTCACCTTCATCGTTTCCGTAACCAAAATTTGTGCTTATTATGGATTCCACTTCTCTTAGAAAAGGCGCTATCCTTTTTTCCTCCCTGGTATCCAGCCAGCCTATCTTAGAGAGCGCTACCTCGCCAGTGTCGTCGTTCTCATCCAGTTCCGTGCCGTCGTCGGCTTCCCAGAAGCTAAACACGAAACAACACTTCTCAAGGGCGGCAACAAATTTCTGGAGTTCATGTCGATGGAAGTATTTTAAAGGATGGTAACTCAGCTCGCAAAGTCGCTGCATGGTAAATGGATATTTCTTGGCCTTGACGAAATGTGAATCCAAATATTTGCCCGCTTTTGCGAGCCGCGCCTTCAGTTCCAAAATATCTTCATTTGTATCAAATATTTCGTCTGGAATAGTTTGTGTAAGGTGCAGTATCAATTCTGGTAGAAGTTGTTCTGCTGCTGTGGTTCGTAGTACTGAAAGGTTACCATCGACCACTAGGTTGGTAAGTTTTTCATTCAAAACAATAGACTTTATGCCCATCATCTTGATTGGCGAGACGAATTGAGACCAGGCCCTTCTAGGTGGTCAGTCCGAATCGATTCACGATCAAGACTGATAGAAAACGATTTCCGATAAAAGCAGACAGGAAATTGCTCCAAAATCCTCAAAAATGGACTGATTTTAACAAATTTTCGCAATTAATGGGTTTCCAAAGCTGAACTGAACCGATTAAATTATCAAATAGCACGGAACCAGGCCTTTAAAGTGCAGACTCTGGCTTTTTTAGATCCTTGGAAGGTTTGTCGATGAGATGCCAAATTTCACCACGATGCTCGATCGAAGTCCTGAAGTCCGTATCGCACGATATAAATGAGAGACTAAAAAAACTAGTTCAAGATTCAAGAATCACGTCTAAACCAAACAGCAGTGAAAGGCGATTGTCGACCAACAGTGGAATCGTTTGCTTAGGCGAAAAAGATGATTGGAAGAAGCACTAACATTTTTTCAAGCCGATTGGGCTCAAGATTATACCCCCAGGCGAGGACAGGCTTCCGTACGGTGCTTGGAGTGAAATTTCAAAGCAGCGATGCTCGCAGTGCCAGCCCAGCTAATGACACGAAATTTACAGATCAAGAGGTCGATTCATGGTTGGAAGCCATTGAGTCGTTGCGTCAAGAGTTTAGCGAGAAGCCTTTCTTGCCCGAAACGTCTTTAGCACCTCCGGGACAGTCGAAGGTGAACATTCTGGAAGAAGCCATGAAAGGCGAGAAAAGCTTCGAGCCATCTCCACAGCAAGTGGCTGAATGGGAAGAGCTGAAAAACGTCCCTCTACCTACAAGGAATGACGAGACTTTGCAACATGTGACAAACATGATAATGAGACACGGTAAGAAAGAACGTGCAGAGAAGATCTTGTCGCGTGCGTTGTACCTGGTTTTCTGCCAAGTTCGCGAAGACCCCATCCAGGCGCTGAAAAAAGCCCTTGACGACTTGGCTCCGCTCATGATTGTGAAAACTTTCAAGACCGGCGTTGCCAAAGCGGCCGTCATCCCGGTTCCGCTCAACAAACGGCAAAGAAACAGACTCGCTTGGAAGTGGATTGTAGAAGGCGCCAACAAGCGTAGTTCGAGCGATTTTGCCGTGCGGCTTGGGGAGGAGCTGGTATCCGTTTTCAAGGGCAACAGCACGGGTTTTGACAAGCGGGACCAGATGCACAAGACGGCGATTGCGCATAGAGCCTACATCAAATTGAGGTAAAAACGATGAGTTTGTAAATAACGTTGTATATAGTAATAATTTCTGGAACCCATTGCTGGATTATCGGTTCTCATGCCAGTACGCCAGCACTATGCCCGCAGAGCTGCCGGCGACGTTACATGCTATGTCCCAAACGTCAAAGCTTCTTTTGCCGTGCGATAAAAAGTGCTGGGCAAATTCGCTACCAATGCCTGCACCTACAGTGCAAATTGCCAGGGACACAACATATTTCGAAATACTCAACCGGTCAATTCCTTGAGAATCGATGAGGTTGAAGGCTTTGTTGCCAAAAATTCTCGTGAAAAGCCATGATTCTAGTAGGAATACGCAGAAATGGGCTTCTTTGTCGTGATCAGAAGTCAGAATCGAAACGTTAGGATTAGTAGTGAGGCCTAAGGTAGCTGGCTACGATCAGACTTGAAGCGAAAATACTAGCATAACCTTTACGAACCCAAACCCGATTCATATGGAGGATGAGTATGCGGTGGCCAGGATTGCTAGGGTTTTCAGAGATGTGAAATGGTGAAAAGCCAAAGATTGATTAGCAGGTTTAGGGAGATAATTTAAGGCAAAAAATCGACAACTGCAGGATTCGAACCTGCGCGGGCAGAGCCCAAAAGATTTCTAATCTTACGCCTTAACCACTCGGCCAAATTGCCACTAACGATAATACCGCTGAACAGTGGTGTATGTGAGTTTCGATACCTTCCTTGCTTCTTTTATGTTGAAGACGGTAATCAGAATAACAAGAGTGGGCTCTCGATGTTCTTCGAAATCGGACACTTTCATTCACAGCTTAATTGACGGCAAAATATGGTAGGTCACAAAAACTCATATGTCTTCGAAGCTAGCTATATTTCATCGTTCTATTCAATTATTGTATGTCCTTTTTCGTCGATACCTTATGTCCCCATAGTCAGCAACGGTAAGAATTTACACATTATGCAATCGATTATACCTAACCAGATCTGATTGTGGTGGTAAAACGGTGATGGCCATCACATGCATTAGTTGAATTCCGTGTTGCTGGTTCTGGAACCGGATTCGAAACATCCATTCAGTTATCTCTAATCTCATTCTGTCATCGTGATCACGTGATGTTGACAACATCATTTATCGGAAGCTTCCTCAATCGAAAGTGCATGTCAAAATTTGATGCATGCCTCTCAAACACTGTAGCTCACAGTGCGCGTCAGTTGTTATGACTTGGTGAGGCTAGCTCGAATTTATGAAGTGATTTTTCATTTTTTCTTCTTTGGAGACAACGGCAAATGGAATGGTATGTCGGCATTACGTGGTCGCAGATTTGCTCCAAAATAAAGATGTAATCACGGGTCATTCGCGAAGACAACCTGCATGGGCCAGGTATGTTGAAATGCTCGAGACATAATGGAGAAATCATAGCACGTGACCAACAATTATAATTACCACCCTTCAAAAGCTGTATGCTCATGGGTAGCATGCATGGGACGTGTATTCATGGTTTTGATAGAAACCTTCGGAAGCGGGAAATGAGCATACCCATGCATTTTTAAGCCTGGGTTCCGAGGATATTCTGCTCTTGTCCAACGAGATCAGCATATGACATCAACCAAAACACGACGCCTGTTCGCAGAAGTACTTGTCCTCGAGCTTTGTTACCGTCTTTGGTTTTTCAGCACGTAAAGTTGTCTCAACGTTCTAGTAATTTTACCATTGCCTGCCACCAATTTCCTCCGGTGCTGAAATAAGCGCAGACTCAAGGTTGATTGGCTTCGAGCAGTTTATGATCCTTTGAAGATGATGAAGACCGGTTTCGCAGGACTAGAAAATGAACCATGGTGATTGCTCTCATAAAGCGAGAACTTCAAAATCCCTTGCCTAAATGATCCCCACCGATGTAGCGCAACTTCGTTTTTAACTCATCGCTCATTGTTCAGATGACTACATATGAGAGGCTCACTCGTGAATATGCAAAAAAAGCCGTCTATCAATAACCCCCTAACAACGGCCTACAAGTCAGATATATCGCATTTATTAGTCTTGAGATGAAGCCCTTTCCCTTTAGATATCGCTCTCTATAATGAACTTGTCAACTTTCTTCAAGTTAGATGAAAAACTTGGAAACCTTATTCCACCACAAGTAATAGACGATAAAACTGAAATGACAAATGAAGAGCAGGACAGCGTTCCAAGAGACGTGAGACTGTTGCATCTGTTACTGGCGTCACAAAATATCCACCAGTATGAAGATCAGGTTCCGCTACAGCTCATGGACTTCGCACACAGATATACGCGCGGTGTGCTCAAGGATGCCATGATATACAGTGATTACGCAAGTGGCGAGTCTAACGCAGAGCTCTCCGTAGAGGACATACGGCTGGCTATTGCGGCACGTACACAATACCAATTCAAGCCTACTGCCCCCAAGGAACTGATGCTACAGCTCGCTGCCGAGAGAAACAAGCGGGGTCTGCCTCAGGTCGTCAATATGTGGGGCACAAGACTACCGCCGGAAAAATACTGTTTGACAAGCAAAGAATGGAAATTGGACGAAGAGACGGACGAGAGTAACAACCCTGTGGGCCAGTAGTGGTAAAGCAGGACGAGAGACGAGGCCGCGGCGATGTGAGTTTTCGTTTGTAATGATATGTATATTTTGGAGTAATTTAAAAGTACTTCGTTCGACAACGGCGGCTAGTGCACGATTTCGAATTGTCTCAGTTGGTTTTCCGAGCTTGAGAAGGTGTTTGCTCTGCTCATAGTGGAGTAGTGTTACGTCTTATAAAGAGTTCCAAATCACTAAATACGTTTAGAATTTCCTCTATATACACACTTAAGAAATGCTTGCTCCTATTCAGCTGAAAGAAACATTAAGGCAAGGCATCAAAAAGGCATTCAAAATGCTTTCACAGGGCTCAATTCCAGAGTATGTTTTCATGTGGATTGAAATTACGATATAAGCGCACTTTCTAGCGCCTTTTTCCGCGGTTTTTCGGAAGTTTTAACTAACACTCGGTTTAGAGTAAAGGAAGACAGCGTTGGACATGCTTTGGAGGAAAGAAAATCGAAACTGATGCAGTTCCAGGATCTGGGACCGCCAGACCTGATCACTATGACCAAATATATACCGTCTGCGTCGACCTCGGGATCCCAGTCTAATAATAAACGGACTTTGACGCCGGAACCTTCCTTGGGCATTAAAACCCAGGACCTGCACACCCACGACAAACTTAAGGGTGAAATAGGCACTTTTTTGTACTGTGCCGGTGCAGACACCTCAGACCCAACGTCAATTGCCGTTTATCTCAAAACGCTGGCGGACGTAATATCAGAGGAACCGCAGATCTGGTTTGGCAAGCACAGACAGTACAAAGTGGCGAGAATCACGTATTCGGCCTGGAATGCATTCAGAAAGTGTGATGTACGAGTCGTCGTTCACATACCGGGAGCCGTCCAATCGTACTTGCTTGATGCCAGCGGCGAGATACTGCAAATTGGCGAAGATGATGGGAATATGCTCTGGGCTGAGACGTTTGCCAGCGGCATTGTGCGGAGCATAACGATGGTGACTGACAATAAGGAGGAAGGTGAGGTTAACAGTGTCGTGGAAACCCGGATTTTGAACCCGCTAATGTCAGGCGAGATCGGCGATGTGGCTGAAACTTTTATCAAACTTTTCCCACTGGTTTACGCCAAGGGCCCCACGTTAGGCGGGCCCTGTGATGTTTCCGTTGTGTCTAAAACAAACAATTACTTGTGTGAGACCCTCGTTAACGTTACAAGGCTTGCTCAAAACTTCGATCTAGCTCACTCTGTGCTCGCCGATATGCTCCCACTACATCCAGAAATTGTCGTCTTACTCGCGCGCATCTTGTTCGAGGGAGATCGCGAAATTGAGGCCATAAAGGCCATTCACGACGATCTTGAAGCACAGGGCACCTCAATTGCTGACTACCGGTCAGAGCTGTTGTGCGTGCAAGCGAAATTTCTACTCACTCGGAAACGGGATTGCAAAGCGGCTCGGAGTGTGGCGGAAACAGCGGTTAATTGTTCGCCCAGTGAATTCAGACCTTGGCATTTACTGGTGAGCAGTTACATTGGTCTCAACGATGTAGAAAACGCTCTATTGACGCTAAACGCATCTCCAATGACTCCACTCAAGGAGAAATTCGTTTTCAAAAGAGTCGTTCCCGTGGCGCAGGACTCTCCAAACCTACATTTGCCATTACCCGTAGACGTAATTCTGGATGAAGTAACGGGACTCAGCTCTCAGGATGTGATAAACGAGCATAGAGCAGTAGACGCAAGCTTGATCAACTTACCTGCTGCAAACCTCAAGTCCACGTTCCAAATTGCCTACAAGTTTTTGACGGAAATCGTGCAGAAAACTGGGTGGGAAGCACTACTCAAATACAGATCTAAATTGTTTGTGATGGAGGAAGAATACCAAGTTGCGTCGACTCCCCCTTCGGAATCAGACGGGTCCAAAAACCCGGCTGACGGGTTCCGCTCTAAGAGACTTTGTGAAAGATGGCTTGATAACTTATTCATGCTGCTGTATGAAGATTTGAAAACCTACACGCTGTGGCAGGCCGAACAATTGCACTTTGAGGCCCAAAATACGCGGTACACGAAATCTACCTTGGAGTGGGAATTGCTCGGTTTGTGTGCCTATCGTCTCGGACATTACCGAGAAGCTGCTGTTGCATTCGATCGGGGCCTTGCCCAGCGGTTTTCGGCACAGAGCTCTCGTAAATTGTTGCACATCTATTTACTCCAGCGTGAAACCGTGAAAAATTCGACAGAACTGTCGTCATCGCAATTACTCACGGCTCTGCGTGATCTGGATAACAGCATCATCGATCTTTGCGTAAGACTTTGTTGCTGGAACCATCGTTGGTACTGTGAATTTTCCGTGATCTTGCTTGATGCAATGAGCGTCGTAGTACAGGACCTCGGTCTCACCAAACTTTCGAACGAGATTGCCTCAAGATTCCCACAATCGGTTGTCGATCTGGCTCAGAGAAATCTGCTAGACTTCTTCGCTAATTACACACACGGCGATTACGATAAATAGACCACGATCAAGGTCAAAAAACGCTGCATTTTCATTCGAATTTTTTAAAACACCAAACACCAAAGAGAAACGCTCCTCAAATTGTATCATTTGATGTGAGTCCTGTAAGATGTTCTTACTGAAACCGATCTGGACCAACTATTTAAGCCCGGTCAAGGCCGCGTGAAGGTGGCTCTCTCGAACTGTATAGCTCGAGGTTATTGATCGTAACTTTGTACGAAGGGTCCTAAATTAAGAATACCAGATCTACATAGCCTCCCATCAGTCCGTCTATACCATATATTCAAAGGATCAGAGGAACAACATAAGGATGATTTGGTGGGTTTTGGCGTCGCTGGTATTATGGGCTGGTAGAGCGTTGAGTTTAGACTTAGACACTTCGTCGAAGGATTCAATTTGTAGCGCGACTTCGCTTATTCAAGGCGGTATAATGGACTATTATCTCGGAACCAGATATGGTGGGACAGTGGGGATGTTTCAACCGCCCTATTATTGGTGGGAAGCGGGTGAAGTGTTTGGAGGTATGTTAGAAAACTGGTTTTTATGTCAAAACGACACTTATGAACAAATGTTGTACCACGCGATGATTGCACAAGCTGGACCACATTACGACTTTATGCCAATGAATCAGTCGATGGTGGAAGGTAACGATGACCAAGGTGTTTGGGGTTTGACGATCATGGATGCGGTTGAGAGAAATTTTACAAATCCGACCGAAAAGGGTGTGCCTGGTTGGCTTGCAATGGCCCAAGGTATATTCAATGAGATGTGGGCACGTTGGGATACGGCCCACTGCGGTGGTGGATTGAGGTGGCAAATTTTCACGTGGAATTCTGGCTACAACTACAAAAATACCGTCCCCAACGCGTGTTTATTCCAGTTGGCGGCGAGATTGGGTCGTTACACCGGGAATCAAACGTATTTGGATGTTGCTGGTACCGTATGGGATTGGCTCAATGACGTTGGGTTTATAGTTTTGAGCGATAAAGCCAACGTTTATGACGGTGCCAACACCGATGACAACTGTACCGATATTACGAAAAACGAGTGGAGCTACAACCAAGGTATCGTTCTAGGAGGACTTGCGTACATGTACAACGCCACAAATGGATCTTCCACGTGGGAGACGCGTTTGACACAAGTCTTGGGTGGTTCAGAAGCGTTTTTCTTTAAAAACCAGATCATGTATGAGGCTACTTGTCAGGATTCGGGCAATTGTAACAACGACCAACGTTCCTTTAAGAGTATTTTTTCCAGAATGATGGGTCTCACCAGTGTACTGGCACCTTTTACCGCATCGTCGATTGATCCGCTAATCGAGGCTTCTGCACAAGGCGCCGCCGAGTCTTGTTCAGGAGGAACCGATGGTCACACTTGTGGACTCAACTGGCAAATAGGTAAAAACGACGGAATGTACGGTCTGGGAGAGCAAGCGTGTGCTTTGGAAGTAATACAAATGCTGTTGGTGCACGATAGACCTGCGCCTTACAGCGCAAGCACGGGTGGAACTTCCGTAGGAGATGCGAGTGCGGGGCTCAACACTAGTACGACCAACGTGCTGGAGAGCACCTTAACTATCACACATAAGGATAAGGTAGGCGCTGCCATTTTAACCGCCGTGGTTCTTGCCATTCTAGTCGGAGGTGCTGTATGGATGCTTTTCTAATGATTTGGTGAACACTTTACTTCACGAAGACATGTCGATGTTAAAACTTCTATGAACTTCATTAGTGCATACCATAACGGCACTTCTAATCATTGTCGTTGGATTGAAGACCACACGAAAATGACATCATCTTGCTGGGTTTTACCATAATGCCATTCCATTATAAGTTAAACCCGCCTATCTTCTACCAACTACACAAAGACCTTCGGCGGCTTTCCAATCTAGTGTCGACCAACTTTTCCTGTTTTTTCTTGATTAAAACTCAAAACTCCCGTATGAGATCTTTTTTTCAATAATTTTGGGCTCGTTCAAGAGGGTTTCACGGGTTTCCCTCCGAGGCCGTTTATTGAATGCAGAAAATACCACCAATAAAAGGCGAAACCAGCTGGTGATAGCTTTTCAACTCATCTATATCTCAGTATAAGTACGTCTTGGACGTTGAATAGCGAACATCAGGAAGCATAGCACGTGATCGTTTGGAATTATTAAAAAATTTTCCAGGATTCGATATATTCAAGAGCTACCAAGAATTGAACAACCTGTAAACCTAAATTGTGACTATCCCCTGGGACAATTGGTCAATATGTTAAGGCGAACTTTGCATACTGGTAGAATTTCAAAGAACACGACGAAAATCTGGTCAGATTTCGGCCAAAGACCAGAGTCTTTATCGATATTATCACCCGCGGTGAAAAGATGCGTTTTGCAAGGTACACCAGGCAGTGGACCGCCATCGATCAAGAGAAGGTTTAATCGAGTGAAATATCGGTCTCCTGAGAAGATCGATCAGGTTTTTAAGACTTGTTACGAATTTATGGAGTCCAGAGCCGCGAAAAAGTATGAACAGCTTGCGCAGGAGACCGATGCGGAACAACGTGAGAAATTGGCTACTGACGCGGAATTGAACAATCCAGAAGTGATGTACAACTTTGAATTTAGTGATAAGCGCGAGAACAATCCACGACTTATCGATTATGAACAACCCGTCTACCGTCATTTGGGACGTCGTCATTGGGAATCCTATGGCCAGATGTTGCTCATGCAGCGTCTGGAAACTCTGGCAGTCATTCCAGACACATTGCCGACTCTCGAGCCTCGAGCAGAAATAAGTGTACGTTTCCCATTTTCTACGGGTGTCAATAAATGGATTGAGCCGGGAGAATTGCTGTCTTCAAACGTCACTTGGCTACCACCTGTGATCAAAATCCAAGAATTTGATCAGGTTGATCCAAATTCTCAGCTGTATACTGTGCTTGTCGTGAACCCTGACGAGCCGGACCTTACGTCAGATTCTTTCCACACGGTGCTGCATTACGGAGTTGCTAATGTCAAAATTTCCTATAACGACAATGTGGTAGATTCTCGCAAGTTCGACAGCAACTCGCTGCTTGCAGAATATCTTGCGCCGGTGCCCGAGAAAAATGCAGGCGTACAGCGTTTCGCGGTTTGGGTTTTCCGTCAACAAGGTGCGCTAGAGTTCAAAGAACCTTTACAGCGAATTGGCTTTAATATCCGGGAGTTCTCGCGTCGCAACGGACTTTTGCCCGTGGGAGCCCACATATGGCGCAGTCAATGGGATTCCAACGTTCCTGCGGTTCGTGAGAAATACGCTTTACCTCCGGGCCGCGTTTTCCACAGGGTTCGTAGACCATCGCACTTGTAAACTGCCCTTCCAAATACATGTACATATCTGCATTGAATTCCAAAAGAAATATCGCTTCTCAGTAATCCACTCTTTCTGCTAATATTAAAGTAAAATGTATGTATTTGGCCAAAAACTGGCCCCACGTTCGAGGTCAAAATTTGCTTACAATCATGAATATCTACAAATCTACCACAATTTGACGGTGTGTATTATCTTGTTTTCCTTAGCTCTCAATGTCCCTATCACCAATTTACTGCTTCAAGCCTTCAACAGCTGTCAAAATCACAGCGCCGTAATCCAAATTTGGGTCTTCTAGGTCCAATTTTTTCTCAGAAATTGGCGCTTTCGTTTGCTGTGGAACTTGCAACAAGGCATACTCAGCCTTAGCCTTTTCGATTAGCTTCAATTCCGTCTGGTATTTGTTTTCCTCCTGTTTTCTAGAAGCCTCAGATTTCAACGAGAAATCTGTCTTGAAACCCACAAGAGCTCCTAGAGCGACGGCAGTATATCTCAAAACGTTTATCGTAGACATTTGAACCTGATTCAAGTATATGGAAGGGTCAATTTAGCCTTATATCGACGTTTATATGGTGTTACCATGAGTTTACCAAGTTTCTTGAAATTCGTTACCTAAAATTTTTCATGAAATCTGGATTCATGAACCAATCATATTTAAGAATGGATCTTGAAAAACGCTACAAACTTGAATCTGAACGTTTACCCTCAATAGAAATCAGGTTTACCTTTCTGAAACTCAGATATGTTTATCAGTTTTGGGAGAGGAGGTTCAGCTTTCCAACGAGCATCTTACCGTATGTTTTGGTCGGGAATGGGAATAGTTATGATCGGAATTGTACTAACGTGTCAAGACGCGTACAAGTGTGGGAAATGGGGCGTGAGAAGCTTTTTTAGCGGTGGAAGTGGTAGCAGTGGGTCTCACCAAGGTATAGGAGCAAATGGGCCCGATTTTAGCTTCAAAGCCGTTGTTGCTTGCCAGCCAAAAGACAGATCAGATGCGATTTATGCTAAACTGGACAAATCCTCTCCTACTGGCGAGGACAATTTCTTTATGACCATGAATCGTGGCCATGAGCTTTACGCGGGTGTTGCAGATGGTGTAGGTGGCTGGGCAGAACATGGTTACGATTCCAGTGCGATCAGTAGAGAATTATGTGGTACTATGCGTGAATTGGCCCAACACAAAAGTTTTGATCCTCAGACACTTCTTGACGCTGCGTTTTCGCATGTTAAACAAGCTGGAATTGTGAAAGTTGGGGGAACAACGGCTCTGGTAGCCAAATTATCCCGCGACGGGAAACTCTCAGTTGCAAATTTAGGTGATTCCTGGTGTGGTGTTTTTCGTAATGCCAAGCTGGTTTTCCAAACTAGATATCAGACGGTTGGTTTCAATGCTCCGTACCAGCTGGCCATCATACCAGATCATATGGTGAAAGAAGCGGCTCGAAAGGGTGGTTCGTATATTCAAAATAAGCCCACAGATGCAGATGAATACAATTTCCAGCTACAGCATGAGGATATAGTAGTGCTGGCCACTGATGGGGTTACTGACAATATTGCTACGGGGGACATGGAACTTTTTTTGAAAGATCATACTCGTACTTCGAATTTACAAACTGTTTGCGACGAAATTGTTGCACAAGTTGCCAAGTTGAGCAAAGACCCTCAATTCCCAAGTGTGTTTTCCCAGGAGCTCTCGAAGCTCACGGGCAAACGCTACCTGGGAGGCAAAGAAGATGACATCACGATGGTGGTAATTAAAGTAAAGTGATCTCTGATTTTGGACTAGTCATCTACACTTTACGAAAATGCATTGAAATTTATGTACAAATGAATTAACTAGTAAACGCTAAAATTTTCATTAAAGACGATAGCATTAGTACGCTGGCAGCCGGACGATTTAGTCAAATTTCTGACTCAAAACAATATTTTTAATCTTTTGCCTTTCTGCCTTTAGTTTTTCTCCCTGTTCTAAAACATCTGCTACAAATTTGACATGACCCGGTAGAGCTAATTTTTTAGCCTGCGTTTTCTTGCCCGATTTGCTTAAAAAGGTGAATGACACTTTGTGGGATTTGTCTTCGTTTGCCGAAATGGCTGTTTGTACCACACCCGAGTCCATTGCTCCAATATTATTCCCTGACGAAACCATAGGAATACTACCCCCCGATATTTTTTCGTTTTTACGACTCTCCATGGATTCTTGCATTAGCAATTTGAATTGTCGATCGAAGTCTTCTTCGGCTTTTCGGTCTTCTTCTGAACGTAGGTGAGCCTCGTATTCCTCTTTTGCACGCCACTTCTCCAAATAGTCATCAACCTTTGTAAAATCGTCTTCATCTTCTGACGAGCTGCTAGTACTATCCTCGTCGCTTAGATCTTCTGATAAAGCGCCATTGTTCTTGTCTTGTTCCTCTTCTTGCTCACTATCCGACAAATCGTCATTAGAACTATCCTTGCCATTTGATGCAGCATCGTCATCGTCCCCTATAGCCGCGTCCGAGTCGTCTGCATCATCGTCATCTGCGTTTGCAACTAGTTCCATCCCAACTACCCCCAAATTTTTAAGCAGATCCTGCAACATTTTGGAGCTCTCGGTTATTGTTGAACTCCTTACGAAAGCCGATGGTGGGGCCATTTTGGAAAAGGCATCTTCTAATCTGAATTGAGTTTCTTTAGGGAGAGGATGGTCTTTGACAAAAGAGTAGTATTCCAAAAATCTCATCAGAAGATGCATTTTTTTCTTAAGATTGGGAGTGTTCTTTTCAATGGATAATAGCATCGTAGTGACCAACTGAATTCTGAAATAGTTGTCTGGCAAATCGTATTCATTCAAGAATCCCAAATTTGGGCTTCCTTTGGGGTACCCGTATTTCAATATTCTGAACATTGTGTCCAAAATGACTTCAAACCTTATAAGGTCGTGATTGTAGAGAAGAACAAGGTACTTGACGTGAGCAATTCTTTTCATATTCATGCTAAAATCGTTGATTTCCAGTCCCCTTAGAACATTCTCGAGTATGGCGTCAATAACTTTTATGACAAAATTCCTGTGATAAGGATATATTCCACCAGTAACCTTCGCTAAATTGTCCATAGACTGAAAACTGACTTTTTCAGGCTTGATAAATATGGCAAATAACGTATGGTAAACTTCCTTGTTGCTCCAGTCAGCTTTCCTGACTAGTTTGGTAACTTTCTCCGGCTGGAAATTGTTGAGTTCTCTACGCAAAAGGACGCGGTAAAACTGCTGCTCGGCGGATAGAGTTTTGGTTTGCGAGTTAAGCTTACTCAAAGACGGTGGATAAATTAAGACGACCAAGTTATCAATAGCGCATTTGTTACTGACGGAAAGACCATGATCTTTCTTCTTTTGCTGAAGGAGTTCTACCATTTTCTCCATTTGTTCCTTGTACATCGGGTGGTTGATCAAAAACTTTCCGAAGTTCTCAAATAAAATTGTTAAAATTTCGATGTTGTTGGGCGTGTTGATATTTAAAATTAGTGCCCTTATCTTGTGGAAAACCATAAACGGTGGTATTTGAGAGAACTTGACCATTTCAGAAAAATAAATGATGTTTTTAACATTTATCTTGTTTGAATGGAGTTGATTTCTAAAGCCGCTGTCGAGATGCTGTATAAGCTCTTCTTTAATTTCCGCCAAGGGAGCTGCATTAGTGGCAATGAACCGAGCATAGAGTCTTATCTTACTCCAGTCCGGTGACTCAATGAAGAACTTCAAAAGCCGTTTTCTAGTGGCTTTATTATCTAGATTGTTAGTCCAATATAACAATGACAGTTCGTCAATTGCTTCTTTGGTTTCCGCCTGCTCGAGCTTCGTAAAAAACTCATTCACTGAGTCCGTCTTAGCGTCTGCCACATCGCCTTCACTCTCTTGACTTGCCATTTCGAGATTTGGTAGAACCTCGTAAAATTTTTTGGTGGCTTCATTTTCCCAAAGCCGGTCTGAAGCGATTTTGATTTGATTTGTTATAATCGGGATATTTTCTTCCTGCTCTCCAGTTAATAATTTATCAAGGGTTGGCATATCCAGACCAAACGTCTTGGATAAAATCAAAGCAGCGTTTTCAAATCTTTGCAAAACTGGTTCCAGCCCACTTGCCTTTTCCGAAAACTCGTCCGTCGTCTTACCAGTACGAATCTGCGCCTTTCTATGTTCTTTGATTAGCTTGTTCAAGGTCTGATTCAACTCAGCGGCTCGCACGTTGACTGCTTCGCTGAACACTTTGAGAAGCCTGTAAACCATTTTGTTCATGTCTTCATCTTTGAACGGCTCAGGATCACTTGAGGCATCAAACAGGATAACATCAGAAAATCGTTTTACGAAATTGGTCGCAATAGTGGTAGAGTAACCATCTTTAAATTTAAAATTCAAAACCTCTCTCAAAACGGTAAAGACTAGAGGTTCTTTCTTTCCGAGTCTTCTAGATATAAAAGTCGGCAAGTTTTCCTTAGAAGTGTATTCTAAACAACGGAAAACGCCAACGAGATGCAGTTCGGTTAATAGACGCACGCATACTTTCCCCTTGACAACACGTGCAGCTTCTTCTTTTTCGGTTTCTGTTTCTAGTTCCTGATTAGAGAAATTGTGCAAAAAAAGCTCAAGCAATGCGGGCGAAAACCTTTGACTAAACCGCTGATGAAGTGCGCTTATGATTTCCACGGCCGCATCTATGTCCTCGTTCTTACCAGACACTTTGGTAAGTCCCTCATGGGCCGTTACGACGATTTCTGGTAAGTATTTCTCTAAAGAGATCTCTTGAATGTCCTTTAATAAACCCGTTTTGCTGTCTTTAGCGATACCTAACTTCAGTTTTTTTATGAATCCAGTGTTTTTCTTGATACTGGAGTCCAATTTCTTGCCGTCCGAGGAAAATATTGGCTCACCATTCCATGCTTTGACGTTTAAGTTGTAAAGTTCCCTGCGTCGTTCATTCTGTGCGTACTTCCTGTTAGTCCTGAAGAACTTTTGACCGAGTTTTCCGGGCTTTTAAACCATGGGAGCTCATCTCGAACATCTGCTCCTTAACATACATCCATGCTTAAACGGTGTCAAAAACCTAAGCTTCCTTTTGGCAACTTCTAGGCATCTGATTGATTTCGACGGTAACGCACAGGTAATCTTTTCAACCAACTCGATTTACGTTCAGAATGACAAATCCATCTGAACCCGTCTTGCTCCATTGAGAGTGTCATTTGAAGCCTTGTTGACCCAGTTTCTTGGTCAATTCCTCAATTTGGACGTCGATCTCATTGACATTGCTCGTAAGGGTAGAAGCTTCGTCAAGCTTGCGCCGCTTTGTAGCGTCCTCTATCATTTCTTGAACTAGGAATCTCTGCTCTTTTAAAACCATCAACTGCGTTCGACAGGACTTAACTTCCTTTATGGTAAGATCATTGTCAAATTTGAGCTGCTCTGAGGCTTGTGGTGAGGTACGTTCTTGTGTGTTCAGCTTGGAAGATATAACAGAAGAAATGCTTTTCAATGGAAGCATTTTATCTTGAATGAAAGTGGCAGAACTTAACTTGATAGAGGCTATTATTCTGGCTTCAGAGGCATTAGAAGCTTGCATTTGAAGTATTTGTTTTGTCATGAAGTCGTACATTGAAAAGGAGTCTAGCAACTTTCGCCGCAACTTGGAAAGTTGAGAAATTTCGTCTGGGGTCGCATCAATGCCGCCTGCGCGATCGAGCACCCTCTCAACATTCGGTAAAATACCCATAATGACCCTAGAAATATCATGAAGACTTTCATACTTTTGAAGTAAAGCAGAAAGCGGGGTTACTCGCTCTTTCAGGAATTTCCGTTTCTTAAACAATGACTGTAGGCACACAGCACAAATCCTTATCTCGATATCTAGAACATCTGCACCTGTTTGTGCGGTTATTTTCAGAGGCAAGTCCGCAGCGGCATTGATCAAATTTTTGAGCGGCAGCAGGTTCGAGCAATTGTTGATTTCGTTATCGCACACAACTTTCCCGCAAAGCCTGCAATGATGTTTGCGAACTGTGATCGCGAAAGCAGTTTCGCAAATGTAACATCGAATTGCAAATTCATCACGTTCCCACGGCACTATGCTTTTTTCCAACTTGCTAATTTCCGCACTGATGCGTAAAGAAGCCATGAAAGTTCCTTCAAAGACTCGATAAACATAAACGATACCATTAACCAGTCTAATAAACCTATGTTCCAGTTGTAACTCACGCAAATCTCGATCCTCATTATTAGACTTCCTGGCCTTCGAAAAGACAGCTGTTCTGTCACGGATAAACCCAAATTCATTGTAACCGGGCCGGTTTTCGAGGCACTTGAGACAGCATTTACATGGTTCCCCACGAATAGGATCGTAATGGGCCATTCGGTCAAGTTTCACAGGCTGTTTACAATGTGCTCTGCAGAACAGCAGCCCACATTTTCGACAGTTGATAATCCCATTTTCTTGATTCAAAATCTGATGACAGAATTCACATCTGCTCGAACCCTTAATCGGTCTTATCCAATGATCCTTCTTCATATCGATCTGTCGACGAAGGTGTCTATCAATTTTAGCATGTTTCTTGGTCCCGTTGGGTAATTTACTAGGCCTTCCTTCTCTGTCTTCGGCTTTCTTCATCCCCAGTTGATGAACATCATCCAAATGCGAATTCAAATTCACAAGACCTTTTACCTCTTCTTCACATATTGGGCAAGCGTACTCATCTGAATCGTCCAAACCAGCAGCTTGGGAGACTCCTGAAGTTGTTGACCCATTGGAAAGAACCATTTACTCCTAAAGTTCATGTGTTGTAACAGACCAACTTTCATTTTTGGATTCTTCCTCTTCGCTATTGAACTAATTTACCTATACTGGGCAGAGATGATATACAAGGAAGATCTTTTACTATGTGGGATATTGGTGACAAGCTTCTACATTGCTTATAACAGGTCTTATCAATTCTTGTGGAACAATTTGCATTGGTTTTTCGATAGAGACCTTTTTGAATACCAAGATTGCTTGAAAGCCAGAGACATGTCCAGAAGAAAAACTCGATTTCAGGAGAAACTCCATAGTGAATATGCTGTTGAGTCAAAGAAGTTCAATGCAACGCTTAGATCGTTGTTCTCACTGAATTTTGGATTATATTTGATTGCCATCGAAATGACACTTTTGCAAATCAAAAACGCAGACATTAAAGAATCGCATTCCTTTGCAAGTGGGATCATATGGCCATGTATTTCCGCCGGACTAATGGTAAGTCTTATCTTTGCTCAACCTTATTTGATATGTCTTTCTGTGCTAAGCAAATTTCTAGGCGATAGATACTCCAGAGACGCTATAGTCGCAATGACAAGCACGGCCATGATACTGTGGGTTTTGAGCTTGAATTTATTGAATTTTGGCCCATTTAAGCATACCCAGAATCTTTTGACGAAATTGTCGATAGTTGGTGTCAGTGTCATGGCCTTCCTGTCGGGCGTCGCATCTGTATCAACACCATTTTATGCGATCAGTTCATTTTGGAGAAAATACAAAACTCATGCTAGAGCTGAATTCAACTCGTCTGCTGATGTTTTTACTTCTGGGAGAAAAGCATCAAATCAAGAGAAAAAGTCTTCGAAACTGAAATCCAAAGTAATTGATAACTTCAAAAGCATTTTTAAAATCATTTTCCTGTTTTACTGCATTTACAAGCTATACTCGGTATTTTTCAGGCGGATACCTGCTATAATCAAGCATGTTCACCATGATGCCAATGATGCGGATTTTGAGCGTTTTACTTCGGCGGAAAACAATTCTCCCAGTGACCCACTAGCAGTCACTTTAGCCAAAATCCTGGATTTTCTGTTTCTGAAACTTAACTATCAACAAGAGCTCGATTCTTTTACCAAACTGATTTCTTTGATTCTTTCGGTGTCACTTTTTGCATGTTCTTTTACCACAGTGTTAACTACTGTTTCCTATCTCATCACTGTCCTTCCTTTGCAAGGTAATATCGGAGCCCTCAGAAGTCTTGGAGACGCGGACAGTACGGACCCACTTCCTCTTTACAACAACGAACAACAACGAAGAAAAAAGCCTGTATCCATTATCAAAAATTTTGTCATATCGGAATTGACCGGCGTTTACGTGTCAGCTACGATACTAATGATCCGTTCTAACCTACCTTTTGATATTTCAGAAAAGCTTAACGAACTTCTTGGGAAAAAGTTCATAGTACCGAGTATCCTAATAGATATTTGGTTTGATCAAGTCTTTGCGATAAGCGCAGTTTTAACACTGGTGGGCATCAGGATCGCTCAAAATTCTAACCAAAAATCAAAACGTCTTCATCAATGATGCATTTAAAACTTAAGTACCTTTTTAAAATCTCAACTTTGGAAGGTCAAACGCAGCTACATCGGCTGTCGTCATTGATGCAGGTCTTTCAATGACCACTAGTTCGTTATGAGAGAGCACGTCCGCGAATAAAATTGGCCTATATTTGTCGGTCAAAAAGTAAGATTTATCGGTACCCACAGGTTTACGCTCGGTTACTTGCTTGGAACTCAATGCAAATTCGTTCAAGATATTGGCTTCATCGTCTTCATCGTCGTCTTCATCACCGATATCTGTCGAGGCTTTGGTTACCGAACCCCCGTCCCTCGAACGTTTCTCGGGCTTCCTTCGAGAGCTCACAGGTAGATTTTGAGAAAGGTCTAAATTCATTAACAGATTCACACCCCACAGCCAGACTCTATTCTCGTTATCCCCATCACAGAAAACCCCCAACCACTTGTTTTTCAGATTCTCGAAATCCTTCGGCAGGCGATCCTTGTTGGTTTTGCACCACTGTGATAGTACCGAGTCTTCGTGTTCGGGGTTTACATTAAACTCTAAAAGTTTATTGTCGCTCGTTGTGAGCAGAACTGTATCTCTTTTTGAAAGTTGAAGGGCAGTCACAGCATTTGGCAAACGAGCAAGCGTTCGAACAGAACCTTCTTCGATGTCTATTACTTGTATTGACCCAGAGGGGCGTGAAATGACGGCTCTGTTTTCAAAGGCGTCAATGTGATCTATCGTATTCATCCAGTCAAGCCTTGTTGCAATAGAAAAATCCGAATCATCTGGCATTCCTATCAAGCGAGGCTTCTCGTCATTTTCATCGTCTTCAAGGTCTAAAAAGAGGATTTCATCATTCGCTGATACGAATATAAGTTTCGAATTGTCGATGAATCGCACATGCTTGCAACCTGTCTTGAGTAAAAAATCATTGTCCAGTTTTGTCACCTTGACTTTTGAAGCCTGTGGTTGCAGATGAAACACTTTGGTAGAGCTCAACCTCCCAACGACGAGAACCTGTCCATCAGGAGACAGAGCGCAAGTGGCGATGTGTTGCTCGTCTTTCAAAGATAGTTTGCAAACTAACTTGTAGTTCTTGGCTTCCAACTGGTCTATTCCAATGGCCCAGATTTTGATAACTGACTGTTCCCACATCACGCACAGCCGCTGTTCTTTGTTAATCAAAATGTTTTTCTGAAATGGCACTTGGAAGGGAATCTTGGTGTATATTCCATCAGAAAACGAATCTAGCGGACTGACAACCAAAGCTTTTTCGGTTCCACCGGAAACGAGAAGTTGTGCATTTTTGGCCTGAAAAGAGGTCATAGTCCTGACGTCACCGGCGTGGAGTAATCTATTGCAAGTCACAATCCATTTGGAGAGGGACTTCGGACCGGTAGGCACGTTCGAAGTAAACTCATAGATTTTCCGATCGACCCCAGCACTAAATAACTTCGAATTGTTTTCATCAGTAGACAAGCATAGCACGTCAGCGTCGTGAACTTTAAAACTTTGCACGAGCGTCGCGAAGTGACAATCCCAGAACTTGATTGCACCGGTGGAGTCACCGGAAACAATTTGGTTGATTTTGGGTAGATAAATAACGACCCAAACAAGCGTTGATTCCTTTTTGGATTTGTCCACTTTCATCGTGTTTAAGAGACGACCTTTTGTAGGCGCGTCTCGCTCAGCATTCCAAGTTCTTATCCTTCCGTCAGCGCAACCACCAATGACGGCATGGTCGTATTGCCATGCAACAGACAAAACACGAGAATTGTGTCTTTGCAGAATGAAATCGTGTTCCATGGAGCCTTTGCCGCCCGAAATGTCGACAAGCACGACAGAACCATTGTCACACCCAACAGCAAGCCTGTCCTGAGACGAGTTGATTGCCATGGACCATATGACGCCACTGTTACAGTCATAATTTTTCAGAGGTAAGCCGGTTTCCAAATTCCATTCCGTAAGGGCCGTCGACCCACCTATCGAGAACAGTCTCAAAGGTTCACCTTCTACATTACACCAAACAAGTCCCTCGATGGTTCTGTCCTTCCCCCCGGGAAATTTTAATTCTTGGAACCACCCATTACGTGGATTCCACAGCTCAATATCCCCGTTGGATCTCCCTACTGCAAGTCTTAAATCGTTTGGTGCACGTTTTTCACAGTTCGAAGTATGCGAGAAACCCAGTGCCGTAATGTTACTGCCGTTATAGTTCACGAATCTGGCTCGATGGACAGCCCTGCTCGACTCGCTGGAGGTCATATGTGTGTTGCCAAGGCGCGGTTTTCGAGATGCGATGAGATGAGATGAGATGAGATAGAAAATTTTCATATTCTTGAAATGGTGAAAAATTCAATAGTGAAAATGTCATCAATTCCTGCTTAGAGAGGAAAGAAAACGTGAAATAATGGCATGTTAAAGGATCTACCTCCAGTTTAGCTATTGTCAGTAATTATTTAACAAATCGTGATTTCAATGTTTTGTTCAACTTTTTAAACCGACCTTTGTAGCGTAATAACTTTCGTTTTTTAAATTTCGAGGAAAACAGTCTGTTTTTGTATCCATTTATGTAATGTTATCAGTCTATCCTATTGAGGGTGCTTTTCCGGTATTTTTTCCAACTCTATGGTCTTAAGCGCTCCGAAATGAGCTCCTTTACCTGAAATCGAAAGACGAAGACAAAAATATTCTTGAAGAGTGCCGACAAAAACAGTCTTGGCATCTGCACATTGCGCGGGCAGCTCGAGTAAGGTTTGATGAGTGCGGGAAAAAAGGCTTTGAGTAGTTCTGGAATTTACAAACGTTGTGAAATATTAAAAGTCGAAATTCTTTCCCAACATCCTGACTACGTAGGGTCCTATCGGGTGGCTTGTCAAGTTATCGGTGCTTTTGGTCGTTCACGTCGCCGAGTAGCCTCTCTACGTGAGATGTTTGCTAAGCTGGTTTTCAAGTTTTCAAGGTAATATGTGTCTTTTGGAAATAAAATGTTGGCAAAAGCTTTGAAAAAGTTCATGCTGATTCAATTGCCCCGAAGTTTGCTAGATTTAGCTTCGAAGGTTCTACCTCTGCATTAGTCGCGTTGAATGGTCGACAATTTGCATCCCTCCAAAATCATTGAAAGGGAAGGTATTTCATTAATTTCAGTCAATTGCAAAATACACCCAGCAAGGTTTCTCGTTTCTCGAAAAAGTCCAAACTCGCTGTAAAGTAACAGAAAACGGAAAGGCTATCCTTGGAAATATCTTACGATACGTGTTATTAAGTTTAATTGAATGACGTCACGTAATTGAAAAGACAGAATAGCCGTGGATGTTCAACGGGAAGCTATGATTACCAATCCTAAAAATGGTCAGAAATCGCTAATTAAGTACTATGAGATCATTCGTAGTGTCATAGGGGCGTAGTGCGACGCTTACAGCATGTTCATCATCAAAAGTAAAAACTGTATCACACAAATTGTATAAGAGACGATGCGACCTACGGCGTCCTACTGTTACAATTGCGGATATCCAAATGCCAAATACCTAATATATTTACTATTGCGAAGCGTGGAAATCATTAAATTAATTGATGAGTGTCGACTATCGACGCTGGCAATCCTCAGTATTGTCTTGCCCATTCTCACGAAATGGCTTCCTTCCTAACAAACTGGAAGCATTTAAACTCTCAACCATCAGACAGGTCTTGTTAATGTTGAGGTGTATCATTGGCGATGGTTGATAGTTTTCTGAACTGTTCATTTCATTCGTTCATAATTGATCTAAATAATAAAGCTGGTAAGGAATTGAGTACTTATATCTCTCTGTGGCTATGTTACGACCATGAACACTACGATCCTGGTCATATCAGCTCCTTTTATACAATTTCTGTAACATTGATCCAAATTTGGAATCCGTTACTTTCTTCAATCTAGATGGTGAATTCTCATCATACGTCATTCATCATACCACATATGATCTGATCACGATGTTCTGATGATTCTAGAACTGTCAATGGACCTGTTTTAGCTTCTAGCTCTTTCGTGGAATGCCAACCGTTTGTCCAATCCTCTAATTTTATTCTGTCATATCGATCACGTGATGATGCAATTGGACGATATCATCTTCTCGCCAACTCCTTCCAACAGTTAAAAGCTATTACAGTGGCACATTTATCATTCCGAAAACGCCCAGTTAAGTTGATCGACTCCAGTTAAACTGTCATCAGGATCACGTGCGAATAAAACATATCTGAAGCGTACAATCAAAAGCGGCAATATTCAGTGAAGGCTCAAAGGATTACTGTTACAAACCTCACTAAGTATTTCACAAGAGCCTATATGCCATATTTGGGCGATCGATAATTAATTTTCATGAATTCAAAATTCCACCAATTATAGCGGAAAGAACTGCCAATTCCAAAGGACAAAAAGGCGCAGAAAAGATTTTATTACATTTATAGGAGACGAAAGAAATGCAAATTCGAATTGTGGTGGCGTATAGGAAGCGCCTTTGATGATCGTGTCTTCTACCCAACTCGTGTGCTTTCCGGCGTCATATCACTCCATACGAATGAGCTCTTTCACAAGATTCAGAAGTAAACACCACATTACGATACAAGATGAGCCGAAGCTTAGCTTCTCGAACACCCCATCCGATGCAGGAAGCTGTTGTTGAAGCATCCCCAAATAATGGTGCTGGGTCATCTGCTAACGTGAGGCTTTTCAGGGCGCTCGCAGACGTGTTTCAGAAAGCACAATCGACTTATGCAGGTCATCGGAGACACATATCAGTTTTGAAAAGAATACAAGCCAAAGCCATTGAACAGGGATACGAAGAGGTTTTTAACTACTGGTTTAACAAGCTTGTTGTTTTGGTGTTACCGCTCAGAAGAGCTGAGCCGGCTGGTGACCGAATTGTGAGACTGGTTGGAGGATTCATTGCAAGCAGCGAACAAGACGTTGAACAAGCGAGAGCAACGGACGAAACTACGTTTGCGGAACAAGAAGAACAATTATCACGGTTCATTGACCAATTTGTTCGACACATATTACGTGGCATTGAATCCAAGGACAAAAATGTCAGATATAGAGTCACACAATTACTAGCTGTAATAATGGATAATTTGGGTGAAATCAGTGAAGACCTGTACAACCTGATCACATGGTCGCTCGAAAAGCGCGTCCACGACAAAGAACCTTCTGTGCGAGTGCAGACGATTTTTTGTCTTACCAAATTTCAAGACGAGGACGGCGATTCCATAGATCCCGACAGTGCTACTGCATCTCTCGTAACGGCAATTCAACATGATCCCAGTCCAGAGGTACGACGTGCTTCAATGCTAAACTTGGTACTTAACAACCAAACACAAGAATACATTTTCGAAAGAGCTCGAGATGTGAACCCCGTGAACCGAAGACTCGTATTCTCACGCATTCTCAGATCTATGGGCAAAAAAGTTTTTGCTGACGTCGAAATTGAGAGTTTGAACCGTTTGCTCAGTTGGGGGCTCGATGATCGGGATGAAAGTGTCAGAAATGCGTGTGTAAGGCTGGTGGCATTCGATTGGTTAAATATCATGGACGGCGACGTGATACAATTGTTGTCGTATTTGCAAGTTTCGAAAACCTCTTCATCCGATAAAGTTGTTAACGCCATTCTGGAAAGTAGACCAGACATTATTAGCAAAATACAGCTTCCTTCCGACATATGGGATGATGTGAGCACCGAAAGCGCTTTTTTAATTAAATCCCTTTACTTATTTTGCATCAAACACAAGCTAGACGACGTTATCGACAAAAACTTTCCCGAAGCGACTTCTCTATCTCAAACTTTGCAAAAATATCTGGACAAAAGATATAGTCAAGAGGGTCTTTCAGCGAAGAATGAGCAAAATCTCGAATTCGTTATATTACAGCTTTTTTCGGCCGCATCCGAGTACGATTACAGTGATGAAATGGGGAGGCGAGCAATGCTCAACTTGATAAGAAATTCGCTGGCTCGATTCAAATTACCAGAACCCTTAATTCAAGCTGGCTTAAAAGTTCTAAGGGCACTTTCCATAAATGAACGCGATTTTATAACAATGAGCGTTGAAATCATCACCGATTTGCGTGACGAAGACATTGAGCGACAAGAACAGGCGGATGAAGAGAGAGAAATTGACTTGGGTGACGACGAAGAACGTCCTGATGCCATTGAGTCATTTAACTCGGCAGTTGAAAACCTTGCCAAAGGGGTTGAAGAGCCTCAACAGGAAAACATTGAGAAGTTTGCTATCGAAAAGGAAGCAGGTTCTGAGACGCTTATGATCTGTCTCGTGCTTTCGCGTTATATGCTGGAACTCATCAACACCCCGTTACCTGAGAATATTTTGATTTATTCCCTGATAGACACCCTAATACGGCCGGCTGTACGTAATACTCAACCCGAGATCAGACAACTAGGGCTGCGAAATCTAGGCTTATGTTGCATCTTAGACGTTGAATTGGCAGCTGAAAGTATGTTCATCTTGGGAATGTGCGTCTCAAAAGGAGATCCCTCTCTGAAAAACATAGCCCTACAAGTGATAGTTGATGTATTTTCGGTACATGGATCAAAAGTGGTCGATGGGGAGGGGAAGGTGGATTCCATTTCATTGCATAAAATATTTTACAAAGTGTTGAAGAACCACGAGCTGCCGGAATGTCAAGCAATCGCTGCCGAAGGATTGTGCAAATTGTTTTTGGGCGATGTTTTTGTCGATGATGATTTGTTCGAAACCTTGGTCCTCTCGTGTTTTTCACCGGCAAATGCAAAGAATGAAGCCTTAGTGCAAGCCTTCGCCTTCTGCCTGCCAGTGTATTGCTTTTCTCATCGTAATCATCAGAAAAGGATGGCTCGCGTGGCTTCGGACGTTTTTCTTCGATTAACGATGCTATGGGACGACTTACAGAAAGGTGAATGTGATGATATGGCACCTGAGGCCATGCTCAGACCGGGTGCCATCCTTCAACAACTTATTCACTGGACTGATCCCAGTAAACTTGTGAATCAATCCAAAGAATCAGATGATACAGAAAATTATCAACTAGACTTCTTATTGAATGTATTGAAGATATACAACAGATTTGAGAGAAAAGATGTGAAAAAAATGTTACTGACTAACATTAATAAGATTACATTGACATCTGAGGATGATTTGCACAAGCTAGAGGAAATTCGCGAAATTCTTCAAGACATCGACGATAATGACAATATCGACGTCAGCTCTCATAAATCCATCAAAAAGATCGTCGAACATGTGGAGCAAATCATAACGGAGGCAAAGTCTGAAAAAGTGGAGGAGGATTCATCAAACCAATCAGAAGATGAATATTCAGCGATTCTCAGCACAACTGGCGAAAATAATGCGCATACGCCACCACCACCGAGACAAGAATCTTTTGGTGATCCGCATGAGTTTGATTCTCCTATGGATATGTCAAGGGATATGATTGATAATACACCATCAAGAAAGCCTTCACGCGAAGTAGGCTCACAAGATATGGCTAAGAGCCGCAACTCTACAGTGCCCAGAACGCGAAAGCGCTCAAGGGAAAATACGAGTAGTCAGAGGCGGGAAAGAATCCACGGAAGTGACAATGTAAACAGAACGGTAAGTTTTATTTTACCAAGTGACGACAATAGTGTTACTGATGAAGGGAATAGCTCCACTTACGACAGCTAATGCAGATGGTGTCGTGATTATATTTATGCTTGATTAAGTTGGTATTTACGGAACGAAAAGTTGCCGACTATGCTTTGGGCTCTGGTTAACAGAATGCTTTGAGGATTTGATCGTCTCTTAAGTACTGCTTGACGAGTAGGTGTATCTCTAACAGCAAGTTCGGAAATCGTTGCACGAAAAATAGGTAAAATCCATCCGGAATGGGTCCCATAACCTCAGCTAACTCTTCTGGAAGGTCCATGAAATGATGGTATTTATTGCGGAAAGCTCTCAGTAGGTCCATCACCTTGTCGCCATTGTACTTTCTGTACTTCCCCAAATTCTCCATGAACACTTTATCAAATTTTCTGGTCCAATCCCGGTTAGGTATGATAAGATTGGCCTTTTCTTCGAGCTTTTCTAAAAGAAAGCTAGGTGGATCTCGTATTTCAATTTCAAATCGATCGCTGACTTTCAGCAAAAACTCTAACTTCTTAGACACAGACCAAAATAGTGGATGCTTTAGCACATCTAAAGCAGATGGACGCCGAACAGAGTTCACGTCTATCATGCGTGATATTAGATCCTTCGCCTCCAGGACCGAGGACTTGCGGTTTAGCGAATAGTGCAGTTTATCGAGAACATATTTCCCTCTCAAAATATTTGCCTCTCTAATATATCTTTCACCAAACGGATGACTGCCGCCCGAGAGAACATAATAAAATATGCACCCTAGTGAAAATATATCAATCGAGAACGTCAGCCTCTGGGACGAAGCATCAGAATCTACCGCTTGCAAAGTTGTGGATTCACTGAGGACCGGGCCCAGCCCACTATTGACTTGAACAGAACCATTCAAAAGCTCAGGAGCTCTCCATCCCACCGTTCCCGACGCGTTAACAGCTGTGGGCTGGAAGGAAGACTGATCTCCGTCCAGCTTTTTGCATAGCCCAAAATCAGAAATCAGAATTCTTGGTGAACCCGTCATTTCGCTGGCGCGAGAAGATTTGCGCGACGATGCGATAAGAATATTTTGAGGTTTCAAGTCCCTGTGAACAATTCGCATTGAATGCAAGTGCGCTACCCCCTGAGCCACCTGAGTCAAAATCTCAATTGGATCGATAGCTTGCTTCAATCCTAACAATGCTTGCGATGCTTTTTTCTGCTCAACTACGTCTTCCAAAGTCCCAGTGCATAACTCCAATGCTATGTATAGAAACCTTTCAGTTGCTTCAGAACAAAAATATCGGACCACGTTAGGATGATGGTCACTCTCCGTCAATAAAAGAATTTCTTTCGTAGCAACCTCGTAAAAATCAATGAGCATTCTCTTTACTGCCACTGGTCTATTTTGAAAGCTTCCCTGAAACACAACAGTTCCCGCTGAACCATATCCGAGAACTTTATCCGAAATAGTGAGATGTTTCAAATCATTTTCAAAGTCAAATTGCCGGACGTCAACTTGATCGGTAAAGTCAACCTCAGTCTTTCTCTTCATTTTTTTCCCACCCCTTGATCCTCGCTTCCTTTTCTTCTTATCTGTGGAGGAGAGGCCATTCGACTTTTCTGCCTCACCAACGTCAGAATCCGAAGGTGACCTTTCTTTCCTAGCCTCCTCATGTTCAGATGGAACAAAAATGTCTCTAATTTTGTTTTTGGAAACATTTTCTGCAACTTCTTGGGACTTCAATTCGTGTTGAGCTAGGATCCCAACTCTCTCGAGAATTTTGTGAATTGGTGGGATGGCTTTGACTTTTGCAAGGAAGCCCAGCATGACAAAAGAAAGAACTAACATCAACCCCCCCTCAAAAACTCGATAAATGAAACTAACAAATCGGTGAGATAAACTGTCTTCATTAATTTTTACCAAGTTGTCTGTAAATTCCTTTTCCACCTGTAATTTGTATGCCAAGAGGTCGCTTGCAGAAACATATCTCTCCAATTCATTAAACGAGCTCTTTACGACAAGTTCTTTCCCTTTGGAAGCATCATTTGTACGTCCACCAATTGATAATCGAGACGCTGCTGGGAAGGTGACAGAAGAGGGTAAAACTCTATCTTGAGAAATAGGCGCAAAGTCTAGCTCTCGCAGATGGTGCACACCCAAGATGATTTGCTCTAAGTGGTGTTCGTTAATAGCATCCGACCCAAGCTTCCACAACTCATCTGCTCTAAAAGCTGCTTTAGGCGCTGACGCGACCAGCGATGGGTAATTGTCCCCAGACATCGCAAACCAAGACTTGTCATGAGTTTGACCCAAAAAAACTTCAGAGCTCGACACAGTTTTGTCCCCCAAAGTAAAGGGACGGCACATAATGACATTCTCTCCTCGGTTTTCATCAACAACCACATCAAAGATGCTATTTATTGCATTTTGGAAAGGTACCGAAATCCAAGAAACCATATGCATCTCGGTATCAACGGCTAAAAGTGTGTTGTTCTTGAAAATCATTACATGTAGGCCGTCTTCAGGCCGATAGCTGGTGTTTACCATGAAGCTATCCACGTTGTTATGTTGCCAGACCCCATATGTCAGGTTGTAAACCGTTCCTTCTTGCGAGTGAATACCCAAGTCAAACGTAGACTTGCCTAGCACACATACGTTGTTGCGGTGGCTATGGTTACCTCTGGGAAGGCCGGTATCACGTCCAAACGATTTAAATTGTTTGTTGGCGGTCCCTGGCCCAAATGCAGAAATAAGCTCACCACTTGAAAGGTCCACCGTGTAAACCGCACCAGACCGAGATCCCGTGTAGATTTTTTCGTCTTCGACCATCGCACCTTTCTCGTTGATGACAAAATTTGTTTTGAGATCCATGGGAGATGCGTCTGTTAGCTCCTTTATGGTTAATGGCAATTTTTGTAGCCCACGAAATGCATTAAAATAGAATATTGCACCATCGCCGTAAGGCTCAACGATCAATTTCTCGAGAGTGGAATTCGAAAAATTTTCAACTTTGACTAAGGGTGCAAGTCCTTCACCTTGTAGGCTCCATAATAGCTTGCCGTTTTCGCGATCTATCGCATGGATTCCACCTTCCACATCTGTCACTATTATGTACGAAGTTAAAGTCAACCCCTCGAAATTTCCCCCCGACGAGCTCCAAGGAGATGATTTGTGATATATGGGTACCGGATAAACTTCTAGCGGCGCGGACGAATATTCCAAGTCGAAATCGCGATTTTTATCCGAGAAACAGTCGCTTGCGACATTAACTGGTCGCTCAGTCCTGGGCGTTGTTTTCTTGAATTTAGCAGGTCTGGCAACGTGCACATCTTCGCGAGATGTTCCCGTACTGACGTCAAGTGCGTTTTTGATCCCATCAACGACCGGACTTTTAGAATCGCTGGCACCCACTGTTGGAAATGAAAAAATGGCTGAGAAAACGGAAAAGCACGCCAGCAGCCATACTAAGCGCGCTGATCTCAGCCGCATGTCTAGTGAAATGCGATTCTGCAAATAAATGGATTGGAAACACCTTTATTTCTGCGTGTGAACTTACTGCCAGGCGCATCATTCGAGTTCGTGGTCCTAAACCAGAGAGAAGAGCTGGAAATTAGCTTGAGGCTTTCTCCCACGTCGAAAGTGACCATAGAATATCTCCCAAAAGGACGACAACCAGACGAGAAAACACAGCGAACAAGTCGTCGGAACTCTCTGGATGCTGACGTTTTCGTGATGATCTCAATTCGATCTAGACGCTACTCAAAATAGCGGCCGGGTTCCGTGAAAAGTCTGTGTTCTTCTATGAAAACTTCAGTTAGGCCGTCAGCTGAACCACTTCGGATATGTAATTTCAAAAAAACCCCATTAACACCTTTTCGCTGAGATCTGGGTCAATTGCTCAAGTTTCTTGACACCTCAACAACCAATTCTTAGTTTCTAGCTCAATTGTGCATAGTCTATGAGCAATCCGTAAATTGCATGAGTCCTCGAAAGTTTTCATCCCATCTTCTCTCCTTTTTAAGAAGAAGAGATGGGCGGGAAAGGAAAGGCATGTTTTCTCTCCATCGCCCCCTTATATAGCATTAATAGCCGCCGAACAGTAATATCACTTATCACGCAAGACGTCATAAGGAAAACTCCATAGATCCTATACTATATCGCACACTCTGGAAAGCGTTCACATGTACACAAATATACATATATACGCATAGACCGTTTGTACCATTTAACCGGTATTTTGGCGCTTAATAGTTCATCGTCGTTTCCGCTCCAAAGTTGTGGTCGAGCCTGTCAAATTCTTGGCATGCTGTAATTGTCTTTTAAGAGTATTCAAACGCTCTTCTGCGCTGTCTATCGCCTCTGCCAAGTTTTGCTGCTCGTGAGTGCTTAGCATCCGCAATCGATCAGCTCCATCATTCATTTTGAAGCTTAACGGTTGCTTGACTTGCTCTCCTCTGTCATGAATCCAGTTCCAAAGTTGAGACTCTGCGTCGCTAACGACATTGCCCTCAAAAATATCATCTCCCTTGCCGTGCTTTAGTCGTTCTTCGTAAACATCGTACATCGTCGTCAGCGTTGGGACATAGTTGTACGTGTTTCCATCAATTACAATTTTGCCAGGTTTTATAATCGAGTAAGAACTGTGTCGGCTGCCGCTGCTGAAGCGTAGAACGATGAAAATGAGAAAGCCCGCAATAATGAGCCATGAAAGTTCGCGTAGCATGCTTGTTTTCACGAGGCTTGAAAGAAGTGAGATGAAAACCCCGCCTCCCGCGTTGGCGGAACGGGAAGAAGGGGGCTTTTTGGTCTCAGGGGCAACAACCTGCGACCTCCTGTCTTTTCTGCTCCTTCTTCGCACATGCGTTGTTTTCGTTATGCTGGCTGTAGAAATGATATCTTTGAGCTCTTCCTTCATGATCTGGGTTGAGGACTTCTGACCATCGATGGATCCTTTCTCAACTGCGCCCTTGATCCAGCTCTTCCCAGTCCAAAGCACTTTAGAAACAACTAGCATCCTCGTAGTATTCTTGGGTCCCCAATACAAAAACGTTTTAGTATGCACCGAAAAGGAATTCCCTGATGGCACATCCGGTGTCCTAGTGACTTGTCGTACCATAACGTAGGTGTTATAATCACTGTGTTCTATTGTTTCTTGTATCAGGCATTTGGTTTTCTTCGGACCTACTGGTCCGTTTAAGGGCTTAGTGTAAGAATATTTTCTTGTTCCGTCGGCAAAACGCGGTATCTCTGACAAGTCGTAATTCTTCTGACTCTCAACAATACGCCGCGTATAACTGGTGTCATCGCCCCACAAAACCTTGAAAATAGTGCCAAGCGGCGCTGACAGAACGATGGAATCGTCAATGACCACATCACCATCTTCTTTGGTGTAAGACGGCTGCGTAGGAGCGTGCTCAGCGGGGCCAATGGTCGGTAACTTGATGATGTTTTCACTGGTATCTTTTGATTCCTCTGTTTCATCAGAGTTACTGGCAATATTATTCAAGATAGCTTTAATCTCGTCCGTCGTAACCTTGCTTGTTGCTGTTACCCCATCAATGGTTCCCTTCTCTACCGCACCTTTCACCCAGCTTTTTGCTGTCCATTCTACAGCCACCGAAATCGTCATTTTTGTACAGTTATTCGCGGTCCAAGATAAATAGGTGATGGTCTTGACAACAAATGAGTTACCAGAGGGCACATCGGGCGTACGCGAGATTTGAACTGCTTTCACGAAATCATTGAGATCAAAATGCTCAAGAGTCTCTGTGATCTGGCATCGGGTTTTGTTTGGCCCAATTGGCCCTGAAATAGGTTTGGTATACGTAAATTCTCTTTTCTTCGTCTCTAAAATGGGAGGAATTTCAGATAAATCGTAGTTCTTTTGAGCTCTGAGAATATCTTTGACGTAAGAGACATTATTTCCGAATAAGATGTTAACAATTTTTCCAAGAGGCGCATTGAAAACTGTTTCCTCCACAACTTTACCTGCGCTCTCTTTGGTCACATCACTGCCAGTTGGAGAGTGCTGAGATGGGCCTAGCGTACTGAGGCTGCTTAGCCTGCTACCTGCTATCCCTGTACCTTGTTCATGACTTTCGTCTTCTTCAGAGCCGACATTTGAAGACCCGTCGCTTGTTGTCATGTCGGAATCTTCAATATCATCATCGTCGGAGTAATCTTCTTCGAAAGTGGAGTATGGCTGCACGTTTCGCTCACTTTTTCCCACCTCAGATTCAACGTCATCATCGTTGGATCTCGCAGACGAAGCATTGTCGTACAGTCTTCCGGCATCCACTCCTAGTATAATTTGATTCCAAATATTTGTGATATTATCAAAAATCTGATCTCGATACAGAAGCGAGGCAAACACATATTTCGTGTGAAGGGTATGGAAGACCAAACCATTTGGAAATATTCCGGCAGTGTATTTCTTTTCAATCTGAACGATTTCGCTCAGCGAGATTACAACATTGGTCACCCACCCTAAGATCGAGGAATTGAAGCAGATATGCTTTTCAGACACGAACATTTTACCTTGTAGAAGGATGTCACGAGACAAAGCGCAACTAAACTCTGAAATTAAGCGTTCATTGGGAGATATGCCTGCATCCTTAAAAATGGTGTGAAACTCATGGTTTTTCTTCTCGTCAGCGTAAGTAACGTTTCGAAGCTTTACTGAACTTCTACTGTGACTGTTATCATTATCTGGGCCGCCGTTGTATCCATTCGAAGATTCGCTATCTGAACTTGTATCATAATCGGCCGTAGACCAACGGTTTCTCTGGGAAGATGATCTTGGGTTGGTCGCAAGGGCTAGCTTTAAGCCTTTATTAGAGGGTGAAAATGACCGTCTTGACAGAAAATTCTTGGAATCACGTCTACGCCTTGATCGACGTTCGTTATCCACATCTCGTTTACTCTCTTCTGCTTCCGATATGCTTTGCACTTTGGTAGGTGTGATCATACCTTTAACAGCCTCTGAATTATTTAAAGTCGAGGGAAGTGGACTATTCTCGCGCACGTTGTTCACGGTGCTTTGCGAGCGGCTATCTCCATGCATGTTAATTGCAGATATCGTTTTTCTTCGTTTTCCAACGGCTTTCAAAGCAACTACGTTCTCCTCTTTATGAGAAGCACGAGATGAACTTCGTTCCAAAGGAAGGGTCCCAGAGTTATCATTATTATTATTGTTGTTATTGCTATTGTTATTGTTGTCAAAGACCCCCAGGGACAAATTGCCTTTCCCAAAAGTCGCCAGTTGAGACTCCCCCTTCAACGGTTGAAATTTTATTCTATCTGTGAGAGACAAGGCTTCCGTTTCTTCCGTCGATGACTGATCTTGGCTATCACTAGGTTCATCAATGAAAATGCTTGGTTTGGCTGAAACAATAGAGTTTCCCTCACCGACGGTCGCTGCACTTCCAGAACGATTCAGGCTCGGATTATTAGGTGGCGGTGCAAGTGCATTTGAAGTACCCACTGGCCCGGTAGAAAGTAAGAAATCGAGATGCTGAAGAAACGAGAGGTTGGGTTCGGAATCGACAGGGTTCTTCACGACGGTATCATCGGCGACTTGGTTAGTCACAGACTCATCGGCTAGCTTAGAGCTCGCCGTTCGACGCATCAAATGGTTTGCAGCGTTGTGAGCAGCCGAAAGCACACCAGAAATAAACCCGCTGGAATCATTATTTTCGTTGTCGTCAGAATCTGCGGCCCTGGTCTCCTGCTGCGGAGACTGGGTTCCAGAGCTTGCTATATTTTTCACCGAGTTTATCAAGTTCATTCTGGTGCCCGGTGTGGTGCCGCTTGCACTTGGGTCCTGACTTGATTGTTTCGATGCAGATCCGGGGCTGTTGCGCCGGCGCACTTTGGACTTGCCCAGTGCATTGGCTAAAGTTGGTTTCGATTTCCCAATGCCATCATTATCACCTTCTAGCACACTTTCAGACGATAACGGCGATTTTTTCTTCTCTTGTCGACTCATCTTTAGCGATACTATTTCGGGAAGACTCGCCGATTTGCTTCTTCCGTCATAATCCTGCGTCAAATTAGACGACGATCGGTCTCGAATACTGCGTTTCGCTACCATATGCTTCCCATTTGCTTCTACAGGTACCTGCGGCTTCTTCGTACTCTTTGCATTTGGATTCTTCTTCTTTCTGTGGAATAGGCTGAACTTAGGTTTTTCGCTAATAGGCCATAAATCCGATTTCTTGTGCCTGCCTTCGAAACCCATGCCAGCAATGCAGTTCCAGACCCAGCTCCCTCAAAAATACCCGATGCAAGACCACTTAAACACTGAAGTCCTTGCGATTCCTATCGCTCCTTCTTGTGGGTTTGCACTAGAGTTCTCATCGACATCATCTCACCTATATCGGTTAAATTCCCAATTAGTATACTTTGCTAAACAGAGACACAATAAAAAGATCACGTGATCACTAAAAATAAGTCGTAATCTCGGCAAAACAAGGTCAACGAACCATGCTGGCGGAGGTTTGGAGGATAGCAATGAAGCAGGTGCATTTGGTGTGATTCTGGCGCTTTGAAAGACGATCGTTGCAGTAAAAGGCCTAGAGGAGCCAAAAAAAAAGAAAAAAAGAACAAAAAACACGATAAGGTGGTTATGTAGTTGATTGCTGGTCAAACTATGGGGGGTAGGCTTTCCGACACCTATTACTTCCACTATGATGTGTGCTCTGTTTTCTTCGCTTTTCCATTTCTCATCCCAACCTGCAACTACCTGTCCTCGGCCCATTCGTTTTCACGACGAATGGCGGCTTCCTCTTCTGGCGTGAAATCGTTCACAATGTTGAAAGTCCTTCTTATTTCTTCCGGCGTTCTGCCACGGATCATCTCCGCCACAACTTTACAACCTGCGTCCAAAAGCGGCTTGATGTTCAGGTAGTTGGCCGCAAGCATGATCTCGTACAGCATTTCCTGGTCGACTTTCAGAAACTCACGGTCCCATGAGTCTACAGGAGCAGATTTTCTCGAGTCGTCGTCCTCTTCGTCTGGGAAATTGGAATCCTTGTGATGTTCCGCCCATTCGATAACTTTTTGTAACACGGACGACCTCACATTGGGCACAGGCATCACAATTTCATCGTCTTCATCTTCTTCATCGTCTTCATTGTCAGAATCGCTATTCTCATGCAACTCGCTGTCGTGCATGTCATTTAGATAATTCTTCAACAACAAAGACCTTTCGGCGATCTTTCTTTCAACAGTAAACCGTTCTCCCTCAACAGAAACTAAAACAACGTTCAAGGACTTGCTCTTAGCCATCGTTGATACAATAGTAATCCTTCTAACGCGTCTCGTATTCCCCTATGGAAGAGGTTTGTCCTATAAAACCATGTTGACGAAGATCGTTAAGAGTGGAAATAGCTGTCATTAGAAACGGCCTGCCTAGATTATGCCATGAGTCTCGACGTATGGATGACTTGAATCGGGGCTTTGATCTTATTCTATTTGCTTATGAGTTTATTTAGAATCCGAAATTGCTGTAGACGCTTGCGCTCAGGTCGTCGAGTTCAGGGACGGAGTCGAGTCGTTGTAGAAAGGCGTTGTTCATCGAGACCACACCGCTCTTTAGCATTTCTTCGCTGCAATCTTTGCTAGCAATCGAAAACAAAGCGATTTGGAACTTAGAGGGTTCTTCGGAGATTTCAGCCTCTGCGTGAGGTTTTTTAACCTTTTTCGTCACTCCCTGATCGATTTCCGACATTATATACTGGAACGCAGTGTTCACGAGACTTTCCAGAACAATGAGTGAGACGGTCGATTGCAAACATTTAGTTGTCTCGTTTATGAGCTGACGTAGGATTGAATTGTCATCGTAGAGTGTTTTCAGGGCGTCCTGGTCGAGCGTTTGTTGCAAAACAAACTGTTCTAGGGTGGAGTCCGGAAGCAAAATAGACCCTACCTGGTTACCGTTGTCTGCGTTCGTGATAAGGCTTTGGTTCATGGCGTGGAATACGTGCGATAACCGGTCGGCAAACTCTTCGACCGAAAGAGTGTCGCGCGGGCTGAGATTGCCAAACTGACGTTCTGTTTGTTCCGTGGCAATGGCTTTGAACTGCAGCCACCCGCGGTTGAGAACCCACCACGATAGCGACAAGAACGCTTGTTCGTTGATGTAATTCGTTTTCTTGGCATCTTTCTCCGATTCCGGGTCTACTGCGGATGTTTCCTGTTCTGCATCTGACACAGTCGACGGCCACAGCCGCGACAACCATTCTGGTAGAACCGAGTGCGTTGCGGCCTCTTTTTCAACCGCCATTTTCACAGCGGTGTCCAAATACTCCCGCCGAGCCAAAATATTGAGTTGTAACCGTGTCAGAAGTAATAAAGACGCAACCGTATAGACCAGCGTGCAAAGCTTGGCTAAACTTTTGATTTTGAGCTCGTTCCATAGCTCCGCTTTTGTTTTGCCCTTATTGGACGCAGGCTCTTGTGATTCGCGATTCTCGGCATTACGCATATCTGCGCCCCGCGACTCAGTAACGTTCGTGCTCATGCCAGAAGAAAGTCCATCGTCATGTTCAGAGCGGCATGTTCCGGCCCCAGTGTCTCCACGGCCCCCGTTCGACAATTTGCGGGCCAGTTTCTTATCCTTCAGTGCTGCAACAACCTCCTCAACGTCCAGATCTTTGGCTAACACAAGCGATAGTACGGGAACCAGCTCGTATATCGTGTACAACGCATCCTGCTGCGTTTGCGTAAATCTACGCTTGATTTGTTCCTTGACGAAATGTTGTTCGCTGATTTTAAGTTGTTGTCGATAAAGCCACTTCTTGATTAGAAGTATTGTGACTGCTCCACTGGCCACCAGAGACGCTACAATCGCGGAAGAAAACAGAAACTTGGCCCTGTGCCGTTGCCACAAGCCTTGTCTACTCATCGTGGTATATGTCAGTCTGTGATACTGCGCTTCCTACTTTGTTGTTTACGGTATGGATTCAGGTCAAGATATCCTAGAATCTCCTATGGCTTATATTACGATAAGTTTAAGGCAAACCGTCACGTGACCGCTGAGTCTAGGACGATCATAAAGGGAATTTCACCCTTGTACTTCAAGATATGAATCTCAGAGGTTCCTAAGGAGGTTACCATCGGGCAGAGGGCTTTCTCAAGAGTCCCGGGACCTTTTCAGCGTTCAAAAAAAGTGACCTTCCAAGCTCTGATTCAAAATGACATAAACCTGGTATAAAGTACCGGTCTAGATTTGAAATGCAGCTGAAATGGCTATTTTTGGGCACTTGAACATCCTGACGGGCAGTTTCGGCGCACTAGTTGGGCGTTTTTTACCAAAACAACGCTAAACACATGCGTTCAAACTGAAATGCTTTCATTTGCGATAACTCATTCGTTTCCCATCCTAAAACTATCATGAAAAAAGCTCATATACGGCAAACCGTGTAGCTCTAGATATACACCATTGAATTTCCCTGGAAATGCCCCCGAGGTTGCCAAATCGTTCTTCTTTTCCATGTTCAAAGCTCATTTTAACTTCTACAGAACATCTGAAAAATTTATATGAGAGCGAAGATCATCATCACCTTGACAAACACCACAACAACGGATGCGTAACGAGTAGGAGAAACGACATTGTGAAACCTAATAATGGAGGACGTTAGCAAAGTTAAACCGTATATCAAGAATCTGAATAATCAACTAGACTTGCTCGAGGCGGATTTGCAAAAATTCAGTTCGAAATCGTTGAACGAACAACTATTGTTGTTGACCGATGAACGCGAAAAACTGGAATTATCCAACAAATACGCATATACACTGTCGTCGTTGTTATTTGCATACATGAAAGTACTGGACGTAAAGGATTTGGGGCCCGTGATGACAGAACTAGACCGTGTCAAACAGTATATGAACACGGCCAAAAAACTCGATGCTCGTAAAGCAGATCAGGACACTCGTAAGGAAAAACAACAAGAAGATGCTAGGACCACCATGTCTAGGGCTTTACAAGGTCGTAGAAACGAACCCGCTATCAGTAGGGTGAACTTTCAAGGAAAACACACTCGATTTGAGGCTGACGGGGAGGGTTCTAAAGGAGTATAAAGTGAGGCGGAAGCGTCTCACGGCGCTAGGAACCTCACTTCTGTTTCAGTGCAGGTTTGGGTAGCTTTAGGCCAGCTTCGGGCCCGTTTGCCCATCTGAATGGGTGACTCCAATGAACTCGTCCATCATGACATATACTCAAAGTTGATCAACTCTCTTGAGATCCGACTAAGAAGCATACCTTTTAGGTGCACATCCAGACCAACCAGACAGCGGTTTGCAATCATTGCATCAAGGATATCGAGATGTCAGACGAAGCTGTTAATCAGTTAATGGCAATCACGGATGCGCAAAGTGCCGAGTTGGCGCAACAGTTCCTCGATATGGCCGGGGGAGACCTGGAAACGGCCATATCTCTTTTCTTTGAGCATGGTGGGAATGCACAGATTAACAATGGTAGGGTCACGAGTACAGATGCCGAACTCGCTGGGTCGTTGCAGAACGAGCTTTACAGCGGTCGTGGAGACGACTATAGGACACCCGATGAGGCCCGGCACGAAACGTTGGTGGACACCCACGTTCTCCCAACGACTTTTGGTGGCGTGGGAGGCAGCTTTGGTCCCTTGAGGGGTGTGCGTAGCATGTACGATTCGTCACGGCCAGAGGGCGTTTTCAACCAGCACATGCAGGAACGAGAGGATTCTGAGTTTTCCGAAGAAGAACAGTACCAGCAAGAATACGAATACGTTGAAGAAACCGTTGTGGAGCTAGACGAAGACGGTCAAGTACGTGAGGTCACTGAGCTCGTGAGAAGACCCAAGCCTCTCACAAAGGAACAGAAACTCGCCATCTTGTTCCGTCCGCCATTCAATCTCATGGCCAAAGTGGATTTGGACGGCGCCAAGGAACGTGCGCGGGTTCAAAAGAAATGGATCATGATAAATATTCAGGCGGTCGACATATTCCAATGTCAGGCGCTCAATCGAGACCTATGGTCTGACAAAGAAGTGGCAAAAATCATCAAACAAAATTTTCTGTTTTTACAATACCAATACGACTCGTCAAGTGCCACTTCGTATGTGCAATTCTACGGATTGCATAATAGAGACAATTTACCTCATATAGCGATTCTGGATCCTATGACTGGTGAGAGACTCGTACAATGGAATCGCGAAGTACCTGAAGTAGACGCCTTCATCGCCCGTGTGCAAAGTTTCTTGAGCGACTTTTCGCTTGACGCTCCATCTCACAACCCATTAGTCAGACACCCAACGCCGCAGCCAGACCCGACAACCTTGTCCGAGGAGCAACAGATGGAAATAGCCATTAAGCAGTCTCTTGGCGCGAGTGACAGCAATGAAGAGTGCAGGCCAAACGACAAGCGCGACGATGACTCGCTCACAAGTCACAATGATACTCAAGTAGCCCATTCGGACTCCATAGATGAAGACTTGGACCTATTTCTCCGCATAAAGCCCGTCTCTCATCCAGAACCCGCTAACGAGCCGGGCAAAACCACCCGCATTCAAATTCGTACTGGAGACGGCCGCAGGCTTGTACGTCGCTTTCTGCCCACCCACGATACTGTTCAAACCATCTACGAAGTGGTGAAATCCGAATTGGACGGTTTTGAAACTGACGTTTTCACGATAAGCGACCACAATCGGGAAAATCTAATTGCCAAGCTGAGTCAAACCATTGAGGAAGCCGGTCTCAAGAACAGCTCGTTACTCTTGGAGAAAGTACAGGAATAATATGGGCGATCACCCAATTCGTTCCAACATTGGCTTCTGTTGGCCGATGTTGTTCGAACAAAGTCCTAGAAAGCTCAAAAATGCACATCGAGGCTAAATAGATTTAAAGGCGTTCAAGCGCATCTAAAGGCTCTAATAGCCTTCGAATTCTACTGGAAACCGCGTTCGGATGGGTCTTGACGTTCGCGATGCTCTAGCTATTACTATATACGAAGGTTATCAATGATAGCGAAATGATGAACTGAAGCTCATCTGTAATACAAAAGTTGAAGAAAATACAAGATCGACAATGAGGTCTATGAGCCTTATTCTTGGTTTGTTGATCCTGATATACACGAATTTTGTGGCTGCTAATGGAGAGCATACTAATAATTGGGCCGTTTTAGTGTGTACTTCGCGATTTTGGTTCAATTATAGGCACATGGCCAACGTTTTGAGCATGTACAGGACGGTCAAACGTCTTGGAATTCCAGATTCTCAAATCATTCTTATGCTTAGTGATGACGTTGCATGCAATTCGCGAAACCTTTTCCCCGGAAGTGTGTTTAACAACGCTGACAGAGCCTTGGATTTGTATGGTGAAAATGTGGAAGTGGATTACAAGGGCTACGAAGTAACCGTTGAGAATTTTATCAGACTGCTAACAGATAGATGGAGTGAGGATCAGCCTAAATCCAAAAGATTACTCACAGACGAAAATTCCAATATTTTCATATACCTCACCGGACATGGTGGAGCCGATTTCTTAAAGTTCCAAGATGCAGAGGAGATCTCCTCGCATGACATAGCCGATGCATTTGCTCAAATGTACGAGAAGAAACGGTACAATGAGATTTTTTTCATGATCGACACTTGTCAGGCTAATACGATGTATTCCAAATTTTACTCTCCAAACGTTCTTGCGGTCGGTTCAAGCAGACTCGATGAGAGCTCCTATTCGCATCATTCAGACGTTGAAATTGGAGTCGCTGTAATTGACAGGTTCACGTATTACACGTTGGAATTCATGGAATCCATCGAGAAAAACTCGACTTTGACTTTACAGGACCTTTTCGACTATTATTCCTTTGAAAAGGTTCACTCTCATGTTGGAGTCCGGACAGATTTGTATGGCAAAGACCCTTCACAGGTTTTGGTGACAGATTTCTTTGGCAGTGTTCAGAATGTTGTACCAGACGAACGTGATCGCGACTTGGATTTAAAGGCGGCATTCCTAAATAATTCCAGTGAAAATGATGAAGACTACGACCATATTCTGAATTTGGCCATAAGGAAGAGTAAATTGGTCCGACAGGACCCTTAATAAGATGATATGAACGGATAATAAGTTTATAACTTTTTCGAAGTGAAATATGGCACGAGCCCGGTCGAAAATTACAGGGTCAACAAATTTACTTTCGCATGCCCAAATTGATGACCAACTCTCTCCGATCCTGTATCAAATATTTCAGTGGTCTCTACTTTGTAGCTAAATCTTCTGCATCGACGACTCGGAAAGAAATAGTAGGTTGTAATATTGAAAATGCTTATGATAGGCAATGAGAACATTATGTCTCATTGGATGCTAATTTATTATAGAAATGTCAAAACTAGAAATGCCCTATTAATGCAAAATAAAATGAAGCTTGATTGGCACAAGGAGGACTCCGTAGAGCGCGAGATCCATCTAGAACAAAACTGGAGCTTCCTGTGTCGTACTTGCTCAATCAAGTGCTGGTAAAGGCTATCCACAACCAGACTTAGGCCTCGAGGTCCTTATTAGTCTTGCTGCTGTTGGAGCATTAGCCAATTGTTCTTATATTGTTCCAAAGAACCTATCAAATCGTCTTGAATGGAACTCGATTTTCTGCCCGTTCTTATTTTTGTGGGAGATTGAGTCTTTGAAAAAGCCTGCGACTGATGCGGGCCAAACCAGGATTTTTTGGGAGTCTCTTCTGGATCCTCGTCATAATCTGAGTCATCCTCAAACACTAGAGCATTGGATTCGGCAAAAATGTCATCTTGCTGTAAGACTGTAGTGGCCTTGCCGTGGTTCCTAGACACAAATGCAGATCCCTTTGTCGATGTGCCTTTCGATTCTGCGCTATGGTTGTTACTGAAACGACGAGAGTTGAAGGACCCATAACTGATAGAGTTTTGGGACACTGACAACGTTGCTCCAGAATGAGGCGAGGATATCGAGTCCTGCTTCGCAGCTTGGGCCCTCTCTTTTCTTTGATGCGGTGGTACGTAAACACCTGACTTTGGCTTAGAGTCCATACTTTGTTTGCTCGACGATGTCAGTTGATTAAAATAAGGATTGCCCTTCCCGTACGCAAGATCTTGGTGAGTACCGACGGGGGATCTCAGTAGATCGGGAACATCGTGTTCACCCGCATCATGGGAACTTTTGGAGATAGCCTCCTGTCGAACATCTTCTGCAATATCACCATGCAAAGAAAGCCCATCAATATCTGTTGCAAAGCCATCCAAGTCGTTCTCCTCTAAAGTGAACAATACATCGTCAAGATCGTTGTCGTTGGAATCACTAGCGACCTGATATTTCTCGTGAAACGTGCTGCTTTCTGTTGGAGCAGGAGCGTTGAGAGCGGACTCCAGCACAGAAGTGATGTTGGGTATTTTGGGTGATCCGTAAAAAGAGCTGGGACGTGAGTGAGGTGGGACATACTTCCCAGAGGGAGTCGAGCCTGTCGACAAATGAGACCCCCGTCTCGCTCCATTGGGCGAGAGATGATTGGTGTTTGGCTTGAGGGCTGAACGGTGACTGCTGGAGGTTGGAGTTGCCCCACTAAAAGAATATTTCTTGTAAGTTTCACGAGAGTTTCTGCGACCACGGCTTTTTCCTGATTTCCCATTGAAAATGCCCTCCATGTACCGATTTTGAACGCTTGGAGGCGTAAAGAAATCTCTCGTCTTGAAATTCTCATTTTGTTTAGATTTGTATTCATTGAAATAATTGTTGATGTGGGTATTCGGAGTAGGGATTGCCAAAGGTTTCCTAGAATTCCTGATGATCTTGGTATCATCAATTTTGATCGGCAGCGCATTCTTGTGCAAATTGCCTTGAGCTGGATGGCTTCTTTTTCTGAATCTAAAACGCGGAACCGGGTCTTTTTCCTTCGCAGTCTTATGATCAGTTGGTGAAGGAGTGATTGTGTCGGAGGTTGTTGGCGTAGTACTAATTAGTCGCTCCACAACAGTAGGAGTAGTAGATGTGAAAGTAGGTGTCGCTCCTGATTCCACAGATGTGGTGTACTCCTCGTCGGTGAGCTTATTGTAAAATTCGTCGTCCAAGGTGAACTCACCAAGACGCAACAGTTCCTTTTGCATTAGAGACAAATTTCGGTTGGTGGGATCGATGGTAAGACTATGTCTCAAGACTTGAAAGAAATCGTAAGACATAGTTGAAAAGACGTCAAACAGGGCCTCTCTGTTAGCAGCAAAATAACAAAAAGACTTGTCTGTTTGATTGGCAACACTAAAAGGATTCTTATGGAACACAACATTGAGAAGAACAATACCTATGGCCCAAATATCGACTTTATCGCATTCGTAAAAATCGTTTTCTTCATCGCAGTCAAGGTTACCTTTGAACAGTTCGGGTGCCATGTAGCGTTCACTACCAACACTTCTATCGCGAGAAGTCTTGTCAGTGGTAGCTAAGCCCCAGTCCGTAAGCTTGATAGTCCAGTCTGAACCGCTAATAAGGATGTTCTCGGGCTTGATATCACGGTGATAAATTCCCTTCCTATGAACATATTGGACTGCCTCCATGATCTGCGAAGCGATGTGTATTATCTGTTTGGTCTTACGAGGAACGTAATCGGCCTTAATTGCCTCGTATAGATCGCCCCCTGAACAGTATTCCATGATAATAAACGAATCAAAGAAATCATAAAGTTCAGTAATATTCTTGTGTTTTCCGACCTTATGGTGAATGTCTACTTCGTAGAGTACTTCAAAACAGATGTTATTCGATAGTTTCGATTTAACTTTCTCCGAAATCATCGATTTTCTGCCGTTTGAGGATCTTCGGTCTGTGCTTCTCCTGCTGGAACCGTTACTGCAATTTTTATCGTCGTCTTCATCATCGTCGTTCTCGTTTTTGAAAATATGCTTGACGGCGACTAATTTTTTGGTTTGAACGTCGTTGGCCAACGACACGTAACCATACGAACCTTCGCTGATGTCATCAATTTTCTTGTACCTATTGCGAAGAAGTCCGCCCTCTTTATAAATTTCGTACTCGTCTGTCATGGCACCTAGCTTACGTTCAACGCTCTCAGCAGTTACAGATTTGTCTCCAACAAATCCCGACCTGGCTTTCCTGCCTTCTAAAGTTCTTCCAAAAGCGACAAAAACAGCCAATCTTTCTGCTTCAATCAAAATAGCGCAGTAGCTGAGCTCTACTCTCTACCTTTAACTGTGTTCCAGCGGTTCTGTCAATCTGAATTGTCAGATCCACTTAACCTATCTCGGCGTACAAGAGTCGTAATAACTCAGAAAAACTCGTTTTTTTCCTGTTTCCACTGCCCTATATTGACTGTACCGGATTATGAAGTTCTAGACGCTGTATGCTGCTGGAATTCCCTCTATAGGTCGTCAACTTATTTGGTCTTGTTGTGTCTTGGAATATGTATACGTAGTAGGTGTTGACTCCTTGAAAAATTCCATGATATTCGTGGCTTTCGTATCCGATGCTCAGAAAATAAGATCGAACTGATCGAAAACAACCCGATGATCTGAATTCTGATATAAAAGGAGAAGCTTGCAGTGAAACTTCAAGGCATTTAGGGCATCTAAAAAAGACTTAAATCTGGTGTCCAGACGGAACTTATTGCTGTAGGTTTTTTTGACTCGATTTGGGTACCAATTGGTGAACCTTTCATTGAGTATGTTGTAAGCGTAGAAATCCTAGAGATTGACATACTTCGAGCAATAAGACGGGTAAAAGAGGTGATTGGATACGGATAATTGAGTTTTGAATACTTCAGTAGCCCAACGAAATTTTTTTTGAGATTTTTGGATGCTTCGGGGTCTCTTTGTCGCCAAGTTGGCTTTCACTGTTGGGAGGACCAGCTCGAGAAGATACTTAACGCTGCGGGACTACCAACAAGAATGTATTTCGACATGTGTGTCAGCTATTGAAAGCGGTAAACGTCGAATTGGGGTTTCACTTGCGACGGGAGGCGGCAAAACGGTCATTTTTGCCAATTTGATCGACTCATTACGGAAATCGCATCAGAATCAGCTGCCGGAGGGCTCCTCGCGGCCACTTTCGCGGTATCACAAGGCTCTGGTGCTTGTTCATCGTCGAGAGCTTGCACAGCAGGCGTGCCATACATTGCGAGCTTTCTTCCCGGATCTCAATGTGCAAATAGAAATGGGCAAAATGAGAAGTGATCCTGACACGGCTGAAGTGGTGGTAGCGTCGGTGCAAACATTGCTGAGAAGGTTAGAGCGCTTTGATCCAAGTTCCATTGACTTAATTATCATCGACGAGGCGCATCACGCCGTTGCGAGCTCATATTTACAGATTTTGAAGCATTTTAACGCGGACACGGACGCCACGAAAGTACCCGTAGTTGGGTTCAGCGCCACGTTCGAAAGAGCCGACAAAAAAGCACTTTCGCGAGTCATTGACGAGATTGTGTATCACCGCGGAATCCTGGAGATGATCGACGACAAATGGCTGTGTGAGGGCAAATTCACAACGGTTAACATAGACGTGGATCTGTCGCAAGTGTTTACTACGGGTTCAGATTTCAACAGTACGAGCCTTTCGGGTGTGATGAACACACCCGATGTGAACAAGATCGTGTTGCGGACGTATCTCGAGAAGCGAAAAACGCATGGATTCAAATCTGCGCTACTCTTCGGATGCGACGTCAACCACGTCAAGAGCCTTTATAGATTGTTCACTTCGTGTGACATAATTGCCGCATACGTGACGGGTGTCACACCGCAGCTGGAAAGGGATCGTATCGTTCAAGAATTTCGCGAGGGCAAAATAGAAGTCATGATGAATTGCGGGATCTTTACGGAGGGCACAGACCTTCCAAATATCGACTGTATCTTGCTGTGCCGTCCGACCAGATCGCGGTCTCTGCTCGTACAAATGATTGGCAGGGGTCTGCGTCGGCATCACGCCAAGGAGTACTGTTCTGTGATTGACTTCGTGGGAGTGTCGAACGTTGGAGTCGTCTCAGTGCCGACGCTCGCTGGCATAGACTCCGCAGCTGTTGAAGTCCCTCTGGAAGAAGCTACACTGCAGCAATTGGCTGCTATTAGAGAGCAGTTGCAAGCCAAAGAGCTAGAGCGCGAAATGCAAGTCAAGCAAAACCAGGATCGTGAGATTTTGGCGCACACGAGGTTTCAGGAACTCGTTCAGAACTCAACCGCATTTGATCTTACCCTGGCAACCTACGACACTTTCAAAGCTTTTTGCCAAGCTGCCGCGGGCGCTGAGTTTGATGGCGCTATTGCACAAGCGATCACTGACGCTGAAGTTATACGTACGTCGCCGTTTCCGTGGGTCCGATTTTCATCCAACGCATGGGCCATGCCACTTAACGCAGGACACCATTTGCGCATATACAAGCTGAAGTGTCCAAAGGGTGCAGAGTCGTCGCCGCCTCGGTACACGCTCAAATTGTATACCGAAATGCCATTTTCAATCCGCAAGCAAACGGGTCTCAAGGCGACACCGCGTGCAATCGTCTCAAACTGCGATCTGGGCACCGCGATGTCGAACGCCGCCAGTATTGTAGATCGATTGATTGTGCCCGGTACCGGAAGCGCTAACGGTACCAACGGCGTCATTGTCGCACCTGCATCAAAAAATTTCACAAAGTTCGCCATTTGGCGCAAAACCGCCGCAACGCCGCGCCAGAAGAGCTTAATACACAAGAAAATTTCTGCATATCTGTCCAAAATGTCCCAAGAGCAGGACAAGGCATCCTGGCCATCTCCCACGGCAGTGAAATCCTATTTGGAAAATATAACTAAAGGTGAAGCTGCAAACGTGCTCTTCGCCCTCAGCGTTGCACCTGTTTTCCCGCTAAAAAGGCTATGTAAAACTATACAAATCAAGAATGGTAATTGAGTCGGTAAAGCGGTAGAAATGGGCCCGCCACCGTGGTTTCAGGCCCCAAAACCCATGATCTTTTGAGTTTCCCATATATTACAGGATGAGGAAACTGACACTGGTGAAAAACTTGACATCAACAGTTCGAAAGAAACGTATAAAAGAGACAATACAAGGCCCAAAAGAGTGGAATTTAGAACGATTCGTGCCTTTATTGTAATTCTAGAATATCGGTTATAGTATTGAGCGAAGAAATGGTGGATTTTGGAAACGTACCGGGTCCTGTAAAGGCAATTTTCAACAAGTTCCCGCTGCAGATGTATCCGCCAGTAGCGAGCGATTATGAGGACTTTGAGGGTGATGAGTCTATGCGAAGGAGCTATTTTGAAGGTCAGAACGCGGTCCAGACGTCTGGTGCCGATACGTTTGCATTGGGCGTGTACAATGTGTTTGAACACGGCGACACAAGCCGACTGCTTGCGTCGGATCCGTGGTGTTTGTTTACGCAGCTGGCACTGTGTCGCAAGAGCAGATTGAAGCTGGGGACTCGTGCAGGGCTTGGCGGTGCGCAGAGAACAAAGCAGAGCACAAAGCAAAGCACAGCGCCCCAGCATTCGATGGTAACTTTATCGCCGCTCGCGGCGGTCGACGCAAGCCTGCCGGTGCTCATCGAGGGTTCGTCAAGGCGGTTTGTACGGTCTACAGAGGGCATCAATGAGATCCTGCGGTCGCGTATCAAAGACTGTGAAGACGTGGTGTACGCAGCGCTGTGGGACAGCGTGGTTTACGACGCGTGGATCGCAGAAACCGTGTTTGGCGCGCCCAGAGACCACGTCTTGCGCACCTACGCGTTCGATTACAAGGCAAACGGTGCGGTACTCAGCTACGTGTCGAGACGTAACGTCACAATGGCATTGTTGAAGCGCAACGGGTTCGAACTGCGGCACGCGGCCTTGAGTCGATACGCCGACTCACCGGCAGGCCCTATGGCAGGCCCTATGGCAGGCCCTGTGGCCGGCTTGCTAGACCCCATTGTTGAAAACGCGCAACGGACGTTGCAGCAGTTCGAGTCTTTGCTTGCAGACGACGAGCAAACTTTCTTTTCGTCCTCTGACAGCGCCGGCATGCTCGATCTCAAAGTGGCAAGCTATACCACGTGCCTGCTACATTGTGCAAGTAGTGAGAGCAGGTTGGCAGAGTACCTGAGACGCCGTTGCCCGCAGCTGGTGGCACATTCGTTGCTAGTTGTCCAGCAGTACTGCTAGGGCGAAGAAGTCACGTGGCCCACGTACAAAACGAGTGATCTCTTCTTACTTTTGGTCACCTCGAACGGCAATTTTGCTTTTCTTTTTCCTTTGAACGGTTAACATGGTTTTAGTATGGGAAAACCTCAAATGAGCGACCAAGCTGGAACAAGTTCAGAGAGAAACTAGGGATCTGTTACAAGAAACAAGCGTTTGAAAGTGAAACCAAAAGTCGATCTTTTTTCCTTTCTGTGGGTGTTTGATATTGTTATAAGAGGAGAACGTTTTGAAAACTGATTGGAAACATTCTTGGGAGCGAGACACGGACACGGACACGGAAACGAGGCCGACTTTTTCGAAATATCGTGGAAACTCACATCTCATATTCGCAGGAGAGTGAGTGGAGAGCGGAGATAAACGAAGAACGCGGAGAACACGGAGATACGCCGAGAAGTGCGATACGTTGGCCAGAAATGGCACAGACGCAGTTGAAAACGCAGGAAATTCTGCGATCTCCGCAGGACAATGCCGGTGGAGTCACAGCGTCATCCCCCAGTGAGGTGGAAGAGTCGCTGCGACTCATTGAAGATCTCAAGTTTTTCCTTGCAACTGCGCCGGCCAACTGGCAGGAAAACCAGATTATACGGCGTTACTATCTGAATAACGACCAAGGTTTTGTGTCGTGTGTTTTCTGGAACAATCTGTACTACGTGACGGGGACAGACATTGTCAAATGTTGCGTTTACCGAATGCAAAAATTCGGGCGACAGGTGGTCGACCGGAAAAAATTCGAAGAAGGCATCTTCTCAGATCTACGAAATCTCAAGTGCGGCGTCGATGCGACGCTCGAACTGCCCAGGTCCGAGTTTCTGTCTTTTCTGTTCAAGAATATGTGCCTCAAGACCCAGAAAAAACAAAAAGTGTTCTTTTGGTTCAGCGTGCCGCACAACAAGTTGTTTGCAGACGCCCTGGAACGTGATCTCAAACGGCAGCTTGCAGGCCAGGTGCCGACAACCAAACCGGCCAGTGAACCCGCTTTGTCGTTCACTTACGACGACAATTCGGGTCTCACGCTGTATGAGCAACTTTCTGAGCATATGAGTGGTAAGTTGGGCGTGAGTCGACCAGGTTCTCATGCCGCTACAGAAGTAGCCGTTGAAGCGGCCACTTTGTCCTCTAAATCGATACCCGTAGCGGCCGCTGCCGCTGGATACGGGTACCCTGTCAAAAACTTGAAGCCCGAAGTGCATTCTATCAAAAAAGAAGAAAGTGCAGCGGCGCTTCAGTTTGACCCTGATGACGAAGTGGCAGCGATCCCAACGCGGGACGCACTTCCGATAAATTCTTCACCGGACGGCACATCCCCCATGGCGCAACATTTACGACTTGATTCGGCGTCCCAAGCGCCACCGTCGCTTCTCGACGATCCACCGCCCGCTGAAGATGATTTCCCACTGGATTACTTCCCAGTAGAAGTTGAATATCCACAGGACCCATTGCCCAGCGGCAATGACCCACTAGGGTACGGCGACGAGTTCGATGACCGGTACGCCCAAATGGCTCCTGGCCCTTCTGCCACTACCGATTTTTACGAAAACCAGCTTTTCTTGGAAGAAGCCGCTATATTTACGCCCGTGGTAGCTTCTGCCGCGCGGTATGCATTCCACGTTCCGGCTCCACCGCCGCCCATGTCAGCGGCGCGTTCCCATTTTATGACCAATGGCGAATTTTATGCTTCTTACATGAAGGGCAATAACAGGGGCAAAGGAACGGGACCTGATATTACGCATGATCGCTCCGATGACGATCCAGCAGACGACCAAGAAGTCGTTGACAGCTCGAAACCCGGTCCTGACCCACGTCCTCCCGTTCAAGGTTGGCATCCTTATGGGAATCATTTCACCGGTAGATACCCTTACTCGATCGCGGAGGCGCAATTTGGAGGTTCTGATCCCTACTTGACCAGGAGTTACACAATGGACGATTATCTATGCGACAATCCAAGTCTATATGCACCAGATGCATTTACTACAGCTCCTTTCTCACCCATGCACTCACAAATGGGTGCACGTCCTTTCACACCTGGTTTACGTATAGCAGCCATGCCTCCAACAACGCAATATGTGCCCGTCTCTTCATACCCAGGCAAGCCCGTGATGTCCGCTTCGACAAAAACGCATCCAATGAATCCTTACTATCAACCTTCTTCACACTTTCAAAGGTGGGGCAATGTCCATGGCCACTTAAAGGGTTTCCCGTCGATTCAAGCTACTTCTGCCCCGCAGGGCACATCAATGCAAAACCACCACCATGCATCCAACTCTGTTTCGAGACCTCATTTTGGTAGACAGAATAAAGTTTCCAAGCGACCAGTCGCACTACAGAAAAAGTCTCAAAGAAATCGATTCCAGAAATTGTTCAATAGAGACCCGAACACTCTTGATGTCGTGAGTCGAGATTACAGCGACGATTTAGAGCCTAAAGAGCTTAATGGATCTCTTGCAGGAAGCCCGGATACCGAAATCAATAATTAGGCTAAAGGAATGAATGTTTTAAACAGCCTTAGAGTCGTGGGTCGAATGAAATTCACAAGCTCATCCGTCATGCTAATCGTGGAAACTATATAAATCAATTTACATGAAACGCATATGTATCATTATTACAGTTATCTTTATTCAGAATTATCGGCCTGTATCTGAGTTTCATCAAGCAATTGTTGTAGAGACAGCTGCTGAACTTGATTGAGTAATTCGTCATCTTGCATGCCTTCGAGTTGAGACATCATCAGGGTTCTCTCATCCGTGAAGCTCTTGATCGTTTCGACAACTTCTTCGCTTTGCCTGTCGATTGGGTTTGGTGCCAAAACGTCGAATTCGTAGACTTCAAAGTGGGACCAAACTTCTTCTGGGATACAAGCCATGAGAGAGGATTCTTGTGACAAAATAGCGAATCTTAGCAGATTGACGGAGATGCCTGATACAAAAAAATTGCTCTCCGCAACAGGCTCCCTGGTAGCTCCGCTACCAATTTCGTGCTTATTGTGACAATTCTCGAAAATATGAACCAATTCACTGTGTAGGAAGCTTAATTCTGATGGACCCCAGGCCGCCTTCATCCTTACAACGTAAGCCTGAGACTCTAATGCTTGAGCCTTTGTTTCCTTAATTTGGGCCACATCGCCCAATTTTTGAGGGTCTCCCAAAAGAACTTCTAGGAACACTCTGATGAAGCTAGCAGTGTGCGCAGAGAAGGCTTTTTGTAATTCATTCCGGGCATCAGTGGCCAGATCTAATTTCAGGTAGCTCAAAACAAATGCCAAAGAAAGTGAAAATGTGTACCACTGCGTATACGTTCCAATCAGCGGCGATTTACTCAGTTTGATAAGGTAGTTGTACTCTTTGTTCGCCAAAAGATAATGATCCATGAAATATCTGCAGCCAAAAGGATCTTCGAGAGGCGATAAAGACCACAAAACCTTGCACCAATTGCTGGCAGTTGAAGCAGCACCTCTCTGGGATATTATCTGAATGTATCTGAAGATTGCCAGATAAAATTGCCGGTTATGGAAGAAAATGTATGGCAATTGACAATTGAGACCATTAAATCTTACGTGCGCTTTTAGCGCACGGTCAAAAACGAAAAGCGCCCTTTCCACGAGCCCATTACTATTCGTTTTGTCGCCTTGTCTTACCAAAATAAGCGCGACTTGCAATAACGCCGGGACGCAATAAGGATACCTTGATGAGATCATATTGATCAAAGCTTCATGGTCAGGTTGTAAGACAACATTCACGAAAAACTCAGAGAGGGATTTCTTATTGAGTTCTGTACTGACAGCATCAAATTTGTAAAATTCTAGACCGCTATTTTTCCAGAACTTGAGAGTGTTTTGGATTTCGTCCTTCCAGTCTTCTGGACGTTGCCAACATTGCCACTGCTCCAGCTCCTTGGGTGTCAAGCTTCGAAAAGTTAATTCACCTCTAGGAGTTGGTAGCCAGTCATCTCTAATCTTGGTAAACGCTAAACGACGTACCGTGGAGCCATTAGGGGCCGTTCTGCGATCTTTCCCACCCCAATTTCCGACATGTTTCTTCATTTTCTCAAGCTGTCTGAGCACTTGCGGTGAAACATGGGTTGATGTCATCGAATCTGCATCTGCGAGGGATTCTGGCGAAAGATCATCGAACAAAAGACGAAATTCATTGTCTGGATTTAAGTTCCTCATGTCTACATGACCAAAGAATTTCTCGAATTCTGAAAATGCGAAAAATGTGGTGAATCCGGGATCCATGTTAATGTCTATGCCAAAACCAGATTGAATTTTATCATCAGAGTCTTCGATTTCGCTTTCTTTAGCCGTGTCGTAATCCGACTCGAGATCATTCGATGGACTTTCCCGTTGCTTCTCAAGGTCTTTTTTATGAAACTGACGAATTATGCGATCAAGCTCTTCTTCAGAGCTATGACCCGCATCATTTGCCGCGTCAACTGGAGCCCCAGTTGGCGCCTTCTTCTTCTTCTCATTTTTTTTAGCCTTTCTGTTCTTCTTCTTCTGAGATTTAGTACAAGTTTGAATGCGTTCTGGTTCTGGTGATGGCGCTTTTGGCTCTTCTACACTTTCCTCGTCCGAACTGTCATCATCGTTACCCATTAAAGCAGAGAAGCCAATGTTCACTGGTTTTTTGTTCACTGGCTCATCTTCAACCGCAGCAACGTCTTCTGGATGACCTGTAAGCTTCGCTAAAGTTGCTTCTAGACTGTTGTTACCGGCTAGTTTTCTCAAGGCTCTAGAACTCATCCTTTCTAAAGACCCCTTATAGGTGTTTTCAATCAAATTTGATATGAGAGCAGTGGTTCTTGATGATTGTCAACTGTTCTTTCAAATATTCAAGTTAATGAACAAGTCGACATATAAAGAAAGGACAAGATAACAAATTCTAAAGTTCCATCTTGATATTACTTCAATGATGCTAGGGTTGACAGACTTGATCAGACTTTCAAGGTATTTGAACCACGTTTTTCCGACTGATAATAGACAAGCATGACAACTATGACAAGGAAAACGAGTCAGATTTCAATTTGCTGTGAAGCCCTCAGTTTTCGCCGAACGCGAGTAGATCCGATGATTACATGAAGTGTGTGAAGTCGACTTTCTAGATTACGGGCGAGTTTCCTGTAACATTCAATTGGCATCCGTTTTGCACTCTTTGAAAACGTTACAGCAACGAAAGCACACATGACTTGATTTCAAGAGTAGAAAAGAACAAAGACTGTCTTTAAGCACTTGCACCCGGCTTGTTACAAACGTTTTTCCCTAACCGTCGTCGTAGAATTTGCCAAAGGGTCTACGCAGTGTTATTACGCAGCTTTCTACAAGCCACAGGATCGCCCCGTCTTTGAAAAGAACACCGCCAAATAGCTATTTATTAGCTCTACAAAATGAAGTATCGCATACCCCTGTTGATGGTACCTCTCCTGTTCTTTCATATTTTTCAAGTTCCATCTGTCAAATCTGGTTTTCAAGGTGACGAAAATTTTAACCCTTCCAAGCTCATCGCATCAAGTCGAAGTAATAAGAAACCGTTATAAGACTAATCGAGAGGTCAAAAGGCAATTTTCAACTCCCATCAAATACTGAAATATGGCCAAGAAGAAGACTTTGAAGCAACAGGATTTCCAGAAGAAAAAGCTGAAAGTTGGCAAAGCTAAACAGGGACCTTCAAATTTAACAGATACTTCGTTCGTGGCCAAGACCATCTTGTTGCCGAACCAGACTAAATTATCATCAGCAGAAAGAAGTTCGGGTACTAGGAAAAGCGGCCAGCAAGAATTAGAACAAAGTGTTATCAAGAGATTATCGTTATGCAAGCATCACAGTGCAATAACCAGAAAAGAGACATTGGTACATTTCAAGCAACAAGTACCGAAAATTGCACACTCCGGATGTATGACCCAAATAATGCACGCGTGTTATCCGATGATGTGTGACGATGACCGACAGGTCCGAGAAGCGCTGTTGGAAATGATAGATGAAGTTGGGCAGTACAATTGTGACGTTTTACGTCTCAACTGTAGGGCTTTCGTTCTGTTCTTAAGCAGTGCAATGACCCATATTCTCTCTCCAGTACAACGTGACTGTGGTAAGTTTCTGGCGTGTGGACTCAAATATTTTGCCGATGAACTTACCAGAAACTCGTGGATCAAGCTGCTGAGAGGCATGTTTGGGGTCCTTGGGTGGCCCTTGAAAGCCGAGAGTCCCGAGCGCAATGGCAATGGGAACAATGGGAACCGTCAGCCCAAGAAAAGCGTTAGTATGGCGATCAGTAGCGCCAGCGTCGTCAATATGAACAGCGCGCGCGCGAAGCACGCACGCGCTATCAACATCGATGCGTTGCACTTGTTGATCAAATGCGGGTGTCTGGAACTGGTTATGCGCGATGATCCGCAACCGGACGAGCATAGTGCGGCCGCTCACAACAAGTATCTCATCCCGGAGTGTCCACAACCGTATGAGCATCTAAAAATTTTTGCGCGCGAGATTCAGGACCTGGACGATATCAATCAGTCTGCGTCTTCTTTGCAAGATCTTGTCAGCGTCTCTTTCCAAGACGCCTCGTCAAGGCGAAAAGTTGTACTGCATTATTTCTATGACGATATCATGAGTCAAGTCGCGACGCTAATTGCCGACGGCGGTGAGTCTGGCAAAAGTGCTAACAGCTTGAAGTTATTAATGGACGAAGTCCAAGTAAGGGAAAGTGAAAGTGAGCAACAAGTATGACGTCGGTCGCTATTGTTTTTTGTTATGGCCATCAATAGCGAAGCTACGATTTTGAGACTAAAATTAGCTCCGAAATGATTTCAAAGCGACTTCAAAATAGGTATTCGATTACTAGGTTGGTCAATAATGTTAGCAATTGCAAATAGGTAGCTTCAAGTTGGAACAAAGTTGAGTGTCAGTATCTCAGATTGAAATTCTTTTATATTTTCTATAAGGTGCCCTGGAGCTCCAAGTTCCGCAAAATTCCGTCATATATGTGAATAAATCGCAGAACATGCCTAGGAAAGATTCAGAACTTCATGACTTGCACATTTGGCTCTAATTCTGCGTTTTCATCTTGTTTTCTATACTGGAGCTTTCCAGCTCTTCATGTTGATGATGTTGATGAAATGATCTTGAGAAAAAAATGCTAATTGAAGGAACCCCTGAGATTCGAGAAAACAAACAACAACAAGGAGATTTCGCATATAATTACGAGCCTTCAACCGGGTTTGATTAGACCGAGATTTTTAAGGGTGTCCATATCTTGAAGTCAAGGCTTACCAACGACTTAGGTCTCTTGTTTAACTTTATTGTTACAGAGAGTTATTGGACGTATTGTGGACGAATTGGAGGCACGAAGTTCGTCCAAGATTAACGATATCAACGGCGTTCTTTTAAGATTTCCCATCAAGAATTCGGATAACGATAGTAGGCGAGAGCCCGTGATTTGAGTGTTCCTGTTTTTCTTCGTTTTTCAACATTTGCTGGTACAAATGTCGTACGGGCCCTCAAACAACGGTGGTTACCGGTTCTCATCTGGTAACAACATGTATTCAGATCGAAACCAAGTTCAACCAGAACAACCGGGTACGAAAGCTAGCCAGCTTTATATGGGCGATCTGGACCCGTTTTGGGACGAATCTGTCATAAGAGGTATTTGGGCGTCTCTAGGTGAGCCTCATGTACAAGTGCGTCTCATACGCGGTACGGGGAATCCTGGAATGGGATCAGGAGGGAACCAAGGTTACTGCTTTGTGGAATTTCCATCTCATTTAAATGCTTCCAATGCGCTGCTGAAAAATGGATTACCATTACCTAGCTTCCCAGGCAAAGTTCTAAAACTTAACTGGGCATCTTTTGCAACGGCGCCTGGCAATGAACATTCTATCTTTGTGGGCGATTTGGCGCCGAACGTCAACGAAGCGCAGCTTTTCGAGCTTTTCATATCGCGGTTTGCGTCTACCTTAAATACTAAGATCGTATTCGACCAAATGACAGGTGTTTCTAAAGGTTATGGGTTTGTTAAGTTCGGCTCAGAAGCGGAGCAAAGAAGGGCGTTGCTTGAGATGCAAGGAGTATTCTTGAACGGTAGAGCCATCAGGGTGAGTACGACGTCCAAGAACAAACCTAAATACCAACAACAACCTGCATTACAGCAACAAACTGATTCGGCCTTTGGTATCGATTTTGCCGTGAGACAGCAGCGTCAACATCAGCACCAGAAATTTAGTCAACAGCAAGCGCAAATGCGAGGTCTATACGCCTATCCTGTCCAGCCGCAACCTCAACTTTCTCAGTTCACGGATCCAAACAACACTACCGTTTTTATCGGCGGTTTGTCATCTTTGGTAACCGAGGAAGAACTACGCACGTATTTTGAACCTTTTGGTCCCATCGTCTACGTCAAGATCCCTCTTGGGAAAGGTTGCGGATTTGTCCAATATGTGGAAAGAATTTCAGCTGAGACGGCCATTGCTAAAATGCAAGGATTCCCGATTGGAAATTCACGCATAAGGCTTTCGTGGGGTAGAAGTGCCAAGCAGGCAGCTGCAATGCAACAGGCCGTTGCCTCGGCATTTCAGGATCAACAACAACAACACCAACACCAGCAGCAAGATCAACAGCAACAATTGGCTGCGTCTCAACAACAGGCTGCCAGTAACGTGCCATATCAGCGCCAGTTGGCTATGCCCGCTGTTTATGGCTATGCTACTACCTGGGACTCACTTAATGGAGGGTTTGGACTCTTTTCGCAAAACGCCTCTACAAGTTCGTTTAACGACTCGGCAAAGCCGTCGGCAAATTCTTTGATACCTGGTTTGGCGAACATGGAGTTTACAAGTCAGCCCATGAGACCTGGCAACAGCATTGGTTCCAATGAGCAATATGCCTCTGCTGTTTCTCAGGGGTTTGAAACCTTTCCCCAAGAATTTGCAGTCTCGGCGCGCTCAGGGGAAAATGGCGGTTTGTTCGCTCATCCACAAATTACTATTCAAGGGCATGACATCTATGTCAACCGTACAGCCGCTTCCATTGATCGGCTCGAACAAGGTAGCAACGGTTTCGTCTTTGCATGAAACTGCCCTGTTCTTTTTCTTTTCTTGCCTTCCAGTTGTCAATCTATTAATGCGTTATTTATTTTTCCTCATGACTCTGTGATTCTATTTGATCCGACTTTTTGACATTTCATGTTTACTTTGGTTTTGTTTTACTCGCTAATATGTTTTACCTGCATTAGACTTGCGTCACACAGCCTATTGGGCGCATGGCTCAAACTGTATCAATCGTTTTTTTGTTATTCTTACCTATTTGCTATTTCCCCAGACTTGAATTCCTACATTATTTTTCAGAGGTGCCTTAAATGTTTGTGATTTGAGGTCAAGCGTTGTTCTTTTTAAACCATACCCTGTGTTACTTGTTTATCCTTCCAAATGCCAAGCGTATACTCGCCATGGGGATCTGCTTTTTAAAACCTAAATGGCATTATAATAATTGTCATCTAAGTCTGTATGTGATAATAGATTTAATTAGTCAATTCATGCTCAAATTTGTCACAAGGTGACTCCCGTGAAGCTTGTTGGTCCAGTTTTAAATCTCAAAAGAAGGATTTATTCAAAAACGAGAGCATCGCTTACTTGGGCAAATAGGCTTCATGCTCAAATTTGTCACAAGGTGACTCCCGTGAAGCTTGTTGGTCCAGTTTTAAATCTCAAAAGAAGGATTTATTCAAAAACGAGAGCATCGCTCACTTGGGCAAATAGGCTTCCTAGTTCGATAAAAAAATTTAATACACTCCGCGACGGGGAATTGAACCCCGGTCCCGAGCGCGACAAGCTCGAATTCTAGCCACTAAACTATCGCGGATGTTAGGATGAAATCCTGAAACTTTGCACAAAACTATTCTGTGTGTCCCATATCATGCTCCTTCACATATAGCTTCCGCTTGGATCGCCTTTCAAAACTGAAGGAGGAACTGAGCTTTCGTAATATGTATTTCGAATTTTTGAACCTAACCAAGCTTTAAACAAGTGGTCTCCGGGGTCTCTCAGATTCGGCAGGCCTGTAATTATTACCAATTGTGTATAATACGATGCACACAACATAAAGAATTTTTTAAAAGTTCCTTAGAGACTGAAAAACATGAACACACCTAGTAGAGATTCTCGTTTCATTATAAGATGTAAATTAAGCCACCGAACACACTTATCGAGGGGATGTGTATTGCTTCTTTTTTGACTGAAATTGGTTGGAAGATAACATCGATTTCAGCATCGTCGAGGCGAGCTGACTTTATATGACCTGCAAATGTTTCCACGGTAGGCATTTTAGTACCCCTTTCCCTCCCGAATGTCTACACTACAAGTACAAAAAGCATTTCAGGAAGAGAGTCCATAGGAGTCGTATTGTTACTTATTTTCCATAGTCATCTGCTCTTCGGGTCTTCCCTGTCTTCACATTAAAGGCGGGGAAGAAAAAAAGTGTTGATATCATGACTTACGACCCCCCCGAAAATTTTTCACACAATGTTTGTCAAATCGCGGTTTTGCCACCGGATAAAAATCATCTAGGGACGCGAAGGGATCAAGACGTTTTGGCACAAAACCACTACCTAAAGAAATCGTAGTTGGCTGAAAATAACGGGAGAAGGTTCTAAAATTGATTACAAATAGTTAGATTCTTTTTTTCAGTCCATTTTGGTCTTCTAGATGTCCTAAAGTTGAGTAAAGAACTTATAACAGGTTGTGTTTTTTCGCATAATTGGATAATGTCAAAAAGAGACGAAGAACTAGCCGAGATCAAATTCAAGTACGAGCTTCTGGTCAATGAACTTTTCCATCTCAAAGAGTTCACTTCGTTGCTAGAATATGATCCGTCTTATCGAAACAGCTCAGCGAGCTTCGACTCGTTTTTGAGTAGGTCCAAGCTGGATATGAGCGCAGTTTCTGGCGAGATCAAAAACGAGTCTACAAGTTCGGCAAGAAGGATTAGGAGTCGACAAGTACGGAATGAGCAGTCCGCGCTGGAAGACTGTATTAGTCGCGTGAAGCCAAGGGTGGACGAAAAATACGAAGAACTGCGATGCATGCTCAATCAGGAATCGTATAAAAGAAAGCCGGTTGTTGCGCTGCGAGAACCTGTGAAATCAGTAAAGAGACAGAAAGTTGAGGTTATTACTGCTGAGCAGGAGTTGCCAAAGAAAGAGAAGACAGCATTGAAAGAAGAGCCTGTATTATCACGGGAGAAGGGTATCGACGAATTTTACTTCACGACGTCTTCGGAAGAAGATGAGAATGAGCCTAAAAGGCGCAGGCGAAAGAAGGCTGTGGTTAAGCTGACGGTAAATCCGCCCAAGCAGACCATTACAAATCATTTGCATGTTGTGAAACCTCAGTTTGGTTCAATTCGCAAGTTTCTGGGATCTTTTAAGTCCCTTGATGAGCACGTCACTCTAGAAGAATTTGACAATTATGTCACCGACCAAAAGCGTGTGTTTCAATCAATAAAGAAGGGAATTAAAAATGGGGTTCTTCAATATGATCCTGATTCGAATTCACTTCAACCCATTACACTCAAAGATGCCGCGGGAGTTCAGGCTCACAGGCCTGACCCCGTCACGTATTTTTACAAAGAACAAAATCAGCATACTCACTGGGACCATGTCATTAACCAGGGAATCGTTTCGAGTAGACTGGTTCAGGAAGCCAGAAAGGCTCGCATATCGAGAGCAAGGAAAGTTTCCATGATGATTGAACAGCATTTCAGGCATATTGCAGGCGCAGAACAACGAAAACAAAGAGAAGAAGATAAACGAATGAAGAATCTCGCCCGATCGGCGGCTCAGGCCGTCAAAAAACGTTGGATGGTAGCTGAAAAGGCTTATAAGGTGTTGAAGACCGAGGAAGAAGAGCAGCTTAAGAAAATCCAGGGCAAACGACATCTGAGCAAAGTGTTGGAACAGAGTACTCAACTTCTCGGAGCTCAATTCAAACATCTCTCCAACGATAGCGATGACGAAGATCTTGAGGACTCTTTGCACAGCGACCGCTCGAATTTGAGCGAAAGCGACGCTTTCACGACCTCATCGTCAGAAAGTGAAAGCATGAGTGACGCTGAAGACGACGCAAGGCTTTCAGTTGAACAGCTACAAGCAAAATATGCCAACATGGGCAAGACAAATGACGATACAGCGCAAGTCAGCGACCTCGAATCAGAAAGAGGGTCCAGCAGGGATGCTGGGTCCGAAAGACAAGACGATTTAAAGGACACACCGAGAGAAGCTTCAGATGCTGAAGATGCTTCCCCTGATATCTTAGATGAAGACGAAGACGATGATATATCAGGTTTATCGTCAAGTTCGTCAGAAGGGGATACTGAAAACGAAGAGGCTGAAGAGGAAGGTGGTTCCGTGGGCACTAAGCCCAATTTAGCAACTCTCCTCACCGACTTGAGTGATGAAGATGATTCTGCAGAAGAAGACGACTACACGAGCCCCGACGAGCAATTGCATTCCACGGGGGACACGTCAACTGGAGAAACATCCATGGATGAGTCTGATTCCTCCTTCAGTAGTCGGGCAGCACAGCCCAATGGCACAGACAAAAGTTTAACGAACCTTAACAAAGCTGAGTCCGAAAAGGATCAGCCAGATGAGACATTGACGAAACCTGCGGACGATCCGCTGTCGGTCGAAGATGTACCGGTACCTTCTCTACTGAGAGGAACTCTCAGAGCGTATCAAAAGCAAGGCTTGAACTGGTTGGCTTCTCTTTACAATAACAAGACCAATGGAATTTTAGCCGATGAAATGGGCTTAGGGAAAACTATTCAGACAATCTCTTTTCTAGCGTATCTTGCATGTGAAAAGCAAAACTGGGGACCACATCTCATCATTGTTCCCACGTCTGTGCTGCTGAATTGGGAAATGGAGCTCAAAAGATTCGCCCCGGGGTTCAAAGTGCTGACATATTATGGCTCGCCGCAACAGAGAAAAGAGAAGAGAAAAGGGTGGAATAAAAGTGATGCTTTCCACATTTGCATCACGTCCTATCAGCTTGTCGTCCATGATCAGCACTCTTTTAAGAGAAAGAAATGGCAATATATGATTCTAGATGAGGCGCATAACATCAAGAATTTCCGATCCACAAGGTGGCAAGCATTGCTCAATTTTAATACCGATAGAAGACTGCTATTAACAGGAACACCGCTTCAGAACAATCTAGCCGAATTGTGGTCGTTGCTTTATTTCCTGATGCCACAGACTGCTGTCGATAAAAAAGGAGGCATTCAAGGGTTTGCGGATTTGGAAGCCTTTCAGCAATGGTTCGGAAGACCTGTTGATAAGATTATTCAAACAGGAGAAGGATTTGAACAAGACCAAGAGACAAAAGAGACAGTGGCAAAGTTGCACCAGGTTCTACGTCCCTACCTACTGAGAAGATTGAAATCCGATGTTGAAAAACAGATGCCTGCTAAGTATGAGCATATTGTCTACTGTCGTTTGTCGAAAAGACAAAGGTTTCTATATGACGATTTCATGTCTAGAGCACAAACAAAGGCCACTCTTGCGAGCGGAAATTTCATGTCCATCATCAATTGTTTAATGCAACTGCGGAAAGTTTGCAATCACCCGGACCTTTTCGAAGTACGACCCATATTAACCTCTTTGGCCATTGAAAACTGTGTCATGAACGACTATTTGGATCTGAATTGTAAAATATCGAGAAAGCTACACTATAAAGATCACGACACGACGGTGAACCTCGACGAACTGAACTTTATCTTTACGAATAACGACTTAACGATGTCAACGCACCATTCTCAAGATATTGAGCGAATGAGATGCATTTCTCGTTTCAAGGAAGAATTGTCCAAACTACAAGAGAGGGACAATTCAAACTCGCAAGCTCTTGAAGCGATCACGAACTTCCAAAATTTGAACGACTATTATCAAAAATCGATTGCGAAGAACCGTGCAAACGTTATTGACAAATTAAATTTCTCGTGGTACCTCAACGAGTTAAGATGCGCGCGTAAACCCGTTTATGGCAGAAATTTAGTAAATCTGTTGAATGTCGCACAGCAGCCAACTCCAAAAGGCGGGGAGTTCTTCGAAGAGGCCTTGAAGCCCTTGCAAACCAGGGTATTTGCAAGCAAAGACATTATCGAGAAATTTGCAGTGGTGACTCCGAATGTTGTGACACTTGACGGTCGCGACTTCTTTGCTGGGGTGCACGACGAGATGCATAGCTTCGCGGTACCGTCAGACGTGGTGAAAAATGAATTACGCGCATTGGACAATCCGTTCCACCAGTTGCAAACCAAACTGGCTATCGCTTTCCCGGACAAATCGCTCTTACAATACGATTGCGGTAAGCTTCAGAAATTGGCAGAATTGCTGCGGCAACTGAAAGACGGTGGCCACAGAGCGCTCATCTTCACCCAGATGACCAAAGTGCTGGACATCTTGGAGCTGTTTTTGAACTATCACGGATACCTGTATATGCGACTTGACGGTGCGACCAAGATTGAGGACCGGCAGATTCTGACCGAACGATTCAACAGCGACCCGCGCGTCACGGCGTTCATACTTTCGAGTAGGTCCGGCGGTCTGGGTATCAACCTGACTGGCGCAGACAGTGTCATTTTCTACGACTCCGACTGGAATCCTGCCATGGACAAGCAATGCCAGGACAGGTGCCACCGGATCGGCCAGACCCGCGACGTGCACATCTACCGCTTTGTGAGCGAGCATACCATCGAGAGCAATATTTTGAAAAAGGCAAACCAGAAGCGGCATCTGGACAACGTTGTGATCCAGCGGGGTGACTTTACGACGGATTATTTCACCAAACTGTCTGTCAAGGATTTGGTTGGCGCGGAAGTAGCTGGGAACGCGACTACCAGCGCTGCTGCTGATGCTGCTGCCGACAAGCCGCTGCTGCTCGAGAACGACCTTGCCAACAAGGACCCGCGCAAGCTGGAAAGCCTGCTCGCGCAGGCGGAAGACGCAGACGACGTCAAGGCGGCGAAACTGGCGATGCGGGAGGTCGAGGTCGACGACGAGGACTTCAGCGAAACCGGCACCGCCGGCGGAGCCGGCGCAAAAGGCGCTACCGGGAGCGTACAAAGCGATCTCGACGGCTACGAAGACGAATACGAGGGCACGGGCCACGTGGAAGAGTACATGGTTCGGTATATTGCGAATGGGCACTACTACGAGTGAAGCGGCCGTGGCGGCATGTGTACTGTTAATGTATATACCCATCTCTTTTAACCGCCGAGCCCTACATCTGCCAAAACCGGACACCTCCGTTACCCGGACACACACCTTTCCAACCCATACACCCCAAAACCCACACACCCACACAACTCGCCTGCTCACTTCGCACGCACTGACGTAATCTATTCGCTCCTTTGCTAAACGGTGCTTCCCCCGGCGTCCCCTGGCCTGCGCTCCTCCACACGTAATAGCTTCCAGAACGAACAAAACAGACGGCAACGGCAACGGCAATGGCCAACTAATTACGTACCTGAAGTCCCCAGCGTTTGTCTAGGATACGTTCTACGTAACAACGTGGCCAGCGGCCCCTGCCACAAGAAACCCACATCTGTGCAAGAGCAAAGGGTGAACGTGGCGACGTCCCAGCAAACCAAAGCAATCCTGCGTAGTAGGTTCTCGAAAAAAAAGGTCTTGCAGCGTTACGAACGACCACACCGGTGAATCATTATTTAAAGGGCCGTCGTTTGGGTTGAGTGAGGGAGTCTGGTAGTTGTTTGTAAGACCAGAAACCTCAAGATTTTCATATCTGCTCAAAAACCTCTCTATTGCCACTACACATTTACACACACGCAATGTCTAGCGAACTAAAGTATTTCTACAAGGGCCAAGAAACCGATTTCGTCATTTTCGTGGAGTCGCAGGCCGCCGTCGAAGAGTACTTGAAAGCGCCCGCGATTTCCAAGTTGACGGAAACCGTCGGAGTTTTCAAGATTTTCACGAACCAGCAGGGCGAAGGCGCCGAGGGTGAACTTGGAGAAGCGTCCAAGTCGCAGTTGGAAAACGAATTTGGTAAGCACATCAAGGTGGAACAGGCCATCGACAGAATATTGAGAGAGGGCTCCGCCAACGCTAAGGGCGACGTGAACAAGGCCAAATTCGCATCCAAGAACGACTCCATGCGCTAGACGGGCCCAGCGGCTCTCTGTGCACACATCGCAACGACCATTCATTAGTTTTGCATAGTTATAAATAAAAGTGAATCAAGTGATTTTTTATCGTTATAGCGTTGGAGCGCACCGGCCTAGCCGGTGCGCTTGCGCGAGAACACGCACCGGATGGACCATCTTCTGGTGCTCAGGGTGCGGCTTGTGGCCGGGGACGTGGCCACGCAGTTTTCGGAGTTAGCGCGGTGGAGAGTCTTGACTTTGGTTGCCGCGGCAACGGCGCGCTCGCGCACCGATGCCTCTGGCAGGTCCAGTGGCGCAGGGGAACCGGCGCCGGTCAGCGGTAGGTAGTCTGTCCACACTTGCTGCAACGCGCGTTCGATCCCCGCCCGCGCCAGTCTGGTGATTTCCAGCTTGAACGCCGACGGAGCGGCCGACGGAGCGGCCGACAGAGCCGCCGAAGTCGAAGTCGATGTGGGGGTCACAGCGGCTGCGGCTGCGGCTGCGGCTGCGGCTGTGGCTGTGGCTCCGATTGGTGCGTCGTACTGCGACGGGGTGTCCAAGCGCAATCCGTCATCTGCGTCGAGCGTCGCGGCCTTGGAGACGCTCAGCGAAAGAGAGCTGGAGTCGGGCCGGTGCTCGTAGCGGGCACTCTTGGGAAACCAAGTCGCAGAAGTGAAAAGGTCGAAACCAAAGTCCCGGAACTCGACTTCGACGGCAAAACGACGTGAACCGTAACTGCAACTGCTATAGTTGCGTGCGAGCCGTCTCACGGCTCGCACACGATCCAGCTTCCCTGAGAGTTGCGGATTGTACGCTTTCAAGGGCACCATTAGACTTGGTATGGTCGTCGAATCGCTGAAATGGAGCGTGCTTTCCAAAGTAGACTGCGAAATTCCCACTTGGTACGCGGGGCCGAATTGGTGCGGTCCGTTGATGACATCGATGAACAGTCTGAGCTCTCTTCGCCATGCAACGTGTTCCGCTTCGTTTCGGGCCACGATGAGCATTTCCCACAGCTTGAAATCGTATTCGAACTGCAATTTCAGCGAAAACTCGTAATTGGTGCAGAGCCCCGCGTCGCAATCGGTCGCGGATGTGTCCAGCAACCGGCAGTCCGCCAGCCGTACGGCGAATTTTATTGCCCACTGACTGTCCGACGCGGTGTCGTCGTCCGTGGGTAAAGGAATAGACGCGAAAATCAAGTACGACTTGAACAGAAACACGCCGAACTGGCCGCCTGCCAGCTGCAAGCTTCTTTTCGTCCTGTAAAAACTGTTCAAGTACCGGGACTTGCGGTACGAGCTGAAAGAGTAATTCGAGCCCTCGGCCTCCATCCAGGCCACCGCGAGGCAGCCTCGCAAAAAACAGCTGCCCAGGGCCTCGATGGACAAATGCTCATCCGGAACCGGGAACACGAGTCGCCTTTGTATTACCGCCAGTGTGTCGTCGACAGACTCGTTGATCGCGGGCTCGTTTATTTGTGACAGAGTGCGGTACATGGTCTCGAGCGCAAGCTGGATGTGCGACGAAAACTCGCTGGACAGGTCCTTGCCAAAACTTTCTTTGTCAATGACGGAACAATTCGCGGTCAACGCGGCCATCGACTCCAAGAACAGGCGATACTTCGAAACGCGACTCATGGGTAGCTGGATCATGGCCCGGAACGAAAAATCGCGTTTGTAACCCTGCGGAGAATTGTGCGCATAGTACTTGGGGAGGCACAGCTCGATGCGCAGAAGTATGGCAAACAGAAGGCCGTCCTGGCCCTCTTCGCTCATACGGGACAGCAGTTCACTAATCTGATAGTAATAGGAAAAATACGCACGGTACTGCTTGACGTGGATCACGTCGCTGGTCAGCAGGAGCGCGACCTCGTGGCACAGGTCCAACTGGTCCCAACAGTGCAGAAACTGGTCACTCCAGTGGATTTGACGGAACTCGTCAAATCTGCGCACCCGATTTTTCAGCAATTCGTCCAGGTCATGGCTGAACTGCGCGTGGCGACTCAGGATTCGCGTAACAACGCTGTTCAAAAGTTTTATCGGCACATAGTCGTTGAGGGACAGCACCTGCAAGAAACACGTTTGCAGGATTTTGAGCATCTCGACGTACTCAATTTCTGAGTCTCGAATTTCTTCGATGAGCCGCTGCCGTTTGTAGTGGTCCGCCACCACACTGATGGGCACGCCCGGCGGCGTGTTTAGCGTCTGTTCAATGTACTCTTTTATAAATTGGACCGGACTACCACCGTTGGATCCCGGTACGTAGTCCGCGGCGGACATGGGAGAAGCAAGGTTCATGGGTACCAGAAATTCGGAAGACAAACGGTCGGGAGCGATGCTGAAATGCAAAGAGAAGAAGTGCCGGACGATAAAACCGCAGCGGACCCATTGGACGCGGCCCCGAACACCGGTTTGTGTCGAGAGATTGACTGTCACGACGCGCGACGTTCGACGTGACGTGCTCTTGAAGATTTCACTTAGACGCTCGTGTCGGCGGGACCTGTACCGAACTTGCAACAACACTACGCAAGCGGGCCTAGATCGCTACATAAAGACCCCTGCCTCCTTCAGTACCTGCCTCCTTCAGTACCTGCCTCCTTCAGTACCTGCCTCCTGGCACCAACCTTGTATTCTGACGCTGCGAGCACGTGACAAACTACTGCTATCACCCCGAACGACCGGTTCCGTCCCCGCTGCAAACTGGAACGAAGGTGGTGTTCCCGAGGGCCGAAAACAGAAACACTGGATGCTGGAAACATACGGGAAACAAAAGCGAAACACGCCCGAACCGGCTCTACCACGGACCAAATGACAGATGACCGTGTATGAGCTGCGGGCTGCGCTCGCCACAACGTCCACCGCCGTACACTGTCTACTGGACACCTGTTCTTCTCGCTGTGAGTTATCCTCATAGGGCGCCTAACCCGCCCCCAGCCTCGGCGGCCAACGTCAACGAAAAAGAAACAAACAAAGGCACGTATCTTATTTTAGCTCGGTACCCGCCTGTAGAAAAGGGGTCTTGAGCTTGGAAAAAATTCGTAAGCAACGGAAATACGACGAATATAGAAGATGCATCGAAAAAAAGTTTGGCAGTATCGCTAAACGTGGCAAAACATCCGTGCACCATCGGCGCATCGCGGAGGCTGCACAAAAGCCCACGGAGGGTGGGCTTTGTTCCGCGGAACACCCACGCGCATCCCGTGGGCATCCCGCGGCTCCGCGGAGCATATTGCACCACGGCCGAGACGACCTTAACAGTAGAAGAAAGGTCTCGCTCGTGCGCCCTATAGGGTTTCCTAGGAAATACCATGCGCCACCCGGGGCGACCCCTAGCAAACAATAATGCTGCCGAAACGATTCCGCGGAACGGCGGAATCACCGAGATGAGAACAACAAGGCGATAGATATAAAGAGTCAGTTCTTCGTTGAAGAATAACGGTGTAATGAGAAGTTTCCTATATTGTAAAGTATCGGTCCTCCCAGGCGGTTTGTGTTTTACAAGTGACTTTTTGTTCCGCTGAAGTTACCTGCAACATCATGTCGCAGGAACATTCAGACCAGTCGCTCTACGATGGACCTAACAAGAAAGAAATTCGAGATCTCGCTCGTACGCTTACCGCTGCGAGCGTCGCAGTTTCGGGGAATTCGGACGCGGCCGTGAATCCTCTCGCGGCGCAGCCTGGTGAACCTGGCTACAACGCGCGTCTGGATCCAAACTCGGACGAATTTTCGTCAGAGGCCTGGGTACGCAATCTGAGCCACCTAACGGCTGAAAACCCAGACTACTACAAGCCGTTCTCGCTGGGGTGCGCGTGGAAGAATCTTCGGGCGTACGGTGACTCTACGGACGTGGCCTACCAGTCGACGGTGGCGAATTTGCCCTGGAAGCTACTTCAATTTGGGTACCGTTGCGTGCGCAAATCTCGGCCCTCGGATAAATTCGACATTTTGAAGAGCATGGACGGTATCTTGAATCCGGGGGAACTGCTCGTTGTGCTTGGCCGTCCAGGGTCCGGGTGTTCGACGCTGCTGAAATCCATTTCTTCCAATACCCATGGGTTCAAGGTTGCGCCCGAGTCCGAGATTAGGTACGACGGCCTGACTCCGAAAGAGATCGCCAAACACTACCGGGGTCAGGTCGTGTACAACGCGGAGTCGGATGTGCATTTCCCGCATTTGTCTGTGTTCGACACTCTTAAGACCATAGCGCTTTTGTCAACGCCTGCCAACCGTATTGAGGGAATGGACCGTGAAACCTACGCAAAACATGTCACCGAAGTTTACATGGCCACTTACGGACTTTCGCACACGAGAAACACCAAAGTGGGAAATGACCTCGTGAGAGGTGTTTCTGGTGGAGAAAGAAAACGTGTCTCGATTGCGGAAGTCGCCATTTGCGGTTCAAAGCTGCAGTGTTGGGATAACGCTACAAGAGGTTTGGACTCTGCGACGGCTTTAGAATTTATCAAGGCTTTGCGTGTCAACGCCCAAATGACCAACACCTCGGGTGTTATCGCCATATACCAATGTTCTCAAGACGCATTCGACTTGTTTGATAAAGTTTGCGTTCTTCACGAAGGATACCAGATATATTATGGCCCTGCCTCCGAAGCCAAGCAATATTTCGAAGACATGGGCTACGTATCTCCCGAAAGACAAACCACAGCAGACTTCTTGACTGCTGTGACAAATCCAGCTGAAAGAATCATGAATCAGGAATTCATAAAACAGAATAAATTCATTCCCCGCACGGCCGAAGAAATGGAAAAACACTGGAGAAATTCTAGTAACTACAAAAGACTAATAGGACAGATCGACGAATGCTTTGCGCGTGATAGTGACAAAGCGAAACAGGAATTGCAAGATGCGCATACTGCCAAACAATCAAAGCGTTCTAGACCAAGCTCTCCTTACACAGTGAGTTATGGAATGCAAGTCAAGTACCTACTGAGAAGGAATATACAAAGAATTAGGAGTGACGCTGGTGTCACTATTTTCCAGGTTGTTGGTAACGCTGCTATGGCATTTATCTTAGGTTCGATGTTTTACAAGATTTTGAAACATGACGACACGGCTGGGTTTTACTCCCGTTCTGGTGCTCTGTTCTTCGCGGTCCTGTTCAATGCTTTCTCGTGTCTTTTGGAAATTTTCGCTCTTTATGAAGCCAGACCTATCTCCGAAAAGCATAAGCGTTATTCTCTATATCATCCATCTGCAGACGCTTTGGCGTCGGTGATCTCGGAAATACCAGCTAAAATTGTTACTGCTATTTGTTTCAACATTGCACTATATTTCCTGTGCAATCTGAGGCAAAGCGCTGGCGCATTCTTCTTCTATTTTTTGATGAATATGGTTGCAACTTTCGCCATGTCTCACATTTTTAGATGTCTGGGAGCTGCCACTAAAACATTTTCGGAAGCTATGGTTCCATCTTCCCTCTTGTTGTTATCGATGGCCATCTATACAGGTTTCGCTATTCCAAAGACTAAAATGCTCGGTTGGTCCAAGTGGATTTCCTACATTGACCCGCTGTCTTACATTTTTGAGTCATTGATGGTAAACGAGTTTCACGGCCGCAAGTTCCAATGTTCTGTTTACGTTCCTACAGGTCCGGCCTATGCTAATGCAACCGGCACGGAACGCGTATGCTCCGCCGTCGGTGCAGTTCCTGGTCAAGATTATGTGCTTGGTGACGATTACCTCAGACTAAGTTACAATTACTTGCACAAGCACAAATGGCGTGGTTTTGGAATTGGAATGGCTTATGTTGTTTTCTTTTTGGGCGTCTATTTGGCCTTTACCGAATTCAATGAGAGTGCAAGGCAACGTGGTGAGGTTTTGGTGTTTACAAGGGAGTCATTGAAGAAAATGAAAAGGGCTAAGAAATTGGAAAGCGCACGCGGAGATGCGGAAAACTCCGCAGGCATGGAAACTGGTATAAACGAAAAGAAGCTTTTGGAGGAGAGCGGGGAAAGTAGTACATCGTCCTTTCAGGACGTCAAGCTTTCGCAAACAGAGGCGATTTTCCACTGGAGAAATGTGTGTTTTGATGTAAAGATCAAAAAGGAAGATCGCAGAATTTTGAACAACGTTGATGGTTGGGTTAAGCCTGGCACATTAACAGCCCTTATGGGTTCTTCTGGTGCGGGTAAGACTACCTTACTTGATTGTTTGGCATCGAGAGTAACCACAGGTGTTGTTACGGGCGATATGTTCGTGAATGGCCATCTACGTGACGCTTCGTTTGCAAGATCTATCGGATATTGTCAGCAGCAAGATTTGCATTTGCAAACCGCTACTGTTAGAGAATCTCTCAGATTCGCAGCGTATTTGCGTCAACCTGCGTCTGTATCAACCGAAGAGAAGAATGATTATGTCGAAGAGATAATTCGTATTCTTGACATGGAAAAGTACGCTGACGCCGTCGTAGGTGTTGCAGGAGAGGGTTTGAACGTTGAGCAACGGAAGAGATTAACTATTGGCGTCGAACTTTCCGCGAAGCCCAAGCTCCTTTTGTTTTTGGATGAGCCAACGTCTGGGTTGGATTCCCAAACTGCATGGGCCATATGTCAATTAATGAGAAAACTTGCAAACCACGGACAAGCCATTTTATGTACTATTCACCAGCCTTCGGCCTTGTTGATGCAAGAGTTTGACAGACTTTTGTTTTTGAAACGTGGTGGGAGGACTGTTTATTTCGGCGATCTCGGTGATGGCTGCTCCAAAATGATTGATTACTTTGAGTCTCAAGGTGCTCCAAAATGCCCACCTGGTGCCAACCCTGCCGAATGGATGCTCGAGGTTATAGGTGCGGCACCAGGATCACATACCGATAAAGATTACGGCGAGGTCTGGCGTAATTCCGATGAGTACAGAGCGGTCCAGGAGGAATTAGACTGGATGGAAAGAGAACTGCCAAAGCGTCCTCTGGACACGGCTGCTGAGCAGACTGAATTTGCTACTTCCTTGTTTACGCAATATAAACTGGTGACACAACGTTTGTTCCAACAGTACTGGAGAACTCCATCATATCTGTGGTCCAAGATCATCTTAACGTTGATCTCGCAGATTTTCATCGGCTTTACCTTTTTCAAATCTGACAGTACTCTGCAAGGTCTACAAAATCAGATGTTATCGATTTTCATGTTTACCGTTGTCTTCAATCCAACATTGCAACAGTACTTACCATCTTTTGTTTCTCAACGTGACTTGTATGAAGCTAGAGAAAGGCCTTCAAGGACTTTCTCTTGGAAAGCTTTCATTCTTTCTCAAATTACTGTCGAGGCTCCATGGAATTTTGCAGTAGGAACCCTGGGATTTTTGATTTACTACTATCCGGTAAGCTTTTACAGAAATGCGTCCTATGCACACCAGCTACATGAACGTGGTGCACTATTTTGGTTATTCTGCACGGCTTTTTACGTCTACGTTGGATCAATGGGTCAGTTATGTATTGCAGGAATCGAAGTCGCTGAGTCTGCTGGTCACATTGCTTCATTAATGTTTACGCTATCGTTGTCGTTCTGTGGTGTCATGGTGACTCCTCAAAACATGCCAGGCTTCTGGAAGTTCATGTACAGAGCGTCTCCGCTTACTTACTTCATTGATGGCCTGATGTCTACGGGTCTAGCCAATGCGCCCGCTCATTGTTCACACTATGAACTGGTTTCGTTCACACCGCCCGCAGGTCAGACGTGCGGTGAGTACATGGCTCCGTACATCAAGATGGCTGGCACAGGTTACCTCACGAGTCCAAGTGCAACAGACAAATGTTCTTTCTGTCCGGTGTCTACTACCAACGATTATCTTGCACAGGTAAGTTCTCACTACAAGGACAGATGGAGAAATTGGGGTATTTTCATTTGCTATATCTTTATCGATTTTGGATTCGCTATTTTCTTCTACTGGTTGGCAAGAGTACCTAAGAAGAAGAACAGAGTTGCTGATGAGAGAGACCCAGATGCTCCTAAGAAATCCGTCGCAGGCACTAAGAACTAAGGTAACTCTTTCAGAGCTCACTATGACTACTTATACCGTACATCCACATGTAATAAGATCCTATATAAGATAAGATACTATAATTTTTCTTGCCAATTGGGCAAGTTTTTACAAAACGTATCATGCCGTTTAGAACTGTTTCAACTGAGCTTAAACCAAGCTACCGATTGATTTTCAATCGACTGCCAGTCGACCCTCGTCTGGTTTTTCAACGCCGTTGAAAAAAAAGAACTTGAAAAATTTAAGATGCGAGATGAGGTATCTCATCGCAGAAACCAAGCGTCAGCATAGGGCGAACCAGATTTCCTCTTAGTTCAAGATGGCGGTCGAAGAAGTGCGAATTAAGAACAAGATGAAACGGCAGCAAGTGATTGCCGACATCAAAGACCAAAAGAACAAGGAACGGCACAAAATGAGAAAGCAGCGTGAAAAACATGAGCGTGAAAATCCAGAGTTGAAGGAGCAAAGACTGGAGCAAAACGTTCCTAACACGATAGAAAATACACGAGTGTATGACGAGACCATTAATCAGCCTATAGAGGCAGATGAGGACGAATTGGCGAGATTTTTCAATACCAGCAATGAACCACCAAAAATTCTGCTGACCACGAATGTGAACGCCAAGAAAAAGGCGTACGAGTTTGCGAATATCCTGATCGAAGTTTTGCCCAACGTAACTTTTGTCAAAAGGAAATTTGGATTCAAACTCAAGGAAATCGTGGAATTTTGCAACAACAGAAACTATACAGACCTCGTGATAATCAACGAAGACAAAAAAGTTGTCACTGGGCTCACGTTCATCCATCTACCCGAGGGCCCCACTTTTTACTTCAAAATAAGCTCTTTTGTCGAAGTGCAAAAAATTGTAGGACATGGTCGTCCTACAAGTCACATCCCGGAATTGATCTTGAACAATTTCCACACTCGTTTGGGCCAAACTGTAGGCCGTCTGTTCCAGTCCATATTTCCTAAGAACCCAGACTTCGAAGGCCGCCAGGTGATCACGCTTCATAACCAGCGCGACTACATCTTTTTCCGAAGGCACAGGTACATTTTCAGAAACGAGAAGAGGGTCGGTTTGCAAGAGCTAGGTCCTCAATTTACAATGAAGCTACAGCGTCTGCAACGCGGCGTTAAAGAAGAGACTGAATGGGAACACACTCCGGAAATGGATAAAGAGAAGAAGAAGTTTCATTTATGAAGATGGTGATAGTGGTGCTGGTGATGTAATTATGTACGGAACATATGTGTGTTCAGGTTCAAGTAACCAAGAGCTGGCAATCGAGTATCCCCCTTTTCGAGGAAGCGGAACGATTCAGAGCCAGGCTTTGGGGCTTAATAGGACATCTTGGATCATCGTCTTTGGATTAAGAAGTCATTGTTGGTAGCCAAAAAGACCTTAGACTTTCGTTTTGTCTGAATACTAACGCTTTTAAGACTTAAGCCTACTTGAGAAGTAGCGTGCACAAATAACCTGAAAGTAGCGTAATGGATGCAAATGGGGCTTCACAGGTCGTTGGAGCTCTTGAAGTGATTTACGATGTGAATTCGGCTAATTCGCGGCGCCTGGAAGCTCAGAAATTTCTCGATCAAGTAAAATCGCGAGAGGAGGCACCTCTTTGGGGATATGAGATCGCACACAACAATTCTACGAACTATATTCTCAAGCATTTTGGACTAGGATTGATTGCACATGCCATCAAGCATAATTGGTCTGATTACACCGAGGATCGACGTGTGGCCGTGAGAAAATGGGTTGTCGAGCTGAACTATGACGTTCAGCCGGATGATCCCCGGTATATCAAAGCGAAACTCGCATTTTTGTGGGTTGAAGTCGCGAAACGTGTGTGGGGAGAAATGCTGAGAGAAGACAATGTGTCGGAAGCCGGGTTGCTCAATTCCTGGGCAGACATGGATGCCAACCTTGTTCAACTTTGGCAAATGAACGAAGCCTCTCGTGAACTCACTCTGATCATTTTCCGCACGCTTTTCGAAGACGTGTTTTTGCTTGAGGATATGACAGTTTTGAAACGGATATCTGTGATCCAACCCCTATGTGTGATGATCGTTAGCCCGATAGACGTTTTTTCGGCACGCTATAAATTCACTGAAAAGTGGACTATGTTCAAGGCCAACCCTGACGGTTGGTTCAGCCAATGGATCAGTGAATTGAGATCAGCTCTCAAAAATGGCAACGCTGTCTATGTCACCAGACTTTTAGAAACTTTGAAGACATCTCTCAACTGGCCGCTCAGTGAAATCATGATTACCAATGATGTCTCGACCTTGCTACTAGAGTGCCTTCTCAGTGACATTCCTAAGGCCCAGTCAATGGCTTTAGACTCTTTGCATATCCTCTTAACGCGTCCTTACAACGAGGATTCACATTATCAGTCAGTTATCAATACAGTCTTCAGTAGCATGCCTCTGCTGAACAAAGTTTACGACAGTCTACAGTTCGATCCCAGCGAGGTTGACGAAACAAAATACCCTATTGTAAAGAAATTTGTCGACATGATCAGCTGCCTCTACACATGTGTTTTCAAAATAGATAACACAGATGGTCAAATTGAGCAGTATTTGAGGCTAGTGCTAAGGACTACCTCTAACCCCAGTTTAATAGTTAGTGGATTAACTTTAGACCTTTGGTGCTCTTGTCTAAGAAATGACGATTTTCTACCGCTACTAGAGAAATTTGTAATACCGGAATTGCTCCAATTCTCGGCTGATGCTCTGGTATACTATGAACAGATCGATAATCATGTCTCCAAAAATTTCGCCGAGAGCGATTTTCAGTCGAATTCGGAATTCCAATCTTTTTGTTCCACCTACAGAAAAAGAATTCGAGACATAATAAGGCTAATTTCTTGCGTTCAAATCGATTTCGCATACGATTGGCTCAATATTCGATTGAACACGTTTTTTGGATCCTCCTATGGACAAGAGGTTTTGAAATCTTCATTTTTGGATCACAAGAGCGAACCATATTTGAGCGCCTTGTCACACTTGATGGTCGTGGAATGTTTCATCAATGGGTGCATACGTTGGAAAATATGGTTTCCTGAAAGCTCGGCCTACGACACTAAATTAAACGAAATCTTAACCAAACTTGAAACTTTGTCCGATCAACTTATCGCTTTAAACTTGCGAGAACCACTGCTGTTGAAGAAGCAGATTCAAAACTTCGCATTATTTTTGACGATGTTGAAAGATAACGTCTTACTGAAGTTGCTTGAGAAAATCATCACAAGCGCTACTTTAGAATACCCTGAAGTGGATTTAGAAGACAAAAATGAGCAATCAGACTCGGTCAGAGATCTGCGTTATGCATGTGGCATTGAGCTCAACAGAATGGCGATTTTGATGCCTGATTCTTTGAGCAAAATTTACGACGATTTAAAAAATGTGGTGGGAAGCATCATGCCAAGACTTTCCTATCACGAAAGCATTTCTTTCAAGTCATTCCTTTTAACAATTGTTTTGAAGTCATCGTTAGATGAGAAGGAGGCCAATTTTGCGGCTTTAGTAGATCCAGAACTTGCTGCGTGGTCAAACAAAGATACTGTAGTGGGTTTAACAGATTTGCCTTGGTTTATGGAAAGGTTGGGAATTGTTCAAATCGCAGAGTATTTCCAAAAACGGGATATACACGCTGATAGCGATCTTTTGAGTATCCAAATAGACGACGAAGGAAAAGCCTTGAAAAATGAGCTTGCCAAGCGTTGGCAGACTTTATTCCCTGTGCGCGCTACGAGGATGTTTGTTCACTACTCCATGCAAAGCATTAAATCCGAGAAAGAGTTTGAGATGCTTCAAACACTTTGGAAGCCCAGAATTGTACCCATTTTACCTTACATTTTGAGATTGTTGTACCAATTGCAGTCATATCACGACTCCGATAATTGGAAAGAGCTTCCAGTAGTAGTTCAATCCTTTGTCAAATGCTCCACTATCGAGCGATTCTGGGAAGCAGGTGCTTCTAATAAATCTAAGGATGAGTTTATTGATGAGCATATGAAGGCGATGCAAACTGTACGTGATTTCGCAGATTCTGTCGGCCACATTGTAAGATATACCCGGGAGTATGTTTTATTGGTTCTAAGTGCTATCTCTAGTCTTGGAAGCATCCTGTATGACATCAAAGAGTTTCCCGAACTAATTATAGGGTCTATTGCCATTTTCAAGCCCGGAACTGAAGATATAAGTCCCGGAGTCTCGGCACACGGATGGAAACATATCATTAATGTGGCCATTAGACCTCTTTTGAAAAATTGTCCGGAGTCCTCTGCAGCTACGTTTATGCCTGCATTTTTGCCTCGACTTTTCGAGACTTTGGACATCATATTATGCAAGCGATGGGCCGTTTACATGAACAATATAGACGTCAATCCCCCTCCCACAGACGAAGATGAGATGACCGAAGAAATCCTAGAAGAGAATCTTTTGAGGCAACTGACCACCGTAGTTGTACGTCTTCTCATCGATTGCATAGGCCAAGTTAGCGGGAGTTCGCAAGCTTCGAATATGAAGCTGACCTCGCATCAAATAAAGATGAGAAAGATGATCTTTGGCGACATTAATATTTTGGCACCATTTTTAAAACTTTTGAATCATCTAATGTCCTTCAGAGACAGCAAGTGCTCATTCAATTCCATTTTGGTCATGAAGAGTTGCCTTGCAGACACTCTAATCAAACATGAGAAAGTTGACGAGTTCTTCACCGTGGATGTCATGCCTAATCTACTTTTCAATATTTTAAGCCAAAGCGCTTTCAAAGATTCCCTATATGAGGGTCTTTATGTGTTCACCGTCATTTTTTTGACACTTTGCAAAGAATACAAGACTTCCAGAGACTATCTATACCAATTATCTCATGGGTTCGATGTGGAATCACTTTACGAAAATGTGAGAAACGTCGAGAGTTACAAGAATCAAAGAGCCTTGATGATAGAATTCATTGATTGGATCAAAACCGTTAAAGGCACCAAAGATGATCATGAAGATGAAGATGACAGAAAGCATCACGAAAGAAGACAAGCCGTTTTACGACGAGCAAATGAGCGACTCATTAGGAAAAACAAAGATCAAGGCGACATCTTAGATGATCCAAACACGGAGGACGGCGCTTTCGCAACCTTGTTCAAAAACGACTGAAGCGTTACTGTCTAATGCATTATACCTATTACCAACCCTCATAATATCTGTAAATCAGATGTAGTGTGTAATTTTACCAGAGAACGATGAGCTCTCTTTCTATAGTCAAATTTGAAAAAGTTGACAACTAGATTTCAAGAATTAGAATTAAAGACTGGCAGAGATCACGATGGTCTGGAGCAATTGATATCTGGTTGACAAAGTAAACCAAAATCTTATCATTATTGTGATGTTTGGTTCCCTGTTTTTAAGAAACAAAGGCGTCCAAAGGGCCATGAGTTTTGATGCTCGCAATATAGTGTTGAATGTAAATGAATCTAATAATCCTATGAGCCGCCAAAAGGATTCCGACACCAGTTTAAAAGCAGAAAACAAATTGGAAAAGGCTAGACGACTCCAAAGACCAAAACCACTTGTTAAAGCCCTTCAAGAATATTACGATCAAAAATGTCGTCGACCATCCACCAAAAGTCTAGGGAAAGCCAATCAATTCTTTAATTCCAGCAATGTGAAATTTGAATGGAGTGCTTTCGATGCGTTCGATATACCTGGAGAATCTGGGAGGCAAAATTTGGAAGAAAGGATCGCATCGAACAGCAGTGAAATGGAAATTCCAAAAAAGCGGTCTTCACAGAAGCATCTGCCTGAAGTAGCATTCCTTGGTAGGTGCAATTCCGGGAAATCAACCGTAATCAACAATTTAACTACCGCATTTTCCCAGAATAAACTAGATTTGCACGCTAGAGTTTCCAGACATGCAGGCTTTACTAAAGGCATCAACTGTTTCAACATCAGCGGCCGTTTACGCTTAATTGACACACCAGGATATGGTGTCAAGAGCACCCACAATCAAGGAGATCTAACTATGCATTACTTGAGAAATCGCAGAGAACTACGGAGGTGTTTCCTCCTTATATCCGCTGAACAAGGTCTCCAGGAATTCGATTTCCAAATAATCGAGTTTTTGCAGACTTACGGTATACCGTTCGAAATCGCTTTCACTAAGCTCGACAAATTGAGAGATGCGGGTACAGTTCATAACTACATTGAGATCAGTGGGGTATCGGAATTGGCCACACTGCCGCAGTTGCTCTTTTTGAGTTCGCTTGATAAGAAAAATGTTAAAAGACACGGCATTGACAGGTTGAGATACGCAATTTTAGAAAGTTGCGGGTTAGCGTAGTCGTCTAGAGTAATTTTGTTCTATACAATTGTATTTAATCGGTTATTATACAAGGATGTGAGTCTGTGGGGGTTTGATAAAATGCCAGTGAATTCAAAATCTCCTGCCACCACGGGCGCCACCACGGCCACCACGGCCTCCAAATCCGCCACGTCCTCCACCACGGCCTCCGAAACCACCACCACGGGCGCCGAAACCTCCAGAAGAACCGCCTCTGCCACCGAAACCGCCGCGGCCACCTCTGCCACCAAAACCACCGCGTCCACCTCTGCCACCAAAACCACCGCGTCCACCAGGTGCACCGGGAGTTCTCTTTTTCTTTGGCTTAGGAGGTCCAGCGATCTTGGGTTTGGGCAAAAACCGTTCAATTGGAAGCAGCTTGTCGGGAGCAATGTAGAATTTGTCACCGTCCTTAAAACTGGTCGCTTGTACACCATCAGAGCATTTAATCGTGAAATACACCTCGTTCAAAGGTCCTAATATTTCGTCAATTTTACCCACTTGAGTCTTGTTTTCAAGGTAAATGGGTGCATTGAAGTATGGAATTTTAGGGTTAATCGAGCGGCAAACAATCTCACCTTCACAATCGTGCATAAAGCTGCCCATCTCCAAAACTGTTTCTGGGGGTCCTTGCTGAACAGGTCTATTGAAACCGCCAAAACCGCCGCGACCGCCGCGTCCGCCGCGTCCGCCTCTTCCGCCGCCTCTGAAACTCATAGTGATTGTGTTTAGAAGTTCAAATCAAACCAGAATGGAGCCCCAAACCTCTCTTCAAGATGACTATTCTAGCGTCCAAGTTAGCCAAATTCCGATGAGATGAGCATTGAAAAATTTTACTGGGTAAATTGAAGGTTTGACATAGCATAATGTACGAAGGGCTCTCGGCATCATCATCGTCGCCAATATAAAGAGCTCCTCAAGCCCTGACATATATACAAAACAGGAATATAATCCAAACTAAAATAGCACGTAAGCAACAGAGAGATTAAACTTGTTTCTTTGGTGCAGATTTTGAATTTTGAAGCCTTTAGAAAGAGGAAGCTTGTAAATACGAGTAGTTCGTATATGGTGATATCCTTAGTCTATGCTCACTAACATAGATTAATTATGGATTTCGAAGTGAACATATAGATCATAACTCTGGAATATTTCAATCCAATATGTGCCCCGCGAATTGATCAAAGAACAGGGGTTTCCTTATTTTTTGGGTGGTTTTTCCGGCTGTCAGTAATGTAATTAGAAAATTTTCAAGAAAAGAAAACTTGAAAAATCCAAGCTCATCTCATCACCATTCCACTAACTAGAAACCAAATTTGTGGCTTAGTGGGAACAGGTTTGAGCTCTTGAAACTTGACTGAAAGATGAGCAGCAGTGCAGAAGTCATTGCCAGTTTTTCTCCGGATGCGAGCAGCTTCGTATTCAGGCTGAACGGGTTTCAGAAACGGCTGGTGAACCTTTACCCATTGAACAGTGCTCAGGACTACAAAGTAACGAGTTCACAAATTTTTCATATAGATTATGAACAGCAGGATCTTGATTTGACCGAAGTGAAATTTTTCGAGTGGTGTGTGACTCCTGGCGCCGCCAGTGGCATCAAGTCCAAAAGAAAACTTAATGATACAGATGCTGGAACTAGACCTTCGCAAGCAGAGTCGCACTTTGTGAATATCTTCCCTGGTGGCAAAGTTGTCATTTTCTCGTCAACTGGGAGTGACATTTTTAACATCATTCAGACCAAGAAAGAGATCGTAGGCGCAGCAACCTTGGGTTCGAAACTCTGGATACTGGACGAACAAAATACAGTCAAAGAATTTAACATATGGGCCACGAAAGCATCAAAAAGTTTCTCTCTGGGTGATATTGACTGCGAATCCCTATCAAATTTCCAAGTTTTGCAATTTGGCAAGAACGTATATTTGATTGTGATAGTTGAAAGCCGAGTACATGTGTGGGACATTTCGCCTAAAAAAAAGCCCTCAAAAATGTGTCATATTGAAATTTTTGGAGGCATAGCGGCGACCAGTTTGAACCAAGATACATCCTTAATGGCTCTGGTCGACGTGCAAAAATTGTCAGTGATCGATTTGAAGACGTCAGAGATTGTCACTTCGTGGGACATAGAAGCGACGCAAGTGAAAAGCGTTGGGAGCTTTATTGTCGCGTTGTGCATTGATAATACCATTTCTGTGTATGAATATGGCAAAGACGAACCTATGTGCAGCATAAAATGCAAAAATAGTGAAATCTTGGACTTCTCATCTGTTAATGATGACTTGTTACTTGCGTGGCTGAACGTCAATGAGCCACAGTTCGAGTTGGTAACAGCCAAAGAGATTCGAACTCGAGGACTGATCTCCTTTAGCGCTGAGTCTAATAGCATAGAATCGGAACATGGGCTAGCATCATCATCGCATTCACAACCTGAAAAAGGGAGAGATGTTCGGCACAAAACGCCGGAAATGAAGGGCAGCCAAGCGCTAAACTTGATCATAAAAGCTCTAAACAGCAACGCTGCCTCGGAAACGATTTTGCAATTGATTAGCATGGATTCTTTATCTGAGTCCCATATACAGTCTGCTATTACGAAGACACTTTCAGAAGAGAATTTGATAAAGGTATACCACATTGTTTCAGATCAATTCGTTAGGGATCCATGGTCATGTAACAGTACTTCGGCAACGTGGCTCAAGTGGCTACTCACTACAAAGCGCTCGCTAATACTTCAACGGCAAGATCGTGCTAGTACCAAACGCACCAAGCAACTGCGCTCTTCTTTGAAGTGCACAAGCAGCAGCTACCGATTATTACTCTCGATGCAGGGCAAGCTCGAAATGCTGCGTGAACAAGCCAATTTGCGTCAACAAATTGCGAACATGGCTTTAGAAGAAGGTGACGTACCCAATGGTGATGACGCGGCCGATGAATCTGCTCTCGTCTACGTCAACGGGGAAGGAGATGAGTTTGTCGATGCCCTCGAATATAGCAGTTAGCTAACGATTTCAAATCGCTATCGATATCGCTGACGTGGGATCTCGAGTTATTCAGGCAGATTATTTGAACTGTACAAGAAACCAAAAAACGAGCTAAAAATGTCAATAAGATTGGCCCAATGAACCGCAACGCGTCGCATTTGACAGATGAATTAATTAATAACATTTTATACAATAATCATTTCTTTGTCGTTTCTGATAGGTAAATCTTCACTTGGTCTCGATTTTTCGTCAACACAGTTAAGCATCGCTGAAAATTTTTTGTAGATTTTGATGCGATGAGCTATCAATGAAATCCAGCAATAAAACAGCTTTAAATTAGAAAAGTCGGTCTCTGAGTGGCAATTTTCTCTCTGAATTTGACATTCTCGATTAAGTTTTCGCTAGAATGACAGAATCCACTTTGGCCGCTGATAAAATGTTCATTTCTTACAACAATATCCATAAACTTTGTCAAAAAGTTGCCAAAGAGATCATGAGAAGAGGTGAGAGACCAGATGTGATTATCGCCATCACAGGCGGTGGTATGATTCCTGCGAGAATCGTTAGGTCGTTTTTGAAAGTGAAGGGTCAAAAAAATATTCCTATACAGGCCATCGGACTTTCTCTTTATGAGGACTTGGGTCTCGATGAGCACAAGGAAAGCATTGGTAAAGAAGTGATAAGGACTCAATGGCTAGATTTTGGTTCTCTAGAACAACATTTCGACTCTCTCATCGGTAAACGTGTTTTGATCGTCGATGAAGTTGACGACACTAGAACGACGCTCCACTATGCCGTTGTCGAATTGGAAAAAGAAGTGCAGGAACAGCAGAGAAAACTAAACCGGGAAAACGAAGAGACCATATTTTCTATTTTTGTTCTTCACAACAAGGATAAGCCCAAAAAGGCGGAATTCCCTGATTATATGATGCAAAACGATCGATACTTAGCCGCCGAAACGGTCCCCGATGTGTGGCTGTGCTACCCATGGGAAGCTGTTGACATTGAAGAGCATACAAAGCTTGCCATTGAGCAGGGCAACAATTGAGCACGCGCCAAAGCAGTTTTTATTGAATGTATAGTAACAATAGAGTCAAATTATTCTCACTGCCCTGAGGTTATCTGACCTTTTCCTGCATATCAACCATTTGTTGTATTTGCATTTGAACCAGTTCCTTCAAATCGTCCACGTCGTTCTGCAATTCGTCAACTTTTTCAGTTTTCTCACCCAAAAGTTGAAGAGAAGCTTCAAGTCTAGTTTCGAGATCACTGACATCTTGTTCAAGCTTGAAGCGTGCGCTTTCACACTTTTTGGCTTTTTCGTTTTCTTCTATCAGCTTTAAGATGCTTTCATTCGCATCGTCTTTGGATTTTTGCAATGCTTCGTAGGAGTCCTGTAACGAAGAGAGTTCTGTCTGCAATCTCCTCACTTCACCACCCAATTTGCTGACCATCTGGGCGTTCATTTGGCCACGAGTTTGACTTTGAGGATTGGTAAATTGCTGAGATGACGTAAAATTTATCGAAGCGAGGCTTGGCTTTCTGTCGTAAAGATCGAGTTCTGCAACGTCTCCACTAATTTGGCTGATGTTTTGATCAGCAATATCCAAATCCGATTTCTCACACTCGTACTCGGCATCCTTCAACGAACCAGTCTCCAGTTCGGCGCTTGCACTTAAACTCCACTGGGAAATGGGATCTACACGACCAAGGTCATCTATCAATGGTGACTTCAATTCAACCGGAACTGGAGTGCTATCATTGATATCTTCTTTTGAAATATTCGACTCCAGTTGTTTCTTCTGGAAGCTATATTTTTCTGCAAGTAATGCGTAATCCTCGCGAGCTTCTGATAAAGCCGCTTGTACAATTGAAATTTCTTCCTTGCGTTCATGGTATTCATTCTTCAGTGCCGTGTTTTCTGCAGTGAATCTCTCGATCTGTGACGCCAGATCTTCGTTCTTCTCTTGTAATTTCAAAACAGAGTCCCTCAGAGAATTTTGAGTCTCTGAGCTTTTCTCCAGCTCAGCCTGAAAAGCTGCGATTCTGTTAATAAAGCCAGCCTCGATCGTCGACCAGTTTCTAGTGCTGGCCTTATGTTCGTCCTCGAGTTTTGTGAAATCTCTCACAATCCTTTCGTGGTCATTCATATCCGAATTTGTGTTTGCATTTAACCGATTGGACGTATTACTGTCTACCTCGATGCGTAACCGCTCTATATCGGTCTCAAGCCTCGTAATTTCTTGTTGCGCATTAAGCTGCAACGCTTCATATTTGACTTTAAGCACTGAGGAAGTGGTCGTTGCCTCTTCAGTAATCTTTTCCAAACCAGCTTTGAGTTCTAGATTCTCTTTCCTCAGGGACAATACCTCCGTCCGTAGAGGCTCATGTTCCAGGGCAACAAAGTTTTCGTGGCGATCTACAACGGCATTTAGTTCTTTGTTAGAGTTTTCTAGTCGAGACCTTAGGATCAAAATTTCTTCGGAATTTTTGTCGTTTTGGTCTCGAAATTTGTTCAGGTCATTCTGCTTCTCGTGAATGACTTCTTTTTCCAATTCAAGATCTGTTTCTAGAGTTTGCACGGTCTTACGCAACGTCTTGACCAGATTATTCTGTTTCAATTCTCGCACCGAGAGTTGCTCACCCTCCTGCTTTAAATTCTCGATCTGCAAATCTTTCTGCTGGAGTAACTTCACGAGGGCGCTGTCCTTCGTACCCGGTCTCGAAAGTTCTGCAGACGCTTCCAGTGTGCTCTGAGTCTCATTAAGTTTTTGAAGAATATCGTCAAAAACAGGTCTCAACACCGCCACAACCTCCTCCGACTGCATTTCCCTAAAGTTTTCGGGCAATGCCCTTGTAAAGCTTTCTGACCAGTTCGCTCCGATTTCCACATTTTTGTCCCGATCATCATCATAATCCGCCTCAATCTTTAATCCAAAATCAGGAGTTTGGTCTCTTAAACCCGGTGCACTCGTAACCACCGGTGTACCACTTCCAGACTTCAACTTCTTTCCCTTCCGCTTCGCTCTGCTCTTCGCAGCTAGCGACAATCTCTCCTCAATTGTCAGTTTTTTGCCGCTGCTTGACATGAATGCTCATCAATTCGACCAAAAGACCACCGGAATCGGCTGCTAAACCTGCAAAAATAGGACTTGGCCCTCCTATAACGACTCTTAGATCTACTCTCTTCTCTTTTACCCATATGTTAAAGCTTAGAATTTCGATAGATGTCAATATTAAAAAAGTAGAGAAAAAAGCCCTGTAGGGGGCTCGAACCCCTAACCTTATGATTAAGAGTCATACGCGCTACCGATTGCGCCAACAAGGCTCTTGATGAAAATCCGTATGATTTATACGTACAATACAGTGGGTGGATAACGTGTGATAATCCAGTTCGTCCTGTGAAGTCATTTCTTTGGTATTGCCTAACCTTCTACAAGGGCATTGCTAGAAATCGTCGTATGGCCAGGATGAATTTGAGGCCGCAAAGCACGGGGTAATAGTCGCAATATGATTAAAGTTCGAACACACAGCCTTTCTGAGGCCAGCCGCACCGGCTAAGCTTGAAGTGATGCCTCTCGCGCGGATCAAGATGGGTGTAATTACGATACACGTGACGTTTTTTTCTTTTTCTTTCTTGAGATGAGATGAGATGAGCTAAATTTTCCATTTTTTAATGCACAGGCCATCGCGGCCTGAGAACAGCGATATCTAGGCTATTTCAGATTTCAAATCATTGTCACAACATCTTAAAATGGGTGCCGATTCTATCCCCGTGAGCAAAATTGCCAATTTGCTGGAATCGACCTCTGGCTACGAATTTCAAGCCGTTCTTCAATCGTTGACCGACGCTCAATACGTTAATCAGCAATTGCTCAAATCGGAATTGTTTATCCTGGTTAACAGAGTACTCAAGCTTCTGAGATCTGGTGACGACTATCTGTTATGGAAAGGCTGCAATGTGATCTTGGTTCTTTGCGCTTATAATCCTGTTATCTTATGCGCACATGCTGATGTTTTTCTGAAGGAACTGTATTTGAAGCTAGAGAAAAAAGTCGAGTACTATTCTAGCTCCGTTTCCAGCGAACAGGGTAGAATCGTTTTGACCAATCTTGTGCACACTGTCGGTTACCTCATAGATTTAATCCGGGGCAAACCCGCCGTAACGAGGGAAGTCCTCACACCGAAGTTATCCGCGATTATCCCAACGTTTATCAAGCTTTCCCAATACGAGCCACGGCTCTGTCTTCCATTCTTGAAGAAATTGCTTTACAAGAATACCAATACGTTCAGACCTTTTGTCAACAAGCTTTACAACGTCCTGGTGATCTTGTTAACCAAAGACTACCAAAGCTTTGATGTTGCAACGAAACGTCTTATTTGCGACACGTTCGCGTACACGCATCTTATAAAACTCAATCCGCAAACGAAAAACTCTAGTTCAGGACATCACAGTGTTCGCAAGGACGAGCAATACCGCCATGGATTGTTGTTGGTGCTCTCTCAGATTCGACCACTGATCACGCTTTGCGGCGAGCTTTTTGATTTCAGTGCCGATTTTGAAATGGAACGCTTGGTAGCATCTCTACCGGACTATCAAGGCGAAAACTTCAATTCGGTGGGGTTTTTTGAGGCGCTCGACGTTGATATGAACAAGCCATTTACGCTGTGGAGAATTTCAGAAAGACTAGATGTGCTCAATAATTTGATTATTTCCTTCTGTTCGCTGGCAACGCCGTTTGCTATCAGGGTTCCTATTGGCGGCATTTCCAAAGTCATTCAAGCGCTTTTGAATTTGAGCGTTGACTACTTACCTCTCAAGAGAGGTTTGCGTCGAGACGCTGAGTTACTCTCAGTTATCGAAAATTTATCCTCCAAGATGCAACATGAGGGTGTGAAGCTTTTCCAGAATCTAGCGCCAATTTATGGCAGATGCTTGATACCTTTCTATCCGGAGCTCTTAGGCTCATTGGAGTTGATCGTGCCAACGAGAAAAGGCTCCACGAATGTCGATTTTCAGAGAGTCAAGAAAATACGCCCAGCCCTTAAGGACGTGTTCGAGCTCCTCTCACATATTCTTCCGGCTATGGGTAGATTCTTTGATGATGGTTCCTTGGCACCTAAACTCGTCGACGTGGCTCTACATTTTACAAAGAGCATGAACTTAACACTTTCCTTATTGTCGGGAATTGATCAAAGTGACAAGAAGGGTGGTTCGAACAAAAAGGATAAGAAGTCAAATAAGCGCTTAACCGGTTCCATGTCTGATGTGTTTTCTCATCCTGAAGCGTTTACTATTGAGAATTCTTTTGAGTTTTATGCTTTTATCAACGAGTTTTTGACAACCATGATCAGGCATAAGTCCATACCTTCAAATCATCATGTCAAAATCACCCGATACGCAATACAAAATGCAACTGTACTCAATGAGCAGCTAAACTACGTTCCTGCGTCGTTCAGGGATCTCCTAAGAGCTCTTGTACTATGCCCTGGAAGCGAGCGTTGTTCGATATTACCCATGGCCGTTAGCTTGCTGAAAAAGACGGGAGATGAGCTTTACGGTGTAATTTGCAACCCACGTTTGCCGCTTGGAGTTGTTCATTCGATAGCACCTGCTCAGCTTCCTGAATATGCGGAGGATCAATCCTTGGAGGACAACAACGCCTCTTCCACCAACGAAAGCCTATCGTTGGAAGAAACGACCGAGGTTCCTGCAACAGAGCAGAACGGTGGCCCAGACGCAACCCCCGCAACATCACATTCTCAGTGTGAAATAATCGAGACACATGTAGAGACCCAAGAGGAATCGATCGAGAACGAACTCTCGAAACATCGGGACAAGATCTTCAAAAGAAGGTCAAGTGACGCAGATATAAAGACAGAAGAAGTCAGTGTCAAGGTCGCTAAAGTCGCAAGAGATTATGACGTTTTGGAAGAAATCGTATCCGAGCAAATAGACAATGGCGCTGAGGACACCATTGCGGAACGCGCTGTTTTCGTTGAGCAACAAACTGAGCGTCGGGAGGCGGATGGTGACAGTGATTCCGACTTTGAAATACCAGAAATCGTGCTCGAAGAGGATGACGGTGAAGATGAGGAATGAAAAGTCAGAAGTTTTCGTCAAAATCAATCAGACTGATCACTTCTGATTTCTGATCTGTTGAAGTGAATTCCCTGATAAACCTGCATTTAATAAGTACCCTGTAAAGCGCCGCACATTCCCGTAAGAATATGCTCTTCTGCACTTGGCCCTTCTCCAATAGTAAAACTTGTAAAGCCTTATTCATTTTATTTCCCAACAGCTCGCTGTCGTCCTCTGGCTCACATAAGTCTGGTGCTAAGTAATCAATCAAAAATCTCTTCATTATATCTTTGAGCGAGCCATTTAATTCTTTGAATTCTTTAGGAGTCAATTGTATGGTGGTGACGTCTTCAATATTGTCACCCGTATCAATTCGCTTTTTCAAAAGTGTTTGAAGGACTCTCATGCCGTCGTTAAGGGTCTTTTGATATTCGACCATTTCAACCAAATCATTTACAGAATTGTCGGCTAGAAACTGTCTTGACGACTCTAGCCTTTCTCTGGCACTAACGGATGCTAGACAAATTCCAATGGGATCTGATCTGTCAGGCATAAAAAGAGGCTTACTCAAAAATTGCTTCCATTCTATTGGATCATTCTCTTGCAAAATGCCTTCCTCAGTTTCTGCTTGAATTGCACGTCTCACCTCTTGCAAGAACAATTCTTTATTTAAAATCTCCTTTTCAAGGACTTCTAAATATATCCTAATTTGAGATGAGCTCATTTGAGTGGAAGCTTGATCTGAGATGAGCTACATTCTAAACACATCGAAGAACCAGCAAGTTTCCAAAGTTTAAGATCGGAAGCCCCTTCGTAAAAACTGCTATCAACACTTTTTCATATGACTTCATGATGTACAAATAAGAAGCCGGGAACTTCTTCACCAGCTAATCTCGTAAACAGCTAGTAGATTGCGATAACCACCACCCCCCTCCATAATGTCTACTATTACACAAGCAGACCTAGCTAGCCTGGATGATGGCTCTAAAAAGGAGATCATGACGTTTTTGGAATCAGAAAACTCCAAACAAAAAGTTCAGATGTCAATTCATCAGTTCACGAATATGTGCTTTAAAAACTGTGTCAGCTCGGTAAATGACGCAAACTTGAGCTCCCAAGAGGAACATTGCCTCAACAATTGTATTAATAGGTTTTTGGACACGAACATTCGTATTGTCAAAGGGTTGCAGGGCCTTCAGTGATTTTAGAATATAATGTATGTATTCCAATAAAAGGTTCTCTAAGTGGTCGCGAGTTTATGCTAATGCCAGGACATCGAGTTTTCGATCTTGCAGCAGCGACAACTCCGCGGATGACCAACTGCACCCGCACGATATCAAAAGTTTTACGAAATTTCGCAATCTCAACGTAATGTCGTCGTCAAGTGAACCCTCTGCGCGACATTTTTCAAATAAGATAACGATAACAGCAAGCAGATCGTATTTGTGTGCAGAAACTCTGGAATTGGGACAAACTTCGACCGCTGTTTGTAATGTCTGCAGAGTTTCGTGCATGAGAGGTGGGAACAACGTAATGAACGGATTTCGAACAAAATACTCACCCAGTGTGTAAATTATCCTTTGAATGTGTAGCGTTGAAGCTGGACCCAAGGTTCTCAAAATTTGTCTAACGTAATTCAAACCTATGATGCTTAGCTGTGCGTAATCAGACGACACCCGCGGTATCATAGACTGCAATAGTAAATCTGATAATAGTTTGTCAAGATGATTTTGGTACTTTTGTTCGCTGTCCCAAAATTGAATGCGATACAGCTCGATTAGAGTTGGCAACACATTGTTCCAAACTTCACAAATAACTTCAGCACTGTCGGCTCCAGGAAATTTGTAGCACATACCTGTCAAGGAACTCTCAAACAACTCAAATACGCCAGTTTTTGAGAAATCAAACCTGGACGGACAGTGCATATCAATAGTGCACGTCAAAAACGTATGCAAGAGAGTCACTCCCTGCAATCGTACATTGACTAAATCTGTTGTGTCGTCGATAACATTCAAAATACCGGGAGTAATCCACCACAGATTAGCGGAAATATCGGAATGCGCCAAATTTCTCAAAACAACGTAAAACAACGAAACACTACGTTTCCCACCGTTTTGGATCCATGCCTGTCTCTCGTCTTCGTCGCGAGCGGAATATCCCATCTTTGGCTTTAAACTCAGATTCTCCTTAGTATTCCGACGTCCACCCTTCGTAAGCTTGTCATCACGAATCTTGGGCAACAGCCTCAACAGTTCCTGAATTAATGCCATTTCTACTTCATTTTCTATCACATCCTCAAGCATCTCAGCACATTTTGTTCTTATTTTTTTGTCAATTCTTGTGTCAAGCATAAAGAAACCGATGTTCTTCACTGCAGCGACTTTAGCTGTTAAATCAAGTTCATTATGGTAAGCCAAGAGCTCTTGTACCACGTCTATCAGCGTATCTTGGTCAGGAGTATATTCCAGTGATGATTCGACTCGATGAACCCATTCTTGTAAAATATTGTTGGTCATCGCCTCTTCGGTTATCAATTTGAAGATGTTTGATAAGATATCTGCTTGAACCTTGAAAGACTTACAAGATAAGAAGACGAAAGAGAAAATTCATTGTTTCTCAACGGTCTTTAGTTGAGATCCGACTGAAATGCTGGCAATGAATCGGTTCTTGAGGAGTCAATTGATCTCAGTTCCGAGACGCCGTCCAAGGCTCTGTTTTGGAAGGTTATATCATATCAAGATATCAAACGAAATTCAACAAGCATTGAATGCCAGGAAACCCATCGTGGCACTTGAATCTACAATTATTACACATGGGCTACCTTATCCGCAGAATATTGAAATGGCTATTCAAGTGGAGTCTGTTATTAGAGAAAATGGAGCGATACCAGCCACAATTGCATTTTTGGATGGTGAACCACGAATTGGGCTTTCAGTTGATGAAGTTCGTCAATTGGCTGGGTTTGCATTGCAGGGAGCCGTAAATAAGGTTTCTCGAAGGGATATATCTTATACAATGGCAAAACGAATGCACGGTGGAACGACGATATCAGGTACGATGATTCTATCGCATATGGCTGGAATAAAAGTGTTTGCTACTGGTGGACTGGGCGGCGTCCATAAAGGTGCTGAGATTACTATGGATATCAGTGCTGATCTCGAAGAATTGGGTAGAACTCCCGTGGCAGTTGTATGTGCTGGTCCTAAGGCCATCTTGGATATCGAAAAAACGATGGAATACTTGGAGACAAAAGGCTGTACTGTAGCCACGATGGGGCCGGATGGCACCAATATACCGGGGTTTTTTACAAGAGACTCTGGTGTAAAATCTCCTGTGATTTTTCAGACATGTAAAGAAGCGGCAGAGATTATAAAGGCTGGTGATTTTATGGACTTACAATCGGGATATCTTTTCTGCGTTCCACCTCCTGCGGATGCTGCACTTGATAGTACATTAGTCGCAGAAACTATTGATAGGGCGACCGAAGAGGCTCAAAGATTGGGCGTAAATGGTAAGAAACTGACGCCGTTCTTACTTGGTGAAATAGCACGTAGGACAGCTGGCAAATCTGTCGAAAGCAATGTTCAGTTTGTTATGAATAATGCCAAAATTGCAGCTCAAATAGCTGTCGAATTGGCGTCGTCTTCTGATGTTTCACTGAGCAAGGTTGAAGCGCAAGCGCAGGCTGGATCAATCGATGCTGCTTTGCATACAACGGCAAGAATTTTAAGAGGCCCTGTCGTGGTAGGTTCGGTCGCAATGGATACACATTGTTCTCTGCGGGAGCCGGTAAAAATGGCCGACTCAAACCCTGGCAGTACCCGCTCAGCGATAGGAGGTGTTGGCTACAATGTCGCACTTGCATCATTTCTTTCAAACTCCGAGAGTGCAAATCATACGACCTTGATAAGTGCTGTTGGCAGCGATTTATCAGGCTCGGCGATTTTGGACAAGGCAAAGATACCTGTTGATGCAATTCATATAGACAAGACATTACCCACAGCTCAGTACATTTCGCTACATCGGAAAAATGGTGAGCTAATTATTGCATGTGCTGATATGAAGATCGCAGCCGAATTACCTGAAAAGCATTTGATGGACCAGTTACAGAGATTAAAGCCTGGTGTTATTCTAACAGATGCAAACGTGTCTGTAAAGATTTTGGAAACTTTAGTCGAATTGCAACAGCGGCAAAAGTTTCGTTTGATCTTCGAGCCAACTTCACAAGTCAAAGCCACCAAAATCAGCGAATTGAAGAATTTGAAAGTTTATCCAAACAATTCTTTTTACCTCGCGACGCCAACCGTTTGTGAGTTGAAAAGCATTTTCGAGTCTTTTGATAAACAAGGACTGTTTAATATTGATAATTGGTTTCCCGTTCTTGATTGCCTGCAGGTTGATATCAATCTGAAAGAATTTCAGCGCACGAGTAATACCACCATTGTTCAAGATGTGCTGAAGAGAGGTATTTTCCAAATGGGATGCTATCTATTGCCTTATTTCCCTCGCATTATTGTTAAAGACGGAGCAAATGGTCTCTATGTTTTTGCTCTGACCCAGGATGTGACTAAGTCCCCCCACCAAAGTACAGGAGCAGACGTATCCTTCGCTTCCATTGGCCGTGATTTCATGGGAGGCAAATTAGGACTGTTGTTCGAACACTATCCAATACCGAATGCCAATATCACGGTGCGTAACGTTACTGCTGCTGGTGATACATTGGCAGGCGTGATCTTAAATGAGATAAACGAAAATGGTGACGTTTTCTCCATGGGTTCGACGGTAAGATCGAAAAGTGTAAGAAAATCTCAACTTGGTGCGCAGATGTCAGTTGAATTCGAAGGCGGTGTTAGTCCAAAGCTCAAGAATTTAACTTGAAATGCGCTCAACTTATGATTCAATCTTAAGTAAATTTGCTTGCAAATCAGACGGACATGTTCTCGCACTCAAAATAACGTAAGCTGTCGGTGTGATTCTGGCTTATAACGCATGGGTGCCAGATTGATTAGAGGCGAGATTCTTGGTGACTAAACTATCGATTACGCCATTGGATTCGGGACCTTGGGGTACCAAAATCTACGGGAATGTAGATTGACTTTTCATTGATTACGAATTTATTCCGGGAAGTTACCCACGGCGTCTGGTCGACAACGTCGCACTGCCCTTCCATTTGCTTAACGTCTTTTGGGCGTTCTGTGATCCTGCTGCTGGATTGTCGGAAGAGAAGCTTTCGTTTTCCAGCATAGTTGAAGAATATTTAACAAGGTGCCTAAGTGATATTTCAGATTGGTCTTATTACGATATGTAGTTCTTGGTTGGGGCTGTACGTTACACTAAGGTCACAAGTTTATCCACAAATGAGTCTTTCGCGGACTGACTTAAAGGCTTGGGTCCACTCAAGTATTGACTGAAGAGGCATTTACCAATAAGAGGCTCATCAATGCGTCCCATAACCACTTTTTCGTTCTTTTTTTTACCGAGATAGTATAGCTGAAGACTTCCGTTCGCTTGAAGCTCAAGAATCAAATCATCATCTTTTGGAACTGATCCTTTTTTTGAAAAGGCTTCTTTGAGCATTTGAATTCCAGCATTCATAGCCTCCTGCTGGGTTTTAGCATTCGGATGGCTTAAAATCGATTTGATCAATCCGTCTCTCAAGTGATTAAAATCGGTATTTCTGATAGGTGTTATCTTGGCAGCCATGCGAACCCCAGCATCGAGTAAATTGTCAACAACTTTTCTAGATTTTTCAGGATCTTGCAGTGTTGCTTTGACATTCTCAGGATGCGACTTCGTTGAGTCAGTGTCAATGAAAGTCTTGGAAAGAAAGCTCGAGCACAATAGGTTGCTGAGAAGACTCAAATCTTGCTCTGCAACGTATAGTCCAAGACCGTACACTTTAAAGGATAGAAATGTCACTGATCTTGTACCAAACCCCATTAAAACGTACTTTGTAGTCAAAGGATAAAAAGGTGGAACCAATTCTGTGGGAAAGGGCGAAATAGATTTGTCGACACCTACCGAGTCGGAAGACTCATTTTTCTGGTTAACATCGTTACTCAGGAGCCCTTGCGACGCGAAATATAAGGAGCAAATAGTTAATGTTCCTAGCGCAATTGAAGGTCTTAAAAAGGGGGTTTTGAACACTATGCGAGCAGATTTAGGAGAAGAAAATGCTGTTGATCTCGCTGCCAGTCCTCGTCTGCTAGCAAATAGCAAAGTTCTGAGAAGCCTGGATTTGTTCAACACCATTTGAAATGTTCTTTGATGTAATCCACTAGCCGGGATATCTTCGTCTTGTAAACTCCGTTGAAATTCTTATAAGCTCATTTAGTTTTAAGTGCTCTTACAAATAAATAAATACAAGGAAACCACTGCCAAGAGTCAAGGATCAAAAGCGTGATATCATGTTGGTAGACCATGGTGGGCCAACTTCAAAAAGCATCTTCTGCGACATCGTCATGGATAAATTTACCCTCTAAAGTTGGCTTTATAACCTTTGATCTGATGAGGAAATCTCCGAAATGTTCGCCATCCTCACGTTCCAACGACCATTTTTTGAATAGCGGTTTCAAAATACTCAAGATTTCCTCTTCCTTTATAGAAGCCTTGTAAAGTTTGTTCAGTCTTTGACCATGATGACCACCTCCCAACATCAAATTGTAAGTTCCTGGCGCTTTTCCGACGCATGCAACTTCAGCCAACCAGGGACGAGAGCACCCGTTAGGACACCCAGTCATTCTCATGACAACTGAGTCATGACGCAAGCCATACTGTTCCAAAGCATCTTCAAGTTTAGAGATCAAGAACGGTAAATATCTTTCGGACTCGGCCATTGCGAGACCACAGGTGGGTAAAGCAACACATGCTGCCGACGATAAACGCAAACCGCTAAAATCGGTGTTGTCCAGCTTATAGGTCTTGAGCAAATCCTTTATTTCGGCCAGATGTTGATTCTCGATACCGCTAATTAACACATGCTGATTTCCTGTTAGTCGGAAATGACCGGACCCAGTTTTTTGCATATACTGAGCAATTTTTTTGAGGCCTGTCTTGTGAGGAAGATCAGGAGTATTTTCAACTCTCCCGTTTTCAATAAAAGTGGTAAAATGGTTGAATCCTCTTTCGTCTTTAACCCAACCAAAATAATCGGTGTTGGACGTTATTTTATAAGGTCTCTCCGGTTCGAACTTCTTTCCCCACAATTCTTCAACCTTTTGTTTGTACACTTCAACGCCCATGTCGTCGATGGTATACTTAAGACGAGCGTGTTTCCTATTTTGACGGTCACCGTGGTCTCTCTGGACAAGCATGACATTTTCGATTGCCACATGTACTTCGTCCGCCTTCACGAAACCAAAGCCAGAACCAGTTCTTGGATAAGTTTTCTTGTTGTTGTGAGTAGCTCCCATACCGCCACCAACGAACATGTTGAAACCCTCAACAATCTGCGACTTCTCATTGACGATAGCGACCAACCCCACATCGATGGAAAAAACATCCACATCATTGTAGGGTGGGACAGTAATGTTAATCTTGAACTTTCTTGGCAAATAAGTTGGCCCATATAACGGTTCCACATCTACCAAAGCATTCCCTCCGACCAATGTCTTCTTTTTTATAGGTCCTCCTTCTCTGTTCTCGAAAATTGATCGCCAGTTGGGGTCTTGGTCACGGTCATCAGGTCCTTCTAACCAAATTTCATGGTAGGCTGTTGTGCGAGGCAACAAGTACTCAGAAATTTTAGCCCCAATCTCAGAGACTTGGTCATGAACTTTTGCATTTGCAGGTAGAGCTGAGACCATGACATTTCTGTTAACATCACCGCAAGCGGCAAGAGTATCCATCAGAGTGGAATTCATAGCTCTGATTGTATGTTTAAGATTTCTTTTTACAATTCCGTGTAACTGAAACGTTGCTCTTGTTGTAATTTTAATAGTTCCGTTACCAGTTTTGTCAGCCAAGTGATCCAAGATTAGCCACTGCTCAGGGGTCGCCTTTCCACCAGGTAGCCTAATTCTGGTCATGAACATATAATACGGTTCTAGACCCTGCGCCTTTCTTGTTTCTCTGATGTCCCGGTCGTCTTGCATGTAAATTCCATGAAATTTGGTTAGTTGTTGATCCGCGGCAGATATAGCACCAGTGGTGTCATCTTTCAACCCTCCGGCAATTGTGCCTCTCAAGAAATTTGAAGCGATCTTCATGTCCTCGTTGGTTAGGGGTTTTGGTTCGTCTGGAACAGCTGCCCCTGATACGCCGAGAGCTTCCCATAGCTGTTTCTCCCACTCCCCATAAGCCGTTTGATGACCATCAGCGTCCTGGTCATCACCGAGTCCTAAGGGGACAATGGCCCTGGCAGAGAGCAGCTCTAGCTTTTTGAATAAATCCTGCGAAGGTTTATTAAAATAATGCTTGTCCTCTTTACGAGGCCAGTACAAAGAATCACCTAAGCCAAACACGCCAAAGTTCAGCGACGCCAGATCTAAATCATTTGACGCCTTGAGAGCATCCCAAAAAGCTTTTCCGTCTTGCGGGAATTCACCCTGGCCAGCAGTCGAGGTGACAAAAATAACGTTTTCTTCTCCCGCTAGCTCATCCAATTCGATGTCATCCATGGAGAGAACAGTAACCTTCAAACCTCTTGCCTGAGCTCTACTTCCCAATCGCCTAGCAAGTCCTGAGGCAGTGCCACCATCGGATGCAAAATAAATGTGAATGGGAGGGCCAGAGAGTCCCTCCAAAAGTTGATTGTAAGCGGCCTTAGCTCTCCTTCGTTGTTTCAACTCCACTACTCCACTTGCAGAGTACTCCAAATTCTGGGCGAGGGTAGGAGACGCTTTTGCCAAAAGGGTTAGCCTATTTTCCTTGTCTAAGAATTCTTGCAGCTGTCTCCTGATTACTGACGAATCTAATTTGAAAGAATCTCTCTCGTCAAGCAGAGGATTGAAGCGATAAAGTGGCCAGAATCCTGACTCGACTGCACTTTTGGTTTCTTTCAAAATGTCTAAAATAGAGTCATTCTCACTTCTGGTGGGTAGATAGGCAACCACAAGCGACGGGCCCTTGAATTTAGAAGCTTCGATTAAAGCACTTAACAGCTGGGTATAAGATGAGTACACGGCAACGGACGCCACGTAAGCGTTTCCGAAATTAAGAGCATACAATCCAACATCTTTTTTGCTTATAGAGGAAGCGGCCAAAGTCTTCACTTTTTCTTGAGGCTGGGAATCGATCAAGAGCACGTTAATATCACGCCGCGAAGCTAGCAATTGATGAACACCTGAATTCCCGAGGTCATATGACCAGGAATCTGAACCAATCAGCCAGTTGGAATTAATTTTAAAAGCATCAGACGACGGCGCCAATTCCAAAAGCTTCAAAGCAGTCTCAGAGTCTTGATTTCTTTGAAGAAGACCATACAGTTCGCTTGCAACTTCATTAGCCTCATCCAATTGGACCTCATCCAAAGATCTTTCATTCGAATCAATCCATTTCTTCAAGTGTGCGACAATATCATCAGCCTCCACAGCATTGAAAACTGCGGGGTCTAGAGATTTCTTGGCTAGTGCAAGTAAAGCGTCACGTTTTTCTTGCTGTCTGATAAATTTGCCGAAACCATACTCAGGCCGACTGGTAATGATTTTTTCATCTTTGAATTGATTGAAAATCTGAACATGGGACGCAAAGACTTGTTTCAATACTTTCAGATACGCTTCCTCATGGCTGAATGCTTTCTTAATCGATTTTTTGACTTCAGAATCGACCGCAGAATCTAGAGTCGTTTTTCCGACGAACAAAGCTTTATCAGGATTTTTGCTTCGGAGATTGTCTAGGATCTTGTCAAGGGCATCTTTCTCGTCAGCGATTTCCCCCACATGTGTCACGATGAGCTGATCAATGTTCCTTTCAATGAGCAGATTGAAATCCGCGAAAAAGTCTAGCAAAATAGGATCGAAAAGATTGAAGTATGGTGGAGCACTAGCTCCCTGCACAATCACAATTTTCCTCACAGATGACCGAACGTATTCGAAAACTTCCTTTATGTCCCATGGACGGTAAACGTTTATCTCTAGTAAAGCCGTGTCACCCGGTAGAATCCTTTGAAACCGCGTAGCTAAAGCAGATAAGTTGATAACAAGATTTTGTGGATCCTTTGCATTGCCGTAATACGCCAATTTGTTGACATTCTCTAAGATAGAAGTACTGTCTTCCGTTGGTTCTTCAAGCAGGGTGATCTCGTTAAGGTTGATACTTCCGTGAACTGGCCCTGGTGTGGGGTTGACGAAATGGAACACCGGTTGCAGCAATTCGGACGCAGCTTTATAAGCGCAAGCTCCAAAGTCTGCGACGTCGCTGGGGCTGTTTGAAATGAACGTAAAGTATCCCAAGTCCTTCAAAGCTGTTATAACTCCGTAGTTGTTGGTACGCAGCTCCACTACAATGACAGCCGCGTTGTTTTTGAGAGAATACAGATGTGGCAAAGCATTAATCAACGTAAGTTCATTCGTGAATATCGTGGCTAGTTTGTCTTCTTTAACCGTGTCCGCTATAGTTCCAAACGGGTCATTTTGATCTATGAGTTGTATAGCATTTGACGTCTTGGACAAAGCAGGAGAAAACGCCGAGGCCACAGACTTCGCTGGTGTAGTATAATAAATGACAGACTCTATTGGTCTCGAAGCGAGTTCCACTAAATACTCTGGAGAGCTGAGACCCGACATTTATGGCAAATTTGGGCCGGTATATGCCAGTGAGAGCAAAGCAAAAAAGGACGCCGAGCTCGTTTGGCTACTCCAACAGTTCGAATTTCTGTGCGAAGATGGTTTTGTTATATACACCAAGCGCTTTCACAGCTTTTGAAAGTTAACCTCTGCAACTCGACTCAGTTGTGGCTCCACGATATTTTGGAAACTCGTATTACGAGCCTGAGCTGTGGTTGTATCCGGTGATCAGCTTCGGCAACAAAAGAAAATCACCCCTGGTTGTAGCGTTAAATGTTGCTAATAATATCACGTGACCATAAACATTTTCCAACCAAACTAGGAGGACCACGATTGAAGAAAACATTCACGTGGTTTTCACATCACAACGCATGATCCGATCTTGGAAACCACTCTACGAGGCTGTAAGATCCACAGAGAAAACCGCTTTATATCGTTGCATACGAATATTCGCGTTTCTGTTTTCGTCCCACATTTTCCCCTTGAAGCCTCGGCGGCTATGAAGTGGGCTCCGAATTGCGTTCTAGCAAAAGCGCCTCACGAATACTTTGATTGGCATTTGGACGACCTATCTCCTTCAACCTTTTGGTGATCTCTTCGAGGTCGAGTTTGCTTTTCGCATGTACTTCCTCACATTCCCTGCGCGCTTCCTCGACTGCACAAACGTATCTGTTAGTGAGCCACCAGTGAAAAGTCACGTCGGATTCTCATTCCTACATACGTTTCTCTTCTAGCTTCTGAATGGTAGAGCGCTTAATAGACTCTCTTTCGGTCTCTGTTAGTGCCATCTTGTGCAATGGAGTTGGTAAAGAACAAGGAGGATGTGGGGGGTTGGAAGTTTGTGAAGATTCATTTGTTTTAATAAATTTCGGGCTTTCGTTACCCGGACTTGTAAATTTAAGAAAATCATAGGTTCGGCTCTCTTCCATATAGGATTTGCCACCCGTTAAAGAACCAAAAGCTCAGGATTGAACAAGAAATAAGATGGTTTTAGAGGCTACGGTGCTCGTGGTGGACAATTCAGAGTTTTCGCGCAATGGCGATTATCCCAGGACGCGGTTCGAGGCCCAAATTGACTCTGTAGAATACCTTTATCAGGCGAAAAGGAACAGCAACCCTGAAAACACTGTGGGACTGATTTCTTCGGCGGGGTCTAATCCGAGAGTGTTGTCGACATTCACGTCAGAGTTTGGAAAGATTCTCGCGGGTTTGCATGATACCACAATAGGAGGACAATTACAATTGGGCACAGCTATCCAAATTGCAGCTCTTACGCTGAAGCATCGTCAGAACAAAGTACAACATCAGAGAATTGTCGTGTTCGTGTGCAGTCCCATAGCCGAAAACAAGACAGAGCTTTTGAAGCTTGCAAAGAAGCTCAAGAAAAACAAAGTGGCAGTGGACGTGGTGAATTTCGGAGAAACGGCCGCGAATACCGCTTTACTGGAGGAGTTCGTTCAGACAGTTTCTAATTCACAAGAGGAAAGCAGCCATCTCCTGACAGTTCCACCGGGAAATAGGCTCTTGTACGAGCATATTGCGTCTTCTCCTATAGTTTTAGAAGAAGGTGCGGACTCGTCCCTTGGTGGGCTCGGTGTTTCCGGGATAGGTGGAGACGACTTCACGGATTTCGGAGTCGATCCCTCAATGGACCCAGAACTGGCATTGGCGTTGCGACTCTCGATGGAAGAAGAACAAGCAAGACAGGAAAGGCTCAGGCAAGGCCAGGAAAACGAATCCAAAAAGGAAGAGCCACGGGAAAACTGATCTCATCGATCTCCGATTCTTATTCGGACCATCAGGGCTCGATTGGTTACCTACTGCATTACATCTTATTAAACCTGTATAATATAGTATTTTGATATCACTATTCACGTCGATGCGTGAGCCTTTCAACGGTGACACTTCAATCAACGATATAGCATATGATGGACTAACTCATCAGTCAACTGCCCACAAAGCAATTGCCCTAACATATGCCGAATGATGAGCTCAAATTTTCAGGACTGAGGTCCAATCAAGCGTCTCGTGAAAAATTATTGGGTCGGTTTACCGATCAACTTCCAGTTAGCCCTCACTCGAAGAAGAATGAAGGATTTAATGCCAAGCCAGGAAACAGCATGCGAATTGAGAATAATACGTTGACAATTGGAGATTCGCTCAAAAGACTTCAGTCAAAAGATTCTGGCTTGCGACACAATCTACGGGCCCATCAGCCGAGGCAAGAGAATGAAAAGCCGTCACTTCAGCAACTCCAAACTAGTTTGGCAAGAGGTGTCTGCGTTGCACCAGAAACTTACAATGAGAGAGACACAGAATCAGCCAATGTTGATCATTCCTTGAAAAAATCTGAAATAACTGAAGCACAGGCGAGGTCTTATCAGATGGAACTTGGGTTTCATGAAGCTCGATTTTCCGATGACCCGGTATTATTAGACCTTTCGCAACTTCCGCATTTCAAGCAAGGTGAACTCGCCGAGTTAAAGACGTATCGAGGTCCACCAGGCTCCAAATTTAAGAAGATTTATTTCGTGGTTAAAAATTACACAAAAGATATGCGCCTCCGATATAAAAGCTCCAACGTATCGGTTCTAAGCGGATCCTTACAACGGCTATTAGACGTTTCTGCAAGGACGAAGGTTTGGATCAAAATCAAGGACAAGGAGCGGACCCAAGCGGACCTTGTGGAACTTAACTTGAAGGATATACTCATCAATAGGGGTGACATGTGGATGTTTTCTTCTCAACTGCAGGATACTTGCGTGTACAAAGAGCAAAAAATCACGTTTCTAAACACAGTACGCACTACTGTGAAAGGCATTTACCGTAACGGTAGGAAAATTTTATCAGGCTATGTCGGAAAAGATACTAGAATAATTTTCCGATCAGAATCTGCGCGAATGGTTTTTCTGGTTCAAATTACCGATGAAATGTGGCATTTCGAGGAAAATGGTGAAATCATGTTCCATAAAGTTGTGAATTCCCTCTTCCCCAAAATTTTTAAAAAATGGAAAACAATCGGAGCTCATCATTCGATTACGATTGTCTTTTCGGCATCAATTGACCTTTCTGATTCACCCTTTTTGGATATCCCAGATGGAGAAAGGTCAAAAAATACTCAAGATTATTTTCGCATTGTGGTTGATCAGGTTAATGTGTTCCATTGGAGCGAAATCATGAAAACTCTGAGAAAAGAATTTATGAAAATTGCGAGAGAATTGAAAAACGTGGAAAATTTGGATGGGACAAGCTCAATTCGAGGTCGCTTCTCTCCTGCAGTTAAATCCAATTTTCTCGAATCCATTTGTTTTGCATCAACTTTAATAACGAATCCTTTTAGACAACCTGACTTACGGCGCACTACGTCTCATTTGATAATTGTCAGTCCAGGCTCTGGCCTTTATGATGTGGATTTTGACCTTTTGAAAGCTACGAGCAGAAGGTTGCTATCCATTGAGCTTTCTATCGATATTATATTTCTGACTCGAGCTCCCCTTCATATCGTTCCACTATTCAGATATCGTGACTATGGTGGAGTCCTCCACCATTGCACGCCCTCTTGGCTAAGCATATCATTTTGGGATGAGACATCAGAATACGCGAATGAATGGCATCCAAGATGTAAAATGCATCATCTTCAAATGATGGGCCTCACAGAAACTGAGATGAAGGAAGAAGTTGAGATTGACGTCATGACGAAGCCTTCCGGCGCAAAGTCTATCCAAGATCTAATGGAAATCTACGATAACGATATCTTCGCCGGTCATTCGACCCCACACGCCTTTATGAGAGGAGGGAACCCCTCTTACAGTGCACCTCGAGAGCCACATATGGACTCAGTGAACATCAGGGATAGCCACAGTCAGCGGCGTCTACTTGCTTGGAACACTCTCAAGTCAGCTGCCCCCCTCACCGAAGCTTCAAGCCCATTGCAGGTTCTGGGGGATGTATCGTCAGGACCCGTAGCTAAAAAGAAGCATGCTAAAAGGGAGCGTGAAAGGGCGGGAGAAAGTGAGAATTCATTGGGACGTGATCATGAACAAAAATCCCTTGCCTTAGATTCGTTGAGAAACGCATCCAGACCTTCGACAGTGGCACATCGCCTTGTTTCGAGGATAATACCTGAATTTGACTTAAAGAACAAAAGAAGCGTTGGCAAGTTTGCAGTTGAAAAAGAGGACATTCTTCATCAAGGCGGTAATGAAAATCAAAGTCAGACTATTCCGACAGGCAAAAGAAACACTCTCTCTCGAGAAACCTCTTCAATTAAGAGAATACCTTTCGCATCAACAACAAGCCGGCTCAATCTCAGTAGAAATTCAAATCAATCTCAAAGTCCTGCTAAGCACAAGCGGGCTTCATCTAATCAAAGACAGTTTCAGAAAGCTGCTGTTGTGGACTCTATGTTCTATAATAGCTGGTTAGAGATCTCTAACCCCTCGATTCCTGTGAGTTTCGAAAAAGCAGGACTACTTATAGAGCCACGCTGGAAAGATGTATTTCCGAAGTTTGTCGCTAAGAAGTACACCAAGTGGAGATCATTCACTATGCCAGCAGAGCTTCCGGTAACGGTCAGTTTGTTCCCTGATAAAAGTGATTTTGACGCAAACTTTACATTTTCTACGCATTCCGTCATCTCAAATCAGGAGCACGAGTCCACTAAGGACTCCTCTTTCAATTTATTAAGGGACATGATTTACGTTCGGTTATTGGCTGGCTTCCAAATTTGCACGGGAGAAGGTGTTAGAGAGGTTGAAGCCTCCAAAAGCGAGACGGTAGTTGAACATAACATCGCAAAATATCTAACGAAGGACAACTTTATGAGAGCCAAATTTTATCTCATGGCAGAAGATGAAATTCACAGACTTAACTGTGATTTCGATGGCACTGTTGAAGTTCAAAGACATATGCGGAAATCTCAACAAAGCTCAGATCACACACTAGCAAGTTATGCCCCTTTGATAAAAACTCGATATGAAATCGCTTATCGAGCAAGTATGGTAGATCCTTTGAAAATGGATCGCGAACGTTGTAACTGGAACCAACTCGATCAAGTTGTCGCTGGCTACTCTGATTCAATCAGTGAACAAAATCAGAGAAGCTTCAGATCAAAATTTGTTATACTGCCAGCCTCAATCCCCCCCAACACGATATCATCAGTGATTAACGGTAGAAAAGAAACTCTGAGTCCGGAGGAGATTAGGTTAGAAGGTTTAAGACGCCTTATCTCTTTCTTCTTCAAATCGCGTTTAAAGCCTGCAAACGGTGAAATGAACGAAATGAATGATGAGAGTTTCATGCCTGAGGTTTTATTCTACACAGGTTCCCTCTTTTCTTTCGTTGATGAACAATTGGAGAGTTTGAAAGCCTTCGGAGCTACGGCTAAAAACTCCATATTTATTAGTGAAAATGATAAACTTAACAAAACGATTGACCTTTCTCAGCTGGCTAGAGAATTGCAGCTTGGCAAAAGCCCTCTCAAATTGACCAATAGAAAATGGCACTGGAAGCGCCACCGAAACTGTTTCGTTGGACTGGAGTTTATCACCTGGCTTATAGACCATTTCTCGGATATCAAAACCCGTGAAGACGCCGTCATTTACGGGCAGCAATTGATGAATGACGGGTTGTTCGTGCATGTTGAGAACCGTCATGGTCTTTTGGATGGACATTATTTCTACCAACTAACTCCCGAATATGTGTGTGAAACGGATGAGAATGATGAATCGCAAAAGAATTTTCGTGCTGCAAATGATGGCAAGCCTAAGGATCCACAAATTTCAGTGGATGCGCCTAATGGTTTAGAGTCATCAATTAAGTTTGGAAGTCAGTCTCAGGGCGGAGAGGGTGATCGCAGATCCGACGTTGAAGGCTCAAAAAGCATTGTCATGTTGAGCAACGTTTTACCCATAAATTTAGACGCTGGCGGGCAATCTTACAAGCGTGAGGTATGTCAGGTCCATTACGACAGGGTCCATAATCCAGATCACTGTTTTCATGTCAGGCTAGAATGGCTAACTGCCACTCCGAAGTTGATTGATGATTTAATTAATAATTTAGCTCGTATGTGTGAGCGTTTTGGGTTGAAGTTGGTCGAGGTGCCATGGAACGAGCTCTGCAGTATCCCTCGTATCAATCTTTTCCATTCTTTCGTGGACATCACCTTGGCAATAAATCCCTGGGAGGATCCTGAGTTTTGCGACATGTCGTTACCAGCAACTGACCGCTTTTACTTCCATACGTTTTTGCTCGAAAAGGCCGGATTTTTGGTCGATAACCGTGCATCAAAATTTTTCAACACGGGCAGCACTGAATATGAAATCACGTATTCCTGGGGTAAACCAGTATTCAAATACGTTCAATATGTCCACAATACGGGCGCGTACATTGCAGAGATACGAGAAAATGGAAATTTATTTCTAGCGCCCAACAACGTTTACCTCTCCAGAGTGAACGTGGGTACCATCACAGGAAAAAACCATAGCTCTTCGAAGTTTGTCATTGACTCTCAGAACGTCATGCTGAGATTCAAGAAAACTTGCTTAGATTCCGAAAAATTGCGGGCAGTTTTTCGTGAAGCAAAGGAGCTTTGGCTGGAACACATAGGATCCGATGAAGTACATTTTGGCGGGACTTACAGTGAGAGCTCTTTCATTAAATAAGAGTATAACTTGAAAAAGTGTCACTAAGAGTTAAATTTTATAGACTAAGTAGGACATTTTTTGAACAGATCTAGAGACGCTCAGCAATCTTGATAACGTCGGCCAAAACTCCGGCAGCTGTGACTTCGGCACCGGCACCTGCACCCTGCACAATCAAAGGATTTTGATAACGTTCGGTCTTGATGGCCAAGACGTTGTCAGAACCTTGCAAAGACGCAAATGGGTGAGAGGCATCATATTTCTGGAATCCTACGGTCACAGACTTGTTTGGGAAATCGACTTTACCAACGTATCTTAACACTTTGCCTTCATCAGCAGCTTCCTTTTTTAGCTGTTCAAAGGAACTGTCATAATCAGGCAATTTGCTCATAAACTCTTCACCAGTTGGGACAGACTCTAATGGCTTTGGAATCAAAGAAGTGATTGGGAAAGCGGAAGGAGACTCAACTTTGAAACCTGCAATTCTAGCCAAAATAGTAACTTTTCTAGCAAAATCCATTCCGTTCAAGTCGTCTCTTGGATCAGGCTCAAGATAGCCCAAAGTCTTGGCTTTACTGACAATCTCGGAAAATTTGGTGTTATTTGGATTGACCGTCGAGAAAGTATTGAGAATAAAGGACAAAGATCCGGAAAGAATACCTTCTATCAATTCAACTTTGTCACCGGTATTGATCAAATCATGCAGCGTGCTGATGATAGGAAGGCCAGCACCGACCGTAGCCTCGTGATAGACAAGACCAGCGCCAATTTTGTCGTTAAAAATGTTATTCCACAGGTTCAAGTCTGAGGAGAAGGCCTTTTTGTTTGGAGTGGCAATGCAAATACCGTTAGCAACAAATTGAGGATAAAATTTGGCAATGGTCTCGTTAGATGTGTTGTCAACCAGAATGACAGGTTCTGGTGATTTCTTCAAATACTCCAAGAGTTGTTCGAGGGAAAACGGTGTTTGAGTCGCAGCTGCCAAATTGGATTCCCACCCACTGGACAGATCCAAAGGCTTGTAATCCTGGGAGACTAAAGCCTTTTTAGAAGTCGCAAGATGGATGACATTGAACGTAATCTTCGACTTGATTGAAGCGATTTGGTTAACAAACGCTTTTCCTACCACACCGGCTCCTAAAATTAAGCATACCTAGTTAGTGTTTGATCTGAATTTGCCCAAGAAAAGGGATCTATACATACCAATAATGGCAACGTTAATCGAGGTCATCTTAATCGTATATAAAGGCTTCGTTTGAGACTGCAATGGTTTTGGGAGACACTCGAGAAGGAAGACTCACTGTGACTCGTTCATTGATATATATTTTCGACTGCTAGGCTTTCGTGGTCACGTGAATTCTAGGTCACGTGAGTTTTTTATCCACTAAAGATCCAATCTTGTCAAAGGCGTCTTTCTTACTGACTCTTTTCCTTGCCGAGACTGTCTTCAACTTGATTGGTGATGCGCTAACTGGGGCCGGAACTGTTGGTAATTCTAGCTTTATTGCCTGAGACCCTTCCTTTGATGATAGGGCGTCATTTGAAGTGAACGGCTTGTAGAAAAACTTGAAGTAGATGGCAAGGCATATCAGGTCATAAGCATTGTTTCCCTTTTTCAAATGATAAGCTGATGCTAGAAGATCGACCGTTGTCGTGTCGTAATTTTTTTTGTCGAAAGACGCGAAAAGTTCGTCGCTTCGCTGCAGGAAATTCTGATAGTTCAACGACAATAACACTTGTTCGGCGTCGAGCTTCTCGTTCAAAGAAAACTGTCGCTGGACGCATTGAGAAAAGAGACGAGCTGCCCGGTCGGCTGCTAAAGGCATATTCACCATGCCTGCACCAAATCTTTTCAGTTTTTTCGCTACCAAAACGATGGACTCGTAGTCGCCTTTGCAGAAAAGTAAATCAAGATAGAACATGACATATTGGTAGGTGTAGAGGAAATGCTTGCCCGGCCTCTCTAGGTCTGGTTTCCAAATATTGACTAAACTTTTGTTGGGGCTCTTCAGAAAAATAATTTCGTTCATTTCCGTAATGGCGCCGTCCAAATCCTGAAAGTCCTCAAACAAAATTTTGGCTATTCTGAATTTGGGTCTGTGGTGCCATTTCATCTTGTCAAAGGTCAAAATCGTCCTCAGGAGATCCAAAATTTGAAGCAAAAAATTTCTCCGGTCTTTGCTTCTTGCAGGTTCAGAAACTTGAGCACCACCGTGCCAAAAATCGTTAGATTTCTTGAAAAACGAATTATTTTCGCTCAGTGTTGATGTTGCCGCCTTGACCGACATCACGTTGTTGTTAACGCATTTGTAAATTGCGCTAACTAGAAAATAATGAGGCTCTAAAATGGGGTCCCTTTGCGTCGAAGCAACCTGTGATAATCTGCACGCTTCTAATAAGTCGACGCGTCCGGACGATGCAAATTCGTGAACTGCTGTCTTATAGGTCAGTTTCGCTTTGAAAAACAGATTTTTCCAATTTCGCAGATTCTTTGCATCACTAGAGTCCTCATACATTAGGTCAGCCTCACGAAGTGCCAAAAATATTGCCTGTTGTACGTTATAGTCACTAATAGATGGACTTTCGTAAGCTGACGTACTCAGAAGGTCACCACTTGCACTGATGCGAACAGTTGATGGCCACTCTTGATAGTAGCAGAGTTTGTCGAGAGGCCTCAAATAGCCGCTGAGCATCTCCTCTGACAGAATCTCGAGAAGTTCTCGTAGAATATTTTGATGATCCGCAATTGCATCCTTGTTATTCGAGGGTAACTTTACGCTAGCTGACAGCCCTAAGGCCATCAAATAGCATAGAAGAGCTTTGCGCTGGAAAGCAACAGTTCCTTTCCGCTTATCTGCAGAAATTTTGTCTGATGTCCACATAAGGTCGTCTTCTACTATGTAGGAGTAACATTTACCCAACAAAAACCAGCTTTCGAACCTCCTCGAATCGTAAAGTATATCTGTCCTTAACATGTAAATTATGGAATCCAGTTCAGATGGTCTTGCCTGCGTTGCTTTCTTCCGAATCTTGTATAGATTCAATGCCTGAACGCTTGCAACGTAAAACAGGCCTGCTTCTACAGCTTCCTGAATTTTGTCCTTAGGTTTCAAGAGTTCAATCGCCAGGATCCCTTTGAATGCACTGCGAACGATTTTCGTTGTGATGCTGGAGTTCAAGAAACCGTCCAAAAAGTGCTTGTTGCGGCAAAGAACATGATTTCCAGCAAAGTCTAAGTCTCCAATCACTTGAACAACATTGTCTAAAAATTGCTTTAGATTGCTTTTGGCTCCTGAGGCCATTAAAGGATTTCTGTCTTGGTATTGCAGTTTGATGAGATATCTACCAATTCCAATGGCGCTTTCTTTGTTTAAATCTGAGGGCGTTGTCGAGTGTTGAACCACTGTAGAACTTTCTCCGCTTAATGAAAGATGGAACATGCACCATAGAATCTGCTTCAGCTGGATGAAGGAATATTCATCGGGGCAATTGCAAAGGATTTGCTGTGACAATCTCAAAAAAACTCCATTAGAGGAGTCGCAGAAATCAAAATGGCCCATTAGAGAATGTGACGCGTAGATGAATGATGAAACATACTGCGCAGACTTTTTTGAATTATTGCCAGCATCCGGATTGTAAGCACAAAGGTAAATAAATAGTGACAGGACATCTATGAAGATTCCTTTCATCTTCGTCGAAGACTTGACGGCTTTTTGGAAAAAAGAGCTCAGTGACGGATTCTTTTGAGATAGTGTTTCATGAAACAAAATGGGATAAAGCAGAATTACAGTGACTTTCAGGACATCGCGCAACGAAATGAACGATATGTTTTCTTCGGGCAGATATAGCTTCTCGGGTGGTGTTGACAGCGCAATCTGGAGAAAGTCATGAGTAAAAAGGCCCAAAAAGCTTATAGTAGTCAAAAGGGTTTGTTGTCGCTGTAATTGCGATTGTGCTTTATAATCTTCCGAGCATAGCTTCTCATAAAGAATTGTCATTATCTTTTGGTAAATCTTGCCCACTCGTGGAGTATCTTTTCTGGCATAGAACGAAAACAGCAGTTTCCAAAGTTTAACTTTAATAAGAAATGGAGAATTTCTGATAAATTGCATTAAGGATAATTCGTCTTGCGTAGCTCCCGCTTTCGTCGTTTTCTCATCTATTAGGATACTACGTAGCAGCTCCATTTGTGACTCGGACGATTTTTCGTCCTCCTCCGAAACGTTTTTGTCTATTGTTGTGATTCTTCGGATCATTTGAAGCCGCGAGAGCTGATTTTTGACAACTTTGATATCCAATCGAGGTATATTGACGTAATTGGCATACGCTACATTAATATAATGCGCGTTTTGTTCCATGTCCTGCATTATTTCGCACAAATTATTAACTAAACTTTCGTCCGTGATATCGCTAGCGTATTGAAGATAGCAAAAACGAGACCATCTAAATCTGTATTCCGAGCGAACATCCTGGAAAGAGATATTCGTGAGCAAGGAAGACCATTTCTCAATTTTCTTTCCGAGCTTGTTTCTCTGACTGTCTATTTCGCCTGTCTTCTGACCTTGTAGTTTCCGCTGGCTGCTGCCCATGTAAAGGTTCCCCATTATGTTAACCAACATTTCGTAAACAGAAAGGCCCATATAAGCCGAGCGGCTATCGTGCATACAAACGAGGTTGTAGATGTTCAACTCAATACTCAAAACGAAAGCTTCTATTGTCTTGAAAAGGACGGGACTCCAGAACGTATCGACAATGGGGCACAAGCCTGCCTCATTTATGGAAAATAATTCCTTGAGAAGAAGAATTCTGGCCTCGTGAAAGTGCATTTTCCCATCATTGACGCTGCTGATGAAGCTCTCAACTTTGGCCACGGGAAGATCGGTTAGCGACGGTATGGGGCTACTATCCTCGGCGAAAACGCTATTCCGAAAAAGGGCATTCAGTTTGAACAAGCTTTTGTCATCGGTCAATGACTTTGACGCATTTTTCGTTTCATTATGATTGAGGAATTCACTATGTCGATTGGTCCATGAGCCCAAACAATCGTATAAATCGGTGAGGGCAATCAAAGCTGGTGTATTAGGAGGAATATCTTCGGGTGCGAAATTTTCTATTTGGATGCCCTGGGTGTCTGAATCGCCGCTCAAAGCTCTGAACTCAGCCCAAAATAAGGTGTGTAACTCCATTATTTGGGAATCGTTTTTCAAAATCGGTCTTTCTTTGAATCGTTTGCTCGCACGCTGAACAGGCTTCGTTCCATCAGCTGTATCAGTGCTTGGTCTTTTCTTGTCTTCAACTGCCGCAACGTTGTTCGAGGGAGCCGTTTCAGCACTCTTTTCATCCCCGCCGGCATTATTTACTTTCGACGGTAATGAAGAGAAATCGCTTTGCTTGTCTGAAGTTTCTGAAATAACGTTGTTGGTTGGACATATCGTTAATTTAATGCTTTCGATAGGGTCTGTTGTTTCGTCATAAGGATCAGGTACCGTGCCAAAGAAATTGGAGGTTTTGTATTTGGGCAGAGCTCCAACCAAGGATTCCGCGACACCTTCCCAGCTGAGTTCCGGAACCATCAACTCGAACGTATCCAACAACCTGAGAGCCTCGTCATCTTGTGCCTTCATTTCTTGTATTTGCGCTAAAAAAGATTCAGGCTCCGGATTTTCATGGCTGTAGTCCTTTATGAACCGTTGGCAGCTTAAAAATACTTCTGAGCGCATTGTGTCCTCATCTTTGATCTTGGCCAGAAAGTCTTGGTATCTAGCAAAAATCTGTAAGCTTTGTGGGAGTACCCATTGGCGTCTGCGTAAACGATTGAGTGTGACTGGATCTCTCAGCAAATCGTACTCAAGAATATATCGCTGCAGCTTGTCACTGCGAAAACTGTCAAATATATCCAAAAGTAGTCTAATCACCGTTATGTCACCCTCGCTATGTTGAATTGATTCCAGCAAATCTTCCAGTACTTTCAAAATCGTGTCAACAATATCTGGTGCACTCATATTTCTAAAATTGGCTTTCAAAGTGCGATAATGAAAGATTCCACGATTTCTGTAAGATAGGTATCGCAGCGAATCCAGCGTAGTGCTCTTATGCTTGTAGTTCCCCCACTTATCCGGTTTGAGAACTTCAATAGAAAACAACTCTTTAAATGATTCGTCGGCCTCCACAAACCGGTCTTCTTTCAGATGCAAAAGCGCATCTTGAAAGATTCTGTAACACTCTTCGATCTGCAATTCTCTTGAATGCTGTTCGATCTCTAACGATTCTTCATCTGGTGTGAAGTTGAGTGCATTGAACATTGACATTCCTCTGTTTTCAGCTAGCTTGTTGAAAGCTAGCTAATTTGATTTCGTTCACTGTCTAGGATGGTTCATGATTCCAAAATTTCATTTAGGATTTCACTTGAAATATAACTAAAAAACAGGCAAAATCGTCAACTTCAAAGCGCTATGAAATGGCTTGTAGAACACCTTCCTCACATATCTAAGGTAAATACCACGATTGAAACCACAGAAAATGTGATATTGACTAAAATTTGCGAAAACAGCATCGAAATCGGCTGGAATGATGACAACTACAAGGTAATAAAGCTACCTCATCGCATAAATACGACGATGAAATGGACATCAAAAAAGTCTAAGAACACCTTGATAGTGAGATTTAATGCTAAGAAATGTCAGGAAGATGCAATTTACACCGACAGATCCAAGAATTTTCTGATGTCGACTAACAATCGTAAATGGATGCGATTGGGCCTGAACAAGGAAGCGTTTAAAATTTTGTGTAGGGTCTGCAAATCGGCGCTTCTAGAGAGTGATGAGTGCCAAAAGATCAGTGATATGCCTTCAGAATTCTGGGCTGAACTCATGGATTATTGGCATTGTCACAAACCTCATTTGGGCGAGGACAATTTAGGGCCCGAACGATATGGTAAACTTGTGCCACATCATAACGAGCTTTTAGTTGGGGAGACGTACTTTGCAGTGGGGCCCAATTGGTCTGGAAAGGGAGTTTCGATCAAGGACGATGTGCTCGATTGTGGAAGGTGTCAATCGAAAAGAGGATTTAGAACAAGAGACGGAGTTTTCAAGATTCCCAAATGGAACGTCGAACTTCAGCAGGCAGGAGCTATTGAAACGGTACCACGAGATATCGGTGTCATTGCTGCCATTACAAACACGATAAACTCTAATGCTACAAGATACATTCTTCTATGGTGTAAGGACGACCCAAAGGCCATTCTATGTTGGATTTTCGCAGTTGGAATAAACGCTTCCTTTGCGAATGGTGAAATACTGCTCAACTGCATGAAAGTGTATTTTACGGTCTCGGAGAGTCGAGGCCTATTGAAAAATACTATGAAGGATCAAAACATTGAAGAATTGTTAGTTGAGCGGGCTGAACTCCAGTCTTTTAAAGAACGTCTTCTGAAAAACGACAGTTTACTTCCCAGCGAATTACAGAGAATGGGGGATTGGAATCTCGCCTTTGTACCGACCTAAGTCGGGTCAAGTTATCTCACAGTCTACTTAGCGCTTGCTTGAGACAAGGTACGACTTTTTTCCTGCTGGCATTGAGATTTTTTTGAGAAAAGAATTGAGTTAATTCATTTTGAAGGACATCCAAGGGCTCTAAATCCAATGGTTTTGTCATAGCGCCAGAAACCTTTTTCGATAACTCAGACAGGTCTTTCCCACGCGCAATGAACGCTAATTGTCGGTTCAGGACCCCATTTTCGCACCAGTGTGTCAATAATAACAGCACATCGAGGGATCTCTCGGCCATAAACTTGTCCACGTCTCTTTGAAACTCTTGGTCCCCATGCTTTTCCAAAAGCCATTCAAAGGACTTGACGATCGAACTGGTCCCGCATTTCACCGATCCAGCGGTCGCAGACTCTAAATCAAACACCTTGTAATCCTTTTTAAGCACTTCAGTGAGCGAAAGACCCTCGATGTTGTCCTTTTCGTACTGAATTCTGGTGTGGAGGTTTGTGAGACTGAAATCAGATGGAAGAACGGCCCTATACAATGCAATTGCTTGGCGGTCTGGATTTTCCACTTTATATGACATACTCGATGTATCCACCATCAAAGCACTTAGACTGAGAAATGCAACATCATTTAAACGACTAGGAAATCTTTCGTAAGCAGTTTTCCAGTAATTGGTCACCAATGAACTGCAACTACCCGTTTCCGTGATAACTCGAGGACCGTTGAATTTGGACTCGATATCGCGGTAAAAGCCGGCATCTTCGTGGTGATCGATTATACCGATAACGTCATCTGTGAATTTTCGAGCAATGCTTTGAAGCTCGTTGTGATCGACCAAAATGGACATAACTGAGCATTGAAATCGCCTCTTAATTGCATCGATTTCTTCTGCGAACCAAAGAAGATCGTCGGAAATCGATTTTTCTCGAAGAACCCACACTATGTCTCGTCTAAGCCTTAAATCTTTGCGTGGAATGTTCAAAACGGGCACAATTGGATTTCCCGGGTTCTCGACATAACTTAGATACGCATACGATATAGCGGACACGACAGAATCGAGATCTGCCGACTCATTTCCGCATACTATTCTTAAAGTAGATTTTCCATCAATTTGGCTCAAATAGCTCGTTTTGAGTCGCTGCAAAAAGGATTTTAAAGTATCAGACATTCTATCTTCTTATGAACCAATTTCCTGAGAGTATCAATGGTACTTATGGGTCGAGTTTCAGCTTTCTTAAGTTTTTCTCGCTTTTGTCTTCTCTATTGCTTGATTCTAACAGTTGCTTCAGTTATTAAAGATTGTCGTTTTATGGATCGAACATATAAGAAAATGATATCTTTGAACAATTTAAATCCGCAACTTCGCCTGATAAGCACTCGCGATTCCAATTGCCAGCCGTAATGACCGAAGTTGTGACAATCAGTGGGAAACAGGTTCTTAAGCGAAGCGATCAAGACGAAAAGGACGGCTTTTCTTTCCTGAGTATAGTAGAAAGTGTCGATAAATTATCCATGGATTATTTCTCCGATGAGCATTTCCTTGAAAATGTTTACAGTCTGAAAACGCATGATGGGACCCAAATTGGGTTTGTGCTAAAATGTGTGATTAAGGAATTCTTGTCGTGTGCCAAGAATGAATTTGATCAAGTTTTTAGGCTTCTGGAGTCTGATAAAGCTTTACAATTTTTGAGCGAGGATTACGATCAAAGAAACTGCCAATTGAACCAATTGGCTTTGCAATTACGTGAAAAGTCTAGTTTTGAATGTTTGAAAGGTTGGAGAAACGAGTTTTACACCGTTTTCGAAAAGGATAAAAGAAAGTATGTCTTGGTCGAAAGGGCCATTGCTGGCCTTCTTGGCATAGTGACATACGGTGTTCACATCAATGGGTTTGTCAAAGACCGCGAAACTGGAGACCTCAAGTTCTGGGTGCCAAGAAGATCTGCAACGAAGGCTACTTGGCCCTCAATGCTCGATAATACGATAGCCGGAGGGTTGGGACATCCACATGGAATTTACGAGACCATTTTCAAAGAGGGTATGGAAGAGGCCCATTTGCCTCGGGAGATTATCCAAAACTATCTAGTGGCTGTTGGCGCAGTTACTTACTTCTACTTCCAAGGTGACGACAAATTCACATCGGAATCATCTTTAGTCACTGGCGAAGTTGAATATTTGTTCGACCTTCAATTGCCCGAAAACGTCATTCCAAGACCTCACGACGACGAAGTTGAGTCTTTCCAACTCCTCACACTTCAGGAAGTCGTAACGTCGATCAGGCGACTCGCATTCAAACCAAATTGTGCGCTTGTCCTAGTAGAGTTCCTGATCAGACATGGCTTCATTACGGCAGAAAACGAACCCAACTACTTGGTTATACTCAACAGAATACACAGAAATCTTCCCTTGCCATTGATGGGTTAGTTTCGAATATCGATCCCGAGCATTGTGTTACTGTTCTCTAGACCTTTCAGCTATAAACGTAACTTTATAAAACCTACATTCAGACATTTGAGCATTCATTCTTCATTTTGCAAAATGAAGCTTCACGTTCAGCCATTGGCGGGCCGCAACTTCCTCAGGTGAAAGTGCTACATTTCCATAAACCAACGGAGAGTAGAACGCGAAAAACCATACCACGGATGCGGTTACACCCACAAAGAATGCCCAGAGCAGCGCATAGTTGATTCTAGGGTTTTCGTCATATTGATTCGCTGGATCTTCTTCATCATTATTAAAATCCAAGGACTTATTATCCGTAAAAATCATCTCCCAGATGCCGGCAGCAAGCATGGAAGCAATCAAGTGGGCTGGTAAGTAGTGGTGTAGAAACTTTTGACGGTTCATCAAGAAGAATGGCAAGTAGTGACATAGCCATCCAACAAACAAATACATCAGTGGAGCATAGATTTTTTGTCTCGCCATTTTGTTAAGAGGAAAAATGCCTCTGTGTCTTGCCAAGACATCTGCCATCATGATTCCGATGTAAAGCGCCATGGAAACGACTTGGAACCACCAACCAATAATGTTTCCAATGAAGAAAATCTGCTTTCTTTCAGCGTCTTTAGTCCAGAAAGAGACACCCGATAACGAACCTGGCCACGATTCTGGTTGCGAGGCAAATGGATGCTCTGATGAAAGCTTGTTATTGTGCTCAAACATGAGTCTTTGAAGCTCCGACCATTTGGTGAAAAAAGAAAGCTTTTTCACCGGTTTTGGAACGTATACTTTTCTAGCCTCATCAAGGTTAATAATAGTGTCCATGAACCACAAGTTTTCTGGATCAATAATTTTCTTGTTACCGTTGACCTCCTGTTGCTTGAAGCCCCATTCTGGCAAAAAGACATCGTTGTGAGTCCACAGAGCCACTGTGGTGTCAACATGAACAATTCTGAAAAGGGATGCTTTCGTTTTCAAGATGGAATTGGCATCTTTTTTATCGACGGGTTGCAGACGAAACAAAGTCTCATGATAGTTGCTGCCGTTAGCTTGCTCCTCAGAGGCAGTTGTTATTTCTTCGTTGGTTGGGTAGAGTGGTGAAGCAACATCGTGAGCAAGTAAGTAAGTGTTCGTTGAAATGTGTCTGAATCTCACAACGTCATCCAAACGAACTGCCTGACCGACGTTGCCATCTAGTTCCTTTGTTGGCAAGATCTCCCATTCGTTGTTGACATCGGCGTGAGAATAACATGTAACTTGTTGGCCTTGCGAAGAGACACGACCATCTTCGTAGCGAAGTGGGTAAAGCGAAGGGTGCGAGTGAAGAAGCGCGTCGGTGTTCTTGTGTCTAATTGTTAGAGTGTCAAAGTAATTGACGTCTTTGGCCTCTCTGGCCAGCGGTGAATCATTCAAGGTCTCTTGAAACAATGGCGACATGAAAGCATCACCTACGCCCGAGTTAACAAGAATGCTAAAATGAACCCAAAACCAAAAAAGGTAAAGAATGAAGGGCGCAAAAATGAGCCCGTTCAGCCTTTGAACAACATGTCTGGCGAAAATTCTAATGTTGAGATCGGCCTTGATATCAAGCAACTGCCATAAGTTGGCTCCAACGGCAACACCAATCATTGCGTAAGTCAGAACACCAACATATTTGGTAGATATCACGAGCGACAGGGATCCACCCGTGGCATATAACCAAAAATACCAGTCGGAGGAAAAAGGCGCTTTGAGTTGAACTTTGTAAAAACGAACGTAGCAGTAGACAGAGAGACCAACGGCCAGGATCAAAGTCGCATCCAGAAGAATCAGGCGAGAGTCAATTACGTGTGCGGTGTCAACAGCAACAAGCATTGCGCCCAAAGCGCACGTAACAGCTTTGAAATTGAGTTCTTTCAAAGTGTTGAAAACGACAGGCACTACTGCAGTCCCCAAAATCGCACTTAAGGCCCGATACGCGACAAATGGCGCTGGATTCGCGTCGTAGCTGAGTCCGATATCATCGAACTTGAAATCTCCGTTGTAGCCAACAAGCCATCCCACGGCAGCAATGAGCAACTTACCGAAAGGTGGATGAACGTCAAAAAAATAGGTTCTTTCAAGGTAATAAGAGGCAAACTTACCAAAGTGCACTTCGTCAAAGACAACTTCCCGAGGGTATTGCAAATCTCTGAATCTAACACACAACGCGATAGCCGTCACAACCCACTGCAATATCGTATAAGCCTTGGCAGAGTCTGGTGCCAGTTTGGAAAGCCATTTTTCACCAAGATACTCGAAATTTACAGATATTTTTTTTTGACCCATTTTTAGTCTCAAACTCGCCGTTTTTCAGTTTACCGCTCTTCCCTGGCGCCATAATAGCTTTCGCAGTAGCAATTGTGTCCTTTGTGGTTGCCCAGACGTCTATAATATCGGCGGGAAACCACTGCTTTTATATCTGTTTTGAAGTTGACAACTAACTTTTAAAGGTTGGTTTTTTTCGTGCACATCTACCTAATTAACTGGAAAATCACCTGGCGAAATCTCTGAGAAACTGATGGAACCAGGGTAAATCAAGTTCAAGAAGCAAGACACGAATCATAAGTGCGAACGCTTAAAAGGATTCTTCAACGACTGATTTTATTATTTCAGAGATCATCAAGGTCTGTTTTACGCTTTTTTCGGCTCCAAGAGATGTTGTTTAGAAGCCGTAGTACCGTTGCTCTAATGGCAAGACGGTATGCTGGCACAGTGGTCAAAAGAGTCTCTGTTCCGCGGCCAAACGGGGTTCCCAGTGGCGAAGTGGCGTTTGAGCTGTCGAGCACGAGTAACGATGCTGGAACAGCAGTTTCAAAACCCAAATCCCAGAGCTTGGCGAGCTCTTTGAAAGGTAGAACATTGGAATTGCAAGGGAGCCGCAACGAAGCAAGCGAAGCCAGCGAAGCCAGCGAGATCAACGGCGGTACCGCGGGCATTAACTGGGCTGTTTCGTTTCACGGGCTTGGCTCCAGGCCCTTCGATGATAAAATACAGCAGGAACTGGCGAAACCACTTGCTCCTGCGGATATCGAAGTCAAGCCGGACGGGTTGGTGTATTTGCCCGAAATCAAATACCGCAGAATTCTGAACCGTGCGTTCGGAGCTGGCGGCTGGGGGCTGGTTCCGCGGTCAGAAACGATTGTGACTGACAGGCTCGTCACGAGAGAATACGCTTTGATTTGCCAGGGTCGGCTTGTGAGTCTGGCTCGCGGAGAACAGGAATATTTCAACGAAACGGGCATTCCGACAGCTACCGAAGGCTGCAAAAGTAATGCATTGATGCGTTGCTGCAAAGATCTCGGAATTGGCTCGGAGCTCTGGGATCCCGTTTTTATTAAAGCTTTCAAGAAGGAAAATTGCACGGAGAAATTTGTCGAACATGTTGTCAACAAGAAGAAGAAGAAAATATGGCTTCGTAAAGACCGCGAAGTCGAATACCCGTTCAAATAGAAACTTTGAAGTGTAATATCTGTATATAGAACATATCAAGCATTTAATAACACGGTGCTCTTTCCAGATGATACGAAATGTCAGCCGGGGTCTGAAAAACACTAAAGCCGGCAGAAGCAGGAAGGCGTGCCAGAATGTACAAAAAGCTACGCAATCAAACTAGCGCGCAATAGGTACCAGCGTAGCCCATTGATCACAACTTTTACCTGCTTGAGCGGAAAACTCAGCGACAAATTTCCTACACATACATATAAGTCTTTGATTCTTTCTGTTTTCAGAGGTCGTTCTAATAGTGTAGTGGCTATCACGTTGCCTTCACACGGCAAAGGTCCTGAGTTCGAACCTCAGTTAGAACATCAATTTTTTTGAATGGTTAATTCTAAGATGACTGGAAGGGTCGTCATATCTGTTAACTGATATCAAAGCGACAATTCGAGGACTTGAAAGTCAGTTACAACTGTAGAAGAGCATAGCGACTGTGGCTTTCCTCAACTGGCGTAGGATGAAAACCACTTCATTCTGTGCACTGACACTTCTATGGTCTGCTTGTGTTGACTGCTTGGCGTTCCAGCTTTTGCAGAAGGTCTACGATGTTAATCCCGTAGATGAGTTTAAGGGGAATGCTGATAAAAGAGACCTCAGAATCGGACAATTGAACTTTTTCCAAACAACTGACGTACACGGCTGGCTTGGATCTCATCTTACGCAACCTATTTATGATGCGGATTGGGGGGATTTTGTGTCTTTTACAGATATATTCAAAAAATCCGTGCTGGGATCCAACGACTTGATTTTAATCGATACTGGCGACAAACACGACGGAAATGGTATAAGTGACGCTACCGATCCTCCTGGTATCGAGTCTGGCCGTATTTTTAATGAGCAGGACTACGACTTGATGACGTTGGGCAACCACGAACTTTACACAGAGTTGAATACAGAGCTAGAATACTACGGAACTGCGCTGATTGACAAGTTCAAAGACAAGTATGTGTCCAGCAACGTCGAGTTTATACATGAAAATGGCACTTCGGTGCCCTTCGGCAACAAATATCGGTATTTTGAAACACCGCAACTGAAATTTAAGGTTTTGGCGCTTTCCTTCATGTTCGACTTTCAACGCACTAACGCGCGCGCCAAAGTTACTCCTGCTACTGAGGAAGTCAACAAAGAATGGTTTGCGCAGCTTTTGAAAGACCATCCTGCAGAAGAAATTGATGTCTTGGTTGTATTTGGCCACATGCCGATTACGGATCCACAAGACCGGGAAATTAACCATTTGCATACTATTCTTCGGAAATTCTATCCCAACACAGTCATTCAGTATTTTGGCGGACATTCACATATTCGTGATTTCGCAGTCTTAGATTCCATGTCAACGGGTCTTCAAAGTGGACGATTTGCAGAAACGTTGGGCTTCTTGTCCATTGATGACGTACGTGAAGGTGAACCCAAATTTTTCCGGCGTTACATTGACTTTAGCAAAAGTTCCTTTGCATTCCATGCAAAATTGGCTTCTAGCAGTGATTTGGAAACTTCTCGTGGTATAGCCCTTTCAAAAAGGATAAAGGCTTTGAGAGAATCTCTTAACTTAACGCAGGTGTTGGGCTATGTACCTGAAAACTACTACATGTACAATGCCCCTTCTGATTCCAAGAACAACATTTACAACCTCATCACGAACAAAGTTCTACCTCGCTTGCGGTCAAACGTGACGGACGACAGGAAAAATCGATTCATTGTGATCAACACTGGATCGATCAGGTACGACCTGCACCGAGGACTATTCACCAAAGACACCGAGTATATTGTCTCGCCCTTCTCAAATGATTGGAATTACTTGGAGGTTCCCTATGCCCTTGCTAAAGATGTCACAGCGTTTCTCAACAGAGGACCCACTTTAGTGAAAAAACTATCTCCACCAGGGGTCAATGCAGCTGGTCTGCATCTTTCGACTCTCGAAAGCAAAGTCTGTCCTTTCATAAGTAATCCGTCTCTGTCCGAGGGTTATACAACGAGTGACGAGTGCGGGTGCAAAGGAGATGATTCGAAGCACAGAAGCCAAAAATATTTTGAAGTGCCCTCCGTTGTTCAATCAGAAGAATTGATTCCCTCGGTCGCAGCTGATGACAATGTCCACTTTGTATTCTACAGTTTCATTGAACCGTATGTTTTACAGGCTCTGAATTCCATTAATGGGGAGAGAAAAATCGTTGACCATCACTACACATCAAAAGACTGCAAGCTTTACGGTGGGAAATCTACCAAAGTCCTGCTCCAGGAATATTTCGGGGCCAGAAGTCAAATAGAATAAGTACTGAAATCAAAGCTTAGAGCAATAATAGCTTAGACAATTTTGATTTAATTACCATCACCGAGGGAGGTTCTAAACAATGTACATAACAATGATTTGCAATTATTAGACATAAACATCACACTAGAGTTGAAACCCTTGTGGAGGTGCTTACAAACCTTGTTGAGCTCTTCTACGGTCACGCTCTTCAGTGATGGACAACTTGATACCCTTACCCTTTGGTAAAGAAATGTATGGCTTACCTGGTTCACCAATGACGAAAACGTTGTTCATTCTGGTGACGAAAGTGTTGTCCAAGGAGTCCTTGATGTGGACAAGGTCGAAACCACCCTCGTGTCTTTCTCTGTGAACAATCGTACCAACACGACCCAAGTTACGACCACCAACAGCGTACACCAATTTACCAGTGTCAAACTTGATGTATTCAGTGATCTTACCAGAAGCCAAGTCAATCTTGACGGTGTCGTTGACCTTGACGTTTGGGTCTGGGTATCTTATGGTTCTACCGTCGTGAGTAACGGCATAAGGAATACCCTTTTTACCCAAAGCGACCTTCTTGACCTTACCCAACTTGTAAGAAGCTTCCTCGTCGGTGATACGGTGGACAGCGAATCTACCCTTAACGTCGTACACCAGTCTGAAGTTCTCGTTGGTGGCCTCCAAGGTGATAACGTCCATGAAACCAGCTGGGAAAGTAGCGTCGGTTCTGACCTTGCCGTCGACCTTGACGTGACGTTGCATCAAGATAGCCTTGACTTCACGACCGTTCAAAGCATACTTGAGTCTGTTTCTCAAGAAGACGATCAATGGCAAGGACTCACGCAACTTGTGAGGACCTGGAGATGGTCTTGGAGCGTAGGTACCGGACAGCTTGTCCAACAACCAGTGGTGTGGAGCTGCTAGTCTCTTTAGATGCTTCTTTCTGTGAATAGGTTAGTAAAATTGGTCTGCGCTTGAAAATAGAGGCGGGAGTCGATCCAGAGAGCTCTTCGCACTATTGCACCACAACCAATCGTCTTCATGCTTCTTTGCAAGACACTCTTATGTTAACTATTAGCATATCATTCCTTTTGACATTTGTGGTATCTCGCCCATCTTTCATAACTTTTGTATTCAATGAATTCCTCTCATTGCAAACCCACGTAAGCTCTAGTCCACATCCCGTTTATCCTTGTGTTTCATTGTCTAATCATTACTAACATACGGTCCTCTAGCCATCTTGTCTTATTGTTGGTTTCCTGCTGTGAATAAAGACTGTTTAATGCTTGCAAATTTCAAGTGTATCTCTTTCGAAACCTTTGGTTAACGAAAAAGCTTGCCAGCAGCGAGACAGAGAGTTGGTTGCCAGGCAGGGTGGGCCCCACCTGTCCCGCCTGCGCAGGTCCGTCCTAGGCAGACGGGCTGACAACGGTGGGTGGAAGGAGGCCACTGCCCAGCCCGTACAATACCCCGGCGTGCAACACTCTGGCGTATTCTCCTGCTGCAGCCATTGCCTCTGAGTCTCGGGCTTCCTGGAGCACAGCAAGCTTGCGTCGAGAACGAACATTTACGTGATGTCCAGATGGACAGTTATCTTAACAATCTGTGATGTATGGGTCTTTGTGGCATTCTTACTTTTGAAAATTAAGGTCTGGGTTCATGGTTCGAAAGCAGTCAAACATTGATAGTCACTATGTACGTTTCTGGAGCGCATCCAGAATTTCTATTATATTCTGCGACAGCTGGTAGACAGAAAAGTAGGCAGAATGACATCTGAAAAAGGAATCGGCACGTAACCGCTAAACGTAGATTCGATATACTTTGATATATAGGTTGAATTGTGTTGAGCGTTATGGGTGACTGCTGAATTTGTTGTATGGTGATCATGCCATATAGAATAAGTATTCAAGACAATGGGAACCTGGAAAGCCAAGGAAAAGAAGAGCAGTAGGATATGCAGTGCCGGGGCATGCTCTAGCCTGAGTTTGGTTTCAAAAGTGGTGAGATTCGTGCAGTCACGCGACGAATATGTCAGTTTTCAATCTGTTTTTGCACTTTAACACGGGAAGGAAACACCCCGACCGAGCGGAAACACGTTCATATAATGCTTAGACTACCAATTTGGATTCAAAGCATGTCGAACTTGAATGATCGGAGAATCGACAGTCCTTGGGGGGGCTATTTCTAAGCATCGTATACAATGACATTGATTATGAACCCAGTATTCGTAGTAGTTACTCAAGAAAAGCTACGACTGGCCATATGTCAGAGCCTATATTCCGCTAGAAAATGCATGCTTGTCTCAAGTCTGACATGTGTGCAGCTCGCCTGTCTCTAATTCCACGGTTTTGGGTTTTCAACGCTGGAGAAATATTTCACGATTGAAGGCATCGGGCACGGTAGATTGCCTAGAGAACTTCAGTTGGCCTCCGACATGAGAAGCATTGAATGAGAAGAACGAGGCATCTAGTATGCTAGCAGCATGTGTTTACGTGCAATTGATACTAGCGTTTTTTGCGCAAGTGATTGCTGGGTCTCAGGTGCGCTTCAAAGCCGGTTCTTTCACCAGAAACGAACTTCTGCAATATAGACGAGAAGTCAAGGAACTTTTCTACTTCGGGTTCGACAATTACCTCGGAAAAGCATTTCCATATGATGAACTGCGTCCAATAACGTGCGTTGCGAAAACGCGCAATTTCACGGACTCTCAAGATTTTGCCACAAACGATGTTTTAGGTAATTTCTCGGCGACTTTTATCGACTCTTTGACGACTTTGGCAGTCTTCGGTGACGCTGACAGGTTTTCGCAGGCAGTCGATACCGTGAAGCAGCGAGTGTCACTGGATTTTGCGATCCCATCCACCATTCAAGTCTTTGAAACTACGATCCGCATTTTAGGAGGATTGTTGTCGGCACATCTGTATGCGACTGATCCAAGGAAAAAAGTTTATTTGGGCGACAAGTACGATGGATTCCTGCTGGAGAGAGCGCGTGCACTCGCTGACCGCTTGATTCCTGCATACTACACCAGCAGTGGTCTCCCCTTGGCCAGGATTAATTTACGTGACCGTTTCGAAGGGCTGAGCCCTGAAATTCTGGATGAAAACAATGCAGCAGCAATTGCCTGTCCAATGTTGGAATTCACCGTGCTCTCTTATTTGACGCTTGACGAAAAATATCACCGGGTTACGAGGTATGCTCTCGACAAAATTTGGTCCCAACGAAGTCTCCTCAATTTAATGCCTATGTCGTTCGATCCGGTGAAAATGACGTCTTATAATCGAATGACAGGCATTGGAGCATCGATAGACTCGTTTTACGAATACGCGCTTAAAGGCGCCATTTTGTTCGACGACGAGGAACTATTTCAAATATGGGACAAGTCCTACTACGCTCTCCATGTCCACGCTAAAGGCGATTGGCTCTATGCGAATGTAAACGTCGATTGGGGACAGGCCGTCTCTACGTGGATTGATTCATTGGGGGCTTTTTTCCCAGGCCTGCAAGTTCTTGCTGGCGATGTGCAAGACGCCCAATACAAGCATCTGATGTTTTTGAAATTGTGGAATACGTTTGGCGGAATTCCCGAACGTTGGAACTTCCAACTGCCCCGTGACGACAGCGACCCGGAAACTAAAACAACCGACCAAAAACTTCGAGCATCAATACCACTAGAATGGTATCCATTGCGACCCGAGTTTATTGAATCTACTTATTTTCTATATCGTGCTACCAGGGACCCATTTTATTTGCAAGTTGGACGCACGATACTTGACGATTTAAAAACGAGATTCAAGTCTAATTGTGGATTTGCAGGGATTCAAGACGTTGTGACGGGCAAGCTTCAGGATCGTATGGAGACCTTTGTCCTGTCCGAGACCTTGAAGTACTTATATTTATTGTTCGACGACGATAATGAAATGCACCATGGAAGCGAAGCTGTCATTTTCAGTACAGAGGCTCATCCGCTGTGGCTCACTAGGGAAATGCGGCATGCATACCAATCCCACGGTTACCTCAACGACACCATTTTCAAGCGGTATATGCGAAGGTGGAAACCTAATGATCGAAACTCGCCCGTAATGGGATTTTTCAGGTCGATTGCAAAGACACTGTTCTCACCAGAGGAAGCGTATGAGAATCCGGAATGGCCGCAATCTTCAGTACCGGACGCGAGAATTGGCCGTCGCGTTTGCCCCGCAGCGCCAAAATCGTCCGCTGGCCCGCTCTACTCATACATGCTCACAGACTTCTCGAGACTGTTTGAGATTGATAACAGATACGAAAGCACGCTAATCAAGCCAGAATGGGCTCGAACTAGAACGGCGATGGAGCTCGAACCCGGATTTTATGAGAGGTGGGGGTGCTCTCGAGAATGTAGGAGTAGGCCGCGAACATCGACCGAGGGATTTGAGATGTCGTTTGATCGCACTTTACCCGGGTCCATGACTAAACAGTTCTCGACCGCGGACGACGCCAATGGATCCGAAGTATACCTCAGGCTCAATTCTTTGGCGGGGAGACACCTGTTGCTCGAGAGATTGCGGCCGCGCGCCGTTGATTCTTACGGTAACTACGTGGAGGAGAACATGTTCCAAGAACCAACGCTGTTTGACGTGCACCGTCCACGAGCATGCTCCCACCATGCCAGCCAGTCTCCGGCCCTGCTGTACCGCATTACGGGCGTTGACGGAACGTCAATGCCATCAAATTTCACGCTACTGCTGGACAAGAACCCTACCTTCACTGATGGCGGCACAGTAGATTCCATTGGCTACAATGCGCAGAATGTAATACTATTCAATTGTGTTCCGGTGATCAATGCTTTGGTTCAAGACATCACGTAAGATAGAAGACAAATTTCGGACAAGGCACGCTAAAGCGCTCAAACTTGTATAAATCTCTTGTAGAGCTGCGTTGCTCCAGCTGCTGGCACAGAGATATATATATACTCGTATGGGTTCTTTCATCTCCCAAACTTCCCGAGAATTACATGTTAGTGGGAATTAACGTCACATTAAAGACATCCTACAGGGAACTTTTCACATATACAAAAATTGAAAACTTACAATCAACGTGATGATTTTGATCAATGTCATATGCATACACATATATATATATACATGCTCTTAGGTAAAATCAGCCCTCTTGCCGAGCTAAGACTTGTTTGTGTCTAACTCGTTCATACCGTGTGGAGTGTTTGTTAAACGTCACTGGTGGTGCGGCAGACCTTTGAACGTAAAGAGTGATCGAGCACGTGACAGATGTGAGCAGAGAGTAACTCATTACGTACAATGCGACATACACATCGCTCGGAACAAAGCTGGCAACGAGAGCATATCACCATACACGAGTAAACACCCACTCACCATTTCGTCCATCGCTACACCAAGTCATGGTATACGCATCGATGCTTGATGCGACTAAAGGTCATTAAACACGAAACCAGCCCGCAGAACATTACCTAATCAAACGTTCATAGCGACATGTACAGCGCAACACAAAAACACCAATGTTACATAAGCACGCATCAACCAATCAATATTGTTTTCCCGGACGTAACGGCTCGCCTCGTTTCTTTTTCCATTGTTTTTCCGTTTTTCCGTTTTTCCGTCAATTCGCCAGCGATAAAATAGCTCCCTCCGTACGATGGGGCATCCAACCAGGGGAAATCAGGTTCTTTTCTTTATCCAGGCAAGGCAGCTGAGAAAGAAAGAAAAAAAAACATCATAAGGAATTTCTTTGCAGGGATGGCGAACCGAGCGAGGAGGAGACTAGATCGAGATTGTTTGTTAAAAGCATTCCGCCACCGATTTCCGACAGGTCGTCGAGCTTAAGAAAAACTAAGCATTGAACAAGGAGCCAAGTGCGCAGGTACGAGTCAGGAACGGGTACCGAATCAACAAGACCAAAAACCAGGAGACTTGTACCACGGGGGTTCGGGAAAATTAATAAGACAATTATAGAGAAAGAGAGCTTTGAGGCGGGAATGATGAATTTCTTCGGCAAGATACCGAGTGAGCGCAGCGCCGGCACGGAGCGACAGCTGCTGGAGTCGCCCCTTCTGCCGCGGCCGGCGTCGCACACGGCGACGCCGACAACGGCTTTGAGCCACAGCTCGTACGCGATCGGGACGACTGCGTTGAACGCTGGTTCTGGCGACGCCGCCTTCCAGATCAAGTCCGTACACGACTCTGCAGTGGGTCCCCAGGGCGGTGTGGCCAGCGGCGCTGCAAGCAGCGCCGCTCGCACCCCGCTGCGCGCATCGCCGGGACCAAGTGTGCAAGGGCAGTCGCAAACGGCCGCTGCCCGCGCCCAATTGCATCCGCAAGACACACCAGTGTCCAATACTACGAATTCCGAGACTGGAGTCCCACGTGGAGCACTGGAGGTGACGATCGTCGCCGCGAGGGATCTTTTGACGAGATCTCCACATGCAAGGCCCTACGTGGTGTGTACGTTCGAGAGCTCTGAGTTTATCTCTGATGGACCCGAGAACAACAGTGTAGGCCAATCAGGTGGAGCATTACCCTCTATCCGCGAGAACCAATTACAAACCACGCCTCTTTACACACGTCAGTCGTCATCCCAATTAGATAAACTAGCTTCTACCGCGTCTGAGGACCCAGATCACAACTCTTCCAACCCAACGTGGCATCACAAAGCGACTTTTGATGTCCTGGGTGCACGTTCGGAACTCGATATTTCCGTCTACGACGCTGCGCATGACGACATGTTTTTGGGACAAGTTCGTCTGCGGCCTCACACCCATGTTCCGCACCGTGCGAAACAGAATCAGTGGCACAAGTTGCAAAGCAGAATCATCGGAGAACGCGCTACAGGTGACATTTTAGTCGAGTGGTCTTACACTTCTACAGAAAAGAGACACTATGGTCCTCACGATTTCGAAGTTCTACGGCTTTTGGGTAAAGGAACTTTTGGTCAAGTGTATCAGGTACGCAAGAAAGACACCAAGAGGATCTATGCAATGAAGGTGCTCTCAAAAAAAGTCATTGTAAAGAAGAACGAAATTGCGCATACTATTGGCGAACGAAATATTCTTGTACGCACAGCGTCCAAATCTTGCCCCTTCATTGTTGGTCTGAAATTTTCGTTTCAAACCCCAGCCGATCTGTACTTGGTAACAGATTTTATGAGCGGAGGTGAGCTTTTTTGGCATTTGCAAAAAGAGGGAAGATTTGCCGAGGATCGTGCCAAATTCTACATTGCAGAGCTAGTGCTTGCTCTCGAGTATCTTCACGATAATGACATTGTCTACAGAGACTTAAAGCCAGAAAACATACTACTTGATGCTAACGGGAACGTGGCCTTGTGCGATTTCGGACTTTCCAAAGCAGATTTGAAAGATCGTACCAACACCTTTTGCGGCACTACCGAATACCTCGCACCGGAACTTTTGCTTGATGAGAGTGGATACACCAAAATGGTAGATTTTTGGTCTCTTGGAGTCCTCATTTTTGAAATGTGTTGCGGCTGGTCTCCCTTTTTCGCCGAGGACAACCAAAAGATGTACCAAAAAATTGCATTTGGCAAAGTCAAATTCCCACGCGACGTTTTGTCTCCCGATGGGCGTTCATTTGTCAAGGGTCTTTTGAACCGTAACCCAAAGCACCGTTTAGGGGCTCTCGACGACGGTAGAGAGCTTCGCGCACATCCCTTCTTCGCCGATATCGATTGGGAGGCTCTCAGGCAGAAGAAGACTCCACCTCCTTTCAAGCCGCACCTCTCTTCGGAAACAGACACTTCCAATTTCGACCCAGAGTTCACACAAACGTCTACGTCTTATATGAACAAACAACCCATTGCTGCTACCCCGTTGTCGCCAGCCATGCAGGCCAAATTCGCTGGTTTCACATTCGTGGACGAATCCGCTTTTGACGATCATTACAACGCCCATTACAGCAACCGCAAGTTCTTACAGAGCTCTTACTTCATGGAGCCGGGCTCATTTATCCCAGGAAACCCAAATCTGCCCCCAGATGAGGATGTTATTGACGACGAAGACTATGACCTCGATCAAGCACAGCTGAAAAACGGCAATACCAATGCTCAGGTCGATTACGATGGCGATCATCACATGGATGACGAATTTGTGAGCGGCCGCTTCGAGATATGAGGTCGAATAAACCATCAATTATCGTTTTTGCCAGATAAAAATGCCCAAAAAATTACCATTTCGAGCCCTATCATTAAGCTCAGGCCCGTCTTAAGGACACAATTTTCATCACTTTCTCTATTCTGAACTTTTTAAGCTTTTTTAATCATACAATTGTAATAATCCATTTTTTCTTAACCGTATGTGTATCATAACCAGGCTGTCCATAACCTGACGAGGCTTGGATGGAGGCCACTGATTAGAAGTTGGCTGATCTCATTCTGAACGAAAGGGCCGTCAAGAATTAAACGGCCAATTCTCGAGTTTCGAGTTCTCGCCAAGATGACTTCAGGTCTTTCTCATAGAAAGCAAGGGTGGGCGTAACAGCACTTTCTAGAACCACGAGTTCTCGAGATTTAATAAAATAGATTGTGGGAATAACTACGGAGCTTATTTGGTGGAAAAAGGACAATTTGAAGGGACTGCCAAACAAAAAAAACAGTTAGGCTTTAACGGAGGCATTGAATGCAGCTGCCAGAGTTGAAAGCGATTTTAACGCAACAAAACGCATCAGAACGCACTACAGGACGCAATTGTACATATCAGTGTGCTTGATAGACCATTTTGTGGTAGAGAAAAAATGTCAGAAGAGATCAAGACGGCTCAGAAGGCAGTGTCGAACGATTTTGTCCGGAAATTATTCAAAATCCTAGAAGCTGGTGAATACGCGAACATTATCTGCTGGACGGAGACGGGCGACAGCTTTGTGGTGCTGGACACAAACGAGTTCACGACCAAGATTCTGCCGCAGCATTTTAAACATTCCAATTTTGCGAGCTTCGTGCGACAGCTGAACAAGTATGATTTTCATAAGGTCAAGCGCACTTCGGAGCAGAAACAAAGCTCCCAGTATGGAGAACACAGCTGGGAGTTCAAGCATCCTTTTTTCCACGTACACGATGAAATGGCACTAGACAACATCAAGCGTAAGAGCGCCGTGCAAAAAAAGATCATGCTCGATGATAACACGGTACTCGTTAAACAGGGTTCAGAGGGATCTGGGATCGATGCTGACTCTGCAACCAGTCTGATATTCAACAGCACCGTGAGCAAAGCAAAATTTAATCAACTCAAGCGGAAAGTGGAAGTGCTCGAACAGGAGTCGCAGCACATCAAAAACGAAAATTACGAACTTAAACTAGGCTATCAGAAACTCCAATCAAGATATAATACAATGATTGGGTCATTTTTGACATCAAAGTCTCATAGCGAACGTTTGGTGGCTAAATTCAATGCCCTGACAAACTGCTTGTCTTCGCAAGGTTTTGAGCTTCCACAAGAGGTTAGCTACAACGTCGCAGAACCTCCGGCACCAAAATCTCCCAGGAATACGCAATCACCAACATTCGAAACCATGGTTCCAACTAATATCCCACCTCAAAAATTGCCCTCTGCTGCAAACTCTGGTCCATCTTCGGGTACCCCTAACGAGGTTGTGGATCATCCGATACTAAGAGCCGGTTTCCATGTTCTGCTAGTCGAGGACGATTCGATTTGCATACAATTGTGTTCGAAATTCCTTATGAAATACGGCTGCTCCGTCGAAGTAGTTACCGATGGACTTTCTGCCATTTCCACACTCGAAAAATTCCGTTACGATTTAGTCTTGATGGATATTGTCATGCCCAATCTTGATGGCGCCACGGCTACGTCGATTGTCAGGAGTTTCGATAATCACACCCCAATCATAGCCATGACCGGCAACATCGAAGATCAGGACCTAGTGACATATTTACAGCATGGAATGAACGATATTTTGGCCAAACCATTTACGCGAGACGATTTACATTCTATGTTGATCAGATATTTGAGAAACCGCGTCCCTCTCTCAGAGCAGCGAGGGGAAGTAGCTCCCAAGGATCCAGGTTCAGCAGAACTGATACAAGAAGACGCGGTGTCAAATCTGATCAGCACTGAGCCGCAAATGAAAAAGCAGCACATATAGATTTTTAGAATAAGGATGATAATTGGCCTTTGCCTGTTTGATTAAAACTTATGTTGTGGTATTTCTACGAATGTTTATTCTTCTACCGCTACCATGACTTTTTTATCGAACCTGACCGACTTTCTTCTCGATGGTAGTCCTTGTTCATTTGGGATTTCGAGATCGAATTCTACACCATTTTTGAGTAAGTCTGAGAGATCAGGCCTAGCGGTCTTCAAAGAGGACCTGCGCCTCGAGGGCTCGATTTCTTCTTCCGTGGTAATTGATGCAGGTTTGATCTTGGTTTTATTTCTAGATTCGACTTCTTTTAGACACCTTGGGCAATTGCAAATGAACCCCCAATTGACACGTAGTTCTCTTCTTCTTAACATCAAGCCATGTAGCGGATTCACGTAACTTACGAAAAGCTCCTCGCCAATGGTAATTGGCTTCCTAGCGTATACTTTGAGACCCCAGTGCGGGTCTATTTCATATCGAACATTGGGCTCGCAGCTGTGGTTGACGTGAGAGAAAATCGTATAAATTTGACCAGAGACCTGATTTATGTGGAATTTACCTATATCGGTAAGGAATGATTCTTGCGTAATGCCTTCTGAGCTGGCGGTTGGAAACGCTTGACAGAACAGATCGAAACAGGTCGACCATTTGGAACTATCGGGCAGAAATTCGGGTCCTGTGGAAGCATCAAAAGTACCACCAACATTGATGGAATCCAGTGCCTTCATTCTAAGCAATTGACTAACTCCGGCGAGAGATGCGAATTGGTTTTTCAGCCGTGGTCCATTTTGCCGATCTGTGAGAAATCGCGCAAACATGACGCCTACAGAGTAGGCAATATCTGCGGAGTTAGATCGACAAAATTCTTCGTACTCTCTCCACCCCTTTGCATCGATCTGGGTATTTTTGGATGTCTGGTGATTCAGGAAATTATGCGTGATATCTGCCTTCTTGCAGTGCTTTGAACACCAGACGGAACTACAACCGCTACAATCTAACCCATTGATAACGGTAAAATGGGAACTCTGCGTTAAGGATGCTCCACACAGTGAACAACATCGTCCTTTGGCAGCAAGTGTCTTTTTTTCAAGCTGTGGAACCAAAATTAATGGCCATTTCTCAGAAAACACCAATTCTCCAAATTTCAGATCCGATTTCGCCACTAGTCCCTTACCCATTTGCTTGGTATTTCGCAATTCAATTTTCGAATTCAAGTTCAAATCTGGTGTCTCTGTAGATCGCACTTTGTCGGCATACGTGAACATGGGCCGGTTTTCAGTAGCATATAGGTTATGTTTGGTCAAAATCGAGCAGAAATCTCGCAGTTCAAGGTCCCAATGACAATTTCGTAATTTAAGCTTGTCGAAAAGCTGTTCAATTTCCAGTTCTTCGCTAGCTGGCTCTTCTCTCCAAAGTAAGACGACATCGTCGCAAACTTCACGGTCACTGGGCTGTTTTGCTCTGTTCAAATTCCGAATAGCGGTTTGAGAGTCATTCAGGTTGAGTTGCTCAAGCTTAAGAATCATAAAGCCAGGATTTGCCTGGGTTCTGTAGGTTTTCGTCAGTTTCTTTGAAGCATAGTTTTCAGTGAAAAACCGACCAGATTGATCAACGAAGTTCAGTAGGCAACCCAGTTGGAAAGCAGAGGGAAAGCAGAGGAAAAGCAGTATAGACTGACTGCCACAGCAGAATGATATTGAGATACCTGAGAATAAATAAGATAATAACGGGTTTAAGGGCGTACTCGGCAGGCTCGAAGCAGTTCGTGATCAAGAAACCCGCGAGATCGAACAGATGGCTTTTGGCAGCGACTTTCGCGACAAGTTTTGGAGCTGGATGGTTCGTTACGCAGCATATGACGTTTGCAGACGTGGTGGCACGGTGGATGTACGATAACGTTCCAGAAGACGACGAAAAGTTAATGAAATATAAGGCCCAATTGAACGCTAGACTTGAGAACTTGTCCGTCGTGAAACAGTTGAAACAGGTAGGATATATCGAGGTTTTCCCGCAGACGCAAAAGAAGAATACCCTCATATCCGAGACGTTGCTAGTGCCAGGTGGAATCACGGTTCCTCCACGGTTTTTCTATAATCCACGCAACAAGGAAACCGTGGGTATTTACCACTTGGGAATGAAATTGACGGGGTACCCATTTTTGGTTCATGGAGGTATCTTGGCGACGGTTCTAGAGGATTTGATGAGGGAATCGATGATGTTTGCGAAGGGTGGTAAAAAGGAGAAGACGAACGAGATTTCCATTTCGTATGCGTTCCCAACGTTTGCAAATCAATTTGTCGTGGTGCGGATCACGAACGTGGAAGAATCGGGCAATTTGACTAAACTGCGTGCAGAGATCATGGACCAAAGAGGACAGAGGACTTTGGTGCGGGGCAAAGGTACGTTTTCTACGTAATGGTAGGTAGATATATTTATGAAGTGACTACGATACCCAATGAATAGAGCCGTCACCGGAAACCACAGCATCCATGCAATTGTCATGCTGTTCCATGGGGATATCCTGGACGAGTTGTTGTTGTAGGGCGAGTCCCACGAGCAACGGCTTTTGGGCGTGATGATGTAGAGTGCGATGTATGAAGTCGTCGTAAAACCCCGCGCCGTGGCCCATGCGGGCGCCGTTTTGTGGAGAGAAAGCGACACCGGGGACAAGGATGACATCTAATTTGGGGGGTAATGGGTGTGGTATCTCCAGGAGCGGTTCGCGTAATTGATATTTCCCCTGAGGCCGGAGAGACTCGACAGCGGCATAGGATCGCATACGATGGAAAGTAAGGTGTGGGTGTGGTTTGCCAGTGTTGCGAAGGTTGATGTGACCACTGGCGTCGGTAGAGGTACAGCGTGGGAGATAGACGGTTTTACCCGCTTGAAAGAGCCATTTGAGAATTGGAGTAGTGACTACTTCGCCACGGTCCATGCTCATGAAACAGGCGATATGCTTATAATCGGCAAGCAAAGGTTTAAGGGCTTCAAGAACGGCCGCGGATTGATTATTGATCTCTGTCTGCGGGATCTGGCGAAGAAAGGACTTAAGGCGAGCACGTAAGACACGCTTGTGCGAGTGATTGGTGTTAATGACGCTTGACATATTGGGAGCGGTGCTTTGTTTCAGGAAAACTCGTATATTAGATGGTTTTAGCAGACAATATAGCAGAGTCAACTAATGTAACGAAATTTATGACTATGTGGAAAATACGCCATACGGCTACTGTAGATGCTATGGTATAGTGTAATTGAGTATAATCGAGTGTAGTACGGTGTAACAGGTTTGAGTTTAGATGTGGATTCATTCATAAGGTCTGAAACATGCCACCTTACACTACCATACTGCGCTATGAACACTATTGGATCCATGCTATGCCTTATATGCTAGACTGAAACTACTTCAGATACCGCCATGAATAATGTGCTATAAAATATGGTATAGATACTATAATATAGATTTATAATGGAGGTGATACGGTAGGAGCGGTAAAGTACAGCATGGATGAATACGACGTCATGAATATCAAAGATACGATCCTCTGCTAACACGGTACCATAAAACAAGGCCACTACTATGGAGACAATACCATAAACTCCCCAATGCTACGGCGTAGAAACCACACTACAGGCAAATACAGTATCTTTATTGTAGTATCTATAATGCGGTTTCTACGCTGTAGTGTCTATCGTGAACGTATTATGTTATACAGATACAGATATCTAACCTTTGACCGAATCATGCTATAGTATAGATACCTATGCTGTGATGCCACTTTATATAAATACCATTTGCCATGTATGTATAATAGCGTTCGACTATTGTACTACATGATACCATCAGGGATCAAGCTATAGATACTAGGGCATAGGGATCAGGTACTATAATATGTAAAGACGGCGATATCACTCGGTTTAAACATTACCTTGTTTGGAAACTATACCATAACCATCATCCCACAGCTCCTATACCATAGATACTCTGGAACAGATATTATTCGGCATTCGAATTGCCTTGTAGCTTCTACACCGCAATATGGTCAATATACTACAAAGTACTATTCGGTGCGGTTGCCGCACTATATACTACCTTGGAAATACTGCAGTAGAAATGCTATAATACAGTATCTATCGTATAATAAGTATAGTGTAGCTACCTACTACCACAACTACGCCATAGACAATTCCTCGCATAAATAATACACCATAGGTGCTCTACTATAGAGAATGCCCTCCATAGATACCAAGCTTCCTATAAAGTACCAATACGTGCAACATAATTACTATACTACCTGTAATGTAGTAAAACCTTTATAACATATATCTTATAGTATCATTAATGGACTGTAGATTCTCTATTATACTATTCATCCCATGGTTACTATGGTTATTACACCCCGGCACCACACAATAGCTTTTGAACAATGGCTTATGTACAATGGCGATTATAGTATAGATACAATGTTTCATACTACAGTAATCTACTTCAGTATGGGTTAAAAGCTATAGCTACCGCTGCCGCTACCACCACTACGACTCCTACTAAATTATAATTTTAATGAGGTTTACGATTGTCGGTAGTCGATAAGTTCTTGAACTGTTCATTTAATGCTTTCATAGCTGAGTTTAATGATAAGACAAATAGGGTATTGAGTACTTATATCTCTCCGTGAGTATCTTACGACCATAACTACTGCGATCCTGGTCATATCGGCTCCTTTTATACAATTTGTGTACCACTGTTCCAACTTCAGAATCCGTACTTTCTTTAAGATTGCAGGTGAGTCATCATTGCGTCACCTATTAGATTATTCCTGCAGTGATGAAGGGGTATGACGACAACATGATTATCACTAGAATCTTTCGGTTCCTATGACTTCATCTTTATCATGAACCGTCCGTTCAGTTTCATCTTATTTCAATCCGTCATCGTGACCACGTGATACTGCAACTTGCCAATATGCTATCTCGCTATCTCCTTCCGACAAATCTTTCTCGTTACCTCACAGCAGCTACTATAGTATACCAAAATGCTGTAGGAATACGAGGGTCCAGCTGCTTTACTACAATTGTATACTGCAGAGAAGATACTGTATAAACTACAATATAGCTCCTATGCAACAGCTAATACATGCTAGAGACACTACAAGACCAGTCCCCGACAGACGTACACTGTACAGAGACCGAAGCATCGTAGCGACAAATACAGACAAGTTTTTAACACAAACGCCTGACACTGACAGGGGGAAGAGTTAAACAAGACACACAGTCGACAAAGAAGTAGAACGGCCACACACGTAGACATAGAGTAGCACGGAGTAAATTAGGACATAGATCACAGGTACCAGCTAAATAAACAGCTCGGAATTTTTCAATAAACCAGTCGTGAGTCATGGACTACCGGTTCGGTTACAACTCGACTTCCGTTCACTTGCTTTCTGATAGTATTCCAGCATTAGAGATGTCAGTTTATTGTGGTATAGTGAGTCACATGATTCACCTGCGAGGCCGGTACCGGTCATTCGGTCTGGAATGATCCTCTCGGCCGCCGGTACCGGTGCAACAGTGATTGACTCATATGGTGGAAAAAGTGAAAAAGTGAAAAAATGCCACGAGAGACATCGATAAGTACTCAGTGAGCCAAGTATAAAGACACTTCTACTGGTGACACAAAAGACCAATTGTTGTTTGCGTCGAAGATCCTAGTGTTGAAAACTATAAATTTCCTAGTCGCAGCGTCATGTTGAGATCCGGATTTTCTGCCAAGTCGATCGCCATGACCTCGTCGCGTGCGTCTCGTTTGTTCAGCGCATCGGCCGCGATCAGAGGCGCTGGAGCGCCTCTGGACGCTACCAAGCTCAAGGTTCAGAACCATAGTACACCTTCGCAACCTCGTGCCAATGACGAACTTGTGTTCGGTAAAACGTTCACAGATCACATGCTAACCATCGAGTGGACCAAGCAGAACGGATGGGGCACACCCGAAATCAAGCCCTACGGTAACTTGTCGCTGGACCCGGCTGCGTGCGTGTTCCACTATGCATTTGAGCTATTCGAGGGCCTCAAGGCGTACAGATCCCGTGATGACAAGATCACCATGTTCCGTCCAGACAAGAACATGGAACGTATGAACAAAAGTGCGGCCCGTATCTGTCTGCCCACGTTCGACTCCGACGAGCTCATTGCTCTCATGGGCAAGCTCATCGAACAAGACAAGCATCTCGTGCCACAGGGCGAGGGTTACTCGCTATACGTGAGACCCACTATGATCGGCACCACTGCGGCGCTAGGTGTCGGAACTCCAGACCGCGCCCTGCTGTACGTGATCACGTCTCCAGTGGGTCCTTACTTCAAGAGTGGATTCAAGGCCGTCAAATTGCTTGCCACCGACAACGCTACGAGAGCTTGGCCCGGTGGTGTTGGTGACAAGAAACTAGGTGCCAACTACGCACCTTGCATCTTGCCCCAACTCAAGGCCGCCGAAAAAGGTTACCAGCAGAACCTGTGGTTGTTCGGCCCAGAAAAGTATATCACCGAGGTCGGTACCATGAACGTGTTCTTCGTGCTCAAGGACAATGCCACGGGCAAGAAAGAGCTTGTCACTGCGCCTTTGGATGGTACCATCCTTGAGGGTGTTACCAGAGACTCCATTTTGACGCTTGCGCGCGAAAACTTGGACCCTAAAGAATGGGAAGTCAACGAACGTTACCTCAGCATCAACGAGGTCGCCGAGCGTGCCAGAAAAGGAGAACTTGTCGAAGCCTTCGGTGCTGGTACCGCGGCCGTTGTCTCGCCAATTAAAGAAATCGGTTGGCAAGACGAGAACATCGACGTCCCTTTGCAACCGGGCAAACAAGCCGGTAAACTCACCGAACAAATCGCCAACTGGATCGCCGACATTCAATACGGCAGACAGCCCCACGGCAACTGGTCCCGTGTTGTGGCTAACCTAAAATAAACGAGTCGAACTACATAAAATACATATATACAGCGAAGAGACCCTTCGCCCTCATAAAATCACGATCATAACATTTCATCATAGTATGCTCTTTTTACTGGAACCCGATCCTCCGGGTTCTTGTCACTTTGTACTATTTTGGCTATCCTGCCAGTAACCGTCAGTAACTACGCACTTCTCAACGGAATCAATCTCATAATAAAAGATTTTAGACGCTCAAGACACTCGACAACGATACTTTCCCGACGTACAACACTTTGGCAAACCCTACGAGCCTATGTCTGCCCTGACTTCTTTTCGACCCCACATCACCTTCTCGAGAACGCGACGCGTAAACGCGGCGTACCCAAGACGCGTAAATGCGCTAATCAGGGTCTGAACGGTGAGACCCATCAGCAATTACATAACAGTTAGTACGCTCGAAGCAATATCTGTTTGTTACAGCCGCGCATTGTTGATGCCGTCGCAAAAGTAAAAGTGGTGATATGGTTACATTACCTGGCTTTTTTCCAGGAAGTCAAACCTTTGCAAAATGACGTACTATGAAAAACGAGACTTTTGCAGTAACGAAACAGCAGGAATAGGCGTATAAAAGGGACTCGAAGGCTGTGGATAGATATACCTTATAAGGGACTCATAATCGCAACTAATTAAGTTAGGCAAAAAATCTTTTCAAAAGATTCGGACAAGTTTTTAGTGAATTTTACGGCTATTTTAGGCAATTTTAAGAAACAAATGAATAAAACCATCGCTACCGGTTTGACTACGCCACAAGAGGCTCCACAACTCGCGGAGCACGTTTTGGATCTGTTTTCGCTAAAGGGTAAAGTCGCTGCTGTCTCAGGTGCATCTTCTGGTATTGGGTACGAAGTTGCCATTGCATTTGCACAAGCAGGTGCAGATGTGGCCATGTGGTACAATTCTAACCCTCATATCACGGAAATCGTTGACGATTTGTCCAAAAAATACGGTGTCAAGATAAAAGCCTACCAATGCGCCGTCACGGATTCCAAACAGGTTTCGCACACGATCGACCAGATCAAGAAGGATTTCAACGGTAAAATCGACATCTTGGTCGGCAATGCCGGTGTTGCTTGGGACAAGGGCCCTGTTGTGGACCTTGCCGAGGAGGACGAGGATCTGTGTGACAAAGAATGGAAAAAAGTGATCGATGTCGACCTGAACGGTATATACAGACTGTCAAAGGCCATTGGCCCCGTTTTCAGGGACCAAGGTCATGGCTCTTTTGTCATTACAGCGTCCATGTCGGGCCACATTGTGAACGTCCCACAGATGCAAGCCGCGTACAATGCGGCCAAAGCAGGTGTATTGCATCTGTGCAAGTCTCTCGCCGTCGAATGGGCAGGTTACGCTCGTGTGAACACGGTTTCTCCCGGCTACATCGCCACTGACATTACAAATTTCGCAGACGAAGAACTCAAGAACAAATGGCACTCGCTCACTCCGCTTGGACGTGAAGCTCTTCCAAAAGAACTTGTCGGTGCTTACTTGTACTTGGCTTCCGATGCGTCCACTTACGCTACCGGTACCGACATTATGATCGATGGTGGTTACTCCTGCATTTAAACTCTTAGCATTGAATCCTGATACACAGAGTTATGTATTAGATATATTTTGATAAACGACTTGATGTCAACTTTGTCGCACAACCTGACGCTCAGGTGTCGTGCTTGTCGTAAACATAAACAATGTAAACGAACCATTATCCAGTTTGTGACACTGCCGACTAATTGGTACACAATCCAAATTACCGGGTCTTCTTTCACTACTTCTTTGATTAGCGTAGCTCGGCGTCAGTAAGAATGCCAGAATCTTTGAGAGATCTCAAACTGTGGACGACTTTAAAAAAGTCCTCGAAGGGCAAACGGGATGCTGACAAGGAAAAGTCGCCGCTCAGAAGATCCTTTTCGCGCAATTATCATGCCATTCGTTCCAGGAAATCATCGCCCCCAGGTAACCACTTAAATGACAGTGCCGAGTCACAACCGGCAATCACGCACAGTGAACCAGCGTCACCGCTGGAATCACCAAAGCCCAATTTTTCGACAGAGAGTTCTCCAGCGTTTGAAACGTCACCCGCGATGCTCGATCGTGGACTCACCGGCATAGACTACAACAAACTAGAACGAGGCGAGTATTCACCTGCACCGAAATCACCTGTGCAGCAAGATGCAGTGAAACCCAAATCTCGCGAAAGTAAATTATTACCTACTCTCGACTTGTTTCCTCGAGGAAACACCGAAGGCAATCCCACAATCCATTCCAACGGTGCCATGTCAGCACCACCGACGTGTCTCATTGAACATCCACCACGGGACATGAATCGCTCACCATTACCATCTCCAAGACTTCCCGACTGTTCCCAGAACCCCCAGGATCCACAGAGACAGTCCCAAATTACGAACTGGCTCTGGGCTCTATACTACAACAACCAAATTATTTTCTACTGTGTTTTTGGTTTACTACTGATTGCATCTTCTATATACACTGCTCTGACTGGAAAAGGCTCCAAATACTACGTGGTAATTGTGAGAGCCACAATATGTTGGATTATGGGCTCTAACGTCAGTCAAAATTTATTGGGAGATGGCTTCTGTTCGTTTGGTGATATATAGGTCACTCTAGATTGATTCCGTCGCTGGAAGGAGTTCTTGAATTTTGAAAAATTTTTAGAGATGAGCTTGATGAGCTCGATGAGCTAGGATACTGAGAGTGAAATCGACAGTTAGAAAGCCTACTTTGTTCTTAAGTATTATCAAATCTGTACCATGAGCCAGGATTTAGAGGACCAAATTGGGTCCTCCAGACAAAATGGCCACGTCAAGTTCGATGACGAAGGAAACAATGTAAGCGGAACAAAAGGAGACGGAAAGCCGTCTGCATCGAAAATAAATCAAAATGATGCTTTTGACGACAGTTCAAGTGATGACGAAGCTCCAGAAGAAGAAGGCATGGCCGCTTCCGAAACAGCTGCTAAAACTAGAGAAGAATTGCGTCAAAAATCGCTGGAGAAAGAGCAGGAAGAGTTGAAACAGAGAAGACGGCAACAGAGCCAGAAGTTTGCCGAACAACAAGAACAAAAAAGACAAAGGGAACACCAGGAACTTGCAGAGGTTGGAAAACCGACAACTGAACAAGAATTCCAATTAGATCTCCCCGACGAACTTCCGGACCAGTTTTTCGAAAACCTCGAACAAGAGCAGATGACAACGGTTACACAACTACCGAAACACATCAATTTTAATGATGTAGACGAAAATTTGACACAGGAGCTCAAACAAGAGCTAAAGATTCAGAAGAGAAAAACTCTTCAACGGCTGCGGAAACAAAGTCTCAAACGCGGTCCCGTTATAGTAAATCTGCTCAATTCCAACACTGAAAGAAAGACAATGGCACCCAAGAAAGCAGTCCAAATCACACAAACAAAGGACAAATGGCTGAGGCGCAAGGCGCTTAAACGCACCTGGTAGGATAATGTTCATAAAAACGTTTATGTATACGGAAATACATACTGCAATCGATATCGGCATGGCATCAATCATCGTTGACGCAGAACGAAATAATGGCGGGGATCAAGACTCCGAGCAACACCAATCCAGTTTCACTGGGCAAAACTTTGGGTTGACTTTCTTCGACGCTAAAATTCATAGGAGTCATGTCCTTTGTTCGGAGTTGTTCGTCGTCTGAGTTGCTTATCATGACGAATCCGTCTGTAGTGGATTTTGGTGCATTGCCATGGCTTACGCCATGACTGTGAGAGTCAGAACCGGAAAACGCAGTGAAAGAAGCATACAAAAGACTACCACCGCTCATCAAAAGTAGATTCCCGCTTATCCATTCCATTGCGGCGAAATGTTCAACGCTTAATATGGAGATTACCAAGTAACCGATCGGAGTGGAAGCTGCGAACGCTGCCAAATTCGAAATTACTGCTGGCAATGGCAATTTTTGGCGTGAGATCATAATACTCGTTAAAGACAGTACTGCTGGTATTTTGTGAATAACAATAGCCACGAGCATCGTGATTTTCAGCGACTTGTTATCCACTGACGCACCCAATGCCAAACCGTCTGACAATCCATGTACCACCAAAGCGAAAACCACATTATTTCTAACAACATTCAAAAAAGCTGTCCGAGGATTCAACACTGTTTTGAAACTCTCAGCACTTGGATTTCGTTCCGTAATATCTCTCTCAGATACCCAACTGACAGCTCTATCTAGGAGATGAACACATAAATATCCAATCAACAGGTTAAGGCCCACATTACCGTGATGTTCTAGACATGCTTTCACACCTTCAGGGATCACAAGCATGAAAGACGTGCCCAAAAGCATCCCCATACCAAAAAGTGACAACTTCCCAATATACTTGTCATGATAACCTTTATGTCTAACGATAAAAACAGGGCTCAACCCAATGACAAAGGTCGCTACTAGGAAAAAGAAGGCCGTTATTAACACTTCCGACAACGTTGCCGACATCCCGTCCACCTATTGGTCTGTTCTCACTCATTCATGTTGACCGTTAAATATATATTAAAGACCTTGAAATTTCAAGATCATTTAAACCAACTAAACCTAGCGAGACTAGTGATAGACGATGAGCGAACAAGACATTGTAGAAAGAGCTTTGAACCTAGGGACTACGTATTTTAAGAATGAGGACTATAGTAAGGCTGCCAAGATATTTACGAAGGCATTGAAGCTTGTTCAGTCTTATAGCGTCGATGACTTGATTAAACTGCGATCAAAGCACGGGCTTAGCAGACATTTGGGCGATGATCCTAGCCGAATAACACATCCCAGATATCTGAAAATTTTGGATAACAGGGCTGCTACATGGGAGAAACTGGGTGATCTTCATAAGGCTTTGAAAGATACGAAAAAAATGGTGAAAGAAGATCCGTATCACTTGAAGGCTTACGTTCGGTATGGTAAAATTCTTCAAAAACTCCAGCTGGATGGTGAAGCAGACGAAGTTTACGAGCGGGCGTTGAAAATAGCTGACGGAGGTTACCGGAGATTTGGAATTTCGGCCTCTGAGAGGCTTGTTGAAGCGATTACATTACAAAAGAATTTGATCCGTTCACGGAAAATTTCGCGCGAATCTCTAGCTACAGTTGGTTGTGAGAAAAGACCAATAGCTCCGGATTCAAAAGATGCAACGAAGTTTTTGTGTGGTGGACTTAAAAAGAAGAAGCCCGAGATCCCTCTGGGGACAGATTTGATTAGCATGTGCCCTACGGAGTTGTTCGTCGCGATTTTTCGTCACTTGACTACTAAGGAACTCGTCAATTGTATGCTTGTGAGCAAACTCTGGCGCTGGCGTCTCATGTCCGTTCCCCAGGTCTTCAAGGATATCAAATTGAACTCGGTCTCCTACCGACACACTGCTAATTTGGTCGAGTTTTTAAAGCGACTATCCAAGGTAGCCAGTCGCATACAGATTAACATGCTAATCTTCGCCCCGTGTTTGAAAGCAGAAGAGGACCGGTCTCTGAAACTTTTACTAAGCTGCTCGTTCCTCAACGTGCGAAATTGCGTTTTGAAGACTAAAGAATTGAGCTTGGACAGAATCTCGAATTTACTTCGGACAAATCCTAAACTAGCATCGAGCATTGAGAATTTAACGCTGGTGGCAGCTTACAGCAGAAATCTGTCAGATGCTGCTGAAAATGAACTCCTGAATCTGACAACGAACTTAAAAACTTTAGAACTCATTGTTCCTAGAACTATACAACCGGAGAGCTTGACGTCGCTTCTGAGAGAAAAAAATGACCTCCAAGTGGTGGAAGCGAATATACAGAGTTTGGAATCGGTTAAAATCATATGCGATTTTAGGCACGTAAACCCTTTCTTCCCTTACAGAAAAGCGATTACGAATAGCCTGCCCTCCACGAAACTTCGAAAATTGTTTATATGCGGAGCTACATGCGAATCGGGGATGAATTTTCAATGGCTGGCGAATTTTCCGAACCTGGATGAGTTTTGGTTCGAAAACAATAAGAATGCATTTTTTCATGACTTTCTGCAGACAGTCATCGAGCGTCCGATATTTCACAACCTTTCCAAGCTTATATTTCGTGAGCATCGCATCAACAGTCAGCCGATCAACCTGTTAGAGTTTCCAGCACTCCACGAAAATCAAGGTTTCATTAACAATTTAATTCACTTGACAACTTTAGACATAATGAGCACATCGCTTGGAGGTCATGGACTTTCAAAATTATTATTCAGCCTCACAGAGAATAAGATAAGAAAGCTCAATATCGGTGATTGCCCGTATATGCACTTCCAAAGGACAAACGACGTCGGATTTCTGGACCTAGCACTTGCTCTGCAAAAAGTCCCTCACCTCGAAGACTTGAGCGTGCATCAAGCGGTAGCTCTCGATGACTTTTCGCTAAAAAATTTGAAGGCTGCTGCAAAGTATGTGAAAAAGTTGCGCAAGCTAGATTTGTCCTTCAACATGGCACTAACTGGTCCGGCAATTTATGATTTTCTTCGCGGCCTTACTGAATCTGATTACATTCTTCTTGACAAACTTAGTTTGCATGGATGCCCTTCGGTATCGGAACTCACCGTAAAAGCCATACGATCAAAGGGCCTTGTTAAGGAACTCGATTTTAGTTTGGACAAAGCTTCTTGGAAAGTATTTGGGGTCAATAGCCTTGCATCATTCAATTAATGCTCTCAAATCTTGAAACTTCTCAAACAAAGACTGTAGACTTCTTGTCTCCATCTTTTTGCTGACATTGGACTCACCATCAATCGTCCTTCTTACCTGAAGAAGTGCTGATAGAGTTGCGATTACCATCACCCGCATCTGGAGCTGACCCCCTGACGGTCGGCAGTGAATTACTGTCATCTTTCAACAACGACTTTTTATTCTTGCCGTTGGTAGCCAGATGAGGATTAGGCTTGATGGGATGGGGTTGAATCGATCTTGATGATATAGATTGACGCCTATGGACATTTTTGGACCCGCGACGGTGGGGAGGTTTTGAAGGAGATTCAAAGGAAGAGATAGATCCACGGCGTGCGCCAGTATCAGATATGGCCACAGGTGCTGAAAGTGGCGACGGAGGATTCGAGTTGGCTGAAGGGTCGCCATCCTTGTTTCTGGATGATTCCTGTCTCTGGAGAGCAGTGAAACTGCTGCTATGTTTTGTAGTGTCGATCTTGAAACTCTTCTCGGGAGTGTGGCTCAAATGAACCATGCTTCGCTTGCGGTCAAGTTTTGGGCTATATCCCATAACCGTAGGTAAAATCTTATTGGATATATGGGAGCCATTCCGCGTACCATAAAATGGACTTTCCCTCAAAGACAATTTTCCTCTGGTATACGAGTCTGATTTCCTGCGAACATGATGAGTGGGCTTGGCGCCTTCTGCTATTGAGATACTGGTCCTTCCGAAAGAATGAGGACGGCGGTTCTGGTCTGGCACAACTAAGAGCCCATCGGTGGCTTGTGGATTCAAAATAGTATCATCCAACACGTTAGGTACATGAATGTCATTAGTGAGCATTTCTGGAGTGTTAACCAAGGATATTGACAAATCCGTGAACTGCATGGAATTTTTTGTTGTGAACAAAGGACTTGAAATGATTTTCCCCTTGAGGATCGAGATGGCTTTGTCTAGTTCAAATTCTTGCAGACAATGATTCTTTATAATTGAGATTTTGGGCCATGTGGCGCGAGCACCATTAACAGTTTCTCTCAATAAAAACTCTTTGGAAGGATTTGCTAAAAGTTCATTCATTCTAAAAAGCATTCCAATCTCAGGAAGAATGGTAATATCTCCTGAGTACTGTTGAGAAAGTATCGAGCGAAACTTTGTTAAAAAGTTCGTAGCCAAACCAAGTTCCGTACCGAGTTCCAAAACGTGAATAATTTCATTCACAAGAAACTCGTAGACTGAACTCAGGTTTTGCCTTAAGCGAGCGCTGAACTCATCTTCAATTTCACCTCCCACACAAGATACTGACATCTTCAGGAACGGGAAAACGTGGATGTTGACCTGACAGGCTATGATGTGATCGACATTAAACATCTCAGACAGCCTAGAAATGGGCAAATCGTTGTCTACTGAACCGTCGACAAATTTTACAGTGCTGCTGTTCCACTCTCGTGCCTCTCCAGTTTTGGGATCCTTTTCGTACAGAGGTGTGGAGGGAAAAATTCCGGGCAAGGAACAAGAAGCACAAACAGCGGACCAGATCAGCACGTTTGGTGCCGTAAGATTGTTAAGCAAAGATGGCTGTTCGTATACAGATGCTGGGGAAACAGTGATATTCAGTAGCTTTCCGGTTCTGTTATAAGCCTCGCGAAATGTCAGATCCCCCAAAAAATCGATCATAGTTTTCACCAAATGCTTGTTATCAAACCAAGTACCGTTTTTGAAGAAACGAGACACCTTGATAAGTAGATTCTCGCTCTGGGTTTTCTCAGAGTCGTCCTGAAAAATGTTGAAATCTTTTTCCAGCACACCCTCGATGAGAGGCACGATCTCACGTTTGTGACGCGAGCACAAGATGCTTGCCACAATGGCTCCTGCACTGCTACCACTGATAACCCTCGGGAGCAGATCCTGCTCGAGCAGCGTAGATAAAACTCCAATATGGAAAAGCCCAAAAGTGCCGCCTCCGCTGAGCACTAGCGCTGTGCGACCTATGTTTTTACGCGTCTGCACAAGCATACCCAGCAAATAGCTGTCGTCGAGGTCGGAGTTCGCCACGAGATCCTTTAGTGCGCTTACAGACTCCTGCATGTACTCTTCAATAATGTTCTTAGTGCCCACGTGTGAGTGTCGATACAAATTCACGTTGCCCATGTTCCCAAGACTACGCACCCAGGTGGTCCGAATCAAGTAGAGCAACTGCGCATAGTCCCTTTTTTCGCGAGCCTCACGCATCATGAGCGTGTGCGCCCGCACGAGTTTGTAGTCGTAAAGCGTCGTTTCATCCTTGTACTTCCAATCTTCCGTACGAGTTAATTCGTCGAGCCGCAATGCAGCACTAAGCCATTCATCGTACGACGTAGCGTGTTGCTTTTCATGACTTAGCTTCTCGATGAGCAAGTTCCTCTCATAGGTCTCACGACTAACTAGTCTTCGTGCAAAATGACACAACTTATTCCAACTCGCCCTTAATGTTCCTGTGGTTTCAGAGTTCTCCCCTGCGCGGGGGAAATTACCGTCATCTCCTACTTGGAACGCGCCCAATATTACCTCCTGGTATCTGTGTATAAGACGTTGTGTAATGGGCACTGTATCGCCCTCTAGGGAGAAAATGGTCCTGCCCATTGAGAGCGCGCGTTGCGAGCGTTCAGAGCGCTTTTGACGCTTTTTTTCTTAGTAACAGTACTTTAAGCTGTACCGCAGATGCAGAATAGCTTAACGTACCCCCTTGGTGGCCACTTCTTGCGGTTCTGTATAAGAGCGGCGCTATTGTTACCGACCTCCTCAGCGGCACAAGGTTGCGGTGGAGAGAGATGCGGTTTGAAGTGCAATCGTTTTTTCCAAGACAAGATAGAGGGGGTACGTGAAGAGTGATATACACCAGGATTTGCTGAAGATTGCGCCTCTAAACGACTTTTTGGAAAAGAGTCAAAGAAACCACTGGCAAAATTGGGGGAGAGAATTGATTTACATGAAGCTGTCGAAAAGAAGAGGCAAGCTTGTCGCGCATGGATTTCATTGTGAAATTGTAATTGTGTCACTTGTCACGGTTATGCTTCAAGTCAGCGTCAAGGTCAGCGTCAAGGTCAGCGTCAAGGTCAGCGTCAAGGTCAGCGTCAAGGTCAGCGCCAGGGTAGGGGTCAGGGTCGAGCAAAAGCTTGCAAGTGAAAGTTAAAAAGCCTAAGTCAATGGCAATTGCGTTGTTTCTATAACTTCAATCAAACTTTCTACAAAAGCCAAATTTCTGATTATCAATTAATTACGCTTTCAGCTATTAACGTTGATGCTAATGCCGTAAATGATCACCTGTATCACGTCGACTCTTTCGCTAGTGTGAGCCTGCAACCTTGCAACTACAAAAGCACCGTTCTGGGGTTGGCACGTTGCGCTGTTACACGGGACGACGCGTTAAAGAAAAAAAATAGACGCGAAAAAAAAGCCTACAATACCAGTGCATTGTTCGGCCCGAACAAGAATCATTAGAAGGCCATAAAAATTCCAGTAAGCTCTCAGTTTCGGCTCCAGATAGCGCTTGAAAATTCGGAGCCGGCTTAGAATGTACACGCCGATTTACAACTCGCCGTTTCCCTCGCTAAATCCGAGAGTTCGTTATAAAACAGCGCTCGAAAGGGCCGGCTTTGATGTGGCCTACAATGGACAGCAACCCGACGTGTTGACTGGTGAAGGTGGACGATCAAGAGCTCGTAGTGGTAAAGACGGCTGGCTGTCAAAATTGGGGTTCAAATCTGGTGATACTGCGAGTGTGAGCGGTGCCAGTGCGCCTGCGCCTGTTCGTTCTCCGATAAGTTTTGAAGGGCGTCGACATGAAGATCTTCACCAACAGCAACAACCAAAACCAGCCATTTCTCATCACAGCCCACAGCAGGGCCCCAAAGTTTTGCCATTTGAAAGGGGACCAACTTCGACAGCGGCCGCAACGCATGCTGCTTCAGGATCGGTTCAAACCAGAGAACCTTCGGTTTTTGATTTTGAGAGTAATCCTTACTCAAGGTCGGGACAGCCAACTCAGACCCATCAATCATATCCTCGTCAGCCGGACTACGAGCTGCCCGCAAGAGTCTCGCCTCCCGACTCTCGGTCTGCCAGCGAACTTAACCCAGTTGAGCAAAGTTTTCTACAGCTTACTCAGAGCACAGATTCCCTGAGAGACTCTGATAGTGATAGTGAAGCTCGTGCGAGGCATTCCGATGCGTTTTCTAGACCTCTGGTAGAAAATGCGCCTGAGCATAGCCCTAAAAGAGCTCATAACTCTCACATCAGTAACAGTGTTGAAAATACGCCTTTTGCGAACCGCGAAAGCGATGCCAGCCTCAGTTTCACACCTGTACCGGAGCTAGAGGTGTCTTTCTCACCACCAAGACCAACTCTAGCGCAGGATCCGTCTAGTGATCAAAGCAGCCGAGCCTCACCCGAGCTTTTGGACTCACGTCAAGCTTTGAGCGATAGTTCCGTGAGTGCAGGAGAAAGCGACTACTTAGGGAAGTCAAAGGGTTTCTTGAATACGATGAACGCATCTCATGTTGCTGGTTACGGAGAAGGACCAAGGCATAGAAAGTCGGCATCTGAGATGTCGGACGAAGAAGAGGAAGAGGAGGAAGATCCGGTTTCGACATTGAAATCATCTTTACAAGTTGAACGATTGCTTGCTCAATTAAATGATGTCTCTTTAAGTCGCAACTTGTCAATCGACAAGCAGACGCGCTTGGCTGGGACTTCCAGCAACCATATCAAGAAATCGAGTGCTTACCTTTCGGGGTTTATTCCTCAAAACAATAGCAGCATCGACGCTCAGACTCTAGTAGTAGACAATTCTCATATTTCCTTTGAAAGGAATAACAATTTGTCCCCAATGTCTGACGGGACTCCAAAATTTTATCATTTCAAGCAAGTTCCACACTCGCCTCAAACAGGCGAAAAATCCAACGTATTAGCTGGCCTTGCGAATAGTGAAGATGCCAACAATTTTGAGCACAGCATCAGACCTTCATCCAAACTGCTGCAGCCATTGCAAACGCCGAAGCTTGAGCGCACGCAACTCACACGGGCAAACACCGAAGAACCACTCAATTCTTCAGAGCCCGCAAAATCGAGCAATTCACATGTTTCACATTCTGGCGATCAATTACGGGATTCAAGCGAGACAACATGGAATTCTCAACACTCAGGTCCTGCCCCTGAGAACCCCACTCAAGAAATTAAGTTTAGGCACAAACCAGGAGAGGGCCCTTGCAGGACATGTGGGAAAGAAATCGTAACTAAACGAGTTTTTTCAAAGAAAGACGGTGAACTGTCAGGTCAATGGCACAGGGAATGCTTCCAATGCACCTGTTGCGACCTCCACTTCTCGAAAAAAGTCGCATGCTACATTCTGGATGATATGCCCTATTGTCAGTCACATTTCCACCAGACCAACAACAGCATATGCACCGTGTGTAACGGATTCATCGAGGGCGAGTGTCTAGAGAACGACAGATCCGAAAGGTTTCACATTGATTGTCTCAAATGTTTCAAATGCGGAGTTTTCATCAAAGAAGACTACTTTTTGTTGAACGATGAGTTGCCTATCTGCGGTCAGCACGACATGGAACAAATCAAACAAGACTATCTTTCCAGCGACAATCTTGGCCGTTCCAATACCATTGCGAAGAGAAGGACCAGACTGATAAACTTCCTCTGATAGATGGTCTAAAATCAAGTCCGCGATCGTCATAAAAAAGTGGTCTTTCTCACACGGGCCGACGATATTTGCCTTCGATTGAAATACGGGGTTATAAAATATCTCAAGGTCAAAATTGTCGTAAAAACTCGGTTAAAATTACACAGAAAAGGATTTTTGAGCCACAATTTTAATGGCTCATATACGGTTATCGCCAAGGGTTGGCATTCCACTTCGATTTATATACCAAACTGTCTAATATGTCGATTTTCTCACTCTTAATGTCACTGTCACTGCCATTTTTACCAGGTTTGTCAATCTATACGCGAAACTAGGTCTGCGAAAATTCCAACATCATGATTGAAAAACAAAACAAGGAGCTATCCAGTAGTTAGTGGCAATAGCTATAAAACACGGAGAAGAGGTTGCCATATATATCAGACAGGAGCTAAGGGGACAGCAGCAGTCGGGTACAAGAAGTGAAACGAAAGAGAGCGACATTAGACGCAGTCTTAGAGGAAATTAAAGCCGTTTTTTGTCGCGATTGTCAAAACTGAAGGTCAACCTCAAAAGTCAAGGGAAAGGGCAAATAAAGTGGAAGCGACCGATAGATTGTAGATTCAGGGGCGGAGAATGACAGAAACGCCGAAAAAAGAACGCAGCAAGCGAGTTTCCATTGAACTCACCGGTGAATTGCTGGACGCGGGCCCCAAATCGCCGCAAACGCCGTCTCCGCCTAGTAATAGAGGAAGACGGTCTTCTACGTCACTGGGATTTTTAGCATCGCCATTAGGGAAAGACAACCGGAATGTTGGTATCGGTGGTGGTGGCAATGACCGAATTACTCTTCCTAAATCACCGAGTGCCAGGTCACGCCTTTTGCCTCCCGTGACACCCAAATCGCGGAGTTCAGAGGTATTTCTTTCGCCGTCACCCAAGCTGAAGTCGCCGGGGGTTACAAAGGACAGCGAGAAGCCGATTCGCGAAATATCGAACAATCTTAAGACCAGACTTAATTACGCTTTTGTCAAGCTGCAGCACGGTTGGACTGATAAAAGCTTAGTAGAACTCGAATCCGAGTTCGAGAAAACTGCAGGTCAACAGCCCCAAGAAGGTAAACGATTGTCGCAGCCCAGCTCTCTAGATGCCGCCACGGCTGGAGGGCCCTCAAAAGAGGAACTTCTGTCCGGTTCGTCGAACTATAGCAATGCATTCATGAAACAGGACGAGGATGACAGCAACTCAGCCCACGTCGCATTGCTGAACGCTCTTTCAAGTCCTAAACGGAAACGTCCGCCCTCTCCGGGTTCTTCAACTTTTTGGGCAAATAGGTCACGTCACTTGGCTCCAATATCCACATCTGCGCCAGCGAAAGACAATTCCAAAAATGGCGGCCAACCTTCTGAAGCGGAAGCCATTGAAACGCTCATGTCTCTAGCGTCGCCCAAGAAGAAATCGCATCAAGAAATCAGCACAGACTTTTCACTTCCGGCACCTCCGACGCTGTCGAAAGATTTGGACCAGCCAAAGATGGCATATTCGTCAAGGTCTTCGTCAGCATCGTCATTACAAAACACTCTATCGAAACCCTTTCTTTTATCGAACGAATCCGGCCAAAAGGCGAGTGCGCTCTTAGACGTCGAGACGGATGTTGAAGAACAGAATGACGACGAGAACGAGATTTGAGACTACTTTTGCACTTGTAAACCTCGGATGGCCGCATCTTGAAGAAGGAACCATAAAGATTTGTAACACTAATTTAGGCTAATTAGGCATTATTGTAATATTAATTTCGAATGTTAAGCAAAATGTGAGAGTACACATACCAGACTTAAATAGTATGCCAACACCTGGACAGTCTGCACCCATGACCTTACAAGCCAAATTAAAATCGTCCTACTTTGCTCATTCTGATTATACATTATGTTTTGAAAAGAGACCACTCACAATAATTAAAGTAATACCGAATAAATTCAAATAAAAATCAATTATCGCGCGTAACATATGTACGAGGATTTGGAGGTTGATAGGCCCATATTTCTTTCGAAAATGTTAATTCTACGTCTCTAGTTCGATTATCGTATGCTGACGAAGCTCATGGCACGGCTGATTTTGATGATCTCCAATCAAGCAAACCGCATGACTGTCATTAAAAAGGGCCCCGTATAAATAAGGAACTAAAATATATTACCTTTCGAGAAGGTTGAGATTGTTTCAGCCTTGACAGCTCAAAACATTCAAGTTTCCCCTGATACTCTATCTTTTACATAAGGGTCTGCAATAGCTTCTGCCATCATCACTGGCATGTCAACCATTTATAAGAAGGAAACGAAAACCGGAAAAGCGATTTTCCCAAGAAGCGATAGAAACTCGACTCTGGATTTTACAAGAGATCGTTTGGAAATTGTTTACGATGTTTTCACTGCTAGAGATGGTAATCAACAGCAAGACGGTGCTCCATGCATAAATTTGGTCTTCCTGCATCCCAGTGGTATGAGTCGAGTGATATGGGAAGATTACCTTCAAGATTTCTTCCAACATTCAACAAGCTGGACCGTGGGCAAAATCATTTTGCTAGATCAGGTTAACCACGGCGACTCTGGTGTCATCAATAAAAACAAACTGGGTTCCATCTACGACTGGAGCGACGGGTCCAGAGATGTATGCGAGATAGCCTCTAAAGAACTATTTTCTCAAAATGGTGATAATAATGGTTTTAATATTGTCATTGGTCATTCAATGGGAGGATTTCAAGCTCTGGGCTGCGGGGTATTATATCCCGGGCTATTTGATCTAATTATATGCATAGAACCAGTCGTTCTGATGAAAAATATCCATAATCCTGAGAACGTAACTAAGATTCCAATAGCATTCCATGATGGGTTATGGTCTAAGATGACCGACCAATTTAACGATTTAAATCACTTCGAAAAGTTCCTTTGCAAAGGCAGCTTTTATGTCACAGCGCAAGAGAATGTCCGCGACAGAATATCAGATTTCGAGAAAATGACATTAGAAAATGGCACTATTAAAACTAAAATGGACAAATATCAGCATATGATCACGTACCTTTGCCTTCGACCCTATGCGAGCTGGTTGATGGGAAATCTTAGGTTCCTGACACCGGCTGTTGTTTGTCTTTACGGTGAAAAATCGAAGTGGTGTCCTAAAGAAAACCGCGAGCTTCTGAAGAGGGAAATAAAGAATTATAAAGAGGAAGATTTAGTCGGAGCTGATCACCTTGTCACAATTGAAAATCCAGAATTGCTTTCTGCCAAGCTTTGTGAACATATTAAACAATTTTTGAAAGAAACTCCAAGGAAACAGCAGAGGCCTTTGACGGCGGAAGACAGACTCAAAAGATTCAAGTATCTTTACGCAGACCTTCTAAAACAACGAGTTGGACGCGGATTTCCTAAAGTTTAGTACATATTATTGATTCCTTACTTGTGCCTTCCTTAAAAAGCGCGCCATTACTCATTATACAGTCGCCTTGCACGTTAGTGAAGGTGTTAAGTTATGCAGATATGAGAAGTGTAAAAACTTCATTGACCTCTTGCCAGCCTTCAGTCCTTAAACTTGTAGGAACCTGTGGCCATAGTAATAGTTCCTCCTCTGTAAGAGCCTCTTTTCATTTTGTTCTTGTTTTTGGTGAAGTCTCTGCCTCTCACCGCACCTAGCTTCTCATTGGCCATTTCACCCCACGTACCGGCAACGCCCTTGTAGGTATTGTCCGTCAAAGCACGATTTTCAAATGAAATCTTGGATCTATCAACTCTGGAAAAATGTTTACGCTGTCCTGGTTTCAACTCGTCCTCTCCCGCCGAGATTGATTCCTCCTCGTCATTGTATATAGAAGGGGATTCTGGCGATGCCGTCTTGGATGAAGAGGAGCTCTCGTCGTTTTTGCTCACTTGCTTAACATCGACGGAAGCATTATTTCCAGCGGCAGGCTTGTTACCTTCTTCGCTTGCTGATTCGGACTCTGAGGTTGAGTCGGAGCTAGAATCGGAATCCGAACTAGACTCAGAATCTGCACTGGCCTCAGAACTCGAGCTTGAGCTGGAGCTGGAGCTTGACTCGGAATCAGAGCTAGAGCTTGAGTTGGGACTTGAGCTGGAGCTGGAACTTGAGCTGGAGCTGGAACTTGAGCTAGAGCTGGAGCTCGAGTTCGAGTCAGAATCTGAGCCGGAATCTGATTCAGAGCCAGAACTAGACTCAGAATCAGAACTAGACTCAGAACTCGAGCTGGGGCTGGAGCTGGAGCTGGAGCTGGAGCTGGAGCTGGAGGAGTCGGAGTCGGAATCAGAGCTACGTTCTGAACCAGAGCTCGAACTGTCGCTCGAGCCGGAGTCGGAGCTCGAGCTCGAATCTTCAGAACCAGACTTCGAGCTAGAGTTAGAACTCGAACCAGAGCCGGAAGACGAGCTTGAAGCGTCAGACTCTGAACCAGAGTCGTCGCTCGACGAGCTGCTGGAGGAGCTGCTCGATGGATCTGCCTTAGAACCAGAGACGATCTTGCGTTTTTTTGAAGCAGGTGCCTCTTTTGAAGATATCTTACGTTTCTTGGCTGCTGTTTCGTCCTCAGACTCAGAATCAGAACTGGAGTCTGAAGAGCTCGACGACGACGACGACGACGAAGAAGAGGAAGAAGAGCTGGGAGACGATGAAGAGGAATCGGAGGAAGACTCCGAGCTTGATTCAGAAGAGCTCGAAGATTCAGAAGAGCTGCTGCTGCTGCTGCTGCTACTGTCGCTTGAGGTGCTCAATTCGGCCTCTTTTGCCTTCTCGGAAAGTTTAGGAACATCTGCTTTCTTCACCTGACCTGACTTTTTAGATCCCATTGCTCAAGTAACAACAACTACCCGTCAGAGTCGCGGATTCTCCCGGTGACTTAACTATCAGGTTCGGTTTCTTGATGATCATCGAAGCCTGGTAAAAATTTGTTGAAATGAAAACTTTGTAACTCTGAACGGCGTCACTATGATCATCTCATACCGAGTGAGTCGCAAGTGAGTACTCGTACAACATGTGTCGGATTAATTTGTCAAACTAATAAGAGATGACATTTGGTGGACATCTTCAAAATCGTCTTACTTATAGAGTTGCCAGCCTTGTTTGAGCCAACTGTGAGTTACCGGGAGTTCTTATTCATTATTAACTTAACAGAAATGGATAGTCATCAATATCAAACGCGGAGTAAGGGGAGATCGGTCTATGGGGCCGATATGGACTACTTTTCCGATGATTCCATCGCGACAGACAACTCGGATTATGGGGACGGGATGATGGATGACGATGACAACTTTGGCCAGGATCGGAGTTATGCAAATGGTAAAAATAAGAAGCCAATGAAAAAGAATGTAAACAGGGCGAAAAAATCGTCGAATGAAACTCTGAACAAGCTCGCAGCTAAGGACCAAAATTTCTTGCAGGACGTTCACACGGATGCACCTAAAGATTTCGTGCCCGACGTCGTTTCTGGTCTTTTCAGAAGAAGCGACTTCAGCTATCTGAAGCTAAAGCCTGATCATGCTTCCAGGCCTCTTTGGATCTCACCCAACGATGGTCGAATAATATTAGAGAGTTTTTCGCCGCTGGCAGAGCAAGCACAAGATTTTTTGGTCACCATTGCTGAGCCTGTTAGTAGGCCGTCTCATATTCACGAATACAGGATCACTGCGTACTCACTATACGCAGCGGTGTCTGTGGGACTCGAAACCGACGATATCATCGCCGTTTTGGACAGACTTTCCAAGATACCCGTATCTCCTTCCATCGTGAACTTCATCAGGAGTGCCACCGTGTCGTACGGTAAGGTCAAACTTGTTATCAAGCACAATAGGTACTTTGTCGAGACTACGCAAGCAGACATTTTGCAGATGTTGCTAAAAGATCCTGTCATCAGTACCCTCAGAATTGATTCAGAGGCCCTTCCAACCGCTGCAGGAGTTACAAGTGCGAAATACGACTCCGAAATCAGCAGTGTCACAAGTAAGAAGAACACCGTTGACCCCAATGACACGGAGGCTCTCTTCACTTCTGTTGTAGGCGAGCAAAGCTTGGAAGACGACAATGACGATATGGATGTGGTTCATTCCTTTGAAATAGCGAACGAATCCGTCGAAATTGTCAAGAAAAGGTGTCAAGAAATAGATTATCCCGTTTTGGAAGAGTACGATTTTCGTAATGATTATCGCAACCCAGACTTGCCTATCGATCTTAAGCCATCAACTCAGATTCGGCCGTATCAAGAAAAATCTTTGAGTAAAATGTTTGGTAATGGTCGCGCCAGAAGTGGTATCATCGTGCTCCCTTGTGGTGCCGGTAAGACTTTAGTCGGAATCACTGCAGCGTGCACCATTAAAAAATCTGTCATCGTCCTGTGTACATCGTCAGTTTCTGTTATGCAGTGGAGGCAACAGTTTCTGCAATGGTGCACACTTCAACCAGAAAATGTGGCAGTTTTCACTTCTGATAACAAAGAAATGTTTCAGACAGATTCGGGCCTTGTAGTTTCGACTTATTCTATGGTTGCAAACACTAGAAATAGGTCGCATGATTCGCAAAAGGTCATGGACTTTTTGACCGGACGAGAATGGGGGTTTATTATTCTAGATGAAGTGCATGTGGTTCCTGCAGCCATGTTCAGAAGAGTTGTTACCACGATTGCAGCCCATGCTAAACTTGGTTTAACTGCAACCCTAGTGCGTGAAGATGACAAAATTAGTGATTTAAACTTTCTGATAGGACCGAAGCTGTATGAAGCAAATTGGATGGAGCTCTCCCAAAAGGGTCACATTGCCAATGTTCAGTGTGCTGAGGTATGGTGTCCAATGACTGCCGAGTTCTATCAAGAATACCTGAGAGAGAGCGCAAGGAAGCGGATGCTACTTTACATCATGAATCCCACCAAGTTTCAAGCTTGCCAATTTTTGATTCAGTATCATGAGAAGCGTGGCGACAAAATCATCGTTTTTTCTGATAACGTCTGTGCTTTGCAGGAGTATGCGCTAAAGCTTGGAAAGCCGTTCATTTTTGGATCTACGCCTCAACAAGAGAGAATGAATATATTGCAAAACTTCCAGTTCAATGATCAAATCAATACCATTTTCTTGTCGAAGGTTGGTGATACCTCCATTGATCTTCCTGAAGCTACGTGCTTGATTCAAATTTCCTCTCATTATGGATCACGGCGGCAGGAAGCCCAGCGGTTAGGGCGTATTCTCAGAGCTAAAAGGCGTAACGATGAGGGATTCAACGCCTTTTTTTACTCACTGGTTTCCAAAGACACTCAAGAGATGTATTATTCTACTAAAAGGCAGGCATTTTTAGTTGATCAAGGTTATGCATTCAAAGTTATCACACATTTGCATGGGATGGAAAAGTTACCCAATTTGGCTTACGCTACGGCCAGGGAACGGCGAGAGCTACTTCAAGAGGTGCTTCTCAAGAACGAAGAGGCTGCGGGTCTTGAAGTGGGCGACGATGCCGAGAATACAATTGGACGTGGTTTAAATACTAATAAAAAGATAAAATCCAAAGCAGTTCGTGGCGAAGGCTCACTTTCTGGTTTGGCAGGTGGTGAAGATATGGCTTACTTGGAATATTCTTCGAACAGAAACAAAGAGTTGAGAGAGCACCACCCTCTTATCCGGAAAATGTACTACAAAAACGCTAAAAAATGATAAAGTTCAATAACCACCTGAAGGCATATAATACATAAGGTATATCCAACCCATTAATAATGAAAAGAGAAATGAGTTCCATTTCGAGCTTTCAAATTCTGCCACGCCAGGAACTTGTTAGGCCTCCTTGTTTGCCTGAGAGCTTTGTAGTTGTTTTAATTCCTGCAACGCCAAGCTTTCTACCCGCTCAATAGCACCTTGAGCGCTTATTTTAAAGTTACTCACAAACTCTATGAGATGGATGATTTTGGAGCATAATATCCCCTTTTCCCTATTAATATTCATTTTCAACTCCTCATAACGTAATTGAGTTTCCTGTACTTTTTCATCGGCCAGCGATAATTTCCGTTGAGATGTTAAACGCCCATTTTGGTTTCTTCTTTCAAGTTTCTCCATCTCGATTTTCTGAGAAAGTAGCAGACTTTGACTCTCTTGGTTATACTCCTCCAATTCTGTCCTGACAATAGAAAGCTCGTTTTCAAGCAGCTCCAAAGCATGATTTTTCCCACTAATCTCCTCTTTAATGTTTTCCAACTCGGATTCTTGGCTTATAATCTCCCGTTGGACTTTATGAATACGCTCTTGAATTTCTGTGTTAACTGTCAAAAGAAGAGATTTTATCGAACTTACATTTCGTTCTGGTGAAAGCAGATCATCTGGATCGGAGCCGATTTTCTCCTCCCGCATCAAATCTTCTGGGATGGAGAGCTCAAATTTGCTACCGTCTAGCATATGATTGAACTTATTTCTCGCCGTGCAGAGGCTGTCAACAGCTCCATTATACTGCTCAAGAGTGCTAAGAAGCGCTTTGTAAGCCGATTCCGTTTCCACGCGGCTGCTTTTGAGAGCACTTACAGTCTGATCAAGCTTTGAGGACACTTCGTCGAGGTCCTTTGTGATTTGATCTCTTTCTTGGTTTTTATGATCAATCTCAGAGACGCTCACATGCATTTCTTTCAATGCAGACCGAAGTCGTCCTATTTCAACCTCGGTTTCTTTTATAGATATTTCTTTCTTCTGCTTCTCTGCTTTCATCTTCTCTAGCTTCCTTGGCCATTCGGAGCTTTTATGTTGCATGGCATTAATATAGTTTTGGAACTTAGTGAGATCGCTTTTCAAAGCATCAGATTTGTCTCTGGCTATTTTAAGGTCGTGTCCCTTTTCCATTAACTTCTGATATCGCAGTGACAACTCTTTGTTCGTGGCTTCGATATGACTCATATCGGTTCGGATAATGTGTGAGAATTTAGTGAAGCCTGCTTCTAACTCTTGCATGTAGGGCCCGAAATCGTCTTCCAAGCGCAGGAAGCTTTTGTAGGATTGAAGAATATAGTCAATAAAGAGCCGTTCAACCATTAGTTCATATTTCTCAAGCTTATCATCCTGATCATCGAGGGTTGTCATTGGTTGTTTCAGGACTGTCAGTTCCTGGGTGTTTTGACTGGTTATGGATAAGTCTAGCTTTTGAAGACAAGAATCGAGTCGTTTATTGGTTACAACGAGCCAATGCAACATCCCTAGAAATTTGGGCCAGCTTGTTCCGCCAACAGCAGAAATTTGGGACTTGTTGATCGTCTCTAGGTATGGATATTGCACGAGTCTTAAAATTGTGTACACTTCATTCTCGATCGATTTGGTAAACCTAAATCCGGGATCCATTCGCAGATATAGCCATTTGAACATAATAATGAAATCTTTCTGGGTCGGTTGCCGCAAGGATTTCAGCGATATCGCGTGATTGGTCTCAATGTCGAATTTGCAATAGCTCAAATAATCGTAAATCTCTTGTTGTAACGCCAACTGGAACGTTTTGTCTCGAAGCGGTCGTGGATCCCGATTGTTCGTTCCGCTTGTAGGCGTACCTGAACCCACAGCGTTACCAGTTTGGTTCTGTGAACCCAAAAGTAATGTTCTCTGCGACGTTCGTAGGCTTTTCCTCTCACTCAAAAGACTTTTACGCGTCTCTGTGTGTGCTCTTCGGTTTAACTCAGGTTTGCCTCGGGCCATGCTTCTGTGTATCATATCGGTAAGCCCTGCCCCACCGATGGCTGATTCTGTGCTGTTACGTCTTCTACCGCCCATAGCAGTCGGAATCTGGGACGAAAACCGCCCACCATTTAGGTTCTTATGTACAGAATTTTCCTGACCATTCAAGTGCCGGTTTTTGGGATCTTCCATCCCCAAATTTCCCTGTATTTCGTCTTATATATGCGTTTTGTTTACATGAAGATCAGAAGTCATTAACCTGGTCATGATATCAGAAACCAGGATCTATGGCTACGTATAAAGGTATATATCCTAATTTCACCTTTAAGCAAGAATTCGACGTGAATTTAATTACGGTTAAGGCGTTTTCCAGCTCTACTGGCTCATTTCAGAGCCTCAAATGCTCTGCTGAGCATGCTCTATATGGATATCCTTTAATTTCTTGGTTTATTGGCTTCGTTTCGAGATTGACATGAGAACAATGGCGATGAGTGAAAAATTCGAGCTTTACGATATACTAGAACAAGGATTTTAAAGAAGCAATTGTAGACAGAAGCGGCCGCTGATGAAGGTTTTCCACGCGGTAAATGAAATAGTGGAGTGGCGAAAAGCCCAGGTAGGAGTTTTCCACAAGAAAATCGGGTTTGTGCCGACCATGGGGTGTCTTCACGAGGGCCATTTGGAATTGGTGAGAAAATGTAAAACAAACAACGACGTGACAGTGGTGTCGATTTTCGTAAATCCGTCGCAATTTGCGCCAACAGAGGATTTGGATAAGTACCCACGGACCCTCGAGCAGGACCTGTCGGTTTTGGAAGCGGCGGGCGTCGATGCCTGTTTCGCGCCGTCGCCAAGAGAAATGTATCCACAAGGAATTTCGCTGGAAATCGACCAGCAACGGGGCCCTTTCGTCACGGTACTCGGCGTGAGCGAGCAATTGGAAGGGCGCACCAGACCCAATTTTTTCCGCGGCGTGGCCACGGTCGTCACGAAACTGTTGAACATCGTGTCGCCCGCTGTCGCGTATTTTGGCCAGAAGGACATCCAGCAATTTATTGTGCTCAAGGTCATGACCGAAGAGCTATTCATGAATACCCAGATCGAAATGCTGCCCATTGTGCGCGACGCCCGAGGTTTGGCCCTCAGCAGCCGCAACCGGTATCTCTGTGACGAATCGCGTGCTGTTTCGACCGCGATCTACCGCGGACTGAACGCCGCGGCTGCTAAAGTCGCAGAAGCAGCACAGACCGACGGCCAGATCGAGCGGGAAACCGTGATACAGGCCGCAATGGCATGCTGGCAACCGCTCGTCGAATCACGTGACTTCCACATTGATTACGTTTCTGTTGCAGAAGGCAACAACCTGACAGAAATGGACCCAGTCACGACACAAGCCGCCGACGTGGTGATCAGCTGTGCGATCTTCGTGACTGACCGACACGATCCCGCGACTGTGGTGCGTCTGATAGACAACGTGATTGTGCCACGATGTATGTGATCACTTTGTACGTCTTCCCAGCGCCATGGAAAGTGCAGCCCTTTTCCCCGGCTCTGGACTGTTGCTACTAAAACTCAATCCAATTGGGCCAAGTCTTGCACTTGAGCTGCTAAAGGTTACCCAATTTATGCTCTGTAGACGTACAACGCATCACGTGACATGCCCTCTTCTCGCAATCGTGTTCTACGAAACTCAAAAACCCACACCTTTCACTCGACACCTCACTGCTCACCAATTTGTCCTCCAATCTATAAACCACTGTCCCCAGTGCTTCCAGCCGTTCTTATGAAAACTGGCCATCAATGGTTCACCTCCAACTACGAAATGCACCGACTAGCATAAGAATCGGACTCCGAAAGTCCGATTTTCGGACTCTTCTTCCGCACGGGGAGCTCGTCTCGGCTTCCCGACGGAATTCATCCAGAGCTGTATTTCGGGTACCATCCTAGGCTGGGTAACCCTTATCCAGGAAACCCACATAGTATTCGCGTGCGCCGTCACGTTCATTCGTCTATTACTCGCGTGAAAAAAATAGGCGACCCGCCAGCAACCCGCGTCCTTTAACACTGGATACCCTTTCAAGAACCGAAACGCGTAAAGAAAATTTCTGGCGTCAAAAATTCAAATATTTAACATACATGATCCAGACCAACCGCTCCCCGGTTCGAACTACTCAGCTGACACACAATGATAGCGGTCCAAGAGTCTTATCAGATTGAAGAGCTTTCCGACGAAACCTCAGATTTGGAAGGTGAGACTCTCACCCCAGAGCCACGTGTCTCAAACCCAGTAGATGCGGCAGATGGCTCCTCCATTCCTATTACACCTACTAGACAACTTAAAGTAACTGGATGGATGGATCGATCAGCCCTTCGCCGCCACTTCGATGTTACAGAGGTGGATGGACTAAAGATTGCCTCTTGTGTTCATTGCAAACGCGAATTCAAGGAAGCGAGGTCCACAGGAAACCTTTCAAAACACGTAAAGAACGTTCATCCTCTAGCATACCAAAACGGTCGAAAAGAAGAAGAAAAATCTAGGAGTCTCAGCCAATTAGGAGTCAAGTGTCGTTCCTTGCCACCGCCAGCTGCAATAACCGCAGAATGGAAGCATAGCCCTGGCGATTTTGGTATTCTGTTGCTTTTGACGGAAAAGTTAGTCCCGTTCTCCTTCTTCGAAGGCAAAAGCTGGAACGTCATTAGCGAAGCCTGCTCTGGTATTAAATTGATAAAATCTCGTCCAGCGATCATTGACAGGCTATCGAACTATACCAATCTCTTCAATACTGCACTTAAAAAAGTATTGAGTAAAACTGACTTCATTAACATTGAACTGGATATCTGGTCCGGCGGGAATGGAAGATCATATCTTGCTGTAGCCGCAACATTTGCTCCCAATCTTATAAATGATGCTATGCTGACTGATGTTGGCAGCAGCAAGGCTCTTCTTAATAACCATTACGCTCCGTACAACACCCGCATCCTAGGTTTCATTGATGTTAGCGACACACCACACACCGGGGAAAATCTTTTCAAGGAAGTTCGGGATGTGATGAAAGATTATGAAATAGATGATCGAGTTGCAACAATTACTTGTGATAATGCCACAAACAACATATGCATGCATTCCCACCTTGTCCATGACCATTTCAAGAAATGCAAATCCAAGACGTTCGATCGTCTGGGAAACTTCCATATTTTCCGGTGTGGAAACCATATTTTGAACATTCTTTTCCAAGATGTAGTGAAAAACCTGAAAGCAAACACAAAGTTTAGCTTGGCACTGGCGCGTATCACACGGTTGGCTCACAAGATGAAGCACACTTCTGTTTTGAGGTCTTCATTAATGAAAGCTTCAATCCCGTTGGTGCCTGCTGCATCGGAAACACGGTGGTTGTATATCTGGAAGCAAGTAACCACTTTTCTGAAATATCGCCAGCAGTATCTGACGTGGTTCAATACTTTAAAAAGTCACCACAGAACATTTCTGCTGCTTCAAAAATCGAAAAGTGTTTCGAGCAAACCCCTGAGGAAGTCCATCTTTTGCAGTACTTTGTCGATTGTTGCTCAATCTTCAAAGTGTTGAATGACACTCTGCAAGAAGTTTCGTTTAATCATCTCTCTAATGCGGTACCTTTCTATTACACACTTCTGGAATATTATGACTTATGCGGTGATGCCCATACGGAGACTATAGAGCTACCGACAGAAGGAGCATTTGATTTCACCTTTATCAATGGAACTCAAAACCCGCCGTTAGATATGAAGAAAACGGTACTTGATGCTGTCCTTTCTACTCGAAACAAATTTACAACTTATTTCCAGTACTTCACGGAAAACGATCTGTATTTTGTCGCTGCATTCTTGGATCCTTCGTCCAAACATCAGTGCTTCAACACCCTTATGACGGAGGACGAGGCTCAATTTCGACTAAGCAAAGTGGAAAGGTATTTGAAGTCTTACCTCAAGAAGTCCGAACCGCGAAAGGTCGTTACATCAACTGAACTTGCCAAAAGATCTGTTAGAGGCACGCGCCATCGAGTCAGCAAATTACCCACAATTAACCGGCGCGAAAAGCATTCACGTAATGCAGAGGCTTCTATGTGCAATCAGGCAGTCAGTGAGTGGGACAAATATAAAGCAGAAGAGCAACATACCTTGGACTTCAAAGAGGATCTGATACAATGGTGGTACGAACGCCGTGGCGCATATCCCAATTTATTCAGGCTTGCGGTGGCCCTTCTATACACAAAATTTAGCACAAGCGGTCTGGAGAGAGCATTTTCTATCAGCGGGAAAGTTCTTCGTAAAGAAAGAAGAAGTATGAGCAGTCTAAATTTTAACAGGTTGCTAGTTCTTAGAAATCGCTTCAAGGGCTGGGGCCTCCTCGACCAGAAATTAACACTCAATTTCCAAGATTCTGATGAGGATGATGACTATATAGAATGCTACTCTCAATCAGATGACGACGATCTCGAGTTTCAATAGTTAAAGCTAGCATATCAATCTAATTCAACACTACTTAGGTAAGATCAATGCTTTTCTCTCGATTTACGGACGCTTTGTTGAACTAACAAGTTGTTTATCCGCGTTCCATCCGAACGATGCATTCGAAATATCCTTAAATGAGTTGAAAATATTAAAATATATACCCAAGAATTACTCGATCCGTACATGGCTACTACCCGTTTACTACCCGCTCTCGGGTATCCGGGTAGTTATTTTGTAATCCGGGTCAACCCGAAATACAGCTCTGAATTCATCGAAGCCATAACAATCTACGAGGCCGACGCATCGCAATTGTTGCCCTAGAGTCGCTTATAATTCTGCTACTAAATCTCATATCGTGCCTCGGGATCTTGGCTGCAATTAGCACTCAAATACCCGTACCACTGATAACAGACAATCTTATACGGCGAACGACTTATCTTAGATTTCTGATATCATCACTACAGAATGAGGCAACGTGAAGAATCTCGTATTCGCGCTTAGATAGCGAAGTATGCAATGAGTTATACAGATAAAGAAGCGATTCGAGATGCGTAATTGACACTGAAAGCCCATGGAAGTCGCTTGCATAAATAAGATATATAAGTGTTGAGAGCGCATGCTAAAAGACTCGGGACTTTCGACGCAGCAAGGGCATGAGATGATGAGACATATAAACTCTTCCAGCAGCTCAAAAGATATAGATAAAGTGACGCACAATGCGTCGAAAGTCGACGTACAGGTGGGAAATGTGAGTGAGGGCCATATGAATACCCTGCGGTCGATAACGTCGGCGCACGGGGCGCCTATCAGATTCGTGGATGCCAAGAGTGCGACTTCGGACCAGCAAGTGCTGGCAGAAATAGGTTACAAGGAAGAGCTCAGAAGAGAATTTTCGACAGTGCAGATTTTCGGTGTCGCGTTCTCTATCATGGGTCTTTTACCGTCGATTGCGTCGACAATGGACGGTGGGCTTAGCGCCGGGCCCGTGGGGCTCAACTGGGGGTGGTTTGTCGGTGGTGGACTGATTTTGACCATCGGCATTGCGCTTGCCGAAATTTCGTCTTCCATGCCCACTGCCGGTGCCGTTTATGTGTCGTGCTACCAATGGGCGCCCCAACGCGTGAGAAAATGCATCAGTTACTCCGTCGGGTTTCTCGACACACTTTCGCTGTCAGCGTCAGTCTGTTCTATTGTCTACGGACTTGCGCAGCAGATTCTATCTGCCGTGGTGGTCACGAATCCTGATTTTAATGTCACCAACGGCATCACCTATGGTGTCTTTGCCGCGTGCATCGTGAGCATGGGTCTGTTGACATCTTTGGCCTCGAAATTCAGCTCCAAATTGCAAACTTTCTCCATTGTCGCCAACTGTTTCCTGATCATCTTGTTCTTCATCGTGTTACCCATCGGCGTGTCGAGATCAGACAAGCTCGATCGCAAGTTCAACGACGGGAAGTTCATCTTTGGAAACTCCGAAAATCTCTCGGACTGGAACACCGGCTGGAACTGGTGTATTAGTGGTATGACGCCCGCTATCTGGACTATTGGTGCGTATGACTCCTGTGTGCACATGGCAGAGGAAGCACGCGATGCTGTGCGTGCTGTGCCTATCGGTATCGTGGGTTCCATCGCAAGCTGTTGGATTCTCGGGTGGCTCATCTGTATCGTGCTTCTAGCCTGCATGGACTCCGATATCAACAACATTGTGAACTCGGCATATGGTCAGGGTATCACGCAGGTGTTTTACGATGCGCTCGGAAAGCGCTGGACGCTAACGTTCCTAAGTCTCATCATTGTGTGTCAATTCCTAATGGGCGCTTCAACTGTTATCGCCAACTCTAGACAGTTCTGGGCGTTTGCTCGCGACGACGGTATTCCTTTCAGCAATTTCTTCAAGAAGGTTAGCGGTAGAGTCGCAGTGCCTATTCGTGCGGTTTGGGGTTCCTGTTTGTTGTCACTGGCCCTGGGATTGCTGTGTTTGGCCGGCGAAACTGCCGCAGATGCCCTTTTCAGTCTTTCCATTGCCGGCATGTACATGGCCCTCATTTTCCCCATCACCTTGAGACTCACATACGGAAGAAAAGACTTCAGACCGGGTCCCTTCTATTTAGGCGACATCTGGTCACCTATTGTTAACTGGGTAGCAGTCTTTTATCAGGCTTTTATCATTGTCATGGTCATGTTCCCCTCCCAACAGCACGGTACTACACCAGATACCATGAATTACACAGTTGTCATCGGCCCAGGCTTCTGGGTTTTGTCGCTGTGCTATTACTTCGTGTGGCAGCGCAAATTCTACCAGGGTCCAAAGTCAAACTTGACCGATGAAGAATATGAACAATACGTGGGCGAAGATGTCATTGATGCAATAATATCCAGCAACGCGCAACACAAATCGGAAAGATTGGCTTAGCGGAAGCGGGTCTCTGCTATTGTAAGCAATTTTCAGCAATACCAGTGGCTCCTAACTGAAATGGGCTTGGTAAAATATCTGCACTCCAACAAATTATCTCAAGCTGAGCACACTCAACTCGCCATTGACGTTTGACCGTGATGAGCTGCCATTCATAAATTTATATATATTGATATTCACTTTTTAATAACCTTAGTTTTCTAAAAGTTTTGGTAGGGACTGTTCTAACAAAAAAAAGATGCTGCATACAATGAGAATTACCGCCAGTAACACAACCCATGTCTAGAGCTCTTGATCGAAGCTCTTTCGACCATTCTGAGTGAAAATTTATGCTGAGCTCTGTAGTGACAATTTGACATAGATCAACACTGATGGACCAATTGTCACACATACCACGTGATCAACTATAACATAACACGTAGCTAAATGCTCAAGAACGCGGTAAATACTTATGAAATAGAAACCCTATTAGTAGCCATTTTCGCGTTCTAGGAGCGTCATGAGTCTTAAAGAGCTCTTTTGGAATGAGAAGCAGAAACTGAGTATGATGAACTTGGTTGTGACGGCTGTAATCGCGTTATTTTCAAGCTTGTTTGGAACTGTTTATCTGCTGTCGCATTCGCCTAGGAGGACATTCCTAGAAGAGTTAGAGTACACAACATGTGGTTCTGACGGTGTCATTGAGCATGGTAAGCTGCCTTTGGTAGTAGATGACCACAGTGCCCTTGAGGATATTGAACTTTCCGTGGTAGTGCCGAGCTATAACGAAACGGGCAGAATCCTGATAATGCTAAAAGAAGCAATTGAGTATTTGAGAAAGGAGCTCGAGGACAGATGGGAGATCTTGATTGTTGACGACGGCTCGAAAGACGGAACCGCAGACTTTTGCTTAAATTTGGCCGAAAGAGAGTTCAAATTGCAAGCTGGCCAATTACGTGTAGTTAAGCTCAGCAAGAACAGAGGTAAGGGTGGGGCCGTTAAACATGGGCTTTTGCACATTCGTGGGAGGTACGGACTTTTTGTAGATGCAGATGGTGCTAGTAAGTTTGCCGATGTGAGCAAGCTTCTGGAATCCGTCAAAAGCCATGAAAAGAGCAAGAAACCCGCACTAGCCATTGGATCTCGTGCCCACATGGTCAATTCGGAAGCTGTTGTCAAGAGATCTTTCATAAGAAATTTTTTGATGTATGCTTTGCACACTCTCGTTTTCATTTTTGGCATTAGATCTATCAAAGACACTCAATGTGGGTTTAAACTCTTTAACAGAGAAGCTATAGTTCAGATATACCCATTTCTTCACACAGAGGGTTGGATTTTTGATGTTGAAGTGCTTATCTTGGCGCTTAGAAAAGGCATCAAAGTCGACGAAGTACCCATTTCTTGGCATGAAGTTAGTGGTTCTAAAATGGATCTAGCGTGGGACAGTCTCATGATGGCCAAGGATTTGACTGTTATACGAATGGCTTATATGCTGGGGATCTACAGTGATAAAAGACCATGCTAGTATTCTAAATTTGGTCGAAGCATCAGAAAACGTGAAGTGCGGTAAAGTTCAAATCGCATTCATCAATCCCTGTAAATTATGTAGATTAAAAAATTAAGTGCCTCGGCATTTCAAGACATTATTCACGCTTTCTTCTGGCCTTCAAATATCTCGTAGGACAAAGATGTGAGCTTTCTTCGGATGATTGTCCCATTATTCAGAAACGTTCTTAAGATCGCAGCATAAGTCTTGGAATCTGTCGCGATATTCTCGAATGCCGACAGCAGTGAAGCAGTGTTGACTTCCAATTCAACCTCGTGGGTCGTTTCGGTGTGCCTTTGCTTAACGCCTTGGTTGTGGTTAGCTACTTTCGTGATATCCATTCTAGTGCATGAGTCATTGTGAATGTAACTTATACGATCCTTGGTTCTCGTGTTAACAGGCGTTTGGTTTTTGAACTTTTCAGGTGGATCGTTTTCGGGAACTGGCAATTCTAGATTTATGGAGATCTTAACGTCGTAACTGTCTTTGGGCGAATACAAAAGCAGCTGAGATATGTGTCTTTTCTCGATAAATTCTCCGACCCTATCTGTCTTGAGATCGCGACTCATACGCAGAAACCTCGGCCTTTGCGTAGAGAGTCCCACTCTGTACAGTGAGTCTACCGTATGGGATTCTATCATGTTGAATTTCCCGGTGTACTCGCTTAGTTCTGAAAGTCCCTTCACATATTTGTTCAATTCCTCAAAGACTCTCTGGTCAACATCAGGTGTAAGGTGACCGTCAATCTCGGTATAAACGCTTTGCGACGACACAGGCGGGTTAACTCTGTTGGAGTCGCTGCCCTCGACAATGATGCCGAATTTCATTTCCATTTCAATATACTGCCTCTGATCCGGCGGTATCGACACTATCGTAGCGTAAACCCAGTCCTGAACAGATTTGGTCAAGTCATCGTCAGGTATTATGTTGGTGAATGAGGCGTCAATTTTCAGATCTTGAGGATTGACATTTTGTAAAGCCTTCACAGTGGGGCGCCATTTTTGGGCCCAAACGGGTGCGACCTTGTATCTACTCGGTTTAGCTGTCACTGCAATCTCTTTGAGGAGATTGAGGTCTTTTTTGATTGCATTCCGTTTGGACTGCAAAGACGACTTCTCTTGAAATATGTCATGAATTTCGGCAGCTTTTAAATCCTTTTTATGAGACTCCTCAATTTTCGGAGGTGTGCCCTCACCGACTGCATCAGTTTCCTCCGGTGGCTCACGAACCTCGTCCTTCGCTTGCTTTTCTTGTTCGTCGTAGTTGAATTTAAAATTACCATTCCCAAACACCACATCTCCACCATTTCCAGCGTCGTCGTCTGTGTCTGTTTCATCATCTGGATACCTAGTATCACTGGTATGCCTTTCGTGTGCTTCGGAGTTCCCCTGGTGGTCAGATCCACTCAGCTCATCAACACTCAGCCTTTTTTTAATCTCTTCGGAAGGCAGTGGTTTTGGAGCCCTTTCAATCGGGGTCTCGAGCCTGTCGTCATGATGAACAAGATCTTCCAAAGACAATGCACGCTTAGGGGCCAGCTTGGACTGGCTCATCGCAATATGTTGGTGTGATCCCTGGTTTAAGTATCTACAACACCTTAGCAGCGGCTTTTCTAGGTTCTTCTTGTCGTGTTACGGGCTTTTATTTAAATCGCTTAACACGATTCTCTATTTTCACCTAGACCCTCTCCTGATATCCTATGTACTCCATAAAGCGGCCGCGCGTCTAGCTGGGTCCGCGAAATTCCCTGAACTTTCTGGTATCCTATCGTATTTATAAATGACTCTCTCGGGACCTACGCTAAGTTAAAACAAAACGGTTCCGATTTCATTTCCGAGGTCACGTGGTCGTATATTGACTCCCACATACTGACTTGCTCGTCACTGCGACTCAAGCACTGGTGGTGCGGGACTGAAGCTCTGTGACGTATAGGGGTTAAATTTGGGGTGGCCCTGTAGTTGCTGTTCCAATATGGCGGCCCCACTGCTCGAACCCATCGAACTGAGTTCCTGCAGTTGCTTCAGCATGAGTAGGTCCATCTGCTGGCACGTTGACAGCTCTTGCGACGACAGCAGCGTCCTGGGACAGAAAAATAAGTCGTCCTCGAATGACTTGCAGATGTTGTTCTTCAATTTCAGCGACATGTCGCTCTCGAAATTTCGAAAGGGCTGGGCAACCCCATTACTCGACGAAGAGATGGGCTGCGTTGGCGTTTCAAGAACGCCATTTGGCGGTGTATTCGGTTGATTTATTCCTATGAGCGAGACTGGAGGTGTCAGGTACGCCATGCTGAGGCCTTTGTTATGGTTCACAGTGTTGTTATTGTTGTTCTGTTCTTGCTATATCAGTTGTTGATATTAAACAAGTAATTGAGAGATAACCCACCATCCCTTATAACGTGAGAATCAATATATGGATTTCTGGTGGGTAAGGAAGAGAGTGATCACGTGATTTTTTGTCACTCATCGAAAAGTAACAGAACTTAGCCGAACATTGTTCGTTAGTGAACGAGACGTTAAAGATTCTACTAATTTGCGTTTTGCAATTTTGAGAGCAGCTCAACCGAACTGGGGGTCTCTGGTAATTTTTTGGTCTTTCAAACACAGTTTCTAGCATTTAAAACGCATGCCTTGAGGCAATTATAGCAAAAGGCCGAAAATTCAAATGGACTCTGATTAAGACTCTAGTCATATGCGTCCATTACTAGCAGCTTCGCTTTATTCATGGCTTCTGATATCCGGTGATCTTTGAATGGTAAGAGTGACTAGATGAACAGGTAAGATTTTACGAAAACACTGTGGTCCTTATCGAGCCTAATATCAATCGAGGGTCGACGCCGACATCATGTCACCTCGCAGAGTTACGCTTGCACACTTGTAACAATTTATCTAAAAAGTATTATGGGAGATTAGTATTTCTGTCGACTCATTTCTGAGAAACAGCAACGGCGACAGATTGGAAGTCGTCGTGGGAGATGGACACAGTCACTTCCTTGACACCAGCAGCAGAGGCGGCCGTAGCGGCCGCACCGTGCAAAACAACCTTTGGAGCATTGCCGTGTTCACGAACGATTTCAATCTCTTTCAAAGAGGCTCCGCCGCCTTGAGACTTGACACCGAGAGACTTGAAGACCGCCTCTTTGGCAGACCAGACACCGGCAAAAGAACTTTGAGCACTTGGCTGTGTCGCACAGTACTCGATCTCCGCAGCAGTGAAGTTGCGCTCGATGAAGGTCTCATTCTTGATGTTCACCGCGGTGATCAGCTCGACATCGACACCAACTCCGACGTTCTTAGAAGACGAGACTTCCTGCGCTAGCTTGCTGACAACTTCGGAAGTTTGTCTGCTCGTCTCAGACACAAAAGTCGCAGAAGCGTCAAGGGCCTTTTTGTTGTAAACCAAGGCACCGGTCTTGCTGTCAGGGGTCACTCTGACGAGTGGGTCCAAGTAAACAGGCTGTTCCAATTCGTCTGGGTATGGAGGGTTCTCTTTGGCGACGAACAATGTGTTGTTGATCATACCGTTGTGGAAATACTTGTAGGCAGCCTTAGCTCTAGCGCTCACCTTTTGGGCATAGGCCTGGTAAGTAGACTCGTCAAGAGCAGCATACAAGTAGTCTGGGTGGACAGCAATAGCTTGAGCACCCTTCTGACCGAAACCGAACGAAGTTACAGAGACAGCCTTGATACCGTCGGTCTTGATGCTTCTGGATGGATACAAGATGTATTCAAACTGTTCCAAGACCTTGTCAATGTTGTCGGCATTTCTGTTACCTGGAACAATACCGGAGTTCAGGATTTGTAACGCACCGTTCATCATCCAGGCACCAGCAGCACCCTTTGGATGACCAGTTAGGTATTTCTGGAACACACCCAACACTGGGTTACCTTGGGATCTGCCCAAGTGTTCCATCATCTTGTTGATGGTAGCAGATTCGTTCTTGTCGTTGGCCTTTGTGGAAGTACCGTGGAAGGAGGCTACACCCAAGTCATCAATGGTTAGACCAAAAGTGGCCAAGGCACCTCTCAAAGGAGCAATACGAGGGTCGTTTTTGTAGAAATCGTTACCCCATTGAGATTGAGCCAACTTGAATTGCCTAGTAGCCTCACGCTGAATCTCCTCAGTACGTTCAGCATAAAATGAGGATTGGTCTTGTTCAGCAATCTCTTGCGCTTCATATTGCAAGAGATCTAACTCATCTTCAACCCATTGCTTGATCTGAGACTCACGGTTCTTCAATTGACGCTTTCTGTACTTGATATCCAACAATGGCGTTGGAAATTTCAAGTTGCTTTGGTGCTCTCTCGCGGTGGTCAAGATACCCTTACCTGGAGCAGGAACAGATCTCCCGATCTTGTCAGTCGCAGTGGCAGTCATTGCCAAGATACCGTAGATCGGTACACCCATCTTCAAAGCAAGATCGGCACCCATAATCACTTGAATACCAGCACCTTGCGCCTCCATGAAACCACTACGGCTCGTGGTGGTTGGTCTGGACATTTCAGCTGGGGTACGTCCATGCTCATATTCGGTCAATGAGTTCGAGGTAGCGTTCATGTTACCGAACTCGTAAGAACCTTCTTCTTGGAAGTCGTCGTAACCACCCACAATACAGATCTTGGCTTTACCGGACAGCAAAGTCTCGACACCGATATCCAAAGACTCCACGGCAGTAGCACAAGCACCGACAGGGGTCTTGATTGGACCAGAAGAAGATATCAACAACATGTTAACCCAAGCAGACATTGTGTTGATAAAGGACTCTTGCAAAATGTCGTTTTGAACAGGTTGATCCTTGTAACGGTCTTTGAACATTCCACGCAACGCGGAAACACCTCCCATACCAGAACCAGAACAGTTACCGACTTCAGAAACATGAACATATTTGTACATTTCGTAAGGGTCAGTGATACCGGAAGAGATGAAGGCTTCGACAACGGAAACCAAGACGAATAAAGTGATTGGGTCAACTTGTGAAATGGTGTCCTCGGAGATACCATAGGTCTTGGCATTCCAACCAGTTGGAATTTGACCAGCAACCAATCTGTCGAACTTCAAAGCCTTTGGAATGTACAAAGTCGCACCCTTCAACAACTTAATAGTGTATTCACCACTTTCTGGAATTTCAAATATGTCGACCTTGTCTCCATGCTCGAGCTTGAATTGCTCGGCAGTCTCCTTAGACGCCTCAAATGATTCCATGTCCTCCTCGATGACGACTTCTTGGATCATTTGCTTCTTCTCAGGGTTGTATCCATTGAAGAGCTCTGGCTCGATCAATCTGATACCAGAGTGTTCTAAAATCTTAGACTCGTACTTGCTCTTGACGTCCTTGTCATCCACTGGCTCGCTCGTCTTCGCATCAAGCCAGCCAGTGTATGGACGACCCTTCAAGTTACCGTTGTGGTATTTGATCAAACCCATAATCCAAGCCATCTCGACGCAACCTTCGAGAGAGAACTCGCCATAGGCCTCCATTTCCCATCTGGTTCTGGCGGAACCCCAAGGACTGACTTCGGAGAAACCGGTAACAACAATAACCTTATCCAAGTCAAGCATGCCCTCCAATTCCTTTGGAGCAATCTTTTTGATATCCTCATAAGACTTCAAGGTTGGGAAGTCCAATTGGATGTTGGCTCTCGGCTGAACTTCAACGTTGACGTAGCCGGCGTCAGCATTAGCACCGTTGACGATCTTGTGCTCGAGAGCCGTTTCAATCGACACGGCCTTTCTCACTTCAGAAGTGTTGGTTAGGTCGCGACGCAATTTGGCGGTGAACTCCTTCAAGTCAGGCAAAAATTGGAAACCACCGTTCAAGTCGGCCATGACTGGAGAGGTTTGACATAATTGAACAACTTCTGGAATCAACAAACCGAGCAAGTTGAAAGCCATTTCCTTCTGAGAGAAGGTACGAACACCGAGTTTCTCAATTCCTTCGGCAATGATGTTGTTTGCAGACATCAAACCTGTACCTCTTGTCCAACCAATGATAGCACCACAAATTGTCAATTGGTTAGACCACGACTCAGAATGCCATCTGTTGAACAAGGTCTCCAGCGAAAGCTTGGATTCGGAGTACATACCGTCGCCACCGAAAGTACCATGGTTAGGCGAGAGAGGAAGAATAACTTGAGCTGGTCTCGTCTCAATTCCTTGGGCAGACTTTTGCTTCTTAACAAATCCGAGCATTCTCAAAATGTTGGTCAACATAATTCTATGAGCAAACTCAGACTTGGAATCAATGCCGTCGAGCTCAATACCATTCTCAGGAATAGCAGCAAATGGAATAATTGCATCCAGGTCCCAGCCTAGACCACCCTTACTCTCGTCATCGTAGATAAACTCGATCAACGCCTCAACATCCTGTCTGGAACCCTGGTTGAATGGAACAACAACCAAGGTCGAATCCTTGGCACCGTACTTGGCATAAATAGATTGGTAGAAATCCGTCACTTTCTTGGAGAAACGAGATGTAGTGACAATAACCTTAGCACCACCCTGAATCAAGCCTTGCAAGACCTCTGCACCAATGGAGCCCTGGCCAGCACCGGTGATCAAAACGTATTTGTCTTTGAATGTCACACCGTTGATTGCAGCCTTCTCCAAGCCATTCAAGAATAGAGAGGACAGTGGACGATCGTAGACCCATTCGCCGCTTGGAAGCTTCTTCTTTAGGTGCAAGAATGGAACCGTCTCTCTTGGAATGGTGGATGAAACTGTTTTAGAGATTGTAGACTTAGTTGGCAAAGAAGCAACCTCTTTGGTGGCATCGTTGTCCAGATTATCCTCTCTTTGGCCAGTTAACCTGGAAGAAGCGGAAGCGTCAATTTCGCTTGAGGATTCCAAGAATTTCAATAGCTCACCGTACAATTTCTCGAACTCGATCTTAGTAGAATCGGAAATGTCGTGTTCGGCGGCTTGAGCGTTGATAGCTTGGTAAACACGGGTCAAATCCTCTTGAATAGTTGGTTGCTGAACCTTGGTCAATGGACCACCCAAGGCCATTTCCTCAACGTATTGGGAAAGCTTTCTGACAGACGGACGAGGAATTTCTTCGTAGTTGATGTTACCCTTTCGGTCAACGACGGTGTGAGGAGCAGTTGGCTTGCTGATGTCCTTGTAAACAGGGTCAAGATCTAAAACTTGCTTACAGTTTTCAATCAATTGCTCACCCAAATCCTTGGCCAGCTTGTAGTTCTCACCTTTTTCTTCCTGCGTGTGTGAGATGTGGTATTCCATGAATTTAATAAGAGTTTCATTGGATCTGTTCATAATGTTGATAGCCTCAGCGACCAATTCCCGGTCAACATTCTTGAGCACACCGTGAATGATCTCGAAGTATAGGGAGAGTAGCGATTGCTTGGCCCAGTTCCAAGAGGAGTCGAAAGTTCTTGCCTTCTTTCTGGAAAACGACGTGGAGATACCTTGGACAAAGAAGTCTCCAAGCTCGTTGTTTATATAGTCCAATTGAGATTGCAAGCTCTCGGCAGTGGCTTTCTGTTCCAAGAATTGCTTCTGACCTTTGTTCAAGTCCATCTTCAAGTAACGCGCAAGTACTTCCAATTGCTGACGCGCCATGACTTTTTGGTCTTTGGTCAATTCCTCGAAAGCCGCCGCGTCGATGGTGGCGCCACCTGCACCACCGCCACTGCCACCGGCAGAGGCTGAGTTAGCAGCAGACAAGTCGAGGCCAGTCATAGAGGCGTATTTTTGGGCCATAGAGTCCAAAAATTGCTTAGCGTCGGCCTCAGAGTTCAAACGTGCAGCAGGCTCGTTGGTCAAAGACACCAATAGCACGGAGTCCTGTCTACCAGAGGCCAACCCCCAACGGGTCTGTAAGTACTTTCTGGCGACGGTGATGGTGAACCCACCAGGCATCTTGGATGACATCAATCTGGAGATCAAAGAAGTAGACTGCTTGCCGAGAGAGCCGGAGAACGAATCCTGGAAGGTCTCTGCGAGTTCTTCAAGTGGAGTCTCCTCAGGCTTTTCGGGCGTAGACCCGAATTCTTTGCCCAAGTCACCTAGAATTTCGTTTTGCACGGTCGACTTACCCCCAACGAGATCCTTGACGGTCTTACCCATTGGCACTTGGTCAAGCGACTTCTTCAACTTGTTTGCAACCAACACGTGCAACAGCAATGACGCCTTGACTGGCTCGTCAGCGATCTCCGCGACGGGGCCCGTTGGTGCGGCAGCGGCAGCTGGGGCAGCAGCAGCTGGAGTCGCGACCGGAGCAGCCCCAGTAACGGGGGCAGCTGCAGCTGGAGCTGCAGCGGCAGTCTCGGCCGCTGCTTCTTCCTTAGCAGCCAATTCGGCTGGGTCTGGTGTGTAGTAGATCTCTCTGGCGTCTTTCGAGTAGCAGAGCACCTGTCTCTGGAGCGAGAGCGCCGCATCGTACGACTCGTACTTGTTCTTGATGGTTCTCTGCGCCATACCGGCCAAAGTGGGCGATGGGCCAATTTCAACAACTCTTTCAGTGTTTAGGTCCTTCAAAAATACGTCTTGTGTCTCAATCCATCTCACTGGAGACGCGAATTGGTACGCCAAAAGCTCCGTCAAAAGGACGTGAGCCAGTTCTTGCTCCACTTCTGGTTTCATAACCATCTTGTTAATCTGGTTTCTAATCAATTGAAGTGTATCGGGGTTAAGCAAATAAGCTTATAGGTGGATCCCTGAAGGAGATGATTTCTTGTCCTTCCCTTTTTTATAACCTGTGGCCGAAATATGGCGGCTCGAATTTGTTGGTTTTGTTGGGATGAGAACCGTTGAGCCCACGTGATCTCGCCTCATCAAGAGAGCTTGAGAGCATTTTATACGCTGTAACTGTTAGGTACTCATTTTGATTAGCTCGTTGGCTGTGATTCACTGCTAAACTCATTGTCATTGTGGACGGGAGTTCTGCCCTAATCACTTTTTTTCCTTAACTGAAGGCTATGACCCGTACCTCGCGCGTTACCTGGAGGATTGCCTGGAGTATCTCCTTTTGGTCAAGGCAGTAAGTATGTCAAGCTTTTACAGAGGAAAAGCGTAAATGCATCTGCAACTTTGTTACTCTTATTGAGCGTCTATTGATTAAGGAATGCCGCACATAGAGGCCGGCTATTGTCGTCGCTACACAGATAATTTGTATAATGATTTCAGCTGTTCCTCGTATTATAACAAAGTATTATCTGTCGACAGCGACGCCTTGTAAGATGAGCGTATCCGGCAAACTCATTTTCCGGCTTGAAAGACTTAGATTTGGCGGAACTACAATATGTCTTGATAATTTATGATCGATCCGTAAATTCAACGTGCTTGAAACTGCTCTAAATGGATTTTTGACAAGCGAAAGGTGTTCTTTTTCTACATGGATTCCGAGTCCCTGAGATTTCTATGGTTGAGCCTGCTCCTTTTTTCGCCCCTTCCCATGCAACGGACCGATCGCAGATAGCAGACGTTACATCGAATTATATATACGTTAGGTATAGCGTCTCGAGTGCATGTAGAAATGTGGTTATCTTAGAGCCTTTTGATTTGCCACTGTGCGTGCGTTGATTGAAAAATCCGTACGAAATCGATAGCTATCAATAGAGAGAAAGATAAAAGACAAGACTGGTAACAGCTCATCTTAGACAAGTTTAGAAGTCCCCAAATATACGATGTGTTTGTGTTGCGTGTGCTGTACGGTCTCGGACCTTATCCTGTACGTCGTGGCGTTTTTCCTCCCGCCAGTAGCAGTTCTGCTCAGGGCTGGACTCTACTCGTCTGACTTCCTTCTGAATTTGCTGCTGACGCTGTTCGGTTTTGTGCCGGGCCTCATCCATGCGTTTTACTTTATTACAACTTCCAGTCCCCTGCGCCGAAACCAAGAGGCCGTCTACTACTATCAAAGCGGCTGGCAGGACTCCCGGCGGGGCCGTGACGACGGTAACGGCCGTAACGGCACTTCTCGGCAATACGTAGCCCAGCAGCCGCCTTCGGTGGCACCTGGGCCCTCAGTACACACACCGCTCCTTCTAGACGGTTCTAACAGCTCTCGCGAGGACCCCGATGCTAAGGGCCCTCCACCACCTTACAGTGAGATGGTGTAATTATCGCCGTGCACGGTGACAAGAAAGCTAGTCCTTAGCGGGAATGCAGCTGAGCTGCGTTTCATGCCCAATTTTCGGGTTGGACTATTTCTACTACTGATGAGCTAATACGGGCTGGCCTTACTCGAATTTTCCTGGATCTTTTTTCGCTTTGTTTTTAATTTTAACCTTAACCTTGGTTTCCGCCTTTTTCGAGCTTAACTGGAAAGCACGCGCAGCACGCATCAGACCAGTGTTTTAGAGTTTCCGTTGACTTGGAAGTTGACGGCAGCTGTAATCACCTGCTGTTCCATACTGACTTATGCTGTCTTAGGCCTGGCCAGCCCTAGCCTAAGAAACCTCTTCGTATAAGAGTACTCCGGCATTTGAAAATTTTCTAGTATATAGGGCCTATGAGAAGGAAACCTTATTCCATCGAGCATCATACCTACCAGCATGAATGGCTTGAAACTCATGGTAATTCCGTGCTAGCTTCCCGTCGCCTTGACGGTTGTAATTGTCGTCTCTCAGGTGAGATCTTGGCAGGAAACCCGGATGCAGAGCTGCTGCTCTGCGTCGAGTTTTCGTCTCGAGAACAATTGACAGCCGTCACGAAAATCTTGTGACCCAGAAACTTTCAAAAGCCTTTCTAGTGACCGATGAAACTTGTTGCGACGAGATTTCGCGGTATGACAACCTTGGCCGCGGCTGAACCTGTCATACCAACCCCACGGCTTTTAGAAAACTTGTTTACTGGAATATGAAATATTCCCCTTTTCCACCCTGGAGTGCATGGACGCCATTGTGCGTTCGCTTTTGTTGCATGCCGGGACTAAAATACTGGGGTGACAATCAAACTGTATAGTTACAGTGTAAAGTAGTAGTAGCGTCTTTCGTCGTAAATTTGGTTTGGACAATAGTATATTACACGACATACAAATTAGAGATATATTCTTTTGGAGAGACAAAGATTAGCCAGATCGGGCGTGCGGGCACGGATGCGGACTAGTTGCGGGTCTTCACCACAGATGGTACCACGACAACGACCACAACAATGGCGAAAACCACGAACAAGATGATAAGACATCTAATTTTGTTCTTACGAGCACGTTTGGCGCTTTTCACCGCCTTGTTGGTGTGGCCAACACCTTGTTCGACATCCTGTTGCGCATCCTCGACGTTTTTGTCGATCACTTCTATGTTTTCTTGCTGCTCTATCACGAGTTGTTCCATGTCGTTGAAAAGCTGCGTCAGTTCCGCCATCGTTTTTTCCAATTTCAACAACTCCTGGTGTCTGGCCTGGACCTCGGCAAGCGCAGTCTTGGCCTCACCACGTCTATTAGCGTTCAACAAAGCCTGCGAGAAAATCTGCTGGCCTCCAACGTCGCTGATCGCAGCCTCGACTTCCGCGTCGGTGGCCTCGGGTTGGACGATCTTGTACTGTCTCTTGGCCTGCTCCTTGTTGTCCTCCTTGTAGTTGGCCTCGATGATTCGGTAGTCCTGGATGAGTTTCAGAAACCGCTGTCTCGAATTCTCAGCCTGCGCCTGTCTGCTAGCGTCAGACGCACCTTGCTGCTGCGCAGCTTTTATCTTGGATTTTAGCTGATACTGCACGTTCGACGCATGGGCCGCTAGCTCGTCCAATTCCTGTCTGAGCGCCAACTCACGCTCCTCGTTCACCTCCGTCAACAACCGTTTCTGTTTCCCATCGATGTCGTTGATGAGTTGCGTGTACTCGTCCAGTTCCCGGTTAATCTCTCCGATGCTGTTCATAAACGTCACAAAATCACCCTCGTTGTTGGTACCAGCACCCACATGGTCTTGCATTGCATGCGTTTCCGCATACGGGTTTGAAGTCTCGTATGGATTGTTGTAGCTCATGACGCGCAAAAAAGATAGGAATTCACACTAAACTTTGGCAAAGTACTGTCGACACTTAAAACTTGATGAATCCTCTACGACGAACCCTCTATGGAGACTCTTTTGTTGAAGCTTGTACCGGACTGGGTTCTAAAACGGTGAGTTGGTTACAGAAGAGACAGGCGCATTGTGGTTACGAAAACAGCCGGTTTAAAAAAAGCATTAGTACATAGTGATGAAGAAATTTAGGGTCACGTGACTTTGCGCAGCCCGCTCCTAAATCGTAGCTTGAGCCGTCTTCAGCAGGTAGCGAGCAGATACAGAATCACTTGAGTTCTAAGTGAATCGCTCCTGGGTCGTAGGCGCGGTCTCTGCTGTGTTTTTGTCTGTTCGAAGCTCGGCAGATGTCCTCTTTTTGACATGTCCGCATTTCGTGGCTTAGGACTATGACAGCATTCTGTCAAATTGAGTCAGATTGATCGGTCTCGGATTCTAGGTACATGACGAGGCTTTGGATTTTGCGCAGCCGGGCTTTGCTGGCCGGCAGCAATTGCTGCGCATCGCGTATGCGGATGAGAGACTCGCGATAGTCTGCAAGGAGGGCTTGGCGGTCCTGTGGACCACCCAACGCAGTATTGGCGTCCTCTTCGTCGATGTCGCTACTAGCGTCCAGCACAGGCTGCGAAACGGAATCGATAGTGGCGTCTGCCTCGCGCAGAGCGTCACGCATGCTCTCCTGGTAGCCCTGGCCGACCCGCTTCGGCACGTCGCAACGCAACTGGGCAACTTTGACGGTTTCGTCCTCCCATTCTTGGTACTTTTGGCGCACTTGCTCATTGAGCTCAAGGTCAAACGGCTCGACGAACTGGTTACGCGACTGCTCGATCAGATCGCGCAATGAGGCCCCCGCGGCACCGTTTACCACGTGCAAGGACCCCGAGACCATCTCGAAGCTCTCCACGAGGTATTTTTGCAGCTGTACAAGCACTTCGCGCTTCACGGCGTCCTGTTCCTCCGGGAGATGGAGCGCGACTTTTTCGTCCAGCAAAGTCTGGAACTGCGTATACAGCGCACGTAGTTGCTCGACCTTGACATCGAGCCGGTTCGGGTGGGAGGACATGAGGTCCTGGCGCGCTGTAGTCGGTGTTTTTGGCAATCGATGTGGCCGGTAGATCAGATCGCGTTCGTGTTTTGGTGTTGCGTAGAAACGTGATCACATATCATTGTGTACGTCTCCACCGAACCCTCCATCTCACTGTACAAACTGGTACACAGGTGTGATCTACACACCGTGTACAGGCGTTTGAAACGCTCTGTTTACGTGCGTCCGTTTGTTACTGGAGTTGACCACACTTCGCTCTTTCTTTGTCACGTGGTCTCTCGTATATACTCTTCTTCCGTTCCCTGCGTTGTGTCCACTGTCAGTCCCAGTTCCGGCCCCAGTTCCGGCCCCAGTGACGTCGTGTCGACGGTTTCTGTTCGTTTGTCCATGCCTGATTGCTTCTGTTTCATGTCAAATATATGACTTTCTCGTTGTTGCGTCGTTACGTCGCTGCGACAGAGGCTTTCTTCCCTACAGAGAAAGCTATTGCCTTAAGTCATAGTCAGCAGTAGTTGGCATAAGAGTTTAGCTATTGCTCAATACCATATGGAATATGAAGAAGGAGAAACTTAGAGGTTAAAATTTTGAGTTTTCAAAAACTAATGTGGCTTTCCCTCACTTATGGAATAGATGAACTTTCAGCGTCATAGTCATTTAATTTGGCATTGCAATGGGGAAGTACAAAAATGAAATATAAATGCGTCTGAGTAAAGATTCTCATACGTCCATCGGGCTATTCATGATCTTGGTATATGATAGATGTTAAGTATAGTACGGCCTTTGCTTAAAAGAGTTTTGTATCGTTCTGAACGGGCAAGGTAATATGTTTCATCGCCTATTGTTTGAGATGTGGTCAGGGGACGATAGGTCCCGTGTCAAGTGATGGAAAGTGCAGCTGGGTAGCGTATCCAGTGACACGCGGTCTCAAAAAACCTGGTAATGTGACTTTCATCAATTCGACAGGAGTCCTTAAAGTCAAAAAGCTGACCCCTACACAACAACTTTGTCCACTCAGCTTCACATCATTGCTATGACGCTCGAGACCGTTGTCGCGGACGAGTATGCTCCATTTTTCGCGCCCTTTTTCGGCTTTGCCGGCTGCGCTTTCGCCATGACCCTGTCGTGTCTGGGAGCCGCGATAGGAACGGCCAAGTCCGGCATAGGTATCGCCGGTATCGGTACTTTCAAGCCAGAATTGATCATGAAATCGCTTATTCCGGTCGTTATGAGCGGTATCTTGGCCGTTTACGGCCTTGTGGTCGCCGTTCTGATAGCGGGCGGACTGTCGCCTGCAGAGCCCTATACGTTGTTCAACGGGTTCATGCACATGAGCTGCGGCTTGTGCGTTGGATTCGCGTGTTTGAGCAGCGGTTACGCCATTGGTATTGTCGGCGACGTCGGCGTCAGAAAATTTATGCACCAGCCCCGGCTCTTCGTCGGGATCGTTTTGGTTCTCATTTTCGCAGAAGTGCTTGGTCTTTACGGTATGATTATTTCTTTGATTCTGAACACCAGAAGCTCAGGTTGATGCGGGTCCTCCCAGCAGATGCGCACGCACGGCCACCTCACACTAGTGTTTTATAGGCAACATGTAGCATCGTCAAAATAGAATTTACAAATGAAAAATTGACACGTATATTTAGTGATTGCTCTTCAAGCAGAAACGTCCATCGCGTCGTTCGCAGATTTTTCGGGTTGTTTATTGTTGGTGATCTCGACTTTGCCGTTGTCGTCAATATATTGGGACTGATTTTCTTGCAAAAATTGCACCGACCGAGAGCTATCCAAAAACAACAAGTATGCCCTCTTCACGTCTGCGACTTCAACGGTCCCACCATTCTTTCTCTTCATCGAAATTTGCTGTGACACGGATATCAGGTTGCTAGCATACCGCAAACTCGTTTCACTGCCAATTTTCGTGAGCAAGTCCAAAGCTTCAGGTGCAACCTCAACTTCTTCTTCTTGGGCTCTTATGGATAAAATGGTCTTAATTTCTTGCTCGTTGTAGTTCTGCGTCGCTATTATGACGGATCTATCCAGCAGGTCCAATGGTAACCCATGAGGCGAGCTGTAATTAGTCCCTCTGGTCCTAGAAATGCCTCTGTTGGTGGCCATAACAACAATTGGTGCAAACTCATCTTCTAGCGCACGATTAATGAACGAAAAACATTCAATGTCTAACATGTGCACTTCGTCAATGAAAAGTACACCGGGAACGATGTCCGCTTTGCCCTCTTCCTTCCATTCTGCCACTTTTGTGTTGATTTGATCCCGAACTTCCGCTCTGATCTCGCCCGTGTCTCCAGTAAAGAGTGCCAAGAACCCTTGCGTCCTGGAGTTGATGACATCGATCTCGTGCAGCGAAACGGTGTGAACCACGGCTTTACGTTTTTGAAGTTCTCCCTCGGGACATTGAACAAATCTTGTGTCTGCTCCCATGGCATCATAGTCTCTAGACCGCGCAAACGATCTTCCCAACTTCGTAATCTTACCGCTCGCTTTATCGATCGATATAACATCACCGGCCAAAACTTTCTCCTTGGTGAGTCCATCGATCATTTTCCCACCCAATTCGTATATGGTCTCCATGTCCGTGGTCTTGATCGTGAGCTTACCCTGTTTGTGGCCACCCGTGATGGACTTGTCTATCTGAATTTCAACCACTTCACCCTCGATCAGCTCGGTTTCCTCCTTGATCTTGACGCCGATCGATTTCCTAAATGCCTGCGTCAGCGCCTCCGTCTTGCTCAGTTCTAGCGAAAAGATCTCTGACCCGGCCATTGCTGTGAAGGGAACGTCCTTGCCCAAAGATTGCGACAGACCCATCGCGAGCGCCGTTTTACCTGTAGAAGGAGGTCCTGCGATCAAAACCGCTCTTCCTGCGATGGTACCATTTTCGACCATTCTCAATATGACACCGGCGGCACGACGTGCTTGCAGCTGACCCACCATCCCCTGAGATGTCTCTTTTGGCTGCAGAGACTCATCCAAACCAAGGCCCGTGATATGAGAGTGGGCGGCGATCAAAGAAAGCGCCTTTGATAAATCTTGGGCATTCGCATCACTTGTTTGAATGGACATATTGGCACGGACTTGGCACGTCTAATGAACTCACTTTTTAGCGTGTGCTTCGACAGTCTGAAGATTTCTTCGAGATGCCGGTATTCCAACTTCTGTAGAGATTTTCTAACTTTGACAAGATTTGAAGTTCTTCGTATAATGTGATATCACAGAACTCTCCTTCCGTAGATATTCTAAGCGTTCGACGAAGAGATGACCACTTGACAGAAGTTATTGTTTGAACGATTGTACGAATTAGACGGAGGATACGGGGCGATACCGAGAGTATCTGAACTGATCTTGTTTAAGGAAAAGGAGCGGTTTTTTTGGATGTAAATCGGAAGAATATTGTGCGAGTTAAGGGTGAAAACTAGATACTGCACACCGAGAAGCTTTACGGGACTACTGTTATTGAAAATAGAGCCCCCCGTAGGATGTCATCTTTTTTTTTAGCACTATGCTGCTGCTGCAGCGGAAAGAGAAATGCTTACATCTTTTTTAATGGTCAAAAACTCTGGGTGGAAAAGCTTTTGGGAGAGGAAGGACATTCGTTTTTATATCTCGTGAGATCAAGCGAGGGACAGTCCTTCGTACTGAAAAAGACCAAGTGTCCTTTCGGCAATCTGACCGCCGTGGCTCAGGCTATGCGAGAAATCAATTGCTACAAGCGATTCCAGAGCCCCCATATCGCACAGCTCCTCGATTCTCAGGTGATACAGGAGTCTGACGGCTCCAAGACGGTTCTACTACTCTTGCCATATTTTCCGCGTGGCTCGCTGCAAGACGCCGTTGATGGAAACTTGCTTGAGGGTACCACGATGGCGCAATCGGACATTTTACGAATCGGAATGGGGATCGCGAGGGGGCTACTGTGTATACACGGCGAGGGCGAACAGCAGTCTCAAGACGAGTACAGCATGGCACCTACTGTGTACGGAGAAGAGCATTCGCTTCTTAATGATCACGAGCTGGACACGTTCGACAGCATATCGCAGCGATATGCTCATCGCGACTTGAAACCATCGCGAATTATGATTTCATCGGAGGGCAATCCCATCATCAGTGACCTTGGCGCTTGTTCACCGGCTCACATCGAGTTTACCTCCAAACAAAGTGTCATGCAGTTTCAGGACTGGCGCGCTGACAATTGCACTTTGGGGTTTACCGCCCCAGAGATCTTGGATGTCAAACAAAAGTCAGTCATCACAGAGAAAACCGATACCTGGTCCTTTGGCTGTCTGCTTTACATGCTATGTTTTGGAATTTCTCCCTTCGAGAGGGAAGAACAGGTGAGTGGGGCCTCGGTAACGTACGCAATAGCCACGGGCAAATACTCATTCCCGGTGGCCACCAATTGTGACTCGAAATTATTGGCATTGGTACAAAGCTGTCTGACCGTTGATCCCGCATCTAGACCAAGCATGGATAGCGTGCTATCGCAGCTCTCCGAGCTTCAAGGCCACTCTGCGTCTTCGTAGGAAACGACTAGGACTTCATGAAGTATAAACGGTTTGATCGCCCTAAGAGAGAAAGGTGATTAAGGTTGACTACTGGTGGGTGGTGATATCAGGTACGTGTGGGTTATCGAATGCTGGACCGAACTTCCAGCTTTCAAGATTGTCGCGAAGCGGATGTGCCTGGGTATAATGATTGCCCCACATTTGTTTTTCAAACTGGAAAGCCACGCACAGCTAGGAAACTACTGTTGACAAGCGTAGTTGATACTTATGGCAATACGAAGAAAGCGGATCAACCGCCGCCGTCAATTGGCAGGAACCAAGGAAACAAAAAGCACGAACCGATGGATGAAATGGAGTGTGAGGCGAACGAAAAAAATGTGATACAAATGTTAGATGACCTACTAGCGCGAGAGTCTAGGTTACCGGCCCAGGAATTTGAATTTTACAAAAAAAAGCTCTTGAAAAATGTGGACAAGAGCCTGGAAGACAGAAATTGTGCTTCAAATCTTGTCGAGGTGCTTTCATCCGTAGACACAGATACCGAGGGCACTAAGCGATTGCTCAGTAGATGGATGATGGCAGACGCTTCAATTGGTAACTGGTGTTCTGCACTGCGCAAATTAATTGAAAATGTAAAGCAATAGCATAGAGGCTCGCAGAAGAAAATAAAAACGTGCAAAAATTAAATCTTAAACAAACACTTTCCGTATTTATACATGACAGCCCAGTGCTTTTCACATTCTCTTTCTCTTGCCCACGGTGGCTTGGAAACCAGTCTTGATCGAAGAGACCGATCTGGTAGAACCACAGCTCTTACAGACCAAGAAAAACAATCTATTGGATTGTTCTTTCCTCAAGTCTGTGTTAATGCTCTTACAGGTCTTGCAGGTAACGTATTCCAGAATGTATCTTCTAAGCACGTTTTCCATCTGTTTGGGCATGAATTTACCCTTGATAACCAGTCTCCTTTGACCATCGACGGAACCAGAAGTACCCAATTCTGCAAACAGATACTGGATTAGATGCTCTGGAGACCGTTGCAATTTCTCGGAAATTTCTTGAATATTGCAGAAAATGGTCTTTTTACCGTCACGCTGACATACAGGTGGCGGAATGCGGAACTTCGGCCCACTTCTGTCGCCGGCCAATTCTGGGTTGTTGGTTCTTAGGATTGTGAAAAACCGCGAAAGCAGTTCATTGTAAGGCAAACCGACATTTTGTTGCACTTCAGAACCAACAGCCGCGACTGGAGTGGCTTCTTTACTAGCCTCTGCCGCTGCAACACCTGCCTTTTCCAATTCCTTGTCAAAGTCGTCCAGACTCACCTCTTTGCTCTTCTTCTTCTTCTTTTTCAGCTTCAACTCACCTAGAGCTTCAGAAACTTCGTCAACGCCTTTTTCAGCTTCATCGCCCTCTTGGATATCCTTAGACTTCTTCTTCTTCTTCTTTAATCCGGCAAAAATGTCATCTTCAGCCACCGGTTCTGCTGGACTGTCGAAATCAGCTGGAGCGACCTTCTTTGTCTTCTTTTTCTTCTTCAAGCTTGGGTCGAAACCTAATTCATTTGCTAAATCAGACATCTTTCAGCAGTTAAATACCAGCGAAAGAACCCAAATAATACGAAACTATACTACGAATAGCTTTGACTTTCACAGGACTTCAAGCTAGAACTAGTTATGTTTAAATCTCGCTTTACTGTAATGTCAAAATTTTTCGGTTTCTTCAGGCCGGGTAATGTGACTTTCTTAAATTCCAGCTATAACGATTATGAAGCCTACTTAACTTTTCATTTCAACAGATTAAGTGAAGCGACGGTATTAAGGTAAGTGTGAAATCTAATGATTCTCGAAACCTTAGAAGCTCGTTTAAATATCGACTGAATCACCTCCGTAGTCTTTTCTCTGTGTCTAAAAATCTGCTTTCTAAGAAATAAGTTGCTCATCTTCTCTGGAAGATTGGGCAGCCTTACAAAATCTGAAAGCTTCGTTAATATTTTATTACCTGTGACTGCTTTTCATCTCAGTTTCCCAAATCTCCTTCTATGTTCAATTTCTCGGTTTCCTGTCTCAATGCCTCCGTGGCTTCCTTAGTAACCTGCTCTATCTCAGTTCCTTCTTTGATCTGTACACTGGCAGACGTAGCCTCCTGGTCTACGCCCGCATTTTCGGTTTCGGGCTCAACGTCGTACTTCTTCAGGAAAAAAGTCTCGATCGCTTCGTGGCCAGAACGTTCGGCTTCGAAAATAGCATCGTGGTCAAAATTATTACGGATAAATGGATCTGCGTCGAATTCATCGCATAGTAACTCCACACAGGCCTCCTGGCCATTTAAAGAAGCCCAATGAAGTGCTGTGTTCCCGGTCTCATTCTGCGCATTTACCCAATCTTTGCGACCGTCTTTGACAAGCGACAGCAGAAACTTAAGCACTTCGGCATGTCCGTTAGCAGCTGCCATATGCAATGGTGTCGATTTAGACGAAGAGTCCCGACAACTGACCAGAAGAGTTGGGTCAACCACGTTCGTGAAAATGTCTTTCAATGACTCCAAATCGCCGGCTCTGGCGTCCAAAATAATAGCATCTTGATCGTCCTGCTCCAAAGGATCTCTGTGCAAGGCCATGCTACGATTTATAGGTCTAAATGAGTCTTCAAATAGAACTTGCCTCCTCGCTTTTTAGCGTTCAAAGCTCATCTCATCGCTTCAAATTTTCGATTTTTCTGTAGTCGTTGACTATGACGACAGCTTCAACAGACTATCAAGATCTTAAGATCAAGCTAAACCGACCAACGTTTTCAACTCGTGGACCACTATTCTTCTGGGAGAAGTCTCCAGAGCGTGTTAACTTTAGGCTTCTATCCATCTGTCCATGGAATCCCGACAATTCTAGTCTTAAAACTGTTACCAAAGAGCATTGTTGCGGAGTTGGTTCGAAGGACAAAATGAGTAATGGAAATAATAAGAACGCTAAGAGTATTGGGGAAATACTCAATAAGGAGCCTGATTTCGTGAAAAATAGTCCGTTAGATCGGTTTTTCGAGGATTTCAAGTGCAAATTTGTGAATCGAATTACTTACAATGGTGACGTGCCTGTTTATGAAGAAGTTGGATGTACAAATTACTTAGAATTTGGAAAACTATGTTTAAAATATCTGGAGACACTGGCGTCCGTTGCAAGTTCAGGAGCTGCCGATAGACTTAACCACAAGGATGCGAGTCAATTGATTCCAATCTCGCTGAATGATATGAAGTATTTCGATCTTTTGCTGAATTTAATTGTTGTGCACTGCTTCACGGCTAATTTGCCCGCAAATGTTGGTATTCCCATAGATCAGCGAAGATTTGATGCACTCGGGAAGACTGATCACAAATTTGACATCCCTGCGGGCCACACAGCAGATTTGGAAATGCTTGCACTTTCGTGTGACACTGTGTATGGAATTTTGGTGAGTTCGTCAATACAAGAAAATATCGTCTCCAAGTTAATGCTCAAGGGTACTGGCTTTACTGATGTGGTTACTGCGGCCATCGCCCTTCAGTGTTTGGGAAGCCAATCTGAAAGATATACCGAAATGATAGATATTTTGGAAAACCTTGTCGAGACATACCAGCTTTTTTCGCTTTACACTTTACTTCTGAATACATCTTCAGAACCAAGATTTAGACAGGTTCTTTTGAGTCGCTTGACGGTGCTGTCAATGGTAAGGAAAGACGGCATTTCTAGCCTAGTTGATTTTGTGGTTGGCATAAGAGAAGAAGAAGAGATCGACATGGCAAAATATGACAGAGTCGCTCACATACTCGTCTCGAAGCCCAAAAGTATTAAAAATGTTGCCTATTTTTCTGCAATATTTGCTCAAATTTATGATTGCCTCGTAGACTTCAACAAGCCAGTTCTCACGAGTTGTATTAATAATGCTATTACGATATTCTATTTGAAGAATAAGCGTATACCACTGGATTTTTTATTCAAGCGGATTTTCAGAGTACTGTACAACACTAGGAACAAGGCCTTTTCCTCCAAGGAGCTCAATGATACGATCAATGTTTTAATTTCGTTATCCAAAAACACATCTTTTGATTTGCTGTCCGAAATTATATCACCTACTCATGGCTCATTCTTCCAAGCCTTATGGGGGTATGCTTTGTTTCTACGGAAACATCAACGACTGCAGCCTGGACCGCAATCCAATGGCACGGAAGCTAAACCATATTATATGGTTATATTAAGCCTTATAAAATCGTACGCTCTTGTCTCAGAAGAAAATCGTGCACTCAATTGCATCATGGATCATTTGGTGGCATTTGAGCACGACGAGTGGGGCTACGCCATTGATTTCGAAACACAGTTGCCCTATATGTATTCCAAGAACAAGGAAGTCACAAATCTGAAACCGCTTACCAAGGATGATAGAATAATGAAATTACAAGAAATGTTTTCTGACATTGATTTAGGCATTGAAATGTTCATGCAACTAACAAGGCTGTTTAACGACCACCGGCTTACAAAAAAGGTCTTCTTATGCACCACAGAACGATGGGTCAGAGGAAATCAGCTTGCGAGACAGAGTCACACCGATGAAGATGACATTCAGAGCAATCTGACAGCACTGATAGACCTCAAGATTCTTGAGAAAATGAACGAAGTTTTCAAGGCAGACATTTTGAAAGACCCAAAAGATCTTCTCGCTCTCATCGATGAGCTCCTAGACCTTAAACCTGAAGAAGTCAGCACTTTCTCATCTCCTGGGGAAGATTCTGATGATGAAGAAAATTCTGATGACGAGGATGGTTACGTCGCCTCCGATGACGAGAGCAGCAGGGTGTTTCATAGAAACGTTCCTAGTGCCTCTGTAACTCTTTTCGAACTTCTAGGCGCTGTTTTGCATTCCACACCTAAAATGGAATTGTTGCGTTGTCAAGGACAGTTGAAATCTATCAGCCAGAAGCTTTCGCAGATGGAAGATAGATCACACACGCAGCACTTGATGGACCAAATTAATTCTTTATTGCAGGATAGCACCGGTAACAGCATCCCTTTCGAGGACTTAGACAGGTTCGATGCAGACACCGAACTTTTGCAAAAGGCTAACAGCTACCTCAATGACTCGATTGCTCCCGTGAGGGCGCAAGGTCTCTATCTGCTGCGCAGTCTGATTTACAAAAAATCGGGCCTTCTTGACGCTAAAAGCGTGCTGGATCTCCATATGCGCCAATTGCAAGACCCTGATCCGTTCATTTACCTAAATGCGATCAAGGGCTTGACGTTACTGTGCGAAATGTGTCCCGAAATTTCTGAATCGTATCTGACAACCTTTTACCGTAACTGTTCAGGAGAGGCATCTTTGGAGGACATTTTGAAAGTTGGCGAGGTGCTGACGCACCGCGTCACTACTTTAGGCGAATTGTTTGGCGGACAATTTGGCCACCAGTTGGTTTCGGCATGTCTAGAAAAAGTGCGACAGCACGGACAAACAGATGACAGACTGCGGATGTCAGCGATGTCGCTGCTGGGCGCGTGCGTGAGAAATAACGTCCTGGCTGTTCGGCGTCATATTAACGACATGCTGGGCTGTTGCTTCGGCATCTTGCGCCTCGAGAAGGCCAATCAAACCAAAACACAGGCTTCTGAGATCATGCGGCGTTCTGCCGTGCATCTCATTCACGACCTAGTTGTGAGCTCTGACCTTTCAATCCTAGCCCGACCCTACGACGTAACTACTTTACTGACATTGCTGAAAAATGTCGCACAGCAGGACAACGACTATTTAGTGTGCGAAGATGCAGCTTCAGTAATTAAGTTGCTAGAAGCGGAGCGCGTTGCCGAAGTTTCTAGAACATTTACGGTGTCTTCGAAAGACATGAGCATTGTTAACCAGCTACGACTGTGAAGAAGGCAAACACATCAGCTCTATCGTCAAGAATATCGATAGAACTGATAGCAAGGGCGTGCAATTGAATGGGGTAAGAAATTATTCCGGTTCAGCTTTACTCCAAGTATCACCTCGATTATAAACCGGTGCGATCACCAAGATCAACAAAATCAACAAAATTAGTCTTCATTGGCTCGAGATGCATCGAAGCAGTGATCTGGAGTTTTCTAGAAACTCAATCATAAAACGAGGTTATTGGGTATTTCGTAAGTATTTCGTACGTAGTAACATATAGATCATTCTAGAATTTTCTTTGACCTGGCAGTTGAGACCCCAGATTATGGGTATATAAGAGCCCTGGTACCGGGCCATTAGGCAAAGGGTATTTGTTTCAATTCGTGCCACTGTCGAACTTTAGGACTACGAGATTCACCCCCCACAAAGATGTCTAACCAAGAGACTTACGAATTTCAAGCTGAGATCACTCAGTTGATGAGTTTGATCATCAACACTGTGTACTCAAACAAGGAGATCTTTCTAAGAGAACTTATCTCGAACGCCTCGGATGCGTTGGACAAGATCAGATACCAAGCGCTTTCTGACCCAAAGCAATTGGAATCCGAGCCTGAACTTTTCATCAGAATCACTCCAAGACCAGATGAAAAAGTTTTAGAGATCAGAGACTCCGGTATTGGTATGACCAAGGCCGAGTTGATCAACAACTTAGGTACGATCGCCAAGTCTGGTACTAAGGCGTTTATGGAGGCTCTATCCGCCGGTGCCGATGTTTCTATGATTGGTCAATTCGGTGTCGGTTTCTACTCTTTGTTTTTGGTCGCCGACAGAGTGCAAGTCATCTCAAAACACAACGACGACGAACAATACATCTGGGAATCCAACGCTGGTGGCTCTTTCACTGTCACTTTGGACAACCACAACGAGAAGATCGGTAGAGGTACCGTCTTGAGACTTTTCTTGAAGGAGGACCAATTGGAATACTTGGAGGAAAAGAGAATCAAGGAGGTTGTTAAGAGACACTCCGAGTTTGTCGCCTACCCAATTCAATTGCTTGTCACCAAGGAAATCGAAAAGGATGTTCCAGTCCCAGAGGAGGAGAAGAAGGACGAGGAAAAATCTGAAGAAGACGACAAGAAGCCGAAATTGGAAGAGGTTGACGAAGATGAGGATGCTGAAAAGAAGACAGAAACCAAGAAGGTCAAGGAAACCGTTAAAGAGTTGGAAGAACTCAACAAAACCAAGCCTTTGTGGACCAGAAACCCATCTGACGTTACTCAAGAAGAATACAACGCTTTCTACAAGTCTATCTCTAACGACTGGGAGGACCCATTGGCTGTCAAGCACTTCTCTGTTGAAGGTCAACTAGAGTTCAGAGCTATTCTATTCATTCCAAAGAGAGCTCCATTCGACTTGTTCGAATCTAAGAAGAAGAAGACCAACATCAAACTTTACGTCCGTCGTGTTTTCATCACTGATGAAGCGGAAGAATTGATCCCAGAATGGCTAGGCTTCGTCAGAGGTGTTGTCGACTCTGAGGATCTACCATTGAACTTGTCTAGAGAAATGTTGCAGCAAAACAAGATCATGAAGGTCATTAGAAAGAACATCGTTAAGAAGTTGATTGAAACTTTCAACGAGATTGCTGAAGACTCTGAACAATTTGAAAAGTTCTATTCTGCTTTTGCTAAGAACATCAAGTTAGGTATCCACGAGGACACTCAGAATAGATCTGCTTTGGCCAAGTTGCTACGTTACAACTCTACCAAGTCTGTCGATGAGCTAACTTCTCTATCCGACTACGTTACCAGAATGCCTGAGCACCAAAAGAACATTTACTTCATCACTGGTGAATCTCTAAAGGCTGTTGAGAACTCTCCATTTTTGGATGCTTTGAAGGCCAAGAACTTTGAAGTTTTGTTCTTGGTTGATCCAATTGACGAATACGCCTTCACTCAATTGAAGGAATTCGAGGGTAAGACCCTGGTCGACATCACGAAGGACTTCGAGCTCGAAGAAAGCGATGAAGAGAAGGCTCAAAGAGAAGAGGAAATCAAGCAATTCGAGCCTTTAACCAAGGCCCTAAAGGAAGTCTTAGGTGAGCAAGTCGAGAAAGTTGTTGTTTCTTACAAGTTGGTTGACGCCCCAGCTGCTATCAGAACTGGTCAATTTGGATGGTCTGCTAACATGGAAAGAATCATGAAAGCCCAAGCCTTGAGAGACTCCTCTATGTCCTCGTACATGTCGTCCAAGAAGATCTTTGAAATCTCTCCAAGATCCAAGATCATCAAGGAGCTAAAGACCAGAGTTGACGAGAACGGTGCTCAAGACAGAACCGTCAAGGACTTGACCAACTTGTTGTACGAGACTGCTCTATTGACCTCCGGTTTCACTTTGGAAGAGCCTGCCTCCTTTGCCTCCAGAATCAACAGGTTGATTTCTTTGGGCCTAAACATCGAGGAAGACGAACCAGAAGCTGAAACTAAGGAAACCGCCACTGAGGCTTCGGTGGAAGAGGTTCCAGCTGAGACCGAGATGGAGGAAGTTGACTAAGTTTTTTCATGAACCATAAGAAACAAAAAACATAGTATATTATCGCCAACGTTGCTCATATCACAACCTCGGAAGGGTCATTTGTCATGTTAAACTTCAATCCCTGTATAAAATATACCTAATATCCAGATATTTTCGCGTTTATTTTCGAAACATTCATTCATTGCAAGCTGTAATTATCATTCGTGCAGATGAAAGGATTCTATGATAATAATTATCTGAGCCTACGAAAGTGTGACAAACTAACTGCTTCCCTCGTAAAAGGAATTTGTGTAGTATGAAAGATCTCAATAGTGATTGTGTGCAGCAAAAAGTTCGTGATCTCCTTCGGGAACTTGATGGTAGGTTGATTTATTTTGCTACAACGATGAGTGGTGGTAACATAAATGCGATGACACAGTGTTACTAACGGACTTTACCGCTTAGAAATAGATGTTGATACTGTGTGCAAAGACCTGAGGGTAGCCGAGTCAAAGGTGAATACTCTTTCGTCCAAGTTGAAAGACTTAGAGCCGGTTTTAAGTGCTTTTGAGAAGAGACAGGCTTATTCGAAAGTTGATCGGGCATCGAAGCTCGTAAGATCAAAATTGGAACAGAACAACAGATCGATTAGAACATTCCAGTTCAAGAAGAAACCTTTGGTTAAGACCTTCTCGGAGAAGACGGCTTTTAAAAGCATCAATCTAGATGTCAATCATGATGCGGTCCAAACTTTAGTTGGCAAAGATCTAACGGTCGAGTGTGGAGTACAGAGTTTTGTAAATTTGACCAAATGCAGAATATCTTACAATGCGCAAGATAGCACCATTCAGAGAACAAATACTGGTGCCTTGAGTTTTGATACGTTCACTGGTTGTTGCGTTGACCTTAACGGACTGCCTTTTCTTAAGGGCAGCATCGCTGCTAGAAACTGTAACTATACTTTGTTCAAGATAGTTCTAACAGCTGAAACCCAAGTCCAAATACGTTTCTACAACCTGAGTAACTGTCAGCTCTATGTGACTAAAAAAGGGTCCCATCGACAAGATATCATACTGGAGAAGTGCGAAAAATGCACAATTCACAGCAGCACGAAAGACTATCTAGATATCTACGACTTCGAACGGCTGGGCTCTCGTTCAACGAATCCAGGAGGTGGGATGGGAATGGCATTTGAGTTTGATGAATTCGAGATTTGACAAGGTACACATTTCGTGAAAGATGACATTTCGATGTTGATGCGATGGGCTTCAATCGTATTTTCGTTTTTCTCAATTAGGCAGGCTTATGATGCGAGAAAGAATGGGTACATCATGGCTAACTTAATTGACCCTTCCTTATTTTAGTTCAAGTTGAGGTCCAGCTTTGGATTGTGTCATAGATTGCGAAATCGAGCGTACAAGCTTCAAAGGGCAAATGGCTTCGATCGTGGAGTCTCCCTCACGAGCGAGAAACGCTTTTCTCGATAGGTACATTACGACGTTAAAAGATGATGGGCGCAGCGTCCTTAAGCCAGTATCACCTTCGCGGATAAACAAAACACCCCAAAGTAGGGAAATTAAGCAGTTTTCTCGTTTGGATGATAATGATGTATTATTCGACGAGAATGCTCTAAGAGAAAGCACCTCTAGGAAGTCGCAGAAAGCCTCAAAACTGGAATTTTTGGCGCTATCACCTCAAAAGACCTCAATTGGCCCCTCTGAGTACTCAAATGACCAGATTTCTTCGATTTCGGCCTCAAATTCTGGCCATGTCTTCGACGTGAAAAGCTTATCAAGCCGCGATGCCAAATACTATGAATTCATGTGTCGCGTAGCTGAGGCGAAGGATTGGATTGAATGCATCATTAAAGAGGAGACTGCCTCCGTGGCAGACTTGGCGAGCGGCGCAGTCATGAGAGATGGAGTTTTTCTTGCCAAACTTACACAGGCTATCAACCCGAGTCTTGTAAAAAAGATCGTGGGGCCCAGCAAAACATTGAACTACACGCACACGCAAAATATCAATGCATTCTTTACACTTGTTGAATCTGCCGGAGTACCCGAGCTATTTCGCTTCGAACTCACCGATCTCTATGACAGGAAGGATATCCCCAAGGTTTTTGAAACTATCCATGCGTTGGCCAACATTATAAGCAAAAAATGGCCCGGGCAGGCTCCTGAAATTAAAAATCTATCTGGTAGAATCACTTTCGGTCAGGATGAGTTGAAAGCTTGCCAACGCAGATATCCCACTATTCACAATTTTAGATCTTTCAAGGCGACAAATTCAGTGATTAATGTTTCCCCAAACAGGAACGGATCAAAGGGCTTAATAACGGATTTTTCATCTCCTGCTTCTTTCGATAAATCACCTCAGAGAAGCCCCCGGGTTAACAAGGAGGTTAAACGTATTAGTGATGACCCTGCCTCGGTTGATGGAGTCGATTTGCCGGTAACGCCAACAACGCCTACTCCGCATAGAGAGAAGCAGCTTGATTTCCAACTTCCTAAAGAGGGCCATCTTGGACAACTTCAGGCTTCGTCCGAAAATGCGTTTTCCCGGAATTTGCAGGATACCGCACCTAGTTTGACTTATAGTGGGTCGTTCAGTCCTGAAAAGTCTTTGCTTTATTATTCCCCTACAATTTCCCGGCATTTATCATATGATACCGGCAATTGGGCTTCTAAAGGATCGGCCATTGACTTTTATGACACAGCAACATATTCTAAACCATTCTATTCACCAACACGCCAAAAGAGAATGAATGAGCTAGAGTTTTTAGATATGATCAACTGTATCCAAGCCATTTGCAGGGGTGTTAATCTGCGCTTCAACCTCTTAATGAGGAAAAGAAAGTTTGAAATAGTGAGTGAAACTGTGCAGCGCATACAAGCAAGCGCCAGAGGGATGTTAACGAGAAAATCTTTCGGGGGCCGAATCAAAATTTCGACGCAAGAGGATGTTTGTACAAATATCATGAATTTTCAGGCAATCATGAGGGGAAAATGCCAAAGAGACAAATTTTATGAGATCCGATTTAATCTCGTTAAATTCGAGAGCGCTCTTTTAAGATTTCAGAATAGATGCTGTTGTGCTGCCAGAAGAAAGAAATATGCCAGGTTATCGGAAGGTATAGGTTTTACCAGACAACCACTAGCATATTTTCAAAGTATCTTGAAGGGAAAGGCTATGAGACTAAAATTAGCGGCAAAGCTAAATCCTCGGTCAGAAGATAGGCACGGCGTGGTCAAGTTTCAAAGCTTTGTAAGAGGAATAGAGTTACGCAAGAGCAAAAACACATCAATGCTCGAGCTTCACGCAGAATTTTCTGTTCTCGTCCAATTCCAAGCGCTTATAAAGGGCTTTTCGAAGAGGCGTCATTTGGCTACGATCAAATCTGGTTTAGGGCGTGAGTTCACGAATTTACAATTATTCGTTTGCGTCCTCAAGGCTCGCCAGGAGCGGTTGCGTATTAGTCAAGTTACCAGGTCTGTAAAAGCCAAGGAAGATCCTATTTCTTATCTTCAAGCGAACATAAAGGGAGTTTTAGCTCGATACGCGTTAGAGCTGATTGATGGATTCGTGGAATACCATTCCCACAACGAAATAATATCTACAATCAGAGGGGCTCTCGTGAGAGCACGTCTACGAAAAATGAACTTGTACTACGTTCAACATACGAAGTCAATCATCAAACTTCAAAGCAAAATTAGGGCCTGTCGGCTCAGGTGGGCGTACTTGGAATTCATGTCCTCCGGCAACCCCAGTTTATGGTCAGTCAAAAGGTTTGCTCACCTCTTGAACCAAATCTATACCTCGCATGAGAGCCAAAGTGACTTAGAAGAGCTCAAGTCCATGATAGATCTCAAGAATAAAGAAAAAGGGAAACTTGAAGCTCATTTACAGCGGCTAAATGCTAAGCGGTTAATCTTAGCTCAAAACAGAATATTAGTGAATACAACTTCAACTGGACCAGATTTCGATATCATGCTGGCGAACGTCGAATCTACTTTTCCCTTCTATGGAAAAATTTTCTACCTACTGCAAGCCGATTCATTTTACTGGAAATTACTATTCCAAATTGACAGATCTTTCTCAATGAAATATGTTTCGAAATCCTTCAGCTGGGTTAATGGTCGAATGAACAGGCGGGAACAAGTCTTCTTCGTCAAGCTCGTGGCGGATATCATGGATTCAGAAATTGAGAAAGTTGCTGAGGTGACAGCCGTCATAGGAGATAGTGAACCGACGACACATTGCTACTCAGAGTTACTCGGGTTCTATGCTTCGCATCAAATTCCTGACTTACTTCTCGGCATCATTCAACCCGCCTTAGAATATCTCGATAACCCACACGTTTCTTTCGAATTCATTCCCTCTGAGATTTATAAGGAAATGAGCTCTGAACATCTCAGCATATCATCTAGCGAGGCAATCGGAATTCCGGAGGTCAAAGAAATTTTCATCAAAAACCTGATGGATATCTGGGCATCCCTAGAACTCATCAAGGAGGGCATCGAAAGGCTAATTTCAAAACCACCTGATGATCTCAAGTACTTATGCACAAAGGCCTACCATTGCGTGGCAGACCGCAGCTCCTCCGAAGAAGATGCACTTTTGGCAATATCGCACATTCTCATTGATACATTTGTGGCTCGCAGTTTGAAAGATACTGCTAAATTTGGTTTAAAGCTCAACTCGCCAGATGGGGAGAAAAAACTGTCAACGCTGGCCTTCGTTGTAAAAAGGGTTTTCTCCTTCCAAATCTTCGAAGGGTATTTATCTCCTCTAAATCAATACTCCGAGCAGATACGACCAGACATCGTAATGATTCACAGAAGCATGTTAACATCGCCTGTTTTCGAGAGCAATCGTGATAAGCTCCTATATTACGACATGTATCAGGACAAGAGACCTACATTGAGTATATCCAGGCAATACATCCTAGATATTACGACAATGTTGGAGAGGAATGCGGCTAGCTTTCCTCATGATGACCCCCTTCATGCCCTGCTAAAAGGAATAAGAGATAATGGTGAGTTACGCGCAATGCAGGCATATCACCAAAACTTATTACTTCTTAATCTCGATTCAACTGCGTTAGCCCTATCTTCAAGTGACCAAAGATTATGCTCAATCTACAATGAAATAAAGCGGGGACTTACTTACATGATGCAAGTCGAAGACGTTGACACAAACCTGTATGACTTATTGACTGGAAGTGTTTTAGAAAAGGATGAACCAGTCTTCCAGAAACTATTAAAGGCGTCTCCCGCTATTAAGCGCGATCCGCTGATGAAAGAGCTCAAAGAGCTATCTTATTTTGCTCTCAAAGAGCATGTTCTTGAAAGAACTTGTGAATTCAAAAGGATGAACGATATGCCGGCCAACGATTCACTTCAAGGGGTTCTCAATGACATTGCCAATACTATCAAATCGAGAGATTTTGTTAAAAATAATGTGACGGTCGAGGTCCAAATAGCGAACAAAACATTAGAAGAAATCGGGATTAGTTGTTCAAAGCTTCAAAAAACCTCAAAGGCTCTAGAAGGATCAATCAGGCAAGCCATCCAAAATGCTCAAAGGGGAAGCAATTTTGAGGCACCACGAAAGCATGGTTTTGGCAACAAATTGAAAAGTGCATATAAAAAAGTGCAAACCAAATCTTCAAAATCTTCAAGTGGACTTTCGTTTCAGTACACTGCGCGCCAGCTTTATGAACATGGCGCTTTACTTAAAATTGATGATGAAAAGCTTGGTAAGGCGGCTGTAGCCTTTTTTGGATCAAGCGGTCCAAAATTCCCAGACATCCAGTTTAAAATTTCCACATCGGACGGGGAAACCTTCAGCGTCGAAATGACTGATCAAAGGAAATCTGGAAATAAGTTAAGTATCACGAAGATGGATACTATAGCCCTTACAAAGTTACTGGATCTTGCAACTGATGGAAAGCAATCTCATGTCAACCTCATTGCCAAAAAAATCACTCTAGATGCCAGCAAGTTCCTGGGGCTCTTGACGGAAACTTTTTTTAAACGTTTAAACGCAAGTAGATGAGTGAAATATTCAATGTTACTTTACCTAGAGTTTAAATTGATCGTACTTATCGAATTCTATCTGACTTTCGGTTGAGGTGTCACTAGCATCTAAATTACTCGATTCTGACTGGAGTTCACAGTTAAGCCAAAATTTAAATTAGCTCTCTAAAGACGTACTAAGATCTGTTTCATGAAATCCGAACGCCAAGCTATTTCTTTTGGGCTGATCTGTAAACATTTTGCTTCACCACTAAATACCTCAAAAAATTCACCTTCCCTCTAACATTCGGAATTCCCTGAGTGATCTTAAGCCATTGATCATGGTTCTTCTTCGACAGTAATCTCCTGGCATGCTCCTGTAAAATGACCTTTGAATCCTCGTCCTCATTTAATAACGTTAGATCTTCTAAGATCTGACCAGTTTTGGTATTCATCACTGTATCCCATTCTGGTGACATATATTCTAAAACTTCCAGACTGCTTAACTGCTTCACTCGTCTCCAAGTGAGAAAAAGGTTGAAAGCATCCCTCAGGATCACTGCTAGGCAACAACCGATCAGATTACTGAGATAGATGCCGTCATCGGAGGTTGACGAATGTTCACCAACAAGCCGTCTGTAGAAACGTAATTTCATCATAAGTTCGCCTAAGATTTTGCCCGCATAAGGCCAGAGAATTGTGGTGCCAATTTTTTCCCAGATGGAAGCTGGTATAATTGCTTCTGAATAATCCAATCCCATTGAAAGTATGAGTCTTCCACAGTATATCTTTAAAACGGCCGCTTTCTTTTTGATGAATTGTAAAACCGACCTCCGTCGTGGCCGGCGGGTTTGATCGGAACCCTCACTCTGCAACTCTTCCAAATACCTTTGTTCTTCTTCATAAAGCTTAATTTGAGCAACTGTCATGCGATCACTGATAAAGTACGGCTTTACTTCGTGGACCCATTTGAAATAAAGCGGGTTCAGCACAAATACGAAAGCCACCTCGTGTAGTATAGCGAGAGGATATTGATACAAAAGGTATCTTTTGGCATTGCTTTGCAATTTCTCGTTGGAGCGTAAAAAGCACAGAGGGTAGATCCAATTAAGCCACGACAACAATGCGCTTTGATACCGGAACCCCATTAAATAAAGAGGTGTCATTGCCAAAATGGCAATTTGAGAAAATCCAATGTTGTTATCGCTGAAAGATTCTAGTAAAGTGGATCGTCGTAGACCAAGAAGCTTAACCAAAGTGCTTTCGGGAACCAATGCAGTCATAATGCGCAGACCAGCTGACATTAAAACCCCTACTGCACTAATCAAAAGCGAGCTTCCCACAGTTCCAACAACCGTGACTAACGTCAAATTTCGTACGGAGTATTCAAGAGTCTTGCAAACGGCCGAAGTGGCCAAAAGGCTGAACTCTCTTGACGTTCTTAGTAGAATGGGCGTGTTACATTGAGGACACACTGTGTTAATGACGAATTTCTTTGATAGCGTCGTTCCACGTCTATGGCGCTGTCTAGCACCCAGTGACATGGCTTCCGTGACTCTTGAAAGCGTTTCACTATCTACATCAGCAGCAAACGCTCTGCTTATGCTACTGGTGTCAAAATCGGTTTCACTGTCCATGAACGCTTGACCATTCAAATTCGTAGGGTCAAGGTAATTGAAAAACGGTCTAAAAGCACCGCGACCGCTTTCAAATACTGAATAATTGTCTGTGAAATTAACAGAATGGAACCCAATTTCGTTAGACCGGAGTCCCAAATTCTCTCGGATCGAAGCTTCTTTTTCCAAATTGTTACAAGATACCCATTCCAACAGACATTTCCTATGCGCTTCTAACGAACAACTACACGGTTTTACCCAATCTTCAGCATCCCGTGATGTTCCCAACGGCGGTGGTTCTTTCCCAGAACCCAAGCATATCCAACACCGACGTTCACTGTCCATTGGAACTTTTACTCAATATCTTGACTTAATTGACTTAGTCAAGTTCTTGATTTTCATGTTCTCTCTATCGAGCTCATATCTGGATTACTGCAAAGCAGAAAAAATCATAACTAGTTTGATGGCCGTTAGCGATTTCTGTTGTCATCAACTTTCATCAATTGAATTTATATAGTTGAGGAGGTGGCGAAATTTAATCTTCGTTTAATCCCTATTTCCGCTGGATAGATTAGGCTTCCTTCCAATTTATTAGTGAAAGGGAGAATTAGAAATAAAGTGAAAATCGCTTTCCAGCGATGAGAAAAGCGGTCTCGGTTCATTAGTGTACTTGCTTTGGCTAAACAGTTACCTCTTTTGGTTAAAGTGGGTAACGTTGCGATAGTGATTTTCGTCAATTAAACATCTTCAACGACCAAATAATCCAAAAAGGCCACGCTTCTTTGATGGAGTGTTTACATCCGTTACGGCTTCTGCGTTTTGTGATGTGAACTCGGACTCATGAAGAGGCTCCTGTTCGTTCTCTTCGTAAGTAATATAATTGAACGCGAGGTCGAAAAGTGTGGGCTTTACGCCTACGGGACGCACAACAGGGTTCAGGGGGAACAGTTTGGTTGTGTTGGCATCCTTTGGACCTATACTCTTGCCCAGTTTCTCGACTAAACAGCGACAGTTTTTGTTGTTTGAATCTGTTGCTATGCTTTTCTCGTATTCGGCTAGAGCGAGCACACCTTTCCAGCCACTGGTGATCAACTCTTGCAACAAAAGCAGTTTGTCATTGGTGATAATGTCTCCCGGTAGACCTTCTTGCAACATGCCCTTTCCGGTCGCGTCCTCTAGCTTTCGTGCTGAATCTACGTAGAGCGCCAGGGACTCCGAGTACCTCTGATGCGATTGGAAAAGAGGCGCAAGACATCCTGCAGCTAAGTGAAGCTTATAGTACAGGGTCGCAAGGTTCAAAGAGTGCATCAATTCGTCATCGGAGTAAACACCAGGCAAATCCATGATATCTTGCAAATAAGTGCACACATTGCTTACCAAACGCTCAATTTCTCTGTATTTGGTGAGTCTCACACTTAGCGAGTTTTTGGCCGTACACCACTGGTTCCAAAGCTTGCAGAAAAGTACGTCATCACGCTCAACTTGCGTGAAAAGAAGACTGTATCTGATAAATGACAGCACGATTTGGTCATCTTCATCGGCAGCAGCATAGTCGGACTCGCCCTCGATTTGCAACAGAGACTGTTGATAATCCAGAGCGGTCTGCCATTTGGCTATTTTATCACTGAATTCAGACAAATCTCTTGGAAATTGTTCCTGGGCTTCCGCGACCACTTCAGCCACACGAGGATTACGCAATTCTGCTGTGAAAGTTCTCCACTGGATGCTTTTCAATTTTTTTTCCTCACCATACGCCGGTGCATTGGTGTCTGAAATCTTGTAGCCGTGCTCTGCAATGATTTGCGCCAGCGGATCTTTCATGCAGTGTTGCAAATTACTGTTCACAAAAGCTCTGAGTTCACGGTGTGTGTAGAGGTTCGCCGAAGCATGCTGCTTCAATAAGTACTCGAATTGAGCGATAACAGCATCCACCAATTTGGAATCCAGTTTTTGCTCCGCCTGCAAATGCCACAACGCCGCAAAAACCAGAGTGAGACCCTGGACAATTTTCATGGACTTCTCAGGCTCTGAAGAAAGACGACTCAGAGTCTGATCCGCTAGTAGTTGGACTTGACACAACTTGTCGATGATCAAATATTCGGTTCTAGTCTCCCAAGCGGTTTCGTTTTGGGTCACCTCCAACAATTTGGCGGACGTGTTACATATTTTCTTAAGCCGGGCTCCAATAACTTTGCGTTCATTACGCTTCAAAGCTCCTCTTTGACGAGCTCTCAATCTCAAGCATTCCACCAATGCCAAGTCTCTCTCACAATGCAACAGCAAAATCGTTCCTAGAAGCTTGTTTTTGGTATCATACTCGTCTGAAGTAAATTTAGACAGCTTTTCCTTGCTAGAATATCTCTTTGTGTCCCTGGTGGTCAAGTTACAACGTCTTCTGAGATTTTGGAGTTTACGATTCAATTTCGCGTGATATTTGTCAAAGTCTGCAGAAGTTTCGAGGAATTGATCCGCTCTTAGCCCATAGGTAGCGCCCAAAGGCGAATAATACTCCATTCTGATGATTAAATACACTCAATTGGCCCGCAAAGTGCCCTGGTTCTCTGCCACCAAAACCGTTTTGTCTGGATTTCTTGAGGTGGTTGAATTAGCAAATTTTTCATGTATTACTCGAAAGATACTCACTTCCGTAGTTCACGATATGGCGAATCAATGACCGAGCTCGAGAATACTGTCAAATATCGTTCAATATGTTAACTCGAGATGAGCCAAAAATTAACACTCATTTGTGTGGCTATTGATGCTTTGAATGAGCGTCTGGATTTTTATTTCTTTGGCTTAGATAATTTTTTTGGGCCTTCAACTTTTCAAGAGGCTTTTTTTGAGGTAAGGTTTGATGGGTTTACCAGTAAGACTCGCCATTTCGGTAGCTGGTATATATATCGCGTTTCTAACCTGGAGTTTGGTTCACGAGCCTCTTACAACAAGACAATGGCCGAATTCTGGTCGTCGATTTGAGTTTCCCAGCGTTGTGGCGCTTGTACAGGGTCTGATTGCGATCATTGTGGGTATGGTATATTTGAAGCGATCTCACCCCACATATCGGACCAGGCAGTTTATGCGAGACCATGGGCATGAACTGCTGTCTATTTCGTTAAGCCAAAGCATTTCGACCCCGCTTGCCAGTTATTCACTCAAGCATGTCGATTTTCTGACGTACATGCTCGCCAAGAGCTGTAAGTTGGTCCCGGTTCTTGTAGTGCACCTGTTGGTGTATCGTACAAATGTGGGCACGACTAAGACCGTTCTTGCTCTTATCGTGACATGTGGTGTGCTCATTTTCAATATGGGTGGTGATTCCTGCAAATCCAAGCAAACAGTGCCAGGCTCCCCACTCTCCGGAGGTGTCATTCTTCTATTGGCAAGTTTGCTGCTCGACGGGTACACGAACGCAAGTCAAGACAGAATGCTAAAACGCAATCGAAGTGCGGGGATAAGTCAGGCGAAAAAAAGCATTACGGGTGCACATCTCATGGTGGGTCTCAATATTTGCATTGTTCTATGGAACGTTTTATGCTTAGTCTTTTTGAGCCCAGACCAATTCCAAAATGCTGTCAATATGATTTCAAAAGATTCGGTAATCATATACTACTTAGCGACATATGCTATATGCGGAGCGCTTGGACAAGTCTTCATTTTTTTTACTTTGGAAAATTATGGCTCTCTTGTGCTCGTAACTGTGACAGTTACGCGGAAAATGTTCTCCATGATCTTAAGCATAGTCATCTATCGGCATCAGGTTAGTAGACTGCAGTGGGTTGGCGTAGCAACGGTGTTTGGTGGAATTGTAACCGAAGCAGCTTTGAAAAGGAAATCTGCGCAGGATGTCAAGAAATTGAAAACTCAATAGGATTTACGTGATAGAGGGCCATGACTATGCCATTCTTGGATGACTATAAACATTAAATGGCAGAAATTCAACAATAATTAATGTTTTCCTATAGATGTTTCACTTGGAAGTGAACTGTGTCCATTGCAATGCCAAACGATAACGCTGGTGTCTATAAAGGACTCATAAAAATAGTAGTCATAATGATTTTTCCACACACTCTCTTAAGCGTCTCCGCAGGTTAGGATTGTAAGCATAAATGTAAAGACCCTTAACACCACGAGTCAACAAAACGTTTATGCTGTTCATTATAATCTTCTCCTTGACGTCATTCACCTCGTTGATATTTTTCTTCTTTGTAAAGCCTGCGTGGTCGTCGTAAAGACTTGGAATGAGCTTGATGCTGTCCGTTTCAGAGTCGTAATCTACGCAACGACCCAAAATTACACCAGCGTAGTTCAAATCGAACCCTTGAATGGTGTAAACACTTCCTACTTCTTCAAAAGTGTCTGGCCTCTCGCTCCAAGGGAGAACCGCTCTTGGAGCGTACCGATCCCATCTCACTTTGAAATTGTCACCGCAAGTCACGAAATAATCCTTACCATCTAGCCGGTACGGGAAATCATAGGTCGCGAGCATTCTACATTGTCCAATTTTGCCGTTCAGCTCCCGAAGAGCCGAATACATTTCACTACAGTCGTCCCAAATTCGAAAATCAAAGCTCGATTTCCCAGACCTAACGGATTTAGGGAAGTCTAAGATTCTTCCCTCAGTGCTGAGCGCCTCTATCCACTCCAACGTGTCATTTTCTGCCACAACTCGAAACTGCTGTTGCAAATTCCGCCATTGCTTGTTCTCGGTGGGTAAAATCTCGAAAAATCCGGAAAGCGTCGAACCATCGCTAGTGTTTTCATCCCAGTAGGAACCCATTCGCAGTGATTGTTTGTCGTCGTACACCACCAGAAGTACCTTGGCCAATTTCATAAGCTCTTGCAAATGATTTTCGCCGTAAAACCGCTTGAAAGCGTCCTTCGAAGTCGCCAAGAGATGTGCTTCATCGACAATCACAACGTCGGCTTTCAATTTGGACTTTTCGAGCCGATTGATCAAACTGGTCGGTCTCTCGAGTGCACTTTTCGAAATGTATGGGAACGGTTTCGAAATTCGATGGTAAAGTTTTAACATTTCCGGATGATTAACCACCAGGAAGTTATCAGTGTCTGTCAAAACGTCATTCATGCAGTCATTAGACTTTGCTCTACGCTGTATCTCGTTGAACAACACATTGAGAATCACAGATTTACCTGTACCGGCATCTCCCTGGATAACAAACATAGAAGGTTTCCCATCGTAGTTTTCAAGACGATCCTCGACAAATTTCAATGCATCGTTCTTCAAATTTACCTGTTCTTCCGACAATGCGACGTGTGACAGTTTTTCAATAGCATTATTTTCTATAGACGAACCCATTGAGTCCATAATTTTCGACCGTTTCATAGGTCTTACCATGATTGATTGAAATCTCAAGATTCTGAGTGAAATCTGTTTAAGCATGTATTGAGTTCATGATATATATATCATCGTGTCTAAATTCCGAGATGTCATCATCACCATTGTTTAATTAATTTCGGACTTAAGAAATTGAAAAATTTCATGTGAATAAGCCCTGCTAACCTCAGAACTAGTAGAAACGATGAACTTGAATTGGTTAGGTTTATCAGATGGGCAACGTCCATCAGCACTTGCCAGTGGGCTTGTGATTTTCTTGGGCTTCCTTTATTTGTTAAATTCGCGTGTTGTTGACATTGTCGTACATGTACGTCTGATGCCTCAAGCACTATTCAGCTTAGAATGTAAGTGATTTATTGAAAATCAGTGGAACCACCATTAAAAGCTATTACTAACACAAATGCTTGAATTGCAGTAAACCGATTGTCGTTGTATCCTTTACTTCATCTGTCCTTTTTGCACTATGCTTTGAACAGCATCTCACTTTTCGGACCTCTTTCGTTCTTCGAGAAAACACACGGAACTGTCTACACTGGAGTGATTCTTAATTTGCTGGCTGTGTTTACCGCGTTACTGTATTGTGTTGTGGGCCGAATTTTGTATCCTGAGGTCAGCGTTGTAGGCAGCAGTGGATGGTGTTTCTCATTTTTCGCCTACATTGCTTTGAAAGAGTCCCAGATTAACCCTCAACAAACCTATTTCTCGCGGTTTTCGTTGCCGACCATCTACACTCCTGTAGTTTTGCTGGTTTTAACGAAAATAATATGCCCCGGTTCTAGCTTTTGGGGCCATTTCTTTGGCATGTGTGTGGGTTACGGAATGGCATTTAAGGAAAACTGGGTAAGCAAGCTCGTTCCCCCTAGCGCTCTCATTACCAAGATAGAGACGAAGCTGGACCGTGTCATAAATTTGATCCCTTTTGGTATCAAGTATTACAGAGAACAAGAAGTCGACAGAACCGTTGGGTACACGAGCATCTTCCCACAACAAGGCTCGGTGTTGCCAATACACTCCGCAGAAGGTTTCCAAGGGCAGGGAAGAGCTTTGGGTGTTTAGTTCCTTGCATTTTTAGCTATCAATTTGTCCTCGCTCGAAAATCAAGAGTTAGATGTGTATTTATATATGTACAGGTATTATTTTGACTATCGAGATTTAGCAAGCTAACCAAACTACAGCGACTGCATCACGTATTTCCGGATCAGGTTTTTCTTGATATTACTCTTGAGCTGTTCCGGTTCCATTACCCCGTTTTCACGTAGAAACGCGTTCGCATCTGGGTCGTTACCCATAAGTTCACGTACCCGACCTTGCACGGTCTCCACGGATTTTCTTTCGTCTTCAACTCGCTGTCCCAATGCCATGATATCCAGCTGCAAAAGCTCTCTTAGCGTGCCAGCCGTAAAGTTCTCTAACCCGTATCTTTCCTTGATTTCTACCAGCTCCTCTGCACTCTGACCGCTTGCCAGTGCCTCCTGTATCTTACGTATGTCCATGAGCAGAACGCTTTCCTGGGCGCTCAATTGCTGCCTCTTGCTCAAAAATTTCTGTGTCTTCTGGGCCTCTTCTTCCGCCACACGCGTCATGGCCTGCGACTCGTACAACGCAAACTGTTGACCTTTGTTTTTGATAATCTCCGCTATACTGAAGAACTTGCGTTTCGACAACGGCCGAGTCGCCTCAATACGCACCAGATCGCCCTCCCTCGATACCTCGCCTTCGTCATGCACCAGATAGTCCTTTCTGCGAAAAAGTTCTTTGTTAATCCGCTTATTAAACACCTTTGTCTCCACTCTGACCTTCACTGTCTTCATCATCTTCCCTTGAGAAACAACAAGTCCCAAAAAATTCTGGCGTGCCATTTTTTTCCCCCGAAAAAACCCCCAATCAATATAATCGACTGTTCAATACCCTTCAGAGGCCCCCAATCGCACTAAATCAAGCCCTTACTTGTCTAACTCAAGCTTTGAAAATTTTTTACTGGTCCCATCAGCATCGAGTTTCCATATGGGCAAAAGATTCATATTATCACCAAAGATCATGTGTTAATCACGTGACATAATCAAGGAAATTATCACCAAATCACGTGCTCTATGTGGTTTGAACACTTGTATCAACCAAAAATGGGTCAATTTGATCGGTTTGAACGCCATTCTAGTATTTCACCACTCAATTACGTCTCTGATTTATCCAAATTCCGGTCTTTGGAGTTTTTTCTTTAGTTTTTGCCCGTTTCCCGCTGCAAAGAGGTTTTTCCAACATTACAAGAGGCTCTTTTAATTTGAATATACAAGAAAGCGCCTTCAGAACATCACCATAAAGGCACCATTATGGATCAGTACAGAGGCGGCAAAAGAAGCTCCATATCGTTTGGAAGCTACCAGAGACCCTCCGTGAATTTTAACCAGAGCGCCTCGTCGTATTACACGCCCAGACAGGTTTACGCGGGACAGCAAAATTCTCAAAACGGGAACAGAATCAGGTCTTGCAACTACGAAGCATCTTTCCCGCTGTTTGCATTGGACTGGAGTACACAGGATTATGTGGCTTTGGGCTCTTACAAAGAGGACGCGTTCAACAAGCTACAAATAATTCATTCTGCAGACTTGGCGACGTGGGACCGGGTCTGCGAGGCCAATGTCGTTTTCCCAATTTCAAGGGTGCAATGGTGTCCCGACGGCGGGTCGCAACAGCTTGCTACTTGTTCAGATTCGCTAAGACTCTGGACTTTTGCAGATTGTCAATTGCGAGAACAAGTCAATTTGTCGCTACGACGTTACAATAAGGGCGCCGTAGCCACCGTGGCGTCAGTGGGCCAGCTACCGCCCGTAACTTCGTTCCAATGGAATGCGATTGACACAAATATGCTAATATCTTCGTCCATTGACACGACTTGTACCGTGTGGGACCTGCAATCGCCCAATTCCATCAAGACGCAGCTCATAGCGCACGACAGCGAGGTGTTCGACGTCAAATTTCTGACGCAGTCGACGCAGCTGTTCACGAGTTGTGGCGGTGACGGCAGCGTGCGTGTTTTCGACCTAAGAAGTCTCGCGCATAGTACTATTATCTATGAACTCATGCCCTCGGGCACTACCGCGGCCGCAGCGGAATTGGCACACACAGGCGGCAGCAAAGCGCTTCTGCGGCTCGAGCCGTCGCCCTTCGATCCGAACGTGGTCGCGACTTTTGCACAGGACTCCAATTCCGTCGTAATCCTCGACATGCGGTTCCCCGGTTCCCCGGTTTTGACACTAACGGGCCACACTGCCGCGGTCAACCAGATTCAATGGCACCCATTCAAGCGCAATGTTCTGTTCAGCTGTGGCGACGACTGCCAGGCGTTGTACTGGGATCTCAGCTCGTCGCTACACGCCGCTCCATCTTCGACTACGTCGTCTTCCAAATGGAACCCTAATAACCTAGCGCATACCTCAGACGTGCCTCAGATGGCCTACAACGACGAAGTCTACGAGATCAACAATCTGGTGTTACGTCCTAAAGGAGACTGGCTTGGTTGCACTCTGGGTCGTCAATTTCAAGGTGTCCGGGTATGAACAATGACCAGGCTCTACAGATTTCAAAAAAACCTGCAAAATTCAGCCTCAAGCATGAGAACCAGTGAAAGGAACTGATAGGCTCTTAACCGTTGCTGACTAGCTCTCGGGCTTTTCCACAGTGTTGAACGAGCTATTTGATCATGGAAACCACGTGATCGAATCCTCAAGTTCGGAGTCAAGATCACCGAGTCAAAGGCCAAGAGTTGCGCCAGTAAGACTCCTTTGGGGAGGAGTCAAGGGAGTGAACCGATGAGATATGATGAACTGTCTGATAACAGCGTTACCGGTGGCTATAAAAGCGAGGACAACCAAGCTTGAAGGTATTCTCGAAGCTTGTTTAAGTGTTGCTGACTACCGGCAGCAATTTCTCAATTGCTTTGATCCCCATTTTCCGTGATGCTCAGATCCAAGACAGCGGTCCAATTCAATAAGCTCGTCGCGAGGAGCTTCCACAAACACTCTGTGGTGAGGCGGCAAGCAAATGTGTCTTCCGGACAATTTGGTCAGGTATTTAAAAGCGCTGGAGGTGCTTACACGCCCTTAGACACATTCCAAAGAAGACATTTAGGGCCCAGTCCCGGTAATGTCAAGGACATGCTTCAGACTATGGGATACCAAGATTTAGACAATTTTGTGAAAAACGTGGTACCCGATCAGGTGCTCACAAAGCGTCCGTTGAAGCTGGATGCCCCCGATAGGGGTTTCACGGAGCAAGAAATGCTGCGGAAACTACAAGACGTCGCTAGCAAAAACGATTGGCAAGTCAAAAATTTTATTGGGAAAGGTTACTACGGTACAATTTTACCGCCCGTGATCCAGAGGAATCTTTTGGAGTGCCCAGAATGGTACACTTCGTATACGCCATACCAACCGGAGATCTCACAAGGGAGGCTCGAATCGTTGCTCAATTTTCAAACAGTTGTATCCGATTTGACCGGTTTACCCATCGCAAACGCTTCTCTGCTGGACGAAGGCACTGCGGCCGGTGAAGCGATGCTTTTGGCGTTCAATCAGGCCAAGAAAAAGAGAAGCAAGTTTGTGATCGACAAAAGACTACACCCTCAAACTAAATCTGTCCTTAAAACGAGAAGCGTTCCTTACGCGATCGAGATCGTGGAGGTCGACACCTATGATGTCGATGCCGCTGTGAAGATTCTTGCCGATAAGCAAGTTTTCGGGGCTATCGTGCAATACCCGGCTACGGACGGTTCTATCATCTCTGGGGATGCTCTGATCGCTATTGCCAAGACATTGCACGAAAATAAAGCTTTGCTCGGTGTCGCTGCGGATTTGATGTCGCTGACGTTACTCAAGGCGCCCGCTGAATTTGGTGCCGACTTGGTATTTGGCTCTTCTCAGCGTTTCGGTGTACCTTTTGGTTGCGGTGGTCCACATGCCGCTTTTTTTGCCGTCATAGACAAATTGAGCAGAAAAATCCCAGGAAGAATAGTTGGTGTCTCTAAGGATCGATTGGGGAAACCGGCGCTACGTCTCGCTTTGCAAACCAGAGAGCAACACATCAAACGGGACAAAGCCACTTCCAATATTTGTACTGCGCAGGCACTTTTGGCTAACATTGCCGCTAATTACTGTGTCTACCATGGTCCAGAGGGCTTGCGTGACATTGCGCAGCGCATCTACGGATTTACATCCGTGTTGGCTTCGAAAATTTCGAAAGAGACTAATCACCAAATTGTCAATAAGAACTGGTTCGACACTCTGACAATAAAACTAGCTGACGGCGCTTCTTCTTCTCGAATCTTGCAGTTCGCATACGATAAATACTCAATTAACCTTTTCCAAGTCGATGAGAACACGGTCGCTCTGTCATTGGACGAAACCGTGAGCAAAGAGGACCTTGTGAGCTTGTGTCAACTTTTTGGTGCATCGGATGATCTTCCAACTACTTTGCCTCACTTCCCAACTGAACTACAGCGCCAAGACGCCATCTTGACAAACGAGGTGTTCAATCAACATCACAGTGAGACTGCTATGTTGAGATACTTGCATCGTCTACAGAGCCGCGATCTTTCCTTAGCAAACTCCATGATTCCTCTTGGCTCTTGTACCATGAAGTTAAACTCTACGGTAGAAATGATGCCAGTAACATGGCCCCAGTTCGCCAATATCCATCCATTCCAACCTCCAAGTCAAACGAAGGGCTACGAGGAACTCATTGCATCGCTAGAATCGGATTTGGCAGACATCACGGGACTCGATGCAGTCTCTTTGCAACCCAATTCCGGAGCACAAGGTGAGTACACGGGTCTTCTTGTGATCAAGAATTATCTGAGCTCGATCGGTCAAAGCCATAGAAACGTCTGCTTAATCCCCGTCTCTGCTCACGGCACAAATCCTGCTTCCGCAGCTATGGGTGGTATGAAGGTGGTTCCTGTCAACTGTTTGGAGGACGGGTCGCTCGACTTGGAGGACTTGAGACGCAGATCGGACCAGCATAAGGATGATCTTGCCGCCATTATGATCACGTACCCGTCCACATATGGTTTGTTCGGTCCAAGCATCAAGGAAGCGCTGGACATTGTCCATGAGCATGGTGGTCAAGTGTATTTGGATGGAGCGAATATGAACGCCCAAGTTGGATTGACCTCTCCAGGTGATTTGGGCGCAGACGTGTGTCATTTGAACTTGCACAAGACGTTTGCCATCCCACACGGTGGCGGCGGTCCCGGTGTCGGTCCTATCTGTGTCAAGTCGCATTTGGCGCCTTTCCTACCACGCCACGACGTGGTCGATATGATCACGGGCGTTGGAAGCGAACAGAGCATATCGTCGGTCTCGAGCGCGCCTTACGGAAGCGCCTCGATTTTGCCCATTTCCTACGCGTACATCAAGATGATGGGCTCGCAAGGGTTGCCCTTCTCGTCCGTCATCGCGATGCTGAATGCCAATTACATGATGAATAGACTCAAGGGCCATTACGACATTCTGTTTGTTAACGAAAAGTCCACCATTCGTCACTGCGGCCACGAGTTCATCGTCGACCTGAGAGCTTATAAGACGCACGGTATCGAGGCCATCGACGTCGCCAAGAGACTACAGGATTACGGTTTTCACGCGCCCACGCTTGCGTTTCCGGTACCGGGCACGCTGATGGTTGAGCCCACGGAGTCCGAAAATCGCGAAGAGCTCGACCGCTTTGTGGACGCCATGATCTCGATCAAGCGTGAGATCGACCTTTACATAGCCAAGGACCCTCGAGGTGCCGTGCTGAAAAACGCTCCCCACTCGTTAGACGACGTGGTTACGAGCTCCGACTGGAACCAAAGAGGTTACACCCGAGAAATGGCCGTGTACCCGCTGCCATATCTGCGCTACAACAAATTCTGGCCCCCAGTGGCCCGTCTGGACGACACCTACGGCGACATGAACCTCATGTGCACATGTCCGAGCGTCGAGGAAGTTGCCAATGAGTAGGCGTCGCTAGCGACGTCTACTCTCTAAAGCTCCTAACCCACACATCCAAGCATTGTTACATAAAGCCTTATCATCCTATATAGATCAAGCCCAATCAGATTCATCTGTTAGTCATCTGTGACCCAATGCATCTGGGCCCTGACTTTCTTCGAAGTCAACGGTCGTCGGCCACATAGCGGTCCTTAAAGCGGAAAATTAGCGAAGAGAACCGGCAACAACAATGGGATCGTCAATGACTTTAGGGTCTTCCTTTTTTTTCCGATGCAGTTTTTTCCGGTTGAAATGTTTTTCCGAAGGGAGATGATCCGGAGTGTGGCATCGCAATTTCAAGAAAATTGTTAACTGTGGCTTGGCGGTAAAGTGCGCCAAGTTGAGTAATCTTAATGGACCGAAAGCGATGACTGCATGTGAAGCATTGTGATGGTAGAGCCTATATAAAGAGTGGAAAATGTGGAGGACTTGCCCTGGTAGAACTGGTGGATCGTTGCTTACCAAAACATTACATTACCGAGATGAGTGGTGTAGCCAAGAATTTGGTTTCAGGAATGGATGGCCTGGCTAGAGAACTAGTCATAGATCCATGGAAACGTCTGAAATGGGGGTTTCTCCCAGTGAGAAGAGTTGTGGATGATGAGGAGGAGAAGCTCGAAAAGTCGGGTTCGTTAGACGAGTCTGGGGCCGGTGATTTTGAAAGCTCGAATGACAAGACGAAATTGAGTGTCAGCGACGGGAGCGCGGCTTCGACGACGGAACTTGCAGATTCGAACTTGGAATACAAAGACGAGGCAAACCGGAAATGGTGGTCGTTTTTCAACGAACAGGAGTACCGTGTGGCTCCCACTAAGACGAAAAAAAACAAGTGGTACCAGTGGTTTGGACCTGACCTTTCGACCAAAGAGAAAAAACTGCTTTTGAAACTGGACGTTTTGCTTGCTTTTTATTCTTGCATCGCCTACTGGGTCAAGTATCTGGACACCGTTAACCTGAACAATGCGTACGTGTCGGGTATGCGTGAGGAGCTTCATTTTAAGGGCAATGACCTTGTTCACGTGCAAGTCATGTACACCATAGGAAACATCGTTTTCCAGGTTCCGTTTTTGTTCGTCTTGAATAAAGTGCCCTTGAACTACCTTTTACCCTCGCTGGACATCGCTTGGTCGCTTTTGACCGTCGGTGCCGCGAAAGTCGACTCTGTCGCTCATTTGAAGGCTATACGGTTCTTCATTGGCGCGTTTGAGGCGCCCTCGTATTTGGCGTACCAGTATTTGTTTGGGTGTTTCTACAAACACGATGAAATGGTGCGTCGTTCTGCTTTCTACTACCTTGGCCAATATGCAGGCATTCTTTCGGCCGGTGGTATCCAGGCGGCTGTGTATGCGACTATGAACGGCGTCAACGGATTGGCCGGGTGGAGATGGAATTTCATTATCGATGCTATTGTCTCTGTGGCAGTCGGTATCATCGGTTTTTACTCGCTGCCCGGTGATCCCTACAACTGTTACTCCATCTTCCTCAGCGACGACGAGATCAGATTGGCTCGCAGAAGGCTAAAGGAAAACAACACGGCAAAATCGGACTTCTCCAGCAAATTCCTAGACATTAAAGTTTGGAAGTCTATCTTCCTCGACTGGAAAATCTATATTTTGACGATTTGGAATATATTCTGCTGGAACAACAACAACGGAACATCAGGCGCCTACCTTCTTTGGTTGAAATCTTTAAAAAATTCGGCCGGAGCGACAAGATATTCGATTCCCAAATTAAATCACTTGAGTATGATTACACCTGCTCTCGGTATGATATATCTGTTTTCGACCGGTATTTTTGCCGATAAATTTCATAGCAGGTGGGGTGCTATCGTTGTGACTCAAGTATTCAATTTTATTGGTAACGTGATTTTAGCCGCTTGGGATGTTCCAGAGGGCGCTAAATGGTTCGCTTTCATGTTGCAATATTTTGGTTGGGCTATGGCCCCAGTATTATATTCGTGGCAAAACGACATTTGTCGTCGTGACGCACAATCTAGAAGCGTGACATTGGTCACCATGAATATGCTCGCTCAGACAACTACCGCCTTCATGTCCGTTTTGGTGTGGAAGACTGTCGATGCTCCTCGTTTCTTGAAGGGTTACACATGGACTGCGGTAAGCGCATTTTGTCTTTCCGCTTGGACTCTTGTTGTCCTATGGTTTTACAAGCGTGAAGAAAAGCGTCATGCGAGGGAAAATGGTATCGTGCTTTATAACTCGAAGACAGATGGGGACACCGAGGTCATTAAGTCCGAGGCGTAAATCTGTCCTGGGATAAGGATTTCATTAAATATATAACTTGACATTGTAATAATAATTCATAATGCTTGGTTTTGATTTCATGTTTTCATATGCTGACCTTATTTTTTACTCCATGATTTCCCATTATATTTAGACTTGTATCCCCGCCTGTATTTGCCTTGACTTTTCTGAGTGGTCTGTTTTTTGGAGCTCCTGGCCTGAGTAAACCCTGTAGCTGAGCGCTGCGACACGAATTGAGATTTCCGTATCTGTTCTATGATTGCCTCATTTTCCTCTTGATCATCAGCATCAAGGAATTCCACCCCATCGGTAAACCAAGGAGAATGTTGTCCAGTTGCCGAAGCTTTGTCTTCGGATCGGGTAGCAAGATTTTTGATCTCTAAGATAGTAGGTTCTAGCGCCTTAAAGGCCTCGTAAAAATGAAAAACACCTGGAATTCGTGAAAAATCGGAGCTTGTTGTCGGTAGTGTTATAGAGATCTGTTTGAGCGCCCCATCAGAGATTAGTGAGGTATAACTCTGAAAGGAGAGCCTGTTAGCCGCTCTGATGGCTGCATCCTTAAGTTTCAAAAATGGGCTCGTTTTTTCCTTTGCAACAACCTGATTGAAGTCAAAAACCGCTGAATCCTCATGGGGTCGATATGCGAAAGCATTGATACTACCCTGCTCAGTAACGATGGGTGCGTCTGTTGCCTTGTTTGACGGCTCTTTCGCATTATCATTGGTTTGACAAGTGGCTGACGGCGGCCTCCCAGTTTTTGAGGACTCATTAGTAATAGCAAACTGCATTTTAATACTGAGCTTCCCCGCGAGCAGCTGTCGTGCTTTGGGACCAATTCTGACGTAATTCGAGGCGAACCCACGCCCATTCATTACTGCGTATTCTTGCAAAACTTGAGTGGTCACAAGGTGAAAGAATATGCGTTCAAGATCTGGCTTCGACGTGTCTCTACCGCTGCCGTGATATTCCAGATTATCGTGCCCTGCTTGTATGATCTTTGCACTTTTTGATCCTTTGTAAATATCTTGGCAATGTATCAGCGTGACTTTCTCATCTTGGATGGAACGGACCAATTTGACGATATTTGTAGCTTCGGGTGTTACGTCTCGCGACTCTGTTATTGCATTCTGAGTGTTTCGGCAATTGTCACAATTTTTTTGGCATAGACGAGAATTGAAGTCTTCGTTGAAGTACGATAGAACGAGCTTACGTCTGCAGTCGGTTTTGTTTTCGCAATACTGCATTACCTGTTGAAGCTTGATGAGATGTTTCTCCTTGTTCTCTTTATCGAGATTTTGGTCCTTCTGGATTAACGTCTGGATAGTCCTTACATCACGAAAGGTGTAGAACATTGTACAGTAAGAAAAATTACCATCTCTCCCTGCACGTCCAGTTTCTTGATAATATCCCTCAAGTGTTCTCGGCACAGTCAGATGATAGACAAATCTCACGTCGGGCTTATCTATTCCCATTCCAAAAGCGACCGTTGCACATATGACGCGAATTCGATCAGATTGCCATGCCTGCTGAACGTCCACTCTCTCCTCAGGTTCCATCCCTGCGTGATAAAAGGCACATAGAATACCGTTCTTTTGTAATAATTCTGATGTTTGTTCACAGGAATTCTTCGAATGGCAGTAAATAATGCCAGTTTGGCCGGCAAACTTAGATTTGATTTCTTGACAAAGTTCAAATATGGCATTTTTGCCCTTTTTGCATACCTGATAATAGAGGTTGGTTCGATTAAAACTTTGTTTCAGCAAGACAGGGTTGTGGAGTTTCAGATTGTGGACAATATCCATTCTAACTTGTTCGCTAGCCGTAGCTGTTAAAGCAATGACCGGTACATCCGGATATTCGGTCTTGAAATAATGCAATTCTTTGTAATCAGGTCTAAAATCATGACCCCAGTTCGACACGCAATGTGCTTCATCAACAACAATTCGGGCTAATTTATTATCCCTGTGTAATTTGTTAATCGCCTTCTTACATTGCTCCGATGCACTTATCATTTCGGGCGATATGTAAATCAAATCGAGAAGCCCATTGATGAATAGATTGAAAGTTTGCCTTCTTTGGTCAGCAGTACCTTTGGAACTGAACATTGACGCTTTAATCTTTTTGGCCAAAAGGTGTTCGACTTGATCTTGCATCAAGGAAATGAGGGGGGAGATAACAACGGTGGTGCCACGCGTATTTCCAGATTTTATGAGTGCGGGCAATTGATAGCATAACGACTTCCCACCACCAGTAGGCATCAAGACGAAAACGTCTTTTCCTTCCAAAGTTGCATTTACCGCGTCTAATTGATGTGGACGAAAACCAGGCAACTTGAAAATGTTATGCAACTTATAATAAAGTTCATCCGTCCATGCAAATCGAGGCTCGTTCCTGCGGCTATCAAGATGTTTGTTCTGTAGCTGAGTAGGTGTCGGAGAATTATCACGACCTCTCATGAAAGGCTCCACCTCCGTCATCTCATCTTTTACACGTAAAGGTGAGGAAGCGGGTTGTACTAGCCTCTGCTCTGAAATTATCTGCAAATCATCGTCAAGGCTCCGTAGGTCTGCTATTTGGGTATTATTCTCCCTCTCTGCGTCGAAATCCTCGAAATCATCCAAATCACTGTTGGTGAATATATCATCAACACTTTCCGAAGCCTGCAAACTTCTTCGACTTTCGCTAAACTCTAGGGTTTCGAAGTTTTCAGATTGATTTAGAGCATTCGAACTTGTCGGTTGAAATGTTTGCTGGATGCTGTCAACGATCGGATCATAGTCCACGTCGGTAATCCCATTATTAGGAAAAGTAGGTGGCAAGAACTTGTTAACATGAACGTTAGCAACGTCGTCACTGTGCCTCGACTGAATGGGAGATGAATCGACAAATTCAACATTGGTGTCGATCACCCTGACATGAGAAGCTGCTGTAGAGTTGTCGCCGTCTTCTACGTTACTATCCGAAACATTGCCGTTGGTATCATGGTATTCACCATCTATGGTTTCATCCAGAAATTTTTCGAGTCCATCTTCGATAAATTCCTCGTCACTAGCACGAACCTCGTTTTGATCTTCATCAATGGTATGCAAAAAGTTTGAGTCTTCCTCTTCCGCTTCCATAGTTCGATCTTCTTCTTCATTGCTAGCTCTCAACTCATTATTACCCACTCTATATGCAAAACTGTCTTCCATTGTCGGAAGCCTGTAATTAACCTTTGTGTGCTGTCTTAGCGACCGTGATGTTCGCTCATCCGTTACAACTTTGTGCTGAGATATTACCAGTGGTTCATCATCATCAATATCATCATAGTGTACTCCATCATTAGCGTTATTAATCTCCACTTCCTTATCAACATCGAGCACAGTCATAATACCTTCATTTATGGGGGGTTGAGCGGTACTTGAGACTTCTTTTTGTGAGGATTGAACGGCAGACACGATCATGCGACCTGTATTTGATGGAGTAGCAGCATCCGAATCGTTCACAATTGATTCAAGGTGCAATATTTTTCGATTTAGTTGAACAATTGAGGGACTCAAAGTCGTTTGAACTTGTCTCTTTTTTGCGTCCTCTGACATTGATGGAGACGCGATAAGAGAGCACATTTGCATAAGTATTTTGGACTGTTGTTTTAATACATTCACGAGTTGTCCCTGCACTGAAACGGTATGACTTTCGTATGATTCTCCCGACGGTGCCTGCACCGCTGTTAAATTTGCTGTGTCTGCTTTCATTCTTAAGCTTCGCTTGGGCGGTTGTTTGCCGGGTTGCATTTCTGCAGCGGAAATGCAGGTGCTGGATTTGGTGTTATTGGACTCCACCAATGCTGTAGCGGGTATAGATCCAGGTCTTGGAGAGGGCTCCGTTCCGTTGGATCTAGTTCTATCAGAGCTTTTATTGGAAATACGTGAACGTGAACTGGAGGGATGGTTGTCAGTTAAACGAGAACGTACTGGTTGTGCATTTTCGCTAGAAACCGAGCTGATCGTGTCAGCGCCAGGTCGTACCACTATGGGATCAGTATCACTTACATCAGCTGCTGACCTTGAATTTTCCGTTAAATCGTATAAATCATTCTTTTGCTCCCTCTCTGCCATATTTCGAGGTGCCATCGCCGATATTTGTTGACTGGGACCACTGTCACTGATTTGTCGGGCACGTTTGTGACCTTGATTATCATTTAAAATGCGTTCTAAAAGCTCTTTTTTCGGCTCAAAAGCTTTCTGTCGTTTGATCCAGAGGATTTGAGCTTGCAGGTTGTCTTGCATGGCCCTAGCAGCCCATTGATGTATGTGCCAAACTATTTTTGGTGTTCCATGGATCTCCGGCTCATGTTGATGTTCAACATCGCGTTCGAGATGAGGTTTCGTGAGAAATGATAAATTCAATTGGACCGACATGAACACATCTTTCACCGTAATCGAGCCCTAAGGCACGAAGCTGTCCATCTCAGAAACTGCCACACATCAATCGGATAGTTTTAACTCAAAATTGAAATTTTACTTGGTTTTTTAGCGCTCCTTTAGCTTTCTGGTGTGAGTTTTATGTGTCAATTCTATCACAAGTAAAAAACAGTTCATGTACTGTTGGCCAAAATCCCTTTCTTTGAAAACAATCTCTATAATTAAATTAGTGAGTGCTGACAGGTACTTTGCTGTGGATACGTATGTTTATCAGATTACTTGTTCTTATAAAGAACTGTTAACTAACAAGACATAACAAATACCACATTACAAAAGCAAAACATTAAATTCATGAAAGAATTGTTTCAACATGGCAGAAATGGAAGTCGAAGTAAAACTTAACAACGAAGATATCAGCTGAACAGAGTACATTTTAAGGTGAACTTTTAACATCAAAGGGTATCACGAACCTAGAACGTATATAGTGATATTGATATCTCAGCGGCTATAGGAACCTATATTATAAGGGTGTCTGCTTATTCACACATAGACCTTCCTTGAAAGTGGAACGTCCAGCCAAAGTACAGTCACGAATCTATCGCCGCAACAATGAACACCACACAGATAAGAATCAGTAAGAAAGAGGAGATCCTTAAAGGTCTCCAGAGTGAGTTAGCCCACCTTGAAAACGAATACGCTTCCAAAAGCGCGGAAAACGACGTGTAAGTAATATTTACTGAGTCATATAGCGACAACTCTGGACAGTAACTAACAAAGAAGAGGAAGAAAACTAGACGCAAACGCGCTTTCAGCACGTCATATAGCGAATTTAAAAACTTATAATGAGCTCAGAGACACCGGTTTAAGGCTGGCACAAATGATAGCAGACGAAAAAGCGTGCAAGATAAAAGATGTCTTTGAAGAAATGGGTTACGAGATGTCGGACAACATGTGATGGGGTTGACATTTTCCACTTAGCAATTGTCACGGGGAGAGTTTGCCTGTTAATCAAAAGGCAGCTAGATTGAATTTTGTCTTGACGTGTTGCGGTGGTTTTACGACGATTCATTCACCAGGTTGCTTAGCTTTTCATTATGGATTCAATCTAAGTAAAGGAAATAAAAGGGCTAAAGAAAATCAGATGATGATCTTCTTGAGAGAAGTTACACAAATGGCGAAAAATGAGCAAAGTGAGTGAACCGATTTCCGTTACTGATGCGTCTGAAGACGTAGAGGTTCAAGCAGAGATTTCAATACCTAAGACAGACGACGAAACTACAAATGAGACCAACAAGGCCGAAAACGATTCGAAACCGGAAAATCAAGGGGCCGAGAATGTTCGAGACTTCGATTCGGCTGAAAACTTGCCGGAGACTACTATCTTACAGGACGATATTGATACTCCTGCTGAAAAGGATACACACAGCGTAGTAGAGCCAGAAGCTGAGCCCTTACCCGAAACAGCCGCCATTCTCCAATCAACGGAAATCAAGGAACAGCACAACGTCGGAATTTCGTCGCAATCATCCATTGAAAGCGATTCAGCACTGGGGAAGCTGACAGAGGCTCTGAAACAGGAAGAATTCAAACTCGAGCGTGAAATCATCCATATTGAAGAAAAAAGTGAGACCTCTCATAGTTCTCATACCGCCGGTGCCGATCACAAACCTGCATTGCCACCTAGACACGAGGAAGCGCACCATGAAGAAGCACAAGAAAGAGTTCATGCCGTGCCACCACCCCTTCAAGAAGAGATGAAATCAGAAGAATTTAGAAAAAGAGTAGCATTGACCCATGCTAATGTGACACCGCCAAGTTTACCACCTCGGGCTTCACACCAGCGTTCGGAAAGTGCCGATTTCGATCTCATATTAAATCGGTTCCAGGAAAACTTAACAAGCAGTGCGCTCAAGGCCAAATCGGGGAGAGGAGGTTTCGAAGCCGGCGCTAATTTGTTAAGAACAAGTTTTACGCAGTTCTTACAAAATCGGGGCGAACAGAAAGAAATTCCTTCTGAGGATGAAGAATTAGAAGAACTGACAGTCATCGACTGGCCTTTCTGGACCAAAGTCGTCAACGACTACGCGACTGTTGCCAAGAATGAGTCCGAGGAATTGGAAAAACACGTTTCAGCTGGGATTCCCCCACAAGTAAGAGGCATAATATGGCAATTAATGGCAAATTCAAAATCCAAGGAAATCGAAGAAGTATATGCATCATTAGTGGGTGAACATTCTAGCCATGAAAGTGCCATCAAAAGAGATCTTTCAAGAACTAAATTCATTCCACCAGACAAGATGGACTCATTGTTCAATGTTACGAAAGTTTATTCCCTTTACGATTCTGAAGTCGGGTACATACAAGGCATGGCATTCATTGTTACACCTCTACTTCTTAATTGTGAGTCAGATTCAGAAGCCTTCGGTCTTTTCGTTGCGTTAATGGAAAAATATGGTCTCAGAGAGCTTTTCCTTCCGGACATGCCTGGTCTCCACCTCAAACTTTATCAGTTTGAAAGACTTTTGGAGGAGCATTCACCAGGATTATACAATCATTTGGCAAGACAGGGTATTCGCTCTTCCATGTACGCCTCTCAATGGTTTTTGACCTTTTTTGCGTATAAGTTTCCTCTTGGGTTCGTTCTAAGGATTTACGACATCTTCATGGCCGAAGGAATGGAATCTCTCCTGAAATTTTCCGTCGTCTTGATGTTGAAAAACGAAGGAGCTCTTATCCAGTTGCATTTCGATGAATTGCTAGAGTTCCTGAAAAATGAGCTGTTCATGTATTACTCTAAGGAGCAGATTCGCGAGAGAAATTCCTCGGAGGGTCTTTCAAAAGGGGTGGGGAATTCGTCTACTAGTCTTCTCAAGACTGTCTCAAATAGCAGCGATAAGAAACGGGCCCCGGTGATCAATGATCAGGACTACGATTTCAATGCATTTGTGCAAGACGCCATGGCGGACATGAAGCTCACACCCCTCACCTTGAGAAGGTATGTCAACGAATATCATGAAATTCATCAACTTGAGACTCAAAAGGAGGCCCAATTCGAATCACTGAGAATCAGAAACAAGCAATTGCAAGTACAGATTCGAAAGCTGGAAACAGATTATGGATTACTCTCGCGCGAGCATGTCACCATTGCTAATGAACTCATTGCTAACCGCTTAAAAATGGAGACTCTGCAGGATGAAAATAATGACCTCCGCGGCGAAGTTACACAATGGAAAAAACAGCTGACTGCAGAGATAAACAAACAAACGTTACCGAATCCCGATGCTTCTCTCCCCTCTGATATACGTGCTGATATTGATAAGACAATGGCTAGGAATCTTGAAGTCATGAATGAAAACCAAGAACTGCAGGAAAAAATCGAGTTCCTCGAGAAGGAAAACCGAACCCTCAAGAATCGCTCATCACCAAAGACAAATTTCCCGCCTGCATTCAACGGTCTGAAAAGAGTATGGAAATAAACTTAATTGAGTGTTAGCTCGCCGCGCTTCGCTGACGTACCTGTAAACTCGACAACGGGCTTAACTTCTGATATAGATCATTGAGTACGAATCTCACGAAAAATTTCAATCTGAAGGGAACCGGAATCAATCGATAATGATATCACGATCAGCGAGCGGCAGGTTCGGCAAACTTCTGATTGAAGTCCGGGAAGGTTCTATAGCAGCATGCTGCGCAATTTTTCACAGTTTACCAGATCCTTTTCGCTAGCCGGTCCAGTATCCAGGGAATGGAGGCTGGTGGAATCCAGACGCGTGGCACAATCGCATGAGTTCAAGACAGGCGATGAAAAGCCCGTGTTCATTCCACAAAGCAGGAAATCGTTCCCGGAGTACAAATATGGTGAATCCCAAATTTTCAAGCAAAGCAATAAGGGGCTCTACGGTGGATCCTTTCTGCAGTTCGGTAACAACGTTTCCGAAAGTAAGACGAAAACGAGAAGACGCTGGCTGCCTAACATTGTGAGAAAAGGTCTCTGGAGTGAGACATTGAACAGGAAGATTAGCATTAAGATGACCACTAAGGTGTTACGGACTATATCCAAGGAGGGTGGCATCGACAATTACCTCACCAAGGAAAAATCTGCGCGTATTAAAGAGTTGGGGCCCACTGGCTGGAAACTGAGATACCGAGTACTGCAGAAAGCCGAACAGGTGGCAAAGGCCTCACGTTCGGATGCTCCTGTCGCGGAAGATGCGAACGGAAACCTGGTCAAAATATACTACGAAGGAGAAATCGACGGTCAGACACTCCGGATCACGGCCGGCAGACGGAAACTGATGCAGCTTTTGTTTCCACTGGAGAAGTTAGAACGTAAGGCTGACGGCGAAGAGTTCTCGTATAAGCAATTTGTGATCGAGTTTGGGTCCGTCTCCGCGGAACAGCTTCTATCTCAACTTGTCAAGCGCGGACTGGATGTTAAGACGATTTCCGTATGAGTAAATTAGTTGCGTACATCAGCTAACAGCATAGAACTAGGGCCTGTATATAATCAATGAAAAGCGCATGTGATCCAAAAGTTAAGGACCTAAAATGCATAATACTGAAAGAGTAAAAGCGGGTCTGCGCAAACAAGTCACATGACTTAGAAGGAAAACCATGACTTGTAGCACCCATACAATTTCTCTCGAAAAATTATACACCAGAACCCATACATCAAATATACACATACCGGAGTCCAAAGCGGAAGTGAATCGATACTCCGCGCCTAGTACTGCATCGCAATTTCGAGGAGGGGCCAGGCCGCTCATGCATTCTGGGCCAAGCGGGGAGGTCCGGGGGAGCCTGGCAGACCATGTCGTCTCACCTCGTCCTAGTAGGTTCTCTACTCCTCAGTAAGACCCTGCCTAGCTGTAGACCGGCTCGGTCTAGAGGTCTCCCTGCGCAAGGGGGCTCGGGCTTGGGAGCGTCCCATGGGGGGTCGAGGGCACTAAGTGTAATTTCATACGTAACTGTAAGTAGCCGGGTAACGGATTCCTTAGTTTTCATACGTTGCCCTCTGAGAGCACTGGGGCCAGGGGGGTCTGGATGCTACTGGAAAATTTTTTCTACCAGTAATTTCTAAATTGAAAAATTCAACTTGTTCGATCAGACATCTTGTATAACCGAACAAAGTATCGACAATAATGGCTGTTAAATCTGGTATGTGAGACGTTAGAGAGCCTTTTGGATAACGACTGCGAGAGCCCAGTGGGTGATTGGTAAATGAACGCGCTGTTGCAGCTACTGTAGTGGACGGGAAGCGAGGCATTGGAACTGTGCGAAGTGACGAGTGGGCCAAGTTCGCAACAAATAGCGCTGGTCCGCGGTTTGAACTTCACATTTGGAAGTGCTTTTTGTTGCCAGTGTGGGACTACTATACCGGAAATGCTGCGCTGAACTCGAAATGAGACAATATATGCCAATGGACACGCGGGAGACGTACAGTTAGTGTCCGTCCACTTGCTCTGGACTCGCTTCGATTTCGGCAAACATCCTACTAACATGAACATCATCACAGGCATTGCTACCGGTTTGAACAAGGGTAAGAAGGTCACCCCAATGACCCCAGCTCCAAAGATCTCTTACAGAAAGGGTGCCTCTTCCAACAGAACCAAGTTTGTCAGATCTCTAGTTAAGGAGGTCGCGGGCTTGGCTCCATACGAAAGAAGATTGATCGACTTGATCAGAAACGCAGGTGAAAAGAGAGCCAGAAAGGTCGCCAAGAAGAGATTGGGTACTTTCGGCAGAGCCAAGGCTAAGGTCGAAGAGATGACCGAGGTCATTGCTGCTTCTCGTCGTCATTAAGTTGATCAGAACAGAAATCTTACGTTCTCATAAATATTGTGTAAGTTAATCGGTGCGTTCCCACGCTACAACTAACATGAGCGGTGTCCTAGTTGTGTCGACATTTCGCACGTGACCCACTTTCTGATTGAAGAAGGAACTGCTGCAATATGCAAGATCAAGGTTACGGAAGGGCAGGGTTAGGCCAAAACAGCGGGGAACAGAGAGGGTGCAAATGAGACCACGGACCAGGCACGTGGCGAGCTATTGGAGGTTGTGCGACGCGATGTGTTCGCGTCGTATAAACCCCTCAACATTGCAACGTTGGTATTCTGGACACCCACCGCCTCCTACGTTTTTCGGTGAATCTGGACTGCCGATGCCTGTAGAAACTCATCGGCAAGCGGCGTCGTTGATAGCGACTTCACCAAAACCTCAGCCAAGAGCCCCATTGCTGGACCTTACAGCGGTGCTGGCGGTGCTTGCGCTGTCGTACTTGGCCATCGACAACTATAGGACGCGAATGGGCCTGCAAGCGCGTCTGGACGAGCAGGCGACGCAGTCGCAGGAAGCGCAGGATGTGATGGCCAGCCAGCTCAAAGCCCAAAGCAGAAAACGAGACCTACAGGTACTGAACGAGCGCAAACAGACGCAGATGCGCCAGATGAAGCTTTCGTTGCACGTGGCAATGCTGCGGAAACAGCTGATCGACCAGGGGCTCGAGCCTGTCTCAATCGACGAACTCCGGCGCGAGTTCGATCGCAGCGTACGAATGGAGAACAGCGTCAGCAATGTCAGCGGAACGGCTCTGTGGGTGGTAGACAGCAGTCCCGCCAAGCCGCATGTATCGAACGTCCGCGAGTACGACACCAAAAAGCCGAGAGACAGCTGAGTAGCCGAGCTGGTGTCGCACGACACTCTAGAGCCCTGCAGGCGATGCCCACCCTGGAAGCCCTCGGAGCCCGCGAGTTACCCGGCCGCACGACGGGAAAATTTTTAGAAACGTCGCGACTATATAAGGCGAGGAACCGGCCGGTTTGGTACCTGGCGCTGGCTTTCTTCTTAGAAAAGTAACAATGTCTTTTAGACGCCCAGAGTCACGGTACGTCTGTGATCCAGATTGACGTTACGCGCGCTGGGATGCTCCAAGGCCCAGTGACTTCGTGCTCGCGGCAGTCTTATATCAATTTGTGAATGGTGTTCATGGGACCATCGCGTTTTAGCCAACCTTTGAAAGTCGTGTCTGGCCTGCAGCAGTGGCCAGGCTATGCGGTTTAGAATGTACATTGTATTTGAGTGTTTGCATACGCCTTTTCTTGTTAAATTTCTTGTAAGCGACGCTAGCCGACGGCCCGAGTGTCTGATGGGTTCTCTGTCTGCCGTTGCTCGAGTTTGCGGGCGAGCTGGTGCGGGACCGGGCAGCATGGCGAGCGCGCGTCGTTGCCGTTGTCGCGGTAAAACTTGCTACAACAGTCGTAGAGCTGGTCTATTAGATGCGAGCATTTGGACTCGTCGTAGTTTGCTTTCGTGAGACAGTCTGCGGAGTGGTTAGTGGGAGGCGGGGGAAAGGCAAACAGGCGTGTCGGTGCACGGACATACCTTGAATGGCGCATGCCTGCGGCTTGCATGGGTCCGGCATCGCTGGGGATGCGAGCGTGTCTGCGAGCGATGAGGTATATGGAGCAGTAATACAAGATACTAGCTGGGCCGAGGTCGCTGAGTGTCCGGGTAACCCCATTCGAGCCCGGGGTTGTCTATATGACGACTCGCCCCAGAGTCTTCATACTGTACACCCCGACACCCCGTGCACCCGCACACCCCCACAGCACCCCACAACGAGCCTGCAGTCCACCTTGTGGGCACCGCCCATAGCACACTGCTGAGGGACCCTGGGCGGCGTCCGGACAAAGGAGCCACCCCCTCGTTTGAGTTTCTTGGCACCTCAAGAGACCGTTCCAGGTGCTTGTTGGCCGCCGGTACACCCAGGACGTATACGATGCCCGTAGATGCCGGTGGCATGCCCGTAGATGCCGGTGGCATGCCTGTGGCATGCCACAGGCATGCCACAGGTCCAATATCGGGGACCCCCATCGTGATCTACTCTTGCCAGCTATCTACTCGTGGCCGCGTCCACCTGTGACCGCCATCTACGCCTGACTCCGCGACAATGACTCCGCTACAGAGTGTTTACGTTTACCGCCGTATCAAAAAATGTGTCACGGGCGACCATTCAAACATCAAGGTGACTCATGTCCCTTGGCACGGCACTTGCGTGCGAGTCTCGAGTCGCACCCCACGTGTCCGTATGTGTGGCTGCTCAGACGGCCTCGCAGCGGCGTGACTTTGCTTCGCTAATTAAGCCACGGCTGGCTGCTGCTCTAGAGCTTTCTCTCAAACACCTATTTTTTCCTCATGGACCAAAACAACCCTTATCGTAGTAGCAACTGGCTGACTTCTACAGCATGATGACCCATGCGGTGTGGCGGTGACACCTCAGAAAATTTTTTTCGTTTGAGTGTGTAGAGCAGGGTGGAACACAGATGAGTAATGGCCACTCAGGTGCAATCGTGACAAGTAGCGCAGTAGAATATAAATAAAAGGCATGTGTGTGGAGAGACTGGGTTCGGTGTGGAGAGAGGACGAGTATACTAAGCAAGAACATTGCACGCCCGAACACACACACTAATGTCGGCCAACAACATAAGCAACGACTTTTTCACAATGTCCCCTACGCCCTCCGAGAGTTGGCATTCCCATAGTGTCGACGACGATGCTGACTACATCACGTGGCATGGCGATGGCGCTGACGCTCACGCTGAGGCTCCCCGCCTGATCGAGCCTGTGCTTGCGGATGACCAGCTGTTCATGTTGGACGAAGACACCGGCTGCAGCAGCGGCACGTGGACAGGCGCTTTTTCCGACGCGCACGTGCTCCCACATCAATATCATCACCACGACGCGACAACGCCGCGCTTCGCGGGCGTTGTCGCTACGGACGAGTTCGAGCATGCCGCTGAAGACAACTACCGGCTGTGGCTTGCCAGCGTATAGCCAAAGCATTGGGGGCGAGCCGCGAACGGTTTCGCGGCCCGCAATGGGGTTTTCTAGATGATATAAACGGATTCATGTATAGAGATAATAGCATAGCATAAGAAGTGAAGGACAGCGGTGATTGCAGGCGGGGCTGAGCGGCTAAGCAGCGGAGGCGCGGGACGGCGCGGGACGGGTCGGGCAGCCAGAGGAGGAGATGTATTACCCGGACCGCGGCTATTTGTTTCTTTTTTTAGGGGGCTTCGCCCCGGGGGGTTCGGGCCCCGGGCCTCGGCCCGGGTATAAAAGGGAGGCGCACAAGCGCGCATCCACAAACGCGTTTGTCTTTGCGGTTTGTCTTTGCGGTTTGTCTCCGCGGCTAGCCCCGGCGCCGGGTCGGCGTTGTCGATGTCGACGTGATGGCAGTTTGCACGAAACGCGCGTACAAAAGCAATGCCTCTGCGAGGACCGCTTTGCTCCCCTTGTCGTTGTGCGCCAAGGGGAGCGAGGGGTGGATGGGTCGCAAAAGCTACCCGCGACTGTACGTATAAAAGCGGAGCCCAATTGATCTCGTTTGGAGGGCTCGGGTGCCAATTTTTGATCTCCGTTTTTCAGCCATTGGAATCGCAGTGGCACCCGTGACATGTCCCAGGTGTACACTTCGGATCTCAAGGAGGCGTTCGTGGACGCCACGCTCGAGGAGCGGCGTCTGCACGAGAACAAGACACGTGAGAAATACTGGCTCAAATGGGGCCCCTATCTCAGCGAGCGTGCGTGGGCCACGGTTCGCGAGGACTATTCTTCCAACGGCGACGCGTGGTCGCATTTCCCCTTCGAGCACGCCGCGTCGCGCGCGTTCAGATGGGGCGAGGACGGCATTTTTGGTGTTTCCGACAATCGCCAGCTCATCTGCATGAGCCTGGCGCTCTGGAACGGCCACGATCCGATCCTGAAAGAACGCTTATTCGGCGTCACGGGTCCGCAGGGCAACCACGGCGAAGACGTCAAGGAACTCTACTACTACATCGACAGCACCCCGACCCATTCCTACATGAAGGCGCTCTACAAGTACCCTTTTGCCAAGCCGTTCCCCTACGAGGAGCTCGTGAAGGTCAATGGCGAGCGTGGCTACCAAGATCGCGAGTTCGAAGTGTACGAGATCGACGGCCTGTATCAGGATCAAGAGGAGGGTGATGAGCCCTATTTCGACGTGATGTTCGAGATGGCCAAGGGCGACGACAACCCGAACGACCTCAACTTCCGTATCACCGCCTACAACAGGAGCAACAAGCGCTCCGGCGAGCTGTATTTGATCCCACAAGTGTTTTTCAGAAATACCTGGGGTTGGTGTCGCAAGACCGCGCACAAGCCGCATTTGCAACAAGCGGGTAAAAATTTTGTGAAAGTGGAAACCGAAAAGTATGGCACGAGAACGGCGGTGTTTGCGCCCTCTCCAGGCGGGTTTGGTGAAGGCGGTCCAGAAGGAGCAGATGCCGATACGGATGCAGAAGATATCGACCCCGAATTACTCTTTACCGAAAATGAGTCCAATTTGGAAAAGCTTTTTAACAGCGGACCCAATCCGGCACCTTTTGCCAAAGATGCCTTCCACGACTACATCATTAGGAAAAAAGAGTCAGCGGTAAATCCTGATGCGGAAGGTACCAAGAGTTGTGCGGTTTACCATTTCCCCAGTATTCCACCCGGAGAATACGTGACGGTAAGATACAAGTTCACGGATGAAGAGTTGCCGCTTTACAACGACGAGCTCGTCATCGATGAAGAAGAGTTTGACACCATTTTTGAAAGACGCGAAGAGGAGGCGGACAATTTTTACTGGAAGATCACACCTCTGCATCTCAGCGATGAGTTGAGAAAAGTTCAGCGGCAAGCGTTCGCGGGCCTCATGTGGTCCAAGCAATTTTACAATTTCATTCAAGACCAATGGTACAATGGAGATCCTAATGTCAAGCCTCGTCCACCACCAAATCGTGCAGGTGGTAGAAATAAGGATTGGAAGCATATGTATGCAGAGGACATCTTGTCCTTACCGGACAAGTGGGAGTATCCCTTTTTTGCATCCTGGGATACCGCGTTCCACTGCATCCCGATAGCCATGGTTGATCCCGAATTTGCCAAAAAACAACTGGACCTACTTACTCGCGAATGGTACATGCATCCGAACGGACAAATGCCCGCGTATGAGTGGAATTTTGGCGATGTCAATCCGCCAGTCCACGCTTGGGCGGTGTATCGGGTTTTCAAAATCGAGCGTAATATGTACAAGCGTGAAGATCGGGTGTTTCTCGAGCGTGTGTTTCAGAAATTACTTCTCAATTTCACGTGGTGGGTCAATCGCAAGGACTCGGATGGCAACAACGTGTTTGAAGGCGGATTCTTGGGATTGGATAACATTGGTATTTTTAACAGATCAGAGCCTTTACCAACCGGTGGAACTTTAGAACAGGCTGATTCTACTGGATGGATGGCATTTTTCTCTTTACAAATGCTAAACATCGCTTTAGAGTTGGCAAAAGAAAACCCAGTCTACGAAGATATCGCGTCCAAATTTTTCGAACACTTCATCCTGATCAGCGATGCGATGTCTTTCAAATACATCAAGAATCCAAACAGCGAAGACTTTGAAGAGGAAGTGAAGGAATCCCTGTGGAACGATAAAGATGAATTTTACTACGACGCGATCTCCTGGGGTGATCCCTTCAAGCAACAGTTACCCATAAGATCACTGGTTGGGCTCATCCCACTTTATGCTTGCATGACGCTAGAACCTCAAGTGTTAGAACGATTTCCAGGCTTCAAGAAACGGGTTGACTGGTTCATTAAAAACCGTGGCGATATTTTCGACAGAAATATTGCTTCGATGGAGAGAAGAGGAATTGGAGAACGGCTACTTTTGTCTTTAGTCTCTAAGGACAGGCTTGAAGCCATTTTAAGACGTATGTTGGATGAGAGTGAATTCTTATCCGATTATGGTATAAGATCTCTCTCTAAATATCACGAAGAGCATCCTTTCACGATGAACGTCGACGGCCAAGATTACCAGGTTAAGTACTTACCTGGGGAGTCTGATTCTGGTATGTTTGGAGGAAATTCCAATTGGCGTGGCCCCATCTGGTTTCCAACAAATTTTTTGCTTATCGAGTCGTTGCAGCGGTTCTTCCTTTACTACGGGCCCAACTTCAAAGTCGAGTGTCCTGTGGGCTCCGGTACTTTTTTAAATCTTGCTGAAGTTGCAGAAGAGCTTGAGCATAGACTAAGTCATTTGTTTATGCCGGATGATAAAGGGGTCAGGGCATGCTTTTTTGGTGATCATGCAGAATTATTGTCAAAGGGGGAACACTTTAAGGATTTGATTCCATTCTTTGAGTATTTCGACGGTGACACCGGGAGAGGACTGGGTGCCTCTCACCAATGTGGTTGGACCGCCCTTGTTGCGAAATGGATACATGACGCTGGCGTTTCATGTATAAGACTTCCTAGAACTTCCAGAGATTCCGTGTCGCTGTCAAGTATCGAATCTCAGCCCTCGTCTCCCAGCAAAGTACCTATGCCCGGTAGAATGGCCAGGAGAAAATCGACGAAATCTCTTGTCAATCTTACGGCAACGTTGCTCGATTTGACGGAGGAAGAAAAACGCATGCACCGTTTAGGAAACATGCCACATGGGATTTCACCAATGACAAGCAATCCCGATAGCGCAAATGAGATTCTATCCAGCACAGGTAGTCAAGGCGAGGTGAACTCTCAGAGAGATCAGGAAATTACCGAGGAAGAAAAACTACCTTCTACACATGAAGCGGAATCCAAGACGATTCAGAAATTGAAATCTAAGATAAAAGGATTCAAATTGAAGACCAAAGCTGACGAACGGGCAGATGAAGATGAGCTGCTCAACAACAAGTAGTTTAGTGATACGTTTCCTGTAAGGGTGCTTAATTCTCACTCCTTCTGTATGGTAACAATAGATGACAAACCTACAGTTTTTCCGCTGAGACTGAAAAGACAAACGGGATATAATATTAATATACAAGCAACATGTTTAAATGCTCGAATGCTGACCCCTGAGAAGCCAAATTCGTAGTTGCCGCACTATCTAGTTCACTTAAACTTGGCGAACAGAACTAACAATATCAATATAACGAGAACTGCGATAATAGCGTAACTGATAAACTTGTTTGCCACGAGTCTCCTGCTCATGGTCTTTAACGTCCGGATACTCTTGTCCACATACGAATCGGCTTGAAATAACGTATGTCTGGCGTTTTCCAAAGTCTCGCGCTGTGACCTTAGATCCATCATGATTTGAGACCCAATTCCTTCTGTTTCGTTGGCCACTCTAGAAGCATCTCTCAATTTATCGCCTGTGCGGTTTAAAACTGCGTGATTTGACAAAAGTTGCTGTCTCTGCGTATCGTCAGCCCCAGAACCGCCAGCGACACTTCCAGAGCCCTCGAAAAGCATATCACGGTCCCTCGAATCTATGAGCTGTGCCAGCGGCGACTTAACGTCCGTCTGGACCTGTTTTTTGAATTCTCGGAGTTTCGACTTGTAAGCGGCCCTGTCAGCTGCGTTCAGCGAGCTATTCAAAATCTCGATATCCATTTGGTCAACCAAATCGAGCAATTCATCCTGATGTTGCTCGATCTCCTTCAAAGTACTGTTTCTCTGAGCGATGGGCTGTGAGGGAGCCACCGACAGTAACGTCTTGGCCTCTCCAAGAATCGTTCGGAACTCCGACTCGTACGACGACAAAAGACTGCTCATAATGCACTAGGGGTTAAGTAAAGACGCCTGAAACGATCGAAAACCTGTTAAATCGACTGGATACCCAATATAAACCGGTCCTGTCGCGAAGAAACGTCAGGCAAAACGGCTAAAACCAGTTACCAGATATCATCCCAATATGAGGGATGTATAATGTGAGAATAAATCACGTGATAATCACATGACAAAGGTGCCAATAAAGCGATTTTTGGAAGTGCTTTCACAGGTTGTAATTAGCCCGCAAGGCAACTATAGATTCTGGACCAAGACAATTGACCAAGATTACTCCCCTGATTCTTTTCGGTGGTTTTCTGGGTTTCTAAAATTCCAGTGTTAATTCCGCCGGAATTAGTTAACACCGCTGGAGCTTTGACACCGATCAACTATTGAAAAAGTTGATAATTCCGTATCGAAGTCTAAAGATCAACTTCAACTCAGGAAACAGGAGCGCCTTGATAAAAGGATGATAAGGGCAGGAGGAATGTGGTGGCGTAAACTATGCGTGCCAGCTAGAGTGGTAGGTGTAAACAGACCAGTTCCAAAGGTGGGGAACCCAGTTTCTGTGTTTTCGCAGCGGTTTTTAAGTGCGGGTGCGATACGCTTTCACGGCCATTTGACGAAACCGAAAAAAGGCGAAGAATTGCACGTCACGTTCATTTTGAAAGACGGTACGCAGAAAACGTACGAAGTCGCCGCTGGGGACTCGCTACTGGATATTGCCCAGGCACACAATTTGGACATGGAGGGCGCATGCGGTGGATCATGTGCATGCTCAACGTGTCACGTGATCGTCGATCCCGATTATTACGATGCACTCGAAGAACCTGACGACGATGAGAACGATATGTTGGACCTAGCTTACGGGCTTACGGAGACTAGTAGGCTCGGTTGCCAGATCAAGATGAGCAAAGCGATCGACGGGATTCGCGTCGCCCTGCCGGCTATGACCCGTAACGTCAGCAACAAGGATTTTGACTAGACGTTGAACGCCACGAAGCATCTTGTACATAAGAGCCGAGCCCTGCCAGCGTATCAGTCAGGGCTCTGAGAGAGTGATGGTGAAGTCGGTGAGATGCGAGCAGCATTGGAGATGAGTCCCATCGTCAACAGTGATCTTGAACTAGTTTCATATTCGTAAGAAAAGCACTATAACACTGAACGATTTCATACTTAGATGATCGCAAAACCCGAGTCATGGCTGAGTAGCCTGAGTTGCTAATGTGTAATCCTAGTCGCCGCAGGTTAATAACTTACAACTCAGACAACGTGTCGCCCAATCGAATCATCGTCGTTTTGTACGTATATGAGTACTAAGTGAGTAGCATCGGTGTCAAGCATGAACAGAATACTTGACGATATGATCTCAGACCAACGGGGAACACCGGTCTGCAATTTGCGCTGGTGAAATTAAATGATAAGCTACTGTAACAGTTAGTTGGTAACCAACGAACCACCCACGTCAAGTTCAGCTGATACCACACAAATATTTTGGGTGATTGATCTTTTAGCAGCTTACACGATAGTACGAATTTCGAAATGTTAATGAAGGCTAATGAGAAGTGTTGAAGAAGGATCTTTCTTCTCAAGTATGGTCAACTTGAAGAGACTATAGGAAATGGATTATCTTTACTTCGTACATAACGACAACCATTGAGTTTTCCGAAATTATCATACGTTGCGCGAGAAAAATAGGGCGAGTCACCGTGAAATGGAACTTTGTTATCTAACCAGTCAACTATGGCTCAATTGGATCAAGTTTTAGTAGCAAGGTGTAAACGTAGTAAAAGATACTGAATTGACCGGAGTCATCTGATTCGTATCCAATGCTAGATTTATGGTGAGTATCACTTCGAACGTAAGATCCATCAGCCCAAACGCTGGCGCGGGAACATAGTGATGTTTTTTTGTTTACCATTTGAACACTACTACAATACTTATTATAGGCGGTCTCAGTCAACATATAAGCCAAGGCCAGATAATTGTAAAGTGAAATCTGGTGTGTCGTTTTCAATTAAGCGAAAAATCGGGTCTTAACAGTCTTTCTTATGTGTGTTTTGTCGCAATTTGAAACAAGTTCGAAACAAAGATGAGCGGAACGAAAATACCGTTTATCTTGGGCCGCAAACGGTCCAGGGGTTCAGAAGAGTTGCATAAAACAGATCAAGCGAGTCTGAGAGTTTTAGGCGACGTGACAAACACTCAAAGTGCTATTGGTGACCAGAGAACGACCAAAATGTCGAAAACAGCAGATATGAATGTCAGGCTTATGAACCGGTACTATTACGGGGACCCCAGTGTCATTGAAGAGGTCAAAAAGCGCGAACGTAAGGCTATCAAAGATATTCAGCATTTTCGGAGGTCAATCGCTGCGATTGAATCGGAAACTAAGCTAATTATACAGCAAGAGTTACCAGCCATCGCATACGCGATCTCGAAAAGAACCGTCCTGCAGCAAGAATTGCGCAAGGAGCTGTTGCAACTGACCACAAAGCTTGATGTCAAGACTGGGGAGTGCGAATTGATGCGTAAAGAAGCGGAAATGGGCACTGAAAACTTGCGTCTACAATTATCCGTTAAGCTGCAGGAAGAACAGAATATAGTCAACAAAAAATTACACGCGGAAAAGCTATCGTGGGAAACTAAAGTGCGCGCCTGTGAAAATGCGAAACCCGACCCAGAGATCTTGAGCGAAATTGAGCAATTGAATCGAGAAAAAGATGTGCAAGACAGAACTCTGGATGAGTTGAAGTGCCATAATGAAAAGCGTTGTACAGAGTTTACCCGACAACTTTCGCAAGAGTTCGAAAAATTCATCCAGCAGAAAGAAGAGCCCTTGCAAGAGATTCACCAGACCCACGCATCGTTGTCAAACCGGGCATTCCAGCTTCGATCGAAAATGGAAGATATGGACAAGGCGATCAAAGAGCGCAATCTAGAGGAGAAGCAGATCTGTGACCACATCAATAGCATAAGAGAGAAATTGCAAGAACAGGAGGCCCGAAATCGACAATTACGACAGAAGCTGACCGAGTCTCAAAAAGAACACGATTTAGTATCTTCAGCGACCGATGAAGTCCAGAAGAGAGCGCAATTGTCGGAAGCCCATTATAACATTCAGTTTGATAAAATGGAAAGTGAACAGACGAGGAGGAGAAAGCTGGAATATCTCATTGACAACATGCGAGATAAAATCAGGTGTTTCGCATATGTCGATAAGGACCTTCTCAAAAACTACAACATCGACTACTCCACCAAAGAAATATCGAATGAACAAGACCAAGCATATCGTTTTAGTCGTATTATCCCGAGGGGCCTAGTTTCGGAGGAGGACTTGCTTCGATCTGAGTGCCAAGTGTTCATAGAGAACTGCCTTGCCAAAAAATCCCATTGTAGTTTCATATCCCTCCCCAATACTTCGAAAGACAAATTTAGGGACAGCTTTGTGAAATTTATGTGCGAACAAAAATGCATCTCAATACAAGTGCAATATGTTGCTCTTTCAGAAAAGGCTCCTTCTACCGATATGTTTTCTACACATGTGAACTGCTTACCAGATAATGCGATTGAGGTTCGAATAGAAGAAGAAGCAGTCGAGATGAACTCACGAGTTCTCAACTCTAGTCAAATTTCTACCCAGGAATTACCATTAAACACCATCGTAAGTGGTGAACTGTCTGAGGGTATCGGTATACTAAAGATGAGAGTCTTACAAGAACAGGAAACTTTTACTGATGTTTACTTTGTTGAAATCAACGATTTCGACACAGTCAAAACTCTCAAGACGGCGTCTGAACTCTCTGAAAAGGCTAACACGCCAATCACTATAATTCTTCAAACATTACTCCTACGCACCAAACCTATAGTACTTTTCAACATGTTTGATCCAGATAGCGAAAGGGCTATAGAGGGCCTGCTTAGTTTCGCCGGCGTACTAAGCAAGCTCGAAACGAAAAGAAAATCCATTTCCCATCGCAAGGCGTAAGCCACATAGCATAGTTTTCAATATAATCGTTGAATTTCGGAAATCTTAATTACCTATATGTAATGATACAATATTTTAGCATCCTCTCCCATTTATTCTCGAGTCAAGATGTCTTTGATTAGCCAATTTAGTTCATCTCTAGTGCCCACATTTCTATCATCGACCGGCGTGAAGTTGGGCTTATCCTCTAAAAACTCGGGGAGGTCATCAATGCTACTTTTTGTTTGAATCAAATCGTCATCATTGAGTAACCCACAGGTACCAAGCTTCAAGAATGCTCCGGTTGGAGCAACTAGATTTGGGTAAATTGTGAGACTCTGTGCTAAATCCTCGTTCGTGAGAGATATTGTTGTAGAGAGATTCGCCGTTTCGCTGTCGTCATCTTCCTCGGCGAGTTCCTGATTGAATGACTCGTTACTCAAATCGTAATAATCGGAATAGTGTTTTTCACGATATCGAACGGTATCAATGGCGGATTCGACTATATTTTTGAGATAATTTTCCAGTGCCAAAGTGAGGATTTCGACACATCTACCATCCACAGCACCCACCAGACCGTGCTCCCGAGCAATACTAATGATACGCAGATAAAGAGAATCAGAATCCGGAAGCGAAAAGCTTTCTGTAGCCAAAGGAGCAGAAAAGCCATTCACAATTTCCTGAGACCATTCTAAGGGAGTTTTCAAATTGCTAGCCTTGACCCTCTTAAGTGTGTTCGGATTTGTCACGATCGGTATCTTGGGGATTGTGTTAAGCCTAGCCTGCAATACCGAGCAAAGCACGAACCCTCTTTTGCCAGCTTCTTTGGTGACCGCCTTGAGCCTGTTTCGATCTCGTGGAGGCAGTGACATGACGATTTTCTTGTAAGTTTCGATTTGAGAGTTATGCTTGTTGATTCTTCTTTTATTGGCCTGCGCACTACTGTTATTAAACCCCCAGATGCCATCTCCCAGGCTATCGAGAGGCGAATCTCGCAATGAATTCGCGAGAATTGCCAGGAGAAGTTGATTATGCAATTGCACGAGTGTGCTGCGTCCTGCTACAGATTGACGCGAATTTCGTTGAGCATCATCAGCAGGCGGCGAAAACAGAAGGTCAAGCTCCTTCGTAAGCTCTTTCCTCGAAAGTTTGCCCAATATGAATAAACTTACGACGTGTGCGTATTTGCTCCAGTTTTCTTTGCCCAAATGTTCGCTGAAGTCCTCCACCATTTGTTCCATATTCAGCCGCTTGTTTGTGCCCGGCGTTTGCACTGGAGTTGGCCCAGGACTGGCTGGCGATCGCGTTGCTAACACACCATTGTCGCCGGTGGTCCTGACATCGCCCTCAGACTTGACTGCTACTGGTTGAGCTTGAGCCAAAGACATTGTGCACCATACAATCTATCACGCAGAATTTTTTCAAAGATTTAAATTCAGAGCTATCCTTCTTGTTGACTTCAGTTACAACGATTGTGTCCCTTTTGATTAATTCGCTTGATTTGGGCTCAGTTTTCTCGGAAAGTGGACCAATTGAACCGAAATTTCGCAAACTAACTTGAGCAACAAATAATAATCAACCAAAGCCTCGAATTTGTCGGATAGAATGGTCGGCAGTCTTGCTATTATGTTCTATTGAATCTAGTTTAAAAACTGATGCCTCTTCTCAGTCAATTTCAGTTGACATCTAATTTTTCAAAACCTCGGCGGCCGTATGCGATGAGAGAGTTCTTGAAGACAGTACTGGATCCGGTCCATTAGTACTGGTTTTGGAGTGGCTTGACTACAATGGGCTCTATTGGGATCCTTTAAATTGCCACCACGATAAAGTGACTCATGCGGCCGAATTCGGCTATTTTGGTTGATATTGATCGCTTTTTCCGCGAGTTTCTAAGCCCCCGGTACAACCGTGTTTAAATATTGAGCATCCTGCACAGAACTATAGTTCTTCATGGGTGAAGTTCTCATAAGGAGTGACTCAAGCTCCGCAATGCGTGACTCGTTGCGCAGGTTTTCCTTTTCATGTTGGCTCAACAGTTCTTGCTGCCTAAGCTCAAGTTTGAAGATCCTCTCGTTCAATTTCCGCTCTTCTGTAGCCTTCTGTATTGTCAAATCGACAATTTGGGCCTCGAGGTCGCGTACGCGCTGCTCTGGCACAGTAGAGTAGTTGACATGCTTTCTTAAAGCTTTGTACTTGTTGTAGAGTGTGTAAAAGTTGTCATAGAGCCGCTTGGATTGTCGTAGCTCGTTGATAAGTTCTTGGCGGACGCCGAGATATTTGTTTCTGTACATGAGATCGCGGTTCTCGTGTGCTTGTCGTTTTTCGACGAAATCTCGCCGGACGCCCTTCAAGAGCTGGGAGTTCGCGTCCAATTGTTGCAATAGCTCCATGTATTTATTTGTGTAGTCCTTAGCTGGAAATTTCGCACTGGGGTCTTGCAAGTGGTCCTGTGGCATGCGACGCTCCTTCGCCGGCGAAGGAAATTTGCCCGGAAATGAAGTCGGAAGCGTTGATCGGAGAGACGGGTCGTCGTCAACGAGATTTCTTCCCACCCGCGATCTTTGCCCGTCTAGCAAAGTCGAAACAAGCGGATCATCCATGGTAGGAGGTCTAAATCGAAGCGCATCGGCGCCGCTCCGGACGTACTTTTTAGATCGACTTCTGCGCTTCGAGAACGTGTCCGTGGGCCCCTCGCGCGCGGCCAAGCGAGCGTCTGGGTCCTCAAAACCAGCAGGTGCATCCAAGTCGTACTCTTCTGTGAGTTTCGCATTATTTCGCCCGCGAGGCGTCCTGCTAGCACCCAAAAATCTCTCTTCTTCGTCCATGATCTCTTCTTCGGGTAAAAGTTCATACCTATCCAGAAAATCCCCATCAAACGATAACGAATTCGCTCGACTTCTCGCACGCACGGGCTCTCCGTCCCACTGCGGCTCCGGCGCCCTGTAATCGCGCTGTAGATTGTAATTGGTGTCGTCCTGCGCAAACGTTCTGTACTTACGCGATGGTGATACTCTTCGGCCGAAAAGCGCGTCCATAGTCCACCGAAACAGCCCACCAGTGTTGTCATCGGTCTCGGAGTTGGACAGCATCTTATTATGAGCCCAAAATCAATGCTGAGAACACGCGAGAAAGAGGATGTTGCAGCTTGCTAAGCGGATAGTCAGCCTGAGGAGGCAATGTCTGCAACAATCCCTTACTACCTCAGCTGCAATCAACGGGCTTGTTCTTGTCGATTTGCAAGTAGTGAGCTCTCTCATGAACATCGTCATCGTCATCGTCATCATTTCCACTTGTGTTCACGAAGAGAGCCCTTCGTGCAGTGTGACGTTGAGGAACTTCGAGGTTTCCAAGTCCAAGAGATGAGCTCAAGACAATGCCGTAGCACGGTCTGAATAAAAGCGGTTAATCGAGACATGGAGGCGCTTTTTGAGCGCGGCTCCTGGCTGTTACTGAAATCAGGAGCCCAGGTCTTACTATACAGGAATTTGGAGCTTTTTACGCGGTGGGATGATGCGGAAACTGTCGAATTTCGTTGCCAGGTCTCGAGCGACGAGTTACAGGTCTATGGGAGCAGAGGTCGCAGGATCGAAAGTCGGCGGGTCAATTTGGCTGCACCAGGGCAAGTAAGTAAGTGTGAGAAAGTGCTAGAGGTTTGGTTTGAGGTGTCTCGGTATGAGATCTTGTGGGAGCCTGGGTGGGTGCTTTGCTCGGACAGCGCAGCCGGATGTTTGCACGTGTTTGACGTGGTTTTCGGCAGGTATGTGGGGTATGTGCGGTTCTACGCGTTTCACGAGCGTGTGGTTCTCGTGGACACGCACGAGTTCATGGTTGTCGCGTCCAAGTTCGACCAGGACGTGATGACCGCGAGCGCGACGTTGAACGTCTACAAAATACACGAAAACCGGAATTTGGCTCTGTCGCTTAGTGTATCGCTCGGAGAGGAACTGGCGACTCACAAGATCGTGCGCGACAGTAGGTTCGCGCATTTTGGCGTGGTTTCCGTGCACGAAATCCTGCGCACGACCAAGATACGCCTCTACTTACCGAAAGTCGCCGAACCTTTCTACGAGGCCGATGTGGGCGCCATTGGCGCATACAGGACTTGTTTTGCTGACGAAATAACGATTGTTTTCGCTGGCACCGACCCAGTGACAGACACAATGATGCTGGTAGCGCACGACGTCGCAAGCTCGCGCGCTGTCAGTAGGGTTGCTCCTCCGACGCAAATCGCTGCCCCAACACGTGTCACTTACCTTTCTGCATCGTCGACGAAAACGATTTGCTTCGCGCTCAGCTCAGATCCCAACCTTGTCTACGTGTGGGACTTACAAACCGGCGTTTCCACTTGTACGCAGCCCTCGCCTGTTATAGCCCTGCCACATGACTACAGCGACACCAAAAGTACCGCCTCCGGTTTCTACGTGTGCCCAGATCGTCTCAGCACCCTGTCTGTACGGTTTCGAGACTTGAATCAACTCCTACAGGCGTCTTGAGCGTTCTCCATGGTTACTCTACCAAAACCTCGAAAGAAAATATACTTTAAACTACACAGAAAGCCACGAAAACGAACTCAAAACCACAAGAAACGGTACCGACATCTTGGCTGATCCTTAGGATCTGCCTGGGAATCACCTTCCGACTGGGATGTATCGATCGCAACCATATTGTTGACCTTTTTTCGAAATGGGTTATCGAATTTCGTGGTTTAGGTAGCGGGCATTAGAAACGTGTGCGGTGCCAGAGCCACGAAAAAAATTCTGAAAAACTGTTTTCGGTGCATCCCAATAAGGTCAAGCAACGGTCAAAGTTGCACTCGATTGGGTGAATTAGAATTCACGGTAAGGCGTTTGATGCGAACCAAGGTTTTCGTGATGAGATCGCGGCGGAGTTTGGCAGTATGGCTATGAGTTAAGATTTTTCGTGGTTGTGCACAATACATATAAACGCAGAGGCATTGGGTTGAGATTGAAGGTAAGCCATTGAATTAGGATTCGAGAGCCAAGAGAATTTCGTAAGCTCTTCAAGAAGATATTTTTTGTGGGAGAAACAATTCCACAGGCTGGCCGAAAGAACAACATCTGTGGGACATTACAGGACAAGGCAAGACCTAACCTGTTTGATTCGCATCAATTGTATTACGGGGTTTCCTTTTTGCACTCAAGACACAAGTTTCTGGAATCAATTGCGTTGTATAATGGAAGACGATGAACAACCGAAAATGGGTTTGATCGTAACCGCACGGCAGACGTATTATCCAATTGAACTCTCAAACGCAGAGTTACTTGCGCATTATGAGACTATTCAGGACTATCACCAAGAGATATCCGCCAATGTTATCTCGCAATCGTGCAAATTCAAGCCGGACCCCAAACTCATTAGCCAACAGCCCGAAATGGATCCACATCAGACACGTAGAAGTGTGATGTCGATCCTGTTCGAGCTCGCTGTTAAAACTCGTGTCACAAATGGCATATTCTTCCATGCGGCAAGACTATACGATCGTTACTGCTCCAAGAGAGTTGTCCTGCGGGATCAGGCCAAACTGGTCATCGCCACGTGCCTGTGGCTTGCGGCCAAGACCTGGGGTGGTTGTAACCATATCATTAACAATGTCTCCGTGCCCACGGGCGGACGTTTCTACGGACCTAACCCCAGAGCCAGAATCCCCAGACTTTCAGAATTGGTGCATTACTGCGGCGGCGCCGACGTCTTCGACGAAAGCATGTTCATGCAAATGGAAAAACACATCTTGGACACCCTCAGTTGGGACGTCTACGAACCAATGATCAATGATTACATTCTGAATGTAGACGAAAACTGCTTGATACAGTACGAGCTTTACAAGAGACAGTTAGACCACAACCGCGACTGGTTCAAAAGAACGTCTCAAACTTCGGATAGCGACGCTACAGAAGCGGATGAAGAGGACGACAGGGATCTCGACAGCAAGATCAGGCTGATCAATATCAAGACTTTTCTAATCGATCTCGCAACATGGCAATACGACTTGCTCAAGTTTGAAATGTTCGAACTCGCACACGGCATTTTCTCAATCATCAATCAGTTCACTAAGCAAGACCAGGGTCCACTTCTGCTGTCGCCTTTGCCAACCGCTACCAACCAAGCCGCGCTACTTAACATTTTCATGGCAGCAGTAACTAAGGCGCCCGCAGAACTTCTGGCTTACTACAACGACAGTCATGGTGTTACTTCGTTTGTCGACGCCGTCAAGTCGCACTACACTGCACTACAGAAAAAATGGCAATTTGCGGCAAACGCAGATCTTTCGCGCCGATCTACTTTGTGTGCTGAGGTACCATCCATGCCCTCTCCACCATACCCAACCACCACTCAGACTCCTCTGAGAAATACGGCGGCCGCGTCGGACACAAGCATTTTCAGCACTGTCGAGACACAACCGTCTCCAGTAACGCCTATAATGTATTCGTTCCCACACAGTAAGGGCAATTCAAACAGCACGTGTGGATCCACGCTGAGCGTGAACAGCATCTCGAACAAACGCACACGGGGCGAAGACTACGATTACATGGACGAAGACAAAGAAAATCGCGAAAGAGGGTTTGTGGCACCACCCAAGGCCAAATTCGTGGGCAATAGCATTTTTGCATCGGGCGGGACCTCTGCCACAAACAGCAACCGATCCTCGCTTGTATCGCTCGCTATCGGGAATATTAATGTTGCATAGAATATCATATATATAGCACACAGCCGTAATGGCAAGGACAAAACGGCTATAATTTTAATGACAATTTTTAACAAGTTTGAAGCGAATATGAAAACCCGGGGGGGGGGGGGTCCGTTCTAAGGCACTCGGCTGCTTTTGCCATTTTTTCAACTTGTGATGTTCGTCAAGCTGCAGAAACCGTAAAGCTACGCAGAAAGAGAAAAGCGACAAAATTGATGACCAGTAGACTAGCGGTTGGCCACACGCTGAAATAGAAAACACCACCAAAGCTTGTACTTGAGCAGCTAAACCATGTACTACAGTATAATCGCTTAAAAGTCACGGGAATACTATTTAAGTCACGTGATCAACAATAGGCCATCAACGATTAAAGATGGCTCATAAGACATTCAAGTTTCAACACATTCAGTACTACAGAACAGTCAACAAAACAAGGACCCGATGATCGGTATTCTCTCGCTTCTAGGTCTCGTGGCAAGGTTGATTGATGTTTGTAGCGCTGCTGACGATGGCTCTTCGTTGTACGGAACGTGGTCGTCAAAGTCGAATCAAGTTTTCACTGGACCAGGATTTTATGATCCCGTGGACGAATTGCTTATAGAGCCATCTCTACCGGGAATTTCGTATTCGTTCACGAAAGATGGGTGGTTCGAAGAAGCCACGTACCAAGTCTCGGGAAATCCAAGGCAACCGAATTGTCCCAAGGCTGCAGTGACATTTCAGCACGGGAACTTCGAAATTTCTGACAACGGGACCTTGACTTTAAATCCGATCCAGGTTGACGGGCGCCAAATTTTCAGCGACCCTTGCAACGACGATGGTGTGTCGTTATACCAGCGTTACAATCAAACTGAAGTTTTCAAAAGCTTCGAGGTCCATTTCAACGATTACTACGGCAAAAACATGCTTCAACTGTACCAACAGGATGGGAGTCCCATGCAACCGCTGTATTTGGCATATCAGCCACCTCAGATGCTACCTACCGAGACCTTGAACCCTACCGCTGCTGATGACTCTAAAGCGACTGCGACGGGATCTTCTGCGTCTGCGTCTGCGACAGGCAACAAAAAACGCTCGCTACGCAGCGCCGTCAAGCGCAGTTTGGAAAACAAGCACAGAACAAACGCGGTCAAGTCCGAAAACCGGTTTTTTAATGCGAACTTCTATTGGTGGGTCTCTGCAGGGCTCATCGGGGTTGGGTCTTTGGTCTTTTTAAGCATGTGAACACCGAAAAAGGGCAGTTGAAAACTTGACACGGAGAATAAGAATGCTCTATAGATACGGATCTTATACTAAAATCATTCATTATCGGTTATACCCATTCTCACCTTTTTTTCATTTTCTCTCGCTGACCTTCGAAATCCATGGCCTACAAACTAACCATGAACGTTTTTAGTCTCTGCAATCCATCCTGATGGTCTTACGGACCTTAATCGTAGTCTCGTCTTCACCCTCGAATGGGTATCCTCTCGTTAGTTTGGTGACACAGTCACGTGACGTTACTTCGTTTTCACCAGTGTCAGGATAATCTAACGAACCTCTTGAGCTTGGTCAGGGGAAAAGGCGCGAAGGCTGATCTGACGAAGCGAATAGGATCTCATCATCTCTTTCGATATCGATGGGCACCGTTATAAATAGTGCATCCCAACTAGACACTTTAATTCAACGCGCCACGAGCGAGTCTATCCCCAATGGTGAGATAGATCTGTCATTGGCGTTAGAAGTTTCGGATGTAATAAGATCAAGAAGAGTCAATCCGAAAGAATGCATGAGAAGTCTCAAGAAACGGATTGTGGCGACACGATCTAATCCAAATACTCAGCTTTCAGCTTGGAGACTTACGGAAGTTTGTGTTAAAAATGGCGGAACGGCATTTATCAAGGAAATCTGTACACGAGAGTTTATGGATTGTATGGAACACACGATACTAGAGAATGATACCAACGAAGACGTCGAAAAATTTTGTACTGAAATGCTACAAGGTTTGTACGTCGCGTTCAAGAATGATTCGCAACTCGGTTACGTCGCAAAGGTTCACGACAAACTTGTCGCGCGTGGCGTTGATTTCCCGCCAAATGGCCATACACAGTCAGAACTTGTGGCTGCGATGTTTGATTCTAAGACACCTGCTGATTGGATTGATTCGGATGCCTGTATGATCTGTTCTACGAAATTTACGCTTTTAAACAGAAAACATCACTGCCGGTCCTGTGGCGGCATATATTGCCAAGAACATTCTTCACGAAGAATCCCGTTACCGGATCTTGGAATATATGAGCCAGTAAGAGTATGTGACAGCTGCTTTGATGATTATGAGTTGAAAAGACACTCTGGTAAGAAACACAAGTCCAAGCGGAAAAAAAAAGTTAAGCCCACTCGCGACGGAGACGAGGACGATGACTTGAGGCGTGCCATCGAGATTTCACTTAAGGAGACAAGCGCGGGTGGTACAGCAATCCCTGTGGTACAGCCAGTAAAACAGGAACAACGTCCCACAGCGGACGAAGAAGACGAAGATCCAGATTTGAAAGCGGCCATCGAAGCGAGTCTGAGAGATGTCAGGGCTCAACCATTGAGCACGAGTTTTCAGCATCAACGCAATCCACCAATACCGATTGACCAGCCTAAGTTACCAGCATTTCAAGCTCTCGACGACTTGACTTCTGCAGAAGAAAATGATATATATCTCTTCGCATCATTAGTCGAGAGAATGAAGTCGCAACCGGCTACAGCGATTTTAGAAGATGACAAATTGCAGCAGCTCTACAGAAAGGTCTTGGGAGTTGCGCCGAAGCTGAACAGTGTACTACACGATACAGTGATCAAATGCAACACACTTGTTGATATGAACAGCAAAATCTCGGACATTATGAACGTTTACGACTCCTTATTGGAAAGACAACTGCAAAGTATCAATCTCAGCCAGCAATATTCAGTTCCTCAACTACCTTCCGACCCGTTCTCTTTCTATGGAATACAAAAGCAAGAGGCCTCTAAAGCTGAAAGTTTTGAGTCCGCAAAATTGCAAACGCAAATTACTTCTCCGTATCCAATGGAGTCAAGTTCGCCAACGCGCATACCTGCCGATGTTGTCAATAGCATATCAAGTTGGTCCCAGGAGCCTTCTGAACGCAGAGAGTACATCAATACGGTACCCATTCGAAACCCTCAGAGCAACTCTGTTACGCCCATGCGAGAAACCAGCAATCAAATGTCTTTGTCTCAATTGGGATTTCAGAGCGCTCCATTAAACAATACAGCAGCAATGCATCTTAAAGAAAGTGAACCGCCATATCCTTTGGAGGAAGAAGAGCATATTATAGATCCGAGAGCTGCTGCTCCGGTGCTGACCAGTGCTTCACAGCTACAGCCAACACGTCAAAGCGAGGACAAGATAACAGACGTGAATTTCCCTACTGTTCCGGTTACAAAGCCTCCCGTTGAAGAATTGATTCCAGAGGAAGTTAATGAAGTTGAGGAAGATGAGCCCGAACACCTGCTAATTGAGCTTTAGTTCCTGGCAGTACGCGATTTTCGCCGTCACCTACCCTGATTGCATGTCATCTGAGTAAGGAAGTGATTTACTCATTAACAATATACCTTCTTTTAGGGATGCTATAGGATAACACTCCCCAATAAATTTCATTGGTCACCTCTCCAATCATAAAATCCTAATGCGACTGCTTTGGATTTCATTCCTTCAGCTTTTGAAGATTATCAAATGCACTATGTTTTTCCAATTCTAGCAAGGATCAATGACCGTCTCCGGTCAATGGCACCTCAAAAAATTGTGAAGGGCACATAACTTGTGATCACACCATAGAGTCCACATTAGAGGGACGTCTTGCGTTAAAGCATATAATTCAGTTTGAAATGTTGTACCGACCTTAAATGAATAATATTATATTATATATATACGGAGAGGGCTGCTAGAAGTTAAGCTTATAAAGGGATGCGCATGCAAACTTTAAAATTCTTAGAGTAGTCAACTTAATTAAAAATGCCTTCAGCGCGGGTTTGTCATACCCCAAAGAATTGCTTTATCTGAAAACGGCTGTCATATTACAATCTCTTCAGTCTCCAAGCCACAAGTTATACATCTTCTCTTGGTCACTCGAAAGCCGTCTTCATTAACGCCACCATCAATTGGGGCTGAAAACTCATGAACGTGTTCTTCGCCATGCTTTCTCTTTAGCATATTTCTCGTGTACTCTTGAGCTCTCGTTTTCTTACGCATTTCCTTCATTTTCATGATATACTTCTTTTCTCGCCTTTGAGCTTTACCCTCTTCGCGACGCTGCCATTCTTTATCAAGTCCCTCTTCTCCTCCCCATTTCTTAAACGCGAACTCCTCGATTTGGCACCTCACAAATAGCTGCATCCGTGCGAACGTCCCAGAATGTGGATTCGGTTTCTCGAGTCTATAGAAAAGAGTTGAATCGTTAAGCTCGGGATCTGTCAGAAAATAGTCCTCTTTACACTCGGTTTTCGTCAACAACGCAAATTTCTCGGGCTTGTTTTTCGCGCACGTCTTGCATATTTGGAGTTTGAATACGTCGTGCAGCAGTGGATCAAGCTCCGTATTGATATTACATTCAACGCATCTCGGAGCCAAAGAAGGATGCTCGGGAGGAGGAGCGTTTTCGTACAGCGCACGTCTTTCTTTCTGTTCCCTCTGCCACTCTTCAAGTGACCGCTGCTTTTTGTTCTCCCACCCATCCTCGGTTTCTTCGACGTTGATGAACCCACCGTAAGAGTTTTTCATAGTTGCAAAATCGTACTCGATGTAGTCTTCCCTACGAATTGTAGGTCTAATCCGGTCGAGTGGTCGCTTCCCACTCTGTTGCATGGCCCGGTTTTCATTACCAGACGCATCTCGTAAATTACTCTCACTACTTTCCAGCCTTTCTTGGGCTATCGTCCTTTTTTCAGCAACTTTCTTGGCTCTTTCGACTCTTGCCAGCGTTAAATCTACCGGGACATCTTGTGAGTCACTTTCTGGTTGCAGTTCTCGACGAATTTTACTCGGGCGTTTTTCATTTCGATCCTCAATCTTTCGTGCCTGGTCCGGTCGTATTAAACCTCGCCTTTTAAGCCTTTCTAAAGCTCTTCGCCTGTTCGCTTCCTGAGTTCGTTTAGTTAGTCCTGGACGACCAGAATAGCTCTCAAACAGGGCGTTTTAAACCGGGATCAAAGATTAAAACTCGCATACTATCCTCTCCTGTTGCGTAGACATAATGTGAAGTCTCGAAACCGGAATTCTTGGCTTTCAGCTCGTTGGCTTGCAGGGGTGTTCAGAGACTGAGATGACTTTGCAACTTGAATGAAGTTAGAACCGTTATGTGTGATTTCGAAAATAACTCACGTGACCTCATCGCCTCACCAACCTTCCATAGTGTAGTCATGCTCTATTCCGGGCGTTACGCTAGCCATGAATTTCAGGAAGACTATGAGGTACTGGTCGACCCTTAGACCAATGTCCAAGTCCTCCTGCACGTCCTCCCAGTCGTCTTCTGGACCCGGGGTCTTCTCAAGGCCCGAAGTTTCCACGCCTTGAGCCTCTGCGGCGCGCGCGGCCCGCTCGCGTTGCTTAACCTGTAGCACTTTGCCCATAAGTACTCGCATCACGTTCGCATGCTTGCACGGGTGAATCGACACCGAAGTCACGGAGCTAGTCAGAAACGGCAGTTTCTCGATAGTCGCGGTCTTGGTTCTGTAATCAGGTGAGATGTCCTCAAACATTTGTTCGGGCGTCAACGGCGCCCCATCGCCCTGAAACCCAACCAAGTACATTTTTGGCACCCGGTAAGACGTCGAATATGCGATGTAAAGGTCGTAATAGCGACGGTCTGCGCGTGGCGCCGCTGCCACAATATCGTCTGAGTCTTCCTCTGCTTCTTCGATTTCAAAGCTTTCCAAAAGCTCATCTATATCCTGGGCACCAGCTTTATTTCCGTTCGGGGGCCCCTTTGGACCGGCCGGGCCCACAGTGGTCTCAAAGCCACCAGAACTTGTCTCCCCCTTCTCAATAACCCACCCATCCTCATCAGCCCCATCTTCCGCGTCTCTCACGTTCGTAAACTGCTCCGCACGCCGACCACAAGGCACTTTTCGTGTCACCAAAAACTGGTGTTCTCGCGGCAAGAAATCTCGGTAAGTCACGGCCCTTGTTACCTCGTTCCACTTCCACGTCGGAAACATATGACACAGATACTCTCCAGCTTGTACAAACTCCTCAGGCGTGATTTGACCCGTACTTTGGAAAGTTGACTTGTGACTCACCGGTGTAAGAAATTCTCGCCATGAGCTCAGTGTTGATCTTAGCATTTTGTCTGTTTTGTTGTCGTTCAGGATCCTTGCAGGTTTGTCACGTTAGCTTCCTTAATATATAAAGATGACATTTGTATAGCAGTAACAGAATCATCCAATATAAGAATAGACAGAACAGAGAGAACACCGGTGGAAAACACGCTGGACAGCCGGAATAGACGAGAAATACCATTAAATTGGGTAAAATGGGTGTGAAAAATCGAAAGAAGCACACTAAAAATACTCCAGAACCCCAAAAAACGAATCACATAACTCCACATGAGTCCTTACGGCGAGATTCGAAGAAAACTAAAAAATCTTGGAGGGATTCACGTCGAACCGTATTTTCACTGGGAGCCATTGTGGGCTTGCTCATTGCACTGTATTTTGGTGGATTCAGTGGGAAAACTAATACGGCTTTATTCGACAATTTGGTGAACTTCGAGTTTTTACAAGAATATATGGAAGATTGGCGCGAAGTCATCCCACAGAGTATTTCGTCGCTGATTTCAGATTTCCAGCAACGAAACTTACAAACGACACCTCCGACAAGCCTGACAGAGAGTTTTGCCGTAGGCAAGCAATTGCGACGCGAAATGAATTTGACGAGCAAACATCCAGTGATAATGGTACCAGGCGTCGTTTCGACAGGGATTGAGAGTTGGGGCGTGTACGGTGACGAAGAATGTCCCAGCGAGCCGCATTTCCGTAAAAGATTATGGGGGTCGTTCTACATGCTGAAATCGATGGTATTGGATAAAGTGTGTTGGCTACGGCATGTCATGTTAGACCCCGAGACTGGGCTGGATCCGCCAAATTTCACGTTGCGCGCGGCTCAAGGCTTCGAAGCATCGGATTTCTTCATGGCTGGGTACTGGATCTGGAACAAAGTGTTACAAAATTTAGGCGCCATCGGGTACGAGCCCACTAAAATGAGTACTGCGGCGTACGATTGGCGTCTGGCGTATTTGGACCTGGAACGGCGCGACGGGTATTTTTCAAAGCTACGGCAACAGATAGAGGAATACCACTCGATGACTGGCGAAAAATGCGTGCTGGTAGGCCATTCGATGGGATCTCAGATCATATTTTATTTTCTCAAATGGATCGAGGCAGAGGGCCCGCTGTACGGCAATGGAGGTCAGGGTTGGGTCGAAAAGCACATTGGGGCATTTGTCAACGTAGCTGGCACGTTGTTGGGCGCCCCCAAAGCCGTTCCCGCGCTTATAAGCGGTGAAATGAAGGATACCATCCAGCTCAACGCGCTGGCCATGTACGGGCTCGAGAAGTTCTTCAGCCGCAAAGAACGGCTGGACATGATCCAGACTTGGGGAGGCGTGCCCTCGATGCTGCCCAAGGGTGGCTCTCTCATCTGGGGGGACATGCAGGCGTCCGCTGAGGACGCTCTGCACAACAACACCGACACGTTTGGCAACTTCATCAGGTTTGAAAGGCAGACGGGACCTTTTTCGCGCCGTAACTTGACCATGGAGGATTCTATTGCATTGATGCTCGAGTTGGCGCCTTCATGGCTGCGTGACCGTGTTCACGACCAGTACTCGTTCGGATACGCGCGCACCGGCCAAGAATTGCGCGAGAACGAGCTACACCATTCCCATTGGTCGAACCCACTGGAGGTCCCATTACCAGACGCTCCCAGTCTTAAGATCTATTGTTTTTACGGTGTCGGAAATCCAACGGAGCGTGCTTACGTCTATAAAGAGGATAAAGATCATCCAGATCTTAATTTTACCATAGATTACGAGACTTCTCAACCCGTTTTTTTCACAGAGGGCGACGGTACCGTGCCCATAGTAACACATGCAATGTGTCACAAATGGGCCCAGGGTCAAACTCCTTACAACCCGGCAAACTCCTCTGTCACCGTGGTAGAAATCAGGCATCAACCGGACCGTTTCGACATTCGCGGTGGTGCCAAAAGCGCCGAGCACGTTGACATTTTGGGCAGCGCTGAACTCAACGAATACATACTCAGAATCGCAGGTGGCTTCGGAGACACTATAGAGCCTCGTCTCATCTCCAACATGACTCAATGGGTCCGAGAGATGCCCTTCCCCATGTAATCAATGGCCTTCAAGACGTCCGTTTCCGGGTGCAACTCATTTGCTACTCATTTCTCGAGGAACATCACGGGAACACTTTTCTTTTTCTTTCATTGTTTTCTTTGTTTCGCGTTTTCGCGTCGCGCGTTACCAAACAAACCACGCCAAAACTGCCGTTAACGAACCACGGAAGAAGCCTGACGTGTCTGGAAAAAGAGGCAAGTCGTATTGGTTTGAACTTTTGGATTTGGAGTGGTGGAGCAAGAGACAAGAAACGCGCGAGTCGCATCGTTTCAACCGGAAGTAACTAGGATAAAGAAAGCTCATTATTAACAGTGGCTTTGGAAACACGCTTTAAGACTCGCCTCAACATAAAAAACGACAAACAATGGCCACAGAAAGTGAACGGCGCCCACTGAGCGTGATTTCGAATTCACGTATGAACAAACTGTCAGGTGTGAGTCCCGTTAAGGACCGCAAACTGACATTGCCTTCGATAACGTCGATTATGAATGTGGAACAAGAGCAAGGGGCCGAGACAGTGGTACCAGATGCAGCGGGTACGACAACGGCTGCGGACGCGACAGTGTCGGCTGTCGCACCGGTTATTGTGTGCGAGGACGACCCGTATAGTCTGGCTGCGCACAAGCTGCGAGTACGATTGCAGCTCGCCTATTACAAGTACAAGACAAACCAGTCACATCTCAAGTTTCGACAGCTACAGCGGCACGAGCCACGAGCGGGAGCCGCACGGAGACTTGTGGTGTCACAGGGTGCGTTCCGCACGCCCGTGAAATCCGTGAATCCATCGCGGTGTCTCAAGCCGAGCAGCACCACAAAAAAGTTAGCGCCTGCCAAATCGACACCGCGGTCCACCTCGCTGCCGGGCTCTCTGCAGGACACTCCCATCTCCGTAAAGGCCGCAAAACAGCTGTTGCAGTTGTTTTCGAGCGCCAACTGATATACTACGACGATGCTGCGACCTCCAGGGCCGCAAGCTCGATGCATTGAGCTCTCAGAGTCATCGCAAACCGTTTTGTACGCAAGTCTGCACTTCAACCGGTTTCGCCACATTTCATTCGATTCAACCCGTTTGAACTTGGGCTTTCGCAAGCTTCCAGCTTCCAGCGGTATAACGCACTCACAGGGCCAACGCTAACGTGCCATTGACGTCACTAGACCCTTTCAACGCTCGATATATCCGACCGTCTGTTAATTTTTGGTCTCCGTGGGTCGCGATATTCGGTTTTCCCACTGTTTTTCACTTTCTCGTTTAGGTGCCCAATACTTAAAGATGAGTTGCATTACGATCTACCGAAAACTACGAACCACAGCCTCAGTCAAAACACAAGCATTTCAAAGCATGAAGATCGTCTTTTTCGCTGCATTGGTCGCCCTGGCGGGCTACTGGATGAACCAGCTTCTTTACACCTGGCTGCCCACCCAATACATCTTTGATCCAAAAACTCTGCAAGAGATTTCCAACACCGTGCTTCGCAAGCACGAAGCATTCGAAAACTCGACTACTGAGGCACTTTTGAAAGACCTTCGTGATGAGCTTGCTCTTTACTACGGTGAAGAATACATCAACAAATGGTCTCGTGACGAATGGGTTTTCAACAACGCCGGAGGAGCCATGGGCCAGATGATCATTCTGCATGCGTCTATTTCCGAGTATCTCATTTTCTTTGGCACCGCTGTTGGAACCGAGGGCCACACTGGAGTGCATTTTGCGGACGATTATTTCACCATTTTGAAGGGCGAACAATCTGCTTCGCTCCCATACAGCTTAACGCCCGAGATATACAAGCCCGGTGACTGTCATCACTTGGTCAAGGGTCACGCCAAACAGTATCGTATGGAACGCGGTTCTTTCGCGTTGGAATTGGCTCAGGGCTGGATTCCATGTATGCTTCCGTTCGGATTCTTGGACACTTTTTCGAGCACTCTCGACGTTCACACTTTGGCTGTCACGGTTTATTTGACAGGACGCGATATGCTCAAGAATCTCTTCAAGAATGGCAAATTTTAAGACCTGACCAATGACTTACTAGATCGTCTCATACACTGTATAAATCTTATCATTTTTATCACATTGTTATTTATCTTATTAGGTTCCTTCTTGTAGTAGGTTTTTCGTTAAATTGGAAAGCCTTAGTTATCAAAGATCGTTACATTAGCTAAGAAATCAAGAAATGACTTCTCTGGAAAACGAACATCTAGCACACCTCCAAATGTTGTTGGGATCCGGTTCTCGTTCACACCAGGCGTCGGAGTTCATCCCGCAACTGTACTATTCGCTTTACCAGCTTAAGAAAGATCCTAATAGCACTTCTAATTCGCTAAAAACGGCCACTTCGAGTATACGTCACCGTTTGAAACAGTGCAAGGCGTATATAGAGCAAAATGGCGAGTGTCAGGAGTTGCTGGGTCGCTCTTGCAGTGAATGGGAAAAAACACTTGCGCAGCGAGAAAGAGAGCTGGAAGTAAAGAGACAGTTGCTGAAAGATTTACAAGAACGTGTTAGCAAACTTAGCCCGGCGTGATGGGATGACCAGAGTTTTTTAAGTCAACGAGCAGAGTACGTGAAGAAGCCACTATAGGGGAAAGAGGTAAATCTGCATGACACACTCTCGGAGACTCAATTGACTGCTAGAATGACTTATTCGTTGGTTGGGACACGTGTGGCCGCTCCTCTGGGGCCTCAAGAACCCCATTGGAAATCTATAGGTGATCCACAGGTAACCCACAGGTGACCCAGTTTGAACAGGTCACGTAACGTGCGTTTCCCTAGGCTTACTCCGTTTCGGTTCCATACTTTCGTTTCCAGCTGTAAAGCTTCGGCGCCACAGCTTAGTTTTGATTCTAATCCGCTAGAATGCGATGCGACAGTAAGGCGACGCAGTACGACGCAGACAAAGCCCTTTATGAACTGAACAAGGCAGAGCAAACGAACAATCCAGCAGTTCCAGATCGTATCCAACATCCAGCATAGACGCAGAAAAGTATATAATAGGAAGCTGGTCTGGAGCATTCGAATCCGATGCTAAATGCTGGCACACCATCGGGCATCGCGCTACCCGTAGAACAGCACTCGGAACGAATACCCACCTGGGCCGTTCAAGTGCGATGCAATTTCGCGATGTAAATACGACGAACCCCACTCAATTGAATAGACGAAGGCCCAAGTGATATAAAGTTGGAGTAACCGTGGTACCTCCATTACCTTCAGCTACATTAACTTCCAGCATCGAATGAAAATACACGTCATTGTATACGAATGAATTTTTGACAGGTCAAAAACCATGGCCCCCACCAATGTCGTGAATTAGCGGTGCTTTCCGTTAAATTCTGCATATTAGAAGCTCCTAATGCGACTTATTTTAGCGCTTTAACGGCACATTAATGCTATCTATCTGAATCGAAATCAAGCAGATCATCCTGTACGACATGTAGGATTATAACCTGCATACTCCGCCATGAGAAAACGATTTTATCCGTGGGTTGCATTCCCCTCCCCTTGGTACTGATCTAAGAAGACTCATGTTGACACTCATTCGTGTTTGCAAGTCTCTACTCACAGGTGGAAAGTTTGCTCGGATAAGTCGTTGTTGGCGTTGATCACGTGCTTTGAACAGTTTTGTCACGTGCATTATATTTGGCTGAAAATTTTCAAGATACTCAAATAATACTGCAAACAGGTTATCGACTGCACACACTTTTAGTTCTGACTATCAAGCACAAGAGGGTTCACTTGGAGTATCGTTGAACTTGAATAATGTCAGCCGCAAGTCCTGTACCACTTGGAGACTTTTCAAAAATTCATCCATTGCCGGGTGTTACTCCCATGACGGAAGAACAGCGGAAAGGTACATTTTGGTCTTCGAACCCGATTTTCAGTTACTTGAATGACGTGTACAGCAGTGTTCATGCACACAGGCAATCGTTGTCGCTTTCAAACCCGGGCTCAATTGAAAACTTGAACAAAGAAGTGTCCAGAGACGTTTTCCTGTCGCAATATTTTTTTACTGGTCTAAGAGCCGATTTGAACAAGGCATTTTCGTTGAATCCAGCGTTCCAAACTTCGCACACTTTATCGCTGGGATCGCCCAATTTGCCCAACTATGCATTCTCGGCACTTTTCGCCAACGATAACTTGTTTATTCAAGGAAACATTGACAATGATTTGTCGCTTTCGGGACGTCTTAACTACGGTTGGGACAAAAACAACATTTCTAAAGTCACTCTACAATTGGCCCAAGGTCAACCCACGATGTGTCAATTGGAACAAGATTTCCAAGGGTCCGATTTTTCTTTGAATCTCAAGGCTTTAAATCCTACTATCTCGTCCCAAGGTATTTTCACTGGTGTTGCCGTGGGGTCCATTTTGCAAAGCATCTCCCCACAATTTGCGCTAGGTTTGGAAGCGATTTATTCCAGAGGTCAAGCTGCTGCGCCCGCTGACTCTGCTGTCTCTTATGTCACCCGTTATGTGTCTTCGAAGCAAGACTGGATCTTCTCTGGTCAAATGCAAGCCAATGGTGCCCTAGTCGCCTCTTTCTGGCGTAAAATTGCTCCAAATGTCGAAGCGGGTTTGGAAACTAATCTACAGGCCTCTGTCGCACCAATTACTGATCCTGTCATCGGTACCCCAATTGGCCTTCAGCCAACTATTGAGGGTAGTACCACTCTAGGTTGCAAATACGAATACAGACAATCCGTCTTCAGAGGTTCTCTGGACAGTAACGGGAAAGTGGCCTGTTTCCTTGAAAGAAAGATTCTGCCAACTCTATCCATCTTATTCTGCGGTGAAATCGATCAATTCAAACAAGAGAGCAAACTCGGCTGTGGACTCCAATTTGAAACCGCTGGTAGTGAGGAACTATTAATGTTGCAACAAGGGCTAGATGTTAACGGGAACCCACTACAGGCTCCACCTCCAATCTAAGCTGCGTTTTATTTTAATGATCCAAAAACCCATGCTGTAAATGTAATCTTGTTTATATTATACTTCATTATCTCAATTTCGTTTCGCTGGTTTCCTGACACCGAAACTTGAAATGATCAACACTATGGACAACTTCATTGTAAAATACTTCAGATATTTGTCCCATCGAATGATGTGCCAGACACCATATCGGTAGAGAGTTACCTAATTATTTTCCGACAGATCCTCGAGCTCAATATCCATCCAACTGCTGAAGCGCTTCCATTTTTCGTCGCCAAACAGCTCACCAGCTCTTGTAGGTACCGAATAAGAGCGTCGATTTGAAAGATCGGAATGCGAGTGTGGTGAAAGCCCTGGGAGTGAACCGTGCCTTTTTTCGTAGAGTGCAATGTCTCTTCTGTCTCCAAGAAAACCAATATTTTGTATCGCTTTTCGAAACGCGGCATTAATTTGGTCGTGACAGTCAGCGTCTGAAGAATTTCTCAACCCCAATTGCTCTGCTAAGGGCTCATGTTCCTCATCCAGTAAATACTCTAAATCGTCTGAATCTTTATCACTCGCGTTTTCATCATCAAGGCATTGAGTGATCTGCTTGAGACTGCCGCTTTCACAGTCTGAGCTCAGCTCTGGCCCCTTTGGTACATATTGGCAAATTGAGCGTACAACGTCTTCAAAATTGGTTTTGACCGGCGGACTAATCTTTTGTTCACTGTGATGGGGTAGAAATTCAATTTCCCAAAATCGCTCTGGATTGTACAACATAATCATGATTTTAAATTGGTCACTTTCGAGCTCCGTAACTCTTAACCTGGGCATAATAGGATGAATTATCGTACCTTTGCGACCAAGCGATAGATATGTCATTTTCTGAGGCGTTTTCCCACCTTGTGATATTATCTGGTATAGTTCAAGCGGACCATCAGACACCAGACAGGTCGTTCTCCTAGAGCTTACAGACATACACTCCTCATCACCATTTCGCACAACACTCGAATAAGAGTGTAACGTGGAAGCGGACGACCCAGAATTCGTTCGATGCAGATAAGCACTACAATTCATCACTTTCACGTGATCATACCTAAACAAAGTCACACGTTGAGCAGACCTTCTGTTACCTGGATCGTCTCCCACCATCTTCCCTGCTCTTCGCTTGCTTGTATCCAATGTTTCATCATCTCGTTTACTTTTACTGCTCCATAAAATGCTCTTCTTAAGACTCTTGAAAGGTGAAGATGCTTTCGTTCTTCTAACGGTTCGAGCCCCGCTTGTTTGACGTCTATCATCAAATTTCGAATTCAAAACATCGTTGTAATTCTGAGCCATCACTTTTGCCTCCATAGCCTGAATTTAAGCCACGCGATGCCTAGTTTTTCGATTTTGTTTGATCACTTTGATCAGTTTTGACAGTTTCACAACTTGTCAACAAACCTGACCTTGAAAAAGTGTTACCTTGAATTCATTTTAATTAAAGCCGTCAACATTAATACCAATATCAACATCATACAAGTACCGCGCATCATTAAGTATACAAACATTCATAAAGAGATACATCAGTCTATATCGTAGATCCCGTTTTCTCGTTTTCTATGCAATCGTTCTTGGGCCGTGAAAACCGCAAGATTAGTTGTTGGTTTCAACCTTTTTTCTGCCAACCAAATGGTCGGCAATTGCCCGAGTACCTTCCCAGTGAATGACCTTCGGCATTCTCTTGGAGAGCTCCGTTTCGAAGTCGTAAAGTTGTCTAATAGAGCTGAAGACAACGTGAGAGCCTCTTATACCCAAAACCGCCGCGGTGGCAGATACATCTTTGTCGTCGAGATCGAAATCGTCATCGTCGGCACGCGCTTTCCGGATAGCCTCCTGGTGAGACTCGATGAACCCGACGGCCCTGATCGCAAGTCTGGCACCCCTCGTTCTATCAATTGGAGAGGGCAAGCCACCTTGTTGGACGTGTCCAGGGATAGCAGACTTGGCGTCAAATTGACCCTTAGCCTCAGCAGTGATGACTTCAGCTAGTACTTCGGGTGTGAATACCTTGGAGGCATTGTGGGATTTCAAGATCAATTTACCGAACCGACCTCTGCCACCAGCAGTCGCGAAGGATTCGGATAGAGTTTCGATATCTTGAGATAATTGTTCCAAAGAAATACCTTCTTCTGGCACATACGAGACTTGAGCTCCAACGGCAAGACCAGCGTTTGTGGCCAAGAAACCAGAGTTACCACCTTGAACATCGACCACAAACGCTCTTCCCCTTGTCGAGGCGGCAGATTGCTTAATGACGTCACAATAGTCCATCAAAGCGTTCAACGCGGTGTCAGTACCAAGAGAATATTCAGTACCAGGAACATTGTTGGAAAGAGTGGCAGGAATTAAGACCATTGGGATTCTGAAAGCGGGATAGTCCTCTCTAGCTCTCTCCAATTGATGAAGCGAAACAAAAGCTTCAAACCCACCAACAATAATAAGACCATCGAACTTGTATTTTTGGAAGTAGTATGCGATCATACCAATATCGGCTTCCTCAGGCGTAACTCTGTTAGTGCCGATTTCGGAACCACCGCGACTTTGCCAGCCGAGCATGGATTTCCAGCTCAAAGAGCGCACACTTTCATGTCTGGCTAGACCAGACCATCCGTTATAGATGGCGTAAGGTCTGTGCCCTTGAGACATACAGTACGTCGCCATCGAATAAACGGCAGAGTTGATACCACCGGCTGGGGCTCCAACGTTCACAATGGCGATTTTCAATCTCTTGTCGTGTGGAAGCTTTGGAGGATTGTGATCCGCAGAGTTAATAGCCATGAAGTTATTCAAATGCTCCACGAACTCGCTGTCTCTCAAAGCCATTGCCTTTTTGAAGTCCTTGGCTTGAATAGCATCCGCCACAGATTTAGTTAATCTAACGGAGTCCACAAGTGGTTTGCGAACCAACTTGTTTTCATTGATTGCAATCAGCGGGGAAGGCGTATCTGGAGTAGAGTCAAGGACAGCATTGACGGCTTCAACACCTTGCAAAGTGGCAAGGATACGGTCAAAGGCAACAGCTGTACCACCTCTTTGTACGTGACCAAGCGTAGTTACTCTAGTGTCCAATTGAAGTCTGTCTACCAGGACTTTGTGAACATCTTTTGGCGAAATTGGAGTTAAGTCCGCAGCAATAGCACCTTCAGCAACAATAACAATTGTGGTTCTCTTACCTCTGGCTCTGTGTTTGGCAACAATGTCACACATTTGGTCTTGCCATTCACGAGATGAAGCTGGTTTCTCTGGAATGAAAATGTAGTCAGCAGAAGTGGCGATACCTGCCATCAAAGCTAGCCAACCGCAGTTTCTACCCATAACCTCAACGACAAATGCTCTAGAGTGAGAGTTAGCAGTGGCTTCGATGTAGTCAACAGCTCTGCAAATTCTGTCCAAGGAGGAGTATGCACCAATGGTAGAATCGGTTGTTGACATGTCGTTGTCAATGGAACCGACGGTACCACAGATGTTCAAGTGTTGGTATCTGTTGAAATCGTCTTCACTGATACGCTTGGTTTCTTTTAATTCCTTAATCAAAGATGGCCATTCGGATCTGAAGAGATCAGCACCGGTCAAGGAACCGTCACCACCACAGACAATAAGAGCATCGACACCAGCTTCGATCAAGTGTTGAGCACCCTTTAGTCTACCAGCGCGCTCTTTGAATTCCATACAACGGGCGGTACCGATGTTGGTACCTCCTTCGCTTGACCACCCACGTACGTCTTCCCATGTGCACTCCCTAATGTATTCAGGACCACCACGAACAAGACCTTCGTAACCTTCCATAACCACATAAGGACGACAGCCTTTAAAGATAGCGGTCCGCACAATGGCGCGCACATTGGCATTCATACCGGGGGCATCACCACCAGACGTCATCACAGCGATAGCTTTTTGGTCCTTCTGAGACTTTTCTGGGAGAGAAGGGTAATGTTGGCTTGTTGCCACTGACTTTGCGATGTCGACCGAAGATTGAGTCTTAGAGGGAGCAGTTGAAGTAAAAACACCCTTCCGTAGAGGAGGCGCCGTTGGCATGGTGCTTACAGCGTTCTTGGTCTTAGTGACACCAATCACATTTCCTACTGGGTCGACAACGTAAAGTTCCATGGGGAACAAATCGGTAGGATATGCCTGATGTTGCCATTTTTCGCCAATAATGCGAGACTTCACTTGTTGGATGTCAGAGGTCTTAAAAACGAGAGATTCGGATGCCTCAGATCTCCAGTCGTGGGAGTCCTCAACACCCGCGAGAGCCTTGACACGAGCCTCGACCGCGCTTTGCTTCTCACTGTTCTCCTCAAAAGTAACACGAACGTCGATATGGCCATTGGTCAAGATCGCAGACGAAGTGCCGAGCGGTTGAACTTCTAGGAGCAAAAAATGCGAGTAGAAGCTCACAGTCTCCTCGTACGCAGCTTTTGAAAAAGTGGCAACGGTACACTGCGAAGTACCATTGATCAATGGGATATCAGCCGTCATTATAACACAACTTCGTTAGAGGGCCTTTCTTTCCCTGAACTCCTCAGCTCAGTTGGACAGCTTTCGCTTTTATAAAAATGACCGGCAATGAGGTGATAATTGGCACGACAGCTTCCCAGGCGGATCCTGACGCGGCCCTTCGGCTTCCAAAAAAAACGCAGCTTCCCAAGTACCATTTGGGAAGCTACAGTCGCATGCGTCCTCGTATGACGTTCTCAGAGCCAGGAACCTCACGGGGTCAGTCCTCGTTTGACACGACATATCTGTGTTACGTTAATAGTGATTTGATAGTATCACGTGATTGCAGTTCGTGCAACTTGACTTGGGCAACAGGAGGGATGGAGTGCAATTTGCGAAATAGCCGCCGAGGTAACAAGGTTAGTAACCGCGATAGCAGATTCTTATTTCGCATGCTTATTTTCCGTTAGTAAAGTGTTCTATGTCATGGCTGCGATGCTTGAAGAAAGGGGAGTTGCAGGCGGAGTCTTCTTGGGGAAGGGAATATGTACCGGGAACAACAATCCATCAATCGGAACGGAAAAGTCTCGATCACTGCATGAATCTATGCAAAACTGTTAACGTGTCAGCTTAATCACCGGGATATTCATAAAATCAATTTCGTTGGCTTTTGAAACGAACCTCTCAAGTCTTGGTTTTGCCGATGGCAAGAGACAAGAAGAGTTTGAAAATCAAGTCTCTTTATATAGAGCTTATATGGTGAAAGATTAACGAAGACGTGTAAGGTAAGGATAAATGCCATGAACGACAACAAACAGAACTCTAAGGACGGAAATAATTGACAGAAATAATTGTAGTATCTAGAGAACCTTCACTCAGGCAATCAAACCGCAAGGCACAATTTCAATGGAGTATCCATCGGGGTCTTTAATAAAGGCCAAGTTCTTCATCTTACCGTGGTTGAATTTGACGCCCCAGCTTATGCTCTCGCCGTACACGGACTCAATTTCGTGGCACAAAGCGGCAGGGTCGTCTAAACTGAGGCAGATGTGACCGTAGCCCTGGGGTTTATCATTGCCAGTATGGTAGTGAAAATCCGCTTCGTTTTCAGTGCCCCAGTTGTGAGTCAGCTCCAAGATACCTTCCTTGGCCCATCTCGGTTTGTCGCTGGTATCGTAACCCAAGAAGTAGAGTGTGAATTTGGCATTTGCGTGCTCGTTTTTGTCCAAGAGCTTCATCCCCAGGACGTTCTGGTAGAACCCAAGAGACTTGGCCGGGTCCTTAATGCGCACCATTGTGTGATTGAACTTGTAGCCCTCGTCGATGGGTTTCACCTCTGGAGACCTATTGTACGAAAGAAGCTCAATCCAGTACCCGTCGGGGTCTAGCGCAAACGCGATGTTCTTCTGTCTCCCGTCGCTAAGTCTTTTTTTGAATGCGACGCCGTTGGCCTCCAGTTCCGCGCAAGTTTTCTCAACGTCAGGTAAAGAGAAGCAGATGTGACCAAAACCTCTAAAAGGCTCCTCGTTACCGTTGTTGACTTTGAAGTCGGGGTCATCTTCAGTCCCATAGTTGTGCGTGAGCTCTAAAACACCACTTACGCCAAACACATCGTCCTCGCCCTTTTCGTTTTGCGGAAATGGAGTTTTAGGGAAAGAAAGGAAATACAAATCGAATTTCATATCAGGAAACTTTTTATGCCCAACCAAAGTCATCCCAAAATTTGAGGTATAAAACTTTAAACTTGTTTCCGGGTTCTTAATCCGCACGCAACTGTGGTTCAGTCTCAAAGATGAATTTTGAGAAGCAGCTTTGATTAGGGTTGGGTATGCAATTGATTCGGTTGCCATTTTTCTTAGGAAATGAATGTTGTTAGACCGTTGGAGAGGTCTTACTACTGTCTTCACGCTGTTCATAGATTAAAGCTTCACTGTTATCATTAACCGATTGTTGCTCCACAGAGGAATTAAATACAAATTAGATCACGTGCCTCTGGATAGAGATTAGCTCAGTGATAGAGTGGCCCATCAGAGCCTGTTTTTGCGGGGTCTTCAAGGCCCCTGAGCAGTTTGCTGACGGCTTGAAGGTATCTACAATGTTACCGAATTTCCATATTCTGGTGGTTTTTTATTTCTCGACGTCTTGTTCATTATAACTCCGGGAAACTCAGCGCTCTATTTCGACCCTTTTGCGAACAGATGCGGCAACATATCATGTAGCCAATTCTCTCTGGGAATTGGAATGCAATCCCTCATATATTCCTTCGATGTTAGGACAAGTCTTTGGTAAAGAAGATGTTTTGTTGGTTTCTTGGATTCTTTTCGAAACATTTGAAAGACAACGCTGCTGGGATGTATATTTACAGTGAGGCCACCAGTCTGTCTGCCCATCGTTCTGTATCCGGAACTGCCAAGCTGTGCGATGTTTCCTGGGAACCCGGCGATAAATGAGCGAGTTAGCCGCGCTTCTACATCTTGCAGAGGATTGCCAGCATCGAGAGCAGCCTCGTTGAGCGCTGCAAGCCCCAGTTTTTCGCAGCATCTCCATAGCTGATCGCGTATATTCCGCACGCGCAGCATAGTCTTGTACTGCACTTTATGATCTAGACACCAGGACCTGGAGTAATCCATGTCTTTCCAGGCATTGAATATTTCGAGGTACAGCATGTGATCGCTCTGCACTTGGCCCACGATTCCACTTTTATTGGCGTCTTGTCGCGAATTGACGAGCACCGACGACGTTTCGTGGAGCATCGCAACGATGGTAACGGCCTCTTCAAGCACTCCTTTGCATTTTTCGTGAGTTGCCGCAGTATGCATGACTTTACCGAACTGAGGTTCACAAGGAAAGTCACACATAATGTGGCCCAGCCTTGTTATGGCACCCTTGCTATTGAGCGCGCCTAATACGTACAAGTTTTCAAGCGCTTTGCTCAGAGTTGGGATGCTTGGCTTGTCGAGTAACGGGAAATTGACCAGATCTCTGATTCCCATGGACATTAATAAAAGGACCACTTGCGACAAATTGACTCTCAAAATTTCTGGTTTTGGTAAAGGTTCTAGTTCGTGAAAGTAAGACCATTTCGTAAAAAGTCTGAAGCATTTCCCAGGCCCAACTCTTCCTGCTCTTCCGGCACGCTGGTCCACAGAAGCCCGGGAACAAGGCACGGTCAGCAGCTGCGACATTCCACTCGCTGCTACATATGAATTTTCTTTGACGAACCCGGGATCGATGACAAAATTGATGCCATTAATTGTTAGCGACGTCTCGGCGATGTTTGTAGCTAGCACTACTTTTCTACAACCTTCTGGAGTTCGTTGAAAAATCTTAGACTGTTGATCTTGGGGCAAGTTAGCATAAATCGGTGCGATTATCAAGGGTCTTATTTTGTCACCCAAAACATGCGCAATTTCTTCGATACTTTGTTGGGCGCTCTCAATCTCTTCCTGGCCCGTTAGAAACACCAAGATGTCTCCTGGGACAGATTGAGTTGTGTGTATTTGGAAAACCGTCGTGATTGCTGCATTAATGTAGTTGGCCTCTGGCTGTAGTGTGTAATGAATGTCAACTGGGAACCTCCTTCCTGGAACATTGAAAATAGGTGCCCCGTAGAAAAACTCGGAAAACTTGACCGCATTCATGGTCGCTGACGATATGATTAGTTTGAGGTCTTTTCTATGTGGCAAAATATCCTTCAGGAGTCCAAGCAAGATGTCGGTAGCCAAGGTCCTCTCGTGGGCCTCATCAATCATAATGCATGCATAGTTTGTTAATTCGGGATCTATCATGAACTCTCGAAGAAGCATACCATCGGTCATGTATTTGAGGAATGTTGTGCCGGGCGTAGTCTTGTCTTCAAATCGAATCGAATACCCGACCTCTTTGCCGAGCATCACGCCCATTTCATCGGCGACTCTGGTCGCGACGGAAGTCGCTGCTACACGACGCGGTTGCGTACACGCGACCTGAAGTTTCCCGTGTTGGGTATACCCATCCTCAACAAGATATTGTGGCAATTGTGTAGTTTTTCCTGAGCCTGTTTCACCAACAACTATCATGATTTGATGCTCTTTGACAGCATTTAGCAGGTCGTCTCGGTACTGGTAAACAGGTAAAGATTTCCGCGTTTCATGTATACTCTTCAAACGCGCAGTTTCCTTTTCCAGACGCGATTCCAGCTCTGTCAAGGCGACTTCCTCATTCGAGCCTGGCGATAAACTATCCCCATCCTCGGTGGAAAACTCGATGAAAGCCTGTTCGTCGAAAACAAACTCGTATTCCTCGGATCCTTCGACCTTTATAGTGTCATAATCGGATCCCTGCACGGCGTTGTTGAGTTGTTTGTCTTCCCATTGCTTTTGAGCGCTTTTCTCGACCTGTACACGGTCTTTCCCGCTTCTCGTTTTCAGCAACTCTCGTTTCTTGTCTAGCAAAGCTTTCCCTTCGACAGCGCCATCCCCCATAAGAAACCCATTGTGGCCCTGTCTTTTCAGCTTGTCGTTGAAAAGCTTGACAACTTCACGCTTTAAAGTGATCTCATCTTGCTCCTGTCTCGACAAATTGTCCCACCCATACTTCACAACATCGGCCTCCAGATACTCCAGTTCTTTGACAACTACCGCGATCTTTTGCTCTTCTCTTTGCGTGAGATATTCATGCCTCGCCAGCAATCGTAACTCATCAAAATCCTGGCTGGAAGTTGGCTCCTTGGCGTCAGTTATTCTGTCAACACCGTAGTCATTTTTCGTCGTTTTCTCGACTAGTTTTGCATCTAAAGAAACAGGGTTTTCTGGTAAAGTATTCTCATTATCGTATTTACTTGTGAGGTCGTGTCTTACGCGGCGAGATCCAGTTCCAGTCACTGTATTTTGCGGTGTCATTGTCTAGAAAGTGCTGGTCTTTAGCTAGCTCATCGCGTCTCTGTTATCATTTTATGTACGGTATCTTGATAAGCATTAATTAAGATCATCGCGATGACTGAAAAATTTTGACTATTCAAAAATAGCGATTAAAGTGAAGTGGCAGAGTTGATAAGTAGGCAAGGTTCTAGGAGTCATTTGGCCCAACTAAAGCGGAGATAAACCTTTCTGATGCTCTCGGGCCTGATGAATGGTTATGTTGAGTCGAGACCGGATGAAGATCGGACTGACATTAATGGGGATAGTGCACATGTAAAGAACAACAGCAGTTTAATAGGCTCTAATCGGTCATATATGCCACCATGGACCACTCCGTATATCATTGGTGTTGGTGGGACGTCAGGGTCAGGAAAAACGAGCGTTGCTGCGAAAATCGTGTCTTCAATTAACATGCCTTGGGCCGTTTTACTGTCGCTCGATAACTTTTACAAGCCATTAACAGCAGAAGAACGAGAACGGGCATTTCAAAATGAGTACGACTTTGACGAGCCCGCGGCTATTGACTTGGATTTGGCATACGAATGCATTTCCAATTTGAAAAGAGGCAAAAAGACCAGCATTCCAGTGTATAGTTTCAAAGAACACAATCGAGTACCCGGCAAAAGCATCAATCTTTATGGTGCCAGTGTTGTTGTTATTGAGGGCATTTACGCTCTGTACGATCCCCGTATCATGGACCTTATGGATTTGAAAATATACGTCGATGTCGACCTCGACGTTTGTCTGGCCAGAAGGCTTTCGCGCGATATCATTTCGCGTGGAAGAGATCTAGATGGGTGTTTGGATCAATGGGAAAGGTTCGTGAAGCCTAATGCGGTCAAATACGTGAGTCCTGCTAAAAAATATGCCGATGCGATTATTCCATCTCTCGGTAACAATGGAGTCGCTACCAAGACTCTTATCAATCACATTAAGTCGAAACTACAATTGAAATCGAGAAGGCACCTGAAAGAGATCGCAAAATTGGGACACAGTGACAACGTTACACCGCTTTCTCAGTGCTCAAATATCACGCAGTTGGAGCCAACAAACCAGGTCGTCGCACTTAAAACTATGCTGCTCGACAAATATGTTGATCGCGACGATTTCGTGTTTTATTTTGACCGAATCGCCACCATTCTGATTTCGCGAGCACTTGACGACATTCCGTGCCATCAGATCAGTTCCATTAAGACACCAACTGGGATAGTCATAGAATCTCCTACAGTTGTTAACTTTGAAAAAGTGACGGCGGTCACCATTGTTCGCTCTGGAGACTGTTTCATGCAGTCACTTAAGAAAACTGTTCCCAGCATAGCCACCGGGAAACTCTTAATTCAATCTGACTTGACCACGGGCGAGCCGCAGCTTCATTGTGAATTCTTGGCTCCTGAAATCGAAAAGTTCGAACAAGTCCTCTTAGTCGATGCCCAAGTTATTTCCGGTGCTGCAGTCATTATGGCAGTTCAAGTCTTGTTGGACCATGGAGTACGACCAGAGCGAATCAAAGTCATTATATATTTGGCGACCGAGGTGGGCATCAGAAGAATAAATAATGCTTTCGACAGTAAAGTCCAGCTATACGTCGGAGAGATTGTGCCTATAGAAGCACTTGACGGAGAGAAGTACAGTTGGGCTAGAATTCGATTTATCGATTCCAAGTACTTTGGCTGCGATTAATATTGTCATTAAAAAAGACTACTTGATATCTTGATAGACTATTAAAATCAAATATAACAGAGGTTAATTCTAGAACTTTGTCTTCTAATTGGAATGTTTTCATGTTCGGATTTGTGATTAAAAACCAATCAGCGCCATGAGGGCGTATCCGACTGTAACGATGACACCATACGTTAGAACACTTGCAGGGATTCCTCGTGTGATAAAATTGCCCACGGTCAGATACCTGTCCCCAACCTCATCCAACATAGAGATTGCTGTCACGTTAGGAAAGCCTGACGTAGGCAACCCCATCGCGCCCGAACAAAGCATAGCGGAAACCATAATCAAAAGCCTTGAGTGATTTCCAGTTGGTAGCTTGCTTCCGATTTCTGCCATTAAAGGAACAATAATCATGGCAGCCACGGTATGCGAAACAAACGTGGCCATTACCAAGATTACGATACCAAAGATGAGCACTATAACAAAGACGGGCTTATCCTCCACGAAGGTCTTTATCGTCGTTGCAATGGATGCGAGCAGTCCGGACGAGGTGACAGCTTTGCCGAGGGTCGTGCCGCCCATGGCAAGAACGACAATGGTCCACATAAAATTGTTGAAGTCACTAGAAGTCAGAAGACCCGAACCAAAAAGTAAAAACATAGGAATTATGGAAATTATGCCCATTTCTCCAAAAATGGGGGTGAGTTGTTTTGCGAAACACCACAGCACAATAGTTAAAATTGTGCACGCAGTGACGAACCACTGTTGCATTGTGAAAGGGTCCCTGATGGGGTGAAGCTGTAAAATCTTCAAATTTTTATCAACGGGGAAACTGATGAGCAGAATGACCCAAATGCCCAAGATACAAAGGAAGCAAACAGGCAGAGAAACGGCAAACCATTGTGCCCATGAAGGTTGGGGCGACATCATCCCGATAGATATGATGTTTTGCGGAGAAGCGATAGGCGAAGCAATGCCGCCGATATTGGAAGCCAGTGCGATCCCCATTATGAGAGATTTGGCAAAAGTACTTTTCTTGGGCAATGTTCTCAAAAGTGGTTCAATGATAGAGTAACATAAAACCGGGGCTGCAACGTTTGACACCCACATCGAAGCAAACAGTGCGACGCACATGTTGGTTAAAAGAATGATCTTTGGGTTAGTACCCGCAGATGCCAATACATGGGTGGATATAACCTTGGCAACGTTGTATTTGGAAAGAGCTGCAGCCAAGGTGAAGCCACCAAGTAGCAACATGATAACACTCGACCACATGGTGGATAGAATATACTGAGACGCTTCTGGTGTAGTCATGGCCTCCCCGTCGGTGTTTCTCAGAACCGGCAGGGTGACAATTAGAAGTGGTACCAGAAGTGAAGTCACGAAAAGGGGAATTGTTTCAGTTGCCCACAAAAGCGAAGCGTAGACTAAAATAGCCGAACAGTTTTTCTGCAATTCGTCTTGAATGGGATTCCACAGGACCAAGAAAACGAAGACAAGTGTCAACGCGATAAACCGTAGTAAACGCTGAGATTGCACCAGGATGTGGAGGTAGTGAGTGGGGCCATAATGCAAGGCATCCGTTAATGTGGCTTGTGGAAGAGCCGCAGGCGAGGGAGACACGCTTGCGTTCTCGTCGAGAGTTTTGCCTCTGCGGTGAGTTCTGGACTTTTTCGCGGCTTTCACGTTTTGAGCCTTACGCTCTAGGTTTATCATATCTTTCCAAACGGTGTTTCTCTCCCACACGACGTGTTCTCGCAAGTGAAGCGACAACTCATTCTCAGCTTCATGATAGTTGGATTCGTCCTGATCGGTTTCATTGCCAGTAGTCAAAAACCGCGCATACATGCCAATCACGTCTGTAATTGCCGACTCTAGCGAAGCGAGAGTTTCGGGCTTGAAAATGTGGGATCTGGGAGCCAATGAGGCCAAATAGGATGCCTTGATATCCGCTTCTAGCGATTTGTCGAATTTCTTGCAAATCTTGGAAAACCCGGTCTGGTTGAGCTCAATGAAGCTCTTGAGCTCACAAAGTTGCGTATACTTAACAACAAGTCTCTTTTTCATGTTGATCTTGTTTTCCGTGGCAAAATCCAGATCCGTCAATTGCGTGTTGCGCGACATGAGCGGCGCCATTTCGCCTGAAGAGCTGCGCAACCGTGCCGGCAGGGATCCCGGCGACGAAAACGCATCTTCGTTGTCGGAAAGGGACCCAGAACGACGACGAGGAATTGGACCAGAATTCCGGCCTGGTGACCGGCTTTGAGACCGCCTGCGCGAACTCGCGCTGGGAGACGCATCCGGTGACATGCTGCTGCGACGAGAACCCAGATCCATGAGAGACTCATGTCGCTGCATCTCGCACACCGTTTCCTGCAAATCGTGGAAGCTGGTCATGATCGCGGCCTCCTGTTGCCCGTAAAATCGGTCTACTTTGTGCAACTCTTTGTCGAGGGCATCTGTGAACCGAATCGTGTAAGTGTCCTGTAGCGGCACGCGCTCGGGATCGACGGACGCACTCTGGTAAAGCCGTTCCTTCTGGAGCGCATAAATGAGCCGTTTCAGCTGCGAATACGCGATATAGTGCGATGACCACTCCGGCACCGCATTGAACTGTAAAGAGTGTGAAAATTTCATATCTGAAGCGACCGCGGTGTTATTGTGTTCACACTAGCAAATGCAAATAGGAGTGGGCACGGTTGCTGCTGCTCGGCTGCCGCTATGAACCTTCCGTGATCCAGAGAAGAAGATTAATGCCTATATCTGGCTTTTTATGCCCAAGAGACCAGTTTTGTAAGGAGATATGGGTTCATCATATATATGTATTAAGAGCACGCGTTTGGTCAGATCGCTATCGACGGCATGTAAACAGAAAAAAAGAAAAGACGATTACGTGTGATATGATGCCACTCTATGTACCTATCGACGGGTTTCGTGAAATGCGATTGATTGGATCACATGACGTTTGATCGCTTTGTACGTGTATTGTTTGGTCGTTTTCTACGGACTCAAGTCACACTTTACGATAACCCCATCTCCCCATTCTCGCCCCTTTTTTTAGTTCCCCCCAAATCTCGTTGTCACTCTCAACGCATTGGCCTAGCCCACGCTGACCTTTTGGATTGCTTTCCCCGCAATCATTCTTAAAGGGACCTAATTACTAGCCCAGATTTGATCTATCCCATCGTAAAAAGGACCCCTTTGTTAAACCATAAAAGGCGAACGGTATCATCCTTTGTTTATATGAGATTGTAGGCCGCATCGCCAGTAACATTAGAAGTAGGTCGGTTCGTTGAGAAGAGCTGGCTTACGACAGATATCGCGAGTTTTGATTTTCCACTTCAAGGCTCGAGATAGGGTTCCCAGGATCCCAGAGAGGGCCCACGGACCGCAGCATAAGCGGAAAAGCGCAAGGACGCCGTGGACGAGTACATGTGCTTGCTGGATAACAGCGATGGGAGATTTGGTTCAGAAAGAAAGAAGAAATAGCGTGTCATTTGCGACGAACAAGCCTGTCGACGCGCATTTGGTGGTGCACTACGTTGCACAAGATCACAGTCATAACCTGTGTGTGACGAGAACGTCCATTTGCATTGAGAGAACCGAATCGCTGGCGCCGAGTGGGTTTCCTTCGCCAAGAGCCGCGCCGCAGGCCGCTGCGCGGCCTGCGTCGTCCTGCCTGGACAGTAAAGAGAGAGCTGCCGGTGCAGAGGACGGCACTTTGTACGGAAGACGTCTTTCTGCCTCAATGCGTGTGTGCGATCTTTACCAGTGCGTTCATGCGCACGGTGCGAACCGCAGGCCCAGTGAGATTATGGAGACGAGTCAGAGGAGCAAGAAATCGTCGATTGTGCGCGCAGCGTCGTACGCGGCCGACAACACGCAGAAAGTGCGGTATTTGCCGCGACTGTTGGAACCACAGGCGCGTTCGCAACCATTGCAACAGCGCGATGACTGTTCAGGCTCGCAGACTAGCTCTGGTGGGCCAGAGGACTCTGTTAGCTCGGCAAGCGAAGATAGCGAATGCTCTGCACCAGATCATTCGTGCAGCGTGACTAGACACCATCGAGACTCCTGGGTAGATCTCTCTACGCCGTGCGACAGACACCACCACAGGCGGAACTCGATTGCCATTAAGTTTCGCAAGGCGCAGTACCAGGACTCCTGAATGACGACGGCATGTGTAAATGATTGATTTTGATAGTATTAGCGTTATCGTTTTTTAGTGTAATTGATGTTCATTCGTTACGTAGTGATTCACTGTCTATACGGCTACGGCGGCAGGCGGCGTTTTCTTGTCGCGCAGGTTCCGGAGGCTGCGTTTGGTTTTGAGTACGACGTGGTGGAGCATAGATTGCTGCTCCTTGACGTCTTTTTCGGAGTCGTCCTGTAGCCAGACGCCTCTGGTGTCCAGGTCATCGTCGTCGTCCTTGGCGTGAAGCTCGTCGCTATTGCGTGAAATTTTCGCAATGGAGGGTATCAGAGAGCGAACCTCCTGCTTCCGGACCTCTGTAGGAGGCGTCACGTTGCATGAGAACCACGTGGCATTCTTGGAGCACACCGTTTCCGCGTCTTTCGAAGAAGTTCGCAACAGAGGGCTTTCGTGCGCGTTGCTGGCCTCCATTTTCAATTTTATTTGCTCGAAAACGGTAGGACCAGAGTCGTGGTCACTGGGCTCTACGGTGGCGGTCCCGTAATTGTCCAAAAGGTCGGATAGCAAGTCTGCAGTGGTACCGAGGGTAAATTGCGCAGACTCCCGTACCTCTTTCTTCTCTTGAGATGCTTTCGACTCATTTCGCTGGACCATGGCAGAGAATGGATGACTCCTCTTGCTTTCTGAAAGCTGGTCCCCCTCGGCATCACAGATTTCAATGCTATCTTCAGCAGTGTCGTCAGCAACTGCGGTCGTGTCTTCCAGAGACATTTCGGAAGGGTTCAGCAACTTCATAGGCATTCGTGGCGGACTAGAGGGTAGAACTTTATCGACAGGTGTGCAAACGGCCTCCTTTTCAGCTCGGAAAGCTCCGGAGCATGCCAATGGCGACAGATTCGCTTTTTCTGCTAAGCATTTGGGCGACGACGATTGTCGAAGACGCTCACTCAATGTACGGTCTTGCGAGATCGGGCTGGCACTTTCTGTAACTTGCGCAAGTTCCTTAACATCTTTTGAGATTTCTGACGAGTTCAAAGGACTGCTCGCAATTTCGGCAGGTTTGCAGCTGCCTTCTGTCTCCGAAATGGCTTGTGTGGTTTCTTCAGACGTTCCTTCCGTTAAATTTTTATGAAGTTCCGAGCCCTTCTGGATATCGTTAGCCTTTACGGCATCCTCCACAGTTTGCCCTGGGGTCTGAGTTTCGTTCTCAGGCGTTGAACTCAAATCCACGCTATGTTTTGGAGTGTTTTGCTTTTTGATAGGTGGTAAGCTCCTACTGGAGGAGGCCTGAGAGTGGGGTCTCTGAGAAGATGGCGAGCCTGTCGCGTAATTGGTGAGCTCTTTGTCACGCACAGGAGCAGTCAACGAAGGAGAGCCAGAGGAAACTCTGGCCCACTCTCGGATCGAAGAACAGTCGGAGCGTGCCCACGAATTGTCGTCAAGTAGAGGAGAGGATGACGCGTCTCCGAGTAGATTGGGAGGCCGTGGGCGAGACTTTGTCGATGAGATGCTTGAAGACGCCGTATGCATTTTGCCCTCTTTCCTAGGTACCAGTGGCGGTAATGGTTCGTCAGTGGTGAATGTTTTCGCATCCGTCTTTGACTTATTACTATTGCTCGACTGATTTGATTTGGCGACACGTTCATCCGTGGTAACGACCAGCCACTCACAATCTCCGATCTTTTTGGTGAGCTTTATGACCAATGTGTTGTGGACGTTCTCTAAAAATGTTTCGTATTTCCACGATGAAATAAACCATTCCGAAACATCCATCTTTGAAACACGCACAGCAGGAAATGTCTCTGTCTGTTCAGATGGGGCTTTCTTATTTGTGAGTCCCAAAGCCAATGTTCCTTCTCCAAAACAGTTGTCATCAAGGACTGAGAGAAAGTCGTTGAAGCCGCGTTCTTTGCATGAATTTATCCAGGTCGCAACATCGTGATCGTTCGAGCCCGTGCTCTGCAAAGCTGGGAACATCTGCCTCTTGCTGAGTTTTTTGAAATAGTCGGTGTCGAAACTCTTGTCGAATCTGTAAAGGTACCGTTTCGACGACCTAGAGAACAGATTATTGATGACCCTGTATGGTTCCTCGTCGAAACTGTCCAGAAACGTATTCTCAAGCTTCGAGAAAGTATGGTTTGATGAATAAATTCTCTTGCTTGCTTTTGCGGCACATTTCAATAACTCATTGAAACGGTTAACTTGTGGATCCCACATTTGCGGTATGGTTAAAGTGAGAGCCTTCTGAGTCATGGGCCTGTAGGTAGTGGGGGGGTATGTTTCAAGCTCGAATGTGTCAATCAAATAAAAATCTTTGATCTCGCCTTCTTCAGCCATGCACCTGAGATACGACACAAAGAGACGATGGAGGGCCTCCCCGCGTGCGACGTATTGCTTGGTAAGGTTTAGCGAGTCCGCAGCAACTTCGGCTTTTTTGTCGACGAAATCTATCAATTCGGGTGTCTTGACGAAACAAACCTGGCCAGCAGTAAAGATGAGATCCATCTGAGCGTTTTTGTCGACGACCAGATCGACTTTGGCGATGATGGACATCAAGATGCCCATAAAATCAAAGACGCACTTTTTGTAGCCGTCGTTTGGCAACACTTGCGGAAGAAAGTTTTGGAAACACATTTTCGAGAAATTGTGCTTGGATTCGATGCGGCAGAACTTGAGGTAGGATTCCCAGGGTATAATTCCTTGTGGTAAATGAGACCACAAAAGTCTGAGCGCCAAAATCGGCTTTGTCTTGGAATTTTCAAACTGACGCTTAATTTCGTTATCCAGTAGCTCGCCCTTCAGGCTGCAGCCGTCGCGGAGGAACAAATTTCGCAAAATTTCCTTAGTCTCTTGAATTTCTTGACGCGAATAGTGCGATAAATTGGGTTTGAAAAATTCTGTAGCCGCTTTCATACCGTTCGATTGCGGACTTCTACTATTATCCTGTTCACCTGCGCTTGCGCCGATGACTTCTTTTTTGAAATACTCTGCGATGCTGTGAATCACATAGTTAGCAGAGGTGGGTGTAATGCCATTAGGTTTCTGAAAAATGTCAAATTCAGTGTCCCGCTCGACAGAAGCACCAGAAACAGGGCCCTTGTAGCATGCCAAATCGTAAATGTAGTAGTTCTTGGTTAGTTCCGATGATAACGTGTGTTGTGACTTCTGTTGTGATCTTGAAATCTCAGTTTTCGAAATACCACTGGTATATTCGTGTTTGGGTAGAGGTGGAAGTCCAGTGGCGATATCTTTAGTCGAGGGAACTGCTCTGCGACGGAAACTGGACCGATTGGACTTCAAAGTTCCGTGCCTTTTGTCATATTCGGGAGCCGTAGTCGATTTTTTAGAATCCTGTTCTTGTCCTCCGGCCAGCCTTTTTTTTAAGAGCTTAAACATCTTTCAATAGGTCAATTGTCCACACCTGACGAGTGCCCAAATCACAGTGGGCTTTCTAATCCGTACTAATGTTTATGTCGTGCTTCCACCAGTGTAGGCCTCTTTCTTTATATCACGAATTTTCGCGTATGCAGAGAATGCATGAAATACCCGTTGAAAAATGTGAAACCAACGTAAAACAACCTAAACACGAAACTGGCCTTCTCTTGCATCTTAAGTCATCAAAACCGGTTGCAACTTGCTCGGCGTCGCGAGCTGATGTAAACATGTAGTCAAGTACGCGTCCCCAGAACTTAGATCTAGAGCCAGATCCGTTGTCCCTACATTTGGTCAGATGAGTGAATGCAAGTATTTTAGAAAACGCATATGGCGACCGAGGCTCAAAATCCGAATTCTCTGAAAACTAAAGATTTGCCTGAACGTAGGAAACGTTAGAGTGCGTCACAAGGATTCGTCACAAGATTCACATCACGCGATTTATTGCCTGAACTGATGGCACTTCGGAGTTTGATCAAACTACGTAGAAAAGGACGTCCTCGACGACACGGTTCTCATTATTTGTAGGGTATGATGTAGTTTGAATTTGCAGTTCCGTTGCTTCGGCGATAAATAACGAGACAAGGTTCAGGGCGTTAAGACTTAAGAGCAGGAGCTTGTAGGCGAAAACCTCGGCCCCAAATCCTGTAACGTACTTAGAAAAGCATGTTTTTGTAGAAAATCGTCTTCACACATAGACACATGCAATCTACAGGCTGACAATTTTCTTGGCGTCAGCCTATCGCGTCGTCTGTTAGCTCTTTAGCTATTTATATTGATTTTCCTGTCAGTTCGTTAACATATATACGCTCCGCTTAGTGAGAAATGTTAATTTTTTATGAAAAACGGCAAGCTCATCGCATCGAAGTCCAGTGAATTGGCAGCGAATACCAAGCTTAAATGGTGACTTTTGCCGGTAAATTGGTGCTTGCCCCAATGGTGAGGGCCGGAGAGCTTCCCACGCGACTTTTGGCGCTCAAATACGGTGCCGACCTCGTTTGGTCGCCGGAAATCATCGATAAGAAACTTCTGCAATGTACAAGGCAAGTGAACGACACCTTGAAGACGATAGACTTTGTAGTTCCATCCGTTAAGGACGGAAAGCCACCGACGGTAGTGTTCCGCACATTTGCAGAGCTTGAGCGAGGCAAAATTATTTTCCAAATGGGGACATCGACGCCGTCGCTCGCTGTAGAAGCAGCTCGCAAAGTTATACAAGACGTCGATGGCATCGACATCAACGCCGGTTGCCCGAAGCATTTTTCGATTCATGCAGGAATGGGGGCCGCTTTATTGCAGACTCCAGATGTGCTTTGCAAAATCCTCACGTCGCTTGTAGAGCAGATTGGGAAGCCGAACAGTAAACCCATCAGCGTGAAAATACGGATCTTGGACTCAGAAGATCTGACTTTGAAATTAGTGAGGAGGCTATGTGCCACAGGCATCAGTAACTTAACTGTGCATTGCAGAACCACGCCAATGAGAAACCGACAAGCTCCGATCAGAGATTATCTGCCCCGCATTTACGAGATTTGTCAAGCACACGGTGTAAGTCTTATCATGAACGGTGCCCTTCAGAACCGTTTGCATTTCTATGAAATTCGCAAGGAAATGGGACTCCCCACCGATATTGGCGGTATGATGGCAGACTGCGCCGAAGAGAATCCAACCGTTTTCAGTGAAACCCCTCTACGCTGGTTCCATGTGGTGAAAAATTACTTGGAAATAGCACATCAGTTCGATCATAATGTGAGCAATGTCAAATACATGCTAACACGTATGACACCTGGCAAGTCCAAATTTTACCAGTTTTTTACTCGTTGCAAAACAATGCGGGAAGTTGACCATGTTGCAGCCCAATTGAGTGACGAGGGAACTATGGTCTGCGATCCGACGCTTTTTCTGGACCAATGTCGTCAACAAGAGAAAGAGGCTAAGAATAGGGCAAATCAAGCGCATTCACAAGACGGCAAGCATAATGCGAATTCGAATTTCCAAAAAAGGCATCTTCTTGATACCAGGGATAGCGATTTGAGTCAATCTAAGAAATCAAAGCATTAGTAGAGATAGATTATGTCAAACAATTCGTTATCTTTGTATTAATTGTACATATATAATAATCAAATAATATACTTGAAATTTAAGTTCATGGCGCGTAAAGACTTTTTATGATCAAAATGCTCAAAGAAAAAGATACAACAACAACAATTTTTTAATACCACTTAACTGAGCACTTCATTTCATAACGCCTCGCGAACAGAGAGCTCCATACTGACGTCTGGAAATAGATCAACAGTCTTTATTTCTCAAAAACTGTGGGAAAAAGTAACTAACATTGGTAAGAAACAATACTCATTTCAAACTTTTGAGAATCTTCTCTTTGTCATCGGCTGACAAAAGCTTGAGCACCTCGCTCAAACCTTGGAGCGTATTGTCGTGATCCGTCCTTATCGACTTGGCCAAACCTTGAGCAAAAGATTCTAACTTCAAAGACTTTAAGGATTCTTCAATGACCTGGTAGTTTTCTTCGATCCAGGTGGCAGCGACGCGATCGTCGCTGCTGTCAATAGAGGCAGGGTACCAAGACGTCAATCTCGCCATCTTTTCTAGTCTTGTGGCCGTTGGCAACTCGGCGTCAAGTCTCTTGATCAAATATTCTTCATTCAATCTTCTTCTGAGCCTCCAGAAGAAGAATCTACGCGCTTGCGACCATTCTAACTCCTTCTTGATGACGCCCTTGGCAACCATACGGCCACTTCTGTCGTGCAAATCGGCAAATTGAACTGTGATCTGGTGATAGATTGGCAACAAAACTCGTTCCCTTGCGACCAGTTCTGCAGAAAGTTCGGAATGCTTCTCTGGCGTGATAGATGGAACCGCCAGTTGGGCCTTTAGGCTCTTATACTTTTCGTCGAGACGAGCCATAGTAGATAGCAGCTTTTCTCTACGGTACTTGATGCCAACCATACCTTCAGGTTCTAGGACACCAGCTCTAGAGTTAACATCGGCATACATTTCCATTTGATCCGCATTGATTGTTGGGTCAACTACTACCCAAGAACCACCTCTTAGTTCACCAGTTGGTGGAATGTACGTGAAGATTGGTTGCTTGTAGTTGACCAAGGCATCGACAATGAAAGAACCATATTTCAAGACCTCATTGTACATATCACGTTGACCACCAGAGAAACCTCTCCAGTTAGCCATGATCATCAATGGAAGTTGCTCACCGTAATTGAAATCGTTAATGGCCTGAGCAGTCTTGAAAGCAGAGTTGGGGTACCAAACTTGTCCCGCTTCTTGAATTAAAGACTCCATGGAGTCTGGGTTAGCTGGGTCAGCAGGAATCAAGTTCTCGACTGTCTTGGTATCCACAGCAATAACACCCAAAGGAATACCACCAAGACGAGCTCTTCCTACAACGACACCCTTAGCCCAACCGGAAAGCGTTTCTTGGAACGAGCCCTTGTCAAACAAACCGTACTCGAAACCGTCAGGAGTGTCCCGACCTGCAATCATGGCTCTCACCTCATATGGTTGTTGAGGAAGTGGGGTAAAATCGACATCTCTGTCCCATTTATCCTCGGTTTCCAAAATTGGCACTGGCATGTTGCGCTTCGCTGGTATGTAAGAAAGCCATTCCATAATCTTGACTACACCAGCCAGGTCGTCCTGAGCAGTCAAATGAGAAACACCGTTGTTGTACATGATTTGAGTGCCACCGAGTTGGAGATTAGACGAATAAACCTCACGACCGAGAAGCTTATTGATAGCAGGAGCACCGGTCAAAATAATGGGCTGGCCCTCAATTTGGATGGCCCTTTGACCTAGACGTACGAGATAAGCACCGATACCAACAGATCTGCAGGTCACTAAAGTGATGGTGAAAATGTCTTTGTAAGCTCTGGAAGTAGCACCTGCGATCAAACCAGAACCCTTTAAACATTCAACACCTAGACCATCGTCCGCACCAATAATAGCCTTGATGACAAACCGTTCTTGGCCATTCTCAACTACGCGCTCTGTCACAACGCTGCTTTCTTTGCCTTGCAATTTCAGCTCAGAAAGTCCTTCGCTGGTTAGGTAAAGATAAGCAAATCCCTTAGATGGGTTCTTTGCATCATTCCAAGCCACATTAAAGAGAGGAACCAATTCCTCAGCGATACCGATTCTAGCACCGGAATTAGCTGACAGGTAAATTCTAGGAATACCACGCTTTCTTGCATACTCGGTAACCTTGTTGAAGAAATCATCTTCCTGTGGACCGAAAGAGCCAATCTTGAACGTGATATCGTTTGCGACAACAACAAATTGACGTCCGCGAGGGTACTCAGGAGTTCTGACGGTCACTTTGAAGGCAACCATACCAATCGTGTTGGCACCAGGTTCACGCTCTATCTCGGTCAATTCACCATTCTCGTCCTCAATAAGTTCGTTGGCGATGAAAAATTCATCTGCTAGCTTAGATTTCGGCGAATATTTGCTCCACTGCGACACCGCCGCTTGACGAAATAATTCTGGGAAATCATAAACGTAGGTGGTACCCATCAAATGAGCCTTGTAACGTTTTGGTTGCAACCATTCTTTTCCAGAGTAAGGCGTAGCAATGGGTCTCAGGTGCATGGAGCCAGGCTTCTGCAAAGATTTGAAGACCCATTCTCCCTGAGCATTTTTGACCTCGGTGTAGAGCTCAGTCTTGACGACGTACCCAGAAACGTTATTGATCAAAGCTCTCAAAGGTACAGGGGTTCCAGTCTGTGGGTCTTTGATAATAATCCGAATTTCAGCAGCCGCAACACGCAATCTCAGCAAACGCTTACCAAATCTCTCCAAGAAGCCACCGAAAGCGGCTTCAACATCCTCGGGTGAAACGTCGAATACAGCAGAGAAATTGATGAAAATGTGGTTCAAGTCAGAGTTGGCGGTATCAATCACTTCGAGATTGTCCAAAATGTCGCTCATCAATCTGTTGGCTTCGGAAGTCAAATACTCTTGAATCGAAATATCGTCGCTGATGCGTCCAGTTCTGATAATACCCCTGGTAAAGAACCTCTTATCAACCGCAGAGTTTTTACCAATTGCTTCATAAACATGAATGTTACGATTATCCGTAAAGATTTGCTTGATGTTGAAATTGGACATTTTACCCAATTCTAATTGGAAAGCCAACGCGGGCTCAACGTGACGAATCGTCTCATCTTCCGCATAGTTTGGACCCCTGAATGTGTAGTACTTGGGGTAAGTTCCATCATCGTACCCGAAAATGAACGTGATACGACGAATAGCAGCATCGACTAGTGCCTTCTTGTTGAGCTCCAAGATCTCTCTCAATCTGCTCAAGATTTCACCTTCTGAATCGAAGCCCTCTGTGGAAGATACGAAGACATTGGCAACGTTGCTGAGGGTAGCATTGCCGCCAGATCTGTCAGGGGCAGGACCGCTCAAGGCCGATCCAGAAGATTGGTGTGGAATCCCTTGTAATCCCTTGGACAGTCCGTCGTCAACATCGTCGAGATGGTTGGAGGCTATCAAGATACCAGTTCTCAGCGGTTGGTTGTCGCCTTCAGAGAGGAAGGTGAGATCAGAAACCGACATAGCTCTGTTCATTCCGAGCTTGCTCTTCATCTGAGGTACAGATGAGGTGAAGGCAGCAGATGGCAATTGAAATTTCCATTCACAGATGATGTTCTTAGAGTCCCCGTGATGCTTCATGTCACCGATTGTGTAGGCGCGGTAAGCACGGCGAATGTAAACTTCAGCGGCTGCGGCCGCTACTCCAATGTCCTTGTAAGTCAGGAAAGGTGTTAGAACATCAAAGACGACATAGTTGGAGTCGATCAAATCCTGCAACACACCTAAGTCAGGATCAGTTGTCTTGCTCTTGAAGGCACCGTAAGCAGTCTTCACAACAGCGCTCTTCAGTATGTGCTCTATCTGGTCGGTTCTCTCTTTAACGGAAGGCAAAGCGCCCTGGATTAAAATCTCTCTTGCCTGAAGGGCAACCTTGGCGGTTACCTTGGATTCCAGCTCGACAATATGCTCAAGTGGTTTAGCAATGGCGTTTGTGACTTCAGATGAGAGCTTGCATAGGGGCTGGTAGTGTTTGAGAATGGCTAAAATTAAGTTATTCTTGGCGGACACCCTTGAATGAGAAAGGACGGTGACGACAACGTGATTCAAGTTATCGGAGTTCTCGTCACGTAGTTTCAAGATGACGTCTTCCTCACGGATGTTGGATCCGCTGAACAATTTCTCAACCTGGTAATAGTCTTCCAAAAATTGCGCAAACACTGAGTGCTCATGGGCTTCAAGCCCGTCTTGATAGCGGGTAGTAATGTCGACTAAAGGTTCGATGACAGTCTTGAATAAAGGATCATCCGAATGCTCCAGTGCAGCCGCCTCGAGTAGTTTGCCTAGCTGTCTAGCTGGGAAATCGGCATTCCTTTTGGAAGATCTCTCAACGAGTTGTTCCAGTTGCTCGTCAAGTTTGGCAGGCAATCTTGAATGCAAGGCAGACGATTGCATCTTCCACTCTGAGTAGGGCAGCTCTGGCTTTCTCAAAATCTCGATCAATTGTTGCAAAGACGCATTCATGATAACTTGGTTATCGTAACCTTTCAAAATGTTTTCCAAAGTGGTTCTCAAAGACCTAAACTTGTACGCTGGCTTGGTACCTTCAACAATAGGAGCACCGAGCTCTGGTAGCATTCCCTCGTAAGGCAAAGCGTGCTTGACCTTTGATGGGTCATCAAGGGCAAGTATAGCCAGGATGTCACCGGCAGCAACTGTCGAACCAGGTTGTTTCAATAGTTGTAAAGTACCGCTTTCCTGAGAAATGAGGGGCATTTGCATTTTCATAACTTCCACCTCGGCGTAGGATTGACCCGCAATGATGTGCTCACCATTTTCAGCCAAAAACTTGACCAACTTACCAGGGGAGGGGGTACGAAGCTGTGTTGGGTCATTTTCCGCTTCTAGAAGAGTGGTCATGGAGTCAACCGATAGTCTGGTTGCGGAGACTTCTTCCTTCCAGTAAATGGTATGAGATTTACCGCCAACAGCAATGAGCAAACCTCCGTCTGAAAGCTTTCTCACACCAACTTCGCATTTTGACCCGTTGATAAATAGCGTGTAACGGTCGTCTGCCGATTGGGCGACAGTAAATCTATATCTTTTACCCTCGTGGATAAACTCAACGGGGTACATCGTTTGAAGCAACGATTTGTTGGGTACTTGACCTCTCTGCAAGTTGCTAATGTACTCATTGCGCCCATTTTCGGAAATGATGAACGCTTTAGTGGCAGCACCACAGATGACAGCCAGTGTGGAGTCAGGCTTTTCAGCCGTCATCTTTTGAGAAATCAAGTCGTCCAGCCATCCGGTTGTAATGGTGTTCTCTTCGAAATCCTCGGTCTCTAACAGCTTAATTAAATATTCGACTGTTGTCCGGAAATCACCTCTGATAGACAACTCCTTTAGAGCTACCACCATGTGCTTTCTAGAGGCCTGTCTATTCTCTCCGAAAGCGAAAATGTGGCCAAATTGGGAGTCAGAGAAAGAATGGATGTTACCACTGCTAGAAACCGAAAAGTAGCCCCAAACATTGGAAGACGATCTGAAATTCAATTCGTGCAGAGAACCACCAGAAGGCTTGAAACCTTCATTTGGATCTTCGGACGTGATACGACACGCGGTACAGTGACCCTTTGGTGTTGGTCTCCTTTGGGTCTGTAACGATTCACCAGAGCTGAAGTCAAAGTCAATTTCACTTGCAGTATGAGGATCGGAACCGTACAGAAGTCTGATGTCCCTTATTCTGTGCATTGGAATACCCATTGCAATTTGCAACTGAGCTGCTGGAAGATTGACGCCAGTAACCATTTCCGTTGTAGGATGCTCGACTTGAAGTCTGGGGTTCAATTCCAAGAAGTAGAACTTTTCGTCGTCATGAGAGTACAAGTATTCAACTGTTCCTGCTGATACGTAACCGACCAATTTACCCAATCTCACAGCGGATTTTTCCATTTCCGTGAAAGTCTCCGGCTTTGCAATCGTGACTGGCGCCTCTTCTATAATCTTCTGATGACGTCTTTGAACCGAACAATCACGACCAAAAAGAGAAATGTTGGTACCGTATTGATCGGCAAGTAATTGCACTTCCAAATGGCGCGCCTTACCGGCTAACTTCATGATGAAAATAGGAGAGCCAGGAATTTCATTGGCGGCTTGCTTGTAAAGAGAAATGAAATCTTCTTCTCTTTCAACTTTTCTGATACCTTTACCACCACCACCTTCGGAGGCCTTGATCATCACTGGAAATCCGATCATTTTGGCTTTGGACAAACCGTCCTCGGGAGATTCGGAACAACCCTTTTGATAAACATCATCTTCGACAGATACGATGCCAGACTTGGGGTCTACAAAGACTTGATCCACACCGGTACCGGACCATGGAATACAAGGAACGTTGGCATGTTGGGCCACAATTGTGGAAGAAATTTTGTCACCCAGAGATCTCATCGCATTACCTGGTGGACCGATGAAGATAACTTTACGGCTCGATTGCGCCAATCTCTCAGGCAACAATGGGTTTTCAGAGGCATGACCCCATCCAGCCCACACGGCATCAACGTCGGCTCTTTCTGCGATTTCGACGATCAAATCGACATTCGCATAATTGTTGTTGTTTGTTCCACCGGGGACTTCAACATACTGGTCCGCCATACGGATGTACTCTGCATTGGCCTCCAAATCTTCTGGAGTGGCCATGGCGACGAATTGAACGGCATTTTCGTCGCCTAGAGTTTCGTACGCCCATTTGCGCACGGAACGGATCTCTTTGACAGCGGCTATACCATTGTTGGCAATAAGCACTTTGGAAATGACGGTGTGACCTCCATGAGATTTCACAAACTCCGCTAGAGGCGTGTTTTCCGCTTTGTCCACGGTGTTCAAACCGATGAAATGAGACGCTAGTTCTGCGTGTTTGGCAGAGTAATCTGTTACTTCGTATTGCTCCTTTTGAGAAATGGCAACCTCGGAAAGGCTTTCTTCGCTCATTTTTGAAATATGACTGTGAATGTGAATACTGCGTAGTGGGAACTCCCGTAATAGAAATTTATAATGGTTTCTGCTCTGCAGAGAAGATGTAAGCCGGTATCGGCACTTCGAAGCTAACGAGAAGCACTTAGAAAATGATTTGAAAGGTCTCAAGAGCCTGCTAGAAAACAATTGTTAGTTTGGTGATTTGTACATGACAAAATTGAGAGAGAAATGGGAAACCGCGAAACGAGCTTTGTCCCTCGAAGAAACCAGACTGAGAGGAAAAAAAAAAATTAAACCAAGCGCCGCGTGAATCGTTTGCCACACACTGGAGTCGCTTAGCTCTTCTTTCCCTCCCGCGCCTTCCTCGTGCAATCAGCTCAGCGGTCGCTCATGGCATCCGAAAATTTTGTTGGAAATTCGGTCCCTCGCGAGCCTTGCCGCACGTCTGGAGCGCCCGTGGTGGTTCCCGCGAAAGGTGGAAAAAAAAGGTCGCGTGGCCGCCCGGAAAAACTTTCGTCTGAAATCATCATCGCGCTGAGGCCACCATGCTAGAAACCTTGCTGTAGTCTGCGCTCTACGCTCTGCGCTCTAACCTCTCCCTCTCACGTGACCGCGACATGAAAAAATTAACTTACTCTCTTCTCGAAACACCTTTTCAAGCGGCTCTCAAAAACTAAGACACACGCTTTTCAAGTATTGGGTCGGGTCAATTACTACAATTGATTCCGAGATTGTTTGAATAAAATACCACGCGAAAAAAGCTCCTTAACTTTTTTGATCTTTCTTCCAAAACCTGTAGACAACGTGAACTTGTTGTATAAATCCAATCAAAACACTTTTTATAAAACCGAAAAAGTCAATGCTGTGTTATGAAGGTTTGTGGTAGATGATGTGGCTGTTGTTGTTGTTGTTGTTGCTGTTGCTGTTGTTGTTTTTAACACACCCCCAAGCGTAACACCGTTTCGACACGTCCCCATGGCTCAATCCGTTCTCCTTATAAAGAGCCGCCGATGCCCGCGATAGACGCGAACTACCTGCCACAAAAACGTTCCTACCCCACTGACTAGGCGGCGCCATGAAATTTGTTGGAAAAAGGGGGTAACCCCCACGGCTTGAAAACGACCTCTACGGAGACCTATGAACCCCCTTTGGTGGGCCAGCAGAGTTGGTGGGAAAAGTGGTTTACCGAAACAGGCACCCTAGGCCAGTTAGAAGCGTGCTTAGATTTTTCCGCAGGCCCACTCAAAGGAATGCTGAGTCTCGGCGGCCCTTACTACGTTTGCGTCTGAGCGCTATCCAACAAAACCTATAGTCGGCCACGAGCCCGTCTGTGGCTAAGTCCTCTTGTACGTCTCTTCGTTCTCGACTGTGATTTTGACGTCAGCTTGACGTGCATCAAGTTGGCGGAACGCGGTGAGTATCGTTTTGTACGCATCCGCGTCTTGCCGAGGTTTCGCCAAGCTGCCGTACTGGAGTACCTTGCCAACAAATGAACAACAAAGGACAATGCAATAACCGGGCTGGCTAGACGCAAGGTAACAGTGATTTCATCGATTTGCAGCGACGTGAGGTAAGCCGCCTCACTAAGGTTTCAAGCGGGCGTGTGTTCCACGTATGTTGATATCGCATTTAACGGTGTTGCAGGGTAACTATAAAGTAGCTGGTAGGTACTAGTCGCTTTGCGGCGATGAGACTTTGTTGTTTGAAGTGTCGTTTTCACACGGTTTTTGTCATGTGCGCGGTGTGGCGTGTGGCGGCTATAAAAGAGAGCTTTGAGATGCTTGAGATGCCAATGGGTCACGTGGTTTGGTTTCGTAATATGTTATGTGTACTACTTTTTTTGTACGTAAGCAAGCCATAGGGCCCGTCAGCTATCCAAGAATAAAAAACTATCAAAGAGCTTGTCGGTCGGATTACATTATTCAGTAGTCTTTTAAGATTTATACATTGCTATTATTAAATTTGTTTGTGCAGGCTATTTTTTTCGTTTAGTCGAGAGGTGTGGCGTCGTCGATTTCGTCTTCGATGTCGTCCCACCCGTTGTCAACGTCCATGTCGACATCGCCATTTTCGTGATTAGGCAAGACCTCTAATTCTTGGTCCAGACCCTCGTGCTCCTTCTTCTTCTTCAAAATAACGTGCACGGTTTCTTTGTCTCTGATCTGTCCCTTCAAGATGCGGAGGGCCATGCGGTTCAAAATCTCGTTCTGGATCAACCGGTTGAGTGGCCGCGCGCCCATGTCTTCGGAGTAGCCATACTTCGACAAAAACGACTTGGCTTCGGGTGAAACATCGAGTTTGTAGTGCTTGTCATTTTCCTCGAATCGTTCCTCAATTTCCTTCAATCTGATGTCGACAATGCGGTGAATGGCCTTGTGCGACAGCTTATTGAACACCACAATACTCGAAATTCTGTTCAAAAATTCGGGTCTGAAGTGCTGCTTGACGGCGCCCATGACAAGTCCCTTCGTCGATTCTTCAATCTTTGCGCCAGGCTGAGCGTTGATGAAAGAGGCTCCTAGGTTTGAGGTCATAATGACAATACAGTTCGAGCAGTTAATCGTCTTTCCCGCACCTGATGTCAATCTGCCGTCATCCAGCATTTGCAACATGACGGTTAGCACATCAGGATGGGCTTTTTCCACCTCGTCGAACAATAGGACCGAGTATGGCTTGCGCTGCAATTGGTTGGTCAAAAAACCACCTTCCTCATACCCAACGTATCCCGCAGTGGTACCAAGAAGCTTCGAAACCGAGTACTTTTCGCTCAACTCAGAACAATCGACTCTGATCATAGCGTCAGCGTCGTTAAACAAGAAAGCAGCAATTCTCTTGGCAAGTTCCGTCTTACCAGATCCCGACAATCCCAGGAAAAGAAACGAGGCGGGCTGCCGAGGATTTGCGAGACCTGATCTCGATAGCCGCACAGCATTTGAGACAGCTTTGATCGCTTCCATCTGTCCAACAACCTCAGAGGAGAGTTCTCTTTCCATGTGGATCAATTTTTCATTCTCAGACTCTGTCAATTTGTTGACTGGAATGCCTGTCAATCTCGCAGCGGTCTCTGCAATGGTATCACTGTCAACCACGTTCTGGACCATAGCGCCTGCGCCTGCCCGTCTTTCCTCTTCTGCCACTTGGTTCTCAAGCTCCTCAATTTGTTTTTTGATGTCAGGAATGGCAAAATATCTTAAGTCAGCCGCAGTCGCGGTATCGTAGCGACGCTCAGCATCCAAAGCTTTGTTTTCCAATTCATCCAACTTCTTTTTCGCCTTTGTGAGTTCTTCGTGGCCTTGTCTTTCTTCATTGTATCTCTGTCTCAAAGGCTCCAGCTCCTCCTTTAAGGAGGCCTCCTTTTGCCTCGCCTGCTGCAGCCTTTCCTTAGTGGTAGGATCCGCCTCTTCGTCTCTCTCTAAAGCCTTAATTTCAACTTGCAAAAGGTGAAGTTGACGTTCTTTAGAGTCCAGTTCTTCCGGCTTCGAATCTCTTGCCACAGCAACGCCGGCACACGAGATATCCACTAGATCGAGTGCGGAATCAGGCAATCTCCGGTATGGCAGGTAACGCTTTGCGAGCTGGGCCGCAGTAACTAAAGAGCTGTCCAAAATCCTCACACCATGATGAATCTCGTACTTCTGTTGCAAACCACGAAGAATTGCCACGGTCTGTCTCACACTAGGCTCTTGTACATCAATTTTTTGGAATCTTCTCTCAAAAGCGCCGTCTTTTTCAACGATCGATCTGTACTCATTGTTGGTCGTTGCACCAATTACCTTAAGTTGTCCTCTGGACAACGCCGGTTTCAAAATGTTGGCCGCGTCGTCTTTGCCGTTGCCCATAAGCATGTGAATTTCATCGATGAAAAGGACAATCAAAGTCTTTGAGTCTTCAATTTCCTTCAAAACACCCTTTAGTCTCTCTTCAAAGTCACCTTTGTACTTGGCGCCGGCCGTGAGAGCGGCAAGGTCTAGACTGAAAAGTTTAGATCCTTGTAGAATTGTTGGAACGTCATCGTCAATGATTCTTTGGGCTACGCCCTCAATGATGGCAGTCTTACCAATACCAGGCTCACCGATGAGGCAAGGGTTCGACTTGATTCTCCGGGCTAGAACTCGTATTGTGCTTCTGATCTCTTCTTCACGCCCGATGACCGGATCGATCTTACCTTCGCGCGCCTGTTCCGTCATATCAATGGCGTATTTGGACAAATACTCTAAAGGCGTGCTGGTGTCGGCGCCACGCGAGTCAATCTTCTGGTTGCCACGCATTTCCAGGGCCTGTTGCTTTATGGCCTCAATTTCCACCTGCGCTTCCTTGAAAATCTGTTGTATGCTAGAATCGGTGAAAAGCGCAAACAGAATGTGGTCCTGAGCGATGAAGGAGTCTTTTTGCTGTTTCTGTATCTTGATAGCTTCTTGCAACACCTGGCCCGTGCTGTAGCTTGGAGTAACTTGTGCAGGAGCTGGGTTTTGCTGTGGAATCCGCACCAGATGTCTGTTCACTACTCTTCTAAACGTATCATAATCGTACCTGGCCTTTTCGATCAAATTCTCCAGGTAAGGCTTTGAACCATCTTCGGGGGTTTCCACAAACGCTGCAAGAAAGTGGATTGGTTGCAATTGAGCATGTTGGTGATCTTGTGCTAACTTCTGTGCTAGCGTAACTATCGTTAAAGCTCTTTCTGTAAATTGAGTCTCGTCGTTCATCTTGTGTAGTATATTTGTTTGAACGTATTATCGTCTAATCTGCAGTGAAGGTAGTTATGAAAGAGTTTAAAGCAGTTTGAAAATCCACTGTCCCCTTTATCCTTATATACTTGTCCAATGAAAATATCGCGGTTGTCACTTGATGAATCCAGAAGCCACGAGACTGTTCCCCTAAGTTCCCTTTTCTACTCGAACCTGCAAGAAGGTTCCGGAATTTTATGGTCACTTTATACGTTGATCATGACATTCATTGATCACGTGAACTATGATCCATAATTTATTCGTGACAAACGATCATTTGGTGGGTCGGTCAGCGTAAACGTCTTATCTCATATTCTGTGCTTTCGCCGGAGCAGAATCACCACCTCTTGCAGTGGTATCAGATACGAGGAACCTCGTCCTAGTTTTGATCTCCGGATTATGTGTGTGGTTTGGTAATAAATAATATCGTTTAAATAACTTAAGAATAAATGTAATAATAAGCAAATGCTCTCGTCCTCTGCTATGCCCAAATAGGGCTCGTGGGAAATTCTAGGATAAGCCCAGAGCCTCCGTTCCTGCCCGGACTTATAGTGTCAGGGCTTTTTCTGTAAATGCCTTAGTCTCGCGGTGCCTAAACCATGAAGCTCTCGCCGCATCCGCACGTTCCCTTCGAATTTGGGTTTTTAAACACAAAACGAGATGACAGTGTGTCGTCTATCCAATCCATCTCGCTGCCCACTATGCTGAACAGAGCCTTGGAATCTATGATGACTTTGACGCCATCCTGCTCGACAACTTCGTCGAACTTGCCAGGCTCTGTGATGTACTCTAGATTGTAAGTCAGGCCTGAACAACCTCTGTTTTTCACACCTATGCGAATCAATTTCGGGTTCGGTTGGTTCAAAAGCGCCTTCAAATGCAAAATGGCATTGGGTGACAGAGATATCAGGGCCTTCCTGGGTCTCAGTCTTCTCTTTGGTTTCGGTTTCGAAAGCGACGCGGCCGCCGCCGCATTTTCAGTCTTGGCCTTCTGTTCTTCGATTTCGTTCTTCTGCTTCGTCAAAGTTTCCTTGGACGGAAGAGAGTAAGTGGACCATTTCGAATCCGTCGCATTCTTCCCAGCAGTAGTAGCAGGTTCCTTGGCGGGCTCTTCCTTTCTGTCCCGAGGGACGAAAAATCCCTTAGAGGAGGTAGTGCCATCCCGAGCAGAAGGGGTCACAAAGTTAAACCCCCAACGCGTAGTTTGGTTTCCCTCTAATCGGTTAGAAACATTATTTGTCTGGAGAAATCTTCTGTTACTTTCGCCCCGGAAGATACCTTCTCTCCTTCCTCTCCCTCTTCCGTAATTTTGCAATGTCGTAGCCACAGAGAACTGTTTCACAAACCAGACCTTTCCGGTCACAAGGTTATGACGAGTTAATACTAGCATTCTAATCTAAACTCAGTTTAACATCAAGCTCTATTCCAGTCGAGTTGTCAATAAGGTGCTCATTCAGGTATGCCTCATAAGTGTGATGACCACTTTTACGAACATCGGCTTCAAGTTCACTTATAATTATCATTCTTTACGTAAATGTACGATCCAATCAGATTGAAATGTTTTACTAATGGACACCAGAGGCGTGAGTAGCCCTCTCATACCGGCCTCTTATGCCACTATGCTAAGCGTCTCCATACTGGGTAAACATACTCCAGTTCGCTTAGGCCTCTTATGGTTATGCTTATAGTCATCCGGTTTTTTTGAGCAATATTTTTCTGAAAGCGGCTGTGGGTAACGAAATTCCATGCCCTTTTGCCGCCTCTCATTTCGTGTCTATATTGTACAATCATCAGCAGATTGTGAGCTTGCCCTACATTCACCAGCGCTTGGCCCGGGGGCTTCGCTCACGTGGAGGCGTAGCTGTTCACAACGCAGCAGTTTCTCTCTTCAACCATTTGAACGCAATGCTCTGTGGTTGAAGAAAATGCACAACGGACTCCCACACGCGGCGATGGTAGTGATTAATTTGATTTTTCTCTTCAGGCGTTAGCATTTTGACGTTTATTAGTTTGCGGCAATAGGGAACCATAGTGATATTTTCGAATTTCAAAAAGGAGTGTTCACCGAACCTGAGACCTTCGTCCTGGCTGATTAGCATATCATTCTCGATTCTGAGTCCGTACTCTCCATCTTTATAAAAACCGGGCTCGTTGGAAATAATGTTGCCCGCTTCCAGAGGGAAGTTCACTAAATGAGGTCTAAAACCAATTCCTATTGGTCCCTCATGCACGTTCAAAAACGATCCGATACCATGGCCTGTACCGTGTCTGTAGTCCAATCCACGCTCCCACAAAAACTGTCTCGCAATAACATCTATATTATAGCCAGATGTACCTGAAGGAAACACAAGCCTTTCTAAAGCGAGATTACCCTTCAAAACCAAAGTATAATTATCGACTTCCTCTTTGCTGGGCTTCGTGAAATGGAGCGTTCTCGTTATATCAGTGGTTCCCTCCAAAAACTGCGATCCACTGTCGCAGAGGTATATCTTGCTCGGATCGATCATTGAAGAGTTCTCTACAGGAGGAGAGTAATGTATGACGGCAGCGTTAGCGCCTGTAGAGGAGATAGTCTCGAAGGAGTTGCCCCTGAAATTGGGCTGAGTTTTCCTGATCTCGAGCAGTTTGCACGCAGCCCTGTATTCATCTATCAAAGAGTCCTTGACCGTCAATTGTTCTTCTAACCAAGCAAAATACTGTGCTAGACAAACACCGTCCTTGACTTGAGCAGCACGGGCGTTTTTAATCTCTGTTTCGTTTTTCACTGCCTTGAATAGCTCGACTGGAGACTGAATTTCTTGGTAGGATGAATTTTGCAGTACTCGCACGATTTGCCAAGGAGAGCCGGACGGTATGGCAATTTTTTTCGACTTTTGTGCCATTTCGCTGGCCGTAGATTCTAATTCGGACCAAATCTCTTCGTAAGGTCTCACCGTTATGTTACTCTCAGAGAAATACTTTTTGATTGAGACGTCAAAGGGATTGTTGGTGAAAAGTTGCGTCTCATTTTCTCTGAGAAGTAAATAAGCATAGAACACAGGATTGTAAGCAATGTCAGATCCTCTCAGGTTAAGCAGCCAGCAAATTTCGTCGAGAGCCACCACGCAAAACGTGTCGCAGCTTGGAATCGTGCATGATAACCTGCTTAGAACTCTTTTCCTTTTGTCGGCAAAACTCTCGCCAGAGAACGACAGGTTCAAGTGAATCAGGTCATTGCAAGCTCTAACGGGCAAAGGCTCAAATTGACCCCATATAGCGTCGACGAGATTCTCAGTGACGGCGACAAACTGAACGTTGCTCTTGGTGGTCTCTGAGGTTTTCTTCCGAATCAGTTTTTCATACCCGGTGACCTCACGGTAGCTGATCAACTTGGGGTCTATGCCGATCTTAACTACTCTGCCTCCCAGACTGAGCGACATCTCGCTAGCCTCGTTGACACACCATTCTTGCCACGTAAGCGAATCCTCGCCTTGTCTAACCAGAGACCAGTTGTAGTCGAGTTCCTGTAAAGCCTGGTTGAAGTAGCGGCCGTCGGTGCTCAAAATCGATTTCCCCTCGGAATCTTCGTCGTTGAAGTTCAAAAGGTCTCTGGAAATGCAGGCCACGCCAGCCGACCCGGTGAACCCAGAAATGAAGGAACGTCTCTGGTCTGCGGCCGACACGTATTCAGACTGGTGCTCGTCCTCGCTAGGCACGATGTACACGCCTAGATCGTGTTCCTTCATTTTTTTTCTGAGCTCTTTAAGTCTTTCGGTTGTGTTCACGTTTCTCGCCTGACATATTGTGTCAGACGAATATACAGACTCTCCAGAACCGTTGCTTCTGGAACCAAGCCCTTTCGCCAGCTGTTCTTTCCGTTTGTCCATCAGCTGCCTCACAAATAGCGACGACCTTCTTCCTTGTCTTGAAAGTAACCCTGGCGAACAGGTACAATTTGCACAGGGCCTGAAGGGCCTTCCGCCCCCGGTGGCGCCGGCAGTGGCACCTGATGGGCTCGCCATACTTGTTCCGGGATTGTTATTCAAAGAGGTCAGCGACGGCTTGTAACCTAGAGAATTATACCTCCCAGACATGATTCTATTATCGACTTTGTCGGCTTTTGTCACTAGTTGTTCCCTGAACCGCAGTTGATAAAGGGTGTGATTTATAAAATTTTTTCTTGACGATCGTTACATGAGCTCCAGATACGACCAACTACCGCCTATGGGAGTCCTTTAAGGTAGCCTTCAAGCGCATAAGCCAAACGTAGCGAGCATATAAACCTTTACAACTGCAGTAGCAATCTGGCTTTACAAGGATGTTTTGAGCCGAAAATGGCCTTGCAGGTTGTAGTTTTCAGCAAAGAATGACGGAAAGCTAGTATAGACTTTTTGAGGGTCATGTGATTGTGGATCAGGCGACTGCCACTTTTTGGAAATATTTACGATGCACATAGTTGAATAGTCGGTAATGGTTTTGAACGAAAGCCTAATTTTACTCAGCCACTTCTATTAGGTTCTCAATGCTATTCACTGGCATTGAAGGGTTTCGCAAATATTTCAAGATTTTACAAATCTCAAAAATCAAGCCACATGTCAATGCGATACGTTTCAAGTATGTATGGTATTGTATGCACCTGCTGAAGTCTAAAAATCTTATGGCCAAGCACTGGTTCATTGCTTAACACTGACGTTACTCGCGGAGTACCCTACAACGTATAAAGCGACCTCCAACTGGCAAATTCGTCGGGCTTGGAGTGGTTACTCTGTGTCTGCGTGACTGCTCGGGCTGTCAACTACCCGGGGGCGTCAACGGCCAATTGCGCATCTGCGGGTCGTCTCGAGCCTTATTCCTGCGCCCGCCGCTGGCGCAGTGCCTGGGTGATGCTTGGCGGGCTATTCTGACATTGTGGTCACGTGACGTCGCCCAACGCACTTCCAAGCGCCCTGCAGACAAGTGATCGCTGCGTCTATGAACACGCCATTAATTAAAAGTCTCGTATAGAGGACCCTTAGCGGGTGGTATGTAAAGGGAATGCTCAGGAGGGTATCGGAAAAGGTACCAGTAGGGGGTGGCCTCAAAGCGCAAATGCATACCTGGATTTCTGTCTCAGGCGTTTGCCGTAGAACAAAAACAGCACTGGGACCGGTATCAACGCGGCCGCAAACAGACCCAGCAACAGACCCGCGAAGTTCACGCCCATGCTCCTGAACATGTAGCCGGCAAACAGCGGGAACGCAGCGCCGAACGCAGACCGCATGAACGTGTTACCCGCGATGGCAGACGCAGACAGGAACAGGTACGAGTCGATGATGTAGTTGAAGCACGGAATGAAAATGCCGATCAGGCCGAACCCGATAAACGCGCCCGCGACGGTAGGCACCATGAAGTGCACTTTGTCCGGGTAATTACCAGTCCAGCAGAACCACAAAATCCCGATCGGGAATACGATGCCCGATACGATCATGGGCGGCAAGCGGCCCTCGGGCAGCGGTTTGCCGTCGTTCTCGCGGATTTTTCGCGCGTATGACTTGCCGGTTATGATCGTATAGATGGTGTTGACAAGCATCCCGATGATAAGCCCGATGTACGGCAGTTCTGCGTTGCGGTAGAATTTGTATTTGCCCATGAACACGATTGGATATGCTTCCAAAAGTAGGTACAGGATCCCGTACACGAACGAGTTGTAGATCGTGATCAGCAGAAGGATGGGTTCTGTGAAAAGCATCACGATAGGACGCGAGATAGTCTTCTCTGCGATTTCCTTGAACGACAGCTGGGCGTCTTCGTGCGCGGCATGAATACCCCAGTTACCAGATTTTTCACGCATGGCGCGCGCCTTGTTCACCAGGATGGTTGGGTGGTGCGTTTCTTCGTAGAAGAACGCGATCAGCAACGTTACAACACCCGCGTAGATACCCGTTACGTATTCAACCCAACGCCATGTGGTGTACTGCGTGATGTAAGATCCAAACACGGGGGACAAGATGGGACCCATGAAGACGCCGAGCGCAAAAATCGTGATTGCTGTACCCCGCGTTTCGTTGTTGTACATGTCGTAGAAACACGCGGGGACAATGGCAAGCGGGGCAGCACCCACAAACCCGCCGAAGAACCGACAGATCATGATTGTCTGCAGATCCTTGGCGGTTGCCACGGCAAACTGGAAGAGCGTAAACCCGAACGAGGAGATCAGCAGCGGCGCTTGCCGCCCATACAACTCCGAGAGCGGTGCGTAGATGATGGGGGAGGCGGCAAAGCCGAGCACGTATAAAGTAATGCCGAGGATCGCCACCACTTGGATGACGCCGTAGTCCTCGCAGATCTGCGGGATGGCCGCGGAGAAAATGGAGGAGCCCATGGTGACGCCGATGGCGTTCATGCCGAGAAGCGCGCACAGAAACGCGCGCTTCTTGGAGGGCCAGTTGTATGGGTGTAGCGGGTCGTCTGGCCCGTCGAAGGTCACCTCGTAGGGCGCCCGATCCGGCAATGCGGGCGGGTACGGTCTGCCGCCGCCCATGGGCGGACATCCGGTGTAGTCTACAGTGGTCTTGTCGGGCTCGTTCTGTGACCCCGTCAGGTACTTGCTTAGACGGCGGCTGACGGCGGCTTCGCTCTCAGATGCGGCGTTAGTCGACGTGCGCTGCAGCTCCAGGTCCAGATCCGCGTCTCGGCCCGCTTCCGCGGCCTTGCCGCTGCTGGCAGCGGCATTGGCCCGGTGCCTAGGCCCCTCGTAGTCTTCAACGTTACCCGTGCTGGAATCGTCTTCGGAGCTGGTGGACCCCGCAGCGGAATACGAGGCCCGATCTATGTCGTTGTGTACGGCGGCCGCTGTGCCGGCCGCCGTACCAGGCGCCGTACCGGCTGCGACGTAAGGATCATCGAACCTCGAACTGTGCGAGGACCCCGTCGCGGAGCTGGTTTCGATTTTCTCTGTGCCCGAGCTCATGTCGAAGTAGCGCGGTGAGTGTATGTGTGTGTGCCGTGCAAAAGCAGTATACAAGCGTCACTGCCCAGGCCCGCCCCTGGGTCTTCGCCCATAGGCGCGTATATATATACATGCGCAAATGCAGGTGCCAGTGTAAGTGTTTGTTTGTCTTACTACGGCGCCAAGATGCGCATCAGTACGACTGCTTCTATGGTTACGTCGCTTGTTGCAGTCATTTTTAATGCAAACTCGGTTTTTTTTGTTATGTAGGCCGGCCGCGGAGCGCGCTGACCCGCGTTTGCATCCGCATCCGAGACGGCTGCTAGGCTCCGGTCGCGCGGCACGACGGGCAGCGATGCCCAAGGCGGCGAGGCGTGGCCGCGTGGGTGTGGGTGTGCATTTGCGATCTGGGCGGAGCGGCGCGGCACGGAGCGGCAAGGCGCGGTAAACTGCGGAAGGCGCCCCGAGGGATGCCGAAGGGTTCCCAAGGGTTCCCGAGGGTTCCCGAGGGTGAAAAAGCGGAGGCAAGGGTGCAGTGCCCGGCGCTAAGCCGGCTGTAGGGCACGTGGCCGCTGTAGCGCGCTCGTATAGCGAAACTGCCACAAAACGGCAGCGGAGTCTGTCTGTCTGTCTGCCCGTCTGCGCAGGCTCCCTCGGCCGGGCTTCCTCCCTACGCGGGGTCCCCCTGCGTGGGGAGGGCCCACTGCACCCAATGTGCGGTGCGGACCCTGCGTAAGGGGTCTGCGTGGTGGAGACGCAGAAGGGAGACGCAGAAGGGAGACGCAGAAGGTGGCTTTGGCGGACTCGGAAGAGTCACCCCGATATAGCGGACACCCACGCACCACGCAATAACCCAGGCGGTGTCGGGCGGGTGCGCGTCAACTGAGTCACAGTGGCCCGTACAATGCGATTGGGGATGCCCACGACGAAGTCGTGGGCATCTCTCCGCCCGTGAGCTGGAAAACAATGGAGTAGAAGAGCAACACCTGGCAACAAGCTTCTCCTCCACACAACCACACTCGCAACTGAATCTCGCAACCGAATCTCGAGCATCTAAAGAGAGCCAGAACGGCCCCGAGAGCACATCCAGCACGCCCTAGTACGTTTCCCTCCCACAGTTGACGAACCCCACGCAGTCATCGCATATTTGCGGCAACAGTCGCAATGCTCATATAGAGACCTCCTCGATGTCGCGCTTTGAAACCAAGCGAAAGCCGAAACAGATTGCGTCGTTCGCGTGTAAGAACTGTCGGCAACGCAAGCGTCGCTGCACGCGCGAAAAACCCTTGTGCGCGCGCTGTGGCCGGCTGGGCGTCTCTTGCGTCTACGAGTTGCCTCCGAAACATCTCATCAAGTCCGAAACCACGTCGCTCGCGTCGCCACTGCTGGTACCTGCTGCGGCGGAAGCTTCTGCAGTCGAGGCTCCTTCGGTTTCCGCGTCTTTCAGCCGTGTCCCGCCAGAGCTCATACAGACGAGTCTGGAGCTTCAATTGGCGTCTGTGGAACCCCCCGTCACCACCGGACGGCCCATGCACTTCATGCGGCCCACGCATCCGTTGCGTTGGCATTTCACCACCACGCTTGACCTCGATTCCCACGTCCAGCGCGACCCGTTCCAGCTCGAGTTCATCACGTCCGCGATCGCGTGCGGACCTCAGCTTGCTCGCAGGCATCCGTCCACCTCCGACGTCGGACGTCTGTGGTTCAGTCTCGCCGTGGAGAATATAGATCTTTTCAGGCACGTGCTTTCGCAGGCGTACCGGGCACCGCCGTCGACACCCTGGGCCCCGCGACGACCCTTTGAGTCCCCACATCTGCTCTCACCGGGCGCACCCGCAGACGAACCTTGGAAACAGCTCGCCCAAGAGATTGCCAGTATTTTACCACCAGTGCATGCCATCGAGCTCCTGAAGGTTCAATTCTACCAACACGTTTACACCATTTGTCCCTGGCTGAACATTCCTGCATTTGAACACTGCATAAAGGACTTGATAATATCCGAATTCAACGGTCGCCCTCTCATTAACCTGGGCACCGAAAATCACACCTCCAAAATGACCAACTTGGCGATCCTCCTGCTGGTGCTCCGTATGGGCTACATGTGTCTGTATCACTACAACAAGAACGCTGAGCAGAACGCTGCCACCAAGGGCTGGACTTCCAGTTTGCTACGAGAAAATCGCGTTCCCCGCGACGTGATAATTCTCGTCAAACGCTGTCTACAAAGCCTGGAAATTTATGAAAAACCTACTCCAGACATTCTGTGCTGCATGATCTATTTGCGTACACTTCTTCCGCTCGAGGACTCGGACATCTGGACTCTGATGGGCACGAAAAACGCTTCCTTGATCGAAGCGATTTCGTACCTGGCTTCCGAAATGCAATTGGAATCTAACACTCTGTCCGATGATCCCACTGTTTCCGTTCAAGACCGTCTTTACCGCAGGAAACTCTGGTTGGCCGTTTGTTCTGAGAATTTGCACGAGTATACTCTTTGCGGTGGCGTACCGTACGTCAAAGCAGAGCAACTTCACCTGTTTTGCGATCATTATAAGGTCTTTGACGACTACAGGGCAATATCTATGGGGAATTTGGAATCCGACGATCAAATCGAATTAGATTACCACGTCCTTTTACTAAAGAATCATCAATTTTTGGAGATATGTTGTGGGTTGGAAGAGGAAAATGTGAGTGCTGAAGAGTTTTTGATAAACAAGACTCGGGAGAACGATATACTGATACAGTTTTATAAGGACGCATTCCAGGATAACAATTTTCTTGACTCCAAACATGAGGACCGCGATCTTGTACAATGCCTGAGGTGCAGTTCGGGCAAAGTGCCCATCCGCATCGGCAGAGTACAATACTTGGCCCAGTTCAAGACCAAATTGTTCTTTCTTTTGAAACGACTTTCCAACTCATCTCTTCTCATGTTTTATTATGAAAAGATGTGTTTATTTTCTGAGAGTTTGGACAGTTTCACAGAATTCAAACGCTATCTGCTGGAGTCGACAAGCTTAATCTTGACTATCATCGACAACTTGAAAAGTTACTCACTCGGTGAATTGTCTGAATTGCTTCTTCCGGCAATGAAATACATCATGGCTAACACCATTTCTCCTTTTTGTGATCGCGCAATGATGGTTTTGCATGGAATCATTCTGAGATTCGCACATCTTCAAGAGTATCTCCTTACCCAGGGCGATTCAGATTGTCTCACCGTTATGCAAGAGATCATGACCAGATTCTCTTTAATTTTGAATACAGCACAGGAATCCATGTCGCAAGAATACTTACCCCCGACTGCGTTACTGCGGAACGGTCACTTTCTCAGATTGCATGAGGTCGGTCAATTACTCGACTCTGTTCACGAATACGCATCTTTGAGTGAGAATTTTATGACAAAACACCAAGACGTGATTAAAATATGTGTTCCAGGTTATCTGGAGTACTACAGCGTTGCTATCAAGCAAGTGGATTTAGACTTTTTAAATCAGTACTTGGAGACGCTTAAAATTGATAGAGAGAACATATGAACGGGTCGACCACAGGTGCGGCCATATCTAAAAGAACTTATATTTATTGCATATTCAAATGAACTTTCACATACACCGTAAATTTCTTCCTGCTGTGCTTGGATTGCAGGCTTCATTATTTTTAGTTCGAGTTAATCTTGTTCAGTGTCGAAGTTAGCTTTTGACGCCTAAACAATAAATATATCTTTATGTACTGCTGCGGGCTCTGGCAAACACAGTATCAATATTCAAGAGGCAGGACACAACAATCCCCGACTTTACACATAAATTCAGAGGCGATGATGAAAAGAAAATGCGTATTATTTTGAGGAAATACCGATGGTTTACGCAAAGCACGACTAATATATTAATGTCGTTAAATCTGGAAATTATTTTTCAAGCTTGATTCTATGTGAACCATCTGGCACAAAAAGACGCTGGTTTGTCATGGCTCGAGAGCCGTTGAGATGTAGGAAACGGGTTCTGGACCAATTCTTTTTGAATTCAATTCTCTTCTTGGCTTTCTCTTATAACCTCTATTGGTGATAAAATGGCATGACACATCGTTGTTGACGAGAACGATTACCTGGTCAACTTCACCACGATTGAAAGTTGATAAACGCATGTTTGTCATGTTTAGGCTGACAAGTGTGCTTAGTGTGTCCTATGTCGTCAATGCTGGACAATGCTAGTGACGAGGCATATGTCAAGAGAGGCATGTTGAGCAGCTCCTCGGAGGAAAAACGATTATATAAGGCGCGGATTCAAAGGTTTGATTCAGCACACAGACATTACATCGTGCTGATGGGTGCGCTGGCGGTTCTGCAATTCATTGCTATAGCGTTTTTCACTCGAGGTTTCTTGCTAACTCGGAACGTTCTAGAGAACGTCGCTTCAGTCACAGAAGCTTACGGGAAGTTCGATAAATGCGTCATACTGATTGTAGACGCGCTCCGTTTTGATTTCGCTGCTCCTGTGGACCCTGCCGATAGTTCCTTCAACACGAATTATCATAATAACATGCCTATCTTCAACATGAGCTGGGATTCGGATACTGGTTCTTCACTGTTGCTGAAATTTATTGCAGACCCCCCCACTACAACCCTCCAACGGCTTAAGGGACTGACAACAGGATCTTTACCAACATTTATAGACGCAGGATCCAATTTCAACGGGAAAGTAATAGAAGAAGACAATTTCATCAAACAGCTTTACCTGAGGGACAAAAGGGTTCTGTTTGCAGGTGACGATACCTGGCAAGCGCTCTTCGAGCCCTTCCTTTCATCCCAGAGCGAATTTCACGAATCGCTGAACGTATGGGACTTGGATACCGTTGACAATGGCGTTATTGATTTTTTTGAGAGAAAATTTCTTACTGTACCGCAGCAGGAGCAAGAATGGGACGTTTTGATCGGTCATATGCTTGGTATGGACCATGTTGGTCATAAATACGGGCCACAGCATTTCACTATGAAAGAAAAGCAACTGCAAGTTAGTGACTTTATTGACGATATAAGGAAGACAATTGACGATAACACTTTGCTCATCGTGATGGGAGATCACGGCATGGACCATACGGGTAATCACGGGGGAGATTCTAAAGATGAGTTAGAGGCGGCACTATGGCTCTATACAAAGCAAACAAAAGCATGGAACCATCTTCCAGAAGAACAGTATTCTATGGATGATCTCGGCTTAAATTATCGGGAAGTAAATCAGATAGATCTAGTGCCAACGTTCTCGCTATTAATGGGATTGCCAATTCCTTTCAATAATCTAGGATGGCCTTTTGATGAGATTGCAACTTCAGAAGAAGAATCTCAAATGTATTCAAGACTGACCTTGGAACAGCTGAAATCTTACAAAGATACCAGCGGCGTAATTTCGAATCAGCATATTAATCAACGACTTTCTGATCTTTGGGTATTAGCGTCCAATAATTATTCAAAATCCGCAGATTACCAGAAATTTTTTTTGGAATCTTGCAAGGACATGTGGACTAGGTTCGACTATTGGAGTATCGGGAGTGGCATTACCCTACTGGCTATATCCCTACTTTTGTTGATGTCTGTCACGAAATTAATACCTTCTATTGTTGTCGGTCAGATGGTTTCGGAGTTTGTTCCCTCAATCATCATGATGGCTTTGGTTTCCAATGTTTGCTTCAATGGGATTTTTCATGTTTTGCATCAACCTTCGTTTTTAGAAAACTGGATTTGGTGCAGTTTATTCGCTACTGCAGTTGGAATTATAATCGGTTGCTGTATCCCAATTTTTGATCGTTATAATTTGACATGGATTTTACTTAAGTTTTTGGAAGAGCTATCAGACTACTGGTCCCGTATAGCAGCTTTGCTTCTAACGTTGCACGCGATTGCATTTACATCCAATTCTTTCACAATTTGGGAAGACAGGATTGTTTGTTTTCTATTGACGACCTTGGGTATGCTGACTTTGAATGAATTTATCTTTCTGCCCAAAAGACAGTCTACCACGGCTCTTTTAAGCGCAGCTAATGGTGATAAAATACCTGCTTCAACTGAACGGCTGCAAGCTTACCGGCCGCATACTGAAAATTTACCCCTTGGAAGGTTTGCCAGACTAGTGGGAGCATACCATTCGATAGTTCTTATCGTGTGCACAAGGCTTTCGTCAATGATAACAATATGCCGAGAGGAACAGGGTGATAAATGCACGGCGACCTTCACTCTGACTAATAATTACTCAGTTTGGTGTCTCCTCATCTGTCTTCTACTGGTGCCATTCTTGCCATCGTGCATACAGGGATATTACAACGTGTGCTCCTCTTACCAAGCTGCTGCACCCATTTGGATTGGACAATTTTTAAAAGCAGTTTTACTGACGAACTTCATATATTGGGCTTTGACAGCTTGTGAGAACAGGATACCAAATTGGGATTGGGATCTCAAAATTGTAAAGTTTACTATTTCTCGCATGATTGTTGGCTTTTCTTTGATAGCTGCCAACGTGGGGTGGATGATGGGGCCACTATGCGTGAAGATCAATGTGAGGAATAATGACTTGAAGTCTCAGCAGGCTACCATACTAGGTTACACTAACGCCTACGGATCTCAGTATTTCCTTCTTGTCATCAATTTCCTCATGTGCATCATTCTTTTCAACAAACCGTTGGCTCAAGTGTCCCTCTTCTTAATGTGCAACCAATTGTTATCCATTCTTGAAATATTTGACTTACTAAAAATGAAAGAAAACCTCATTGGACCCGTCGCGATGGGACTTTTGGCTCATCAGCAGTTTTTCTCGACTGGCCACCAGGCAACGATTCCTTCGGTTCAATGGGATATGGGGTTCATTCTGACGGAACGCATTACCTTCCCGTTTACACATTTAAGCATAGTCATGAACACTTTTGGTCCTCACATTTTGGTTGCGCTATCAGTTGCATTACTCACTTTATGGAAGCAAGCGCCTTCGGTTTTAAAGCCGCAGACAATTTTGGCGAGAATTGTCTCCAATTGCGGCATGTTACTCATCTACAACACTGTTTTATGCTTGAGCACATTTGCTTGGGTCACACACTTCCGCCGCCATCTTATGGTATGGAAGATTTTTTGTCCCAGATTTATACTCGCCAGCTTATGTCTGATTGTAACGCACGTCGTCATAATATTCATCACGATTGCATTCTCAAGTGCGAGGCTGATAAAACAGATCAACAACATTTTCTGGAAGTGAGCTTCTCCATCTGGATATATTTTACAAGTACCTTATACAACATTATCCCTGCATCAATTTATTTAAAGCAAAGCAAATCCTTGATTTCTTTGGATCAAAAAAACGCAGTGTCTAAATCTGCGAATTCATCTTCAAAACCGTTATTAAAAGTGTCCCCGTTCAAATCGCCAAAGATGGAGCCCAGCATTGCGGGATGAGCCTGCTCATGATTTGTCTGACCGTTTTGTTGTTCAGGAGGAACCATTGCCTGATTTGTAAGCCCTTCCGAATGCATCTCGGCTGCCTCTGAATTTTTATCGAGATGATCATCAAACACTGCTGCTTCTGCAGTCCTTTGCCGCAGTTCTGCTTCTTCGGTCTCTTTTTTCTTTTGTTCTTCTGCAGCTTGCATAATTTGAAGCGCTCGCTGTCGTTTTTGAAAGGCAATCTCTTTATATTTCGACCAATAATCTGGCGGTGCCTCTGACACATCTCCACGTAATTCCAAAAACTTGCCCTGGTGAATAACAAAGCGATCGTCCTGCACCACTTTGTTGAAAGCAGCGGCAAACTCGTTACTCACCTTTTCTACCATTTCGTGGTCGACGTCAGACCCAGTCAATTTCGAAGAACTCTGACGTAGAATTTGGTATTTGTCTGGGTACGTGACTTTGTATTCAGAAGTGGCCTGTACCATAGCCAAAATCTGTTGCTTTTCTACTTCAATGGCCTGTTTGACCGCTTCTAGGTTCATGCTTGGATATATCCTCGGTGGTTTGATTTTTGAGACCGGAACGGCCTGCGTTGTCAGCACGTCAATCAGCTCACTGGATATCATGAAATTTTGCAACAAATACGATCTATACGATATCGTATCGCTTTCATCGTGCACTAATCGTCCCACTTGCTCGGGCTTCAATCGCGTGTTATCATAATTTCTCGCTTGTTGAGAATCCTGGGATCCCCTGAATTGTTTCCCATGATGAGTTCTTCTTTTCTTAACTGGCATTCTTTTAATTAAAAGCCCTAACAGCCGGAGCAACTCTTGCTGTCACCTACTTATTCACCTATAATCTTGACTGATTCTTCGCGGCGAAGTTCGTTATTTCAATTATCGATGATGATGATGTTGGAATTACATTGTTACCCGGACCTCCAAATACCGATGCCATTAACATTTTGAAATTGTATTTGGGGAACACCAGAGGACAGAGAAGTAGAAGTAAATAGAATCAAGAGAATTAACACCATGGGCGATTGTATGGCATGGAGTGCATTTGAGTCCAAAATAGTTTTTGAGCCTGTTGATGCTGAATTTAATTCCGGGCTTTTCTGGGAAAATCTGACAAAAAATGATTGTGATAGGTTGAAATTAAAAAAGGTCAGCGGTAGAGCGATTTATGACCTGCCGGAGAGCATCAAGGTGATATCCCAAAGCCAGGAAGGACAGTGCAATAGATTGTGGTGTGTATCAGTTGCCAATAGGGATTTTACTCGTATTGAAGTGCTGGCGCGATCCATTAATGAGATGCCAACACAAACACAGCGGACGCAATTGAAGGAACTTGCATTGAGCTCTAAAATTGACATTGTAATATCGTCGCGAGATCTGTATAATGCTGGGTTTGAGAGCGCTTTTTACTTATACGTGATCGGGGATGAGAAGGCGATTTCGTGTGCGAGAAGCGAGATTGACGCGTTGATTCAGATATTTGGTAATAATGTGGTAAAATACGAAGAGTTGAAAGCTGTATCTCTTGTTCCTTATATTGCAGGTCTCCGTGAGAGCAACGTGTCGTTTTTCGAAGATACGTATAAGACGAAGCTCATTTTACCGGATTTGTGGGCGGCTGGTAGCGGAACAGTGTACCTTGCTGGCAAGTATCACGCGCTGACTTTATTGGCTCACGAACAAGTTCAAAAATTGGCACAATTAGCAATTAAGGATGGCTATTACATGGAATTGAATGGTGCGTCTACGGCAAAGATCCGATATTTACGATTACACTGCAAAAAAAGGCTAGAGAAGCTCATGTTTTTGTCTCAGAGTTTTTTCCTGATGGAAGAAGATAAAATTCAAATAGTGGCATCTTCTCCCAATGCCTTGGAACAAGTTGCAAATACCTTGACCCAACAAATCCTATCTCGGGTTTGTGAAGCGCATCTCATCTTTCACAAGGGCGGTAAAGCCCTCCCATACTCTGACAAAACGAAAGAGCGTTTGTTGGAAATTATTAGCAAAAACAAAGCGTCTTTGACTCAGGTGGTCGAAGATGCCATGCATTTTGTCATAACTGCATCCATAGACTTCGTTACAGATGCCGTCACAGAATTAGCAGCATTGTTACAAGCGACAAAGACTGAGATTGACGTCAAATATCTTATCGAGCTAAGTCCGGAATTTAAGGATTTTATCTTGGGCAAAAAATTCGGGAAAATATCTCGCATAATGGATTCAGCAAAATGTGCTGTAACTGTTGACATGCGAGAAGGTGAAGGGAACATGCAAATATTACTTCAATCTGACAACGTCTTGGAAGCAAACAAATCTATGCACCTGATCAAAGATGAGCTCCCAGCTGAGGAACATTTCTTCATACCAGAATCTTACCATCGTCCCGTGATAGGCTCAGGTGGTAGTGTTATACAAACAATTATGCGAAGATTTAATGTTTTCATTCAATTTTCAAATACCTCGTACCACACCCAAAATGGATTTGGATTTGATCGCCCCAACAATGTCGTCATTAGGTGTCCGGCAAAAAATAGGTCCTCAATCGCGCTAGCCAAAGAAGAACTTTTGCGTTTGGTAGAGGAATACAGTGCATTACAATCCAAGATGCTCTTGAGGCTCTCATCAGGTCAATACCGCTATCTTTTGGAACAGATGGCTAGAACTGGGATTAATCAAATAGTTGAAATTGAGAAAAACACCACAACATTCATCAAATTCCCTACTGAAACACCTCCAGAGGGCTACTGTCTCGAAGTAAGGGGTAATGGCGAATGTCCGCAAGCTGCCGCAGAAGATTTAATCAAAATTTTTGGGTTTGAGATTGAGCTATACATCAGCAGACCCTTGGGAAACGTGACATCTTTCTTCAATGACGTAGTCGTCCCGCTGAAAAAAGTCTTCCAGATCGAGATATCTTTTCGTGAGGACTTGATCCGCTTAACTCACGCAGAGTTGAAAGAAGGCGAAGAAACAAAAGCGATTTCTCTCATATCAAGCTACTTGGAAGAAAACGGGATAAGACTCCTAAAAGAAAATCATTCGAGGAGAAATTTCATTGTTAATGTGTACTAGTTGCCAACTGAGATGTTTTCGAGCCTGTAATTGATTTCCACATAGAAGAGGCTTCCCCTCGATTCGCCTTAGAAGCTTTAGCAACCCAGATTGCTTGTACTGAACGGGATAACCTTCGAAAGTCACAGTGACTTAGGATTGCAGACCACAGACGGCAGAAGATGGTTATGGGCTACGGAAATACGACATCCTCTGCTGGCCAATTTTAATTTCCTTTTTTAAACGCAAGTGACGGGGTGCCCTTTCCAAAAAAATTGACCTATTCATTAATTTATCATTAATGATGAGCCCTGGAAGACCGTCTCTAGTACATCCAAAGTTGCTATGGATATCATTTCTGACACAACTCTCACAGTTCAGGATTCTCTAAGTTTCAAATTAGCAATTCTTTTTGGGAAGCGGAAGGACAATGAAAGCTCGAGCAAACCATTCTCAGCAATATCGGCGGCAACAAATGCTGGCTTCTCTGAAGTTCCTTCTTTTTTTGCTTCCGATGGAATTCAACAATTAACAAAAGAAAACTGGAGGTTTTGAAGCCAGTTCAATTACTTCAACGACCTCAATGCTAAAATTAATAAACAATCAAGCTAAATGCGTACACGCGCCGTTTTGACCGTGGAAGCGTGGTTAGATACGAGACCGGTTCTTGGCTTTCTTTGTAAGTCATAGAACACGAAATCATATAGAGTTTGAAGCTCACCGAACTAGATTTCTATGGCCCTCCCTCGACCTTGGTCGAACTCATCACGTAAAGAGAAGTTCATTGAATAAAGCCTATTATGAGCAATGCGACCGGCGTCAAGGAAAATGCTAGGCAGCAAAATAAGCTCACTGCTTGTTTTGACGAAATCATGAAATTGTCAGCAGAAATGCTGGTTCAACAGCAGATGAAGACTATACAGCTGAGCTCTGATATGATAAAGGGGTTTTCTCATAACCAACAGAAACTCTTAGGCGAGAAGATACATATGTTTCACACTATTCTCGATGACGTTGATCTTACGTTAAGTTCTAGTCAAGACTTTGTGAATAGAATTGCAGGCGAAGCGGTCAAGAAGAAGCAAGATAAAATCAAGGAAGAAGAACGACTGAGATTGAAGGATGAAGAAGAAGCCCGAAAACGTGAGGAGATGAACAAAAAAGTAACGAACACAGTGCACTCTGATATGGGTGGACCAGCTGCGGGAGAAAACTTGACATTTGGGGAAGAACCCGACGCGAAGAACGGTTCCAGTATGCCATCCAATTTCGGTGATCTAAACGATTTTGGACTCTCAATGTTTGGCGGAATAGAATCCAATGATTTGCTTGCAGAATTCAACACCAACACCAACGCAGGTCTCCCGGCAGGCAATAATGAGGAAGATAATAAGCCAAATATGATCGCTATGAATCAAGCCGAAAACAAAAACGAGGTTAACTCTAATAATCAAAACATGGACAACAATCCAGATAGCTATTTGACATTAAATGATTTCAATGATTTAGGCTTGGATTGGAATGGTGGGGATGGTCAGAATGAGTTGGACATGAACGAGTTCAACATATGATAATTACTTTAAGACTATTTCTATAAAAGTCTCTTACAGAATGCATTTACCTGGAGCGGGGTATCAGATCTCAAAAAATACCACCATTACCGTAACATTGTCCGTGGTACCATTTTCCAAGGCGTACCTTACAAGTTTTTTGGCGGCTTCATTTGCGTCAGTTAAGTTCTTAATCATTTCGCAGGCTTTTTGGTCTTCAACAACGTCCCAAAGCCCATCGCAAGCAATAATAAGGAATCTGTCTGTCGTGGTTATCTCCACGCTCGTCGTAAACGGGTTACCGACAACTAAACTGTCAAAAAACTTATCACCTAGTGATCTCGTCACAGCTAACATGCCATTTACTCGACTTTTCATAATTAGCCCGCCAGCTTGCTCAACTCTTTGCATTTCCAGGGAATCAGATGCCTTGTGATCGTATGTAAGTCTCACGCTTTGTCCGTCTCTAAAAAGCACTATTCTGGTATCCCCAACGTTTGCCGTATAGAGCATTCGCTTGTGTTGATCTAGATCTATAAGTCCTGTCGGCAGGCGATCGGGAACTTCCCATCGAAGGATACCCACAGCGGCCGTACAGCCACTGTTCCCGCTTAATTGCGAGTTTATGCACTCATCGACATCAATAAAAGATTCGTTTAGAACGTCGCGAACATCTCGCGTTTCGTCCTCCAAAATTCGTTTTTCGATTACAGTGTGCAGTTGCGATCCGCACCATTTGGATGCCTGATTCCCCGCATGCCCGTCAAATACACCAAAGTAGCCCCAATCTAGCCTTGATGCGAAATTTTCAACATAGGTATGCACGTCCTCCATTGTCTTTCTAAACTTAGCATTCCGGTTCTCTGCTACCCCCACAGAATATGAAAGCCTGTAGCTTACTGCATCTTCCATTACACCATCTACCTGCGAGTCGCGTGTTGAGCTAAGATCCGTCTTGCTGCTCATAAGGCTCGCTGTGTCGATGGTTTATGCAAACGAATACAACTTTGATGTGACAAAAAAAACCGGGCACGCTTCAATGGTAATATGATATCCCGCGTAGCAGTTCAGACCAATGCACTACCTACAATCGAAAATGTATACGTGACCACAAATCTCTTGAGCAAATTACCGGACGTTTCTATTTACAGTTCTTCTGCCAAAAGTTTCATGATTGTTGACCTCAAGTCCTTGAAATGGTTATATCTACACACTTTCCATGAGATATACGTACACAATGACTTAAGCTTGTTCTTAAAGGTGATGAGGCCTTCAAGCTCTCAATTCCGTTTCGCTCATCAAAATGCTGCTTACAAGTATAGACCTTCCAGGTTTTCCTCGACCTTATTCTTCAGGACCCGTTCTTTAGCTTGCTTGAAGTCTTCTGCAGTTACCTGCATTCGCCTCTCCCGAAGAGCCAGGAGCCCTGCTTCAGTGCACATGGCCTTTATGTCAGCGCCGGACAAGTCGTCCTTGGAAGTAACCAGATTGTCGAGACCAACATCAGGAGCGAGATTCATCTTGCTAGTGTGGATTGACAGAATTTTGCGTTTCGTGGCGATATCTGGGTTTTCGAATAGAATCTTGCGGTCGATTCTACCAGGCCTGATCAATGCCGGATCCAAACTTTCAATTTTATTGGTAGCCATTATAACTTTGACGTCACCTCGATCATCAAAACCGTCGAGTTGGTTCAATAGCTCTAACATTGTTCTCTGAATTTCCCTCTCGCCGCCGCTGTTTGAGTCGTAACGTTTTGTACCGATGGCATCGATTTCGTCTATGAAAACGATACTTGGAGCGCTTTCAGCCGCGGCTTTGAAAATTTGTCGACACAAACGTGGCCCATCACCTAGGTATTTTTGAATCAACTCTGAACCCACGATTCTCAAAAATGTGGCAGAAGTTTGGTTGGCCACTGCCTTGGCTAACAGAGTTTTACCGGTACCAGGCGCTCCGTACAGGATGACTCCTTTAGGAGGCTTGATACCCATTTCCTCGTACAACTCTGGGTGTGTGAGTGGTAGTTCTACGGCCTCCTTTATCTCTTGAATCTGAGACTCCAGACCACCTATATCGCTGTAGTTCTCTGTGGGAGACTTATCGATCTTCATCACCGAAACCATTGGATCAGTGTCGTCTTGGAGCACACCGACAATTGACATAGTCTTGTGATGCAGCAGTACCGAACAACCAGGTTCTAGTAACTCTTTGTCGACAAATGACAAAATGGAAACGTAAAAATCGGGCGTCGTGGAGCTCGTGACGATCGCATGGTCATCATCGATAATCTCTTCCAGCGTACCTACCGAAAGCGGGGACCCACGAATCTCTTCCAGTTGTTTCTTCTCTTCTTCTTGCTTCTTCTCAAAGGGTTTCAAGATCTCTGAGTTGGCAACAAATTCCTCCTCCAGCAGCAAATGGTCCTTAATTCTTTCCATTCTCAACAACTTGAGTCGACACCGCGTGTTAGGATATATGCTGGGCAGCTTTTCAGCCGTCGCTGGTCCTCTTCTCTTCTTACGCCCTATTTTCGATTGCACTGGTGGCTCATATTTGGGCTTCTGCTTGTCCTTCTTCTTCTTATCCTTCCCGTAGGTTGATGCTCCTTGACCCTACATCCAATGTTCAGTTAGTATTTACTGCGAAGCTGGCCCAATTTCAAACTCGGAAACATACCATTACTAACGATCACTTAAAAGCTGTCTTGACTGATTTATACCACCGACAGCCTCTTGATTGATATGCTGTTTAAAAGATGGGTTTCTACAGTGTTGAAGTTATCATAGATTTGAGCTTAGGCTTTTGCCACCGGGAGTTCCCACATTGTGAGAACTCACAACGTACATAGTGATGATAGTGTGTTTACCGAAAACACTCGAAAAGAGGTCTAATTGGACTTATTTTAGCCTGCACTTTGTTACCAGGTGTTTGGGTTACCACAATGATTGAAATTTTCAAAAATTTAGATTTTGAGAGAAACTCGACAACTGCAGGATTCGAACCTGCGCGGGCAGAGCCCAAAAGATTTCTAATCTTACGCCTTAACCACTCGGCCAAATTGCCCACTTTGATGTACTCCCTGTTGTTAATTAGGTATAGGGAGCAGAGTGTAGCATAGGGAGTTACTGAGTTGTGGGCTGTTCGGGCAAAGCGTTGGACGCCTAGAGTCAACAAAACCATGGAAATCTATGATTCAGCATTTTCCATCATCCGAATTTTGGCTCTAGTTTCTTTCTGTTTTGTTTTTAAACGAAGCTTCTTCAGCTAACGACATTGATTTGGAGAAAACTGACGTTCGCTAGACTATGAAAGCCTATTCTTCATGCATTCCTTGGAACTGTAAGCCGAGACTCAAGCTTCCGTACGCTGGGGTTATTTTTATTCTCTTAAAATCAGTTTGTTTGTACATCTCTGTATTATTGGTGTAGCGGGCGCTACATATATAAGTTTAAGGAATAATAGCACTAAAAATCAGACAATTCGAAGGGCGACATTGGCCGGTAATTTCACGTGAAACCTGTATTGACCAGACTACTCGTCAATGAGCCGCATGTGCTATACAGGTCGACGTTTTCATAAGAATCCCCCGCTCGTAACGCATCCTGAATGTTTTCAAAACTCCAGGAATTTTCGGCAACTCCCGTGTTTGCATCATGATTACGCTGGGCAATCTCTGCAATGCCCGCACTAATCAACATCTCTCGCACGCCTTGTGTGATAGGCACCCTCGCCAAAAAGACCCGCACATACCTCTTTTGAAACGACGTCACTATCTCATGCAAAACTTGAGCGGCCGACGCATCGATAGAAGTCATCCCGTTCATGTCCAGCACAACACGCCTCGTCATTGATTTCCCGAGAAATTGAGGGCTTGCAGGGTGTGTTCTCAGTGAACCGTGAAGTTCAAGACGATTTAACTTTGATTTCAAATCTTCCGCATTCGTGAAGAACAAAGGCTCGGGGATTTTAACAATAAGACAGCCCTCGGTTTGCTCTAGAGGAGGCAAATCTGGTCTGTTTCTAAACATCTCCCTGAAATAATCGTCAGCATTCACAAATTGATCAGTACCGGCAACACGGCCCAAAATTTGAATGCCTGATCTGCCCGATAATTTGATGACGCGAATAAGTGAAAACAAACAACCCACGGTGATACCGACCTCTACTGAGAAAGCAAAAGTGGTGAGGAGAGTAACAGCGAAGATGCCTAATTCTTGGTATCCTTTGCATTTCCAGTAGAATACAATATCTGCTGGAGACTCTTCAATCAAAGAAAACCCGATCACAGTTGTAATGGCTGACAAACAGCCCATGGGGATATTCTTAATATATTCTAGAAGAAACCTCATCGTAAGCAACGTAAAGAAGCCCATTGCCACACCCGATACCACTGTCTTCCCGCCAGAATAAGCATTAACTTTCGACCTCCCGTAGCCACCAAAAGACGGCAACCCTGCAACTAATGAGCAGACCATATTGGTGCTTCCCAAAGCAATCAATTCCCTATTTGAGGAGACGTCGAAATCGAATGCACTCGCGAGTGATTTGGACGCAATAGTCGACTCGAAAAACCCTAATATCGCAGCCATGAATGCAGGATACACTAGGTCACTGTACATGGATCTTCTTGCCTTTGAAAGTGGGTTCTTCAGCTCGCTTATCCCATCTGCGTCAAAATCTCCAACGACATCTATTCCAAACTTGCGTTTTAGGTCCATTGTGGAAGATACGAAGATCGTAACGATAACAACGAGCAGAATATCGGGAAAGAAAACGGCCCATCTGAACTTTCTCATCATTGCCCTCTTGGTGTATTTAAGGAAGAATAAAGCACCAATGCAAGCAAAACTTAAGACCGCTGTTGGCACATGATAGTTTTTGGGTGCGTATTCGATAAGAAAAAGTATCTTCTGGAATGGCGAATGATAATGTTCCGGAGTATCAGCAAGCACCTTTTCAAGCTTGAGTTCGGAAACCAAGGAGTTCAAAATCATGACGAGGCTCACGGCACTGATAAATCCTCGCAAAAGTGCTCTACTCAAGACGTTGTCTAGAAATCCAAACCTCAACGCCCCAGAAAGAAATAGACAAACACCGCCGATGAAACTTAGCACAACACAGGCATCTGTGGCATTGTAGTTTTCATGATGTTTTCGAGCACGCTCGATTGCTTGCCCGACTACGAGCGAAATGGCACTTTCCGGACCCACAACCATCTGTGGCACAGTGCCAAATAGTGCATACACAATTGGTGCCACTACGAGTGAATTGAGACCCGTTGTCGGTGGAGTGTGGGCGATAGAAGTGGAAAATGACATCGCGAGCGGAATTTGGAAAGACGCAAGCGTCATTCCTGCAACCAAATCGCCCATAAGCTTTGACATTGTATAATGGGGAATCCATCCAAGGCATGGGAAATAATATTTCGATCGATCCCATAGGCTGGGTCTGACCTGGCTCTCAGCTGACCTGCTCGGTATTCCGATCAAACTTTTCAAATTGGTACTTTGAACATCATCTGGAACAGGGCTCCCCTCACCAAGAGGTGACGATCTTGATTTCCGCTTATGGGAAGGGAAACTTCGTGCCAAGGTTTTGGTGCCTCGGCTTGGCAACAAAGGCGATCCTTCGTCCATCACCTTGCATTTTTATAGTGGCAAGATATCTTCGCCGATTCTCGATGGCTTAATTCCAATATCCATTTGAGTTCGTTATCTACGAGATACAAGTCAGAGCTAAGATAGATGCCTATGGGTACCCATAGGTCAAGATTATCACGGAGTGACCTTGTTAGCACCTGAAACGTGTTGGAATCTAAGCAGTATAATCTAGTACATATTGGTGATTGAAAAGAATGCAATCTAGCACCAGTACGTTTATTTAGCTAGTTTCTCAGTAAGCTCTGGCACAACTTCATTAAGATCGCCCACAAGTCCAAAGTCTGCGACTTGGAAAATAGGAGCCTCTGGGTCACTATTTATTGCAACAATTGTCTTCGAGTCTTTCATACCCGCGAGATGCTGGATGGCACCTGAAATTCCGACGGCGACATAAAGATCTGGAGCCACGACTTTACCTGTTTGTCCAATCTGTAAAGAATTGTCGCAAAGTCCTGAGTCTACAGCAGCTCTCGTAGCTCCAATGGCGGCGTGCAGAGTGTCAGCCAAGGGAGTTACGAGATTGTCAAAGGTCTCTTTGTTTTTCAAACCTCTACCACCTGCAACCACTCTCGACGCGGATCCCAGATCTGGACGTTCACTCTTTACAAGGTTTTCGCCTTCCCATTTAACGTCTATACTTGATTTTGGCTGTTCAGCAGCTTTGGTGATTGGAACTTCGGTGCCACCAGCACTGGCAGCGGGGAAAGAAGAAGCTCTCACACTGATCAACTTTTTGGACTGGTTACATTCAACAGTGGCTAGTATGTTGCCTGCATACATTGGTCTGACAAACGTTTTCGCATCGACAATAGCAGTAACGTCGCATATGGGTTGCAAATCAAGCAACGCGCCAACGCGAGGTAGAACATTCTTACCCGAAGCAGAGCTTGCTACAATGAAATGCGAGTATTCGGGGTCTTCAAGCAGCTTCACGCAAAGAGAAGTGACATTTTCTGGCAGATAGTTGTTATACGCCTCGTTGCTCGCAACAATGATGCTCTTCAAACTGTTGACAGAATAGTCACCTTTCAGCGTTTCTGCACCCTTTTGAGCCGAGCCACCCACAAAAAGCGCAGTAATGGGATTTCCTAGCTTTTCGGCCGCGCTAAGTGCACTTAAAGAGGATTGTGCAATCTTTCCATCTTGAGAGGTCTCAATGAAAGCTAACGTTGACGCGGCTCTCGACCTGAACAAAGACGGAAGCGAGGACCTCGGAAAGGCCCGAATTGACGTCCTGCTGAATATCATTTAATTAATGATTGGCGCCGATCTCTTTCCGTTCTAATGACATGATTTTCGATGACAATTTCAGAGACGAACGGAATCACCGTTTTATTACTGTTGAAAAAAACGAAAAATGAGGGGACTCTGGTTAGCTTGAATAAAAAGACCATGTAATGCAAAGCCCGTTTTGAGCATCATTGCGCCTTAGGCATGATTTGGCGAGATAGCCTTATACTCACCTCTTTTGTAGTTGAAGCATGTGCTTTCTCGGGTCTCTATGCAACGAAAACCACGATGCCAAATTAAGACGACACGAGGTGAAGACAACCCTTGATATTATTTCCAATCTTTCCCCCGACATTAAAGTCGAAGAGGGCAAGTATGTCGCAAAGTTGGTCTAAGCTTCAATTTAGATCTTGAAGGCGGCATAAAAACTTTAGGTGTTTGAGCGTTTTGAGGAAATGCACGAATCTTCCAAAGAGAATAATTGATCAAGCCATTCGATGCTAGTTACTCTAAAGTACTTTCTGGCGATTTCCGTGCCATGGCGTTGTTCTCCGTTTCGGTTCAAAGCGGCATCTTGCTCTTGGCATTGTCACGTGTAAGACAGCACAACTGCTATCTGTGTTGCGGCGCCTCGAATTATCCCCTTTTACCAACCACCACAAAATGCTCGATTTCAAAGCACTTGCTGACGATGTGCTAGAAAAGTTGGCTGAGCATGCTAACACCAACTACCGTGTCATTGTCTTGATCGTTGGTTCTCCTGGGTCCGGAAAATCAACTGTCAGTGGGAGGCTTTGCGACGAAATTAATTCTCGATTCCATAACTATCTGAAAAAGACGGGGACGCATCCAACCCTTGCGTCTACATCGCGGAGTTACGAAAATTTGCTTGCAGACCTCAAGTTCAATCCCAACAGCAATTATGAAGATAACGAATCGTATTACTTCCATCATGTCGAGGATATAGGACTTCCTCCTACTAAATTCAGCACTGCAGGTTCAAGTTCAACAACCGTTATGGGCAGAGGTGGTATGCCGAACAGTATTCAAGTCTCTATGCATACCACGGAGAGACAGACGGGCGGCAATTTCGAAATTGCTCAGTTGGTTCCCATGGACGGTTTTCACCTAAGCCGCAAGCACTTGGATCATTTTAAAGATGCCAAGGCTGCTCATAGGCGTCGCGGGGCTCCTCAAACATTTGACAGCAACAACTATTTGCAACTATGCAAACTTTTGGCCGAGACTAGTAAGATCAAGCCTGTTTTCAAGCACAAGGTAGAAGATTGCTCGTCGTTTAATGAAGATGTTTTGTTTGATGAACTATGTGCATCTTTTACCGCAGATGTCCCGTCTATTTCCTTTCCTGGTTTTGATCACAGTTTGAAGGATCCTACAGTAAATCAGCATTCGGTTGATGCTTATACGAGAGTTGTCGTGATGGAAGGGCTCTATCTATTGCTTGACGTTGAGAACTGGGCCAAGGTTTTCCCCGAAATTCAAAGAACCGGCTGCTTCTTAGTGTTCGCTATAAACGTCGATGATGCTACCCTTGCAGAACGTGTTGCCAAACGGCATTTGCAATCAGGGCTTGTGGGAACATATGAAGAAGGATTGGCGCGCTTTAATGACAATGATTTACCAAATGCAAAATTGATACAAGCAAATATGATAAACTCCCCTGAAATAAAGATAATCAACAATAATTAGGCCTCAGTTTTCTTTCACGGCCAGCCTGTGAGGTTTAGATGTAGGGACAAATTGATGCGCGGGGGCAATTCTCAGAACAGTGCTTATCTATTGAGTTCATTGGTTGGAGAACTATTCCAGTATTCCAGTGAGAAATTGGTTTTTGCATTGGGGCAACATGTCCTAACATAGCGATGATAGAACTTCTTGAAGGTTCTTCAAATGAATGTGTTGTTTATCATTTCGCTTCAGGCAATTCGTTCTTCTGCAACTGAACAGGCAAAGTGGGCACAATACAAGATATCAAACTTCGGCTTGAGAATTATTAAATACGATAGGGCTGTGTCGAAACTTTCTTGCGATTTTAGCACATGAAGCGAACAGGTTCCGCAGCTTATAGCTTTGTCCGACATACCAGTTTCGAAATTCATCAATAGGCGACCTGAGGGTTTGAGCTCAGATAAATGACCAAATCGTCGCCGTTCAATGTAGCAAAGGGTTGATTGGGAGCGAAAGCGCGGATATCAACAAAACTTTTGGAGGCTAGCTGCAATAAGGCCAAGAATGCATTACAAGCAATGCTTTTGCTCACAGCTTTAAATCCCTCGCCAGATGTGTTCGAAGAGCTCTCCTCACTTATGCGACTGGGAATGATGTCTTCAAATAGAATTTTTTTGTGAAATTTGGGATGCGACCTTGATGTTCTGCCAACGAAGCAGGCGCGCTCATTCATATAATCTAGAAATCTTTTACTTTGGTGATCCAAAATTTGGTTCTGCGTCTCAGGGAGGGGATCCATTAATTGATCACCAGTAGACTGTAACTCATCACTTCTAGTCTGCCCTGTACTTCCCGATCTTGGTTCTCTAACGCTCCGTCGTTTGAGATTCATAGTTCTGAGCTCTTCGATATGATCTCGTGAATCAGTTCCCATTCTGCTCGAGCTTCTCCCAAAGCTAGATGGCGGTAAATGGAAGTCGATGTCTAGTAAATTTCCATTTGCATGGTAAGATTGCTCTTCGTTGAACTCTTCGTCAATCTGACCTAGGCCAGGTAACATGTCGAATGCATTATCGCCTTCATCTCTTCTTTCATTGTCAAGGCCACTCATTCTGCGACCTTGTTCAGCGCTTAAAACGCTACTTGATCTCGAGGTTGTGCGCGAACGTGCGTTTTGACGACCCCTCTCGATGCCGATGTCGCCGCCGCCTTTTTCGTTGGCGCCTGGTTTGAATTTAGGCCACGGAAACAACTCCCGGTAACATTGGGCCATTTGGGGGATCTGCTGATCGCTTGCAAATGAAAACAGCATTTCGTTCATATCACGACCTCTTCCCTGTGCTTTTTTATTCACAGGGCGGTCTTTGAACACCCTCATGCTCTCACGATAGTAGTAGTCGTTAGTTCGGAGGTCTTCTGTTGACAACGCGATTTTGTCATCACACAGCACTAGGAGTTGAAGACATTTTCCGCGCCTGTTGCGCGGCTGTTTCCTCTTTTTTTCCTGAATAACGCTTATCTCCTCGTCGCTGTCGCTGTCATGCAGTCTTTTTAAAAGCTCATTTCTACGTTCCTGGTCTGGGAGATGTGAGTCAAGATCTGGGAGATCAATCAAATCAAACCCCTGACTGTCAAATCCCTCCGCCAGGGCTTTAAAATTTAGCCTTCGAGATCCTCCGGTCTCGGATTGATCGTCGCCGGATTTTACTGACGTCGCATCTGCGTCGCTTAACACATCGCCGAAATCCAGTTCGAGGTCCACGTCCAGCGGAAACATTTCGTCAGATTGCGACGTCCCTCCGTGAGGGCCTCCGTATAGGTCTCCGAACTTTGAGCGCTGAAAAGCGTCATTTTCGTAACCATTGTAGGCTTCGTGCATTATATCGTGCCGCCTAATGACCTTAGACGCCCTGTCACCTTTGGATTCCTTGTCGTCAAGAGACGAAAATTCACGAATAAAATTAATGTCAAAGCTAGGGTCATCTCCCAAAAGCGTCCTTGCGTGGTCTTCCAGTGTCGAATTACGTGCACGCTGCATTTCGGCCATATCCGCATATTCATGCACCCCGTCGTAAATGGTCGTAGTGACTTTGGTCTTCAAAATTTCATTAATCTTCTTCGAGGTCAGACCTAAAAGTTGGCGGTGAAGCTGAAGTTTCACGGCGGTGACGTCTGCCAAAACGTATTCGGTTTTCCTTTCAAAACATAAGGTGACCCCGTAAAGAAGATTCGAGACTTGTCGTAATGGCAGTTCATAGCTGGATCGCTCAACTTCTTTGCATGTCTGAGGTATACTCACTGACACGATATCCTTCTTCTTCACTTTCGAGCTTGCTGAGCTTCTTCCGACACCAAGAGACGACAGAAGCCAAACTGTCGTTATTCCGGCAGAATATCCTGGTTCTTCTCTACCTCTTTGTAAAGTCAAAGTAACCGCCATGGTGGTGACAACTGTTCGCTCGGCTAACTGAAGAGTAAATTCCTCCGCTGATTCCCCCTCCCTGGTTTTCTCCCTTGCTTTATATACTTTAGAATTAACCGCCCATACTGACGCGTCACTTTTGCGTACAGAACGATATGACAGTTACTTCCAGACTTGACCAGTGAGTTACCCGGGTGACGATATATACATACCGGGTCACCAACGGCAAGTAACGAGTAACCCCATATACTCACATCGAAAAAATGCGATTGAAGCGGGTTAAATAACTAAATACGAGTGAGTATCTATGGATATTTGCGCTGATAGTGATAATAGTTATCTCAAGAAATCAACCCGAAATCCTGGCATCAGCGATGGATGATTCGCCGTCAAGGTCTTTTTCCACGCAAGTCTCCTCATCTTCAGACGAATTTTCTTGCGCTTTCATATAATCCTGTGAATTTGTTTTGTCACTCAGTTGGAACTTACCATCAACATTTGATTCAACGATCATGCTTTCCTCCTGCGGGTCGTGAAGAAGGCGATTCAGATCATCCTCAATGTCAAATTCAGAAGCAGACAAATATTCCAAATCTTCCTCAAAATCAATTTCACTTTGCCCTGGCATCATGGGGGCCGACTTGTAAAATCCAAATTGTGTGAACCTGTCCCTGAGAACCATTAACGTTCGCATATTTGTGCTATTGAGTCTCGTTCTATCTTTTCTCATGACCCTTCCAGCAAGAGAAAATGCTCTTTCAACATCGCATGTGGTTATCTTTGTATAAAATAAAGACATTGCGAGTTTGAACAATCTTGGATAAGCTGCTCTTCTTACAAACCACCAGTCGATTGCCGCAGATCTCGAGCCCCCGACAAGACGAGGTTCATTGACGTATTGATGCCATTCCTCCATTGCGACGGGTAAAGCGTCCAAGCCTTTGCAGTTTTCGTCGGTATCCATAAAATCTGACAAATGTGCATCTATAAAGCTTTTTTCTTTTCTCCGGATGGTGGGCTCCGATATAGTTTGATTACCTGTGTCCCGTGATTGGTGTTCCAGGTCATGCTGTTTGAAATACGTTTTGATGAAGTTTTCGGACTGAAGGTACCTTCTTTGAGCCTCCTCATGGTGCATAACCTCATGAAGCCCCTCAACTTTTGCGGTGGGATCAAGAACGACCGCCAAATAGTACAGTGGGTTTCGCTCAAAGAGAACTAGGTAGCCCAGGAAGCTATTTTGAGCAATAGACATTGCTTCCAAAATACAACTTTTGTCTGCTTCTTGCAAAGTCGATTGCCCATTCAAAAATGAAAAGTCAATACCTGTTTGTTTGGCCTTCATGTTCCTTCCTTCAAGGGCTTCCGTACACTTTTGATAGTAGTGTTTTAAGGTATAATAGAATTTCAAGCCATTTGGCAAGTTACTGTAGTCCTCGTCTTGCAGTGCTAGCGTAAACTCCATCAGTGGCCGAGTTACCTCAATGAAATATTTTAAAAAGTCAATGTCACGCCTGTCAAAAGCAAATGCGTCTCGTAGCTGTGAAGTAATGATGTCTTTCTCGCTTTCAGCTAATTTAGCAAACCAACTCCCGTAGGCCGAGAAGTTTTCGATAAATACGTCAATCTGTCGCCATGATAACATCCATCTGGTGGGAGATTCTAACGGTATAAAGGGAATCCCGGTCTCCTTCAAAGTACTATTGATTCGCGTGGAAAATCTCATAATTTTTGCCAGCTTCAAGATTTTGCCATAAGCTCCATAGAAAACAGTATTGAGCTTCAATTGCGACAGAATCTTCTGGAACTGAATGTTGAGAACATGGCTAGCACACCTGATGTACCGTGTGCCACCGAAGGGGTTGTGCGCTGAGGGCTTCAAAATATTAAGCTTATTGTGTATCAGGTAAGAATGCAGCGAACCGTTATTCGTAGCGTTATCCATCGTGATCGTTGCCACTTTCTCCATCAGGTTGAACTTCTTCATTAAGTCGACAAGAACATCACAGAGGATCTCACCGCTGTGTTTCTTTCTTTTGAGACTTATAAAGTCCAGTATGTGTACGTTATGGGGTTTCCCAGAATCATTTAATAAAACCCGCGAGCTGTCTGCTAAGTCAAGTGCTGTAGCATTCATGAAGTTTGGAGCGAAAGAAATCACTGCACCTAAAAACGCTTCCCCATTGGGGGCTGTCCAAATATCCAGCTGAAGATTGACGAAATGAGTGTCGCGTAAATTTAACAGAATACTTTCATCCATTTGGGAAGCGTAAAGGTTCAATTTCTTAGTAAGAGTAGTTCTTGACTGAATAAAGGAACCTGAGACATATTCTTCGCTGATTCTTCTCCACGAAGACATTTGGACAAAACTGAAAGGCAAAAACCCTTCAGTCACGATTTCTGCTGTTCTAAGCATTTTTGGGTTAAGCTTGTACTCATTCTTGATTGACTGCGATAGTCTGAGGGATCTTCGGTTGGAAAAAGTATCCAGAGATCTAGCCTTTTTGACTTTCTCATTAGTGCTGGCATAGACACCGGAATGGACGTTACGTGCATGCTTTGCCATGTTTCCGGTGGACTCACCTTCAGGATACCGCTTTCCACAATATCTGCACTTTGAAATCTGGCTACCGTTGACGGTAAAAACCTCAAAGAAGGGCTCTAACGTAGATTCGGGCATCCAGCCACTTGACTTATCATTTTTTCCTTTTTGCTGAGAAGCCCCGCCGTGATCTACCGGTGAGTTGTCCCTAGACAATCCATCACTTGAGCTCTCAGTTGCGTTCGCCAAATCTGGCAAACGCTGCTGGATGATATGCTGCTGCATTTCTCGGCGGCTGACGCGAAATTGATTTGAATCTTCTATCCCGTTGATGACGATGAGTAAATCTCGATTGCAGGCGCATTTAGTGATGGGTCAGTGAGTTTACCTTCCAAGTAACGGACATCTAAAAGAACGTAACTCATTGCGTGCTAAGAAATATACTAATGAGTATTCGTGGAAAATTGTTATCTGCTGGTCAAGCCCGGTTACTTCTTCTATTATCCTCGTGATACGTGATGTACGGCAGTAACAATGATAGCTGATAATCAAAGATTATATATAGTCTTATCATCGGAAACTAGCAATGTCACTTTACCTCTCTGGTATGTTTCCGAATGGATCTGGCAGTGATTAATCACATCTTGTAGTCATTTTGATAGGAACATCACCAATTATGTCACGTGACTGCCTTTGACTTCCAGAGGCCTGTAATTTGGGACATAAAGTAATCTTGAGAAAGGAGTTATTAGCAGACTTTGTTTTCATCTTGTTGGCGATCGTCGAATGTTTTCCATAGTTCTGCGTTTTTGCCCCTCTTCTGGCCGTTTCGTCTGTTTCAGGCTAGAAACGTCACACTTGACTTCATGAAAAACGTCGATCGAACGACTATAGCAAGTACCGCACCACAGCATAAGAGGACGTAAGGCGAGTTCCTCATACTAGCATCGCGATGGGAGATCAGCAGGTAGTGTTCATGAATCCGCAGGCGGAGAGTCTTGATTGCTTGTACAGCCTTGCCGGGAGGCTTACACGACAACTTGCGGAGAACAAAGCTAAAAGAGACAAATTACTGAGAGACATAGATGTGCTCGCTAGGGAAGTCAATGTTCGGGCGGAGGACCAGGGCGAGGTTAAAGATGAAAACATTCCGGTGATCAATGCTTTCCTGCAGCGTCGAAACAAAAATATTTACGAGTGGGATGGTGAGACCAACAATAAAGTAGACGTACTTCGACAGCAGAACGTAGCATTACGAGAAATGCTAAACAAGAAAAAAGAGAGCAATCTGGAGACCATGGCGTTACTGAAGTTGCATGAAAAATCGCTTATCGACGTTGTTGCAGTTCTGCGAGAAGATGTACTGAGCTACCATCAGGAACTCCTCGAGAAATGTCGCTCTCTGTACGAGCGACGTGTTTTCCAAGCCGAAGACACTGAGTTTAGGCAGTACATGGAAAACGTAAAGGACGTCGAACAATTGATGGATTTATCGAAGATTTTTCGCGCCCTACTGCGGCTTGCAAGTTGAGAGCGGCGAAATACTAAGAAGGGGGGATATAGCTAAGTAAACAATTGCAATCCACCCATCACTAATGTGCGATTTGGTCATGTTTTCTGCGACGGCGATCTTGTTTTTTCTTATTGAGAATTGAATGTCGTAAAATTAGAACAAAACGTATAATGAAGTAGATCACAAATTTCATTGTTTACTGCCAGCACGTTCATGCAACAACACATCTTTAATACGAGAGCTGGAAGTATTTATAAACCGCAATTCTTAAACCTAGCAGTAACTAGGATTATTCCACTTACGAGTATGACATCAGCCAATGCCAGTGCTTCCGCATTGATATCCGCGATAGTTTAGTGGCTAGAATTCGAGCTTGTCGCGCTCGGGACCGGGGTTCAATTCCCCGTCGCGGAGTTTTTTTTCGACACCAAGTGTTCGTGCAAAGGCGAACGATGCTTCGTCGTCTTTTCGCAACCCAGACTTACTCTGTCTACTCTTCAAGTGGCATTCGGCCCACTTTTTTTCATTGTCAGCGCTCATCTACCCAGGTGACGTTTTTACTACAAAATGAGAACTTGGAGGACGGCAAAAAGGGAAATGACCCTCTGGAAATTGCTGATGCAATCGACTTGATAGCATGGTCGGCTCGTCATTTACTGACACTCGACGGAGCAAGGATCGAAAACCTATGTAAATCGCATTCTGAAAGCGGAAAAAACTAGTACGAGTCCCAACTGAATAACGGCGCTCGCTCATGCGGCGCTCGCTCATGCGGCGCTTGCTCACGCGGTTTTCTTTACTCCCGTACAGGGTTCATCGTCGTTTAGAAGATGTCACTAGTGGAAAGAGCGTTGAGAAAGTGGAAAGAGTTGGATGAGCAGAGGTTGCGTACATAATGACATCAACGAAATCTCAAAAATTTTGTCGTTTAGGATCAAAGGTCAAGAGAGCGATGCTCCCAGCCTAGAACGGTGACATCTTGATAAACATCCAGGAGCCTACATAAGATGCTGAAGTGGATTCAAGGTGGACTTTCGGCAGTGACCGGGATCGCAGAGCCAGAATATGGTAAAGAGTTTATACATCCGGTTACGGAAAGAGTTAAGGGCAAGCAACCGTTCCATTCGGCCAGCAGAGACGATTTTGCGTGGTTGAATCCGGGCCACACGAACGTGGAGACCGTGACTTACTATTTTTCCGATCTGGACAGAGGCTACGTTGGTTTTGCGCAAGTGATTCATTCGAACATCATCGGACTGCACACGACAGCCCAGTTCACGTTCAAAGTATTCAATGCCAAGGAGCCCAAACTGAATGTGTGGACGTCCACGAAACTAGAAAACTTTAGAATAGAGGGTCCGAATTTTTACGCTGATGGTCTTTCCATTGAGATGAATGAGGATGCGTCGCAGGTGCGCTTTCAGTCCCAAGTAAACAAGGCCAGTGTCGTGGATCTCACTTTTGACCGTATTGCACCAAGCGTCAAAGTCGGCGAAGATCCCACAACGTACTATGGTGACGATATCGAACAACCTTGGGGTACCATGAGGCACGTCTTCTGGCCCAGAAACAAATGTCACGGAACGTTGACCCTTGGCGCTGAACAAGAAGACGAAAAAATCATCACATTTGCGCAAGATGCTCCTGTTTACTCGATGTTCGTGATGGCGATCCAGGGAATGAAACCTCATCATGCTGCGAAAGCCTGGAATTTCGTGAATTTCCATTCCAAGTCTCACAGTGCGATGTTAATGGAATTTACAACGCCCAAATCGTATGCGAACACCAAAGTCTCGATCGGAGTTCTTTGCGAAGATCGAGACGTCCTAGCAGTAACGGTCGACAACGAAGTCGAGCACGTTGATCCGCAGATAGACTCAGTCGGTTGGCCCGTGCCCGAGGGGCTTGTTGTTAAGTTCGAGGGAGTTCCTTCTACGGTCAAAGACGAAGACGTTGCCACCGCCGAAAAGATCACAGCTACAGTGTCGGGAGCGCTCTCCGAAATGGTCGTGAGAATCGATGTTATGGACGAAATTCCAACTTTCGTGAAGAACATCGTGTCGGGAGTCGCCGGCACCAAGCCTTACATATACCAGTACGCCAACCCGCTCTCGCTTGAGTTGCAAGACGGCCCCAAGATTGAAGGCCTAGGATGGTGCGAAGTCACCTTCATTTCCGAGGCCGAAGAAGTGACCGAGGAATCTTACAGCGAGAAATGAAGCATTATTATGATTGCATAGCATCCTCCGTTCTAGGATGATGATTATTACTTAGTCAGTGTTTTCAGCTCTCCCCTCAAATATATAATTGTATGCTAATATATCGATTTCAGCTATTAGGTTCATCTTCTCGCGACTTTGTGCGTTAGTTCCTGAGAAGCCCTCTTCTCACCAAACCATGAAGAACTAACCCCAAAAGTCACGTAATGACACGCATCTCCATCTATGTATCGACGCCCCCACGCCCCCCTCAAACTTGCAGTCCCCGCCCACGTTTTTGCTCGAGAATCCGGGTGTTTAATCATCTCATCTCGCATCAGTCGAGGTCATCGAAACTACATCTTCTCAATCCCAGCGTCATGGACCCTGCACATCCCAAGAGCAATTTATGCAAATGTTTTTCCGGCCTTTAAGCTGCTACGGGAAGGAAGCTCTAGAGATCTTGTTGATCTCGTGCGAGGTTCCTGCTTGCTTCGCTGCTGTCTAAAATCGGGCTCGGAATCGACTTGATCCGTTGACTCAGCACTTCGCCCCCTGCAGCAGTGTTCGATGGGCTTCGGCAGCGACCACGTAATACGTGTTTTGGCGCATACCATTACGAAATCTTGCTGAGAGGATTTTCAACGCTCCGCAATTTTCTGGGAATCTCCGTGGGTCAGTCAATTGTCCCTCAGAAGCAAGCCGGGGAATAAAAAAAAAGCGTACAACTTTCGCTATCCAGCACCCATTCACCCATTCACAGATATCCCAAATTATCCCTCCAGACGAAACCTCGGTAAAGAGCTGCTCGGGATTCAAAAGTCCGACAAAATTTGCTAAAAGAAAGCCATCGCTTCTTTTTGTTTTTTTGCCAATAAGTGACTGTGAGGGATAGCACGGGAATCTATCGGCTGAGCTCAGGCATCGTGCGGGAAATGGGAGCAGAAATGCCCTTGAGAGAGCTTTTCTTTGCAACAGAGGTCCTCGCCGGTTTTTCCTTTGCTCCGTATGGGGTTACGGACCGGAAAAATTAATCCGGAGTACGTCAAAACAGTGCGGGCCAAAAGAAATGCCGGAAAAAAAAATTAATCCGGATGGACACGGAAAAATTCTCATGCAAGGCCCAGAGACAGCGGTAGCGTCGGAAAAACTTATTTTTTTTTTAGCCAGCCGGATAACGTCATATGCCTTGCTATCATCGAAAAGTAAGTAGTCTACGACCGCTCTGTACATCTGTACTGCACCAAGAGTGGTGTGAGCGCCCGTTCCGTCCCAACTAATATTGCTGGGGTATCACTCAAAGTAAGGAGAAATGGTATAAAAGACGAAACTTTCCCCACCTTCCTCCGCAACTGATTCGAGTTGGAGAACCCAGAGATAACTGTGATATTAATCTGGAGTAGCTACCTAATTTTCTCAAGCTACCAATCCAGATCTTAAAGTCCAGATCTTAAATCGTTAAAATGAGTGTTGCTTCACCAGAAATTGGACCCTCGCAAGACATTACGCCTTCGAAGAGTGGTTCCGAGCAGGCCTCTCAGGGCTCCCACATCATGAATGCACCAGAGCCAAAGGTGCACAGAGACTCTAGCGATGAGTTCGAGGAACTGAAGAAAGACGCTGAACAACAGTTGGAGAACAAAAGCACAGGTGACTTCGTTTTCGTCAGTATTTGCTGTGTCATGGTCGCCTTTGGTGGTTTCGTTTTCGGCTGGGATACCGGTACTATTTCCGGTTTCGTGAATATGACCGATTTCAAGCGCAGATTCGGTGACTACAGTGTCTCCAAAGGTACTTATTACTTGTCTAATGTCAGAACTGGTTTGATCGTCGCTTTCTTCAACTTAGGTTGTGCCGTTGGTGGTATCGTCCTGGGTAAGATTGGTGATGTTTATGGTCGTCGTGTTGGTTTGACCTCCGTTGTTGTCATTTACATGATCGGAATTATAATTCAAATTGCATCCATCAACAAATGGTACCAGTACTTTATCGGCAGAATCATTTCTGGTCTTGGTGTCGGTGGTATCACTGTTCTGTCCCCTATGCTTATCTCGGAGGTGTCTCCTAAGCACTTAAGAGGTACTCTTGTTTCCTGTTACCAATTCATGGTTACCGGTGGTATTTTCTTGGGTTACTGTGCCAATTACGGTACCAAGACTTACGACAACTCCGTTCAGTGGAGAGTTCCATTGGGTCTTTGTTTCGCCTGGGCTCTCTTCATGATCGCGGGTATGAGTTTCGTGCCTGAATCTCCCCGTTACTTGGTAGAGGTCGGCAGATTAGAAGAGGCGAGACGTTCTTTGGCCAGAGTTAACAAGGCCAGCTTAGAAGACGCTGTTGTCACGGTTGAATTGGAGCACATTGAAGCCAGTGTCGAGGCTGAAAGATCTGCTGGCTCCGCGTCCTGGGCTGAATTGGTTACAGGTAAGCCTCAGATGTTCAGACGTACTTTGATGGGTATGTTGATCCAATCTTTGCAACAGTTGACCGGTGACAACTACTTCTTCTACTATGGTACAACCATTTTCCAAGCTGTTGGATTGAGTGACTCTTTCCAAACCGCTATCGTTCTTGGTGTTGTCAACTTTTTCTCCACTTCCTTGTCTTTGTACACTGTTGACAGATTTGGACGTCGTAACTGTTTGCTATGGGGTGCCATTGGTATGATCTGTTGTTACGTTGTGTATGCATCTGTCGGTGTCACCAGACTATGGCCAGAAGGTGCTTCTCACAAGGATATCAGTTCCAAGGGTGCTGGTAACTGTATGATCGTCTTTGCTTGTTTCTACATTTTCTGCTTCGCCACTACATGGGCTCCAATTGCTTATGTTATCATCTCGGAAAGTTACCCATTGAGAATCAAGGGTAAGGCCATGGCTGTTGCCTCCGCTTGTAACTGGTTGTGGGGTTTCTTGATTGCCTTCTTCACTCCTTTCATTACCACTGCCATCAACTTCTACTATGGCTACGTTTTCATGGGCTGTATGGTGTTTGCTTACTTCTACGTTTTCTTCTTCGTTCCAGAGACCAAGGGTCTAACTTTGGAAGAAGTCAACGAGATGTATGAGGAAGGAGTGTTGCCATGGAAGTCTTCTTCTTGGGTCCCAGCGTCTAGAAGGGCCGAGGGCTACAACAACGACGATCTCCAACACGATGACAAACCTTGGTACAAAAGATTCACGTAAACGATTGTTATGAAACAAACAACATGCGCATTTCCCTTATGCAACGGTAATTTGTATAGGCATATTTCTTCTCACATATAACGCAAGAATTTTTGATGGTTGATAATAACCCCACCGGATTTAAAGCCTCAAACGTAGTAGCCCTTTCCAAGTTTGGACGCTGGCAAACCGAGAAGTGACTAGAAGTTGAAACGCCGATCTCAAACAAACCACACACCACGTGATCACATCCTTCCGTCTCGAGCCCAATACCATGTCAAAACAGCAAAGTTACCTACCGAGCCCCAATTTCCAACTCGTACTTTCAAGTCATCATGAGGTAGACTATTTGATAGTAGTGAATTGATAATTAGTCGCGTGAGTCGTACACCACTGCTTTCAATCAAGTCATCAGGACAGTATAGGCAAAATAAAAAAAACCTGACGATAATGCAGAATCAGCTTTCGCCCGAACTCACAAGGAAAATGTGCGATATTTTCTAGCTATTATATACTAATCCTGCGTACCTCCGGGAATTTTGCCTGTATGGAGAAAAAGACCGGCAAGGCAAGACTTTGTCTGAACAACGGAACAATTTCTATTGATCCGAAAGAGGAATACGCTCACGTTTGTGAGTTTTTCCATGCTCTAGGGAGATACTGTGTGGGGAAAGAGCCCGAGCTCGCAAGTATCATGCCACTACCCGGGGAAAATCCTTGTAGGCACTGACGGTTCGCGGAGATATTGAGAATCCCTGCAGTCTTACCTGAGATGGCTGCTTTTGTGCTTGACCCGAAAATCAGAAATTTTTCCGGGGAACAAACTCCCACGAGGGCTACCGAAAAAAAGATCCGAAGTGACTAAGAGCCCTCTCGCCTGCACCATTCGACAGTCTACAATCGCGTTCTTCGCGCTGGATAGCAGTTCTTCTGAGGGTTAGCTCACATTGCTTTTTGAAAACAGCATATACGAGGGCGTGTCTGTCATTCGCACCCCGCAACAATTTTGGTCACATTCCGGGAAAATCAGGCCACCAGCCAGCCAAACCATGCATACATCCTGTTTTTCCGAATTGCACATGAAGGCACAGTGCCCACGGTTGCTTCTGAGAATGGCCTCCTCGAAAGAAGCCCTCACGCCGTTTTTGTCCCCGACGTTCGGCAGCCCACCCCCGGAAAAATTTATTTTCTCCGGGGTTCCTGCGCCCTCTCCGCACTGAAAAAATTTTTCCTTGCGGAGGTTTCTAAGCACTTAGGCACGGTATGGAGAATCTGTGGGGCTCCGGCCGGGGTGGCCGGAAAAATTTTTCCCCGGGACGGAACGTGAACTTTTTTTTCTGCATTTCTACGTTGTTTTCTGTGAGCAGTTTTTCCAACCGGGGCTGGAGCGGTTAACGCCCGAAGCATCGGACGAGGAGAATCCTCTACCACCGTGCGGGAATGAGGGCAGCCGTCGTCTGGAGAAAAATTGTATATAAGCGCAAGGAAACTACACCTTATTGTCGTCTCTCGTCTGGTTTAATTCACCAGAATCTTCAATTCATTCTAATCAAAGATCAATAATCAAACATTCAATAATGTCTACTGGCGCTGCTGCTCTGCAACCAGAGACAGCTGCTTCGACTCCTGTGGATTTGCACTCCACTGTGAGCAATGGCTCCCAATTGTCCACTCCATCTAACAAGGCTTCCAGAGATGACCTTAAGGATGCCGAGTATCCTGAGGACCATCAACCTCCTCTAGAAATCCCAAAGAGGCCAGCCTCTGCTTACGTCACCGTCGTTATTTCCTGTTTATGTGTTGCCTTCGGTGGTTTCGTTTTTGGCTGGGATACTGGTACCATTTCTGGTTTCGTTGCTCAAACTGACTTCAAGCGCAGATTTGGTGACTACAGTGAATCTAAAGGTACCTACTATTTGTCCAATGTTAGAATCGGTTTGATCGTTGCTATTTTTAACATCGGTTGTGCTTTTGGTGGTATTTTCCTCGGTAAGATTGGTGACATGTACGGTCGTAGAATTGGTTTAATGGCCGTTGTTGTTGTTTATGTTGTTGGTATTATCATTCAAATTGCATCCATCAACAAATGGTACCAGTACTTCATTGGCAGAATTATTTCCGGTCTCGGTGTCGGTGGTATTTCCGTCCTTTCCCCTATGTTGATTTCCGAAATTTCTCCAAAGCACTTGAGAGGCACTTTGATCGCCTGTTACCAACTGATGATTACCGCTGGTATTTTCTTGGGTTACTGTACTAACTACGGTACGAAGAATTACTCCAACTGTGTTCAATGGAGAGTTCCCTTGGGTCTATGTTTCGCCTGGGCTCTTTTCATGATCGGTGGTATGACTTTTGTTCCTGAATCTCCTCGTTTCTTGGTTGAAGTCGGTAGAATGGAAGAGGCTAAGCGCTCTATTGCTAAGTCTAACAAGGTTTCCATCGAGGACCCCGCTGTTCAAGGTGAGCTTGACATGATTAACGCTGGTGTTGAAGCTGAAAGACTTGCCGGTTCTGCGAACTTCAAGGAATTGTTCTCTACCAAAACCAAGGTTTTCCAGAGATTGATCATGGGTATTCTAATTCAATCTTTGCAACAATTGACTGGTGACAACTACTTCTTTTACTACGGTACTATTATTTTCAACTCTGTTGGTTTGACTGACTCTTTCCAAACTTCCATTGTCATCGGTATTGTTAACTTTGCTTCCACTTTCGTCTCTATCTACACTGTTGAGAGATTCGGCCGTCGTAAGTGTCTACTATGGGGTGCTTGCACCATGGTCTGCTGTTTCGTGGTTTATGCTTCCGTCGGTGTCACCAGACTATGGCCAGAGGGTGCAAACCACAAGGAAATCAGTTCCAAGGGTGCTGGTAACTGTATGATTGTGTTCACCTGCTTCTACATTTTCTGCTTCGCTACCTCCTGGGCTCCAACTGCCTACGTTATCACAGCTGAAACCTACCCATTGAGAGTGAAGGCTAAGTGTATGGCCATTGCTACTGCTTCTAACTGGTTGTGGGGTTTCTTGATTGCCTTCTTCACTCCTTTCATCACTTCTGCTATCAACTTCTACTACGGTTACGTCTTCATGGGATGCTTGGTTTTCGCTTACTTCTACGTGTTCTTCTTTGTTCCAGAAACCAAGGGTCTAACTTTGGAAGAAGTCAATGAGATGTGGCTAGAAGGTGTCTTGCCATGGAAATCTGCTGACTGGATCCCAGCCTCCAGAAGAGGTGCTGACTTTAACGCCGAGGCTTTCCAAACTGACGACAAGCCATGGTACAAGAGATTCGCTTAAAAAGAACTCTAACTAACTGACGAAGTTTACGACGACAATTTTTTTAATTATGATAACTATGTAATACGCGCCTTCGGGTCATGATATAGAACGGTATATTACTAAACTTCTAGAGTTTATATTTTCAAATTGATATTTCACTAAAGAAAAGCGATTTTACGATTCGAATCTTGTCTAGCTACGGCAGAAAATGAAAACACTATATGAAGGCTCGGGCTGGAGTTAACACCACCGAGAACTTCTTTTGGAGCTCCCTTACAAATCTCGGGCTGATACTTAGTTTTGCTAATACCTTAAATGCTCGAAAATCTATACAACTCCGTAACTTGAAGTTTACATCCCTCGTGGTCTAACCGTTATCCACTCACTCTGTTTACCATTCTATTAACCGCTAACGAACAGTACCTTTTCCTATCTAAATGTAAGTAACTATTGACGGAAGGGAAAATTTTTCAATGACTGTAGTGAGAACGAGATATGGAAGCTCGATGCTCTCTGAGGTTTGAGAACTTTATGCTAAGAAGGGTCTCATTCTCTAATATCTCTCGATCATTTCATAGCATACGAGCAGTCTTCGCGAGAAAACTTTCTATCAAGTCTTTGGATTTTGTGCAAAGCCCGAGGTTTAGAAGCTTTAAAATAAGAAACATGTCATCTGGTCAAAGCGCGCTTGCTTCTGAATTGCAGAAGCTTTCTCTTGAACAGCCCCAAAAACTGGAGGGGTCTTTTCCTGAATACAATGTTGTTGATTTCATGAGAAATTACATCAGTGAAGAGCTTTCTAAAATTTCTGGTGTTAACGCTTCGTTGATCTTCCCAGCGTTGGAATGGACGAACACCCAAGAACGTGGTGACTTATTGATCCCAGTACCCAGATTAAGAATCAAGGGTGCCAACCCCAAAGATTTGGCCGTTGAATGGGCCGCCGAATTTCCATGTGGTCAATATTTGGACAGAGTTGAAGCCAACGGTGCGTTTGTCCAATTCTTTTTCAAGCCAAGCTTCTTGTTCAGTGTTGTCTTGCCAGATGTCCTAAAAAGAAAGGACCAATATGGCAGTGCTCCTCTAGTTCATAACAAGAAGGTTATTGTAGAGTTTTCATCTCCAAATATCGCCAAACCTTTCCACGCCGGTCATTTGAGATCCACTATCATCGGTGGATTCATCGCAAACTTATACGAGAAATTGGGCTGGGATGTTGTCAGACTTAACTACCTAGGTGACTATGGCAAGCAATTCGGCATTCTAGCTGTCGGTTACGAGAAATATGGTGACGAAGCTAAACTCGCCAAGGACCCCATCAACCACTTGTTTGAAGTTTACGTTCGCATCAACAAGGACATCGAGGCTGAGGGTGACTCTCTGCCGGAATCAGAATCTACTGATGGCAAAGCTCGTGCTTACTTCAAGAAGATGGAGGACGGTGACGAGGACGCTTTGAAGATCTGGAGAAGATTCCGTGAGCTATCGATCGAGAAGTACATATCGACTTATGCTCGGTTGAATATCGTGTACGACAGCTATTCGGGAGAGTCTCAAGTTTCGAAAGAATCCATGGACAAGGCGTTGAAATTATTTGAGGAGCATAATTTGACGCACGAAGACAGGGGCGCTACTTTGATTGACTTGACCAAATTCAACAAAAAGCTAGGGAAAACTCTTGTTAAGAAATCTGACGGAACCACACTTTACTTGACCAGAGACGTCGGCGCGGCTATGGACAGATACGAAAAATACCACTTCGACAAGATGATCTACGTCATTGCCTCGCAACAAGACCTTCACACCGCACAATTTTTCGAGATCTTGAAGCAAATAGGTTTTGACTGGGTAAAGAACCTAGTTCACGTTAATTTTGGTATGGTTCAAGGTATGTCCACTAGAAGGGGAACTGTTGTTTTCTTGGACAATATTTTGGAAGAGACTAAGGATAAGATGCATGAAGTGATGAAAAAGAATGAGGCCAAATATGCTCAGATTGAAAACCCAGACGAAGTTGCGGATCTCGTTGGCATTTCCGCCGTGATGATTCAGGACATGCAAGCCAAACGTATTAACAATTACGAATTCAAGTGGGAGAGAATGACTTCTTTCGAGGGTGATACTGGTCCATATCTGCAATACGCTCATTCAAGATTGAGATCCGTGGAAAGAAACGCCTCCGAAATCACAACCGAGATGTGCATAAACGCTGACTTTTCGCTTTTAAAAGAGCCCGCCGCGATTAGTCTTGCTCGTATTCTTGCACAATACCCTGATACCTTGAGAAATGCCATGAAGACGCACGAACCCGCCACTATCGTAACTTACTTGTTCAAGCTCACTCATCAAGTCTCGTCCTGTTACGACGTGCTTTGGGTCGCTGGTCAAACCCCCGAATTGGCCACTGCTCGTTTGGCGCTCTACTCTTCGGCTAGGCAGGTCCTTTACAACGGTATGAAACTGCTGGGACTTACGCCGGTTGACAGAATGTAAAATCTCTTGACAAACGTCGACTAGGCAGAGAATAACTCAACGCGCTCACATTCCGTTGTACATCATAGAATTTAGTATCCCATAAATAATTAATGACTCAAGAGACAAGTTGCTTACATTATCGCTTCCAGCCTTAGGCGGACAATATCCTACCAATTGGGAGGTTAACGAAGAAGGTTTGGAACAAGGCTATAAATCCTCGCTAGGTAGGCTAGCATGGAGGTTGAGCGAGAAAGTTTTATTTGACCATATAGTATCTCGGGTTCTTTAGAAGTTTTTAACAAGCGTTACAGTGGCCGAGTGGTTAAGGCGATGCCCTGCTATTCGACATTTCGAAAGCTAGATAGGCATTGGGTTTTACCTGCGCAGGTTCGAATCCTGTCTGTGACGTTTATTTTTTTAACAAAATTTGCTCCTTTAATTTAAATAAAGGTTATGGCTTTCAAGCAGCTCAGGAACCCGATAATGTTTTGACATAGCATTTCAAATTGCCATAAGCTAATCGTCGCGATTCTCATTTGTAAGCTGAAAGCTTCAAATAACTATTGATATGTTTTAAAAGGCGAGAGAGAGACCTCGCTACATCACGTGACCAGAGACTTGCAGTGAAAATTTTGAACACCGTAATGATGAGATGCGATGAGATGAGGCCCAGCGAGAAACATACCTGGCAGGATAAACAAGCCTAGAAGGAATTTAACCCTCTGAACCAGGATACAACCATGGGTAAAGCTAAGAAGACAAGAAAGTTTGGTTTAGTTAAGAGGACTCTCAATGCTAAGAAAGATCAACGACTGAAGAACAACCAAGTCACCAAGACTCGTGAAGATGACCCAGAGTTAACAAGAAATGTGCCACAAGTGTCAAGTGCGCTCTTCTTTCAGTACAACCAGGCAATCAAGCCACCTTACCAGGTTCTGATAGATACAAACTTCATTAACTTTTCGATCCAGAAGAAAATCGACCTCGTGAGAGGGATGATGGACTGTCTGCTAGCGAAATGTATACCGTTGATTACAGACTGCGTGATGGCTGAATTGGAGAAGCTGGGCCCCAAGTACCGGATTGCACTGAAGTTGGCGCGCGACCCGCGCATACAGAGGCTCAACTGTTCGCACAAGGGCACGTATGCGGATGACTGTCTTGTGAACCGTGTTTTGCAGCACAAATGCTACATTGTCGCAACGAATGATGCCGGACTCAAGCGGCGTGTGCGGAAAGTGCCTGGTATTCCATTAATGAGCGTAGGCGGTCACTCATATGTGATTGAGAAGCTGCCAGACGTCTTTTAAGACTAGATAAGGAACGAACAAGCCTACGGATGCTTCTTGCCGGCTGCTACGTCTACTGCTGCCACACTGCCCGGGATGCGGTACTTTTTCGTCAAGTAGTGCTCTAGCAACAGCGTGTTACGAGAGTTCGCCTTGTAATACACGCTCACGAGGTCACCCACGAGGGGTATAAGTCCCAGACCGAAGTCGATCGCAATGTTAAACACCATCTCTGCCGAAACCGCAGGGGGTAGCCCGCCCGTTATCGTTTGCGCTTCGCGCAGGACGGTTAATGATAACCATAAGACGAGCATGTCTCCAATCAAAGGAAGCAAGCCGATGATGCCGATCCAACCGAAACGAATACCAAATAAATGGAACATCATGTCCAATCTATAAGCACGCTTGCGAATTCTTTTCAAAATCTTTCGGTCAAGCTCTGGCACGAAATTTGGGATACTCTTATCCCTCCTGCGCCTAACTAGCTTTGTACTTCCTGACCAAAACGACCTTTTCTCAAATTGAACCTCCTCAAAGTAAGGATCTTCAGCCGCGCTCCCAATCTCGACGTCGCCAAACACTTTCCTGGCAAGAGGTCTAAGTAAAAAAGAATAGAAGGGCATCTTGGGTATTTTTCAATGTAATGAGCTCTTGGTAGTTAGAGGTTTGACAGAAAGAAGTCTTTATGAGCTCCAAATTTTCCGCGAAAAAAACCAGACAGCTTTTCAACTCTCTGAGAATCGCTGAAGGGTATCAAATCACCAAAAGTGAGCCCCTTATATAGAGAGTGGTCATTCCCTCAAAGTTGCAACTAATCCATGGCATAATTCTTGCTTTAAGGTAGTTTCGTCTGAAATGATTTAGGAACCCTCTTCATTAAGATCAACCTCTTATAGTGGTTTTCGCCAGACTTGAATTAGTTTAAAACAGTAAACCAGAACAAGACAAGACGAGATCTTTGAGGAGTCTCTACAAAGTGAGTATCTGAGTGTACCAAGCTCCAGTATAATATGGATCCAAGTACTGTGCTAGAGGAAACGACGCAAGATGTGTCAAATTTGAGAGCAGAGTTCAAGTTCATTATGGATGAGATCAAGTCCAATGACTTCTTACTGTTCGAGAAGAAGAAAAAGCTGTTTCAACGAGAGTCACAGCTACAGAAGTTTGGCAAGCAACAGCAGCAAGGTCAGGTTTCGGAAAATGGCAAGGAAGCTGAAATGCTGAATAAATTGAAAAGCGACGTTGACATGTGCGAAAACGTACAGGGCGAAAAATGCATACTGGCAAATACGGCTCTTTTTCTGATCACCAAGCACTTGAACAAGCTGCAGAAGAGCATACAACTTCTCGAAGAGGAAAATCTGCTTGCGCCCCTCGAAGACGATAAAGAGGCTGATAGCGGCGGGGAGGTGTCGCGGGAGAGTTCCGTGATGTCATCTGCTGGCGAACGTAAACGTAAGCAGACACCGCTTTCGTCTGTGGTGAAGAAGAAGAAAAAGACCGAACGCGGGTCGTCGCGCAACCGAGAGGGAACTCCAGTGGGCGGTTTGGGATCGGATTCAAATTTCGACTTGAACGAGTACAACGATGATTTGTTCTCCGGCATGAATCAGAACGAGGAAGACGATAAACAGCTTTACTGTTTCTGTCATAGTATTTCGTATGGGGAAATGGTAGCGTGCGACGGTGCGAACTGCAAATACGAGTGGTTCCACTACGGCTGCGTCAATCTGAAGGAACCTCCCAAGGGCCAGTGGTACTGCCCGGACTGCAGGCAGGAACTCGCGAGTAGTCGACTCAAGAAGAAGAAAATATAGAATTCATTGGAGGAAGCCCTGTCGCTGGCGATGGGAAAACTATATAAACTTCACAAGAAGAGATACCTTCTCAAGACAACGGTATTCATGCACTTTTGAGTGTCCTCGTGTCCTGCAATCATAGGAATAAAATTAGCTTAAGGGAAGAGTTTTAGATGCTTTTCGTATAAAGCTCACTGGGACGACTGTGATCACATTTTGCAGTAAATGCGTTAAATGAGACTAGAATGTGACTAGAATGGGATTAGAATGGGACTTGAGTGGGCTTGCTTGGTGCTCTCGATGGCATATGCTAGTCGTTTTAATGTATTTCAACGTCACGTGCCAGTCACATGTAAATAACGTGATAATTCATAGCAGGTTTGACCACTAACAAATGAGCTCATCTCAAACAGCTTCCCTAATAAAGCTTGGTCACTGTGGGAGGAGACACCGAGAGAGAGGACCAGCATATTCGTTTTCCATTTATCTCGCCAAACAGATTGAAAATGGCAACCGTTTTTGCCAAGTCGCTCACGCAACTGCATCCCAGGCTTCGCACAAATGGTATTGGCATCGGGAACAATCACCGGAGGATTTCGCTTGGGTTTCTGGCACCTAGCAAGAAGAATCCACTCGTCAGAAAATACCATAGGAGGAAACCGGGGACAGATCAGAGAAGTTACAGAACTTTAGATGATGATTTTGGGAGTACCGTAATGCGGGAATCGTCCTATTTTGATGAAGATGAAGAATACCGTGCAGAGGAAACTCCGGATGGTGGAGAACTCAGCAGAACCGTTTCGCTACCTTCAAGAGTTAGTGAGACACCTGACATTCAGCTGGATGTCGATTGGATTTTAGGCGAGCATGAGAGAAGATACTCTTCTGCTAACAACAGTGAGGATGCGGCAGACGATGTGCTACCACGATCCACCGAAGAGGCATTGGAATACGACGATTTTATGAAACGTGTGAGACAGCAATTAGTTTCTGATATGGGTCGCAAAAACCGTCGGCTATCTGTCGTTTCGACACCGAGTGGGGTTCCTAACGTTTACGAAGCGGGAGCAGATGATGAGGATTACATCAGAGAAACAGTTACTTTCGAGTCTGAGGCCAGAATATTGGCATCATACTCTATTCCATTAATCTTCACATTTCTTATGGAGCAGATTTTCCCCATGGTATGTTCTCTGACCGTAGGACATCTCGGAAAGACTGAGCTGGCAGCAGTCTCTCTAGCGTCAATGACGACAAATATAACTCTGGCCATATTCGAAGGTATTTCCACCAGCCTGGACACCTTATGTCCGCAAGCCTACGGATCAGGCAACTATCGCGGGGTGGGAATTCATTTACAGCGCTGCATTGCGTTCTCCCTGGTCATTTTCATGCCTTTTGCGGTAATCTGGTATTTTTCTGAATACTTTCTTGGCCTTTTGATACAAGATCAAAAGCTAGTGCATTTTAGCGCGAAGTTTTTGAGAATCGCCATAGCGGGTGCTCCAGCATACATTATGTTCGAGAATTTGAAAAGATTTTTACAAGCTCAAGGAATCTTTGACGCCGGAATATACGTTCTTTTGATATGCGCACCGCTTAATGTGGTTTTGAGTTATGTGCTGGTATGGAATCAGACAATTGGCATTGGGTTCGCTGGTGCTCCTCTAGCAATGGTCATAAACTTTTGGCTTATGTTGTTTCTTCTGATAATGTATGTGTTTTTCGTGGATGGGAGCAGATGTTGGGCCGGTTTTAATCGCAGAGCATTTACACATTGGAAGGATCTCTCACAGCTAGCTATACCCGGTATAATAATGCTGGAAGCGGAAGACCTTTCATACGAAATCTTGACGTTATTCAGCTCATATTTCGGCACCAGCTACCTCGCAGCGCAGTCGGCGGTATCAACTACAGCCGCTTTCATGTACATGATTCCTTTTGCAGTCGGAATCTCGACATCTACAAGAATTGCGAATTTCGTCGGTGCGAGAAGATCAGATGCTGCCGAAATTGCTTCGAAAGTTGGCATTTATTCATCAGTACTTGTGGGACTGTTCAATTGTTTTGCATTGGTTTTCGGTCGCCGATTTATTGCGAACATTTTTTCGAATGATGAGGAGGTGATCAAGCACATTACTGAGTTGTTGCCGCTCGTGGGCTTTATTGAGATTTTTGATTCGATCAACGCCATTGCTGGGTCATGTCTTCGAGGCCAGGGAATGCAGATTATTGGTAGTATCGTGAATCTAGTATTTTACTACCTTCTAGCAATTCCATTAGGAATAATTTTAGGATGGCAAGCCGATTTGAAGTTAATTGGCCTTTGGATTGGTATTGGAACCGGTATGTGTTGCATTGGATTAACCGAAGCCTATTTTGTGCTGTCTCCTAGGTGGGAAAAGATATTCGAGAAAGCTGAAATGATGAAGGAAACTAGTGCTGATGAGTCCGAAGATGACAACGATTATGTTGACTCTGAGTTAGAGAGTGACGAGAACACTTCCCTTCTCTCAGGCTAGCAACAGACACGGAAAATCCTAAAATTGTCAGCTTAGTAGCATAATAAGGGCGATGCTAGATTAGCGCCAAATCGCATACTCTAGAAAGAAGCATTTGTTCGACCAGAGCCAAATTTTTTCTCAAATGGCATTGGCTCTTTCCTAGTGGAGAACTACTCAGAGACGTTTTCCAAAGAATCTCTCATTAATCAATTATTATTTATCTCACCCTAAGATTGAGATGAATTGAAGGACAATGAGAACATCCATGAACGTCAATGAATTTCTCGCAAGAACCCCCCCCCCTTTTCAGTGTATTATTGATCATAACACAATATGAATAACATATTGTTAAGGTCATATAGCCAAGACGCACAATACAAACTGAATTTTAATGCATTCACTTAACTTACTTAAACCGCAACGAGGTCTATCGGATTTCGTGATTTATAGGTCTCGTTGGCGTGTTTTTGATTATTTTAATGTTGACAAATTCTGAACTTCGAGATCATGAGTACATAAGCTTTAACACATCTTAGTCAGATATCAAGAGAAAGCCCGTGAAGGGGAACCTATATAACGAGTCATAATAAGTTAGCATTTTGATTGCTATCGTCTTCTGTTGGGTTAGCATTTAACTCATCAGCCTCTTTAGAGAAGTCATTCAAATCATACCAAAAGGTTATAGAAGAAATACCACCTTCAGATTCGCAATATATTACTGAGATTTATCTTTTAAGAAGCCCCTAATCCGGTAAGAAATGTTTAAGAAGGGTGGTTTTGTCCTTTTGAGACGATGGACTCACGAGGGCGCCAAGTCGGCTAACAGGGCAATGCAATTTCCATGTCTCGATAAGCTTGAACAAGTGTCAGCTAGTTTACGAGAAAAATCAGCCAAGAACTCCAGTTCAGCGTCACATGCAGGTAATATACCGTCGAATGAACCAGTTTATGGGAAAGTTCAGTCTGGATTCGAACTTTTTAAATCTTCACAGCCTCTCTTTCTCGACTACGGTGGTGTTCTACCAAGCTTCAACATTGCTTACGAAACTTGGGGAGAACTGAATGCAGAAAAGTCAAATGCGCTTCTGATACACACGGGACTGAGTGCTTCGTCGCACGCTCGATCCTCGGATCGAAATCCTCAGCCAGGTTGGTGGGAGAACTTTATAGGACCAGGAAACAAAACAATAGATACTGACCGGTTCTTTGTGATATGCACAAATGTTCTTGGAGGATGCTATGGCTCTACAGGTCCTTCATCTCCGGACCCTGATGATGGCAAACCCTACGCAACGAGATTTCCCATGCTTAGCGTCCAGGATATTGTTAGAGCACAGCATAGGCTAGTGAAGGATCATTTTGGTATCACTAAACTCTATGCTTCAGTCGGTAGCTCCATGGGTGGTATGCAATCGCTGGCATATGCACAACTTTTCCCAGGTGACGTCGAAAAGGTGGTTTCCGTATCTGCTTGTGCGCGCTCTCACCCATCTAGCATCGCAATGAGGCATGCACAGCGACAGGTTTTGATGGCTGATCCGAACTGGTCGCGAGGGTTTTATTATTCCTCCGCCGAACATCCAGAGAAAATACCGCCTCACATAGGGATGAAACTTGCACGAGAGATTGCTACGGTCACCTACAGGTCTGGGCCCGAGTGGGAATCTCGCTTTGGAACCGAGCGACTTGACGACGAAAGAACACCAACTCTTTGTCCTGATTTTTTGATAGAAACGTACCTTGATCATCAAGGCGAAAAGTTCTCACTAGAGTATGACGCAAACTCATTTCTCTACTTGTCGAAAACAATGGACCTCTTTGATCTTTCACGGAGTCACTTCGAGAGAAGTGCTAGAAGGAGAAAGGAAAATTCTTCCTTTTATGGAGGGCAGGAGGTACAGAAACAGTACTCAGATGAGCCATATCCGGCGTCGAAAAGAAGAAGAACTACAACTTTGGATCAATCACGGAAGGATTTAAAAGCAGGTTTGGAGCCCTTGAAAAATGTTCGGCTGCTGATAGTGGGCGTGAAATCAGATGGACTTTTTCCATACTGGCAGCAACGCGAGATCGTGGAGCTGCTCGATCAAGCACCTGCGGTCAAATACGTGGAACTCAACGAGTCGCAGTCGCTTTATGGGCACGACACATTCCTCTTAGATACCCAATATGTGGGAAAAAGCATTGGTGGTTTCTTAACCGAGGGGTACTAAGGACAATCGTACCATCGCGTTATGTAATAGCCTAAATAGAAACCGGACTAAAATTATGGATGTTTACGATACTATGTACAGAATGAGTTTGAGAAGCTCGCGTTAGATTCTCGAAGCCGACCTTTTCTGCTTACGCATGTCCTTACGATTTTGATCGGCTACTTTTTTGGATTCCTTGACTAGTATTCTGTCACCAAAGAACTTATATGCTTGCATGTAACGTTTATCCATGTTGAACTCGTTAATGACAGCGCTGTCGCTCAAACCAAGCTTCTGAATTGTCCAAAAATATCTCTCGGGCTTGTCACGTTTCAAATACTTTAGAATGTTCTGCCTCTGCTGAACCAAAGTTCTTAAAATCCGCGTGTTCATATGATCATTTTTATTTTCTTGGATATGCTTGGCAATGTTATGAATACGGACGGTCATAATCGCGGCCTGCACTTCGCTCGATCCCGTATCCCCATCGAACCGCTGAAACTCTTCCCGTGCCAGGCGTATCGCCAATTTGATGGCATCGCCGTTACTGCCGTTTCTCATGCTCAAAATACGCATCACGGCTTCTCTCCTAGCACTCAGAAGTTCAACATCCTGCGTTTCGCTCCCGCTTAAACTGCCCACATCATTAAATTCTGAAAGTTCACGCTGTTCTTTTGCCGCTACTTCGACACCTGCTATGAGTTTTTCAACTTCGGTGCTTTTGAACCCACCCGCCAAGACTTTAGGCTCTTTCAGTTCTGCCATAACACGAATAATGAATGGAGTATCCTTTTTACCGAAAACAGGATCAACTGTGTCTAATGCCGTCTTAATCTTCATCTGTTTCGCTTCGTTCGCTTGCCGTTTCCGCTGAGATTTAAGAAATTTCGCAGCCCGAGTACCCATCAATGCACTTGATTGAGACAATTTTCTCGTGATACCAAAAGACATGCCATTATTCAGACCTCGACACACCAATGGCAAAGCAATTCGTGCCTTTATCATTTTTATCCCACTTGTTATCGCGATCGTTTGGCGATGGTTTCGGTTGATGAACCATTGGTCTCATCTCAAATTTTTCAATTTTCAAAAGCTCGATCTCTTGAACAATTGCGGGTAACGACCACTTGAAGCGCTTGTCAATGATGAAAACCGACATCCTGCTAAGAGGATGGATGATATTATTGTCATTTATGTACTTGATGAACGACGCAAAAATGCTAAATTATCGTGAGATGCGGCAGAATTATCAGCGCCTTGCGATTAATAAAAAAACCAAAAAATACTTCTCCAGGCGACTTACGTCAAAAGATAGAGCAGTGATGGTATCATTTGTGAGGTGGCAGAGCTCCAAGTTCACTCAGATATTCATCAGCTGAAAGAAAACCTCTTGATTTTCCGGAGACAAACCGCTCACTAAAGCTCTATGCTTGGTTTGATCAGACTGCAAGGCGTTTATTACGGTCTTGAATGCATCGTAGATGTTAATTTCGTCTAGAACAGATCCCGACAGTGGATCTTCTTCAAGGTCGTCGAAATCTTCGAATTCACCGAAAGCCTCGGCTTGCTCATTGACCATCTTCAAAATCTCGGCTTCATCTTTCAAAAAATCGTTAAAAGCCTCCTCATCGTCTCCATCAGGTTCTTCCTCGTCGTCTGGGGCGGTCCATTCGAAAAAGGAAGTATCGGCCGCATTTTCCGCCCCGTCAGAGATATACTCTTTTCTCTTTTCCTCGAGCAATGCAAGGGCATGTGGAAGTGCGGACATGAGATGGGCAGACAAAGGCCCAAATTTAGCAAATAGCCCCCACAGAGACGCCGCATTCAAATCCTCGGCTGAAACTCTCCCGATGATGCTCAAGATAGCCATAACCGAAAGTTTGATATCGTAAACTCTCTTGAACTTTGGAATATAGGAGTCGCACCAAATGCTGAAAAACAGTTCAATCAGGTTTTTGGATTGCAATGCTTGTAACGTCACTTCGGGGAAGCATGTCAAGCATGCGACCACCACATTGAACGCGTTTACTCCGAAAACAATTTGGTTCTTCAGCTCTTTTGATTCTGATGAGATGGCGTCAAGAGCATCGTTCAGGAAACGTTCAACGAAAGCAGGATTAATATCCTCTCCTAGTGTGAGCAGCACCTTTTGAGAGAGATCGAAAATCGCTGCCATCTCATCAAAACCATTGTCTGCTGAAGAAACGGCAGAAACGTAAATTTCGAATACGATGTTGGCGTAAAAATCGTTTTTTCTGAGCTCCTGTTTCCCATACACTAGGTAATTGTTCAAGGCAAGCATAAAATCTTCAAGGTAGAAAGCCACCATGCTGTCTGGTTTTCGATTGCAGTCGCCGATCAGCTCTAGCACCTTCCATGAAATTGGCGTTATAACTCTTAATAGAAATGTAGAATTTTCAATCAGTTCACATACCTCCCGGTAAAAGTCCTCCATCTCGTTTTTCAAAATAAATTCGGCCGCTGGATAAAACGACTGCTCTAGACTCTTAACGATTTCAGGAGAGTTTTCAAATGATAACAAAATCGAAATCGCCGTCGAAAGAATCCCCATTGCAGCCATTTGCTTATCACTGCTGTCGGGTACTTCTATTCCAGTCTCCACAGTATTAATATCAAATGCCGAAGATTCTTGTAAGTCGATTGCTAGCTTCAAAAACTGTTGAACCAAGTTGTTCATTAGCTCGACACCAAACGGTTGCAATTGTTCAGAGAAATTCTCGACGAAGTCCTGCATGACACCCGAAATTGCATCTGACTCAATCTCATTTGAAATGTACAGAAGCTTTTGCATTGCTGGTACCACATTTGTCGATATAGATTCGCGAAATTCTGGAACATGAAGAAACGCCTGAAGTGCTAGTGCTGCTAATAGGACAACTGGAAGCGAGTCGTTTTCCTCGCTGTAGCAACTGAGAATACCCCTGAAAAGCATCGAAGAGGTATCCTCATTTTTGATTTCAAATTCTCCCAGCTTAGAACTCAACTCACAGACGCGTGCACGTAAGAATGCAAAAGGCGATCGAAAAAATGGGAAGACCAAAGTTCTCAGTAATTCTTCCAATTCTCCCAAAAATGGCGAATTCTTCTGCGTGAGCCGATGTAGAATATTCGAGAAAATTCTAAGCAAGGACTCCATTTCGACCGCGGTCGCCAACTCCATGGAGGCAATGGAGTCGACGTGGCTATGCAACTTTTCTGTGACAAACTGCATTGTGGGCTGCAGAGTCGTCTTGCCACGTTTCGTCACCGAAGTTGTGAGTAACGATAAGGCGGCCAGGTCTGGTAGATAGTCTTCGTCACACGCCTCTAAGTTCCGGTGAATGTATTCGTGAGGGTCGTTCTCAAAAGCCGCAAGAGCCTCTTCGTTCAAACAGAGTAGAGGGAAAATGACATGCTGGAGAACAGTCATATAATGAGGTTTCATCAGCGGCCAAGTTTTTTTCTGAACGACGGTTTGTTCGACAAAGCCCAAAATGTAATAAAGGGCTTCGTTGCTCAACCACAGCGAGCCGGACCCCCATTGTTCAATTTGAACGAAAAATAGCTGCAGCAATTGGGGATAAAAATCGTTCAAATACAGCCATCTAAACTCGTCGTAACTGAATTTTCTCGAGAGAGACTCGGATGCATATCGCTGGAACATCCTATACATGTTTGCGTAAGCCCATTTTTTCGCCTTTACCCAAGAATTGAGTTTACGATCACTCGGCAGAGTCGACTCTAGAAAAGATACCGACAGAGGTTGCTCAATGATCAACACATGCAAATTAGCCCATGGCACGAAATTTTCGGTCCTCTGGAGTGAAAAGGGCAGGTCATGATATGTGACAAACTTAAATATTTTCAGAACAAGTTTGATCATATCGCCTATTTTGCTGTCGTTGCGCGATTGCTCTCCCTGTTGCAGCGTGCTAGAAGCAAACGCTAAAATAGATGGGAAGTAGTTTAATATGAGGTGCTCTAGTTCTTGACGGTCATCGTTTTCCTTCCATCTGTAAGTGCGAAATATCTCTGCCAAGCACATAAGTCCGACGTGCGCCGAGTTGACGTCGTTGGAGGTCAGCAAGTTGAAAGATTCTCCCAAAAGAGAATCCCACCGCTTAGCTGGGTACTCCTCAGACACTATGACGGTGAGCGCCGGTAATAGTAATCGCACACAGTTTGGAGAGTGCAAAGAGCAGTGAACCAAAACTCTCACTAACATTTCTTTTACCACGGGTTTCTCATCGTTATCCACGCTGTAATGTAACAGCTCGTTTTTGCCCTGCTGCTTGCCTGACCATCCATACAGGATCTTGTTTTTAAAGTATAACGATGTCGACAGTTTAATATGCTCCGAAATGCCATCGCTAGAGATTATATCCAAGCAGGCTCCCAGAAATCCAGGCGTTTTGCTCGCACTTTTTAACTCATTTTCGGCACTTGACCTGATTTTACTATCATGGCTCAAAGTCCCCAGAAAACAATTCAACAAAGCCCGGGTGTCCATAACAAAACCAGTGCGATTCCAGCGTATGTTCTAAAACCCAACGGTGAGCTCTTCTAGCCCTGGTTTTCTTTACTCGATGAGCTTGAATTTGGAAAATTTTCAATTTAAGAAATCATCATCGCATCGTAGTAAACGTTCGAAGTGTGGAATGTGTTGATCAATAATTGAAAGGCTGAGAGTAGACCTGTTCCTGAGTAACAATAGCCTTGTTGTCATCTAATGAGTGTGATTGAGGCGTAAAATAAATGTTCAGGCTGTTCTCAGAGGATCTTGAAAGCACGTCGTGAGGACTAGATATACTGAGAGTGACCGAAGCTGGATTTGTAGAAGAACTTGGAACTGACGAGCTTGCAGCTCCAGAACCAGTAGTTTCCCCAAGCGGCTTTCCTTGGTAACCATGTGTACGATTTTCTGTAAAAGTAGCGGCCTTCCTTTCCGGTTGCTGAGTTCTGTCTGGCGACATCTGAATTGATGGTCTTGACGAGAGTATGCTTTTGGCAGAAAAGCGCTGTAGAAACTCGTTGAAAGTAGATTCTGAGATATCGAGGTCAAACCCGTCTTGTTCGCTTGGATGGCCGTATCTGAAGTCAACGGGCTCTGACCTATTTCTCTGAAATTGCAACAGGGCCCTCTCTCGTAGTCCCAAGGGGCTGCCTACTACAGAGTCGTCGACCCTGATGCTCGCTTTCTCGACTATCTGTGGGTCTTCCTGGTGATCTTTCTGCTGCGGCTTTTTCTTGACGAATTCTTGTAAGAGCATCACAAGAAGGCACCCCGACAGTAACCACCATTCGGGGTCAACTTTCATAAGTTCATTGGATAGAAAGTCAAGTACGTCTGTCCAGCTCGTTTCATGCAAGGGACAGTGGCATACCGGTCCAATGGTTTTTTCATCAATCGTTCGTAGCACTGAAACAGATGTTGGAGCTGTCCGGCAGTCTGCAGCTTCGATTTTGCGAGATTCATTCCAAGTCGGTAGGAGGAACGGGACACTAGTTATCACACCAACAAAAACAGCTGTTGGAATCCCAAATAGGAGCCCAGTATGAACAGAGCTACGGGTGATCATATACTTTTGCGCTTGAAGCGGTTTCTTGTGCGCGAGATTGTACCTTATATTGATAACGCTCAATAAATCGTTCCCAAGGGTAATATCAAACGAGATGGGCACCTTAAAAGTATATACATGACTATCAAGCTATAGAACCCAAGCTTATCAGAATCAACTGTACTATTGCCTGGAGAGACCAGAAGCCAATGCGCTTCAGTCGTAAGCTTTTCCGGTTTTCATCAGCTACGTAGTTTGCGAAAGCATCGTAAACCTCGGCGCTGAGATCCTCCATGAGTAAAGAATCGTAAATAGTCCATGAACCTTCGAAGTCGGACATCGATTTGACCACGTGGCACTTTATTGGAATGTAGGTCCTCTTGGAGTTAATATAGCCCACAATAGGTCTGATCAGGGCGCTGTTTATATAGCTGAGATCGTCGGAAAATAGCGGAACCTCAGCTTTGACGTTGTGCAATCTGAGAAAGAAATCCATCATGAAATATTGCTGGGGGTCTATGCTTTTCTGTTGTGGCAGTTGAAACGGTTCTGGCAAGAGAATGGCGGAGTGTCGCCTTGCTTCTTTTACTAGGCGAGTACCAATGGCGGAGAAGATTTCTGTGAGTTGATATGGATTCGGTTCTTTGTCGGGCAGCAGAACATCACCTATCATATCGACCTGGCCTTCCGTAATCCAACCAAATGGACCTTCGATGCCAGCATTTAAGTGGTCCACGTTGAGATTGTCGACCCGCATTCGGGTTACCTTTTTCCACGGTGACTTCTGATCGTCTTGGTCAACCTTATACTTTTTGTGAATAGAAAACAGGGCATTGTCGTAAGCGCCGCTGATACTGTAAGCATTAAGGAAGTCAAAGAATAGCCAGTGTTTTCTGAGTTGCGGTAATTCGCAATTGAAAATGCTAACCTGGAATGGCCTAAATCCTTGCGGTTGGTACAGCGTGAATAACACATCGTTCATTTTAAACTTGGCGATCTCAAAATCGCCCGGTTGATGCACGTTTAAGTAATTGCAAGGATTGTCATTTTCTTTCCACACGACGTGGGTTCTATCGACGACACCACGAATCCCATTGATGGTCACCTCATCGAGAATGCCCTTTCCATTAAACCACTTGCGAAAGTTTAGAGAGATTTCCACCTGATCCATGGTTAAGTCGAACTGTGTATAGTTACCATCATCGAAATCTTCGCGGCTGACTAAAATGCGTTCGCTAACCGCCAGCTTTGCGCGTTCGACGGCGTCTTCCTGCGAACCCTTCGTGAAACTGGGCGAGTTCTTGGGTCGTTTAGATACGAAAACTTTGTTGAAGGAGATCTTGCGGGATGACCAGTCAGGAACAATAGCGCTTTCGAAAACAACCGACAGAGCACTGTTTTGAGTGAGAAAGTTGCCCACCTGGGTAGCTACGTATTCTTGTGCAAACACGGTATTCATGCAGTAGATGACTAGGGACGCAAACGTCGTGGTTCCCAGTAGAATCAGCAATACATTGCTGACTAAAACCCACGAAACGAACGCGCTGATGTCGTCGGTATTGAAGGGTCGCGTGGAACGCTTTAGAGCCCATTTTAGATTAATCTTGGCCCTTTCTAACAAACTATTTGCTTTCAAAAGTGACCTATCTCGTTCAGTGATGAATTTATGTGCTGTACCCGTGCGGTCGAGGGCCGCCGGGCGGTTCGGTTGTGGGGCTTTTCCTTTAGAGTACGTTCGATTAAAATACCTTCGATGTGTCGATAGCCCTCTAAAAGCGGATAACAGGATTGTAGATCGAACACGATGAGGACCTTCGACGAGGAATACATGGTCACATGCAAGTTTGAGGGATCGAGCCGGAAGAAGCTTTCTCATCAAGCCAGATTTTCCACCCTTAGCACCCTCGTTTCTCGTTCTTGCCGTTTCCCTGCGATTTTAACCTGCAAGAACTACAATAATTTTCTGCAAGACAGTAGTAGAGAAATTAAAGACAGCATTGAGACGCGGTAAATTTGTTCATTACCAGACGGAAACCCTTAACCAGGTATGTATCAAACCTGGTTGTTCAATCCACAGCATGATCATCAAGTCATTTCAGTCCACGCTAGCGATAGTGCTAGCTATAGGACGCACAGCAAGCCCATTGACCACGGTGATCCGTCCTCCTACCACCAATTCGCCATCAATTCTCCCAAGTTTGCGGATTTAGCTCAGTTGGGAGAGCGCCAGACTGAAGTTAACTTCGGTCGTTGTCATCTGGAGGTCCTGTGTTCGATCCACAGAATTCGCATCTTTTTGGGAAAAACATCCTGAGCGTCACCGGTGACGGTAAAAATTTTTCAGAAAATCAGTAAGACGCTATGTGCAATTGGAAGTAGTTCAACCCAAGAAAGTATACACTGCGTTGTAAATCAAACAATTCCCCCGAATCAACCATGTCTACTATTGAAGAGAACTCCAACGTGTCCATTTTCAACAAGAACGAGAAGAAGGCTAGAGAGCTGATCGGAAAGCTAGGTCTAAAGCAGATCCCTGGCATTGCCCGTGTTACTTTCAGAAAGAAGAACAACCAAATCTACGCTATTGAGAAGCCAGAAGTTTACAGAACTGCCGGCGGCAACTTCGTTGTTTTCGGCGAGCCAAAGGTCGACGACTTCACGCAGAGACTAGCAAAAGCTCAACAAGAAGCTCAATTGGCTGGCCCAGGTCTACAAACCACTGGTGCTGCCGAGGCTCTAGGTAAGAACCCTGTCGAGACCATCTCCAAGGACCCTCAATCCATTCAGGCCGACATGGTCGCTGCCGCTGAACAGAGTGCTGGCAAAGAGGCCGTTGAAGAGACCTCTGGCCCAGTCGACGAATCCGGTTTGAGCGGTGAAGACATTGAGCTTGTCATGCAGCAGGCTAACGTCTCTAGAGACAAAGCAGCCAAGGCTTTGCGTGACCACAACTCTGACATCGTCAACGCCATTATGTCGTTGTCCTAAGCATTTAGACTAGATAGGCTCTTTACTTAGCGTCGAATCCGATTTTTTTTCGTCCCCCACCTTGACACTATCCGCAGATTCGCTCTTCAATTCCCATCCACACAACGGACATACATACTGTAGAGGCATTCCTGGCAGCATGTACGAACCCGCATGTTTCCCACATTTCTGGCATATTATGGGCCTTATTTGAGCATTGACTGCGTCACCGCCCGAGAGCACGCCTAACATCTTGTCAAACCATTTTTCTCTCTTGGCCTGAGACTCCTGCGTATCTTCCTGGTGCTTGAGGTTTCGAAGCTCTTCTTGTAGCTGGCCCAGTTCTTCATGCTTCTTTTTCATTTCTTCGTCCATTAGCGTTATCGCATCTTCCGCCTGATATTCACCAGATGAGAATCTTTGAATTAGAGAATTTGTCGAATAAAAATGCGTCTTCTGTTTCAGCGCCTCTAGCTTTTCTTGATGTTCTGCCTTAAGTTTGTCCATTTTCAAGCTCGTTCGTTGAGCTGAGAAGTTGAACCATTTCTTAATGCACACCTTGAGAGCTATGAACGCAGCAAAACTAGCTGCCACAACAAGCCACAAGGCTGCCTTCGTCTTAAAAAATGTGTAAAGTACGGCTGTCAAAGCGATCAACAGAGATGATCCGTAAATATTGAAGTTTCGCTGCCATTTGGCTTGGGTCACATCCTTCTTTTTCAACGTTTTATCGAGGCTATGAATCTGAGACGTGATGGTCGAAAGGTCCCTGGTATACTTTTTAATAAGCGATTCCTGGGTTTCTGGACGAAATAGGTGCCTCACTCTGGTTAGCATTCTCTTACAATCGGCTCTTTAAGATCTCTACCCTTAAGTTAAGCGGTCACTACTATACAAGTTCAAGAAATTTCTTCACGAGCAACTGTCAAACTTAATCGAAATAATTGTGTAAAGGTCAAGACTGCAGGTAAATGCCCTCTGTTGAGCTGTCCACGTCGCAGATAAGACGAGTGCTAAAAAACGATTTGGAACGGCCAGTGTCAATCACCACGCCGTTTGGTAACATGTTGTTAGAGATTCAAGGCGATCTTGATTTTCCAGCTGAAAGCCCACGCTACGATCCCCAGAGAATCTTTTCAAAATATCAAGACGACCAGATAGTTCGGTTCGGTAGATTAATTATCGAAGCAGATTATAAGAAAGCAACCTTGTACATTGGCGAGAAACAAAGGCTGTTAGGATCAATTATGAAGCTCGAAACTCCATTGGGACTATTGAAATTTAACCAAGACTCCACCACGGTCGAGTTGGAGGATATTATTCAATTTAAAATAATATTTAAGGATAGACCATTGCCCATAATGTGACTACTAGATTTCCCAGCCAGTTTTTAAGTTTGCAGCGGCCAAATCTTTCGCGGTGAGAACTGGAAGCAGGTGCGCTTCGGTATTGAAAACCACACTAGTCAGATCGACGTTGTCTTGAAACAACAGATAAATGTACTTTAGCGTCTCAGCCAGCCAAAAACTCTCTAAGTTATCCGATTTTTGGGTTGGGACATTGATCCCGTCAGCAAGCGACGTATATCTTCTGTTTTTCGTGCCACAGTCAACGCAGCTATGTTTGCGAAAGGCTTCAAAAATTTCCCAACCTTGAGTGCGATAGTCGTTTTGTCCAGTGAGATGGTACAGAAACATAATGGACTCAACTGTCTCGGGTCTTTGCAAATTGTGCTTGTCCAAGGGCTTTACAAAGAAGTCGCCACGTGCGGATTGCCAGAAATTTTGAGTATTTCCGGCATTATTGGCATTAAATACTACGATCTCTGGCGCCAAGCCCGACGGCGTTTGGTTGTACATCTGGTAGCATGTAAAAGTCAAATCCTGCGCGAGGTTCCAATCCTCTTCCCGCTTTGTATCCCAAAATGGCATGTGACGTGCTTCATCTATGCTGTGACCCTCGGTGGCTCCCATGCCCAAAAGACCGCCCATAAAACACACCAAATGGTCCATTTTTGGGGAAAGGTAGTTATACAAGCCGTGCTCTCTCTCCCCGAAGAAAACGAGATTGTTGGGGCGCGAGTGGGAAACCAGATATTTTTTGACACCCTCCATTGATTCTCGATATAAATCGTAGTACAGCTGCTCCTTGGTTTGCAAATACTGCTTTAACAGATATTCATAAAAGGAATCGCCTCTGGAACCTAGCCTGATATTAGTTCCTCTAAATTTAGCCGAATCGGGGTACGTGTAAATGGGGACCAGGCCATGGAAAGAACTTATGAGATCATTTTCTTCATATAGTGGCTTGTAAACTTTTTCGGCGGCTAGCCAGTACTTGTTGTCGCCGGTGAGAAAGCTGACGTGCTTGAATTCCAGCTGTAAAGTGGTAAATTCCGCCGTAGAGGAAGCACCATCATCAACATGATTTTTCAAAGCTTCACCAGTGTGAAGATTAATGCTTGAATAAGGAATTCCGGTAGGTGTTTCGAAGGCTGGCATCAGACGGTCCGCGAGATCGATTGCCTTTTCCAGGTACACAGTTGAATTGCCGATTTTCAGCTCATTTGAGAGGTAGTGAGCAGACAAAAGACCTCCAAGCATCCGAATCGTTGTCTCAAAAACCGAGACATAAACGTCAATATCGTAGTCTAGTACATTGGCCACCCAATTTTCTACATCCTGTAGTTCTTCATCAAATTCTTTTCCGAACGTCTGAGTCGAATTTTGCATCAACATCAGGGTGTCAATGGTATCTACAATGATCCAACCCAAGGGTTTATCAGCTGACCCATATATGTTCGAATTCTGACGTGAAATGGGGCCATATACATCAGCACCCCATGCATTATTCTTGTAATCTAACCATGATTCGAGGAACACCTGCTCAATTTGGGCGCTCTTACTCAATTCGGGGGAAAAAATAGCCCAATTAAAGTACAAATAGGCCCCAAGAGCAATAAAAGCTCCAAGAAAACCCTTGAAGATCATGGTCGGGAGCTCTTTAGCGTGCACTGTTTCCTATAAATTCGCGCTTTACACCGCTACGGCTACGAATGTCAAATGACGAAGTCAAGCTTCATTTCGGTAGAGGTCACGTGATTTTTTCATCGTTCGCGTGCGCACCCTCAGGCCGATTCTCTCAATCGAACCAAGCAGGATGTGGTTATTTTACCATGGTTTACTTACTCATGCTCTGCTCTAGCGAGACAATGTTGCGCCTTGAAAGCCTTGAGCGTTTCGAGTTAATATTCAACGATTTGAGCGTCACTACGTGATAAGTGATCCCATGCATCTCACTGCAAGAAATTTAAGAATAGAGGGGTATACTTAAGCCATTAGTGACATTCATGTCATTAGCTGTCGTACCTTATTCTCATCACTCCTCGAAATCCGGTTTCAACCCTTTCAAATTAGATTGTAATCTCGTCAAGCAGAGACAGCGTTTCGACTAGTGTCACTAAATTGGAAAATATCACCGTCAACTTAAAGCCATGTAAAACAAAGTGGGGGAACGCTTATGAGCCCATTAAAACGAACCTTCCAGATCAAATGTGATGCTATCTTTAGCATATATTAAACCTGCAACCAAAACACTCAAATTATGATCCATTGATACGTTCTCGCTTATTTGCAGTTGAACAGATAATCTTCTCTCAGTAGGTGTCCTCCTGTAATACTTTGACGAGCATCGTCGCCAAGAAGCGTTACAGTGGCCGAGTGGTTAAGGCGATGCCCTGCTATTCGACATTTCGAAAGCTAGATAGGCATTGGGTTTTACCTGCGCAGGTTCGAATCCTGTCTGTGACGTTTTTTTAACTTGGTAACTCAATTTATCATCGTAACAGCCCGTGAGATTGGTATCAAATAACCGCCAATTATTGTTATGAGTGAATTCTGCACCAATTAATCAAAATCTTCTTGTTTCTGTCTCTTAACGGGAATTTCGTCATGTTCGTCAACTCTGTCTGTAGGGTTAGCTATAAGAACTTAGTATTTCTTGGCTGAAAAACTGTGGAAAGAACAGAGGCTCTCATATGGAAAAATCATCAGTTTGACTCCGTTAAAGCAAAATGATATCGACCAGAGTTGGTGAGTCGATTCCGCCGAATACGAAACATGCGGTTTCAGTGTGTTTACCCACTTGGAGGGATACAGTGGGATACGAGGAAAGCGATCCAAGCGTTGTGGAGAAAATGACCACTGGATATCCTAGATTCTTTATCCACAAGTCGATCCAGAAGCTTTGCGATGTGCTAGCAGAGAAATACGCCAAATTGGACGAGAAATGTCTCGTTTTTCCAAGCTACGAAGTGGCCAAACGCTGCCGGGAGTATGTGAAGATTAAAGCTGAACAGACATCTCGTATTCGCATTTTGCAGCTTTCTACACCAGAACCGGCTTCGGAGGAGGAAAGAACTTACAAGCACGCTTGTAAGATAGCCGTTTTGTTTTTCGCACCGGAAAATTGGCCTCTCGTCAAGCAATATTGGCAGCACAGCGGCGAAATTACGTCTAGTCGCATGGCAGAATACATTCTACAAGAGTTCTCGGTGGTGGAAAAAAATGCCCCCAAGACTCATCTTTCGCGGCTCAACTCTGCTGCGCAAAGCGAATCGACAAATTCCGAATTACAAAAAGATGAAGAAGAATACATCGAACAGCGGTTTGGCAGGAACCTGGACTTCTCCTACGGCGACAAAGCAAAGCTTCTTGTGAAGAAGAGAATAGCTCAAAAAGTTGTTGATGTGGACGAAAACGATCAATCCGACAGAAACGGCGACAGTTCAACCACATCAACAAATGCAGGATCTACTCCCTTGACGGCAGACTCATCCACCGTTCCTGCAGAACCTATTGAGCAAGACGTTCAGGATCTGTCGATATCACATACGCCGGATGGTCTTCAAATTGACGCTGAAAAAGATGTTTTTCTTTTTCCAAGCGGCATGGCGTCGATATTCACGTCTCATAGACTTTTGTTGTCACTGGACTCCCGGCGAGTATTTCGAAGACAGAGCGGCAATGCAGAGGGAACTGGCTATGCATCATCCCATTCCAGCTCCACGCAAGTCGTTGGTTATGGCCCTCCATACAAAAAGACGGTACTCTTCGGTTTCCCATACACAGATACACTATCGATTCTGAGAAAATTCAATCACACTCATTTCTTAGGAACAGGAGATTTGGAGGCAATGAATGAGCTCAAGCAAATTCTGCATTCGGGTGAACAAATCCTGGCCGTCTTTTTGGAAACGCCATCGAACCCATTGCTTAAGATGGGTGATTTAAGGGAACTGCGTGAATTGGCCGATGCGTATGGATTTTTCATTGTTGCTGATGAAACTATAGGCGGATTTGTTAACATAGATGTGCTACCTTACGCGGATATCGTGTGTTCCTCTTTGACTAAAATATTCAGCGGTGACTCCAACGTCATGGCTGGGTCCTTAGTACTCAATCCCAGATCACGCGTATATGGATTTGCACAGGAATTCATGACCAGCTCTTGCGAGGATCTCCTATGGTGCGAAGATGCCATCTATTTGGAAAGAAACTCTCGAGACTTCGTCAGCAGAACCCTGAAGATCAATGCAAACACAGAATTTTTACTGAATCAAGTACTTCTGCCGCAGCAGGGCAAATTATTCAAAAAAATCTACTATCCGAGCGAGACGTCTCCGGAGACTAAAAAACATTACGATGCTGTCAAGTGCCCCAGTGGCGGTTACGGAGGTCTTTTGTCGCTCACCTTCTACAACGAGCCGCAAGCACATGCATTTTTTGACAATTTAGAGTTGTGCAAAGGTCCATCATTGGGTACCAATTTTACGTTGGCATGTCCTTACACAATACTTGCACATTACTCAGAACTGGACGAAGTTTTGAAATATGGCGTGGAAACGCTGCTTGTGAGAGTGAGCGTTGGGCTCGAGGGCCCCGTCATCCTGAAAGATGTTTTCACTCGCGCCATTGACGCTGCTCAAAACGCCGAACAACCACACCCAGCGGCCGTCTCGGCGCCATAAAACTGACACGAAGAAAAACCAACGGAAGTCTCTCAATCTAAAAAAAATTCCGTTTTGTTTTTACTACTTTTTCATGTATGTATTGATTCGTTCTCAGTGGGAATATATATACAATACCTCTTGTGAAGAAGGCGTAGCTCGCTGGGTCCGCATAAACGCAATTCCGCGTAAAGACGCCCGAGACCGGTTCAACATAGGGTCTTCATTTCAACTCAACTGGCTTTTCACCCCTGGCAAAACGAGGGTTTCTTGGATCGTTGATGAACTCAGCACTTTGTGCCGAGGCGTTGGCAGCTTTGCCCACAGCCCAGTACATGACCACACCACCGACGAAAAAGGGCCAGTATGGCTTTAAAACGGGGGTTGGGAATCTCTTAAGCATGGTTTCGATGGCTATTATTCGCTTGATCGGTGTAGACACTCACGTATATCTCCTTAGTTGAAATTTTTGTGAGGCCCTTGAAGCTCACAGTCTTCGTATGAAGTGCTTCTCGCGTAGGACCATTTTAATTGGCTCGTACAGGGGGATTAACATTTCCGTCATAAGGTAGTCACTGCGTTTGACTGTTTGTGCCATCAAAAGACTGAGACGCATGTTTACAGGGCGGGAACATCGAATCACAATTATTACGCTGTTATTGATATCTTCAACGTTAACCTGTATTGTGAAGGCACAAGGCTCAAATCTGTGATCAGAATCACAATGTACGAAAGTGACACTTTGTATGGTAATGTAATCGGTACCGAGTGGTGAGCATGTGAAGTGACATTTCTGGCGCCTAAGGTATCCCAAACAGTACCAAGTTTAAATGATCTGAATCACTGATAGTGCCTTGAGTTGTGGTTTGAGTTGCGCAAAGCTGGCTACATTATAAAAATGATTAAAGTGCCCTTTCAAAATACTATGTGGGGTTAATGTATTTTACGGCCATTTCAACTTTAAACAAAGATCATAAGAATAACGATTTAAGCATTTACGTAAGTTGTGATCAGCTAATCATGTCTGTATCCGCGATATCGAGTACAAGGTCAAGCGCAACTCTTACGGGTACCACCGTGTGCAATTGACAAGTACCTAGACCATAAACGAGAAGAAGAAGAGCTTTTAGCTATTAATTGCGTCAGGATATATGGACAGAGTCACGTGTCATGATTTCTAAATGATTTAAAGTTTCAAATCAACATTAATGGCAAGTGCACGCGCCCGTAGACGGGCGCGTGCCGTTGCTGAGAAAGCTGTTTGAAGCAAGCTTTGTAGTTGACGCTTTCTCTTAGAATTGTAGAGTTTCGTTGGCCGGGGTTGAACGTATAAAGTGAGCTTTGAAACCCTGCGAAGCCAACGAACCAAAGCCAAAACCAATGGATCAAGTAGAATACGGCTCTATTTAATGGTTGACCAATTGTTCCCAACACTATAAAACTGAAATCCGGGAGGCGCCTGCCTTTCAATATGAGCAAAACCAAAGGTCGTAGGAGTTCGCAACCGTGTACAGTGACATTTAAGGAAGCTATTGTTGTGATCTACCAAGAACTCATTGAGTTAAGCACTCAAAAACATTGGAAAGATCAAGCGTTCCACTCCCTTAGACCACTTGGCTGGAACCCCAAAAGCGACTTCCTGTCGTTAATGAAGAGCTGAGCACTGGCTATGCTGATGGACCGAAATGTAAAGCTTCTGTACCGACAGCGAGGGAGTGCGCTGCGGAAAGTGGGTCAAGATATTGTCTTTTCTGGTACCAAAGACGTGAATCACGAAGCTGCCACGCCGGGCTACGAGAATGAAATTTTGCCGGCATTAGACCCAATTCCAGATTTTGAGCACGATCAGCAACTCAATCTCTCGCAAAGTCAACATCACACTCCAGAAAAAAACGCTTTTCTGTACGCGTCACAATCGCCTGCACCTGCACCGGCAGGCCATGAAGATCACCTTGATCTTTTACATTCGCGTAAAGCCAGCCCGCAAGAAGGTCTTCAGATCAGTTATGCGACCCACGGCTTGCTGGAAAGCCCACCGTCGTTACCACCCAGCGAAGAGCCCGTGATCCCAAGTTACGATTTTACAGGCGTACCGCTGTCCAAGCTTCCGTCGTCCATCACTTCTATCACTTCCATCGATGTTCTCATCGCACTTTTCGCGAATCTTTTCGATGAACAATTAATCCCCAAATCTCACGCGAACTATGACACGGCCATATCTGACGCCGATAAGCTTTCTTTCCAAATGGACGTTGATCTTTTCAACCTTTTCAAAGACAAAATTCTTGGAGACATGCGCGATCTTCTAGATATCAACATTTCGAATAACAACCTCTGCTCGCTGCTGCGACAAGCTCTGAAATCGAAAAGGGACCTCAGCTCAGATCTTCTGGAAGTCCGGAAGCAAATTCACGAATGGGAAATGAAGATTAAAGAGGAAGAAAAACCTGGTGAGCTAGAAAGCAAATTAGCACTCAATGAACAGCTCAAGGAGCTTGGTAATAACATCAGAAATGCTCACCTTGGACAATCTACGGCGCTTGTTGGCAATGACGATAGCGTCAGCGACTTCGTCAGATACATGGATCCTCACAATGGCGCGTCAGCAAGGCTTAAAGCCATCATAGCTAAACTGGAGGAGATCCTTTAGAGAGGAGATTTCACGAACTTAGATATCGGGGATGAATAATTTGGGTACAACGGATATACAGCTTATAGGAACGAATGTAAATTAGTACTGATATGTTTCGGCACTGGGACGCTCTGCTCTGCTGGTCGCGTTTCTTCAATATTGCATGTGTGTGAAGAGTCGAGCAGTTCACTCGCTCTCGGCAATCAAAGCCATGATCATTCTGTACAAATAGAAGAAGAACATCAACAGGTAGAAACCTAGCTTCAAAAAGCTCTCTTTCTTATGCTTCCCTAAAGTTCTAAAGATCTCAGTGGCATCGAGCAGTTGCAGTTTCTTGTAAATTTTGTTGGCATTGAAAGCTAGCAAAGGCAAGTTAATCAAAAACACAAACCAGTACCCGTTCAACAAGAACAATATCGAGATGAACGCATGCAAGGAGGCCTCAGGAGTTATCAATTTATTGACCTTTGAACATAGCTCGATTGGATTGATGTAGTCTGCTTCCAGATCCGCATACAAAATAGTGAAATGGACTTGTGCAAAAAGATTAACACAGTTTAGCACAACCGCTAGTACGAAGAGCCACGCTCCCATGACAAAGATAAAAATATCGAACTTTTATAAGCGCCGCCGCTACAATCTGTTTCAATAAGAGAAAGTGATCAATGGAATCAGATAATCACTTCTCTTTGTCCGATACCACCTCTTAAACTACTGCAATTGGAACCCCTGTTGAAAATTTTCCAAACCTTAGACACCCTCGTTGAAAATGACACAATTTATCGCGATAAGAATCAATTATAAATCGAGTGCCGTTAAAGTTCAAAGCAGCTTTGTTTCTAATGCTCTCCCGGTTTACCTGTAGGACCACACTTATCGAACGCGTAAACAACCATTTGACGATAGTGCTATGCAGTGTCTACTAAAAAAATTCATCTAACTCCGATACGGGGAGTCGAACCCCGGTCTCCACGGTGAAAGCGTGATGTGATAGCCGTTACACTATATCGGACGGCGATAGAAGACAAAATGTGCGGGAAGAGACTGATACATCATGAATATCTCAAGATTGTAGAACCACGCAACGTCATTGACCCCGGCGTACTGGTTGTTTCGCAAAGCAAATGCGCTCTATGCGGTGAACATGACTTAAGAAGTGATCTCTGCTTATATATAGTTGTAGTCTCGATCCAGAAAGCAGCAGATGTGAAATCGGGTATGCGGACGAGTATTGAACAGCAGTAAGAAACGTTTGCTATGTATCTTGTACATATGATCGGGTCCTCAGAACTCATAGTGCCACCAAGGTTTCAGCAAGGTCGATCTTGTTGTGGCGGTAATTACAAATTGGACTCAATAACAGTCCATGAGGTGCTGCCAGCAAGGACGGAAGATCCCTGTTTCACGTTGATACTGTTAGGAAACTTGTCGAAATCTGGGCCAAATTGAATCAAATACGTCCACTCTCCAGCTGGAGTTTCGATTGCTCTCAAAAAGTTTATACTTTCCTGAGAAGAGTCGTTCTCTTTAAATAGAATACCCTGGATCCATATGCCAACGACGACTATCAAGCCACGATATTGGCCGTTATTCAAAGATAGTACAACGGACCTGGCACCGGAAGCCGCTTGTGGTTCGCTCTGAATACTCACAAACCTGTGCTCAGCAGGATCAATTGGTTGCCAAAGCTCGAAAAAACTGACACCTTCCTTTTCGGCACCAAAAGGAAAAACTTGCCCTCTTTCCTCGACTAGACCACTGTCCCAAGTCTTCCAACTCGTATTGATGACGCCACGGTGCGTGTTCTCCTTTTCAAGCTGCACATTAGTGTCAAACTCAAAATTAAAGTCAATTGTCATTGACTTCGAGTCTAGTTTGTTGATCTTAGCACCATCTGACGTACAAGCAAAGCCCCACTCAAATGGGAAGCTTTTCTCATTCTTACTTGGAGTGACGAAAGGCCTGATCGATATCAAATGACCATCATTAGACATGCTGCTCAGAGTTAGCGTCCTCTCGTCTGCAGCACCGGCACCAACTTGAAATGTAACTCTCTTGGAAATGGAAGCCATTGTTAGGAGAAATGAAGCTTTGCTCGAGCGAATTCCCTTAGTTGATGGCAATCCTTTATTGTTCAATTCCTAGCGATTCTTAAGTAATGCCAAAACTTTCTACGAAAAATGAATCACCTGATTTCTCTCGAGAGCGACGCAAACAATTCAACAAACGCGTCCACGGAAAGCAGTCCCTTCACCTACCGGGACCGTTTAAAGAGTTCAAGCCAAAGAGAAAGCCGAGTTCCTGGCGACCCAAACGATTGACTTCTCTGATCTTGCTGGGATCCATTGCACTATCGACTAAATCTCTTTTCTTCTTTTGGAGTTCCAGTATTCTGTCTTCAACTGAGTTCTTGACCAAAAGCCTGTAAACCTTCACGTTTTTCTGCTGACTGATTCTGTAGCATCTGTCCATGGCTTGCTCTTCGACAAAAGGATTCCAAAATGGGTCAACTAAGACGACATGATTAGCACAGGTGAGCGTGAGACCCGCATTGCCGGCTTTCATTGAGATCAAAAGAACACGCTTTGTTGGGCATTGGTAAAACTCTTCGATAACTTGAGCGCGTACTTTCGAGTTCAAAGAACCGTCGTACCTTAGAAGTGGTACGCGAAGCTCCTTAGCCAGAAAATGTTGAAGCAAGTCAAAGAAAGTCACAAACTGGGAAAATATGATGACCTTCTCATCCTTTGTAGTGGAAAGCACGTCCCCCACAATCTTCAAGCATTGTCCCACTTTCAGCGAAGGCTGTAACGTGGAGAGATTAATGTGATAGCCATTTTTGAGCTTTAATTTTTGAGCTTCCCTTTCATCCTCGAATTCGGCTCTTAAATCCTTTTCGGTGTAGTTCTTATTCACAATTTGGTCGTATAGTCGGTAAGTTATCACAGCTTTTTCGCTAACGTCAGCTTTGCAGACAAGACATGGCACAACGAGCTCGTCATTCGGTTTCCACCCTTCCGTTTCAAAACGAGCATCATCCATGAAAGGCTCCACGCAGCTTTCGCATATCAAATGTCCACATGGGGTCAAAATTGAGGTAGATTCGGGTTCCATCTGCTCCATACAATAAGGACACATCATCGAGTCAAGACCGTCCATAATTGTTTCTCGAGCGGCTTCTGTTAATCCCTGTGTCACGCTGTATAAACGCATCCAGTCGTGCTCGAAGCTCTTGCCATTCACTACCTTTGTATCATCATTTTTGTGCTCTCCTATAGTGACAAGTGCTGGATGACAGCAGGCCTGTCGCAAGCGTAGCAAAAGTGATAGGATGTTTGAGTAGTTACCCCTTCCCTTGTTTGTCATCAACTGCTCAACCTTTTTCTGATTGGTGTTTTCCAGCTTGCTATAGAACTGCAGCTCTTCTCCAGAGAGCACATCCTCTTGCAGATCAATAGCTTTAGATGGAAGTTGTAAAATGGGCTCACCATCAATCTTTGAATCTTTCGTTCTCCGAAGCATTATTGCTCGTAGAAGCACCTGAATTTTTTTGATGGCTTGCTTTCTGTCGTAACTGTCGTAATTCGTCGAAATTTTACCCAGCGGATTCCCTATATCAGCTTTGAATTTATGCTCTCGATTGTAAGGCGGTATCCTGAGATAACGAATAATTGAATAAAATTCCATAATATTGTTTTGGATTGGTGTACCTGACAACGCCCATCTGTAAGTCGCATCCAAAGTACAGCAAGCAGTAGCGGCTTTGGTTTTCTTGTTCTTGATATTCTGTGCTTCATCTAGGATGATGCGATAGAATTGAGACTCATTGCAAAAAAAAGGTGACCAGTATTCCCTCCCCCGTTCCTTCAAAGCATTCATTGCGGAGATATTAGGAACATCGCTCAATTTCACATCGTCATTGTCCAATTTTAGTTTTTGAGGCCAATGCTTCTTGAGTTCACTGGCCAAGGTTTGGTAGGAGACTAAAACAACATCATGCTTCAGCAAATCTCGGTAGCTTGTCACTTTCGCTCCGCCTGCGCCTCCGAAAATCATGACCCTCAATCGAGCCTCCCTTTTGATTTTCGCCCTAAGCTCTGCATCCCATACTCTTAAAACCGCAACGGGTGCGACGATCAGATTCGTCTTACAACTTGAGGATGGTGATTTATTGGCAATCATCAAAGATATTGCCTGTACTGTTTTCCCAAGACCCATGTCATCGGCCAACAAGCCGCCTTTTTTATTAGATTTTTCGGCAGCGAGAAGCCAAGAAAGTCCCTGTCGCTGATGCTTCATCAGGTTGACCGTCAGTTCAGGGGGAGTCAATTCTTCACCGTCCACTTCTGTTTCAACTTCTTTCAAGCTCTCAAGTAATTCCTGCAAACTCTCATTGTCTTGAGAATTGTAAATATTTGACAGCTGAAGGGAATTGTACTGGTACCGATCCTCCTTTATGTGATGGCTTAGTATTTCTTCATCGACCAATTTGCTGTTTTGGCTTGAAGGATCAACACTTTTGAAATCATCGTCAATAGCTCGACCGCGATTTTCATAAGAGCGCATTCTATCGAAGATGTCTGGTTTTACTACAAATCCTAGACCCTCAAGGAATTTTGACAGCGCGGGCATCTTCACTCCATGGCGCTCTAAGTCTGTTACAGCTCGCTCAGCGTTTCTCTTCTGAGACATAGAATAGTTCTTGCCCTGATTCGTGTTTTTCATGAAATCGGCCAATATGTCCAGCAAGTAATACATCAAGTTTTTATTGCTTGGTGATCGAACTGAGTTCTTGGCAATAAGATTCCTTGCCACGTCTATCGACTTGAAAAATATCGCAGACTTGCTTTCATCATTCGAATTTGCGGAGTTTGGTATATCTAGATGTCGAATGCTGTTTTCAATTTCTCTTACGCTGGAATTGAAGAGGTCAGAACTGATTTTGCCCTGATCTAAAAGCCTCTCGAGATGTTGTTTTCTTTGAATTAGACGAGAACGAGCCTGTAGCATTGCCGTGTTACGATGATCTCGCGTAGCATTTTGCAGATTAGCGCTCGAGTGAGCAGCCTTGAGCTCTTTTTGATGACTAAACCTCAAATACTGTTCGCTTATGTCCCGCTCTTTCCTTTCCACATCTCTGAGTTTGAGAAAGACGTTTTCCCTCCTTTTCTTCAAATCCACGAGCTGTCTTCCCATCTCGTCGAGATATTGTCTGGCATCGGACGACGACGGGCTTTCCGCCACCTTCTCAGACAAAAGCCGATATTTGGCCTCTGCATCCTTCACAGAGGCATCTCTCCTGTGCAGTTTTTTCTGTAAAATGACTTTGGTATTACGCTGTGTGGTTTTGGCTGCAATTAGCTGCTGTTCCTGACGATTCAGGTCTGCCATCAGATTTTCATGAGAAGCTCTATGAACTGCCATAGGTGAACTACCAGATCCGTTGCGGTTTATCTGAAAGTAGGGCGATCGTGCGATTTCATTTGATTCCTGATTTGCTGCGTCTAGTTTCACAGGGTCCCCCGTACCAGAATCCTCATCTTCACTTAAAATGATGATAGGTGTTTCTTCTGGGTCTATTTTTTTGTTTGTGAGGGTCGGGATCTCAGATGGGCGCGCTGCTTGTGGTCTCAGAGGAGAGCTTTCCTCCGTTTGCTCCAAGCCATCTAGATCTAAATACTCAGTGCTTTTAAGCTCCGAGACCGAAGAAGATTGTTCTGATGCACCCTCTGGACCAGCCAGTGGCGTCGCATGCAAATCCGAGTCAGCAGTGGGAACAAGTCTCTCATTGATAGGTTTATCGTTGGAGTTTAGCGTTCCGCTAGCAACTTTTTGTTTTTTGGAAGGTCTCACTTCAGGGTCATCCAGCTCGATTGAAGATTCGGAAGGAATTCTGTCCTCCGTTCTATCCTCCTTCCCATTAACAACGTCGAGACCGGCAAAACGCAGGGTGCTCGACCGGCGAGCATTGCTCCCGCTGATTAATAACGGCAACCGCGATCGCGTGGCTTCCTCGTTATGAGCCATTGTTCCAGGCACAAGCTGGCGGTCAACGTCGTTATCACTGGATGTCAAGTCGATAGACGGCATGGATTTGGCGGGGGAACTGTACGCGGTGCTTGACCGGGCTAAAAGGCTCGACTCCATTGGTGGTTTGACGTTATAGTTTCGGCGGTGAGATGATACTCCATCAACTATCAACACCTGTGGGTACTCATGTGACTTCAATTGATAATTACATACGAAGATGAGAAAACAAGTTCTACACTAATCGGAAATGAGTACGATAGAGGATGGCGCTTAAATTATATCTACTCTATTATATGCTTCGACGATAATTGAATGTTAAACCGGTAGGTAAAGCTTATTTACCTGAAGAACTGAAAGTGGGAGCATCTTTTGGACACACATGACTTTTGGGATTAAAACTTGGTCACAGTTTTATTGAATCTATAACAGGATTCTCGTAATTCCTTGGATTGGAAAAAGTGAACTCTTAACGGTGATAGGGGAAAACAACGGCATAATTTGACTATTGATGGTCTTAACGTTTCCCAACTAGTTGTTAAAACCACATTGGTTTGGGAACTGTCTGTCGGTCAAAGGTTGAGGGAAGAGATTGTTGTAGATCAATCTTTGGAAGTCCCACTCGATGGAGGTCTCGGTCTTGTAGCACCAGAAGACCCAGCCCCCCCGAAGCTCGAAGGCATCCAGCTGCGCTTCGATGAACTTGCGTGTCTCCGTCTTACGGTCGTCAGACCAGGAACTGATATCCTCGTTGTTCTGGCAAGAACCAATGTAAGAAGAAGTGTCAGAACCCTTACTGAAAGAACCGTCGTAACGAGCACCATAGCCCACACCGTTGATCCACTTAGTACAGTCGGTTGTGGCACCAGCCCATTCGCCGGCCACAGTCCAGTGACTCTCGGTGACGGTCCCGGAACCCCATCCACATGCAACTTGGACGCGCTCGTCGGAGCTGCGCTGAAGCTCAGGGTTGGAGAACACTTGGTAGTGATGGTGGTCGACGACCACGCCCCAGTCTCCATCGGAGTCAGTCAAAGTAGCATCCCAGTAGTGGAAAGGCTGGAACGCGTCGTGGATAATGACGTCCTGGTTTCTGCCAAGTGTGTTACGCACGTAGTTGTAGCCGTAAGCATAGTACTCCTTGAGCTTGTCCATGTCGAGGACAGGACCTAGAGGCTCGTTGACAAGCTCGACACCGATCACAGTGTCCAAAAACTCGTCACGTGAGTACTTCTCGAGAACATACTCGATCACCTCGAGACTCAGGTTGTAATTGGTTGAGTCGGACAGCCAAGAATAGGAATCGCGCAGACCAGAGTTGTCGAACCCGTTTTGAGAACCTGGCATGCCGTGCACGTCAACCCAGACTTTCAAGTTGTTGTCACGTGCCCAGCCGATCGCCTTGTCGAGCAGAGCCTCCTGGTAGCCCGAGACGTAAGGGTCTGAGTCGAGCATTTTGAAAGCCCAGTACCCAATGGGAATACGGACAAAGTTAAGGCCGCTTCCAGCCATGTTTTGGAAGTCCTGTTCCGTGTACCATGAGTTCCAGTGCTGCACAAGTCTAGACTCGGCTGTGTCGTAGCCCAGTTGCTGGCAAAAATGGTATTCGTCGACAGGGATACCTTCGTCGCTGGAGTCGCTGGTACGGAAAGCCTCGAAAAGCGAAGGCGTAATGTATGGCTCGAGCAGCAGCCATCCACCGATGTTGACACCGCGAATGGTCGAGCTCGAATAGTCGTAATAGCGCTTCTTGTGCACTATTTGCACGCTGTGAGGCGACACAGGAGCGATTGGTTGGGCGATTGCATGAAGTGCGATCGCCAACACAGTCACAATAGTAGCGAGTGAAAGTGAAGCCATCTTAACGAGCTCCTCCTCTTGAAACTTAAGTGAGAGTGACGGTACTGAAGGAAGGTGCGAAAGCCTTTATAAATGACTACAAAATAAATAAAGCACTTTATAACTCCGGTTGGGTCGCCCGTGTCTTCAACTGCGCATCTTATACAAAACCGCATTTGAGATGCTGGGTTGACTGCTTCCAAATATAAAGGCAAGTTTTCGCGTTCGGTTTCATCGTCATGGGCATCGAGGGACGTAGGGGCTGCATATGAAAAATTATGCATCCAAGCTGGTACGGGTATATCCGGGCGCCGCGCCCTGCAAGCGCCCTGCACGGAGTCCTGATATATTTACGGTCACGTTCGTATCTACGCCACGCGTGTGCGCTTATACTATAAGGCGCTAATTGTCATATGTAGTTCCTCCCGCTGAGCTAATTTAGATCGTCTGCTGGCACTGCTTTACTAAGTGAAATTTAGGGTGGCCGTCGAGCGACGTGCAAAGGCCTCATCCTGTGACTGCCTTAAGTCGATGCATAGACGAGAACTGACCTAGGTGTCAAGAAATCAGTCGACGCGCTTGTCATTACCACGGGTTGTTTGCTTTGGTCTCGCTGACTCCGTCGTATCTAAGATAATTTAACGTCAACAGTTGAAGCCAGAGATAATTATAAAATTTGAGTAGAAGTTTCGCCAGAATACATGGGCTTCATGAGAACATGGGGTTTCAACAGTTTTACCAATTTCGCTGGTTTCACACGTTTCACACGTTTCACCGGTTTCACCGGCTTCACCGGTTTTTACTGGTTTCACTAATTAATTTTCGTTTAGCATCTCGTTCTATGTCTCATCTTTTCTCGCTCGACGTATAGAGTCACAAGCGGGAGTCACGAGCATGCAGCGAAGTCACTAGCGACAATTAGGAACCACTATCTACGGAAAGGAACTCTGCAGTCAGTAGAGACAGGTTGTGGCGATGGCCTCTGGACAAAGGTCTCCTCAGTGAGCTCCGACTTTCTTAACTGGCAACACTAATAATTTAACTGCTAACATAAAAACTAGCTTCGAAAGCTAGTTTTTATGAACTCTTGACTTGTTACAGCATACGGCGATACGGAGATCCAGATGCAAGGGGAGATCGAGATTCAGGATCGATCCCATCTGACCGCATATCTTTCAAGAATAGTACTTGAGGGGTGGCAGGGCTTGTGTGCCAGCCGCGAGGGTGCCTTCCACTGCGGGTCAAACGGCAACTTAAAAAAGTAAAGGTGTGTGTGTCAGCGACGCCAAGCGGTGCTACCTTTGTAATGGCCCCGGTAGCCCAGGGAACCCCTGAAAACTTATATATCGAGACTGGGGCGGCTGTTGCGGATGGCTCTTAGTGTCGAAATCGTTTGGCCCCGCGGTTATCACAACTAAGTTCCTGTATTGCACACTGCTTCACGCTCTGTCGTTCGCGGGAATTTTTTTTGCCAGCACCGGAGCTACAGGAGCTGAAGAAAAATTGCCAGAAGGCAATTAGGGCGACAAGAGCGATGCATGAGCAGGCAAAAATATATAGCTTTCGAGGTTCCAGCAGCTTTGTTTTGTAGGCTTACATGAACAAGCTTGCCACAGGCATGCTTGTGCCAGCCACTTTTGCAACTCTTGTCATTTTCCCAAGCCGGCCATTGCTGCAGGTTGTAGACCTCGAGAATTCATTGGCAATAGAGAACAATGCAAAAAAGTTCGTCAATGAGGTACCCATTCTGCTGGAGGCTGGTGATCAAACCTCTGATGGCGGTTCCGACGTTGCTGTGTCCCTGAGATCTTTGTCCGCGTCGTCCCCGTTGGCGTGCTCTTCAGGCTCCCCGGGGTGGGCCTCTGAGTGAGTTTCCGGGTGAGTTTCCGGGTGAGTTTCCCGGTGGGTTTCAGCGTGAATCTCCGCCGGACTCTCCTCAACACGTCTTTGATCGCTGCGCACCCACCCATCGAACGATATCGGGTACCCAGTAAAAGTTTTCATGTGAACGCCGTGTTCCGTACGCTCCCACGGTATCACTGGCGGGGACTCCGTTTTCGCGGTGTCTTCAGGGCGCGGTAGTGGTGGTTCGGTGCTTGCTTTCACTGGAGATTCCACTGCCTGCGTAGTTTCGCGCGTATCCTGCGACATGTCAATTGGATTGGTCAGGGTCCGCCTTTTCAATGGATACAATGAATGACGATGAGCTTCGATTCGACAGGAACGATATTCCATTACTGTATAGGAATTGAGTTGTCTGATTTGTCGCTATGGACGAAGAATATTTGGAAATATGGCTTTCCGATGGAGGTAGGAATTGTTTGCTAGTCGAGATTTTGTCGGGCAGAGCATCTGCAGTACCAGGAGGAGGGGTGAGAAGGTTCTTACGTTGACAGGCGCGAGACGCATTTGAAAATTCAGGTGGAGATGAGAATAAGTAGGTTCGGGTCCTCCGACAGGCCCACTCCACTATAGAGGATTATTGAAAGATAGTGCCGAGCTCCAAGGGTAAATTAGCAGAGGCTATTCAATAAAGTTCCGAGCTATACCATTATGAATCTGAAGAATTAAAGTGAAACTAGGACTGAGTCCAGCGATTCGCCCGTTCACTCACTTATCACGAACTTTTTCATTTTTAACACATCTGGCGCAGTGTTAATTGTTTAGTTGAGAGATATTTGATTTTCAGAACGTGAAGTTAATCTCTGGCTTGGTCATCGTCTATTCCAGTCACAGACCTCGTCACTGGGCTTGTACACTTTAGAGGTTTCTTACCAAAAAGTCTCTGCCATTCCCAAACTCAAATCTACCGAATCGTTTATAGCGAGCGACCTAAAGTAACCCACAAGTATCTTGCGGGGACGTGCGACGACCTTAGGAGCGCATGGTAAGAACAGGACCTCACCGCTCCACCTATGTTAAAAAAGGATCAAGAACCCCTCTATGGTGAAGCACCAAATGTTGGGAGGAATTTCAACTTGCCCGGGACGTGTACAGGAATTATTGGAGCTACTGGCTCAAGAAGCACTTGGTTACCGCCTTGATAGCCATTTTAGGGGTCTTTGCCATGACAGCAATCTGTTACGCCCGCAGGAAACGGGAAGGTGCAGTGATCACTTACATCCTGGTGTAGGGTTTGGGAAGCTCTTTCTTGATGCTCTTCATGCTTGCCAGTCATGACCGCGAAACAGTGACTTTGAAGACCCGAGAGAAAATGATTTTTTTGCTAGAGGCAGGGAAGGCAGTGCCTGGCCTCAACCCGGATGTCTGGGATGCTGTTGCCGCCAGGGTAAATCGCATTTTTTTGAGCAAGGGATCTTCAGCAGTCCAGAATATTTTTATGATGGGCAGGCATGCTGCGAACTATTCAAGAATGACTTCTTGAAAAATTACTCCAGCCGAGTGGAACCTGGCAATATAGAAGATTCCGGGGCAACCGGCGGACTCGCTGCATTTCTAACATCTTCGCCAAAGGATACCGAACTCCGAGGTCTTATTGACATAGTTGTCCAGAAGCACTGCGTCAAGGTGGCGGAGTCTTGGGAACAAGCTTTGGCGCAAACTGCGCAAACTGCTGGCTAAGGAAAAGGAAAATTTCGCGCCCACACACTAGTGTGGGATAATGAAAACTGAGCTTCTGATAGAAAACGCGACTGTCATCCTTGGGCTAAAAACGACCTTCCATGACCTCTAAACTTAAAGCCATGCTGCCATTATCCTTGAAGAGCACCATAACAAATTATTGATCTTAGAGCTGGAAAATTTGACTAGAGAGCGACGATCTTTAAAGAGCAGCCTTAGTGACACGATCACGTGACTTATTAATGACCAATTCTTCACACGGATCTGAAGTCAAATGCTATCATATTAAAGAAAGTCAAGATTACAAAGACATTAAAACTCCCAATACACAGGGCAAATATCTGTCAGATAGAAACGTCTTCAGAGAAGATTGGGTGATCGGATAACTTTGAAGAGAGGCGTTGTCCGGTCAACGAAGTTAAGTGATCTTTGTTGAGGATTGGTGAACAACCCTCGGTAAGGGGAGTCTTACTTTAGGACAGACAAATTATTAACAAAGTCGATGGAATCATCGGAAAAGTCTTTCCGTCCTCGATTGGCTGAGGATACTTCCACAAGTGATATATCGGCTGCCATTGAGGAAACCACGGAAGCGTTTCAAAGGGCTGCAACGGGAGGTTCAGAAATGACAGACGAGAGACTGCAACAAAGTGATGAAGAAAAAGATGCAGAAGTAAGAGATCTGAATAGTGTGCTGCCAAATATGCAGCAAGAGTCTGGAGCGGCTCCCATAAGCAAGCAACAGTCTCGCCTCTCGAGAGTCGCGACAGGATTTTTTTCGTCGAGGCTCCAAGAGGACCGAAAAGTCTTAGTCTTCAAGTTTTTTTTCAATCACTTCCTGTTGTGGTCCCTTATAATAGCTGTGTTCTCTCTTTACTGGGGTGCTACCTATAAGCGCACCAGCTACTACTACAAGGTCAACATTTTGGCCGTCATTCAAGACGAGGGATCGCTGGTCCAGGAACTTCCCTCTCTAATTAGCAAAAGTCCTGGCACTTGGCACATCTACAACTCTTCTTCCTTCCAAGCCAAGTATGATATCTCACCTGTCCAAGTAGATTCGAAAATCACCGAGCTGGTGCATCACCAAAAATTCTGGATGTCTCTAAACGTGAGGCCCAATGCAACTTCTGCGCTTATTGATTCGCTCAACACGACTGAAGCACTGCCTTTCAACTCATCCCGGTATTTCGAAACAGTTTATGAAAGTGGCCGCGACCCCACGAATATGAAATCTAGCATACTTCCACTCATGCTTGGTCTTGAAGCAATGTTCCAGCAATATTACACGACATCATACTTACCAAGCTTACTGGGGAACTACTCCTCACGCTTGAGCCAGGTCTCGTCAGCAAATTTAGCTTCAGCGGGTGTCATGCAGTTTAACCAGGTTGATTACAGGCCATTTACGAACTACGTCCTGCTTGGACCCCTGCAAGTAGGCCTCATTTACTGCATTCTGCTAACGTTCTTTCAGCTGTCTGTTTTTGCCTCCATACATGCCCGACTTGCCCCAAAACTCAAGCCAGTTCACATGATTTTGTACCGATTTGTCATCGGATGGGTAAATTATTTCTTTCTGTCACTATTTTTCTGCGTTGTTTCGTCCATATTTCATGTTGACTACAATGTGACGTACGGAAGAGCCGGGTTTGTTGTGGCGTGGATGTCCTCCTGGCTTCTGATGATTGCTGTCGGGGGTGCGAACGAAAACATGTTAACGATTCTCATGGCTTTCGGTCCTCAATACTTGGGGTTTTGGATGGTTTTCTGGGTTGTATTCAATATATCTCCCTCCTTCTATCCGATGGCTCTGACGAACAATTTCTACCGCTATGGGTATATGGCGCCAATTCACAATGGCGTTGACATATTCAGGGTCATTTTCCTCGGTCTCTACCCCGGCCATTTAGGACGCAATTACGGTATTTTATGTGCCTGGATTGGGGTGAACTCACTGTTGTTTCCCCTTTGTTTGAAGGTATTCGCTGCGAAGAAAAAGAAGGACGCCGCGAAAGCAGCAGCAGCAGCAGCAAATCACGCATAGTATGTAATAAATGTCAAGAATAATCGTACTGTTGTTATTTATGTAATATCCAGACTCAAAGCCCTATTCCATACTGCTCCGAAGCCATAGCATACAGCGCCTCCTCCAAAAACTAACACTCGTCCGGTGGGGTCTTTTTGCATTTCAAATCCAACTAGCATGGGTGCATCATCCTTCCAAATCAGAGGGGGAATTTCGACTAAAGCAACAGAGCCCGTTGCAATGTTCACTTCAATGAACGTGGTGAGGTGATCAAATAAAACCCATGGACTTACTCCACCGCCGATGAGTACTTTTTGGGAGGAAACAAACAGCGCTTTCGAGCCGAATCTGCTAAAGTAAGAGTTTTTGAAAGTCGCTTTAACAAAGACTTGTTTTCTAGCGGGGTTACATTCGAAAACGATAAGTTCATCAGAGATTTCACCATTTGATCGCTGGCCGCCCACAATAGCGCCGACTTGTTGGACGGGATCATATGCAAAACCTGGAGAAATTAACTTTGGTAAAATATCATCAATTTTTGTGTCATAAAACATATCATCGTTTAAATCATAAATTAATGCAACTGGTCCCTCAGTGACCCCTCCATAAATCAGCATCTGATGAGCATTCAGCGCGCAAGCCTCATGGCGGAATCTTTCTTCCGGTAGATCCTTACGTTTGATCCAATGCCATCCATCATTTTCATCCTCTTTAAGCAGCCACACCTCACTACAAGGCTTGGACGGCCCACCTCTTCCACCAATCATAACAGCCAAGCGTTCGCTTAAAGCTGTCAGAGTGTGGCACATCCGAGGAGCCAATTTCGCTTCAGGCGTGACATCTGTCCAGCTTCTAGAGAGAAATGAGTAGGATGAAATATCATTGCGGCGAGCGTTCGAACAGCCCGCCGCGTAAATCATCTTATTGCCCACAACTGCAGAGGCACCAAATTTTCTGCGCCAAAAACCTTCTGCGGAACTCGGAGAACTTAAAAAGTTCATACGTAGCTTCAAAACCTCTGAAAAAACTCCAAAAGACGGCTTCAGTAATTTCGGAAAAATATTAATCGCGGAATTTGTTCCATGGCATATCATGTAATGATGACAGAACAAGAGAAATTCCTCAAGCTCATCGAAAACCTCGACATCTTCGATTTGACGCCTGACGTTTTCGTCAACTGTGTTCCAAAGGTCAAACATACTCCCATGATTCACCGTAGGGAATCCTAAGGTTTCAAAACGCTCTTTCTGAGCCGCAAGAGTAGGATACGTAGTGACAGTCTGCAGAGGAGAATCATTTTTGATAAAATGTCTCAACATTTGTCTTGAGAAAGCCTCGTGGGGCCCCGCTGGCAAGAGCTGTTCGAGCATCAAAAAATGGGAATTAGGGAAAGCTGAGCAAGAGGATACGATTTCATCTGCTTTCCGCCCCTCCATATAGGCAAGAGATACCTCTGCGATAAATATTTTGACAATTTCAGGATGATCCAAATCCGCTCTTTTCAGAACGCTTTTAAATGCTATTTGGTCATTCATATCGCACGAGGCCATCATGTATTTACCCGCTTCGAAATGATGCAAAGCACCCTCAGCTCCCTTGTATTGTCCGACAATCTTGACAAGTTCCGTCGCGCGACAGATTATGCCGATTTTATTATGAATCAGGTCGTTGTAGTCGAGATCGATGAAGCTGAGCCTTCCACCGTGTCTGACATTGTCAACATTTTCAGGGTCTAGCAGCTGAAAGGGCAGCGGATCGTAACCACACCCAAGGTTCACTATGCAAACAGCTCCCCTGGTCTGCGCCAATATACAGTCTATTCGAGACTTTATCGCATGGATTCGAAGCCAGTATCCTCTATTGATGCAAGGCGAACGTCGAAAAGGTTTGCTGACAAAATATTTGAAGTACTCTATATCCTCTTTGGAGGGATCAACGTTCCTATTGGTACCAAGTTTGGTCAAATACAGTTTTTCCACCGACCTCTTTGAGGTGATCGACGAGTTATTAGTTCCTTGAATGGCCAAATCGGCATACTTCTTTCGACGTTCCCGTTTCTCGAGCTGTCTTAACTGCTTAGCTGTTGGTACTGGGACATCACCAGAGGCGTCGGCTTTCATCTTCAGGAACCAGCTAAGCCTTAGTTCACAACCTTGTTGATGGTGCTGCTAATGTGACTTTTTTCATTAGTTTTTCATTAAGGCGATGAGGCCAAAATCTGGAACTACTACTGATTAGACAATTAAGGTCCAAAGGTACAGACACACTAAAACGCCATGAATAAGAACGTAGTTGATGAGGGTGAAGCTCCCAACGCCCAACCGGAAGCTCAAGATCACACATTTAATGAGGCCCCAAAGCAACGACGGTCCAAGAAGTTCACGTTGTCAACTTATACAATTTATGAGACGCACGATAGGATGTACGTTGTGGGCAGTAATAAGCGCGAGACAATGTTCAGAATCTTAGAAATAGATTTATCCGTACCACAAGGCGATTTGAGTGTTTTGGAAGATAATGTTTTCTTTACAAGAAATGAGATCATGAACGTTTTGTCGGGTCTCGAGGAAGCAAACGATGAGGGTCTGCAAAAAAGACTGACAGGCTGTGGATTGCTTGGGTTTATAAAGTTCACAACGTGTTATTACCTTATTGTAATAACGAAAACGAGCTCTGTTGCTATTTTAGGCGGCCATGCGGTTTATCACATTGACGAGACTGAGCTGGTTCCAATCTCAAACACCTACAAGACCCCTGAAAAGAATTCAGTAGAGGCCCGTTTACTGGCAACATTCCTGAGCTTGGACCTCAGCAAGACCTTTTATTTCAGTTATACTTATGACATAACGAACACTCTTCAAACGAATTTGTTGAGAGAGAAGCTGCGGGCAGTGGACAGAACTGATCTCAATATGTCACTTGGCGCAACTGATTACAATGATATGTTTATGTGGAACAGCCACTTGCTTCAGCCATTATTCTGCTGTATCAACACCGTTTATGACTGGTTTCAGGCCATCATTCACGGCTTCATCGACCAAGTCAACGTCCCGATATGGGGCAAAAGCATCTACGTGACTTTAATAGCAAGGAGATCACATCATTTTGCTGGAGCACGGTATCTCAAGAGAGGCGTCAATAACCAGGGCTACGTTGCTAATGAAGTCGAAACGGAACAAATTGTGAGTGATATGATTCTGACTCCCTTTCACAATCCGGACAACGGGTTTTTCGACAACGATAGGTACACTTCTTTCGTACAGCACAGAGGATCTATACCCCTTTTTTGGTCTCAAGAAGCGTCCAATTTGACTGCAAAACCTCCCATACAGATAAACGTTGCCGATCCCTTTTTCAGCCCTGCCGCACTTCATTTTGACAGGTTATTTCAAAGATATGGAGGAGGTCCAATTCAAGTTCTGAACTTGATCAAAGGTAAAGAGAAAAACCCCCGCGAGACCAAGTTGCTGATTGAATTCGAACAATGCATTAATTACCTGAATGAGTTTCTTCCGGATGATAAAAAGCTGCAGTATACTGCCTGGGATATGAGCCGGGCCTCAAAGTTACATGGCCAAGTGGTCATAGAGTTTCTTGAGAAATACGCTGTTAATACTGTCGAGACGACTGGAATCTTTCATAACGGTAAGGATTTCGCTTCAACCAAAATACAGGAAGGAATTTGCAGGACAAATTGCATTGATTGCCTTGATCGCACGAATGCGGCGCAGTTTGTCATTGGAAAGCGCGCGCTGGGTGTTCAGCTTTTAAGGCTAGGTCTGGTAGATAGCGCTTTTTTGGAGTACGACTCAGACATTGTTGACATTTTGACTGAGTTATTTCATGACCATGGCGACACGATTGCATTGCAGTATGGTGGCTCTCATTTAGTCAATACTGTCGAAACCTATAGAAAAGTTAACCAATGGAGTTCACATTCACGAGATATGATTGAGAGCATCAAAAGATTCTACAGTAATTCGTTCATCGACGCTCAACGACAAGATGCTATTAACCTTTTCCTTGGACACTATGTTTGGAAGGAAGGTCATCCGAAGTTATGGGAGATGAATACAGATTTCTATCTTCATAATGTATTTGAGCAGAGTTTTAGAAAGAGAAGTTATACAAGATGGTGGAATGTGTATCACATCAAAAGTCTCCGCAAGACTATAGCAGAAGAGATTTTGCTCAAAGACAATGATATCACCAAAGTAAAACTTTTGGAAAATATACGTGGATATCCCGGAGCCTTCGACAATTATTGGAATGAATATTACGAGCCCAGGGGCCTATCATTTTTTCGAGACTTGTTTGCGTTTAAAATGAATTCGACCAGGAGGTATCATAGCGTGGCCAAAAAATCCGGTTGGTTTTCGCCGTTTGTATCCCGTAAACAAACGACGCTCAACTCTAAGCTTCGGGCCGCTGTCGCAGAAGTGAAGAGAGAGTCTATTACCGTTCAAGGCTCAGTTGCGACAGAATTTTGCAATGCTGACGAATATGAACTTTTAGATTTGGCGTTGCAAAGACAATACGCTGAGTTCGATTCTGTGAGTGAAGAGCTCGATAGTTTCGATCACACACTCTCCTTGCTAAATTACATGCCTTTCGATCAAGACGCAGATTCTTTGATGACTTCTAAGACAAGTTCCCCTCTCTCCTCGGCAGAGCTTGCAGTCGACCATTCGGCTTGGCTTGCCCATGATATAATAGAGGACAAAAAACTTTATGGAAAGATAGTTGATATATCAAGCTACAGTCCTGTGGATGATTATAGACCGTTTAGGCGCGCTGAAAACTATGCTGTAGATCCTGACGATGCCAAGCTATATGAATTTGTCCTTTCCAGCTCCTAGGAGGGCAGAGGCTTCTTGTGGCCAAATGCAAGATCCTATGCGTGCATATATGCAAAAAATGATCTTCTTTCAGCTTGAGAGCATTTAATCTGCAGAATTGGCTAATTCTTTGAAACGATTTTTTATGATTTCACTGTATTGTGAGGTCGGCTGCTTCTCACAATCCAAAATAATCCTATAACAAGCCAAAGTGCTCAAAATGTCAGCTGCCTTTATCCATATCTTACCATTAAGCCCAATGGCTACCTCAAACTCTGTGCGCTTTCCAATCAGTTTCAAAAGTGGGAAATCGTTATTGAATAAAAGCTCCCTGCAAAATGCCAGGGAAACGTCGACTACCACGCCTCCGTCCAAATGACCGTAACCAGCGTCTTTGCCCGTACTTGAGTCGACACATTCTATTTCTGCTTCCAGCTCCTTGTTGGCCTTGCTAACGCGCGCATAAAGCAAGTCACCGACTTTTAAAGTGGGTCTATTTTTTTTGGAAGCGTTCGGAAATGCCATATAAGAAAGAGTCACAGCTGTCGAGAAATTGGCCAGTGATACTCTGTAGCTGTCCGCAAAAGTCGACGTTATCACTCCTATTACGAAGTCTCCCTCGCTTGGGATATATCTCTTGGAATTGAAGTCCAAGTACACCGACGTAACCCTCTTGCTGGGATCTATCACTTCTATACCAACATTTATCGGCTTCAGATGCTGCGATTTTGGATCCAAATAGATGCCTGGTCCAGTAACCACATTAGTGCGCTCAGGTATACTGATAGAGTCCCCTGGATAAATCAAGTTCACCATTTTAGAATGGTTTCATGTGCTGAATCCCAGTTAACGGAACTTCATCGCTACTGCCAGGCGCATCTCATAAATTTTCAGTGTATTCGAGTCACGTCCAAAGTGATAGCACGGTTAGTCCGAATTAGAACATGGCCTTCAATCAAAATATAGATCAAGCTAAATTGAGAAAGGAAACCTATTCTAGTAAGGTTCCACCTACGCCCTTTGCACTTGCTTTATGTCTAAATGCATAAGTTGCGCAAGTTGCTCAGCCTGTTTCCCAAGGTTTTGACGTGCCTCATTTTGATATGGACCGGTGTTTCAACGATAATCGACGTATTTATTGTCTCCAAGATTGTCGTACTCTTCATAATAGGCATACTTTTTGTTGCTTCAATCTTCACATACTTCAAAATAATTGTACTGGGTGCTGGGAGCCCGACGGATTTTCCAGATCTTCATCTGAAAAATGTACAAGCAGCCGACGAAGGACAAGAGTTCCCGCCTGAGTATTTAGTTGAGCACTCAATAACGCTTAAAACAAATGGACGGTTCAGATTTTGCAGGGCGTGTGCGGTATGGAAACCTGATAGGTGCCATCATTGTTCGTCTTGCAATAAATGCATATTGAAAATGGACCATCACTGTCCCTGGTTCGCAGCTTGCATAGGATTCCGGAATCAGAAGCTTTTCGTGCAGTTTTTGATCTATGCAACTTTTTACGCTCTGGCTGTCTTCTGTCTGAATGGTATACAGCTCTTGTGGTGGTTTAGAACAAAACAGTATGTGCGAGAAACCATCAAGATTTCGTTATTGGTTGTATGGTTGTTTTCAGTCATTGTGCTAATATCCATGCTGGCCTTCACTTCATACACAATTTATTTGGTGTGCAAGAATGAGACTACCATTGAAATGTATGAATGGTCGAATTACAAAGACCGGATGCAAATCTATAACGACAGCACGCGAATGGACCTTACTTACCAGGAGAATAGGTTTGATCTAGGGTCACGAAGGGCTAATTGGGAAAGCGTTATGGGCCAATCATGGATCGAATGGCTTTTCCCAATCATAACGAGAGCGCAGTATAGATGTCGCCACACCTTAGATGAGAAGGGTCTTTATTTCAAAGTTGGGGCACCTTTGTCTCAAGAAATTCACGACAGCATGGTGTTACAGGCCAACTTGATGAGAAGACTTACGCCGAAATCGTCATTTGACTTACCAAGAGATAACACTACAATATTCTAACCAACAGCATACCATTAAAAAACGTATTGCAAAGACTCTTACACGGCGCTTAAATCATGGAAAATAGAAATATATTACAAATGTGAATAATTGCAAAAATCAACAAACTAAGTCTATACACCTTTTACCATATTACAAAATCATGCCATCATCATAAGCCTACAAAATGAGCTTTGCACCCTGTGTTTTAAAGCCAGAACGTCACAAATCCCATCACGAGTACGAATAATCCACTTTTCAGTTGGCTAGCGGAACCATCGAAAACTGAAAAGATTGCGCTCGAACTCATTCCGGGGGTTGAGGAACCTGATGGCTGTGAACCGATCAATGCTTTATAGGTGGAAACACTCTCTGTCCCAATCGAGAAAGTCATGCTTGAGGACGTCAACGTTTTAACCGAACGGGTGGTCCCTATGCTGTTATTTGCATCCACCGAGATTGTTGATGAAGGGCTTGGCATGGATGACATACTCGCTAAGAGTCCTGCTGTACTCTCGGCTCCAAGCAAGCTCTCAATAACTGTTACTGAAGGAGTCTGCACATTTGTTCTTGAGATCACGGTTCCAGAGATCAATGTTGACATTTCAGCAGCGTTTCCTGCAGTCATTGCAAAGGATCTGGACTGACTAGCTGAGCCAGAAGAGGTTTCAGCTTGTCCAGTTTTAGTGGGAAGTCCTGTCGTCGTAATACTGGAACTTCTGTCAATTTGAGACGCAGATTTTATGGGGATATCGCTCGAGCTTTTAACGGATGTAATAGCCTGGCCGTTTCTGTCAGAAGCAGTGTAATCTTGTGGAGTTTTTGTCGAAACTTGTGACCACTCGGTTGTGACAGGGTACCAACTAGTATATTCAATCACCTTTCCGTTACTTGTCGTTGTGAAAATGACGCTAGTTAAATATTGGCTGGTGAAGAATTTCGTTGTAACGCCGCTCGTTGGCAGGTTAGCGTTTGTGAGTATCGTGCCGGTGTCTGCTTGAGATACTGCGTTCGCAGAAGAAGTGAGTGTTGCGACTGGGAACCAGCTGGTGAAAACAGTTTCTTGGCCGTTTTCAGTTGTTGTAATGAGCTTGCTTCCAGATTCGGTTCTCACCAAGCTATTCACAGCGCTTGAGCTAGTAATGGTTGGAAAAGCACCGCTCGAGCTCGACGACAGCGTAGCGACGGGAATCAAGCTTGTGAAAATATCATACTCTCCGCTATCAGTTTTTGTGACAACTGTGTAGGTAAGAGAACCATTAATGGTCAATGCAGATTTTGTAATCACTGTATTGTTTGAGTTCGCCGAAGCGTTCGTCCCGTTTGCAGCGATGGTAGTAGGAGAACTCAAGGAACCAGTGAAAGTTGTGCTGACCGTTCCGGAGCTGTTCGTTGAGGTTGTAGGCATTATGGTTGGGGCAGCCATTGAGCTGTTTGAAGCACTAATTGTCGAGAACCATTGGAAATCTGTCATCACAGAGACTGTCTCACCAAACTCGCCCACATTTGCTTGGGGGATGAGATAAACGTTTTCCTCGAAGATAATGGAAATTTCTCTTTTATAAGTACTGAGCGTAGGATATCTCAATGTTGCGACAATTTCTGCAGAGTTCTTCGATGCAGGTTCGCTAAAAAATTTAAAGAGAAGTGCTCTCCCACCACTGATCTGGGTGCTCACATTAAGATTAATACCATACTGATCTGAGTTATCAGTGTAACCTGTAAAGTTTACAGCCTTTGTTGGATTGTTAAATCCATCCACAGCTGTCACAATCTGAACATTGGTCATCGAAGGGTCGAATTTAAAGGCGTCCGCATCCGAAAACGTAGCAGCAAAGTTGAGAGATCCCGGATACTCGGAAAATGGCACTTCGAGCGAGTACCAAATACGACTGTCTTGAGTAACTCCTGCGTTTGTTGATGAGACCGTTGAACTTCTAGCGGCGAAATTGAGAGTTTGGACGAAAGGCTTGCCGCTAGAGACATCAAATGTATAATCAATGTTTCCAGGGGAAGTAATTGCATCAGCTGCGCTAGAGGAAAGCTTAGTTAGAAAGTTGAAGGTTGCAGTGCGGTCATTTTGCCCGGCAACGCTAGGAATGATAGTAAAGACGTTAGAGGAATTGTAGGTCACAGAGCCTGCTACATTTGAACCATCCATCAAATCGAAGGGACCGGAGGGCAAATTCGTGAATTCTGGTGGTACAGTCAAATAGAGTTCATCAGAGAAATTGGCTGACAGGTAAACGCCAGCCTCGATGAGAAACCAGTGGTTTTTGTCGTCCGACGTATTTGTTCCCGTCTGGGCATCTATCAATTGAACGCTTGATAAGAAACCCGTGGAGGTGGGCGTTATTTGGCTTAAAGTTGTTGACGAGGTAGTTTGGTTTCCATAGGCAGCCCTGGTGGCTTCGAATAATGTCGTGAGCGCCAGCAGAGCTGTGGTTTTAAGTGACACCATGATTAATATCCTTTGAAACCTTCAGCGAGTATCAAAACTGATTTGTTGTGATAGAAACGTGCCATCCCCATAAGAATTTCTATTACGATCTCAAACCTGGTGTTTTTATACCTGCAACATACAGGCCAGCAAAATCGCTTACAAGCTGGTAGTTTATTACCATCTTCTATAATTATTCGACTATTAATTTCGCTAAGCTAAATGCATTGTCGTCTAACAGTCCATGGGATGGAAATACGAACCAGCTACATCGACACCTTCCATTTCCTGAAACAATTTTCTTTAAGGTAGATTCTTGATCTCGATGCCAGCCATCTAATTTTTTCGGTGAACCAGGCTTAACTTCAAAAATTAAGCTGACGCCATTAAAAATGGAGAACTGAATTGCAGGGACCAGCCTTTAATCGTAGGCTTTTCCGTCTGACAATTTCTGAGCATCGCACTGCTCTCATTCCGATTTGTAAGGATTGAAACCAGGCTCCAAATGTTGCCGATCCTCGTGGGCGTTGGAATCACGACTATTGCGCTTGCAGTTAGATCAGGATTCCGGGCCTGGAGTGCCTTCAAGAGGCTTACCCCATCAATGATTGCGCAGCTCAACGGGGTCAAATTATCTAGAGATGTTGGCGGCAGCAATGGCCGATTCCCCAGTAAAATGACCTCCGAGCTCCGAGCTAGGCTAGATCGGTATCCTGGCGGTTTCTCTGCTCGAATGACCGAGGCTGAAGCCCTATTAATCCTAGACATTAGTCCTGGTGATATTCCTTTCCTCGATGCACAGATGCTTAAGAAGAAACACCGCGGTGCTTTGATCCAAAATCACCCAGATAGAGGAGGAAGTCCGTATTTGGCTATGAAAGTCAATGAAGCGCGAGACGTGCTACAGAATAGTATCATGTTAAAATGTCGATGAACCGTTCAAACTACAGAGGTGCTTAGGCCTCTTGCGAGAGGTCTATGCGTTTACGAAAAGACCCAGGTCAGCAGACTTAGACGCTAATTGCATTAAAGCCTGTAGACCGAAATGCATTTTTAAAAGCAGAATTCGACTAACCTATCGATTCTAACTGCTGGGTGCCATGGTGATTTGCATATGGTATTTTAGTTCTCATCTTGCTTGTTGTATTGGTCTCGCATTCCAGGTGACGTATCATATGACGATGCTAGACTAATTCAAGCAGGATGTTAGTTCATCAAAGGTATCGATTTTAACAACACCGATGACGGTCATCTCTAGCCGAGAGACAGTTCATGCTAAAGTCGAATTCCACTTCAAAAATCCCTTTGAGTGCTCTTTGTCTAGTGATTTGTTCTCGCAGTTCTCTAGCGCCTCAATTGCTGAAGATGAACTTATCAATGGTCAAGGTAGCCTGTACGTCAATGTGAAGCTTGTCGGCTACGACAGGTTCCCACAGGCTAAGATTTTCCAATGCCATTGTGATTACAATATGGGACTAGAGACCGTGAAGCTTCCTGGGTCTTTGTTTGGAATTCAGGACGGATTACCGACAGTGGACAGGTGCGAAATATGGGCGCTGGATGGCCCTTTGAAGAGTTTGACATGCATGGTTCTAGCAATACGCCCGTCACTCTTTAAGAAACTTTCTCAGTTATCAGACTGGGGTCAAAAGCTCGATTTTCTCAAGTTGAAGTGCAACTTGAACGAGTCTCGAGTATATCATGAAGGAGATATCTTGTGGACCTCCTTCTGCAGGATCAGTGATTGCTTACCTGACACGCAAGGTTTTATCGGCTTTGCAAGCACAAAGATTGTTCTACATAGCGATGAGAGCTTTTGCAGCGATCGATCGCATTTAGATGAAAAGAATTTGAGTAACCTTCATCTTCTTTCTCCAAACAACATGTCTATTCAACTTCGGGGACTAAATCATCCGGTTCCCGAACGAATGCTCCGTCCTACTCCTGGCAAGCTGGATGACGATAGCATGTTTGTCTTCGCTCAATACCAAACCCTTCTGTATCTTGGAGTCACCAGCGGCTCTCACGTTTTGATAAAAGCTAACGGAATAACACGGGTGGTCAAAGTGTTTCTACTTCTAGAACCAAACGACTTCGAGAAAGCGGCGTTGTTTGCTGGCCCGCGCCTGATAGCCAGCATTGGGCCAGTCAGTGAAGTTTCCTTAGAAAATTGGACTGAGAGTTTGCAGCAGATTCCATTAGCAACTTCTGTGTCTGTTGCTCGTGTTCTAAGCTGGAATAATTGCCAAAAGGCATTCGAAACTGTGATTTTGAACAACCTTACTCAATTTCTTACCAAGAAAAATCGCATTTTACACTCAGGGGATGTTATACCTATTACCTTTGACAGTAATCAGGCCCCCTTTTTTACAGAATTGCAGCTATCGAGAGAACTGGAAGGTTTGAATGATTCTTTAGCATGGTTTAGCATCGAAAAAGTCCGCACTGAAGATTCGCAAATATACGACGGTCCTTTCATGATAGACAGTAAGCATACGACTTTAGTGACGGAAAAACTAAAGCCAATGCAACCATTAAAATCTTCCTACTCCGATTTCTTATCTTACCATGGTCTTGAGAGACCCTTTATATTTGATGAATCGGCCTTTCCATACGCAAAGAAATTTACAGACATCATAGCTGTAGGAGCTAGGCAAGTCATCAAGGCTGCGAGTCCTGGAACTGCCATCCTTTTGCATTCTTCCACACCGAGTGTGGGGAAGACGACGCTAGTCAGGTCCAGCTGCTATGCTCAAGGGTTAGAGCTTTTCGAAGTTGACTGCGTATCATTAAGCTCTAGGTCGAACAATGCGAACAACATGAATAATGTTTTAGGATACCTTAAGGCTAAAATCGAGCCCCTGACTCTTTTCAAGAGCCAGTCTATTGTTTACCTCTCTCACATCGATTCAATACTAGAGGGAGAGCATGGCCACCAGGGAGCCGAATATCAAGTTAGAAAATTGTTCGCTTTGGAGTTTGTGAAGTTCGTCGAAGAGCTAACGCAACACGGTAGTGGCTTAACTGTGGTGTTCTCAGCCAATGACGTAGACAGCTTACCCGACAGCGTTCGTGCCATTTTCCGATTTGAAATATTCGTGCCTGTCCCGGATGAAAGACAAAGGAAACATATCTTTGAGTGGTACCTGTCGAAGGAGAGGTTAAATCTCAATATTTTTAACAAATTTGAATTCGAAGTCAAAGGCGGCTCCACAAAACAACAGTTGGCTTTAAAGTCTGCTGGTCTGACACCTTTGGACATAAAATCCGTTGTACTCACTGCCAGGGCCAGTGCAGCACGTAGGAAAATGGACAGTAAACATTCCATTTTTATGAACGAAAAGAAAATCATTAACGAAGAGGATCTCTTAGGGGCCATCGAAATTTCACGAGATGAATTTTCTGACGCAATTGGTGCGCCTAAAATCCCTAGTGTGCAGTGGGCAGATATTGGCGGAATGGACATTGTTAAGGGAGAAATTATGGACACCATAGAATTACCTTTGAAACATCCAGAGTTATTTTCCTCGGGTATGAAAAAGAGAAGTGGTATTTTATTTTACGGTCCACCAGGAACGGGCAAAACGTTGCTAGCGAAAGCCATAGCGACCAATTTTTCGCTCAACTTTTTCAGTGTTAAAGGACCTGAGTTACTGAACATGTATATCGGAGAATCTGAAGCTAATGTTCGCCGTGTATTCGAAAAAGCGCGTGACGCAAAACCATGTGTTATCTTTTTTGATGAGCTTGACTCTGTCGCACCAAAAAGAGGAAATCAAGGCGATTCTGGCGGGGTGATGGACAGAATAGTCTCTCAACTTCTGGCGGAACTGGATGGCATGAGCTCTGGCGGCGATGGAGTTTTTGTTATAGGTGCGACCAATAGGCCCGATTTACTTGATGAGGCCCTGCTGAGGCCAGGAAGATTTGACAAGTTGTTATATTTGGGAATTTCTGATACTAACGAAAAGCAAGCAAATATTTTACAAGCGCTCACAAGAAAGATGATTCTTTCCCCAACTGTTGATTTCATAGAGATCAGCAAAAATTGTCCCTTTTCCTACACGGGCGCAGACTTTTACGCTCTTTGTTCGGATGCTATGTTGAAATCCATGCTGCGAAAATCGAAAGAGGCAGATGACAAACTGCAGAAATATAATTTCACTGCTGAAAAGAAACTTACACTGAGCCAGTGGTTTGACAAGGTTGCCACTACTCAAGATTTAACTGTGGAAGTGAACATGGAAGATTTCTCGGTGGCACAACGCGAGTTGATCCCGAGCGTATCTCAAGAGGAACTCGATCACTATCTAAGAGTAAAGCATGCGTTCGAGAGGGATAATTAATTTTGGCTTGAAGTGCTTGACACATTCTAATCAACCTGCAAGCATACTGCAGCACCATTCATCCATCTACAGGTTAAAAATAGACATGGCTTTCGAGAGCTCGCTCAACATTTTCAATTGCAGAAGATGTTCTTGTTGCTTGGTGATGGAAAGAAAAAGACGTTACATAAACGCGAACAACAGAAAGACAAAATTAAAGCAAACATAGCGTCTTGAATTCTTAAGATTCCAGTTATCGGAGCTCGGGGCTCGGGGCTCGTTAAAAATTTTTATCACTTAATAGCTCGCATGTGGCCTTCAAAGCACCGCCTGTTTAGTTTTGTTGGGAAAAAGTTCCCGTGTTAAACCATACCATGTAAATTTCAAATTTAAACTATCCAAATACGCTTAGCCTTTAGACCTCGCTCAAAAGTGATGTATTGGAGCTCACCACCTTGAGTTATTCTACGGGGACCTAGCTGGGTTGAAGGGCTCATCAAAGATATATCTAGAAAAGGTTACCCGCCATTGTAGAAATAGACTTGATTAATCTCTGAAATATTGACCTTCGGGACAAACCAGTTACCAACAAGGGCCCAAGTTTGCATTGCCAGTTTACTCAGGTGTTATAATCTGTTGTATCTACAGCGGGCATCAGAAAAATTCTAGCTGCCAGACTTTGAAGTACAATTGCATTCGAGCGGTTTAACTTAAGCCATGGTCTATGAGGCAAAACCTTTCGACCCTATTGTGTTGAAGGCAAATGACAAGAAGCGAGTAGCGTATTTCTATGATGCTGATGTAGGTAATTATGCCTACGGTGCTGGTCATCCGATGAAACCCCATAGAATAAGAATGACGCACTCGCTAATCATGAACTATGGTCTCTACAAGAAAATGGAAATCTATCGCGCGAAGCCAGCGACCAAGCAGGAGATGTGCCAATTTCACACTGACGAGTACATTGACTTTTTGTCACGGGTGACGCCGGACAACTTGGATATGTTTCAAAAGGAGAGTGTTAAGTTCAACGTGGGTGACGACTGTCCTGTTTTCGACGGACTTTATGAGTACTGTAGTATATCCGGAGGTGGATCGATGGAAGGTGCAGCCCGTTTGAATCGCGGTAAGTGCGATGTTGCCATAAACTATGCCGGTGGTCTCCATCACGCGAAGAAGTCCGAGGCCTCAGGTTTTTGTTACCTCAATGATATTGTTCTCGGTATCATCGAGTTACTGAGGTACCACCCGCGTGTGCTGTACATTGATATCGATGTACATCATGGAGACGGCGTTGAAGAAGCGTTCTATACGACCGATAGGGTCATGACTTGCTCATTCCACAAGTATGGAGAATTTTTCCCCGGTACAGGTGAGCTACGAGATAGTGGAGTTGGCAAAGGCAAGTATTATTCCGTGAATGTACCTCTTAGGGACGGGATAGACGATGCGACATACAAATCTGTTTTTGAACCTGTCGTCGGTAAAATCATGGAATGGTACCAACCTTCGGCGGTCGTGCTACAATGCGGCGGTGACTCGTTGTCAGGTGATCGTCTCGGGTGCTTTAACTTGTCTATGCGGGGACATGCGAATTGTGTCAACTACGTCAAGTCTTTTGGTATTCCTATGCTTGTTGTAGGCGGAGGGGGTTATACGATGCGTAATGTTGCGAGGACGTGGGCCTTTGAGACAGGTGTTTTGAATAACGTGATTCTCGATGACGAATTACCTTACAACGACTACTACGAGTACTATGGGCCAGACTACCAGCTTGACGTGAGACCATCCAATATGTTCAACGTGAATACACCGGAATATCTGGACAAGGTTCTTCTCAGCATTTTTTCCAATCTAGAAAACACCAAATATGCACCTAGTGTTCAGCTCAATAATGTGCCGAGAGATTTAGAGGATTCTGGTGATGTTGAGGAAGACACGGACATGGCAAAGGACACACGAGGCGGCTCTCAATACGCAAGGGATTTAATTGTCGAAAATGGCAATGAGTTTTAGTTCGTTTCTTGTTACACTACGTAAAGGCATTACTCAAAGCGCAAAGTCTCTATCCTCGCCAAAGAATTAAGTTGATAGGATTTTTTGGTCTTTCATCGCGGTACGGCGGCATTCGACCGTCTTGCAAGGGTGTTAACTTGAACAAGTAGATCGTCACGTGATTTGTAAGGATAAGATTGGATTTTGATATTAGAGAGAAAACATGGGCCAAGCTAACACGTTTACATAAGGTCACAAGTGAAAAGAATGGTTGTGAAAGGTCTAGGGCAATTAGATCAAGATTATAATGGATCTGAGATCCGTGTTGGTATCATTCATGCTCGTTGGAATAAGATGATCATTGATGCCCTGGTAAATGGAGCTGTTGAACGACTCAAATCAATGGGCGTTCGGGAAGAAAATATAGTGGTGGAAACTGTTCCCGGATCATTTGAACTTCCTTGGGCCGCCAAGAGATTTATTGACGCTCAGAAAGTTGCGGGAGAGCCTCTTGATGTCGTTATTCCTATTGGCGTTCTGATAAAAGGTAGCACGATGCACTTCGAGTACATCTCAGAGTCCACGACGCATGCATTGATGAACTTACAAGAAAAAGTTGGCATACCTGTCATTTTTGGGCTCCTCACCTGCTTGACTGAAGAACAAGCGCTCGCAAGGGCTGGACTAGATGCAGGTGAGAGCATGCACAATCACGGCGAAGATTGGGGTGCAGCAGCAGTTGAAATGGCGGTCAAATTCGGACCAAATGCCTTTTGAGTATATGATCGGTCCAATTGACGCTGGTTGTTCATCACAGAAGCTGTTTATACATAATGGTAAATGACTTTATAGTAGAATTCTAGCCTTCCTCCCTCCGCCTTTCTTTCTCATTAACCTGATCGCGTCGCGCTTTCTACCTTTCATCTCTTTGGTCCACGCAGCTCTCTTGTCCCAAAATTGCTCTTCCCAATTGTCAAATAGCTCTGTGGGATCCGCGCTGTTGTTCGTGAGCTTAGCGATCTGCGATTGAGCGTGCAGGAACGGGGAATCAAAGTGAGGAAAAAATAAACCCCACCCAGTTCGATGGTCTCTCACTTCTAGGGTGGCATCGTATGCGTGTGGGGCTACCATTTCACTTTGATTGTTTATCTTCTCGTCGTTTGCATGATCTATGTCCTCATCGGACTCCTCAATTAATTTAAATCCTTCGGAAGGACCTTCAGGGTTGAAAAGTCCCCTTAAAGTCTCTGTGTCATTAATCGTAGCTTGAGGTTGTGATTGTTCATCAAAATTTATGCGCTCATCCTTGAAATTGGGTGTGAACGCTAAATCATGGTCTTCATCGGTCTCGGGAGCCTGATCAGCCTTCCTGTTCACCTTTTTGGATTCATTTGCATCACAAGCTTGGTTGTCGTTTGTGTCCCCTTCCTTGAAGATTCCAGTGTATTCGTAATCAGATGATGCAGAGTCTTCGGCATCATCGTCATGCTCCAAGTTTATAGGATTGTCGAAGTCGAAAGTATTCAAAACACTATTCAAAATGTTATCGACATTGTCATTCCCCTCATCACCACTGGAACACTTTCCATCTTCTACCTCAGAGACATGCGCTTTTACAGCGCGAGTTTTGAAAGGGGCACTGGACCGGCTAAAGTCCAATTTATCAACAATGTGATTGTTCCCATCTTTCCAGTACTTATTACTGAATTTGGCCACCAAGTCTCTGAGAGGCTTATTCCTTTCATAGCCCCAAAGCTTGTTCTTGTAGCACTTGTACACTTTCAGTCTGCCTTCTTTACTTATCCTGAAGGTTATGTTTCTCAATTGAGCTTTGTTACGCTCGGTTTTCCGCATTCTTCCTTGTATCACTTCCATCCTATCGGTCCAACTTCTATTGATGTTTTCTATCTTCTTGTAATATTCCCATTCCCTCTTTTTGAAGTCTTCCTTGGATTTATCACTTGATTGGTCGATTCTCCACCTTGCCTGCCAATCCAACTTGGCCTCTTCAACCCTCAAGATATTTCCCTTGAACTTTACACCGTTAAAGCTTGCTTTTAAACCGCCAAATCGGCTATCTTCCGTAAATTCCATGTTTATGAATGCGAAATTGTCGTGACACTCGAATCGCCCATCTAAACATCGTCCGAATCTCTGAAATCGCCCATACAGTTCTTCAATACATGAATCAAACTGTTTCTGAATATTACCCACATATATGCGCTTTAGAACACCCATTTCTTATTGATCTCAAGTAGACTTTTTTAATTCCCTTAGCTCATCGCTGCTGATTCTTAGCCTAGCGAATGGGCCGCCGTTACTCTAAAATTTTCAGTCATCATGCACGACAATCAACACATTGTCAACTATGAAAATATGGCAAACCGAAAACTCTAGACGAGGCGAAGGATAGTTTAATAGTCAAGCGAGCATGGATTCTTCGGGACCTGTGGGTGATGCTTCGGCACCGTACCCGAAACTTGAGTGGCAGACAAACTTAGATATTCCTTTGAAAGCGTCGGAAGAAGTCGTTAGCATTGACCTCCAAAATGATTTGCCTGATGATCCTGCAGATTTGCGAACGCTTTTGGTGGAAGAAGGCTCTGACAAAGCCTACTGGCTTTCAATTGCTTTAGCTTATTGCAATCAAGAAAAGGTCAAAGAGTCGGTTGAATTGATTAAAGTAGCACTTGACGTTTTTCAAGGTCCACAATCGGCATGGTTGCACTCATTTTTGACTTGGGCGTACCTGAGGCTTGCCAAGGAACAAAGTCCGGATTTTCAAACCAGAGATTACAATCTTAACCAAGCCGAAATGCATTTGAAAGAGTCTATAACCATTGACCATGCATGGATTGGGAACATGGTAGCTACCGTTGACTTATACTATCAAAGGGATCTGTACGATAAGGCCCTTGAAACTGCCGATGTCTTCATCAAGAATATTCATGCGGAAGATGCAAGGAATGGGAAACAACCTAAATCGAACGTCATGTTTCTGCTATTGAGAGCGAAGCTACTCTATCAAAAGGGTAATTATACCGCAAGTTTAAGGCTATTTCAGGAACTTCTGGTCCTCAACCCTGTCTTGCAGCCTGATCCTAGGATTGGCATTGGTTTGTGCTTTTGGCAGCTCAAGGATTATAAGATGGCTATTCGGTCATGGAAAAGAGCGAAGGAGTTGAACCCTCAGAACGGTAATGTGAAGATGTTATTGCTAATGAGCGAATTTCACGAGATATTGTCAGAAGCTGCTGATGATGAAGCCTTTAAGTCGAGTTATACTCAGGCTCTCAAAAATCTTAAAACGGTTTATGCGGAAAACCCAGACAACGCGGCTCTACTGGTACTTTTCCAAAGCTACTGTTATTTTAAAGGTGACTATGAAAAGGCAATCGGCATTTACCAGAAAAAAATACTTCCCCGTGCTCAAATGACATCCAGTACCATTTTCTCGGAATCTGCTTTCTGGTGTGGGAGAGCTCATTACGCCCTAAAAAATTACAAAAAAGCCTTCCTTCAATTTCAAGAAAGTCTCAAATCTAATGAAGATAATTTCCTGGCGAGATTTGGCTTAGGGCAAACGCAACTGCAAAATAGTCTTGTTGAAGAAGGAATTTTAACTTTTGAAAATCTTTACAAGACACAAGAAAACATGCAAGAGCTGAATTACATTTTGGGACTTCTTTATGGTGCCAAATGCTTGTCTGAAGATCCGCAAAACCCGATTTCTTCAATCGAGAAACAGAAGTTCTCTAGTAAAGCAGTGCAGATGTTGGAAAAATATGTGAAGTTAACAAGAACAAAGAATAGTCAACTCCTGATGTTGAAAGCCTATCTAGTTCTTGCTGAACTTTACCAGCACCAGGGCCAGCACAAGACTTCTTTGGATTATCTCCTCAGGTCTCTCGAACAGCTCGAGACCTGTGGGGTGACTAGTCTGCCCTTTGAACTTTTGAACAATATCGGTGCTCTTTGTTTCATTAACGGAAATCCTCAAGAGTCTCAGACGTATTTTGAAAGAGCTCGTGAGGTTTTCGGAAAATCACTCGAGAATGACGGTCGTGGAATAACAATACAGTACAATCTTTCAAGAGCACTGGAAGGTCATGATGCCGAAGCAGCGCAGGGCATGTATGAAGAGATTATTAAGGAACATCCTGGTTATATTGATGCCAGAGTAAGGAGACTTTGCTTGAGATTAATGAAAGACGGGAATGATGAACTTTCTACAGATATGAGTGAGTTGATCGCTGAGTTTCCATCGAACTTGGATGCGAGGTCTTTTTATGGCTGGTACCTAAAGAATAAAGCTGTAAACACGAATGATGAAAAAGGTCAAAGCCTGGAAAGTGCTCACAATAGAGAAACTCTTGTAAAGTATGATTCTCATGATACCTACGCCCTCACGTCGCTTGCCAACTTGTACGTCACGATAGCGAGGGACAATAAAAAATCTTCTTCAAGGGATGAAGAGAAATCAAAACAATCTTTCGTAAAGGCAATTCAGCTTTACCAAAAAGTCTTGCAAATTGATCCGTTTAATATTTTCGCAGCACAAGGGCTCGCCATTGTCTTCGCGGAAAACAAAAGGATGGGTCCGGCTCTGGATATTCTCAGGAAGGTCAGGGATTCTTTAGACAATGAATCTGTGCATATTAATTTGGGACACTGTCTAGTTGAGATGCATGAATTTTCTAAAGCGATCGAAAACTATGAGATTGCTAAGAGGAGGTTTGAAAACGAGAAAAGTAAAGCATTGCTGGCAAATGTGCTGGGGCGTGCATGGTATTTGCGTGGTGTAAAAGAACGCTCTCTTGAATGTTTTAAAAAGTCTCTGGCGTGTGCTGAAGAAGCATTAAATTTAGAGAAGGCAAAGAGTGAGAGCAAAGTGGTCCCAAGTGTTTCTTTCAATGTTGCGCTATTGCATTTTCAAATTGCTGAAACCCTCAGAAGATCCACCTTCAAGCAGAGGACATCGCAAGATCTTGAAGACGCGTTGAAGGGTCTCGAAACAGGTATTTCTTTACTAGAGGAGCTTCTTGCATCCAAGAGCAACCTCATACCAGTGGAAGAACTCGAGCAACGTGTTCAATTAGGAAGAACGACTATGAAGAGTGCTTTACAAAGATGCATAGCCGAGCAAGCCAAGTTTGAGGCAGATGTGTCCGAAAAATTGGCTAACGCCCGCAAGGCCATGGAAGAAAGTGAGCTTAAGGAGCAGGAGCATCTCCGGCAACTCGACGAACAAGACAGGATAAAGAAGGACCAAGAGAATGAAATGTTCCGAAAATTGCAGGAAGAGACTCGTAAATTGATGCAAGAAAGGGCTGAATTGGATGCAATGGTCGACATCAAAAATGATGATGGGTCTCTCAGCGGTGACGAAGAGTTTAAAAACGATGGATCAAGGAAGAAGAAAAAGATTGCAAAAAGGACGAAAAAACAAGAAGGTGAGGAGGAACCCGTGAAGAAAAGAAAAGCAAAACGTATGGTCATTGGTGATGATGAAGATGGAGAAGGTGATGAAGTCAGACAAACGAAGCGTTCTAAAAAACAATTTCTGTCCAAGGAATTAATCGAAGACAGTGACGAAGAGTCGGAGGCTAACGTATCTGAAAAGGAAAACGAATCAGGTGAGCCAAGTCCGCCAAACGGCGACAACGAAGAGGGGCTGTTTTAAAACCGTTTTTTTCAAAAATCTATAAATCGTTTAGCTAGTGCAACGCGCAGCTTGTAACTTTATTTCCTCAGCATCCAGCTTTTCATATCCTTGTAGCTAGTATGACTATCGCGAAATATTCTCTTCTCGAATTCATCGAGCGTGAGCAAAAACGTCCCCGACTGTAAAGCGGGAGCCGAGTCGGCCGGAATGCTTAGAGCATGGTTGTTCACTTCTTGTGCTCTTTCTATCATCATGGTATTCAAAACGTTCACAAGTCTCCTGTCGCTGAACAAAGTTGCCCACTTTATTGCGAGTTCGTAAAAGTGGGCGCTGAGTGAATGCACATCGAGCGACGTTGGTGAAGATTTGATGGCGTTTAATACTCGCGAAGAAAATAGATCGGGAACCATTAGTTCGACGAACGGAAGTTCCTCTTCTTCATTTTCAACAGTTTCTGCTCCTATTATGGCCAAAATGCGTGCAAGCCACAAGGGTAGCTCTGCTTTCGAGTCTTTCTTTATCGGATGGCCTGCATTTCCTTCGAGGTAGCCAAGACCGGGAACACTGCAATTGAACTTGCAAGGCACTTTTGTCGAATCAGCCAAAATGTCGTCTATATCATAATAGGACATGACGTACTTGACATTGGTTTTTGATGTTGAAAGATTGATTATATAGGCTTATGTCTAACCTAAAGAAACACGCGAAAACTAGTTTTTTTTCTTGCGCGTTTCTGAAATCCATAAATCTTATCGGAGGCAGAGGAAGACACACTAACAGGTGGAGTGCTAACGGCAGCGAAGGAACGTTAGCACTAAACCATGGAATGCTGATGGGAAATCGGTACCTTGATCTTTGGTAACTGCTTTCTCTTCCCGACTCTCCCAAAATTTCATATTTCAAACATAAAACGTCGACTTCTGAGATAAGCTTACGCTAGTGACGCAAGCTGTGAGGTATACCATTGCGCAAGCACGACAATATGAACAGAACTAAAAACGTTTGTTTCTTATCAGAGTCTCTTTTACTTGTCGAACCCTTTTTCTTGATATTTGAGAAGGATGCAGGGCGTCAGGCACGATATTGTCATAATTGAAATAATGACATGATATGAGATTAAGACTCCCGCCATTTGGGACTTTTTAGTTGATGAAGGTGTCTAAGAAATGTACAATTCGTAAGAGTTCAAGCATTTTTTTTGTAGTAAGAGCCCTTGCATTAAATTGGATTTGTGAAAACCCGCAAACTTCATAGATCGATGAGCAATCTATAGGCGGTATGCAGTCTCTATCAAGCCTGTAAACGGTCTTAAAAATCAAGCAATACAGGACTTTTTGGTTTCCTGCACGTCGAAGCTTTGAAAAAATTTCGATTCATTGCGATTTTGATCTTAGTTTCAGGCAGTAATTGGACTTTCACATTTCTACGACTTCGGCCATTTAAAGATAAGTCCCAGGAAAATACCTTCGCATTCTAAGTGGCTATCTACTTGAAATCTAGATTTAAAAAAGCCGCCGGTGTGCTTTAAATTTATTTCGCATTCAAGCTTAAATTTCATCACAAATGTCCATCAACTTGGAATTCTTTGACAATTACATAAATTCGAATGAGATAGACACGCATTTAATCGAGACGCTCTCTCATCCATCGGTGACCTTCACTCAGTTCTGGAAGAATTCTCTTGAAAATTTACCAATTCCGTCTATTAAGTTTTTAGCGAAGGAACATTTTTTTTCACTGAATCAATTCACTTGGGCGATTAAAGTAGACGATTACAGTGTAAACACGACACCGAGCGGTCTACCTACCTATCAAACTTTGGTCAATTTTTCTCCTTCAATTTATAAGTCCGATTAATATCTATATCTCAATTTCCATTTATCCGAATCCGCCCGAAGTATATAAGGCAACCGCTTTTCATCTAGGGAGGTTCCGAAAATCAAAATACAAAAGACGCCCGTAGTTTCGAAAATTCAAAACGCCAAGAAAAGTGTTCACAACTTTGCGTTCAACAAGTTTCTAAAAGACGTGAAAGACGCAGTCGAAGGCGAGTTCAAAGGCGCGACCAGGTTCATCCTCTTGAAGATTCATACATACAGCCATGGTGTTAGACACGGTGGTATATCATCCTAGTGTCAGTCGAGTGATCAAACTATTGGACTCTACAGCAGGAAGAGAAAAAGTGTTACGGCTGCTACAGTATTTGTGCAGATTTCTGGGGTTTCAGTACTCGATTTTGCTAGCCAAACACTTGCAAGCGCAGTTCACCACTATCCGTAAAGTTCTCAGGTTTTTGAAACCGCTCAACCATCTTCAAGCTGCATCACGATTCTATGACAATAAGATCTCGGGCGATAATATAGCGCGGTGGTGCAACGTTTTCAAGAACGTGGCATATGCGGGATACCTCACGCTGGACCAGGTTAATCTGCTTCGTATCCTTAAATTGGTGCCTGTCACTAAAACCACCGGTGAAAGAGTGCCCAGGTGGGCTAATTGGTTCTGGTTTGCTGGCCTATTGAGCGGCCTGGTGCTCGATTTCAGAAGACTGTACGTTTCGCAGGAACGCATCAAGACTCTCATCGTGGAATCACAACCTTCCGATGAGAAGAAGCTACTACTCCAATCCTACGAAGCTAGGAAGGCAAGCTTAAGAAGACTCGTTTGGGACTCCCTCGACACCTTTATCGTTTTGAACAACCTAAAGTTCCTCAAATATCCAGACGGCTCAATAGGTCTCGCAGGGGTCGCAACGTCATTGCTAGGGCTACAAGATCTTTGGAAGGCCGCTATTTGAAGGATTAACCAGTATAGGTTCTGAACTGCCTAGCTTTGGTCAACACTATATGTTTGCACTTCGTGTTTAATGATTACTTTATAGCAGGGTTAACGAACTCGCAAGCCAGCTGTAACACTTCTGATGACTAGTATTAAAGTTTGTAGAACTGCCTATTTTGGTGAATTGTGGATGCTATAATTGATCCCCGCATCTACTCCTTGTACTAACATTTAACAAGGGTCTGATCTCGGCTTGGAAGTGCTAGTCTAAAAGGTAAATTGATGAGCAGCAGTGGATTGGAAATCCCAGTAAATGCGTCAGCTGTCAGTTCAAAAGCATCCCCAGTTGGTAATTTAGCAACCGCACCTATGTCGCAAGCTTCACAGCAGCAACAGCACCAGCAGCGATTGCTTATGCAGCAAAAAATGAAGCAACAACAGCAGCAGCAGCACCAGGCAATGCAGAATTTCGAAAATCAGTTTTATCAATTTCTAATAACCATCAACAAGAAGCCAAAGCGTTTGTATAATTTCGCTGAAGATACGGATGCGATTCTAAAGAAATATGAGCAATTCCGCCCGAGTTTCGAGTTTCATATTTATGACAATAACTACAAAATATGCGCACCGGCAAACACAAGACTGCAGCAGCAACAGAGGGTGCCGCAAACCACGAGCGATGGATTGATCCTCAATAAGAATAACGAGACATTGAAGGAGTTCTTAGAGTACGTTGCTCGTGGTCAAATTCCAGAGGCTATAATGGAAGTTTTAAAAGACTGCAACGTACAGTTTTATGAAGGTAATCTCATTCTTCAAGTTTACGATCACACAAATACCGTAGATGTCAAGCAGTCGCCTTCGCAATCCAGATCGCAGCAGAGTCCGCCTTCGAATGGAACTGAGCAAAAAGCGCCGGAGCAACAGCAACAGCAGCGACAGCAGCCGCAAGAGCAGCAACAGCCGCCTTCTGAAGGGCAGTCTCAATCTACGCCCGTGTCTGCTTCAAGTTCCATCACGAGGGCTGCAGATGCGGGGGTCAGGATTTCGGACGAGAAATCCGAGGATGGGTCTGTTAACAACGAAAATCAAAAACATGGCAAAGAGCCTATTGCCGTTTTTAAGCGGCCCAGGGTTTACAGGACTTTGCTACGTCCTAATGGTTTAACTCATTACTATGACATGCTATCATATGCTGATCACACTCGGTTTTCCGACAACATTTATCAGCAACTCGAAGCCGAAATCCTCACTATAACAAAGCGCAATTTGGACCTAAACGTGCAGCTAAGTCCATTTGAACATCAAGGTATGCTCGACCACTCTCTATTTTTGAAACCAGAATTAGATCCGGAAACCGGCAAAGTGGAGCATTGCCATCGTCCTCTTTCCTTTCAGGCCGGCACTAAAGGAGAAGTTGGACACATTGAGCAGCATGAGGAACTTCCACAACACAGTTCTACTTACGAACAAATGATGTTGATTATGAGTGAGCGAACTAGCACCACAACTATGTCAACTATAGCGGCATCACTAGCCCAAAGTGCTGTAGATCTCACGAGCAGTTCTCTCAAAGGTGGATCAGGAAAGGGATCATCTGCTTCGACCACCTCTGGAAGGGCAAATTCAAGTAACACTGTGGCAGCAGCTGCAGTTGCTGCGGCTGCGGCCGTTGGTGGAAGCACTGAGAACAATCAATTCAGCAGATTGAAATTTATCGAACAATGGCGCATCAATAAAGAAAAGAGAAAGCAGCAAGCAATGAGCGCCAACACCATGCCAAATGCTTACAACGCGAGGATTTCCATGTCTGCTCCTTTAACCGCCCAACAGCTCAAGCAGCAGCAAATAATGCAGCAACACCAGCAACAAGCGTCTGAACAGCAGAGATCCGTCAATAAGCGAGCAGCTGATGACGATAAAGCCAAACCTAAGAAGTCAAGAAAGGCTACTAAAAAAGCGGCACCTTCAGCCACATCTGCGGGCGCCGCAGATGCAGGGAAGAAGAAAAGATCGACCAAGAAGAAATGATGGTCTGTAATCTAAGTTTTGAAATCCTTAATTGTCAGTAAATAGTAAAATTACTAGGTGAAGGTTGTTTTCGGCTCATTGTCTAACAAATACTTGATAAGCTCGTAAACGTTATTTCTATCGGGAACTGTATGTATCCATATACCAAAAACTTCATGGCGCAGGTTTTTGATGATCACCAAATCGTCTTTGACTTCCACCTTCATGCACTCCAGAGGCTGTTTTGCTTCTTCAGCCCCGGAGAAGAATTTTCTTTTGTTGATCACACTGTTAGCCGCAATCCCCAGAGAAAAATTCTCTGGATTCATTCTATTGAGAATTATGAGACCATAGTTGTAAATGTCCCGACCTTGAAGTACCTCGTTAGCATTTTCGGTAACCGTTTTTGTCCCTATGGTCGAGAAGTCCTTTTCTACAGCCGGCTCTTCAATGCACGGTAAATCTGCCCCATCCGATATATCTCGTAGGTAAACGGCCAAAACGCCTTGGAAATCAAGCCTTATCCACTCATCTTTCTCGAAATCCCATTTGTAAACTGAGGCGTGTGGTGTATGAAACAATAGCTGCTTTATCTTGGGGTCATAACGGCCTATTACATTAAAATTTAAAGCCTTTCGATAGAAGTCCAGCGTCATTTCAGAGGACATGGCTTCTTGATTCGACACCATTACGTTTACTTGTTAGCTATTCAGAGGGAGCGAGTAAAAGTTGACGACGCACTACTTTCATGCTCAGAAATATGCCACGTGACTTTTGTTTTGATGAGAGGCTGTCTAGTTTCTAGGTTATGCCTAGTCCTTGCCGCAATAAGAGAATTGGATGCAATTGGGTGGCATTTAGCAGGTGGACTTAATGCAATTTGTCAATAAGCTCGCTCTGTTTGTACGTAGTCGATGTACAATTCGAGCCACCAAGCAAAGATTGAACCGCTTAGATAACGAATTTCAATCAATTCTCAGAGCGAGCCAGTGAATTTCACGATTCTCTCTAGGAGATATATGCGGAAACATTATATTGACTGAGACACCAGGCTATGATATGCGTTCGCAGGGAAAAGGCTTTCATCCTTCATCTAATTATCTGTATCAATGTTTTAGGAACTCCGCTTTTTAGATGTGTGTAAGGCATATTCCACCCATCAAAGGTCTTGAAACAAGCCTGAATCAGAAGGTGATTTACAGATTGATAAACAATTCTGGGGCTGGGTTTTTTTCTTTGCGCGAGCGCTCTCGCATTAATCAAGCAAAAGCCTAATGTAGCCCAACGCCTAGGCTGAAGGCTATTTCAGGGGGTGAATTAAAAAATCGCCCAGCAGCAATGTTATATTAGGAGCTAAAATGATATGATTTCACTTCAATTGTTCATTTTACCAAAATTTGGCGTTGCTATTTCGCTTTGATGTCATTCGGAAATGATTTACTTGGTGGACTCTAAGGATCTGAACGAGAGGCGTTTTGCGAGACCACTCGCCGTGCTATTTGCTGCCATCGGCAATTGACGGCGATTGTTGACCTTCAATATTTTTATTGCACTGACAATGGCTGTCAAGTATTCACTTCGAGAAAACCGTGATTTCAATTCTCAACAGGATGATTCTTTGCTAACGAAAGTGTTCCTGGTGTTATCTTTTGCCATAATCATTGATCAACTTACAATTTCTCTAATTATTTGTATGCTCTTCAAACGAGCGGCATGCATCTTGAATAATAGAGGCAACTGTAAGTACCTTCTCCTCCTCTAGTCTTCTGCATACGACTTGAATACATATTGGCATTTTATCGAACTTTTCTGCTGAATAATAACCAAATTGCATGGCATCGAGTTCGTTAGCAGGCTGATAAGTCGCATCAGGTAAATCGATAGCCTTATCCACATAGGTGACAGGTAAAACAACTGAAGCGCAGTCTAACATATTGAAAGGGACTGTATAATTCTCGACTCCAAATTTGACTTCATTCGCTCCGAAAGCTGCAGAGGGCCACACAGGACAGATTATTGCATCAATTGGTTCACCCTCTTGGGTTAAAGCGGCACTTGCATTCCACTTCTTAAAAAACTGCTCCCTAAAGAAATTTTTCTTCTTTACGAGCTCCCAACTCTCAGCAATAGATAAAGGCTGAGGATCGGCTCTACCGTTCAAGCAGCTCTTTCTAGCAAGGTTCATATATTCTAGTATTGGCTCCCCAGATAGTTTCAGAGTCTCTTCGACTTCTTGGTAAAAGTCGGCACCATATACCTGATCGGCAGTTTCAAGGAGCTCCTTTTGAAGTGGAAAATCCCACTCCACAATTTCGTGCCCTTCTTTCAAAAGTGATTGGCAAGTCTCTTTCAATGCGCGGATGACAGGCGGGTGAGGCATTACAAGTTTATCCCATAGCATCAAACCTATTCTCAACTTACGTTGGCGAAGAGAAGATTGATCTCTCCAAGGAATGGGGACAACTTTGGGATCCTCGTCCCAGGTATGAGAGTCAACGACAGTTTTCGTGAAAAGCTGCAGATCTTCAAGGGAGGCGCTTAAAGGGCCAATTACTGATTGAATAATTTCTTGCCCTGCATAAGAATTGGTGACGTCCATGTAAGGTATTCTGCCGTTCGAGGGCCGCAGGCCATAAAGGCCTTGGAACGCGGCAGGAATACGTATACTACCACCAATATCCGTTCCAACTCCTAGAGGAGAGCCGCGCGCCCCTATGAGGGCGCCTTCTCCTCCAGAGCTACCCCCACTGGAGAACTCAATGTTGACCGCATTTAGGGTTATACCATGCACATTCGATACGGTTTCCGATGCAAGCATTGCAGTTGGAACAGCAGTCTTGACATAGAAAATAGCGCCCTTCTCCTCCAGAGCCTTCGCAAGAAGGGACTTCTTTTGGCTTTTTTCTCCTATGTAAGAAACGTATCCAATCGTTGTTTCGATGCCTGGCAAATTAACTTGATCTTTAAGAGAGATGGGCACACCGTGGAGTGGTCCAACGACCTCGCCAGTCTGTTCCAAGATCCGGTCCAGCTCCTTGGCTCTCTCTAGAGCAGATTCGAAGAATATTTCGACGCAACAGTTCAAAATCTGGTGAGCTAACGCTGCTCGGTGACAGAAGGCATAGCAAACATCGGAGCTTGTCAGCTCTCTCCTAGCAACTTTAGTGGCTATCTGGCAAGCGGTGAGTTTGGTAATTTCATTCTCTGATTCTGGCAAAACTTCATCAAGATAAGTAGACACCTGAGAGTAAGGCCTGTCTCTGAAATCAGTAAGGATTTGATCTTGAACCCAAGCTTTCGGGATCTTTTCAAAGGTTGTTCTTTTCTTCTGAGCTACTTTCTCTTGCCAATTTCCCATTTGCTGTTCTTTCGGCGGATAGCAATTTCGGTCGTTTTCATATTCAAAATATCGCTTTCCGAAGAGTGAAGATGATCTGCTATTTAAATGGCGCTCACGAAGGTTCAGTGGTTGCACATATGATAATGTCGATAAGAAAATTCCGCTAAGGTAGCACGGCATTAGACTCAGATCACTTTTTACTATTCTGTCGTTAACTAAATTTTTCAGAAAAGATGGATGTTTGCTATGTTTGCCTATAGGTCAAGGAAAGAATGAGTCGACGAGAGATGTTCATCGGAAATGTCAAGGCTAAAGCGGAGGAAAATGACAGGTGATGACAAAGAGACCCCTGAACGAGATGTTCAGTTTGATGGTTGCGCTTTTAGTCATGCTTTCGAAAAACGTTGCAAAACACGGAATTCACTTTGCCGCTTAGGCATGAAATGGCAAGATTTTTTTTCTTCGTTTGCGAGGAATTAAACGAGAGAACATCAAATAAAATCAAGCAAGTAACTGGAGATTAACATGATAATAAGAAATGAGCCACGGAAATGGAGCCGATATTATCTCAAGGTTACGGGTATGGTTTTGCTTTGGGAATTGGAGCAGGGTTCGCTTTTTTGATGGCAGTTATTTCGAAACTGTTATCCACGAAGCTGGGCCAAACTCAAACTTCTGAAAGATTTTCTACTGCGTCCAGAAGCGTTGGATCAGGTCTAATCGCATCATCTACAGTTTCGGCATGGACTTGGCCTGCAACACTTTTAGTTTCTGCTACCTGGTCTTATGTTTATGGCGTTAGCGGCGGCTGGTTATACGCCGTGGGCGGTACCATACAGATCACGTTGTTCACGATGTTGGCAATTCAAATTAAATTGCATGCCCCATCAGCGCACACAATATCTGAAACTTTACGCATTCGATTTGGTGCTGTGGGCCATATTGTTTACCTCTGCTACTGTGTAGCTACAAATGTGGTCGTGTCTTCCCTTTTATTGTTAGGGGGGTCACAAGGTTTTGCGGCTACAACAGGAATGCATAGTGTTGCGGCGAGCTTTCTTTTACCACTTAATGTCATCGCATACACTGTTTTAGGCGGCTTAAATGCAACTTTCATTTCAGATTGGGTCCACACGGTTATAATCTACGTTGTGTTGATCGTTTCAGCGTATCGAGTTTATTGCAGCTCACCTCTGATTGGGTCGCCAGGGAAAATGTGGGAGCTTTTGAAAGAGGCCGAACAACTGTTCCCAGAGGCAGCCGGTAGCAGCTTTCTTTCCTTTAAGAGTAAAGACCTAATTTTACTGACTTGGTCAGTTATGCTCGGAGGCCTTGCTTCCGTTTTTGGCGATCCAGGTTACTCACAGAGAGCCATCGCATCAAATTCCTCCAGTGTATTCAAAGGTTATATTTTCGGGAGTATCTGCTGGTGCGCAATTCCTTTCGCTCTAGGGTCCTCTGTAGGACTTGCCTGTCGAGCCCTTTTAGGTAATCGAGCGTCGGTGACGTATCCCAACCCATTGAGTTCTCAAGAAGTCAATTCTTGTCTCCCGCTAATTTATGGTTTGGCTTCAATTTTCGGTAAGAGTGGCGCAGCCGCGGGGCTTTTGATTCTCTTTATGTCTGTTACATCAGCAACGTCGGCGGAATTGATTGCCTTCTCGTCAATCAGCACTTACGACCTCTACCGGGCGTATATTCAACCTAATGCGACAGGCAGACAGCTCGTGAGAATATCTCATATAAGCGTTTTGGTTTTTGGCATTTTTACGGCAGTCCTCGCAGTTGTTTTCAACTATGTTGGGGTTACCGTGTCTTGGTTACTAAGCTTTACTGGTATTTTGTTGAATCCAGAAGTCCCCGCCGTTGTACTTTCTTTATTTTGGCCAAGAATGACGAAATGGGGACTCATTTTTGGTACTCCTTTAGGGACAATATCAGGAATTGTTTGTTGGCTTGGTGCAACTTACAGATACGCCGACGGCGTGGTGAACAAAAATACAGTTATGACAACAGAGGCAACATTTATTGGGAATATTGTAAGTCTATTTTCTGGTGCCTTTTTCATCATCTTGATTTCTTTACTAAAGCCTGAAAAAGGCGTCAGCATCGCAGAAATTGAAAACAAGCTCATTCTCGCAGATGATGGGGAAATTGAACTCAAAAGTGCTGTGAAACTGAGCGACGATGAGAAGAAAAAACTTCGCTCTCAAAGCAAAATTTGTGTCTTTATCAATCTATTCGTTTTGCTCGGAGTTTACATCGTGCTGACCTGTGTGTTGTATGGTTGGGGTGGTGATTTGAGTAAGGGTTCATTTACGGCCTTCATGGTTGTGATGTTGATTTGGATTTTGATTGCAGCACTTTACATCGTCTTCTTGCCTCTTTGGCAAGGAAGAAAGTCAATCCAAATCATCATGTGGTCTCTAATGGGGAAAGAGCGGCAATTCAAAGAAAATGGATATATCTCGAACTCATCCGAATCTTCACTAGTAAATGAAGTGGTCAATAAAACGTCAGAGCTCGAAAAAACTGATTATATTAAGTAAGGATTGATTTAAGGTTAATATTAAAAATTCCAGGAGCTGGGAGTATTTAGTTTTCCAAGACGGACTTGCTTACACCTCAAACAAGTTGATTACATGTGACTTTCTAATAGCGTCAGAATCAGCATCTATGATGTAAGGCTTCTTTCTTCGAAGGTCAGGCTGAAAGGCAATATAAGCATCTCGGGTAATCAAAGGGTCTCACAGCCACTCAGTTATTCATGAGACTTGTAGAACGCCCCGTGCTACAATAGGAAGACCAATCTCTCACGAGAGCGTTTACAACATTGCCGTAAAACCTTTCAACATCGATTCCGGTGACAAGTTTGGCCTTTGAAGTTCTCACCCCCTTTTTTGGGCGCAAATCCGCAGGAACAATCCTTAGATTCCCGTAGAAAGGGCTGGCATACGACGTGTCAACGGACACGTAAGCATCATAGGATTCGGTAACCAAGTCAGGGTATGTAGCAATAAAAGAAGCGACTTCGTCCCAAAATGGCAAGTTGAAAGCAGGCAGGGTTCCGTTACCAACTGTTTCTTTTACGTATCCAAAAGTCGAGTTTTGAGATATGGCTGTCAATCCCCCTGATACTGTAACAATCTCATCGAACAGCTCCTGCGTTGGGTATATCTGGCTGCTTATATTTCCAACAATTACAAGCTCTCTCCATGGAGCAGACAGGGCTACTTGGGCAGCCTCTGGATCTAGCATCAAATTGAAATCGGTATAGAGGTCGTTCGTGAAGTCACCACCGGTCGCTTGGGCAATTTGACCATCAACGTAACCGCCCATAATCACAAGTTTCACCTTTTCCGCCATTTCAGGCCACTGAGCCAAAGCAAGGGCTAAATTTGTCATAGTTCCCGCCGCCACTATAGTAACGTTTTCTTTACTGGTTTTTACTGAGTCCATTATCCATTGTACGGCTCCCGTGTTTTCGTCGTAGTTGTAGGTTGCGTTGGTTGGCACTGGGCTGGCATAATCGCCAGCCCAACAGCCTTGCCAGACAATTGAGCCGTACAATTGTTGCCATTGTTGGTAGGTGTCATTGGTCAAGAGAAGGGGTTGTGCTGCACCTTTGTAGACAGGAATGCAAGCAGACAGATTGCCTGGCGTGAGACATGATGCTGCTTCATAAGTTGCAGCATCTACGTCATAATCACCAAGAACAGTGCTTATTCCCAGTACTTTGATGCCGGCCGAGAGTGGCATTAAGACTTGCAAAGGAGTGGGTGTATCATTGTCAACTATCATGACTTCCGCAGCGGCAATGCTAGCTAAAAGACCGGTTACTGTTGTCAGAGGTGTTCTGAAGGCTCTCATTTGAAACAACTTTGTATGTCATATCCTGTAACATTTTACTCTAGAAGGACCCTTCATTCTTTGGCATTTAATACTTGAGCCCCTGTGGAGAAGTTCGACAGAAAAGTGTGAACGAAGAAAGATAAGCGCCACTATGAAATTCGGCTGTAATCTGAATTCGCCAAGGAGACTCACAGTGTTATCAAAGTCTGAATGCAGCCAAAATAAACAACTTCTGCTACGTAAAACAAGCAGTTATACTATCAGAATAATCTAATTTAAGAGGATTTTTCAGAAGAACCCTCTTCATGTCTCTGAGCGTTTCAGTCGGTTTTGATTGATGAATCTTGATAAGGGCGCTTTTCTTCCTCCATTGCTCAGCCCTTCATTCAAATTTACGTCCAAAGTTTCTATATTCAAAAGTCCTTCTCATTTAGGTATCGTCTAAGTGGCTGCAGAATTTGAAACTTTTGACAACAACAAAGGCACTTTTTAGCGTTGTATTTCTGTCACCAGTGAAAATAAATACGGATAGTGAAAGCGATTCCTTCCTTGATCAAACTCTTGCATAGAACTTTTCGTTCGCTTGGTTTTTCCTTTTAATGCCATTGGTTATTTGTTCAGATTGGCGTCTATTATCTCTACGGCTAGTAATAAAATAAAGGTGCTCACTAGGTTCAATGTAGGTCATTTGGTATCTTAAATTATATGCCCTGCTTTCTAAATGAGCTGCTCCCAAGCGCGCGGTTGCTGTCGGCATTCAATGCTCGCCCCTCTCTGCTTAAGTTCACTGAATTTTCTTTTATTTATCACGTGACAGAGATGACATTATTTGAAAATGGAGAGCATCGATGTTTTAACGAAGGGCGCGAAGTTCACTGCCTGTAGCGGGTAGTTTCAAACACCGTGTTTAACTCGAAAAGATTAGAGAGGTACTTAAGGAATATTTCGTGACTTTTCCTTTCCGTATCCTTATGTGTTTCATGTTTAGGCATTCTAAAGGAGCATTTAATTATAGATCCCTGTTTTTCTGAGGCAACAGCGCCTTGCTCTAATTTGACTTTAACGTTTCGTGCAAGGCCAGAAATTCGGACTGTCGTAATCTTGGACCATAACATTTTCTCCCACCAGTATTTATAACGCGCTTACTTAGCTTAAACCGAAGCTTCGCCAGAGACTTTATTCATTTTTTTCTTTCGACGTAGATCCAATCTCGCCTTGACGACTACGGTAAATCAGCTTTCCAATGTGCAAGCTCACGCAAGGCGTCCTTTCTTTTTTACCACTGCAAGCTATCTGGCGGTTAGAATATGTACATTTCTAAGATCTCCATGACTACGTAATTTGAGTTAACAAATAAAGGCACAAACCTTTTCGACCCAGTTTTTCGGTTCGTAAATGATATACTCTTTTTCTTCTTGATCGGCTTGATCAATCTTTGGCATAATTTCTTTACCAACCACATCCATGTCCCTGAATCTCCATTCTCTGTAATAGATTGTGCTTCCAACAAAAAGGGCAAGAATAAATCCAATTGTAACATAGCAGGCAAAAAAGTCACTTGTGTTCCAATTCCCTTTTATAAAAACATAATAGCCATTTGTCAGGCTTAAAAGAGAGAAAAATCCCGCAACAAAGAATGCACAAATGTACGACCCTCTCACAGAGAATGGAATCCTGCTTTGTATCCCAAGGTAACTGATGATGTTTTTGAAGCGAATGTAAGTCACTGAAACAAAAACCCAGCTGATGAAACCCGAAATAGTTGAGATATTAGACAGCCACGTGAAAACAATCGACGAGGAATCTGAGCAGTTCAGATAAGCCAAGAAACAGAATAGACTAGCAACAGCCGTGCTGTAGTAGGGAACACCATATTTGTTGACTCTGGAGAAAATTTTTGGAGCATCACCCTTGAGGGCCATTGAATGTAAAACCCTTGAAGCACCGTAAAGTTCTGCTGTTCCAGCCGAATATGCACTGGTCAAGATGCAAGCATTAATAATATGGGGCAAAACTCTAATACCCGCCTCCCTGATTCCAATAACAAAAGGAGAAGCAGCAGCATTGGAGCTTCCAGAGGCTATCGCATTCAGAAGATTTTTGTCATCAGAGCTCACAACAACCCCAATAGCAAGACTGCCTAGGACATAAAAGAAAGCCAACCGGTAGGCATACCGCCTACAAGCCTTTGGCATGTTGACTCTTGGATTTGTAGATTCTGCAGAGCATGAAGTCACCAATTCCGGGATCAAAATGAAAGAAAAACCACTCTTCACAATCGCAGTCCAGGTAGCTAAGAACTTACCGGTATTACCACCAGCCATATGTTCTTGGAAAGCACCTGGGTGCTTCCAATAGTGAAACCCTAAAACGTGGTGCTGGGAAGGTCCGCCGCCAAAAAAAATCACGATACTGACTATAATCAAACCTGTGATTGTCAGGATCTTGATGGAGGCAACCCAAAACTCACTTTCACCAAACACTCTCACCGGTAACATTGTGATGATAATACTGATAACGATGATTATTGAAATGAAAATGGCAGAATTGGCATCCGTCCAATATTTGATCAAAAGCGCACAAGCAGTGATTTCGGCAGGAGGAATCATGGCCATTGCATAAAACAAGTTCCAACCACACATGAACGAAACAGGCCTGTTCAAGTAGGTGCTAGTCATTGAGTACATTGATGCTTCTCCCGAAAGCGGTATTAGAGTAACCATTTCAGTCAATTGGTTCATAATTGTCCAAACAAGGAATGACATCACAATATATGAGATTAATAGTGGAGCTGGACCACAAGTACTCAAAGCTCCTCCAGATCCCACAAAGAGCCCAGTACCAATGGCACCACCCAAAGCAATCAGCTGTATGTGTCTCGGGTTTAGGCCACGGACGACTTCAGTTCCATATTTTTCAGGATCGTAGTCGCTAACAGTACCATTATCTACGTCAATTGCCTCAACGATCTGCTTGGTCTTGTTCTCCTCCAGTCTTGCTGAAAGATACGGGGAGAGCGAAACGTTTGACGTTTGCTGTAACAAATTTGACATTTTAGTCTAAAGTCAAGAAATTATCGGTTATTGACTAGCAGTTAAACGATATGTTGATCATTCAAACAGGGCCGAAGAAGCTGCCTTATGTACTGTTAAAAGCATTGCGTCTATCTAGATTTCGAAAGATTTGAGTCGATTCAGAATTTTTGTGTTTTCTGTTATAATGTCCGCATGCTTTATCTTGGTGATAAGTAACAGATAGCTCGACTCTATTTCAGTAAAAAGAAAAGCTAGACTTTTTTAGGAAGGTACAAAGTTCTATCTCCGAACTCAAGAGAGCCAATATATATGATAGTGCTTACGTGAGCATCCAAAACGAACGGCACTGTCGGCTTTTCATTACCATCTTTTACGAATTCATGAAGTATTACATATGAGTTCATTTACTATTCTTCTAGAGAACACACGGGGATTTGAAAACAATAGCTTACTTTATGGTTTTCTGAGGAAAAAGACAATAAAATGGCACTTTCATCTTCGTAAACAACTTTAGCTATGAACTAGGGGGTTTTCTAAAGAGAAACCACCTGGAATTCATCAGAGATATCGTGTTCGGTCCCTTCCGTATCTGTGATTATCATGAGAGTACCCTGTAGCTTCATCTGGTCCTCCTTGATCGAACATCATCACATAGGAGGAATTTTCTCTGTCTTGTTGGCTTTCTTAACATAGGGTACGTTGAACCTGCCATTTCAATGCAGTATTGACATTCCTGTTTCGTACCATGTGTTGTGATAAGAAAATAATAGCCTTCTGGAAAGAAGAGATAGGCACATGATAAGGGCAGATAAATTCTTCGCGGGAACCTGCGGGGAACCTAATCACTCGGAAACGTGAAGGATTGGGGTTTAGCATCTATTCGGAAATTCCGGCTTCAAGCATTCTTTCATACGGTTTTACCAAATTGGCAAGTGACTTTTTGTCGCGATAAGCTATGGGCTTTTATTGAGCTTCGCCCAGCGAAGGGACGCATCTGAGCCATATTTCTGACTTCATATAAAAGGTAGAGCACAGATTGTTTGTCTTATGAATTCAGAATGTTAGGCCAACCTTTTAGGGTGTTCGAATCGAAACCTTTTGAGAAAAATAATGCGGTTACTAACCGTCCTAACAAGGCCCTTAATGCAGGGCTCGAAATCTTTACGTTATGTCCGTCATATAAGAATTTTGAGGGAAACGCATGTGAAAGGACTCTTTAACTCAAGTCGTTCAAAGCTGGCCACAATTCTCAAATCACCCACGTTCAAGAAGTCACATGCTCTGACTGCGGGTTCAGCTACTGCAGCGGTCTTGGGCTACTCCCTTTTCGGCGCAGAAGAACAAGGAATCTCGGTCGATGAGGTTATGCTCCATAACAAGCCTCTAGACTGTTGGATTGTCCTCAATGGTGAAGTTTATGATGTCACTGCGTTTCTGCAGTTGCACCCCGGTGGTGCTTCCAGGATTATGGAAGTGGCAGGTAATGACGCGACAGAAAAGTTCTACGCTATCCACTCTGATTCCACCCTTGAAAGAATGAAATCTCAACTTGTTTATATTGGGAAATTGAAGGGTGCCTTCACAAAAGTTATGACTGAAGATGAGCTAAGAGTTCAAGAAAACAAAGCAAAGCTGCCTCCACTAGGCTGGGTTTATAATTTATCTGATTTCGAAGGAATAGCAAGAAAGATCTTGCCCAGATGCACTTTTGCTTACTTTGCTACTGGCTCTTCTGATGAGTTCACCATTAGGGAAAACCACTACGCCTACAGTCGAGTCTTCTTCAGACCTATAATATTACAAGAAACTGGTTATGACGTTGACACCTCGACCACATTCTTGGGCACCAAAGTTGACCTTCCTATTTACATCACAGCTTTTGCCGGTTCTAAGTGGGCACATCCTATGGCCGAGCTGAATCTTCAATCAGCCGCTTATGATGCTAACGTCATGCAAATGATTCCTAAGCAAAATTCTTACAGCATTGACGAATTTTTCGCACACGTTCCTGAGGATCAAAACCACTGGTACCAATATCACTTTGATACTGACGAAGACATCAAAAACGTCGGAACACTGATTCAAAGGCTAGAACAAGAGCCAAGTGTCAAGGGACTTTTTTTCAATGTCGACTTGCCCACAATTGGAAATAGGGAAAAGGATACCAGAATGAGGGCATACAATTCAGCTGAAAGTCAAAGCCTTTCGAGCATTGTTACAAGTGATAGAAATTACGCCAGTCTGTCTTGGAAAGACATTGAGAATATTATCTCCTCTACCAAGCTCCCCGTGTGCTTGAAAGGAGTTCAGAGAGGAGAGGATGTAGTCCTTGCAGCTGAAAGAGGTGTAAAGGCTGTTGTTCTCTCAAACCATGGTGGCCGGCAGCTAGACTTTTCCAGGCCACCACTTGAAGTGCTGGCAGAAGCTCAACAAATGTTAAAAGAGAAAAATCTCGATGGGAAGATCGAAATCTATTTGGACGGTGGTGTAAGAAGGGGATCTGATGTTGTGAAAGCTCTATGCTTGGGTGCAAAGGGCGTTGGACTTGGAAGGCCCTTCCTGTATGCCATGGCGGGCTATGGTGAGGACGGTGTCACCCACTTACTCGAGATTCTCAAAGGCGAGGTCGTAAACAACATGAAACTCCTGGGCGTGGGAAAGGTTGAAGATTTGAATGAAAGCCTAGTTGACGCAACTAACTTGAAATTTCGCAACCCACGCGTGAACGACGTTCTCTACGATCAAGGCTACATGCCTTTAAAATTTCCCGTTTTGGAGGAATGATTATACACAGAATCCTGTTCCTGACACCCGAGCACCCTTCGAAACATACATAATTTGTAGTAACGAAAAGTAGTCCAGCAATAAACTGCTGCCAATTTGATGCTATTATTCCTACGTACACGACCGAAATTAAGGATATCTGTATAGTTTGAGAATGCATATAGATTTGTTCTATGCTATAAGTTTTGAGGGATTAAGAATTGCAGACAGCAAGTTTAAGTTGAATGACGAATTTCACTAAATACTGTCGTCGTTAGTACTTCAAATCGTTTGTACACGAGCCTTACCAAAACCCAAATTTTCCAATGACCTAATGTTGACAGAGAGCGAGTTTCTGACGAATGCGTTGATGATGGAAATTTTGCGTACAATTTCCGCTTACGATAACATTTAAAGCAGATTAGTTTCTTTAAAATAGTTCATGGCGAAGAGCAGAAAATGATAAGGTGTCTTTCAATGAATGTCAGGTTGACCCAAGCCTGAAAATTGTTACTATAATTTGTTCTCAGGGGAAAGAAAGCACATTATGTGGAGCAAGAAAATTTGAAATTATCTCCCGCCACTGCGATGCTGTGCTGGCGCTAAGCTGAAAAATTTGTTAAGGAAGTAAAATGTATTTGTAGATAGGTAATCAAATGTGTAGGCAGCGCGGGTACTTTTTATGTGCAGGTAATCTGCTATTATCGTACTTCTGACCCAAAAAACGGGAGTTCCCGACTTACTATTGAATTGATAAAAGCTTCAAGAACCGTATCTTTATCAAGTCATGCCCGTGGTTGGTGATCAGTTTACTTACGAATTAAGGAAAATACCACGATAGGAAAGTCGAACTTCATATGGGAACCCGGGAATAGAGCAACGAAAGCTGAGTAAAATCTGCTCTTTATCACTGAATATCCATGAGGAGATAACGGTGCTTGACTCTAGGGTGAATTATTTAAAGTGAGGATTCGTGGTGTTCTACTAAAATGATCCCATTCTACCCAGTATCGAACAACGATGACAATCTCAACTGAAAATCAAACTTCTTATTTATTTCAAGGAAACGTGACCGCTCCAGGCTCTCAAGTCGTCAGTGGCAAAGGCATTCATGTTGATATTGAAAAAGATGGAGTAGTTTATGAGAATGTTCTCGATGCTGTCACCGGTGCTGCTGTCGGCGCTCTGGCGTGGGGCGACGAAGATGTTTTTGAAATCATGGACAAAGCAGCACGGGAGTCAACGTACCAATACCCATCTTTGATATCCAATAAGAGTGCCGAAGAGTTGGCGAAGTTTTACATTGACAACTCGGAAGGTGCCTTTTGCTCTGCTTTATGGTGCTGTTCTGGGTCAGAGAGTAATGAAAATGCATTAAGAATTATCAGACAGTACTACTTGGAGCGAGGCTTGCCAAACAAGGTCAAGCTCATTTCTAGGGAAAGCTCTTACCACGGATTTACTCTCGGTGCCCAATCCCTTTCTTGGAACCCAAGGATTGCACCATTTGAGCCATACCTAATGGATCGCAAGAACGTTAACATCAAGATTTCCTGTGCTTATACTTATCGTTACAAGAAAAAGACCGAAACCGAAGAAGACTATACTCATCGCCTCCTACAGGAACTTGAAACGAAGATTGTCGAGAATGATCCAGACACTATTGCTGCAGTCACTGTCGAGACGCTGCCAGGCTCTTCGCTTGGTACTACTCCTCCTCCTAAAGGCTACTTGAAGGGAATTAGAGCACTTTGCACCAAGTACGATATTATTTTCCATCTGGATGAGGTTATGTGTGGCACAGGAAGATGCAACCCCAATGGAAGATTAAACTGCTGGGAAAACTACCTAGAGCCTTCTGAAGCACCAGATATCCAAACAGTGGGTAAGACGCTTGGATCCGGTTATGTCACCATAGCTGGTGTTCTCATCGGTCCTAAAATCAGGAATGCTTACGTCCAAGGTTCTGGCGCGATTGCTGGTGGTCACACTTATTCCTGCCATAGTTTCAACTGTGCCGTTGCACTAGGCGTGCAAAAAAAGATCAAGAAGGAAAACCTCACGTCGAATATGTTCAAAATGGGTAACCTTCTTGCTGAAAAGCTGAAAGATGTCTTACTTGCCTACGATAACATTGCTGGGGACGTCAGAGGCGTTGGAGGCTTTCAGTCCATCGAGTTCGTCAAAGACAGGAATACGAAAGAGGCCTTTGATATCAGTTTGAATGTCGGTCCACGCTTCAAGGCCATTTGTTTCGAAAATGGATTATGTGTAATGGGAATGCCAGCCAACCCTGACGGGAGCTGCTCCGACCGTGCTTTGCTTGCCCCATCCTTTGTGATCAACGAGAGGGATGTCGATGAGATCGTAGAGAAAACCAACAAGTCAGTGAAAGAATTGAGTGACATCTTGAAAAAAGAGGGTTCGTGGTGATGCACAACAATAACTTTATATTGAATCAAGTAATTAGCACTGGCACGATTAACAAGGTCGAGTGTTCTCAAAATTGCCCAGCTTCGATGTAAATTTTGTCGAGGTTTTTCCTTGTCGGAGGTTGATAGGTTTCTAAATTGTTCATTCAATTCGTTCATAATTGATCTAAATAATAAAGCGGATTAGGAATTGAGTACTTATATCTCTCCGTGGCTATCTTACAACCACGACCACTTACAATCCTGTTCATATCAGCTCCTTTTATACAATTTCTGTAACATTGATCCAAATTTGGAATCCGTTACTTTCTTCAATCTAGACGGTGAATTTTCATCATACGTCATTCATCATACCACATATGATCTGATTACAATGTTCTGATGATTCTAGAACTTTCAATGGACCTGTTTTAGCTTCCAGCTCTCTCGCGGAATGCCAATCCTTTGTCCAATCCTCTAATTTTATTCTGTCATATCGATCACGTGATGATGCAATTGGACGATATCATCTCCTCGCCAGCTCCTTCCAACACTTTTTAATATCATAAAGTTGATGACTGTTTCTTACACTTTTTAGCGTTGCTTCTGAGTGTGTCTATGAATTCAAAATGACACTCAACTTTCTATATTTGCAAATTCACGTGGTTTTCAAGAATGCACACCAACCTTTTAAAGCTTTGTATCGAAGCGCTGTTCGTAACGGGCGCCTTATGACTCATTTGACACGGCACACCGATTATTGGACTACTAAAAAAGGTCGAAAAAAATAAAAAAAAATAACTGACGGGCGGGCGACAAAGGCCACCCTCCTCCCCTATTTCAAGATAAACCCCCATATAAAACCTTTTAGATGTAGGGGGGATATAGAAAAGATCCAACATCTAAATCGCAATTCAGCATATGAGTGCGTATTCGAGGGGAACGATTGATTCAGAGAACTACCAAAAATACCGCCTGACCTATCCGAAAAGCTTGTACGATGCGATTGTGGCATACCATTCGGGGAGGAAGAACAGGGCTCTAGATATAGGCTGTGGAACGGGGCTTGGAACATTTCCCCTTTTGAATCATTTTGATGAAGTCACTGGTTGTGATCCTTCAGCTAAAATGCTTGAAGCTGCACAAATTGAAAAAGGTAGGCTCCCAAATAGTCTACAAGGCAGAATAATCTTTGAAAAGGTGCTTGGAGAAGACCTTGCCGACCGTTTTGCCAGCAACTCAATCGATTTAATTTGTGGAGGCGAATCGATACAGTATGTTGACTTCAAGAAATTCTTTGAAGCCGTTCATAAGACGCTGAGGCCAGGCGGTACATTAGCATTTTGGTTTTATGCCGATCCAGTTTTTGTTAATAACCTTAAGGCAACTCAAATTTTCAAGAATTTTTGTTATGAAGATGGCCGATATTTTCAGTCAGTCTTACCTTCACAAATTGAAATTATTAGATGTTTGGGGCAGAATATTGAAATACCGAAGAGCATGTTTGAAAACATCGTCAGTGAGGTAAACTATCCTGGTACTTCAGGAAGGGGATCGACACAATTTCGGATCACAAAATGGTTTTCATTACAGGATCTAAGGAATTTTATGAGCACTTGGGGTTACTACCAAAACTGGCTTGAGCAAAACAAAGGTAATTGCGAAGACATTATTGAGGTCCTAATGAAGAAGCTGAAAAGTGAGTGCGGCTTTAAGGAGGAGAAAACATATGAGCTTGAATGGGAGACCTCCTACTACCTTGCCAGGAAAAAAGCTTCCATATGAGAAGCGCATTGGAGCTCCATAAGATCTATGGTTTCGATGGCTCGTTGGCATTTCAGTTATAGGTCAAACAGTAGTTCGAAGAGAAACTATCCGTTGAAGCGCTCATGAGTGAGATTCTTCAGAAGCGATATATGTCCTATATAGTTAACCGTGAACGGACATCTGTAACACAAAATCGCGTTACTTGTTACTATATGTCCCTAAAAGAGATATCAATGTATGGTAAACTGGCACATAGTAATTGTTTCATTCTTAAAACTGAAAGAATTAGCTCCATGTCAAGCAATGTGTTGAATTTGGCATAGAAGTATATTCTTAGCAGTAAAAACAAGAGGACAGCCTAGCCTTCCGAGGCCTTGCACACTTATACGAAGTCTAAGGCGAGATCCCAGTGCAAACTAGATTCATCATCATCTCCAATCATAATCAGAGGAACGAACCCTTAGCAAAAGAGTTGTCTTATGATGTTGACATAGCTCAACATTATATCCATTATTTGCTCGTAGTGATAGAGGCATTATTCATCGTACCTTGTAATTTGACAAGTTAATCATTTTGAAAAGTTTTTACTTCCGTCCGGCAGGTTATTAACGATGTAAGAGCCAAGGAACAACGTAATAATCTGGTTTGTCACATGCCTTACGCATCGTACACTCTCTCAACCACGAAGCAAAGATAAATTTCACAAGCCCTTTCTCTCGGTAAGGGTGACACAAATTAGACGGAAACAGCAAAACCAATGAAATGGCTATATTTACTAGACAGTAAAATATGATTCTACTTCTTTTCCACAGCAAAATTCTCGCTTAAGAGCTTGTGATGCTCCATCTGTCTCTTTTAGATGATGCAATGCCGAGACGAAAAATGTCGTGATAAAACGTTTTGTTTTACTGGCATTGATATCTTACCGCTTTCATTTGCTCCCTATGCTATCTCACGACATCCAAATTCCGATGACCAAGCCTGTAAGACCCAGGTTTGCCTAGGAGAAAATTAACTCCTTAAGCGCTTCTCAGCTGCACATGCTTAGATAATCTGTTTTGTCGTAACATCGGAATTTAACATCCGACGTCTCGAGAAAATAGCTTGCTTTTTGTTTTTTTCCGTTGCATAAACTGAGATATCGCTATCACTTAGCGCATTCTATCCTAGTTGCGCATCGATGCCTAGATTGAGAGGTCCCCGATGCTCTAGGCGTTTGCTGGTATAAAAATCTGCCTCTCTATGTGACTTGGACTGTCTCATCTTCATCTGAAATATGGAACTAGCATGGCCGAAGAACTTACCACACCTCAGGTAGTTAATGATTTAACGGACTTTCATGATTGGAAGGAAACTGTAAAAGATGTTTTTTCGGGAACTGCAGGAGGTGTAGCGCAGGTCTTGGTTGGTCAACCGTTTGACATAACTAAAGTGCGTCTTCAAACTTCAGACGGAAGAAGGACTGCTATCAATATCATAAAGGATCTCATAAGGAACGAAGGCATCTTGGCTTTTTATAAGGGCACAATGGCCCCGCTTGTTGGCGTTGGAGCATGTGTTTCCTGTCAATTTGGTATCAATGAGGCCATGAAAAGGTACTTTCGACAGAAAAACGGGAATGGTGAAGGACATCTGTCATTACTCCAATACTATGCCTGCGGTTTCACCAGTGGGTCCGCGAACGCTCTTTTGGCAACTCCTATTGAGCATGTCAGAATCAGGCTACAGTTGCAGACAAAGCTTTTGAAGGATGCTGAGTACAGGGGCTCCTTAGATTGTTTTAGAAAACTTTTACGGCAAGGATCTTTGATGACGGGTTTCTTCCCAACACTGATGAGGACATCACACGGCTTTGGTGTCTATTTTCTCACGTACGAAGGTCTTGTGGCCCATCAACTGAGCTACGGTATTGAAAGGAAGGATATACCTCCTTGGAAGGTTTGTGTTTTTGGTGCTGCAGCAGGAGCCTTATTCTGGGCTATGACCTATCCTTTTGATGTTATCAAATCCGTAATGCAGAGTGACAAACTTAATTCCCCCGCCTACGGATCCAATGCCTGGCAGGTTGCAAAACACATTTACCGTGAGAGAGGTTCTAAGGCGTTTGTGCAGGGATTCACGCCTACCATGTTACGATCTCTCCCTGTGAATGGGGCTACTTTCGCTACTTTCGAAATGACCATGCGACTGCTCAAATAATCGCTGAAATCTTACGCATTAGAGACAAGTTTCACAATTTCTAGCATTTTTGAACTTCAAATTTATTCATCTTCCTCCAGGAACACTATTATAGAATGATATACTTACTTAGCAGTTACATCAGTCACATTATCGTGTCTTTACCGCATCTAGGATGATGTATGAGCAATGCTATGGCCACTGGATTTATTGCTGAGACCTGGATATCCTTCGAGCTTTCGAAGGGCTGGGACACGTCTCTGAAGAGAATCGCACCTAGGCCAGTAACCCTCAAGCTCGAATATGGCTTACTGAGCAATCTCGGTCCCGGTGATAAAGTGGTCAACTTGAAGCCTGTCTCCGCTATTAACAAGTATTGAGACCTACGCTGTTAAATCTATCGGATCCTAGCAATGTTCTCTGTCCGCTGAATTATTAAAAAGTAAAAGTCGCTAATTAGCGAAGAATGGCGGCATTTTAATACAATTCGTTGATGGGTGAAAAAATGCGAAGAGACAGGGTTGTACGGGAAACCAAAAGGCATCTAAAATCAGAAGCGCAATTGGAGACGATCGCTTGATCAAACTTAAAGCAGGTGAAGTTGCACGGTTTAGGAAGGCGAAGAATGTTTCAATCAAGCTCATAGAATTTTACCAACTAACAAAAGAGCTTCTGGTCAAACTGTGCCTAATTGTTTTCAGAACAGTAAATTGAGCATCATGCCAGAATGTAAAAAATTCTAGATGCTAAACTTGGAATTTGGTTTTCGGAATGCAACTGCGACTTAACTTGAATTGATTTACGTTTGGTGTCATCTATCTTAGATGAGACCCCTATGAATATATCTTGTCATAAATGGGACGATCTTTCGGGAGAACTACTGTTCCCTGCTGTTCCTTAAGGCGGAATTGGATAACCTTCAGCAAATTGTAAAGCATCGTGAGAACAGGCGTCTCAACATGCAATTCCTTGGCAACAAGAAGAAGATTACCCAATATTACCTCTAGTTCAATAGGGTTCCCCTTTTTCACGTCTACCAGCATGGACGGCTCAAACCAATCCCCATCATCGCCATGAATTGTATCATTGATCACGTCAGCTGGAAGATCTACACCATCTGCCTTGGCAACAGCAATGACCTCTTTCATAGCGGGTATACACAGGGTCTCTAATCCACCAGCAAATTCCACTCTACCGGTATCGACACCCGTAATCGCACAGACGGTGTTCATCGTGGCGTTATAGACAAGTTTGCGATATCTGTGGGTTTTGGTATCTGGCACATATGTGCAGTTGTTCTTGTCATTTTTGTAGATAGAAATATAGTCTTTAGCCTTTTTTTCCTGAATCCTTTTAGGCAGATGTGGATTTTCAAAGAACCCAATGAAAGACTTGTCAGACTGTGTTTGATGTATTGCACCTTGACTGTTGTGCGACCCGATGTAAGTCACACTTGATAGAATGACATTTTCGGGGTATTTGGCAAAGAACGGACGACCTAGGTCGAATCCGTTTTGGACCAAAACGACCACTGTCTTGCCCGGGGTAATGACCGAATCTGCTAATTCTTCGACTTTTACAATATCGGGTAAGTTTTTTGTGGCGATAACCACAAAATCAAATACCACACCACCCTTCGAAGCAGCTTCAACTGATGGAAAGATTTTTGAGGGCTTCCAGCCTTTGACAGTACCATAGTCTACGGACTCAACGTCATAGCCCTGGCTTTTTACCTTTTCGTAATCTCTTCTGACCACAATTGCGAGATTTGATTTGTTTAAGTAGTCAATCCCATATGCGACAATTGATCCTACACCGCCAGTACCAATTATCAAAACGTTAGGAACGTGGGACATATTAACGGACTATTTTTTATGTTCGAACTTGAACAAACCTATCTTTAATCAATGGGCGAATACCTTCATGATTTATACAACGAAATTTTATTTTTATATTCCAATCATCGATCGCTCACTACTTTCTTATCGAAACCATGTTTTTAAATCCGAAATGTGCATGATAAGCGCTAACGCCAACTGAGCTACCCTATACAGAAGGTCGTAACGAGGATCTCATATCAAAACTTACGAGGTGAAATCAAGTTGAACGGCATCCATATCCGGGGGTCATCACAGAAATTCTTTCGGGATGAGTTATCCGACGTCTCTGTGCTACGCCGTTTCAAGAAAGAAGAACATGACCACTCTTCTTCCCAGGCCCCAGGGCACCGAGGGGTCTTTATCAGGTTTCGAGCCAAATTTCCTGGTGGGGCAAAATCATCAACGAGCCTAGTCGGATATGAGTATATCATGGGCAAACTTTTTTATTCAATATAAGTAACACATCAAGCCAAAAATTTTAGGTGTAACGCCAGTGCCATTCAGCTGAGTAGCACGTTGAAGGTAGGAAAAAGGAGGCAGAATATGAGGTACACGAAGAGTTTATTGCTCCGTAAGGTCCTTGATGTTTGGGCATGAGCTGGCTTTACGTGATTATATTGAATGATACGTGCTAAGCTGTGTTCGTAAACTGATCTTCAAACGACAACTATAAACGTCCTTGCCCTCCTCCAAAAGTGTATCGAGCTTAAGAACAGAGCGCCGCAAGAGGCAGGATATACTGAGAGCACTAAAAGTCGACCGTCTAGATCACTGTCCCTCCGGCGAGCGAACTGAATTCCTGTATGGAGCCGCGCATCTAAACCCCGCGTTTAAGACTGTTGATACCAGGTACAGTTATAATTTTAACAGATATAATTGTGATTGTTGGAAACCAAAGAGAAAGAGGTACATAGGGGAGTTCATATTGGCACTTTCACTTATAAAAGGCCTGGTCGCCGTAACAATCCTTGATGATTGTCTTTCGCGTTAATTACACCACGGCCACAGCCCCGAATTTTAAAGTTGAGGGAAGATATTTTTTTTCCGTTGGTTTTACTGCAAGACGCGAGCGGCGAGAAGCGGAATAAATCACCGGGAATCTGCAAAACACCGAGATTAAATTATTGTCGTTATCAGTGATATTAATAGAAATCACATATAACCTCGAGGAAATTAGAAGGCCTGGGCTATGTTATACACCAGGCATTTGCTGAGTCATCAAGCGACGATCAATGGCAAAGGCCAAGAAAGGTTTCTGCATTGCTTGTAAGAGAGAAGGGTTGAATTGCGATAAAGCAAAGCCACGTTGCGCGAAGTGCAAGGACAGGAAAGTGAAGTGCCTTTATGCCTTAAAGCTATCATGGGGAGGTAGACCATACAAAAACAAAAAGGTGGAATCAACTTTGCCCAATACTGTCTTCTCAAATGGAGCACTGGTCGTGAAGAAGAACGTGCTACCCGGCAACGATCGTTCGGTAAAAGCAAAGCAGTTTTTCCGCTTTGACCAAAGCTGTCATAAGACTGCGCGAGACTACCCTAAAATGAAAGTATGCGACTTGAAAAAGACCGCGCCTGAATGTCTCTCAGCTGAAGTCAATGCTTCCCCGGAACACATTATGAGTGTTCAGAAGGTTCATTATGCCCCGAACAACATCTATAAAATAAAAATGGTCAATAAAGATCTCTCGTGGGAGCATATGACTCTCTTCAAATTTTTCGTGGAGGAAACGTGCGATTTCTTCGTTCCCATAAGATCCAAAAGTCATATTAGTCCTTACCGAACTACCTTACCCCGAATGGCTATGCACTGCTCCTCTCTTAGAAAGTTAGTCATTGCATTTGGCGCCAAACATCGGAAAATGCTCAGTATTTCCGAGGAAGAGAACAAATATCAATCTCTAGATGACGTCGGGGATCACAGCATGAATTTTGAGAGCATCGGAAACGAACTTTTGAAGCAGGCGTTACGTGAGCTGGCAGATAAATCAATGGAAAATGCGGATTTTAACGAAGAAACGCTGGCAATTGCGTTGCTGATGTCAAATCTACATATATGTTTCAGTGACGGAAGAGGTGATTGGAGAACGCATTATCATGAAGCAAAGGAGCTGATTAGGAAAAAACTAACATGCGAGCCTGATAAGGGAGATCACTTGATCTCTTTGAGAGAATACACTGATCCCCGTGATTTTCTTTTGCGGTGGTATACCTATCTCGATGTAATCGGGCTGTTATCGTCGGTGAATCTTCCGAGTAAATGTGACCAGTCTTTAACTCCAATCATACGTTTCGAATCAGGGTCTAATGAGATATTGTTAAGACAGTCAATGGAGGAGATGAAGGATATCAGCTTTTCGAATGGCATGGATATCAAGGTTATGGCATATTTGACCCAAATTTCAACCTTTTTGTCACAAAAAAGTGCTTTCGCCACCCAGGGCAAGTTGCACGACTTCATTTACGCAGCTGTAAAGCTAGACTTCGAAATCAATGATTATTTAACTAGCAGCGAGCAAGAAAGAGACGTGATATTCAAAGAGAAATTTAGCGACAACACTCACAAGAACCGTTTTCCGGGAAAAGTCAAAGATTACCTTCTGATGCGTAGCATAAATTTAGTTTTTGGATTAAGCGGGGTTTTACAGTTGAGGCGCCGCGTCTTGGATATGCCATCCGATGCTCATCTCGTGAGTTCCCTCATTCTACAGATAACGAACTTGATAGGAGAGAATATATCCGTAAGCTCGCCTTCTCTACCGTGCTTGTCTTTCTGTTTGTTTACCTGCGGATGTGAATTGACTGATAAGGCGTGGGATCCTTATCGCTACATTTATCGCGAGCGCCTTGATGCCCTTTGGAAAAAAGGGTTGGCTAGCGCCCTACAAGCTCGTCAGGTCATGGAGGAGTGCTGGACTTCTAAATTGCCCTGGTGGCAGGTTTTGGAGAAGCGTAATTTAGACATTTGCTTTGCGATATGACAAAGCCGCTATGAAACCGCGTGCAACGTGGAACTTCTTTGGAGCATCATAAAGACATTCGCTCGTTTTTGCCAAAAGAGCGAATACAGCCAATCAACATTACCGTGCTATAAACCTTTTAGCTAGGTGTTTTTGAATAAAGTTCATAGCTAATTAACCATAGTGTTGATGTGATTGTCCACTACCAAACAATGTATCCTTATTCCCAGCGTCGCGAGAAAGTTATTACCGAGAATATTTCTTTTTTAGCCTTCTAGATAACTATCCGATCCAATGTACACTAAGTGCGCGAAGCTACCGTTGTTAGTTCGTTGAATGCAATGAATGGAAACGTATACTGTGCCAATCGCGTTTGCAGTTCCAGGCTAGTCATTCTGTAAGCTAAGAAAAGCGCAAAGCTTCTGTATAACTCGGATCAAAAGTAATGACGCGCCATCAATGAAATTATACGCGTATCGTGCCCTTCAACTTAGAGTGTTGTACTTCTTCACATAATAACTGGAAACGCTATCCCATGGGATTGAGGGGCCGAAAACGTCAAACGCTTTGTGTCTTATTGAACAAACACCTCCTTTAAACAAAGGTTATCCGATATAGTGTAGGGGCTATCACACGACGCTCTCACCGTCGAGACCCGGGTTCGATTCCCGGTATCGGAAAGTGGTATAATAAATTTTTTTAAGTTTACTATTTCATACCCGCCTGTTTTTGAGACTCAATAAGAGTCTGAGCTTTCTCTGCTGGGGAGAGATCCGTCCACTTGAGTGTAAACCTAATATGGCCTTTTATTTATAAGTTGGATCTGAGTATGTCATAGATATGTTAGCACATGCACCCGCTAAAATATTTTTTGTTATTATTGAAATCTCTTCGCTTCAGAAAGCTTTAAGGATATTATTTTTGCCTGCTTTGAGATCAATGAAAAACTGGCAAATGTGGTGCAATTATACACATCGACAAGGATTCTTTATGGATCAGTTACAAGGTGGTTTTTTTTCGATCGAAGATACACAACTACGGGTTTATTGCGTTAGGTTTTGAAACTTGTAAGCTTCTTGCAGATCAAGGCACCAATCATAATTACCTAAATGAAACGATAGTGCGACATACCCCAGAATTTATATAATTTAGTGCATATGCAGAAGTGGTGACTATGACTGTTTTTAGGGCCTGCGACCTACTAACAAAAAGTTAATTTTGGCATAATTGAACAAACTGCCTGATCATTTTAAACTCCTAAAACTTGATGTGAGGAACACTTGTTTATGCTCCGCGAAGGTGGGCGGAGGGTGCTCAATCCTTAATGACGGCTTCACCATTATTTTTTGCGACCTTCTGAAAGAAGATATTCCTTGCATTCTAATATCGTTATCAGTGATCTATTCATCAAACCCAGGAAGGCGAAACCTGATCTCGAGGAAACCTGTCTGCTTCACCTTAGGGTGGAAAAAGAGTTCGTTTAAATCCCCCCCTTATCGACCGCAATGTTTCAAAAAAGCCTCACAAAAGATAACGGGAATTCAAGAAGAGTGTGCCATAATAAACGCGGAGGCGTTTAATCAAAGTCAAGCTTTGGCTGATATATATGTGTAGGATATTTTTACAGTTATTAAAGTGGCCCAAAACAATAAGCGAGTTGCTTCAAAAGACCCCAAAGATGCCTAAACAAGTGAAATGGACTGAAGTTGGACCTGGAAAAGGGTATGCTATTTTGTCACCTGCTTATGTTGCATGCAGTTCGAAGGACATTGTCTTCACGTCAGGCTGTGTCGGCACAGATCCCAAAACAGGGGAGCTTCCAGAAAACTTGGAAAGTCAAATCACAAATGCTTTAGAAAATTTGAAGAATGTCCTCTCTGCAAGCGGCTCTTCAATGGATAATGTTTTGAAAGTCTTGCTCTTCGTAGGGGACGGGAGTTACAGCAAAGTAGTGAATGAAGTCTACCAAGAGTACTTTCCCAGCGCGCCAGCTCGAAGCTGTATTGTTGTTAGCTTTCCGGATCCTGCGCTGAAGGTTGAGCTAGAATGTATCGCTCAAACCTTATAGTCTTCCTGAAAGGACTCAAACTTTATAGCTCGATCACTAAGTAAGCGATGAACAAGACTTGAATTGCTTTATTCCTAAGGCATCTAGTTGGGGGGCAGAATTACCTGGTGAGGCAAACGTGTCAATGTGTTATTAGTTTAAATAGAAGGATCAATTTCAAACGAAAACATAAAAAAACACAACAAACCCAGCTTTAAACTGCATCACATAGGCTGTGTATTTTAGATACATTTTAGGTAATGAACGACCATACAATTTAGTGGCCCTAGCTAAGAAAAAAATTAACATAGTGGAACCCGTCAACTACACAAGCATGTCTTTGCATTCAGCATTTACACCAAACGGTTTTTCGGGAAGATTTTTGTTGGAAGGAGCTGGCGAGAAGATGATATCGTTCAATTGCATCATCACGTGATCGATATGACAGAATAAATTGGAAGAATTAACGGACGGTTCTTGATCAAGATGAGGTCATAGGAGCCAAGTGATTCTCGTGATGGTCATGATGGCATCATACTTCGTCACCACTGTAAGAGTGACATAATAGGTGTCGTAATGATGACTCACCGTGACCGTGAAGATTAGAGACAAGAACGGATTCCAAAATTGGAACGATGTTACAGAAATTGTATAAAAGGGGCTGATATGAACAGGATTGTAAGTGGTCATGGTTGTAAGATAGCTACGGAGAGATATAAGCACTCAATTCCTAATTCGCTTTATTATTTAGATCAATTATGAACGAATTAAATGAACAATTTAGAAATCTATCAACCACCGATAATGATAAACCTCAACAATAACAAGACTTGTTCAAACAGAGGCGATTTGACCTGCTACACAGTGTTCATATCTTCAAGTTAATCACGGAGAGATATAAGTACTTAATACTCAATTTGTTTTACAACCTTGAAGATTATGAACCAATTAAGTGAACAGCTTTATAATCTGTCGACCATCAACGCTGGTACACTTCAATAGCTCATGGTATCGCTTCAATCTATCACTTATCCGTCCGCGAGAAGAAATGATCAAAGAATCAGTGATGCACCAATCCCTCTTACCATCAGTGATCATATTTGCTAGTGCGACAGTTATATGACCCTCTCTAGGATCCCTGGAACTTCCCAGGCCTCCTGTTAAGTCTGATTCGCCTACCCGTTCAATCTTCTCTTATTTTTGATCTGTACTTGCGAACACGTGATGCCACCTTCCCCCGATGCAAAGTGACGATATCACCTATCGCAAACTTCTTCTAACATAAGTTGTGGTGTTCTTGTTTTCTCCGGTGTCAAGGCGAATGCTTGCTATGTATTTTCTAACGTGATTAAACACCCCTCGAGGGTTCCCAGAAAATAAACAGAAACGCAACTGCAAGATTCGGCGAGAATTGCGCTTACCCGAACAACAGCGTTTCAATTGGAAACCCCCCGACATCTCTTTTATCGTCATTAACAGTCTCTTTCAATAAATAACGATGCCCGAGGACCTTGTCAACGCGCCCTCATGACTAACCTGCGATAGACACAGGTCGCTATTATTTCGCCATCGGACATTTACCTGACAGTGAAGCAATGATTCCCGCTGCATCAAATTCATGCTCTAACTTGATGATCTGCATTTTGTCATTGAGCGTTACCACACTTGAGCCTGGGAACTCGAGTAGGCTGCCGTCCCCTTTATGGCCGTTGAATTCACCGTCTTTGATGCCCCAGTGTCTCCATTTCAGATAAGCCTTGGGT